CATCGGAAAATACCTCTTCTCCCTCCATCACTGCGTGTCGCACATGCATCCCGATGCGCTTAACCTGGGTCTCGACGAGCCCTTTTACACACAGCAGATGTTGGACAGTGCCCGCACCGTTTTGCAGGCCGCCATCAACCACCACTACCCTCCCGTCGCAGACATCGACCTCGGGAGCCGTACCCTCATGATCCACGACTTCCCTACCCCCCTGGCTAGCCTCGCCCCCCTCGAAACCCTCGTCAATAATGATGACTTTCTCAACCTCTTACCTGAGCGTATCCGCGAAGGTATGGATGGCTTGTTTCTGGTGGCCCCGCGCTATTCGGTCAGGTTTCCACCGCTGTCGCGCTCGGTGTGCACGCACAGCGGAGTTGCCAAGTTTGCACGCAGTCGCCTGTACGACATCATGGCGACGCAGTGCGACTGTGCGCAACACCAAGGACCGGACCTACGACGCCACTTCACGCTCGAGGACCCCTACTGGCAGATCGACGGCGAGCCTGTGCGGCACCTCTGCACGCTGGACCCTGCTGCGGCGGGCATCCAGAGCACCGCGTACCGCCGTTTGTTCGCCGTCGGCGGTGCCAAGCACCGACACGTCCCGGAGCTGCACCAAGCCACGAGCGCGACCGTAGCTAGCATCGTTGAAGCCTACCAGAAGCCGCTGCTCGGGTGGACGAAACGCGTCAGCAAGGCCGCCGACATGGACGCGGCAGCGTGCATGCCGTACATTGATGCTATACTTGCTGCTACGCAAACGGCACTCCAACCCGCTCTTCAACCCGGGTTCCGCCTTCCATGGCCCCCGCCGCTGGCGGACATTCAGCCCGACGATCGCGTGGCTCTGCGGCGAGACGCGACACGCCTCACCATCACGACCATGGACAAGAACGCCGGGAATTTGGTTTTCGTGTGTCGGCGCGCCTACATCGAGGTCCTCCTGCACGACCTGCACAGCAACGACGCTTTCGCTGTCAACGAGCCGGCAAATGCCAACATCACGCATGCCAGGCACGTGGTGAACGTCGCTAACACGACGGAGGCTATGTTGGACAACCTGCAGCTACCAGGAATACGCACCGAACGCGAGTGCGGTGGTCTACCGCACTACTACGGGACGATGAAGCTTCACAAGGCCAAGGTGGACGTGCGGTACATCTCGGACTGCTCGAGCGACATCACGCGCCCCGCAGCGCAGCTGCTGACGAAGGCCCTCGGCGCGCTCATGTGCCACGCCACCCTCGTGGAGGTCTGGAGCTCCATCTTCGACGGCGTCCCGGAGGACCTCTGCAGCAGCTTCGCGCCCTTCTTGGTGGACTCCAGCCGCGGCATGCGTGACATGGTGACCGCGTATCTACATGACAACCCACCACGCTCAGCGATACATGCTCAACAACCACCTCTGCTGCTGGGCGCCGACATCAAGCGGCTCTACACGCACATCCGGCACGAGACGAGCGCGGACCACGGGACCGGCCTCATCGACTGCGTCATCGAACACATCGACGCTGTTTTTGCACTGCATCCAGGGCAACACCTCCTGATCGACTTGCAACCCGCGTTTGACGCGAGGGAGACGTGGTGGTGGGTGGCGCAGCTGCCGGACGCGGACGGCATGGTTGGGAAATGGGCACCGAGCATCGAGCAACTTCATGGTCTCGTGCACATCCTCGTCAAACGCGCCTACGTGGTGTTCGGGGGCGTCGTATATCACCAGACCTGCGGTGTGCCCATGGGGCTCTCGGCCTCCCCCCACCTCGCGAACTGCTACATGTTCCGGCATGAGCTCGCGTTCCTCTGCCAGTTTCGCGACCGCTGGTTGAGCACTGGCGACGTCGCTTGGCTGAAGGTCTTGGGGTCTTTCCGTTATTCCAGGCGCTACATCGACGACAATTTCTCTCTCGCGAACGCACTGTACCGCTACTTCAACACCCACCCCCGCCCCCCCACCCCGCCCCCCGAAACCCCGTCGTCGATCGTAGATCTCATCTCTGGTATACATAACATGTACCCCCCCTGTCTTGAGGTCGAATTTGACGCCCCAGCGAACCCGCTCGACGGTGTCTCCTTCCTAGACCTCCGCGTGCGTCCGCATCCCGAATATCAGGGCTTCCTCCTGATCTCGCACTATGACAAACGCGGTCTGTTTCCTGAGAACATTCACCTCATACAGTACCCCCACGCTTCGTGTGCGCTGCTGCGACGACACCTTTACAACATCGTCCGCACCGAACACATCCGCGTGTCCAGCGAGGTGACTGACCGCGACAGCTACGTAGCCAAGATGTCGGCCATGATGCGCTACATGCGTACGCATCGAGGTTACTGCATGCGACAGGTCCTGGCGATCCACCGCGCCGCCTGCCGGACGCACCCGAGCCCGCATTTTGGCCCTGCCACGCCGGCGGGCCTGGCTGACCTCGTGCGTCGCCACGTGCAGTTTGCAGACCATACTGGCCAACCTGCTGACAGGGCGTGCCCGGCGCCCTGCAACTCGTCACCCTCATACATGATCCCGGCGCTGCGAAGCTGGCTCGGAACTATCCAGCCATGCCCGCACACATGACGCACTCTGTTACCCCCCCGATGTTGACATGTTGGCCATGCGCGTATTCCGTGGCCGCTAGACCGAGGTATGATCCCTTTTCGCATGACAGGCCACGCGCGGGGGACGGCGATGACGAGGAGAGCTGAGTAGCCGTCGGCGCGTCGCCACACAACGCGGACAATGCCGCAGACTCAGTCACCGCTGTCACCCAGCCGGCTGCCGACACCCCCTGGTACAAGCAGCCTAGGACGTGGACCAGCACTTCGGCGCGTCGGCTGGCGGGCGTCGTCCAGTACTCGCGCGGCTCGCCGCGTTGTTGCTGACGACGCCCGCCACTCACTCTAACTGATTGCAGGTCAGAGCCTTCCCTTGGCACATGATGGCACGCTCACATGGCATTTCGCGCGAGTACTCCTAGCACGCTGCCGCCTTGATCAGGACGATAGCACACCCGCATTTCGTTTCGTGCGCGGGTGGTCAATTACTACTCTGTGTCATTTCGGCACACCCGCGTTTCGTTTCGTGCGCAGGTGGTCAATTACTACTCTGTGCCATTTCGGTCCTCAAGCATCCTCGCGGCGAGGGTGCCTGTAGGTCAGCGCATGACAAAGACGTCGCCCACCGTAGGCCTTGGCAGCGAACCAGGCGCGACTCTCGGGCGACAGCCGCGCGTGTCGACTTTCGTTTCGTGCGCGGGTGGCCAATGAACACTTCGCGCGTCGACCGGGCCTAGAGTCTTCCGCGCACGCACAGCCCCCTCGTGCCTCACACGTGAGCGCGGGGAAGCGACGCGCGCGGCGCCCGCACGTTTCTGATGCGATGGTTTTCACAGCCACCCCGCGGACCCTCTTTCGCCCCTGCTTGTGTTCCTGCGAGGCCCCCGCGCCGCCGTCCGGGGCAGGACGGCCGCGTGGCGCTGTCTACTTGGGGGGCGGCGCGCCCCCGGGCCTTGTCTCTGCACGGCGAGGCGCGAGCGAGCGGCATTGGTTGTCATTGCTGGGGGAGCCTCGCTCGCCGGCTCGCCCCCTCGTCACGTTCACGTGATATTTGCGGATCGCGCGGCGTGGATTCATGCCAGCCATCTGTCGGGGCAAGCGCCGCTCACCTGGCGCTGCTCCCGCGCCGCGATCGTTGCGAAATTGCACTTTCGAAAGTCACTGGCGCTTGTCCGCTGCCGTCTTGTCGCCGACGGCCTCGTCCTTGGCACCATCGTCAAGAATGATGTCGTCCCTGCCGATTCCAGCCTTCATTTGCTCCATCTGCGCCAGCTGCCGCTGCCGGGCCACGGCATTTGATTGGCATTTGTCTTCGTGAGAATTCCGGGCCAGGACGTCGTAGAAACTGTCCAGGCCGCACTTCCTGCAGGTGTACACGACCGCGTCGCCGGCGCCGCCCGCGTGCGCCCCGTGCGGCCCGTCGTTGAAGTCTACGAGGTCTACCTGCCGGGCCTCCCTCTTCGGTCGACCCATGGCCGCCTTCTCCGCGAGCCTGCCGCGCGCCGACGATCAATCGCTTCAGCATCGACATCACCGGGTCAATAAAGACGACGGAGGGCGCTCGCGCCCTGTCCTCGCGGAGCTGGCACAGCCTGACCAGGCGGGGCCTGCGGCATGCCGGACGAGGCCTGTCCGCCGCTGCGCGCGCCCTTGGCGCGCGACTGCCCAGGCACGAACTGCGATCACAGCGGCGCGCGCACCGGCGCTGCTGCGGGGCCTGCAGCGGCTGGTGTCATCCGCGCTCGCGTCGAGGACACGTGTCGACAGGCTGTCGATCGACAGCCGCCGGGTCACTCGTTGCACGACGCGAGTCGATTGGGCGACTGGCTTCGCCGGCCCAGCGCGACATCTGGTGTCAGTTCGATGAGGCTCTAGATATTAGAAAACAGATCATGAACGAGAGATATTCTTTGTCTTTTTTCGATTCGTCGCTCCTCCTGCGTGGGCCCTGCCCCGCCGCGCAGCTGCGTGCATGCTTGTCTCGTCTGCCGCGTACCCCGCCGTCCGTGCCGCCCCCCTCGGGCCGTCTTTGGTCCTGATCCAAGAAGGAATGTCGACCTGCAGAAGGGAATCTTCGTCTTGCAGTCGCTTCGTGGTCGCAGTGTGGCTTCTCGGGGAGTGATGCGTGCACGCGAGGTCGAAACGGCAGCTGGAAACAGCAGGACAGTCGCCGAAACTCGACTTGAATTCCCTGCGCTGGGGCCTGTGCCCGAACAGGCCCCTGCTGCGTTTCAGGCGCGATTTCACGGCGCCGCGCGCCCCCGGGCTTGCACTCGGAGGTCATCTCGCCCTCTGCCACCCCAGCATCGATCAGCCGCGCTGCGTCCTCGCCAGCGCGCGAGCAGCGCTCCCCGAGCATGCTTCTGTCCGCTCGCCTGACGCTCTGACGAGGCGCACGCGGCGGACGGCTCGCTCCACGCGCTTTACAGCCGACATGGAACGCTGAGGACACAATGTACCGCTACGACAACGCCAGCAGTGCGTGCCACACACCCTCGCCGCTGACCCCCTGAATCACGTCGCGCGGCCCACCGCTCCGACGCCCCGCACCCTCGGATTTGCCCCGCAACTGAATCCTTGTACCTTGAAATTCGAATACGTCGCGTTCGCGGCGCCGTTGCCGCCCAGCGCCGCGCTCTTTCGCACAACATCGATCATGGACTGTACGCGCGATTTCCGCCCCGTGCAGGCGCGTCCGGCAGCGACGCGACCGTCCTGGACCTCTCCGTCCACGGCGTCGCGACAGGGACCGACAAGCGGGGCCGGAGACCGGCGTCGGCGCGCACAGCGCCGCACGCGGCCACGCAGCGCATCGTTGAAAGCGCGGCGACTCCCGCCACGCCCCTGAAGGACTGGGTGCCGAACGGGCGCGCGCCAGCGCCGCACCATGAGCTCGCGAAGGCGACGCGGCGCCGCCCGCTGCTCTCTGCGGGCGCGGCATCGCCCAAGGGCCGCAGGGGCCGCGCGCTCACTGCCACGCGCACCGCCTCGCAGCTCGAGGACGCTCTGCGGCTCTGGGCGGCGCACAACCGCAAACTGCACGAGCCACGGGCGAACACGCTCCTGCGCGGGCTCATGTCGTCCGTCCCGATCCCCAAGGACAGCACCGGCATCCCGCAGGCAGCGGTGCGGACCAAACTGGCGAGCATGACGATGGAGGACGCCGCGGAGCTCCGCGAATCCACCGTACAACAGGTAACATGCGTCCACGGCGACGGCGCCTCGCTCCGACCCCTATTCTGGCTTCCTGTGTTGTTCTCCGCACTGCGTGTGGCCTATTTCGCTCACGCAGGCCGCGAAACCCGCCCCACGCGCCGTGCAGGCGGACGGGCCCCGCTCGCTCGCGGTGGACGCGCTGTCTGCGCGCCCGTCGCGGCGCGAGAGCGAGCCGGAGATGCCGCGCGCTGCGTCGCCGCCGGCGTTTGCCGACATTCCGACGCGCGAGAAGCCGCGGCAGCCGCGCACGGGCTTCCTCAGCCGCGCCTCGAACGTGTGGGCGCACAGGTCGGGCGAGAAGATCGACGGCGGCATGACCAGCAAACACGTGGACGACGACGTCAGACGCATCGAATTAGACCCCTCCCTCACGGAGGCCGAGCGGTGGGGGTACAAGCGGCAGCTCCTCGTCGACCGCGCGAGCATCATCCGCGAGACGGGCCGGGGGAGGAGTTTTGTCCGCCTGGGGGGTATAAACCCCGACATGACTTTCGGGGTTGCGCCGCCCAAGGAGCTGCGGAAGGCGGTGGACGCCGGCGACGAGGCGGAGGCGGCCAAGGCGAGCCTGAGCGCGTTCGCGGGCGGCGCGCCGAAGAGCCACTTGTTTCTCCGCGGCTGTTTGATATCGCGGCGGCACCTCGAGCAGTCGTGGGCGCGCATGTTGGCTGAGGAGCAGCGGTCGGGGGCGGCGCCGGGGCTGGTGGCGCCGCTGGCGCCGGAGGAGACGGCGCTGCTGCTGGAGCGCTTCGGGCGGCGGCGGGGGCCGCACGAGCAGCTGTGGGGGGACGACGGGGGGGTGTTGCGGCCGACATCGGCGCTGGTGTCAGGGCGGGCGGGCGCGGGGGGGTACCACGGCGCCGACGCGGTCGACGTGCAGAAGCTGATCGACGCCGTGTGCATGGGCTTCACGCACGAACTCAAGGCGAGCCCTCACGCACCACCCTGCGCCCCCACACAACGTCTGACCGCCGCAACGTCCCATCGGCGGTTTCGTGCCTCCTGCTGTCGCGTGCCCTTGCCTGCCGTGACCAGGCCCGCAGCGCCCTCCGCGTTCGCAGGCCAGGACGGTCGTGCGCGCGGCGCCGTCCCCGATGGACGAGGCGGGAGAGAAGAGATACCTAATGCGGTTCTGCCGAAAGGCCCTGACGCCCCCGACGGGCCTGGACGTCGCCGCGGCGTCGCGGCGGTCCGCGGAGTCCCCGTCGGCGTACCTTGAGCTCGAGCACGTGTACGGATACGCCGGGCTGTACAACACCGACCAGAACCTGTTTTATACCGCTGACGGCAGCATCGCCACGTATACAGGTCAGTCACCGGTCGACGGGGTTGCTGCGCGTGCCGGGACTGTGCCGGCTGGACGGTGCAGGCGCGCGTTGCTGGCAGATATGAATTGTTGATGTGCGGTTGGTTTGTCTCCTCGATTGCGGCGCAGCGGGGATCGGGATGGTGTGCGACCCGCTGGAGGCGGCGGAGATGGAGGCGGACTCGGGCGGGCGCGAGTTCGTCGAGGCGCCCCCGCTGATGCGCTTCTTCCGGGGGCACACGGACGACGTGGGGTGTGTCGCCATGCACCCGGGGGGGCGGCTGTGCGCGACGGGGCAGTGCGCTGCGGAGCCGTCGGTGAGCATCTGGGACTCGCAGGTACGTTGCAAGCGCGCTTGCGCCGCGAGCACGCCAACATCGCACCCCGTCAACTCCCAATCTCGTGTGCTTCATCTCGACCATGATAACTCTTATAATGATCATAAAAAATCATAATTGCGTATCACTTCACGTCTCATTCGAGCGCGCTCGGCGCGGGCGCGACTGCGTCGCAGACGTGCAAGGAACGCGGGCGGCTCCGGCTGCCGTACGGCCACCGCAGCGTCACCGCGGCGGCCTTCTCCGGTGGCAAGGGGCGCTGGCTGACGACGGTGTCCACGGACAACGAGCACACCGTCATCGTGTGGGACTGGAAGGTCGGCCGCAGGGTCTGCCAGGGCAACGGCTACAAGGGACACCCCCCCCAGGTCCTCGGGTGCATCTGGGACCACCACGCGGGGGAGACGGGGGACGAGCGGTTCGCGACGTTCGGTCGGAACCACCTGAAGCTCTGGTACCGCGGCGTCGACCTGAAGACGCGCATGCCGACGTGGACGGGCCGGGGCTGCTCGTGGAACGGCGCGGAACCGCGCATGGTCCTGAGCGCCGTGTTTTTGCCGCCATCGCTCCACGAGGGCGCGGAGGTGCTGGTTCGCAGCTCGAGCACCCCGCAGGGGGCCGTGGGCACGGGGTGGTGCAAGCAGACGGGGGCGGAGGACCTGGACTTCGGGCTCGTCGCCACGGGGCACCCCGCGGGCGAGGTGATGTTTTGGCGCGAGTGCGCGGCGGTGATGGTGCTGCAGGTGGACGCGGCGCCGAAGAAGACGCTCCGGCCGTCCGCGAACGAGGTGGACTCCGTCTACGGGATCCGCGGGCTGCAGGTCGCGTGCATCGTGCCGGAAAGAACACCCCCCCGGGAGGAGTATGAGACTGAGTCGGACACGCCGGGGGCTGGCGAGAGGTCGCCGGCCGCGCCGGAGCCCGCCGCGGCCGCCGTTCCAGCGGCGCGTGCGCGATCGCCGTCGCCGGACCCATCGACGCCCGAGCAGGAGCGCGCATCGTCGGAGTCGGAGGCGAGAGCTGCGTCGAGCAGCGCCCCGTCGGACGCGGGCGCCTCCGAGCCTGCGCCGCTGCAGTCCGAGTCGTCCGAGCTCTCCGGGCCGCACTCGGCGTCTCTCGAGTCGTCCTTTACGGGGGGGGAGTCGTCTGGTCAGGACCAGGTCGGGCACGCGTCCTCGGACGTCGACGCGGCGCTCGAGGACGCCCTGAACGATACCGTCGTGTCACTGGAGGACCCTATCGAGTGCGTGATCGAGGACGAGCTGATACCAGCCGCGGAGCGGTCCCGCAACACGTCGTCACCAGACAGCCAGCGGGCGCCGGGTGGGCGCGGGCTGTACATGGGGGCGCGCGGCGGGGACGAATTCGGCGAGTTCTTCGCGGACGACGCGTCCGGAGAGGATGTGGGTGAGCGCGGCGACGGAAGTCGTGGTTTCGTGGATGAGGATGACGCGGTACAGATAGGGGGCGAGCTGGACGGGATGACGTCGAGCGGGGTGACGAGCGCGATGCTGTCCACGATCCGCGGCGGCATGTTCGGCAGCGACGTCGCGGGGCCGGACGGGCCGCAGGGCCAGGAGCCTCGCGCTCAAGACCCCCCCGCGGGGTCTGACGACGACGAGGGGGTGTTGCGGCTCCGGGGCGGGAGCGGACGGTACGCCGCCGACCCAGGATACGACACGATGGACTCCCAGGCGCTCGCGAGCGTCCGCCAGGAAGCCGTCGTGATGCCACGGGCCACGCCGACCATCCCAACAGCTACGGCGCACCCTCCGGGGCGCTACGTACAGCAGGAGCCTCCGCAGCTGTCCCGGGAGCGTCCACAGACGTACCCGGACCGGTACGCCCCCCCGGAATCCGCTCCGGGGGCGGGAGCGTCGTTCGAGACGGCACGGCACGCGCAGGGTGCGCCACAGGAGGTGCCCCGTCAGGCGGGGGGAGTCAGCGCTGGGAGGTACGCCCCGGCGTCCGCGGGGCAGCGTGGGTCGCGCGGGGGGCTTCGGGCGTGGCGGGAGTGGTTCGAGGACGAGCCGGCGGAGCCGCGGTGGGTGCTGGTGGCGGGCGGCGGGGGGGGGGTGGTGAGGATGTTTGACCTCGGGTCGGACATGCGGCTGCCGCACGCGGAGTGCGGGCGGAACCCCGTGGAGATTCCGGTGCCGCGCTGGCCCGCGGGGACGGCCCGGCAGCCCATCCGCGCGCTCGACGTCGGCGTCAAGCGCCGCTGTATCGCCGTCGGTACGTACCACCGACCTGCGCCGACCCTCCCCGTCGCTCGCCTCCTTTGATTAATTTTCTGCGCGTCGGCGACACCCTGTTGCGCTCCCTCACGCCTCCTTCGCCGAACGACCCGCTCCGGCGACGCAGGGACGAGAGAGTGCGACGTCTGGGAGCTCCCGATCCCCGCCGAGGTGTACGGCGAGGAGCCCGGCGTGCCCGTGCCGCGGGGGCAAGAGGGCGTCCGCGGCCCGCACTTCCCGGTGCGTCTCGTCAACGGCAGTTCGGGCGAAGTGCGGTCCGCGGCGTGGCACCCGCGCGCCAAGGGCATCTTCGTCATCGCGCCCGCGGCGCCGGAGGTGCTGGTGTACCACGCCGGGCGCAAGCACTCCATCGGGCGCCCGATCATCGCGGCGGCAAACGTGACGGCGGTGGCGTTCTCGCAGCCCACGGGGGAGTTCCTCGCGCTCGGGACGGAGACGGGCGTGCTGCAGGTGTTCGACAGCGACAAGCAGCTCGTCGCGGAGCGACACGACACACGTACGTCTCCACCGCAGCTCCTGTTTTGTCACACGCGCCGTCCTGACGCCGCGTCCTCACGCCGCCGTTCCCCGTCCGCTGCCTCGCGCATGCGCGCCACCACTCATCCGCGCGTGCACGCGTCCCCGTCTGGCGCGCAGGTCGGCCGGTGTCGTGCCTTGCGTACGCGCCCTCGGGCCGCGTGCTTGCCGCGGGGTCCCGCGACGGCTCGATCGCGCTGTACGACGCGCGCAACCGCCACCGCCTCCTCACCGTGTGCCGCGGCCACAGCGCCGCGATCGAGTGCATGGACTTCTCGCGGGACTCGCGCGTTCTGCAGTCCAACTGCGCGTCCTACGAGATTCTGCACTGGGACGTGCTGACGGGCCGGCAGCTCACGGAGGACCAGCGCGACACCGCCTGGGCCACCTGGACGTGCAAGCTCGGCTTCCCCGTCATCGGCGTGTGGCCCGAGGACGCTGACGGCACCGACGTCAACGCCGTCGACCGAGACCCCTCGGGGGAGTACGTGGTCGCTGCGGACGACTTCGGGAACGTGCGGCTGTTCCACTACCCGTGCATCGTCGAGGGCGCTGGCTGCGTCAAGTCCACGGGGCACTCCGCGCACGTCCTCTGCGCGCGATTCTCCGCGTGTGGCAAGCGCGTGCTGTCCGTCGGCGGCCGCGACCGCGCGGTGTTCCAGTGGCGCCTCGTGCGCCGCGACGGCGGCGGCGCGGAGCCGGCGATGCCGGAGCACGGCGGCGTGCAGCGCGACGGCGGCACGTCCTTCTTGCAGGCGCTGCTGCGCGGGCAGGCGGCGGGGCGCGCGACGCCGCGCACGATCCCGCCCGTCGCGCTGACGAAGGAGCAGATCGACCGCGCGCGGGAGGCGCGGGACGCGCGCGTCGCGGGCGCCGACCCCGACGCTCCGCCCACCGAAGAAGATAAGCTCTTTCAGCGCATTCAATCGAAACATGCAATCGGGGTTCGAAACGAGGGGCTCGCGGACGAGGACTACGGCGAGGAGGCGGAGGGCGGGATGGAGCAGGCGATGCAGGGGCTGCGGGAGGCGCAGGGGTCGTGGCGCGCCGTCAGTCGCGCTGCGAAGGCTGTTGTGTCGATGGAGGAGGAAGAATTAGAGCGGCGGGAGGGTGCGGAGGAGCCGCGGGTGGACCGGGGGTCGGCGGCGGCGGCGCTGATGGAGCGCGCGGGGGCGGGGGGGCGGCTGGGGACGCGGAAGTACCGTGCGAGGCGGATGAAGGAGCTGGAGAGGCAGCTAGATAGGGAATTGGAGGCTGCTGGGTTGGGGAGTAAGGAGAGTAGGAGGAAGGGGAAGGCGGTGGTGAAGGAGGGGATGGTGTGGGGGCCGCTGGTGCCGGGGGGCAAGGAGTACGGGTGGATCCGGGAGCTGGATTTGAACGCGGAGGATTGATTAATGTCTGTGAGTGGACGACTTGTTTTGGTGTCTTTCGATGGGTTGGTTTGTCTTGGGTGGTTGGGCGGCGTTGGGTCGCGGTCGCGTGGGGTCGGGCGGTGGTGAGGCCGCGCGTGGGAGGACTTGAGGGGGTGTTTCTACTGCTCATGCGTCATGTGTGCGTGTCAGACTGCGCGACGGTGCTCCCGCGGGCAGACGACGCATTTTGGCAGTCGGCGGCGCGTTGACCGATGCACTGCGGGGACATTCGAGGGAACAAAGTTCCAACCAACGCCGTCCGAGGGCGAATTCCCTGTCTCGCAGATACCCATCGAGCCAGCGCGCCGCGCCTGAGTGTCGCCGCGCGGCTCAGTCGGGTGGTCGGTGTACTACGAGTAATAGGCGGACCGTTGCTTCCAGGAAACACTCTGTTTGGTCCGCAGCGAAGCGAGGCTGTCGCTCTTTAGGTCTGCGCTGAGTCCTCTGCTCGCGGCCGGCGGCTGCGGCGCGTGGGAGTCTCTTCTGCGTCACAGCAGCAGCTACGGGATGACAATCGTCCGCGCGAAGGGGACCTTTGAGTTCTCCCCGAAAGCGGGCGAAAAGCGCGGCCACGAAGCAGCCGCCGGCGACGATGGGCCCGGTGATGAAAGGGAGCGCGGCACAGAGGCTGGCGTAGAGGACGACGTGTCCGACGAGGTGCGAGGACACAGCGGTCCCCGGCAGGCTGCCCCGCGGCCTCACACGGGGCGGCATGGGCAGGAGAGCATTTGAGGTGCTCGCTGGGTGCCTCCACGCATGAATGCAGCGGTCTCGGTCCTTTCCTCGCGCTCACTGCGATCCTCGCGACAACACCTATGATGTCGTGCAAGGTCTCACCCATTGCGCGGAATGTTCCGCCGTCAAGGGCGCACAGAAGACTGCGATTGTCCCCACTGTATTCCTCTCACCATTACGCGTTCCTGCCACCAGCGCACTCCCTACTGCACCTCGACAAATCGCAGGAGCTGCAGCGGCGCCGCGTTGCCGCGTACAAGCCCCCAGACCCCACCCACTGGGACCTCCCAGACACCCACAAGAAGTGGGACGACGAATTAGCGGCACTCATCGCCGACAAGTGCGTCTCCGTCGCCCCGCAACGCACATCCTCGCACAAACTCCACCCTCCCGGCCACTCACCGGCTCAACACCCCTCCCACGGCCTGCAGGACCCCCCCCCCGCCCCCCGAAGCCGCGGGGGAGTGGTGGCGCGGCATGGGCGAGCCGCGGTACATGGTCGCGCCCATGGTCGACGCCAGCGAGCTCCCGTTCCGCCAGCTGTGCCGCAAGCACGGCGCGACGGCCGCCTACTCGCCCATGTTCCACGCGCGCCTTTTCGCCGAGAGCGCTCCCTACCGCGCGGAGCAGTTCAGCACGTGCGAGGCGGACCGGCCGCTGTTCGTGCAGTTCTGCGCGAACGACCCGCCCACGCTGGTGCGCGCCGCGAAGCTCGTGGAGGGCCAGTGCGACGCGGTGGACCTCAACCTGGGCTGTCCGCAGCGCATCGCGAAGCGCGGGCGGTACGGGGCGTTTTTGATGGAGGACATCGACCTGGTCGAGAGCCTCGTGCGCGCGCTGCACAAGGAGATCAGCACGCCCGTGACCGTCAAGGTACGCCTATGTATCGCACCAGGTGTCGTCGCATCGTGCACGCGCCTTGACCTGACTATGTGGAGGGCGCAGGTGTCGTCGGTTGCGCGTTGCTGGACGGCGGCGAGCTGCAAGCAGCCGTAGCCGCGCGTTTGGGCTTGAGACCAGCGAATGGGAACCTCACGATCTCCTTTTCGTATATCTAAATATTATTTGTTGTTCATGTTTGCAGATTCGGTGTTTCCCGGACGTGCGCGAGACCATCAAGTACGCCCGCCGCCTCGAGAAGGCCGGCGCGTACCTCGTCGCCGTCCACGGCCGCACGCGCGAACAGAAACGCGCCGCCGAGGTCGCGGCGGACTGGGAGCAGATTCGCGCCGTCAAGGCCGCGCTCAGCGTCCCCGTGTGCGCCAACGGCAACGTCCGGTGCGTCGAGGACGCCGACCGGCTGATGAAGTTCACGGGCGCGGACTCGTGCATGTCGGCCGAGAGCCTGCTGCGCAACCCGGCGATGTTTGGCCAGCGGCGGGAGGGGGGGGGGGAGTCGTGGCAGCCGCCGGCGTCGGCGACGCCCGCCGCGAACTGCGCGGACCTGCTCCTCGAGTACCTCGACGAGGTCGAAAACCACCCGGTCCAAATGAGGTGCGCGCCAGCCAGGAATCTCTGTCTTTAATGTTGCAGCACAACTGTCTGGCTGGTTGTGTAGCCCGGGTCGTTCTTGCCCTGCAGACCAGGCAAGAGGCGTCCGATCCGCTCCGTTCCCCGCGTTTGCCGCATGTGCAGGATGATCAAGGGTCACGTGCACCAGCTATTGGGAGATTGGCTTCAGGAGTTCACCGACCTGCGCGACGTGGTCAACGGCGCGAACGGCGCGGGCCCGCCGACGGTCGCGCGCCTGCGCGACATGGCCGTGGACATCCGGGAGCGCATCCGCGCCGCGGGGCGGCCGTATCCAGTCCCCAGATTGAGTTGGAGGGCAATCAAGAGAATCCGATTGGAGGCGGCGCGGCAGGCGGCGCAGGAGGCGCAGGAGAAGGAGGAGGCCGAGGTGGCGGCGCTGGACGCGCGCGCGGTGGACCCGCCGGCGCCGGGGACGTGACGGGCGCGCGAGACTTGGGCTGGTGTGTTGGAAGGTAACATGAGATTCGTGTCGGAAGACTGGACGACGATCTGTGAGTACACGTGAGGCTGTGTGTGGTGCGTGTCAGCCCGGGCGACTGCGTCGTTGGTCGAGGAGCGGTCCGTCGGGCAGGGCGTGGTTTTATACCTTTGGGCGGTGTTTTGGCCCGCATTCGACCTGTGTGTCTGACAGACGCGCCGCTTGGTGGAGGACTCGTCAGGAGCGAGGCGCGGCGCGCCCTGCACACACAGAGCGTGCGTAGGTCGTCGGCTCCTAGTCGCGGTCGTGGGCGTACCAGGTGGGCAACCCTCGAGTAGGAAGTCGCATCGTGGGGCGGTGGTGCGGTCGGTGACGCGTGCGTGGGTGCGCGGGCGGTGTGGCTGGACAGCAAGCGTCCCGGGCGCGAGCAGCGCGGGGGCGGGGCGGGCGCGGGCGGGATGCTGGCGGCGTCGCGTGCAGTGGTGGGGGCAGGGGCCGTGCGGGCGGGGAGGGGTGCGGCGGGGCGCGGGGCGGTGCGGGGCGCGCGGGAGGCGGTACGGTGGAGGGGCGGGGCAGGCGGGCGCGGGGCGGGGCGCGGCGGTGGGGGCGGCGCGGCGGGTGTTGGCGGTGGGTGTTGGTGGGGCGCGGGACGGCGCGGGAGGCGGTGCGGGGGAGGAGCCGGGGGGCGGGGCCGCTGAGGAGATGAGCACGAAGGACGAGCGAGGATGGGATGCGATGGCGGAGAGGGTCTGGAGGGAGGAGGCGGGCAGGAGCATGGAGTGGGCGCAGGATCGGTTTGATGGCCAGAACAGTCAAGCTTGGAGGAGCGGGGAGAAGATGTACGCGCGGAAGCAGGTGCGCCACACGCCGAGCATGCACGTCATCGCGTCGCGAGGGGGCCGCGACCGTCCATCACGACGCGGCGACCTCCTCACGCAGCAGCTGTGTGCGAAGGGTCGTTGTGCGGGTGGCGTTGGCAGGGGGTGTGTGACGGCGGTGCTGCGCGGCGGGAACATGCGTGCAGGAGCTGCTGCGGGAGCTGGGGTGGATGACGGAGGAGGACTTCCGAGCGATGCTACGAAGGTGGCCGCGACTCACGTGGTCCACGCCAGAGACTCTGAGCGCGAGGATGGAGGCGCTGCGGGGGTGCGTGCCAGCGATGACGGACAAGCAGTGGAGGCGAGTGGTGAGGGATGCGCCGACCGTGCTGACACGGACCCCTGACCACGTGAGACAGCAGGTGAGCGTGAGGGTGTTGTGTGCTGGTGTGGCAGCGTGATGTGTTGCTGGCTGCTGGAGGCAGGCCGGGCTTAGGTGCCGGTCCCGAATGGGAGCGGCGGGCGCGGGGGGCGCGGGGCGCTTGACGCGGTGCGGCTGTGTGTGGGGTGGGTGCAGGTGGAGGGGCTGCGCGAGGTGCTGCACGCTGGCGAGGGCGAGGAGGGGGACGCAGCTGTCGCGAAAGTAGTGTACAGGTGCCCGACTGTGCTGACTTTCGCGACCGACAACCTGTGGACGAAGCGGCGTGCGGTGGAGAAGCTGGCAGGCACGCTGCTGGGGGAGGTGCGTGAGGGTGCGGGGGTGTCGGGAGGGGACGCCGAGGCGGCGGGAGCAGGGGCGGGCGGGGGGCGCAAGCAGGGAGGCAGGCGCGGGGCGTACTGGGCGGAGGCGGGTGCGACTGCGGAGGGTGTGGCAACGAAGATGATCGGGAGGGCGCCACGGCTGCTGACGGCTGCCGAGAAGAGGGTGGCGAAGTGCGCCCGTGAGCTGATGAGGGTGATGGAGGGGAGGGTGGGGCGCGCGTGCGCGGCCGGCGCGATCATGTCGCAGCCTGGGTTGCTATTGGTGAAGACGGAGAAGTTGGCGGCGAAGTGGAGGCTGCTGGTGTGGGCGTGCGAGCGCTGCGAGGGATGGCGGGACTGGCCGGACATCAGGCGGGCGGGGAGCATCGGGACGGTGATGACGTATTGCCCGGAGCGCATCGCAGTGCTGCTGGTGATTGTGGACCTGGCGGAGGAGTGGGAGGCGGGGGCGGTGCGGGAGGGCGGGGACATGGACGAGAAGAAGGCGGCGGTGTGGGCGGCGGCGGCGGAGCTGATGCGGAGGGCTCCCAGCTGCTTAGTGCACAAGGCGCACTTGAAAACAGCGCTGGAGAGGCTGGGCGTGGACGTGGAGGTGTGGGGGGAGGTGGTGGAGGAGCGGGCGAAGAAGTACGCGAAGGCGGCGGTGTGAAACGCGAGCTGCATGTGACCTGTGCGGTGGGTTCGGGGCGCGGTCGAGGCAGTGTGCGGGGGCAGGGGGTGTCGTGCGGGTGACGTGCGGGGCGACGGCGGTACGCGGACGAGGGAGAGCTGACGCGAGGAGGAGCGGCGCGTGGCGGTGTGCGTCGTGCAGGGGCACTCATTCTACTACTTGGGGGGTGTGTTGTGCAGGCTGACGTCAGCTGCGTGAGGCGCGCCGCGTGGTTGCGGAGCGAGGCGCGCCGCGCCCTGCACACACACAGCGTGCTTCGTGGGGCGTTGGCTCCTTGTCGCGGTCGCGGTCGTACCAGGTGGGCAACCCTCTGGCGAGTAGGGGGTCGCATCGTGGGGCGGTGGTGCGGGCGGTGACGCGTGCGTGGGTGCGCGGGCGGCGTGGCCGGGCAGCAAGCGTCCCGGGCGCGAGCAGTGCGGGAGCTGGGCGGGCGCGGGCGGGATGCTGGCGGCGTCGCGTGCAGTGGTGGGGGCAGGGGGCCGTGCGGGCGGGGAGGGGGCCGGCGGGGCGCGGGGCGGTGCGGGGCGCGCGGGAGGCGGTACGGTGGAGGGGCGGGGCAGGCGGGCGCGGGGCGGGGCGCGGCGGTGGGGGCGGCGCGGCGGGTGTTGGCGGTGGGTGTTGGTGGGGCGCGGGACGGCGCGGGAGGCGGTGCGGGGGAGGAGCCGGGGGGCGGGGACGCTGAGGAGATGAGCACGAAGGACGAGCGAGGATGGGATGCGATGGCGGAGAGGTTCTGGAGGGAGGAGGCGGGCAGGAGCATGCAGTGGGTGCAGGGGCGGTTTGATAGCCAGAACAGTCAAGCTTGGAGGTACGGGGAGAGGCTGTACGCGCGGAAGGAGGTGCGGCACACGCTGGGCATGCACGTTGCGAGGGGTCCGCGACCGTCCATCACGACGCGGCGACGTCCTCCCGCAGCAGCTGTGTACGAAGGGTCGTTGTGCGGGTGGCGTTGGCAGCGGGGGCGTGACGGCGGTGCTGCGCGGCGGGGACGTGCGTGCAGGAGATGCTGCGGGAGCTGGGATGGATGACGGAGGAGCAGTGGAGGCGAGTGGTGAGGGAAGCGCCGACCGTGCTGAATCGGACCCCTGACAACGTGAGACAGCAGGTGAGCGTGAGGCTGATGTGTGCTGGTGTGGCAGCGTGATGTGTTGCTGGCTGCTGGAGGCAGGGCGGGCGCAGGTGCGGGCGGGGCGTGCGGGGCGGCGAGTGCGGCGGGCGCGGGGCGCATGACGCAGTGCGGCTGTGTGTGCGGTGAGTGCAGGTGGAGGGGCTGCGGGAGGTGCTGCACGCTGGCGAGGGCGAGGAGGGCGATGCAGCTGTCGCGAGAGCGATACGCAGACGCCCGGATGTGCTGACTCGTAAAATCGCGACCCTGTGGGCGAAGCGGGATGCGGTCGAGAAGCTGGCAGGCACGCTGCTGGGGGAGGTGCGTGAGGGTGCGGGGGTGTCGGGAGGGGACGCGGGGGCGGCGGGAGCAGGGGCGGGCGGGGGCCGCAAGCAGGGAGGGAGGCACGGGGCGTACTGGGCGGAGGCGGGTGCAACTGTGGAGGGTGTGGCAACGAAGATGATCGGGGCCGCGCCGCAGCTGCTGACGGCTGCCGAGAAGAGGGTGGCGAAGCGCGCTCGTGAGCTGATCGATCTGATGGAGGGGAGGGTGGGGCGCGCGTGCGCGGCCGGCGTGATCATGTCGAAGCCCACGTTGCTATCGTTGAATACGGAGAAGTTGGCGGCGAAGTGGAGGCTGCTGGTGTGGGCGTGCGAGCGCTGCGAGGGATGGCGGGACTGGCTGGACAGCGCACAGGCGGGGAGCATCGGGACGGTGCTGGCGAGTGGCCTGGAGCGCATCGCAGTGCTGGTGGTGATTGTGGACCTGGCGGAGGAGTGGGAGGCGGGGGCGGTGCGGGAGGGCGGGGACATGGACGAGAAGAAGGCGGCGGTGTGGGCGGCGGCGGCGGAGCTGGTAAGGAAAGCACCAAAAACCTTGGTGGATAAGTCAAACCTTGAGGGGTCTAAGAGCAGGAAGGGAATGCTGGAGAGGCTGGGCGTGGACTTGAAGGTGTGGAAGGAGGTGGTGGAGGAGCGGGCGAAGAAGTACGCGGATGCGGCGGTGTGAGATGTGACCTGTGCGGTGTGTCGGGTGTCGTGCGGGGCGGCAGCAGTGCGCGGATGATAGGGATCCGGCGCGGGGGCTGCGCACGGCGGTATGCGCCTTGTAGGGGCGCCCACGCTCTGCAACACGAACTCAGTGCATGTGTGTACATGTACGAGTGATGCTGGTGGGTGATGTTCGTGGTGTGAAGATTGCATGGCTCGTGCACATGCATACGTGACGCCGCTTGTGGCGCCTGCGAGCGCGGACGACTGCGTCGCGATTCGAGGAGCAGTCCGTCATGCGGGGCATGGTTTATACTTGGGAGGGGGGGGTGGTTATTGGCCCCGCGATGGTGCTCTGCGACATCGGCGCGCACGGCGCCTCTTGCGGACAAGTCATAGGGGGTCGATGCATGTGAAGTTCGGCCGGTCCGCGAGACAAGCTGCAGCGAAGAGGGGCCCGCAATGCAGGCGCGCAACTGAACAGCGCTGCGTGGAGTCGTGAGGGCGACATCGCGGAAGATTCGTGCTGCCGACGCACTCAACATACATCAGCTGCCTGTCTGAGGACCACGAGGCATTGAGGGAGGGTCTTGGGTCTTGGTAACATGGGGAATGTTTGCTGCTGTTGCAATAATGCTTCAGCCGTGGCACCTGGTGGCAAGAGCACAACTATAGGTGCGTGTGCGCGTACTCATGTCTTCGTCGAACGATGTGGTTGCACCAGAGCTGGAGAAAGCGCCGGCTCCGGCCGCGAAAGGACCGGATGTGCTTGGCGCAGTGCATGGGCCGTGCAGCGCGTGCAAGGGCGGCTACCTGCGGTCAAATCCAACTTCAGTTCGACATTCATAGATTGAAGGATGCGTTCGCGTCTCAGAGGCGGATATGATCGCGCATGCTACTGTGTGGAGCGCCTCGACGCAACTCGTCCATGCTGTCCCGTGCTCGCTCCAGGAAGCACGCTCTCGAAGGCCCTCAGCCTCGGCGCTGGAGGAGGACGTCACAACAAGCCGGAGGAGCACGAGAGCGCCGTTCGCGTCGCAGTCGTCGTCCGCCCTGTGCTGCCATTCGGTGCGCACCCGCCAGGCCACTCCAGACCCATTCTCGCGTCGGATACGCCCTGAACCGCAACATAATCGCTCCACGTCGCTAGCACACACCATCTGTGCGCGGATCGGCATCGAACGCCGCCCCCACGGCCGCGAGCAAAGGGGCCGCGGGGCATGTGCCACCAGCGAGCATGTGCCCTCCGCCACCGGCTCCCCGTTTCCGGACGGACCATCCACCACGCGGATTCACGTATCACGGTCCACCGAAGCGGCACGCGCCGCGCCGGCGCGGCAGCGAGCCGTTCGCGGCATCCAATGTCACGTTGCACACCTGGTCCTGTTGTGCAACACCTCTCCCCCGTCCGGCCGCGACGGCGTCTCGCTCCGCGCAGAGAAGAAGAAGGGCGCAGGCGACGCGGTGTCGTGGGACGAGCGGTCCGCGACGGTCAAGGTCAAGGTCCCCGCGGACAATGCCAACAAGACTGGAGTCAAAGACTTCCAGTTCAACCACGTCTACGGAGGACAAGAGAAGGAGCACGAGAGGCTCTACCAGCACTCCGTGCGCCCGCTCCTCATGCAGTTCTTCAAGGTGCGCGCTCGCGGCTCGGCACAGGCCATGCACGGTCCCACGCACCCTCCGCACCTTGCGCACCCCCGCGCGCGCGAGGGCTGTTTCTACAGCACCCCTGGGCACGGCCCTACGCTCCCGATACCCCTCCGAAGCCGCGCGCCCCCCTGAGCCGACGCGGCCCTCGTCGACCGTGGCGCGCGCAGGGCTTCAACTGCACGGTCCTCGCATACGGTCAGACGGGCTCCGGGAAGACGTACACGATGACCACGAGCGGCGACGCGAAGAACCACAAGGGCCTGACATTCCGCGCGACGGACGAGATCTTCCAGCGGGTGAAGGAGCGCGAGGCGGAGTATGACATCACCGTGAAAGCGTCGTTTATCGAGGTGTATGGTGACGACCTGCGCGACCTGCTGGTGTCGCAGCAGGCCGCGGCGAGCCGCGCGAAGCCGGCGATCCACACGACGGCGGACCCGCGCGGCGGGGGGGGGTCTATTTTCCTGACGAACGTCATTGAGAGGGAGTGTCGGTCGACCAAGGACGTGATGAAGATCATCGAGACGGGGACGGCGAACCGCGCGGTGGGCGGGCACAACCTGAACGAGCACTCGTCGCGGTCGCACGCGATCCTGCAGATCGCGCTCGAGCAGCGGCGCCACGACGACGCCCCCGGGGGGGTCCGGGGGGGTCCTGCGTTCCTGGCGTCGAAGCTGCACCTGGTGGACCTTGCTGGCGCGGAGCGCGCGAAGGAGACGGGCGCGGAGGGGCAGCGGTTCCAGGTGCGCGGCGTGCGGCGCGGTTTCCCAACCGTTGCTTGGCGTAGCGTCTTGCTGTTGTTGATTGGTGCGTGTGGAGCTCAGAATGGGGCTTGCGGCGCGGTGCTGTGCAGGAAGGGGTCAACATCAACAAGGGGCTGCTGGCGCTGGGCAACGTCATCAGCGCCCTGACGGTGCCGGGCGCGGGGAGGCACGCGGCGCGGCACATACCGTATCGCGACTCGAAGCTGACGCGGATCCTGTCTGACTCCCTCGGGGGGAACAGCGACACCCTGGTGAGCCGTCAGCGACCGCGACCGGTGCCCTGATGCCGGCCAGCCATTTCGAAGGTCGTTCAAAGGTGTGCAGCGTTCAATATCTATATTTATTATTATTATTATTATTATTATTATTATTATTTGTTCTTGGTGCCTCGCAGATGGTTGCGTGCGTCACGTCGGCGTCGACGGCGTCGGACATGACGGTTGGGACGCTGCGGTACGCGTCACGGGCCATGAAGATCAAGAACAGGGTCCGACAGAACACGCAGATGTCCCCGGTGGTGCGACAACACACCCCCCCTTCCGCGCGTTGCTCTGGACGACCTGTCCGCGCACAGGGACGGCGGCCGCTCGCTCGCTACGCCGCTGCGCCCGTCCTCCTCCGTGTCGCTCGATCCGGGAAGCATCCACATGTTTACGAGACAATCTCTGTTCAGTGTTTTCGAGTCGCAGGAGGAGATCAAGTACTTGAAGAAGATCATCGCGGCGCGGGACGCGGAGATCGAGGCCCTCACGGCACAGATCGAGGCGGCGAAGCAGCGCACCCACTGCGTCAAGTGCCAGGACCCCCTCTCTTCACCCCTCCCCAGCAGCCTCGCGGGGCCCACCGGCGCCTGACGGCGCCCCGCACCGCGCAGCACGCATTCTGCATTCCTCCTCCGTTGCAGCAGCCCTTGATAGACGGCCACCGCGACCCGTCACGCTGTGAATGCGCATGTTCGTCTCGTGAGGGGTTCTGGAGGTCAGCACTTCAACATCATCGACTCTAACAATGATTTGTCGCGCCTGGTCCGTGCGCGCCCGCGCCCGCCAGGTGTCTCAGCGAGCTCCGCCTCCAAAGACTTCCTTCCACGACTTCCAACGCGTCCTACTCCTATCTGCCAGCCTCCTATCTACGCCCCTACAGACCCGCCGCCGCCTCGTTCTGCAGCGCCACCGCGAGCGCCGCCACGACCCCCAGCGACAACGCCGCGCTCACGCCCACCGCCGCCTTGCCGATGGCGTTCCTACGGTCCACAACAGCCACCGTCTCCACCTCCTCCTCGCCCTCCGGCACGTACAGCGACCCCGCGGGAATGTCGATCTCCTTGAGGACCGTCAGACTCGGGCCCATGGCGTACCCGAGCCACGCGCCCATCAAAAGCCCCCCCACGTGGCCCGCGTTGTCAATCATCGAACCCTCCGCGGTGCCGAGGAAGAGGTTCCCGCCCGCGAGCGCCGCGAGGAAGAGCGCCTGCTGCGGCGCGCGCGCGAGCTTCGGGTTCTGCGCGAAGTACCCGATCAGGGCCCCGAGGAGGCCGAAAATCGCCCCCGAGGCCCCCACTGACGTCAGGTCGCTGAAGAGCATCGACGCGACGGACCCGGCCGCGCCGGACAGCAGGTAGACCGTCGCGAAGGTCGCGGGGCCGAGCACGGCCTCGGCCTCGGGCGCGAGCTGCCACAGCGCCACGCTGTTCAGGCCCAGGTGCAGCACGCCCGCGTGCAGGAAGTTGGCGGTCAGGAGGCGATAGAACTCGCCGCCGGCGACGGCGGCGTCGTCCTTGGCGAGCGCGAAGAAGTAGTCGTTCGAGGCGTCGTTGCCCGCCGTGAGCGCGATGGCCACGCCGCCGAGGTAGACGGCGAGGTTGGCTGCGAGGGCCACGTAGGCGAGGCGGGGCTCGTACGTGGGGACGTCGAGCTCCTCGCCGTCCTGCGAGGCACGGTGGATTACGCGGAAAGGGGCGGTTGGGGCAGGGGGAGAGAGAGGGTGTCGGGAGAGGAAGTGTTGACATGGAAATATGCTTCTTTGATTGGTTGCGTGCCGGTTTCGAGGGTCTCGGCGCTGCGCGGACGGTGGCGGCGTTCCGCGCGGACGGGGGAGCAGTACGTGGGCCGCGGTGGGCGCGAGGCGGCGCGGTGGGCGGCGGGAGCAGCACTCGAGGCCTCTGATTGGACCGGGAGACGTGGTTTCTCGACTGTCAGTTGCCGCGCACCTTGGTTGCCCTCCCCGCCCGGCTCTCAAACGCCGACCCGCGCGTGATCGCGTCCGGGTCCAAGTAGCGCCCCTCCTTCCCGCCGTCCATCCCCTGCTTCCGCCCCGGAGCCTCCTGCTCCACCGTAGAGATCGGCTTGCGGTCGTACAGCACCGTTTTCGGCACCGCACTGCCCCCCGCGTCTCTGTCCGCAGCCTGCGTTGCAGCGAACCACGCGCTCTCCTGCCGTGGAACGCGGCGCGCTTCGCGCGCAGTGCGATACCGTGTCGACGAGGGGCGTGCAGAGCGCGCGTGGCGCCCTGCGGACGTCGCGCGGCGCGATGCAAGGGCTCAGCGGGCACGGGTGGTAGCTTGCGCACCTCCTGTCGGATGGAGTCGGCGAGCGCGTCGATTTCCGGGAGGTCCGGGAGCATGGCGTCGAGGGCGTCCATCGACCGCGTCAGCCGCTGCTTGCGCTGCTTGGACGTGACGACGTCGTCGCTGCTCTCGCCCGGGGCCGCCCTGGCGCGCACGGCCCTCCGGAGCAGGCGCGGGCGCGGCACGCCGCGCGCGCGCACGCCGGCGACGTGGCAGCGCGGCAGCGACGCGACGCAGGTCCTGCAAACGCCCTCCATCGTCCTCAGCGCGCAAACACCCGCCGTTGAGTAAGTCGCCACCTTTGGCGCGCTCGCGCACAACACCGAGTTGATTCCGACCTTATTCGTACGAAAACGACACCTCCAGTCGAAGCCGAGCACGCACTGCGCGTGCGAGCGGCTCCGCTGGGCCCTCGAGCCCCACTCGGGCCTGGGCGCCAAACGAGAGACCCCAAAATGAGACTCACCTGACGCGCGGGCCGCCCATGTCGCGCACGCGGCCGCGGCGCAGCCGCTCACGGGCCCGCCGGGCGCGCACGGGCGGGAAGAATCGCCGGGGCCGGCCGGCGCGCGCTGCACGGACGGCGCCGGCACCATGTCGTCGCAAACCCCTGCGGCAGTTTGGTGAGGTGCAAGCTGGCATTGAGAGGCGATGGGAGGGGCCGGGGTGGTCCGCGGCGGGCCGTACGAGGTGCTGGTGTCGACGAGGAACCAGGAGCTCGCGGAACGGATCAAGTTGCTGTTCGACGACGCCGAGACGAGGCCCGTGGTGTGTCCTGGTAAGCGAGCGCACGGCGAGGGATATGGCGACGATGGGGAAGCGGGCGAATCGTCCTGCGAACCATCACTTCCTTGTCTAGCCGCCTCTTGCGGCTCCTCCGTCGCTTGACGGCGCTGAACGAGGTCCGCGCCGGTTGCACGTTGCCGCAGCGGCGGAGTTCGGCAGCTCGATGGAAGTGCTGACGTTCCCCGGCATGACGCGTCGCACGGCTCTCTGCCTCGTCCTGGTCAAGGGCGTGACGGCGGACCCCCGCGAGTTCGCTGCATGGCTCACTGGGCCAGCAGAGAGGACTGTGCTGCGGCACTGCAAGGGCTTCTTCGTCCTCCACGCCGCCGGAACGTGGTGCCCGACCCTCGAAGACGCCCTCAATGTACGCCTCCGCTCCGCACATGCCCGCTACACGCCGAGAAGAGGCCCCCACGGTCCTTCGGTCCCAACATAGCATGGTGCGACGGCCTCATGCCCCGCGCCTGCCGCAGGACATCGCGGCACGCTACCCCAAGGACGTCCCGACGCGCCTCCACTGCTACCCGTTCGCGGCACGGGCCGCCTGGCTCCCCAAGCTCGCGTACGACGTCGGCATCACGCTCTCGACGCTGGGCGACGCCGCGACGCTCCAGATCGTCGAGGTTCCCGGGCGCGGCGTGCACTGGTGGGCCGTGCGCGCCGCCGACGCCGCCTGCGCCTGGCGACCCCCCGTCGGCTTCGCTGCACTCCCCCCGGGGGTCTCGCGCGCTGCCGCCAAGGTCCTGGACGCGCTCGCGGTCGCGGACGCGATCGATCCGGAGGCGGCCCGCGCCGCGCGGGACGGCTGGGCGATCGACGTCGGCGCGGCGCCCGGCGCGTGGACGCAGCACCTCGCGGCGCGGTACAAGTGCGTCGTCGCGATTGACCCGTCGCCGCTCGAGGACAGCGTGGCGGCGCTGCCCGGCGTGGCGCAGGTGCGCGCGATGGCGGGGCGCGGGTGCCAGGCGAGCGGCGGCGACTGGGACGAGGTGCGCGGGCGCGTGCTGGCCGCGGCGGCGGAGGGGGGTGTTCCGGGAGGGAGTTTGGCGTCGTGCGTGGCGTGCGACGTCAACGCGGTGCCGAACGACGTGGTGAGCGTGCTGCAGCACGTGCTGCCGCTGGTGCGGCTTGGGGGCTTGGTCGTAGTGACGCTGAAGTTCCTGGGGCGCGGCGCCGGGCACGGGATCGGTGCGGGGGGGCTGCTGCGGGGCCTGGGGGAGGGGTGGGTGGAGCGGGCGAAGTGCGTGTGGCTGATGAGCAACACGCAGCGGGAGCGGACGATGGTGGCGTGGCGGGGCGAGCGGACGAGCGCTGCGTGGACGCCATGTGGCGTCCCACGCAGCGCCGCGTGGACAGCCGTGGACGGCGGAGAGGGGAGTATTGCAGGGGGGGGCTGATGCGACGCGAGGCTTCGTGCGCCCGAGGTGCGAGGACAGACTTGTGTCGCTCATGCGTGGATGCGTGTGCGTTACATGTGCCATGCATCGTGCCGAACAGCAGTTTCTCGGCTCGAACAACGCTCGCGACGGTGTCCTGCATCCGCAATCAGACATTAAAGACGCGCACTGACGTACCCTGGCAGGTCGTGCTGGCTGTCGGCAAGCAGAGGGATGTTCTCTCGTCGTGCAAACTCGAGGGAGTCGTACCCGCTGCTGCTACGCAGAGAGAGATGATTCATTCAGTACAATGATGCAGTGCAGTGCGGCGGCAATTCAGATCCCGCTGGGAAACTCGATGAGTCTGTCGTGGATGAAGAGTCGGCGGAGTTCACCGCCGCTGTGCGCTGCGTGCACAAGAGCGCGGACGCCCTTGCGGCCGATGGGGTTGTTGTTCAGAGAGAGCTCAAGGCCGGTCGTGGTCCGCTCCCGGTCGCACAAAGCCCGCGCAAGCATTCGAGCGCCCCTGCCGTCGATCTCGTTTTCGTCGAGATCAAGATCGGACAGATTTCTCGCCTTGAGGATCAACTTCGCAAACGGTGATGCCTGCGAGATGTCGTTGCCGTATAGACTGACCTCCCGCAGCGCGGGGCAGCTGCACAAGGCTTCAACCAAAGCTGCCGCGCCCCCATCACCAACGTAGCCCTTGCTGAAGTCGACTGCTGTGAGCGTTTGCTTGCCGCGCAGTGCCCGGGCCAACATTTTTGCACCGCCGCCATCCATGGAGCTTCTGGTGACCTGGACAAGCTCGATCTTGTCGCATGCACGCAGGGCAGCCGCCACGCCCGCAGCACTGGCGGCGTCGAATCTCAGCTCGACGCCACAGCCAACATCCAGCTCCAAGGTGGTCGCACCCATGAACAGGAAGGAGCACTCCCGGTAAATGCGCCACGGCCTCAAGTGTTCCCCGAACGCTGTGTGCCAGGCAAGCCATGCCGCGAACCGTGCGGCCCAGCTGCCTGTCGCATCCTGGGCGTCGCTTCGCTGCAGTTGTGCGTGATCCATCTGCGCGACCATACTCCGTACAGCGCGGTTCGTGACGAGCCGCGGCGGCAGCTGCAGCCTGATGTTCGTCATCGGATCGACGGGATCTGCGCGGCCCGAAACCCACGTGGTGATGCAGTCCCGGCAGTAACTGTGGCCGCTGTCGACGACCAGCACTGCATCCCTCATGACACGGTAGCAGATCGGACACTCGAGCCCTTCCGGCACGCACGATCTGCCGGCAGCAAACTGCAGAGGAGAAGGGACCGAGGCGCTTATCGTTCTGCTTTGGGGCACCGACGACGAAAGGTGAAGCCTGGCATGTTGTTTGCCTGGAGATTTGCGCAGTGATGACGGTACCATGCTTGCATTATTCTACACGGGTGGGAGCGAAGCAATTTGAGTCCTGTTGTCTGCCCCAGATCTTGACCCTCTCACCTCGATTCTTGCTCTCATGTTGGGTGCAGGGATAGCGGCCAGCACGCGCCACACGTGGAGAACTTGCATCTTGAAGTCCTCCATCCAGAAGGAGGAATCCAAAAATGTGCAGTCGTCTTCCCGGATGCTGCGCTCCGACAGCTTGTTGTAGCCGGCCACCATGTTACCAACACGAAACATGAGCTTCTGAGCATCGCGGGTCCTGAGCTGGCCCCGGGAGTTCTGAGCAACGGCCACCGCTTGCGCCATTGTCATCGCTAGCCATCGGAAGGGGGCCTGCGGAGGAAGCACGCCCCAAGACGGATTCGTCGGCCGACACAAGCGACTGCTGCAGCGCAATGTGTCGCGCACAAGTTCACTGCTGTTCGTCGCACCTCTAGTCCAGGCCGGTTCTGGACCTGCCTGCATGCGTCTAACAGAACCTGGGTGGCGGATTCCATCGTGGCGGGAGGCATGGCGCGGCCCCCGCTGCTGCACCCTGAGCTCGCTGCGCCGTTTCGCGAATCAGCGCGACCGGCGAGCTCGGCGCTGGCGGCACTCCGAGGAGAGCCGCGGAGGATCCAGCGGAGTGGCGTGGAACGGTCCGGCGCGCAGCAACGCCGCGCTCGTCAGAACCAGCCACATCTGTGTGGCGCACTCATGGCTGACACTGTGTCAGTCCGACACAGTGAGCAGCGCGGGGCAGCCGCGCCTCCCGGGGCACGGAGCGCACTACTTATTCGGCAGGTGGGGCCGGTCGCTGCGTGCACGGCTGCCGGCGGCGCGTTTCACGATGCTCTGAACACATTGCGTTGTCCGCGCAGCTCGTTTTCAACCACTGCTCGCACTTTTTGAACCTGAGGGATGATTCCGTGCCCTGAACTGATCGCGCAGATGCTGCTCCCATCATGCAGCCGGGGATTTTCGACGGCGCGCCAGCAAGGCGCCCGCAGCGCGACACAAGACTTCACACGCAGAACGTCCGCTCCTGGCCCAGCCGGAACACGCCGGGCATCACCCTCTCGTCCGCGCGGAACACCTCAGGCACCCACGCCACGTCGATGTCGCAGTCGCTGTCAACGACGCTGACATCTTTGACCGTCAAGTTGTTTTTCAGAGCCTCAGCGAGCTCCTTCGCCCCCGCGGCGCCGATCGCGTTCTTCCCCAGCGCGAGGCTCCGCAGCACCGTGCATTTCCCGGCCACATCCGCGAGCCTCTTCGCGCCCGCGTTGCCCACGCCCGTGTTGTTCATCTTCAGGTGTATCCGCGGCAGCTTCCAGTTCCGATCCTGCAGCCCCTCGGCGCAGGCCTTCGCGCCAGCGTCGCCGATGTAGTTGTCGCTGATGTCGAGCTGCGACAGCGCCGGGGCGTCGCGCAGGACGCGTGCCAGCGCCGTCGCGCCGCTCTTTCCAAAAGCGTTGTTCCGCAGCACCACCGTGTGCAGCCTCGGACAGCCGCGGAGCGCGAACGCGAGCGCCCTCACGCCGTCGTCGTGCACCATGTTGTCCCCGATCGTCACCTCCCTGATCGCCCCGTTGTCACGCAGCGCCGCCGCTAGCGCCAACGCGCCCATGTTCGCGATCATGTTGCCGACGAGCTCCACCCTCTCGATCGCCCCGCTCGCCTTGATCGCCTCCGCCACCGCCCCGGCGCCGGCGTCGCCAAACTCCCCCCTCCACGCCACCTCCTTCGTCGCGCCCATGAACAGCCACGCCCCCTTGTCCCGCAGCTCCACCCCGAGCGCCCCGCTCCACTTCCTGTCCCACTCGACCCACGCAGCCAGCGCGGGGCTCCGCGGCGCCGGCGCCGTCGCGCGGCGCGCCGGCCGCGCGTTTTCCCCGCCAGCGGCAGCGGCAGCAGCGGCAGCAGCAGCCCTGTTTTCTAAGACGCCAGCCAACGCACGATTCGCCGCCCACTGCAGCGGCATGCGCAGCGGGCGGTTGGTCGCGGGGTCCACGGGGTGCACGCCGGCGCGCTGGCGGTCGCGGATCCAGCCCTCGAGGCACGCCCGGCAGTACGTGACCCCGCTGTCCAGGACCAGCATCGGGTCTGTGTAAATACTCAGACAGATGCCGCAAGTCAGGTCCGTGGCCTCTTCGTCGTCCTCCTCTTCTTCGTCCGCATCGGCGGCGTCCTGCACGCGGTCGCTCAGGCATCCTCGCGGTGAGGGTGCTTGTAGGTCAGCCAAGCACAAACGCAGGGGCAGTGCGGGCGTTCGCGTGCGGCTGCGCGCGGGCAGGCCGTCGCGGCGCTGCGTGCGTCCGCGGCGCTCGTGTGATGGGACTGGCGGTGCGCACCTCGTGGGCCTCCGGTACGTCGCGGAACGCGTTGAATACGGCCTGAAGCGTGCGTTTCAGCCCGTGCATGGACCTCTCGATCTGCCGGTACTGGATCCTCGTCAGCGCCTCGGACGGCGTCTGACGGACCTGGTCGATCCGGCTCTCCAGCGCGAGGAGGTGGCCGTGGAGCGCTTCCCGCTTCCAGACGAAGTCGTAGCCGTCCTCGTTGCGCGTGTGGAACACGAGCGTCTCAGTCTCCACGAGCAACGTATCGAGGCCTTCGAGCGACTCCTGCGCGCGGAGGAACGCGCTGTTGGAAGGCGAATCGTTCGGACGGCGCAGCGAATCGTTCATGACGTTTTCGCGGGCGTCCGGACCTTCAGCCTGTCCGTCAACTTGCTACGGACGTCCCTGATGGCCTGTAAGACGGACGCAGTCGTTGGAGCCGCCATTCGTCGCCGCTCAATGGATGCACTCTTCGCTGGACGAATGCGCGCCGGACGCGCCCTCGGGGAGCCGACGAGGGTACCTGTCGTCGCGAATGTCCCACGCGGGTCGCGCAAATGCACGCACGTAGCGCGCGGGGGGCGTCCCGCGTGGGAATGTGTCAGGCACATGGCGGTGTTGTACCTGACACGCGCTGCCAGCGCCGGGATGCGGCCCCCTGCCCGACAGCGCAAGGCACAAGCGATATCGTGCCGACTGCCGCGTGTCGGGGGAGGTCAGATGCCCGTGCGGACCCCGGGGGTGAAAAGTCCCGAATGAGTGTGTCGCGTACACGCTGCGCACGTCGCGGTGGCCGCGGACGCGTGTTCCGCACGCTTCAGCGCAGCCTTGAGCGCCGCGAGCTCGGAGGGTAGCGGCCTCGGCACAGGAGGCGATCTGCACTGCACTTGACGTGTAACGACGACAGATGCATATTAGGGGGGAGTTGCTTGTGTTAGGTTAGTTGGGGGGCGGGCAAACAGAACGCGGTGCGCAGAGGAAGAACAGACGACATACTGCCGCGCGCGGGTACGTCGAGCGGCTCGTGGTCCGCGGGCTGCGTCGCCCCTCGCCAGACACATGATGTCTGATCAGTCATGACGCAGAGTCAGTCAGACCGACACGGTCAGGAGCCGTCGCACGGCGAGCGCGGGCTCGCACTGGCCATAGATCCAAGCCGGTGCGTTGAACCGGCCGAACGCAGGTCTCGCGCCTCTCAATCGCACCTTGCTTGAAGTGCGTCATGCTGACGCTCACTCTTTCGTCGCCCGTGACGAGCCTCAGCGACTCAAACACATCGCGCCTCACCTCGCCATCTACGACGACTGTCGCTCGCGAGCTGAGCTTGCTGCTTCGGCCTCGATGATTGGCTCCCCGCATGTTTGCGCTGACAGCGCTGCCCCACACAATGATGCCCTGATGCACAGCCGAAGTGGTGTCGAAAGGATCGACACTCTCGGCTTCGGGCGAGAGGCTCGCCAGGGAGGTCGTTCGTTCGTGCTCACAGGCGGCATGGGCGTGCTGTCAATAAGAGCATGTTTTCAAAACACATGCCGGGTCGGAAGGGCCGACGCTGGTCAAGCCCCAGCCCCATGGGAGGCGCTCAGTCATCATCTGACTCATGGTGGTTCCAGTATCTGAGTTGATCTCTGTAATCGTCTGTAGACGTGTCAATGTCCTCATCAGTGTCTCCGGGCCCAGGCACCAACGTTGACGTGACTCCCCCCTCCCCGTCGGGCCAGACCGCGAGAGAACAGTTGAAGAAGGGGTCGTTCAGCGAGAAGTCCACGAGCCAGTGGGTGTGTCGCAGATCCCCGCTGCGCATCGCTTCAGCAAAATCCACGATGCCCTTGGACGTGAGCTCGTTGCGACTGAAGTTGAGAGTCCGCATAACGTCAAGCTCAGGGCCGGCCGGGGTGTCGCGGTGCGTTCGTGCTCCGGTTGCGGCGAGTTCCTTCGTGAACTCCTGCAATCCATCGTCGCTGATGTTGTTGTCGCCCACATCGGCTTGGAGCTTCTGGCTCGCGCGGAGCAGACGACCGAATGCCGCACAGCTCGGATCTCCGAACGCGTTGGAGTGTAGGTTGAGGATCCGTAAGGCGCTGCAGCTGCGCAGTGCGGCCGCCAGTGCTGTGGCGCCCGCATCGCCGATGTAGTTGCACCGTAGATCTACATTCTCGATCGCTGGGCAGCCGGACAATCCCTGGGCCAGCGCAACAGCGCCGGGGCTGCGGATTGCGTTCGCGCTCAAGTCGAGTATTTTCAGCCCTGCCCAGTTGCTCATGACTCGGGCAAAAGCGGCAGCTCCATCGTCGCGGAGCAGGTTGTTGAAGATGGACAAAGACTCCAGCGCGCGGCTGTCGCGCAGAGGCTCCGCCAGAGCAGCTGCGCCAGTGCCACCGATGCGATTCGCGCTCAGCTCCAGTTTCCGCAGGCTGTTGAAGCCGTGCAGTGCCGCCGCCAACTCCGCGGCGCCTTTGTCGCCGATCTGGTGCTTGAAGAGGACCAGCGTCTCGACTTTCGTGCGGCCACGCAGAGCATCCGCGACGGCACCAGCGGTCTCGTCGGTGATGTCCGCCTCCCTGGTGCACAACACGAACTCCGTTTTCTCCGACAGGATGTGCTCCCCGCACAGGCGGCTCATCTCGACGCCGAGCTTGTCACCCCACTTCTCGTCCCACGCGCACCATGCCGCGAAGCCTCCGTCGACCGGCGCGGGCTTGCGCGTCGAGGGACCAGCCTGCTCGCACTGCACCTGCGGTGAGGCCCGTTCGATGATGCTCTTCACCGCGCGGTTCTCGACGAGCCGCAGCGGCCTTTGCATCGGCACGTTCGTGAGCGGGTCCCTCAAGTTGGAGCTCCGCCTGATCCACTGATTCAGGCAATCGCGACAGTACGTGTTGCCGCTGTCGACCAAAATGACTGGCTGTTGCATGACGTCCATGCAGATGGGGCACTTGCACTCGGGCGGAAGAGACACCCCGGTTTCTTGAGCCTGCACAGCGCAACAGCGGCGTGGACGAACTCGTTGGGAGACGTGATCGGCTGCAGTTTATGTTGCGAACTGGGTGTGATCGACCTGGAGGGCGGTTTTGCATCGCGCAGCTCGCGGTTTCGATCTAAGCGTGACAATTGGAACGTCGGGTACGACCGGATGAGTGAGGGAAACTGATTCGCAGCGCGATGCGAATTCGATGTGGCAGTACACATGACGGGGATGCATGCTGTAGCTTCTCGGAGCCGAGAAGCGAGGCGACAGAATTCGATCATAAGACGATGGAGAGGGGCGAAGAGGCACTGACCTCGACGGTTTGGAGCGAGTGCACGGCATCGAGCACGGACGCCAAGGTGCGCATAACAGCAGCACTCGAGCTCCTGAGATTCTTGCACGCCTTCATGTTGACGGCGTCCTGGTAAGCATTCTTCGGGGACTGATCTTTCCAGGAATGCCTCCGAATGGCCTCGCGTAGTTTGTCCAAGAGAGTGGCGAGCTTCTCCAGCTGTGCTCCCAAGCCTGTCGGGTCGCGGACGCGGCTCTGCTTCTGCGCGCCTCTGACGTACTCCAAGACGCCCTCGATCTCGGAGAGAGTCCCGTCGAGCCACGGTGCGGACACCTGCGCGAAGGAGAGCGTTTATCCAGGGATGTAGCAGCTCGACAAAATCAAGGTTCGTTTCCCGAAGGACACTGGGCTCCATTTGCGCTGACCTTGAGAGCCGAAGAGCCCTTCAGTTCCTTACGAATTCTCTCGACGTCCTGCTGGACGCGCTCCCGCGCGGATGCTCGCTTCGGCCCCTTGAGCATTCCCCGAAACTCTGTAAGAAACATGCTGCCCGGCTCCATGCGCGCTCCCGCAGTCGCAGCTCCAACTCTCGGAAGATGCTGCACAACTGACTGAGAGTCCGGGCACCCCGCAAGCTCGTTCGCGGACGCACCAGCCCCGGACTCAGTTGAACTGCGACGCATGACGCGGGTGCAGTGCTGGCACATGGTGCCCCTCTCGCCTTGGTCGGTCGCAGCGAGGGCAGATGTCCACCCCGCAGCACACCTGCTCGGTCCTCCACCGGCCTTCGATCATGGACTTCGAAATGTCGACCCGCCGAAGCCATTAAGAAGCGGCGTCAGGAAGGAAGTGAAGCGTCCTCACGCGTCGCCCGGGACGGCGCTCACACGCGGAGCCGCGGCGCGCCGGACAATCGCAGCGACACGCACGCGTCAGCGCCTGCCGCGTCCGCCTGTGCGTCGCCGCCAGGCCCACCCAAAAACCACCCCGCATCGCTCTATGCAAATCCCAGATCACGCGGTCCACCGCCGCGGCTACGACGCGCTGCGGTCCTTCAGGTACTCGTACGCCGACACCATCGCGGTCCCGAACAGGCTCGCGGACGCCATCCGCGCAAACACCCCCCGATAGAACCCCCGCACCCCCTCCTGCGTCCACAGGTCCCGCGCGACGCTCACGAACGTCGGCGGGCGCTCCCCGGGCAGCGGCCGCAGCACCTGGAGCCGCGTCTTCACGCAGTCCACCGGCGTCATCACCAGCCCCGACGTCAGCCCTGCCGCGACCCCGCTGCCCATCTGCACGGCGACGGTGACCCAGTCGCGCTGCCCGAGGGTGCTGCCGTCCGCGCTGGACGCCGCGATCGCCGCGGGCGTGCGCTCGTCGGCCACGGGGGGCAGCCCGATCTGTTCTTGTCGCCACGCGATGCCGCGCCATGCCAGCTTGTTGTAGAAGCCGTACAGGCCCCACCACACCGCGCTGGACGGCACGTACGTCGCGAGGGACGTCACGAAGCCTGCGGGCGCCAGGCGCGGGCGGGAGGGGCGCTCAGACGCTCGGGAGGTGCGGAGAAGAGAAGGGGGGGGGGGGGGATGCAGCCGCAGGGCACCGCAGCGGCTCGGAGCGCGCAGGGCGCGCGGCTCCGGCCCCGTGCGCGGCTGCGTGAGCTCGCGCCACCGTCTTGACCGCAGTCAGTCAAGAAACAACCCCAAAAAATCAATCAAGAAACAGTATTCCTCGTGCGCACCTCGGTACAGTCCCCGGACGCCCTCCTCCCGCACGATGACCCGCGCGGCGTGCGCGGCGGACCGGTACACCGCGTGTCCGCCGGGCATCGCCCCGCCCGCGCCCCCCGCCTGCGCCCCCTTGCTCGCCGGCCCTTGAATCATCTGTCGTTGAGATATGACGTCCATGGGAACGATGACTGTCTGCGCGGCCAACGAAGCAGTGCCGCCGGCGAGGAAGGAGGCCGCGCTGGCGGCGGCGGCGGGGTCGAGGGCCGCGTCGAGCGGCGCCGTCACGTGCGCCTTGACGAACTCGAGGGTTGACAAGTAGATGACTCGTGATGGTATTTGAGCCAAGAAAGTGATTGGGTACCCTGCAGGGGGGATGCGGCGACGGAGACGCCGTGCGCGGGTCAGAGCGCGTATGTACGTGCGCGGTGGAGGCAAGGGGCGGCGGGGCGTGTGATTAGGGAGTTTGGGTGGATGGGAGTCGGGAATTCGTGGTTGTTGGCGCACCTTTGTAGAAGCCGCGGATGCCTTCGGAGCGCGCGAGGTCGAGCGTGATGCTCGCGATCCCGATGTTCCGCTGCGGGGGGTCGAGGGCGTGCGGGGTGCGTCGCGGCGGTGGTGCTGATCCCTTCCCGTTGCGGCGGCACAAGCGTCCCGCGCACGTTTTCCCGACACAGGTGACATGTTGGGTGCGCGAGGGTGCAAGCGCCGCATCGGTTGCGCGTGGGTTGCGGCGTGTGGGGGCGCGAGAGGGCGGACCTTTCCACCTGGTTGCGCCACGGCGGCCATCTGCCGCGTCTTGATCACGGATATGGGGTACAGCGCCGTCATGATGGCGCTGAAGAGCCCCGTGCCCTCCACGAAGAACCGCCGCTTGTCCATGTCCCCCCACTGCACGTCCCGGGGCGGAGCCCTGCCCGCCAGCCCACTCTCCTCTACTATACTCATCGCCCCCGCCTTTTCAAGGTCTCCGGGGCACCTATCCGCCTACTCCAGACCTCTGGCACCCTGTCCCGCGCCGGCCCACCGCGGCTGAGTGGGTGCCTTCGCCGCGGCGGGGGTCGGGACCTCTAATGACAGGGTAGGCGCTGGGGCGCCCGGTACAGCGGCCGCGACGCGGCGGAGACCCGAGCGGGCGCGAGAACTACGCGGGGACGAGGCGGTGCGCGGATCGAAGTTCACGCGCGGGGATGTGAGGTCGCCACGGAGCTGCTGGGGGTGCTCAGGCTGCAGCGTCTGCTGGCCCACGCGCGCCGATCACGCCACCTGGAGCCGCGGTGACCTTCCGTGCAATCAGTCCACGTGTAACGAAGCGGGAGTACGCGGCGCAGCGCCCGCGAGAGCCCGTGAAAGCCACGTGCGGCGCGAGTGGACCCTGTTTTGGGGTAAAAACATCAAGTCCGGGGCCCTTCCGCGGGCCATGCGCGCCGGCCGCCCCCCGCATTGCACAGTCCCCTCACAGCGGCGCTCGAGCCCACCGCGAGCCTCCGTCGCCCCGCCCATCCCTGACCGCGACTAGTGTTTCATTGCCGCCGCTGGTTGTTTACGCGCGCGTGACGCGCCCGTGGCCGGCCCCGACCGGCCAAAGCAGTGCCGTGGTAGAGGCGGGGCTCGGGAGCGGGCGGGCGCGATGCTGGGCGTCTCGCAGGAGCTCCGGCGGCCGCGCGGGCCGCTGGTGGAGCTGCTGACGTGCGCGCTGTGCAAGGGGCTGCTCGTGGAGCCGACGATGTCGGTGGAGTGCATGCACACGTGCTGCTTCAAGTGCTTCGACGAGGCCATCTACGCCCAGAAGGCCGCGGAGAAGGTGTGCCCCATAGAGGGCTGCGCGGTGCATCTTGGGCGGGACCCTCATAACTACGAAGGGAAGCAGAAGCCGTGCGCGAAGCTCGCGTTCGACCACATGAAGTGGGACCTCATCAAGAAGCTGTTCCCCAGGTGAGGCGTTTGGGGCCCGGGACCCGGACCACGCGCCCTGGGAGCGCGAGTTCGTTGCTGGAGGCGTGTCGAGTGAATTCCCGCTCCGGAACGGTCCGAGATCCGCACACGAGCACCGCAACGGCTAGACATGTTCCTAAACATGCACTTTGAATGCTTTGGGGTTGCGAAACCCCCCACCAACCCCCGCAAATCGCGCTGTGCAAGCCTCTTGCCTGGCCCGGGGCCGGCGCGTGCCGCCACCGCGCCGCGAAACCGCGTCTCCGCGTGCCTCAAACAACACCCTACGGCCGAGGACGCGCGGCGCAGACCGGCGATCGAGCGGGAGTGCGAGGCGCAGCGGGACGCGCGTGTGAAGGAGCTGCGGGAGTTTCGCCAGGCGCGCGAAAAGCTGCGCATGGCGCACGGGGATGAGGACGAGTACTACGGGTACGCGAGGGCCCACCTGCGTGCTGCGGCGGTCCGGGGCCCGCGGCGCGGCGCCTGACGACGGTAGTTGGGAAACGGTGACTGGTTTTGCATCGGTTCAGTCATAGGACGAACATCGCGAGCTCTGGTCGGCCCCGGCGCTCGCAGGCGGGCGAAGCGCATGGAGAAGGCCGCGCAGATCGTCATCAGCAACCAGGCGACGCGCACGCTGTCGAAGGCGCGATCCAACGAAGTGCTGTTCGTGGTGCTGCGACCAGACGACGCCGCGGTGCAAACGAGCGCGCTCCCCGCGCTCGAGAACCCCTACCTCAAGGTCCCCGCGCACGTGCCGATCAAGGTGCGCGCCGCCCGCGACGACCCCCCTGCCACGTGCGCGCGGTCGCGGTTGTCGACATGACGAGAGAGGGCGGCTGTGGGGCGGGTGCAGGTGCTGACGGACTACCTGCAGACGCACGTGGTGACGGTGCAGCCGAAGGCGAACGAGCGCGGGTCCGCGGCCGTCGCGAACCAGCGCATGCAGAAAACAGCCCCGCCTGACAAGGTGGTGTTGTCGATGGCGGGGGAGGACCTGGAGCCGAAGGCGACGGTGTCGTGGGCGTACGAGACGCTGTGGAAGGCGCGGCACCCGGCGAACAGCATCCTGACGCTGGCGTACCGCCGGGCGGAGAAGGGACACGGAGCGCGCAAGCGATGATGGGAATCCTCGACTGCGGACGCGCAGTCGCTCCATATTTGCGGCCGGGGCGCGGAGCGGCCGCCGGCCGGCGATTCGTTGCGTGTGTGACGTTGCTGCGCCTCGCCCGGAACCTTGCTGTGCGTCGCGAAATCAACCACTGATTCATATCTTATGCGTGCCTGGTTGAATCATATCTCGCTGCCCGCAGCTGCACCGCGCTGCCGCCCCGGCGCCGCAGGGGCGGCCCCCGGGCGCAGCCTGTTCCGCGGGGGTGTTCGGGCGGGCGTGGGCGAGCCGGGGGGGGTGTCGGCGGGCGGTGCTGACTCAGCGCACCACTGCGAGAGGTGGGGCCGCAGCGGCGTCAGGCGCGACGCGACGCGCGCGCAGAGTGCAGTATTTGGCTGCAGCTAGTCGGCTGCGCGGCAGTGGGATCGAGACTGCGGCGAGGCGGGGCTGTGCGGTGCGATTGCACGGGCTGGTGTGCTGGTAGACCTGGGTTCTCGATTGCGAAGAAATCGAGGCTGGAGTCTGTGGGGGCGGGCGGGCAGGACGCCATGGTGGTGACTCGGCGCGTCGCACGGGCTGCGCAGGAGAGCCATGGGAACGGCGCGGCGCCGGAGACCGACGCCGATGCATTGAAGCGGGCAGCAAGGGAAGAGGCGAGCAGGGCGCCGTCACGGCGGCGACCGAGGGGCAAATCGGTCACGAGGCCGATCCCTGAGGCAGTGATGGAGACGCTGGACCGCCTCCTGCACTACAGAGAGGTGCGTGGCGCGCGGAGGAGCCGTGCAGCCAAGCACGCAATGGTCCGCTGCAACGCGACGACCTCGCGGCGTGGACAGCGCCCCCGCGATGCTGTTTGCGGGCCTCAGCGAAGGACCACGCAGTGTACCGCCGTTTGCGCGCGCCTATACCGCGCAAAGCCGCCCTCTACAGCCCCGTTGAACGGAAACATCCTTCCGTAGCGCCCAATGGGCTTTCGGCCCATTCAGCGCTGCCAAAGGGCCTGATTCGCTTCCTGGCAATCTCGCGCGGTAGTTCCTGCGCCGTTCATGCTGCGGAGCATAGCGAAGCATCCCTGGTCCGTCGGACCGGCGTGCTTGGGCGCCTACCCTGCCAACAGGACATCTCCTTGCAGCCGGCGCTCGCGCGCGGTTCCGCGGGGGAATCGATCCGCACCGGTCCGTGCGCGCGCGTCCCGCAGATACCGCCATTCCTGCAAGATAACCCGTTCATCCACGGCGGGTACCGGCCGGTGACCACTGTCAAGTCAGCCTTCAGGTCTGTCTTCAAAATCCACAACGAAACGCTCAACATCTGGACCCACCTCGGTGCGCACACCGCCCCAACCCCTCCCTCGTCCTCCCCCGCGCCTCCCCCACATTAATACCCCCCCCCGCCAGCATTAAAAAAAAAATAGCACAAAACCCCACCAAGTCTCGCGAAACTCCCCCCGGGGCCTCGCCCCGAACGAAAATAACCCCAGCCCGCCGCTTCGCCGCCTGCGCGCAGCCGGGTGCCTCTGGTTCTTCGTCCTCACGTGCACCTTCGCGGTCAGCGGCCCCACGGAGCTGTACGAGCGCGCGGTGCCGACGTTCCACCGAATGCACGAGATCCTGATCGCGCGCGTGGTGCGCATGGACCGCGAGTGGTGGACCGTGCACCGCTGGCCGGTGTTCCTCTACATGGCGGCGGTGTGCCTGTGCCTGAGCTTGTCGTCGCTGTGCCACTCGCTCTACTGCTGCGCGCAGCACGTGAGCGACTTCATGTGGCAGTTCGACTACCTCGGGATCACGACGCTCATTGTTGCGTCCAAGGTGCGCCCGGTCGCCGACGCGCAGCGCGCCCCCCCTCCCCTGTTGTCAAAAGTGGATTCGCAGTCGTTGTTCCTCGATGCGTGGCGCTGCGGCGCGACTGGTTGGCCGGCGGCCCGGGGGGACGCGCTGCGCACCGGTGCGGCGCGCGCGCAGGTCCCGGTCTTTTACTATGGCTTCGCGTGCGAGCCCAATTGGAGAATCCTATATCTCAGCATCTCGGCAGCCATGGGAGCGCTCGGCGTCGCGCTCTCCGTCGTGCCCTTCTTCCGCAAGCCCGGGCTCCACACCATGCGCGCCGTCTGCTACATCGGCATGGGCGTCTGGGGAGGTGCGCCACAAAACCCCCCCACCACCACCCAACACCCCTCCCACCCTACGCCCCCGCCCAACACCCGCCCCGCCCCGGCCCCCGCACGCAGCCGCGCCGGCGATCCACTTCCTCATGCTGCACCTCCACGATCCAGAGAACTCCGGCTGGGAGCACGTTCGGTCCGCGTTCCACCTCATCGTCGCGCAAGGGGCGATTTACATCCTCGGGGCCGTCTTCTACGCGGGCCGCATCCCCGAGCGGTTCTTCCCCGGCAAGTTCGACATCGTCGGGCACTCGCACCAGATCTTCCACGTAGCGGTCGTCCTGGCTGCGTTTGTGCACTACGAGGCCGTTGTGCTGCTGCTGCACTGGCGGGAGACGCACGGGTGCCCGGAGTTCGGGCCCGGGGCGATGCGGCCGCGGTGAGCGCGGCCGGCGAGCGCTGCAAGTCGCGTGCGGCGGCAGTCGAGGAATTGTGACTGCGAAAGACAAGTTCTTGATGTTTCGTGGCAGCGGCGGGTCGTGCGCGACGTGACGTGCGCGTTGACGCGCGCAGCTGCGCGCAGGGAGCGGTGTGCGCGCGGACCCGCGGTGGACGTTCCGGTCGACGGCGCGTCACGGCAGTAAAGCAGGAGGGGTGTCTGTGGTGGGCCGCGAAGAGTCCCCCCGGGGGCTGCTCCGCGGGCTTCGGCGCCGAGGGCGGCGCGCAACGGTCGCCGCGAGCACTTGTACGCGCGTCGGAGCGCGCCTAGACGACGCAGCTGCTCACCACCGCCTCGGCAGCGCTTCGCGGGAGCATCGTAGCGCGCTCTCGCGGCAGCGCGGCGGAGCCGTCTCGTTCCGCGCACCGCGCACGACTCCCCAGTAGCTCCCATTCCGCCTCGCATATAGGCGCGCCGCGGTCCCGGCGTCCACGCGTCCCGGCAGCGCGCTCGGCAGGCGACGCTGCCCTCTGGGAGCCGCCCGGGCGGCCCACGAGCGGTTTTTCAGTCCCTCAGCGCCGCCCAGCGGTACTACATAGCACAGGAGACTCGCTGGGCCATCGTTGGGGCTCGTAGCTGGCGTAGGCGGGCCCGGAGCGACGGAAGCAAGCGTCGCGGGAGCACCAGCGCATAGAGCGGGCCGGCGCCGCTCAGGAGGGCGCGGGGGGACGCGGGCGGCGCGATGAGCTCCGTGCTAGGCCCCACGGCCGCGAGCCCGGGCGCCATGCGCCGGAGCGAGTTCGACGAGGACGAAGTCGATGCTGTTCATGAGCTTCAAAAAGACCTCGACCAGAGTGAGCTCCTATCTCTTCTAGGCCGATTTTTTTCGCTCGATTTGCGGCGCACAGCGCGACGAGGGGTGGTCCTTGCGAAGGGGAACGCGGTTGCGTGCGTTATACCCCGTGGCAGGCTGGTCTGCGGCCGCGCGTGTCTGCGCTGTGGGGGGAATGTCGTGCGCCCGTGCGGAGCCGGAGGGGCTCTGTGTCCGGGCGAGACGCGCTCCGCGCGTCCTTCCTCGATGGAGCTCTCGCTCTGGCGGGCTTTCGTTCGAGGGCAGCGCAGCTGCGGGCGCCGATGCTGCTTGACAGCTCTGCTGCAGGTCCCGGTGCCGCGGCGCGCTGCGCACCGCCCGAACGCAGCCCGCTTGATCACCGCAACCTTCCCCACATCTCAGCGACTATCTGGACGCGCGCTACACGCGACGCGCACGCGCTGGGCGCCCCTCCCGGCCCGCACAGAGCAGCCAGTCCGCTCGCCGTGACCGCTCGAGGCCGTATCCGCCCCGCCCGCCGCAGTCGACCACGAAGCTCGCACAGGCGTCCCGAAAACGCAGCAGCGGACGCTGCAACTCGACGCAGAGATCAATTTAGAGAACCTGCAGAAGCTCAAGGCAAGCCCCCTCTCCTGCTCCCGCTCCCGACTGACCGCCGCCCCAACACCGCCCACGTCCTCGCACACACCCACCGCCATCGGCCCCCTAACCCCCCAACACCCCCCCAACACCTCCCAAACACCCCCTCCTTCCGAGACGAAGGAAAAACAGCAACACCACGTGTGCGTGCGATGCAGGCGGCCTTCGACGAGGCGGACGTGGACGGCGGCGGCGGGCTGGACATCGACGAGTTCACCGAGGCGTTCACCTTCCTCATGCCGGGCCTCGACCGCGACGCGCAGCGCGAGGCCGTCATGCAGCTCTTTTGCAAGATTGACGCCAACTCCGACGGCGCCATCTCCTGGGACGAGTTCTCGTCCTACATGATGCTCGAGAACCAGGGCAGCGCGAAGCTGCGCGAGACCGAGCTGTCGCTGCAGTACGTCCGCGACCCGAAGCTCGAGCGCCGCGGCGTCGAGACCGAGGCGCACCGCGAGGCCATGATGGCCGCGTGCCTCGTGCCGACGCAGCTCGGCATCAACGACAAGTACGTCTCCGGCGGCAAGGACGGCACGATCAAGGTGTGGTCCGCGCGCGGCCTGCGGCCCCTCCGGACGATCCCCGTCGCGTCGGCGTGGATTACGGGCCTGCGGTACTGCCCGCGCAGCCAGCGGGTGGTGTCGAGCCTGTTCAACCGGACGATCAAGCTGTTCGACGCCCAGAATATGGACGTGTGCGGCGGCGCGTCGGACCTCGAGCACGCCCCGCTGTCGCTCGAGACGTGGTTCAGCGCGCGCAAGGGCACGGAGCTGCTGTGCACGGGGGACGTGGGCGGGCAGGTGATCCTGTACGACCTGGTCGAGCGGCTGGAGGAGGAGAAGGGGAGCGACGAGCGGTTCGGGCTGACGCGGATGTGGAAGAACAAGGTCCACAAGGACTGGGTGAGTTCGGTGTGCTACGTCACGGGGGTGAACTACGTGGCGTCGGCGAGCCTGGACAGCACGATCGCGATGCTGGACGCGAACCGGAAGACGGTGGTGAAGCGGCTCGAGGGGCACACGAAGGGGATCTTCAGCGTCGCGTGGAGCGAGCAATACAACTTCATGGTCTCCGGCGGCATGGACCGGACCCTTCTGCTGTGGAACCCGTACAGCAACCGGCCGATGGCCGCGCTCACGGGGCACACGGCGTCCATCTCGAAGATCCTCATCAACGACCGCGAGAACCAGGTCCTGTCGCTCAGCGTAGACAAGACTATCAAGGTGTGGGACGTGCGCAACCACAGGTGCCTGCAGACGCTGGTCGACACCACCAAGTACCGCCCGGAGGACACCGTCTCCACCATGTTCTTCGACCCAGGTGCGCGCCGAGCCCCACCGCGCGTCGCTGCTGACGCCGACGCTGCTGTGTACACGCAGACACCGCGGCGGGCACTGACGGGCCACCCGGCCGCCCCGTGCTGCCCGCAGCCCGCCGGTGCCTCGTCACGGGCACGACGTACCTCAAGCTCTGGCCGCTGCGCTCGATCATCTCCACGGGCGCGTCCGCGCACTCGAAGCCCGTCGCGTGCGCGATTTGGAACCCGACGTTCAAGGAGGCCGTCAGCGGGGACCACGAGGGCGTCGTGTGCGTGTGGGACGTCCGCACGGGCAACATGAAGTTCCGCTTCCAGGGCGCGCACGGCCGCGACCGCATCACGACCATGGCGTTTGACCGCCCGGGGCGGCGGCTGATCACTGGGTCGGACACGGGGGACCTCAAGGGGTGGAACTACTCGTCCGGGTCCGCGCTGCGACGGTACACGCCCGCGCCCGGCCGCGCGGCCGGCCGCGAGGTCACGGGCGTGGTGGCGTCAGCGGGGCTGTATTCGGGTCAGTTCCTGGTGTCGGTCGGGTGGAACAAGAAGGTGACGTTCTACGACGACTCCAGCGGCGGTCCGCGCGAGCAGGCACCGATGCGGGAGCTCCGCGGGCACAAGGCGGACATTCTGTGCCTTGCGCTGGGTCCAAACAACATCTTGGTCACCGGCAGCGACGACGGCGCGATTCTGCTGTGGAACCTGGAGAGCGGGACGATCAAGCGGCGGTTCGACGCGCCGGCGCCGAAGACGCACCACGGCGCCGCGGCCCCGGGCGCGGTGTCGCCGCTGCAGGGCACGGAGCGCAGCATCGAGGCGCTGGCCTTCCTGCGCGACAAGCTCGGGTTCGTGTTCCTGAGCGCGGGCGGGGACCGGCACGTGCGGTTCTGGAACAGCAGCAGCGGCGCGCTGATACTCGACCGGCCGACGGGCCACCGCGCCGGCGAGAGCATCACCGCGCTGGCGGTGACGCTCGACAACGCGGCGGTGGCGACGGGCGACAGCGCGGGGTTCATCAAGGTGTGGGACATCTCCCGCCTGGACTCGCGCCGGCAGGTCACGTCGCGCGACGAGGCCACCGCGACGATGCGGGAGATTGCGTTCTTCCGCGCGCACCAAAAGGGTCTCACGAGCGTGGCGTTCGCGGACCTGGACGGGAAGCAGTTCCTGCTGACGGCGTCGCGGGACTGCCGCGTCGCCCTGTGGTCCAAGGAGGTGAGCCCCGCGGCCAATCGATCGCTCTCGCAGCGACACGCCACACCTGCATGCCTACTTTCTGCGCGTCGCCGCCACCCCGCTCGGCCCGTTGTGCCACGCGTCGCGCGGCTAATACACCCCCCCCTGACGCAATACACCCCCCCGCAGGGAGCGTTGATTGGGGCGTTTGGCAAGGATGTGTGGGACGTGAACGACGCGGGGACGTGGCAGTCGACGACCGTGACGCCGGTGTCGGAGACGGAGCGCACGGAGGTCACCCCGGAGATCTCTGCGTGGGAGATGCACCACCCCAAGCGGGCGCACGACGGGGAGGAAGAGGAAGTAGTATCTCTCAAGGCACTTTTAGGACAGGTTGAGTACCGGCGGCGGAACCGGCCGGGCGAGGGCGGCGTCGAGGGCACGATGGCGGAGCGCGTCTACCTGCCGCAGCGGGACCGCAAGCTCAACTTCCCGAAGACGGCGGGGCGGCCCAGTTCGTCCGTCGCGCACCTGTTGCACATTTCTGCACTGAACGATATCGCGGCGCGGCCGCAGACGGCGGTAGACGAGCCGAAGCACGTGCACGGGCTCGGGGACGACCACGGGCGGCGGAGGCCGGCGACGGTGCACGGCGCGGGGCTGCGCACGCATGCGGCGCGGGCGGGCGATCGCAGGTCGCGTGTGTCGCGAGCGGGGTTCACGGGGGGGGCGTCGAACGCGGAGAGCTTGCGGCCGAAGCTGCGGTAGGCGTAGAGGCGGAGCGGCGCGCGCGGGGGTGCGAGAGAATGTGAGTCAATGATTCTCGAATGGTTGAGTACGATTCTGCTTTGATTTGATTTGGTTTACGAGGCGCAGAGGGCCGCGCGGGCGAGGAGGTCCTCGCACCGCGGACGCTTCGCCGGGTCCGGCTCGAGCATCGCTTCGACGAGCCCGAGCAGCTCACGCGACCACCCGGCCTGTTCCACCGCACCGGACTCATCCGCAGTCTCTTTTTCCCGACTTCCACGCTCCTGCTCCGCCGGCTCTGCGTCGCCGTCGCTGGGCGCGTCCAAGCCTCGCCGCGGGAGTCCGGAACGCGGTCGCTCGATCGCGCTGTACACGTCCAGGACCGAGGCGCCCCAAAAGGGAACGCAGTTGAACAACAATAGGTAAATCGTGACTCCCAGCGACCAGATGTCGGCGGCGTAGCCCGACCACGATCCGCCGCGGAGGGCCTCCGGGGCCGTGAACGCCGGCGCGCCTGCGGGCACACGACGCGCATGGCCTCACTCGATGAAACACATTCAATTGAAGATAGGCATGAGTATCTGTCTGCAGCTGCGATCGCACGAGACTCGAGCTGCACCCGGTACGGCATGCGGTCTGGAGAGTTGCGCTGTGGCGGGGACGTTTCAGTCAAAAGTCAAGGAATCACCGCGAATGATGTTCTCGCAATTGCGACGCACCAGTCGTGCGGTCGACCGCGTCGCTGCCGCGGAACGCCTGCAGGCACGCGCTCAGGTCCGCGACCTTGACGTCCCCCGACGCAGTGAGCAGCAGGTTCCGCGGGTTCACGTCGCCGTGCACGATCCCGCACGCATGCAAATGAGACAGCCCCTTCAAGGCCCCTTGCACTCTCCTGAGCACGTCTGCTTCCGACAGCGTAGACCCAGGCGAGCCCTCGGGGCGCACGACGCGCCCCGTGTCCTCGTCGAGCGTCGGGCTCGGCGACGACGCGTCCCTGCAGCAGCAAGGACCGCCCGTGAGTGAAAAGGTGCTTTTCAATCATGATGTTGTATTTGACGTTACGTCCAATGATGCTGCTCGCACTGTGCGGAGGAGGCAGGCGCGCAGCAGCCCGTGCGGCTCGGACCTGGCCAGGATGTTGCCTCCGGAAAGCAGTTCCATGACAATATACATTTTAGGACTGTCGGGGTCCGCAATGGCCTCGAATACCCGCACCACGTTCGGGTGCGGCGGCAGCGCCGCCCACACCCGCCGCTCGCGCTGCACGTCCTCCCAGGCCGAAATGCCGGGCGCCATTCGCATTTTCCGCAATCTCCGTCGATCGTAGACCTTGATTGCGACCGGGGAGCCGTCCGGGCCCCTGCGCGCAGCTCGGAGCGGCGCACCAGACGCGTCAGAGCATCTGCGACGTTGCAGACTGCATGATACCGACGGAATGGCAGACCCGCACCGGTATTCGAGGATCTTTCCGTGTCCTCCAACTGCAATGGGCCGCACGCGCTCCCACTGGTTGACTTTCTTCGTTTTTCCGGGACCTCGTCGCACAACGACATCGTGGACCTCGCGCGCCGGTGCGTCGGGGTCCAGAGCGGCCGGGACGCGCGCGTCGCCAACGCCGGAAGCAGCGTGCAATGCCTCGCGCATGCCGCGAGTGTAGATGTTTCCAGACTCGTACGCGCCGCCCAGCGGATGGTCCTGGCCCTCATCAACGGGCGTGTGTGCGTCGGGGAGCAGCGGCGGCAGCTCAGAGGACTCAGCGGCGTCCGGGGGATCATCGCGAGGTTGAGCGTCCTTCATACCGCTATCCGTGACGGTGCGGTCACGGCTGTTCGCCGCTGTAGCATCTACGCAAACTGGGGAACGCTGCCGCCCTGCCGTGCCGCTCCCAATGACTGCCAGTGGGCCAGAAAGCGCGTCTGACGTCGTCAGGCAATTTCACAGGAGTTCTACCTTGCCCTGGAGGCCTCGCGGGCAGATTCGCCTTCCGCGCCGCGGCGCGCGCGCACACCGACGCCACAGATACGCGCCGGTGCGCCTGGTGACCGCCGTGTACGCCTGGCGGGCCAGCGGCGCCGTGCGTGGGCTGCTCCCTCTCCCAGCACATGCTCCTGGAGCGGCGCGCCCGGCCGATTCTCTGCGACGCTCTTGGTTTCATGGGGAGTCTGCGCCGGGGGACGCGGTCCCCGATGACGCCCACGCGCACCAACAAGCAGACTAGGGTCGTGCACAGCCCACCTGCTCCCTCGCCGGCCGGGTGGCACCAGGAACGCCCCGTGGCGCCTCCGCAGGCACCTGGCGCGGACATCATCCGTGAGAGCATTGCGTACGAGGCCACGAGAGGCTACCAGAACGCGATGGTGAGCCGCATTCACCGCAGCAATTCGACCCAACGCACGCACGACCGCGTTCGCACGCTTCCCGCGCCCGGACGGCGTCCTCGGCGCCGTGCACGCGCTGCGACAGCGGCCATCCACGAGCGCGTCCCCCAGACTCCGGTCTGACCGCCCTAGAGACCCCTCCGCCCTTGCGCGCCATCGTCGCCGCGAATGCTCTGCCGGTCCGCAACGCGGCGTTCTCGCGGTGCTTCGCGCGTTGCAGGGCGGGAAGAGCAGCTTCGCCAACGCCCTGCACGGCCAGCTCGCTGCGCTGCGCGGGGCGCTCGCGGAGCAGCACGACAACGCCACTCTCTTGAGCTTTATGCTTCAAGCAGAGGCATATCCCAACATCCAGCGCGAAGCGGCCCGGCGGGCGTACTGCGAGTCCATCCTGGCCTTCCTCGACACCCAGAAGCACATTTCCGAGGGCCGGATCCCGCCTCCACCGTCCGTGCCGCCCGAAACACCGCGCGAGGACTCCGCGCGACCCTCTCCTCGCCCGTTGCCGCGAGAAGCGGACCTCCCGTCCCTCCCCGGCATGCGCATCGTGTACTGGGACCTAGAAACTACGGGAATCGGCGCACCAGACGCAGACCTGGCGTCGTGGGACGGCGACTGCATCATCGAAGTTGCAGGGTTCTGTCCCTCTGCCAACGACGAGGGCCCGTTCGGGGTGTACGCGTCGCCGATGCGCATCCGCGACGGGTGCAGGCTCTCCGAGGGCGCGGCGGCCACGAACCACTTCTCGGAGGCCGAGCTCGCCGCGCCAGGGGTGCCCAAAGCGAAGGAGGCTCTCGCGGGGTTCGTGGACTGGCTGGAAGACAGGAGGAAGGAGGCGGAGGCGGCCGGGGAGGTTCCCGTGCTCGTGGCGCACAACGGGCTGCGGTTCGACCTGCCGCGGCTCGCGGCCTCGCTCCGCGTTGAGGGCCTAGATGTCGGCGGGCTCTCACGGTGGCTGCACGTGGACTCGTTCAGGTGCGAGCTGACGTGGAACGCGCTGCCAGATGGGAGCGCGGTTGCGTGGGACCGACGGGCCGCCGGAAGAGTGCACCGGCGACCGCTCGGCTCGGACGTATCCCGTCATATCAAAACATAATTGTTTTTTGTTTTTTCGAATTATGCTGTTTCTGACCGCGAACGAACGCGTGCGCGCACGTTCAGCCGCACGTCCAGTCGCCGGCGCGCGGTCTCACGGTGCGATCCCGCCCGACACGCAATACACCCCCCCCTGACCGCAGGCAAGTCCTCCAGCCTCTCCAGAGCGACCTCCTGCTCCCGTCGTGCTCCATGGACACCCTCCGCGACCACTACTCCATCCACAACATCCCCGGCCAGCCCCACCGCGCCGAGAACGACGTCCGCGCCCTCGACGCCGTCCTCAACGCGGCCCTTTCGGCCCTGAACGCACGTCGCGCTGCCGGCGGGTCCGCCGCCCTGACGCTGCCACAGCTGCTCTGGACGTGCGCGTACCGCAACGCGTTCCCCGACATCGCGCCCCTCGCGCCCGCGGGGCTCGACGGCGCGTGCCGCTTGCCGCGCGAGCCACAGCGCGTCCTCGACGCGCACTTCGGACGCCCGATGGCCGTCGACGACGTGTCCGCGCGCCTGGCGCGCGTGTCGCTGAGCCCGGGGGGCGCCGCGGGGCGCTCGCAGGCCGAGAGCGAGGCCGCAGCGGGGCGGACGCTGCTCGGCGGGGACGGTGCAGCGCCGATGGCGCATCCGCTGACCGCGTTGCTCGACGCATTGGACGCGGCGGCGGGCGACGGAGAGGTCGCGGCGCTGAGCGCGCCGGTGACGGTGCTGGGGGCGGGGCGCGGGGGGGCGTGGGCGGCGCTGACGCGGAAGGCTTTGCAGGAAGGGTTGATGTCGGTGGGGGATGTATTGCATGTTCTACCGCGGAGGTATGACGAGGTGTCGGGGGAGCTGATGCAGGCGGTGCGGAACAAGACGGTGTGGTCGGGGCGCGGGCGGGTGGTGGCGTCGCACGTGCGCACGGTGCGCGGGCGCGGCGGCGGCGCGGGGATGCTGCTGTTGACGCTGCAGGTCGAGGTGACGCGCGGCGGGGACGCGGGGCGGCTGATCGACGTGCAAGTCTGGCGGGGCTTCAGGCGCGTGCTGCGAGCCGCACGGCCTGGACGCTTGACTCGGTATCTTTGCACATCTTGCCAAGTATAATTATCAATTTCTTGATTCGATGGTGGCTGCGTTGCTGTGGTCGTGCAGGAGCCAGGCGTGGGTCGCGAAGAAGCTCGAGGCCGAGCGCAAGGAGCTCGCGCCGGACGGCTGCACCGTCGACATCGAGGCGCGAATGGAGGAACCGCATCCTCACTTCAATAATAGGCGTGACACCTCCACGGGCCTATCTCCCGCGTTCGCGGTCGCCCGCGCCAGCAGCGGCATCGCGTCCGTCCTGCGCATGGTCCTGCCCCCCGGCGAGCCCGACACCGACGGCATCGCGGGCTCGGTAGAACAAACAGACCCGGAGTCAGGGGGGGGTGTCTCCGTGACCTACCCGAAGCGCGGGCAGCTGGAACCCGGCGACATGCGGACGCTGGTCGACGGCGCGCTCGAGTTTCTCGTGCAGGAGGTCGCGGCGCGCGAGGAGGGGCCTGGGGCCGTCGATCCGCTGCCGACGTTGTTGGCGGCGCAGCTGGAGAGCAGCGGGGTGTGCGGGGCGGACATGTCGACGCTGCGGGCGTGGCACGCGGTGCACCGGCCGAAGGACCTGCGCGACTCGGAGTGAGCGCCCTCCCCGCCCGATCTTTCCGTCATGCACGTGCGGTGAATGCCAACGCCACACACCAACGCACCCACCTCCGCGTCTGACGCCCGCCTTCATCTCCCCTCTTTCTCCGTGTCCTCGTGCAGCAACGCGCGGCGCCGCCTCGCGCTCCAGGAGCTCTACGTGCAGCAGCTCGCGCTTGCGCTGTCACGGCGCGCCATGCAAGCCCACGCGCTCGCGACCGGCGGCGGCGCGCTCTGGCTCGACCGCGCCCTACCCAAGGACGCCACCGCCGCCCTCGAGTCCATCCTGCCCTACGACCTCACCCGCGGCCAACGCGAAGCCCTCAGCGAGGTCGTCGCCGACATGCTCCGACCAGACGCGCCCGCGCGCCGCGCGCGGGGCGACGACGCCCCCGCCACGCCGATGTATCGCCTGCTCCAGGGCGACGTCGGCTGCGGGAAGACGGCCGTCGCGTTCCTCGCCATGCTGCTTGTGGCTGCGTCGGGCCACCAGGCGGCGCTGATGGCGCCGACGGACCTGCTCGCGCGGCAGCACCACGACAACTTCTTGAAGCTGCTCGCGCGGCTCGACGAGCGCCTGGCGTCAGCGGACAGCGGCGCGGAGACGGCCGCGTTGCGGAGGATGTTTCCAAATGGAGCGCCGCGGGTCGCATTGTTTGCCGCGACGCTTCCTGCGGACCAGCGCCGCGCCGCTGCTGCGGCGATTGCGACGGGGGACGCGGGTATCGCGATCGGGACGCACGCGCTGGTGTCCAAGGGAACCGCATCCACCAGCAGAAGTGATTCGGAGTCTGATAGCGACTCCGGAGCCGGCCGAACGGCCTTCGCGGCGCTCGCGCTCTCGGTCATCGACGAGCAGCACAAGTTCGGCGTCCGGCAGCGCGCGCTCCTCGCGAGCGGCGACGTCCCTTCCTCGAGCGGCAGAGACACCGTCGTGCCGCATGTTCTTTGCATGTCGGCCACGCCGATCCCGCGGACGCTCGCGGCGGTCCAGTTCGGCGACATGGATGTGTCCGCGATCCGCGAGCTGCCCCCGGGCCGCCAGCCCGTCGCCACGACAGTCCTCGAGGAAGGCGCCGCCCAGACCGCCGACACCCTCGCCGCGGAGATTCGTGGCGAGATCAAACGAGGAGGCCAGGTCTACGTCGTGTTCCCGCAGATCGGGACCGCCGACGCGGCCGACGGCGCGGCCTCGGGCACCGCGATCGCGACTGTCGAGGCCGAGCGCGCCGCTCTCGAGGCCTCCGGTGCGCTCGGACGCCGCGCAAAGATCCTCGCCGTGCACGGCCGCATGCCGCCCGAGGAGCGCCGGCGCGCGCTCGACGCCTTCCGCACCGGCGAGTGCAACGTCCTCCTCGCGTCCACCGTCGTCGAAACCGGCGTCGACGTCCCCAACGCGTCTCTCATGATCGTACGCAGCGCGGACCGGTTCGGGCTCGCTTCGCTGCACCAGCTGCGGGGCCGCGTGGGCCGCGGGGGGCGGGAGTCGCGGTGCTTGGTCGTGGGCGGCGTGGGGCCGGACGGCGGCGCGGTGGAGCGGCTGCGCGTGTTGGAGCAGACGGGCGATGGGTGGGAGGTGGCGGAGGCGGATCTGAGGGCACGTGGCGCCGGGGCGGTGATCGGGACGCGGCAGAGCGGGGCGAGCGTGGACTTGCGGATCGCGCGGCTGCCGGAGGACGAGGTGCTGCTGATGCATGCGCGGGGGTGGGCGACGGAGGCGGTGGTGGGGTTGGGGGGAGTGCTGGGGGGGCCTGCGGCGGCGGTGCGGGCGCTGGCGACGGGGAGCGCCGCGCGGGCGGCGCTGGCGGAGACGGTGCGGGAGCTGATCCGGTCGGATCGCGAGCCGCTGTGACGGCCCCGTCATAGAGAGGTATATTGAGAGAGAATATGAGCTTTGGGTTCTGGCACGACGAGCAGGTTCCTCCACGATGCCGTGCGGCCGCGGGTTGTCACAAAATCAGCGAATCTCGCGCTGCCCCGCGCAGCACTGAATCCCGAAACACCCCCCCCACTTGTCGTCATTCCTCTCCACCTAGGCAGAACGGCCGACCCGGACGCCGCCAGAATCATCCCCGGCTCTCCAGCCTCGACGGCGCGCGCAGCCCCATCGACGACCGCGGCTGCGCGCGCTGCAACTGCTCCAGAAGCTTTGACGGCGCAAGCGCCTCGAACAGCCCCGGCCACTTGCGCCCGCCCGGCACGCACCCGGCCACGATCCCGCTGCCCCCCGGCCCCAGCGTGCTGTCGGGGAAGATCCCCGCCATGTCAGACTCAGCGAGCTCACGCTCGCCTGACGCGGTGCCCGACAGCAGGCCCTGACGCCGCTGATGGCCGCGCCCGAGAAGGCCCATGCGGCGCTGCAGGGCCTCGGCGAGCGCTGCACGGTCGAACGGCGGCGCCGCGGCGGCCTCTACTGCGTCGCCGAGGAGCCGCGGCTTGACGATGCGATCGAGCGCGGACAGCAACACCATCGACGGGGACGCGTTGGCCTCGAGGAGCCACACCTGCGCGCAGAAGGAGACCATAAAGACCGATGGGTGTGCGGCTGATCCGTGCCCCCCGCCTTGTACGCGCATGCGTGGCACTTGACAATTGATCCACTATGTGTTTGAACGCAGTGCGGCCCGGCGTGGCGTACCTGGCCCTGCTCGTCGATGATGAGGTCGATGCCGAACAGCTCAAAGCAGCTCGGGCGGTTCCGGATCTCGCCGCCGACCGCGAACAGGGCCGCAAGCGCCGCTTCGCAGACCTGCGGCCATATTTGGTCGCGCGACGGAAGGCCCCGGGCGGCCAGCAGCGACCACAGGCGCCCGAGCGAGATCTTCGTGCCCCCGGGGGTGTTGAGCGCCTCGCGCGCCAGGTCGCAGCCCGCCATCTCGGCCGGAAGGTTGTCCTCGCCCAGATAGGCATTGAGCTCTGGAGGAAGCCGCATGGCGCATTCTAAGTCCTCTGCGGCGTGCAGGGGCGCGAGGGCCAAACGCAAGGGTGTGTACGCTTGCAGGGGGTCATGACGAGGCAGTGAGGAGCGAGAACTGGCTTGTGATGGTTGGAAACGCGAAAAGACAAAGGACGAAGGGAGGATTGTGATTATTTGGTGGTGTTGAGTGCGCACCTGCGTGGAGCGAGGCGTTGGTGAGGTGCACTCCGAGGTCGGATAGGTCGTCCATGCTGTACGGCTTCGGGGCGAACCGCGCGAAGCCCTCCGTGTACAGTGCGGCCTCGAGGGGTTGGAAACTAGTCACCAAACAGTATACTCTGAGGTCGAACTTGTGACCCTCTAGCAGCATCGGGCGCGTGAGGTACCGCTGCGCGACGTAGCCCTCGTCCAGCTCGCGCGCCGCCTCGTCCCAGTCCTCTGTCAAGAAGATCCCACGCCCCTTCGACTGCAATCACCAACAATCAATCACCACTTCCAATATTGTAGTCTGACCGGTCAGCCGATCGCGGCTGTCCGGCCGCTGAGCACAGAGCCACACAGGCACGCGCACGCGCATGCAGCGAGGCGCACAGATAAAAACAGCGCAACATGCCACCCCGCTTGCCTGCGCGACGGGCTTCAGAATCCACACGTTCCGCCCGGCCCCCTGCGCCGGCGCGACGGGCGGCGGCGGCGGCGCCCCCACCGGCGGCCGCGCGTCCCTGTCCCCGCCCGCCACAGCGAACGAATACATGAACTCCGGCAGGTCCCTTGGAAGCTCGTACGACGTCGGGAACCGCGCGAACGCCCCCTCGAAGCGCGTCCCGGCGAACATGCGGCGCTGGCGCGCCATGTGGCGGCCGAGGAGGTCCTTCCGCGTCAAGTGGCGCGCCTCGGGGAAGTGGTTGACTCGCTGGACGGACAGCAGGCGGTCGTGGTCCACGTGGACCTGCAGGGGGGTCGGATTCGGGAGCGCAGGATTCAGCCAACATGACTTGGGTGACAAAAAAAATCAGTTGCAATTCGGAGTCTTCAAGCTGGCTGAACGACCATGCAATGAAGACCTCTGGCAGATGCACGGTAGCGCCCACCAGCACAGGGAATACCCAACGAACCGCAACGAAGAACACTCGGCCGCACACAGAGAGAGATCTCGCAACGCGTCTCACCTTGTTGCTCCACGTCCACAGCACGTTCCAGAGGTTCGTCGCGGCCTCCCGCGGGTCCACCACTGGCCCGTGCACAGAGTCCCGCCGCACCTCGACCGCCGCGTTCGCCGGCAGCGGCACCGCCGGGTCCCACCCGGGCGGCCGCATCGTGACCTCCGCAGTCATCTCCCAGATATCCTTGCCGCGCATCGCCAGAGATAGGACTTCCAAGACTTCCGGGTGCTCCTCGACGGTCCGAACGAGCAGCGAGTACCGCTTCGGCCGCGTGCTCCGGCGCATCTCGAGGTCCGCGTCCGGCGGGAGCCCCGGCAGCGCGCTGCCGACTGTCGGCGCGGGCGTGGCGGCGCGCGACGACTGCGGGCGGGCAGGCAGCCCGAGCGCTGTGGCGGGGCGCTGGAGGCCGGCGATGCTCGCTGCGTCCGCATAGATCGGACCGTCCGAGACGCCGCCCGGGCAGCCGTTGTCGGTCACGGCGCAGCGCCCGGCGGCCTCGAGGAGGACGGTCGCCAGCACGGAAGACCCCGGGGGGTGTTTCATTGCGACCCCGCGGGTCGCGTGGGCGGCGACGGCCTCGGTCGCAAGGCGGTTGAAGAGCGCTTTGTTGCGCGAGAACGGGCCCTCCGTCGCGAGGCGCAGCCACTCCATGCACCGTTTCAGGACCTCGCGATACGTCGCGCTGACGACGGCCCCGCGGGAGACCGAAACGGGGAGCAGGGTGCCCGTGGACCCCCACGACGACGAGAAGAGCGCCTCGAATCCCTGCGGCCCGATCGCCGGCAGCTGCAGCTGCGCGAGCATCGACGAATTACCCCCCCCCTGACTCGGCGCGGCACGCGCCGACGCCAGGCGCCGGAGCCGCGCCGCCGGGTTCGCCCGCGGCGGCGACGCGTCGGGATCCGTCGCCGCGGACGCCATGCCGCGCGGCGCGGACACCACGCGGTGAATCTGATTCGCGGATGTCCGCGCAACACCCCCCCCCCCGCCCGGCTGCTGCGGCGCCCGCGGCGGCATGACCTGCGCGGGCGGCACCGTCGTCTGCGCAGCCGCCACGTCCACGGCCTGCTCGCTCCCGCTGTCGTCGCTCCCGCTGCTGTGCCCAATCACTGGCAGCGCAGGCACCTCCTCCGGGAGCCCGTCGGCCCACGCGCCGCCGCCCACGCCGCTCGCCTCGTCGTCCGAGCCGCCCCCGAAGTCCGACGAGCTGTCGCTCGACGTGTCGAGGTCCGACATGCCGCCGCCGGCCGCGATATGCGCACGTGCACGCGCCAGCAGCACTTCATCGATCCCGCTGAGCTCCACCGCGTCGGCGCCGCCGCTCCCGTCCCCGCGCATCGCGCGCGCGACCGCGGAGTCGTCCCAGTCGCCGTCGTTCCAAGCGCACACGCCTTCTTTCGCCCCGAGACCCCACTGCGCCAACGCGTCGTCCTGGGCGCCCTCGACGAGCGCGCGGGACTCCGGGCGCGACGCGCCGGACGCGTCGCTGCGGCTCGAGTGCGCGGAGCCGGCGGAGGAGGCGTCGGAGCGCGCGACGGGGGACCCGGGGTCGACCCAGGAGTCGTCGGAATCCAACTCGAGGTTTCCCGACTGGGAAGCGCGCGAAGAGGAAGGGGAGGAGGAGAAGCCCGGCGGGCGCGCGCTCGGCGGGGGCAGCAGCGACGGCACGGGCGCGCTCGGGTCCGCCGCAGCCGCCGCCATCGCCTCCGCGATCGAGAACTTCCCTGTGCGCCCGAAGTCGCCATTCCCCATCTCCCGCTCCCCCGCGTCGCCCATCTCCGCCTCCGTCTGCCCCAACGAGCTCTCCGGCGCACTCGACGCACCCCCCTCCCTCTCCACACCCCTTCCGACCTCCTCCCTCTCGCTCTCCTCCGCTCCAGCCGCCTCAGCCACCTCAACTCCGCCCGCATCATCCTGCAAACCCAACTCCAACTTCCGCCGCGCTGACGACGCATCCGCGCGCGCCGCGTCGCGCGCAGCCGCCGCCGGCGCCGCGGGGCTCAGCAGCGCAGCCACGCGCCCCTCGTCTTCGCCTTCCCCTTCGGACTGCCGGTCCGAGCGCCCCTGCCGCGGCAATCGCGCCGCTGGTGCCGGCGCGGCCGCCTGCACCGCGATTTGCCGCCGCCGCTGCTCCTCCTCGCGCTTCCGCGCCTCCGCCTTGCCCCGGAAGCCCCACGCGCCCTCGTTCTGCGCCTTCCGTGCCTTGGCCGCGCGGCGGCGCTCCTTCTTGAACATCCGCATTGCCACCTCCGCAACAGACAGCCCCGAAAGGGTTGACGCCTTCTTCTGCGGCGCCGGCGTCCCCTCCTGTGCCGCATCGCCGTCCGCTGCCCCTTCATCGTCCTCCGCCGGCGCGTCGCCGCCGTCCCCCGCCGCGACGGCGTTGCTGTTCGCGTCTGCAGCTGCTGCTGCTTCGCCGCCGTTCGGGGCGCTTGCCGGGTCGCGGGCAGGCTCAGAGGCGGAGGGGTGTGCTGTGTCCGGCGAGGCAGGGCGGCTGGGCTCGGGGGAGTGCGTGTGCGCGACGTTGGTGGTCGTTGCGCCGGCATCCTGACTCCGGTCCACTGCTGCGTCAGGGGGGGACTCTCGGACCGGCCACGCCGCGACGGGGCCCGCGGAGGGTTCGCGCTGCAGGGACTTGCGGCTCACGCTCGCCAGCACGCGCTGCGGCGTGCGCGGCGGCTCCGTCCGCTGCGGTGTGTGGTGCGCGCCGCCTCCGCGCCGCGGCGTCGCCGCGATGCCGTCCGGCGAGACCTCGCCTGGTAGCTGCGACGCAGGCACGCCGGATCCGCCGACGACGATCGACGAGAAGTCCACCGGCGGGAGCTTGACACCCCCCTCCTCGCCAGGAAACACCCCCCCCGGGGCGTACGCGGGGGGCGCCGCCGCCGCGTCGGCGTCCAGCCGGGAGGTCACCTTGCGCGGAGAGCCCGCGGGGGACAGCGTCAGGCCCAGCCCCGCCGCGAAATCATCTTCCAGGACCGCAAAGATGTCGTCGTGTACAGCCGCCGAGGCACCGCGCTCGCGGATCTCCTCCTGGATCGCCGCGAGGAGCTGGGACTCCGCGGGACCTGCGGGGCCGGCGCGGGGGTGCATGCGTGAGGGGCGCGGACGGCGGTGCCCGGTAGAGGCTTGGGGGTTGGAGAGGCAGGAAGAGCAAAGGTGGCGTGAGCGGGGCACAGAGCGATGTTTGGTGACGATGGGCATGATAATTGCGACATTCGTGTGCGATTACGGCTGCAGGCTGACGGTTTTGCCGTGCAGGCGGAGGCTCGGGGAGCCGGTGGTGAGGGAGCGGCGTGGCGTGGCGTGGTGTGGAGGCTGGCGGCGTGTCTGCGGGGCCGGACCTCTGTCCTTGGCTTCAAGGATCCGCAGGTGCTCCTCGAGCTCCTCCGTGGAGGCGTCGTATATCTCCCACACGTACATGCTCCCTGTCGCGCAGATGCCCCCGCGCCGCGACGTCACTCTCTCGCGACGGAGCCTGGAATGGAGTTCCCTACCACGCAGGCATCACGCCCGACTCCCCTTTTAGCCGCATGCCTCGTATTTCACGTGCAGCAGCGACGGGCGCGTCCGACTTGGTGCAGAAAGTGTGCGAGCCCCTCGCGCTCGCGAAAGGAGATGAATCGGCTGTCTCAAGTCCCTCACGCAAAGTTCAGTACTAGTTTCGTCTGGTCCAGGCTCTGACACGTCACGGAGGTCCTCAAGGTCGCCCCGCGCGTCGAAATGCACGACCGTCAAGCGCACATTCGTTGTTCTCGTGCTTCAGCGCGCGCTCCCAGCGTCAACGCTCACTTGCGCGTGATGAAACGGCTCTCGTGTGGTCGTTGTGCTCGACCGTGGCGTCGGGACCCGATGTTGCTGCGTGTCCCGCGCGCCGCGTCGGTCCGAGTCGGCTTTATACCTCACACCATGCTGATTCCTCGACCGCCACACACACGCATATGCTCTGAGCCAGCACGCGGCACGCACGGCTCGAGCCCGCGGCGCCGCGCGTTCGCGTATGTCTGTGTCGTCCTTGCCGCTCCGCGCGCGCGTAGCACTGAACGAATCACAAACACTCGTGCTTCCCTGGTCTTCCATCCTCGCAGCTCACGCTGGAGCAGCTGTCGTGCGACCCGGGCCGGGAGCACATGGAGCACCCGTACATCCGCATCTCGCTCGTGGACACGCAAGGCAACAACATCGAGATGCCCGACCGCACGCGCCCGGCGCCGCAGCCGATCCAGGACGCGGTGTGGCGGCTGAACCAGATGCAGCCGCTGCGGCGGCGGCGGCGGACCCGACGCTGCGCAAGCTCAAGCCCATGCCGACGCAGAAGTGCCCGAACTGGCTCACGGTGCGCCTGGGCGTGGCCACTGGGGGGGCGTCGTGAGGGCGGCGTGCGGTGTGTATCGCGCTGGGCGGTGGGGGCGCACCGAACGTGCGTGCGTGTGACGACGTGGAACGTGCGTGGCTCGATGCGTGTCGATGCGTGTGTGCGCTAGGTCCCTCATCAACATTGTTGTTTTTTGAGAGCCTTTCTTTGCACACGGAAGCGGAACGGGCCGCTGGTTGGCGGTGCCGCTTGGCGGTCCTCGTGCGCACGAACGGTGCGCCAGCGGCGGGGCTTGCGCGTATGTCTGCCATGAAGGCCCGCGGGGATGTTTCCGGACGGTCCGGGACCTGCGCAGACGTGACGCTGGATTGCGCCTCCGTGCCACCGACGTGCGTAGAGACGAGCGAATCGTGCGCTGGTGTTCGGAGAAGGAGGCTGTTGGGCCCGGGACGTGGCGTCGGATGCAGGTGCGCAGCCCAGACCAGCAACAATGCCAATCGATCCCGCGGTTGACGGTCGTGATTGACCGTGACAGCTGATTTTCATGATAATGAAGCGCCCGTCAGCGACAATTGGGCTCGGATTCAAGCAGCCACGGCGTTGCGAGCCGCAGATGCCCTTGGTTCATGATGGGCGGCTGCACGGCTTCGCCCTCGGCGTTCCCGTCGTGAACGCATGCCTTGATGATGCTATGTAGCTGAGTGATTGCGTACTGGACGTGGAATTCCCTGCGTGAAGAGCCACCAAGAAGGCCGAGCCTTCCCTTTCTGATATGCATCCACGCGTTGCCTCATCACATTCGCACTGTTTGACGCCCCTACTGGGATCGACGTCGCGCAACTTGTCGCTGTCGAGGTGGACACGCTCCCGCCTGCGCCACGAAGCCTTGCATTCCCTGCTGTCCGTACACTTCCCAAACGCTTGCGCCGCTGCACGTGCTCCGTGCAGGCCCGCGCTCCGTGACCGGCGCCACCGCCCACACAGGCGAAGAGCTGTGTCCCCTGAGACCCGCGGGGCACCATGGAGGCCGTGCGGCAAATCCTCGACCGCGTGCTCAGCCTCTCCCAGAGCCTAGGGGGCCTAGCAGCGCCTCTGTCCGGCTGCCTCCACATCGTGAAGGGGGCGCTCGACCTGTGCTTATCGCTCAGAGAGCAGAACAAAGGTATCAAGGCGCTCGCAGCCAACCTCCCGGGCGTTGCGAGGGTCCTTGGTGACCTCGCTTGCACCGATGGCATCCACGAGAGCGACTCGCTGGCGGAGGCTCTGAAGACCCTGGAGGAAGCCCTGAACTCCTGCTACAAGCTGCTCCAGGAATGGGAGCGCACGGGCAAGGTCAAGAAGGCAGTGTTCGTGAAGAGCTGGGAGCTGCAGCTGGCGGGCGCCACAGGTCAGGTGTCGTTCGCGCTGGAGCTGATCTCCGCGAGCGGCGTCGGCCTGGCGCAGGAGACGCGCGCCGAGGTCATGCGGATGCGGAAGGACCTGCTGTGCGTCGTCAGCGGTATGGAGCAGCTGCTGAGTGCCGCGTGCCACAACAGCCAGCAGCTGGACGTGCTGGTGGGGCAGGTGGCGCGGCTGCAAGCGAGGTCTGGGGGCATGAGCGAGGAGCAGGTGGCGGCGCTTGCGGCTGAGCTGCGGTTCACGTTGCCCAACGATGTCGAGCGCATCATGGAGCGTCATTTGACGAAGGCACGGGCGGAGAACGAGGAGCGGGATGCAAGATTGGCCGACACGATCGTCAACAGGTTACTCGCTGCTCTGCATTCGTCCGGAGGCGGCAACGCAGTTGTCAACAACCAGGAGATTTGGGTGCCAGGGCGCGGTGATGGGGTGGGTGGCGGCGGCGATGCGCCCGCGTCGCACTCCGGGAGGCAAGGCGTTGTGCGAGAGCTTTCTCGGGTGACCGAGATGATGGACGCCGGCGGCCCGGTGCACGCGGCTGAGCTGCGCGTGGCGAATCTAGACCTGCAGCGGGTGCCGAGCGCTGCCCGAGACGAATGCCCGACGAACAGCTACGAACGTGGACTGTCGACCAAGGAAGGCGACAGGGCGTTCGCAGCGCCGTCGGCGCCCCCCGTAGCGTTCCTCGACCTGCCGTCGCCATCACGCTCGCAGCGCTCGCCCGTCGCGAGGCCGCCGGCGAACGGCGCCGCCAGCCGCGAGGACATATCCGAGGACGAGCGCGTCGCGCAGCTCCAGAACATGGGCTTCTCGCGGCTCGACGCGGAGGACGCGGTGGAGTTGCATGGCGGGAACCTGGACGCGGCGGCGGACTGGATCCTGTCGGGTGGGCCGCAGAGGCTGGCGCAGGGGGGCGCGTTGCACACGCATGCGACGGCGTGGGTGGGGGACGCGGCGGTTCTGGGCGCAGGCGAGCGGTCAGACGCAGCCGTGCAAGGGGAACAGCATGCGTGGAGCACGAATGGCGACCTGCTGGGCTACGACGCGCCCGTGCAGCCGACTGCGCCTCCTGAATCGCTGCCGCCCGCGCAGCCGGTGGTCCCTGACCCGTGGGACGCGCCCGTTCCTGACGGCGCACCTCCGCTTGAGTCAGGCCCCCAAACGCACCCCGCGCTCGCGCAGCCGGGGAATCGGGGCTGGCAAGACCATGGATCTATTCGCGACGACACGGTCGCGAAGCTGCGGAACATGGGCTTCCCGTTGCTGGACGCGGAGCGCGCCGTTGAGCGCTTTGGTGCAGACCTGGACACGGCGGTGGGCTGGATCCTGTCGGGCGGCCCGCAGGAGGCGCAAGGGGGCGAGAGCGGGGCGCAGGCGGCGGGGCGTGAGCAGCAGCCCAGCGACGCGGAGGTGACGCATGACTCGGGCGACAGTGACGGTGAATCTGTGGTGTCGGTCGAGGGGGCGTTGGTGGCGGGCGGAGAGACGGGGACATGGCTGAGGGCAAGCCCTACGGATCGGCTCACGGTGCGTATGCCTGCGTTTGCAGGTCTTACGTTGTTTGCGTGTTTGCGGCGCTGTTCGTTGTTGTCTTTGTAGTGCATGGACTCGGTACCGCACCTCGCGCGGCGGGCCGCACCGCACGGGGCACGTCAAGCCGCGAAACGTATTCGCACTGTTCCCCTTCTCGCAGCTCGAGTTCGGCGCCTTGTCGTGCGACCCGGGTAGTGACCAAATGGAGCAACCCTACATGCGTATTTTCCTGCTGAACGGGGAGGGGGGTTATATTAGCAGGACGCCGAAGCGCACTCCGGCCGCCGCTGAACGTGTCGACGACGGCGAGTGGCGCCTCGACCACGCCGTCGCCCTGAACATTTCCCTGCGCAGCCTGTCCGGCATGCCGGGTGCGGTGGTGCTGCTCGAGGTGATGCATCTCAAGCAGCGCAGGTCGAAGGGACAGAAGGAGTCGCTGCGCGCGTGGACTTTCGTCCGTGTCCAGGACGTACTGCGGGCGCTCCTCTCTGGGGAGGAGTACGAGGTACAACATGGAACAATGGACCTGGCGTTGTACCGGAAGCCGTCGGACCCGAAGCTGCAGAGGCTGCACCGCATGTCGACGAAGAAGTACGCGAACAAGCTGACCCTGTGTGTTGGCGTAGACGGCAGCTCTTGACGCTGGTTGAGGTGGGAAAAACTACAGCTATTCTGACAGACAGTTCGTGACTTGAAGTATGACAGAAGGTGTCAACTGGAGGTCACGTTGATCAAAGCATAGGGCAGCTGCGAGGAACGACGCGGTGGAGTCGCCGCACCTGTGAGGCGTGCTGGCCTGAACGAGCTGGCGGGTGTTCGAGCACGGTTCGCTCGTTGTGACGACGACGAGGTGCCGTGCTCCGCGCCGCTGTCACGACGGAATTCAATCCAGGCAGCGCGATCCGGCCGACAAACCTGACGAGAGGTGCGAGTCTCACAAGCACGACATGCGCATTGCGCCACAAGCGACATCCCTCAGCTGCGATAATCGGCGAGGATATCCTCCAGGCGGCTCTTCCCGGCGTCATCCAGCCGATTTCTAACGCCCTGTATGAGCCGCTCGAGCTCCTCTGTGCGCTGCGGCTGCGGGACTAGGTCCCTTTGCATGACCAACCTCGTCATCGGCGACGTGATCCTGCGTCCCCCGCCCAAGCAAGCCGTTATCCAGTTTTCGATCTCGCTCCGCTCATAGATACGCCCGTCGCTCGCGCGGACGGGGTCTTCGGGCAAGTAGAGAGAGAGCGGGCAGATGAAGTCCTTCACGTCATTCTCAAACTCCCGCAAAATGTCGTCCGGTGACGTCAGAGACGCGTTCCTCACGGACCTCAGCGAGGTTGCGGCGAGCAGATGACGCAGGCGCTGATGGACGTCAGCCGCGTTCGGGCGTCGGCAGGCCTGTGCGTCGGTGCACACTAGGCCAAGGTCTGCTAGCCCCGTGACGAGCTCGACGCGCCGGTCACCACCCCAGTCCCCAGCAGAATGATCGAGCAGCTCCAAGAGATCTGAGCGCCGCCCGCCTGCGGACCGCAGCCTGATCATCGCCTCGGACACAACATCGCGAATGTGCCTGCCGTTGTAGACAGCGCCCCCTCCATCGTCACTCTCTGGGGGTCCTCCCTGCATCTCGAGCGCAAGCACGATGCTCGTGCCATTCAACTGACCCGTAGTGCACACACTACTTGTGAGTGCAGCGCTTGGGGGGGACTAGGAAGCCCCCCCCAATGTCGACGAAACCTCGGCGTGAGCGCGCTGCCAGGAGGAAGCGCGCAGAGGTCACCGCGGGTGTGTCATGCAGCTGCTCGTCTCGCGTCGCGGGCCCTCGCACCTTGTTCGTGAGCATCTCCAGGATGATGACGCCCAGAGAGTACACGTCCAGGTGCGTGTCCGTCGGATTGCATGCTCCCAGGCGCACGTATTCAGGGTCCGCATAGCCCACCGTGCCTTTCGGGCCCTCGAAGATCGACCCTTCGTTAATCCTCGCGCACCCCAGGTCCGCAACCACGGCGTCGAGGTTGTCCGTCAGCAGGATGTTCGCCGGCTTCAAGTCCCTGCAGTGAGGTTGCGCGACGCACACGATGCTTTCTCAGTTACTGCACAGCGCACGTCGCGGCGTGCGCCCACGCAGTATAGTCGCGTGAGATACAGCGATTGCGTTGCCATGGGTCCACGGATCTTGCCTGTGGATGACAGGGTCATCAGGGCGGTCCGAATGCATGCTGAGCACGGCGCTCGATATATCGGCAAGGATGCGCAGCCTCGTGCGCCACGGCAGGGATTCTTTCCCGGAAGCCGAGTCGTGCAGCGCGCGCCGGAGACTGCCCTTGGCGTAGAACGAGCTGACAATCGCGCACTCCTCGTCGAACGACGCGAGCATGGCCAGGATGTGTGGGTGCCGCAAACGCTGCAGCGCCTCCACCTCCTTCTTGTACGCGGCCGGGTCCGGCTGTCCTTGCACGTTCCTGATGCACTTGACCGCGACATACCTCCCTCGCACCTTGCCCTTGTACACGGTGCCGTAAGATCCCGAGCCAACCACCTGCTTTCGAGCGATGATCCGCCGCACATCGGATCGCGTCACGTTGAATGTCGCGCCAGGATTGTTGCCCCTGAGGGTCACCCACATGTTCTCGCGCAGCGTGCCTTGCACGGGTGCACCCTGCCCAGGCCTGCGGGCCTGCGAACGCGCCCCCAGTGTTTGGAAGATGTTTGTGAATCTCGACGGTGGATTCTCCTCGGAGGACCTTCGCGCCGGCGAACGCGCCCCCCGTGTTCGAAACAGATCGGCGAATCTCGACCGCGCGTTCTCTTGGGAGGGCCGTGGTGCAGACCCCGCAGACCGCCGCCTCTTCCTGATGATGACGTAACCGACTGCCGCTGCAACAACAAGCGCGACGCCCCCGACCGCCCCCGCAGCCGCGCCCGCAACCGATCCGCCTGACCCTGACGATCCCGGAGACCCTGACGACGAGGATGGAGCCGCTGAGCCAGACGTCCCGGACCCTGCAGGCCCGACACCTGACATCGAGAGCTCCCTGACGGCAGCCACTTGCCCTGTGCTGCTCGACAGCGCTGCCTCGAGCTCGGCTTGCGACGACATGATGCGGGACGACGCACTCGACCGCGTCGCCGCAGCAGAGCTCTCACGCTGCGACTCGAACGTTGCTACGACTGCGTACGAAGCGGCTTGCAGGATGCGGCGTCTCCGTCCGACAAGGGTCACCGAGACCGACATGGAGACGTCGCCGGGTATGTTGATCATGCTCCGAAGGGCTGCCTCGATCCCCCCGAAAGAGCTCTGAGGGATAGGTTCCTGCGTACATGGTCGCACTAATTGTGGGCTTGGCATGCCTGTACGCCTCTTTCGGATCCCCAACGCACGTGGCAGACATATCCAGGGCGCATTCGGGGGCCATCGCACAGGCGTCACTGACTTACCGAGAACTGGACGAGCATCGTCAGGCTGAAGACGAACGCAGGAGGTGCATTCGTCGCGACGGAAGTGATCTGCCCCCCTGGAGCCGCCGCCGCAGCAGTCTGCGCAGGGCCCTGCGGCGGCTGTGCAGTCTGCGGTGCTTGCGAAGTTGAAGACGCGGCCGTCGCGCCAGGCGCGGTCTGCCCTCCTGGCGCCGCCGCAGCAGCAGTCTGCGCAGGCCCCTGCGGCGGCTGTGAGGTCGGCTGCGGTTGCGTCGGCGACGAAGGCGCTGCCGTCGCGCCAGGCGCGGTCTGCCCTCCTGGCGCCGCCGCAGCAGCAGTCTGCGCAGGGCCCTGCGGCGGCTGTGAGGTCGGCTGCGGTTGCGTCGGCGACGAAGGCGCTGCCGTCGCGCCAGGCGCGGTCTGCCCCCCTGGCGCCTCTGTGCCCTGAGCTGTGACAGGCTGGGTAGAGCACGCGTCGCCCACACCGTCGCCGTCGGTGTCCGTCTGATCCGCGTTGGCGATCTTCGGGCAGTTGTCCTGCGCGTCCGGCACGCCGTCGTTGTCGTCGTCGTCGTCGCACGCGTCGCCGAAGCCCGCGCCGTCGGAGTTGAGCTGGTCGGGGTTGGCGACCAGCGGGCAGTTGTCCAGGTCGTTCACCACGCCGTCGCCGTCTGCGTCGTCATCGCACGCGTCGCCTGTTCCGTCGCCGTCGGTGTCGGCCTGGTCAGGGTTCGCCACGAGGGGACAGTTGTCGGCACTATCCAGCACGCCGTCGTCATCGTCGTCGTCGTCGCACGCGTCCCCCAGGCCACGGCCGTCGGTGTCGGTCTGATCCGCGTTTGCAATGAGCTGGCAGTTGTCCTGGGTATCTTGCACACCGTCGCCATCATCATCGCTGTCGCACGCATCGCCCGCCCCGTCTCCGTCCGTGTCAAGCTGCCCCGCGTTCGAGTCGTAGGGACAGTTGTCCTCTGCGTCGACAACGCCATCGCCATCGCTGTCGTCGCACACATCCCCTACACCGTCACCGTCGATATCCATCTGGTCCGCGTTCGCCACCAGCCGGCAGTTGTCAATCGAGTCCCGCGCACCATCGTTGTCGTCATCAAGGTCGCACGCGTCGCCCTCGCCGTCACCGTCGGTATCGGCCTGGTCGGAGTTGCGCGTGTCCGGACAATTGTCCAGCGCGTTCTCGATCCCGTCGCCGTCGTCGTCCTCGCACACATCCCCGACTCCGTCGCCGTCGGTGTCGGTCTGGTCAAAGTTGGCAATCTTCGGGCAGTTGTCATCCCCGTCCAGGATGTCGTCGTTGTCGTCGTCGCCGTCGCACGCGTCGCCCGCAGCGTCCCCGTCGTTGTTCTCCTGACCCGGATTGAACACCCCCACACAGTTGTCCACCACGTCGAACACACCGTCCCCGTCCTCGTCCTCGCACAGGTCGCCGATGCCATCGCCATCCGTGTCGGCCTGGGCGCCGTTGGGGACGTCCACGCAGTTGTCGACCTCGTTGAGCACGCCGTCGCCGTCCCTGTCGTCGTCGCATGCATCGCCCACGCCGTCGTTGTCAATGTCCGTCTGGTCGGCATTTTGGGCGCGCGGGCAGTTGTCCGTCGACTCGAGCACGCCGTCACCGTCGACATCGTCGTCGCACGCATCCCCCGTGCCGTCGCCGTCGAGGTCTGCCTGGTCGGCGTTGGCGACCAAGCGACAGTTGTCCAGGGCGTTCAGAACACCGTCGCCATCGTCATCCTCGCAGGCGTCGCCCACGCCATCGCCGTCGGTGTCCGTCTGATTGCGGTTCGCCACGCGTGGGCAGTTGTCGTCCGCGTCCAGCACGCCGTCATCATCATCGTCGTCGTCGCACGCATCACCAAAACCATCGCCGTCGGTGTCCGTCTGGTTCGTGTTCACCACCAGCCTGCAGTTGTCGTCAGCGTCCAGCACGCCGTCCCCGTCGTCGTCGTCATCGCACGCGTCGCCTACCCCGTCGCCGTCGGTGTCCGTCTGGTCCGCGTTCGCCACCAGCCTGCAGTTGTCCAGCGTGTCCCGCACACCGTCGCCGTCGTCGTCGTCGTCGCACGCGTCTCCGACACCGTCGCCGTCGGTGTCCGTCTGGTTCGCGTTCGCCGCCGACACGCAGTTGTCCAGCGCGTTCGCCACGCCGTCGCCGTCGTCGTCCTCGCACACGTCGCCCACGCCGTCGCCGTCGGTGTCGGCCTGGTTCCCGTTGGCGATCTTCGGGCAGTTGTCCTCCGCGTCCGGCACGCCGTCGTTGTCGTCGTCGTCGTCGCACGCATCCCCGAAGCCCACGCCGTCGGAGTTGAGCTGGTCGGGGTTGGCGACCAGCGGACAGTTGTCCTGTGTGTCCAGCACGCCGTCGTTGTCGTCGTCGTCGTCGCAGGCATCGCCCACACCGTCGCCGTCGATGTCAGCCTGGTTCGCGTTCGCCACGAGTGGGCAGTTGTCGTCCGCGTCCAGCAAGCCGTCGTCGTCGTCGTCGTCGTCGCACACGTCCCCCACGCCGTCGCCGTCGGTGTCGGTCTGGTTCGTGTTCGCTGCAGACACGCAGTTGTCCTGCGCATCCGGCACGCCGTCGCCGTCGTCGTCATCGTCGCACGCGTCGCCCACACCGTCCCCGTCGGTGTCGGTTTGGTTCGCGTTCGCCACGAGGGGACAGTTGTCAGCACTGTCCAGCACGCCGTCGCCGTCGTCGTCGTCGTCGCACGCGTCGCCCACGCCGTCGCCGTCGGTGTCCGTCTGGTTCGCGTTCGCGACCAGCCGGCAGTTGTCGATCCAGTTCAGAACAGAGTCGCCACGTACGCGCCGTAGCGGTACGCGCCCACCACCACCACGTCGCCGCTCACCGCCACCGTAGCCGGCGCGAGTCATACCACATCCGTCGCTCACCGTCAGCTTCGCCTCCGCCCATGTCCCGTCCGATTCATACACGTACGCCGACCCCGACCTGCTGTCTGTCGTCGTCGCCGCGCGCCCACCACCGCCACGTCGCCGCTCACCGCCACCGCCCAGCCGAAGAAGTCATCCGCCGCCCCGTCGCTCGCCGTCAGCTTCGCCGCCTCCGCCCACGTCCCGTCCGACGCCCGCTCGTACACGTACGCCGACCCCGAGCTGCTGCCCCTGTCGTCGTCGCCGTACGCGCCCACCACCGCCACGTCGCCGCTCACCGCCACCGCATAGCCGAACAAGTCGCCCGCCGCCCCGTCGCTCGCCGTCAGCTTCGCCGCCTCCGCCCACGTCCCGCCCGACGCCCGCTCATACACGTACGCCGACCCCGAGGCGCTGCCCCTGTCGTCGTCGCTGTACGCGCCCACCACCGCCACGTCGCCGCTCACCGCCACCGCATCGCCGAAGTAGTCGTCCGCCGCCCCGTCGCTCGCCGTCAGCTTCGCCGCTACCGCCCACGTCCCGTTCGGCGCCCGCTCATACACGTACGCCGACCCCGACCTGCTGCCCCTGTCGTCGTCCCGCGGTGCGCCCACCACCGCCACGTCGCCGCTCACTGCCACCGCCTGGCCGAACCAGTCGCTCGACGCCCCGTCGCTCGCCGTCAGCTTCGTTTCGCGACCTCCCTGAGACGTTTGCTGCAGCGCCCGTGCGCCCTCATCCGGCATGTCCCCGCGCACGTGTGACGCGCTTGCACCGACGCGCGCGCAAGCGCATGCTAAGACCACGAAGATCAGCGCTGCGACGCAGTGCAGCCGTCCAAGCAGCGCTGCACTCCTGCCTCGACAACAAGAAGGACCAGCCCCTTCGTCTGCCGACCGACGAACGCAGTAGCGTCGCTCGTTGCGAGGGATCCGCGCCGTCATTCCCGGCGCGTAAAATGTCTGGACCATCGCTTCTGCGCAGAGACATCGACGCGCGCGGTTCGAGCGTCACGGCAACGTGCGTGGCGACATGCAGCAGTGGGGGCGCGGTGCCGACTCACGGGCCATCGCTGTGCAGCGCTCGCAGCGCAACGAGCATCTCCGAGCATAATGCATCACGTTCGCCGACGCAATAGGATACATTCGCGTCCAGGGGGTGCGGCGCGCCAGCTCTGTGGACCCACCTGCCCAGGGAAGCTGCAGCGTCGCAGTAGTGGTGATGAGGAAGGTTCGACCCGAAGATGGCAGCCACACGTGCACGAAGATGCGACCCACCCGCTGCGATCGACCGCAATGTGCGCCAGTCCGTGCTGCCGCGGGGGTGGTGCCAAGTACTCCACAGAGGCCCCATGCGTTGTCGGCACCGCCCGCCAGGAGCCAGAAAGCAACGTAACGAGCCGGAAAGCGCTGCTATGATGTAGTGCGAGGGCGCCGACCTGTCTGGCGAGGTCTACAACGACGTTTCGCGACGTTCCGCGGGCAGCTATGACTGCTCCGACCCTGCGCCGTACGAGGCTCCGAGCACGGTCAATGCAGGCCGAACCTCCGCGATCCAAGCGGCGCTCCTGCGTGGAAAGCGACCGCACAACGCACCTGCCTGCCTCGTCGCTCCGCCCGCGTCCCCCGCGCCCCTCCCGCGCCGGTGCTGCCCCACCCACCGCCACAGCAACATGCGCGACCGCGAGTCACCGGCGACGGACCCGCGCACGCACGCCGCCGCCCAGGCACACGCACCCGCATCGCAAGGCCACCGCCTGGCCGTGCACGCGCCCCCTTTCGAACCCGCCAGCCGCGCACGGCAGCGTTGCGCAGTTGCACCACTCCTCGACACAGCGCACGAGCCGCACCGAGAGTTCTGTGCGACGGCCGCCCTGCACACGAGCGTACGGTGCCAGGGCTGTGTGCTCCTCGGGGCCACGGCGTACGCCCGCACGCTCGCCGCGGCGGGCCGGCATGTTTCGCGCACGACAGTGGGAGCGGCGCGTTGGGCGCGAGGAGGGGCCCGTCACTGACCTGGCGCTGCGAGCTGGCCGCCACTCCACCCCGCGCGCTGTGGCTGCCCGCCGCTGCCACGCGGCGCGGCCTGAGCGCACACGGCCGTGAAATCTCCTGCGCATCGTCACGCCTGCACGTCAAGGGAGGCGACGATCGGGTTCAGTCTTCGCCGAGCTGCGGCGGGTCAGCGCACGGCCCAGCAGTGCCATGCGTGCGGTGCTCGGTCGCAACGGCGGAACGTGCCTGCTTGTGAGTGTCATCCGGGTGCCAGCAGCTGCATGGCCCCGGGGCCGCCGAGGGCGCCGTTTGAGACCTCGCCGCCGCACGCGTCCCTCGCTGATAGCGTCGCGGATCGCGGGGCGTCAGGGCCCCCGATACAGCCTGCACGTCACGCCGTCTGCTTCCCATAGCGCAGTCATTGACGCCGCAGACGTGGTCGACGCCCCGCTCCGGGGCTGCCTCGCCGGTCCGCGACGACCCAGTCTATTCTGCGCACAGCGTCGTCCCGCGTGTGCGATGTGGGCGCCGCTGCGCGGCGACACGGCCACATGCAGCAGCGAGGCGGTTGAGCTGACCGCGGTAGCTCGTGACGGAGCGAGGGAAGACTGAAAAAGAGTGCGGGGACGGTTCAGCCAACATTCATCATATCAGCGCTGATGAGCAAGCCCGACTCACCGCCACCGCGCGCGCCCGTTCCCGCCTCCAATCAAGGCCCACTCCATGCGCGAATGCTGCCCACGCCGCGGCGTTCTGGTGGACGCGGTCAGCCCGCTGCGACGACGGTGCAGTCTTCTTTCCACGTGACGTCGGGTCTGAGAGGTGCGGCAGCCGATGTGCCCGCCACCGCGCCCCCCCTTCGCAGCGCAGGATCGCCGCATCACACGTGGACGGAACCATGCCGTGTTGTACCCGGCCCGATCGTGCGCGAGGCGGCAAACATCGTGGCACCAATCTGCGCGCGGATCGCCCAAACGGCTGCGCACACTGAGCCACCTCAGCGCTGGAGGCCCCCTGCGAAAAGAGCCCCCTTCTCTGGCGTCGAGATTTTGGGCTGGGCGAGCAGGCGGTTGGTCCAGATCGCATGCATAGCTGCCAGATATTGCTGTGCGGCACGCGCAGGTCCAGAGAGAGGCTTTGGCGTCCCGTTCATGGAGGTGCCGATCGGCACACGCCGACGACAGCTGCGGGCCGGGAGCTGCACCGTCCGTGCTCGCCCCTCGAGGAGGCAGGCGAGCCCGGCATGTTGCAGCTGCGGCCGCGATGCTTCGCGTGCTGAGGCGGTCTCGCACCAGCGGTCATCGCGCACCACTCGCCTGCAGGCGATTCGATGCGCGCGTCGGGCCGCTCTTCCCCCTCGATGCACGCCCGCACCTGCAGCAGCGCGCGGTGCTGCCGTCGGGTCCCCTCACCAACCGCGAGCAGATCTACAGCTTGTGCTCCCCTGCGGTGTGCTCTTGCCATCAAACATGCGCAGGACAGTCGCGAGGCTCCCTTTCTCGCCCAGAACGAGCACCGCGAGGCCACGGTCCACGTCGCGCAGCAGCTGGGCCTTCGCGTCCTTGTGAGATTCGAATACCACCCGTTCCAGGATGAAAAGACACTGTGCTAGCGCGTGTCAGAAGGCTTCTGACATCCCGTGGCTTCTCGCGGGCCACCGCAGCGGGGAGGCGGCCTTGCCCTGCGAGAAGCGTCAGCGCACCGCACCTCTGTCTGTCCACCAGCGGGGCGACAGGGCCCGGGGGCAGTGTTTCGCCGTGTCAGTCCCAGGCCGCGGGCGGGCTGCGGCGCTGCGTTGGGGCCGGCGCGGCGCCGGCGCGGACAGAGTCGTCGTCCGCGTCCCCGTCCTCTCTCCCCGGCCTCTGGCCCTGTAACCGCATCCTGCGAGCCTGCCGCTTGAGTGCCTTCTCGACAGAGCAAGCAGCGAACGCGTCTGCACGAGCCCTGCGACCGCCCTCGCCATCCGAGCGCACGAGGAATCGGCAGTGTACATCGCGTGAGACGGTGTTTCGTACCCGTGAGCCCCCCGTGACGTCCTGCGAGTACGGTCGGAGGCCTAGCACTGCTCGCTAGCTCTCATTCTGGCTTTCGCCGTCCTCGTCTGACCACCAAGCACCATGGGCTACGCCGGGTACTACTCCACGACCGCCAAGATCCCCGACCAGCTCACCCCCGTCGAGGCGGCCCTCCGCAACGTCAAGCAAATGGACTCGCTGGTGCGCGCACCCTCCTGGCCGCTGCAGCGCGCGCCGCGGGCGAGACACGCGGCTTCCGCGCGACGCCTCGACCACTTCCTGTGCCTGCAACACAGTCACAGCATCGCGACGTCACGTTGCGGCGCGCTACCGCGCCTGCGGAGCACTCGAAGCGCGTGCACCCCACGATCGCAATTCCGCCGTGTTCCGGACGCAGGAGATCGTGGGTAAGCTCGTGTACAACACGGTGGTCTCGCCGCAGGAAGCCAAGTTCCGCAGGATCCGTCTGAGCAACCCCAAGATCCACGAGGCGGTCGTCAAGGCTGGTGCGCACCCTTCCGCGCCCTCTGTGTGTTCGTTCCGTCGCCTTCCGCGCCACCTTCCCCGCCACGTGGCACCTCCTCGCCATCAGACGCACCCCCGCGCCGCGCCGCGGCCGGAACCGAGGAGAACGAGTCCGTGGCAATCGAAAAACGCTGTCTGTTTGTTGTTTCTCGAGGCCTGAGTTGCGCCCGCGCGCTCCCGTGCAGGCGCCGTGGACGCCCTCGAGCGCATGGGCTGGCAGAAGGCCGCGGACGGCGAGAACGCGGAGGGCGCGCTGGTCCTCCCGGACGGCCGCTTTTTGACCATGAAGGAGTATAAGATGATTGAGGAGGCCAAGGATCGTCTGAAGAAGGCCATCGCCGACGAGGCGCGGTTCAAGAAGTAAGCCTGCGTCGACCTGTGCCGCGGGGCACGGAACGTGGGTCGATGCCTCGTCCTGGTCTGTAGAAGTGCGCCGAAAGAAGGGAAACAGGCTCTGGAGATGCGTGTGGGGTTCTCGACTCGGGGAGGCGCGGGCCGGACGCGTGTGACGCTGCGGACGCGGTGCACGGCCGTCACACCACCACGCTCTCTCGCGTTGCTCGCACACACCCCCTCTGCTGCGCCGTCGAACGTCGTGCTGTTGCTGTCGCCCGGCCCCGAACCCGCTCGCCCGCTGCTCCTTGCATCTCACGGCCCCCTCGCCTCGCATTTCACCTGTTCCTACCCTCTCGTCTCCTCCTCACGACTTGCGTTTCGTACCATCCCCCCCCCCCTCACCGTTTCTCCCCCCCCCGCCGCGTCACGCGGCGCCCATCATGGCGCCCGGCGTGATCACGATGTCCTCGTACGGGCCCGCCTGGTCCGCAACCACCAGACCCTGCGACACGCACGCGGTCACGTGCAGGAACAGCTTCGCCGCCTCGGACCGGCTCAGCGGCGCGGCTACGTGCGCGAACGAGATCTCCTCCGGAAGGCCCTTGTCCTGCACGACGTGCACGGCAACGCGGCGCCGAATCAATCAAGAGGTTGAAACAATGTTGAGCTGACAATTGAGAATCATAGATTGAAGAGCGGGCATGGCTTTTACGACGCTCTGATCGCTGCACGGTGCCCGCGCCGCACCCTGCACACGCCGAACTTGGCCGCGAACAGCGCCACCACCGCGAGCGTCGCGCGCGTCGCGCCCGGCAGCAGCGGCGCGTCCTGCGTCGGCCGCTCCGTCTCCAGCCCCAGCGCCTGCGTCCCGCTGCCCGGCAGCGCGTCCGCGTCGCGATCCGCGAGGACGTCGCCGGAGTCGATCCGCAGCATCTCGTCCAGCGTGTCGGCGCGCACGCCGTCGGAATTCATGCCCGAGCTGGCGTTGGGCGTCGCGCCGCCGGACGACGCGCCGGGCTGCGCGGGTCCGCCGCTGCGCGCACGAGGAAGCAGTCGACGTATCGTTGGGCGCGGGCTCCATGTGCGTCCGCGTCAAATATGAGCGAACGTTGAACACGAACCACAAAAAACAGAACAACGTGGAGCGTTGGCACGTATCGTCATCCGTGCCACGCGGCCTGCAGCGCGCGCAGCAAGCAAGCACACGCGTTGTCCGCGCGCACGCACCTCGGGCCCCCGCTCCCCTGTCCGTCCGACCGCTGTACGCCCAACCCCAGGTTTGCAAAGTCAGTCGGACTGGCCCTGGCGCTCGGCGTGGTCAGCGCGCGCCGCAGCTGCTCCACCTCGATGTCCTCGCCGGCCAGCACCGCCGGCAGCACCGCGCCGTCGCCCTCCCGAAGGGGGGTGTCTCCGAACCCCCCCTCCTCCTGAATCGGGCCGTCGTCGTGTATCACGTCATGCTCCGCGCCGAACTCCCCCCTCCCGTCCAGCTGCGCGCCCTCGTGCACGAAGTCGAACGCGCCGCCGTCGTGCCCCAGCACGAACTCCTCCGCGGGGGGCCTCTCCGGCGACACACCCCCCCCCTCGTTCGCCGCCGCGTCCGTCCTCCGCTGCGCCCGCTTCGACTTGCCCTTGCCGTGCAGCGTCACCGCGAGCGGGCCGAGCAGATCCAGGAGCGGCGCGTTCGGCGGGAGGACGTCGTCGGTGGCCAGGCGCGGCGCCGCGAGGAGGCCGCGCAGCTGCGTCGCGCTGACGTCGGCCGCAGCCGGGCGGTGCTTCGGGCGGTCCGTCACGAGGTCCGCCGTGTCGTGCAGGCGGAGGTAGAACTCCTCGGGGGGCACCTGCAGCTCCCCCGGCTCGTCGGCCGTCGTCTTGCGCCTCTTGGCCGAACGCTTGACACCCCCCGCCTTCCTGCGGGCCGCTGGGGCGGCGGCGCCGTCTCCGCGCTCGCCGCCGTCCTCGGGATCCGGGACGATGACGTCGTCGTAGACCTCGGGGGCGCCGTCCCCGAAGCCGACGATCTCGTCCTGGCGCCCGTCCTCGAACGCGGCAAAGTCGTTGTCGTTGCGGGGGTGGTTGTCGCCGCCGATTTCGGGCATGTCGAACGGCACGTCGAGGTCGCCCTGCGCGCAGCTAGGCAGTTGCAGTTATTGCGAGCGCGTGCAGGGCGTAGCTGCGGCGAGCGCGTGCGTTCGATGTTGTCGGTTGGCACTGGCAGCTCAAGCTCTTTTGTTTTTGCTTTTTGCGACGTCGCTTTTGCGGTGCGAGAGTGCGCACCCCGAAGCCGTCGACGGCGAAGCGGCCGTGGTTGGCGTCGAGTATGTCGCCAGACGCGCCGAAGCCGCGTTCCCCGGAGCTGGTGCCGCCGTTGCCGCTGTGGAAGAGCCGGAAGCTGCCAGGCGACACGCCGGACTGCCCAGGCGTGTGCACGGCCTCGAGGCTGTCCGTGAGGGGGTCCCCGAAGACGCGCTGCTCGTCCTGCGTGCCCGGCCACGGAGGGGGCGGAATTCGAACTGTTGGAGGCCGTGAGCGGGGCGCGCCGTGGAGCGGCGAGGCTCGTTTCGCACGTAGGTCGCGAGGAAGTATGCGAAACAGCGCGTACCACGAGCAGGAGGTCCTGCATGAGGTTGTCCGGCGCCGTGAGGAACTGGAGCTGGTTGACCACGTCGCCCTGCGTGAGGTTGATGTTCACGGCGCCCCTGCGGACGCCGAGCGTGTTCCTTTGATTAATTTCAGATGGTTTGGAGCGGGAACGAGTGGCCGACGCGCGCAGGTTAGGGCCAGATCCGCGGCGATGGGTATTTCCACACCTCTTGCGCTTTTTCGTCCGCTTCTTCGACTTCTTCTGGCCCTCCTCCGCCATCGTCTCGTCGTCCGACTGAGGAGCCACCAGTGCGCTGTTCACCTTGTTCTGCGGACCGTCCAATCGAAACCACGCACCACCAACGTTTTCGCGCACTCGACCACGCTGTCCCCGCGGACACGCGCCGGCACTTCTGAAGCGCAGCACGCGCAGAAGGAGGTCTCACCATGGTGCTCAGGGTGTCGTCGTGCAAGTACCCGACCTGCTTCGAGAACACCACCGCGCAGCCACCCGCCAGGAGCGCGCTCAACCGCAGACTCAGCGGCGCGTCGGGGTGGATGATCTTCTCGATGCAGTCCTGCAGGTCGATCCCGAGGAGCTTCGCCTTCCCCAGCCGCTTCCCGTGCGCCACCACCCAAATGGCGCCCAGGGGCGACCTCTTGCCCAGCAGGTCCTTGCTGTAAAACATCGCGACGGCGTGCTGCGGATCTGCCGCTCGCTCGCCGGCCGGTCGGTGAGTTGTGGCGGCTCCGCGGTGGCGGGCACGGCTCTCGAGGGACGTGCGGGGCGCGGGTCGGTCGGAAAACCACGTCACTTGCTCGGCCGCGTCAGGTTTGAGGGCTTCCCTGGACGCAGCACGAAGCGCGCGCGAGAGGGAAAGTGGGAGAGTCCTTTTGTCGAGCGTGGGAGGGGCGTGAAGCTCGCGTCCGGCGCCGCACGAGGCCGCGATCGCCGCCCAGGCGTTTGTAAGAACGACCCCGTCGCCGGGATGCTGCGGCGCCTGGCCGTCGCGGTCGCTGCCCTTCTCTCTTTTTGCTCGAGCCCCTGTGCCGCGGCGCACATCCCTCTGGTGCACGGCGACGGCCTGAGCGAGCGGGCCAGGCAGTTGATCAACGCTGCCTTCGACATGGACGTCCCCCGCGCCACCCTGCTCAAGAGCCGCGGACCAAACGAGCTGCAACGCATCAGGGAAACGTGCGCGCTCGCGGAACGGCCAACTGCAACGGACGCATTCCTGCAAAGCACAGCAAACATCCTCGTTTCGTTTCGTCGCCACGGCGAAACGACTCCGGCCGAGCGCCCGCAGACGTTCCATCGATTCTTCCCTCGCCGCAGGATGGCCGCGACCGCAGCGGCGTTCGAGGAAGCAGGCGCGCGCACTGCCGCGCAGGGGCGCCACCTTCGGGCGCGTGAGCGCCACCTGCGATGCGCAGCACACCAAGTCTTCGGCGCTGGCGCCGCTCCAGCGCCCCCCGAAGGCTGCGCCGCAGAGCTGTAAACGCGCAACCCACCACTCGCAGCTCGAGCCGGGTTCAACGGCGTCGCGCAGCCCGCCGCTGCGCCGCACGACCGCCCCCGCTGCGGCCGCAGCTGCACACGCACCGGTATTGTACTGCGGTGACGGCCGCGTCGTCGTTTCTCGCGATCACACGCGTGATCCGCGCATCAAGCTGCGCACCAGCTGCGCACAGCGCCAGGCCGCCGACCGGCCCCACCGCCCCCCGCAGCCCGCGGACGCCCGCGTCGCACCTCGCTCGAGCCCCCCCGCGGCTGCCCCGGCGCCCCGCCAGCGCCCACACTCCCCCAACACCCCCAACACACCCCCGCCGCTCACTTCGTCCGCACCCACTTCTCCTTCGGCGGGAGCTCGACGACGGTCCCGCCCGCGGCCTCGATCGCGGCCTTCGCCGCGTCCGAGAACGCGACGGCCTTGACCGTCACCTTCTTCGTCAGCTCTCCGCGGCCCAGCACCTTGAGCGGGAGCGTCGCCTCGCGGCCACTGAGGTTCATGATGCGCTTCTCCTGGATCGTCTCGAGCGTGACCTCCTCGCCGTCCTCGAACTTGTCGCTGATCGAGTCCAGGTTGATCACGTTGAACTTGGGCAGGCCCGCCGACATGCCGCCCGCGATACCCTTGAGCTTGGGCAGGCGGCGGTACAGGGGCATCTGGCCGCCCTCGAACCCGGCGCGGATGGACGCGCCGGACCGGGACTTCTGCCCGCGGGTGCCGCGACCGGCCGTGCCGCCCTGTGGAGACGGGGGGCGCGGGTGGTGTTGGTGCGGCAGTGGGGAGGGTGCTGGGGGGAGTGTAGGACGTGGTGGTGGCGTGAGGGGGGGTGTGTGGGCGAGGGATGTGGCGGAGGGGGTGCTGGGGGGGCGAGGTGGCTCGGAACCGCGGGGGTGCGGCCTGGCGGACCGATGAAGCCAACTGATGGGCTTGGAGGGGCTCTGGCGGGCTGGGTTGGGGCTGTTGTGGTTGCCGGAGCGCGTGGAGCGATCGAGAGGAAATGTGGGAGGGGAATGCGCTACGGCATCGCCGGCTCGGGGGCGGGTGCGGGGACGGTGAGGGGCATTTCGCCGTGCGGGCTACTCACCCCCTTCCCACCGTAGCCGCGCGCGACCCTCCGCTTCGGCCGCCGGGCTCCTTCGCTAGGGCTGAGGTTGTGGAGGCACAGCTTCTCGGCCTTGATCGTCAGGGCCGCCACGCGCGCAGCCCGGACGGGGGCGACGCGCTGCGCCACAGCAGCGCCCCGGATGGAGCTGCTGACGGAGCTCATGCTGGCCGCAGCCTGCGGAAACGAGAGGAACGATTCTGAGGACGTCAATGGGCCTCGAGGGCGCGCCCGCGACGCGCACGCGGGCGACCAGGAGGGGAGGCCGGCCCAGGCCAGAAGCGCGAGCGCGGCCGTTGAGGCGATGATGGCGCCTCCGCGCCCGCGACAGGCAGTCAGCGACCGCGCTGGGTCGTCGCATTCGCCTGTCGCGCGCAGCAGGGGCCGAGGATGCGCGTTCGGCCTCGTGCCTGGCGCAGGCTCAGCCACTGCTGCAGGCCCGTCCGGGCGCCCTCGGCCTTTTGTTCGGCGCCCCGCGCGCGCTCACGAATACACCGCGGCGTAAACAGCGCGCGCCGAGCGCGCTCCACGTCCGCACGCGCACAGCCAGCGCGCCCCCTCATCCATGGCAGCAAACGCCCGCCGTGCCGCGAAGGCCGCGGCCACGCGACGCACCTTGCACTGAGTGACGGCCTGCATCTTGGTTCCGCTCGTCCAAGCTGCCGCTCTGCGCGGCCCAGCGGCCCAAAGCTGCCCGTGGGGGCCAGCGCGACTGTCCGGGTAGGACAAAAGCCAGCGCGGGGCCGTTATCGTGCGACGACGCCGCGGCGCCAATCCAGCACGTCTTCCGCTCACACTGGGCCGTCGCCTGAGCCGTTCTCCGGTGCACTCCGCGAGGCCTGGCAGCGGGCGAGACGTACACGGCATCTTGTGGTGCTTCCGTGGGTTTGGGGCCGCCGGCGTGGCATGCGAGCCCTGCCGCACGCCGGCGCGTGAGCGAGAGCTATCGCGCGAGGCCGGGGCGGGCGCGGCTCGGTCTGTCCCGCAACGCAACAGGCGCAGTGGAGGACCACAACGGCGAGAAGGAGTAGCGCGCTGGGGCTGCTCGCAGGTCCACCGTCGCCGCGCAACGTGGTCGCGATGCCATATTCGTTGCGAAGGGCGGCCATCGGGGCCGGAGTCGGCGCGGACGGCGCGGCGCCGCGGCGCTGTGCTCTCCGCCAGCGCTGCACGAAGCTGGCGCGCCGCGCTGTGGGGCGCGACTCGCACGCCTCGTGCGGCGACGACACGCCAGAGAGCTCGAGGGCGTCGCGGCGGAACGCGCTCGCGGCGCTGACGCTCCTCGGCGCGCCAACCACCGCTGCAGCGCTGCCGACGCGCGTCTCCGCGGCCCCGGTGCCGCCGTTCTGCGGCGTTGAGGACGTGATCCCCCCGTGGGCGTTCAACACGCCGTGGGAGGAGACCGTGATCGACACCCCCGGGGCACCGGGGCTGAAGACCTGGGTCAGGCGGATTGGAACCAAACCAAAGGGGGGGGGTCTTTTCGGGCGGAAGAAGAACGCGGGGGAGTCGACGCCGCTCCCGATCGTCGTCGTGCACGGCGGCCCGGGCCTCCCGAGCAGGTCAGCGTCGCGCAGACCCCTGCATGCAGCGACCGCGGCGTGTGATTTTGACGACATCTGCGACGCCGTAGCTGTTGTTGGGGCTGCTGCGCAGGTACCTCGAGACGCTGGAGTTCCTCGGGCGGTACCGCGAGCTCGTGTTCTACGACCAGTCGGGCTGCGGGACGTCCCTGCGCGCATCCAAAGGCGCCACGCCCCCTCTCGCCACCGCCACGCCCGTCGCGGCCGTCGACTTCTTCTGCGCGGAGCTCGAGGCCGTCTGCCAGGCGCAGGGCCTCGAGCGGTACCACGTGTACGCGGCGGGGCCCTGGGGCGGCATCGTCGCGCTCTCAGCGGCTGCGTCCGGCCGGATCCCGGGCGCGGCGTCGCTGGTGCTTGCGTCGCCCGTGAGGTCGTACGCCGGCCTCGTGCGCGACCGCACGGCCGCGCTCGCCGCGCTCGAGGACGCTGGCGCGCGCGCGGCGCTGCGGGACGGCGCGGACGGCCCCGCGGCCGCCGCGGCAATGGAGAAGTACAACTTGAAGTATTTTTCGAGAAAGAACAGTGCTGGGTGCTTGGCGGTGGCGAGAAACGGCTTCGGCGCGGACGTCTCGGCCGTGCTGATGGGCGGGAAGTACTTCGAGGCCGCGGGCGCGCTCGCGGGGTGGGAGGCGGACGCCGCAGAGCTGCAGCGCATCAAGGTGCGATGTCGCGCGCATCTTGTTCTGAAAAATCACGCCACGTGCATCGCTCCCTGGACGCGAAGCGGCCATGATGTGCATCTGCGACGCAGGGGCTTCCGACGCTGCTCACGAGGGGGGAGTTCGACGAGGTGTCCAGGGGGAGTGTTGCGGCGCTGCGGGACGAAGCGCTGCCGTGGGCGGAGGTCGCGCCGGACCTCCCGGGCGCCGCCACGTGCCAGCACATCGACAACTGGGAGCCGCACTTGGAAACGGTGCAGGCGTTCGTGGAGCGCGTGGAGGGCAAGACGGCCTGACGCAGCCGTGTGTGCACAGCGCCCAGCAGGGCTTCTGTCGAGGAGCACGCGGAGTGTTCTGGGCGCGGCGTGGCGCGGAGACCTGCGTTGTATTTGTGAAGCTGTATGGACATGTGTTTACGCATGTGCGTATCTATTTGGGGACGTGTACAACCGCAGCGCGGAGATGTGCATTTCGTCCGCAACCGGTCATCGCCGACTTGAACGGGGCATCTGTCGGAGAAATCCACGTGCACGATGTACGCAAGCCGGCCGCTGGTCGTCCCAGGCGCCGCCCCTGCGTCACCGCACGGCCAAAACCCCACCTCAACAACAACAACAACTCAATCGCGCTCATGCACGCAGCGCAAGAACTTCGAGCACGACGTCCCTCACTTGCACACTTGCACGCAAGTACCTCTCCGCACCATTTCGCGGGGAAGTGCCAAACCACCTCTCTCCCGCACCTGCGACACCAGCCTCGTTCCAGACCCGCTCGTTCACACCAACGCCTCACATGCCGCACCGGCGCCGCCGAGCGCCCCGCGCGCCGCGCATCGGTCAGTCCTCCTCCGAAGACTCCCCCCCCAGCCCCATCAGCGACACGCGCGCCCCTAGCTCCCGCTGCACAACTCGCAGCGCCTCCAACGCGTCCTCGAGGCGCATTCCGAGGTCCGTGGCGTCCAGCGCCGCGCTCCGCAGCGACGCCAGCTCGCCCGGGGGCATGTTGAGGGCGTCCCGCGTCAGCTCGGCGGCGTACGCGTGGGCTGCGTAGGACACCCGCTCCATGGCGGGGAGCCCTGCGGCGGACCCGCACCACGCGAGGACGTAGGCCCACTCGTCCGCGGCGGCCTCGAGGTCGGCGTCGCCGGAGCGCCTGCGCGGAGCGAGAGAGACGTGCGGTCGGGCGACGCGGCAGTTGGGAAAACATGGTTGGTCTCGAAGCGAACGTGAGGTCTGAGTGTTGGTGAGCAGGGGCGCCTGTGAGCGCGTGCCCGCCCGTGCACGCCCGCGGAAGTCGCGCACGGCACCGCTGCGCACGCTGTCCTGACAACAGCAACAGAGGGGGGGAGTGTTCGATCCAGTCGCACGTGGCCGCCGCCGCACCTGCAGAGGTCGGCCACGCTCGTGATCACGCCGCGCAGGTCGTGCGCGGCCACCGTCGCGTCCCGCAGCGCCGTCGCCGTCTCCGGGGACGCCGTACCAGCGCTCTCCTGCGGCTGCCCGGCGTGCTGGTTCTCGCCGTCCTGGGCCTGGACGCTGAGCTCGCTGACCGCCTCTGCGCGCGTGAAGAACACCCAGCGGTCATGCAGCGGCTCGGCGCGCGCGCGAGCGGACCCGTCTTCCGCCACCCTGACGCCCTGCACAATGACGCGCTCCTCGACGACGATCTGGAGGTACGCCATGTCCCCGACGCGCTGTATGCCCACGAGCTGCGCGAGGACCGCGCGCGAGCCCTTGCGTGGCGCTGGGACCGCCGGCCCGCTCGGTCCCTGCTCGACCTGTGCCAAAATGATCCTGCCGTCGTCCGCCACGACGGCGTTCGCCGCCGATTCGCTCAGCGTGACGACTTGGCGGCACCCGGGCGTCAAGCACCCGTCGACCCCGATGCTCTGCGCGTCGCCCCGGGCGGCAATGGCCATCAACGTCCGTGCCCAGACAACGTCCGCCGCGAAGCAGGGCGGGTTTCGTTTCAAGCCGATTTACGAACACCACGACGCAGAAACGATCATGCACGGCACGCAAGCTCGCGAGTTCAGGGCAAAAAGCGCCTCGGTGCGCACCAGCAGGTCCAGAAGCACCGCCTCGATAGATGCTTCAGTAGGCAGGCGTTCCCGGTAGCTGCCGTCGAAGCCCTTCTCCGGACAGACGTTGCGGATAAACGCGCCGATGCCCCCCGCCTCGCTGCCGCCCGCCGCCGCCGCACGGCACAACACGCCCGTGCTTGCCCGGCGCCTCGCCGCTCCCCGGGGCCGCACGGCGCGCGCAGCTGGCGCCGCCGCCGTGCGAGGTATCCGCACCGTCCTCCCGTCCAGCGCCACGACGCCCGGCCTGCAAATCCGGCTCATGGTGGGCCCTCTGCCCCGCGCGAGCTCAGCTCAACCGCCCCGCTGCGGTCACGAAGTCAACCGCCCCGCCGCGGGCAGGAACGCGCCGGCAGAACCCGCTCCCGCGCCGAAACGGATGTTATGAATCGTGGGCGTCCCCTCCGGTGGCGCGCAGGAAACACGGCGTCCCGAGGCTGCGCCTGGGACGGTCCCTGCCTTTTGATGCGTCGCCAGACTCCGTTTCGTATCTGCCGTCACCTACGTCCGCCGCTGGGGGGCCGCGGGTGCACGCCGATTGGCGCACGCCGCCGCAACGGGCGCGAGAGAGGCGGCGCCGGCCCGTCCGGGACGTTCCGGGCCCTGACGCGGCCCCTGTCCAGCTGCGATGACAGTCCTGGGTGATGGTCCGTCTGGAGCGGCCTTGGTTGCCGGGGGGCGCGGCGAGGGCGCGCAAGGCGTGCGCACTGCGTCGCAGTGTGCATCCGCGCGGAACGCAACAGAGAACGGCGTGCTCGTGGGGTGGGACGCGCAAGTTGGCTATCAAGGTGAGCCTTTCGGTGGCTGGGGGCGGTGTAGGCTTCTCCGCGGGCTTTGCCGCCGTGCGTAGCGAGAGGGGTCATTTGTTAGTGCATCCAGGGACTGAGAATGCGCGTTGCGGGCCGCTGCGGTGCGAGAGGGGCGGCGTTTGACGTGTCGAGGGGGCCGTGCGCTCGGTGCGGTGGTTGCCTCGGCTCACCACGCCCGGCCACGTCGTGCTACGTGCAGGAACGGCGGGGTTGGATTGACGCGAGGGCGAGCGGGCTGCGGCGCTGGTGGGGCGAGATGAGGCTTTGGTCGTGCCTCAGGAGGCCCGCAGAGAGGGCGGAGACCGCGAAATCGCCGCGGGAAACGGGGAACTTCGCAGGTTCGACGCGCCCGCGGCAGCCGCTCATCCCTCGCGCGCGCATTCGCCGACGACGCCCCAGCGAACCGCATGCTACCGTAGCCTACGCGCACCCGTCGCCGATCCGCTGGTAGATGCCGCGGGCGTCTCTGCGGGCTTGTTCCCTTGATCTCACATGGATTCCCCCCATGCCGGCCTCCACGCGCGTAGCAGCCGCAACCACGACTGCCAGCGAGGCCACTGCTCCACCCCTAGCTTGCTCGTTAACCGCGCGGTCCGCGCACCCGGCGCCGCGGCCCGGCCCCAGCGGCCTCACGCGCATCGACCCCCCTCACGCGCAGACATCCAAGTGGCTGTGGGGGGCTGCAAGCCCGTGCACGAGGCGGAAATCCTCGCCGATACCGACGCTGTTCTGATGCCGGGCGCCATGCCGCCGGCCCGTGGCGCGGGGGGCCTGCCCGGCGCCCAGGCGCCCGCGAGGGAACCCTCGTGGCGCTGCCAGGACACGAACGGCAAACGTGTCAGCATCCAGGCCGGCATGCCGCCCAGAGGCAGCACCCCAACCGTCCAGCGATCCTCCTGCGGACACCTCTCCGGGCAGCTCTCCGGGGCCGCGTTCCAGACGCTTGCTCAGGCCCCCAAGCGCTCCACGACGCAGTCCCGGACACAGCGCGCGTCGCAGGCCCGGCGGAGGCCGTCGGTGAAGCGGTGCTCGGTGCCCGCGATGCCATCTGAGCTCCCGGACGCCGGGGCGCGGGCCGCGGGGCCGCCGCAGCGGCTCGCGACGATGACCAACCTGCAGCTGCCGGGCGCGGGCGACTCCAAGCCCGTCCGCGCGCTCAGCAAGCTCAAGCTCAAGGATGACCCGCGCGACGGGTATCAAGGGCTGCTGGGGGCGCTGGGGCTGACCGCGCACAAGGGGACCGTCATCAACGCGGGGCTGCCGTTCGACGGAGAGATCGACGCGTGACCGCCGCGTCGGCGCGGTGCTCGGAGAACCACCGTGGAGCCGGGGTGTCTGTCTGTCGTGCGGCAAATCGAACCACCGGCAAACGCCGGCTTGTTTGTTTCGGGAAAACGCCCCCCCGCCCCCTCCCCGTCCCGTATTAGAGCCTCGGAGGCACGCCCCCCCCGTGCATGTCGAGCACGTTGTTTTCATGCCCACAACTCATCTGCTACACCCCATCTGCAAACACCCCCCCCCCACCCGTGTTGGCAACGCGAGCTCGCCCGCTGCCCGCGGCGACCAGCACGTATTGTCGCCTCCGCCCGGCGCCGCACCGAGCGATCGGTGCAGGACACTTCGGCGTTCTTTCGTTCCCCAAAAACCACTCACGTCATACCACCTCTTTTCCAACACGTCAAGCGTGCATTGCGCACCGCGACACTGCAGCACAGAGCCCCTGAATTCAAGGGCGAGGTTCCGTGTGCCCGAAGCACTCGCTGGAGCCGGCCCGCGGCCTCAGGGCCATGTGCGCTGGTGTGGAGCCACGACAGCACACCAGGCTGCTGTCCCGGCCTCGCTGCGGCTCCTCGTACGGCCAGAGTGTAGCAGCCAGATAGCGACCGTAGGGAGCCCGCCCTGGGCCCGCCCCAACCCCCCGTTGCCCTCCCCTACCCCTGCTTTTTATTCCACCATGGATGTCAAGAGCGCTACAGAAGAAAGCTTGGACAGTGCCCTCTCCGCTACAGCTCGGCCTATCCACTCCGGTTTTCCCATGTCGATGCTCGGAAGCCACGGCCCCGTCACAGCACTCGCTGGTCGCGATGCCGACGGTTCAAACTACTCAATCGTGCACTATCTACAAGAAAATATCATGCACCCAGAAGCACCGCGCACTGCTCCCGCGATGCATCCACAACGACGATACCCGTCGCCCTGATGCGACGCACGGGGGCCCACCTCGTTCCCAGCCCGCGCGAATTCGAACAGTCCCCACGCACGGTGCGGGACAGGACATGGGGCGACATTGCTGACCCGCGGAGGAAAGCAGCCCCGTGCTGGAGATGAGGTGTGATATCAATCACTCCTTTCGAGCAGACACACCGTCGGGTGGGGTGTCACGTGCAGGCGCAGCGCGTCCTGTAGGGCAGCCGCCGTCAGTGTCGGCGCGGCGAACAGCGCGAGCGCTGGGCTGCCCCGGCAGCACGTCTCGCCACTTCGATTCGCTGGTCCACGTGTTTGCCTCCATGTCTGTCTAGCGTGTCCGCGACGAAGACCCCCTGTCCTGCCACGCTAGCATTGGTCCAATGCTGGCCTCCAGTGGGGCACCACCCGGTGTCCGGCCCAGGCTTGCTGCGGTCGAGCGGATCGTCACAGCGCGTGCGCCTCCTCGCCGCGCCGATCCGACGGTCAGATCATTCGAATTCGGTCCCGAATCACATCTTTTCAACGACGTCCTAACTGTACCTCAAACGTCGTCGCTGACCGTGGTTCGGCCTGGCTGCGCGTGGCAGAGCGTCGACCTCGCCTCGCCCCTCGTCCCTGCCGATCACCACCGGGTCACAGATCATGGAGGGAAGGAACTTCAGTGCAGCGTTGCACGGAGACGTCCAGACGTCGTGGACGCCGTGGATTCACTGTGCGAGTGCCCCCCGTGCAGCGGTCCCACATCCCCATGACCCACGACCCGGCGGCGACCGGCTGGTGACTCACATGCGTCCCCCGCCGCAACGGCACCGCGAAGCCGCAACAGCGGACGCACAGGCCGAGTTCAAGTCGACGCTTCGTCACGCGCCCGCAGCTGCACGACTACTTCGGCCCGGACCGGCTGCCGATGAGACCATGCGTCCTCGCGCGCCCGGCTGCAGTCAGGTCCGCGTCCTCGCGCAGCCCCAGCCCTGGGAGTCCCCCCCCTGAGTCCGCCAGACCAGCCACAAGCTGCGACGCCGCGCTGCTGCTCGTCGCGGCGGGCCCCGGCCGCGGCGACGCGGCGGCGCACGGCGCCTCGTCGGTGTCTGAGCCGCTGGAGTCGTCGTCTGCGCCGTTCTCGCGGTAGACCTGGCTGTATACTGAAAAGGGGCCGAACCCCCTGGTTGCGCTGTGGAGGACGTGCCAGGCTTCCGGGAGGTACCGGGGCTTGACGTGCTCGACGAATGCGCGGCGGAACCGAGCCATGAGGTCGAGAAGGCCCTCCGTGCCCCGCTCGCGGGCGATCTTGTCGACCAGCAGCCGACCTGCGTAGCGACGCGGACCCGGAACGATACCTGTCACTCCCGATGACAGGTGACAATCGAGAAAATATTTCACGCAGATTATTCGTTCGAAACGGTCCATACACGCGTCGACACCGCGTCCAGGCACAAGGAAGGGTGCGCACCGTGCACCCAGTGCCCCGACGCGTCCTCGTGCACGTCCCCTTCCTCCTCGCTCCCCTCCCCCGGCGCGTCCTCCCCGTTCTCCGCCGCCTGCTGCCTCCGGACCTTCCGCCTCTTCGCCCCACTGAGCCCCGCCAGCGCCGCCCTGTCTACGTCTGCCTCCGTCGGCGGCGGCGCCCCCGCCGGCCGCCCCAGGTACGCCTGCACGAGCGTCTCCAGCTCCGCGCGGCGCTCCTGCGGCATCCGCTTGCCGTGCCGCTTCAGCGCCAGCGCAGCCCGGTGCACCGTCGACGGCGACACGCGCCACGTCGCGCCGCTGGCGTCGCTCGCGGAGCACTCGAGCCCGCCGGCGTTCAGCGGCACGCCGAGCTCCTGCGCCAAGCGGCGTTTCTCGACCTCGGCGCCGCGATGGGCCACCTCGTGGCAGTCGACGCACAGCAGGACAATGTCGTGTGAGCGGTGGCTCTTGAGCGCTTCCGGGAGGCGCTTGCGGTAGCACGAGGGGAGGATGCGGTAGCGGAGGTAGTGGCCGGCCTCGCCGCAGCCCACGCACTGGTTCGTGCGCGCCGCGGTGTAGTACTGTTCCTGCTTTGCCTGCAGGGGGGGGACGGGGGGGTGGGCGGGGGATCGGACGGCGCGGCGTGGTCCGTGCTGTCCATGCCCAATGCCGTCTGAAATAGATATGACTTGTGGAGATGAAACATGTATTTCATGCTATTTGTCTTTGTATTTGCTTTTTTGGACTGGGTGGCACGTGGTGGGTCGGCACGCCGCACACCTGCTGGTCGTCTGTCTTGTGCTGGAAGCGGAGGCGGATCGTGAGGGGGTCGTCGCACTCTAGGTCCGCGAGGCCCTTGCTCAGATACCAGTCCACCTTCTTCTTGTCGCAGTGACACAATAACGCGCCCTCCTTCGACAACATCCTGCACGCACGACACCGCCACCGCGAAATATCGCACAGGAGGCCCGGCGCGCCGCTGGCCAACGCGCACACGACGCGAAGGAGAGCTGTCTCGGCAGACTGGGCACAACAAAACACTTGTTTGGGCTCCGAGGCTGATCAACTGTCTCTTGCCGGGAATCGAATGGAATTCGAGCCCGTTCGCGTGGTCGTGCAGGTTTATGCTTGGCGTATCATGGTTGAAATATCAAACATCGAGTGCGATTTCTTTTGAGACCTCGGTCGGGTTCTTACTTGCAATTCTGATACACTTCTTTTTTCGCGCTGAACGTCGCGATGATCCGTTCCCGCCGATTCCCCTGCTTGAACTTGCCCGTCTTGCCCTGGTCCGCCTCGACGACGCCCGCCTCGGGCCCCGCGGCCGCCGAGACACCCCCGTCACCGACACCCCCCCCCGCCACCTCCTCGCGCAGCACGTGCACCGCCTCCGATTCCTTCAGCCGACGGCTGCTCCCGCGCAGCACCTCCATCGTCGTCCGCGCCACCTCCTCCGCGCGCAGCAGCGCGCTGTGCACCGCGAGCCGCCACCGCTGCTTCGCGCCCACACACGCAGAGCACACCCCGCACCGGTCCGCAACACTCCCTCCCCCTCCCCGCGCCTCCGAAAACGCCCCCAGCGCCCGCGCGACCGCCTTCTCCGCAGCCTCCGTGCCCCGAACGTCGCGCGGCAGCGCCGCTTCGAGCACCCACGCGCGGACGGCCTCATCCGTCACCTCTTCCAACAACGCACCGTCCTCTCGCACGAACACCGCGGCCTGCGCGGCCACCGCCGCGACGAGCTCGTCGTGGAACGTGTACTGCGTCGACTCGTCGGTCGCCCGCGCGACGCCGTCGCGCCACACCGCGAGTGCGGCCGCACACTCGAGGCAGCGCGTACGGGCCATCGCATGCTGCCCGTCGGCCTCGACGCCCGCCGCGCGCGCCGCCGAGCGCGCCTTGTTCATGCACGCGGTGACCTGCTGCATGATGGCGCGTTGCGGGTCCGGCGGCGGGAAGAGCGCGGCGGTCACCGCCTGCATGGTGGTGTGCGCGCGGTGGACGGCCGGCGCGCCGCCGCGCCGGAAGATCTCGCGGCGCAGGACGTCGGCGATGAAGGGAAGGTAGTGCACGTCCGTGCGGGCGTAGTCGAGATGCGCCCGCGTCAGCGGCCGCGCGCGCCAGTCCGCGCGCTGGAACGCCTGCGGGGGTGTTTCAAGAACCGTGGGGGGGGGAGTCTTCTCAGCACCCGCCACAGGCGAGCTGCAGCCACACACACAGACCAGCCGCGCTGCGTCGATCGTCGCGGCGGGCACCCACCTTGTCGGTCGTGACGTTGCAGTGCCTCCGCAGCAACACCGCCAAGCTCTTCCCGTCCTCGCCGGCGTCGTGCGCCGCGACGCATGTGTCGAAGACGTTGACGAGGTACAGGCGGAAGTCGCGCTGGAGCCACAGGACGTCGCTGCGGCCGCCGTGCACGAGCTTCACCACGTCCGGCGACGCCAGCAGCGGGCGCAGCGCATCGCCCATCGCCGCGCGCACCTCCGGGACGAGCGTGTCGATCACCCTGCACCGGCACGAGAGCGCTGTGGAGCGCGTGGGCCGCGCGAGCGACGCCGTGCGTCTGCTCCTACTTCGCAAGACCGCTCGAATCACGAGATAAGAAACAACGATAGTCTTTCTTTGTGTCGGATGTGTTTGTCGCCGGAGGGGGGCGCACCAGTCGGTCTGGCCGTCCGAGAGCTGCACCAGGCACACCAGGCCGTAGTAGGACCGGAACGCGTGGTGCTCGACGTCCACCGCGACCTGCCGCTTGCCCGCAAGGGACCGTACGGCGGCGTGGAGGGCCGCGGCGCACTCCACGAGGACCGCCTGGCGCCGTGACGTCGGCGGCGGCTTGTGCGGGGCGTGGCTCGCGGCGGCTTCCTGCGGGGGCGGTTGGGGTGCGCGGGGACGGTCGCGGCGCGGCGGGATTCGGGAAAACAAGTCTCGCGGTGACTTTTTGTGGGGGTTCGGGGCGCGTGACGGCTTGCCTGGTACTCCCACTCCAGGGGGCCGCGCTCAGTGACCTCTGCGATGAGCGCGGCGAACGGATGCTCTCCGGGGCTCGCATCGCCCGCGTTGTTCGCCGCCTTCTTCTGCTTCTTTTTCCTCTTCCGGCGCTCAATGCGCGCCAGCTGCACGGGCGTCAGCCCGCTCGCGACTTCCTCATCACTCGCGTCCTTCCGCGCCTGCTGCCATCCTGGCCACGAAGGCACCGCAGCGCGCGCCGCGTCCCGATTGAGGTGCACAAAAGGGGGCGACGACGGCGCGCACAGAAGCAGGCCCTCGAGCGCCGTTTGCGGCTTCTCCTTCGCTATCAGCTGCGCTTCATGCACGCCGCCCTGCGCGTCTTTCTCCCCACGACCGAACGCCAAGCCAGGCGGACGTGTGATCCGACGCACGAGCACAATCGCCGCAAGCGCGAGCCCCGCGGCTGCCGGAGCGTTGATGCGCCTGCCGTCGCCGGAATCGAGCGAGAAGGACAGCCTCGGCATCGCGGACCGTGCGGCGGACCGTCGGCGCGCCCAGCGCACTCAGCGTCCTTGCATGGCGTGAAAGTGGCGCCGTGTGCGCCGCGTCGACTCCGGTCAGACTCGCCGCGCACCCCTACGCCTCCACGATAGCGTGTGCATTGCCCCGCCGCGCCCTGCGGGCCTTGGTCGACCGTCCCGAGCACGCCAGACGACGGGTGCGTTGGCCTGAGCGCGGCTGGAGTCTTCCAACGGCGCTTTCGGGCACACGTCGCGCAGGAACGGCCACTTTCGGGCCGTGCGCGTACGCCGCCACGGGGCCTGCGATGCGCGGACGTGCCGCGAGAGAGCGTGAGCGCGCCCGGCGCGACTAGTACGATGTCCCGCTCGTTTTTCCTAAGTAATTAAGGCCTCTAAATATGAAGGCGTTTGCGAGGGCGCGGGCGCGTCTGTCCGAAGACGCCGCGCCTCGCCGCAGCCCTCGGAAGGTCAAGAACGCCGAGGACGCCACGTCAGGCGACAACGCGTCCTGGGCGGCCGTCCTGGCCGAGGTGGGCACTCCGGACAAAGGGGACGCGCCGCGTGCTCCGCCTCGCGGACGTCTCGGGCGGTCCTCGCTCCTCCTCGGCGACGCCCTTCCAGTCGAGAAACCCGCAGCCTCAGCTGGGGACCAGCCGGCGACACCACAGCCCGCGGCGGTCCGACAAACCGACGAGGGAACCGCCCAAGGGAACGGGCGCCCCGCAGGCCGCCGCAGAGGTGACTTCCGCGCCCGTCCCTCCCTCTTGGAAGCACCTCTCGCAAGGACTATGCGCGCACGTGCGAACCGCCGGTCGACCGTACAGCTGTATGTTGGCATCATGTTATTTCACGCACTGTCTTTTCGCAGCGCTCGCTGACCAGACGATCGTCCGCGCGCCGGTCCGCAGGGAGCTTCTTTCTCGGCGAGGCGCGCGCCGCGTCCCTGCCCGCCAGTCCGACCAGACGCGACTCCCCCCCTCCCGCCGACGTCCCGGCGTGGGTCACCGCCTTCGCTGGCGCAGAGCGCGGCGGCGACAGCCCCCCCCGCGCCGAGCCGGCCGCCACAGCCCCCGCGACCCTCGCGTCGCCCCGGCGCAGCGGCCGGCTCGCCCAGGGCGTCACCTCGGCCCCTGCAAGCCCCGCAAAAGCAGCAGCGGGCATTTCAAAGCAGCGGCCGGCAGCACCGGCAGCGACGGTCCCGGAGACGCCGTCGTCGATCGACGCGGGCACACCACCGCCGCACGCGCGCCCGTCGCCGCCGCTGTCGCTGGGAGACCCGGCAACGTCGACGCCGACGCGCCGGAGCACCCGCCGGACGAAGGGCGCGGCGTCCGGGACGCCGAGCGGCGCGGACGCGCGGCGCGTGTCCACGTCGGGCCCACGGACGGTCCCGGAGACGCCTTCGTCGGCCGCGGGAGCGTTCTCTCCGCCGTCGGGCCCCGGTGCAGCACCCACGCAAGAGGGCCGGTCGCGACGGCCGCGGCGGGCGCGTGTGGGCTTTGTGGTTCCAGCGGAGGGTGGATCGGGAGCGGGGGTGCCGCATGGGTCGGGAACCGACGCGATGGAGGTCGAGGAGGAGTCTGGGGGGGGGGTGTAGATGTGGACGCCATGGAGGTCGACGGGGACGAGGACGGCGGTCCCGGGCGGCGCCAGCGGCCGAAGGCGGCGCGGTCGGTGCCGAAGGGCGGCGGAGGGGGGGGAGCGGCGCAGGCGCTGCGTCGGGCAAGGAGCGTGCCGGTGTCGGGTGTTTTGCGGACGCCCGGTGGCCCGGGGGGGGCGGTCAGGGCCGCGAGCCCGACGGCCAAGCGCACCCGCGCGCTGCCCGCCGTCGATGAGCGCGGTGGCGCGAGTGAGGGGGCGACCCCAGAGCCAGGGGGGGGGTCTCCAGACACCCCACCTTCGTCAGACAGCAGCAGTGAGGGCGCGGAGACCCCGGGCGGGCGGCTCCTCGCGCGTCTCGGTTCGAAGATCATCCGCGGCAGTCCTGAGCGCATGCGTGCGGCGAAGAACCGCGCGGCCGCGAGCCCTGACGCCACCACCGCAGCAACTCCCCCCCTCTCACCAAAACAGCAGCACAGCCCCGCCGGGGACGCGCCCCGCGACATCGGCACGAAGACGCAGCGGCCCCGCCGGTCCGCGCTCGCGCGGCACGCCTCGGCGCCTTCGCAGGGCGGCAGCGCCGCGGCCGCCGGCAGCAAGCGCGGCCGCGAGCCTCCGCGCACGAAATCCAACCTCCGCGTGCAGTTCGCGTCGCAAGACGAAGTCATCGAATTCGTCCCGACGCAGGACGAGCCAGCGGTCGAGGAGGCGCGGCCGGTGCGGGCCGGCAGGGCCCGCGAGGAGCCCCACGTGGGTGCGCCAGCCAGCGCAGACGAGATGTCATCGCGCGGCCACGTCGAGGAGATGATGGGGGACCTGGGCTTCGCGATGGCGGGGATCGACGGCGCGGGCACGCCCGCGGCGCAGGCGCGCAGTGCCGCGCGCGTCGTGTCGCTCTGCGCGACGCGGCAGGGGTGTTTTGCTGCTGCGCGGGCCGGACTGCTCAGTCAAGTTTTAGCGAAGCTGTCGGCGGCGCTGGCGCGCCGTCCGTCGCCCGCGCTGCGCACATACGCTGCGCTCGCGCTGCTTGCGTGCAGCAAGGAGGGAATCGACCCAGCGGTGCTGGCTAGCGACGCCGCGTTGTCCATTCTTCTCGCCACGCTGCGCTGGGCCGACGCGGACGCAGACGGCCCCGACGCGCCGGTCACGAACGACGACGAGGTACGGCCGCTGCTGGGACGGTCGAGCCTGGGCCGCGGCGCCATGCTCGCGATCGGATCGCTTCCGAAGTCCGCAGCCAGCGGCGAGGCAGAGAGCGCGCCGCCCTGCAGCCCTGCCGCCGCGCAGCGCGCGGCCCTGGTCGCGTACGGGTCGGTACTGTCGCCGACCTTCGCGTCGGCGAGCGCGAGCGCCGCCGCGGCCACGCGCGCGGAGCGGAGCGGGCGCGCGCTGCGTGAAGCGCTGCCGCAGTCAGGCTGCCTCGCGGCCGCCGTGGCGCTCACGCACAGCGAGCTCGCGGCGACCCTGGAGGGTCTAGCCGCTTCGGGCTCCTGCCAGCTCGGTTCCGCGCCGGGTCGCCTCGGATTAGTCGAGTCAGGTCTGACACTCATAGAACACGCAGTGTTCCTCGCGGAGACCGGGCGCACCGCGGTGCTGTCTGCGGCCCCGACGGCCTGCACGATCACGTGCGACGCGGCGGCGGCGCCGCTGCCGTTCGTCGTCCGCCGGCCGGTGCCGCGGGCGAGTTCTGCTGATGACGACGCGCCACCGACGTTCCCTGCGCTGCTGACGACGGCCGTGGCGTGGCTGACGTCGGCGATCGAGCGGGACGAGCGGCACGTCGCTGCGGCGCGCCGGACCGTCTTCGCGGCGCTGCACGTCCTCACGAATCTCACGAACGGCCACGAGGGGGCGTGCAGTGCTGTGGCGGCGCACGGGGGCGTCGAGACGCTGCTGGCGTGCCTGTGCGCGAGCTGCGTGGACGCGGGGCGCGAGGGCGGCAGCCCTGCGCAGTGGCGGTTCTGTGCCGGCCGAATCGAGGAGATTTCCTACCATCTTGCCCTTTTGATAAATATAGTCGCGGAGGACGCGCGAACCTGCGCCTCTGTGGCGACGATGGAGGTGTTCCGGCGCGAGGAGGGGCGTGCGGACAAGCGCGGATCCGCGGGGCGCGTTTCGTCGCCCTCGCGGCGCAGCAGCCGAGGGGGGAGTGATGCAGGACTCCCCACATGGCTGACGCAGGCTGGCGGGGGCACGCCCGGCGACGCCGGCGGGGCGCGCGAGGAGCAGGAGCGCGTGTGCACCGCTGTGGAGATGCTTGGGTGGCTGTTGGCGCGGGCATCGGAGCTGGACGCCGGAAGCAGCGCACATGGCGACGGCGGACGCGGGAGGGTGAGGGCCGGGCAGGCTGATGAGGTGACGGTGGACGACGTGGACGACAGGCACGCGCAGGCGAACGCGGGGATGGTCGCGGTGCGTCCCTCCCACCACTTTGCGCCGCCCCGGCCGCGTCTGCGCGCCAGGAGACCACCGTGCGCACCGCAATTGAGAATGCTCGAGTGCCGTTGATTCACGCGCGAGTCTGACGTGCGTGGCTGTGCTGCAGGGGTACGCGGCGCTCCTGCTGGGGCTCGTCGTGTCGGGCAACGCGGAAGCGCAGGAGGCGGCGGCGACGATGCTCCCGGGGGGGAGTCTCAGGCCCATGGTGGTGCACGTGGCCGAGATGCTGGCGTTCTACCGGAAGGCGGGGGCGATCACGGAGGAGACGGAGGAGCGGATGCGGGCGGTGGTGCGCGAGGGCCGGCGGTACGAGCTGCAGGCTGGGAGGCAGATATAGAGACGGAAACGAAAAGAGATATGAATAAGAGGCACAGAAGCTTTTTCTCTCCTGCGAACTGGCATGCGAGGGAGAGCACATGACCGAATCGAAAGGCGGAGAGCGTGTGAAATAGGATCAAGCGTTTTCGCAGTCAACACCCTCGAAGTCAACACCACTGCTACCCGCACAACAACCACGCATCTACTTGTCGCAGCGTTTGCAACGGGCCAGGTGTCGAGGTCGCTCGCATCCTCGGTCCGGACGAGCGCGAAGACCGACAAGCCAGGTCCAGCAGGAGCCTCGCCGCCCGCGGAAGAAACGAAACGCGGGCAACGACAGCAGGCTGGGACGAGAGACGCTGTGCGAGGAAGATGCACGCGCCAAGGACGCGTCCTGCCGGAGCACGCCGTTCGACCCTGCTCGAGCTTCGATGCGCACTGGACGGCAACACCGTTCCAGGCCCAAACCTTGCGTCGCTTCTGCTGCCACATGACGCACGCGCACAGCCTGGGCGCCGCGCGGGACGACCCTCGCGCCATCACATCCTGCCGCACCCTGAAGCGCCCAGTCGAGCACGTCAGGTCCATCACGGCGTCGCACGTGCGACTCGAGTGCGCTGATTACGCCACGAGCTTCCGGCGCGTGTACTTGACCTTGGCCGCCTTGGGCGCCACGACCATGCCCTCGTAGTCCGGCTCCGGGAACGGCGTCGTCAGCTCGAGGTCGAAATTCCGCAGAATCACGCTCAGGATGGTCTTGACCTGCATGTAGGCAAAGTGCTCCCCCATGCACCTGTGGCGGCCGTTGCCGAAGCCCATCCACGCAAAGGGCTTCTTGTCCTCGCTGCGCGGGGGCTTGAAGCGGTCCGGCTGGAACGACAGCGCGTCCGGGTACGTGTCCTCGATGCGGTGCGAAAACGTCGGGCTCGCCATGAGGATGTCCCCCTTTGGAATAGTGTAAGTCTGACCCTTGGACGTGGTGACCTCGAACGGCTCGCGCGCGTACCGCATGAGCATCAGCAGCGGCGGGTGGATCCGCAGCGTCTCTGCGCGCGGCCAGGGCGATGCACACCGCGGTTAGCATGAGCCCCCAGCGACATGGCAGCACAACGCCGCGCACGGCGCTCAACACGCGCCCCGCAGGCGCGAGGATGTCACCCTCCGCCTGGTGCTGTACGAGCGCACGTGCAGGCCTCGACATCGATCTCGTGGAGCTGAAAGCACTTCGCTGGGTGCCCGTCCGTCGAGATCGAGGGGCGTAGGCTGGCTCGTGCGCGCGTACAGCGCCAGACGGAGGTGCGCGGGGAGGCGCGGGGCACTGACCGGACATGTAGCGGTGCAGGCTGTCCATCTTCTGCAGCACCGAGAACTCGAGCTTGTCTCCAAACTCAGCAACGATCTTCTTCTGCTCGTCCAGGAGCTCCGGGAGCAGCTTGTCCTTCTGGTTCAGGATCTCGTACACGAGCCACGTCGAGGTGATCGAGGACGTGTGCTGCCCGGCGAACAGCACGGCAATCAGCATGCCTGTGATTTGGTCGTTGGTGAGCTTGCTGCCGTCCTTCATCTCGCGGTCCATGAAGACCTGCGAGGATCCGAGGGCGCCGGAGGCGTGGGGACACGAGCACGGCGCGGGGGCGGGAGGGCCACAGCACGAAGCGGTGTGCGATGAGAACTCAGGATGTCGGCAAGTGTGACTACGGACTCAGGGTATCAGCGATGCGCGGCACATGTGGGCCGGTGCAGGCCAGGAGCGGGCGGACCGCGTCGCCCAAGCTGCCCGGAGTCAAGAAACCACGTCTGGCGTCGCCTCCATCGAACAAAACAAAACAGACAGAGAAAAGCAGACAGCACATCTAGACACGACATATGTAGAACGTTCCGCACCTGCATCACGTCGCTCTCGACGCGCCCCTCCTTGCGCCGCTGCTCGATGATCTCCGAGAACAGCGCGCTCATCTTCTTCCGCGCCGCGTCGCGCTTCCGGTGCGCGGCGATGGGCAGGTTGGGCATGAAGACGCTGATCGGCTGCAGCCCCTTGTCGAGGTCGTGGTACAGGTCCTTGACCTGCGCGAACATCTTCCCGCGGACCTCCGGGCCCATGAGCGTGCGCGACGCCGTGAGGATGATGAGCTCCGCCATCTCCTCAAACAGGTCGACCTCCCCGGACTCCCCCCAGCGGTCGCGGAAGAACGACTCGGCCTCCTCAACCATCATCGTCACGTACGACCTCTGCGCGCATCGACGGGGCGAGGTATGTGGGTGGGAGGTGCGTTGCGGGCCGAGGGTTGGGACGCCTCCAGGGGGTGTCTTGCAGGCGGTGGTGGTTCGGTGACGGAGCGGGGGGCGCTGTGGCGCGTGAGATCGCGGCGAAGACGAGGAGGAGGAGGCGCGTCGTCGCCGTCGTCGTCGTCGTCGGCGGCCAATAGCACGCGTGTTGCGCACGCTGCTGCGTGTAATCGGGGCGCACCAGCTTGTCGGTCTTGAGGGCCTCGGTGAAGAGCTTGAAGTGCTCGGCGCGCACGGTGTGGTCCACGTCGTACACGACGTCCTTGCCGAACACCGGCACGCTGAAGCCGTAGACCTCTTTCTGGGAGACTTCGTCGTCGGTGCCCTTGAAAAAGTGCTCGACGACGCTCGGGGTGAGGAGGAACGTGATGCGCTTGTGCAGCACGGACACCGTGAACACGTCGCCCAGCTTGTTGTACCCCTCTTGCATCAGCGGGAGGGGGCCCTGCGCGGCGGCGTCAGACAGGAGGGGGAGTTGAGGGGGTGTGCCGCGTGGCGGTCCGGGGGGCGGCGCGGGGACGCGGGCAGGTGGTGCGCGAGTGCGTGGGAGCGAGGCAGCGGGGGAACGCGGGTGGTGCGAGGTGGGTGGGGGGCGCCTGTGGCAGAGGGGGGGGGTGTGCGTTCAGAGGTTGTGGACTGGCGCGGGGCGTGGCGCGGAGCGCGCGAGCGTTCCGGCGGACCCTGGCAGCTGCGCAGTCGGCCGACCGCGCGCAGGCAGCTATCGTGGGCTGCTGTCGGCGCGCTTTGCTGCGCAGCATGCCTCAGGGTCGTTCAGCGTGCCCCGGAACTGTCGGGCGAAATTCCGCAGCCGATGCCGAGACGAGGACAGCGTGCGTCGCTGGGATGGCGTATCGCGCGAAGTCGTCGATGGGACAGTCGGGAATGAAGGCCAGTGAGTGGTGCAAGGGCGGGGGCGTCGGGGGGGGCGCTGGACGGTCGCGTGCGCGGCGATGTGACCATCGCGTTTGGGAGTCCGTAGACTGGCGGTGAGCGGGTGCGCGGGGGATCCCGAGAGGCGCGCGAGATAGGGCGCTACGGCGCGTCGCAAGAGCCAAAATCAGCATAGACGTGTCCTCGCTCCCGGTGGGCGGCGCGTGGGTGCGCGGGGCGGGCGCCCGACGCGCCCGCTCGGCTCGATCGTATATATCGTGGCCGGGCCCGCGCCCGCGACCGATGCAGTGGCCTCTCGGGGCCCGCGGGCCGCGACGAAAGCAGGCGACCGTCCCCTCAAGGTATTGGCGCCAGGGTACGTTCAGGACGGTTGTGGTGCGATGGGGCGCGATGTGGGGCCGCGCACGCCAGGCAGCAACTGTGGCTTCGCGTTCCGCGGGATTGCTGAACTCGAGGGCCATCGTGGGAAGAGCAGACGGCGTTTGCCTACTGAGAGCCCACCTTTGCGAACTTCAGCATTCCTCCGATGATGGGGATGCCCGCGAGCACCGGGGGGCGCTTCCCGCCGACGAGGCCCTTTACTGCATCCGTCAGGAGCCACAGGGCCAGCAGAGCCGCCACCACGAGCGACGCAGCGGTCGCTGGCCCCAGAGCCTGGACCTTGTTCGCCAGCTCGCCCACAACCTCCATCGTTCTCAGCTCTCCCGCGCTCGCACGAGGTCGGGCAGTGCGCGAGCTTCGCCGGGACCGAGGGAACCGATCGCGGGCCGGACGAGGCCGCGGAGAAACCCACGGGAAGTAGCAAGGTGGGAAGTGGGCGCTCGCAGTGCGTGGAGCGACCTGCTGTGCTGCGGAGTCAGGCGATGCGCTCTGGCGGGGCTGGGCGCGGGATCGGGCCCTTGACGGCGGGCGTTTCGGGCGGGAGGGGGGACTGTGTGTGTGGCGTGTCATGGGGGGGGGCGTGCTGGGGGGGGAGTGCGGGGTCGTTTGGTGCGAGAGCGGGGCGTGCACGACAGTTTCAGGTACGCTCGGTGTGCGGGAGCCTGTCTGGCTGGATCGCGGCGCTTGAGATCGTCGGGGAGCGTCTCGGTTGGTAGAGGGGGGCGGAAGAAGGTGTGTGCCGGGCGGGTCTCGCGGGGAGCGGCGTGACGGTGCGCGGGCATGCTGGCGGGGGTGAAGTTCGTGGCGGGTGGGGGCGACAGTTCGGGCGAAAGCGACAAGGGGCGCAAGCGGCGGCACAAGGACGAGCAGAAGAAGCACAGGCACGGCAAGGAGCGCAAGGAGAAGAAGGCGTCGAAGAAGGAGCGCAAGAAGGTGCGTTTGGCACAGATGAGCGAGCCTGCCTGCGCGAGAGGGGCCGATAGTCGCCGCACCGCACGTACGGAGCAAGTGAACGACGTCGCTGGGCTGTTACTCGAACAAGCGGCCTTTCGATGCGCGCGAGGGCCGTTCTGGCAGCAATTTCGTGTCCAAGAGCTCGATTAGTACGCATTCTCAGTGAGAGAGTGCGACACGAGATCTGTGGACGTTCGATGATCCCGTCGTCCGGCAAAACAACACTCATGCCCCTTTCGTTCGCGCCGCACGCTCTGACGTGTGCCGATCCTGGTCGCCTCCGCCCCGCGTACGGCGTGCAGGATAAGCACGAACGCAAGGGCGGGCGCCGTAGCACCAGCAGCAGCCCTGACAGGAGCAGGAGCCCTCCCAGGAGCCTGGAGCCTCACCCAGCACAAGCGCAGCCACGCACCGATGACGCTGCGGTCGCGACGAAGCAGGCCGACGCGCCGGGCGGAAGGTGGGCTCTCGGCCGACCCGCAGCGGGCATACTCCTGAGCCGCGCAGACGGCAGTTTGCGGTTCATGTCGAGTCTGATTTCCTTGGTTGGTTTTGCGCCGGTTTCGCAGGTCTGACTGGATGGTCGAGGAGGCGGGCATCTCCGCGATGTTCGAGGACCCGCGCTTGAAGCGCGAGCGCGAGGCCGAGGAGAAGCGCCAGCAGGACCAGCACGCAACCAGGGTCAAGGCACGCCTCGCCAACCATGATTCCTCGACTGCCAGCACGCCGCTTCCTCTCGTCACCGCCAACAGCCTCGCAACCCCTCGCCGGCCCCTCTCTGCCGCAGATGAGCGCGAGGGAACTCAATCCGGAGATGCGCATCGGCGCCGAAAAGGGCCAAGCTGCCGCGGCGCCGCACGTCGCGACCAAGGCGGGGGTGGGCGACATGGGGAAGTCCTGGCGCATCAAAGCGCTCCGGCGGGCGCGGGAGCAGTCCAAGGAAACAGGCGTGCCCGTGGAGGAGCTCGTCAAGGTGCGTGCGGCGCCCCGGAGGCGTTCGGGGGGTGTTTTTTTTTTACTTGTGCTCATACCGCGGCGTCGGGGGCCCCCGTCGTGCGACGGACCGAAGGTGTGGCTTCCGGTGCGCGTGCGTGCGTCGCAGGATCGGTGGGGGTCTCTCGCGGAGCTTATGGCGGGTATTACGGAGGATGACATACGGGCTGCGTCAGGGCACGCGCACTCGGCGGCGGCGCGGGCACGGCGCGAGGGCCGCGAGGTTACAGTCGCGGTGCGCGAGGGCGGCGCGGCGGACCGCAAGGGCGGCTGGCGGGAGCGCGCGCGGGAGCGGCGGCGCGACCGAGAGGGGGGGGCCGCGTCTGAGCGCAGCAGCGACGACCGGCGGGACCGCGGCGGCAGGAACGACCAGCGGGACGATCGGCGGGAGCGCGAGCGCGAGGGCGGCGACCGGCGCCGCGACCGGCGTCGCGAGGAGGGCAGCGAGGGCCCGCAGAGGGGGGGGAGTGACCGCGAGAGGCCCCGGGGGCGTCAGGGGTACCTCATGGACGTGCGCGCATCCGGAGAGAACGACCCCGCGCGGCGGAAGATGGTCCGTCCGGGCGGGAGGGGGGGTGTCTCGTCTGACGTCCTCGAGACGGCCCCGGGTATGAACAAGTTTGCGAACGACGGGTCGTTCTGGGACAAGTTTTCGGGGGGGGTGTCCAAGGAGGCCCTCGAGGAGGCCGAGCGCGACGCCACGCGCCGGGAGACCACCGTGCGGGAGCGCAGCACGGTCGCGGACGAGGAGGCGGCGCTGTGGGAGCAACGCGAACAGGAGGAGACGGGGGACGGGGGTGGCGGCGGCTCCGGCGACGAGCGGGGCGGTGGGGCGGCGGCGCCGGCGAGCGCGAACATGGGCGCGGCGGCCGCGCTGCGTGCGCGCCTGGGCGGCGGCGCAGCAACGAAAGGAGACGAGAGACAACGCTCGCCCGACGCAGGCGCTGCCGCGCCGCAGGGCGGCAACCTCGGGGCTGCGGCGGCGCTGCGCGCGCGTCTGATGGGCCGCGCGCCGCCCGCGAGCGACGGGGCGCGGCCCGCGGAGGCGCACGGCGCGGGCAGGAAGCGCGAGCGCCACGAGGAGGTGCTGCCGCTAATAGACGCGAAGGGCATGCCGGTGGCAGGTGCGTTCGGGCGGGAGGCGGCGTCGCGCGGCGCGCAGGAGAAGCGCGTGCGTGCGGGGCGTGCGGGGGTCCAGCGGTATAACGCGGAGACGGGGGAGCGGGAGAGGTACTTCAAGGATGACGACGAGGGGGGGAATATTGCGGAGATGGCGGCGCGGGAGCGGCTGGGCGGGCGGGACATGGACCGCGACTTCGCGATGAATGTCGCGCGGACGAAGCGGTTCCGCGTCGACAAGGAGATGGACGCGGACGCCGAGTACGACTTCGACCAAGGTGCGTGCGACGACACTCGAGGATTCTCGACTTCGGCTGCATTGGTGTGCCTCGGCGCCAGAGGCCCACGCGCGCAACCTTGCGCGCGCCCCGCCTGCTCCTTGGCGCGGCCGTGCGGCAGCACAGCGCCTGGGCTCCGAATATGAGCCTTGCATGTCATTTCCTTCATTTTGGCGTCTCCCGAATCCGGCCCGCAGGGATCGAGATGTTCGAGCGCCGGCGCGGCAAGGAGACCAAGGACCAGGCCGAGGCGCGCGACCGGCAGCGGCAGATCGGCGAGCACCGCCGCGTCACCGGCATTCAGTCCAAGTGCCTGTATTGCGTCGAGAACGGGGCGCGTCCGCGGCACCTGGTGGTCGCGGTGGCGACGACGACGTACCTGATGCTGCCGCCCACGGGGCGGCTCGCGGACCGGCACTGCCAGATCGTCGTCGCGGAGCACACGCCGTCGGTCCGCCAGGTGCGCAGTTGGGAACCACGAACTCGCGTCTGACATGTGTTGGTCTGGTCTTGCTGTCTGACTGGCCGTCGGCGCGATGTGCGCACGCGCTCAGGCGCGCGGCGTCCTGTACGGCGCGTGCGCCCCCTGCTCCGTGGAGGATCGAGACAGGTTGAGTGCAGGACGACGCTTGCAACAGCGAAAGCGACGCGCTGCCGAACCCGCTCGCAGGCGCTGGACGACGAGACGACCGCGCTGGAGATCCGCAACTTCAAGAAGTGCCTCATCCGCATGGCCGCGGAGCACAACGAGGGGGTAGTGTTCATGGAGACTGCCATGGGGCTGGGGACCTTCCGGGGACACGCGCGGATCGACGCGGTGCCCGTGCCGCGCGACGTGCTCGACGAGGCTCCGATGTGGTTCAAGAAGGCCATTGACGAGTCCGAGAGCGAGTGGAGCACTCACCATGGCAAGCGGCTGTTGAAGCTGACGCCCAGCCGGCCGCTGCAGTCGTCCGTGCCGCCGAGCTTCCCGTACCTCGCCGTGGACTTCGGCCTCGACGACGGGTGCGTGCTGGGCCCGGAACGCTCTCGCTCCGCGCTGCCGTTGCAGCGATAGACCTTGTTTCTCGATTGCGGAACCGCGCAAAGCTCTTGGTGTTCTGATACGAGGTGGTTTGGTGTGCGCTGTTGCAGGTACGCGCACGTCATCGACGACGAGGCGAAGTTCCCCGCGAACCTCGGCCGGGACACCCTCATCAGCATGCTGGGACTCCCCCCGGAAGACATGCATCGACGCGGCAGGACGGAGGCGCGCGGGGCGCAGGACAAGGTGCTCGGGGCGTTCCGGGCCGCGTGGAACCCGCACGACTGGACCAAGCAGCTCGACTAGGGGCCGAGGCCGCCGAACGGGCCGTGCAGTGAGGCTGCTGAATCTCGAAAGTAAGAGATCGACCACCAAGGGCCGACTCAACTCAACGCTCCTTCGATTTTGGCGGTGTGTGAGCAGCGTGTACGTGTGTGCGCTGGCAGCGGGCTGTCACTGGTTGCTCCCGCGGCTGACGATTGGGAAATATGCAGCGTTGACTCGCTAGCATCGTGTGCGTGTACCTGACCGCCGACGCTGCTCCTGGCCGCCCCATTTCCTGATCGATGAGCAGGCACGTCTCTCAGTAGGCACGTCTACTCTGCTGAGGCCGTGTCATTCCGCTCACAGCAGAAGCGCGAGCGCGACGCACAGCGCGAGCACGAGAGACAACGCCGCAAAAGGCGCAGCTCCTACGTCAACGGAGCCTCCGACACCCCTGCTCTGTGCACCTGCCCCGGAGACCTCGTCCGCTGCGGTCGGTGTGGTGGGCGGCGGCGCAGCGGGCCGCGCAATGCAGCCGTCTCCAAGGTTGCATGTGTAGTCCACGTCTGCTCTTCCGCTCAACCAGTACAGCGCGTGCCTGTTGCTGCTGCTGCCTTTGTTCGCCAAGTCGTAGCCGGGCGTACATTGCGAGCACATCAGCTCGAGGGTATGGGGCGCAACACATGCCTTGCATTGAGGGTGCACGCGCGCGCACTCCTGATCGGAGCGGAAGTTCGGGTGCTTGGAGCACGAAGGGTCATCTGCAATGCGCGCCACGGCATGCGCTCACTCGTCAACGTTCGAGAGTTGCGGCACTTGGCAAGGCAGCCCATCTGAACTCGAACAGCGCGCAACACACGTGCCGTCCACCTGCAGCGCGGAAGCGATCGCGCTGTTGGGGCGCGGGCGCTCACCGATCGCGTTTGCCCTCCGGTCAGCGGGCCACGGCGTCGCGCCTGACCCGCTGGACGAGCCACCGCTGCCGCCAGTGGCGCTGGACCCGCCGCTCGACGAGCCGCTCCCGCTGTCGCTGAAGCCGCCGGACATCGACCAGCCGAGCCGCTTGGCGGCCGACTCCATGCACTGCGCGCGGTCAGGGGAGCCAGCTGCGGTGAGAGCACTGCAGGCGGTCTGCCAAGGCTTGTGCCGCTGGCGCGCGCAGTGCATGCCACTCACGCAGGGCGGAGGGTCGGTCTGGCTGTTCCGGTGCGAAGGGGGAGCGTCAGCGCTCATGCTGGCAGCCAACATCGAAATACGTCACGACGATCATGTTTCCATACCTCGTTCCACTGATCCTCCGTCAGGTCGTCCTCGAAGTCGCACGTCGGCAGCGGCCGCCCCGCGTTGAAAGCCTCCGAGAACTCGTTCAAGCACTGCAGGGAGGGGAGCGCTGGGCGGCGTCGGGCGCTCTGCGGGCGCGTTGTAGGTGTGCAGGATGGAGCGTGGCGTGGGCTCGGCGGGCGGTGCCGGGGCAGCGCGCCGGCCCGATCGGTGCGGCCATTCGGCGACGTGGCTGTTCATGCCGTGGCCATGCGGTGGGCGCTCAGGTCCGCGCGGAAGCCGGGGCGCTCGGAGCCGCCGCGAATGACTAGAGCTCTGCTTTAGGGAAGCGGCCGTGTGGCGCTTGTACGGGGCGTTGTGCGCGTAATGACTTCAGCTTCATGCGATACCAGCAAGAATGATCGGGCATCGATCAAAATCACACGCAATTGTGCGCGCTACGCCGAGCGGCAGGAGGTCTTGCTCTCTGGAAACGTGACGGCTTGCCGCGCGTTCGTGCGGGGCAGCACTGGCTTCCAATCGAGACGAAACGCATCTGCTGGTATGTTACCCACCTCGATGATGTCGCTGTCGCTGATTGGGCAGCTCGCGGCCGCCGAGCCCGCCCCCAGCAGGAGCGCGACGGCAAACAGCAGCCTAGCGACGGAGCGCGCCATGATCGACGGACGGCGCGACGAGTTCGGTGGAAGCTTCGCCGTGTGCGAGGCGCGGGGCGCGCAAAGGCGGCAATGGCCCCGCGGGCCAGACCGCAGGATCAGCCTGCGGCTGACAGACAGGCTTTCCAATCATTCGAGGCCTTCTGTTGCCAGCGCCGATTCGATGAGGACCTCAGGTCGTCCGCGGCGAGATGAGAGGTGCGCCTACGTCTTCGCCGCCGTTGGCCACCAGGGGGCGACCAACCTAGGTTGTTCTGAACATTCCATTGCCCCCATCAGAGAGTGCGTGTGCGCGACGGCAGTGAGGCACCAGCCACGGTTGACGTCCCGTGCGGGCGCGGCGTGGCATCACAGCAGCAGCGCGAGCGCGACATCACAGCAGCAGCGCGAGCGCGCCGCACAGAGCGAGCACGAGAGACAGCCCCGCGACGGGAGCGGACCCAACGTCGGACCCAGCGGCGCCCCCGAGGTCAACCGTTCCGGACACCGCCTCGGTCGCGCGCGGCGCCGCGGTCGCCGCCGGCGGCGGCGTGGTGGGCTCTGGTTCGACGATACAGGTCTGCGCAATCTCGCAGCGGTAGTCTCCCGGGCCTGCGCCGTGCGCGGGGCCGTCGTAGAAGTGCCTCCGCAGCGACCACGCGTTGCCGAACTCCGACAGCACGTGGCCGTCCGTGCACCGCGTGCACCGCTGCCACGCGTCGTCCGGCCACACCACGCATGCTTCGCACTCCGGGTGCACGCGCGCGCAATCCTGGCGGCTGAACTTGAAGAACATGTGCCTGGCGCACAGCTGGTCCTCTGCGTCGCGCGTCACCACGCGTGTTGACAGCTTGAGTCACGCGTGGCCATGACGAGGATCGCATGCAGCGTGGAGTGATGCAGAAGCGAGCGTGCTGCGGGGGCGCGGGCGCTCACCGACCGCGGCGTTCTTCCGCGCGGTCGTCCACGGGCGGTCCGAGTAGGACACCTGGTCGGCGTAGTAGCGGGGGCCTCCCGGGGGGGAGTCGGGGGTGAAACTCCCCCCCGTGGCGCTGGACCCGCCGCTCGTGGACCCGCCGCTCGACGAGTCGCTCCCGCTGTCGCCGAAGCCGCCGGACATCGACCAGCCGAGCCGCTTGGCGGCCGACTCCATGCACTGCGATGCGTCGGGGGACGCGCGTGGTGGGGGGGGAGGGGGGGAGCGACGGGCGTTCCTGTAACGCTGCATCGCTGGCGGGCGCAGGGCGTGGTACTTGCGTGGGGCGGGGGTCTGCATCACTCTGCATGGGCACGAGGAGGAGGGAGAGGCGAGGAACCAGCAACAGCCGGGTATTCATATAACTAGATGTATCTACACACATGCACATATGGATTCACGATTGTTCCCGCACCTCGTTCCACTGATCCTCCGTCAGGTCGTCCTCGAAGTCGCACGTCGGCAGCGGCCGCCCCGCGTTGAAAGCCTCCGAGAACTTGTTCAAGCACTGCGCAGGGAGGGCAGCACCGGGCGCGTCGGTCGGGCGCCGCTCCGCGCTCTCGCCCAAGCACCCGGTGAGGGCCGGCGATGGTGTGGGCGGGCTGTGTCGGGCCCGTGACCAGGGCGGATCGCGCGGCGCTCCCGCGACGCAGCGGGCCATCTCATGCTCGAGCGGCGGGCGCGCAGGTCCGCGCGGAAGCGGGGGCACGTTCGGGGGCCCGCCCCGCATGATGCTGTGTATGGCTAGGGTAAGAGGCTGGGCGGCAGATCGCGAGAGGCGACTTCCGCCGTTTGCGTCCCGTCTGACGCGAATTCTGGCACGATTGATGGGAGATCAGCCGCGAAAACGCGCATGAAGCGCTGCGTGTTGGGCAGGGGCGGGTGCTATGTGTGGAAACGTGAGGATGTCGCTCGCGTTCGATCGGGGCGCTGTCGACTTCTGGGGAAGACGAGACGCATGCAATGTGTGCCACTCACGTCGATGATGCGGCTCTCGCTGATTGGGCAGCTCGCGGCCGCCGAGCCCGCCCCCAGCAGGAGCGCGACGGCAAACAGCAGCCTAGCAACGGAGCGCGCCATGATCGACGGACGACGCGACGAGTTCGGGGTCGCCGGTGGATGAATGGCCATGTAGAGGGCGGAGGGCGCGGTGAAGTGCGAATGCCTCGCGGGTCGACAGTGCCCTGGACGGACGTGGGCATCCAATCAAGGAAAGTCCTACTGGATGCCAGGGCTAGACCAGTGGATCGATTTCTCCGATTTTTGCGCGACAAGGTCGAGTTCGATCGGATGAAGGCCGTGGGATCAACGCACGAGCGGACGTACGGCGGACCGCTGCTGTGTCGCGAGAGAGCAGCATCGGGGCGGACTGCCTGGCAACACAGCCCCATGCGGGCAGCCCTCAATGTCTCGGCTCTCTGCGCGCGCCCCGCACGATCCTGACCTCCGCTGCGGTCCGTTGAAGGGTGTTCGTGTCGTTTCGACGCCCTGCGTCGCACAGCGGCCTCTAAAGCACTGCCGAAATGCAGTCTGTGGCACCGCGCGCCGGCGAGGACGGTGATACCGCCTTTTTGAATGAGCTCCTGCGCGCGTATCAGAATGGAGAGTCGCTGCCGGAGGGAATGCCCCCGGAACTCACGACGCTGCTGCAGCAGGCGGTGTCGGGGGGCCCGGAGGGCGCAGAGGCTCTCGCGGGGCTGGGCGGGGCGGGCGGGGCGCCCCAGGGCGATTTCGTCGAGGTGGTGCCGGACCCAGCGTTCGTGGTGAAGACGGTGGACGAAACCGGTGCGTGACCGACGCCTGCGCCGCCGGCAACATGCATCGCAGTCCCGCAGGGCCGCGTGCCGCAACCGGGGCGCGCGGCGGCTTCCGGGGCTCGCGGACGAGCCCAAGAGCTCCTCCCGCGTCGTATCTTCGCTTCTGGATCGTCAGAGGGATGTTTCGTCGACTGAAAGCGACGTGTTCGCGATGCACAGACGTCCGCCAAGTGAGTTGCTCTGCAGGGCGGAAAGTCTTCGTGAACATGTGCGGGTCGGAGCACGTGCCTGCGGCGGGGGACTGGTCTGGAGGGCAGGTTCCGCTGGAGGTGCAGGAGGCGCTCGAGAAGCAGGAGATGACGGAGCAGGACGCACAGGTGCGCTGGATGCAAGCCTCAAAGGCTGAACTCGTGGTTTTCGCGGCCACGTTTGCGGCTTCGTGGGCTGCCTTCGGGCTGCTCGTGTCCCTGCGTATCCTCCTCGCGCGCTGGAACGAGAGAAGAGGGCGGATGCTGGAGCCAAGGTTAGTAGTTTCCTTTCGTTGCGACGTCTGTTTCGCGATGGTCCGTCTCACGCGCGCCGCCCCGTGCGTCCCCTCCCGCAGGTCCTGCGCTTCCCCATCTCGATGGGCGAGGTCCGCAACGACCTGGACAACAAGGGCCAGCCGTGCAGCGTCATCGATTGCATCTTCAACGCCAAAGTCATCACCAACTGCGGCAGCAACCGCAGGTACGCCCGTCCGCACGCGCCCGCCCTTGCCTCCACTACGAGCGACCGGCCGGCCACCTGCGGAGCCTCTCGGGCACGGCCACGCGCCAACACACCCGCACAAAGGCAGCATGTCCCGTCACGCAAGGCACCCCCCGCGTCGCGGTGTCCCCGCAGGCTGAAGCACTTCCTCGTCGACCTCGCCCTCCAGTGGGCCGCACACAAGCACAAGCTCGACCTCGACCCCAAGTTCAAACTCCCCCGTCTGACATACAAGGGGGAGTCCCCCGTTCCGCAGCGGCTGCGCGCGGACAAGAAGCCCGTCGTCCAGGCACGAAACAACCGCGCGCGAGCCGCCGCATCGCACAGACAAACCGCCTGACGAAGCCCCAGCATCGGGGCGTATACTCCCCCCCCGAGTACGAGTCGTTCGTGCCTGCTGACGCTGGAGGCTTGCTGGCCGCTGCGCGGCGCAGGAGATAACGGAGGTCGAGGAGGAGCCGCAGTTCCCGCTGCTGACCAAGCCGCGCAAGCCCGGCGCGGCCACCGTCGCGCCGCCGCCCGCCGCGCCGCCTGCTGCCAGCCCCGCGCAGGCACCGGACGACGCGCCGGCCGCCCCCGCCGGCCGCATCGAGGTGCGCACCACATCCCACATCGCACCGACAAACGCCGGCCTCGTGCCCCGCCCTGCGGCACTGTCATATGCGCCCACATCATCATCGTTGTTGCGTTCCCGTGTCCTCCGTTGCGCGCAGCACTCCGTGGAACTCGTCGGGCGCCCGGTCGAGTGCATGGTCGTGTCCGCGAGGCTGCCGTCCGCGGCGGCAGAGGCTGCACGGAGGGACCAGGGGGCGACACTGGGGGTGTCTGCCGCGGGGGACAAGCTCGTTCTGAGCGCACGCGGGGCGCCCGACGCGACTGTGCAGCTGCCGTTCGCGGCGGACCACCGCGCTGCCAGCGCAGGCAAGCCCTGCGCTCACACACTGTTGCCTTGGACCTCTTTTGGTGTTTTTTGCACGCCACCGCGCAATCATGACGTGATAGATGTGTGCCCGCACGTAAAATCGATGACACCATGCGCGCACGCGTCTGGACCCGCGCTCCAGCGACGCACGCGCAGCAGAAAGCGCCTGCATCGTCGCGTTGTGTTGGACGGCCGCCATCAGCCGGTTGCTGCGGTGCAGGTGTCGACCTGGCGAAAGGCACGCTGCGCGTCACGCTCCCGGTGCTCCCCGTCGCGGCGCACTTCGAGCAGATGCGCCGCGAGGCCCCGCACGCCGTCGGAGCCCTCTCCTTCCAGTCAGACGCCCTAGCACCCTAGGGGGGGGGAGTATTACTCCCAGCTGCTCCGTCCGTCGCCGCGACCATCAGGCGCATCGCGGCGCGCTTCCGAGCGGCATCGTTCCTCCGTCGCGCATGCATGCTGCACACCACCTCTTCGCGGCTTTACATCGTCGTCGCGGTCTGCCGTGTGAGTTCCAGCAGCCGCGAACTTCGCCCCCGAGCACCTGTACCGCGCAGCACGTCCGCGGATCTCACAATCCCCCCCCTGACGCGGCTATTCGTCCAGGAAGTCGAACCGCCCCGCCATGCCCCCCCGCAGCTCCTGCTCCACCTTCTCCGCCTTCTGCGCCTCCTTGATCTCCGCCTCGTTCACCCGCTCGTACCCGGCCGGCATCTCCGCCGCCCCCTCCTCCACGCGCCCCATGAGCACCACATTCTCCCCCCGCACAACTTGCACGCCCAGATGGATGTCGCCGTAGAGCCGCCCGACGACGACGCGCTCGATTGCGTCCTCGAGGACGACGTTCGCGAACTGGTCGAACGACCGCAGGTGCCCGAGGAGCTTCCGGCCGTCGCGGAGCTGCACGGACACCGCGGGGGCGACGTTGTGTGGTTTGGAGGGCGGAGACAGCGCGTGCGGCCGGTGCGTGGGTGATGCGAGGATGCGGCGCGCGTGGCGCGTCAGGGACGGTCGCGTGCAGATGGACAGGTGGGGTCGGAGGCGCTCTGGGGGCTGGTGCGGCGGGTCGCGATGTCGCTGGGTCGCTGACCTGGACCAGCAGGCGCTGGTCGAGCTCCTCCGCGATGGCGAGGCCGGGCGCTGGGATCTCTGGGAGCTGTGGTGGTGGCGGTGGGGGGATCTCCCCGCCTGCAGCGTCAGGGGCGCGCGCCGAGCTGTGAGTTTCGTGGCAGGTGCTTTGGACGCCCGAGTCTCAGGCAACGCCGTGAACTTGGCGTGTGCGCCAGCGCTGCGACAGCGAACACCATGGTGGGTCGCTGCGTCGGACGAGCGCCTCCAGGGTGGACGAGCCTCGCACGCATAACCGGGAGACGCTCAGGAAGACAACAGGCTGCTTTGTGGCCAGCAGCGAGCCGCAACGACCGCTCAGACGGCGCCGACGCTATGGAACAGAGGCGCTACCTATCATCGGCATCTGTCCCTCCATCGTCCTTCCCCCCCAGCACGCCCCTCGCACGGCCTTCTCTACCAGCCCCCACCACAAGGAAGACAGCAGCGGCGCGCTCCGTTCCGTCGGGTGTTCACCGGCTCGATGTGGCACCCTGTGTGCCGCAGCGCTCCACACCAGCGCCGGTTCCACGCCCGCAGAGCGCCGCGAGGCACCCCCTGGGCCCCTGAGCTGGCCAGTGGGCCGCGCCTCACGGCCAGCAGCCGGCACCGGCGCCCGGCAGATATCTCGTGGAGCAGATCACCACGCCCACACGGGCCAGCGAGGCGCCAGCGACACGTACCAGCACCTCCGTTGCTGCTGCCCCCCATAGCCATGGCCTGGCCCTGCGAGCCCTAGCCCGGCGCGCGAACCGGGCCGCGCTCGCCGCCGAGAGCGACCGCACAACATGGAGACCCTGGACCTGTCGTGGATGAGCGCTCTGTGGCACCGGTGAGCGCTTCTCGCCTTTCTAACCTCGCCACGCCTCCCTTTGCCGGTTCCGCCGCCGGTGCTGCGTCTCACGGCCGGCCGCCCGCCGCACAGCACGGTCCATCGCACCAGCTCATCCGCGGCGCGCTTCTCCGGAGCGGTTCCGGCTGCGCCCGCTCCCAGACCCAGCTGCACCCTCCCATGCACCCTGAGCCCCGCCGTCGCGTCAGGCACCGTTCCCGCCACGCGCCGCTCACGTACACGCGGTATCACGCGCGTTCGCGCAGGACGGAGCGCGAAATCAAGCTCCGCGGGCTCACGCTGGCTTGCAATGCCCCGCTGGGCCTCGGGCTCGTCAAGGCCTTCAACATCTGGACAGCCATGAATCTGGCCATCCACGGCCTTCTCCCGTCGACCCTGCAGTCCTGCTTCGGCTCCTCCGCGATGTTGGGCGGGTGCGCGGGGGAAGGTGAGCGCTGCGCCCCGGCTCAAGTGCCCGTTGCTCTCCCTCGGGCTCGCGCCCGGGAGTCCCGGACGCTCACGTCGCGGCCCGGCCGCTCGCCGCGTTCCTCCCTTGCTTGCAGGTGGCCTGATGCACGGCGCGTGCATCGACACGTCCAGCATCCTCCCGGGCATGACTGTTGGCGAGCGCCTGGCCATCCTCGACCGCGTGTGGCCCATGCGCTGCGGGACGGACGTCTTCGCCCTCCTGTGGATGCTCCTGACGCCCATGCTCTTCAGCGGCTCCATCGCGCTCCCGCTCCTCCTCGGCACGCTCCTGCCGGGCAGCTCCTGGGCTGCGCGGCGAGACGATGTGTGGAAACGCCGCGGCACGGTCCTCTTCGGCCAACAAATCATCCGCGTGCTCGGTAACACGTACATCATGGTACGTGTCCCCCCCCGCACCACCCCCGTCGCCACCCGGCCCCGCGCAACCCCGCCAGCACCCCCACGCGCCCCTTCCGGCCCGCCCCCCGTGCTCCGCAGATCAGCAGGCCGCAGGACTCCGCGTTCCTGCACTCCTCCGCGCTGACGATCTCGTTCCTGACCGCGCTCGAGGTCGACACGGGCGACAAGTTCAACGACCTGGCCACCCCCCCGCTGCCCATCACGGTGGCGCGCCTCACCACGCCCATCTGCTTCGCGCTCGCGGCCCTGTTCGAGATCGTCGTGTACGGCGCGCCGCTCGCACGCATCCAGCTCTACGTCACCGCGACCATCCTCTTCGTGGTGACGTACGTGCTTACGGCAGTGTGGATGAAGGCCCCCGACCGAAACGAACTCAGCGGCGAGCACCGCACGGGAGGTGCGCCACGCCCCTGCCAGCGCCCGCCGCGGCCTGCCCGCTTGCTGCCGCGGACCCGTTCGAAGACCGACTCACGCTCTCCGGTGTTTCGTGCAGGGTGGCGCGCGGTGTCGATCCTGCTCAACGTCCTCGCGACGTGGGCCGCAGTCGTCCTCGCGATGTGGGCCTTCGCGTGGCGCGCGGCCCGGCACGACAGCCCCGCGTCCGTGCCCCCGTTCTACATGCTGGTGGCGGCGCTCATCCTGCTGTGCGCGCTCCAGCACGTGGGGAGGATCATGGCAGAGTCGCGCGCGCGCATCGTGCGCAACATCCTCCCCGACCAGGTCGCCGCGCACGTCCTCGACAAGGTCACCGCGCGGTCGGGCGCTGGCGCGTCGGGAACGAGCACGACGCACGGCGCCCGCGGCGCGCCCGTGTCGCTGACGCCCAAGGTCAGCGAGATGTGGTCGGCCTCGGACGGCGCGTCGTGGCACAGCAAGCCCCCCGCGAACGAGCCGGCGTACAAGCCGGTGAAGGCCGCGCAGGGCAAGCGGGCGCCGACCCGGCAGCGTGTGCAGTTCGCCGTCGACGACATCTCGCTGGAGGTGCGCGGACGGTCCCGCGCGGGCCAGCGGCGGTCGTTCCACCAGCCCGGGGGGGAGCCGGGAGCGGGCAGCGCAGGGGTGCAGCGGCCGGCGGCGAAGTCGACCTCCGAGGTGGACGACGGGCTGCGGCAGCGGAGCGTGACGATGGACGGCAACGCGGGGCGGTCGTCGGGGCGGTCGCGGTCGGAGCGGAAGCGCGAGCTGCGGAAGCAGGCGGCCGAGCTGGAGCAGCTGGCCATGCGCAAGGCGGCCCCGCGGCTGTTCGACAAGCACGACGGGTCGGACGCGCTCAAGGGTATGGTGCGGCGGTGGTACGCGCCGCGGTCGCTGCAGGGCCCGCACGACCCGCCCCCGTGTCTGACCAGCTTCGATGACGTGACGGTGGTGTTCAGCACGGTGATGGGGTGGGACGAGAGCCCGACGGGGGACGCGGACGACGCGAGCAAGCTCCGCAGCCTGCACACGTGCTTCTCGAGGCTCGACGGCCTGGTGAGTGCTCCACCGCGCACCGAGCACCGCGCCAGCAAGAGTGTTTGAGTTTTGTTCTGTGGCGCTTGTCGCGCGTGAGCCGCGTCACCGACGTTTGTGTGTTGGCTCCGTGGCGCATGGCTGCAGGTCCAGGGGCTCGGGATCTACAAATACGAGACGGTCAGCGACACGTACATCGCCATCATTTCCCCGCCGGCGAGCGGCGCGGACGCGCAGGCCGCGACCGCGCTGGCCTTCGCCACGTCGATCTTCTTTGCGGCCTCGTCCGTGCCGCGCCCCGGCTGCGAGCACGAGGAAGAGCGCATCTCCCAGGACGGCGCCGAGTCTTACAACCGCCTGTCGTGCCGCGTGGGCATCCACCGCGGCCCCATCTCCGGCGCCGTCCTCGGGAACCTGCGCCCGCTCTTCACCGTCATCGGCACGACCGTCAACATCGCGTCGCGCATGGACAGCAGCTGCCCCCGCGGATGCATAAAGATGACGGAGGCCGTCTTCGACGAGCTCCACCCAGAGCTCCAGTCGCTGTGCTCGCACTCCGAGGAGTACGTCAAAGGCATCGGGCTCATGCCCACGTGGACGCTGCCCGTGCTCACCAGCGACGACACGGCGCCGGTGTCCGGCGTGCGCAGTTTGTCCACCCGGGTCTCCAAAGCCAGCGCCGACGGGGACAGCTTTGGACCAAACATCTTCAAAGTGGTCGACCCGTGACGCCGCAGCCTGCGCCCCCTCTCCCATCGCTGCCCGCATTGCATCTCACTGGTAGACGCAGGGCTGCTCGCGGCCGTCGCCGCCCTTGTAGACGACCCACAACCCATCGTGTTGTCAAACACTCCCCCCTCCCCTCCCCCCCTGACCCCTGGTAAAAACGCTTTCCCTTTGTTGCACGTTCTCGTCCCCCTGCCGCCAGCAGCCCCACGTGCCGCGCAGGCCCGTCGATCAGACGATCGCGCCGCGCACGTGCGCCCCATGTGGGCGACTGCGCCCGCAACAGTCGCATCGTTCCCCGCCGCCCCCGACGCACAAGGCCACGCGCGCGTCGCAAACCGCCTGCCGTTGAGGGCGGACGCGCCCGCGCGGCGTGCATCGGAGCGTGAGGGGAACAAAGATGGGGAACGAAGATGTCATGTCGCCGCGCCGAGGGGCCAAAGATTCTCGACGGCGCGGACGACGGAGGCAGTGCACCTGAAGCAGCCGCATATACACGTGCCGTCAACACTAGACAGCTGCACGCCCGTTGGGCTGCGGCGAAGAGGGGCGGGGCGGCGCAGCGCTGCACTCAAGGGCAGACCCTGCAGCCGTGCACACCTGTGTCCGCTTCCGCTATCTAGCAACTCACTACCTCTGTCTGTGAAATGAGCCCTGGGCACGGTGGAACGCGCGAAACGGCGACAGCGCAGCCCCGTCACGTCTCCTCCGCGGATGCAGGAGTTGCTTTCGTTTCGTGCGCGGGTGCTCAATTACTACTTTATGAGTTACTCATAAAGTCTGCCATGTTTGCGGCGTCAACGAATTACCCAACATCAAAGATCCGGAGTAGCTTGCAGCTGTGCGACGGCTCACAAGCCGCACAGTTGATGCGAGACTCGTAGGTCCGCGCCGTTCGGGCCCGCAACTGCCACGACCGAGTGCAGCCCACACGCCCCCCCTCCCGCGCCCGCGGGTCACGCAGCCCCCCTCCCAGACGCCTGCAAGATGGCACTAGCGAGCTCCTCTGCTGGCTGCGCGCCAGACAGCCCGACCTTGCCGTCAATGACGAAGTACGGCACGCCGGACACCCCCAGCGAGCGCGCGTACTGCATGTCGGCGTCCACCTCCTCCCTGCACGCAGCGCACGACATACCCAACTCCATAATCATCATGATTGGTATCATCAATCGCTGGATATCATGAATCGATGACTACGCATACGCGGGTGAGATGGCAGGAGAGCGACTTGCTCGCAATATGACGAGGCGCTGTGCACACTCACGCGTACTCGTCCGATGCCAGCACCGCCTGTAGCTCCTCTGCGTTGAGCCCCGCTCGCCGCGCCGCGTCCGCGAGCACGCCGGCGTCCCCGATGTGCTCGTTCCGCGTGAAGTACGCCGCGAAGATCTCCTCGGCCAGTGCCTGCTGCGCCGCGGGGCCGCCCGTCGACTGCGCCCAGCACAGCGCACGGTGGGAGTCTACTGTGTTGCCCGTCAGACCGCCCATGTTCAATTCGAGCCCCTCGGCCTCGAACGCCTTCTGCACCCGCCCCACGATCGACATCCAGCCCGGCCCGAACTTCTGCAGCGCATCATGTGCTAAAATATAATATCATATAACAAGCCTGTCGTCGAGATGCTATCCGACGGAAATGCAATCCGAGTCGCGCTGCACCGACTGCAGAAGTGCGTTCCGTGCCCTCGCTCGGCCTCTCCACGCGCTGTGTGCGCGCATCGCAACTGTTTGTGTCCATGCAAACGCGGGCCTATGTGGTGAGCTGTTTGGGCCGACGACGTGCTGCAGGGGGACGCTTTCGCGTGTCGGGGCGCGCCGTTACCTGCTGGTACATCTCCACTTTGTCGACTCCAGCTTTTGGCGCGTCGGGCCGCAGCTGAAAGGCCCGGAAGCTCACCGACACAGGCGCTCCGTTGCCAGATGCTTCGACCGACTTGATGGCCTTTTCCAGACGACGCTTGCCCACCCAGCACCAGGGACTGCATAGACGGTGAGAGGGCGCTCGTGCGTGGGCGTGAGAGCGGCGGGGTCACGCAGGGTGCGGGTGAGCTGAGGCGCTCGCGGCGTTAGGACATCCCTCGACGTCTCTGGGTGACGGCGGGAGGGTCGTTTCGTGACGTCATAGCAACGTTTCTGCTCCAAAAACAGGCGAGGGACGCATCATCGAGCGAGACGGAAGCTCACGGGTTGGCAGGAGGCGAAAGCAGTTGCAACACAATGTTGGGGACGCACCAGACGTTGTCGGAGATGACTTCGACGCTGACGGGCCTCATCGTCCTCGCTATGAACAGGATCAGCTTTGAGGACCGAATGGCGACCGCGCGACGACTCAAACGGCCACGCGCGGGACTGCAAGCTGGAGAGCAGGTACACCCTCTTACGTACTATCTGCCGAGCTCTTCAAGGCCTCCACGAAAACGATCCTACTGTGCGAGGGAGGCTCTCGGGCGTCGCGTCATATGCTGATTGCCGTATGGGCAGTGCCCCGCTCAGAGCCCCCCGAACGAGTGACGTGGCTGGACGCCCCCCCAGTCTTCGGATCCCCTGGTGGCTGCTCGACGGTCTAACGGGCCAGGCGGCGTGGCCAGTCGCGCGATCTAGTGCAGTCATTTGACCGAGAGGGCGACTCATCGGCACAACCACCGCGGCTCGGCTGCGCGAGGCACTTTCGTGAGGCTCTCAGCACTCAGGCGCGCTGCACAGTGTGTGGCCGCGTGTCGTCACAGCCCCCTCTGCTCCCATACCGAGTCCGATCTACTCGACTGCCTGACACTGGTCGGACGCTCCCGTTCTCCGCCATGGCTCCGCACGCTGCTGTCAGGGGCAGCTCGAGCTCCCCGGCCGCGACCAGGCACTGCGGGATGCCACCACGGCCGCGGCGAACGGCTGCGCCACGGTACATTAGCAGCCGGACCGTAGCGCGGGCGTCGCCGGACCAGGGAGAGACTGGGAGCGCAGGCGGATGGGGCCAGGAGGCTGCGTACGTTGGGCAACTAGCGCTAGCGAGCGTCGCAGGAGCCGGTGCCGTCAAGTGCGTCGCCCACAGCTCGGCTCGCTTGATACGGGTGCCTGCGGAGACGCATCCGTCTCGACGAGCGAGGCAGTCATACTGACTTGCCCCGTGGCAGTCTGGTTTTGATGTCTGTGCAGGTACGGAAGCTTGCTGATCAACCTGCCCGCGGTTCCGCCGCAGGCAGGCCCTGCTCTGGCGATCGTTGCGCTGCCCGTGGTCGCGGCCTCTGCGCTCTTCCTCTCGAGAGGCAACGATCGATGACGGGGTGATGGAAGTGCACAATTTGGCTTTGATGTGACCTCGCGCGCGCAGACCTCGCTGTCTCCAGTCGGAACCAGCCCTGCAGCGCCGCGGCAGCATCGGCATCGAACCACGGCTCACGCATTGCTATGGAGACCTCTGCAATTGCAATTGGAACTTGAAGAACTAGAACGGGGATCTGATTTGCAATTGTCGTCGATGCATCCTCCGTACAAGCGCGTGCATGCAGTGAGGCCGAACGCCCATCGAGTCGCCTGAAAGCGGCGCCCAGCGAGACTTGCATCACGCATCACACTACGAGGCCATCGCCACAGTCATCGCCCGCACGCACCCACGCACCCAGCCCCCCGCATCAGTACAGCGCCCGGCTCCCCGTCGTCGCCGCGCCCAGCAGCAGCCTCGGCGCCCCGACCCCCGCACTCCCCCCAACACCCCCCCTCACCAACTGCTGCTGCAGCGCCTGCACCTCCTGACGCACCAGCGTCGCCGCGTCCCCGACGCCACGCGGGCCGAACCCGCCCGACAGCGCCGCGAGCGCCTCCCGCCGCACGCGCAGCTTCGCCTCCTCGTACGCGCTGTGCGTCACGCTGGAACTCCCCCGGAGGGTCTCGTAGTACTCCCCCACCAGCCGCCCGCGCACGTCCGCCTCGATCTCCGCCATCGCGAGCACCGACGACCGCAGCTGCGCGTGCAAATCCCGCCGCACCTCGCTCCGCACCGCCTCCCGCATCGCGGGCTCCTCCTCTGCCCTCATCCGCGCTCGCAGCTCCTCCCGCAGCTCCGTCTCGATGCGCTCGCGCGCCTCGCCCTGCAGCGCGAGCCGCGTCGCCGCCTCCACCTCGCGCCTCAGCTCCTCCATGTGCTTCCGCCGCATCTCGCCCTCTAGCTCCGCGCGCAGCCCGTCCTCGACTTCAGTGCGCACGCGCTTGGTGATTTCTACCCGGTAGGGCCCCTCGGCGTCGCGCCGCACCTCGGCCTCGATCTCGCGGCGCAGGTTCGCCTCGGCCGCGTCGCGCAGCCGGCGCGCCTCGACGGCGCGGACTTCTGTCTCGATTTCGCGTCGCAGCGCGTCCAGCTCCTCCCTCCGGGCGCGGGCCGCGGCGCCGGCGCGCGAGAGCTCGAGCCGCGCGTCCGAGCGCAGCGCGTTCATCTCCTCGTCGCGGATCTTCTGGCGCGTGTTCGCGGACTCGAGCTCGGCCTGGATCTCCGACCGAAGCTGCAGCTCGAGCTCTCGGCGCACGGCGGGGCCGCTGGCGCGCGCGTCGGCGTCGGCCGTGGCGCGGACCTCGGCCATCAGCCGCGCGCGGAGCGCCTCTGCGAGAGCGGGATCGCCGGGCGCGCAGGACGTGAGCAAGAGCAAGGGAGAGGGGAGGGGGGAAGGGGGGATGTGAAGCGAACACCCCGCAACGGTGGCGGCAGGCACGCGGGGGCTGCGCAGCATCCCGCGCAAGAGACTCGAGATCGCTGCGCGCGGGAATGAAAGCAAGAAAGAATACACACGATAGAAAAAATACGAGAAGCAATACGTAGAAAGACACAGCCGGGACGGGATGCTCTGCGTGCGGGCGCGCCTGCTTCCTTGGCCACCTCGGCCTCCACCTTCCCCCTCCGCTCCTCCTGCAGCTTCGTCCGCAGCACCTCGGTCGCCGCGGCCACCTCGGCCCGCACGCTGCGCTCCTGCTCCGCGCCCATCGCGGTGAGCCGCGCCTCCCGCTCCCGCCGCACCCCCTCCTCCGCCCGCGCCAGCGCCTCTTCCGCGCCCCGCCGCAGCTGCGCCTCGCGCTCCGCCACCTCCCTCGCGCTCTGCGCCTCTAGCTCCGCGCGACGCGCCGCCAGGGCCTCGCGGGCCGCGTCCTCCGCGGCGCGCAGCTCCTCGCGCCGCCGGGCCTCGATCTCGCGGGACTCCTCGAGCAGGCGGCGCTCCCCGGCGAGCCGCGCGTCCTGCAGCGCGCGCTCGTGCTCGGCCTCGAGCTGGCGCAGGTCAGACCGTTGCTTGGCGCGGGCGTCGTCGAGGGCGCGCGTGGCGTCGGACTCGGCGGCGGCGAGCTGCGCCTGGAGATCCTCGTTCTCGCGCCGGCGCCGCTCCAGGAGCTCCTGCGGGGACCGGGCGCGTGGCCGCGTGTGTGTGTGAAACGGAAGCGTGATGTCTCTGTGCTGGGGGTGCAGGCTGGGGAGGTGCTGTTGGGGGGAGGGCGGGAGGCGCGCGGGAGGTGCAAGTGTGTCTGCGTGCTGCTGAGGAGTTCGCGGCACGGAGGAGTCGTCCGCAACCACGGATTCTCGACTTGCAGTTGCGCGATGTAGATATTCAGATAGTCGTTTGCCGGCTCCGCACCTTCGCCTCCGCGATGCTCTGCTCGACCTTCCGCTGCTCCGCCAACGCCGCCTTCGCCTCCTCGCGCCGCGCCTCCACCGCCTCCTGCACCCGCGCCGTCTCCGCCTCGGCCTCACGCACGCGCCCTTTCGCGTCCCCCACGCGCTGCGCCGCCGCCCGCACCTCCGCGCTCAGCGTCGCCTCGCTCGCTTCAAGCTCCGTCTTCCGCGCCGCGAGCGCCCGCACGCGCTCCTCCAGCCCGTCCACGGCCGCACGAAGCCGCTCCGCCTCCGCCGCCGCCGCCGCCGCGCGCGCGTCGCTGCCGGCGCTCGAGACCGTGAGCGGGACGGACGCCGCCGTGCGGCTCTGCGCGGGCGCCGGGGCCGCCGCGGCGGTCGCCGCGGACTGCGTCGTGCCGCGCGGCAGGCTGCGCACCGCACTGGACCCGCCGCCCGACTGGTAGCGGGTCGCGGCGCCGGAGGTGCCGAGGACGTCGTCGTCCGAGTAGAGCTCGAGGGAGTCGTCGGGCTCGTCCGCGAACGCCTGCAGCGCGCGATGAGTCTCGCGATCAGGGGGGAGTCACGGTGCTGCACCAAGAGGACTCTTGATGTCAGGGGGGGAGTCGCTCAACGTCACGACGTCGGGCGGGGCGTGCTGCTTTCAGGCTGCACGCGGGACGTGGCACGGCAGGCTCGGCCCGCGCCGCCGTCGCGGTGCGTCGCCAAAGCACTGCCGCAGCAAAAGCAGCACTGGGGCACGCACCTGTGCCATCGCTCCACCGGTTCCCATCCGCTGCTGCTGCTGCTGCTGCTGCTGCTGCTGCTGCTGCTGTTGTTGCAACGGTGGCTGCAAGACGGACTGTTGCTTTTGTTCTTGTTGTTGCTGCAGCTGCGTGGCCACCTGCGCCGCGCCGCCGCTCCCCTGCGACCTCCGCTGCGCGCCCAACGGAGCGAGCCCAAGCTTCTGCTGCCCGAGCCCCGGGAGCGTCGCCGTCTGCGCCGCCCCGGCCTGTGGCCGCACGCCAGCCTGTTGTTGCTGCTGCGACCTCCGCTGCGTCTCGACCGCCGCCGCCGCCTCCCGCTGCTCCCGCGCCTCCTCCACCGCCTGCCGCTGCTGCATCGACGGCCCCCGCGCCACCCCCCCCACCCCCAGGGGGGCACTCACGCGCTGATGCAACTCGTAATCCAGCCCGAATTGCGAGCTCGTGCGGTCCTGCGAGTCCGGGTGCGAGCTCGCGACGGCGCCCTGGCCGTGCGCGGAGCTCAGCTGGGACGGGCGCTCCTGCTCGGCGGGGGCGGCGTCGTCGGGGTGCGCGGGGTCGAGGCCAGAGTCGGAGGGGGGCTCGTACGGCACGCCCCGGGCGCGGCAGTCCATGAGGCGCTTGCGCTCGACCTGTGGGGCGATGGGGGGGGTAGGGGTGAGCGGAGGGCGGGCGTGGGGCGCGGGGGCGGGTCCGGGCGGTTGGCACCGGACCTGACATCGCTCTTTGAAGATCTTGTCGCAGGGGTGCTCCCACTCGGACTCGCCGGTGTTGAAGTTGAAGTAGTATACGCGCTCGTCCTTGGTCTTGCAGGGCTTCCACTGCGCGGGCAGCGGCGTGGTGAGGCCCTGCCAGGCCACCCACAACAGCTCCGGCTCCGTCGCGAGGTCGATGCCCAGGTAGTTCGCGTACTCCTTCACCTCTTCCTCGTTCGGCTCGTAGTCCTCCTCCAGCACCTCCTCCAGCACCTGCGAACGCAACGCGGCGCACGAGCGACGTTCAAGTCAACCCATCGGGGGCGCCCGCACCGCCAGCACAGGGGCCCGTTTGCGGGGATATCCAGCCTGTCGCGATGAACGACAGCCGAAAGCACTGGGAGCCGGGCTTTCCGGCGCAAGAGGGCGCAGTGACGGAGACCACGGCCACTTTCCCAGTCGCGCAGCAGCGCTCAGCATCAGGGCGGTCCTCCGCGGCAGGTGGCCGCGGAACCGCGCGGACCGGGCCGGGACGCGCCTGGTCCTCCCATTCCTGGTTCTCCTCCGCCATTTCCGCTGCACGGCGCGGTCCCTGCGGGCCGTGCAAGAGTCTCCCGGTTGTTGTTGCACGAACGCCGTCCTTGTGCCCTTCGCAGGCCTCGACTTGAGGTCCCCCGCGGTCGCCGCTGCGATAGCACGCCTCAGGTGGACGCCGGCGCCGCGCTTGCGTGCGCGTGCTTGCCGCGTCGCTGCGCGCGTGAGCACGAGGAGCGCAAGCCTGCGTGTATAGACCCGCCAGTTGACGCCAGACGGGGTTTTCGAGGCTTTCCCGCCACCGGCAGCGGAGTGGCGCACCTGGCCGGGTGGGCCGGGCAACGTCCTCGCCTCCCGCGCAGCGTGACTGGGACTGCGTGGCACGCCCCCCTGCGCAGAGTAGAAAATTGTTTGTCGAGCAGCGCTCGCCACAGTGCCGCTGCTCTGGCGCGCGTTAGCGCAATCGTTCTACTTCGTCGACGCGGTCCTCCAGAGCCGGTCGAGACCTCGGGTGGACGCGTCGCGGAGCGGTCCGACGACCGAGGCTCGTCGTCATCGGCTCTCGGCCTCGCCGGCGCGCAGGATGGGCACCTAGCCCGCCTCTTTCGCCCCGGACGGTTTCTGATTTGAGTGCAACGAAATGGCGACGATGACGCAGGAGAGGATGAGCGAGATCGCAGCCCAGCTGCAGGGCGAAGCCTCCCCCAGGGCCAAGCTCGCTGCGATCACGGTGCGTGCCCGCGCACGCGACGCGCCCTCCGGGCCCATCCGGCCGTTCACACCACAGCGGCGCCACCATCTCGGCGCATACACCCCTCCGCACCGCTCCCGCCACGCCCGCTCCTGCCTCGCTCAGCCCAGGCGCTGCGCAGCCGCCCGTTCCGACGCCCGCACGCGCCCTCAGCCCGCCGCACACCGCTCTGCCCCCTCACCACCCCAGCCGCCCCACATCACGCGCCGTATCTGCACGCACGCGCCGCTTCTGCCACCCAGCCTGCACACACTCACGTACCCCCGCGACCGCCGCGCCCTCCGCCCGCAGGAGGTCAAGGACATGCTCGAGATCGTGCACACCGCGGACTGCGACGCGTTCCTCCGGACGCTCCTCCCGCCCATCTGCGGCCTGCTCGCCAGCGTGCCTGCGCTCGTGTCGCCCACGGGAGGCGCGGTCCCTGCGGCTGCGCCGGCGGGCCCCGGCGCGGGCGGGGCGGACGCGTCGTCCGGGCCGGACGAGCGCTACGTGGGCCACTGGATCCGCTCCCTCGCGCTGGAGATCCTGCACCGGATTCCAACCAGCAGCGAAGCCCTGAAGCTTCACATCGGCGACATCCTGCGGTCGTGCTGCGACGCCCTCGCGAACGACAACGAGGTCAACGGGCTGATGGCGGTCCGGATCGTGTTCGACTTGCACAAGAATTTCAGACCTGACGACCCGAGTTTCGCGCTGCAGTTTCTGCAGTGGACTGCGCAGGCGTACCGCGAGTTCCACGCCGCGTACACGCACCACGAAAGGTGCGCGCTGCCTCGCGCGCACGCACACCGCGCCCCTGCCCGCCCCGCGCGCCGCCCCGAGCCGCCAGCTGCACGCGGCGTCCCGCGCCGCACACGTGCGTGCTTGTTGCGGTCCGTGAAATCGCGCAGCGGGCGGCTCAGGCTAGCCTTCGATGTGCCCCGTCGTGCCCGCAGCATCGTGGCCGAGGGCGGCGCTGCGACGGCCCGCGCGTCGCGGGAGCGCGCGCCCACGGACCTCGTGGCGGCGGCCAAGTCGACCCGCGTGTTGTCGGAGTGCCCGGTCATCATCATGTTCTTCCACCAGCTCTACAAGAACCTCCAGACGCCCATCCGCGACAGCGCGCGCATCTTCCTGGACGCGGTGTGCCTGCGCGTGCCCGCCGGGCAGCGCCCCGACGCCACGCCGCAGTCCGAGCACGTCGCCGCGGACTTCAAGGGCGTGCAGGTCAAGACGCTCTCGTTCCTCACCTTCCTCCTCAAGCAGTACCCCGCCATGTTCGCGGAGCGCCACAAGGACATTTGCGACGCGGTGGTGTACATGCTCGAGACGTGTCCTGACTCGATCCAGGTCCGGAAGGAGCTCCTGATCGCGACGCGGCACATCGTGAACGACAAGGGCTCCCCGGGCCTGCACGCGTCGTTCTTCCCGCACGTCGCGACGCTCATGAAGGAGACGACCCTCCTGGGGTGTTTCGCAAAAGAACTCCCCCACGCGACGTCCTCGGGGCTGCTCCCGCTCGCGTACAGCCTCCTCGCGGAGATCGTGCACTACATGCGGGAGGAGCTCACCTTCGACATGATCGTCGCCAACATCTGCCTGTTCGAGGGACACGTGCACACTCTCACCATGACCATCTCGATCCAGAGCACGTGCATCCGGCTGCTGCTCAACCTCGTGCAGACGCTCTTCCACCTGCGCCAGCCCGGGGCCACGGACCCCGAAGCGCAGCGCCGCCACACGCGCGGCCGCGAGCTCATTCAGTCGGTCTTCAAGTGCTACCTGGGGCGCATGTCCGCGCTCGCGCAGCGGACGCCCGCGCTCCTGGACGAGGCGCGCAAGGAGCGCGAGGTCGGCGGCGCGATCCGCGCGCGCCTCCAGAAGGACGCCGAGCTCAGCGTGAAGCCGTGGGTGCTCAAGCGCAAGCCCGCGGGCGCGGGGCCGGCGGGCGGCGGGGGCGACGGCGCGGGGCCCGGATCGACGACGGACGTCAAGATGGACGAGGGCGGCGAGGCTGGGCCCGAGCAGCCCGCGGCGCCGGCCCAGGCGGCGGCGGAGGCGTGCGGGGACACCCCCGGGGACGCCGCGCCGCCGGCGAAGCGCGCGCGGACCGACGAAGGCCCCGCGGAGGCGCCCCCGGCCGCGGACGACGCAGGCAGCGCGCCCGCGCAGGCGCCGGACCCGCAGCTCGCGTCGGACGAGTCCGCGCCGTACACCTACGACGTCACCGAGGAGCCCCTCCACCTGCACATGCAGCCGCCGAGCGACCGGCTGCGGGAGCTGAAGGACTCGAAGACGCTGCTGAACGTCCTGATGCAGTCGTCGCGCACGATCGTGTTCGTGCTCCTGCACTACGAGACCCCGAAGCACGCGCCGGGCGCGGCGCCAGAGCCCCCGGGCCCGCGGGACCCTGCGCGGGACCGCGCGCTGGTGCACATGCTCCGGCGGCTGCTGCGGCTCGCGCTGAAGAGCTTCCCGCTGATGTGGGAGTCGGAGCCGCAGGTGTCGGCGTCGCAGCTGCACGACCGGTTCGTAGACCTGGTTTCGGTTCTTCCGCCGCAACACTTCCTGGATGTCTTCAGCGGGATCGCGGCGGACCTGTTCGACGCGTTCATGTCGTGCGACCGCGCGCTGCACCTCGCGCTGCAGCTGGCCACGCACGAACAGAACGACGTCTGTCAGAGTTTCGCAGATATCTTTCTAGGGTATCTGTTGCACAACAAACTCGACAAGCTGGGGGGCGGGGAGGGCAAGGACGCCGACAAGACCCGCGCGGACGGCAAGCCCGACGACGCCCCGGCCGCCGAGGGCGAGAAGGGACCTGAGCGCGACGGCAACAAGGGAAATCGCGACTCGGAGCCCGCCAACAAGGCCCAGGACGACTCCGACGCCGCACGCAAGCCCGGCGCCGCACGGCCCGCGCCGACCGAGTCCGAGCGCGTCCTGCGCCTCTTCCACCTCATGTTCGGCGCGATGAAGCACCGCGGCGGCCTCATTCACCCGGTCCTTGTGCCGCGCCTCCCCATGCTGGTCCGCGCGTGCCTGGCCGCGATCGTGCACCACCCGGACCCCTCCGGGCACCTCGAGCTCCTCCGCTCGTGCTTCAAGGTCCTCCAGCCGCGGCCGTACGAGGGCGTCGTCGCAGTTCTGGAGCCCATGTTGCCGGAGATCATCGGGACGTTCGAGCTGATGCTGGACACCCCCCCGCGGCGGTTCTCGCGCGAGCAGATCGTGGAGCTGATGCTCGCGATCCCCGTGCCGCTCGCGACGCTCGTGCCGTACCTCGGCACGCTGGTTCGGCCGCTCATGGCCGCGCTCAAGAGCCGCGAGGACGGGTTGCTGACTCAGGGGCTCAAGGCGCTCGAGCTGTGGATCGACAACGTCAACCCGGACTACCTCGACCCGCAGATGGTGCCGCACCACGCCGAGCTCGTCACCACGCTGCACCAGATGCTGCAGCCCGGACAGGTCAACTTCAGCGCCAAGGCCCTGCAGATCCTCGGAAAGCTCGGCGGACGCAACCGGCGCGTGTGCGGCGAGCCGTACGCGCTCGACTACCGCAAGTACCCCGACCACGGCCTCCGGCTCATCCTCTGCCTCGAGCCGCAGACGTCGTTCCTGTTCCCGCTCGACCGGTGCATGCACCTGGCGTACCAGGCGATCACGAAGGCGCCGCTGCCGTTCACGTCGCCGCGGATCCCCGGGCGCTCCGCGCACCAGCGCCGCCAGGCGGCCCGCTTCGTGCGCGCGTGCATGGCGCGCGTCCTCAACCTGCAGGACCCTGCCGAGTCGTCGCTGCCCGGCGAGCCGGTCGACAAGCTGCGCGACGCGCTCTTCGGGGACTTCGGCGCGCCGCAGCTCCCGGACGGCATCTCCGCGTCCAACATGGGCGTCAAGACGAAGGTGCAGCTGGGAGCCGAGATGAACACCGTTCTGCAGGCGCTGGCGGCGCTGCTGATCGCGGCGGCGGACCCGGAGCTGCGCGACGAGACGTGGCCGTTCCTGCGCGGCCTCGCGCGGCACGTCGCGCTGCTGTTCGTCTCCTGCGAGGTCCACGACAAGCAGGGCTGCGGGTTCCGCAACGACCCCCGCGTCGCCGAGGAGCCCAACCAGGCGGTCATCCGGCTGTGCGAGATCCCGCCGAGCATCTTCCTCGAGGCGCTCGCGGTGCAGCTGGGGTCCGCGGACAAGGCGCGCCGGAAGGTCGCCTTGGAATGCGTCGATGTGTTCCTGGCGTCGCTGCTGACGTTCCAGGCGGCGACGAAGGAGCACGGGCTCCCGAAGGAGGCCGGCGACGCCGAGGGCGACGCGCAGGGCGGCGACCCGATGGACGTCGACGCGACGAGCCCGGCTGACAAGAGCGCAAAAGCGCCCCGGGGGGGTGGCGGGGCCTCCAGCGGCGCCGGCGCTGTCGACCCGTCGACGCACCCGTTCGGCCCCGCGCTCGGGTGCCTCCTCGCGGAGATCAACAAGATGCTGCACAGCTCGGAGCCGTGCGTGCTCATGGGCGGCGTCGACGCGCTCTCCGTCGTGTGCTCGCACGCGCTCCCGCGGCACGTGCTGCACGAGTGGGTGTGCCGCACGCTGCGCGCGCTCTTCGGCGCGATCGAGCATCTCCCGTCGATCGCCACGGCCGAGGCCGCGGCAGTGCGTGCGACGGTGCGGCGGTGGCTCGGCGTCTGCATCGGGGCGCGCGTGCCCGAGTGGCGGCCAGTGTCGGCGATCGTCCGCGAAGCCACGCGCGGCGCCGGCACCGCGTACGGCGTGCTCGGCTTCGCGACGTCCGCGGTCGGCGAGGCGTACGCCGGCGACGACGCCGCGACGCCGGACGAGCAGACGATGGACGTCGACGGCGGCGCGGTCGCATCGCCCGGGGACGCGGCTGGCGCGCCCGCGGAGGTCGACCTGCCTGCGAACGTGCAGGAGGAGCTCATGAAGACGCTGTCCTTCGTGTGTCTCCCCCGCAACGCGATGCGCGCCCTCTACTCGCAGCACGTGCAGCTGTGCGGGATGGAGGCGCTGACGGGGCTCGCGGCGGCGCTCGGCACGACGGTGCAGGACCTCATGGGCCGCACGCAGACGGGCCAGCCGGCGCGCAGCAAGGACGCTGGCGACAAGGACGGCGGGCGCGCCGACAAGCGCTCCCTGCACGACTTCGTGGGCTCGATCCTCAACCGGCTCGTCGGCCGCGGCCTCCTGGCGCAGATCGGGCGCGTGACGTCCGTGTGGTTCTGCCTCGAGGTCTCGCCGATGCTCCTCGGCGCGGAGCAGGCCACTCCGCTCCTCCACTTCTTGTCCGAGGTGCTGCTGCTGCTCGAGGCGCCGGACTCGCTGCACGCGCAGCGCGAGGACCTGCCGTTCACGCAGGCGCAGCTCCTCGACGGGCCGATCACGCAGCTCCGCGCCGCGTGCCTCCGGCTGCTCGCGCCCCTGCTGGAGAAGATCAGCGAACCTGAGCTGGCCCCGCTGCGCGCGGCGCTGCAGAGCCCCGCGCCGCCGCCGGAGGCGCCGCCCGCGCAGCACCTCGTCTCGCGCGACGCCGCGGCGCGCCCGCTCGACCAGCGCATCGCGATCACCCTCCTGCACCACCTGAGCAGCCACAAACCCCTCGAGGCGGCCGCGGCGCGCACGGCCGTGCGGCACCTCAACAAGCTGGGCCTCGGGCGCGACTCGATGCACCACGCGCTCGAGCTCGTGCTGAACCCGCTCGGGTCGCACCGCACGCTCAGCCTCCCGCTGCTGCGCGGGATGGCGCACCTGCTCGAGGTCTTCCCGCACTGGTTCTCCCCGAAGCTCGGCGTGAAGCTGCTCGACCACCTCGAGAAGTGGATGCACCCGGAGAAGCTCCAGGACATGCCGCACGCGCGCGGGCCCGTGCAGGACCCCATGATGCAGCAGGTGCCCCCCAAGGCGTGGCGGACGGGCGAGGAGACGGCTGTGGGCGTCGCGCTGGTCGACCTGTTCCACCGCCTGCCCGGCGAGCAGGCGGCCGCGCTCCTGCAGTCCGCGGACAGCCGCTGCGGCTTGGTTGTCGTGCTGATTCAGGTCGAACAGGCACTGAACCGCCAGGGGCTGCACATCCCGAGCGAGGAGCCGTCGCCGTACCGGAGGCCGCTGATCAAGTTCCTCGCGCGCCACCACAAGGAGGCGCTCGAGTACTTCCTCAACCCGCGCCGTCTGCACGACCCGACGTACTTCAGGCTCCTGGTCGAGATTGCGCGGTCGCCGAATGGCAAGGGGTTCCTGGAGCACCTCGCCGCGCACCCGAAGCAGCTGCTCGTCGCCACGGGCCTCGCGGAGGCGGCGCCGGGCGACGCGGAGCGGGGCGCGGGGCGGGCCTCTTCCTCGGCGCACCTGGACGGTTCGGCGGCGGCAGCGGCGGCGGCGGGGAGCCCCGGCGTGTCGGGCTGGTCCGGGCCGCCGGGCAGCAAGGAGCAGTCCGCGCAGCACCCGGGCGCGCTGCTCGCGTCGGCGCCCGCGGACATGCAGCCGCCGTCGGCGGCGCAGCTGCCGGTGGTGCGAGCGAACGGCGTGCGGCTCATCACGTGCATCGCGCAGCAGAAGCCCGGGTGGCTGCCTGCGCACCCGGAGGTGCTCGCGGCGCTGATGCAGCGCTGGGAGGGCGCGGACATCCAGAGTCTGCTCGTGCGTTCGCACGATGCTGACCTCATGGGGCCCGGGGGGGTTCCGAGCTTCCTGTCGGACCTGACGGTGCAGGAGGTCCGCGGGATCGCCAAGTGCATGGTCAACGTGCTGCGGCACCGCCGTGCGGACCCCGACGGCCACGTCATCGAGCTCGCGCGGCTGCTGCACGTGGTGTGTCCGGGGTCGTTTGCGTTCGTCGAGACGCTGGTCAGCGAGGAGATCCCCGGGACGTGGCCCGTCGAGAGCCTGACGCAGGTCGTCGAGTCGTTCACGGCGACCTTCCGCAACGTCGTCGCGCCGCTGCACGCCGCCTCTGCGCGGGGGGGGCTCCCCGCGGAGCAGCGCGAGGAGTACCGGCAGCGCGAGCTGCACATGTCGATCGTGCTCGACAAGGTCGTGCTCCCGATCGTGCACAAGGGCGTCGAGCGCGGCGTCCTGGACCAGATCTTCACGGACAGTTGCATCCAACACCTCCTGTCCCACGTGCTCGCGGTGGACTCCGCGGACGGCGCGGCGACGCCGGCGTCGGCGGCCACGCAGGACACGGCGCCGGTGGTGCCCGGCGCGCCGCGGAGCCCCTCGGGCGCCGACAGCTACAGCGACGGGCTCATGGTGTCCCTGCTCGAACTCGAACGCCTCGTGATGCAGCACCTCGGGCAGCGCGTGTACGACTACCGCAAGGAGCTCATCAAGCTGTGCTGGAACCACCTCAAGCGCGAGGACTGCCTCGTCAAGTACCAGGCCTTCCACACTGTGGCGCAGTTCTTGGCGGTCATCGACACACCGGAGAAGGTCGGGCTGCAGGTGTTTGTGGCGCTGCTGCGGGCGGCCCAGTCCGACGGCCGCGCGTACGTCCGCAGGGCGACGGACGTGCTCCTCCCGCGGCTGCGGCGCTTGGAGGACCGCGCCGTGCGGGAGCGCCGCGCGGACGGCGGGCCGAGCGAGAGCGGCGGCGGGGACGACGCGACCGGCGCGCGGTCCGGCGGGGAGCGCGCGGCGCAGTACCCGATGTGGGTGCGGTGGACGAAGCGGATCGTGCTCGAGGAGGGCCACTCGCTGCCGTCGATGATTCATGTGTGGCAGTTGGTGGTGCGGCACTCGGACCTGTACTACGAGGCGCGGTACCACTTCAGTCCGATGATGGTCAACTCGCTGTCGCGCCTCGGGCTCCCGACGAACTCGCCGATCGAGAACCGGAAGCTTGCGATTGATATCGCGGGGGTGTTTATTCACTGGGAGACGCGGCACCGGCGGGAGGTGGCCGCGCAGCGCGAGGGCGGCGCCGCGGAGGGCGAAGTGCGCGCGAAGTCGTTCAAGCCGGACGTCGAGGCGGGGATGTCGTCGATGGTCGTGAATTTCCTTCTGCGGATGTGCTTCTTGGCCATGTCTGACTTCGTGCAGCGCAGCGAGGGGAAGAAGGAGTACCAGATCATGTACCACCACACCCTCGCGCTCCTCACGCGCGCGCTCCAGCTCTGGCCCAACACCAACGTCAAAATGACGTACCTCGAGAAGCTGCTGCGGAACGACCTGGAGAAGAGCTACAAGGACGACGACGCGCGCGCGCAGGTCGCGCCGAACCAGATGGCCGCGCTCGACATCCTCCTCCGCCTCGTCGGCATCGCGGGCGCGACGGGCGTGTACGCGGTCGCCGAGCAGCTGGCGTATCTCCTGCGCTTCACGATCAGCAACACGCGCAGCGAGGCCGTCGTGGACAAGCTGTGCGACGTCCTGCGGCTCGTGTTCCACCACATCGACGTCCCGCAGCTCGCGCAGCACCCGCAGGGGTACCTGGTGGTGAAGGGCATCAAGGAGATGCTCGCTGTTGCTATCCAGAACGCGCAGAGGACGCTGGAGAAGTTCATCCACAACACGGAGCAGCCCGGGATCAAGGCGCAGCTAGAGGCCAACTTCTCAAACTGCTGCAACGCAGTCAAGGTCATGGAGGTCCTCAACGATGCTCACATGGAGTCTGCGCAGAACATCCTGCCCATGTTGCTCAAGCTGCTGAACTACATCGCGCGGGAGCACGTGCGGCCGTTCGTGGAGCCCACGCCCGCGGGCTGCGAGCCGTTCCAGGCCATCCGCGGCCGCGAAAACGACGTGAGCTACCAGTACGGCACGGCGGTGTGGCTCTACGTCCGCGGGCTGCGCGCGGCGCGCCGGCGCATCCTCGTCGGCCACGACGAGGAGAAGAAGCGCACCTTCGTCCACGCCATGGTCCTTCTCATCACCGACCACCAGGGCTCCAACCACCACGTCCACCGCGCCATCCTGTTCGAGCTCATGTCCGTCGTGGAGTTCTGGCTCTCGCGCGAGGACCCGGAGGCCGGGTGCCTGTCCGCGAAGGAGGTCATCGGGTTCCTGCAGCGCGTGGCGACGCTGGACCGGACGTACCACGTCTCGACGGCGCTGGAGAAGGAATGGGAGAAGCACTTCTTGGCGCTGTTGTACCGGGTGATGACGGACGACGCGATTCCCATGTCGGACGCGCTGCGCACCGAGGCGATGAACAAGGTCGAGCGGACGTACATGTGCGGGTTGAAGGCGCGGAACCCCGCGGTGCGGGCCAAGTTCTTCGCGATTTATGACAGGCTGGTGTCGCCAGACCTGTTTTCTCGACTGAGCTTCATCGTGAGCCACCAGGACTGGGAGGCGCTCGCGTCGAGCTTCTGGCTCGTCAACGGACTCGAACTCCTCCTCTCCCGCCTCTGTCTGTCTGACCCAGTGACCATTGTCCCCAACTCGGGGCTCCTCGCGCCGCTCATCCCCGGCACGACTATCGCGCAGCACCTCCCGCGGCACCAGCGCCAGCAGCAACAGCAGCAGCAGGCACAGCAGGCGCAGCAGGCGCAGGGCCAGCAGGGCACTGGCGCAACCGCGCAGCCGGCGGCGGCAGCAGCGCAGGACGGCGGCGCCGCAGAGGGCGACGCGCCGGCGGACGCGAAGCCCGACGGCGCCGCGCCGGCGTCGAAGGCCGAGGGCGCCGCGCCGGGCGTCGACGGCGACGGCGATACCAGGATGCAGGGCGAGGGTCCGCGCTCTCAGGCCGCAAACGCAAGCGGCGCCGGCGCCGCCGGGTCGGCGCAGCAGACGAGCGGCGAGGCGCCCGCGCCCGTGCCGCAGGGCCGCCCCGCGGCCGTCGCGCTGGAGGACCTCCCCCCTGACGTGAAGACGTCCCTCGAGGAGCACGCCGCGTTCCTCCAGGCGCAGTCCGGCGGGACGGTCCGCGACGTGATGGACGCGCTGCGCGGGATGGCGGTTGAGGACGCGTGCGTCGCGCACCACCTCTGGGTCCTGGTGTTCCCGATCGTGTGGGCGTCGCTCTCCAAGGAGCAGCAAACGCAGCTTGCACGGCCCATCATGGCGCTGCTGTCCAAGGAGTACCACCAGCGGCAGGCCACCGCGCGCCCGAACGTCATCCAGGCGCTCCTCGAGGGCATCTCGCTGTCGCTCCCGCAACCGAAGATCTCCGCCGAGCTCATTCGCTTCCTCGGGAAGACCTTCAACGCGTGGCCGATCGCGATCAGCCTGCTCGAGGCGCAGATCACGCTCTTCGCGAAGGAGGCGCGGTCCATCGAGGCCCTCGCGGACCTCTACCGCGCGCTGTCGGACGAGGACCTGCTCCTGGGGATGTGGCGGCGGCGCGCGCGCTGGCCCAACACCAAGCCCGCGCTGTCGCTGATCCAGCTCGGGCTGTGGGACGACGCGCAGGAGCTGCTCGTGACCAACGTGCTGTCGTTCCAGCGCTCCAAGTGCGTCGTGCGCTACCAGCGCCGCAAGCCGGACGGCTCCGTCGGCGTGGAGACGCACCAGCCGTCCAAGGGCGAGCTGTGCCTGTGGATCGAGCAGTGGGTCAACACGTGCCGGCAGCTCAACCAGTGGGACGCGCTGCGCGAGTTCGGCCAGGCCACGGACCAGGCCGCGATCCTCCTCGACACTCTTTGGAAGATGGGGTCGTGGGACATGCTGCGGACCTATCTGTCGCGGTCGTCGATCGAGGACTCGCCCACGTCGATGATCGTGCGCGGGTACCTCAAGATCGCGCACCCGCTCGCGCCGCAGTCGCTCCAGGGCGCGGAGCAGCTCATCCAGCAGGCCCTGCACCAGATCCTGGTCAAGTGGTGGCAGCTGCCGGAGGCCGGCATCAACACGCACACGCCGCTCCTGCAGGTCTTCCAGCAGCTCGTCGAGCTCCTCGAAAGCAAGACGCTCCTCAAGGACCTCCTGGCCGTCCAGGGCAAGGGCGAGCCCGACAAGCCCGTCGACCTGAACGACCTCAAGGCCTCCCTCGACACGTGGACGCTGCGGCTGCCGAACGAGTGGGACAGCCTCCCGCACTGGAACGACGTGCTCATGTGGCGCAACCACGTGTACAACCACGTCATCTCGACGTTCGACCACCTGCAGCACCAGCCGCAGACGACGACGATTCCGCAGAACGAGTCGTTCAAGATGTCGACGCAGGGGTACCGCGACAAGGCGTGGACCGTCAACCGCCTCGCGAGCGTCGCGCGGAAGCAGTCGAGCGTCCGCGCGTGCGTAGACATCGCAAACAACCTGTACAAGTACTCGACGATGGATGTGTACGAGGCCTACATCAAGATCCGCGAGCAGGCGCGCGCGCAGCTCTCGGACCCGCAGGAGGTCATCACGGGCTACAACCTCATCAGCTCGACGAACCTCGACTACTTCCACCCGGAGACCCAGGCCGAGCTCTTCCGCCTCAAGGCGCTGCTGCTGTGCCGCATGAACGCCCCGAGCGAGGCGATGCAGGCGTTCACGACCGCGATGACGCTCAATCCGCGCCTGCCCAACGGCTGGCTCACGTGGGGACAGTACTGCTACACCATGTTCCTGCAAGGCAGTCAGGAGTGCGGCGGCACGACCAACTGGCTCAACTCCACGGTGGTGTGCCTGCTCTCGGCGCTCAAGGCCGGGACGCCCGGCGCGGCGCTGATGGTTCCGCGCGTCCTGAAGCTGCTCTCCGCGCACTCGACGATCGGGTCGTCGCTCCCGACGACGATCCAGGGCGCGCCGACCACGCAGCAAGTGGTGCAGTTCGTGTCGCAGATGACGGAGCAGTTCCTGCCGGAGATCCCGGCGTGGGTGTGGCTGTCGTGGCTGCCGCAGATCCTCGTCTCGCTGCACCTCCCCGAGGCGCAGCTGGCGCGGCGTATTCTGATGCACCTGGGCAAGGCGCACCCGCAGGCGACGTACTTGCCGACGCGGTCGCACCTGGTCGGGCTGCGCGAGGTGCTGAGCAAGATGACGCGCGAGCGCAAGGAGACGAGCGGCGCGACGGGCGGGGCGTCCGCGGGCGGGGACGGCGGCGAGGACAGCGGCAGCGGCGGCACCGGGGACGGCGCGGGCGAAGCCGACTCGCTGCGGCAGCACCAGCAGGCGTTCGCGTACGGCAAGGAGGCTATGGAGCTCGCGCGGTCGTGCCAGACGCAGATCGCCACGCTCGAGTTTTTGGCGACGGAGATCCCGACGCACTTCTCGCCGCTGCAACAGGAGCGGCTGCACAGCGTGGTGCACGCGCTGCTGCAGCGGTGCTACCGCATCCAGCTGCCGGAGGACCAGGCGCCGCCGCAGAGCCTGCTGAACGAGATCCACAAGGTCATGTCGGCGACGTCGGTGGCGCTGTTCAGCACGTCGGCGGTGAACATGCGGTACAAGCAGCAGTTCATGCGGGACCTGGACCCGATGTCGGAGCAGTTCCCGAAGACGCTGGGCGAGCTCACGTCGACGCTCAAGTCGTGGCAGAAGCTCATGCTGCACAACATCGAGAACTACATTCCGCAGACCATGCAGCTGCACACGGCGTCGCGGGGCCTGCAGGAGATCAACCTGATCGACCTGGAGCTGCCCGGGCGGCAGGCGCTCATGGGCGACCCGGGCAAGGGGCGCGCGCCCACGGTGGCGCGCTTCGGGCAGGTGGTCGACGTGGTGCGGCGCAACGGCAGCAGCTACCGGCGGCTCACGGTGCACATGACGGACGGCCGGAAGGTCCACCTCCTCGTGCAGCACTTCCCCAACGGCCTCACGGCCTCCTCGGAGGAGTACATGCTCCAGGTGATGATGGTCATCAACAGGCACCTGGAGTCGATGCCGCAGGCGAGGAAGCGGCACCTGGGGTACCACATCCCGATCCAGGCGCCGATCCAGCAGCACATGCGGCTCATCGAGGATGACCCGAGCTTCTGCCTCTTCGGCGACGCGTACGACCTGCACTTCCTGCGGCGCGGGCTCGACTGCGACCAGACGATCACGAGCTTCAAGAAGGTGCGGTTCGAGGCGGAGAAGGCGATCGAGCAGCGCAATGAGCAGCGGCCCGAGGCCGAGCGCGACGACGCGAGCACGCGCCGGCAGCAGGCGGAGCTCGCGGCCTTCAAGCGCGCGTCGCAGCTGGTCAACGAGAACATCTTCGGGCAGTTCGTGTACAAGTGCCTGCCGATCGCGTCGCAGATGTACGTCTTCAAGCAGGCGCTCTGCGGCCAGATGGCGCTGTCGTACCTGATGTGCTTCATGATGAGCATCGGACAGCGCACGCCGTACCGCATCCTCATCTCGTGCTCCTCGGGCCGCGTCCTCAACATCGACTTCGCGCCGCAGTACGAGCGCGGCGTCGCGGAGCGCGAGCCCGTGCCCTTCCGGCTCACGAGGAACCTCCAGACCTTCTTCACAGTCTTCGGAATGGAAGGCCCTCTCCTCGTGTCCCTGGTGCTCGCTGCAACCGCGGCGCTGCACCCGCGGTCCTGCCTGGACGACCTCCTGCACCTCGTGTACCGCGGCGACCTCATCAACCAGACGATGGAGCGCATGACGCGGCCGCAGCAGTCGCGGCAATCGGCGCGCGAGGGCGAGGCGCCGCCGGGCCCGCGGCGGCCCCGCGCGCTGCCGCTCGAGGAGATCTCGCGCGTCGTGCAGAGCAACTGCTCGAGCTCGATGAACCGGGCGCGCGGCATCGCGCCGCAGCACCTGCTGCACCGGCTGGAGTCGAGCCAGGGGTGTCGGTCGACGCACGAGATCGAACAGAACCTGAAGCCGGTGCCGCCGAGGGAGCCGCGGGAGGAGAACAACCAGCAGGACTTCTACACCGACCCGCACAAGCCGGCGTGGGACCTCGTGCGGCGCGCGCAGGACCCCACATACCTGGCGCGCATGGACCCCCCCTGGCACCCGTTCTTCTAGGGGGGTGTTTTCGAGGCGCGCGCGGGGGCGTGCGCGCTGGGCGGGGCGTGATGACGGGCCGCGCGGGGCGAGCAGGGGGGGCGATCAAACAAGGTGGAGGACAAAGCACAGCGATTAGCAACGTACATATGATGTGGGGTCTGATGGAGTGCACAGGAGACGTCGGAACCCCAAAGTAGAACATAGACGCGACGGCATGTAAGACCAGTCGGCATTCAGCGTCTCTGGAGTCCCGCAGCGTCAGGTCAACGAGCACTGAGTGCTTTGCACATTTCTGAGTGTACAATAATGAGGACAGGCCCGCCTTGACGGACAGGCCTCGTGAATGCGCTGCTGGGAGCAGTCGGCCGATGCCGTGCCCGCAGGGAAGCGTCTTGCACGCCCCGTAGCAGTGCTCACGCCCGCCGGCAACGGTGCCCCTTGTCTAGCATCTTCGCGCCCCGGCACCTGCTGTCGACCCTGCTGCTCCAGACAGACCGCCAATCCACACCTCATCAAACCGATGCAACGCCAATCGTGTTCCCAGTCCATTCGAATCACAGCAACCACGGGTGCTCGGCCCACCCAGTCCTGCCGGCCGCACCGCCCCGCCCCGCCGCGCCCCGCCCCGCCGCGCCCCGCCCGCCCGCCCGCGCCCGCCGCGCCCCGCCCCGTCTCTATTGCGATCCGAAGATTTGCACGCGGTTCAGCGACGCAAACTCCTCCGACCCGTCCAGCAACACGAACCGCACGAACCGCGCGCGGATGTTCTGAAGGACGTGCGTGTGCTGCGAGAGCTTCATCGGCCGCTGGTCGATGTCTGCGGGGCGACACAGGGGCGGCACGGAACGCATCGCAAAGCAAGTTGTGTCGCGCCGCTGGTGCGGGCAGGGTGGACAGGGAGCTCGAGAGGACCTGGGCTGGCCGCGCGGACGAGGTAGGGCCAGTGCGGGTGGCTGGGGCTCTGGGACCGTGCGCGCGCGAGCATTTGGGGCCGTGCGACGGAGAGACGTGGCCGAGAGACGGGGAGTAAGAAAAGGTAGGGAATGAGACGCTGCGGCAACGCACCGACTTCGAAGACCCGGTCGAAGCGCTGCGGCGTGTCCTGGTCGCACTTGTCCATCGCGAGCTTCCGGATGCTCATCCCGGACAGCTGCATCTTCACCAGCGTGGAAACCTGCGAGCGTCCAGCGCCGTGCTCGTCGAGGGCTGCTTGCGCGTGGACGTGGCCGGGTTCGGGCGGAGAACGTTCCATTGAGGCGTCAATACGGTCATACGTGCTCCTCTTGCGTCAGAGACCGCGTGCCGGAGCGCACGCGGAGGTGCGCGACATGCTGTGTGCGCACGAGGGCGCACCTGGCCTAAATCGATGGTGATTTCCTGCGGGAACATGCCCGTCGTGGCCCAGAACGTGCTGTCCGACCCGTCCAGCACGTTCTGGGGCGCGTGCCGGATGTCGCAGCATGTGAACCCCACCACCTGCATACAAAGGGCCACACACGACCATCGGCCCACACGCGCTGCCCGCCCGCCACGCGCCGCCGGACTCACGCGCGCAGACGCTCTCGCACAAAGCAGGACGCGGCCGCGGGAGGCACCCCGTGCGCGACAACACGGCCGCAAGCAGCAGGACGCGGGGCGACGTCGCGGGCAGCGAAGCCGCGCACCTTGGCCCCCAGCGCCGGGTCCGCTATGTTCTTCGCCATGCCAGCCGCGCCTGGCACCCCCTGGGCCGCCGCCCCGCCCTGTCCCCGCAGCACGTCCGCAGAAGCAACGAGAGCCTGTCTGCACCCCTCGCGCGACGCTCCCGCACGCTATCGCGATCCGTTTGGCGGCTGTGAGACACGCCGTGGCGCAAAAGTGGCCGCGGAGCCGCCCCACGGCGCGCCACGTCCCCGGGGGGGGTCTGTGCGCGCCACACGTCAGCTGCAGTTCAGTAGGCAGGGGGGGCCTCGCGTGGGCCACGGCGTGGCGCCGCGTGCGGGCGCGGACGTGAACGGCCTCGCGCACGGACGGCACGCGGCAGACTACATCGGCCTGGGACACGTCGCGACGCATACCGGGGCCAATTGATTGGTATATATTGTTCACAGAAGCCTGAATAGTAGTTGCGAGCGTGCGCGCTTCGCAGCCGCCACAGCACCCGTCCTACCCGCGAGGCGCAGCTGGTGATTCTCGGGAGCAGCCGGAGGGTCGAGTGGCCAGCCTCGATGCGGTCCACCGCGAGTTTCGCGGCCGTGAGTGCGCCATCGTTGAGGAGGTGCGTGCTCCGAGCTGTGCCGTCGAACGCCGCGCCGACCGCGCCGCGAACCGCATGGATAGACGTTCTTTGGGCTGCGGATCCGACGCACTCACTCCCTGGCCCGAGCGCGGGCTGCGCAACGCCTGTTCCTCGGTGGCTAGTCCCGATGTGCCGCCCGTGGCGCCCGAACGAGGGCCCCTTTCCTGCGCGCCCCTCGATGCCTCCCGCATTCGACCGACCCGCGAGCGTTGCCTCGCCCGCGCACGCCCCCCCTGCGGAGCTGCGCCACCCGCCTGCCAGCATTGCGGTTGACCCGCACGCCTCCGCGTTCGCCGCCCGCCATTCCCCCCGCGCCCCCTCCAACATCACCCACGCCTCGCTGCCGCCCCGCCGCCCCCCGGAACCGCATCCCCGCCCACCACGCCTGCGACTCGCCGGCCCCTTGCACTGCAGTGCTGCACGGCGGGATGCCGGAGCCGGCGCGCTCGGAAACCCCGGCGCCGCGCCAGTTCCGGGACGTCCAGTTCAGAGGCACGCCGTGCAGCCGCCGACCGCGTCCATCTGTGGGATCCGGAGACGCGCGGCCCGCTCGGGCGTGGCGCGGGGCCCAGCGCCCGTGTGCGCCACCAAGGTCGCGGATCGCGCACAGGCGTCGCGCCCAGGCGACTTCATCGAGTTCTCCCGCGAGTACGCGGTCGGAAAGGGGGACAGGTCCGTCGCTCGACCGCACCGCCGCCCACAACCGTTGCTCGCGCAGCGCGATCGCCCCCCGCCGGCGGGCGCTGCCATGCCAGGATCTCCCCGCCGCGAGCGAGGAGACCTCGCCCTCGCCGCGCGTGCGTGGTCGCATCGCGCTGCCCCGGCTCCCTGCGGCGCCCCGGGCACGTCGCGCCCTGGGGCTTCCCCCGCCGTCCAACGCCCGCGCCCGCAACGCCACGCGCGCGGACTGTCGCCCCCGCGCCGCCCACGCACCGTCCCCGCACCGAACTACGCGAATTAGCCGCCTCCGCGCCCGCCCCCGGCCTCCACGCCCCGCACGCTCAAAACCTAGGCCTGTGGTTGGGCCATAGGTCGCGCCGGCGCCGCCGCGGCCCGCAACCGCGCCGCCCGCCCCGCGCGCGCTCCCCACGCAGGCTCTCGGTCCGGAGCCGGCTAGATGACGACGGGACGCAGGTCATCGAGCTCGAGACCACCCTCAACGGCCGCCTGCTCCTGCACTGGGGGGTCGCGGGCGGCCCCGGCTACAAGGGCGGCTGGCGCCTGCCGCCGGAGAACGTCCAGCCAGAGGGCACCGTCTCGGTACGCGTCCCGACGCCGCCGCGCTCTCCCTCCCGCACGGCAGCCCCCCCCGTGCCCCGCGCAAAGAGGCTCGCGCTCACGCACCGCGGCGCGCCTCCCCGCCGTCCCGCAGTACAAGGAGCGCGCGCTGCAGACCCCGTGGGTGCCCGCGACGACCGAGGGGTACCGCTACGCGCTGCGCATCGCGCTCCCGGAGCACGAGCGCTCGGACGCCCTGAACTTCGTCGTCAAGGACGTCGACACCAACACGTGGTACGACCGCAACGGCGACAACTACGAGGTGCCGCTGCCGGGCGGGGAGACGCCGCTGCACCTGAGCATGACGTCCGTGGAGCAGAAGGGCCCCGTGCTGCTCAAGCCCGAGGATCAGATCCCCGCCCTGCCGGACGAGCTGTGCGGCGTGTGGGCGTACATCAAGTGGGAGCAGGCGGGCTGCCCGAACCGCAGCCAGCAGGACGCGGACCACGAGTACCAGGTGCGCGCGGGACGCAGCGGCACGGCGCCGTGCCGGTGCTGGCTGTGCGGGGCGCGTTGCGTCGTGCCTCCGCGCGGCGCGGCTGCCTGCTCGGCGCCCGTGTGCTGAGCGCCGCGGCGGTGCGTTGGTGCGCAGGTGGCGATTCGCGAGATGAAGGTGCTTCTGCGCGCCGGGAGCGACCTGGACTTTCTGCGCAAGGTGGGCAAGGGCGAGATCAAGTACGGCTCCGAGACGGTCCAGAAGCGCATCAAGAAGGCGTTCGAGCTCGAGCACCTCGAGCACGTGCTCGAGCGGCGCAGCCAGGACGAGGACGAGGACGAGCTGGCCGACGGCATGCTGCTGACCGTGGAGGACGTCACCGAGGCCGTGCCGAAGAAGCAGGACAAGTCCCCGCCGCCGCCGATGCCGGTCGTCGAGGAGCCCCCCGCGCCGCCTCCGCAGAAGGAGGCCCCGCCGCCGCCGCCGCCGCCGGCCGCCGAGCAGGAGCACCGCGTCGGCGACGTCGGCGCGGGCCTCGGGGTCGGCCGCCGCGACCCGCTCACGCTGATCAAGCAGCCCCCGAAGCTGTCCAAGGAGGGCCGCGCGCGCCCCGTGAACCCCCTGCTGCCGCTGCTCGAGGAGGCGGAGAGCGACGAGGCCGTGCAGTGGAAGCGGATGTACCCGATGGGCGAGGGCGCGTCGCTGCTGGTGGCGGTGCGGAAGGTCGGGGAGGGGCGCGCGCGCGTCAGCCTGACCACGGACAACAAGAACGACCTCGTGCTGCACTGGGGGGTGCTGATCGCGGGCAAGGGCGGGAAGTGGCAGCCGCCGCCGCGCGACGCGCGGCCGACCGGGTCGGAGATGTGCGACGAGCTCTCGCTGGACACGCCCTTCTCGGCGTGCGCGACGGACCAGTGCAAGGTCGAGGTCGGGGGCTCGCGCGTGCCGCTGCAGCAGATCGACCTGGACCTGACGGACGACGAGAAGATCGCGGCGCTGACGTTCGTGGTGCGGTCCGGCGACAAGACGCGCTGGTGGAAGGACGGCGGCTCGGACTTCCGCGTGCCGCTGCCGTTCAAGAAGGCGGCGGCGGTGGAGGGGAAGAAGGGGAAGAAGGACGACGTGTTTGCGGAGTTCGACCCGAACGACGTGATCTCGCGCACGATCGTGGACTGCGAGGTGAAGAAGGGCGCGTGGACGCTGATGCACCGGTTCAACCAGGCCGCGGAGCTCCTGGAGGGGGCGCTGTCGGGGGCGTACGGGTCGGACCCGGAGGACCTGGCGGACGCCATGGCGAAGATCTTCGTGTGGCTGCGGTACTCGTCGACGCGGCAGCTGACGTGGCAGCGCAACTACAACACGCAGCCGCGGATTCTGTCGGCGGCGCAGGGGCGGCTGTGCGGCACGATCCACCACGCGGTGGGGCAGCTGTCGGGCGACGCGCAGGAGTGGGCGCGCATGATGCTCACGTGCGTCGGCCGCGGCGGCAACGGGCAGGCCATCCGCGACGAGATCCTCAACATCATGCACCGGCACCACATCAAGGAGGTCAAGGGCACGTGGATGGAGGAGTGGCACCAGAAGCTGCACAACAACACGACGCCGGACGACGTGCACATCTGCGAGGCGTACATCAAGTTCCTCGAGTGCCACGGCGACAACGCGCAGTACTGGCGCGTGCTCAAGGACGCGGGCATCACGCGCGAGCGCCTCGAGGGGTACGACCGCGCCATCCGCTGCGAGCCCGAGTACTTCCCGGACAAGCGCGACGGCCTCATCCACGACCTGTACAACTACCTCGGCATCCTCAAGGCCGTGCACTCGGGCGCGGACCTCAACCAGAGCATCATGGAGGCCCACCACTCGGTGCCGAACGAGGCCAAGGGGTACCTGGGCTACGTGCAGAGCCACCTGGACGACTGGCAGGTCCTGCCGCTGATCGAGGCGGCGCTCGAGGCGCGCGCGCTCATCCAGGGCCGCGCGCAGGAGGACCGCAACTGCATGTACCTGGACCTGGCGCTCGAGAACGTGGTCCGGCAGGCGGCGGAGCGCGGCATGGGGGCGTCCAACGTCGTGCAGCTCGTGTCGCCGCTCCTCGAGAACCTGTGCCTGTCGACGGGCGACAACGAGGAGCTGTGCTACTGCCTGAAGGAGTGGCACGCCCTGCCGACGTCGGTGCTGCAGGGGCGCCCGTCGCGCGACGAGGCCCTCCGCGCGACGTCGGTGATCGACCGGATCCGCCGCGCGCTCGCCGCGGTCTCGGAGCGCACGTCCGAGCGCATCGGCGGGATCAGCCGCGCGTACGGCAACGCGTTCGGGTGCGACAACTGGGCGGTGGAGCTGTTTGCCGAGGAGGTGGTGCGCGGCGGGCCGGCGTTCGCGGTCTCGCTCGTGCTCGGCGCGGTCGAGCCGGAGCTGCGCAAGGACGCCGAGCTGGGCGCGTGGCAGGTGATCTCTCCGGCGTCGGTGGAGGGCGAGGTGGTGTGCGTCAAGGGGCTCCACGACGTGCAGCACAAGACGTACGAGAAGCCGACGGTGCTCATCTGCGACCGCGTGACGGGCGAGGAGGAGATCCCCGACGGCGCGGTCGCGGTGCTGACGCCCGACGCCCCGGACGTGCTGTCGCACGTGGCCGTGCGCGCGCGCAACCTCAAGACGCTGTTCGCGACGTGCTACGAGGACGGCCCGCTCGAGGAGCTCAAGAAGCTCGCGGGGAAGACCATCTCGATGTCCACGTCCGCCGCGGGCGACGTGCGGTGGTCGGAGGACGCCACGGGCGCCGGCGGCAGCGCCGCCACCAACGGCGCCCCGCAGCGCAAGATCACGGTGTCGATCCCGAACTGGTGCGGGAAGTGGGCCGTCGGCGTGGACCGCTTCGCCGACGGCGTCGTCGGCGCCAAGTCGAAGAACATCGCGTCCCTGCGCGGGAAGCTCCCGGAGTGGGTCAACCTCCCCGCGTCGGTGACCATTCCGTTCGGGTCCTTCGAGGAGGCCCTGAAGGACCCCGCGAACAAGGACCTGGCCGCGAAGATCGACGAGGCGGCGAAGAACGTCCCGCAGGACCCCGCGACGTGGCTCGCGACGTGCCGCGACCTGGCGATGCAGGTCAAGGTCCCGGGGGCGCTGCGGGAGGCGCTGCGCGAGGCGCTGGCGGAGGGCGGCGGCGGCGGCGCGGACACGGTCGCGGACGACGCGAAGTGGGCCGCGTGCGAGCAGGCCCTGAAGGGCGTCTGGGCGTCCAAGTTCAACGACCGCGCGTACTACTCGTGCCGGAAGGTCGGGCTGAACTTCATGGACGTGCGCATGGCGGTGCTGGTGCAGCGCGTGGTGCCGGCGCAGTACGCGTTCGTGCTCCACACGACGAACCCGCAGACGAACGACGCGTCGGAGGTGTACGGCGAGATGGTGCGCGGCCTCGGGGAGGTGCTGGTGTCGGGGATGTACCCGGGCCGCTCGCTGTCGTTCAAGGGCCCGAAGACGGACCTGAGCAACCCGACGGTGCTGTCGTACCCGAGCAAGAGCGTCGGGCTCTTCGTGGACGACTCCCTGATCTTCCGGTCGGACTCCAACGGCGAGGACCTCGAGGGGTACGCCGGCGCGGGGCTGTACGAGAGCCTGACGTCGGCGCAGCAGGTCGAGCGGCGCGTGGACGCGGCGAGCGACCCGGTGGTGCACGACGCGGAGTACCGGCGCGAGCTGTTGTCGCGGGTGCTGCAGGTGGGCGCGGCGATCGAGGGGGCGCTGGGGTCGCCGCAGGACGTGGAGGGCGTGGTGGGCGACGGCGGGGAGATCACTGTGGTGCAGACGCGGCCGCAGATGTAGGCGGGGAGGGGTGAGTCGAGGAACGAAGAGTGAGAGCGCGCTCTTGAATGGAGGAGTGAGGAGTGAGTGTGCGTCGAGGTGGGCGCGGACCGCGCGCGCCCGCGTTCCGACGCGCTAGAGCGTCGCGAATGCCTAGTAGCAGATGCATGCACGCTGCGTGTGAGTCAAGCCATACAAATCGGTCCGTCAATGACCTCTGTCGTGGGATGTTTCATCATCACTGTTGCAACGATTGCTGGCACATGTTTCCGCGAGAAACCGCACAGCGCACCGCGAACGGCCTAGCAGGCGGTCTGTGGATGTCCGCTGTGTACCTGGATCCCGCTCTCTCGAGCGAGTGCAGGCACTGGGACATGTCAGCCCAGGCGGACTTCGTTCGGAATTCACGAGGCGCAAATCTGGGCATTCAAGGCGGTCGTCCGCGTCCTCCTGCCCGCCACGCACGCACGCATCTCGCCGATGCCTTCGTCGCGGTCGGACAGGGCGGCCCGCCGGGCGCGCAGCTGTCAGTGCAACTTGCATGCACTGGGCGCGGGGACGCGCGCGGGCACGAGGGGGCGCAGCTGCGCCGGTGCCCGGCACTTGACTGATACACAGAACGAGGAAATCAACCCAGTGATTGCGTGACTCGTTTCTCATGCTAGCCTGCGACGAAAAGCGCTCGCACTGCTGGAAGAGTGCGCGGTTGCCGGCGCGTGGGCGCGTTGTACGCATGTATGAGTTATCGTTTGGCATGATGCTAGAACGAAGGTGAGAGAACACGCACGAAGAGGGCTGCAGGAGCGTTGCAACTAACCGGCGCGAGGGCAGATGGTGCCACTCAGTCGGTTGCTTTCCGCCGCGTGCAGGTAGGTGGTCGGCCTGCGCGAGATGCGACGGTCAGATTCTCCGGAACGGCCGGTGGCCGTCGTCAAGGTCGAAGATGAGGGCCCGTGCGCACAACCGCCTGCTCCTCCGGCCCACGGCCAGCACCTCCCAAAGCCCCTCATCGAGCGAATGTGCGCCGAGGCCGGCGAACCGCTGCCGGACCCTCACCACGATGACATAGCCGGCTGCGAGCCGTCCAAGCGGTCTCGCCCGGACGAGCTCGGCTTCCGCGAGGCAGAGCAGAAACGGCCGCGAGGCGACGTGGGGGCCGCGCCGCGTCCTCCGCCCCCGCCCCACGCCCCACAGCGGGTCCTGCGGCTCGGCGACCAGCCTGTGTCGCACGTCCGGCCCCTGGGCCGCGGCTTCATTGACATCTGCCAAGCTGACCTTCAGGCTGTGGCTCGCGGTGACAAGGACTTCGACACCGGTGCGCGCGGACCGAACCGACTGCGCGCGATGCCAGCATCGTGCGCGGCGGCTGGGGACAGGGGAGAGAGGAGGCAGCAGAGAACGAACATTCGTCATGTTCCATCTTGTTTTGCAGTGCAACAAACGATCGAGGCGTGGTACCGCACGCGCGGCTTCGTCACGGTCGAGCACCTCGTCGCGGGCATCCGCGCCCGCACCGACGGCATGCTCCCGTCCCGCTTCGCCCCCGCGGCCCTCGAGACACCCCTCCTGACAGCGCTGCAGAGCAACGTCACGCTGCGCCACCTCGGACAGGTGCCGGCGCGGACGGCCACGTGGTTGCGCGAGCGCTGCGAGCGCCTCAACGAGGGCGGCTGGGAGTACGCCACGCGCCTGGCGTTCGCAGTGTGCGGGGCGGAGCCGCAGGCGCTACACATGCTGCTGCGCGCGGCGCGGGCGGCGGGGGCGCCGCGGGGCGAGGTCGAGACTTGGGCTGCGCTGCTGATGGGCGCCGCGCTGAGCAGGACGTGGAGGGTGCCGGGCGGCGCGGCGATGGCGGACGCGTGCGCGCAGGGCCCGTTATACCTTGACGTCGACGAGCACCGCAGCACCGTGACCGGCGTCGCGAAGAAGCCGACGCGGGAGCAGGGTGCGGTGGCTGGCTTCCAATGGGACAGGGAGGGCCCGCGGGTCCTGCTGGTGCCGTCGGGCGCCGGGACGGGCAAAACGTTCACGATTGAGCGGCGGTGTTTGGCGGTCGCGGAGAGGGGGAGGGACTTCTTGTACCTCGCGTTCAACAGGCGCGTGTGCGCGGAGGCGCGGCGGCGGCTCCGCGGGCCCGCGCTGAGCGAGGAGGCCGCGAACGAGCGCGTGCGCACGCTTCACAGCATTGCCTTCGTAGCGATGGTGGTGGGGGAGCGTCCGGACGCGAAGCGCGAGCGGGGCCCGGACGGTAAGGCGATGGTCAGAGACGGGCTGAGTCTAGCCGACGTGGCGAAGGTGCTGAGGAAGTGCGGGCTGGACCCCGAGGAGCGAAAGTGGGGCGTTACGGTGTGTGGGATGGTCCGGGACACCCTGAAGCGGTTCACGGCGAGCGCCGACCAGTCCGTCGCGCCGCGCCACCTGTCGAGGGAGACGCTCGCGAGCGTCAAGGACTTGCCGAAGCACATCACGGAAGGCGAGCGTTCCCAGAGCAATCGTGTTGCGCTCGCACACATGCATCGCTAGTGTCCGGCGAACGGCCGCGCGGTGCTGACGGCTGTCCCTGTGCGCCGCGCCTGGGTCGCAGAATACGTGCTGCGGTGCGCGCGGAAGGTGTGGAAGTCCGTCGCGGACGCCAACGACACGGACACCGCCATTTGGCACGACGGCTACATGAAGCTGTTTCAGCTCGCCCTGTGCTCCGACGACGCGCGGGCCTCCCTGCACAGGGTGCCGCGGGCGACCGAGCTCATCGTCGACGAGGGGCAAGACCTCAGCGGGTGCCAGCGGGACAGTGCCATGAGGCTGCTGTGGTGCGGCTATTTCCAGCGCGCCGTCGTCGTGGGGGACCCCGCGCAGGCAATCTACAGCTGGCGCGGCGCCGTGGACACGCTCGGCCACATCAAGCGCGCCTCGCCGGGCAATCTCGCTGAGAGGAGGCTGTCACAGGTGGGCGTTCGCGCTTCTTGTTGCGAGCGGTCGCGCGAGCGAGCAGCGCGCATCCGGCGCTCTCCTGACGCGCGGATCATGCCATGGCGCTTTGCGCCGCCCATGTGGACGCAGTCTTGCCACCATACCCCCGCACCCTCAGCGCGCCTACAAGCAGCGCACACGTCCCCGCGATCCACGCAGGTGTACCGCTTCGGGCCGTCGATCGCGGCCGTTGCCAACAGCATCCTCGCGATGAACGACTACGGCGTCGGCACCCGCCTGATCGGGGCATCTGCGACGGGCGACGTCTGGCGCAGCAGGCTGCCGCCCATCCGGGGCGACGCCGCGGGGTACCTCGGCAGCTTCCTCGAGGCGCAGCGCAGCGGCACCCCGGAGACCAACGAGTCTCTCACGGTCCTGTGCTACACGTGGAACGGTTTGCTGGTTGTCGCGATGATGGCGGCGGACGCCCGCGTGCCCTTCGCGAGGGCGCTGCGTGAGGGCAGGCGGGGCAGCCTGGCGAAGCTGACGCAGCAGGCCGAGCTAATGCGCGACGTGGTGCGCCTGCTGCGCGCGGCGGAGGTTGGCCAAAGTGACGTCAGGCACACAGCGCTCGAGTCCTCCGCGGAGCCCATCAGGGACATTCGGAGCAGGATGAAGGACGGTCAGGCTCCCATGAGCGCTCAGGAGGCGATCGGGTTCCTCGAAGGCCACGATGCAAACCACCAGCTTCCCGTGTCTGAGTGTCGGGCGGCGCTGGAGGCCGGGCACTTCCCCGGATGCAAGGGCACGCCGGAGGCCTCCCTGGACGCGGTCCTGCGCGCCATCGACGAGTCCGGGCGCGAGAGAGACGACGGCGCGCTGCTCTTCCTTGACACGATTCACCAATCAAAGGGCAACGAGTTCTCGATAGTTTTGGTCCACGACGACGGACGCCTGCTCGACCTCGACACCGTCCGGGACGTCCTCGGCCTGCCCCGGTGGTGCCGCGTCGGCGCTGACGGGCAATGCAACCTGGCGTATGTCGCAGCCACGCGCCCCATGAAGCTCCTGATTCTGCCTGACGTACTCGTGAAGGTCCTCGACGGCCTCGGCCCCGTGAACGTATGCAACGCTATGGCCAAGCGCCTGGTGGTACGAGACAGGTACGCGGCCCTTGGGCCGAGGCCGAGCACATATGCACGCCGTCTCGCCTGCGCCTGCCGTGGTATCGCAACCACCCACAGCCGCTGCTTCGCGCCGACTGGTTCGCTCTCTTGCCCGCCGCGACCCCTTGCAGGGATGACCTCCTCGTTACCGGCGCTCCCCCCCAATGCATGCTCTGCGACGCCCCCTGGTCCGATCACGTCAGCCCTGTCTGTCAGGACCCCAGCAGCGCGTGGAACCGCGACCCCAGCGCTCGCGTCGCGTGCGTGCGCTCGCCACCGTCCGCGATGCTGCACTACAAGCGCCCCCGCTCCGACGCGGACGGCTCGAGTCAGGCGTCGTGCTCGATCGCCGGGGTGGTCTGCGGCACGTGCTCGCTCGTTGCCGTTCTCGCGAGCAGGGCGCCGGTGCCCCCGCACCAGACCTCCGATTCTCCCGCGGTGCTGTGCGACGGCGCCGCTGCAGCCCTGCGCCAGCACTGGTCGCAGCACCTGGCGGGGCCCAACCCCGCCGTTGACGACGCCGTCCGCATGCTCGGTCTCGAGGACGACGCGGCTTTAGAATGCGCTATCGCTGCAGCCGCGCGGTGCTTGTACCCCCCGGGCGCGGCGCCTGTGGTCAGCACTGCCGTTCAAGCAGATGTCCAGGAGGCAGCCGTAGCTGCGGGCGAGCATGCGGCGGCGTAGATCAGAACGGCCGCGGTGATATACATATAGCGCGGCGAGCTGGATGTGATGTAGATCGCCCGAGTGATCAATTAATGCTTTGTGATCTCCAGGCACGCGGCCACGAGCCCGCCCGCTGCTGGTGCTAGCGCAGCGCACGCTCGCGGCAGGCTGTTCGCACCGTCCAACAGAGCCTGCGAGTCATTTCATGATGCAACCGCCGCGCACATACAGGCTTTGGTGTACGCGTGTGTTGACGTTGCAGCAGCCGCAGTGGGGGATGGCGAGGAGCTCGCGCCGGGTGCTGGTGTGCTCGTGTAGGGGCCCGGTTCCCACACGAGCCAGGTCGGGCGTGCTGTCCGGTCAGGCGGCGTGCTGTTGCGCACTGGTCTGACCGTTCGAAGAGGTCAGCTGCGCAGTTCGTTGGCGGCACGCGGTGCCTGGCTGTTGGTGAGTTGTTTGCGGGCTGAGCGCGGGCGGGAGGCGGTGCTGCAGGCACGTGGACGGCCTTGACGGCCGTTGCCCTGGCAGGTGCGTGCATGCCGGGCGCCGCACCACGTCGAGCGCGAAAGCCCGCCGTTGAACCCCTCGTGCGGATCCCAAGAAGCTGGACGTCGGAACACACCGCGATGAGCGGCCGCTCACGCTGCCTGCGAACGTATTGCTCCGCCGACGTGGTGCAAGCGAACAACGCACGGCTTTCGCGGGTGTGTGTGCAGAGACAGAACGCCCGGTCTGGCTCACTCGGTGCGTCAGTGGCAATGGGATCCATGGACGAGCCGGACCCAGGCGCTACGCCCCCGGGGCCGGTCCCGGGGCTGGAACTCGCAGATTCTGCTGGTCCGAGCAACCTCGACGCTGGGACTGCGCACGGCCTCGCTGCGATCCGCGACGCGGGCGGGGATGACGACAACCTTTCTTCGCCACCTGGCAGCCAAGTCTGCGGGGGGAAGCGCTTCCGTGACGGCGGGCAGGGCCTGGGAGGCTCTCCGCTGAAGATGCCCTCGCCTGCCAACGGTCGCAGAACCAGCGGCGCCTCGGAGCTCAACGTCCTGCACGACCTCTCCATCATGTCGCAGCAGGCCGGCGCCGTGGTCGACGACAGCTTCCTGCGGCACCTGCAGACCTGCAGAGACCTTGCCACGGCGGGCGCTAGAGAGGAGAACGCCGCCGCGCGGAGCGAGCTCGACGCCTGGTGCCACGCGCGGCAGCTCCGCTGCATCGAGGACGTCGTTTCTGGCATCGCGAGACGCTCCGGCATCATCCTGGAGGCAGCTTTGGAGCCGGCAGAGGTCCACAAGTGCCTTCTCCAGGCACTGAACGACAACGACACTCTCCGGCGCACCGGTCACGTGCCGACGCACACCGTGGCGTGGCTGCGCGAGCGCTGCGAGGACGCCAAGGAGGGCGGCTGGGAGTACGCGACGCGCTTAGCGTTCAGTGTGTGCGGCCACGAAGTGCAGTCGCTGCACATGCTGCTGCGCGCGGTGCGCGCGGCGGGGGCGACGAAGCACGACGCGCGCGCGTGGGTGTCGCTGCTGATGGCCGCGACGGCGTCCAAGTCGTGGACAGACCCCGGGGGGAGTGTCATGGCCAGCGCGTGCGCGGAGAGCCTCTTGTACGAGGACGTCGACGCGCACAGAGAGGAGCACGGCGACGAGAAGGTCCCGACGGCGGAGCAGAGGGCGGTGTCGGAGTTCGTGCTCAGCGGGGATGGCGACGGGCCGAACGTCCTGCTTGTGCCGTCTGGTGCGCGGCGCTCCTCTCGCTTGCGCGTGCGCGTCCTTGCTGCCCCGGGTTCCGCGAGTGCGACGGCACACGGCTGGTGCGACTGTGTGCAGGCGCCGGGAGCGGCAAGACGTCGACGATCGAGGACTTTTGCGAGAAGCAGTGTGGCTACCGGGGTATGAAGTTTCTGTACGCCGCGTACAACGTACGCGTGCGACTGGAGGCCACGGAGCGGCTTCAGGCGAGGCTGGCCCCGAAAGACGTCCATAGCAGCGTCAAGACCTTGCACGGGCTCGCATTCGTTGCAACGGAAGTTTTCAATCGCCCAGACGCGAAGGAGGAGGTCATGCGCAACGGAAAGCTGGAGAAGGTCGTGTCGGTCGTAGGCAACCTGAGCCTCCTCGAGGTGCGCAACAAGCTCGTGGAATTCGGCGTCGACGTGAATGCGCGGAAGGGATTGACCGCCGACGTCAGGGGTACGATCGAGGGCTTCGAGAACAGCGCGGACCCCGAGATCGCGCTGCATCACGTGCCGTGGAGGCGGACGTCGCCGTCACCGCCAGGTGAGGCTGCTTGTCCGCCTTCGATTCTTGTCGTGGTGACCATTCAACTCATGGACCTGCGTTGCGGCTCTACCGACTCCGGTGTTTGTGCCAATGCCTGGTCGCTCTGTTTCTGCACAGGGGAGATCGCGGCACTGGCGCGGCGGGTGTGGTCGTGCGTGGAGGAGAGAACTGACAAGTCCTTTCGACTGACGCACAACGCTTACCTGAAGATCTGCCAGCTCGAGGTGCTTCGCTGGGGCGCGCCGCTGCAACGCGCGGACGTCCTCATCGTGGACGAGGGGCAGGTGCGGCCGAATCCGTGCCCCGCATCGACGACGGGGGCTCGACAAGCATGCCTGCACGACCTCAGGAACATGCGACCGCTCTGGCTTGTGTTGCACGTGCAGGACCTGAACCCGGTGATGATCGACATCATCCTCCGCGGGGGCTGGAAGCGCATCGTCATCGTCGGGGACCCCGCGCAGGCCATCTATGCGTGGCGCGGGGCGGTGGACGCCCTCGCTGCAGTCAGGATGCGCCTCCCGGGGGCGCGCATCACCGAGCGACGACTCTCGCAGGTGACGACTGCACAAGAGCATGCGCCCGCCATGCTGACCTCACCTGTCCGATCTACTCAATCTCTTCTATCACCAACATCATATGGTTTTATTTTCACTTGTGTTCGATCTCCGTGCAGTCGTACCGGTTCGGCGCGTCGATTGCGGCGGCGGCCAACTCCCTGCTGGCGCTCAACGGCGCCCCTCTCGGCACGCGCCTCATCGGCGCCGCTGCCCACGGCGACGTGTGGCACGGGCACCTGCCGCCGATCGTCGGCAACAGCGAGAAAGTGTGGCCCCAGTGGCTGGCCGAGATGAAGCGCCGCCCGCCCGCGCGCCGCCGCAAGATCACCCTGATCGGCTACACGTGGTTCAGCCTCGTCGTCGCAGCGATCCAGGTCGCGGACGCCGGCCTGACCTTTACTATACCCTGTCCACCCGGAAAGAACGTTGGGGCGAAGGTCTCCACCATCGAGTGCCGCGCGAAACTCATGCTTGACATCCTCCAGCTCCTCAGGGCCGCGGAAGGCGAGATAGACCTGCGTGACGTGCGGTTTGAGTCCAGTGACGTCATCATGAAAGACATACGGAAGCAGATCGACGATCCCGCGATCTCGATGACCGCCGAAGACGCGCTGGAGTATATGGAGCAGTCGAACACCGCGTGGCACTTTCAGAGCGTGTCGATGGTGCGCGAGGCGGCCAGGGTCGGGCACTTCCCGGGCTGCGAAGACCCCCCGGAGGCGTCGCTGCGCAAGCTGCTGCGGCTGACGGAGGTCCTCAAGCGGGCGCACCGCCTGACCGCCGACGTGCCCGTGGTGCTGGAGACGATCCACCAGTCCAAGGGCGCGGAGTGGGACCGCGTCCTCGTGCTCGGGGGGTCACTGATGGAGATGGACCGAGCCACAAAGCAGCTGAACGCCAACCAGTGGGGCGTCGGGATGCAGCAGGCCGTCAACCTGCTGTACGTGGCGGTCACTCGTGCCAGGCACTTGGTGGTCGTCCCGCGGGTGATCACCGACGCGCTGGAGGGGGAGGTGCCCGTCGCGGCGTGCAGGGCGATGGCGACGCGCCTGGTTCTGCGGCACAAGTGCGCCCCCGTCCACGCCGGTGCCGCTCCCCCTGGTGCTCCGCCGACTCCTGCCCCGCGGGGTCGGCGGGCGTACCGCTCTGGGTGAGGCGGTGCATTGCTTAGCAGACTGCGTGCCGCCATGGTGCGGATTCCACACAGTTTCTGCGCTCTCGTGGCTCGATGCGAGGACTTGTGAGCATTCAAGCGCTGCTCTTGCCCGCAGGAGGGACCTCGAGGGGTGGGAGGGGGGGTGTTTGCTGTGCCGGAACAGCTGGAGCGACTACTTCGGCGCGGTGTGCACGGACCCCAAGAGCCCCTGGAACCGCGACCCTGGTCTACGCGTCGCGTGCGTGCGCTCGCCGGTGTCCGCGATGCTGCGGCTCGCCGCTGAGGGGCCCGCGGCGGCTCCCTTGCCATCGGTCGCGGGGGTCATCTGCAGCACGTGCGTGCTGGCGACCGTGCTCGGCCGCGGCCAGGCCACAGGAGCGGCAGGCCCGGCGCAGGCCGACGGCGGCGCTGACGCGGTGATGACGGACGCGGCAGTCGACGCCCTGCGCCGCCACTGGCAGGCGAGCATCGCGCCGTTTGATCGGGCGCTGAGTCAGCTGCTGGGGCTGGACGATGCCCCCCGCGCGCGAACGCTCGCAGCGGCGATCGCCGCGGTGGCGCGCTGCGCGTACCCGCGCGGACCAGTGCCAGCGCCGCCCAGCGGCTCTGCCTGTGCAGACGCCGCTGCGGGTTCGCCGTGCCCGTTCTCCGGGTCGCACGTCGCGTGGGCATACGAGGAGCTGTGGAGGAGGCTGGGGCGGATTTCATCGACAGAATCCATGCGTGCGGTCTCGGATCGGATCAAGCATATTTGTCTTTCACGCGTGCAAGTGGGGCCGGAGTGGTGCGAGTGGAGGGCGTGGACGGCGGGGCCGGCGGCAGCGGACGCGCCAGGGCCGCGGGACTGCGGCGCCAAGCATTAGCCAGCGCGTTCGAGACGGCGGCCCTGCTGCGTTGCAACGTCAACGGCTGCGCAGTGGGTTTCGCGAATCGGCGGTGGAGAGGCCATGCGGCGAGACGGGATCGCGACGGCTGCGCCAGAGCTGCGCTGGTGCCCTCGTGCAGCATCACCTCGTGCGCGCAGGTGCCCTACGCGGAGACAGCTCATAGAGGATCTCCCCAGCGCCACCACGCCCGATCGGCCGCGGCGCATCGGTGCCGCTGCCGGCGGTTTCTCGGCGGCATGTGGTCGCAAGTGATCGTTCGTGACGCGTGTCAGCGTGATGCCTGAGAGGTTGCGAGTGCTTGTTAGGGGCGTCGTGTTCAGGGCCGCTGTCAGTCGTGCGGCGAGGATGCTTGTAAGTCAGCGAATGACAGACAGCTCAGCCTACGCGAGCATCCCTGTCGGAACGCCCGCGTTCCGCACCGTTGCGTCAGGTGTCAGGTTGACAGTGCTTTTACTGGTTGCGACGCCGTCGGACGAAACACCAGAGCCCATAGTGTGCAACGCGTCGAGGGCTCACCTTCCTGGCTGCCTCTGGGGGGGTTTCACAAGAAGAAGGCGTGACGGCTCAGTGGGGGGGTCCAGAAACTCGATGGGCTGTCTCAGACGCACTCGCAGCGACTCCCCCCACTTACCGCTGGGCGCCGCCCGGCGGACTGTCCGGGACAGGTCGGTGACCGCGCAGGCCAAGGGCGCGGCTCGCGAGGTCCGCCGGCGAATCGGGCACCTGACATTTCGTCGCGCAGGTCGGGCAGAAGTAGTGTGTGGCGTGGCGTGCTTTGCAGCGCCTCCCATTTTGCTCGCCACGTAGCGTGGGCGCAGGTGCTCGCTGTTCCGCCGCGGCATGACTGCGCTGTCGCGAATCCTTGTTGCGGTGAAGAGGACGGTGGACTACAATGCGCGGATACGTGTCAAACCGGACGGGGTACGTCTCGCGCTGGAGGATGCAACGCACGGAGCGCCCTGCTCGGCCACCGTTTCATCACCGCCTCGATCGCACCGGTTTCTCTGTCAACTGAAGCACAACCGGGCGTTGAGAGAGCCTGCCTGGCGACAGTGCGCTGGGCCGGGGCGCCGGTTCCTGAGGCCTGCGCCCGCCATGCTATGCAGCGCCGGTTCCTGAGGCCTGCGCACGCCATGCTATGCAGTCTGGGGTGGACTTGTCTGGCGTCAAGATGTCGATAAATCCGTTCTGCGAGATAGCGTTAGAGGAGGCGGCACGCATGAAGGAGAGGGGACTTACGGAGGAGGTCGTTGCCGTGAGTTTGGGCCCGTCCAAGTGCGCGGACTCTCTCCGGACTGCAATGGCTCTGGGGGCGGACAGGTGAGCCCCGGTCGCATGCTCCATCTTCAAGGAGGTCGTCGGTTCCAAGTGGATGCCGCAACGTGCCTTCGTCCGCAGAGGCGAGCCAGGACGCTTGCCTGCGCCCCCCGCCATCGCTGTGCCTCCAGGCCTGCCGCACCCGACCACGTGCGACGCAGAGCCATTCACGTCCTGCACGAAGGTCCAGACGTGGAGCCGCTCGGGGTAGCGCGCACCCTCGAGGCCATTTGCCGCCGCGAGAAGCCCAGCCTGGCGCTCCTCGGCAAAGTGGCTGTCGACGGAGACCACAGCCAGACGGTGCGCGGCCCCACCCCGCCTGCATCCCGCACGGACCCCGCGCCGCCGCCCACTGCTCCGACGCGGCTCTGTCCACCGCTCCGACCCCCGCACGCCCACCGACCACAACCCAACCTGCAGGGCCAGATGCTGGCGGGCCTGCTGGGCTGGCCGCAGGCCACCGCGGCGTCGCAGATCGACCTCTCCGAGCCTGGCTGGGCCACCGTCCAGCGCGAGGCTGAGTCAGGCATGGAGACCCTGCGCATGAAGCTTCCCGCTGTCGTCACGGCGGACCTGCGGCTCAACCAGCCGCGGTATGCGCCGCTGGCAGCGATCGTGAAGGCGCGGCGGAAACCGGTCGAGACGCTGTCGGCGGGGGACCTCGGGGTGGACTTGACGCGCCAGGTGGAGGTGGTCTCGGCGTCTACGCCACCGCCACGGCCGCCGGGCGTGCGCGTGAGGAGCGTCGAGGAGCTCGTGGACAAGCTCGTGAACGAAGCCGGGGTGCTGAAGGATCAGTGACGTCGTGTGAGAGCCGCCGTCGCACCGGCTCATGTGCCCCCCAGCAACGCACCGAAAAACACCCCCCGGTCGAACACCACACGAACGACAGGTCGCCGCCACGCCTTGCTCGTCGCGTTGTCGTCAAAGCATCACATCGGGAGCCAGTCGGGCAATTCCAGACCGCCCCCCAACAGCGTGTGCACGGCAGCAGGCAGGACCGAGCAACCGGCGCGCGGAGCCTCACTTCTTCGCGGCCTTGCCCTTCTTCGCCGGCGTCGCCTTCTTCTTCGCCGGCGCCTTCTTCTCAATCGTCTTCTTTGCCGCAACCGCCTTCTTCGCAGGCGTCGCCTTCTTCGCCGGCGTCGCCTTCTTCGCCGGCGTCGCCTTCTTCGCGGGCGTCGCCTTCTTCGTCGGCGTCGCCTTCTTCGCGGAAGTCTTCTCCTTCTTCGCTGGCGTCTCCTTCTTCGCCGGCGTTGCCTTCTCCTTCTTGGCCGAAGCCTTCTCCTTCTTCGCAGCCGTCTCCTTCTTGGTCGGCGTCGCCTTCTTCTTCGCCGGCGTCTTCTTCGTCTCCACCGTCTTCCGGACCCCCACGGCCTTCTTCACCGTCTCCGCAGCCTTGCTCACCGCGGCAGCGACCTTCTTCACCGCGGACACGGGCTTCGCCGCGCCGCCGGCGCCGGACTTGTGCGCCTTGAGTGCCGCGAGGACCGTCCCTGCGTGGTGCGTCGTCGCGCAGTTCGACGTCCACACCGCCGCAACAGTCCCCGCGGGGTCCACCAGGTACGTGTGGCGCAGCAGCCCCGTCGTGCCGCGCCTGCGCAGCACAGAGCGGGCGCGGACGCGATCGGACGCGTGCGTATGCGCGGGGCGAGCCGTGCACGTGCGTCGCGAGGGACACCGCAGCGCAATGCAGCGTCGCGCGCTGAACTGCCATGTGCGCGTGTGTGTATGTCCTCGGGCCGCGGGCGCATCGAGACGCGAGCGACGGATTTCGCGGGATCCGCTGTGTTGTACGCGGGGTGCGCGGGTCGGGGGGGGGGTGTTGCGGGTATGACTCACTGGTTCTGTCCGTAGGACTTCATGCGCTTGCAAAACGCGAGGTCGGAGTCGACGAGGAGGCCCGTGAAGGCGAGCTTGAACTTGGCGATGAACTTCTGGTGGCTCGCGGCGCTGCGGGGGGTCGGCGCGGCGGGCGTCACACGCCGTGTGCGGGCGGCGCAACATGGGTGCGACGCACGGGGCGCTGGCGTGGAGCCGGGCGGCGAGCTGCTCGCTGCGCGCGTCCGACGTCGCGTGGATGTATAAGTCGGGGTCGACGGGGGGGGTTCGCGGCCTGAGAGCGCGAGGGGGGCCCGCACGCGCCACGGGTGGGTGCAAATTGGCAGCGGGAGCAGCGTTAGGGCCTCCGGGGGGGCGCACGTGTCCTTGGAGACGCCGTAGACCACCGCATCCTCCTCCTTGAAACCGCTCCACTCCTCGCTGAAGCCGCACGCCTCCTTCGTGCACCCGGGGGTGTTGTCCTGCGGAGGCGGGCCGGGCGAATTGAACCGTGAGGCAGCAGGGCGCGCTCCACGGGCTCGCAGGGGCGGCGCGCGGGCCCGTTCGCGCCGCGCCGGCGCCTCCCAGTGCCAGCGGCGCGCGGGCGCCCGCGGACGCCGCGGCGCGCGGCGCGTGCGTCACGTCGCGCGCCACAACGGACGCAGCGCGCAGTGAAAACCACCGCCCGTGCGCGCGCGGCGATCGAACGCCTGTTTCCGCGCGTGCACGCCTCGAGCGGCGACGCAGAGGCGAGAAGCGGACCTTGGGGTAGAAGTAGATCACTGCGTACTTCCCGGCGAGCGACGCGAGAGTGACCTCTTCCCCGTCCTGGTCCTGGAGACCAATTTCGGGGCACTTGTCACCTACCGAGAGGGGCATCTTGTCTGACCGCCCTCCAATCACTCGACTGCGAGACTGGGCTCGGCGGGCCGCGGGCCGAGGCACCGAGCCGCGCTGCAGCTGCCGCCGCGGCACGTCCAGCCTGGACTGACATGAGAGCATGGCTGCGCGCTGCCGCACACGCGCGCCCTCCGTGCCGCGCGGCGCCGCGGGCGCGTCCTCCGCTGCGATATCATGCTCCAGGGCGGCTACGACGCGTCGTTGCGCGACCGGCTTGCGCTGCGGCAGCACAAGTGCTTCGGCACAGACGGGCCTCCCGCGCGAAGGGAGCGGGCCCGCAACCGGCCGGGCGCGCACGGCAGTCGCACGGGGAACGCAAGGACAAGCTGGGAGTCGGCTCGGCGGCCGTTGCCAGCGTTCACCCGGTGCGCGGCGCAGGGCGGAAATGCTAGTCGGTTGCGGGCACGCGACGCGACCTGGGCGACGCGGTCGCGACAGGAAGGGTTGCGTTTCGGAGTCTCAAGTTACAGGCCGCGTCCCGCAGGTGGCCGCGCCGTCGCTGCGCGACCCCACCGCGAGGTGCGCGGTGTTGGCTGGCGCGCAGCAAGTGTGCACCGTCGTGGACGGTGGCCCGGCCCGTCCCCTTAGCCGCGGTTGCCCTTGAAGTCCATCTGCCACCAGAGCGCGAACGCGGGCGTGCCGAACCCGAACAGGAAGAACAGGGTCACGTACTGTGCCGCAGTGCGCACCCTGTAGGCCTTGGGCTTGCGCCAGATGCTGCACACCCAGTCGTGGTGGTGGTGGTGCTCCATGTAGCCGACCTGCGGCACCGGGGACGACCGGAAGCCGCGGAGGCCCGCGGCGCCGGGCACCGAGGCCTGTGCTGGGCCAGGGAGGGCCGCCTGCACCGCCTGGCTGACCGACCCCGAGCGGGCCTGCTGCGCGAGCAGGCGCGAGGCCTGCCTGAGGGCGCTCATTGCGATTCGGCCTGACGACTTGGGGGCCCGGGGGCGAAGCGGAGCCGCTGTGTGCTCGAGACGTGTGCAGAGCCTGCGGGTCCGGGGGGCACGGGCGACGTTCACGGCTCGGCGCGGACGGAGAAATCTTGGTCATGCGGGCGGCGAGGCGTCGCGGGCTGCGGGGCGTCGCGGCGCGCGGCGTGACGGACCTCGTTGGTTGGGACCGAACGCTCCTGTCCCTGCGCCGTGCTTGCCTTTCCGCGACGGAGGGCTTCGGTTTCGCGGCCACCAAACTTCCGACTGGACGTCTCGTCGAGCGCGCTGCTCCCTCGAGCCGCAGCGACCCTGCAACCGGAGGACCCCTGCACTGTGCTCACCGGACGTCAGGCATGCGCGACGAAACAGGGTCTGACTTCACGTTGCCAGCCACACCTTCACGACTCCGTCCCCGGCCGCACCGTCGACACCGTCATTATGACGCCACGCGTGAGCCCGCACTCGATGGATGGTCCCGGCACGAGTCTCGAGCGCTGCCATGGCAGGGCGCGCGAGGCCGCGCGACGGAACGCCCCTCCCGCCGCTGCCCAGCCTGGTGCGGCCACACGCGGTCGTTCGCGACGCACGGTGCTGCGTCGTGCCTGGCGCTGCCAGCAAACACAGCTGTCAGCGAGGGGGGTGTCACGACCGCGGCGCCGCGGAGGGCAGGCTGCGCCGCGGCTCGTGGGCGCGCGAGCGGCGCGCACGGTCCCAGTCCCTGCCGCACGGCGAGCCCGCGCGCTGCCACGGCTGGACGGTCCGAGATGCAGCAACACGGGGCGTGGCGAGCGCACGGGGGGGGCGGATGCCTCGCCCCGCGGTGGCCGGCGACGCGCCGCGTCCCGGCCGGGCCGAGGCGGTGTCACCGAATACACAGGTGCGGCGGCGCCGGCGACGCGTCTGCAGCGGAGGCCGTCGTGCTGCTTTGACGGGGTGTCGTGACTCAGGACGAGACGTTTGCTGCGAGTGAGCTTGGCTGACGTTGGCGCTCATTGTTCGACCATCCGATGTGCAGCGCTGCCCGAGAGGTCGTCGTGGGAATCGACCTCGGGACTACCAACAGCGCTGTGGCCTTGATCGAGGATGGCGGGCCGGTGATCGTCCCGCTGGAGAATGGCGCCCCGACGATGCCGTCTGTAGTGTCGTACCTCGAGGACGGGTCGGTCGTGGTGGGAGAAGAGGCCAAGAGACTCGCGTCCCGGGACCCAGGTGTGGCCTCAGACCCGACCGCCTCCTTCGCAGGCACTCCGCGGCGGCTGCATTCTTATTTTCGCACACCTGCCACGTACTTCACGATCTCAGTTCACCGGAAACGGATGCGTTGCGCCGAATCCCGCGGTGAATTCGCGGGAGGCGAGCACGGAAGCGGCTACTTCACCCAGCGCCCTCCCGCACCTACTGCGAGATGTCCCGCCGTTTCCTCGCAGCCAACACGTTCTACTCTGTGAAGCGCTTCCTCGGGCGCGACCGCGGCGACCCCGCTGCCGAGGAGGACATCCGGCGCGTGGCATACAGCGTGGACGCCGACGAGGACGGCTGCCTGCGCCTGGTGTGCCCGAACGTGGAGGGGGGCTTCCTGTACCCCGAGGAGGTCTCCGCCCACGTCCTGGACGCGCTGCTCAACCGCGTCGAGGAGGCGAAGGGCTTCAGGCAAGGCAAACGACCGCTCCTCCACCATCGCGCCGCTGTCGTGCGTGCCACCTCGTGCGGACTCGTGCGTCGCTCGCGTGATGTCGAAGCTCGCCACGTGCCGCTCGTGCTGTGGCGACATGGCCGGCCGGGGGCAGGTCGGCAGAGGTCTCTCTCTTTGAAAGCACTCTTTGGTGTTGCTGTTGTCTTGACCATCTATTTTTTGTTTCTGCTCGTTGCTGGCCTGGCCGAGCACCGGCAGGAACGTGTGCATGTCTAGCAGCTGCACTGCTGCGTCACCGGCGCCACGCATTCGCGAAGCAGCAGCAGTCTTGATCCGCTATGTCCCTACATGTCTGTTCCAGCCCTTTCTCGCCCACATATCTGCACCAAGACCGCCCCCCTGCTCCCACTGTGTGCGCAGGCCGACGAAGGCGGTGATCGGCGTGCCGGCGTACTTCACGGAGGAGGCACGGGAGGCGACCGAGCAGGCCGGGCTGTTGGCGGGCCTGGAGGTGGTCCGACTGGTGCACGAGCCGGTCGCCGCGGCGCTCGCATACGGCCTGGACCTGAAAGAGGACCAGACGGTTATGGTCTTCGACCTCGGGGGCGGCACCTACGACATCAGGTGCGCCGAACACTGTGTGCGGCATCTGCGTATTCCGCTGTCCGCGCCGTCGCTGGAAAAAAAACGCTCTACGCGCTCGAACATGACGACCTAGGCACAGACGCCGCCCCGCGCTGTTGCCCGGGGCTTCCCTCGAACCACCCGGGACCACTTGTGTCCACTTCTGTCTACGCTGCGTCGGGTTGTTCAGCGTCCCGCCGCCGCAGGACTCCGACGCGCTGTCCCCGGCATCTGGCGCCCACAGCCCACCGCCTGCCGCCCGCCACGCGGCCGCACCCGTTCCCAACCTGCTAAAACACCTCTTCGATCGCCGTGCACGTCACGGCAAGACATGGCGTGTGCGTGAGCGCTCGCAGCGTGCTCGAGGTCGGGAACGGCGTGATCGAGGTGCTGGCGACGGGCGGGGACGCGCACCTGGGCGGGGACGACTGGGACGCGGCCCTGGCGCAATGGATTTCCAGGAACGAGCTGAAGCCGCGGGGCGTCGACGTGGAGAGCCCGCGGATCCGCGCCAACGTGCGGAAGCTCGCGGAGATGGCGAAGATCCAGCTCACGGACAGCGCGGAGGTGCGACTCGCCGCGCAACGCTCGTGCCGGCGTTTGCGCTTCGTGGTTATCACATCCTGAATTCGTTCGGTCTGCCAGACAAGCACGTAGCCCTCAGCGAGCCTCCCCGATCATCTGAGCGCCAATCCGCCTCCGCGCGCAGGTGGTGCTGCGGATGCCCGTGGGACCGGGCGGCGAGCCCGTCAGTGTGCGCATCACCCGACAGCTGCTCGAGGAGGCGTCCGTGGACCTGTTCCGGCGCGCGCGCCTGGCGATCGACGCCGCGTGCTGGCAGGCCGGCGTGGACCTCGGCGCGTCGTTCCTCGAGGGAGAGGTGCGGCGCGGGAAGCGCGTGGCCAAGTCGGAGAAGCTGACGCGCACGCCGCGGTCCAAGTGAGCGCCCCGGCCCTCGCGAGTAACGGTTGCTGCATCTGCCGGATCAAGGCCGCGTCGTGGCGTTGGTTTCGCGCTTGAATTTCGCACAATGCACACGAGGGTGAATTTCGACGAGCGATGGGCCCCTGCGAAGCGAAGCTTCGTTTTGAGTACTGGCATGTACGCCGCATGCGAGCACGCACGCGCCTGGATGGACATCCCGCGCGTGCTACGACCAGCACGCGTCCACCACTGCGTCCGTCTGTCAGGAACAACACACCCCTCCTTTGTCCGCAGGGGCGACGGCGCGCGCCGGCAGCCCATCAGCGAGGTTCTCCTCGTCGGCGGCGCCACGCGCATGCCTGCGATCGCCCGCTTCGTCCGCAACATGACGGGCGTCGAGCCACGTGGTGCCGCGCTGGTGGACCCCGACCAGGCCGTGGCGCTGGGCGCGGCGGTGCAGGCGGGGATCTTCCAGGGCGAGGTCGAGGATCTCATGGTGATGTCGCCGTGGAAGGCCGCGCTCATGCGGGCGTTTGCGCGGCGGGCGATCGAGGGGGGCGCGTTGGACGACATGGAGTGGGAGGACAGTGACGACGACGGAGAGGGGGGGAGTGATGGGGAGGGGGCTGGAGGGGACATGGTTGTGGAGGACGGGGACGGGAAGGACGTGGCGTCGAAGGGGGAGGGTGCGGGCGCGACGTGAGGGCTGGAACTGCGCAGTTGGCGCGTGGGTTGTGATTGAGATCCGCGACGGCGACGTGGGAACGGGAACGGATGTAGGGAGCACGCGGCGCGGGAGCGGGCGCGGGTGGAAGAGGCAATTACAGGTCGATTGCTGTCCTCGAGCTCACTGAGTACCCTTGTGCGCGGTCCCCTCCCACAACGAAGGAGAACGACCTGACGTGCGCTGGCTGGGAGCGCTGAGCCATAGAAAGAATGCAGCGGCAAATACTACTTGGTCTATATAATCCGTTGGCGGTCCTCATGGGGCGTCAGCCTCCTGGCACGCCGCCCGCAGCTTCGACAGCCGCGCCTCGACGGCGCCGAGGCCCGGCAGCAGCGCCCCGCGCACGGAGCCCCACACCGCGGACGCCCGCGCCAGCTCCGTCGCCAGCGCCGCAACTCGTTGTTGCAGCGCCGCGCTGCGCTCCTGCTCCTCCTTCAACCGCTCCACGAGGACGTTCGGCTTCCCCTTCGGCACGCCCTGCACGCGCACCGCCGCACGGAGCGGCACGAGTTCGCCACGCCGGGTAGCAAACACGGGAGCGGAAAAAAGCACCATCAGTCGAGGAATCTCGAGTGAAAAACCACCCGAGCAACCACGACGCGCCCCCTGCCCCCGCACCTCCTTCAGCTGCTCCAGCAGCGTCTCGTTCTGCGCCAGCAGGTCCTGCACCTGCGCCTCCAGCCCCTCCGCGACCGCCGCCTTCTCCGCAGCCGCAGCCTCCGCCGCGCGCCGCGCCACCACCGCCGCCTCCACCTCCGCCCCCTGCGCGTCCACCTCCCGCAGCAGACGGTCCCGCGCACCCTTGAGCTTCTCGACCTGCCGCTGCAGCTGCTCCGTGTCCCCGTGCGCGCCACCGGACGCCCGCCCTGACTGCTCGTGTTTTGCGCGACGCACGGCTTCCGCGGCCGCTTCCGCTGACGCCGCCGCGGCCTGTCGCGCGTCCGCGAGGAGCTGCTGGAGCTCCTCGACCTCCTCGCGGAGCGCGGCCGCGTCGCCGGCCGACGCCCGGGCAGTGGAGCGCCGGGGGGGAGTTGGCGAGACGCCCCGCCCCGACTCGAGGTCGTCCACGCGCCGCTGGAGCGCGGCGGCCTCCGCGCGCTCGCGCTCGAGGGCCTCGAGCAGCTCGTCCGCGCGCCGGCGCTCCGCCTCGACCTCGACCGCACGCTGTTGCAGCGCGTACGACAGCTGTGCGTCGTCGCTGGGCGGGCGCTCGTCGCTGGCTGCGGCGCCGGCACCGGTGCGCAGGCGGCGCACCTCGGCGCTGAGTCTGTCCGCTTCGTCCTCCGCCTCCGTCGCGCGCAGTTCGGCTGCTTTCAGCCTGCAGCGCACACACAGCTCGAGAGCGTGGGTGTGCCGGCGCGTGACGCGTGGCAAGGCGGCTCGCCCCCGACCGCGGTGGTCCGAGCGGTGGCCTGCCCGCAGGGGGGGTTACCTGCGCATGATGTCTTCGCGACGCTGCTGCATGGCCAGACGGTCGCTCTCGGCTTTGCTTTGCGCCGCCTCCGCGCGCGTCCGCGCTGCCTTCTCGCGCTCCAGCCGCTCCGTCGCGAGGGCGTTCGCTGACTTCATTTGCTGCGGGCACGCGGCTCGCACGGGAGGGGCAAGTGAGGCCAGCGCGACGCACCAACTCCAGACAAGCAGTGGGAACACGCACGGTGGACACAACGGGCGCACTCGCCCGCCGATCGACGCATCATCCGGAGGAACAGGTTGCTGTCCATATGATGGGTGCATAACCGCTCGTCGGCGCGAGCTCACGGGATGGTGGACACTTGATGTGCTCTTAGCAGACCTCCGTTCGCGCACCTGGATCATGCGTTCGAGCGCTGCGATGCGCTCCTGGGACTCCTCGAATCTGTCCTTTGCGGCACGCAGCCCGGCTTCCCGGTCTCGCGCGGCCTGCAGGTCGCTTTCGAGGGCTCTGCACCTGCGCAACGCCTCGTCGCGCTCCCTCGCATTGCTGTCCGCCCGCTCCTCGGCGCGCTTCTGCAGCGCCACCACGCGGTCGATCTCGCCCCTCATCGTCTCCACCAGCGCCTCCTCGGGCGTCATCCCCAGCGACGACATCGCTCTTGGGCGAAAAGCGCGCTACCTCGTTGCCGCCGACCGCGCGGGCTGCTCCATGCTTCCAGCCGCTTGCGATGAGACACCGACGGCGCGGTGCGGTGCCCGAGCGGCAGCTGCCTCCCACCCGTTGAGCGCCCCGGAAACGGAGTCTAATTGCTCCTGACTCATCACGAAAGGGCCCTGGTCTGCTCCGCCGCGGCGACGCCTGCGCGCGGCACGGGTGTGCCACATTCTCGTGGCGTGCGTGTGGCGGGCATCCGCGTGTGAGGCGTAGTCCTCGAATTAGAGTGCCAGGAACCTCGCACGCGCACAACGAGAGACGCGCGGGGCGCGCCTGAGCGTCGGTGGCAGCGCAACGCGGCGCCACGCTGGCACACTGGCCGCCCGGCTCTCGTCTGCGAGCGTCGGTCCCGCCAAGATCGCGCCGAAGGGTCGCACGCAGCCTGGCGCGGGGTTCAGTGCCTAGCTCAGTGCTCTCGCAGCGCTGCGGGCCCGCAGCGCGTCCGGCGCCGGCGATGTGGCGTCCCACAGGCCCGTTTCTGAGGGCCCTACACGCGAAGCCGCCGGGCAGCGCGGGGCCGCCGCACGCTGAGCGCGGCCGCGGCAAGGGACCATGGCGTGCGCGGTGCTTGCGGGGCGGCGGGCCGCTCTTTGCCGCGGCGATGACGCCGCTCATGGGCGGTCCCGAGGATCCCGACACCAAACGGCGCCGGGTGCGTACCACGATCGCGCGAGAATCCCATAGCAACACCTCCCAACGAAACGTGTGTGTCTCTGTGCTAGGTGCATCCCTCTAGCGTGCAGTGGCTGCACTGTTCAGGGCGCGATGCAGCGCCCGCGCGCCACCGATCGCATCACTCTTGTGTCAGGATGCTCGGGAGTTCGTCAAATGTGGAATGTGTGGCAGGCCGTCGTCGCAGTGCGGGCACGCACACGACCCACCGACACACTCCGCGCGTGATTCGCCACCGCGCGCGACGCGACGCAGATGCCGTGGACGGGCCTCGTCGAGGCAGCGAAGCGACGCCGGCGGCGCAGGCGCGCGCGCGCGGGCGGGCAGCCGGAGCGTCAGCCCGTGCTGTTGTGTCCCGGAGCTGGCATCTTCTTTTTCTGGCAACTCGGCATGTTGCAATACCTCGAGGACCACTTCGACCTGTCAGGTGCGCCGTGCGTCATCAGCCACACCTCGCGCCGCGCCGGCGCACCCCGCGATCCCGTTGCACGCACGTAATCAAGGACAGGAACGTTCCTGGAATGATTTGTGCAACACTGGCCGTCGCGACGGTTCCCGCTGAGACACGTCCCGTGGCCGTGCTGCGCAGACACGAAGTTCGTCGGCGCCAGCGCGGGGTCGCTGCTGTCGGCCCTCACGCTCTGCCACGTGCCCGCGAAGGCAGCGATTCTGGAGGCATACAGGTTGGCAGTGGAGGCGGGGGCGTTCGACCGGCCGCTGGGGCTGGCGGGGGTGTGGGGCAACCTGGTGTCGACGTGGCTGGGCACGCTGCTGCCGGAGGACGCGCACAAGCGCTGCTCGGGCCGCGCGACCATCGTTGTGGCGCGCGTACCCAACATGGTACGTTGGGGCGCCGCGACGTATGGTTCATTGAGCGTTCTTTCTTTTTCGGTTTGCCCGGAGAGCAGCGAGCCCCTCCGTAACTGCACGGAAGGCGAGGTTCGCTGCTGCTGAGTGACCTGTGCTGGGACGTTGGCTCGCACTCGCCGCAGGAGCTGATCGGCGTGGACGCCTTCGCGACGCGCGACGAGCTGCTGCGCTCGCTGCTCGCGTCCTGCCACGTGCCCTTCGTGCTGGACGGCCGCCCGTGGGTGCCCTGGGACCACCACCAGACGGGGCCTCTCGACAGTGTCATGGACGGCAGCCTCATGGAGTTCTTCGACCCGTCGCGGGCGTCGTACCACCCGTTCTACGACGAAGGGACGCAGCACGGCATCGTCATCGACTACTTTCTGTACGTCCACGGTGGCGATGCCCATGACATATTCGTTCGATGGGAAACAGACATGCTGCAATCGCACGTTCATGCGAAGCCTGGAAGGCGCTCAGCTTGCGGATGAGAGCGCGCCGTTGCGAACCGAACATCCTCCTTCGCTACGAGTGTCAGTTGTCAGAACCCCGCTGTTGCATACAGCGCCGACTTGATGGTCCTGTTTCCGAGTTTCCCGTCGTGGCGTGCAGGGACGAGGAGCTGGAGTACAACCGCATGAGCTTCCTGCAACTGCGGGACTTCCCGCACGTGCTCAACTACGTCAGGCGCGGGTACGAGTACGGCCGGCGCATCCACGCACGCGGCGAATTGTCAATGCTGTCGCCCCGGTCCTTCCCGCGGGACACACTCGACCTCGACGGCGTCCTCCACGAGGGTGCGCGGATCCGGGAAGCCAACCGCGGGCCAGGCGGCGGCGATCCGCCCGTGGTTGTTGAGCGGGCAAAGGGCAGGCGCCGCGGCAAGCGGCGGGACGCAGGCGACGGCGGCGGCACGGCGACAATGTAGCGCCTGCGGAGCAGGTTGCGCAGGAAGGCCCGTGGTCGCGTGCGCAAGGCTGGTGTGACCGCGCTGCTGTTGATGTTGCGTTACAAAAGGGCGGCCCGGTGCCATTTTTACGCACATTTGGCACGGGGCCGAGCGTGTTCCCTGCACGTCGCGCGTCGACCACCGGAGGACGTAGGGGCCGGGGGGTTGTATAGGGGGGGGATAATGCTTCACGTGCCCACGCTCCGCGCGTGCCTGCCCGCTTGGACAGGCGCCGCTGGCGGGACGGAGAGCTCGCGTGGGACAGACACGGCATGCCACCAGCCATGCGATGGCTGGGGCAGCGGCAGGTGAGCCTGAAAGGTTGGCCAAAGTGGCAGGAAGGCCAGCCTTGGGGGGGGGGACCTAGAGGGAAGGGGGGAGGGACGAGGACGAGGATGGAGAAGAGGCGATCGCGGCCTCCGTGGGCACGAAAAGTGAGAAGTTGGAGGGCTTCAGGGCGCTGCTAGAGCACCAGGGGGCCAACGAAGATGACCCGGGGCAGCTGCAGAACGCTCTGCATTGAAGACGGATCTGCACGAGAGGCCGCGTGGTCGCTGGGCGAGGAGAGGGTCGTTAGCGGCGCCAGAGTAGCGCCTGCGGTGGAAAGCGCGGTGCTGACGCTGGAGGTGCGTTAATTTCCGCACAGCGGATTTCAAGAGGCCGGCGTCCGAAGCAACGTGCCTTGCACGTCGATTGCGCTTGGGGCCTGCGGGGGAGAGGGCGGCAGGCGCAGCTTCGGGGGGCTTCCGCAGTCGGACAGTAGTGTTGCGAGCATGAGAAATATGACTTTCACTTCTGTCGGACGTTCATGTCCTGTGTCATCCAGCGCATCGGTCCGACAGGGCCGGGAATCATCGGGGCGAAAGGACTCGAGCCAGTCGCGTACCTGGCCGTGCAATGACGGGCAGCTGAGGCCGCAAGAAGTTGATTTGCTAGGACAGAGTGAAGATAGTCTGTGGATGGATGGATGCGGACGCTTGGGTCTAGGTCTTCGCTTTCACGGTGCGCGTGCGGGCGAGCTGCGCGCCGTGCTTCTTGCGCGCCTCGTCGTACATCCTCGCGTTCATCGATGCCTGCAAGACGGCACGGAACGCACGTCATGTAAGTGTTCATGTGGGTCTTCGCGCGAGCTTGACGGGTCACGGGGGCTGCCGCGCCGGACCTCCGCCCGCATGCTGCTTACCTGCTTGTAGTCTGCCATGCTCGTAGACCTCGGTCCCGCGAACAACAGCCCCGCGGGCTCGCCTTGAACGTTCGACGAAGGACCGTGCTCGTCGCCCCCCACGTCCCAGCGCTGGACGTCATGCCAGCGGGAGTTCCCGGACTGGCCGCCTATCGCTTTCTCGATGCCGTGCTGCGAGGGGCAGGGCAAGCACGCGCGCGAGGCTCAGGGGCCGCCCCACAATGCATGACGCCACAAATCGCTTGCTGCTCTGCACGACGCGCAAAGGTGCAGCAGGAGGCTTACCTGGCTGCCTGCGCCGGCCTGTACGTAGATGAGCTGCTCGACGCCCGGCGCCACCTTGCGGGACTGCGTTGCGAAGGAGCGATGACGTTGTGCGCGCTCCCTAGAGAAGCTCTGGTCCCTCTTCGACTCCTTCTTCTTCAACTGCGCGCGCATCGCGTTGGGATTGAACCTCCCAGAGGTCGCGCTCGGGCCCGACCGCTTCACGTCGCTCCTCGCGGGTTTCCCGTGCGAGGAGGTGGCAGCCTGCAAGGGGGGAGGGGGCGGCGGGCGTGAGAGGGTGGAGGCGGCCTCTGGGCGCAGGGACGAGGACGTGGGCGAGTGAGGGTGCGGGTGCGCACCATGCGAGTGCGCTCGACGAAGGCGATGGACACGCTCTTCGACTCCCCGGCGTTGCGCATCTGCCGCACCGCGGAACGCGACACGTGCGACCGTTTGGCGCTGCCGGTGTGCACGGACGCCGCTTGCATTACGTTTGGGTGCGCCTCCTGCGACGTGGGTGGCCCGAGACGGTTCGAGTCGCCTGTCGGCGCGAGGTGATGTGCGTCAGCGTGCAGTCCTGTTGCGCGCAGGCGAGAGCGAAGCGATCGGATCAGGCGGCACGGTTGGCAACTTACGTTGGCTGACGTCCGGCTCGACATTGGTCGGCCCACGGTCACCGCGTCCTCCACCACCTGCACCGCAAGGACTCCAACAAAGATACCTCGGCTCGCCATCGCGATCATAAAGGCAGGCTTTTCTCATAGAACCGGCGCGCTGCTACATTCCGTGCGCATAGATCTGCCTTGCAAGGGCACCACGAAGCGCACAACTTCGCCCATGGTGCCACCCGCAGGAGCCTGGTGGCCACGCAGCCATGGAGCGCGGCACCACGAACGCTGCGCACGGCTCGCCCGTCCGGCGACGGCGCTCAGCTTGGAAGCACATCAAGCACACAGACGCGCGCATCCGGCGCCGCGCAGCCGCCCACGCGCGGCCTGCGCGCATCCAGACAGGACGCATGTGCGAGCGCCGCTGATGGGCGCACGCACCTTGGACTTCGACTGACAGCCTCCCATCGGCGCCCACCGAAAGCTGTAGAGCGCGGTACGAGTGATGGAGCGCGATGACACGCGCGCTGGTGCGTGAGCCTCACTCGGCACGCAAAAGGGCTAGGGGCACGGCGCCGCGCGTCCGATGCTGGGCTAGTGGATCGCGGCAACCATCCGCAACGTGCACGCGAATGTGGTGTCACTGCAGCAGGCGGGAACGCCCCGCTTTGACCACGCGGCACGAGGGCGGGGGGTGACCGTCCCCCTCAGGAGAGTCTCTGTCCACCTCAGGCTCCCGTCATGGAGACACCCCCCCAGTTCTGGGGTCTGTATCTCGCCAGGGACGCCCGCGGCCTCCTGACAGCTGCGTCACGCCGAACAGCAGGCAGGCCTGCACGGAGCCGTTCACTGCCGCCCTGCCTGCTGGCACCAACGCACCACACCTGTGCGAACGCGGGCGCGCGGAGCGCCGTCGAGCTCGCGCCCTCTGCATCCTCGCGCTGCGCGCAGCTGCGGCATCTTGCGGCAGGAGCCGCATTTCGAACTGCTGATAGATGTCATGTCAGGTGTGTTACACGCAGCCTGGAGGGCGGGATCCGCCCGCGCGTCACTCCGAGTCCAGCAAGCCCTCGAACGCCGCGTCGCCGTCGCTGTCCGAGTCGCTGTCGATCACCCTGCGGCCCCCAGCCGGCTTCGCCGACACCACATGCGCCTTGATCTTGAATTTTGGCAGCGCAGGCGCCGCCGCGGGCGGCGGGATCGTCTTGAGCTTGAGCTTCGGCGCCGCGCCGGCGGCTGCGGGCTTCCCGCTACCGTTGAGAAGGTCGTCGAAGCCTCCGCCGTCGGCCGACGCAGGTGGCTTCCGCGGTGGCGCAGGTACCGCAGCCCTGCCTGCGCCCGCGCCTCGCCCTCGCGCCTTCTTCGCCGGCCGCCCGCCGTCCGACTCGTCGCTGAAGTCCGACGCGTCGTCAAAGTCCTCCTCCGACTCCCCCCCTGCCGACGCCTCCGACAGGCTCTCGTATACCTCCGCGCTCTGCTGCTTTCCCCGCGCAGGCCGCTTCCGCTGCGGCGCAGCCGCCGCCCCGCGCGCCGACCTGCGCGTCGGCGCGGCCCGCTTCTTCGCGTTGCGGCCACGCCGCGAGCGCCCCCCCCACTCGGACACATCCGAGTCGTCGTCGCTCTCGTCGTCGTCGAGCTCCGCGGAGGGGTCTGACTCGGCGAACGCGTCCGGGCTGAGGCCGCCTTCGTCCATGTCGGCGTCGAAGTCGGGGTCGGGTTCGCCGCGGTCGTGTTCGGAGGAGCTGGGCGACGTGGGAAGGTCGAGGTCCTGCAGGGGGGGTTCGGGGGGGAGTGTTGGTCGGGGAACCGCGGCTGCGGGCGAGCGCAAGTTTTGATAGCATTGTGCACATGAGGATCGATGCACGCGTGCACGTGCATGAGGTGATGGAAGGCATGTGTGCTCCGCAGTGACAGCGCCCGGGAACGGTGCTGGTCGTGCGCTCCACGCGTCGTTCTCTGTGTCTATCAGCGCAGGGCCGCGTTCGCACCTCGTCCAGGCCGTCGTCGTCGCCCGCGACGATCTCTGAAACCCTGCTCCTCCCGAGCTCCTTCGAAGCGCGCACCTTCAGCTCCGGCGGCCCTCCCTCCTGGTTCGGGCCTTCCTTCTTCTCCGCGCTGGTCGCCGCGGGCTTGGGCAGCAACGCACTCGGCGGCAGCTTCAGCTGCGGCTTTGGCAGCGCCGGGAACGCAAAGTGCGGCAGCGGCGCGTCGATCGCCGCGGACGGCGCGGTCAGGTACGCGCTCTGCATCTCCGGCGTACTGCCAAGCACGCTCCAGATGTGCGCAGGCCCGGACGATGCCGCGAGCGGGGGACGCCGGAACGCATCCGACGGCCGCACGCTCTCCACCACGCGCCCGTCGTCCGACAGCAGCGGCGCCGCCTGGCTGGACAGCGCTGGGTATGCGACCGTGGCACCTGACGCAGTCCTCTCGGGTATGAACGGCGGCATCAGCGCCCGCACGGCCATCAGGATCTCCGTGTCACCAAACACCCCCGAGGACTCCCGCGGGAACGCGAGGACGCTGTCCACGAACGCCGCGCGCCACGCCGCGGCCGCGGTCGTCTCCGGCAGCCACGCCAGCGTGTGGCGCTGCCGCGGCGTCGCGGTTGCAGGCGGCGCATCCGACCCCGCAGCATCCTCCGCGGCCGGCTCCGCCGGGTCCGGCGCAGCAGCGGCGCTCGGGCGCTTCGACGGCAGGCGCACGCCGCGCCACGGCGCTGGGCCGGTCGGCGGCGCGGAGTGCGGCGGCTCCATGAAGTCGTAGAATCCCCACTGCCGCGTCGCCCACGCGCGGCCGACGACGGGCTGTTCCTTGCCGGGCGTGCCGACGATCAGGCTGGGGTGCGCCCAGTCGCCGCCGCCGACCGCCGCCTCGAGCGCAGTGAGGCATCCGATGAGGGCCCCGGGGGACGTGGCGGCGGACACCTCCTCCTCCCACACGCCGCGAACGAAGCCCTCCGGGAAGGCTGAAGCCGGCAGGCGCGCCGCTGCGGCACGCAGCCGCCTCGCGATGGCCGCGACCGCCGCGTCGCGAAACACCCCCCCTGCCCGCAAGTCCTCCTTGGGGGGTGTGACCCCCGACGGCGGCGGGTGGTGAAGCAGAGCGCGGAGACGCTCGCTCGGCAGCGGCGGCTCCGGTAGCGGCACGTCCTCGTCGACGGCCGCCCCAGCCGGCGCGAGGCGCGGCAGTGCGCGGATCGACGCACACAACACGCTCTCGCGCGCGCCCCTGTCGTCCAGAGCATCCTCCGCCATCCGCTTCAGCCGGTCGGGCTCCGGAAGCGCGAGCCAGCGCGTGCCGTGCGCCCCGGCCCGCGGCAGCTCCACGACCCCTGCGCGCCTGCCGCTGTGCACCCCAGTTGGCAGCGCCCAGTACCGGTTCCCGCGACGGTCGCAGCCGAGCTCGCGCTCGCGCACGGCGAGCGCCGACGACGCCAGCCGCGCGTTGATGGCCTCCGCGAGGGTGTCAAGCTCGGCCTGCGCCGCGCGCTCCTTCGATTCCAGCTCCGCAACGGCAGCCTCGTCTTCAGCGACGAGCTGCGCAGCGGAGGGCGCCGTCGAGGCCGCCGCGTCGTCCGGTGGCCGCGGCCACGGGCCCGCGCGCACGGCTGCCGCGGCTTCGCGTTGGCGGCGCCCGAGCTCCACCTGCGTGTTGATGACGTCAGGCCTGCTCAGGTGCGCCGCAGCCGCCGCTTCGCCCTCGACGCCGCCGCCCGCGTCCGCAGCGATCTCCGCCGCTGCTGTGAACACCGTCGCGTCCACGGCGTCGCGCTGCGCGCGAACCGCATTGCCCACTTGGTCCCCGACGCCTGCCATCCACGCTGCGAGCCGCTCGTCCCACTGCCGCGCCGCACGCGCCCCCCCCGCGGCGGACTCGACCTTGTCAGACCAGCCAAGCTCCACTGCGGCCTGTCCAGCCAGCCGGATCGCGTCCTGCGTCAGCGGCGCGCGTACGTTGACGCCCGCCGCCCCCAGCTGCCGCGCGACGCCCGCCGCGGCGTCCCTGCGCCGCCGCGCGGCGTCCAGCTGCACCGCGAGGCTCGCGCTCAACCCTCGCAGCCGCCGGGACTCCTCGAGCCGGATCCGCCGCAGCCGCGCAGCTTCCTCCTCCCTCGCATCGAGTTCCGCGCGTACGGTGGGGACCTCGAGCAGCAGCTGGCAGAGCCACTCGATCGCCTCGATGCGCCGCAGCACCGGCAGGTCGTCGAAGTCGCATCGCAGGAGGTTTGCGGCCCACGGGGCGTGGCGCCAGCGGCGCGTGAGGGTGTGGCCTTCCGTCTCTTCGTTGTCCGTGTCGGTGCCGCTCGAGTCGATTCCGTCGCTGTGCGCGCCGTCGTTGCCCTTCTCGGCATCGTCCTGGTTGCCCGCCTTGTCGGAAGTCGCGTTTCCTCGACTGCCGTCGTGGCCTTCGACGCCTCTCCTGCTCCCGCCGGCCTCCGAGCCCTTCACGACCGACGACAGTGCCCACACCCCGGGCTTGACCTTGTGAAACACCGAGTCCTTCAGCGCCGCGCCGTTCACGGACACCTCGGGAGTCTTCGACTTCGTGACGCTGGCCAGACCAGCATTCCTCATCTCACGAACAATCTGCCGGGTTCGCATGCCCTCGGGTCCGACCTGCACGCAGACTCGCAGCCGGCATGCCGCTGTGCGCCCTCGCGACATACGCAGCGCACACGCGCACGGCACGGCGCTCAACCACGCCACGCAATGATCGCTGCCAGAACCGCGCCAGTGGCACGCGCAGGCGCTCACCTTTGACAGAACGTGCCACATCGCGTGCTTGATCGACCCCGCCCGAAACCTCCTGGGGCACTCCAGCCGCTTCCCGCCCGCCCCGTCGTCCACCAGATCCTCGAACGCGCCCCCCACAGCGCTCGCACCCACGTGCGCTGCCGCACCCACACCGTGCGCCGTCCATGCGGGACCCTTCCCCCGCCCGGCGCCCCTGCGCCGTGGACCGGCCCCGGACGCGAGCGCCACCTGACGCAGGATCTCCGGCCACGTCAGCGCGTCGGTTGTGCCCTCCCAGGCAGCAGGGTCCAACCCCCACGCACGGGCCTCCAGACCGATGTACGCCGCGCGCCGGTCCGCATCCGCAGAGAGCGCCCCGGCCTGCGCCGCGCCCGACGCCGCGCACCGCTCCGCGTCGCCCGCCACGCTCCGCAACGCTCCCACAGCGATGCCCGACAACAGCGGGGACGCCTGGCCCTGCACGAACGCCGCCGCGAGCTGCGCCGGCGCGCAGGCCGGTGCGCCGAAGGATGCTCCGAAGGTCGACACGATCGACCAAACAAAAAACACCCCCCCCGCCGCTGTGTCGAAGACGTTGGTGTCAGAGTCTGTCCACGTGGGGGGCGGCTGGGGAGTCGATCGCACGGCGTGGGCGAGCTCGGACCAGCCGGGCGACTCAGCGAGCGGCCGCGCTTCCAGGTAGGCGGGCGGGAGCTCGACGGGCGTGGGGGCCGGCACGCTGGCGAGCGCTTGCGCCCGCTGCTCCGCTGTGGGCTCCGCGCCGCCCGCGATGCGCTCCAGCTGCGAGAGGGACCGCACGGAGCAGGGTGTGTTTTGAGCGGTGACATGGCTGAGGCGGGAGCGCTGTTGCGGCGGGTCGGGCTGCTGCTGTGTCACCGGGGCGCACGTGCAACGGGCCTCGGTGCGGCGGGAACGAGGCGAGAGGTCGCGGCCGCTGCGCAGCGGGTTATCACCGCCAGCCACGCGGCTCTCGTGAGGCCATGCCGTGCGCGCCAGCCCTGCTGAGCCCAGACCTCATGGCGGTATGAGACAGTGCCGACGCACCTGTGCCTGCACCAACGCCTGGTGCCGTTTCTTCAGCTCCTCCGCCTCCAGCTCCAGATCGTCCGGCAACGCCGGCCTCCGCCCTGCACACCACAATCCGTCAGGCACCGTCAGACACCGAACCCCCACCGCCATCCAGACATACACGCACGCGCGCCACTCACCGCCCATCCACGCAGCCCGTCCCTCGCCCCCCTGCCCCCCACGCCGCGCCCCCTTCTCCTCCCCTCGCTGCGCCCGCTGCTCCTCCTTCGCCTTCTGCTTCTGCAGCTTCTCCCGCGCCTTTGCCATCCGCGCCTCCGCCCGCTCCCGCTCCCGCGCCAACCGCGCCTCCTCCTTCACCCGCGCCTTCTCCAGCCGCTCCCGCTGCCGCGCCACCTGCTTCTCCAGCTTCGCGCGCTCCCGCTCCAGCCGCGCGGCCTCCTTTTTGTCGGCGGCGGTTGCGGCGCGTGCCGCCAGCGACGCAGCCGTCTGCTCCGCCGCGGCCACCTCCGGCGCGACGATCGCCGGTCCAGCGGCTACCTTCTCGTCCTCGCCCGCGGCGCCCTCGCCCGCCAGCTGCGCGCGCACGGCCTCCTTTGCCTTTGTGTCGCGCTCGCGCTTCCGACGCGTCTGGAACCAGCGCGCGACCTGCTCGACCTCGAGGCCGGTCTCGGCCGCCAGGTTCTCGCGGACGCCCTTGGACGGGTTCTTGTCCGTCGCGAAGTGCGCCTCGAGCACGGCCAGCTGCGCGGGGGTCTTCCGCTGCCCGCCCGACTTCTTCTTCGCAGTCTGACCTGACGCCGCGGACGTGGTGGGCTGCAGGGAGCCGCCGAGGACGCCCCCGGAGGCGCCGCTCGGCTCGGCGGAGTCTGGAACGGTCATCCGGAGCGGCGCTGGGCTGTGCACAGCTTGTAGCGCGCCCAGGTGGCCTGGCTTGGCCTCGGCTCCGGGCGCCCCTGCGACCGCCGGGTCGATCAGGGGCTGTGGAAGCCCCGGGTGTAGCTCGAAGGGCCCCGGCGGGACTCCCGCGGCCCCCGCAGGAGGGAGCGCTCCCGAGGCGGGGCCGGGCGCTGGGGCGCGCGGGCTAGCGGCATTGCCCGGCGCTCCTTGACCCCTCCCTCGATCGTGGTTGCCTGCGCCGTTCGTGATGAGACGGAGGCGCGTGAGGCCGCGTGTGCGCGGGCGAGACCGCGCCCCTCAGCGGAGAAAGCGAACCAAGCGTTCCTTGGCGCCCACGCCGCAGTTCGACCATCGGACGGCCTCGCTGGGGCGATGACGGGTGTTCCGAGCGGTCAGCGCCGAGCAAGAGTTCCGTGCTGCGATCTACGTGCCATAGCATGGAGGAGCTGCTCCCTCGAGTTCCGCCCGCGCACCTCCGTTCGTGTCCATGCCGCGAGCCCTGCGCCGCGAGTCCTTGGATCCACACTAGTCAAGCCACTCCCCCCGGGAGATCATCGGCGCCTCGAACGCCCCCTGGGCCGCGTGCGATGCGACGTCCTGCCTCACAGGAACTTCCTAGGGACCGCTGCACCGCGCAGGCGAGGCCGAGATACGATGTCTCGCGGACCCCCGAGACACCCCAGCCGATTCTGCGCGCCGCACCGCCCCACGCGCCGCCATGCAGCCCCGCAGGAGCGTTGCCAACCCACCACGAGACTCCTCCCCCGCTACCACACGCGCCGCATCCATCCCTGGGCCGCGCGGCGGCGTCGCACGAGGCGCAGAGCCGCGGCGACGTCCTGCCGGAGGCACGCACCGCGCAGCACGCCGGCGCCCTGCCGCTCCAACCAATGGCGTCCACCGATGCGTGCCGTGTCATGGCACATCGCGGGCTCGGACGGCGCGAGGGCCACGGAGGTGGCTGCGAGGGCGTGCACGGCTCCGGCGCCGCACTGTCGCGCATGGCCCGTGCGAGATGCTGTGTGTGCATTGTGGCTGCAACCGGCGTCCGCCGTCGCGTGTGACGGGCGGAGAGGATGTGGCGGATGGGCCCTCGGGTCCGGGACGCCGGCGCGCCGGCGGGAGGGCACGCGGGAGCACGTGCCGTGGAGGGCCCGCGCGGGGGAGCCGGCCAGGGCGATTTCACCCTGGCGAGCGGCAGCGACGTGGAAAGCGGTCGAACGCGAGCTACGTTTCGGCCCAGCGAACGAGCTGGTCGAGAGACAACGTGTGTGCGCGTGTGTTCGGGTTTCGATGCAAGACCGACGCACGGTGAGGCACATTCGGAGCGGGCAACGGCCAGGTGCGAGCTGGAGGCTCACGGCAGCCTGTGCGAGTACCTGCTCTCACAGAGGCATTCATTCTGGCAATTTGGTGCGAGTGCGGGCGGCAGCTGGCGGCGAGGTCCGGGCTTCAGTCCCCCCGCGCAGTTAGGCCCCTGAACAGTCCAGCCGGGCAGAACCGCCAGACACGCCGGCGGCCATCCGCGCGCGGCACCGGTCCGTCACGCGAATTACCCACATCGACGGCGTCATCGACGTCGCTCCATCGGCCTCCTCGGGCCGCGTTCGTGAGCTTTGGAGCTTTGGCGCGCTCTGGCCCCGGCGCGGCCAGCCCGGCGAACGATGATGCCGGCGCTGCGTCTTCTCGTCGCCTCACTGCTATGCTGCCTCCTCTTCGTGGCGCCTGCGGCTTTGTCCGCCCCTGACGGCCCGCGGGAGGGCAAACTGCCCCTTGCAGCCGATGGCGAGGGTCACTCCCTCGCGGGCGCCAGACGACTGCTGGTGACGGGTGAGCTCCTCCCTGCACGACGCAGTGCACATGAAGAGCCCAAAAGCGCTGGCGTTCGGACCGTTCCGTCCAAATAGACCCGCGAGAGCCCACTCAACTGATTCCCTACTCAACCACCTTTGTTTTCAGCACGGCACGCGTCACCCCGTAGCCCACTTTGTTCTTCACCGGCGTCCTGCGCGCCCCCACTTCTGTCCAAACACCCACGGCTCGCCAACCCGGCCGCCGCCGCCGCCGCCGCTCCGGAGACGCCATGCCCATGTCTCGCAGCTGCCCTGGCTAGCGCTCTGCGACGCCCCGCGGGCCGCGTGCGCGAGCGCCACCTGCCCCTCACCCGCCCCTCACTCGCGCCACCCCCCGCCCCCCGCCCCCCCCAGAGCTGGAGCAGCGGTACGACCCCGGCCTCGTCGGCCCCGGCCCCACGGCCAGCTCCGACCAGCGCGGCAGCGCCGTGTCGCTGGCGGGCACCCGCGCCGCCGTCGGATGCGCCCAGTGCGACGACGGCGGCGCCAGCAAGGGCCAGGTGCCCATCTTCGAACGCACTGGCAACACATGGGCGATCAACGCCAGCGTGAACGCCAGCGCGAGCTCCGGGTTCGAGGGCTTCGGGCGCGCGGTGTCGATCAGCTCGAACTGGCTCGCCGTCGGCGCCCCCGCGCGCCCCCCGTCGAGCACGGGGGGGGTGTATTTGTACGAGTACACCCCGGGGGAGTGGCAGGAGAAGCAGCTGCTGATCCAGCCCAACCCCGTGAACGGCGACGAGTTCGGCCACGCCGTCTCATTCGACCCGCTGAACCGCACGCTCGTCGTCGGGGCGCGCTTCGCCGACGAGCAGAGCATTGCGAGCTCCGGCATGGTCTTTGTGTTCGAGATGCTGCCCAACGGGACCTGGGCGCTGGCGACGAAGCTTCTCGCGGATTCCCTGGCCTCCGGGGACGCCTGCGGCACCAGCGTCGTGGTGTACGGCAATGCGACCGTGTGGGGGTGTCCGGGGTCCGACTCGCAGGCCAACAACGCGGGGGCGGCCTACGTTGCGCAACGGAGCTCGACCGGGTCGTGGGAGCGGACGCAGAAGCTGGTTGGAAGCGACGGCACAAGCTCGAACGATTTCGGAACGAGCGTGGCCTACGACGGGGGCGACACGCTCGCTGTCGGTGCCCCGGGGGTCTCTGCAGGCCGGGGCGCAGTGTATGTCTTCCGGCGTCAACCCGGGGGGTCGGCGTGGTTCGAGATCGCGAAGCTGACGCAGCTCAGCGCGACCAACTCCGACTTCCTGGGCGTCAGCGTCGCCATTCAGAACGGCACAGTCGCGGCGGGCGCGGACGGCGACAACACACTGGCCAGCAACGCCGGCAGCGTCGTGCTGTTCAAGGAGCACGCGAACGGCACTTGGTACCAGTACTTCGAGCTCGTCGCGGCCGACGGCGCCTCCACGCACCGCCTGGGACTGGCGGTGGCCTTCAGCGGCGACGTCGTCCTCGCGGGCGATCCGTTCCGCAACAACGCGACGGGCTCGCCCGCGGACATCGGCGGCGCCGTGTTCTTCAAGGGCCCCTGGGCCAATCCGACGGGGGCGTCGAGCGTCATCCTCAACCAGGCGCTCACCCCTATTCAGAATTCGAACTTCACGACCCTTCCCTTCGGGATCGTGCAGGGGCGCATCAACGCGACGACGCACCTGGAGGACTACAAGGACGGGTTCGGATCGGCCATCGCGGTCGACGGCGACGCCCTCGCGATCGGCGCGCGCCAGCGTGCCGGCGCGGCCGAGGAAGGCGGCGCCGTGTTTGTGCTTGAGCGGGGCGGCGGCGGCTGGGACGTGGCGGACTACCTGACCGGGTCGGACACCAAGGTCGACGACAACTTCGGCAGCGCGGTGGCGCTCAGCGGCAACACGCTCGTCGTCGGGGCTGAGTCTGACGACGAGCTGCCGGGGCAGACGTCTCTTTCGTCCATCGGGTCGCTGTACATCTTCAGGCGCGGAACGGGCGTCGCGAACTGGACACAGATCGGCGTCGTGGGCCCGTCTCTGCGCACGTCCTTCGCGCGGCTGGGGGCCTCGGCAGCGGTCGTGTACAGTCTGCCTGCGCTGCGCGCCACGGTGATCGGCGGCGCGTACACGCAGACCGTGGACTCCGTGTCCCAGGCCGGCGCGGTGTACGTCTTCATGGAGCCGTCGGGCGGCGGGAACTTCACGGAGCTCCAGCGGCTCACCGCGTCGGACAAGTCCAGCTCGGCGCAGTTCGGGAGGTCTGTGTGCGCGCTGGACAACATGCTGGTCGTGGGGGCGCCGAACGCGGACATCGTGGCGACCGGCAGCGGCGCGGCGTACGTCTTCACGCGCACTGCGGTCGGGGACAACTACACGGAGTCCCAGATCCTGTTTGCCTCCGACGGCTCGACGAGCGACGAATTCGGCTACAGCTGCGCGCTGGACAGGGACACCGCGACGAGCAAGGTGACGCTGGCGATCGGCGCAGCCTCGGCCGCGGGTCTCCTCAGCGGCAGCGGCAGCTCCGGCCGCGTCTACATCTTCCGTCAGGACACAACAACTGGGCTGTTCCTGGAGTCGACGTCCATCAGCGCCGCGGACGCGGTGTCGCTTGACGCTTTCGGCACCTCCGTGGCGATTCGCGCGGGGACGATCGTGGTCGGCGCGCCCCGTGACGATGGACAGGGCAGCAACGACCACGGCGCCCTCTACGTGTTCCAGGAGCAGGCGAACGCGACGTGGTCGGAGCAGTTCAAGCTGACGGCGGCGAACAGCGCGGCGAACGAGTGGTTCGGCCGCGCGGTGGGCATCGCGGACGGCGGCGTTGTGTTCGGGGGCAGCGACCGACTCTTCACGTCGCTGTCCTCGAGCGTCGACAACCAGGGCTTCGTGGAGGTGTTCTACGGTCCGTTCGCGTCCACGTCGACGGGAAACTTCGCGCCGCTGCAGTACGTGAACAACTCCTTCATCGCGATCGGGGACGGCGTCACGCAGCAGACCTTGCGCAGTAGCAGCGTTGTTGGCACCGCGGTGCTGGGAACGTCGGTGACCGTGCTGGACAAAGTGGCCCTGGTCGGCGCCACGGGCATGTCGGGGCGAGGGGAGGGCGGCGGGGCCGTGTTCGCGTTCACGCAGGACATCACGCCTTCTGGCAACTTTACGCAGACAGCCGTGTTCACCTCGCCCTCACAGCAGGCGTTCGACGGCTTCGGGTTCTCCGTGGCGCTGACTGGCAACCTCAGCGCTGGCGAAACGCTGACGGCGGTTGTCGGCGCCCCGAACGACGACGACGGCGGGTCCTCGGGCTCGGGCACTGTGTTCATCTTCAACAGCACGGACGCGGTGAAATGGACGGCCGTGGCGACCCTCACCGGCAGTGCGATATCGAGCTCTCGCCGCCTCGGGTCCGCGGTGGCGATCGAGGGCGGCCTGGTCGTCGCCGGCGCCGACGGCGAAGACGTCCCGTTCAGCAACGCCGGTGGAGCGCGGGTGTGGGAGCGGGCGCCGAACGGGACCTTCGTCGAGGTCGCGTCGCTGGCACCAATCGTACCGGTCGTCAGCGGCGGGTTCGGCGTGTCGGTCGCGCTGCAGAGCCGGAGGATCGTCGTGGGCTGCGAGATTTGCAACGGCTTCGCGACGCAAAGCGGGGTCGTGTTTGTCTTCGAGGAGACCGCCACGGGCAGCCAGACCTGGCAGCAGACCGCTGCGATCAGCGCCGTCGACGCCACGGGGGGGGCCAGGTTTGGCGGTTGCGTGAGTATGTCTGGCAACACCATCCTGGCCGGCGCCCGCACGGCGGGCTCGGGCGGATCGGGGGCTGCATACATCTTCCGGCTGAACGGCACCACGTGGTACCAGCAGGCCGCGCTGCTGGCCTCGACGGCGGCGAACTTCGACGGGCTAGGCTTGTCGTGCTCCCTCGACAGCGGCACGGCCGTCGTGGGCGCGCCGGGGGTCAACCACCTCGTGACCGACTCCGGCGCGATGATCGTCTTCGGCGAGGACGACAAGACGGGGACGTGGAGCCAGCTGGGCGTCCTGAATGCGACGAACTGGGGTCCCATGACGTCCCTGGCTTCGGGGCAGCTGGGCACCGCGGTCGCCGTCTCCGGCGGCACCATCCTCGGCGGAGCGCCGTTCGCGGACTCGGTGAGCGAGAACGGCGCCGTGTCCGCGACCGACGGCGGCTACGCCTTCGCCTACCTCACCCCCTACCAGCGCGGCCAGTCCACGATCGTCCGCACCGAGCCGGACGTGCCGACCACGCCCATCGCGGTGGCGAACGGAGTCTTGTTCGAGCAGCGCCTCGCAGCGTCCGGCCTGCACTTCGCCGCGCGCTTCGGCATCTCGACGGCGCTCAGCGGGTCCCTGGCCGTCGTGGGCTCGCAGGCCAACGGTCAGGGCGCTACCAGCGGCGTCGCGTACGTGTTTGAGGAGGATGGATCCTCGCAGTGGTCGCAGGTGGCGCGCATCATCCCGCCGGACCTCAAGCAGGGAGACCTGTTCGAACAAGTGCGCATTGATGTCACGGGGAGCGACATCCTGGTGGGGGCGTACCAGCACGACGCGGCAGGGAGCAACGCGGGTGCGGCGTGGCTGTACTCGAAGGGCGCGACGACCGCGACGTGGGAGCTGAAGCAGAAGCTCGTTCCCACCAACGACGGCGGGTCCGTGGTGGGCTACACGTTCGGGTACAGCCTCGACATCAGGGCCGGGACGATCATCATCGGCGCCGACATGCAGTCCCAGGGCAGCAACGGCATCGCGTACATCTACCGCAGGCTCCCAAACACCACATATGTCAACGTCGCCAACGTGACCAATGCGGGCACGTCCGCGTCGCGCTTCGGGCACGGCGTGGCGATCGCGAGCGAGGGCGTGAACGCGGTGTCTGCGCGCCGCCGTGCGGCGGAGCGCGAGGGCAGGGGCCTCCAGCAGGTCAGCGTCCCGGCGGGGGGGTACGTGGCCGTGGGAGCGCCCCTGGACAACACGGTTTCGATCAACGCTGGCGCCGTGCTGGTGTTCGCGGAGTTCACGAACGGCACGTGGCTGCGCGTGGCCAAGTTCACTCCGTCGACGCTGTCGTCAGGGGGACTATTTGGGTACAACGTTGCAGCTGCGAAGAGGACCAGTTCGATCATGGTCGTCGGCGGGTGCCCGTCCTGCCTGAATGGCGGCGCGGTGTACGTGCACGAGGGATCCGGCGAGTCCTGGGCGCTGACGCAGAAGGTGCAGCCGTCGGGCCAGAGCCTGAGCGACGCGTTTGGGCAGTCGGTGGCGATTGACTGGGAAGTCCAGTCAATGGTGGTTGGTGCCCCCGGCGTGGACGACAAGACGTTGAACGCCGGCGCCGCCTTCCTGTACCAGTGGAACGGGACCGCGTTCAACGAGACGCTCCGCCTCGCCGGCGCGACTGACACTGGGTCCTCGGACGCCTTCGGGTCCTTCGTGGCGATCTACAGGAACACGTCGGTCATAGGATCACCCTTCTCGAACACGCAGACGTCGCAGGGCGGCACTGCGCACGTGTTCAAGGCGTTTGTTCCGTTGCCGACCGCGCCGCCGAGCACCACCGTTGCAAGCGGCAGCACAGCGGCTCCTGGAGCGACGACGCTGGCCGCGGGCGCGACGACGGTGGCCGGTCAGGCCACGACGCTGGCCGCGGGCGCGACGACGGTGGCTGGTCAGGCCACGACGCTGGCCGCGGGCGCGACGACGGTGGCTGGTCAGGCCACGACGCTGGCTGCGGGCGCGACGACGGTGGCTGGTCAGGCCACGACGCTGCCTTCGGGCGCGGGCCAGAGCACGATCTCGACGGAACCGACACTCCCTGCCGGGCTCGGCACAGGCGCAGCCACCACGCTCGCGGCATCGGCGACGAATGTCGGCGGCGCAACCACCGCCAGCCCCAGCGGCACACAGGGGCCATCGGCGACGCAGGGGCCGGTGGCGACGCAGGGCCCCGCACCGACGCCGACGCTCGCCGCGGCCGGGACGACGATCCAGCTCGTGCTGCAGATTGGCGGCGTGACGCGGGCGCAGCTGGGCGACGGCTTGATTCTTGTCACCGCCATCATCAACGCGCTGCGGTTGTCGCGGCCGCCGTTCGTGCTCTCAGCAAACAACATCGTCGTCATATCGATCACCGACATCTTCTCGCGGCGGGCCGCCCAGGAACCGGCGCTGTCCCTGCGCAGGGTGTTGATGCTCGGCGACGGAGCTGACGCGGGCGCCGACGCCGGCCGGTCGCTGCAGCAGGTGGCTACGGGCGTGCAGGTTGTCATGCACCTGTCCGGCGACGCCGTTCGTTCGGACCCGTCCGGTTTCGTGAACTCCCTCAACTTCATGTTTGGCGTCTCCTCCACGGGGAGCGGCGGCTCTGGCGCGCCGGGGTCGGGCGGTTCGGGGTCATCGGGCGGTTCGGGGTCGTCCGGCGGCTCCGGTGCGGGCGGTGCGGGCCTCTCGCTCTTCGAGCAAGCCCTGAGGGACCAAGGATTCACGCAGCCTATCTCGGTGCGCGTGGCGCAGTTGGGAACCTTCAACTCGGTGAGCGGCTCGCCGGCGGCGGTGCCACAGATCGCGACGCGTGCCCCTGGCGACCGCGGTGCCGCCAGCGCCAACGGGGTGCGCGTGGTGGCGGTTCCGCTGCAAGGACGACAGACCGTGATGGACACCACGTCCCGGGCGTTTTCGCGCGAGCCGCTGTCGCCGACGCAGCTGAACTGGATGTGGGGCAGCGACACGTTCTCCGCGGCCTTCTTCGTGGAGGTGCAGGGCTCCCCCGCGTCGTCGCTGCCCGCGCTGACGCCCGCGGCGTTTGACGCCGACGGGATGACCGTCACCGCGGTGACGGTGTCGGGCAGCGCGTACAACGTCGAGGCCACGATCAACCCGAACCTCGGGCTTGCGACGGCGCAGACGGCGTCCCTCAAGCTCCGCGGCGGCGCCGGCGGCGACGGGCTCTTGTTCCCTGAGAGCGCCGAGCTCTCGATTCTCGTCAAGCGCACGGGGCCGCGCCCGGAGATCACCGCGCCGTCGGGGGCGCCCCTCCCCGCGCGGTCCGTCGACGTCCCGATCCGTGCGCGCATCTCCTTCCCGGGGGGGTTCATCCTCGAGCCCCCGGAGGGGTTCGCCTCCGTGCTGACCGTGTCGAACAGCGCCGGCGTCCGCGCGGCGTTCGACTCGTCGAACAACGTCGTCAACCTCGCGATCGTCCCGGCGGGGGACGGCCCCGTCACCATCGCGATCCCAGCAAACGCCATCTCGGACACGTTTGGCAACACGAACGCGGGCGGCGTGTCGGCGACGACGATCTACAGGGACCCGGCGATCAAGAACAAGGACATCAAGGATAGCACGGAGGCGGCGTCCGCTGCGGCGGTCGCGGCGGCGGCGGCCTCGAGCGCGGCAGCCTCCAGTGCGGCGGCTGCCTCTGCAGCCGTTGGGGGCGCGGCAAGCGGCGCTGGCGCTGGCGGCGGCGCGGCGGCTGCGGGCGGCGGCGGCGGCGGCTTCGGCGGCGGGTCCTCGGCCGGTGCTGCCAGCGCCACCATGATGCTTGCCGTGTGGGGCATGGGCGCGACCAACAAGATCTCGAATTCGGACGTAGGGGACGCGCCGCCGCAGCTGGGTCCGTTCGGCGCGTCGCTGGAGTTCGTCGACTTCATCATCGCGCCGGACCTTTTCGGCATCGGCGACGACGAGGAGGTGTCGGTGTCGTCTTCGACGCGGCGCCGCCTCGCGGCCGCGGTCGAGAGTCGCGCGCTCCCGGAGCTCGGATTCGCGCCGGACGGATACGAGGGCGGCAGCGCGCACGCGGCGCACGCGCTCCACGTCACGCGCTCCGTCGCGGAGCGCGGCCACAGCATGCTGTACGCGGGCCACAGGGAGATCGTCCGTGAGATGCTGCTGACGTGCGCGCACCACCCGTACGCCGAGCAGGCGCTCGGGCTGCCGTGTAGGCGCGCCGCGATCGCGGTGTCCCGCCCGGCGCCGTCGTTCCTCGCCCGCGCGTCGGTCGGCTTTGCGCACGTGGTCGCTGCCGCCAAGGTCGAGGTTGGGGGCTTCCTGCACCGCGTGTTGGGCGTCGGGGACCCGCTGAAGTACCACGGGCCGACGCGTCTGTCGTTGGCGCGCCGCGGGCTCGCGTTTGCGGCCGTCGGCGCCCCGGAGACCCCCCTGGAGGAGTTGTACGTCCTGCGTCGGGCGCGGCACCTGCAGGAGGCGGGCGGGACGACGGACCCGCTGACGGCAGTCTACCGCGCCGTCGCGGTGCAGTGGTTCTGGCTCACGATCGGCCTCATCGTCGCGACGGTCCTGCAGCTGCTGGCCTTTGCCCACTACCTGTGGAAGAAAACTCGTACGGGACGCGACCCGCCGTACCCGGGCTCGCTGCTCTTCCCGCGGCTGCAGATCTACATCGCGTACTTCTTCGTCCCCGCGATCGCGGAGACGTGCGGGTCCATGTTCGCGTCCAAGGACGGGGCAATGGAGGCCGTCGCCGTCATCATCATCGTTCTGGTGCCGCTGCCGCTCCTGGCCTACATGTTCTGGGTCGTCGTGGCCACGCAGGTCGCGCTCGACTCCCCCACGCGCGGCCTGTTCTACGAGGTCGACGCCCGCGAGGCAGCACGCGCTGCGCGGCGCCGCAAGGGCCCATGGCAGTGGATCGGCATCGGGCGCTCGATCCCCGAGGGCGAGTGGAAGGGCCGCACGCGCGGCGAAGTCAACTTCTTCCGGCGCTTCGGCGGCATGTTCGAGGATTTCCACGGCGCGCCGGTCGTGCGCAGGAATGCCACGTGGGAGCTGGATCCGATCATCCAGCGGTTCGATCGAGGATACCTGGAGATGTGGATGCCGAACGGGGCGCCGTCGCGATTCACGGTGCTGATGCAGCACGCGCGGTCGTTCAGCTCGACGGCCCGCGGCACCATGCTCTTCCTGCTGGCGATTCTGTCGACGTCGACGCCGCCGGACGCCGGCACCGCGCAGACGATCCTCTTCGTGGTCCTGCTCGGGTTCCACGCAGTCCTCGTGCTCGCGCTGCAGCCGCTCGTGGCCCTCCAGGACCAGCTCGTCGACGCTATCGCGGGGACGTTCGAGGCGATCGGCGCGATCCTGCTTCTGACGATCGCCATCATTTCCGCGACGACGGACAGCGTGGAGGAGCGGGCGGACAAGACGGAGGGGCTCGGGACGGCCATGATGATCTTCCTGGCAGCCGGGATCGTCCTCACGATCATCGCCACGCTGCGCGACGCCCTCTGGGCGATCATGGACTTCTTCGCGGCGTGCCGGGAGTACATGAAGGACCACAAGGACTTCGCGCAGGAGGCGGAGGACGTAGCCGCGAAGGACAAGACGATCATTGCCAAGAAGTTCGCCAACAGATGGACCAACCAAGTGCTCGGGAGGCCCATCGCTGGATGGCCGCGCCTGGGCCCGATGACGGCGGAGGAGCTGGCGCACGTGATCCGCCGCACGGCGCACCAGCGCGCTGCGGACTACAGCGGGTTTGCGACCGAGGAGCAGCTGCTGCGGCGCATGCTGACGTGCGAGCGCCGCGTGACGCGGAACGCGACGATCGACAAGCCGCGCCTGCGCGCTGCGACGAACGGCCTGTGGGGCTCCGCGGCCACGAAGCTGAGCGCCTCCAAGCGGATGCAGTCGGCCGGAAAGGGCCAGCGAGCGAACGAACCCAACAGCGGGACTGAGGTAGTGGCTGGCGTCAACGGAACCAACGGGCACCATGCGAACGGCACGAACGGGAGCCACACTGTGCGCCGCATCACGGTCCACCCGGCGGACGCGCCCGACGCGCACCCGACGGAGGGTCGGCTGTCGCACTCCACGGGCGGGCGCGGGGCCTCGCGGGGACCGTCGGGCGTCGTGCGGCCCTCGGACGGCGACCCCGCGCACGTGCAGCCACAGGTGTCCGCGTCGGCGCGCCCGGCGGGCGTGCCGGAGGCCAACGAGGTGTAGGCGCTCGCGGGCTGCGCTGGAACGCTGCGAGCGCGGGGGTCCTCGGCTTGGGTGCCTCCGACGCGAAGCAGGACGGATGGCGCGCGTCCAACAAGAATGCAAAGTTACGTTAGAAAGGAGCAGCCTGTTTCTGCGCCCTGGCCCCCGCAGCGTGACTCCGAGGCATCGGTGCCGACGGGGTCCGCTTGGGGGGGCGGGGGCGCGTCAACTACTTCCGCCGCCGGTCAGCACTGACTGGCGCGGCTCGTAGGATTTAGCCGGTGTTATTGCGCGTGCAATAATGTCATCATGGTTGTGAGGTCCTATGCGAGGTCGCCCCGCCTGCGGGACTTTACTGTCCGTGATGTCCACCGCCGCTCGGTCGCGAGTCCTAGACCGTCTGATCGCCTGACTCAGGAGTCAGTTGCCGCTTGTACCTCGCTCCTGTCTCGTACCTTGAGCTCCGCGCCGGGCCGGGCCCATGCACTCTCGGCAGGGGCCTATCGATGCTGGTGACGCGGCTGTGTAGTTCTGGCGTCCCTCGTCCCGCATATCCTCTTGAGCGCCCCTGCGACGGCCTAGCTGTGTCCGTGTGGGCTGGCGACCAGTGCGTGGATTGCCGGCCCGCGCAGGGCGATATCTGACCTGGATTCTTTGCCTGTGCGATCCACTAGAAAGTCAACATCCTCGATACCCGCCTGTGGCAAGGCAGCGGGCCGCGATGGCGGGCTCCGGGGAGCGGGCAACTGCGCCAAAGTTGCGCGTCGCCTTCTTGCATCCCGACCTGGGCCTTGGCGGCGCCGAGCGGCTGATAGTGGACATGGCGCAGGCGCTTGTCGACCGCGGTCATGAGGTGCGCGCAACCATCAAGGTCCTCGACGGAACCGGCCTCCGAGTGCCCCCACGGGCCTTGCGCGGCCTCCCCCGTGCATCCTCTCGCCGTCCCCGCGCGCTTCGACTCCAAAGCACGAGCCAGTCACATGAAGAGTCAGCCAGCACGTTTTCACGGCATCCAGACCAGCCGGGAGGGGCAGAGGTGCACCCTTTCTGCACCTCCTTCGTCTCCTCCGCACCGAACGAAAACACCGCTCGCCCCGCCACCCCCGGCATTCACCCTCCAGGTCGTCATCTACACGTCCTTCCACGACCCCGAGCGCTGCTTCCCCGAGACCGTTTCAGGGGCGTTCGACGTCAAGGTCCGCGGCGCGTGGTTCCCGCGCGCCCTGGCGGGCCGCGGCCTCGCCGCCTGCGCGTACGCCCGCGCCCTCCTCGCCGCGTTCGCGCTCGTCCGCGAGGCCGGCAGCTCCCCGTACGACGTCGTAGTCGTCGACCAGGCAAGTCCCCCCCAATACAACCCCCCCCACGGCCGAGCCCAAAACTCGCACGGCTCCTCGGTCCCGACTGACACCCCCGGTAGCACCCGCTCGCGCGTTCGGCGCCGTTCACGCTACAATCGCCCCAGGCCCGGCTGCCTCGCCCGCAGGTGTCGGCCGCGGTGCCCCTCCTGCGCGCAGGGAGCCCCTCGCGCGTGGTCTTCTACTGCCACTTTCCCGACCTCCTCCTCGCGCGCCCCGCGTCGGCGCTGCACCGGCTGTACCGCGCCCCGCTCGACCGCATCGAGGAATCCACCACCGCGCAAGCACACCTGGTGTTGGTGAATTCGATCTTCACCCGCAGCGTCTTCCACCGGTGCGGCCCCGCGCCCGACCGCCTGGCCCGTGCACTCCAGGCGCGCAGGCCGACTGCGCCGCCCGTGGCGTCCGCGCAGCCGTGCATGTCATGCGTGACGAAGCGAGGGCTTTGGTTGGCGCTGCGCCGCCGCGCAGGACGTTCAAGCGGGCGAGCGCTGCGGGCGTGGATCCCGAGGTGCTGTACCCGTGCGTGGACGTGCGGGAACACAGCGCGCCGTGCACGGACGCGGACCTGCAGCAGCTGCCGCCGGAGCTGCTGGACGCGCGGCAGCGGATGTTCCTGTCGATCAACCGCTTCGAGAGGAAGAAAGGTGCGCCCGCCGCCGGGGCGCGGTGAAGATGCCCCAAACCTTCGGCCCTCCCGCACTCATGATACTCCCGTTTCCGTCCTGCGACTCCCACCCACACGCACGCGATCCGCACGGCAGCACCGGAGCAGCGCACGACGTGACAGTGCGTGTTCGATGCAGGCCTGCCGCTCGCCATCAAGGCGTTGGCGGAGTTGCAGAAGCTGCATGGAAAGCAGCCGGTGCTGGTGTTCGCGGGCGGGTACGACACGAGGGTGTCGGAGAACGTCGAGCACCTCGAGGAGCTGCGGGCGCTGGCGGCGGACGCGGGCGTCGAGGAGGGCAAGCAGGTGTTTTTCGTGCCGTCGTTCACCAGCGCGCAACGGCGGGCGCTGCTGGCGCTGTGCGCGGCGGTGGTGTACACGCCCGCGGACGAGCACTTCGGGATCGTGCCGCTCGAGGCCATGGCGTCGTCGCGGCCCGTCATCGCCTGCAACAGCGGCGGACCCCTCGAAACGGTACGAGAGGAAGACCCTGGGGGGACTCTTTTCGTTGCTGACGTCAGGGCGTTGTGTGCGAGGCCTGTGTCCCCGCACAGACATTCCTCCGTCATCTGAGTAAGGCGGGGCTGACGTCCGGTCGCTTCCGACCCCCATGATGAACGTCAGGATCGCGCAAACACACATGTGTCAACTTCACGTCTCTCTCCTCCATCGGCCCGTGCGCGCTGCAGGTGGTGGACGGCTCCACAGGGCTGCTCGTCGAGCCAGATGCGTCCGCGTTCGCCTCGGCGATGCAGACGCTCATGGACGAGACGCGCGCGGCTGCGATGGGCGCCGCCGGGCGCAAGCACGTCGCGGAGAAGTTCGGGAGGGAGAGTTTCGGAGCGGCCCTGGAAGCGCACTTGCGGGGGTCGCTAGCGCAGGCGGGCGGTGGCGCCGCGCGGGGCGCGGACGGCCGAGGAGGCCGTGCGCATGACAAGTCTGACTAGGGGCGCTGAGGTGAGGGGGTGTGTTGTTCGCGGAGCTGTGGACCGAAACTGGCAGTGTATCCCAGGGACAGATCAAGACGTGCGATGGCTCAGGAGCCGTCCTGAGAGGCACCGTGAAAACAGCCTTGCCGTTATGCGCCTGTGGACGACTCAAGGCAACTCAATGCCGTGCCAGAACTGACACGCTGGTCTGCAGGCATCCCGCAGATGCTGCGAACCACGACTGCGCTGCAGCGCTTGGACATCTCAGCAGACCGCGTCTGGGACTCACCGGAAGCAAGCAAGGAGGGTATGTTCTCGGTCCTGGCTGCGCTGGGGGACAACAAGACGGTGGAGGTCGCGCATTTCACCGTGTCTCATCACCTCCTGGACGACCCGAGCGTCATCAGGGCGTTCGCGGCGCTGCTACGCAGCAACACAGCCTTGAAGGAGCTGCGGCTGAACAGGAGTGACAGCGAGGAGGACGGGCTGAATGACGTCATGGTCGACGACCCGGTAGGCCGCGGGGCGGCTGTGCAGGAGTTCTACGAGGCTCTCGGCGCCAACACGTCGCTCGAGACCCTTAAGCTCGATCCCTCCGATTGGGGCATCAACGGCGAGACATTCGGCACGAGCATGGCGCGCAACCGCACGCTGCGGCACTTGCAGGTCTGGTGCTGGGACGTCTCCGTCGAGGGCGCGAGGAAGATGGGAAGAGGCCTGGCCAAAGTGAGGAGCTTTCGGTCCCTGACCATCTGTCTTGACAACGAAGGGCAGGTCCTGGCCTTGCTGGATGGGCTTTGGAAGAACAAGGCGTGCAGGAGCCAGATGCAGCGTCTCCACATCGGGGCAGAATCGAAACTATCCTGCAAGGTCGCGCAGAAGCTCGCGGACGTCCTGGCGCTCGACCAGTGCACGCTCCAGTATCTTCACGTGAGGGACAACGCCTTTGGGGTCGCCGGCGCACGGGCGCTGTCCGAGGCGCTCAGGACCAACACTTCGCTAGTGTCGCTGGCAGTCGAATGGAGCGGCCTCACGAAGGACGGCGTGATGGCGCTGCTGGATGCGCTGCAAGACAACACCACGCTGCGCAGGCTGGTGTTGGGCTCGATTTGGGAGAAACACGAGCTGTCCACGTCGATGAAGGAGGCGGTGGAGCGCGTGCACGCGCACGTGCTGGTCTGAGGGATCAGGACGCTCGCTGTGTGGCTCCGAGGGGGGGTGCTGCCAGCATGCGGTGCCATGTCAGGCGCGGGCTTTTATACCGCCTGGAAAATCGCACAGGGGCGTCGGTGCATGCGGAAGCGCAGTGCAAGTCGCACGGCCACGCGGAGGCAGCTGCTTGGAGCTGGCGGCCATGTAACGAACAATGCGCAGACAGGCGCGTGCAGCTGCTGCGAGTAAAAGTCACCCGATCGCGCTCCGCACCCGGCACTGGCACGAACGACCAGATCCATCCTCGCAGGCGCCTCGACAGGGGTCGTTGCGCGTTCCAAAGCGGGCACAGCTCGGAGCCCATTTGGCGCATTTCGCCGTTGCGGTGTTCGCAAGATCTCGTGCGACGGTCTTTCGCGCTTTTCTATCACAGATGCTGCCGCCAGGTCCGTTCGAGGACGCTCCCCGTGACTGACGGGGCCTGAAGTGGACAATCCACATGTACCACATCACCAGCACATGAGCATATATATATATATATATCTCTGACGGACCCCCCAGCGGACACTAGTCGGGGTCGGCGTCGATGCCCTTGATGACCTCGGTGCGTTCCTTGTGCGCCGCCTGCCACGCCCTGAACGGCATTTGCAGAATCAGTTGAACGAAGTCGTTGGCGAGCCCGGACGCGTGCGGGTCCGTCGGCGGGGGCTGCGCGACGGAGAGCTGCAGCGCGCACCGCTCGCTCCACTCGTCCGTCGAAGCCGCCAAGAAATACCTGCGGTCCGTCACGAGGAACCATGCGGGGTCGGTTGCGGGCAAAGGAATGCACCTGGAAAGGCAACGCAGGCACCCGTCATCCCGACCCCGACCCACAGAACGACATCGCAACGACAGCTCATCGCTCTGTCCTCGGCACCGCCACGCTCGTCCTCGCGCAGCTCAACAGGCGCAGCGCGTGGGGCAGGGGTCGCACATGACAAACCGATCCGACTCCCCCCCCTGCATCTGCCACACCTCCACGCCGGACCGCCCGAGCAGCAGGCCGCCCATCGCGTCGTACAGCGAGATATCCACCATGCTCTCGTCCTCCAGCAGCTCCTGCACCCTCCGCGCCACCTCCCGCGGCTGGCACGTCCCTCGCCAGCCCCGCAGCGGCACGTCCGCCCCCGCAGCCCCCGTGCCGCCCTCCGGCGGCTCCATCAGCACGATCGGCGCGCCGGACCGCACCGCGGACAGCCGGCCCGCCGCGGCCACCGTCGCCAGCACCGGCGCAGCGTTGAACGCGAAGCCGTGCATCTGCAGGTGCGCCGACTCGCGCGAGAAGGCCGCGCGGCTGAGGGACGACGTGTGCAGCGAGGCCTCGATGCGCGCGAGGTGCGAGCCGTCGATGCGGTTGACGTCAACCACGCAGTAGAACGTGAAGTCCCCCAGGAGCTTCGGGGTTGGCGCGAGCGGCATCGTGGGCGCCGCGGCCTCGCGCGGGAGCCACGCGAGGTGCCGCGCCGCGCCGGGGCGCGCGCAGTCGATGCGCCGCGCCGTGCGGGCGGCCGCGGGGAGCAGCGCCTCGTGGTGCATGTACGCCACGATGTGGTGGGAGGGGGAGTCTCCGTTGCCTGAGTCAGGCGGCGCGAACGACGGCGGGGGCTCGCCGGGGTCCTGGTCCCACGCGTACAGCCCCGTGCGGTGCGACATTTGGATCAGGTCGTCGTCGGTGCGCGGAAAGTGGAAGTCCAAGTCCCGGATGACGATCACTGACGTCAGGTGGGGGTCTTCGGGCCACGGGAGGTCCTCGCCGGGGTCGCGGGACGGCCCGGGCAGCGCGCTCCACACGTCGACGTGCACCGACACCTCGACGCGCGGCACAGCGGGCGTCGAAGGTCCCTCGCCGTCGGCGTTGTCCGCGGCGGCGGTCGCCGCGTCGCGCCGGTACGCGTCGCCGACGTGGTCGCGACACCACTGCGCGACGCCGTCGTGGTCGGACGGCACCGCCGCGACCCAGTCCGGGAGGTAGAAGTGCGCCCAGGCAGACTGGGCGTACAGGAGGGGGGGTCTCGAGGGCTCGACGACGTCGTCCTTCAGCACCGTGCCGCCGGGGCCGCGGAGCACCGCGCGGAGCCGCCACCGCCGCGCGCGCCGTAGGAACACGTGCGTCGCCTGCTCCAACGCCAGCATCGGCCACCCATTCGAGTCGTTATAGGCCGACAGGACCTCCTTCCAGCCCCCGTCCGGCGGCCACGCGATCCCTGCGCGCCGTGCGTGCTCGGGGGCGGTTAGGCGGGGCGCAGCGGGGCGGGAGGCGCGGCGTTTGTGGGCGCAGGTTCCGTGCCCTGCCTGGCGGGTGCGCTTCGGGGCCCGGTGTGGAACGCGTGGACGGGGTGGCTCAGGCCTGGTGTTGTCGGGGCGGCGGCGCGTGCGGGTTCCGTTTGAGGCGGTGGGGGGCGTGTGGGGTGGGCGGCGGGCGCGCCTGGACAGAGCGCACGCCATCGTGCTCGTTCGGACGCTTCGGCGCACTCCCCGAGGTCGGCCTTGAAGACGTCCTCCCAGAACTGGTCGGGCATGCTGTCGACCGCAGCCTTCCAGTCCCTGCACACCTGCGGGCGACCACACACACCCGTGCGACAAGGAGGTGGGCGGGGGAGACGCGCGCAGGGCTTTCTGGTGCGTCCTGGTACGGTCGCACGTAACGGAGCAGCATAGTGATGACGTGTTTGCGGTTGCGAGTCGGTTCTGCGCCCGGAGGTGGAGCGCGGGCGGTTGAGGTTACCTCCCGGCACAGCGCAGCCGTCCTGGCGTCAGTCCGACGCACGATCTCGCTGACCAGCGCAGAACTCTCGAGCACGGCGGCGACGGAATCGAAGTCGCCGTCCATGGCGCTCGCCCCGCGCCGCGAGCCGGCGAAACAACCGACCTACGTCTGCCAGCAAATCGCCCGCTGCCGCCCCGCAAACGCCGCAAAAACGTGCCCCACAGCCGCAGCCGGCGGCTCACACTGAGGAAGATGCTGTCACGGCCGGCCCGCGTTCGTGGTCCCCGGCTGGCGTCTGGGGCGACGTCTGTGTGCCGCCCGCTCTGTGCCACTCACGCTGGTCGCGCAGTGCGCCTGAGACGCAGATGTCAGGCCGCCCGGCTGCCCGCCAGTCCTCCGCGCTCTCTGCGGCAACGCAGCGCCCGCCGAGGCACTGACGCGCTTCCTCGAGGCTGCACCCCCCCACCGACAGTCCGTGATGGTCCGTCATACCTGCGCCGCGTCGAGCGGAACGGCCCAGCGCCGCCCGCGGCACGCACAGACCACGCACCCACCGCAGACGCGCATCAGACGCCGTTTCGAGGAGCAACGCGACCGTGGCACGGCAGCAGAGGGGCTCAGCGTACTGTCGTAGCTGTGTGCGAGGCCGCTGGTTCGCCTGACGGCGCAACAGGGGGCGCTCCGCCCCCCCCTGCGTGGAGATAGATTAGAGCGCTGCCAGGATGAACTCCGTCGAGGGCAGCCGCATCATCAATGTGCTCGAACAGGCCGTGTTGCATCTCTCGTGAGTCCCTACGCCGACCCCCGACCTGCGCAGCGGCCCTACGCGAGCACGGTGGCGCTCTGGGGGTACCTCGGGCCGCGAAGACGCGCGTGGCGCGCCTCAACGCCGTTGGCGGAGGCGCGCGGCGCGCTGGTGTGCGGCTGTTGTCGAGCACATGGCATGCAGTGCCTGGGCGTGCGTTTCGCGCAAACGAGCGCGGCAGTGCGCGAAGCCGTAGCAGAATACGGTTGTCGGGGTCGAGTGCGAGGACGGGCGCACCGATGCGCGGGGCGCGGGGCTGGACCGCCGCTGCGGCGCCCCCCGAGTGGTGGCGCGCGTGCCCCGCGCCCAGTGCGCGTGGTCCGCGTGCGTCTCAGCACGCCCTCTCCCGCCCCACACCCGGCAACAGGCCGAACCCCGCTCGTTCGAGCTGTTTCGCCGTCCCAACGACCTGCGTGCGCGCGCACCCGCTGCCGAGAGGCGCGCGCAGCGCCTTCCGGGCGGTTCCCTCACGTCCCCGCGACCTCCCGGACCGCCGCGCCGCAGGTGGCTCTCGACGATCAACGAGAGCAACCTCGAGGCCGAGATCTTCGAGGGCGTCCTCAGCGACGACGTCACGGACCACCTCGAGCAGCACCGCCATGCCGTCTCCGGGACTCGCGACATCTCCGCGGACCACCTCGCGCGCTCCACGGCCGACCTCCTCCGCCTCATCGCCGCCAGCACGGAGAGCCAGGCCGAGCTCGACAACCTCGACATCCAGCCCAGCCACGCCGTGCAGGAAGCCATCGAGCTCTTCGAGCGCCTCAAGGGCATCATGATCCGACGAGGTGCGCCCCCCCGCGGCCCCACGCACGCACCGTGACCCCCCCCCGCTCTCCTGCCCCGGCAGCACCCCGCGCGCACGGCGCGGCGCTCCGCAAACCTCCTGCGCTTGAGGGGGCGCTGCGCGCCGCAGGTGTACACGACCGTCGAGGAGGACCGCAGCAACAAGGAGCACTTCGCGGAGGTGTGCGACCGCGAGGAGCGCGCGTCCAAGGAGTCGACGTCCCTCCACCAGCAGCTGCGCATGGAGCGCGCCGAGCGGGACCGCGCCCTCGAGGACGTGCGCCGCAAGGAGTCCACGCTCCGCGCGGACCTGCAGGCCGTGGAGGACAAGTACCAGGCCTCGATGTCCAAGACGCGCCACGAGACGTCCACGCAGCGCCAGGTCGACCAGGAGGCGTACGACCGCGGGAAGGCCGACCTCGAGAAGGACGTGGCGACGCTGACGCGCCGCTTGGCGGAGCTGCGGGAGAATAATGCGAACGCGGACGCGCAGATCCGGCAGCGGAAGAACCAGAACCAGATGACGCTGCAGGACTGGCTGCGGGACTACGACGCCACGATGTTTGAGCGGGAGGCGGAGTACCAGGAGCAGAAGACGGCGTACGAGAAGGTGAGGATGGAGCTGCTGGAGAAGGAGAGCCAGATCGAGCTGTGGCGGCACCAGCGGCTGAAGCACGAGGACGAGGAGCGGGCGCGGAAGATCAAGGAGCTGACGCAGCGCAGCAAGGAGCGGCAGATCGAGCGCGCGGCGGTGGCGATCCAGCAGGCGTGGAAGAACTTCCAAACGAGCAAGAAGAAGAAGAAGGGCAAGGGCGGGAAGAAGAAGAAGTGAGCGCGCGACTGCAGGGCGGCGCCCGCTTGGCACGACCGCGCGGCCGAGGTGTCTGTAAGAGCCATCAGCGTGACGAAACGTGTCAAAGTGGAGGTCGCTGCGGCCTCGGAGAGGGGTGGCCGGGAGCAACGACGCGGTGCAGTACCTGCGCGCAGGATGAGCAAGCTGCAGCAACAGGTGTCGGGGTCCCTGTGACGCGTTGCGCAGGGCCGGCGATACTCGAGCGGCCACGAGGCGCGCGCATGACCTGCTTGGGTTGCAAGCACGCGCGCGTTTCTGCACTGCTGCCTCGCGGCGGGCGCCGCGTCAGCTTCGGCCTGCGCTGCAGTCACAACATCGCAATCATTCTACGACAAAAAGTACTTGAACGCCTCGTACGCCTCCGCGGACAGCTCCCGGAACGCGAACCCGCTGTCGAGCCCCGCTACGGCGTCCTTGAACTCCCCCTCGTCCTCGACCGGGACCTGCAGCCCGACCAGGACCGACGACACCTGGTTCCCGGAGCGCCGGTAGTGGAACGCCGTGACGTTCCACCGCGGCGAGAACGGCCGGAGGAAAATCTTCAGCGCCCCGGGTCGCTCCGGGAACTCGACGACAAAGAGCCTCTCGTTGCGCACCGCGCCCGCGCGGCCGCCGACGAGGTGGCGCAGGTGCACCTGCGCGTCTTCCATTGCGGAGAGGTCGCGCGTCTGGTACCCCGCGCCGTTGAGCCGCGCAATCATGCGCTTCAGCTCGTCCCGCGACTTGACTGCCACTGAGTGCAGAATGTGCGCCTTGCCCTGCCCCGCGCACTCGTCGTAGCGGTACTTGAACTCCGTGACCTCCGCTGCGTCCTGCGGCGCCGCGCCGTAGTACCCCACCTCGACGAAGTCGCTGAACGAGCCCGGGGACTCGGGAATGGTCGTGACGAGCATCGCTTCCGAGCGCGCGCCGACATCAGCGAGCTCGGAGACGAGGCGCAGGCGGTCGAAATTCATGTTCGCGCCGCTCGTGACGCACACCGCCGTCGTGCCGCGCTCCGTCGGGTGCGCGTCGTAGTAGGCCTTGGCCCCCGCTACAGACACCGCGCCGGCGGGCTCCAGGATCGACCGCGTCTCGTTGAACACGTCCTGCAGCGCGGCCAAAAATCAACCCCCGGCTCTGAGTCGCCCGAGACGTTCGCGGGCCGTCGTGCGCGCGCAGCGAACGACAGACGGCGGCATGCGGCGCAACACACCCCGCGGGCCACGTGCCTTGATCGCCGCGGAGATCTGGCTGTTGGACACCAGCACGATCCCGTCGAGCAGCTCGCGGCACAGCCGGAACGTCTCCGCCCCGACCAGCTTCACGGCGACGCCGTCCGCAAACGCGTCGACCTTGGCCAGCGAGACGCGGCGGCCGCGCGCGAGGCTGAGCGCCATCGCGTTGCTCCCCGCGGGCTCGACGCCGATCACGCGCACGTGCGGCTGCAGCGCCTTGACGTACGCCGCGATCCCCGCCGCGAGACCCCCCCCCCGATGGCGACGAAGATCGTGTCGACCCCGCGCGAGTCCACCTGACGCAGGATCTCCGCCCCGATCGTGCCCTGCCCCGCGATCACGCACGGGTCGTCGTACGGCGCCACGAACGTCAGCCCCTCGCGCGTCGCCCGCTCCTGCGCGTACGTCTGCGTGTCGCTGTACGTCTCGCCCTCGAGGACGACCTCGCCGCCGAGGCGCTTCACGGACTCGATCTTGATCGCGGGCGTGGTCGTGGGCATGCAGATGATGGCCCGCGCGCCGCGGCGGGAGGCCCCGAGCGCGACGCCCTGGGCGTGGTTGCCGGCGCTCGAGCAGATGACCCCGCGGGCGAGCTCCTCGTCGGTGAGGCTCGCGATCTTGTTGTACGCGCCGCGGAGCTTGAAGGAGAACACGGGCTGCGGGGGCGCGTCGGCCACGGGGCGGTGCGGGGTCGGGCGCAGCAGCGGTGGCTCTAGGGCCGCGTCGCGGCGACAGCTCGGGCAGAATGGCCGCGCGCCGTGCCGCGGGGGCTCATGTGGGAAGCACTGTGGGTCAGTGCGAGGCGGGAGGGCGCGGGACTCGCACGGTGCGCGTCGCAGGGGCGGTGGGGCTCACCTGCAGGTCCTCCCTCTTCAAAAACACGCGATTTCCGGTCGCTTCCGACAGGCGCTTGGCCTCCTCGAGCGGCGCCTCGACGGCGACGTCGTAGACCTTGCTGGTGAGCACGGCGCGGAGGTACCCGGCGTCCGCGGTGCGCCACGGCATCGTCGCGCAGCCCGCCGGGGTCTGGCACTCGGGCCGCACGCAGCCCACGCAGCGGAACGCGTCGCGCTCGAGGTACGGCGCCGACCTCTCGATCTCCGTCAGTTCCCCGGGCGCCGCCTCGAGGTCCTCTGGCAGGCAGACCTCGAACTCGCTGCCCGCGTCGGCCGCCAGCGCCGCCCGCGACACCACCGTCCCGTCCCTCTCGCACGCGTCGCCGCTGCAAACCCACCCGTCCGCCCCCTCCGCCTTCACCTCGGAATCGGCCGGCGCCCCAGCCGGCGCAGGGCCGGAGGGCTTCGCCGCACGCGCCACCGCGCGCCCGCGGCGGCTGCCCACCCCCGCCCGCGGGGGCCGCTTCGCGGCGGCCGCGCGCGGCGCAGCGAGCCTGTCGAGCACGTGCATCGCGGGCGCTGCGATCGATGCGAAAGGCTCAGCGCGGCGGCGCGTCCCGGTGCGCAGCCAGCGCGGCGCAGCAGACACGCGCGTCGATCCTGCACCAGATAGGCCTCAGTATTTGCCACTCGCACGGTGTGTATATGTACACAGGGCCTCCTTGTCACCGCCAAGCGCCGCTCTGGCCACTGCCACGCGGCCGGGCGCCCTTCAGGCCCCGCTGCGCATCCGCACGGCCAGTCCTGGAACACACGACTACCCCCTGACACCCCCAGGGGTGTTCCGACCCCGCGTCAGTTCGCGCGCACCCGCGGCCGCGCAGCCGCCCGGGTCGACAGAGGGCTCCGGCCCCACGGGTCCCGCCGCTGGTAACTGTAGAGCTATTTCATAATAAAATATTTAATATTAATTATGTTATCGTTTTGCTTGATTGATCGGCTGCTGCGGGGACGACGCTAGGCGCTCAGGCGCCCCACCGCCCCGGCGCACCGGTCGTTCCCGGCGCGGCGCGGTCTCCGTGAGCGCCGCAACGACGACGACGACGTCAACGGCAGTCCATTGGTTGGACGCAGTCCGACTGGCAGGGCGCGGCCAAGCGGCGTCGTGGGCGCGCGGGCGGCGCGGCGCGGGCAGAGCTGCGGCGTAGCACCTCGCGCAGGTCGGGCGGGACAGTTCAGTTGCGTTGCGAGCGCGTACGAGGAGCCGAGAGGGAGGTTTGCGCGCAGCTGCAGTTGCGCTTTCGGCGGGCTGAGGGGCGTGCCTGGCGGGGAAGATGGGCTGGCCGAACCCGTTTGCGAAGAAGGACGGGGACGCGGGGTCGAGCAAGGCCGGGGCTGCGGGGTAAGCGTCTATTCGCTGCACCGTTGGGTCGGCGTGCAACTGCCCCCGACGTTTCGCGCTGCCATGGCGCGCGAGGTCCTATGCGCGCGCGTTCGCGGGGGGCTGAGGGCGACGTTGTTCTGGTGGCCGCAGGGACGGGAAGAAGGCGGGCAAGGGCGCGGGGGGCAGCGAGCGATCTGTGCACGGAACTGCGACCGATCTCTCCGCGTTCTCATTCGGACCGACGGTCAAGCAGGGCGAGAACATGATGATTGGTGTCTGCTCCACGGTGCGTGCCGCCCGCCCGCGGAGCTGCGCCGCGGCGTCCCGAGCGCACCTGCCCTCACCAGCCTGGCCGTTCAGCGACCGCACGCGACCGCAGCCGCCGCCGACGCCGGCGAACTCGGCGCGTCACGGGCCGCATAGCACAGCCGCGCGCCGCACGTTGCTCCAGACGCACGCCAAGCGCGTGCCGAGCGCGCGAGCCTGCGCTCGGTGCTGTGGAGCGATTGTCGCCGCCTCTCTGCGCACGTCCCGAGCCCCGCTGCCCGCGCCTCGCACGAACCAGAGTCAGAGCGGCGGTGCTCGGCCAAGCTGCGCGCAGGCGACCGAGGAGGGCACGGCTCTTGAAGCGTGCAGTTGGACTGTCAAGAAGGCGGACGGGGATCAGCCCAAGGTGAAACTCCTCTTCGACTAGGCACTCCGGACACCGCCCTCGCACGCTGTGACTCCCTGCTGCGCCTCGCGCACCCCCCGCAACGGCCACAACTGCTGCACCTGCGCAGTGCCGCTGCACTCCGCAGCTCACCTGCGCCCGCGCACGTAGCGCCCGCGCACGCTCCTCGCGAGAGCCAGCCGCCTCGGCTTCCTCGGGCGCGCGCGCGCGGGCCCTCAGGGCGCAGCGAGCCGCACAGCTGCACGTCGCCAGCCCCGGTGCCATTCCGGGCCACAGCTCGGCTCCAGCGACGCCCCGCGCGGTTCCCGCCTCCGGGGGACTCACGGCGGCTCAGCTCTGCCTCTCCTCCACTGCGCTGCGCCCTGGCACGACGTCGTTCTGCGAAACGCTCGTAATGCAAACAGGTTCGTTCCTCACAGCTCGGTTCGAGCGACGCCCCGCGACGCCACGCGCCGGCTCTGTCTCCCGGGGGCTCCGCATCGTCAGACACTATCAGACGACGTCGGACACGGTCAGGTACTGTCGGACAGCTCAGCTCTGGCTCTGTTTCATCATCTTGTTGTGGATGGCCGCAGCCTCCACGTACTGCGTGAACTTGTCCCGCCTGCGGTTGTGCGTCTTGTCCAGCAGCCCCTCCTCCTTCATGAACGCGATCTCCTCCTCGTCCCACTTGTAGTCGTCCTGCGCGGAGCGAGCGCGGGCCGCGAGTGACGCAACGAGCGCGCGAGGCGTGCGTGCGGCCGTCCCGAGCCACGGCCGCGCCAGCACGCGCGTGCAGCGGGTGAGGAGGGCGTCGTCGCACCTTGGCCACGCTGCGCATTTCCGCGGGGTCCCGGAAGCAGTAGGCCGAGTTGCACCCCTTCCACATGCTCACGCTCAGCTCCGACATCACGCCGAGCTCCGGGTTCTCCTTGAGCGTCCTCAGCGCTGCAGGTATCTCCTGCGAGGCAGCACGGGCGCGGACTCGGCGCGTCGGGGGCGTGCGGGCGCCCGCAGGTGCCCGCAGTGACAGAACGCGGCAGCCCGGGGCCGCGAAGGCCCCGCGTCGCTCGCGGCGTGCGCAGCAGCGCGGCGCAGATGCACTGCGGCGCGGCGCTCCGCCTCGCGCGGCAGAGCAGCGCGCAGCGCGGGCAGGAAGGCCGCGTGTGTGGCCCTGCGCAGGTCGCGGCGCGGGGCGGGGCGCACCGGCTCCTTGGCGAGCACGTCGCCGCCGAGATTCTTCTTCGGCGAGAGCGAGGCCGTCGCGGTGGCCAGGCGCGCCTCCAGCTCGGGCGTCGCGGGGACCTTTCCAGCCTCCTGCTGCCTCCGCATGTGCTCCTGCGTAATCTTCTTCTCCTTCTCGATCGTCTCCCTCAGCGCCTCGCTCGCCTGGTTGTCCATCCACCCCGCCCTCTCCGCCGCCGCCATCCTGCTCCGCTACCGCGCCCCCGCCGCGACGACCGCCGCTCGAACACCTGGCCTGTACCAGACCGTAACGCCCCGCAGAGACGTCCTCGTTGCAGCCCTGGACCTCCGCGTGCGACCGCAGCACAGACTGGCGCCCGCGGCGCGCGCCCGGCGGCCAAGACGCGCGGCATCGGGCGTCAGGCGGCCCCGGGGGACGGGTGGGGCCTCTCGAGAGCACGTCCGACGACCGCGCGCCTGGCCGGGGGCGTTGCGGCGCGGGGCCGGCCGCGGCGGTCATTCCGCCGAGCCGGACCGTGGCAGGCGCAGAGCCAGGCCGTTGCGTCGCGTCAGGGGCGCGCAGGGGGTTCGAAAGGCCAGGCGGTGCTTGGGCGGAACACCGAGGGCGGCGCCCTGGGGACAGGCGGCCGGCCTGGAGGTAGCGATAGAGGTAGGCGGGACGCTGAGGCGTCTGCGCGGGAGTTGCGGGCGCGATGGTGAACGTAACTTACGACATCCTGTGGCGGGAAGCTATGATGGGCCTGCTCGACCTGCTTGAGGCGGAGAACCCGGAGGACCCGAGCCTGGCGCCGAGCAACGAGCACGTGGACGACTGGGCGATCATTTACATCAAGTACATTCAGGTCTGCGCCCCGCGGGAGCCCCCAGAGCCTGCATGCTGCCCGCGCATGCGCGGCCTCCTGCGGCGCCGCGCGGCCCCCGCGCGCGCGCAGCGGCGCCGGCGTCGCCGTCCCATGATGTGCTCTCCGTCCGTGTGCCGCCAGAACGATGCTGCGAGGCCGCCCCGCGACGCTGGGCGGCAACAGAAGCCTCGCCGGACCCTCACAGCACTCTTTGCGCCTCCGCTCCGTCCTCGCGACCCAAACCCGCTCCACATCGTCCACGCGAAGCCCTGCGGCTCTCTCCCTCCCGCAGACGCGCGCCGCTGTCGACGCCGCGCGCCGCGTGCCGCGTTCGAGGCCCAGACGTTGCTCCGCGGGTGCTTGCTTGTTGCAGGTGTTCCGCAAACTGGAGGAGGCGTACGACCAGGTCATCCACCCGCAGAAGCGCATCGATCTCAGGAAGGCGCTCGAGGCGACCATGGGCCGCATCCTCGAGATCCGGGCCTACCTGGTCACGCTCAACCAGGGCGTCGACGAGGTCGACCTCGATCGCGCCCTGCTCGACCTGAAACTCCCCCCCGAGGCCCTCGAGGTGCGCCGCGCCCCCCGCGTCCGTTCGGAGCGGCTTCTGGGCGCCAGCGGCCCCCGCACGTCGCACCGCGCGCCGGGAGCATGCGTGTGTGTCGCGTTGCGTCTCGCGTGCAGCGCCGCGACGCCCGGCGCCCCGCGTGCCCGCGCGCAGATCCCGGTGCCGAAGTACTTCACGGAGGCGCACAGAAAGCTGCTCGAGGACCGCAAGGCCTTCATGCTCCAGATGATTGCGCGGGGGCAAACCGCTCAGGCGACCGACGAGAGCGACGGGAAGAACCTCGTCGAGCTCCCGCCGCCGCTGCCGATGTCCGAGGCGGTCCAGGTGATCCAGGTCGCCGAGCGGGGCCGGCAGGGCCGCCTGAAGGGCCAGATCGCGCGCGACCAGCGCCGCATGAAGGCGCTGCAGGACGCGATGGCGGAGCGCGGGGTGCGGCTGACCAAGGACGCGGCCGCGGTGCCGATCCAGGCGACGATCCGCGGGTTCATCGCGCGGCGCAAGGTGAAGCGGCTGCGCGACGAGGAGATGGTCTTCTTGGGCATGAAGCCGCGGTCCGTGGAGCTGGAGGACGACCCGTCCGTGGTGCTGTCCCAGGTGATCATGAGGCGCAAGAACAAGCAGCGGATGAACTGGAAGGAGTACGAGGAGGCGCTGGTGGTGCTCAAGCAGCGCGTGCGGGAAATGGAGGGGCAGGACATGCGCGAGACCATCCAGGACAAGATCAACGCTTGGTTCATCGAGAACCGGGACCCCGAGACGGGCGACTACCCGGACTTCCCGGACGAGGACGTCGGCGGCTCGCGCGTGATCTTGAACCCCCCCCCCGTCGCGCCGGAGGAGCCCGAGGTGGACGCCAAGGGCGCCAAGGACGCCAAAGGTGCGAGGACGACGCCGCGCGACCCGCCTCGCCCGCACGCGGCGCAGTGTCCCGTGTGTCCTCCCGCGCGCCACCGCCCCGCTCCCCCCGCGCCGCGGCGCTCGTGCGCCCGCTGCCCACACGCGCGCTCCCCGCGTTTCGCGCCGCAGCGAAGGGCAAGGGCAAGGGCAAGGGCGACGAGGACGGCGAGGAGGAGGTCAAGGGCGTGTCGACGGTGTTCGTCGGCGCGATCGAGGAGGCGGTGCAGGAGTACGTGGCGCGGTGGCAGGACTGCGACGAGGCGGGCAACTTCGCGCAGAAGTACGACCCGGAGCTGGTGAAGGAGGAGCTGCGCCCGGTGGTGTTCGAGGAGGTCCGCGCGGAGGTCGACACGGAGATGGCGGTGCTGCTGGAGAACCTGAAGGACATGGTGGCGGCGGAGCGGGCGGCCAAGGCGGGGAAGAAGTGGAAGAAGCCGAAGAAGAAGAAGAAGAAGGGGAAGAAGGACAAGAAGAAGGGGAAGAAGGGCAAGGGGCCCAAGGACATGTCGCCGGACCGCGGGATGGAGTCGCTCTTTGCCGAGATGGTCCAGAACAACCTGATGCAGCTGGTGCGGGAGGTGTCCGTGCAGGACTACGTCGGGGCGTTCAACGCGATCGGGTCGGACATCAAGGCCGCGGGCGCGCAGGGCGACCTGTCGCTGGCGCACGTGCGGCAGCTGGTCACCGAGTACTGCATTCTGCCGCTGGGGAGCCAGGACGTGCACGCGCGCCTGCCGGCCCCCGCGCGCGCGGTGCTGCTGTACGGGCCGCCCAACAGCGGGAAGAAGATGCTGGCACACGCGATCGCCCAGCTGTCGGGCAGCAACTTCTTCAACCTGTCGCCGCGCAACACCGACGGGCGGTTCCCGGCGAAGCAGGTCACGCTGATGATCAACACGATCTTCAAGGTCGCGAAGGCCATGGCGCCGAGCGTCATCTTCATCGACGAGATCGAGAAGGTCTTCAACTCGGACAAGAAGGCCCAGCGCGAGTACGGCGGGACGGAGCCCTTCTCGCGCATCAAGAAGGACTTCTTGAAGGAATTCAAGTTCCTCCAGCCGGGCGACCGCGTCCTCGTCGTCGGCTGCACCAGCAGCCCGTGGACGTGCGCGAAGAAGGACAAGAAGGTCTTTGTCAACCTGTTCGACCGGCACATCTACTGCCCCGTCCCGGACTACGCCTCCCGCGCGCTCCTCTGGCCGTTCCTCTTCGTCAAGCACGGCGGCGCGCTCGAGTTCAACTTCGACACCTCCACGCTCGCGCTCCTGTCCGAGGGCTACACCTCGGGCGACATCGACCGCATCGTGCGCATGGTGCTCTCGCAGCGCCGCCGCAACACCATCGGCGACAAGCCCATCGACATGAACGAGATCCTCCAGGTGCGCGCCCGTCTGCGCGCTCTCGCTGCGCGTGCGGGGGGTGCCGTGCGCGGTTGCGGCCTGGCGTGCGCGGTCCGTGCAACGGTGCGCGGTGCTGGGGCGCGGTGTCCGGGTGTTTCGGGGCGCGATCGACCGACGCGAGGTGTCTTGACTGGGGGCGTTTTTTCAATCGTGGTTCCTCGTGTGTTGGTTGCAGTGGATGACCAAGGTGCCGCCGGTGTCGGCCGAGACCGTGGAGCAGTTCCGCGCCTGGACGCGGGACCTCCCGAGCAGGCAGCTGCCCGCGGAGCCCACGGAGGACCCGAAGGACGCCAAGAAGAAGAAGAAGTAGCGGCAGTTTACAAACAATCTTTGTTTCAAGGTTGATTGTGACGCGACCTCTTCTTCGTCTCAAACCGCGCTCAGACCACGGCCGCGCGAGCCCCCCGCCCCGCACACTGTGCAGCACGCTGCGGCGGCCCGCGCTGGGCGCGGTGGCCAACCTGACGTCAGAAAAACAACAGTCCCCCCTGGCGTGAGCAGCAGCAGCGCCACGCGTGCGCAGGGCGACGAGAGCGGCGTGCCCGTCCGGGTCTGGCCACTCCGCACGCGGCGCCTGCTATTCGCTGACGGGTTGGCGTGGACTCCGTTCGCTGCGAAGTGCTTCACGGCCGCCACGCCTGCGTGCACCGAGGGTGAAGGCTGAGCGGGACGGAGGCGGTTCGATACGGCGGCCCCGTAGGTCCCGGGGCCGCCAGGTGGAGGCAGGATGGAAGGAAGGAAGAAGAGTCGATCCGGGAAGCGGTCGAAGATCGCTGTAGGTGCGCTGGAGCGAGGTAGCTGCAGAGCAGGGAGCAGCCTCAGCAGTGCGGTCCTGAGCGGCCGAGCGGCGCTGCCGGCGGCGCCTCCGCGGAGAATTTTCTCGCAAATGCCACAGCCGCCATTGAATTGCGCGGCCCGGTCCGCCACGGAGGCCACGGCAGCGTCCGCTCGGCCGTCCTTGCACCCGAGAGCGGCGCAGCCGGCCCGGCGTCGCGGGCGCGGCGCTATATACACCCCCACGGACGCCCCCTGCACCGTCTCCATCACCAGCACCGCCCCTACCCCCCTCGCAGAGTCTCATGAGGCGCAGGACCTCATGCGAGCCTTCGTGGCTCGCGCGCTGGCAGACAAGACCACGGAGGCGTCCAGTGAGGCGTACACGCAGCTCACGGAGCAGGTGCGAGCCACCTGTCGCCGCGGTCTCTCGTTTCGGGCGGCGCGGCGCCCCGTACGGTCCGTGCTGCCGTGTCGCGGGGCACTCCGACCGTGCATGGGGCCCTGCGCCTGGGCGGCCGCAGCGCTGCCTGCCTCGGCCTGTTCTAGACCGGCGCCCTGTTCTCAAGCCCACACGCACTCCCTCAGAGCGAGCGAAGCTCCGCGCGGCGGCTGCCCTCGCACCACGTCGCCTCCTGCACCCGCGCGACCCCCTCCCGCCGCCTGGCCGCGCGCACACTGCAGATAGAACGCTACGCGCAGCTCACTCACAACAACACCGCCACCGAGGAGGACGTCGCGACCCTCTCGGGCCTCCTCGACGCCCTCGGCGCCAGCGCGGCGGCCCTCTGCCCCCGACGCCACGCCCGCCTCCTCACGTCCGTCCTCGGCCTCCGCGTCTGGTGCGGCTACGCCGCCCTCCGCTCCGCCTGGTTCGCCCTCGTCGGGCACCTCGCCATCGCCAACGGACCCCTCCTCCCGGCCTGCACAACCCGCCTTGTGGACATCTTCCTCCCATTTCGCGATCGCCCGGTCCCGGGCGCCACCGCGGGGCCGTGGAACCCGAACCCCGAGTTCCTCAAGCTCCAGGACGAGGTCGTCGACGCGCTGACGGGCATCTTGGCGCGTGCGCCGACCAGCGGGACCATGGTGTCGCGCGCGGCCGTGAGCGCCATCCCGCAGCAGGGCTGCGCGGGCGGCGGGCGCGAGGGCGCGTGCCTGCACCTGCGCGCCATGCTGCGCGTCGCGGCGTCGCCCGCGGCGACCGAGGCCACGCGCACGGCGCTCATCGAGGGCGCGGTGAGCGCCCTCCTGACGTGCGACGTCGCCATCCGCTGGGAGGACATCGTGGAGGTCCCCCGGGGGAGTGCCGGCGCGGCGGAGCCCGCGGACGAGGACGACGACGCGCTCGCGGAGGAGACGGAGGGCGAGAAGGAGGGCGACGACATCTTCGAGCTGGAGGGCACCAGCGCCGCCGAGGCCGTGGCGCAGCAGGTGCGCGCGGGGGAGGCGGCGGCGCGCGCGGTGGCGGCGGGCGGGTGGGAGGGCGCGGAGCAGCTCACGTGCACGCTCGGCGCGGACGGCCGCCCGCGCGTCGACGAGGCAGTCGAGAAGATGGACTCTTTGATGGAGCTCTTCTTAGACTACTTGCATCAGAGCCTGCCGGCGCGCGAGGGGGGCGCGGCGGCGGCGGGCGACCCGGCGGGCGTCTGGCCGGCGCTGGAGCGCGCGTTCTTCCACCAGCTGCTGCCGACGCACCGCTCGAAGTTCACGCAGTTCCTGGTGTTTTTCGCGGCGGGGCGGCTGCCGTACGAGGCGCCGCGGCGGCTCGTGGCGGGGCTGCTCGCGGGGCTCCGGGACCCCTCGAAGGCGCCCGTGACGCGCGTCGCGTGCGCGGCGTACCTCGCGTCGTTCCTCGCGCGCGCGGCGTACGTGCCGGAGGTGCTGGTGGTCGAGGCGCTCGAGGGCGTGGTGGCCTTCTGCGAGGAGTACCTGCGCGCGCAGGGCAGCGGGAGCAACGCCGTGGCGCCCGTGCTGGGCGGGGCGGCGGCGGCGGCCGCCGCCGCGGACGAGGCGGACGCGGAGTGCATGCGGCGGCATCAGGTGCTGTTCGCGGCGGTGCAGGGCACGCTGTACGTGCTGTGCTACCACATGGAGCCGCTGCTGGGGCGCGGGCACGTCGCGACGCCGGCGATGCGGACGGCGGACGCGGGCGCGGCGGTCGCGAAGACGGAAGTGGCTGCGCGGCTGCGCGCGCTGGTGGAGGGGGGGGTGGCACGGGTGCTGGCGCATCCGCTCGCGCCGCTCGAGCGGTGCTTGCCCTCGGTCGCGGGGGAGTTCCGCGTGCAGGCGGCCGCGCTGGACCTCGTGCCGGGGATCCTCACCGACCCCCTGACTCACTTCCACCTGGCGCGGGCCAACTCGAACCGGGGGGGACTATTGTCCGGCGGCGGGCGCGTCCGGCGCGCGCTGGAGATGTTCTTCCCGTTCGACCCGTACCTCCTGCGGCGCTCCGCGCGCCCGCTGTGCCTCGGGGAGACGTACGTGCGGTGGCGCGGAGGACACCCCCGGGGGGAGCGAGGCGTCGACTCCCCCGAGGAGTCCGCCGGGGTGCTGGCCTCGGCCGTGCGCGAGTCCGGCGACGCTCCGCCGGCCAGCGCGTCGTCTAGCGACACGGAGTCTTCAAGCGATGAGGACCTGAATGATGAAGAACAGACTAGGTTCGGAAGCCTTCCGCGGCGCGCGGGGCGGTTGCCGGTGACGGCGCGTGCGGGCCGGCCGGTGCCGGTTGCGCTGGCGGGCGAGGCGCGTGCGCGGGAGGCGTATGCGCGGCCGCCGCAGGGGGTGTTTGGCGGTCACACCCCCCTGGGAGCGACGCCGCCGGCGGCGGCGCTGATGCGGGGCCACAGCCCGCCGAGCGTGGACTACTCGCGCAGCATAGATAGCGCGGGGCTGGGGAGCACGCCGCACGGCGCCAGCGTGGGCGGCGGCGGGCTGGCCTGGGGTGCGGCGGTGGCGCGGATGCCCTGAGGGGCCGGCGCGGGCGCATGTGCGTGTGAGTGCTGCGCGCTGAACAGGCCCACGATCGCACGATGCGGTCGGCTGGCGACATCAAGTGCAGGAGTGCGCGACGCGGATGTTTTGTGTGCAGGCAGGTGACGGGTGCGCGGCGGCGTGTGGGGCGTTGACGACGCACGACGGGTCGCTCGAGTGTCACATCTACATCAGCAAGAGCAAGAGCAGCGGCGCACGCAGCTGAGCTAGTGGGCGTGCCGCGCTACGACGTTGGACAAGTGCTGCGGAGGACAGCGGAGGGGTCACGAAAGCTTGTGGATGACGGACCGGTCGTCGGATCATTGCTCGGAAATCTAGAGCGGCTGCCAGCGAGCGCACGCAGGCAACGCCGGGTTGAGAGGTTCCACCGCGATCTGGCCTGGTGCAACGCTGGTAGCATGTAGTCGTCTACGGCGGTCCGATGCTGGCGCTGGCCCGCGAGCGAGGCTGCTCAATCTGCGCAACTGGAGCGCAGTCGCGTGTTAGCATCTGGTGCCGAATCTAGTCCTCGCTCAGCGCGAGTAGACGGTTCAAAGTCCCCCGGGGGGGTCGATGCAAAGCGTGTAGCACACGCGGGTGTATACACCAGCACGCTGGGGCAGTGCTGGGAATGACTGCTAATTTCGGTTTGAGTGGCCATGACCCGTCCGACCACGAGCTCTCGGACGTGCGAGGAGCCGTACGGCAGGGTGGTCCAGGCCTGCCGTGCGCATGGTGCTCGTGGGACGGGCGCGGCGATGGTGTTCCGTGCTGCGTGAATAATGGAGAATTTAGCCGGCCGTAGATGCGTCCATGAACGAGTCGTCTATGAACGAGTCGGGGCTGGCCCTCCGCGGCCGGTGCACCCCGCGTTCAACGCTTCAAATCGACATTGAATGTTTCTTCCTTCATCTTCCTTCCTTTCCTTGTGTGCCGAACTTTCTGGAACGAACCGTCGGTCAACTCGACGAGCCACTGGCCGTGCACGTCAGACCGGGCCACCTCGGCGAAAGACGAGGCTGCGCCCAGTGCGCCGCATGCACGAGCGCCATGCAGCGCCCTGGGCTCTTCCGCAGCGCCAAGCCGCTCCGCACGGGTCCGCGCCGCCGTCCTGTCGCGTGCACACGATCGCGCGCCGTCACTCGTTGGGCGCGCCGTCGCTGCTGGGCGACGTCTGCACCGCAACGCGCTCCAACAGATCGTGAATGTCCGCGTCGACATGCTGCCGCGCAGGCACGCCGGCCCCAGCCTGCGCACGCGCTCGAATAGCCTCGTTGTCCGACCGCCCGAGCCGCGCCAGCCAGTACCCCGGCGGCGTCGCTGGCTGCGGCAGGCTCGACGTCATCGACGCCACCCGCCCCTGCGCTGACAGCGTGCTGGCCGACCCCGGGACGCGGCGCGGCTCCTCGGGCGTCGGCGAACTCGGCCCCGGTGCGTACAGCGCGGGCGGGACCTGTTCCCCCCGGCCTCCGTCCTCGACGGCCCGTGCAGGCGCGGATCCGTCCATCGTGGATCGGCTCCCTGGCGAGCTTGCTGGCGAGGCCGGCCGGGTCCGTTCGGCCGCCCGCGGGCTCTCGACGACGATCCTGGCCTCGCGGGGTGGCGGCGGCGCGCCCCACGGCGTCTCCGCGGCCGGGCGCGCCCCGCCCGCGCCCCGGCGGTGCGTCGCTGGTTGCTGCTGCTCAGCGGCCGCTGCGATATCGCTGAGCGACTCTAAGCCCACGGGGTTGTCGGCGATGTCGAGATCCCTGAGCGCGTTGAGCGCGCCGTCGCGGAGGGCTTCGGCGATCGCTCGCGCGCCACGCGCCCCCATCCGAGTGTTCTGCAGGCGAAGGATGCGGAGGGAGGACGCCGCGGTGGTGCTGCCGCGCAGGGCCGCGACGAGCGCGGCGACGCCGGTGCACCCGAGGTTGACGTCGGAAAGCGAGATTGACGTCGGACAGTGGCCGTCGAGGAGGAGCCGGCGCGCCACGGCCTGGAGCTCTGGTCTGGTGGGGCGCCGGCCGCCGTCGCCGAACTCGGACGCCCAAGACTCCCAGCGGGCTTGGTGGGAATCGCCCATGGCGCCCGATCCCGCGCGTCACCGTGACACACCACGCCCGAGGGAGCTCACGCGCGCAGCATCCCTAAGCACTCCTTGGGTCGCAACTGCGGGCACACCAGACGCGGAACGCGGCTTTCATTGCTCCGCAGCCGCGTTCAAACCGATCTAAACGACGAAGGTGCTGCGGAGAGATGCCCGAAATCCCGGAGCGGTGCGAGACGGCGGCCTTGAGGCGCACAACGTTTTGCGCCTGCCAAGCGGCGAACGTGGAGGCTCACGCCATCCCGAGCCCGACGGAGCGCATGCTTCAGTACAGGTGAATGGCCTTTCGCGCTGTGCGTCTCAGCAGATCGTTCGGCGTGCTGCCAGGCGCAGCCAGGAAGGCTGCATGGCCTCTCTGCCAGCACGCCGTGCCGGAGCGGCTCCTGGGCCAGATGCGCGCCCTCAGCCAGCGAGTAAACTCAGAGGAGCCTGTTGAATCCGTCGTGGGGGTCGAACCTGCGCTGACGACTCCGCACGCAGGCGCGCCACGTCTCTTGCGAGCTAGTTCTGCGCGCAAGTGCGGCCCTGCGCGGACGGCACGACGCAGAACGCGCGGAAAAGGATCCTGCTGCGTCGGGCCACAAGCCTGCGGCGCCTTTGCCGCTGCTCGCCCGCGGCGTGCGGCACAAGAGCCGCAGACCTGACAGACCTGCGCTGCACTGCCCTGGTCGGGCGGATCTGCTCCCTGACGTCAGGGACCCGCCCGACACGCGGACGCAGCGGCCTTAGACGCACCTGGCTCATATGTGCTCCGGCCCGCACGATTCTGGGGGCGTCGGACCGCTCGTTGGCCCGCTTCTCGCGTCTTTGGGGGGCTCGCAGTGAGCTGTGCCCGCAGGTCCGCGACACGCGCCGCTGGGGGACCGCCGAGCGCGCGTCCCGCCTGTACGGAGAGCCAGCAGGCCTTTGGGCGCGGCAAGGGCGCGCAGAAGCGACGCACTTTCGCAGTTCGCTGACCTACAAGCACCCTCGCCGCGAGGACGCATCGCCCCGTCCCTCCGCCAAGTGAGTCTCGTCTGCCGTGCCAGTTCGGTCGCTCAAGCGTCCTCGCTTCACACGGCCGCCGCAGATACCGTTTCCTCGTCTGCCGGCGCTCCGTTGCTCTATTTACATGTCATAGGTGTTGCCGTTGTTCCACCCGAGCCCCACCGCCTGCAGCCGCTCGTACGCCTCCGGCCCGTTCGGAATCAGCGGCTGGAAGTCCGGTATCTGCAAGCACGCGCACCACGGCGCACCGACAGTCGCGCACACACACACGCACACACACACACACGTGCGCGCGCCGCGCCCGAGCCGCGCCCGCCGCACCTGCTGCAGGTGCGCCTGCCAGCTCTCCAGCAGCGCCCGGTGTTCGTCCATGAGCGCCACCTCCCTGCTCGTTCGCTTGCGCGCCATGAAGGCCACCGCGTCGCCGACGGTCCAGCCGAACGCGCGCATGAGGTACGCCGCGACGATGGCCGGCGACTTGGAGCGCGCGGTCATGCAGTGCACGAGCACCGCGCGGCCGTGCCGCCCTGGCGCCGCGCCGCCGTTGGGCTCGGCCGCGCCGCCCGCGTGGTTGCGACGGAGCTTCTCGATCAGCGCGACGAGCTTCTCGACGGCCTCGATCGTGAGGGGCCCGCCGTCGACGTGGTAGTAGTTGTACGTGTTGCGGTACAGGTCCTGCATGTTGGGCACTAGCTGCGGCAGGGGCAACACGGGGCGGCGAGGGGTCGTGGGGCGTCGTGCGGGGGGCTGGGCTGTCATTGTGCGGCGGGCGGTGCTCCGGGGGTGGCGGGGCGACGTACGCTGATGATGTGGGAGACTTTGAGGATGTTGAGGACTTCGGGGCGCGAGGTGTGGTCGTAAGAGCCCAGGAAGAGAAAGGTGTTCAGTATCTCGTCTGGGAACGCGCACGCCGGCTTGGGGTTGTCCGCATTGTCTGGTAGCCGATGTCCACACACGGCGCACGGCTCCCCGCCCTCGTACTGCGGAACCGCGCGGCGGGGCGGGGGCGGAGGTGAGCAGAAGGGGCGTGGCGCGACCACGCGGGCACGCGGTGCGCGTACGGCCGCGCAAGGCGCTCTTGAGTTCTAAGGAACGGTGTGCGCGGCGCGCGCGAGGGCCGCCGGGGCCGACAGCGGCAGCGAGGGCCGATGGTTCAATGAACCATCATAGCGACGCCACGCGCCGCATACCCCACGATGCCGCCGCAATTCACGCTCGCGGGCGACTTCAGCATCGTGTCGACCCCTTGGCCGCTTCGCACGGGCGGTTGCGGCGCTCGGGGCCACGGACTCCCCGCCTAGGGAAAGGGGCGGGAGAGGTGGCGCGGGGGGCTTCCGCCGCCGCACGCCACGTCGCTCGGGGGCCTCACGTCGTGGAAGTGTTGGCAGATGGCGCAGGGGTCCTCTCGCCGCCTCTTACCCATGCTGACCGCCAGTCTCGCGCCTGCACTGCTACGTGAAGCAAAGGCCCGCTGGCCCCGCTGCGGGCGTGCTCCGACGAGGGAAGGGTCCTGCCGCCCTCTCTCTGCGCTGGACTCTCGTCTGGGGACGCGCACGGACCGGTGTGGGGCGCGCTGGGCACCCGCGCCGGCATCATCGCCCTCGAGCTCGTAGCATGTCGGCAGGAGTCGGGTTTTCTCGAGTGCTTCTACCCACCGCCGCCCGACTCGGCTACACGCCAACGCGGCTGACGTTGGATCCGCACCGGCGACGCACGCCGCACTCTGCCCGGCGCGACGCGTCCGAGGCGATCTTTTCGCGGCGCAGCCGCGCGAATTCGCCTCTCCTGAATCACTACGAAAGCAACGCGTGCTCACTCGAGCGGGACAATCGCGTGCGCAACGCGTGTCCGGCGGGTAGGCGTTTGTTCAAGGAGCTCAGTCGCGTGATTTCACCGCCCCCCGTACCGCGTGCGTGCGGCACGGGGCGACTCCATACGAGGCTGGAGCGCACGATGAGCGCGGGGGGGCGCCTCAGGGGTTTTGCCGCGCGCACACGCGACAGGTTCAAGGACAGGGCGTTCAAGGTCGCGGATGTGGACGCGCAGCTCGCGGCGCGCGCCCGCGGGGCGCAGATGGCCAAGGTGAGACCGTTTCTTCTGCACACCGCCAACTAGTGCGGGCACACGGCCGGGGAAATGGCCCATCCGCGCGCCCCCGGCCACGCCCCCGCTTCGCTTCCGGTGTGCGCGGGGCGGAGGCAGCGGCCGCACCGCGGCGTGCCGCCCCGCGCCACGGACACGCTGGACGTGCTGGCATCAGCGGCACCAGCACACGGCCCGCGGGCCGGTGCAGCGGCCCAGCGGCCTCCGTTCCCGCCCACAGGCCGCCTCCTCGCACTCGCCCCAGCATTCTGGCCGGCGGCGCACCGTGCCGCGCCCCTCTCGCGCGCCTGGCACCGAGAAGACCCTTGTGGGTCGTCACGGTGCGTCGTAGCCGTGGTGGACGCGCGCTCACGGCGCGACCGAGCTGCTTTCCGTCGCCACAGGTGCTCGGGGCGCGCGACCTCACCATGCTCGGCATCGGCGGCATCATCGGCGCTGGCGTGTTCGTGTTGACTGGCGTCGGCGCACACAAAAAGGCCGGCCCCGGCATCATGATCTCCTACCTCCTCGCGTCCATGGTACACCCCCCCCCGCGGGCTCGCTTCCCCGCCCGCCGCGCCACCGCATGCGTCATACCACGTCATACCAAGCACACCACCCCCCCCGCTTCGCCACTGCGCCGCAGGCCGCGTTTCTGTCGGCGCTGGCGTACACCGAGTTCGTCGTGGACCTGCCCGTCGCGGGCGGCGCGTTCAATTACATCAACCTCACCTTCGGAGAGCTCACCGCGTGGTTCGTGGGGGCCAACATGGTGCTGGAGTACACCTTTTCGTCGGCAGCGGTGGCGCGCGGATTCACGTCGTACCTCGCGACGCTGCTCGGCCTCGCGCCGGACGACCTCCGCATCGACATCGGCTTCACCGAGCTCGACCCGCTCGCCTTCCTGGCCGTCGTCGGGCTGTGTTATCTGCTGGCGCGCGGAACAAAGGATTCGAAGAACTTCAACTGGGGCGTCACGACGATCAACCTGGCGTGCATCATCTTCGTGCTCCTGGCCGGGTTCCCGCACGCCGAGCCGCGCAACTGGCGCGACTTCGCCCCGTTCGGCGCCCACGGCATCTTCGCCGGCGCCAGCGTGGTGTTCTTTTCCTTCATCGGGTTCGACACCGTCGCGACGACCGCCGAGGAGGTCAAGAACCCCGGCCGCGACCTCCCCATCGGCATATGCGCCAGCCTCGCGGTCTGCGCGGCGCTGTACGCCCTCATGGCCGCCGTCATCACGGGGATGGTCTACTGGCCTGACATCGGTGCGAAACCCCCCCCCCCCCGCACCGCTCCTTCGCCTCCTCCTCCCTCGCCGCGCCAGATACGCTCCCTCGACGCACGCCCGCACGTAAGCGCGTCAGACCCGCTCGAATCGCACATTGTCATATTTTATTAATCTGTTGCAGATGACGACGCGCCCTTCTCGGTGGCGTTCGACGACATCGGGCTGCACTGGGCGTCGGTGATCGTGTCGTTCGGCGCCGTGACGGGGATCGTGACGTCGCTGCTGGTGTCGCTCATGGGGCAGTCGCGCGTGTACGTCACGCTCGCCCGCGAGCGCCTCATCCCCCACGTCATGGCGCGGGTGAGCGAGCGGACGCACGCGCCCGTGCACGCCACCGCGGTCGCGGGCGGGCTGTCGGGGCTGCTCGCGCTGTGCGTGGACATCGAGGTCCTCGCGGAGCTCGTGTCCGTCGGGACGCTGTTTGTGTTTTTCTGTGTGTCAGGGGGGGTGTTAATGCGGAGGTACCACGACCCGAAGGGCGACGCCGCGCCCACGCCGGTGCTCCTGCGGCTCTTCGCGATCACGGGGCTCGGGGCCGGGCTCAGCGCGACGTTCCAGACGCGCCAGCACTGGTCGTCGCAGGTGAGACACCTCGCGCTCATTTGGGAATCGAAGATCCTCGACTGCTGTTGCGTGCCCCGAGCCGAACACGCAGCGCCTGCTTCACCGTCCCGCCGACCCTCGGTACCCTGCAGCTCGTGTTCGCGCTCGCCGCTCTGATGGCGGGGGGGTCTTTCCTGCTCCTGAAGGAGGTCCACTCCCCCACGGGGTTCAAAGTCCCCCTCAGCCCGATCACGCCGACGCTGGGCATGCTCTGCACGTCCTTCCTCATCGGCTCCCTCGGGTTCGTCGCTTACATCCGCTTCGGCGTCTGGCTGCTCATCAGGTGCGCCCGCATGTCGCACACGCGCATCGCGCGAGCAGGCCCATGTTGCGCCCGCCCCATCGCTCCCTGCGCACGCACGCTTCGTACGCCCTCTCGCACCGTCCCACGCAAGGGTAGTAGAACACTATACAGCACGAGCAACACAGCCCATGGACCAACTGCTGATGGCGTCGTGGCTGCCTGCGCTCAGCGTCGCCGTCCCCCGCGGTCCGCTCCGCAGTTTCGTGTTCTACCTGACGTACGGCGTCCACCAGGATCCCAGCCCGGACGGCGACCACGAGGCTGTGCCCGCATCGGCGACGGCCTCCCCGCGAGGGAGCGTTGCGCGCGCTTCGCTGCAGCAGCCCCGAGGCAAGCGACACAAGCACACGAACGGCAACGGGCTCACGGCGGACGACTTCATCGAGGTGGAATTGGCAGATATGAATTCTCCAAGTAGCAACAACGGCTTCGGAGTGACTGGGGCGGCGGTGGCCGGCGGGGTGATGTTCGGCGCGGGCGAGGGGAACGGGTCGGTGCTGCCGGTCGGTGCGGGCTCCGTGGGGTCGCCGTACGGGCCCGGCGGGTGGCGTCGCGGTGCCTCGTCCGGGGGGGTGTGGGCGCGGCTGCGGTCGCTGCTCGGCGGGCGTGGCGCAGGCGCGGGGGGCATGCCGGCGGTGCTCTACGAGGAGGGGCGTGTGTTTGGCGGGGGGGGTTTGGACCTTGGTGTGCCGAATGCGCACCAGCTGTCAGCTGCAGTCCCGATGGGACCGCCGGCGAACGGAGGCCGCTGGGACGCTGAGGGCGACGAGGACGGATCGGAGGGCAGTGGGACAGGGGGGGGCGGCGGATCGGACCGTGAGCCGAGGGGTGTGGGGGTGCAGGAGGAGGGGGATGTTGGGGGGGGGAGTGTTTTGGAGGGAGACGCACAGGCGGCGCGTGGGCAGAGCGCGGGGGACCGGGCAGGCGAGCGGCGGGGCGGCGGGGCGGCGGGCCGCGCTGCGCGCCCTCCGCCGCCGAAAATGGAGATGGCAAGCAGCGAGGAGGAAATAGACCTGTCGTAGATATGCGTGTATACATAGAGGTATATGTTCTGCGAGGTGACGGGCTTCTCAAAGACGCGTTCGACCCCGCTGTGGCTGTTCGATACCGTTCGCTCACGCACAGGCACGCTCGCAGCGAGGGTGCTTGACAGCTGAAGCAGAACAGCAAACAACACTGCAGGAGAGCGTTCCGCCGCTGCTGTCATCGCTCCGGCGAACGAATCGCAAGCTTACAGACAAGCTCAGCTCAACACGCTCGAGGCGCAGCCGCCCCGACGACGTGTCAGTTCTGTGTCGCCAGCTGATGCCGAATCATCATTGCCATGGACTCGGTCAGCCCCGCATCGCGCGGGTCGCGGTCGACAGCAGACACCCAGGTCAGAAATAAACAAAATTGCCTCGCAGCGGCCGTGCTTCCCACACGTGCGCCGCCACCGAAGCGCGGCCAGGCAGGCGTGTGTGCCGCGCAGACGTGCCACACCCTCCGCCGCGCTCGCCGCCGCTCAGGGCCGCGCGACCCCATCCACCGACATCCGCTTGTTCTTCTTCTGCACCAACTGCTCGATACGGTGTTGCAGCTCTGGCCGAACCTCCTTCGCGAGGTCAGGCTCCCCTTTCGCCGTCCGACCCACCGACTTCGCCGTGCTGAACTGCCGCGCGCCCGCCTCGTCGCCCGACGCCACACTCTGCGCGCCCTCGCTCCCGCCGCCCGCTGTGTCCGTCCTCGCAGCCCTGCGCGCCGCCACGGCCGCCTCCATTGCGGCAAGCTGCGGGTCCCCAGCCGGAGCCCTGCGCGGCGGTACGAACGTCTGCCCCAGCCCCCGGCGGTACGACACTTCTTTTCGCGCCGGGGACAGCTCAGGAGCCGGCAGCTCCGGGCCGTCGTCCGCTCTCTCAGCGTCGAGCAAAGGATGAATTTGCCGTGGCAGCGCCGGCCTGACCCGCGGCGGCGCGAGCGGCACGCCAGACGCCGAAGCTCGCCGCCGCCGCCCCGCCAGCGGCGGGGCCCCAGGCACCTCGACGCCGCTGCCGCTCGTCTCGAAGGTGCGGAGCACATGCCCCGCCTCGGAGGTCTCCGCCGTGAGGACCTGCTTCAGAAGACGCGACACGGGCAGCTCGTTGCCGCTCGAGTCCCTCGCGCGCTCCGTGTGCCACCCGCCCGTGGACCGTCGGCGGGCGCGCGCGGCCTCGATGCTCGGCGACCCCATGTCAGACGGGCGCAAGGTGCGCGGGGGCTCCGCGAACGGGCCCGGACGCAGCGGCCTCTCGTCGCGGGAGGCCTGAGGGCTCTCGGGCCCCCCCTCCTCCCGGCTCAGATCGGCCTCGCGGGTCATTTGCAAGATGGCGCGCCGCGCTTGTAGTTTGCCGGAGCCCAGCATCGCGCGGTACTCGGCCTCGGCGGCCGCACGCGCGTCGAGCTTGTGCAGCACGCGGCGTTCGGTGAAGACGTCGCGCCCGCCCGCTGGGCCGACGTACGCGACGACGGCGGTGAGCTGGCCGTGCGCAGCGGGCCCGTACCCGTCGTTGAGCGTCTTGCTCTTCTCGTACGCCTCCTTCACGAGCCAGCACGCGACGGTGTGCACCGGCGTGCCGAAGTGGTGCGACCGGTGGTGCACGGCCGACACCAGCGCCTCGGCGCCGCCCATGCTCTCGACGACCGCGGGGCTCGCGAGGACGACGTATCCGGAGCGCTGGATATCGTTCCAGAGCACCGCAGGCGTGTGGTGCACCGCGGTGATCGACGTGAGCGCGAGGGCGCCCACGCAGGCCGTGACGGGGCTAATGAAGCCCGTAGCGCGTTGCTGGACGACCACGTCACGCTCGGGCGTCGCGTCGCACAGGCGCGCGCCCGCGAGCTTCGCGGCCATCGCCTCTGCGGCCGCGGGGAGGCACGGGGCGTGAGATGAGGAGCGGACAGATACGGAAACAAGAGCAAGAATGCCTCGGGAACGAACAGGCCGGTCGCGGCGCGGGGCCGCGTCCGGCTCCGCGCACCTTGCGGGTCAGCGGGGGTGTGCCGCGTGGGTATGAGGTCGATGACGTTAGAGGCCGCGCCCTTCCCGTCGATCCCGGCGTACACTGCAGTGCTGTCACCCAGCTGCATCGCAACGGCGTCCTGCCCCCCGCGGAAGATGACGAGCAGGACCGTCGCGCCGGACTCCTCGTCCTCCGCGGCCTCCTTGAACTCTGCGGCAGCGCGGGAGCGAGAGCAGCGTGACGGTGATGCAAGGGAGGCGCTTGCGTGTGCGGAGCTGCCGGGTGCGTGACGCGGCGCGTGCCTGACTGGAGCTTCTGCATGACGTTGACGCATCCGATTTCCAGGCTGGCCAGCGTCCCGAGGCGAAGCGAGCGCAGCAGCAACGCGGGCAGGCGGTCCGTGACGCGCGTGACGGCCTCCTTGGCGTGCGGTCCGAAGCCAACGAACAGCCCGAGCACGACGGACTTACTCCCTGGATCCTCGAACAGCAGCCACTCGTCCTGCGGCGCCAGGGGAGGCCAACGACCGCACGTGAGCGCCAGCGTCCCCACTGGGCGTCTCCAGCGCGGAGCGCACGGTGTTCGAGAGCGCGGAACCTGCCGCGGGTGTGCAGCGCAGCCTACGAGCTGCCGCGGTCGGCGGCAGGGCGACTCACGTTGGAGGCGGCGGTGTTCGGGGACCGCGAACGACTCGCTGACGCTGCGCCAGCCTTGACGCTGCGCACGCCCGCCTTGAGCTCGACGGGCGCGTGCGTCGTCTGTCCCCCGGACGCGTGCTTGCACAAGATGGTGCAGTCCTGGAGAGCTATCTTGTCCGCGTTCGAGCCCCCATGCAGTCCTTGCTTGGTGGGGGAGCCCCTCGGCGTCCCCGGCGTCGACATCGCGCCGCGAAACGCGGCGCTACACCAGCAGCCTGCGACGGTGGAGTCGTCGAGGGCAAAAGTCGAAAGAGATCCTGCGTCGGAGACCCTCGGACGGAAAGCGCACCGGTCCTGTCTCGAGGGCAGAGCGCGCGAGGAAGGAGCGCTGCGGGCTCGACAGTCTACGCAGGGCGTCCTTCCTGCCGGTGAGGCGGGGGAGGGGCGCACCTCTTCGCTCGTCGCGCGGCGCGTGGCGCGAACCCTGTAGAGGTACTGAGCAGTCAATGCGGTCCGCCCGCGCGCGGCTGGGGCTCAGGATCAGGCACGAGACGAGTTGCGGCACGTTCCGGCCGTGCAGAGCGAGCACCGGCGAGGCGCCGTCATGTTCTCGATGGCGCCGCGACGCGCCCCGGCGAGGTTTCCGTGCCACTGGCTGGCTGGCTGTTGCGCGCTTCTGTGCTCTTGCAGCCCTCGTTACGACCGGAACACAGAAGCTGACATCGCGGGGGAGCTGCGGGGGCCCAAGTCCTCGCGGGAACCGGGCAGCGCGACCTGACGCATGTGCCTGCCCCGACGAAACAGACTGTCATGGCGTTCGGGCGCCAATATTGCGCCCTGGGGCTCCGTCGAAACCACGTTGCAGCTTGTCCGGGCATGCGCAAAGCGCCTCGAGGCCGTGAACGCGCGACCCAGGGCGGAGACGCACGCACCGAGGGCGAACGCCCGCACATGAGGCCCTGACCCTGCAAGCGCGACCTCGAGCTCGCAAACCGCCGGGATCAGACGCTCACGCCTGCAGAAGTAGAGTACGCGTAGCCAGCGCGCTTGAACCAACCTCACCCCGCGCGGCCCGCGCTCCAGCGCGATGCTAAGGGTTTCGTCCACGAACGCGCTCGTCATCCCGCCGTTCGAGTGCGCGTGGCTCAACAGCGACGAAGACAACCTCAAGGAGGACAGCGGCTGTATTGAGTTTGAAGCGCGAGGTGCGTCGTGCCGCGTAGGCCCGCTACGGAGAGCCCAGGCTCTGCGATGCCAACTGCACGCCCGTGTCTCCGCCGGGGGTCATCTTCCCGCGTGTTTTCATGCCGGTTATCACGTTCACGTACTCAAACTATCCGAAAATACGCTCGGGGCCCGTCGTCGCGGTGCCACCGCGCAGCGCACGCCCCACGGCCCCCGGCGTTTGTGCACAAGCCGACCTGTCTCCGCCGGGAACGGTCGCGATGACATCGAAGCGTTTGGCGCCCGCGGCCCCCACATCGTTCACGGCGTCCCCAGTGAGCGAGACGCGCCCGCGCTGCCCGGGCGGGCCGGTGCGGTGCAGCCTGCTTGCCGCTACGTGGATGCGCGCCCGTGGGGCCGGCCCGAACGTCGAAACCCTTTCATGTGTGCGCCCGCAGGCCTGAACGATGTGACGGTCATGCTGAAGGACCAGCCAGGGTCGCGTCGGTGGCAGGACTTGTCGCTTTCGGCGAGCACGTCTGCGCCTGGAGCAGACGCCCGCGTGCGCTCCCACGACGCCGGCCCGCCGGCCGCGCGCCCGCGCCAGGCCGAGCAGTCGTACGTGGTCATCATCGGAAGGTCCGCGGCGCCCCCAGAGGACTGCACGCGGCACGCGCGGGCCCTCTGCCCAGCCCTCCTGCTGCATCACGCTGCCGCAGCACGCGCGCGGGCATGCGAGCTCACAGCCACGCGCGCACGTGTCGACGACGTGCAGCCACCGCAACCGCAAGGTCAAGATCGAGCGCAACGGCGCGGAAATGTGCACGCACCGGGTGACGCCTGACGTGAGCCCCACCAAGACGGGGTGGCGCAAGTTCTGGGTCGACGTGGCGCACGGAACCATCACAGTCGGCGCAGGGCACCCCGGCACGCACGTCCTCTGCCAGTGGAGCGACCCAGAGCCCGTCCAGGCACGCACACCCGCTTCACCGCAGCACGCAGCCACACACCCGCGTCCAGCACGCAGCTCGCGGCGCAGCGCAGCGCACACCGCCGCCAACGACCCACCCTGTCAAGCACACCCCCCTGCAGGGCTTGCGCTATGTCGGACTCGCTACGTGGGACGCGCACGTCGCGTACCGCAAAGTGACCGTCGGGCCGTCGATCAACGCCCTCCTCGCCGACGGCCGCGAGGGCCGCGCGCCCCCCTCCGCGCTGCAGCTGCGCCCGGACGGCGCCGCCCCCCCCCCGCACGTGCCGAGCCTGTTTTCCCTCGCCGCCGCCGCTGTCGCGCGCGGCCTCGCGCCGGACAGCGCCTGCCTCGTGGCCGCACTCGCGGAGGCCATGGGGCACGTCGCGCAGCCCCTGATCGCCGCGTGCGTGGACGTGATGGCCCGCGACCTCCCCGCGTGCATCTCTGCGGACCCCGCGGCCTTTGCCGCGCTGCCGTGCGGGGCGCTCTGCGACGTGATCTCGCACCCGGCGCTCGACCTCCCCGAGCTCGCGGTGTTCGACGCCGTGCAGATGTGGGCCGCGGGGTGCGGCCGCCACACCCCCCTCAACACACCCCCCCTCCGCCCCATGCCCGAGATCGAGGCCGCGATGCGGCTCGTGCGCTTCCCGATGATGTCCGAGGACGAGCTCGGCGACATCGCGGCCCGCCCCATCACGCGCCACGTCCCCCTCCTGCAACGCCTCCTCGCCGAGGCCGTCTGGTCGACGCGGGAAGCGCTCATCGAGTCCGGGGCGGCGCGGTCGAGCAGCGGGCCGTGCAGCGCGCGCACGTCCCTGGACAGCCTCGACGGCGCGCTGCCGCAGGACGGCGCGCCGCTGCCCCGGCGGGCGTTCGAGGTGGAGGGCAAGCGCCTGGTGCGGCACGGCGCCGACCCGGCGGCGCAGCTGCGGCACCAGCGGCGCGTGGCGGGGCGCGCGGTGGAGCTGATGTACGTGCACGACGGCGACGGGTGCGGGCTGTTCGCGCACGTGAGCACCAACGGCGGGACGGAGCCGTGGGTGAACCCGGTGACGACGGGGCGCTTGGCGGTGACCGCGAGCTCGCCGGCGACGCGGTTCACGCGCGTGAACGACTTCGCGACGGGCAAGCTGCTGAAGAACTCGTACGCGGGGCCGCGGATCGTGAAGACCGAGACGGGGAGGTTCATGGAGGCCTGGTGGGCAGTGGACTTGGGCCCAAGCGCGCGGCTGCTGTGCAACTACTACACGCTGCGCCACGACGGCTCGGACGTGTTTCTGCGCAACTGGGAGCTGCAGGGCTCGGAGGACGGGGTCGCGTGGACCACGCTGCGGCTGCACGCGGGCGACGGGACGTTGCGCGAGCGCGGCCAGCGGGCGTCCTGGCCGGTGTCGGTGCCGGCGGGGGAGTGCAGGCCGCTGCGGCACTTCAGAGTGTGCATGCGCGCGCAGGCGCAGGACGGCTCGCTGGGACCAGGGAACATGGAGTTGCACCTCAGTCATATGGAGCTGTATGGGTATCTGCTGAGCTGACGTGGCGGGGCCAGCGGAGCCGGGGCGCGGCGCACGCTCGGAGCAGACTCCCGGCGCGGCAGCGCTCGTCGCTAGGGGGCAGGGAGAGCCGCGTGGGATGGCAGGGTGCGCCGTCTTGCAACAGATGATGGATCGGTGGTGCGTTCGTGCGAGGTTCGCGGCCAAGGAGCCGTGGTTCGAGACGTGTGATACGTGGGAGGTGCAGTGCGAGCTCGGGAGGCTCCGCGACGACCAACTCCACCGAGGTCTTTGAAGAACCACATGTGTGGTGGAAACCTGCACAGACTGTTTGGTTTCTTGTTTTCGTGGCAAGATGTGGTTGATGCGGCCGTCCGAGGACGCGTCTGCTCCGCTGGTTGTACCTCACGTACCGGATCCGGTGCGGACCGCTCCGTCGGGACGGAGCTCCTCTCATAGCAGATTGACGCACACGACGGCACTCGTCGCCTCGCGAGGCAGGCAGTGCTCACAACGCAGGATTGCACAGGGGCGGGGCACGTGAATGCTCGGTGCCGCCACTGCCGCAGCGTGTCGCACGATGGCCATGTCGTAGGGAAGGGAGGGGAAGGCAAGGGCAGGGAAGGGAAGGGAAGGGGGGGAGAAATTGCGGAGGTTGTCAGCAGGCTTGATCGGCCGTGAGCCTAAGCGCTTCAGTGAGCTGTGCTCGACAAGCCCGGGGCCGGGCTCGGTAAATACGACGTGCGCTAGAGCGTCAGCTGGAGTTGAACGTGATGCTCAGCTGTCAGGAGGGGGCTTGAAAAGACGATGCGTGGGCCAAGGGGCGGGGCCGGATCGGACATGTAGGTGGCCGAAGAGACGCAGTACCGTCGGGATAAAGCGAACGAGGCAGCCGCCCAATGCATGCAGTTGGTGATGTTTTCGTTTGCGGCAGTGTTTGCCGACCCGAAGGGATGGTGTCGAAACCAGGGGGGGGACAAAAGACGTTATGTGCATGGGACGCATGCGCGTTGCGAGTGAGGGGCGCAGCGGGGGAAAGGGGAAAAGAGGGCGGGAGGGGGGGCGAGGATCTTGTGTGCGGGCATACATCGAATTTCACTCAGGTATTGTACAGGACGCATGGGTGAAAACCATACACAGGCAAGCAGCTCTGGAGCGGCAAGGTTCGCCTGGGTCCCGTCTTGGTCGATGTTGGAGGGGACGAGAGCCGCATTGCTCACGACATGAGCGCGCCGCTTCCCTTCCACTCAAAGGAAACGCCGCCGGTCGGCGCGGGCTTGCGCCGGTGGTGCAGAGCTTCGCTGATATCTTCGGTCACGACCTGGCTCGGTTCGACCGCGGTGCCCCCCATCGTGCGTGCCGCCCCTCTTTGCGGGTGCACCTGGCGCCTGGAGACTCTGGAAGCCGCGTACGCCCCGCTGGACGTGACATGAGCGCGCGCGAGGCGGTGTCTGGTGACGTTCGCGCGGTTGCCTCGGGCCGAGCCACCCTCCCGCAGCTCTGCAGCCGTCGCAATGCCCGTGCTCGACTGCGCCGTGGCGCGCCGCGCGTGCTGGCCGTGATTGCTCACGACCTGCGAGCGCACGCCCCGCCGGGAGATCTGGTTCTGCAGGGTGGCTGCGGAGACGGAGATCGTGTCTCCGCACATGCTGTTGAGCGTTTCAACTCCCAGGATGGGGCGGCCGCCCCAGCTGCGCGCGTCTTCGCCCTCGCTGGCGACCGAAGCCCGCCGCCCGAAGCACGCGGATAGCGCTGCGAGGAACCCGCCGCGGGTCCTCTTCTTGCCGGCGGGGGGGCCGTGCGCCGGCGACACTGGCGCGACCGGCATCGAGGGTTGAGGTTCCACCGAGACGTGCATCGCCGACTGCGCCCTCACCCGCGACGTCTTGGACGGAGCGTCCACCACCTGAAACACGGAGTTGTCGATCTCGAACCGCAGCGGGCGCGTGGGCGTCTTCCCGCGCACTCGCGGCGGCTTATCTACCACCACCGCGGAGTGCGTTCTCCAGGAGGCCCGCGGGATATTTCGCGCGGCTGCAGCCGCGGCTAGCGCGGGGAGCTCCGCCGCCGACGGGCGCTCCGCCGGGGCTTGGCGCAAGCATGCCTGCAGGAGGCCGCGCACGCCCTCGGGGAGGGCCGGGGAGATGGCGCGCTCCGCGATCGTTTCGCCGGACGTGCGTATCATATCGAGGACCGCGCCGTTGCTCCCGCAGCCCCCGAACGGCGTGCGGCCGTGCAGCAACTCGAACAGCGTGACGCCGTACGACCACACGTCGCACGCAGCGTCGTAGCCCTCCCGGAGCTCGCGCGGCAGCGTGTTGCCGGTGCAGTGCGCGCCGGACCCCGCCACCTCCGGCGCGATGAACTCGACCGTCCCCAGCCTCGTCACGGGCCGCTGCTCGCCGACCGGAGCCATGGCAAACCCAAAATCTGCGCGCGACGCAGAGCGGAGGCGAAACAGTGACGCGGACGCGAGGATGTAGCGCCGGAGCCCGGTCGGCACGCGCGTCGCGCAGGCGGCGGGGGCCCGCGTACCGCACAGCTTGAGTCGCCCGTCGCCGTCAAACACGAGGTTCTCCGGCTTGATGTCGCGGTGGAGGACGCCGAGCGACCGGAGGTACGCGAGGGCCTCCGCGAGCGGGACGGCGACGGTCGTCATGATGCGAGAGGTCTCCGCCGGGGAGGCGACTGCCGCGGCAGGGGGCTTGATGAAGCTTTGCGCGTCCGAGTGCGCCCGCTCCAGGACCATGACGTAGTAGTTGTCCTCCTTGAGGGCGCCGTACAGCGCGAGGACGCTCGGATGGGACAGCGCCCCCTGCGGACGCGCGGGGGTACGTACCGCTGTATCGTACCGTACGTGGGGTCGGGTGCGGCTTGTCACGCGCGTCACTGCTTGCTGAGGTGTAGCACACTGCTGGGGCCACGCTGCGCGGCGCAGCAGCAGCGGTGGGCCGAAGGCCGCCGAGCCAGATATGCTCGTGGGATATGGTTGCGAAGCGAGTGTGAAGGTACCTGGATCAGGGCTTCGCGGCGCAGTTGGACGAGCTCGAGGTGGTCGAGCGAGTCCGTGTTGACCACCTTGAGGGCCACTGTGGTGCCGCTGACGTCGTCGCGCGCGATGACCACGGACGAATGCTGTCCTTTCCCGGCGGGTCCCGTGACCGAGAAGCGCGACAGCGCCATAGGACTGGCCCGCAACGCCGTCGGAGCGCATGGCGCGAAACCGACGGGAAGGTCCAGCGTGCGCTTCTTCAGGTGCGTCCTAAGGTTGTCCTGCGCTCCAAAGAAGCGCGTCCGATGCGAGCGTGATTCCAGGGCACACACTGTGCCCCGGCAGTAGCAGTGTTCGCGCGACATCGCGTGCGGCGGATAGGGCGACCGGCCACCTATTCGGAGACTTTCTCATTTCACGCCATTCGGGGTGGGGCGAGATGGGGCAACGACAAGGGCCGGTGGCGCTGGAAATGCACGGCGGGCCAAGTCGGGCAATCACCAGCGTAGTGAACTCCGTAGTGAACTCCACGCCCGGCGCTTCACTCTCCGGCCAGACAATCCCTCCAGGACCTGCCAGGCCGCCGAGGTCGGTCCGGCGATGGCCTTCGACACCGGCCACGGGCGCTGCTTCCAGCCCCATAGCCATGCCCTCTCCACGCCGTGCTTAGCTTAGCGCGGAGAGGTCGTCCACTCTGCGCGTCGTCGGGAGGAAACGACGACGAGAACGTGCCAGGAAAACGCCCCTCTGACACCCTCGCGAGCAGGGCACGCCCGTTCGCGCTTGGCTCGCCCTCAACGGCTTCCGCGCGAAAATGCGGCGCCAAGAGACGGGGCACCTGGCCAACCGCCTGACACAATCCCGTCGTGTTGCTGCGACGGTCGCTCCTTCGCGCAGCACCCCCACGCGAGGCCTGCCGACCCACCACGGGCCTCTGCCTCAGTGTCAAACGAGGGTCGCGGAGCACCACGCGTGCCGCGGGCGGTCGTCTTGTTGCGCCCAACCGCGTCGCCCCGAGCCCTTGTGCCGCGCCAGGCGCCCCGCCCCGCCGCGCCTGACGCGTCCGGGCCCTCCCGTGCGCCACGTCCCCACCGCCCACTGGAAACGTGACTCCCCCCCACGGCGCGGGCGATGCACTCGCGCGCGCGACCGGCCGTCCGCGCGCCGTCCCCCGGATCCCCGGCCTCAACCGCGAGGATTCGACGGAGGTCGACCGGTCCCGCGGGCCGCTCGCACAGGGGCCACAGCACATGGTACACCCGAGGTGCGTTCGGTCGGGCCGCGGCGCCGCGGCAAGCAGATAACGCACTTCACATTCGCGGGCGGCGGCGACGCTTCGCGAGCGCCTTGCCTCGAGGTGTCCGAAGCACTTCGCGTCGCTGCTCTACGTTGCGTGGCGGGGCATGGGCCGCGGGTCGGGGCGCACGGGGGCTCGGTCAGGCAGCGCAGCTATGTCCGCACTGCCTGCGCAGGCGGGGTGGCCACGCGGGAGGAGCCACGTCGACGCTCCAGCGCCCGTGACACCCTCTGATGTGCACAGGTGCGGCGGGCCCTTCACGCGAGGGTGGCGTCGTACTTCTTGCACGCCTCGACAAACGAGTTGAGCACCGAGTCCTTGAGCTGCTGGTACCTCACCGCCCCGAGCCGCGTGCTGACGCACCGCAGCGTGAAATGGCACTGCGCAACAAACGGGCACCGAACGCACAGCTGCCGTCGCACCGGGCCGCGGCGGGTGGCGCGGGACCGCCACCCTGGCTGCACTCAGCACGCACGAGCGCGTCCGCGCAGCACGCGGGGCGGCGCACCTTGCCGAAGTCAGTGAACCCGGAGTAGGACGCAGTGACCTTTTGGCGGTGGTCGACGAGCGGGTTGCGCCGCAGGGCCTCGCGCATGTCGTGCCCGATCTTCTCGGCGTGCTCGGCGTCCGTGATACGAATCGGAATGACGAGCTGCAACGGGCGCGGCGGCGGGCCCAGGGGCCCCCACGAATTCATCGCCCGAGAGTGGTTGATGACGAGCATGTCCTGCGGAGCGGGGGAGCAGAACAGCACGCGCGACGGTGAGGCGAGCGCGGGAGCGGCGCGTCGTTGCGTGTGCGTGTGGTATTGATGTTGCGCCAGAGGAGGGGAGGAGGGGGTGTCTCACGTTGAATGCTCGATTGCTCATGGAGATCGGGAAGCCGTCATCGCCGCGGATGATCGTCCTCGTCGGTTCGATGCTCACCACGACGCCGGACACCACCTTCCCGCCGCCGCCCGTGCGCAGCTCCAGGCGCTCGCCGACGGCGAACGGCCGCGTGAGGAAGATCTGCACACCCGCGAGCGTGTTGACGAGCACGGACTGCGCCGCGAAACCAGCCACCAAACCTGCACCGGCCCAGGCACCTTCCGTGAGCGGCGCAGCGTCGACACGCGTGCGTCGCGGACGCATACGCCGGCCACGCGCGGCGAACGCGCCCTCGCAGCGGCCGACAACATGCCGCAAACACAGCCGGCTTCGCGGCGCCCGTTCGTCCCTGAGTCAGCCCGGGGGCGCACCTGACACACCCCCCAGGGCCAGCAGCGGCCGGATGTCGACGTTCATGACGCTGAGCGACCCGAGCACGGCCGAGCCGACGACCAGCCACGAGACCAGGCCGCTGAGGCCGACGAGGAGCGAGCCGAACGCCACGACGGGTCCGCCGTCGTCGGCATAATTCATGGCTTGCTCTACCTCCAGCATGACCGTGTTCTTCCACCGCAGGACGGCCCAGGCGATCAGGCCGATGACCGAGACGTTCGTGGCGACGACGAGCACCGAGTGGGCCGTCGCGAGCCCCGAAACGATCGCGTTCGCCACGTCCATCGCAATCGTGGGCCTGGCCGCCGCGCTCCTGGCGCCCTTGCCCACGGCCAGCCCGAGCAGCTGGATGCCCAGTTCTATCGCCTGCAGGAACGCACGGAGATCGCCGGACGTCAGCGCGCCGCGGCCGGCGCGGCAGATACGCTGCGCGCTCGCTTGCCCGCCTTGTGCACGAGCGCCGTCCGGTTGCGCGGTGTTTCGCTGTCGTGCTGCCGCTCCCGAGGCAGCTGACACAGTGTTCGTGCGGGCGCGCGCACCTTCGTCGCGGACAGAAGGGCGATGAGCGTCACGATCGGTGTCGTGATGGCCTTGGACAACGTCGATGCCGACGAAGAGCGGAATAGCGCCATCTGAAGGAGGTCCACGGCGTTCGCCGGGGCCCGGCTGGTACTGGTGACCTGCATCGCCAACAATCACGCAACGCCTCGCCGTCACCACCCCGTTTCCGCGCCTGCGAGCGCCGCGCGGAGCACTCGCGATCGGGCCCCGCGACGCGTCCGGCGGCCCAGCCCACTCGCGCGCGGGGGCACCAGCTCGTGGGCGTCGCATCGCGCACGCGGGCACGGCACGCGCGCGCCGCCGCCGGGCCCGCGGCCCCGTCGCCAGCGGATCCAACTGCCCTCGATCTCGGGCGCAACGACGCCTGGTCCGGCGCCGAACTGGCGCGAAAGCGCAGCGCGCGCGAGGGGGGAGAGCTCAGGCGCCCCTCGGGCCACCGGCGCTCGCGCAACGATCGGTATCGCGGGGTGATTTCGGGTCGCGTTTCACCTGGAAGGGAGCCTCTGCATTCTCCTCCTTTTCGCGGGCTTCCGCGCGCGCGGCGAGGGCCAACGTGGCCCACATTGCCACCAGACACACCGTCAGATACAAGATATTCTGCCCGACCGGGTCGGTCGACAGCCAGGTGCCCGCAGCGCCCGTGAACGCTTCGAAGCCTGCGGGGGCCGGAGGTGGTGGGGGCGCCGGCGCGGGCGGGGGAGCGCGGAAGAGGCCGCGAGGGGGCGACAGCGTGGCTCTCCGGGAACTGACGTGCGCGGTCCCGGGAGGTGCCGCCACGAACGGCCTCCGTGGCGGCGCGCACGCCAGCCCTAGCCCAGCGGGCCGCAACACTCCCGTGGCGAGTTGCATTGCGGGCCCGGGTGACGCGACGAACGACGCTTTCGCGACCCGCAACGACACACCGTTCCTACCGCGCGCGGCCGGCGCGGCCATGCAACGTGCGGGGCGGCGCGCGCCATCGGTCGTGCACGAATACACAACAGTTTCACTCCCGGGGGGGAGTCCGCCATCGCCGGCTCGCAGGCGCTCTCGCGCCGCCGAGCGCTTCCACAGCACGCTGCCCCTACGTGCTGGTGTATTCGCAGCGCGGCTCTCGGGTACAGAAGTCCTTGATTGCCTTGAAGCAATTTGCAAGTTGCATCAACACAGACGATGGTGCATGTCCAGGCCCCACCCCCCGCTCCACGCCCCGTGCACGCTCGCGGACCGCTCGTGCGCACCTCGCCACGCCGCCCACAGCGGCCTCTGCTGCACGCACGCGCTCTCATACCTCACAGCTACAGGCGGGTGCGCGTAGGCGGCCAATGCGGCCCCTCTACGCCAGCGCCGCGTCGTTCTTCTTCAGTATGTCAGTCAGCTCCCTCAGCGTGCGGTCCTTCAGCTTCTGGAAGTCCGCCGCCCCCGCCCGCGTTGTCACGCATCGCATGGAGATTTCCACCTTGCCCCCACCCCCCCAACCTGCACAGCGCCGCCAGCACGCATCGAAGGTCGCACAGCCGCGCCCCGACACCCCATCGCGCCCCGCTTGCGCCGCATGCACCCGCTCTGCGTCGCACCTGTCCACCCCACAAACACTGGCTGCTCTGCGTCGATTTCTTTGCGGAAGATGAGCCACCGCCGCAGCGAAGAGATGATCTCCTCCGCCTTGTCCGCGTCCTCGAGCCTCACCGCAATCTTCAGCTCGAACGGCCGCGGCGGGGGCCCGAGCGGGCCCCACTCGGTCATTTGCCGCGAGTGGTTGACCACGAGCAGCTCCGTGACGCTCTTGTTGGGGATCGACACCGGATACCCGTCCTCGCCCCGGACGGTCGTGCGCGTGGGCTCGATGGCAGCCACCACGCCCGAAATCACCTGCGACCCCGGAGACGGCGCGTGGCGGTGGTGGGCCGGTGCGCCGCGAGGTGTGGGGCGCGCGCGGCGGCCGTCGTGGCCGCGTGCCGGACAGGCCGAACAGTGATGTTGCGTCTGCGTGGCGGGGCGACGCACCGTCGCGGTTCCGTCCCCCGTGCGTAGCTCCAAGCGTTCGCCGACAACGAACGGCCGCGAAATGAAGATCTGGAAGCCCGCGAGGATGTTGGTGAGCACGGACTGCGCCGCGAAACCAGCCAGGAGACCTGCGGAGCGCAGGGCGCGCGGGGGGGCGTGGTGGGAGGGAGCGGAGGCGGGTTGCGGGGCGGTGAGTCGAGGCGCCGCGGCTGCGGCGGGGAGGGCGGTGCGCGGCCGAGCTGGTCGTTGCGCGGGCTGGAATATTTTGTGCGAGCGAGTGCGGCCGTAGGAGAGGGCACGCGGCGCCCTGAGAGGCGGCGACACCCTACTTGCTGACTGGCGCATGTGCCTCCACTGGCGTACCCGAGAGACCGCCGACGGCGAGGAACGGCCGCAGGTCGACCTTGAGCACTCCGAGGGTCGTGAACAGCGCGAGAGACACGATGATCCAGGAGATGAGCTGCGACACGCTCAGAATGATAGTGCCTGCAGTCTCCACCTTGCCGCCGCGCGGGGCGTCCTGGATGGCCTCCTCGACGAGCTCCATCGCCTGGTTCTTCCACAGCAGAATAAACCACGCGATCAGGCCGATCAGGGACAGCCGCGTGAACACCACCAGGCCGTCGTGCAGCCCCTGCACACAAACACAAAGGCCGCACGCTCACCGCCCGTGACACGCGCAGCCGCCCCGCGCGAGAGCCACGCATCGCCTGTGCAGGCACCGGCCGCGCCGGGCCGGGAGCGCGCGGCTCACCTCGACCAAGAAGTTGGCGTGTTTCAGTAGCATATGCAGCGCAGTGGTATCTTCCCCCTTGAGACCAGGCAAGAAGCTCCCCTTCGACCGGAACATGTTGAGCCAGATGTCGAACTGCTTGCCCAGCAGCTCCAGCGACTGCACGCGCACGAACGGCCGCGAACGCGTCTCACGCCCCGCGCACTGGAGCACTTCTAGAGCCCGGGGGAATGAGGGCGCGCAGGAGCCGGGCGGGCCGCTCGCACGGATCGCACAGTCGCGCGCGCATAGTTGGGAGCTGGCTGCGCTGTACGGCGCGACGAGGATCGTCGCGGGGGGCGCGTGCGGGCGTGCGCGGACCTTGGCTCCGGCCAGGAGGAAGAGGAGCACCTCCACGGGCTTCTTGAGGGCGGAGAACAGCGTGACCGTGCGTGAGGACCTGGTGAATACCACCTTGATGAGGCCCTTGTAGTCGTTCGCGTTCTCGATCGCCGACCCGGTCGAGCCCTGCGGACGAGAGGCTAGAGGCCAGCGCTGAGCACCGGCAGTGCGTGCGCGCGACAGCGCGTCCCTGGGGGTCCTGCGCCTCGGATGAAGACTCCAGATCACGAAGAGCGCTGCTGTAGATCGCCTGAGGGCTGAGAGCGCTCAGGTGCGCCGTTTCAGCGACGGACGACTGCCGGTAGTTTCAGAGATGCTCTTTCATCGCGTTGCGCGTCGACGCGCGCCGACCGTGGCAATCGGACCGCGGCGGACAGCTCTCATCGATCAAGAAAGCCCCTCGCAGCCACGTTCAGCGCCCGCCGCGGCACGTCCGGGGCGCAGCAGCAACATACGCTTGCAGGTCGTTTCAGCGGCAACGCACCCATCGCCGCGGTCTCCGGATCACTTTGGACAAGTACTCCAACAGCGCCATGCACCCAAAGTACGCCGCGAGCGTCGCCGCGTCCTGCCCAATGCCCTTCTGCCCAAACGTCGAGACCAGGAAGTCGGCTGCCCTGGCGACGCGGGCCGCGATCGAGACATCCGCCTGCGGCGGCGCAGGCCCGCGCCGGTTCCGCTGCCGAGTGCGCTCCCTGTGCAGCTCAACGGCCTGCCGTCCGTGCAGGAACGGCGCCCGCGCGGGCGCTCTCAGGCAGGCGCGTCCACGCACTTCTGCCCACGCCGCGGGCGCGTGCGGGGCGCCTGGCCGCGGCGCGACGCCGAAGGATCGCGCCTTCATCGACTCCAGAGTGCGCGGCGCGGCAGCCCTCGCGCAGCCCCTGGCTCCCCAGGACCCCCGCGGGCTCCACCTGCACGTCCAGATTGTGCCACGTCCAGCACCTGACGTCAGGGGATCGTCACGTTGCGGCGTGCGTCACAGGCGATCGAGCGGGCCGCGCGGACCGCCCGCTGCGAGGCGCGCCGCGCCGACCCACTCGGCGGCCCGCCGTGGCGGGCGCGAGCCCACACACGTCCAACCCCGTTGATGGCCATGTGTGTTTCAAATACGATTCTGTGGTCCAAGTTCACGCGAGCGCGCCGTCGTACTTATCCAGAATGTCAACGAAGTCCGTGAGCACGCCGTCCTGCGAGATGTCGCCCGTGTGGCTGAGCGGGTGGCGGCAGCGTGCAAGGCGGCGTGCGGCAGCGGTCGAGCAGGGCGGCGTGCGGGCCGCGGGGGGGGGCGCGCACCCGGAAGGAAGGATACCGCTTCGCTGCTTCGCGCGTCGACATGCAGCGGATCGTGAGCTCCAGCTTCTTCGGGTGCCCGAACCCTGCACACGGAGAGCCACGGCACCACGAAATGGTATTTGATCTTCACGAGCTGACTCTCGAGTCGACCGGGCGGCGCAGGCGGCCGCGCGACGCCGCACCTGTCCAGCCGCACATCACGGGCTGGTCGTGGTCGACGTCTGGGTGGTTTTGGAGGTATTTCGTGACCTCCGTGGCAATCATGCTCGACTTGCGCCCCGCGTCCGAGAGGCGCACGGGGATGGTCACGAGCAGCGGGCGCGACGGCGGACCCATGGGCCCCCAGTCCGCCGCGTCCATGCAGCGCGAGTGGTTGACGACGAGCATGTCGGTGATCGTCTTGTTCGGGACCTGCGCCGCACGCCAACGATGGTGTTCGTTTGGACTTACTGTGCGGGCAGGAGGGGTGTTGCCGACGGACCAGTGACGGTGTGGCTCGGGTGCTGGATGGAGGCGACCGACCGCGGGGCGAGTGGCGCGCAAGGGGGGGGGGCGGTGTGGGAAAGACACGTGAGTGTCGTGGCCGCTGACGGTTGGTTCGAGGGGACGTGGGCTTACGGATACGGGGAAGTTGTCGTCCGCGCGGATGATCGTCCTCGTCGGGTCGATCTGCACCACAGTGCCCGCGATAACCTTCCCGCCGCCGCCCGTGCGCAGCTCCAGCCGCTCGCCAACCGTGAACGGCCGTACGAGGAAGATCTGGATCCCCGCGAGGATGTTCGTCAGCACGGACTGCGCCGCGAACCCAGCCACGAGACCCGACGCCCCGCCGACGGCCAGCAGCGGCGCAATGTTGATGTGCAGCACGCTCAGCGTGGCCAGCAGCGCGATCCCCACCAGCGTCCAGGACACCAGCCCGGACGCCCCGACCGCCGCGTTCCCGAACACCTCGACCGCGCCGCCCTTCTTCGCGCCCACCAAGGTCTCCTCAACGACCCTCTGGGCTTGCTTCTTCCACCGCAGGCTCGCCCACGCCAGCAGCCAGACGACCGCGATCTTCGTGCCGACCGCCATGAGGTCGTGCGTGGCCTCCACCGCGTCGACGGCGCGCTCCACCAGCGCCTGGAGCATCGTGGCGTCTGACTTGTCGAGGACGCCCGACGCAGCGCCCTGGCTCTCGACTACGCGGGAGAGCGTGCCGCCGAGGACCTCGAGGGACTGCGGCGACGGAGGGAGGCGATGCGAGGGATGTGAGGCCATGCGAGTACCAGCGCAGTGGACACGACAAGCGGTGGTGCCGTGCTGTCGGCGCCCGCGATGCCCTGCGGCGCGCCGCACCGCGCCCGCACCTTGACGAACGCCAGGATGTAGATGAACCAGTTGATCGGTCTCTCCAGCGCCTGGAAGACGGTCCCAGAAGCAGCCACTTTTGAGAACACCATTCCCACGAGATCCTGGACGGTCTGCGGCGCGTCCTTGCCCTCGCACTCCTGCAGCGCGACGAGAGAGGCGCCGGGAGGTGCCGGGGCACTCACGCGCGGCCGGGGCTCGTGGCGCGCCAACTGCCACGAACAACACGCGGGGGGCAATGCATCGGGCTCGCGTCCAGATCGAGCTCCCGACCATGCAGCGCTCGCATGTTCACGGTGCGGGCATCGCGTGGGGCGGCAGAAAACGCTGAGTGGGCGCGGAGGGGCGTCCACACGAGGGAAGAGGACTTCGCTGACAACTGCAGGAGCAGGGTCCTCGCGCGGCACCTGCGACGCGAGCAGTCTGTTCCGCGAGAAGGAGCATGATACGTAGGACCCGTCATGTGCGGTCAGCTGCGGCCTGAGGGCGCAGGCAGGGCTCACCGGTGCTTCCCCCGTCGGCGAGACCTTGCTTCGAAGGCGCGCCCCGACGGCCTTGACGGCGATCAGAGCGACCATGTAGACCACGAAGCACGCAATGTCTTGTCCGAGGGAGTCCTTGACAATGAAGTTCATGACTTGCGAGGCCGTTGACGGCTCCGGGAGAGCCACCAAGGGCTTGGCGCTCGCAGCGACCGCCCGCGCTCCAGCGCGCTCCCGCCGCGACGGCACTGCGAAGCTGGAATCTACACATCGACGTCCCCGCGGAGCGACCGGCGCGGGCCGCCCTTGCCGCACGCTCCTGCAGGGAGCCTCCAACCTAGCACCGCGGCCCACGCAGCAGGGGCGCGCGCCGTGAGCCTGCATTGCGGACCCCACGCCAGGAACGGGCACGAACTGCTGAAGTCTACGCGTGTGCGGCCCGCTGGCGAGCCATGAGACCGGGCGGCGGACGTTCACGCGCTGACGCTCACACCCCTCGCCAAGCAACCCCCACTGGCGTTACGCAGAGGGACCTCGCATGCGCGCCAGCAAGCGAACGTCCGCGCGGCCGGCCTCCCGCCGCGCGGTTCTGGACCCTCAGGAACAGACACTGGAAATTGCACCAACCAAAACAAACAGACCTCGAAATTGTTCTATGGAACAACAAGCACACAGACGTTGTAGGTCGACCAAGCTTCGCTCTCACATGTCCCCTCGGTCGCGCACGAGCCGCACGTCGCTCGCGCTCATCGCAGAACCATCAGGCCGTCCTTCCGCAGCCTGTACCCCTTGCCAACAAGATCGTTGTATGTCGGACCGTCGACATTGATCGTTCGTCCCGTCAGGGGGTTGATGGCCTTGGTGGGCCGCGCCGCGCCCACGGGCTCCTCGCCGTCGTCCGAGTCGGAGCCCTCGTTGCTGCGGACGCGCGCGGGAATTCGTTGCAGGGTCGGAAAACAAGAAATGACAAGAAACAAGAGATGAAATGACAAGAAATGAAATGCACGGCGCGCAGAGCGACGAGGATAGCATCGGTGCTGCGCGCGGGCGTCGGAGCGGCTCACCTGAACCTCCCGCCGACGACCGTCACGTCGGGTGGCTGCGTGCGCGGCGTGGACGAGCGCCTGTAAGCACCGGAACCCGCCCGGGGGACTCCCTCGAGGTCCGCCCGCACAGCGCTCACGCGGCGGTTCGTCGCGCGCGGTCGCCCCTGCTGCGGCGAGACGTCCCTGAACGGCTGCGGCGACGGCGGGCTCGCGCCGCCACGCGACGGCGCGCGCCTCGCCTTGCCGGACCCGGAGGTGTCCTTCGCGACCCTGGTGGCCCGGGGGGGAGTCGGGGTGGTTCGGAGCTGCGGGGTGTCCGTCGTCGTCCTCGGCCAGAACATCCGGAACGATATGCCGCCGCCGGCGTCCCTGTTCTTGCGCGGCGGCTCTGGGCCGGCGGAGTCCACGGAAGGCCCCACGTCGGCCTTGAAACCGATCCAGCGCCGCAGCGACGGCGACTGCTGGTCCTCGTAGTCCTCTGACGTCCGCACCGGCGCGCTCGGGCCGCCCAGGATGTGCACCCGGCCCTTCCTTCCGCGCTGCGACGGCACAGCCGGCGGGGGCGGGCTCGGCACGCGGATCGGACGCGGCCGCGGCCGCACGTCGTCCTCGGAGAAGCGCGCACTTCCGTCCGACCCCGACAGCGACCGCTCCGTGAAGTGGTGCGCCGCAGCCACGCCCGCGTAGATCCTGGCGCACAGCGCCCACATCGCGCTCCCGGCTGCCGCGAACGCACCGGCGGCGCTGCGAGCCGCCGCTCCGACGACGGGCAGCGCGCTGGCGACCCGTGCGAGCACCCCCGCGACCACGCGCACCGCGGCAAGGACCGGGCTCAACGCCTGCATGATGGCGGGCGCCGCGAGGCACACGGCCGCGCCGGGCACCGACACGAGGGCGTCTTCGAGGGCGAAGAAGAGCGCGCCGATCGCGCCAGCCCGCAGGAACCACTCGATGCACACGCGCGGCACGTGGCTCCCCGACCGCACTTGGCTGTCGTCAAACCAGAATGCGAGGCTGGTGGCCGCGGTGAGGACCGCCAGAAAGACGCAGAGTGGAAGGGGCTGCAGGAGCGTGTTCCACGCGTAGACGGTGTCGCTGAAGGGAGTCACCCCGATCAACGACGTCAACAGCGGGCGCAGGAGGCTGAACATCCACACCCGAAGGAAGGAGATCGCGAGGGCGCCGACGCCGGTGTAGGACATCAACGTGAGGTTCAAGCGGATGGAGTTCCTGCGGACGGGCGGGCGGGCGGGTTGCGGCGGCGGTGAGGCAATCCGCGGCTTGTGTGTGGTGTGGTTGGTTGGTTGCAGGCGGTAGGTGGGCCGCGGGCTTGCCTGAACGCGAACACGAGGCCCGCGATACCCGCGGTGCAGAGGATGATGGAGGCGATGATGCCCACGCGGACCCCCTGGGACTGCGCAAGGTCGTGCGCGACCGCACAAACCACGACTGCTGCGATGGTCGCTGTGACGCGGAAGCGGCTGATCGAGTCCGCGTGGGTGACCTTGCACCGCACGCCCTCCTCGCCGAACGCCATCTCGCGCGCAGTGCGGTCCGCCTGCGCCCAGACCCGGGCGTCGGCGGCCGGCCGAATGATGAACGTCACCTTGCCTTCCGCGGGGGGGGTCACCGCGGTGCGCTTCGACGCCGACGGGTCCGTGACGTGCGCGGGCTGCAGTGTCTGGCACTCCTGCTCCCTTGGAGGCTTCGGCGCGGTCGTTGCGGGGTCGTTGAAGCCCAATAGGTCCCTGAGAGGACCCGTTGTGTCCTCGCGCAGGCACACCGTGACGGGCCTGCGATCGCATCGGGGCGGAACCAACGATTCACTGACAGGTGCAGCGCTGCGCGATGGACAGGGCGCCTGAGTGCGCGCCAGCAGGTGCCGGGGCGACTTCCACGCACGCGTGTGCGTCCAGCGGCACCGCCGGGCCGTTCTGCGTGGCCTGCCCGCCTAGGCCGCACACAAGGCATGTCCGAGCCACGAACATGCCGCCCTGCGCGCGCACACACAGCGAGGACGCGCTCACCGCGCAGGGTCGCGTTCCGGTCGCACCTGGTTGTCGCACACGACACCTCAACGGTCCTGTCCATCAGCACAGGCGTGTGCAGCGCGATCCGCGGGCGGCCCTCGATCGAGTGGACCGTGTACTTGCTCGATCCCACCATCAGGTCCGCCGCCCGCGCCCACGGCAGCAGCCCGCACAGCAGCACCCACGCCAGCGCCATCATTGCGCAGAACGGACCGCGCCGCATCGCAAACGTGCGCGCAGTCTCCCGCGAACACAAACCCGCGAACCCTACGTGCCGGAGTGCCCCGACGCGCGGAGCGCGCCCCCGATTAGCCGCGCGGTGGCGAGGGCACATCCTGGGCCCAGGCACCACGTCAGGGGGCTGACAGGGGTGGCGCGGCCACGTGGCGGACGAGTCGGCCGTGCCAGCGGCGCCGCGCCCTCCCACGCGGGCTCGCTGGGGTCGCGCCGCCCCTCTGCCACCGTCCTCGATCAGCTCACGCCCTGCGTACGCACACGCAGCGGCGGGTCGCCGCCTGCGCCGCGGTGCAGGGCGCGTCGCGGCGCGGGCCACGTCCGCAGCGGCGCCACGGTGCCCTGCGTTCCCGTGCGCCTCAGACCGCCTCCTCGCACCCGGCCGCCGCACGTCCGGACGGCGCGTGCGCGCCGTTACACGACCCGCGTTCGCTCGCCCGCATCGCGGCACCGACGCCGCTCCACCCGTCCCCGGACGCCCCGCACGCTGCCGCACGCCCTCCGCGCGCGGGGGGCGCTCCGCCGGCTCCGTCGGCCCCGGGGGGGTGTCTGAGGCTCCGCTGGGTCTGACAGCAACGTCGCGGCGTGTGGGCGGCCCCCGCGGCCGCCAAGAGCCCCGCGCCGGGCACGGCAGGCGCACAGCGCCCGAACTAGGCGGCGGAACGAGCGTTTGGAGCCACGAGTGCGCCGCGCAGGAATCGAGAGCGGATGGTTGCGTAGGAGACACCGGGGCTTTTCTGGTCGTGGCAAAGACACCGCTGCGAGCGGCCATGGCGCCCGCGGCAGGGCACACGAGCGCCTGCGCGGGCAACGCATGCCTGCGCGCGTCGCGCCCGCGGCGGGTGTTTGGCCTGCGGCCCGTGCGCTGCGGGAGGGGCGCCCCGTCGGGGGGCCGCGCCGGTGGGGCCGTGGGGCCGGCGGGGTCGCAGAGCCGATGCGTCCGGGTTTTTTCGAGCTATAATGTGCCGTCGCTGCGGGATGGCGGCGCGGGGCCGTCGGAGGTGTGCGCCCTGGCCCCCGAACGCTGCTCGGCCCAGGAAGCTCGACCGCCGCGGACGCGCTTGGTGGACCGCACGCCTCGCGCCGCGGATGTCGGCGCTCGAGTGTTCCTGCTGCGCCGACTCAGGATTGTTTCGCGCGCCGCCGGGCCGCGGAGAGCGCCCGCCGAGCTGCTGGTGCCCTCTTCGGCCCGCGAAGCTCGCGACGCGGTCGATGCGAGCGGCTCGCTCGGCCACCAAGGGCTCGGTTGAATTATGCGTTCTCGACACGGGGCGCTTCCGTGGTCGCGCGAGCCTCGCCGGCCTCGGCAGCTGGTCTGAGAAATCCCAGGCCACCAGCCCTGCACACGAGCCGCGCGGCCCACCGCGCCCAGCACCCGCCTTTCCGCTCGCGCGCAGGATCCCGAGCACGGCACTAGGCTGATGGACTTCATGCAGGCCTGGGACCTCCTCGCGTCCCGCCTCGCGCCGGGTTCGGGCCCAGCAGCAGCACCGGACCTCCTCCTTTCCGCGCTGAAGCTCCTCCTGGCCTGCTACCCGGGCGCCGCGCCGTTCCTTCCGGCGAACGTGGCCGCGGACGTCCCGCGGCCGCCGCACACGCCCGCGCAGCTCGCGCCCCCGGCCGTCGCGAGCGCCCTCGAGCTGAGCGTGGCTCTCGCGGACCTCGCGTCGTTCGGCATGGGGACGGACTCGGAGACCGTGGCCGCGGGGCTGGTCCTCGAGGCCGTGAGCAACGGCGACATCTCGCTGGAGAGCGTGGAGCGCGAGCTGGGCCCGATTGTCGGCAGCATCGTCCACGACGCCCTCGTCGTGCGGCGAGCGCCGCAGCGGGTGGACCTCTACGACGATGACGCGTCGGCGGCGATCCGCGAGCTCTGCCTGAGCTTCTACGACACGCGCGCCACCGTCGTCGAGCTCGTCTCGCGGCTGTGCAGGCTCTCCCGGCTCAGCGCTCTCGCTACGCCAGAGAGCGCGGCGCGCTTGCAGGTCGACGCGCTGGAGGCCATGCAGATCTACGCGCCGATGGGGTACGCCCTCGGGCTCCCGAAGCTCTCCTCGCGGCTCGAGGACATCGCGTTCCAGGTGCGCCGCGCGCAGCTTGGCCGGCTCCAGGCCGCACCCTCGCCCTCGTCGGCGGAGCGTATCCGCGCCGATCCGGCCCCGCGCGACCGCCCGCCGCGCCGCCTCCATTTCGAACCAGCGCGCGCGGATCGGTCGCGCGCCCCGCGGAGCGCTCGTCGCGTCGAAAACGACGATGCGAGCAAGCAACCCGACCTAAGATTGAGGCCCTCGCGCCGGCGTCCCGGCCGCGCAGACGCGCGCCGCGCCTACGCGACGACGTCGCACCGCCCACGGAGGCGCCCGTCGCGCCCCCTGGGCACACCCCGCCCCAAATCAGCTCGGGAACGCCCGTGCCTCTCCACGCACCCTCCCACGCCGCTGCTCTCGGCGCCACGCGGCCGCGCGGGCCTCTCCGCGCGCCCACAGCGTCGCCTGGCCCTCGTACCACCTCCACGAGCGTGCGCCGCTGCCTCGCAGATCGTGTTTCCGTCGGCGTTCGAGGAAACAACGTCGTGGTTGCGTTCGGACCGCATCGCACGCGAGGACGCCCTGGAGCGCGCGCGACGGGAGCTCCAGAAGGCGCTGAACCGCAACCCGCTCGTCAAGCAGCTCGCAGCGAGTGCGTCCCTCCCCCGCCGCCCCCCCCACGTCCCGTGCGGTCTCGGTATCGCCCCTCACCGGCATCGCCTCGTTGCGCCGCCTCACCGCCGCACCCGGGCGTGGCTGCAGAGTGCGAGATCACGGCCCGCTCGAAGAGCCTCGTGTCGGTCATGCGCAAGGTCCTGTCGGTTGGAGACATGTCGCGCGGCGGCAAGGACATGCGCGACGTCCATGACCTCCTGGGCATGCGCGTCGTGGTCACGCCGCTGCCGAACCTCGACGAACGCGAAGCCGATGGTACGCCCGACCTCCCGCACGGCGCTCCCGCGCCCTCCCGCCCCCACCTCGCCTGCCCCGCCCGCACACACCTGCGCGCACACAGTTCGCCGCAACTCCCCGCGACCGCGCCCCCGCCCGCAGAGATGGCCATCCAGGCGTGCTACGCCGTGCGCGACGTCGCCGCGGGCCTCTGGCCGATCGTCACGGGCCGCGACAAGGACTACATCGCCTGTCCAAAGCCCAATGGGTATCGGTCGCTGCACATGACCTCGCGCGTGCCAGCGGGCCGCACGCTCGACATTGAGTCGCTCAGCGCGGGCGCCGACGCGCAGCCGGACCGCGACGACGACCGCGTCAACGTGGAGGTCCAGATCCGCACTGCAGCGATGCACGCTGCGGCTGAGTCAGGTTCCGCGTCGCACGGGCGGTACAAAGGCGGCCTGGCGCCCGGGCTCGCGCTCGCGGCGAAGACCGCGGCGCTGCCGCCCCCGGACAGCGACGGCGGAGACGAGCTGCTACCGCGGCCCCTGGACTCGACGCACGAAGTCTTCCGACTCATGGATCGAGACGGGGACGGCCGCGTGACGCGCGAGGAGCTGCTGGAGCTCGCGCGGGAGCTCGGGTCGCCCGCGGGCGCGGCTGCGGCGGTCGAGGGCCTGATGGCGGTGGCCGATCTCGACGGGAGCGGCGATCTCACGGTTGACGAGCTGCAGGCGCTGAAGCGGCGGGGAGGGGCGGACCTGCGGCCGAGTGGCAGCGCGGCGCGGCGCGGGCGGCCGGCTGCGGCGGTGAGCGGCGGGTTCGGGGCGGTTGGGACGGTGGCGCGGCCGCGGGCGGCGTCGGTGGGGGCGTGTCGGGCTATGAGCGACGGCGCGGGGTGGGCGATGGGCGGGCGGGGGCCGTCGGTGGACACGCTGGAGGTCGAGGAGGCCGTGCAGGACGCGGACAGCGAGGCCGCACGGCCGCACCGGCGCACGGTGGACGCGGACTCGGACGACGAGAGTGGGGGGAGTGCGGTGGAGTCAGGGGGGGCGTCGGTGCCGCGGCGTGCGGCGTCGGCAGGGAACGGCAACGGGAACGTGCGCTTCCCCGGCTGGTCGGACGCGGCGCCTGGTCTGCGGACGCGGCGCAGCGGCAGGCGCGTCGTGTGGCGGGAGGCGGCCGCAGACGACGGCGTGCTGTACGGCGCGCAGGGCGTCGCCGGGGAGGACGCGGCCGCGACGACGCGGTGCGAGCAGGAGCGCACGGTGCGCTCGCGGCCGCGCGCGAAGTCGGACGTCCGGGGCGCCGCGGCGCGCGCCGCCCGCAATGGCACCGGGGGCGGCGCTGGGCGGCACAACTCTTCGGGCAACGCTGGGCGCCGGCGCATCTACAGCAAGCCCGCGCGGTCACACGTCGTCCTCGTGCCCGTCACGGACCCCGCGCGGCGCCTCCTCGCGACCCCCGACGGCCGCGCGCGCCCGCACCTCCTGCTGCCCAACTCAGGGCCGATGGTCGTCGGCGCGCTGCCGTCGTACGGCTGCGACGAGGTCGTCGACCACCCGCTCATTTCCGGCAAGCACTGCCGCCTCGAGCTCGTCAAGCTCCCGGACGGCACCTTCCCGATGATCACCGACCTGCGCTCCACCAACGGCACCTTTTTGAACGGCGCGCCGCTGCAGCCGTTCGCGGACACGAAGCTGCGGTCCGGAGACACGCTCTGGCTCGCGGACCGCCGCCTCGCTTTCGTCGTGAAGTTCCAGCGCTGGCCCGAGGGGTCCAGCGGGCCCTCTGACGTCGCGCGCGCGATGGCGGTGCTCGGGATCCACCCCGCGCCGGCCGACGCCGCCGCCGCCTCGCCGCCGTTCCCCGCGCCGCCGTCCACGATCCCCGTCGACAGCGAGCCGCGCGCCCCGTTCAGCGACGACGCGTTCGCGGAGGAAGTGCGCGCCCTTGTGCGCGACGGCCGGACGGACTCCGCACGCGGCGTCCTCACGCAGCGGCTCCTCGAGGCTCCCGGGGACTTCGCGTCCTGGGCGCAGCTCGCGAACATCGCGCGCCGGAACCGCGAGCACGCGCTGGCACGCAAGCTGTACCGCGCCGCCGTCGAGGCGTTGGATTTCGCGGTGTCGGCGCACCGCGTCGACGGCGCCGAGGCCGCGGCGGCGGGCAGCCGGCTCCTGCGCAGCTGGGCGATGCACGAGGGGCGGCTGCGGCACGACACCTCGGCGCGGCGCCTGTTTCGGCTGTCGGTGATGCGCGCGGAGCAGCACCCCGCCGGGGCGCGCGTCGGCGGCGCCGCGCACACGCTGCAGGCGTGGGCGCACCACGAGCTGCGCATCGGGTGTCCCCGGCGCGCGCAGGAGCTCATCGCGGAGGCGCTGGCGGTGGACGGCGAGTGCGCCGAGGTGCATCAGCTGGCCGGCGTGATGCACGCGCGCGAGGGCGACGTCGAGGAGGCGCGGCGGGCGTTCAAGCGGGCGCTGGAGTGCTCGCCGGGCATGAAGGAGGCGCTGCACGCCTGGGCGCGCCTCGAGGCGACCTCCGGCGACCTCAACCTGGCGCGCAAGCACTTCGCGGCGGCGCTCGAGGCGGACCCGACGAACGTGAAGACGCTGCACGCGTGGGCGATGGCGGAGGCGAAGGCCGGGCGCGCGGAGCAGGCGCGCGGGCTGTTCCGCCGCGCGCACGCGGTGCAGCCGGACAACGTGCGCGTGCTGCAGGCGTGGGGCGTGCTCGAGGCGCGCGACGGCGACCTGGCGCGCGCGCGCTCGCTCTTCCAGGACGCGCTGACGGCGTCGCCGGGCAACGTCGTCGTCCTGTCGGCGCTCGCCAACGCGGAGCGGGCTGCGGGCAACCTCAGCGTGGCGCGCGAGGCGGCGGAGCGGGCGCTGGAGATCCAGCCGGACCACGCGCCGTCGCTGCAGGAGCTCGCGATGGTCGAGCGGGCGTCCGGGCGCGCGCAGGAGGCCGACGCGCTGTCGCAGGCGGCCGCACGCATCAACGCTGGCGGCGGCGAACCGAAGCCGTACAACGTCGCGGTGAACCCGCAGCCGGGACGCAGCCCCGAGAAGCGGCGCGCGCAGTGAGGCGGCGCGGCTCCGCGCAACACGGCCGCGCAACACGGCCCCTCGCGGCCGTCTTTTGTATGACACACCATCCTCTGATGTTTATCCAACCTGCGGGCGCGGCCTCGAACCGAGGGCGTGTGCTGCGGCAGGCAGGGACTCTGCACATGTAAGACTTTGACGCTCCGTCCCGCGCGTCGCGTCGCCGCGCAGCATCACGTCGTTCTGTTGCACCAACCCAAGTTCGTTGTTTCGCGTGTCGGCGGTGGCGCCGCGTGCGCTCAAGGCCGTGACCGCGGGCCGTGTCGCTACGGGGCGGGCGGTGCGCGCGCGGACCGCCGGTGGCGGGCCGCCGGCGTCGGCACGCGCGTGTTGTAGTAGCACTGGGCAGGGGAGAGGCCTCTCATTGGCTGCCGGGCGCACCGGGGGCCCGAGCGCCCAATGCGCCGCGACAGTGCGACGGAATCGAAAGTCTCACTGCGTTTCGGCGGGGAGCCGGCTTCGAAGGGCGTGTCACGGCCGCAGGAGCGCCGAGCGCAACTCCGTCCCCTCCGTGCCGCTGCGAGGATCCGCAATGGCTGCCCAGCTGCGACGTGGCATGGGCGCCGCCCTGGGGGCCGCCAGGACCGCGTTCGCGTCCCGGGGCTTCGCCAGCATGGCCGAGGTCAACGGCATTCCCGTCGAGGTGCGATGCCGCCCCCGCGCCCCCCTAATTGCGCGGTAGCGCCCGGTGGGGCCGCACGGCGCGGCGCGACACGCACGTCCGGTTCCTGGATCGCAGGTCCACAACGAGGGCGGGAGCCGCCGCGTCGTCGTCACGAAGGAGCTCCCCGGGACGCGGTGGATCGATGTGCTCACGCGCGCCAACTGCAGGTGCGGTCAGCGGCCTCGCTGAGCCGGGTTTCTCGGCCGTGCGTCGCTCCGTGTGTCCCGGAAGGACGTGGGCGCTCATCGCGCTGAAGCGCGATGGGGATCGGTCCGGTGCGGGGAGGCACCCGCGCAAAGCAGGCTGTACGTCATCTGCTAGACCTATTTCCGGCTTTTCCGCGCTGTCGTTGCGTAAGACTGCGGATTCCGATGCGCCGGGGACCGCCAATCAGCCGAGCATGTCACACGCGGCCCCGTCTCTCACTCTTGGCAACGTGAGCGGTCGCGTCTCGCAGGATCGAGGTGTGCAAGCACCCGGACACCATCCTGAGCAACGACACCATCAAGCAGCTGATCGGCGACAAGGCGGACGGCGTCCTCGGCCAGCTCACGGAGGACTGGAGCGAGGACATGTTCGCCTTCGTCAAGGGCGCCGGCGTCAAGGCCTTCTCCACCTACGCCGGTGCGCCTCGACGCGCCCTAGCACGCGTTCGAACGCCGAATCACCACCCGCGCGGCCGCTCCTGTCCAGCATCTACCCTCACAGCCCGCCCGCGCTCCCTGTCTCCCCCGCAGTCGGGTACAACAACGTGGACGTCGCGGGTGCGACCAAGAACGGCATCCCTGTGGGCAACACCCCGGGCGTGCTGACCGAGACGACCGCGGAGATCGCGGCCGCGCTCACCCTCGCGGCCGCCCGGCGCGTCGTGGAGGCGGACGAGTTCATGCGCTCGTTCCAGTACAAGGGGTGGCTGCCGACGCTCTTCGTGGGCGCGCTCCTGCAGGGCAAGACGGTCGGGATCATCGGCGCGGGGCGCATCGGGAGCGCGTACGCGCGCATGATGGTCGAGGGCCACAAGATGAACCTGCTGTACGCCGACCCGTACCAGAACAAGGGCCTGGAGTCGTACGTCAACGACTACGGCAAGTTCCTGGCCAGCAAGGGCGAGAAGCCCGTGACGTGCGAGCGCGTGTCCGTCGAGGACCTCCTCAAGCGCTCCGACGTCGTGTCGCTGCACATGCTGCTCGACGCCTCCACGCGCCACACCATCGACAAGAAGGCGCTGGGAATGATGAAGAAGGACGCCATCCTCGTGAACGCCGCGCGCGGGCCGGTGATCGACGAGGTCGCGCTCGTGGAGCACCTCCGGAACAACCCGGAGTTCCGCTGCGGCCTGGACGTGTTCGAGGACGAGCCGGAGATGAAGCCGGGGCTCGAGAAGTGCAAGAACGCCGTCATCGTGCCGCACATCGCGAGCGCGACGCTCTGGACGCGCGGCGGGATGGCGACGCTCGCGGCCGCGAACATCGCGGGGCGCCTCGAGGGCTGGCCGGTCTGGTCGGACCCCAACAACACGGCGGACGCCTACGTGGACGGCGCGTTCGACGACATGCCCAAGGCGTCGCCGTCGATCGTGAACGCGGCCGACCTCGGCATCCCCAAGATGTGAGGCGCCCGCGACGCGCGGCGCGGCGGGGCAAAGCCCCCAACCTGTGAGACTCTCTCAATCGTCGCGGCGAGTGACTCGGCTAGTTCTTCGCTGACCTACGAGCACCCTCACCGCGAGGATGCCGGAGCGACCGAAATGGTACGGCAGGCGAGATCTCGGCTCGCCCCCTCGCACAGTGACCTCGCGTATGTCATCGCACGGCGCACACGCGCACACCCAGCCGCTCCCATCCTGGGCAGCGCTCCGCAGCCCCTCGCAACCTCGCACCCGCGCTGCGTCTACTTCTGAGGCTTCTTGGTCCACATGAACTTCGGCGGCGCGCTCGACGACACCGGCATCGTGGAGCTGTACGGCACGTACGCCAGATTGTTGTACACCGCGTCGTTCTTCGCCTTGCGCATCCGGTACTCCCACGCGTCCTCGGGAATCTCGTTGTGCGCTGCAGCCTGCAGCTGACGGCGCGAGGCACTCAAAGTCGGTTTTCTGGCACCAGAAAAAACAAATTTCTCGGCGCCAGTGCTTCAAAGCGGCTCTGAGTGCGCGTCGACGCGTTTGGAGGTTTGCAGTTCCCAAGGCGGCCTCCGTTTCCTGGGCGGGGAGCGCGCCTCGAAGATGGTCGGCTCGGGCTGGACTTCGTACTCGGACGGCGGCTTGGCCGCGTTCGATTTCGCCTCCTGCGACATTTCGGCAAGGCGCCCTCGCGAAGAACCCTGTTCGAGTGCGATGCTTGCTGCTTGCGTGACCCGATGCCTGGGAGACGTGTTTGTGTGCACGCAAGGGAAGGCGCAAAGTCCAGGAGCCGGCGGCACGAAGCGCTGATCTTCGCTGCGCGTGCGAGATGGCTTCACGCCCCCTCGGACTTGTCAACACACCCCCCTACGACTTCGACACCCCCGCGCTCGCGCAACGCTCGGCCAACGCGCGTCGCCGCGTGTCGCCAGGCTCCTCGCCGTGGCGATCCAACTTCCGGTCGCCGCTCAAGTGTCGCCGGCTGCATTACATCATATACTTGACCCAACGGTAAGTTAACGGTGGCGGTGGGTCGCCACCGAACGACCTGTCCCCCAACGCCATCCTGCGAGGAGCCACGGGCGGTACGCTCGTCGTACGCCTGACCGACGGTCAGTACTGTGCGGCACTTAGTGCAGACTGTGCCGTGAGACACTATGCTAGCATTCCTGGGCAGGTGCTGACGCCCGAGCGGGTCGTCGCACCTGAGGTCCCTCTCGATCACCCAGCAGAAGAGCGACAGCGGCACGTCCTGCGGCCGGTTCATCATCGGCTGCTCCACGATGCGCCCGACGGCGTCGATGAAGGCCAGAATGAACGCCAGCAGCATCGACACGGGCACCACGAGCGCCTCGTGCGACACCTCGTTGAAGCTGCCGATCAGGCACCACGGCGTCGCGAGGATGAACACCCAGATCCCGAAACGCGTGAACTGCGTGTACTGCGCTGGCTGCGGAATCAAAGCGATCACCGTCGCCGCCGCGATGGCCTGCTGCAGCGTGCCCATCGTCGTCTCGAGCGCAATCTGGTCGAACGGCTGCAGCCTGCTCTGCGCGATCGCCCTGTGCACCGCCATGCCCTGCGACCGGGGATTGGAGCTGCGAGTGTGTGCCAAAGAACAGACATCCCAGGGCCGCGGCGGCGGCTGCGGCCGAGCTGCTCCCAGGGAGAGAGAGCACTGCCGGGCGCCCGTGCGCAAGGCACGGCGCGGCGATGACAAGGTGGGTATGAATACTGGTGTCTGGGAATGAATACTGACCTGTTTCATCATCAACCAGGACACCGTGGTGTTGCCGATCGCGGGGAGCTCCTTCATGTCGTCCTTGCTGAGGAACTGCGAGAGCGTGCCGTGCCACTCCTCGACGTCCTTCTGCCGGCGATTGCTCAGCCTTAACGCGTGGGCAATCGCCATCTGCCGATTGATGAGCTCGCGCTTCGTCTTGTCAGCCACCTCCTCTGCGCAACCACCGGCGCTGTGCGAGCTCACAGCGCGGAGACTCGACGCGGCAGGGCGGGAGAAGCGGGGCGATGCGAGGACGCAGGCGTGGTCACGGTGTGTGTGTGGTAGGTCACCTGTGCACTTGAGCCAGTCGGTGCCCTTCCGGGCGTCGGTGAAGGACAGCACGAGGCGCGCGAAGTTCCTGCACGCCGCGGTCACGCCCACCCACGCCGTGGAGGCCGCCAACCACCGCTGGTACGATGCGTTCGACCGCAGGCCGACGAAGAACGCGATCGCGAAGCTGAACACCGACAGCGGGGCCGCGGGGAGATCCACCCACGCCCACGACGCGCCCCACGACGAATACAGGCACAGGCAGAGCGCGGAGCTGGCTATGCTCAGCAACATCTCGGGCCACACGTACTCCATGATCTGCGCAGCGTGCAGGCGTTTCGGGCCGGAACTGTGCCGCGCGGAGCAGTGCCCGTCACGCGGCCGTCGCGCGGCGGCGCGGACTCGCGCGGGAAGGCGGATTTCGGGGAGCAGTGAGGAGTTGCTATGCGCGGCGGTGCGGGGCGGTGCGGGGCGTCACGCACCCGTATAGGATCCAGGCCGAGAGACAAGATCATGCTGAACCGAGACGCGGGGAGAACTGGCCGGCGACCGCGCGTGCGCCCCGCCCGCACCGCCCAGTGCTACGTGCGCCTCCTGCTGCTCACGACTCGGCGGGCCGCTCTCGGCGAGATCTGTGTGGTCGAATCTTCGCGCAGGGTCCGGTCGCACGTGGCTGCGTCTGGCGCGCGGCCCGCTGCGACTCAGCCCTCGACGTTGGGGGAGTGGGAGGCGACCAGCCAATCGTACTGGGACCGCGGGGACGCCTGGGCGGTTTCGTGGGGCGCGTTCGCGCCGTGCGCCGCGTATTCGCTCGGCCGGGCGCGCGACGGGTCGGTTGGTGCACGATGACGATCGAGGAGAAGTTCACGAACGTGCACTTGATCTCAGACGACGGGTCCTCGTCTGAGAAGGTCACATTGTCTGTTGGTCTGGACAAGGTCCGGATTCTGACGCCCTCGGGCCTTCACGCCATCTTCGAGTGCGGCCTGACGGAGGTCGGCAACCAGGAGCTCCGCGGGAGCCTGCTCACGATCCTCGTGAAGCCGAGTGCGGGCTCCACGAAGGAGCTCGTCCTCCAGGTGAGAGTGAGACCAGGCGCACGGCCTGCTGCCCGAGGAGGATGTGTTCGCCGCGCACCTGCCGCACGGCGAGGCCGGCGCCGGCACCCTCCGTCGGACGTCGGCCGCGAGCTGCGTTCGGACGGGACCGCGGGCGCCTGAGGCATCGCTCACCCAAGAACGTTCGAGGCTCCGCGCAGGGAGATGGGAGCACAATGCAGAACGTAGCGGACACGCTCATGACCTTCAGCCTCCAGGCGAAGGAGCTCCAGGAGGAAGAGAAGCAGACGTGAGTCGGCCTCGCCCCTGTCCCCAACGCACTGCCACCGCGCAGGCCGTGCGGGCCGGTTCGCGGCCCGAACACCGCGCCGCCGCGCCCACGCGCGGCCTGACTCGGGGCGTCGCCGCGACCGCGCCGGCCATCCCGCTCCGTGCCTGCACGCCAACGCCCGCTGCGGTCCTCCAGCGTGGCAGCACAGCACGCGGCCCGACGCGTGTTCGGCGCGGCCGGCCCCGACCCCGCGTTCCAGCGACGCCCCGGTCAGTCTGCTTGCGCACCGTCACGCAACGCGGCCCTCGCGTCGTCCGCAGGGCTGCGTCGGAGCGCGCTCGCAGCGAGGCCGGGGCAGCCGGAGTGCGCTTCTGGGACCGCCCCGACAAGGAGGGGTGGATGCAGAGCCAGGGAGAGCACCTCAGGACGTGGAGGCGCCGGTTCTTCGTCCTCAAGGACGGCTACTTGTTCCGGTTCATGGCGCCCAACCCGACGCGCGACACCAAGCCCCGCGGGACGGTCGACTTGAACTCCGCCTCCGAAGTCACCTCCGCGGTGAAAGAGACCGGTGAGCAGCCCGCTCCGGCGCGCCAGCGCTCCCCCCCGCCCCGCGATGCCCGCGGGACGCCGCGCACGTGCAGCGCAGGCGGTACGACGCTCACACCCGCTCGTCCGCGCCCCGACGCCCGCAGGGAAGTCCGCGTCCGTGAAGGTCACGGCCGGCAAGGACAGCCACCTCTTCCTGTGCGACAGCGAGACCGAGGCGGTCGAGTGGATGAGCGCGCTCGAGGGTGCAATGCACTCGGCCGTGCGGCGCGCGGCAGGCCTCTCCGCGGCCGCGTCCGGCGCCGGGAGCGGCCTCGCGGGCCGGCTCCAGGAGCGCATCGCGCAGCACGAGCGCTCGAAGCCGCCCGCGGCGTTCGCGGCGCGCGCCGCGAGCCCTCCCGCGCGGCGCAGGGACGACGCGTTTGACGGCAGGGCGGGCGGGTACAGCGGGCGCGCGGGGCCGGCGCCCGGGGCGTGGCGCGACTACGGCCAGGTCGAGGTCGAGGTGGTCGGGTACGACGGCTCGGGCGCGGGGCGGGACGCGCGGCCCGCACAGGACGCGCGCGGCGCCCCGCCGCAGGGGGGGGTGTCGTTTGGCGAGTACGGGGCGATTCCGGGCGTCGCGGGGCTGGCGGACGCGCGGCCGGGGTCGCTGTACGGCGGCCCCGCGCCCGTGGCGACGACGATCGTGGACTACGAGCCCGCGAACCTGGACGGGCTGGACGGGATTGGGGGGACTGCGGGGTACAACGGGGGGGGGTATGGGTACGGTGCGCCGGCGGGGCCGCCGCAGCCTGAGCCGGCGATGGCGGGGGGGTACTCGATGCCGCCGGCGGGGGAGTACGCGGCGCCGCAGCCTCAGGGGGCGCCGCAGGTGGGCGGGGGCGCAGGTGCTGTCGGGTGGCAGACGTCGTATACGCCCGAGGGGCAGCCGTACTACCACAACCCCGTGACGGGGCAGACGCAGTGGGAGGCGCCGAACCTCCTGGGCTGACTCGGGCGAGTGCGGCGGCTGTGGGGTGTAATGAAGTATCAAAGCGGAGGTCGCTGGTGACACCTCATGACCGAGGAAAGGGGTGGCCGAGAGCAGCGACGCGGTGGAGTACCCGCACGCAGGATCAGCAAGCTGCAGCGGCGGATGTCGGGGTCCCAGCACAGCTGCGCCCGCTGACAGGCCGCGAACGTGATGGGAAGCCTTGCCCGCGGGGGGAGCGAGGTCTACTCGCGCTTCGTGCCCGCAGGATCGTTGGCATCGTCCTTCCGCGAGACGTGGGTCGGACTGCTCGTGGCCTGACGTAGCAACATCTGGGTGGCTGTGCTGCAGCTATGCCCGCGCACAGTGCAAGGCGTCGCCCGGCGCGAGGGCGCCGTGGTGCTCGCACAGCGCTCTGCGTCCGAAGGCATGAATGGCGCGGGCCCGTAGAAGCGAGCAGCAGAGTTGATTGCAGCTGCAGCTGCCACGGTTTATGGCTACGACTGGGCAGGCATTGGCGTTGCGCCCCAGTGGGCACGTACACGCGCGATCGGCGACGTTCTGCGGCACAGGAGCTATGCACCCCTGTCACATGGGACCCCGCCGCAGCGACGGCGTCGACATGCCCTCCGCGCAGCGCGCAAAGCTCTTTTGGCGTTGCGCGCTTGCACGAGGCCGGCCCGCAATATGGAAACGTTCGGACGGCACGGCGGGGCGGGCCGTCCACGGCCCGAGCAAGCAGCTGCCCGTTCCCAGCGCAACAACCGCAACTCACTCCTCCGCCTCAGCGTCCTTGACAGCGTCGTCCACAGCCGCGTCAGCCGCCGCATCCGCGTCCTCAGCGGGCGCCTCCTCAGCGGGCGCCTCCTCCGCCGGGGCAGCCTCCTCCGCCGGTGCGGCCTCCTCCTCAGCGGCCGGGGCAGGCTCCTCCGCAGCGGGGGCCTCCTCCGCCGGCGCGGCCTCCTCCGCGGCCGGGGCCTCCTCGGCGGGCGCGGCCTCCTCCGCCGGCGCGGCCTCCTCGGCGGGCGCGGCCTCCTCCGCCGGCGCGGCCTCCTCGGCGGGCGCGGCCTCCTCCGCCGGCGCGGCCTCCTCGGCGGCCGGGGCCTCCTCCGCAGCGGGGGCTTCTTCGGCGGCAGGGGCCGGCTCCTCGGCCGCTGGCGCGTCCTCGGCGGGCGCTTCGGTGGCCTTCTCCTCCTTCATTTTGGCCACCTCCTTGCGCGCTTGCATGCCCCGGAAGCCGCTCTGGATCTTGAGCGCGGCGTCGGCGACGTCTGGGTCGTTCAGGTCCGGCAGGTCGTCCTCCGCGGCGGCGTCGTCCTTCGCGGGCTCCGGCGCCGGGGCCGGCGCGTCGTCTGCGGGCGCGGGGTCCACGGGCTGTGAGCCCTCGGTAGGTTCCGGGCGCGCGTCATGGGACGCCACGCGATCCTCCTCGGCGGGAGTCTTCGCCGGAGCATCTGCGGCGCCGGGAGCACGTGCGCGGAGTGCGGATTGGCGCGCTGCGTGGCGGGCGCGGGCCCGCCGGGCGGAGCGCGCCGGCTCGCGACGCAACAGCAACAGCCGGGCGGCCACGGGCGGTGCGGGGCGCACCCTGCTTGGCCTTCACGGCCTCCGGGACGTCCTTCTTCGGGGCCGGCTGCAGGGACGGACCGAGCGGGCGCGGACGTCAGGGAGCGCGGCGTGCGACGCGTGGCCCCCCCGCCAACACAGGACATATCGGCGACGCTCGCGGCGCGGGACGGGCGGGATCCAGCGGAAAAACGCGCGGGGAATGATGCAATCGTGCTGAGCGATGTGCGTCGTGGGGTGACGCGCCGGATCGTGGCGTGCGCGCCGCGAACGCGCATGAGGTATGTGGGTGCAACTGGGGCGCTTGTGGCGGCGTGGCGGGCTGGCGGGGGGATGCGGGGGAGCGCGACAGGGCGGGGCTGACCTCATTGACGGCGACGACTCCGTCCTTGGACGCGTTGCAGCCCATGGCGAGGTCCTAGGGTCGTGCTGGGGCAGGCGTTGACCTGCACTGGGGGCAGGGTGGACGTGAGAGAGGCAAGGGACGTGGCGGGCCGCCGCGCGAGGGCGGAGCGCGGAGGGCGAGGGGATCGTGCGGGCTGGTGCAGAGTGGTGCGGACGCGCGCGGGCGGCGGCTGGGGCAGGGCGGGGACGGGTGCGGTGAGGGTCCAGCTCAGAAGAGGACATGGCCCCAAACGTGGGAATACCGACGGTATGCACACCCTTGGCTCGCAGCACACGAGACGTGTAAATCGAAGGGGTCTCGTGCGGCCCTCGGAAAGCAATTTTGAGGGCGCACGAGCGCGCCAAGGCGCCGGAAATGGCCGAGGGTCCCTGGCGAGCCGCTCCGGGTGCCACACGGCATTCCGGCGCCCGAGCGCGTGCCGAATTCGTTTTGTATATATCAAGGCGTGCGTGGGGGGTGGCGGCTGCGCGGTTCGTGTGCGATGTTCGCACCTGAGACGATGGGAAATGTCCTATCACCGAAAAGCTCTCCCTAGCGCGACGCAGCGCGGTCCGGCCGGGCAACGAGCTATGCGCGTGCACAATGTGGCGATGCAGCGTGCCACCCGCGATACGTGACCGCCTCCCGCGCCCCGTCACAGGCCTGGATTAGTCCCCTGGATTCATACCTCGCCTAGGGCCGCATAGCCCGTCGTAAAGTCGCAATGCGCGGCTGCGCAGCGCCAACAAGATGTCCGCCGCCGCTCAAAGTGCTCCCGCTCGCGCAGGATGCGCGTGACGCGCCAGGCAGCGATGTTGCTGCTCATAGCGCGGTTCGTCCCGCCCACGCTCCGTCGCAGTTCGCCTCTTTACGGCAAGAGTCACAGCCGGGCCAGGGCATCGCGGTCCGCGGCGCGACCGAGGCACCGCCTTCCTACGGCATGATCTGCCGCAATTCGCCCGTCTCGATGGCGTGGTCCGAGCGGTGCTCTTCAGGCTTGGTGTTCCTCGCCACGGAGCACGTGATCTGGCAGACGTCGCCGTGGCTCACCAGCACGACGACCTTCCCGTCGTACGCGGCCTTGACACGCTGCGGCGAACATGCAACACACGCACGAGGCTGCGTCTACATGCGGTCATGCCTCGCGCCAGGCAAGCTGTTCGCGCACGGCGTGTTCGCAGGCAGCGGGTCGCTCACGTCCAGGACTTGGCTCACGCGCCCGGCCACGTCCATCACGCTCTCCCCCCCCTCGCCCTCGACGGGCTGCGTAGGGTCCCGCTGGTCGATCTCCCACACGATCTCGTACGCGTCGTGCGACGTGAGCTCGTACTTGCCGAAGCCCCTCTCGCGCAGGAGCGGCTCCTCCTGCGTCGAGCCCCCGCACACCCACACGCGTCTCGCATTGCCCGCGGCAGGCTTGCTGTGCGTCGCGGCGCCTCGTACGCGCATGATAAAGCCCGAAGAATGCGTCTGGGCATGCTGAGATCACGAGGTACCATCCGGACGTGCCGATATGTCCTGTGCGACGGACCGGGCTATGCGTGGCGGCACTGGGATGGTGTCCTCACCTGAATTGCATCGACCGGTACGCCCGCGTTCTCGGCGCAGATCTGGGCCGTCTGCAGTGTTCTGCGGAATGGCGACGCCAAGAACTTGACCTCCCGGTCGCTCAAACCCGCCTCATCGAGCTGCGGACGGCGGGGGGTCGCGGTGCGTGGCAGAGGTCCACGGACGGCTTGCGCGGCGACACGGCGCGAGTTATGCAGCGGAGATCCGTGTGCGGATCAACGTGCGCGCGGAGAACGCCGTGGACTACCTGCGCGCGAAGGCTGACGCCCGCTGCAGCTGCCTGGCGCTCGCCCAGAGGCGCCAGCCCGTACTCGGGTTTGACGCCGTTCTCGAAGCGAGAGACGATCAAGCCGGCCTCGTTCGCCTTGCTGCGGCCGTGACGGAGCACAAACACCCGAGCGGGGCCCGTCACCGCCGACATCTGCGTGCGTCCGCCGGGCCCGGTTGGTGAGGTTGCACGAGGTCCCCGTGCGTGTCGTCTTCAGCTGCACCAGCACAGAGCCAGAGAATTCGACTGCCGCCACGTCCTGCACGCGCCGGCCAACGAGAACGCGCAGGCCGCTGCGTCAGCGCGTCGATGCTGGACACCCCCCCCTGAATGCCGCCTTCGGGTAGAACAGCCGGCGCGGAGCCCTACGCCGAGCCAGCGACGGCCCGCCCCGCCGCACTCCTGCCACAGCTTCCAATGACGGCGCAACACAGCCACCACGCGAGCATGATTCCGCGCACAGCGTCACACCGCAGCCAGCGCCGCGTCAGCGCCGCTTGCCCCCCGAGGCGCGCTTCGCCGCCGCCTTGGCCTTGAGGCCCTTCTTCACGCCGCCTTTCACCGCCTGAACCACCTTGTCCAGGCCCTCGCGCGCCTGCCGTTTCTTCCCTGTGCGCGCATTCAGTGCCTTGCGGTCCAGCGGCCAGTACGCGTACGGCTCGACACCGCCCTTCTTCTTCACGTCGCCGCTCGCCTTCCGCGCCTTGAACTGCTCGCCGCTGAAGTGCTCGAAGCGTTTCCGCGCCCCGGACTCCCCTGCGCCCTTGAGGGCCACACCCCCCCGCCCTGACAGCGACACGCCCCCGGCGGACGCCCCACCCATCGTGCGCGCCAGCGATGCGCCTCCGATCGACGCCTTCGAGCCCAGCGCGCTCTTCCCGCGCCCCAGGCGGTCCGCACGCCCCCTCGCGCGCATCGCCTTCCCAAACCCTTCCTCGTCCGAATCGTCCGAGTCGCTCCCGGCCGCCGCGCGCGGCGCGTCCTCGTCCTCGATGATAATGCGGCCGTCCGGGGCGCGCTGGATCGCCGGCGCTGCGTCGCGCTCCGCAGCCTGACGTGCGCCAGGCGCGGCGGCCGTGCGCAGCCGGCGGTGCGACGCCGGGTCGAGGAGGTCGATGGGCTCGCCGTCGGCGCGACGCTTGCGGCCGCCGGCGCCCCCGGGGCCCTGCGCGGCCATGCCGGGCGCCACCGTGGTCCCGCCAGCGCCGTCCGAAAACACCTTGGAGTGCGCCCACTCCGACGCGCGGGCGGTGCGCGCCCGCGTGCCCTTGGACAAACGCGACTGCGGACACACACGAACGGCCAGCGTCAGCGCGCGAACGGCGAGCTTTGACGCCAACACATACAACAATATCAAACAACAATAAGACATGTCAACACAACATACGCACTGTGAGCAACGTGCGCGCACCTCGGTCTCCATCTCCTCGTCCCCGAGCCCCGACGCCGCGCTCCCACCCTTCCGCGCGCGCTCCTTGCGGTCCCGCTCCTTGCGGATGTGCGTCAGCAGCTTCCTGTCGGACTCGGGCATCGCCTGCGCCACCTCGTCGAACCCGCACCGCCGCGCGAGGCGCTCCACGATGGTGCGCACCTTGAGGCGGAAGCGGTTCTTGGTGTCGTCCTGCCACAGGAGGATGCCGTCGAGGATGGCCGGCGTGTGCGCGCGCAGGTCGTCCACGGGCAGCCGCATGGCCAGCACTTTGCAGAACCCGAGGACGGACTTGACGACCTCGCGCGACTTGGTGCGGAGCAGCGCGAGCACCGCGGGGACCAGGCGCGCCAGCATCGGGTGCATCCTGCGCCCGAACGGACCATAGAAAGACGAGAGTCAGGCTGACTGCATGAGTGGTGCGTCGGCCCCGACCCGCTTCCACCCTCAAGGCGTACGCGTGAGGCTGGAACCCTGGCGATCCAGCACAGCGCGCCGGTGGTCATGGATAGGCAACCATGGGTTCCGGTCGCGCAAGTACGGCTTGAGGTCAAGCCGCCACCAGTGGTCTCCACGTAACCCGCACGGAGAGCGCTCCATCCCTTGCGCGCACAGTGAATGCATGCTCAGCACAGCGCCAGTACCGCGAGGGAGGGTGTGGGGCGGACCAAGCGTTCACGACTCACCTGGGCGCGAACTCGTACAGCAGGCGCGCGAGCGCCATCACCGACGCGGAGATCATGTGCGGCGACTGCCCCGCGAGCCCCGCCAGCACCACCCCGAGCAGCTCCGACAGACCGCCCCCCGGGAGCCCCGAAGCGTGCGCCGCCTCGCCCGCCGGCCCGCTCCCCGGCGGCAGCCGCTCGTCGAGGTCGCGCGCCACCTCGATCAGCATCTCGTACGCCGCCTCCCGCGCCTTCCTGTTGGCCTCCTTGATGCACAGCACCACCTCCGCCACCATGGGCCGCAGCACCGCGACGTCCACGCCGCCCTGCCCGCCGCGCGCGCGCGCCTGCTCCGCCGAAGCCCGCAGCACGCCGCGCACGCACAGCAGCCGGTACCTCTTCGCCGCGCTGTTGCAGCTCTCCAACGTCCCCGCCAGCAACTTCAGGACCTCCTCCATGTGGCCGCCCTCCGCCTGGGGCCGCAAAAAGCCCTCGTCGTCGCACAGGTACCCTAGGATCTTGTACGCCTTCTTCTGCAGCGCGGCCTCGCCCTCCTCGACGGTCCCGACCGCCAGCTCGTACAGCGCCGCTCGCGACTTGGCGTCCAGGCCGCCGCCGAGGCACAGCGCGAGCTCCATGAACGTGCACCGGCGCTGGAGGGGCGTGTCGCCGCCGTCGACGACGGGGTCCATCGGTGGCACCTCGGCCTGCGCGTCCTGCACGATTTTCGCGATCTTTTTGAACACGGCCTTGAACAGCTGCGGGACCGTGGGGGGGCCCACGACGACCGCGAGCGCCGCGATCGCGCGCGCGACCGGGGACCGCGCGTCCGGCGCCGTCGAGACGAACGCGTTGAAGAGCACCGGCATCAGCGACCGCGACACGCCGCGCACCGCCTCCAGGGCCCCCTGCGCGTCCGCCAGCGTGTACCCAGCCGGGACCGTCAGGTGCGCCTCGTGGCCGGCCATCGTCGCGGCGGGGCCGCCCGGCATCGCGAGGTCGTCGTCGTCCGCGCCGGCGCCGCCCGCGGCCGCCTCGCGCGCGCACGGGTTCCGTCCCGGCGCCTCGGCGGCGCGTCCAAAGTGCCTCAGAGCCTCCTGGAGCTGCAGCGACACGCGCTCGACGAAGCCGCAGATGGGAGCGCGCAGGTCCGGGCGGTTCGTGAACGCGGCCGCGATGTCGCGCCCCGTCGCCGCGAGCGCCGGCCCGACGTCCACCGCCCACGACGCAAAGCTGGGCAGGCACTGCCACAGCTGCATCTCGAGCGCGCGGCACTGCTGCGTGCGCGCGACGCTGTGGTGCGGCCCCGGGCGCGCGTACTGCGACGCGCGCATGCCCATCGCGCGCGCCACCGGCAGCAGCTCCGCGCCCCACACGCTCAGCTGCGAGTGCTGCACGGCCGACTTCAGGATCGGAATGAGCCACGTGCGCGCCTCGCCGCGGCCGTCCAGGCCGGCCTCGAGGTCGAGCGGGAGGAGCTTGAGCACGCGCGCGGGGCCGTGCCGCCGCACCGCGGCCAACACCGCCTCCTCGCACGCGCGCGCGCTCTCCACCGACGCCTGCGTCAGCGGGTCCTCCATGTCCTCCGGGTCGAACGCGCGCGCGATCACGCCCGCGCAGCGCCGCACGAGGACGCTCGTCAGCGCGGCGCCGCCGTCCGGCGCGCCCACGCAGCGCTCGATGAGCGCCGCCGCCACGCGGGCCGCCTGCCCGTACGCGTTGAGCTCCGACGGCCCGAAGCACGACGCGGTGGCCGCGACGGCGCTCTGCAGCGCAGAGGGCTTCCCGCCCGGCGCGGCGCTCCCGACCATCTCGTCCGTCACGCACGCCCGCACCACCCCGATGAGGCACTCGGCGACGGCGTACCGCACCGAGTCGTCCTCCGCGTTGAGGCGCGGGCACAGCGCGTGGAACAGGTGCGGAATGCCCTCCGCGGCGCTCGCTGCGTCGGCCTCCGCGAGCCGCGCGAACCCGCGTTCGAGGAAGCGGGCGGCCTGCGCGGCGGCGGCGGCGTCAGTCGCGTCCCAGCGCACGCGCAGCACGGCGTCGAGGAGCGACGCGAGCGTGCGCGGCTTGAGCGGGCAGGTCGGCGCCGCTGCGACCGCGTGGAGGACCTGCGTTGCGTGCTGGTTGAGCAGGGGCTGGCGCAGCGCGTACAGCTTGATCGTGGCGGTGCAGAGCGGCTCGAGCGACGCGGCGTCCAGGAGCGGCGCGGCCTGCTCGAGCGCGCCGAGGAAGTGCAGCGCGTCCGCGACGGTCTGCGTCAGCGCCTCCTCGACCTCGGCCCGCCGCTTCGAGGGCGCCTCCGCCGCTGCGCAGCACGCGGGGCGGGCGGGGCGCGGAGCATGGTTGCGGCCCCGCTGCGGACCTGCCGGTCGCGCGGCGCGTCGGAGGCGTGGCGGGGCGCAGGACATCGTTGCTGCGGCGTCGCACCTCGGACGGCGGCCTTCTCGGGCTCCTCGAGCACGTGGTGCGCGCGCTCCACCACAGTGGCGCTGACGGACTTGTGGGTCGGGCGCCCGCGCGCGCCCGCGAGGACCTCGACGAGGCCGGCCTGGGCGCGCTTGCGGATCTTCGGCCGCGCGTCCAGGCACTGGTGAAGCAGCTGGGGAAACAGACTGCCAGCACAGGTCTGCGGAAAGGGAGAACGGAGCGCCCGGGAGGGCGTCGGGGCGCTGACGGCGTGCATGGGACTAGACAAGGGGTACGTGCAGGATGCGGGGCGGAGCGCCGCGATTGTGCGCGCGGGGCGGTGCGTGGAGGTGGGCGCGGGAATGCCCGGGCGCTGGAGCTGCGCGAGCGGGTTTCGTCGTGAGGATACGCGCCTGCCACGTGTCTTCGTGCGCGACGGCGGCCGCCGCCACCTGCGCCGAGCTCGCCACGACGTGCCGCAGCACCGGCGGGCACTCGGCGGCAGCTTTGCCCACGGCCACCAGCGAGTGGGCTACGTCCGCGGCCCGCTCGCGCACCACTCCGTTGGGGACGCGTTCGAGCGTCAGGGAGAGCAGGTGCACGATCGCGGCCAGTGTCTGCGAGAGAGACGCGAGACGCAGCGGCTGGTGAACCCACCGCGGCGAGCACCGCCGCTCCGACGGGCCAGCGCGCGTCTTGCGGACCGTTTCGCAGCTCGGCCCGATCCCTGAGACTCGGGGGCAAACGTGGGCTCGTGTATTCCGCGCGCACGCAGGCCAGGCGCGTCAGCCGGCGCCCGCTGTGTGCGGCGGCTCCGCGAGCGAGCTCGGGCGCTGCCGCTGGCGTCCTCGGGCCGCACCTCGCCGTTCGCGCGGCTCTCCGGCTTCTCCAGGAGCCCGACGACCGCGGAGAACATCGCGGTCGGGCTCGGCTCCAGCCCGCGCGCGCGCGTCACCTGCACCACCGCGCGCGTCATGGCCACCAGCTGCACCGACTCCGGCTGCCTGCTGCGCCCGTGGCGCTGCATGATGTACCCCGCGAGCCCATCCTCCTCCGTCCCGCCCGCGCCCATCGTGCACGCGCCGCCCGCCCTAGCACGCCTCGGGCCGCCTTGCTGCACACACGCGATGCAGGGGGGCGCACTTCCGCGGGTCAAGTCGAGCGCCTAGCGCGCTGGTGTGTGCGCTGGACACCGGCTCTGCGCTGCCGGCGCGCGCGCCGCGGCCGTTGCCGCCGGGCGGTGGGCCGACGGGAGTGGACCCGGGGTGTCGCTTGGTCGTTGCATCTGTCGAGGAATCTGCGGGCGCGGGGGCGACAGCCGCTCGCGGCGTGCGACGGTCCCGCCGGAACGTCGGTTGCATGCGTTGTGTCGTCCTCGCGAGGGCCCCGCGCGGTGCGGGCGGCTCGGCGCGGAGCTCCGGGTGAAATGCACCGGCCAATGCGAGCTCGTGGGAACACAATTTACCAGACGGGTGCGATGACGCCCCGTCGGCGATCGAATGTCTACCCGTAGACCGCAGCCGGGCCCCTGCGGCCCCGCCCCACCCCGGGAACACGACGGGCTAGACCGATCTCTCGCCCCTCTCCCGGCGCGGCCGTGCTGGTGACTTCTCTCTATGCCTGGTCGCTTCTCTGACACAGAGAGACCGGCGCGGCGATGCCCGCTCGGGTGCCCGGCCGGAGCGCACCACGCGAGGCCCCTGAGACGGGGCTGTCTGTCGTCGGTGGCCCGGCCCTTAGGGCGCGCGTGGGACGCGACCGGGCCAGATGTCGCCGCCGGGCTCGACCGGAACGATACGAACGCATCGAATTCGCGGCACTACCCGACCCCACGCGGCGCTGTCGAGCGCGCGACCCGCTGCTCTGGCCTGAGCACCGACCAACGCGACCGGCGCGCCCGTCGGCCGTCCGCAGCGGCGGTTCACCGACGGCGGGCCAGACAAGGACAGAGGTTTCGGTTCGTTCCGATCGCGCTTCCCCGTGCGGGCCCACACGACCGGGGGAAAGCAAATGGGCTTCCTATTCCTGGAGGACCTCGACCACGAAGAGGAGGACACGTACGGGTGCAAGTGCTGCCTGGCACACCTCGCCCGGCGCTCGGACGTGTATTCGCGGCTCTTCCACAGCTGCTCGGGCAAAGCATACCTCTTCAAGGGCGTGTGCAATGTCTTGGAGGGCCCCTCCGTCGACCGCCGCATGACCACCGGCGTGCACACCGTCTGCGACGTCTACTGCGCACGCTGCATGGAGGTGAGCGACGCCCGCGCGCCGCCGCACCACCGCCCCGCACCCGCCCAATTTCGCCCCCCTGCATCTGCCAACCTGGCATCTCGCACGCGCCGCGGTGCCGCGCCCGCGCGCCGGACCGCCCCGCCGCGCTCCCCACGCGTGCGCAAGGCCCCGCCCCCGACGACCCATCCGCGGCCGTCGCGCCCCGAACGATCCGCGCGGCGCGACGCCAGCTCCGGATGTCTGAGATGCTCCCACCGCGCTTCCCACGCCATACCGGCCGCCGCGCCGCGCGCGCGCCGCGGAACCCCGGCCCGAGCGGGCCCCGCGGCCGGAACCGTACTCTGCCGCCCACTCGCATTGCCGGGCGCGCCGTTGAACCGCGCGCCGCGGCGTGAGGGCGACCAACCGCTCCCTGCTTGCGCGCCGTAGCGCCAACGGCCCCGCGTTCCCGCGCCGCCGCGCCTCGCAGCTCGTCGGATGGCGGTACCTCAAGGCACACGAGGAGTCCCAGCAGTACAAGGAAGGTGCGTCCCCGACACCCCCCCCCGCCAGCGCCGTTGCACCCGGCGCGACACGCAATCCTGCTGCGCGCCGCGCACGGCCGTATCGGCGGCCCCCGACGCGGTTCTGGGCCCGGCGCCGTGCAGGCAAGGTCATCCTCGAGCGCGCCAAGATCGCGGATGCAGCGGAGCGGCGAGCGGCGTCCCTGGCATCAGCGGGGGCCAGCAGCCTCGGATCGGGCCACTCCGACTCGGGTGGCAGCGAGGCGGGCTGTCCTTAGCAATCAGCGGGGGACGGCGCTGTGCCCGGCAGCCTGCGCGTGACGGGCGCGCAGGCGGCCGACCGCGACGCGTCGCCGGCGGACCTCGAGGTGCGCCTGCGCGTCGACGCCAGGCGCGCGCGGGCCGCGGAGGTGCTCGCCGGAGTGCGCGCGCCCGAGCCGGCGTCGCGGTCGCGGCTGCGGGTCATGGCGAGGCTCTGGTGGGAGCAGGTCGGCCGCGAGCTGGGCTCATCCGGCGGGTTCGACCTGGGGACTCTCTCCCTCGACTCCCCCTAGGGGCTTAGGGAGAGAAGGCCCCTCGGACCTGCCGCCACCGCTGCTGCGCCGCCCCACGTCCCCCACAAGCGAAGGGATTGAACGCCCTCGAGAACACATCCACCCAGAAACAACCAACCAGGACCCAAGGGCCATGCCTAGGTCATTCCAAACTCTCGCCCTTCCCCCCCCCCCCCTTCCCCTCCCTTTTGTGTACATATCACGCCCGGGAACAGACCTGGGTGCGGCAGGATGCTGAAGTAGACCGACGACCACCCTATGCTCTGCAAACTGCACAGCACGCCACGGCCGCGCGTGACAGCGGACCGCGCAAGTCGTCCACGCCCGCCGCACCTGTCCATCGTGCCTATCCTAGTCCGCGGGCGCGACCGCATGAGGTCGCCGTCCGGAAGCAGCCCTCCCCAGACACCCTGTTGCAAGTACCCTACACGCGCTCGACTAGCGCAGGCTTGCCTGGCGTCGTTCGCCCCCTTGGTGAGCGCCCGGGAGCCGTGCTGGTGATGTGAGACATGTTGCCGAGCGCGCGGGCCACTTTTGTCGTTCGCTGACCTACAAGTGTTTGTGATTCCCTGAGGCGTGCCACAAGCACCCTCGCCGCAAGGATACTTCAGCGACCGAAATGGTATGTGCGCTGGCCACCCACCACCACTCAGCTCAGGGCACCGGCGCCCGGGGGCCGCACCGAGTCGGCAGGTTCGGGAAGATTACATCGTGCACGAGCGGGTGCGCGTCTGCTACGTCTGCTACGTCGCCTCGCGGCTTGCGGCACTGCTGGCGTACTGCGCTTGCAGGGCAATGATTTGGCGAAACAGCTTCTGGAAGTCTCTCGTGGCGCGCTCCATCAACGCGTCCGGACGCTCCGGGAGGTTGCGCAAGCTCTTGTGCGACAGCACTTCCATCGCCTGCACGCAGGGCACAGAGAAGCGCTCGAGCTACCCACTGCAGGTGTTGCACAACATATAACACACGAGGTCGCGTGGCCGCCTTGCCGCGCCGCTTCGGGCGTCCCCGACGGCCAGCGGCGAGACCCACGCGCCTCGTTCTCCTGCTCTGGCGCGCTGTTTTTCTGCGGCCTTCGACGACAGATCGTAACCGGACAGGAGAAGTCCGAACACCGGCTACGATCTGCTGTCGAAGGCCGCAGAAAAACATCCCGCCAGAGGAGCACGAGGCGCGCAAGTCTCGCCGCCGGCCGCTCGTGCCGCCCCTCGCGGCCAGCGTCCATAACGCACCTTCTCGAACGAGTCGCACTCCAGCAGCGCCGGCTCCAGGGCGTGGTGCAGCGCGAGTGCGACACCAAACACTCCCGTCAGTCCTGAGAACATAATCAGGTCCCACGCCCGGACGAGGTGCCGCCACGGCAGCACGTACCCGAAGAGCGTCATGAACCACTGCGGCGCGTACATCTCCGGCAGCACGCACAGCGCCTCCAGGTGCTGCTGCAGTCGCGGGCTCCCCAGCTGGTGGTTCCCAAGCAGCTCCCCGAGCAGGAACAGACACTCCTGGAGCAGCGGCAGGCCGGGCCTGCGGGCGAGGGGGCGCGGGGCAGACGGTGGGTGCGGCGTGCGCGCGCAAGCGCGGTGCGTCGCGGCGTTGGTGCGTGGCGGCACTGCGGCGCAGGCGATGCGCACCTGTAGAGCCCCTGCAGCGGCGCGTGGCGCGCCCCGGCCTCGGTGCCCTTCATGAGCGCGACGAGCGTCCAGAACGCGTCCTCCTCGGGCTGGTACAGCAGCAGCAGCCCCGCGAGGAACCCCATGCCTTGCACGTACCCCAGCTCTCGATCAAAGATCGCGTAGGCCTTCAGGACGTTGTACAGCGCGACCTGCCCCGGTCCGCCGCGCTGCTGGTAGTACACGTGCGTCGGGTACGTCCGGTGGATGTCCTTGAGGATCTGGTGCTGCGCGGCCTCGAAGCGTGACGTCAGGGGGGGCATGTCCATGGAGAGGTTGCGGGAGTGGTGCCGCGCGTGCGCACGGAGCGGAGACGGCCGAGGCGGCGCCTCGTGCGCGCCCGGCGGCGCCGCGTCCGCCTCGGGGGGCGTCGGCTCGGGCGCTTCGTGCTCGCCGCCTTCGTCCCGGGCCACGTCCTCGGCCGGGCTCTCGCGCGGGGGCGCGGCGCTGGGCTGCGGCGGCGACGGCGACGGACGGTCGAGCACCACCGAGTTCGGCGGCACCGTCGGCACGTCGAACCCGGACGACGCCACCGACAGAACAGTCCCCCCCGTGGTGTTGAAGTCCGAGTCAGCGCCGAACGCGTGCTGCACCTCGTCGGTCGCCGCCTCGGCGCGGTTCTCATCCGCAGCGCGTGGCGCCGCCTGCGCAGCCCTGGACGCGGTCGTCTCGGGCGTCCTGCTGCTGCTGGGTGCCGGCAGTGGCGAGGCCTTGCCCGGAGCAACGCCCAATTTGAACGACGCCTCCCTCGTGAGGCTGCCCCTCTGCGTCGCCGACTTCGAGGAAGCCCCGCGCGTCACGGGCTCGGTCGAGCGCGCGGTCGCCCCGCCCGGCGTGCCCCGGCCGCTGCTGGTCGGTGCCGGGCTGCGCACGCCGCCACCGCCGCGGTCGGTCTTGGATCCCGACGCGACGGACTCGATCTCGCGCTTCAGGATCTCCTCCTTCTGCGGACTCCACAGCTGCACCTCCCTGTCCCGCCGGATGTCCCCGGCCGCAGGTTTCGGCAGCTGCGCCACCACCGCGGACAAGTTCTGCACCTGTCCGTTGCCCTCGCTGCGCGGCGCCGCCGACCCCGACGCAGTCGTGTCCGCGCTCGTATCGAGGCTGATCGGCGGCGGCGCCGGCGACCTCGACGAGGACTGACCCGCACGCGGGCGCGCAGCGGTAGCACCGTTGCTGCGCCCGGCCGCGCCGCCACGACCGCGCCCGGACACCGGCGCTGGCCCTGTACTCGTCGTGCTCGTACGAGACCGCGCGCGCGGCGGGGCCGCGGGGGGGCTGATCACGCCCGCACTGGGCGCGCGCCGCGGCGGCGCCGCTCCCGCCGGAGCCCATGCAGGCTCGGGCGTGCGGCCGCGGCGCACGGCCCTGCTGCCGTCCACGAGCGCACCGCGGCTACCGCTGCGCAGCTGCGGACGGCCCCGCTGCGTCGCCGCCTTGTCGCGCCCGCGCTCCCGGACCGACGGCCCTGCGTTCGTGGAACGCGCGTGGTGCGCGGAGACGTCGTCAGTGAACGTGTGCCGGCCGTGCTGCCCGTGCTGCCCGTGCTCGCTCCCCTGCGCGATGCTCACGCTGTCCTCGGCGCTCGCAGTCGTCGTGCCGGTCGCCGACAGGGCGGACACGATCGAGAACGTCGAGCGGACAGGCGTCGCGGCCGTCGCCGCGGCGCCCGCGGGGCCGTCGAGCACGGGCAGCGCAGCCACGTCCTCGGCCGAGCGCCGCCCCGACGACGGCGCCTCCGCGCCGGCGTGCCCCGAGTGGCGGTCCGTGGGCGCAGGCACCGACATCGACACCCGGCTCCGCTGGCGCGCCGACAGGCCGGACGCCGGCGGGCGGTCGTGCTTGGACCGCGACTTCCGGCCCCCGTCCGCCTCTGTCTCCGACGCCGTCGCCTGGCCCTCGACTCCAATCACGGCATCTGAGTCAGGGGCCGCGACCGGCGCGTCGAGCAGGCGCGGCACGCCCGACGGGTGGCCCTCCGAGTGGGGCTGGTTCGCGAGATGGCTGATGCCCGGGGAGGACGGCGTGGCCCGGCGCGGGCCCGCGAGGGCTGAGAGGTGGTCGTGAACGATCGAGGCAGAGAGACCTGCGCCGTTGGACATGGTGGGCGCGAGGAGGCCCCCGGGGCCCCGCGCGGTCGTGCCCGCAACGGAGGACGCGACGGTCGCGCGGGACGTGAGCGCCGGGTCGGACGCCTCGGTCGCGCGGGCCTCCGGGCTGGGTGCGGCGTTGCGGCCAGACTCCCCCCCCTCTGAGGGGGAGTCTTTCGCGCCCCCGAGGAGGTCGGACAGCAGGACCTCGATGTCCGGCGTGGGCGCGCAGCGCTGGAGGCGGTCGTAGAGGCGCGGGTGCGCGATGCGCAGCTCGCGCCCACCCGTCATGGTCTGCCACACCACCCCGCGCAGGCTGTCCGGCACGCCCTTGCGCACGCGCGAGCGGAACTTGCGCGGGGGTTCCCGCATTTTCTTCCCCAGGTCCTCCACCAGCATCGCGTTCCACTTTTGAATGCGCCGCTCCTCACGCTCCGGGTCTGCACGCACGAACGCGCACGCGCACGCCTCGCGCCCTGCCTCCCTGGCCACAGCGCACCGCCCTCGCACCGCTGCGGCGATCGTTCGCGCGCTGCCACGCCGCTCGCGCGCTGCACACGACACCCCCGGGGCGGCGGCGCGTCGCACCTGGGTCGTCCTCGTCGTTGTCCTCCCCGTCGCTCCCGTGCACAGCCGCGAGCCCCCTAGCTCGCTCGTCGCGCTCCGCCCCCACGGGCCCCGCCGCCTCCATGTTATTGACGTTGTTCTTCCCCCGGTTCTTGAACATCGCCCACGCGTCCGCAACGACGTTCAGCATGGCCACGGACTTCGTCAGCACGTCCCCCGGGCCGCGGCCCCCGCCCTGCTTGCCCCCGAGCGCGCCCTCGGCGCCGTCCACCTGCGTCCGCGGCATCCGCCAGCGGCCCTTGCCGCCCGCGTCGTTTCGGCCCTTGCCGTCGTCGTCCTCGGCCCCCGCGCGCCCGTCCGAGCCCGCGCTCGGCTTCCTCTCGCCGGCGTCGCGGTCGTCCGCGGAGGACTCGTGCGACGCGCGCCCGCGCGGGCCCCCGAGCGCGTCGCGGGGCGGGCCAGCGGAGGTCCCGGGGGCGCGCGCGGCGCCGCCGTGCTCATCGTCGTCCTCGGGGCCCGAGTCCGGGGCGTCCTCGTTCGTCTCGCCGGTCCCCGCGGACGTCGGGAGCGACGCACGCGTCTCGTCCACGCCGGGGGGTGGGCCTCCTCTGCTCCACCTGCACGCAGCGGCAGCAGGCGGCGCTCGCGCGGGTTCTGAACGGCGCGACCAGGTGCACAAAGCTGTATCTTGGCGGCGCGGCGGAAGAATTGGCCGGAAAGGCGCGCGGCGCTGCTTGTGGGGCCTCCGTAGACCAGAAGATTGCCTGAGCCGAGTGCGCGTGCACACGAAGCGCCTGGCTGGACCAGGGGCCCGTGGAACGCCGTGCGGCCGTCTTCAGACCTGCTCGGTGCGACGCAGCGAGCCAGGGGGCGACGATGTCGCGCAGGCAGCCCGGGGGCGCACCTGGGCTGCGAAGCCGGGCTGGGCGAGGTTGGGACAGCCCCGCTGGAAGGCATGCGCCTGAGGTCGTTCCGGACCTTCTCCAGCGCCGTCTGGTCCACCTGGTCGATCTTCACCGGCGTCGAGACCGGGCGCTCAGCCCCTGCACAGCGCCGTGGGGCGGAAACCAAGTCTTGGCTTCGTTGGGTCAGTGACGCCCCCGCGGCGCTGCGGCGCCGCGGGAGCCGCGGCGGGCCGCGGAGACCGCGCGGGAAGGACGTTGCGGGCGCAGGCGGGATTGGCGCGGCGGCCCCCCGCGGCGACACGCGCCGGGGCGGGCGCTAGGAGGGCAGAGAGGAAGTTGCAAGGCAGCGCGCGGTGTGCTGCGCTGAGGGCGTCCGCGGGCGGGCGGGCGCGCTGCTGGGGCCCGTGATACCGGGGGCGGGTGGCGGACCTCCTGGCGCGGGCGGCGCGTCGGGCGGTCCGGCGCGGTTGGCCCAGGGAGACAGCAGCTCCACCAGGGAACTGGCGGGGGCGTCCGGCTTGCCGCCCGACGCGTTTGAGACGACCTCCCAGTCGGACATGTCGCTCGCGGCCGACCGGGCGCCGTCGTCCTCGGACGAGCTGTACAGCGGGTGGCTCTCCGGGGCGAGCATCGACGTGCCACGGGAGTGGAACACATGCTGCGCCGGGCGGTTGCCGAACCGGCGCGTCATCGCGTCGGCAGATCCTTGTCTTCACGGGCTACGCCTGGGCGGCGAAACGGCGGCGTGAGAACGCCATGGTTGGCTGCAATTGGGCCTGCTGTAGCCAACGTGGTGCGGCGTGGCGAGTCCGTGCTGATGTTCGCCGCGGCGACACGCTGCGATCCCACGCACAACCTCACGCCTCCGGCGCGCGTATTCTGCCCGGCGGCCGCCGCGTTGCCCGCCGTTGGCCGCGCACACGTGGCCGCCACGTCAAACACCCCCACCACCTGACACAGGCGCCCCCTCGCACACGGGCGCGCCGGGGACGAGCCCGCCGCGCAGCCATGCGCAGTGCGCGCGACGGGTGGTCTCGGAGCCGGCTCGCCGTGCAGGCGCGCGGCCTTCGACCGGTCCACCCTGGTGCCACAACAGCGCGTACTCACGCGCGCGGGGCGGCGACGGCCGATGCCACAGGGCACGCGCCCCTGCGCCCGCACCCACGCACATCCGCTACAGAAGTCTCCGTCCCCTCATCGCCGCCGGCCGAGCGCTTACCCCAGCACGACGCGTTCCGCCCTGCCGTGTGTACAAGGCAGGTCGCGCCATGCTGGGGGACCGCGCGCGCCCCGGCGCAGCGCGTCCGCGGCGCAGCCAGGAAGCGCGTCATCGGAGCGTCACAGTCGGGTGTCCGCGTCCCAGCGGAGGCCCCGTTGCGGTATAAAACACAACATGGCGGTTCACTCGTTCATGACTCGCTCCAAGGTCTCCGCGAGCGTGCCGTCCTGGTACGCCTCCATCATGATGTCGCACCCGCCGAAGAACTCCCCGTCGATGTATACCTGCACGCAGCGACCCGGCACGCCCCGTGTCAGCGGACGGAACAACTGCAAGCGGACAGCCGGGGCGGACGGGCGCAGCGGCGCGGTCGGCGCACCTGGGGGAACGTCGGCCACATGGAGTACTCCTTCATCCCGCTCCGGACCTCCTCGCTGTCCAGCACGTTGACGTCTTCGTAGGGGACGCCGTACTGGTTCAGGATCTGTAGCGTCGCGCACGGGGCGAGGCGGGGCCGTTCGGCGCCGCGAGCGCGTGGAACAGATGGTTGTGCGGCGGGAGGGTGCGTCGCGACGGCGAGGAAACGGTCCCGGGGCGGGTGTGTGCGGGGCAAGGGTGGTTGCCCTAGGAGGGGGCGTGTGCGCGTGGGGTGCCTGGGTTACGGCGCCGAGAGGCAAGGGTGCGAACGATGGCTGAGGGGGCGTTGCGAATAGCGGATGCTCGGGGGAGGTACGCGGTGCACGGCGCGATGCGCGGCGAGTGCAGACCTGAGAGAAAGGGGCGACGTACCTGCACTACCGTGTTGGAGAAGCCGCACTGCGGGAACATCTTGGTCCCCTTGATGAAGACGACAACCTTGTTCGACGTGACCAGGTTGTCGATGGCCTCCCGCAGCTCAGGGCGCATGCCACCTGCAGGGGGCTCCCACGCACGGGACCGCGCGCCCAGTGACGAAACGCGCGCGAATCAATCGCCCAAAGCGAAACCCTTGAGCTGCGGCGTCCGCGGGGCGTCCTCGGCGCGGCCAAGGCGTCCCACGCGGCGCACGCGCTGGGCAAAGACTGCAGGAGGTCTCGTCGGAAATCGCAGCAGGCGCGCGCGCTCGCGGTCGCACCTCCGGCCATCGCGCGAGCGACGACATTGGCGCGTCGCCCGGTGCGCGGGACAGCGGCGGCCACGCGCCGGGCGACGCAGGGGCGGCACACGGGCGCCCCGCGGGCCCCAGCGGCCCTCGGAGCCGCGGCGTTCTGCAGCGGGAGCGTCTTCATCGTGGCGGACCGAACGCGAGAGTGCGGGCGCGCCGTGGTCACGCGGTGCGCTTGTCGCCGGGCTCCGCAGCGTGAGAGAGAGTGTGTGTACCGCCAGGCGCGCGCTCAGTCGGTCTGGGGTTCCCGCACGCCCGGGCTGGGAACAAGGGAGGCTGCGCGCCATCCAGCATGCCCAGTAGGCAAGCTTCGCCCAGTGGAGTCAGTTGCTGTATTTCCGTGCACCCGCGGACGTGTGGGAGGCTCTAGAGGCCAGCGCTGGTGTGTAGAGCGCGCCCGCACCGCCGGCGCGCCCATCCGCCTGGCAGGCCGCTGCCGAGAGGTGGCCTGGAGTAGGGCGCAGCGGAGGGCGGCGGCGCCATGGCGGCGTACGTGGACAGCCTCGCGGGGCGCGTGCACGGGCGCGACGAGCTCCTGAGTTCGCTCCGGGAGCTGCACGCGGCGCGCCTGTGGCACCAGCTCACGGACGCGCTCGAGACGGTCGTGGAGGACGAGGCGTTCCAGCAGGACGGGCTCCTCGCGGGCATGTGGGACGACTTCATCGCCGGCTTTGCGCTCAAGCTGAACCCGCTCCGGTGCGCGCGCATCGGCGTGAAAATGGCCGGATCCTTCGCGGCACCCGCGCAGGCGATGGAGTTCGTGCAGAAGGTGCGCGCCGGCCCGCGCCGGACCTCGCTGCTGTCGCGCGGGAGGCGGCGAGGCAAGGGTCAGAACCAGACACCGCCGCGCTCGGCGCGTGCGGGGGTGACGGTCGGCCGTGAATGCCGCGACAGCGAGATCCATTCAGCGAACACGCGCTCGGGGAATGCCAGCGCCAGCGGGGCGCTCTCACGCGCGGCAGCGCCGATCTTGTGCTTCCATGTGCTCTCAAGCACGCCGCACCGGCACAGGGCGTCCCATGCAGAGCGCCCCGCGCCCCGCATCGCTCACGCACAGCCCACAGGCTCGCCCGCGGCGACGGAGCCGGCGCTGCGGCGCCCTCAACCCCCGTCCGCGGCCCCTGCAACCGCTGCAGATCAAGGACAAGCTGTCGAGCGACAAGGGGCGGAAGCACCCCATCGACGACTGCCTCCTGTACCTCGACATGAACATCGCGCTCCTGCAGCTCCAGCGCGGCGAGACGCAGGCCTGCCGCGACGCCGTCGACGACGGCACTGTGCGCCTGGGGCGCCTGAGCGAGCCCGACCCGACGGTGTCCGCCTCGGTGCACTGGGCGGCCTCGCAGTACCACAAGTCCCGGAAGGACTTCGCGGAGTTCTTCCGCTCCGCGATGCAGTACCTCTCGTCCGTCCCGTACGAGTCCCTGGCACCCATGGTGCGCCTCCCGCTCGCGGTCGACGTCGCGCTCGCGGCGCTGCTCGGCGAGGGCGTGTTCAACTTCGGCGAGATCCTCCTCCACCCGATCATCAAGGAACTCGAGTCCGGCCAGTATAAGTGGCTGGGGGACATGCTCAAGTGCTTCAACAACGGAGACCTCCACGAGGTCCGAACACCCCCCCGCGCCTCCACCGCACCCGCCCCGCACGCACACGCCCCGCGCGCACACGCCAGCCCACGCCCCGCACGCCTGCGCCGCGGACTCAGCGCCGTGGTGGTGTTGCGCTCCGCTGCACGTGCAGTACGACGCGCTGTGCCGGCGCGAGGCCGCGGCGCTGAACGCGCAGCCCGCGCTGGTGGCCAACGAGCGCGCGCTGCGCGAGAAGGTCACGATTCTGTCGCTGCTGGTGCTCATCTTCGAGACGCCTGCGGAGAAGCGCACGATCCCGCTTGAGACGATCGCGCGCGGCGCGAAGCTCGACACCGAGGGCGTGGAGCAGCTGCTGATGCGGTGCCTGAGCCTGGGGCTGATCAAGGGGACCATTGATCAGGTGGGGGGGGTGGTGCAGGTGACGTGGGTGCAGCCGAGGGTGCTGACGCTGCCGCAGCTCGCGCAGATGCAGGAGCGCCTCGGGACGTGGCTCGGGAAGGTCGAGGCCGCGGCCGCGAACCTCGAGAGCGCCGTCGTCGTCGAGTGACGCCCACACGCAGACGTCACAGTCGCCCTGCAGGGTGTGACGCGTACGGATACACAGCGGCGCCGCGGCGCTGCCGCGGCTACGTGCGCCTCCAGCGCGCCAGTCAAGTCCTTCTCGTCTGGTCGCGTCAGCGGGCCGTTTCATGCAGGCACAGTGTCTGTGCACTGGTCGTGGGCAGCGGTGGCCGGTTCGGTTCGGCGCTCTAGCTCAGGAGTCGCGAGCGCGTGGGACGCAGCGACCGCCGCCGCTGTCGGCCACTCACGACCGCCGTGGAGAGCGCACTCTGGATGCGTGTGCGGCGCACGCTGCAGACAACGCGCGATCGACGCCCCGCCGCGTCGCCCGAGCCGTGCGGCCAGAGACGCCCCCGCGCCGCCCGTCGACGGGGAACGCCTCGCTACGCTGCGCGGGGCACAGAGCACGTTCTGGGCACAGCGCCACCATGTGTACGCTGTCACAGCCGGTCCGACTTCCCCGGCACCGCGAGCTTGGCCTGGCCGAAGAAGTTCGACGCGGCCTGCGCGTAGTTCTCCTTGAAGAGGTACTGCGCCTTGTCCACGTTGTCGCGCACCTGCGGGGCGCCGCGCGGAGCCATCCCGAGCGGGGCCTCGCGCTGAATGTGGCCCGCGTAGCCCGGCACGTGCCCCGTCGCCTTGTGCGTCCCCACCTGCAGATCCCTCAGCCCGTCCGGGTCCCGCGTGATGCTGTCCTTGCCAGCCATGCCAGCCAGGCCCCCCATCCCTGCCCCGCCCGGAATGCCGCCGCCGTAGCCGGGCCGCTGCGCCGAGTCCACGCGCTTCTTCCCGCCCTTCCACTTGCGCACCGTGCCCACGCCGTCGTCCTCCGGGAACCCCGTGCGCCCCATCGCTTGCGCCTGGTACGTGGACAAAAAGTGCTCCGTCGGGTCCCGCGTCGCCCCTGCGCTCTCGTCGGCACGCCACGGGGCATGCGTGGGCGTGGGCCTCAAAGAGGCTCCCGCGCGTGGGCTCGGCGGCCGTGCGAGGGGCGAGTGCTGGGCCAGGGCGCGGACCAACGGCCGCGCGCAGGACCGACGCCCTCGCCGCGCGGCTCTCCAGCGCGGGCGAGGCCGACACGGCGGACCGCGCGCGCCGAGGCTGTCGCGGGCGCGGTGCGCGGCGTCGCCGCGCGCGGGGGCCGAGCAGTCAAGAGGGCCCGTGCTGACGACGAGGAATGCGGGCGCTGCGGGCAGGCACGGACCTGGGGCGAACTGGCCGTCGTTCGGGTCGGGTTCGGTCTGCAGGTGGAGGCGGTGCGTGCGCTCGACGTGGTCCACCGGGAGGTCTGCGGACTGGTCGGGGGTGATGCCATCGCCCTCGCCATGCAGGTGGTCGCGCGTGGCGGGGTGGCCGTGGAAGTGGCGCTTGCGCGGCCCGACGTTGAGGTCGTCGCCGTCCATGCCGGGAAGGATGCCCATGGTGCGCGGCCGCACCCGAGGCGGGCGGGAGGAGGAGCCTGCGCGAAGTGCGAGGACGCTGCTCGGTGCTCGTGCGCTCGAAATGCGGAGTCCGGTGAACGATACGATCGCTCTCGCCATGCAGCGGGCCGGCGCGCGCCCTCCTCGAAACCGCGCGCGGGGGGGAGACAGAGCGGGTAGAACATGACGCGCAGGCGGGCGGGCCCTCTTTCGTGCCCGCCTGGCCGCGAGTGGCTGCGGCACGTCACGGCCGCGTGGCAGCTGCACGTGCACTTCTCGCCGCAGTCGCCCGCGTCGCCTCGCACCGCGAGCAGTCCGCTCCGCTGCGTCGAAGCCACTGCGCTTGACACCTGCTGTGCTAGGGGTTCCCGTCGCCGGGCAGGAGCGGCGTGGGAGGGGCGCACGCGCGCCACCGGGAGCTGCTGCGTACGTTCAGGGAGGGAGCAGCAGGCGGCAGGCCCTGACGCGGAGTCATGCTCGCCACCCTGCAGCGGGCGCTGGCTGGAGCGCGCTCCCCCGCGCTTGCGAGCGCAACACGATGGAGCGGGGCCCGCGGCGCCCATGTTGATCTATCGAAGAAGCCCGTCGACGCCGAGGTGCGCCGCCGCAGCCAGCACACGCGCCGGTGCAGCGCCTCCCCCCTCGCCGACAGTCGCTGCGCAGAGGGGGGGTCCCGATGGTTCCCACTCGACCTACGCCCCTCCTGCGCGCGGCGCACTCGTCACCGCAGCCCCCTCCAGCGTCTTCGCGTCGCGCCCTCGGCCTGCCCCACACCTCCCTGCGAAGGGTTGAGCCCTCACCGCGTGGCTTCGCGCCGCTCCCCGCGCGCCGCAGGACGGCTGGAACTTCGCCGCAAGGTACACGGGCTACTGGAGCGAGGTTCCGTACATGGCGAAGTTCCTCGGCCTCGCAGGACTCATCCCGTTTGCCGCGCTCGGCGACGGCATCCTGCAGCGCATCCCCTTCGTGCCGCAGCTGGCGATCGACCGCCGCCACGAGCTGCAGGTGAGCTCGCCTGCACGCGCCGCGCCGCCCGGCAGCGCCCCCCGCGCGGACTGCAACACACCCCTCCCGCTGCCGCGCACGTGCGCTGCAGATGGGCTACGCGATGTCGATTGCGTCGTTCGTCGGCGCCATGCACTGGGGCTTCGCGTTCTCGAACTTCGGCGGCGCCGCGGTCAGCGCGCGGCTCGCCAACGTGCGGCTGTGGGGCGGCATCCTGCCGTCCGTGGTGTGCCTGCCGAGCTTCGCGCTGCACCCGCAGGCCGCGGGCCTGCCCGTCGTCACGACGCTGCTCTTCCAGCTCGCCATGGACGACATGCTCTGGCAGCGCCGCGCCGTGCCTCGGTGGTACCTCTCGCTGCGCGCGCCGCTGGTGCTCGGGGCGTGCATCTCGATGCTCAACCTGGTGGCGCACGCGGAGGCCAAGGTACGTCGCGTGCTGTGAGCGGCGTCGCGTGCGCGGGTGCGCCGCCGCGGAGACGAGAGATGCTGGGTGCGGTGATCGCATGTGTGCAGGAGCGGCGACGGGCGAGCGGAGAGGCGGCGCAACCGCGGATGTCGTCGATTCGGCTGCTGATGGGCGCGGGCGGGGGCGGGGAGGGCGCGCAGGCGCCCGGCGGCGATGCGGCGCGCAGGGAGGCAACGACGGAGAGCGACGGGGACCCCGGGGGGAGTAAACCTGACATGGACACGATGCGGGACGCGCTGCGGCAGTCGAAGGAGAGCAGCGGGAAGCGCAACGGCTGGTCGGGCAGCTAGCGCGCCACCCCGCGCCTGTAAGCTCGTCGCGTCACACTCTGCGCCCGTGCGCGCGTCATTCCGCGGCCTCGGCCCCCTCCCCCTCCTTCTCCTTGTTCTTCCAGTAGTCCTCCAGCTCGTCGTCCAGCTTCGCGGCCGCCTGCTGCGCCTTGATCTTCTTCTCCTGCTCCTTGAGGGCCTTCAACTCCTCCTGCTTCTTCGGGTCCGACTTCCAGTAGTCCAGCATCTCGTTGTCCAGCTCAGCCAGCGACTTGCTCTTCGGCTTCGGCCCGCGGCCCCCGCGCCCGCCCCTCCCGCCCCCCCGTCCCTGGCCCTTGCCCGGGGACTTGCCCTTCGTCACGCCGCCCGCCGAACCAGCGCGCCCGCCCCCGCGGCCCTTCCGGCCGCCCCTGCGAGTGCGACGCGGGCATGGCGCTGGAGGCGTCGGATCGCGCGTGCAGGCGCGCGGGGCGGCGTTGACGGAGGTGGAGCAGCACCGGCGGAAGTTGGCAGGGCGGGCCGCGCGCTCAGGGCGGCATGTGCGGTCAACGCGGCGGCTGTGGATGCACAGTGGAGGCGGTGGCGGCCGTGCGCGCGCCCAGGCCGGCGCGTCGCGTGTGCCGTGCTGCAGCGCTGCGCGCGCAAGGTGTCAACTTCGTGGTGGTCGACGTCGCCGCGTCGTGGGACCGCCCGGCGGACACGAACTGGGCGCAAAGGACAGCGCTCATTTCATCATGCACGCTGACGCGTCGTTCGCGGTACAACCGCACCTGCCGCGGCCCGGGCCCGCCATCTGCACTTCCTCGCTTCCTCTCGCCGCTAGATACCTGTGCGCCGACCACTGCCTTCGCGCCCGCTTCGTGCTCTCTTGTGCGCGGGGAGCGGTGTGCCCGCGAGGCAACGTTTGCAGAGCCCGCGTGGCGCCACGCTGCGTCAGTCCGCCAACAGAGAGACCCCCGCCGCGATTTCTACCACGACAGGCCCCCGTACGATGCCTGGACGCAACGGAGCGCTCGTCCAGTCACGGTAGGTCGCATCGGATCCGTCGCACCGCGCTCGAGCAGCGTTGTCGCGGAGCTCTGGAACGCTTTGTGCCGGTGACGGTCTGAACCGGGTGGCGGCCTGCGTTTGACGCGAGGGGGGCTGGGTCACCGATATGACGCAGAGCGGGTTCAGCGATTGGTACAATGGGCTGCCCCCGTTCTCGCGGGCGCTGGGCACGGCGTGGGTGGTCACTGGAACCGCAGTCCGTTTCGGGATGCTCTCGCCCGTGCTGCTCATCATGGACTGGGGCTGGGTGCTCGGCAGCGCGCCTGCTGCGATTGCCGGCAAGTACGGCAAGTATCAGGTGCGCACGTCCCGTCGCCGCGGCACACGGCGGGCAGCACCCACCTGGCAACACACACGCGCGGGCGAGGCGTCCGTACCCGGCGACACGCGAGACCTTCCACAGCGCAGGCGCCTACCCTGCATCCGCCCCCTCTCCTGCGCTCGGTCCGCACCGCGCGGGCCTAAACTCCCCCCCCCGCCTGACACGACTGTTGCGGCGCCCCTCATCGTCCTCGCGCCCCCGCCCGACCGCCCGCAGCTGTGGAGGCTGCTGACCAACTTCATGTTCGTCGACAAGCTCAGCATGGGCTTCTTCTTCAACATGCTCTTCCTGCACTCGTACGCGGTGCCCCTGGAGCGCGTGGTGTTCGAACACAGCCCCGCCGACTTCCTCGCGCTCGTCCTCTTCGCCGTCGCCTGTATCCTCGCGCTCCAGGTGCGCCCCGCCCGCCCCGCCCCCCGCGACCGACCCCCCCCCGTGCGCGCACGCAAACCGCAACGCCCAGACAACACCAACTCCCCCCTCCCGGTGCGTCGTCCGCGCGCAGTTCGCGCTCCCGCTCCTGCTGGGCACGGCGCTCTACCTCGGCGCGCACCCGCTGCTCACCGTCTTCGTGTACGTGTGGTCGCGCGAGAACGCCGCCCAAACGGTCCGGTTCTGGGGCATGATTTCCTTCCAGGCCTTCTACCTGCCGTTCGTCCTCGTGGCCTTCACGCTCATCCAGGGCGGGTCGCCCGTGCCGGACCTCGCCGGGATCGGCGTCGGGCACCTGTACTGGTTCATCACCAAGCTGTACCCCGCAGCCAACGGCGGGCGGCAGCTGCTGACCACGCCCCTGTGGGTGCACAAGCTCGCGAACGCCGTCGGGATGCAGGACGGGGTGCCGCGGCCCGCACCAGCGCGGCCGACCGCGGGCGCCAGGCCGGCAGGGGGCGGGATGGGGGCGCCGCGGCCGGAGCCGGCGGCGGCGACGGCGACGGGGTTCCGGGCGTTCACCGGCACGCGAAGAAGGCTCGCGGACTGAGCGGACGCGGAGCGGCGTCAGCGGTGTGACGTCGTTGGCCACGCAGCGACGGCTCGGTGCCCCGGGAACGGACGCGATGTTGCGCGCTGAGCAGGCGGCACCGTCACAGTTGCCGTGCGGCGGTGGCGCGGGCGGCCTCCTAGCGCACAGCGATGAAGTCGCGGTCGATGTTGGGGTGCCGCGTGCGCTTCCGGTACTCCCCGACGAGCCCGGGCCAGTTGTGCGTGACGCGCCCCGCTGCGTCCACGTACCAGCTCGAGCAGCCCGTAGCCCACACGCTCGCGCGCAGCCGCCGCTGCATCTCCTCGTCGAAGATCGCCTGTGCCTCGGCCTTGACTTCCAGCGCGCGCAGCCCCCGCGCCGCCATCTCAGCGATGCACTGCACCACGTACGCTTGCTGCGCCTCCAGCATGTGGACGATGCTGTTGTGCGCCAGGTTGGTGTTGGGGCCGTACAGGACGTACATGTTCGGGTAGCCGTGCACCGTCATGCCGAGGTGCGCGACCGCGCCGCCCTTCCAGTCGTCCGCCAGCGCGTGGCACGATCTGCCGCGCACGTCAATCCGTCCGAGGAACTCGCTGCGGCGCAGACGGTAACGCACACGGCCGATCACGCACGGATACAGCCACAGGCATGCACACACGCAGTGCGCACGCACTCGTCCGCGTCGCACCTCGTGTTGAAGCCAGTGGCGAGGACAATCGCGTCGACTGGCACCTCGAGCTGCTCTTGCGCCGTATCTGGCGCCCCGGCGTCGCTGCGTGCGGTCGACGGTGTGGAGACGACGATCGAGTGCTCCTTGACGTCCACGAGCTCGCCGCGCACGGTGGTGACGTTGGGTTGCTGCAGGGTGGCGTAGTAGTCGTTCGACATCAAGATGCGCTTGCAGCCCAGGCGGTAGTCGGGCGTCATGCGGCGCCGCAGGACTGGATCCGGGATCTGCTTCTTGATGTGGCGCGCGAAGGCGTTCTGGGCCAGTTTCAGCGACCCTGGCAGCCCGGAAAGTAGAGCAGCGCCACGCAGCTCGTGCGCCGCGTGCTGCTTGGATCGCGACACTGACAGCAGCGCGTTCCCGGCCCTCGCGAGCGCTCGGCGCCACCAGGAGCTGTACGGCTGGTCGTCCTTGGGGAACACGTACGCGGGGGAGCGGCACACGTGCGTCAGACTCCCCACGGACTTGGCCAGCTGCGGCACCACCTGGATCGCACTCGCGCCGGAGCCGATCACCGCGACGTGCTTGCCGGACAGATCCTGCGCGCTGTCCCATTCGGCCGTGTGGATGACCGGCCCTCGAAAGGCACCGCAATGCAGGCCAGGGATGTGCTCGCAGCGCGCAGGCTGACTCAGCTGACCGCACGCGAAGATCAGGGACCGCGCACGGAGCCGACGGACGGCGCGAGGCGCGTCGGCCATGCGCACGTCCACGTCCCACGTGTTCGCTGCTTCGTCGAACCGGGCCGCTTGCACTTCGGCACGCGGGACGAGGAACTTGTCAAGACCGTGTTTCGTCGCCACGCCCGCCAGGTACGTCAAGATCTCAGCCTGCGGCGCGTACTTGCGCGACCAGTCCGCACTCTGCTCGAAGGAGAACGAGTACAGGTGCGACGGGACGTCGCAGGCTGCGCCAGGGTAGCAGTTGGCGCGCCACACGCCCCCGAACCCGTCACCGCGGTCGACGATCACCATGTCGTCGATCCCAGCCTGCAAGCGATGCCAGCGGAGCGAATGCTTCGCTCTCGCTCGCGCAAGCGACGCAGCGGCCTTCTTCGGAGCTGCGAACCATTGAGATTGCCGAACGCGCCTGCACGAGCTGCAGCGCCATCCCCACGCCGCCGAACCCAGCGCCCACGATCGCAACATCGTAGAGGTGGCCGCCGTCCGACTGTCGCACGGGCCCCATCATCGCGCAACCGGGCGCCCAAGTGCCACAGCTCGAACGAAACGCGCCCAACGCCGCAACACGCTCCTCGCAACAAGCACGACGCCCGACGCCAGGCGATCTGCAACACTGCGAGCCGCCATCGCAGCCGCGCCGCCTCGCCCCGTCGGCGGCCCTCTCCACACCCCCCCCACTTGAGTCAGTCCGCCTCACATCATGCGCGCTGCTGCGGGTGCAGCGCGTTCGCGAACAGCTGGCTGAACTCCGGCGAGGTCATGCCCGCGCGGAGGTGCGGCCGGATGTCGTCGAAGTACGGGTGCTCCATGGCGTCCTTGGCGGTGATGCGCATGTTGGGCGCGTAGCACAGCAGCTTGCACAGCAGGTCCTCGCCCTGCGCGTCGAGGCCGGGCACGAACTCCGCGGGCGACTTGGCGCGCCACTGCGGGAAGCTCGCGTTGAAGTCGGGCAGCTGGGACACCCCCGGCCACACCCCCTCGTTCGGCGTGCCCATCTCTTTGAAGATCTTGAAGAGCTGGTCGATCTCCGAGTCCCCCTGGAACGGCGCGCGGCCGTTGAGCATCTCCGCGAAGATGCACCCCACGCTCCACATGTCGACGGGCGTCGAGTAGTGCTTCGCGCCCAGCAGGATCTCCGGCGCCCGGTACCACAGCGTGACCACCTCGTGCGTGTACGGCCGCACGGGGATGCCGAACGCCCTGCGGCGGGCGGCGGGGCGCGCGGGGCGGCGTGCGCGGCGGCGGCGCGCGGGCGCGCGGCGGCGGCGCGGGGCGCGCTGACGTGTTGCGTCGCGCGGGGCGTGCCTGGCGAGGCCGAAGTCGGCGAGTTTGAGGAAGTTGGATTCCCGGGAGATGAGGAGGTTCTGGGGCTTGAGGTCCCGGTGCAGGACGGAGTTCCGGTGGCAGAAGGCGAGGCCGTCGAGCATCTGGTAGAGGTAGAACTTGATGAGCTGCGTCTGGTGCGGGAACGTGTCGGTGTTGGCGTCCATCAGGCGCTTCAGGTCCAGGTCGACGTACTCGAAGACGAGGAAGAGCTTCCGCTCGAAGTGCACGATGTCGCGCAGCTGCACGATGTTGCGGTGCGACAGCTCCTTCAGGAGGGCGATCTCGCGGATCGCCGTCGACGGCACGCCCTCGTCCTCGTGCTCCAGCCGGATCTTCTTCAGCGCGATCGTCTGCGGGCGCGGAGGAGGGATCGGCGCGGCCGGCGGGGCGTGAGGGAGCGGGGAGCGCGCGGGGGCGCCGCGCGCGCGGGCGGGTCCGGCCGGCGCCGTCGGCGGCGTGCACGCGGTCCTGAGGGCCCGCGCGCGCAGCCGGGCGCCGGGGAGGCGGGCTCCGGCCGTCGGTGCGGGAGCGACGGAATCGATGAGGCGGTTGCTAGCTGCACTGGGGCAGGGCGCCGCGCGCGGGCACAGGGGGCGCGGAATCGCAGCTCCGGCGCTGGAAACGATGTGATATTGAGGATGCCGGTGTCGTGCGATCGACGGCGGGGCCGGAAAGCGCGGGGAAGCGCCGGCGCGGGCAGGGGTGGGCCTGTGCAGCTGGCGGAAGGTGCGTTTGGCGGGCAAGGAATGAGCGGCCCGGGAGCGGCTTTCCGGTCCCCGGGCAATGCGCGGCGGGGTCTCCGGGCGAGTCACGTTCGAACGGGAACGAAGGTACCGCGGGAGAAGGCGCGGCGTCGCGGTTCTCGCAGGGGTGCGGGCTGCGCAGCTCACCTGCTGCGACAGGGTGTCCCTCGCCTTGTAGACGACGCCATACGTGCCCTCACCGATCTTCTCCGACTTCTCGTACTGCGTTCGCGGCAAACATACGCGTCGATCCGCTCTGAATCGTGCAAGTGCGGCACTGCAACTGCCCCGGTTGCACGAAAGCGCGCTCCGCTGCGCGGGCGCCGGCGCTGGCGGGCCTCCGCCGCGCTGTTCCGGCCGCTCACGATGATCTGCGCCACTCGCGTCCTGCCGCGCCACTGGGCGCCGCCACCACCGGGCCCGCGCGCACTCCCGGCTGCTCCCGCGGCACGCTGCGCCCCCGGTCGCCGGCGGGGCGCAGAATCGCGGGCAGCGCCCGCGACGGACAAGCGTTCCGGGATGCACATGACCGCGTGGCCGCGGGCGTCGATGGGAGCGCGCGAGAGGTCGGGCAGCACGCACCCGGTCGAGCGGTGTCCTCGCCATGGCTGCGTAGGTCATCGACGGCGCCGGCTGGCCCCCGCGCGGGAGGGAAACCACGTCGACGCACGCGGCGGCAGTACGCAGCGACTCCGCAGGGCCGCGGGACTCGTGCGGCTAGGTTCGCCGACCAAAGTCGCGGGCAGTGACACTGCGCCTGCACGCTGCAATAACGCGCGCGATCGCGCTCGGAAGTCGCCGTGGGGAGGTCGCGGGCCTTGCCGGGGGAAGCGTCGCGGCGCGCGGGACGCTCCGCGCACTGACGCGCGAGCGCGCACGGCGCGGCGGGGGCTGGAGGGGAGTACCCGGGGGCGTGTTGCAGTGACGCGTCAGACGTGGCCGCGCGGTGGCGGAGGGCCGCCCCGGCGCGCTCCGACGTGCGCGCGATGCGCGTGCACTGCCGGACGCGTCCACAACGCATCGCAGCTTTCGTTTCGTCTCCGCAACGCGGCCGGGGCGTGCTTTGCGCACCGCAGACGTCTCGACAGCCGGAGGCCGCCCGTGCGCCCGGTCGTGTCGCCTGCCGCCGGACGGGCGGACCTAGACCGACGCTGCGCGCCACGGCGCCCCGCTGCACGTGGCCGTTGCGGCGAGGTCGTCACGGTGACGCTGTGTCATACCCAACGAACTTCGCAGGAGCGCCTTCGCTTCGAGGCCCCGCGGCCCTGCGACGCGCCCACACGAGCGTGGCAGCTCCGTGATCGAGTGGCGGCTCCGGCGCGTGACGGAAGAGATGAGGCTGCGCTCCGGACGAGGTGCGACGGGCGACGGTGAGAGAATGTCCCGTTCGAGCACCTCCGTGCACGGCCTCGCGGCCGCAAACGCCGCTGGTCTGAAGTTTTCGCAACTATCACGCCGATCATATTCGCGTCGGCCGGTGTGTGCGGCCCGGGGGCCGTCTGCACCCGTCACCTGCTGAACCACACGCTCGCCTCACCTCTCGGGACGCGCGCAGAGGGCGACGCCGCGAACAGCGACGCCGAGGAGCCTCGTGTGGAGGATCGGGATGGGCAGGTGAGCTCTCCCGGGCGCCCTCGCGCCGGGGGCAGCTGTTCCCCCCTGCGCCACTGCACCCGAGCGCCCCCCGCCGGCGCCGACGTCATCTGCGGCCCAAACCCGGCGCAGAAGCCGCTTCCTCGATCCAGGGAGCCCGCTGCGCTCCGCGTGACTGTTCTGCGCCCCGCGCGACGGAGATCTGCCCCCAACTGAGTGCCTGAGCTCTCTCACGATTCCACGCGTTTCCGCGCGACGGGGCCGAATCAACGCCGCAGCCGCGCTTCGGCGCCCGTCCAGATCAGCCTCGCAGCGCCCGCGGCCCGACCCGCCCCGTCGGTCGCACCGTCGCACGCGCAGGACGCTGAGATGGCGGACGCCGACGCAAGTGGGTCCGACAGCGAGGACATGTCCGGCGCCGTGGTCGTCGCTGCGATCGAGAGCGACTCCGACGACGAGGAGATGTCGTTCCAGCCCGCCGGCGGCGACTCGGAGTCGGACGAGGAGGAGGACGCGTCAGACAGCGACGAGATGGCCGACGCGATCCGGCCAGGCCACAACTGGGTGCGCCGCACGCGCGTGCAGCGTGCAGCTCCACGGTCTCGGCCGTCGAGGTCCAGGCGTCGCGTGAAACACCCCCCCTTTTGTTGCGTGTGCGGTGCAGATCCAAGCACTGCTGAGCCGGTTCCATCGCAGCAAGAACCCCGCGACGCGGCGCAACCCCGGCGTGCAGCCGCTGCCGAAGGTCCCCGTGCCGCTCAACCACCCCGAGCTCATCGCGATGCTCCTGTCGGGCGCGCACGACCTGCCGCCGGTGTGCCGACGCGCGGGGAGGGCCGCGGTCGGGGCGAGCGTCGACAAGGAGGCCGAGGTCGCCGAGGGCGCGGCGGCCGGCGGCAGCAGCGGCACGAGCGAGGCGTCGGGCGAGGGGGAGGGGGCAGTTGCCGCGCCGGTGACGCCGCCGCGGGCGCCGCCAGCGGCGCGCGGGGGGCTGTCGATGCGGTCGCTTCTGCGGCTGCGCGAGCAGGGTCTGGCCGCGGACCAGGCCGGGACGGGCTGCACGGGCTCGGGCGCGCTCTGCGGGGGCCAGCGGCGCTACCTGGGGGGGTGTGCGGTGCCAGACACCCCCGCCGCGGTGATCGACGAGCAGGACTCGCGCGGGTACTGCGTCCGGTACAGCATGGACGGGAACCTCTGCGCGGCGGCGTTCCAGGGCCGGCGGGTGCGCGTGTACGACGTCAGCCGCGGCTACCAGCTGGTTAAGGACGTGCAGGCGCGGATGCTGCAGTGGACGATCACGGACTGTTCGATGTCGCCGGACGGTCGGTTCCTCGCCTACGCGTCGATCACGCCCGCGGTGCACCTGGTCGGCCTCCAGGGCGGCGAGCTGCACAGCGTGAGCAACGTGACCGAGGTGCACGACTGCCTGTACATGTCCGAGGGCGCGGACCGCCTCGGCGTGTGGGCGTGCCGGTGGTCCCCGGACGGCGCGGACCTGTTGGCCGGGACGTCGGACTGCTGCGCGATTGTGTACGACGTGGAGGCGCGGCGGTGCGTCGCGAGCACGAACCCGACGTACCACGACGACGACCTGAACACGGTGAGCTACATGGGCGGGATGGACTCGAACGTGTTCGTGACGGGCTCCGACGACCACTCGATCAAGGTGTGGGACAAGCGTACGCTCGGGGGCGCGTCGGGCGGGGGCGCGAACCGGCCCGTCGGGCTGCTGCTGGGCCACACGGAGGGCGTGTGCCACACGGACCCGCTGGGCGACGGGCGGTACCTGCTGAGCAACGGGAAGGACCAGTGCGCGCGGCTGTGGGACATCCGGCGCATGCACGACGGCGCGTCGGACGTGGCCGCGCCCGGGCGGCGGCCGCGGTACGACGTCAACGTGCCGTGGGACTACCGCTGGGAGAAGTACCCGCTCGAGGGGTACCACGTGGCGCACCCGCACGACTGCTCGGTGATGCGCTACCACGGGCACAAGAACCTCGCGACGCTGATCCGCGCGTACTTCTCGCCCGCGGACTCGACGGGCCGGCGCTACATCTACACGGGGAGCTACGACGGGGCGGTGCGCGTGTACGACGCGGTGACGGGCGGGGTGCACCGCACACTGCGGTTCCACAAGCAGGTCGTGCGCGACGTGGCCTGGCACCCGACGCTGCCGGAGCTCGTCACGACGAGCTTCGACGGCACGGTCGTGCTGTGGGGGACCGACGACGGGATGGGCGCGTGGGAGGGCGAGCGCGCCACGCAGCGCGAGCTGCCGCGGCCGGGCAGGGACAAGCTGCGGCGGTTCTGGGACTGAGCGGCGGCGCAGGGCGCGGTGCGCGGCACGGAGGCTGAGGGTGGGTGGCACACGTTTCGCGTCGTCGGCCGTAAGGCGTCGGGACCTCACACGATCGACGACATTGTGGGTGGCGAGTGATGCGAACCCGCCGCCGCTGTTGAAGCGACGGGTTCGGCAGCTGTGACGGAGTCGGCTTGCAGCACTTTCTCGACGCCCCGAGCGAACAGTGCCACGCCTCGCTGATTCGGCAGGTTCACAAGAAGGCGCAACGAAGCATGGTCCGCGACATCCTAGTCGAGAGCCGCGGCACCGCACAGCTCCTCGAGGCACAGGCGCATCCGGTGATGATGGGCGAAGCGGCGCTGTCCGGCAGCTGCCGTGTCCGGCAGGGGCGCTCAGCAACAGGCGGGGTCAGCCATGCAAGGTGAGACACAGGCCAAGTGAGACTGCAGTGCAACGAGCGTGACACGTGCAGTCGATCACACGTGGCGCGTGCGCGTGCGCGTGCGGCTCACTTGACGAAGGTGGCGGCGAGGTAGTTGCCGACGAACGCCGAGAGCAGGACGAGCTTGTCGGCGATGCTGGCGGGCAGCGGGAGGTTGCGGAACACCGCGGTGCCGAACATGATGGACGCCGCGGACGACACGGCCGCGATCCCGAGCGCGGGCCAGATCGGCGAGCGCAGCGCCGAGGGCGTCTCGTCGTCCACGTCAGGGGGGTTGTCCTCGCGCTCCAGCTTCTTCTTCTGGAAGAGGTTCCACGTGGCGAGCACGAGCGAGATCATGAGCGCCAGGGACACCACCTCGAGGTTCGGCTGGATCACCGTCGCGGCCGCGAGGGCGAACGGGACCGCCTTGTTCGCGGCCTTGATTGGCGTGACCGACCTGCGCAAGGCCGGACGGGTGGGTGGCGCGTCGGTGGGCGGTCCGCGCGGTCGGCGCGGAGGCGGCGGGGGGGCGCCTGCGTCTGCGGCGTGTGAGCGCGCGCGGCGGGGCGCACCAGTCGATGCTGCGCATGACGCGCTGCTTGAGCGTGAGGTCCACGGTCTGGCCGCGGCGCTTCGAGAGCGGCCGGAAGCCCTTCTTCTTCCGCTTCTGCTGGCTCGCGCTGATCAGGCGGTCGTAGGCCATGTCGATCGCTTCCCGCGAGTCCCTGTGCTTCCCGTACCTGCGCCAAGGAGCACGCCGCCGCGCAGTCAGGGCCCGAGCCGCCCGGGGCCGCCCGCGCCAGGCGCGGTGCCAGCTTCGCTACACGCGCGCGACGACGATGCTGGCCGTCGCGGCAGCGGCAGCCATGTTGCGATGGACTGCACGGCGGTGTGCCTGTTGCCCAGGGGCGTGGCTGCGCGGGGACGGCCGCCGAAGCGCGCGCGCGCGCACCTGGCCATCAAATAGTTCTTGGCGTCGACGATCTCCTGGAAGTCGGCGTCCTTCTGCACGCCCAGCAGCTTGTGCGGGTTGCGCTCCCTCCGCCTCGGAAACACCTCCTCCTCCATCCCCACCGGCGCCTGCATGCCTCCCATGTCGCCCATCGCCCCCGAATCAGCGTGGCAGACCCCCTGACGCAGTCGCTGCGGCCTGCATTGCGCACCACGCGGCAGCGGGGACGCTCAGCTCCAGGATCCAGGCTGCGAGGCGGTGGCGCGGGGCGGCCCGGCCACGCGCACTTCGGCTCTTCCTCTGATAGGTTTGAGCGGACATGAACTAGTATGTCAGGGGGAATTCAGCTCGTGACGCGCCGGGAATTTGGCCCAGAGCGGACATCAATGGCGCTGGATGTGCAGGACGGGGCCGCTCGCGGTGGAAGCGCCCAGAGGAGGGTTCTTTCGAGGGACGCGGTCCCAACTTCGCTGCGGTGGCGGTGGTTGCGGGCAGCGCCCGGATGTTTCCCCCCGCAGCGCGCGCCGCCGCCCCGAAATCCACAAGGCAGTCCATCGAGGCCCCGGGCAGCTGCCTCGGCGCAGGGAAGCCGCCGTACGCGTCTCAGAATAAGAGAACATGATATTGGGAACGACCGCCGCGAAGGCATTGCCGCGCGGCGGGGCCACGGGCCGAGATGCGACCGTGCGACACGCACCTGCTCGCGAGCACCGCACGCGCCAGCGGTGCCTTCTGGAAGCCCACCATTCCCCGTGCCGCAATCATCGGGGAGCCCGCTGCGAGCGGCATCCTGCTCGCCCCCACCTCCTGAGCGCGACAGCAACGAGAGACTCGTGGAGCTCCTCCCGACTGCTTCCTGACGTCGTCTGACGCGCAGCAGCGACCTCCGATGCGTGACCGCGAAGCCTGACACGTGCTGCCGCCCCTGCGCCGCAAAAAGCGGCCAGCGAAATCGTGTCGGACACGGGTGGCGCTGCTCGGTCCCTGAGTTGTACTGCTGGTGTCTGGCAGCTTCTCCCTCCGTCCCGAGCCCTTGGAACCCGTGCGTTCCGGGCGCGCCGCACTTGCTCGACCGCAAACTCTTTCGTCGCGCCCAGATTGTCGGCAGTTCGATCCGTTCCGGCGCGCGTGGCCCCACCTGGTGCCCCGCGCAGTGCGTCTGTGCCGCTGGTCGGCAGTGTTCGGCCTGGGGGCTCCTGGGAAGGATGGGGCAGGTGTATGGGCAGCCGCAGAACCCCCACCCTGAGCTCAACGGGGTGTTCCATGCACAGGTGGGTCGCGTTCTGTTCCAGTGCACCAACCCGCGTCTGTAGCCCACGGCGGCAACGACCTGCTCCGAACCAATCGCGAGGCGCATGACACGCTCTCAGCTGGCAACGTGATCGCGGACGCAGCGCGCGTCTCGCAGCACGTGTCGCTGTGGGCCACTATCCCTGGTCCGGAGTTTGTGTCCCTGCCATCGTCGTTGCGCGCTCAAGGGGCGCTACCCGCGTCGGGACTCGCTCTCGCAGATAACCCCGGAGCTAGTGGAGCGAATCACCGGCCGGCGACTGCCGGGGTCGGCCGCATCCGGCGCGCCAGGAAGCAGGGCAGCAGAGGTGGCCCAGCGCGACACGGCGCGCGCCCCTCAGGTGTTCCAGCCAGCGCTGCCCGTGCACGACGAAGCCGTTGCATGGCGCGCCGAAGAAGAGAAGTACAGGCGCGCGCTGCAGAAGTCCAAGGTGCGAGCCTCCCTCCGCAGGCACTGCACGCGCTCGCACGGACACAGACCGCCACGCACGCGGCGCCCGCGCGCACGCGAGCGCACACATCCCCAACGCGACCGCGCCGCCGCGTCCGCCCCGCGCCGCGCCGCAGAGGATGGGGGCCCTGCTCATTCGCCGTGCCGAGGAGGAGCTACAGCAGGTGAAGGAGGACGCCGCGGCGCTCCTCGCGGCGGAGTATACGGCACCGTGCCGGGAAGACGCGTGCCGGGCCGAGCGGCAGGCGTCCACGGCGTGTCTGAAGGCGCACGCCAAGGACCCCTGGGCCTGCGCGGGGGAGTTCGGCGCGTTCGAGCGGTGCGCGGCGGCCGCGCAGGCCGGGGCGGCGCAGCGGATGGCGGCGGCGCAGTGACGCGCGCCATGTGACGGCCCGCGTGGGTGAGCGTTTCGGGAGCCGCACAGCGTGGCAGGTGCCTGCGCGTGGGCTGAGCAGGGTCGCGGCGCGTTCCCGGGGGGTGTGCGGGTCGCGCAGCAGGGGCACGCCATCGCTAGTGCCGGACAGGGCATGACAAAGCGCTGGCAGCGCTTGGCACATTAGGTCACTGACGACGCTGAGCCATCGGGGATGGGGGCGTGCAGTGCGCGTCCCGCTGCTTCAGCCCCCCGGCGAGCGCGAACGAACGGCGCGTCGGCCAGGCCGTGCGAGCGGTGGCGTCGGCGGCGCTGAGTCAGGGTGGGTGTGGTGTTGACTTGCGGGTCACACAGTTGTGGAGCTAGAGCTGCTTCTTCTTCGCACAAACGGGAAAAACTCTCACTTCTCGACCCTCGTACATGCATGCATGGGACTAGATAGGGGGCCCGGAGAGCGGGGGTGCGTCCGCCGGGCGTGCGCCTGGCCAAAATCGCAGCCACCGTCAGACAAAACCGGGGGCCGCTTGAACGCCGCGCCCGGCCGGACGGCCCCGCTCTCCGCTGCAAAAACGCCCCCGATCCTCGCCGCCACCACGGGTTGGATCAGCTCGGAGACAGCAAGCCGCGTCGCTGCCCGCGAAGCAGCGGCAACGCCCCGGCGTGGTCCGTGCCCTCGGCGCCGCCCCTGCTTAGAGCGCGGCGACGGGGACGCGGACCTCGCCCTTCTTGACGGCGGAGTCGGTCGCGAAGGTCAGCTCCTCGAGGATGGCCTCCCACTTCTTGGCGGGCTTGGCCCACGAGAGGTCCTGCGAGATGCACTTGGCCGACATCTCGGGGTAGGAGCCGTCCTTGTAGGCGGCGATCGCGCGCGTGCAGGCCTCGACGACGGCCTCGACGTCCTCCGGGAGCAGGTCGTCGGGGTCGATGGCGCCCATGTGGAAGCCCGTGACGCCCTCCTTGACCGTGTCGACGAGGCCGCCCGTGGAGGCCACGACGGGGACGGTGCCGTACTGCATCGCGTGCAGCTGGATGAGGCCGCACGGCTCGAAGCGCGAGGGCACGAGCATGAAGTCGGCGCCCGCCGTGATCACGTGCGCCAGCGGCGCCGAGAACTTGACCACGCCCGCCGCGCCCGGCACCTTGGCGTCGAGCTTCTTGACGGCCGCCTCGAAGGTCTTCTTGCCCGTGCCGAGCACCACGACCTGGCCGCCGGCCTTGACGATGCCGGGGATGGCCTCGAGCATCACGTCGACGCCCTTCTGCTCCTCCAGGCGCCCGATGAAGCCGAACAGCGGCGCGTCGGGGTCGACCGGGAGGCCGACCTCGGCCTGGAGCGTCGCCTTCGCGACGGCCTTGCCCTCGACGACGGTGTCCGCGTCGTACTTGAAGTCGAGGTACTTGTCCTTGGCCGGGTTCCACTCCTTGACGTCCATGCCGTTGACGATGCCCTCGATGCCGCCGGCCTTCCGGATGACGCCGTCGAGCTCCACGCCCTTGCTCGGGCCCGACATGACCTCCGTCGCGTAGTTCGGCGACACCGTCAGCAGCTTGTCCGCCGACAGGAAGCCGGCCTGCATCCAGTTCACCTTGGCGAACTGGCCGCCGAGCGCGGGCTTCTCGTCGGGCGCCGCGGGCGACTTCTCGTCGTACACCTTCGGGTTGCCGTCCGTGAACTCGAAGTAGTTCTTCGCGGCGCCGGGCAGGCCGAGCGAGTCGAACGAGTCGGCCCAGAAGCGGCCCTGGAAGGCAATGTTGTGGATGCAGAAGGCCACCTTGGCGTTCGTGAACGAGCCGGCCGGCTTGTACACCTCCTTGATCAGCACCGGGAGCATCGCCGAGTGCCAGTCGTTCGCGATGAACGTGCAGTTCTCGCCCGGGCCGAACGGCAGCGCGCGCGTGGCCTCAATGGCCGCGCGGCAAAAGAGCGCGAACCGCTCCTGGTTGTCCGCGTAGTCCGCGCCGGCCTTCTTGCCGTACAGCTTCGAGCCCGTCTTGCCCCAGACCTTGGCGAGGAACCAGGGGTGGTCCACCCACACGCGGTCCACGCCCTTGTCCACCGTGTGGAAGAAGCGCACCGGCTCGCCCATCACGTCGATCACCACCGACGTGTCCCACGCGTCCTTGTACTGGTCGTACCTGCGCGGACGGGGGCGCGGGGGCGCCGCGGTGGGCCTCGGGCGGCGCGGGTGCGGGGCGCCGCCGCGCGGGGTGCGCTGACCGTGCGTGGCGGAGGGTTGCTAGGCGCCCGCGCCGCGGCCGCGGCTCGGCGGGGCGATGGCGGATCCAGCGCGCGTTCCGCGGGCTGGCGGAGGCGAGGTGCGTGCTCGTGGCGGGTGCACCGGACATCGTGCGCAGGGGCGCGAGCTGGGCCGCGAGACCTAGGGCTTTCTTCAGGCCGGCTGCCAGGACACGATCGCGCCGTGCGGCGGAGGCAGCGCGGGGGAAAGCCCTCAGTCAGAAGTAAGGAAGCCACGCGGACGGTTGGGAGGGCGGGCCGAGGCCCGTCGACGTCGGGACGGCGGGTCTGGGGTCGACTCGTACCTGGGGGCGATCGTCATCACCTTGTGGCCGCGCTTGGCCATCTCGACCGGGAGCCCGCCGAGAACGTCTCCGAGACCGCCCGTCTTCGACCAGGGGGCCACCTCGGCAGACACGAAGACCAGCGGCATGGGCCTGCTGGTGACCTGCAGGCGCAGGGTTTGCGGGGGCTGTGAGGGCGTGATGTGGCACGGCGACGCGACTCACGCAAACCCAAGAGATGGTCGAGCGTAGCCCGGTGCTTCGCGGGCGCGCACCTCGACGCCAGCCGCGGCGACGGCCTCGGCCTTGCTCATGCCGTTGCCGGCGGCCTGGGCCGCCACCTGGCGCACGCCCCGCGCGTGGACGGCAGCCTTCGACGAAGTGAAGACCGCGGAGGCCTGGCGCGCGGGCACCGCGGCGCGCAGGGGCGCAGCGCGCGCTTGGGCCACAGACTGCTGGGCCGCAGCGGCCTTCTGGGACGCGATCGTGCGAGCCTGCATCTTGCCGAGCCTTCCTCACAAACGACGAAGTACCGATAAGACGACCGGAACTATCCGAACGCGCCGCGCCGCGCGCCCCAGGAAACCGCCGCGCGCGCAAGGAATCAACACCGTAAATGCCCTCTCACTCCCCCCTCGCATTTCCGCGGCTCCACGGTGCCGCGAACGCCAATCGACGCCACGCAGCGCCCTCCCCGCCGCTTGCGCTCCGCGCTCCGCCCGCCTCGAGCGCCCCGCGACCCCGCACCAGCCCCGGTCGCCGCCCCCTAGCACTTGCGCCCCCGCCCCAGGTCAGAGCGGCCCCGCACCCGCGCCCGCGCGGTCGCGCGGCGCGGCGGTCCCTTGCAGGGCAGCGAGGCGGCTCCACGCCCGAGGGATCGCGCCGTCGCGCCGCGCGGTTCGCGGCCGTGCCCCGCCGCCAGCGCACCTGGACTGCACACTCGCATGAGATTCGCCGCCATGACCGACAGGCCCCCCGGGGCGACGCGGGGGCGCGCGGGGCGCCCTGCGCGGCCGCGCGCCGTCACGAGCACATCGCCTTGAGGCTGCGCAGCTCCTTCAGGACGTCCTCCAGCTCTTCGTCGGGTATCTGCGCGCACGTACGCCACACGACACACGCAGGTCAACAGCCGCGGCGCGAGTGGGCGCGGGGCGGGCGGGCGGGCGGGCGGCGCCCGGCGCGGACGACCGCCCGCCCGGTGCTCGCCGCGCGGGCGTCGCGTGCGGCGGTGCGGCCGCTGGAGGGGGGGCGCTGGGTGTTGTACCCGCTCCAGAGGTTCGAGGTACTTCTTGGCCTGCTCCGCGGACTCCGGCACGAGCGACCCGATCATCGCGATCTCGTGCTTCGTCATCCCGACCTGCTCCAGCCGCTGCCGGACCTGCAGCGAGCGTCCGCCGGCACGGCGACGGCTCGTTCGGCAGGTGACAGGGCCGGAGCCTCACGGCGCACGCCCCTGGGCAGGTGCCCGCTGGTGCTCGGGGACCCGAGTTGGGCTGTCTGGCGTGGCGCAACGCCGTGTGCGCGGGTCGAGGCCCGGCAGGGGGCGGCGGCGTGGTGCAGTTGCGAGCTGCTGCGGTGCCGGGGGGGGCGCTGCCTCTAGAGGCTCACTGCGTCTGCGGCGTCGCCAGGACAGCGACGAGCGTGCGCCGCACCTGCTCCAGGATCTCCTCGACGCTGAAGTCCTGTCCGAACGCTTTCGTGTACTTGTAAAACTTCTCAAAGACCTCCGAGGGCTGGTAGTCCGGGTCCAGCTGGCGCTTCTTCTCCAAGAACGCTTCCAGAGCCATATTTGCCTCCGAAATAATGAGCTCCGTCGCGTTCTCATTGAACTCTGCAGCAGCGATGCCGCGCAGGGCGTCCAGAGGGGCGCCATGGGGTGAGCGCGGGGAGGGCGCGGCGCCGCGCGCAGGTTGCTCGCTGCGACACAGACTGTCACCCGCCTCTGCGTCCAAGCGTCGCTCGGACCGGCGCACAGCGTGCTTCAGGCTCTCAGGGGCAACGTCCTCGCCCGCACAGAGGCTCTGCACGCCTCCAGGGAAGCTCACCCTTCTCTATGAGCGCATCTTCCGACAACCCTGGATCCGTCATTCCGCCCCCTGTCCGCGCACCCGCGAGCCCGACTGCTCCAACTCGCAGGCAGCCGCACCGAGCGAAGCTATTGCGCTGTCCTCGTGGTCCAACGGTCCCAACGGGCGCCTAGTGTGTCCTTTGGGGGACGCGTCGTCGCCAGCTCCGCGTGACTGTGCTGCCTGCCGAGCGCGCGCCCCGTTGAGGCGCTGGCGGCCCTTCTGGGCCCGCCATCTCGCCGCGCGTGCGTCCGTCAGACGCGTCTGCGGCCCGCCTGAGGCGGCCTGCGCGCCCCGCCGGGCACCTGGGCCACGCGCACGCTCCGTGCGGGCCACTTGAGCCACTGCCGTCGGCCCTGCAGACGCTCGCTGGGCGCACACTCGACGGAACGGCTACTGGCATCTGGTGGCACAGCTGCTCGCCGCGGGCTGCTGGGGAAGGTGAGAGACCGGGATCCTCGCCCGGAGGAATGCATTCCGCCGTGGTGACTGTATCCGCGCGTCGACGACCACGCGGAGCCGAGCATGCCAGCTCGCGAGCCCGTGATGGGCCGCTTCGCCACAGATGAGCGGGCCGCGTTTCCGTCGACGGCGTTTCGACCCGTCGGAACAGCGCGAAGCGTACGGACTAATTACTCGGCCGAATGGGACCGGCGCGCTCCGGCGCATGCCGGCGCATTCGGGGCTTTTGCGGTGCAATCGTATTTCATGGCCGCACGCCCCGCAGAGGGCTTCGTTTCCCCCCGAATCCGTGGGACGCGGGTCTTCCAATTACATTTGAGGACCCGAGGCGCGCAAATTCGCCCAGGAGTCCCCGCAGTGCGGCGCTGCCAGCAGATGCAAGCTGCAGTGCTCCTGCACCAGCACCTGCTCCCCTGGCCACGCATGTCCGCGTCCTCGCGGCCCGACGAGTCCGCGCACATTTCCCCGACACCCCGCCGCGCCAGTTCCACAGGCGGAACGCCTCCCACCGCCCGCGACCCCGGCGTCACACCACACCGGGCAGGCCTGTTCGCCGCGGCGCCCACCGCGCCCGCGGGCGCGATTGGGCCGCGCCCCGGGATCTCCCCCCCTCGCACCCCTCCCCCCTGGCTGCCCCCTCCCCCCGGACCGCCGCGCGCGCCCGTGCGGTGCGGCCAGTGCAAGCACCTGTCCTTGCCGTGAACGCCGCAGCCCCGGCGGCTCTCCCGCCCCGTACCCCGGAACGACCTCCCCTACATCTCCCCTTTCGTTCCGCCCACCTCGCGGCGCGGCCGCCCCGTCCAAACCTCCGCGGCCCCGCGGCCTGCTGGGCATCATCCAACGAGCGCCCCGGCCGCGCGCTCACCGCCGCGCCTGCCCGCCCTTCCCCGCAGGAACTCGACCGACACGGACGTCGACTGCTCGCTGCCGCGCGCAGGCCCGCTCTCGGCGCCCCTCGACCCCGCGCGCGCGCACGGCGGCCTGCGCATCATCCCCACCCGGAGCGGCCCCGCGCGCCGCACACGCGACCCGCGATCGGCCCGCCAGGCCGAGCGGGCTGCAGGCACCACTGCGGCCTAACGCGCCGCTCCAACCGCGCCCGCACGCGCGAAGATGGAGGTCGACTCGCCCCCCGTGGTGCGCGTGGCGCCCGAGGTGAAATCGGTGGACGCGCCGGACCTGTGCGCGCTCGCGTCGCGGTTCGAGTGGCCGGACGCGCTCGAGAGCGAGGTCGCCGCGCTCGCCGCCGAGGCGCCGCTGTGCGCGGCCGCGGCGGCCCCGCTGGTGGAGGCCGGCGCGCTGGTGATTGACGACCTGCTGGACCTCGACCTGTCCAACCTGGAGGCGGCCGCGCGCACGACGCGCGACGACGCCGCGTGCCCGCGCGACGGCGAAACGAGGCTCGTGCGCGGCGCCGTGCTCGCGGTGAGTCGCACCCCGCCTCTCTTCGCCCCCGCGACGCCATGCGGCGGGACACCCCCCCCCCCGCGCTCGCCGCGCCACGCCTCGGCAGCCGCTGCCCGCGTTCGCGCCGGACGCGCCCGCCCCGCTGCGCTGGCCCCTGCGCTCCGCTCACCTCTGCTCCGGGGCCGTCGTTGGCGCGCAGGCTGCGTCGCTGCTGCGCGACCCCAACGTGGCGGAGTCGCAGCGGCGGGCGGCGTGCTCGTCGCCGTCGGCGCTCGCGTGGCTGCTGGACCTCCCAGTGCCCACACGGTGCGCGCTCGGCGCGTACCTGGACGGCGAGGACGGCGCGGAGCGCGAGGAGCGGCGGCGCTCGCGGCGCAAGGCGGGCGCCGCGTCGCTCATAGACCTCCTGCGCGTGCCGCTGTGTCTGCTGGCGCGCGCACGGACCGCCGAGGACGTCGCGGGCATCGTGCGGTGGTTCCCGCGGCTGCACGACCCGGCCGGGACGGTGGTTGCGCGGTGGGCGGCGGCGGCCGGGGACGCCGCGCCCGTGCGCGCGGTGCTCGCGATCCCGCCCGCAAAGCTCGTCGGGCAGGTCGACATGTGGGCGCTGCTCGAGGAGCACTGCCCCGAGCACGTCCCCGCGCCGCGCGACGGCCCTAGCGGCGCGCTGGAGCTGCCCGCCAGCTGGGCCCCCGCGCGGCGGCGCGCCGTGCCCGGATCGCCCGCGGCGCCGTCCTCTGTCGCCGCGCAGGGCATCGGCGGGATGCACATCGGCGGCAGCGGCGGGGCCAGCCCGCGCGGGCCCGGCCGCCGGCGCACCAACGCCGGGCGCGGGCTCAAGGCGGCGATCGAGGCGACGCGCAGCGGCGGCATGCCCCCGCGCGGCGCACCCACGTCGACCTCCGTCGCGACCGCGTCGATGCCGGCGTCCCCGCTGCGCCACCCCGCGCCCGCCGCCGCCGCCAAGGACAGCTTGTGCCGCCACTCGATGTCCTCGATGCCGTCGCCCGGGAAGCGGCACGCGACGGACGGCGGGAAGGACCTCCCGCGGCGGTCGGTCTCGCGGATGGACCCCGGCGGGCTGCTCGCGCTGCTGGAGGCGGCGGAGATTGCCGAGCCCGGGGAGGCGGCGAGCGCGGAGGGAGAGGCGGGGCACGGGACGCGGAGCCGCGCGCGCGCCGAGGCCGGGGCGGCGGAGGGTGGGCAGCGGCGGCGCCGGCGGGGCCGCGGGGACTTGTCGGGGCCGTGCTGCCACTGCGGGTGCCCGAGCAGCCCGCAGTGGCGCAAGGGGCCGCCGTGCAAGCCGGCGCTGTGCAACGCGTGCGGGACGCGGTACCTGCGGAGCCGGCACCTCGCGCACCGCGCCGCGATCGCCGCGGGCGCGTCCGCGGGCCCGATCTGCGAGACGTGCATGTGCGTGGGGTGTCCGTCGCTGAGCAAGGGCGCGGGGGCGAAGGGCGAGGCGAAGCCCGCGCCGCAGACCGTGTCGCCGGCGACCGCCGCGGCGGCGCTGCTGTCGTGCGCGTCGACGCGGCCGCCGTCCGGCACGGTGTCGCACAGCCCGAGCTGCGGGCCCGCGACCTCGCACAGCGGACAGGAGGACGGGAGCGGGCCGGAGTCGCACGCGCCCGCGCTGTTCGGCGCCGCGCCGAGCATGTGGGTGAAGGCGGAGTCGTCGGAGCAGGCCCCGCAGCCCCCCCCGGCGTCGCTGCTTGCGTCGTCGCCGCCCCTCTTCCTCGCAGCGCCGCCGCCGCAGCCGCCGCTGAGCTCGCCGTTCGAGCTGTCGTTCAGCTCGATCGCGCTGCCGCCCGGGCCGTTCACGGGGTCGCAGATGGCGGCCTACCACGAGCAAATCGCCCGCTCGCAGCAGCTCTTCCAGTCGCTGGCGTGCATTGCGCTGGAACGGGAGCTGCACGCGTGACGGACGGACGACCGGCCGCGAGGATAACGCGCGGCGGCGCAAGGATAACTGTGCATAAGCTAGCTCTTGCTGCTACGCGCCGACACGCGAGGGGGAGGGCCGTGCGGGGACGGTTGCGCGGTGCTGGGCACGCGCCCCGGACCGCGCCGAGCGAGCCACCCCGCGGAGCGAAAATACGTGACTGTAATGCATTCGTGCTGTGTGGTTTCCGTGGTCGCGCGTTGTCTGGTAAATAGACCAGGCTGCACGCAGGTCGGTCAACACTCGCGCGCGCCCCGCGCCGCCGGCGCCGCCCGCCGTCACACGCGCTCAGATCCAGTCCCCCTGCTGCAGTTTGAGCGGGAGGTAGACCTGGCTGAGGTACTGGAACCCGAAGGAGCTCAGCGCCTGGATCTCGGCCTTCTCGCCCGACTGGCACATGATCTCGAGCTCGCGCACCCAGTCCGGGTTGCACTTGATCCAGTCCTCCTCGAGCATCTTCTTCCCCGTGCGCACGTCCTCGTCGGTCATCGGCAGCCGGCACTGCTGCGGGATGTTGAAGGCGTCCAGGTCCGAGGGCCGCACGCCCAGCCACTTGATGTCCGGCGTGGTCAGGTTGGACGAGTCGTACGACATGTTCATCGACCCCTTCATGTACACGGAGAGGATCTTCAGCCCGTACGGGTCCGAGTCCACCAGCGCCAGCACCGGTATCTTGAGCGTGGTCTTCAGCTTCTTCAGAAACAGCCGCGAGGCCACGTCCGGCTGCCCCTTGGCCGTCATGATGATGCACGGGTAGTCCTGGTAGAAGCGGTCCTCCGCGAGCCGCATGAAGGCCGCGTCCTTCTCCACGAGCAGCACGAACTTGGCGGTGCTGCGCAGGTTGTCGACCTTGTCGATGTGCGGCGGGATCGCCTTGCCGCCGACGCCCATGCGCGAGCAGTCGATCTCGTCGCCGTCCTCCGTGAACTGCAGCCGCCCCACGACCACGCCCTTCTCGGACGCCACCACGTTGAGCGACGACCGCGTGCACCCCAGCATGCACGAAATGTCGTCCAGGACGCTGTCCGACTGACTCTGGTCCTCGAACAGCTTCACGTCCGTGTAGAACAGGTCGCGCTTCGTCACGTGAATGCTCTTCAGACACAGCTCGTGCACCTGCGGCAACACACACAAGCACGCACCGACCGGTCAGCGCGCTCCGGCGCGCACGCGGCACGTGCGAGCAGCAGGGCGATGTCGGCGGCGCACGCACCAGCTGCAGAATGCGCGTCATGACGGTGGTCTTGCGGACGGTGCTGAGGCTCGCAAAGGCGCGCTGAGACTTGGAGTCGCGCAGGACGATCCGGTCCAGCTCCGGGACGTACATCTGGTTGCCCTTGGTGCGCGAGGGCACGTCGTACGCGAACCCCTCCCCCGCGAGCACCGACCGCGCGCACTGGTACAGCGTCGCCTCGATCTCGTCAATCACCTCCGACGGGGCCTTGTCGATCACCTCGCGCAGGTCCTCCTCCAGACCCAGCTCCTCCAGGGTCTTGCCGTCGTCCACCGCCGCCCGCATCTGCGCCGACCCGGCGCACGGGGCAGCGCGGCAACCATCTTCAGGACATGGCGGGCGCAGCGGCGTGCGCACGGCCCCGGGCATCATGCACGCGAAGAGGCGGCATCAAGGTCGTCTCGCTCGCACCTCGCTCACGAGCCTCTCGACACCTTTCAGGACGTCGCTGGGGGCCTTCACTTTGGCCTTCATAGCCGCGATGGCCGCATCCTCCTTCCTCGCCCGCTTCTTCGCCGGCGGGCGCCCTGACATTGTTTACTCCTACGACGCACTCCCTCTTCGGGTTCGCGCCCGCCGGTGTGACCTCTACGGGTAGCCCGCCTATCTGCCGCAAACTCGAGGTCGCCTCGCAGCGCCGCTGTGGGCCGAACCGATGATTTTCGACCACTACTGTGCGCTTCAGTCCACCTTGCGCACGTGGACGGTCGCGTGGTGTACGAGTTCGACGCCCTGCGGCCGCCAGGCACCCTGGGCTCCTTAGGCAGCGCAAGTGGGTGGTTGCTACGAATCCGCGACGACGCTCAAGACGGCGAGCTCGAATTCAGGCGTCAATACAGATCCTGGGCCCCGTTGCGGCCCACTGCCTTGCCCAGCGGTGCCAGCGGGGCGTGGGGCCTCTCCCGCGCGGGGTCTCCACTTTGCTCAGGAACGACACGCGAGTGCCGGGGCGAGAGCTGCATGCCTGCCGCGACGCGGACGCCAGAGCAGCCCGTGCCAATGACAGGCATTGTCGACCTCGAAGCGGCTGGAAACACACGAGCATTGGATGCCGGGGGCCGAAAACAAAACAAGGGAACATCACGTGCAAGAGGGGATTCTAGCGCGTGGATGATGCGCGGAAGGGGCGACGAAGGCGCTGCGCGTAGCGCCTGTATGTGTCACACTCGGGCGACCTCGACGCGGCCGCACCGTGCGGCACCACGCGCGGTGCGCCTCGACCACATACCATGCGTACCCCACGACCGCGTGAACCACGCGCCGGTACGCAATTGGCCTGCCTCCGACGCAGGGACGGCCTTGCCGGAGGTGGGGTTCCCCCCTGAACGACTCCTCCGCATCCGAGCGCGACGCCCGGTGTGTCGGGGAGCAGCTGTGTGCTCACACAGTGCTGCGCGCCGAGGCCGTCCAGGGGGCGTGTCACCTCGGAAACCAGCAGTGCCGCCGCCAGGGGTGCCTGGACAGTAGCGGCGCGGTCTGCGGGGTGCCGCACGCCTCGGTGCGCACGCGCTGTCAGTGCACCCCCCCGCCAGTACAACCAACAGGCCTGCGCAGCGCTGAGGGGCACGAGGCCGGCGCGGCGCGCGTGCAGCCGCGAAATACGGAACTCTCGCACGCAGCCACGGGGAGAACGGCTGATAGGAAGCTAGGAGCGCGCGCCGCGGAGCGAAAGAGGACACGAGACTGCAAGCAAGGCAGCAGAGCGGATCGGTGGTCCGCGGTGGGGGAGGGCTCGAACGTCTGGGCGAGGTTGGGTGTTCTGCGTCGGAGCGGCCAGTGCGGTCAGGTCGCGGCGCTGAGTCATGTCGACGGATCGCTATGAGGTGGTGCCAACAGTCACCGTGCTGGCGGTGATGAAGGGGCGGCTGACGGGGGCCACGAAGGGGCACGCGCTGCTGAAGAAGAAAGCCGACGCTCTGACCATCCGGTTCCGGCAGCTGCTCAAGAGAGTCATCGAAACGAAGGAGGCCATGGGTGAGAGCTTCAAGGGGTCCGTCTTCTCCCTGACAGAGGCGAAATACGCCGCGGGTGCGTCGCTAAACCCTCACAGCAGCGTCTCCATGCTTCCACCGCCCGCGGGACAGCGTTGCGGCCCTGTCAGGCTCTCGCGCCGCAGCCTTGCGCCCTCTGACCCTGCCCGCTCCCAGCCGACCCGCAGGCGACATTCGGCACACGGTGCTGGACAACGTGTCCACCGCCGACGTGCGAGTCAAAGCGCTCACGGACAACGTCGCAGGTGCGTGCGCGTCGTGCGTCGTCGCCTCTGTGCAGCGGGGAGCTCGCCCCTCGCAGTGCTGCGCTTCAGCTGCGAGACGGCGCCGATCTCGCGACCGCACGGAGAAAACAGCGCTCGAGGATCGCGGTTCGCATGTTGTTCCGCACGTTGGCCGCACCGCGCCACCGCGCGCAACCACTGAGCTTGCATCACCCGGACGCGTCGTTCGCCCGCAGGTGTCAGACTGCCCAAGTTCCACACGAGCTCCGAGGAGATGTCCGACTCGAGCAAGATGTCGATGACGGGTGCGAACCGCCCCGTGACGCCCCCGACCCCGTGGCCTGGGTGTCCCTCACGCTGCGCACCGCCGTCGCGCCAGCCGCCCACCCGCCGTCCCGCGCGGCGCTCCCCGTCGCAGGCCTCGGGAAGGGCGGGCAGCAGGTCCAGAAGTGCCGCGTGGCGTTCATGGAGACGGTGAAGCTGCTGGTGGAGCTGGCGTCGCTGCAGACGTCCTTCCTGACGCTGGACGAGGCGATCAAGACGACCAACCGCCGCGTGAACGCGCTGGAGAACGTGGTGAAGCCGAAGCTCACGAACACGATCGCGTACATCAAGGGCGAGCTCGACGAGCTGGAGCGGGAGGAGTTTTTCCGGTTGAAAAAGGTGCAGGACAAGAAGAAGCGCGACTTGAAGAAGAAGGAGGAGGAGGACGCGGCGGCCGCCGCCAGGGCCGCGCCCGCGCAGAAGAGCCAGGCGGGGTCGCAGTCGCTGCTCGGCAGCCTCTTCGGGATGCAGGAGCAGGACGAAGACATCGTGTTCTAGGGGGGCGACGGAGCGACGCGTGGCCGTGCGCGCGGGCCGGTGCGCGTGGCGGGGGCGCAGGCGCGGGCGCACGTGGCCTGGACAGCGCGTGGGTGTGGCAGATCGAGAGAGTGGGTCCGCCGCGGGGCGTGGTCTTCCGTCAGTGCATACGCACGCGCGCCACGCCGCGTGTCCGCGCGGCGCGCCGCCGCCGACGTCGTCCCCGGCCGTCCCTACACCCGTGCCGCCCACCCCGCCTCCATCACGCAACATTGCCACCGCGCCCTACGGGCTCCCTGGTGTCCGCTGTGAGCTCCAGTGGGCACGTGTGCCCTGCGGACCCTCCATCACACCGCGGGCAAAGCTGACTTTGTCACGGCTGCCGACCCTGTCGCTACCATGACGGTGGGGGTAAACATGACTCGCCACCTAGTCGAACGACATGTTCATGTCCCGGAGCCTCATGGCCGACGACGTGAAGAATGTAACACCTCCGCTCACCTCACCTCGCCTGTGACGCGCCCTGCACGTCGCCGCCGCACTCGCGCGCCATGTCGTCCAGCATCGCCCCCAGTGTCCCCGCGTCCCGCGCCTCCCTCTGAAACTGGAAGCGAAACTCAGTGTGGACGGGCGCCGCGCCGTCAGCGCCCGCCTCCTGCGCCAGGAGCGTGAACCCGCCCCGGTCCACCTGCACCATCACCGCGTCGCGCACCTCGCGCCCCATGTACCCCGCACAGAAGGCTGCAAACGCCGCGCGGCGCTCGCCCGACTGGTTCAGCGCGCCCACGATGGCCGCCTGGCTCGCCGCGAGCGGGTCCGTGTACGCCTCGTGCACCTCGTCCGCCGACAGCCGCATCGTGCGGCCCTGCCGGTCGATGTACGTCACCGACTCAGGCGAGAAGGACAGCGCGAGCCTGTCTCCGGACGTGTGCGCCGCGCCGCCGGGCTGGGCGGGGGGGTCCCCACGGAGGGAGCCGAGGTGCTGCCGCGCGCGCGCCCTGTCCAGCAGCCGCATCGCGTGCCCGAGGGCGCCGGGGGGGGCCTCGCGGGCTGTGCCGTACACCACGCACCGCTCCTGCGTGCGGCCTGCGCGGTCACGGTGCGAGGCGGGCGCGGTACGTGGGATGAGCGAGGTGGGGCGCGCCGCAGGGTCTCCGGAGGCCGGTCGTCACGCGTGTGGTGTGCCCACAAGGCACGCGCACCTGCGGAGGCCAGGAGACGCGCGACGGCGGAGGTGCTCGCGGTGCCGTACGCGAGGGACATGCGCTCGGTGTTTCGCAGGTTCTCGAAGTGCTGGCGCCCCTCCGCATCCGCCCGGTCGATGACCACGAGCACTTCTGGGGGGTCGATGGGGGCCACGTCCACGATCGACGAGTGGACCGCGCCGCGCGGGCTCTCGCGGATTCGTTCGAGGTCCGTCGTCCTCACGGTCGACGCCTGGGAACGCAGGCCGGCGGCGATCAAGTTGCGCGCCCGCTCCGCGATGGAGGGCAGGCCCGTCTTGGCGAGCTCCTCCGCGGATAGGCCCTCCAGGGTGTTCTTGTTCTTCGAACAACAGCCCGCCGACTCACTCGCTTCCGCACCGCCCTCGTCGTGCGCGCTCGGCGGCTCCACGGTCGTCCCCACCGCCCTCGCCAGCACACAGCGCTGGACCGCCCAGGCGGCCCCGCACACCCTTTGCGCCACGGGAGCGGCTCCGGGTGGGGCGCAGGCGAGAAGGTTCGCGAGTTGTCCGATCGGTCGCATGGCTACCTTGCCAAGTTTCTCCCTGCGGCCCTCGGTCTGTGGTTGAGAGGGGAGAAGGAGGCCGCGGCGTGTCACTGCTGTTGTTGTGCCACAGCTGCCTGCCGTGCATCCAGCGGCGCGAAGTACAGGCAGTGGGCTCGCGCAATCCGCAACACGTCCCTCTGCGCCGGCGGCACACGCGGTTCCGACTGGCGCCAACCTATAGGCCCCCAACACACGGAAAGACACCCCGGCGAGGGCGCCCGGGTGTAACTTGCTGCGCGCCGTGGCTGTCGCGAACAGAGCGAGTGCATCATGAGGGCGGGAGGGGCGCGTGCCCCCTGGATCGCAGCGCTGCTGCTGCTGCTGCTGCACGCAGCTCACGCAGCTCTTTTGGCCGTCGACCTCGGCAATGAATCCATCAAGCTGGCCATCGTCAAGGGCGGCAAGACGCCGATTTCGATCGTGACCAACGAGATGTCGCGGCGGAAGTCGCCCGCGCTGATCGGGTTCGTGAACGGAGAGCGGCTGGTTGGCGAGGAGGCCATCTCCGTGCAGGCCCGCTACCCGACGAAGATCGTGTCCCGCCTGCGCGACATGATGGGCGCCCAGGCGGACGACCCCGCGCTGCAGGACATGCTCAAGCGCACGCACCGCTTCTTCGACTTGGAGAGGGGCGCGGAGCGTGGCACCGTCGTTCTGCCCGCGGACGACGGCGTCAAGTACTCCGCGGAGGAAATGATGGCCGGTGAGCGACCCTGTCGTATCGTCCTTTCACCGCCCGCCAGTAATCGCCATAACTCCCCCCGCCGCCGCTTGCGTGGCGCGACGCCGTCTGGAACCTGCAGCGCGTGGCGTGCGGAGCCTCGGGCGTGGCTTGCCTGGGACCGCCCCACCGCGCGCCCGCTCTGTGCTGCTGTACCATGTGGACCGCGTCGCTATCGGGCCGCTTCGTCGCCGCTGACGCACAGCGCGGCCCCTAGGTCTCTCTAGGAGCTAAGCGGCGCCGCGGGGCCGGTAGGCGACGCGGATACCGCACAATACGTCACCGCGGCACCGATGTACCCGAGAAGCTGCCTGGCGCGCCGTCAGCCGATCGGTGAGCGCACACGCGGCGTTTCGCGCGAGCGAATGCCCATGTGCGCTCTCTTTGCAACGCGTCGCAGGCATCTTCACGTACGCCGCGGGCCTCGCTGCCGCGGCGAACGACGGGCAGCCGGTCACGGACTGCGCGGTCGCGGTGCCGGCCTACATGACCCAGCCGCAGCGCCAGGCCATCATCGACGCTGCCAAGCTCGCAGGGCTCAAGGTCCTGTCCGTGCTCAACTCCCACGCCGGCGCCGCGCTGCAGGTGAGCATGCAGCGCGGCCCCCGCCCCCGATCGTCTCCAGCTCGACGACCCCGCCCAGCTCCCCGCGCACCTCTTGCTTACCGCGCGGTCGATCCGCGTGGCCCGCAGTACGGCATCGAGCGCACGTTCCCCGAGAAGGAGCTGATCCTGTTCTACGACATGGGCGCGTCGTCGACGGAGGTGGCGCTGGTGGAGTTCTCCACGTTTGGCGCGGCCAAGACGGGGCAGTTCGTGGTGCTCGACGTGGCGTGGGACGAGACGCTCGGCGGGGAGGAGCTCGACCGCGTGATGGTGGAGCACTTCGCGGCCGAGTTCGAGAAGAAGCACGGCGTGGACATCACGCGGAACCCCAAGTCCATGGCCAAGATGTACAAGCAGTGCAAGCGCGTCAAGGAGATCCTCTCCGTCAACACCGACGCCAGGTGCGCGCGCAGCGACCGCCTCCCTACGCCCGACCGCCCTCTGCCCCCGCGCCCCCGTCGGGTGCGTGCGGTGCGCGTGTGTTGCTTCCAGATGATGATGCCCTTGGTAGACCGATGCGTCGCCCCGGGGGCGAGGCGCTGCCCCCGCCGGCCGACGGCGACGGCGCTTTCGCGGGCGGACGTGGCGGCGGACTCGTGCCGCCGGGGCCGGTTCGACGGGCGAGCGCGCCCGGATGTGGAGCCTGAGGCGAAAGGCTGATGGAAGCGCCGCGACGGGCACGCGTCGCGCGGCAGCCGGCACAGCGCCGCACGCGCCCGCCTTGATTCAGCCCACCCCGGCGCGATCGTCTGCAGGCTGACGGTCGAGGAGGTGCACGACGGGATCGACTTTTTCTCAGAGATCACGCGCAGCACGCTCGAGGAGCTCGCGGCGCCGATCCTGGCGCGCGTGGGCGGCCCGATCAAGGAGATCCTCGCGCGGCGGCCGGACCTGAAGCCCACGGAGCAGCTCACGAACGTGGAGCTGCTGGGCGGGGGCACGCGCGTCCCCGCAGTGCAGGCGGCCATCTCCGAGGCGCTCGGGGGGCGGCAGACGGACCGGCACCTGGACGCGGACGAGGCGGTCGTCATGGGCGCCGCGCTGAACGGCGCGAACGTGTCCACGTCGTTCCGTCTGCGCAAGTTCGGGATGGGCGACGGGTCGCCGTACGCGTTCGAGGTGACGTTCACGTCGCCCGACGCCCCCGCGGAGGACGAGGCGGCCGCTGTCGAGGCAGCCAAGGGCGACGACGACGCGGAGGCGGCCGAGGCCTCGGGGCAGACGATGAAGAAGCGGCTCCTGCCGCGGCTGAAGACGCTGCCGGCGAAGCGGATGGTGACGGTGCCGTGGCCGCGCGACCCGGTGGAGGCGGAGCTGCGGTACGTCGGAGGCGCGGCGCCGCACGTCCCGGAGGGGCGGCTGGCGCGGTTCACGCTGACGGGCGCGGACGAGATCCACAAGCAGCGCAACACCACGGGGCGCGTGAAGGCGTACTTCACGTTCTCGAACGGCGGGATGGTCGAGCTGGACCGCGTGGAGAGCGTCGTGGAGGTGACGGAGATGGTCGAGACCAAGGTGCCGCGCGTGCTCAACGAGACGGCGAACGCGACGGCGAACGCCACCAACGCCACCGAGACGGTGCCGACGGAGGGAGCGGACGCGGACGCCGGCAAGGACGAGTCGCCCGAGCAGCCCGACGCTGAGGTCAAGCCCAACGCCGAGTCGGGCGCCGAGTCGGACGGCGCGGACGGTGCGGCGTCGGACAAGAGCGACGCCGAGGGCGACGGCGCAGGCGGCCAGGAGGAGCCCGGCGAGGGCGACGGAGACACGCCCAGCGGCGACGAGGGCGCGGAGCAGGACGCTAAGAAGGACGCGAAGGAGGGCGCGAAGGAGGACGCGTCCAAGGCGCGTTCGAAGAAGAGGGAGAAGCCGCAGAAGCCCGAGGTGGTGTACGACACGGTGAAGAAGCCGCGGCAGCGCGTGCACCGGAAGCGGCTGACCGTGGTGGGCGGGCCGCACGCGCAGCTGGGCGGCATGACGGCGGCCGAGCGCAAGGAGGCCGCGGCGCGGCTGCAGGAGCTGGCGCGGCGCGACGCGGTCAAGCGCGAGACGGCCAAGGCGAAGAACGACCTGGAGAGCTTCATCATCACGGTCGTGGACAAGCTCGAGATGGACGAGGCCGTCGTGGCGGTCACCACCGAGGACCAGCGCTCGAAGCTCCAGGCGGAGCTCACGGCCATTGAGGACTGGCTCTACAGCGACGGCGACAGCAGCTCCGCGGCGGAGTTCCGCAAGCAGCTCGCGCTCGCGCACGGCGCCGCCGACGGTGTGCTGCTGCGCGCGGCCGAGCTCACCGCGCGCCCCGAGGCCCTCGCGGAGGCGCGCGGGCACATTGCGCGCATCCGCAACGCGTCGGCGTCGTGGGCCGAGAGCAAGCCGTGGATCACCGACAAGGAGCGCGCGGACCTCGAGAAGCAGCTGGATGCTCTGGAGGCGTGGCTGACGCAGCAGGAGGAGGCCCAGGCCAAGCTCGAAGCCACAGCGGACCCAGCGTTTGTGTCCAAGGACGTGTCGGAGCGGCTGGTGCCGGTGCACGAGGCGTTCAAGAAGCTGGACTCGCGGCCGAAGCCGAAGCCGAAGAAGGAGTCGAAGAAGGAGGAGGGTGAGAAGAAGGAGGACGAGAAGGAGAAGAAGGGCGGGTGGAAGTCGTGGTTCGGGGGGCGCGGGAAGGAGGAGGAGGAGAAGGGCAAGGGGAAGGAGGAGGGGGAGGAGAAGGAGGGGGCGCAGGAGAAGGAGGGGAGGGAGCAGGCGGAGGGCGGCGAGCAGGGGGCGGCGAGGCCACGGAGGGGTCGCAGGGCGAGGGCGCCGCGGAGGGCGAGGGCAGCGGGGGCGAGGGCGGAGGGAGCGCGGGCGAGGGCGCGGGCGCGGGCGGGGAGGGCGCCGGGGCCGAGGAGGGCGAGGCGGAGGCCACGGGGCACCATGGGGAGCTGTAGACACCGCGCAAACCAGTGATCGCGACCCCCGCGCAGAGGCAGGGTGAGACCGGAGGCGCGCGTCACCTGCTGTGTGTCACACACCGTGGTCCTGCGTCCAGCGCGCCGCGGCCGCGTCGCCCGCGCGTGCTCAGCTGCGCCAGGCGGGGGACTCCTCCTCGTCGAACGCGTCCTCCCACCAGGTGGACGTCTTGCCGCCGCGGCGCAGGAAGTACGCCGCGGACCCCTCCTCCTCCGTGTCGAGCCCCATGGCGGCCATGAGCTCCTCCTTGAACTCGCCGAGCGTGTACCGGATGGGCTCCTCGGCCACGCAGCACAGGCGGCCGTCGTCCGTGCGGATCATGACCTGCCACGGCCCCGGGTACTCGCGGAAGAGCGCGCCGGAGTAGTTGATCAGGAAGGGCGCGACGTTGACCGACTTGCTGTACTGGCGCGTGCGGAGGTAGAACACCGGCTTGACCTTGCACAGGAAGCGGTACTGCATCGCCTTGGGCGGGAACGCGAGCAGGCCGAGGTCGCCGCGGAGCGTGTCGAGCTCCAGGTTCCACAGCACCACGGGGCGCCCCTTGGCGACCTCGTCCGCGAACCGCTCCACCGCGGGCAGCTCCTGCGTCGAGGCGTTGATCACCAAAAACACGTCCGCGGCCGCCGCGCCCGCGTCCTCGATCGGCGCCTGCGTGCCGGCCTTGAACAGCGTCGCCGCCCACCCCGTGGTCAGCCCGCCCTCCACGCCCTCGCGCCCCGTCAGACACCCCATCGTCACCCCCTCCCCGGGCTTGTCCAGCTTGCCCTCGCACATGCGCTCCGAACGCGCCAGCTCGCCCTCGTCGGGCACCACGAGGTGGCACTTCAGGCCCTGCTCCCCGAGGTACCGCGCCGCCGCCAGCGCCAGCGTCACGTTCGAGTCGATGAACACGTCCGACGCACCCTTGTACCCGTCCACGTTCCCGGGCAGCGGGGGGAACTCAACCTGCGGGGCGGACGCGCGCGCGAGGGGCGGCGTGAGACGGCCGCGGCTGCGCGGGGCGGGCGTGCTGCGCGCCGGGGGCCGCGCTCACCTCCATGAGGGACCCGCCGTCGTCGATGTACGTCTTGATCGATACAACCGCGTCGCGAACGATTTCGTCGAACGTTTCCGGGTAGTACACGTCCCTCCCTTTCGCCCGCTCCTCCCTCGCTGCACGTCGAGCGCGGCACGGCGCGGGAACGCGGCTGGTGAGCACCGTCCCCGCAACTGGTGGCGAGGGGGCGATCGCGCCCGCAGGGCAGTGAAGTCAGGAGGCGGGACCCCGCGCAGGGGTGGATCGGAGCAGGGAGCATGCGGCCAGAAGTGGACGTGGCGGAGGTGTCGCAGCCGCCTGCACGGGCGGCCCCGCGCCAGCGGCAGGGCAGAGGAGCGCGGCCGCGACCAGGCGCGGGAGTAGCCGGCCTCGCGTGCACGTCTCGGACAGGACATGGATGCAGTGATGCCGTGCAGGGGAAACGAACACGCGCTCGCGGTTCCAGAACGCACAGGCGCGCTCTCCGAGTGTGCTCAGGAGGACCTCAGGTGCGAGGGCGGGGCCGCGCCGATGCGCAGTCGGCCGGCGGACGGCAGCGGGCGGCGCTGCCCCCGAAACGCGATCGTGGCGGCCAGGTTTCGCCGGCGGCGACGGCGCTTCGCAAGGCGTCCGTCGGCAGCCCAGGAAGGGATCTCACGTCGCGTCCGGTGAATCTGCGACGATGGCGTCGCCTTCGCGGCCTTCTCCTCGATCTTCTCTGCGCGGACCACCAGGCGGCTGGTTCGCACGGGCCCCCTCGCGCACCTCTGCGCGCGCGCCAACGGGCACCGACCCCGGCTCTCGGCCGGCGCCAGCGCGCCGCTGGTTGCGCGCCCGGAAATCGAGGCACTCATGTTGGCGGACATTTGCGCAACTAGTCGCCGGCGTCCACCGCGTGACCCCCTCGTGTCCTGCAGAGGAGGCGTTCCCGCACTCCCCTCACCCGTCTTTCTTCTGCCGCAACTCCCGCAATGTTGCGAGCGCAGCCGAGCGCCGTGCAACAGTCAACCTGCTTGTACTCTGCGCCGCGAGGTCGGCTGCCCATCTGTCGTCCCCGTGCATCGTGCGCCCCGGGCCGCTCTTTCTAGGTCTTAAAGGGGAACCTGTTTGTGTCCGCGACCTGCGACGCAACACAAACGCTGCCGATCGCGCGCCCGTCGCACTGACGATGTGTCGCGCCGTTGCGTCCGCGCACGCCCCCCTGGAGCGCGTCATGTCGTCGACAATGTCGAGGTGGGTGCGTGGACCAGCTGCACTCCGCGGGCGTCGGCACAGCTCGCGGGAGGTCGGCCGGGCCTGCAGAGCGATCCACGCGGGAGCAAGGAGGCGATCTACGAGGGTGGGAGCCGCAGCCAACGAGGGGGACGGCGACGCCGCTGACGAAAAGCCCGAGGGAGCGAACGTGGTGAGAAAAACCCTCCCGCACGACGTTGCCTGCGATCCGCCGCGCAGGTTCGTGGACCTTGCCGGGGCGCGCAAAGTTTCCAGACTGATGACGCGGCAGTTCGGGCCGCCAGGCGCGTGGCAGCGATTCGAGCGCGGTACACGTCAGCTGCCTTGACACAGCCACTGCCTGCGGCCGCGACGGCGCCCTCGCGCCCCGCGCACCCGCGCGCCCGCGCGCCCTGACGACCTCGGCCGCACGCCGTCCCCTGCAGCCCGTCGGCTTCGGGTGGAGCGCGGGGGGGCTGTGCTTCCCTTACTACGTGGGGGTGCTCGACACGCTGCGACGCGCGGGCGTGGCGGACCAGGCGCACATGGCCGGGGCGTCGGCCGGCGCGCTCATCGCGGGCCTCCACGGCGCGGACGTCCCGACGGAGACCATCGTCGACGGCATGCACCATCTGTACGCGGACCTGCGAGCGAAGGGCACGTACGGGCGGCTGCACGAGCCCCTGCGGTGGGTCATGGGCCAGTTCCTGCCCGACGACGCGCACGAGCGCGCGAGCGGGCGCGTGCACCTCGCGGTGACGCGCGTGTACCCGTCCGTCCAGTCGCACATCATCAGCAAGTTCCACTCCAAGGAAGACCTCCTCGAAACCATGCTGCTGTCGAGCCACGTGCCGCTCTTCCTGCAGCGCGGGTCGCTCGCGCGCCCGTACCGCAGGGAGCTCGGCTGGGACGGGTACTGGGTCGACGGCGGCTTCACGAACTTCATCCCCCTGCCGCCGGGGGCGCGGCTGACGAAGCGAATCTGCTGCTTCCCGCTCGCGGAGGAGCTTGCGGGGTCGGGGCGGTACGGGCAGGGCCTGGCGTGCACGCCGGACTTCCACCCGGAGGTTGCGGGGGGGCGGGAGGACTACACGATGGATCGCATGCTGCGGTGGGCGTTCCAGCCCGCGTCGGAGGAGGAGGTGGACGCGCTGGTGGCCATGGGGCGCGCGGACGCCGAGCTGATGATCCGGAAGTGCGAGGGGCTGAGCGAGCTGTCGGTGTCGGGGTCGCTGGACGAGGAGGACTGCGAGGCGGTGGCGCGGAAGATCGAGGTGCCGCGGTGACGCGGGCAGGGCTGTGAGCTGCGCGGGACACAGCGTGCAAACGCAGCAGGACATCGCTCGCATCACAACGTCCTCCCGGCCCGCGCGCGCCCGCTGCAGCTGGCCCGTTGTGTCACTGTTCGGACAGCAGGTCCATGGCGGCTGGATCGAACGAGTCGCTCGTCCAGTCGCTCTTCGTGCGCCTGTGGCCGCGCTTGCGGCTGAAGATCCCGCCAGTTCCGCGCTTCTTGTGTGCGGAGGCCCCGCTGGCTTCCTCCTCCAGGTGGGGGGACACCAGGGTCGGGTCCATCCCGTCCGTGGCGCCCACGCCGGAGATGATGCGCGCCAGCGCCGGCCGCGACCTCCCACTGCAAGCCATCGACGCGCGGCGTCATTGTCAGTCACTGCGCGGGGCATGCTGTCGAGCATCATGCACGCAACGCAGCGCAGGCGCACACCTGGGGTTCGGGGGCAGCGCCTCCTCCCGCACCCTGCTGAGCGGGCCGACCGTGGGCAGGAAGGGGTCCTCGGAGTGCATCGCCGGCGACGTGGGCTGCGTGCCCTCCTTGACCCAGTCCCCCCCCTCCTTGCCCGACGCGAGGCTCGCCAGTAGCGCGCCCTGCTCCTCCACGCGCGCCGCGAGCCGGGCGACCTCCTTCCGCAGCGCCGAGTTCTCCTGCATCAGCCGCTGCAGCAGGTCCTCCCGCGCCGCAGTCTGCGGTTGTTGTTGTTGCGGCTCCTGCTGCTCCGCCCGCTCCTTGCTCTCCCGCTCCCTCCGCTCCCGCTCCCTCCGCTCCCGCTCCGCACGATCCGCCTTGTCGCGCTCCGCTCGCTGCCGCTCCAGCCGCTCCCGTGCCGCCGCCTCCCGTTCGGCGCGCTCCTGCAATGCGCGCTCCCGCTCCTGGCGCTTCCGCCGCAGCTCCTTCTCCTCCTCCTGGCGCTTCAACTCCTCCGCGCGCATCCGCGCGATCTCCCGCTCCCGCACACTCCCCTCGGAGCGCTCCGCCGGGCCGCCCGACGACGGCGTGCGTCCAACCTGCCGCTCGTTCGACGACCTTGCAGCCTGCGCCGTCGGCGACACCAGCCTGTGTCGGGAGCCCCCACCGTCGGCCAGCGACCCAGCGTCAGTGCTCGCCGTCGACTTCACGCTCCCGGTGCGCTTGGGCGCCCGCGTCGGTGCTGACGCGCGCGACACTTTGTCCGACTCGCTGTCGACAGGCTCCTGCTGCGCGGGGCGCCCGCTCGACGGCCGTCCGCCGTCCGCGCCTGAGCCCTGTCGCGCGCCTGCGGGCCGCCCTGACGACGGCCGCGCCGCAGCCTTGCCTACGTCACTCAGTGGGTCAGCCTTGAACCCCTTGGTCCAGAACGACCCCGCCCCCGACGATGCGGCGCGGTCCTCGGCCCCGCCCGTCTGCTCCTGCACGGGGGCGCCGCTGGGGACGCTCGGCGACTGTTGCCCGGTGGGGGTGGCGCCGTTCTCAAACAGGTCCAGCAGACCCGTCGCGCTGCCGGACAGCCCGAACTTGGCCGGCGCCGGCTGCTGCGCTGCTGGCGCGGTGGCCGGGAACGCGGCTGCCTCGCCCCAGTCGGCGGCCCACCCGGCTTGAGGTTGCGCGTGCTGCTGCTGTGTCTTCCAGGCTCCCGACCCGGGCGCCGCGCCTGGCCGGTAGGTGGCCCCGGAGTCGTTCAACAGGGCGTCGACGACGGTCAGGACGGTGAACACGTCCGGTCGGGCCGCCGGGTCGAGCCGAAGCATGGACAGACACAGGTCCGCCACCTGCGGTGTGGCGCGCTGCGTGCCGGCGGGCCGCTTCACGCGCCCGGACGACACTTCGAGCTGGGACTCCCCCGTGAACGGCAGCTGGTCGCTGCACATCAGGTACAGGAGGCACCCCAGCGCCCAGATGTCAGCCTTCGGGCCCACTGGCTTGCCACTGCGGAAAGGGAGAGGAGAGGAGGGGGGGTATTGCGGCTGTGGGGCGGGGGCGGCGTCTCGCGGGCCGGAGTTGCACGGCAGCGGGCGGCGAGCGCGCGGCGGGGGGTAGGCACGGGCGGCGGGAGGGCGGCGTCCGCGCTGTTGCTGCGGTGCTGGGCGCGCCTGTACAGGTCCCACAGCTCGGGCGCGCGGTAGGCCGGGGTGGTCTTCTTGCGCAGCATCTCTTCCTCCCGCACGATCTGGGCCATGTCCGACAGCGCTTCCGAGGCCGTCGACACGGACCCGAAGTCGCACAGCACCCACCTGCAACCACGCGCACGCCGAGCGGTCACGCGTGGCGCCGCCCGCGGCGACGCGGCGAACGCGGCCAGCACGCTGCGGTCGTGCCGCGTCCGGCGCGCGGGGCGCTCCGCTCACCTGCCGTCGGCGGTGTGCAGCACGTTTTGTGCCTTGATGTCCCGGTGCAGCATGGGGGGGTCCTGGCCGTGCATCGCGGCGACGGCCTGCAGGACCTGGCGGAAGATGAGCAGCATCTGCACGGCCGTCATTTCGCGTCCGGCCCCGCCGAGCACGTAGTCGGTGAGGTCCCCGCGGCACAGGTCCAGCAGGAGGAAAAACTCCTCCTTGCCGCGCTCGCCGTGGACCTGCGACGCGTGCAGGCGCAGGATGGACGGCTGCCCGCGCAGGACCTCCAGCGCGCGAACCTCGCGCTGCGTGTCCGCCATGACCTCCGCGTTGCCGTTGACGCGCACATGCTTCAGAGCAAAGGGTTGGCCTGCGCACCAAGCCGCGTGTGGGGCCAGATCGGGGCGGGCGACGCAAGGACCGAGAAATCCATGGATCTGACAGTGCGATGCAGTCGTGGAAGCGCCACGGTTGCGCGGGTGTGATCGACGCACCGCTGTTCCTGTCTGTGCACTCGTAGACGCTCGCATACCCCCCGCCCGCGATCAACACGCCCACCCGCAGCTTGTACGGGCCGACCTGCAGACAGATGCCATCGAGGCCGGCACACGACGGTCCCCAGTGGGACGGCTGCGAAGTTCTTGCGCCTGAACGACACCTCAGTGCCACGCAGGCCGAACCTCGCGCTGCGAGACGATAAGAGCGGCACCGCAGCAGCCCATGAACTCCCCGTGGTTGGCACGTGGCGGACTCGGAATCCGTATCGCGCATCGTTATCATTCAGGGGGGCGCGGCTCCTGGGCTTGCTGCGCGATGGTCTCGGAGTGGCGCGGGGTTGCGCCGCCGCAGCCGGGCCCCTCGACCAGGCGCCCGGCCTCACACTGCACGCGTCTTATCGGGCGGCGCTGGCCCTCGTCGCGCGCTGGTCGCACCTGCAGCTCGCGGCCCTCGAGGGGATGGGCTCCCTCTCGCAGGATTTTACGCTTCTGGTTCTGAATAAACTTCTTCATGTCGCCCCCTCCCCTTTCCTAGAGCCCAGCGCTGGATGCTCCTGCACCTCAGGGCGTTCGTCCCGGAGAATCTCGCCAGCTGTCCGTGTGTCAATGGGTCATGCCCCGCACATCCAAAACCACCTGGCCGCGGTCTGATCCGGAGCGCAACAGCACGCGCGACTGGAATGTGCACCGCCCGGGCGCGCGTCTGTCATTGAAGCGGCCCGGAGACTGCGCTGCACCTGGCAGCGGCCCTGAGCCAGGGCGTGTGGCACCCCCTCAGGCGTCCGACGTGGACGCCGCTGGAGGACCTCGCGACCGCCAGGTGCGGGCTGACCTGCGCCTGCGAGGGAGCGGCGCGCACAGTCCTCAGCTGCGTGTTGCGCGGCCTGATTTCCCTGCACACGAGGCGGGAGCACCTGTTGCGTGGGCGCTCATGTAGGTGCCCGGCATGCGCGTGAGAGGTAGTCGAAATGGCAGTTGACGTGACGGGGACGTTCAAGGAGCACGTTAAGAGGGCCTGTGCGGCGCCCGGCGTGTCGGACGCAGCTCGGAAGGAGGTGGCAAACGCGTTGCTGCTCCGGAAGAGGTCGGTTCGACGCACGCTGTTCGGGTCCAAGGTTGTGGAAGCTTCGAAGCAGTTTCGCGACGCTCGGAAGCTGATAGACTCCCGGAGAGATGACTTCATGCTCCCAGGGCGCCTGCCCGAGGAGGCCAGGGACCAGATTGAGGTACTGCTGGGGCGCGGGCCAGTTGCAGCACGCCGCGCGGTGGGCAGGCTGTCCTGCGTGTCTGCCACGCAGTTCAGAGCATGATCATGCTGGTAGCGGCGTGCATGCGCAGTTGCGGTGATGCGGCGCACGTTGCGCGCAGAGGGCGAGTGGCGACTGCGACGTGCTCCGCAGGAGGAGGTTGGCCTTCTGCTCCGTGCCTTGGGGAAGGGACTCGAGGTGCTGCAGCGCGACGTTGACGTGCCTGGGCTTGAGGCGCCCGACGGCGCGCCGGAGGCAAGGTCGGGACCGAAGTCGAAGAGGCACGTGATTAGCGCACACGAAAAGGTGAGACGCGTGAGGCACACGGGAGCACGTCGCGGGGGAGGGGGGTGCGCCGCCCGCGTCGGACGCACTGTCGTGGCGCGCACAGCACGCGGTGCCCCGGCCACGCTGTTCGCAGGCGCACCGCCAGGGCGTCATTCTCATTTTGAGTGAGGAGCTGCGGAGCCTGTCGGCCCTGTTCGACACCTGGCGCGCGCAGCGGATGCAGCAGAAGAAGTCCTCGAAGCGGCGCGGAGCAGGCGCGAAGTTCGATGTCAAGCCCTCGGGGGCCAGGTCCGAGCATGCCAACCAGGAGTTGCATCTGACCGAGACTCGAGCGCCGGAGATGCCGGCGGGCAACGACGGCCAGGCGCAGATGCTCCAGGCGGAGAACGATCTGCTTGTGGAAGAAATGCGGGTACGTCCAGCGCGTCCGCACGCCCTCGGGAGTGTGGGGCAGCATGCGTCCGTGCAAGAGAGAAACGCTGGCGAGAGCCCGGTCCGCGCAGGCGCAAGGCGCGCAGATCGCGCAGGCGGAGGCGTCTCTGAGGGACGTGGCGGCCCTGAGCCAGGCGTTCAGCGAGCAGCTGGTCACCCAGAGCGAGCAGATCGAGCAGCTGTACTACGAGGCAGTGGCCGCGACGCGCATGCTCGAGAAGGGCGCGGAGAACCTCGACAAGACGCTCAAGATCACCAAGCGCGGGACGTGGTGGCTGTTCCTCTTCATGATGTTCATGTCGGCGTTCGTGCTCGCGGCGGACTTTTGGTACTCCTGACACAGCGGCGGACTTTTGGTACTCCTGACACAGGTCACACGCCGCCGCGGCACGCCACCTCGCGGCGTGGCAGCCGCCCTGTAGAACTAGGTATATAGACATGGGCCTGTGACGCGCGGCGGGTCGCCGTGACCGCGGACCGCTTCGTCAGTGTCGTGCGCTGACCGACGTGGTGGGACCGTTCGGGCGGGGCGATTCAACGTCTCTGTCCAACGTGGGCCGCCGTTCGCTCGCAACGGGCGACAGCACGGCCTCCATCGCAGCCTTCCTCGTCATGCTGCAACCACAGGAGCAGGAAGTGATGGATCAACGGGGCAGGGACGCGTGTGCACGTTGGGAGGCGTGCTGGCCGAGGCATGTGAGCAACCGCCGGGGCGTGGCGGACGGCGCGCACCTGTTGGATGCGATCAGCTTCAGCGCCTTCTGCAGCCCCGTGCTCGCGGCGTTCAGGCGGTCGAAGGTGTCGCCCGAGCGCCTGAGGTTCGACGCCGCGCGGCCGAGCGCAGGCGAGGCGGACCCGGCGGGGAGGTCGGAGACGCCGAACGCGGAGTGCGTCGAGTCGCGGATGCGTTGCTGCGGCGGGTGGAAGTGCGCCAGGTCCGGAGTGGAGGCCACGGGGTGGGGGCCGTCGCCGTGCGAGGGCAGGGGCGCGAGGATGGGCGTGGACGGGGCGGCGGGGGCGAGTCCGGACTGGTGGTTGGCGCGTCCGCCGGAGGGCATGCGTCGCATGGAGGGGGCGCGGGAGCTGGCGTTGCTCCCGGGCCGCGCGAAGGACGCGGTCGACACGAACCCGCGCAGGTGCGGGGGCAGCAGCGCCTGGAGGAAGTTCGGCGTGACCTTCTCCTTGCGTTCGTTGTCGACGTAGCTGTCGGTCTCGTCGAGGATCTCCTCGCTGAGCAGCGACTCCAGCACGTCCTCCAGCGTCAGCAGGCCCACCACGCGCCCGTGCCGCAGGTCGTCGCGGTCCTTCTTCGTCGCCGGCAGCGTCTTGTTGCGGTGCATGCTGCCGTCCGCCTCCTCGTCCGCGCCGTGCAGTGCGTGCAGCAGCGGGGTGTCGACCGACACCTCCTGGGACGCGTGCTCGATGCTCGCGCGCGCCGTCGGGTTGGGCCGCTCGACGAGCAGGGCGAGGTGCGAGCGGCCCGTCTGGAACAGGTCGAGCAGGTCGTGCTGCGGGGCGTCGGAGAAGAACCTCGGGGGCGTGCGCAGGGGAATGTCCTTCACGGGCGTGCCCGCTGCCGGGTCCACGAGGGCCAGTTCCCGCACCATGAGGATCCCGATCACCTCGTTCCGGTTGTTGCGGTACACGGGGATGCGGCTGCGTGGGGAGCGGGCGTCGTCAACATTGAGAGCAGCGCAACGACACTCCGTCTAGCTGCCTCTGGCGCGGCGAGGCGGCGCGTCACGCGCCGTGCGAGCGGCACTGGCGGCACCGCGGCGCTCTTCAGGTGCGGCCCTACCTGAACCCCGAGTGGATGATTTCTGTGATCTTGGCCACGTCAAGGCGGTCGGTGGCGTTGAGCATGTACACCTGGTCCAGCGGCGTCATGCTCTCGTACGCCGGCTTGTGCGCGAGGTCCAGCGCGCCGCGGATCGCGTTGACCTCGCCCTGGGAGAACTCCCCGCCGGCCTCGGGCGCCTCCCCGCCCTCGCCATCCGGCAGCTCCTCATACACGTCGAACAGGGCCCGCAGCTCCGCCCTGCAGGGGGGGCGGGCGGGGCGACGTCGCGCGACGGTGGCCGGGCGCACGCTGCGTGCACGTCCGGCGCGGCGCGGTGCCGCGGGGTGTTGCGCGCACGCACCTGCGGAGAATGGTCTTGGTCTCGGAGCCTAGGGCCAGGTCCAGCACCTTGGCGATCGGCCACGCGATGGGGAACGTGACGAACATCAGCGCGTAGACGGGGTAGCAGGTGTAGTACCCGACCGCGAGTCCGTACCGCGTGCAGATCGCCTGCGGCACGATCTCGCCGAACAGCAGCACAACGGACACGGAGAGCAGGAGCGACACGAGGGGGGACGTCAGCCGGTCGACGACCATCGGGAGGGCCTCCATCGACCCCGCGTTGCACAGCACGAGCGTCACGAGCAGCTGGTGCGGCTTCTCGATCATCGGCAGGATGGCCGCCGCGTGGCGGGCGTCGCGCTCGTTGCCCGACCGCATGATGAGCTCCAGGTCCATGCGGTCCAGACTGAGGAGGCCCAGCGTGAGGCCGCTCATCAGGCCCGCGACCAGCACTAGGAACACCGACACCACCACGAAGATCGTGAACTCCGGCGACCCGGGCTCGGGGTGGTCCCACCGGTCCGCCGCCTGCGAACACCAACGCCGGGGCCGGTCTCGACGGGAACGACGCCAGCTGCCGCGCCCGACCCCGCCAGCGCGCCGGCGGCGGGACGAGCCTCGTCACGCTCTCTGACACTGTGAGCCGCGGGGCTCGACGCCCGTGCTCGAACGTCACGAGGCCGTGCGGGGCGTTCCACTGAGCAGTGAGAGTACAGCGCAGCGAGAGCGCGCTGGTCGGTCGCGCGGGGTGTGCGGAGGGGGTCGGAGGTGATGGCTCCTCAACCTAGTGCACCGCAACGGGCGCCAGTCGAGCCGCATCGTCCGGGATCGTCGATCGGCGACCACACTCAGATCAAACGGGACGGCTGGCCAGGCGCGGCGGTCGGGAGAGCCGCGTGCGCGACAAGAGCGCAACGGAAGATGCACGCGCACTGACCTCCCCAGCATGCTTTTCCAGCCACTCTTCCCCGTACATCGCCCTTCTCCGGCGTCAGTCGATGACGCAGATACGATCGGTCTCGCCAGATGTGTGGGTGCTGGTCGTCGCGCACCGCGGTCCTGCTAGCTGCAGCTCTACCGTCCTCTCAGACCGTGCGTGCGGAGCAACTCAGACGCAAATCATGGGCGCTGGCTGGTGTAGTTCAACGTCTCTCTGCCTCGGACTGTTGGCTGGCGCTTGAAGCTGCCGTTCGTGCGCACAGGGCCGAACTAGGTAGACGGCACAGCTCTCGCGAGGTGTCGCGGCTGTCTCCGCTGCGCTGCAAGCAAGACCGACCTACTGTACGACCCGCGCGTCGCAGAGAAGCCTTCAAGCGAATACCGTTGCGAATCCTGTCTGCCCGAGCGCCGCAGCGGTCCTCCCTGACACAGTCACACAGCACCCGCGCACGTGCCCTCGCTGCGGGCACACAGAGTAGTAATTGACCACCCGCGCACGAAACGAAATGCGGGTGTGCTATCGTCCTGATCAAGGCGGCAGCGTGCTAGGAGTACTCGCGCGAAATGCCATGTGAGCGTGCCATCATGTGCCAAGGGAAGGCTCTGACCTGCAATCAGTTAGAGGGAGTGGCGGGCGTCGTCAGCAACAACGCGGCGAGCCGCGCGAGTACTGGACGACGCCCGCCAGCCGACGCGCCGAAGTGCTGGTCCACGTCCTAGGCTGCTTGTACCAGGGGGTGTCGGCAGCCGGCTGGGTGACAGCGGTGACTGAGTCTGCGGCATTGTCCGCGTTGTGTGGCGACGCGCCGACGGCTACTCAGCTCTCCTCGTCATCGCCGTCCCCGCGCGTGGCCTGTCATGCGAAAAGGGATCATACCTCGGTCTAGCGGCCACGGAATACGCGCATGGCCAACATGTCAACATCGGGGGGGTAACAGAGTGCGTCATGTGTGCGGGCATGGCTGGATAGTTCCGAGCCAGCTTCGCAGCGCCGGGATCATGTATGAGGGTGACGAGTTGCAGGGCGCCGGGCACGCCCTGTCAGCAGGTTGGCCAGTATGGTCTGCAAACTGCACGTGGCGACGCACGAGGTCAGCCAGGCCCGCCGGCGTGGCAGGGCCAAAATGCGGGCTCGGGTGCGTCCGGCAGGCGGCGCGGTGGATCGCCAGGACCTGTCGCATGCAGTAACCTCGATGCGTACGCATGTAGCGCATCATGGCCGACATCTTGGCTACGTAGCTGTCGCGGTCAGTCACCTCGCTGGACACGCGGATGTGTTCGGTGCGGACGATGTTGTAAAGGTGTCGTCGCAGCAGCGCACACGAAGCGTGGGGGTACTGTATGAGGTGAATGTTCTCAGGAAACAGACCGCGTTTGTCATAGTGCGAGATCAGGAGGAAGCCCTGATATTCGGGATGCGGACGCACGCGGAGGTCTAGGAAGGAGACACCGTCGAGCGGGTTCGCTGGGGCGTCAAATTCGACCTCAAGACAGGGGGGGTACATGTTATGTATACCAGAGATGAGATCTACGATCGACGACGGGGTTTCGGGGGGCGGGGTGGGGGGGCGGGGGTGGGTGTTGAAGTAGCGGTACAGTGCGTTCGCGAGAGAGAAATTGTCGTCGATGTAGCGCCTGGAATAACGGAAAGACCCCAAGACCTTCAGCCAAGCGACGTCGCCAGTGCTCAACCAGCGGTCGCGAAACTGGCAGAGGAACGCGAGCTCATGCCGGAACATGTAGCAGTTCGCGAGGTGGGGGGAGGCCGAGAGCCCCATGGGCACACCGCAGGTCTGGTGATATACGACGCCCCCGAACACCACGTAGGCGCGTTTGACGAGGATGTGCACGAGACCATGAAGTTGCTCGATGCTCGGTGCCCATTTCCCAACCATGCCGTCCGCGTCCGGCAGCTGCGCCACCCACCACCACGTCTCCCTCGCGTCAAACGCGGGTTGCAAGTCGATCAGGAGGTGTTGCCCTGGATGCAGTGCAAAAACAGCGTCGATGTGTTCGATGACGCAGTCGATGAGGCCGGTCCCGTGGTCCGCGCTCGTCTCGTGCCGGATGTGCGTGTAGAGCCGCTTGATGTCGGCGCCCAGCAGCAGAGGTGGTTGTTGAGCATGTATCGCTGAGCGTGGTGGGTTGTCATGTAGATACGCGGTCACCATGTCACGCATGCCGCGGCTGGAGTCCACCAAGAAGGGCGCGAAGCTGCTGCAGAGGTCCTCCGGGACGCCGTCGAAGATGGAGCTCCAGACCTCCACGAGGGTGGCGTGGCACATGAGCGCGCCGAGGGCCTTCGTCAGCAGCTGCGCTGCGGGGCGCGTGATGTCGCTCGAGCAGTCCGAGATGTACCGCACGTCCACCTTGGCCTTGTGAAGCTTCATCGTCCCGTAGTAGTGCGGTAGACCACCGCACTCGCGTTCGGTGCGTATTCCTGGTAGCTGCAGGTTGTCCATACACGTCGGCGCAAAAGCAAGCGACTGCTCGCGCTCCGAGCCACGCATGTGCGGCCGGTCGTCCTCGAGCGAGTCGGCACCGGCGAGCACACACACGTGACTGCGCCCCACGTGCAGTGCCGACACAGCGGCCTGAGACGCGCATCGCTTTGAGCGCATGCCCTCCCGAATCACATCACGCGGTCTTGGATTTGAGCGGTGCTCGCCGGAGCATGGGCGCGTAGTGCAGCACCATGAGCAGCGGGACGATGATCCACGCGACGTAGACGGCAACCAGCGGGAGGCGGTCCGACTCGTACATAGGGCCCGTGTTGTTCTCCGGGTCCAGGGGCTCGAGGATGAAGGAGGCGAGGATGGGCACCAGCGTGGTGGAGACGTGCGTCCCGTAGATGACGCCCACCAGCGGCATCCAGGACGCCTGCTTGACGATCCCGTACATCGAGACGAAGAAGCAGGGCAGCTGGAGGAACATCTCGCACAGGACCATGCTGCAGGCGAGCGAGCGGGGCGCCGCGTCTAATTTGTGTGCACAACTGCAGGGGCCACGGCGCTTGTGTGCCGCTCGGGGGGCGCGCGTGGCGCCGGTGGGGTGCCGGACGGTCGGCACCGCCTTGCTCGTGGTGTGCGCACCTGTAGAACCACACGGGATTGACTTTCACGAGGAAGTCGTGCACATCGCGGATGTAGTCAGCAGTGACCTGAACCGCCCACGCCGGGTGGAACTTGCTGCCGAGAACTGCAGCCAGCCGCGGAGCAGAAAGACCCCTCGGTTCGCTCTGAGCCCATCGGGAGGGCGCGGTCATCCGCGGCGCCCTTGCTGCACCGCCGCTGCACCCAGGTGAGGCGTTGCGAACGGACGCGCCCTCCCGCAGCACGACACGGCGTGGCTCGACGCTCCACGGGGCGGTGGCGCCGAGCGTGGCCTTGGAGGGGGCCTCGTTCCTCCTCGGGCGCGGGCTCGACACCGATACAGGACAGCGCCGCAGTGCCGCGTGCGTGTGGTGCAGTATGTTGGCCGTGCAGGGCGCACCTAGCTGGGAGTCTATGAATATTGTGATGGGAACGTGGACGATGAAGTACACGAGGAACAGAAGCTCCATGTACCGACTGAAGATGCTGTCGCCAGCTTTCCTCGCCATCTTGCCTGTTTGCTACCTCCAGTCGACCCTCAACGCGTCTCTATAACCCGTGCGAGCTCAGACGTCCCTTGACATGCATGGTCTATCGGCACACGGGCATCGTGCAGCGCTATATAGCGCGACGGATCCTGCAGTTGCGCCAGGGGAGTCGAAGATGGGTATGAGGAGCCCGCGCTCGCTCGGCAAACGCCGCCGGGCGACATCGTGCCGGCGCCTCGTCGGCTCCCAGCAGCCGCGCTACCAGCGCAGCGAGGTGTACTAGCGATTCAAGCGGCTACACGCCGTCGTTTCGACTTTCTCGCGTTGCGGGAGCTGGCAGCAGCCAAGAGGCACAATGAATCATCGGTGTGCGTCCAACATTGGCTCCGTCAGCTGACACGGCTGTTTCACAATTACTAGCAATGATTTGACCAAGCTTCTGACGCCGACGTTGTCGCTCTCGAACGTCAGTTTCTCGACTAGCGCCAGCTCTAGGAGCAGGCCATAGCTGCTGCAATGGGCAGCAAACCGCCGTCTCGGTCGGCCTCAAATATGCTCGAGAAGGGGCTCGTTCCCCGCATCGAGAAGCTGGGACCGGAGTTGGATGTGGACGAGGTGCGTGAGCTGCGTTCGGCGGCGCCTGAGCGATTTCATTGAGCAACTGCTCTCAGCGCCCTGGCGGCGGACGCTGTGTGTACAATCGCCTGCCCAGAGACTGCGAGGATGAAACAGGACGCATTTGTTGATACGTCGGCCCCACGATTCCGTTCGGCTCGCGCCGCTACCACGCGCATCCGAACCCCACCACCCACCGTGTGCGACACCACTTTCCGAAGCGATTCCTGCCGGTGCAGCTGGTCGAACAGTTGCGCAAAACGCACCGCGAGTACCAGAGGATCAAGGCGCATCCGTTCAAGATGGCCGTCGAGCGCGCGCTGTCCCAGATAGCGCCCGAGAAGGCCGCCGAAGTCCAGGATGCCGGCGAGGGAGGCCGGACACGCAGCGGTGCGGAGGCGGGTGGCGGGGGGCTCCCCGCGCCGGGAGCCGCGGGCGCCGCGCCCGTGCGTGGCGTCAACAACGCGCTGGTGAAGATGTACCAGCAAGGCAACGCCGACAGGGCCTCGGACGCCCCCACCGGCGAGGAGCAGCAGGCCGGCACAGCGGCCCGCGAGGAGCAAGCGGCCGAGCCGGTCGCATCCGGCGGGCCGGTGGAGACACTGGAAGTCATCGAGGACCCAGCCCCGCGACCCGCGGACGATGCGGAGGCCGTGCAGAGCACCAAGCCTGTCCGTCGCAAGGCCTCCGAGGTGCAACAGCCCCTGCCGACCTCCGCAACACGACGCCGATGTGCAGCTGCCCTCGCTCTGGCGGGGCGCCGACGTAGGCTGGCGCGGCGAGATCCGCTGCGCGCGTTGTCGCGGCCATCTCATGTCTCATGACCCCCTCCCTCGTTGCGCAGGCGGCCGGCGACTCAGGGCGGCGCAAACGTCAGCGCACGAGCAAGGGAACACGCGCGACGTTCGCGGCGGAGCGGGAGCCCGCGGCGGTGGACCTCGAGGACCTGGGGGGCATTGACCACGTCATCCAAGACATCAAGGAGCTGATCAAGTACCCCCTCGCGCACCCCGAGGTCTACCAGCACCTCGGAGTAGAGCCGCCGAGGTAATTGAGCTCACACGCACCGGCATGCTGTGGGTCGGCTTTGCCGTCTCGAGAGGTGCGCCATCCAACTCGACACTGCGGGGGTGCCCGTGCGCCGCAGGGGAGTGCTGCTGCATGGGCCGCCGGGCTGCGGCAAGACGGCGCTTGCGAACGCGATCGCCAGGGCGTGCGGCGTTCCGTTCCTGCGGATATCGGCCCCTGAGGTGGTCAGTGGGATGTCTGGGGAGTCGGAGGCGAAACTCAGGGCCTTGTTCCAGGTGAGGCGCGCGTGCAAGTGACGGGATGGTCGGTGCCGGATGCCGCCGTCAGTGCGCGAGCTGTCGCGGCGACAGAGCACCACCGGGAGACGCATCACGTCATGCTGTCTGCCTGGTGTTTCTCATCGACCAACCCGCCCCGAAGTCGAGCAGGAGGCGCGTGAGGTTGCACCGTGCATCGTCTTCATAGACGAGATCGACGCGATCGCGACGAAGCGGGAGAACGCCCAGCGGGAGATGGAGCGGAGGATCGTTGCCCAGATGTTGACCTGCATGGACGACCTCTCCTCCCGACCTGCCAGGTGCGCCTCCAGGACAACGGCCGCCTTGAGCCCCGTGGCCCCGCCGCTCCCCGCAACGCGCGTCACTGACGTCAGGGCCGCACACGACGCAGGCCGAAAGAAGGGGACGAGGACACTGCGGCGGATGCGCCGCGTCACGTCGTGGTGATGGGGGCGACGAACCGGCCGGACTCGCTGGACCCAGCGCTGCGGCGCGCGGGCAGGTTCGACCGCGAGATATCCCTGGGCATCCCCGACGAGGCCGCCAGGGAGCGCATCCTGCAAGTGCTGGCGCGGGGGCTGCGAATATCCGGGCAGCTCGACTTCCGGCAGATCGCGAAGCGCACGCCGGGGTTCGTGGGAGCAGATCTCACGGCGCTGATCAAGGAGGCCGCGGCCATCGCCGTCCGGAGCGTGTTTCAACACCTGGAAGCCGGCGGGGGGCCCAAGGGAGACGGCGACGAGCCCGCGCAGGGGGACGCGGCCGCGGCCGCGGCTGGGGACGGCGAGGGCGTCGGCGGGGGCCAGCTGATCGGCAAGGTGCTGGGCGAGGAGCCTCTGACGCCGGCGCAGATGGCGGACATCAGCATCGCCATGGAGCACTTCGAGGAGGCGCTGGGCAAGGTGCAGCCGTCGGTGCGGCGGGAGGGCTTCACAACCGCGCCGGACGTGTCGTGGGACGACGTCGGGTCCCTCGAGGACGTCCGCGAGGAGCTGGCGTTCGCCATCTCGCTGCCCATCCAGCGCCCTGAGCTGTTCGAGGCCATGGGGCTGCCTGCCGCCGCCGGTGAGCGCCCGCCGCGACGCACGCGCCCGATGCACGCTTGCGTGGCGCTTCGCTGCCGCGGAACGTGAGAGCTGGACCCCTCCCCGCGAGACGCAGGAGTGTTGCTGTTTGGGCCCCCGGGGTGTGGGAAGACGCTTGTGGCCAAGGCGGTGGCAAACGACTCCGGGGCGAACTTCATATCCATCAAAGGGCCCGAGCTGTTGAACAAGTACGTCGGCGAGTCGGAGCGCGCGGTGAGGTCGCTGTTCAGTCGCGCACGGTCAGCAGCGCCGTGCGTGCTGTTCTTCGACGAGATGGACGCGCTGGCCCCGCGCCGCGGCGCGGACGGGAATCAGAGCGCGGAGCGGGTGGTGAACCAGGTACGGCGCCTGCTCCCGAGCGTCCAAACGGGTCGCCACAGCGCAGCATTGCCTGCGGACTGCTCGGCCGACGCTCGCGCCCTTCATCGCGCACCCGCAGTTGCTGACGGAGATGGACGGCATGGACGGCCGGCAGGGCGTGTTCCTGGTGGCCGCGACCAACCGCCCGGACATGATCGACCCCGCGCTCCTGCGGCCGGGCCGCCTGGACAAGATGCTGTACGTCCCGGTCCCAGACGCAGCCGGCAGACACTCCATCCTCAAGGCGGCGTGCCGGAAGATGCCAGTGGCCCCGGGCGTGGACCTCGGCGCCATCGCCCGGCACCCGCGCTGCGAGGGCTTCTCAGGCGCAGGTGCGCAGCGCTCCCGCGCCCCGCCGATTGCGCCGCCCCCCGGGCTGCAAAGGCACCCCTCACTCGCCCGTCGCCGCCGTGCCCCGCGTCGCAGACATCGCGGCCCTCGCCAGGGAGGCGTGCGTGGCGGTCATCAAGGAGTCCTGCGCCGCGAGCCACCAAGGGCCGCAGGCGCTGATCGAACAGGCGCACTTCGAGCAGGCTGTCCTGCGCGTGCAGCCGTCCGTGTCCCGGAAGGACCAGCGGGAGTACGAGCGGCTGCGCAACAGGATCCGCGCCGCGCGGAACAAGATGCCCGACGTGGACAAGTCCGCGGCCGCGCCCGACGCGCCGACGCGGGAGGGGGACGGCGCCGGGATGGACACGAGCGACGACGGCCAGGGGCGTGAGGCCGGGGACGAGAAGATGCTGGTGGAAGGGTGACGCCGCTCGGGGCGGGGTGCGGGGCCGCCGGGCGGCGTCCGTGCAGTCTGCGGCGTCTACTGGTAGCGCCCCGGCTTGTTGCGGCTGACTGTGGCGACGGCGGCGTTCGCGGTCGACCACTCGGCCTCCTCGTCAATCTGTGCCGGCGCCGTCGCGTCCACCCACCCCTGCGAGCGCGGACAAAGCGTCGCCGCAGAGCGTTCTGTGCACCGCACGCACTGTGAGTCGCGGCGTACAGTGTGCAACGGTCGTGGGACCGAAGTCGCGTGGCGCGTCATGACATGAAGCAGCTGACGGGGCGCACCTGGCCGCGCGAGCCGCCCGGCGTCGGCTTGTTCTGCAGCTCCTCGTTCGCCACCGTGCGGCGCTTCATGTCCTCCAGCTCGTCGCGCAGGGACGTGACCTGGCGCTTGTTGGCGTCCCCCGTGTACTCCACGTCGTCGCGGGTGCCGATCGTCATCAAACTGCGAAGCACCCGCGGGGGCCGGCGACGGTCGGCCAAGTGGTGTGCGGAGCCAGACCTTGCGAACTTGCAGCCGGAAGCTCCCTCCCTCCACGGGCAAGGACTGAGTGGCACCGTGCGTGGCCGTTGCAGGGGACCGCGCAGACCGCGGTGTTGCGATGGTCGCGCAGGCTGGAGCGCAATGATGCACGGAACGTGACGAAGGGCCGTAACACCGCACGGTGCACTGCGAACCATGCCCTTCCGAGTGCCTCAGGGTTCGCCGCCTGTCGCTGAGGGTGTGCCGCAGCTCACCTGTCTCGGTCATGCAGTTTGTCAGCCACGACGTTGGCCACGAACACGTAGCCGATGAGCATGGAGCCCACGAACGGCACCCCGAACTGGAACGCAGCCCCCTGCCACCACCTCGTGCGCGTGCCTGTCAAATTTCCGAGTCGAGACATCGTGCGATGCGCCGCCGCGTGCACCCTCTATCGAGTGACCTCGCCCGCGGGTGCCGCGCGCCCCTGAGCGCCGCGCGGCGGCCGCAGGGCCCACTGAGGTCAGCGGGTGGCCCGTGCGCAAGACGTACCGGCGCTCCACGTGCCCCGGGGGGCGTGGTGCCAGCCCGGCCGCGCCCGCAGCTGCCTTGGGGACACGCGGCCGGCCCCGCGCGCCACTGTTTCGCGGCACGGCAGGACCGCGGAGCCCGTGCGGCAGCAGCGCGCCCTTCACTGACTGCAAAGTCCATCCTGCCCAGCGGCTGGGCGTCGCAGCTCGCGCGACAATGAAGCGCAGTCAGCCAGATAACGGCGATGATAGGACGTCCAACGGCGGGGACACTGAATCTCAAGGCCCTGATAAACGCCAGCGGACGGAGGTGCGCGCCCGCTCGTCATGGGCAGGCATTTTGCTCACCTGGGCCGGACCGCGACGACGCGGACGTCGATACGAGGCTGCTCCTGCTCCCCGGCAGGATCCTCAGCTATCGCGTGCGGCGACCGCGCCGGACCCGCGAGCAAGGGCTCGAGGGCGGCGTGTCCGCGCCGGCTTTCATGTTGGTGCAATCTCCGTGCGCCCCGGGCCTCCGTCGACGGCAGATCGATGTGGCGCCGGCAGCAGCATGATATCTCCGCGCACCGTCCATGCAGGGCGGCCGCCTCCTGCCGACGCGGCGCGGTCTGCGCCCTCGCGCGAGTAGCGCGCTGCAGATGCTCTGCCTCCATCCCGTGCCGCCCACGCCGCGCTCGCGGCGCCTGGGAGGCCCCGAGCGCGCCCCCCGGCGTCCCCACATGGTGATCGACCGCGTGCGCCCGCATGGGTCGGCGTCGGTGGCCGCCCGCGTCGTCGGGCCCTCGGGTGCCATCTGGCTCCACGCGCGGCTCAACGCGGCCCGCGCGGCTCCGCGCACCCGCAGGGCGGCTCGCTGCAATGGGGCATCGAGCCGGGTATGTCGAAGCGCGGGCGGGGGCGTGGTTTCGCCCGGCGGGCCCTGCGCGTGGACAGGCTGCCCACCATTGTGTACCGGGAGGGGGAGCAGCTGAAGGAGCTCGAGAAGTACCTCGCCGCGGACGGGGAGGCGCAGCAGGTGGAGATCCGCATCGCCCCGGAGTACATGAACTCCAACAACAAGATGGTCAAGACGCGGCAGCTCTGGGGGTGCGACGTGTACACCCAGGTGAATTCCCGGCGCGCGCGCGGACCAACGCACCGCCGGCTGCGCGCCCCCGCCCGCGAACGGACCGGTACTGCCGCCGCGGGGGTCGCTCCCGGGCAGTCCGCGCCCCGCTCCTCGCACGCACCCGCCGCGGTCGCAGCAGCTACTGATGTCGCCCCGCCTGCGGCCCCCGCCGCACCGAGGGCGCCACCGGCGCGTTCCGGCCCACACGAAGAGCGTCCATGCGTGTGCGTCCTCGAGTCGCGTCGAGCCGCGAGAGATCCGCGGGCGGCGGCCCCGGCGCTGGCCGGGCTCACTGGCTCCAGCACGTGCGCGCGCTGGCCCGCAGGACTCGGACTTGGTGGCCGCGATCATGCACATGGGTTTCTTTTCGTACAAGAACGGCTCTCCGCCCCACAACGTCGGCGAGTTCCGCGCCGTCGTGCGGCCGGTGCCGCCGCAGGAGAGCTACAAGTCCAAGTCGCGCAACGGGGTGTTCTCGCGCGCCTGGGTGTCGCCCGGGGAGGGCTGCTCCTACCAGGTGCGTCGCGCCCGAGCGGCCCGCCGGCGCCCGCGCCCGCCCGCGCGCGCGCCTGCGAGACCGTGCGGCGGCCGCACCTTGCACCTGGCATGTGCAGGTCGAGTCGGTGCGGCTGATCACGCGCCAGGGGCACTACGTCGAGCTGGAGCCGATGCCGCAGGGGGCGACGATGGCGGCGCCGACGTTCGTCCCGGCGCACCACGACAAGATGATGACCACGCGGCAGACGTCGGCCATGATTGAGCGCCGCCAGCGCATGGTGCCCGAGGTCGGCCTGCAGTTCAACCTGTGCAACGAACCCTGGCTCAAGTACTCCCCCGGGGTCGTCGCGGACCGCGGCCTGAAGCCCTCGACGTGGACGTGCGCCCGTCTGACGCGGGAGTGCTTGTACCTGGAGACCCACCGGCAGCGGTTCGAACTCAGCCACGCGCAGGCGGGGGAGGAGCAGGTGAGACGCGCGCGCCGCGGAGGGGCGGGCTCTGCTCGCGGCGCCCGTTGCGTTGGCGCGGCCCCCGACCGGCGCTGCGTTGCGTTGCGTGCGCGCGTGCAGGACCGGTTCCGTCTGAGCCGCATGAACAAGGCCCAGCCGTTCTCGTCGATGGTGAAGGCGGGCATCCCGGCCCCCGCGTCCGACAAGGTGATGCTGCACGACGCGCTGCACTGGGAGGAGCTGCACTGGGGGCAGGAGGGGCTGCAGGTCAAGGACAAGCTGTACAAGGTCACGCGCGTGCAGGTGAGACGCGGACGACGACCGGGCCGCAGCGAACGCGCGCGTGTCGTGTGTGTGTGCGCGTCGTGCGTCGCGCCGGGGGACGCCGCTCACCGCAGGGTCGCGTGTCGTTGCGTTGCAGTTCATCCCGCTGTGTCAAGCGGCGGGGGAGGACATGAAGGAGTGAGGGGGGGCGGCGTGACACGTGGGGCCGGCCGGAGGCCCCCCGCAGCGGAGCGAATGGAACGATGGCTGCGCACGCGAGCAGGGGCGACACAGCATCTGTGAATTCGAAGACGCGTCACTGTTCCCGCAATCAACTCTTCTCCTTCTTCTTCTCCTTCTTCTCTTTCTTCTCCTTCTTCTCCTTCTTCTCCTTCTTTTCCTTCCCCGCAGCTTGGCTCACCCCAGCTCCTGCGGTCATCGACACAGCCCGCCGGCCTTGAGGCAGCTGCACATCCACCTCAGCCCGCGCAGACCATCAAAACTGATGCGGCACGGTCCGCGCAGCTGTCCAGCACCTGTCGGCCCATGGAGGAACTTGGACACGCTGGACACCCTCTCGGTCCCGCCCTGCGACCACGCCCGCTGCCCGGCGCGCAGCCGATCCACCATCGCACCCATGCCCTCGTCCCCGGGCACCTGCGCAGGCGGCCGATCCCTGCGCGGCTCGTCCGGCGCCTGGAACGCCGCCTCGCGCTCCGACTTGCGCTGCGCCACCACGCTGGCCTGTTTGTCCAGCTTGGCGTTCTTCGCCTTGGACGCCTGCGACGACGCGGACGGCGGACGGCCCGCTCAGTGGCTCCCGCACACGCACCGCGCGAGTCGGCAGGGCCACGGGGCGCCGGCGCGCGTCGGCGGGCGCGCACCTTCTCCTGCTCGGTCAAGAAGTACTCGCCCGACTCGATCTGCAGGTCGAGCTTCGACGGCTGCGGCGCGGGCGGGAACAGCGCCTTGTCCTTCTTCGCGTGGACCTGCTTCGGCTTCTTGCGCTGCACGTTCTTCGCGCGGAACTTGGGCAGGAAACGCTCCCAGTTCTCGTTCTGCATGGCAGGGTCCTGCAGCGTCGCGGGGGCGAAGCAGAGGGTGAGCCGCTGCCGCCGAAGAGCCCGGCGCCCACCGCGGCCCCCCTCCGATCCGGTTTCGTTCGGCGCACCTTGGCGAGTTCGCGTTTGATCATGAGGGACTTGATGTGGTAGATGGGGTGCACGTTCTTCATGCAGTCCTCCACGATGCGCCGCACGGACTTGAGGCCCTTGTACGACCCCATGCACGACACCGTGTTGCCCTGCACCGGGGAGCGGGGGCCGCGTTCGGCCGGGGGTGCGGTGTGCGTGGCAAGCTGCGGGGCATGTGGTTCCTCCGGGCAGCGGCGCACCTGGACGAGCACGTAGCACTCCGTGAGCAGCTCGATGGCCTTGAGCGTGGCCCCGCTGGGTCCGATCAGGCGCTGTCGCCGCTTCACGAACCGCTCCTTGTTGCGCACCATGCCGCCGATCTTGATGATGTCGCACGTGACGTCGTCCTCGAGGATCCGCGCCGCTTGCTGGAACGGAACCGACCGCGCGAGCAGCTTGATGAGGTCGCGCGCCTTGATGATGATGTACGGGTCCCAGGTCTTGCGCGTGGTGCGCACCGTCATCGACCCCTCCACCAAGTTGAGCTCGCACTTGATGTGGTGCTCCTTCAGCGCGCGCGTCACCGCCGGCCACACCTCCTGCAACCCCAACGGTGGCCCGCACCGGCCGTCAGCGCCGGCAGGGAAGGGAGGCATGCTGCGGCGTTGGTGGCACACCCGCGCGAGAGGGGCGCACACCTGCAGATACTTCTCCCGGTACTTGGGAAACAGCGTGGCGAACGAGGACTCCTCCAGCAGGCCCGTCGGGTTGTCCTCGGGGGCTATCTTGACGGTCTGCCAGTGGTCGATGCCATCATGGTCCCATGGTTTTGGCTTCCGGTGCTGCAGGGTGGCCACGGACGTCGGAGTCAGAGCCGGAGCTGTGATGCACTTCGATGGCCGATGTGACGTTGTGCGTCAGCTGGCGCATCACGCGACAGAACGCTGTCTGTCGGTTGTGCGGCGTGCGGCGGCAACCTTGCGAGCGCTGAATGTCGATCAGACACCCCGTGACACGGCCGTCGGCTCCGCGCTTTGGTTCTTTGGTGCAAGAACTTGGATGCTGACATTGTTCCACATGTCGATCGTCGGGTGAGATGTCGCGCGAAGGGCATTCCTCCTGCGCGGCCAGTGCGGCGCGCCCCTCGAGGCTCGTTGCGGTGCGCACCTTTCCCTTCTTGCCGCCAGGCTGTTCGTTATCGTCCGGCCTGTCAGGCGCGGCCAGTTGCTCCTCCTCCTCTCGCCCAGACATGGCGCCGACGCCGCTGGCTGCCTACAACTACGGGGCCGCCTGGAGTGTCACGAGGCTTCGACGGCGAAGGGCGACGAGGTTGCGGCTGTCTCTCCTGCCACCACTATCGAGGCCGCGCGTGTTCCGTTCGCTGTCTCTCAGTGCCGGCCCTCGCAACCTCCGGGGCAGGTGCAATTCCGCGCTCAAGGCTGCAGAACTCGGAGGCCGCGGGACTACTTGCAAGCTCTCAGCGCAGCGCAGCTCGTCCACTGTGCGCGACTGCGCACGCCGTCGCCCACTCAGCCCGGTTGCACCGCCGCAGGGGACCGGTTCGCAACACCTTCGGGGTTGTTTGGCCACCGTTGGTGCCGCCCCCGCGTCATAGGACGGCGACGCCCTCCTCGCACAGCACGTCGCCGGCGTGCATGACAGCGTGGCCGTCACGCCGTCGAGTGAGCCGAAGCACACGTGCCACCTGTTCGCGGGGAAGCCTGGCGCTCTCGAGGCGCTGCGGTTACAGCGTTGCGCGTGCAGCGAGCGCGGCACACGGCGCCCTGGAGACGCAGTCGCGTTGGGGCGCCATGGCGTTGCGGCGAGGTTTGACCGGCGCCCTTGAGGGGCTGTGTGTGCGCTGGGGAAGATGGCCACCGCTCACGAGGAGTCTGAGCCGTCACTCCACTAGTCTTGACAGCGTAGTGATGCCGTTCACCGATGAGCAGCCATGTCATTCAAACGGTCGGATTCAGCACCCAAGCGGCAGGTGGGGAGCAGGGTGCTCCGGTCCAGTCCACCTCGAGGGTTCTCCGTCCAGCACGCGCAGCTGGGTCCAGACCCCGTGGATTTCGTTGCCAGGAGTGAGGTCTTATGCGAAGAAAGGTGGCAAGGGGCGTGCTCAGGCTCCTGCGCCGGCCGACGACGGCGACGAGGAGGGGGTGGACCTTGATGCACTGAGGGAGGAGATGGACCGCGCCGTGGCGCACCTCGGCAACGAGTTCTCCGTGCTGGTGTCCGGGCGACCGTCGCCAGGCATGCTGCAGAGCGTCGTCGTCGAAGCTTACGGTCAGTTGCCACCCGCGCACAACAGCATGCACAGAGGCATCGACACTCGTTACCAACCTGCGGCACTCACTGCATGTGCCGCGCTCCCGGTGCAGGTGGCAAAATGGAGCTGCGGTCAGTCAGCAACATCGGCCTGAAGCAGCGGACCCTGGTGGTCACGCCACACGATGCCGCACTGTCTGATGCCATTGAGAGGGCTATCAACGACAGCAACCTCGACCTGGTCGCGTCGAAGCAGCAGAGTGGCGAGGTCTACGTGCCCGTGCCGCAGCGAACCCCGGAGCATGTGCAGGCGAGCTTTCACATGCTGTCATCCTTAGTTGCAAACAGGCGCACCGCACGGCCAGGCAACACCCTCACGTTGCATGCACGATGGCACTCCGCAGAACCTCATCAAGATCGCGAAGTCAAAGGCCGAGCACCACAAGCAGACCGTTCGCGCGGTGCGGAAGAAGGGCATGGGGATGTGCAAACCAATCGCTTCGAAAGATGTGCGAAAGGTGCGCGGGACTCAGACGGCGCTTTGTGGGTGCTCGGGTGGCATGGCTGCGAGCACAACCAGCGTCGCTCTGGGCGGGGGCGAGGCGGCAGGGGCAGCTGACGCTCGCCTGACCGCGTGCCCATGTGCAGGTCGAGGAGACACGCGTACAAGAGCTGTGCGACGAGTTCACCCGAAAGATTGACGGCATGCTGACAGGTCCGTGGTTCTGTGGGCGGTGTGCATCGGCAACGACGTGAAGTGCAGACGCCGTCGCGAGTGCTGACGGTCGATGGCTGTTCCCATCTCGCCCGCAGGCAAAGTCAAGGACATCGAGGCGGTGTGACGTCTTCACAGCGGGCTTCAGTCATCCTCGACCAGCGCGTCCGTCCCCACCACCTCGGTCAGGAGAGCGAGCTCGTCGTTCGACAGTGCTCCCTGTAGATCCCTCATGAAGTCCGGCACACGTTGCGCCGCCCGGCCGCTGATCGGCCGCTCGGGCTCCATTGTCCTATCCTTGTATATGCGCATCACGCGGACCTGCACTCCCGCAGAAAAAGCCCGCGGATGTCGCACAGACCCGTTGTGAACACTGGCGAGAACGAGCGTGGCGGTCGGGGGTCGCACCAGTGCGCTCTGATCTTCCCCTGGCAACACCTGCTGCACTTCCGCGGAGGAGGGCTCCGCTTGTGCGGGGGCCACCTTCCGAGGAGCGCTGAGACGGTCGGCCATCATGTCCACCTCTTCTGGGGTCAGCCTCCTCGGCGGCCGCGGCGGGACGGCCAGGGGCGGCTGTATGACTGCTGGTGGGGCGCGCGGCTGGCGGAAGAGTGTCGTCTTGCGCTTCGTCTCGTGCGCGCGAGGCGAGCGCCTCTCCTGCGAACCACGATGGAAGGTTCGTCTGCTGGGCGCGCCCGTCTAGCCGTGCGTGCGTCTGGCCAGAGGGCGCGCGTCTCGCGCCCGCGCACCTGGTCATCTCCCTGTTCTGCTTCAAACACATTCGACCTGTCCGTCCTCCCCGTCAGCGGCCGCGGCGGGGATGATGGGCGCTGCATCGCACGCGCGAGCGCACGGCGGACGGAGTCGGTTGAGGCATGGAGGGAGAGAGGGCCGCATGTTTCGAGCGTGCTGCTCGACGGCGCGCGCGTGAGGAGGGCGCGACGCACCTGGAGGGTCTCGCGTGCTTCCTTGCGCGCTTGTCGCAAGCGGTCGCGTCTGTGCTTCTCCTCCTGCTCGATCCACAGCGCTCGGAACGCCGCGAGACTGCTGTGGCAGGACTTGCACACCTCGGCGGTGCGGTGCTGGAAGTTGATCGAGTCCTTGACTCGGTTGTACTCGTTCCGCGACAGGGAGCGGTACGTCCGCGCGATGCCGGGCGGGATCTGCTGCATGAGCCAGTCGCGCCGCCGGTCGTCCGGCTCGAGTCCGACCTTGGACTGGTACTCGTGGATGATGGTGAAGAAGTCGATGCCCTTGCGGTCGTCGTAGCCCGACACGCGCCCGCAGTGGCAGCACAAAAAGGACCCGTGCGCCGACTTGGACGCGATCTGGCTCTTGACCTGCGTCGCGAGCGGCGCCGTCCTGATGGACATCGGGCGGTCCTCGGCCGACACCGCGCCGGGGCCCGACATCTGGAGCGACGTGCAGAACAGGAACCACAGCCGCTCCTGGTCGTCGAGCTTGAAGTACAGCGTCATCTCCGTCACCGCCCACACCCCTGCACGCACCGGCCCACAACGGCGGCGGGTGGGGCCGCTGCGCAACGGCCTGCCCCACGCCGCGCCACACACTGCAAGCGTGCAGGGTCGTCTGTGGAGGGGCGGGCCACGCACCTGTGAAGATCTCGTGGATGTGATCGGCGATGGCCTGGCAGTGCTCCTTGACCAGCTGGTGGAGCTCGGGGCGCGCCTCCGGGGGCTGCGTCTGCGAGAGGAAGATCGCCCCCTCGAACGTCGACATGCGCGTCTCGAGCGACTCGGACTCGTCCGTCATCTGCACGCACGGTGCCGCAGCACCTCGGTCGTCAGCTCCTCCGTCGTCCTTCTCGCACATAGCAGGCGAGGGTGCGTTCGTGGCGGGGCAGGTGGTGTGGTGTGGTGGGGCGTACCCGGTACGTGTTCTCGCGGATCTCGACGTCCGTGCCGGCGGGGTTCCACATGGCGCGGATCATGGTATTTCCGTACCCGATGGAGCCCACGAACCGCTGCAGCACCCCCGTCCACGGCCGAAAGTCGGTCTCCAGGAAGGTGCGCAGCGACGCGCTCGTGAGGTACCGCACCGCCGTCACCGGGCTCGACCGCCCCTGAACGGGCACGCCTTGCACCTGCAGAGACCGGGGACGGGCTGCTGGGATGCGCACCACGTCGCGTGTCGGCGCAGAGCACGCGCAGGTTGCGCGGTCCTGGCGCGGCGCACCTGGGGGTGCGGCGTGGGCTTCAAGTAGATCTCGGGCTCGTGGCCCTCGACGTCGACGTCGGGCCAGAGGAGCATGGCGGACGCCGGCAGGTTGCGGTTCCGGGCGCTCCACTTGTTCATGATGTTGTCGCTGAGGAGGTTCTTCGACGACTTCATCAGGATCTCCTCCTGCGACACGACGCGAGGCGCGCGCACGTGAGGGACGGGCGGCCGCCGTGGGGGGCGCGGGCGGCGCGGGCGGCGCGGGCGGCGCACCTGCTGCGTGGACGAGAAGTACCACGCCACCAGCTCGCCCCCCTCGATGATCACCGTGTCGGGCAGGTTGATCTTGTAGCACGTCCGCCCCGTGGCCGTCCTGCTCCAGAGCATGTTGTATATCTCCTGGACCAGCCCTGCGACGCACGAGCGACGGACAGCGGCCGTGGAGTCGGCGCACATGATGCCTCCGTGACGCGTGCGCGACGCTGCGCGGGGGGGCGCGATGCGCACCGTGCGACAGCAGGTTCCCTTTGTCCTCCCGCGGCTTCTTGCGGTCGTGGTGCTGCTGCCGCTTCTGTGCCAGGAGGTCCTCGGCCCGTCTGATCATCTCGTCTGGAGGCGTATCAATCGAGATGCCGAAACTGTGCCGCTGCGGCTCGCGTCCACCGGACGCCAGGCCGTCGACCGAGGTCATTGCGAATATGCAGAGCTAATCGAGCAATCCGCGCGTCATGAAACGCCTGCGCCAGCTGTCGCGCCCCGTCCGCCCAATGTGGACGGAGCAGGAAGGCCGGCAACGAGACGCACTGCGCCACCGCCAGCGCCGACTCCACACTACACAGACACGTCTACGACGGTTCGTCGCCCCCTTCCGTTTGAGATCCTCTGAACAGCTCGCAGCTTCCAGGACCGCGGCAAACAGGCCCTTGTGAGAGCGCTGCACGCAGGTTCGCGGCCGTCAGCGGGCGCGCACGTGTCCCCGACGCGCCGTTCGCGTCCTTGGTCGAGCGTCTCTGCCGACCTCGCGGGCTCGACGGGCAGCAGCGGCCGCCAGCCTGTCACGTCGCAGGCAGAGTTCAACCTCCGCTGCACCTGTGCCAAGGAACGCGGGCGCACTGGCCACGTCGCACGAGCTGGCGCTGCTGAGAGAGTGGGGCGCGGGGCCTCGCCGCGACCCAATCGCGCCCGCTGGCGCATGGGGGGCGGCCTGGAGTCCGACTGAGCCCGCACGGGCCCGGGACTGTCCCAAGCTCGACCAGGTGGCCCCGGGCCCTTGGGCGGTACACATGCGCGTGGCGCCATCGCGGGTGCGCGCACAACGCAGTGCCTGGTCCGGCGAGCCCGGCGTTACCGGCCCCAGCCCACCCGTGACCGCCCCTCGGACCGGACCGCGTGGAGGGGCAGCTGGCACGATGGAGGCCGCCTCCCCGCGCGAGGACGGCGAGGCCCAGGCGCCGGCTCCAGACTTCGGCGCTTCCGGCGGTTTCCTTGTAAGTGGCGGCGCCCCCCTGCACCGGAGCCCTCTCCTCATGCGCTCGACCCGGCGAGGACCTGGGCATGCCTGCACGGCCCGGTGTCTCTCCGCAGGCGTACGTGCGTAGGCAGGGCTGCACATCGGCGGAAGTGCCGCTGATGACGTTGAGGCAGTCGCGTGCACTCGCGTGCCTAAATGAGCAGCCTTCCGGTCGTGTTTCACGTTCAGTGCTACGCTGTGTGCGGTGCCTCCGTCCTCGCTGCATACGGATCGCGGAGGACGAGTGAGCGGCCTGCAACATGCTTGAACGTCTGTTAAGCTCTGGGCCGTGCTCAGACAGCGCTAGGCACGGCGCACAGAGAGCCCGCGGGACGAGCAAGCTGTGTATGCCACTCGCACAACCCAGGTGTGCGACTCCATCGTGCGCCGCAGGTGGAGATACGGCGCGACGAGCCGTACAACCCATCGCAGTGGTCGACGGGTCGACCGGACTCCCTGCCCACGCACGGACACACGCATGAGGCGTATATTTTCGACCCGAGGTTGCCCAAGCAGGACAGGCGGCCTGTTCCGCTCGAGACGCAGACCGACCCCATCAGATCGCGGACGGTCGGCATACAGATCGGCAAGGTGCGCGGCACCAGCCGGGGGCGTTTCTTCTCGCCCGGTTGGCACGTCGTCGTGAATTTGATGGCACTCGGGGTCTCTGCAGGTGCGCGACGGCGCTTGTCAAGCCACGGCCGAGGACGTGGCGCCGCACCAGCTGGCGGACTACGATCCCGGGAGCATGGAGGCCTTCTTGGACCGCGCTGTCCCGTCGACTGAGCGCTGTCTGCAAGAGAACCTCACGTCGACGGCGTTCCAGTGGGCGGCGGGGCTCCTGGGGCGCGACTACGCGGCGACACGGTGCACGGCCACGCTGAACGGGCTCAAGGTGCGTCGCGTCTCTGTCCCCGCGCAGCAGTCCCCCCCGACTGGTGCGTTGGGGCCGACAGCATGCCTCCCACCCACGCGCAGGACGACAACCCCGACGGCCTCGTGGTCACGAGCATATCGTGGAACTGCACGGGCAACACGATCGCGGCCGGGTACGGGCGTACGGACATCACGGGGTGGTGTCCGTACGGCGGGTGTGTGTGCAAGTGGAACCTGCAGCGGGAGCAGGTCGAGGAGAACAAGCCGGACGTGCGCGTGGACGTGGACGCGTGCCTGACGTTCGTGGAGTTCCACCCGGAGATGAAGCAGGTGCTCGCCGGGGGCACGTTCACGGGCGAGCTCTACGTGTGGGACCTCAGCCAGGACGACCCCTCCCGGCAGCTGGTGGCCAAGTCGCAGCTGTCCGCGCTCTCGCACACCGAGCCCATCACGCACCTCGCCTGGCGCCACAACCCGGACGTCGGGTCCCGGCACGCCTACCAGCTGGTCTCCGCGGGGAGCGAGGGCCGCATCAACGTCTGGGAGTGGAACAAGCTCGCGGTCCCGCTGGCGTCCGTCGACGTGCACCACGGCGGTGAGCAGCGCCCGCGGCCCACGTGCAGTGCGCGCCGCCGCCCGCAGGCGCCCCCCGACCCTCGCGCCACCTGACCCCGTGACGCCCGCGCAGGCCACACCCCTGGCATCCTCTCCATGTCCTTCGAGCGCGGAAACGACACCGGGTTCGAGACCGAGTTCGTGGTCGGCACGGACGGCGGCGGGGTGATGCGCTGCAACCTGGACACGGGCGGCGTGCAGGGCGAGGCCATGCTGCGCAACCTGGAGCCTGGGCAGACCCCCAAGCTCAAGAGCGTGGTCAAGTCCAACAAGTACCAGAAGCACGCCGGGCCGACGCACGCGGTGCACCTCAACCCGCACAACCGCAACGTCTTCCTCTCGGCGGGGCTGGACGGCGAAATCAAGGTGTTTTCCACGGTGCAGCTGTCGCCGCTCCTCACGGTGCACCCCTCGCAGCACTACGTCGTGAGCGCGCAGTGGTCCCCCTTCCGCAAGCTTCTCCTTGCGGCCGGCTGTCAGGACGGGACGCTGCACTTCTATGACCTGTCGTCGTCACCGTCGACACCGCTGGCGTCCGTCCAGGCCGCTCTCGGGTCGCGAGACGACGCTAACTCAAGCCGGCTCCACGTTCTCGACGTGCAGTTCAACCCTTCGCTCAGGTAAGTGTCAGATGATGACGTGCTCGATTGTTTCTGCGGCAGGTTGTGGATTGACCCCCGATTGCAGCCTCCCACTCGCAATCGCTGTTCCGTTCACGCAGGGAGTATCTTGCGACAGCGCAAGGCCCGGAGGTGAAGATTTGGGCGCTGGGCGCGACGCTTTCCGAAGCAGGCGGGCAGCGGGAGACCTCCATGCTGAGCCAGCTGGGTGTCGGCGACGCCAACATTCTGAAAAAGTCCAGCATCGTGATCTCCTAGGACGAGTGTGACGCAGCACGCGTGCAGTGCGACAACGCAGTCACAGCCCTCCCGCGCGCGTCTACTCCACTTCGGTCTGCTTGACGCTGAGCACCGACAGGAACGCCTCCTGCGGCACCGACACCTTGCCGAACTCCTTCATGCGCTTCTTGCCCTCTGCCTGCTTCTTCAGCAGCTTCTTCTTCCGCGAAATGTCACCGCCGTAGCACTTGGCCAGCACGTTCTTCCTGCGGGGTTCCGGCACCGGCGCCACGCGGGTGCGGCTCACCCACATCTGCGAGACAGGCGCGCATCTCCGGGTGCGTGCGGCGCGGCGTACCTGAGCGCCTGGATCGACGTCGACGCGATGACGCGCGTGCCGACGGCGGCCTGGATGGGGATCTTGAACATCTGCCTGGGGATGAACTCCTTGAGCTTCTCCACCATGCCCTTGCCGGTGTAGTACGCGGCGTCGCGGTGGCAGATGACGGCGAGGGGGTCGCACGGCTCCTGGTTGATCTTGATCTCGAGCTTCACCAGGTCGTTCTTCCGGTACTCGGTCGGCGTGTACTCCATCGACGCATAGCCCTTGGTGCGCGACTTGAGCTCGTCGAAGAAGTCCGTCACCACCTCCGCGAGCGGGATGTCGTACACCAGCGTCGTCCGCTCCTCCGTCAGGTACTGCATGTTCTTGAACTCCCCGCGGCGGCCCTGCGCGAGCTCCATCACCCCTCCCACGTAGTCCTTGGGCGTGATGATCTCCATGCGGCAGTACGGCTCCTCAATGTACTCGCGCTTGCCGGCCTCGGGTAGGTCCGAGGGGTTGGACACGACGTGGTCCTCCCCATCCGTCGTGCGGCACTTGTACAGCACCGTGGGCGCGGTGATGATCAGGTCGATGTCGTACTCCCGCTCCAGACGCTCCTGGACGATCTCCATGTGCAGGAGGCCGAGGAAGCCACACCTGCACGACGCATGCGCCACTCGCGGGGTGTCGCGCGGCCGGGTGACGCAGCGAGGGGCGCCCACGCCAACACCACCAAACAACAGACAGGGTGGCCCGCGCGCACCTGAAACCGTACCCCATCGCGCTCGAGACTTCCGGCTCGAACTGCAGGGCCGCGTCGTTGAGCTGGAGCTTTCCGAGCGCGTCGCGGAGGTCGGGGAAGTCGTCGGCGCTCGTGGGGAAGAGCCCGCAGAACACCATGGGCACAGCCTCCTTGTAGCCCGGGTAGGCCTTCTGTGCCGGGTTGCTCTTGACCGTGATCGTGTCGCCCACGCGCGCGTCCGCCACCTGCTTGATCGACGCGGCCAGATAGCCCACCTCGCCCGCGTACAGCCGGTCCACCTTGGTCTGGGCAGGGGACAGCACACCCAACTCTGCGCAAGCCGGACGAGGGCGCGCGCAGCGGTCGGCGACGCACGGTGGGCCCAGAGCACAGCCCAGGCGGTCGCCGTGTGTTGCGCGCAGGTCGCGCGCGGCCACTCACCGGTGATGGCGTACTCGCACTTGGTGTTCATGAAGCGCGCCACGTCCTTCGAGGTGATCTCGCCGTCCATCACGCGGAAGTACGCGATCACGCCGCGGTAGTCGTCGTAGAAGGAGTCGAAGATCAGCGCGCGCGTGGGCTGGTCCGTCGTGTCCGGGGGCGGAGGCACACGCTCCACGACCGCCTCAAGGACGTCCTCGATGCCGATGCCTGCGTGGCAGGAACACAGGGCGACCGGGTTGGCCGTCGTGACCGACGCGAACGGCGAGCGATCTGGTCGGCTGTTCGCGTCGGCGCGCAGGGGCCTCACCTGCTTTGGCCGAGCACAGGATGGCGTTGGAGCAGTCGATGCCGACGACCTCCTCGACCTCCTTCTTCACGCGCTCGGGGTCCGCCGCGGGCAGGTCGATCTTGTTGATCACGGGGATGATCTCGAGGTCGTTCTCGATCGCTAGATAGACGTTAGCAAGAGTCTGTGCCTCCACGCCCTGCGGTCAGGACGGCTGGGCGGCCGGCGCGTCAGCAGGAATTCGCGCTCATGGCAAGGTGCGGCCGGCAGTGAGCGCGTGTCGAGACCCGTCACTTCGTCGAACCGACCTGGGCAGCATCGATGATCAGAAGGGCTCCCTCGCACGCCGCGAGCGACCGCGACACCTCGTACCCGAAGTCCACGTGACCGGGCGTGTCGATGAGATTCAGGCAGTACGTTTCTCCGTCCTTGGCAGTGTACTGCAAGGCCACGCCACGAAGCAGCACAGTGAGAGTCCGGGGCGCGCATGGCCGTGGCGGTCACCGCAGCCCGGCGGGGAGGTCGTCTCGGGCACTGTGCGAGTGGGAGCGCCCGCGGACCTTCATGCGCGACGACTGGAGCTTGATCGTGATGCCGCGCTCCCGTTCGAGGGGGTTGTTGTCTAGGAACTGGTCCGTCGCCTCGCGGTCCAGCACTGTGCCGGTCTTCTGGAGGAGCCGGTCAGCCAGCGTGGACTTGCCGTGGTCGATGTGGGCGATGATGGAAAAGTTTCTGCGGTGCGTCGGCAACGGCATCCGTGTCGTGCCCTGAACGGTGACGCACCCCGAATGAGCGCCGGCCAACGTCGCATGCGAGGGCGAGCGACTCACCGGATGCGGTCCACGGGCACCTTCGCTGTCCGTTCCTCCATGCTGTGCGTCTGGATTTCTCCGACCTGCTGTCCCTTCTTGACAGTCGATCCCTTCTTGACAGTCTGGCTTGCCGCCTTGCAAACGACCATCGGCACGCCCCGAGGAGCGCCCTGGCCGGACCTGGACACACGCAGCTGGGCCTGCATGGCGGACAGCGGCCGTCGCGCAATCCAGGCACTCTGCGGGAACCGGGACAGGATGGGAGCAGCGGTGACCAGGTGCAAGCGGGCCCGCTGCGCCTCGCGATTCGGCGTGGTGCGCTGTTCGGGGGCGTGTCAGGCTTCGTCATGTCGCTTCCACTCAAAACAAATCGGCTCGAGAGGACGCCGAGGGTCAGCAGGCCGCTGACGCTGCACCCCGAAAGGCTTGCCAGGACCATGACTTGGGCGCGCTCGATACGACGGCAAACAGCTGTCGTGCGGCGCCGAGCGCAACATAAACGATGCGGACAGTCGAGAGCGAGAGCCGAGACCGTTGCAGGAGCGCCGGAAGAGCCTGTCTCCGCAGGCGCCCTGAACTGGCGTGATGCAGCGGCGCTCCGCAGGCGAATCGGCGGCGTGTCATGCAAAGGAGACGCACGACGCGCAAGGGCTCCATCTGAAACGAGGTCACCGCCGAGCACGGGCCTCACTCCCGCGTGCCCTGTGCGGGGGGTGAGCCGAATCGTCCCGCACCTGGTTCAGCGCACCACACGGCTGCGCACGGTTGCCTGCCATCGCCGGCGTGAGCCCGGCTGTGCAGTGCATAGCTTTCATCGAGACCCTCCCTGCAGACGACGCCAAGTCCGGCGAGCAGACCGGGAAGGTGCTCGGGACGCCTGCTGCAAGCAGTGGCTGCAAGCGATGTATCCCAGGTTCCCGCACACACCCCGCAGGCGATGTCACAGTGCACGATGGAGCACTGCCCGCGTTCTTTGCCTCAGTGGCGAGCTGAACGGCGTCAATTAGGCGGGCCCCACCGCGGGAGCGCGCCAGCTCAGCCGGAGGGGACGTGTGCGCTGTCAAGCCCCAGCACGGCCGGGCCGGGCCCCCCTGCTGCCTCCCTGCGCGACAAATCGCCGTGCTGCGCGACGCACGATCACTGCTTGCAATCGGGGCTTCAGGGGCACACGAAAGAGACCGCCTCGGAAACGTTGAGCATCGGAACGGCGCAAGTCTGCACGTTGGGTGCAACGGCCGTGGCCTGGTCACTGCACTGCAGCGCTAGAGCGCGAGGGACCGTAGGTGGTGGGGACAGGGAAGTCAAGGTGCGTGCGATCGAATTCTCGGCGGAAATCCACAGGGTGCACGGCCCACGCTCGAGGCAGCAGACCTGTCCGTTGGCATGACGTCGTGCCAGCCGCTGTCACGCCGCAACGTTCCGCCTATCTACCAGTGCAACGCGGCGCTCCAATTCTTTATCGGCAATGCGACGCCCCAGGCGCACGGCAGAGTTTGACGTCCCGCGAGCTGTGAACAACCTCTCGCAGGCACCAACGCCTTGAAGGACGAAAGGCTTGCGGAGTGGGGCAAGATGGCGGAGCAGGAGATATCATTGATCACTAACAAAGACAACCAAGAGTTCCGTCTGAAGCGCAGCGCGGCGGGTACGTTGATTCTGCAGTGCCGCTCCTCCTCTCCAGTTGGCGCTCCTCGGCGACCTTTCGACTGGACTGTCACGCGGCGCTTGCGTCAGTCACTGTATGCGCTAGTCGACGTATTGGCGGCACGGAGAAGCTGTCGGAGCTGGCGGACACTTGCACTCGACATGCATCGGCGCTTTGTGGCCGAACACACAGATGCATGTTGTCCAGCGACAGCCGCCCGGCTTTGGCCGATCGACGCCTGCGCCAGCAGCCGCGCCAGTTTCAGCCGGGGACTGACAGTGACCATCAGGGTCGGTCACGTGCCGCAACCCTGGCTGGCCCGCCGGTAACGAACTGTGGTTTGCAGGCAATTGTACCCACAATCCGCCTGCCACAGAATCGCACGGTACCTTCCAATGGCACCAGCCCGGCCTTTGGAGCGCAGAACAATCCAAGATGGTGGCGAACATGATCGAGGACACGCCAGCTGGGGAGCACATCCCCATTCAAAACGTCACCGGGAGCATCATGGCAAAGGTGCGGGCTTTCGTCGCCCAGCACGCATGGTGTATCCGCCTACGCACACATAGGCGCCGCATGCATGTCGTGTGGCGAATGGGCTGCGCATGAGCTCAAAGAATGAGCTTGATCGCTGCTATACACAGCGTGGCGAAAGGTGTTGAACACATCATCGCACAACAAACCGGCAGGGCACGATCTGCATGGTCGGCGCAGGTGATTGAGTGGATGAACTACCATGCTGGCAAGCCCGAGGAGGACGAGGCAGAGGACTGGAACGAAGACTTCCTCAAGGTACGCTGTCGGGTGTGGCAATTCTGCTGCACTCAGGTCTCAATCGCAGTCCTATCCCGCGCCGGAGATGCGGGCTCGGCACCGCATGCGATCGCAGACAAGTCTGCGCAGATCAAAATCTCAGCGCCCTCATATATGAGAAGTCATCGAGTCTCAAGTGCCCCGGCGTGAATGCAGCAAGTGCCGAAGGACACAATATTCGAAATCATGCTTGCGGCGAACTACCTCGACATCGACGCGCTTGTGGACTTTTGCGCGAAGACGGTAGCAGGTGAGTTGTCATTTGATGCCAGGCCTTTTTTTCTTGTCAGGGCGGAAAGAGCAATGTGGTTTCGAGCTCAAAATGGTGCCACAACAAGGCCACCTGCAGGCATGATCAAAGGGAAAACAACAGAGGAGTTGCGGAAGCTCTTTGACATCAAGAGCGATTGGACCCAAGAGGAGGAGGAGAAGATCCACGGGAAGCGATCCTGAGACCGACTGCAGACGGTAGACCCTATGTACAGCCTGCAAGTCCGGGTTCCAGATCGTAGACGTTCTCCTGATGTGAGGCGCTAGACACCAGGCACTGAAACCACACTTTTTTCGTTGTCTGTCCTGCGTTCAAGGCAGATTCCGCCGATGTCGCATCCTGCCGCGTTCGCACCAGACAGGGGACCTCGGTCCTTGTCCCAGCCATGACGACCGCCCGCGGGGAAGTTGATTGCAGTGATCGCTTCTACCACCTGCAGCCCGCTTGGCCAGATTTGGGAGGCGCGTGATGAAGTCGAGACATCCTGGATTTCGGACGGGCTCCAACAGGCCCGCAGTTGCCTTATGCACCACACTCAAACGTGACGAAAAGACGTCGAGGAAGTCAACGCATTGCAGGTAGAGACCCCGGAGTGTTCGGACAATCAACAAGCGGCTCAACAGACTCAGCTGACCTACACATCCAACTCCAGGGTGCTTAAGACCGGAAGTTGCAGGCGTAACTTGTGCTGCCAGGCGGCGCTTGCCAACAGCGGTGCTGTGCCACGCGTCTCGTGGCTCGCCATGCGGAAAGCGCTGCGGCGAATCTCGAATCTCGACGCGGACCGGGCCAGCGGATTACGCTCGCCGACGCTGCCCACGTAGGGCGTGGCCGCCGATGAGGTTCGTGAAGCCGGCCGACTCACAGACAAGTACGAGTTGGAAGCTCGCTGAATCAGCCCGCCACTGGCTGATCGGTGGTGGCTACATTGAGTGCGAGGGAGCCAACCTCTTCTGAAAGGACTTCAGATTGTCGTGCTCGTGTGCAAGCCTGTTCTCCAGAGTGAGTTAGTCTCGGAATCAGTTTGTACGAAGAGGTGCGACCTGCCTGAACCATCGCGCGTAGCATGGAGCTCTGCGACGCCGAATATTCCAGCGACGTTGGCCTGCCCTCGTCAGCGTGGCGCCACCTCGCGACGCCGAGCGTCTCGCGGACGGCACCGGACAGTCAAAGCTCTTCGGGTGGCGCGACATTCTCAAATATCCGGATCTGGCCGTTCGAACCTGCAGCCACGATGAGCCCATGCTCCCAAAACGACATCGACGTGCCTGATATCGGCCGTTGCCTGAGGCTGTCTGGCGCGAAAATCGCGACGAGAGCTGTGTCTTGGAAAGCGCGGAAGCACTCATATGACGAATTCTTCTCACGTCGGACATGCTTTTTGGCGTCCGTGAGGGACAGGGCGCTTGGCACGCCCATTGTGTTCGCTGACACTCGCCACATGTACACCAGCCTGCAGACACCATAGATGCACTTTTCCTGTATCGCAATCGACAATGTGGTCGCACATGTCGGCGTTCAAGGTGCATGCGCGCTTCTCTAGTCCAAGCCCGAGTCTTACCCGTCGTCGGATGCACACAGCATGAGGTTGTTGCTTCTTGTGGTATCGATGTACGTCGATGCTCTGATCTGCGACGAGACGTTTCTGTGGCCCTTGTACTTGATGATTTGCTGGAACGATTTGTCGAAAAGGCGAATGCGAGAATCATTCGACGTGATCATGATCCTGCAGGAAGTTGGAAGACCTGAGGGTCGACCAGTTGGGCAAGACAAGAAGCGCCAGTCAATAAACAAGCTCTTCGTGCCCAGGTTGCCACTCGGCGTGCGCGAACGTCTAGGGATCGACGGCGACAAGGCCCCTGAGGCCCTCGTCCTCGTGCGGCTTGATGGGGGCGCCTTGAAGGGTGTGCGGGACACGATGACTGCTCCTGACAACATCAGCGGTGATGCCGCTTGATGCCGCCTCGGAGGCTGGCTGGCGTGTCCCGCACACCCTTCAAGGCGCCCCCATCAAGCCGCACGAGGACGAGGGCCTCGTCCTGTCTTGAATTGCACACTCCACACGTCAGCGACGCCTGCGATGTGGGAGTCGTGCACACTGCGGCCATGCAAGCGCCGCACCTGTGTGACTGGTCTCCGACATCAAGGACTTCGAGGCCTGTAACTTTTCGCGCGCTCCCGCGGGACGTCCGCTTTGGCACCGCATCGAGCTGTCCGCTGTAGAGCAAACGCGAAGATTCCGCGTTGTAGAAGCGCACCTGGCCACTGATCGACCCCACGACGACCTGCAGCCACCGCTCTTGACATCATATTGAGCACATCGACGCACCATCGAATGCATGGACGGAGCTGCTGTTGACGCCTCCGGGAGAAGCAGTGGGTTGTCAAGTATCTCAGCGCACACCGAAGCAGACCTAAGGTCGGCCGCAGCGCACACCGTAAGGTCTGCTGCGGCCGACCTTAGGTCTGCTTCGGTGCGCTGAGATACTTGACAACACTGCTTCTCCCGGAGGCGTCAACAGCAGCTGGTCCCGGGCGCTCGTGCTCGCGTGGAGCATATTGGCGCGCTGTCACGGGATGTCTGGCCTCCACGTCGCGGACCAACGCACCTGCTTTCCATCAGGTGAATAGCTTGCTGCTGTGACGGCGTCGTGCAGGTCTGCCCAGTCCAGAACTCGTTGCTCCGGTATGTTCCACATTCGGACTTTCCCATCGAAAGAACCACTGATGAATACCTTGTCGTCCTGCAGCCGCATGAGCGAAATCAAGTAATGATGCCTCGTTCCTGTCATCGCAGACGTTGCAGCGCATGGCGCGCAGCAGGCCTGATTAAGGGCACACTACGCTGCGAGTCTCACCCTCGGGAAGAAGTCCACACAAGTGACGAAGTCGTTGTGACGGAAAACCCTCAGGCACTCGTTCATACTGATGTGCCACAGGCGAACCGTCTTGTCCATGGATGCCGACAAAACAAATTGTGCTTTCGAGCCTGGGGACCACGCGAGATCCAGGACGTCTTGTCGATGCCCTGTCCATACTCTGCGTAGCGACGGCGCGCCTCCGATCTTAGCGAATTCGAAACGTGGAAGCGCACACTACCTGAGCCATCACTAGATGGGAGAATGGCTCAGAAACGCAAGGATGCACGCTCACCTGTGAGGCTTCGGTGCGAGAAGAGGCGGCGATGACGAGTCGACTTCGACTGTTCGGTTGGCTCCGAGCACGCTATCCCCAGACTTCTCGACGGCATCCCCCAAGACGCTGACTTGCCCTGTGGCTTGATGCAGACTTCGTTTCAGGGTGCTGTCAAGCTTCGACAGCGCACCGGGGCCGCGATCCAAAGTTGACCATATCCTGACGACTCCATCTTGGCCAGCTGTTGCCAGGTACTTTCCGTCAGGCGAGAATTTCGCGGACCAGACGCTCCCGTCGTGCGCCAACACAGCCTGCGAAGATTGTCCAGCAGGCCGTCATGCAATCAGCTCTGCAGTGCACAGTCGCAAAAGTCATGCTGGTTGAGAACGGGTTTGTCTTCATCCCCACCTGAATACAGCGGAGGTCTGACAGTTCGCGGAAGCCTTTCTTGTGCGCGGCGACTCTCACGGACCCTAGCGCCATCTCACGCGTCTTGGGTGCGTTCGCGCCGTGGTTGTGCATTCCGGGACCTTCCAAGGCGTGCGCGGATCGCTTGCCTGTGATCTGCAGCACGATTCGCACACCTCAGGCGCGTGAAGATCAGTACAACGGTGCTAAAACCCCGCACTGCTCAAGCATGTTTTGAATCGTTGGCGAAGGGCGCCAGAGCAGGGTGGCAACCTACTGCCGATCCCGAGAACATTGGAGAATTCTCTCTCTTGACGTCTCAGCTTCGGCAGAGATGCCGTCATGAGATGCGTCAACCCCCTGGTTGATCAGGCATGCAAGTGCGATGATCTCGCGCGCAGCGGCTGAAGGTCTTGCTCACCATCTGAAGGAAGGCTTTCCACCCAGTCCTTTTGCCCTCAACCGAGTTGCGTACGGCGTGATCACCAGCGGCAGCGCCCGTCTTGCGGCCCTGGCTGATTGTCCGATGGAAGTCGTCCGCAGCCATGACGGTCCCCGTCCGCAGGTCGCGCACTTGACCTTGCCCTTGACTGGAGTCTTTCCCTTGAGCTTGCGAGCTGACTTTTCTCAAAGGCGACTTCGACGCTGCGAAACGATGAGGCTCGGGCTGCGGTGACGGAGATCTAGCATCGCCTTCCGACATGAACTCGAACTCGTGCCCGGTTGTCAGATCCCTGATCCTAACGACGTTTGCCTCTGCACTTCCGTTCCGCTCTCTCGCATCCACTGAAGGCCGTGCCTTCGGATGCGTGTGAGGTCCTGCAGGAGCAACACATAGAGCTGCTGTGGGGAGCGCACTGGTGCCAGCCAGACGTCCCCTTGCACGGTGGCTGCAGCCACCGTGCGCGCACGCGATGCAATCAAGAAGTTCCCGCAACCGCCCTCCCGAGCTTTGCCAGCATTTCAGGCGCATCATGCGTTGCAGCCGTCGACGACGGACCATTCCACCCTTGCTCACCTTGCGAGGACGGCCATTCCTGCGATGTGTCGCCAAGCTTGCTAGCCGTGGCTGCGTTCGATCCCGAGCTCACGCCGGAGGGGGCTGCGGTGAAAGATCGAACAGAACCAAACGAGCCCTCGCTCCGCTCCGACGGTGGACGGGCCGGCATCGCCCGCATGCCCCCCGTTGCCGCGGGTTTGGATCCCTTGTCTGTGGCAAACGCATCGTCGGAAGGCCCTGGGGAGCTGCGGATCGACGACAGGCCTTCTTGAGCGCTCATGAACGAGCTGCCTGAAGTCGTGCTCGACATTGCGAGACTGTTCGGACCACCCAGGTCCGCAAAACTGCGCGCAAGAGAGAGAGAGCACAGGAGCAGGGTGTACCTCAACTACTGCCTTCCTACGCGAGTTTGTGGGACGTTGGGGGCAGGAGACGATGACGCTCTCGAAGAAAACCGACGAAGCTGCACAATGTCGTTCGCGAGGGATGGGGATCCCATCGCAAGCGCGAGGTACGCACCCGCACTGCCTCGCGCTGGTACTGCCCTCGTGCTGTCAAGCAGCTCGGCCGGACCTTGGGATCTCCTTTGACCCTATCACCTATCTGCATCTCGACATTCAGGGTGAGACGTGCTCTTGAGCTCCCAATGCCGCGAAGCCCACGAATCTGGCGTTGCAAACCCAGGAGCACGTTCGCAGGCGTTGTGGTCGTCAACGAGCGCTCGCAGGAGGACTGGAGCCTCACACGAGCCGCATTCATGAGGACACGCGCAGATCGTCACATCGTACAAGCACGAGACGCGTCGGAAAAGCAGCGCAGCGGCGAGAACTGCACGATTGAGACTTGCGACCCAGCAAGCAGCGGGGGGCACGTTCAGCACAAACTTGATATTCCACTGCAGCTGCATACTTTGACATGGAGCGAACCTGGATCGATCTACCGCGTCTCGCGACATCACGTGCGTTCGCTGCGCATAGGTGTTGTCCTGCTGCAGCTACCCGCCCGCTGCTGTGCCGTGTGCTCCCTTTCTCGGTTCGATCAGTAATGAGGAGCACCGGAGTGGCGCAGACTGCGCACGGAGCGCGACAAATCGGCCCCCAGAGGCCGAACAAGACGCAGCCGTGGCCCATGGGACCGTCCCCGCGCTGGACCGACGTTCCGCGAGGCCCGAACAAGGTGTTCCTGCCTGTTCACAAGGGGGGCGTAGGCATGCTCCCGGGATACCAGGGCAGTGATCGTCGGGAGTTGGCGAAAGCAGATCCCACGCTGGGATGATCCGGAGCGGTTCCTGGGGGTGCTGCGAGGGCCCGTCACTACCGCTGCGGCGAGGTTGCGGTCGTCGCGGACGAGACATGTGCAGCGACTGGCATGAACCAGGGGGCGACGCCGCGGATCGACGGCGTCGGCAGCCCCCGGAGTGCAGTATCGCAGGGATGCGGAGTGCGTGACGAGGTAGGGTGCACGGTGCAGCGACAACATCCGGGAGGCGAGCGGCCCGACCGGCGCACCGCACGGCAGCCGGCGCTCGACCCCGGCCCCGCCTGGGCGCCCGGGCCAGCGTGAGCAGGGTGGCGACTGTCCAAGAAGTTGCAAGGGTCCTTAACGTGGCAGCACAGCGGCGCCGAGGAGCGGGTCACAAGCGCGTGCGTCACGGCGCCCGCCACACGTCCTCTGGCGGCTGCGCGCGCTCAGGACATCACTTCTTGCCCTTGGAGACCTCGGTCGTGAACGCCGAGTAGCACTTGCCGCAGTACACGCGGTCGCGGTGCGTCGCCATGAAGATGCCGGGGCCGCACTCGGGGCACTCCTTGCGCAGCTTCTGCACCTTGCCGGAGTCGTCCACCTTGTAGAACTTCAGCACCCTGCAGGGGGAACGAGAGTGGTGGGCGGGTGTGCCAGCCTTCGCCGCAGCCCGTTGACAGACAAGCCCTGGCACGTGCAGCGGCACCCCGCGTCGCAGGGGCGCCGGTCTCGGGGTGCGCGCACCTGAGCTTGACCTTCTTGTGCTTGTGCTTGATCTTCTTCGGCTTGGTGTAGACCTTCTTCTTCCTCTTCTTGCCACCACCGCGCAGACGCAGCACCAGGTGGAGCGTGGACTCCTTCTGGATGTTGTAGTCCGCCAGAGTGCGACCATCCTCGAGCTGCTTGCCGGCGAAGATCAGGCGCTGCTGGTCCGGAGGGATTCCTGCATGGAGGAGTGGGCCGGCAGCTCAGCGGACACGCGCCTGGCCTCGCCGGTGCACCGCTCTCGCGGACGGGCGAGATAACGTTTCGTCGTCGAAGGGCCAGCAGCGACTGGGCGCGAAAGTCGCACGCGCCGTGCAGGAGGAGGTCGAGGGCGGCGCAGGCGCTGGCCGCTCGTGTCGGGCCACGCGGGGCGCTTACCCTCCTTGTCCTGGATCTTCGTCTTCACAGACTCGATGGTGTCCGAAGACTCCACCTCGAGGGTGATGGTCTTGCCCGTGACTGCAAAGCGAAGGTGGGCGGCGGCAAAAACGGTCTCGTGAGGGCAGCTGTAGGTGATTTCGACGCATCCTCAGCATCTCTGTAATAGCATCAGCGTGCTGGTACGGTCAAACAGCGGCCGGAACTCACGTGTCTTCACGAAAATCTGCATCTTGGCTCCTCTGCTTCTGTACTCGGCACAAGATGCCTTCCTTGCACAGGAGAGAGGACGTGCAACTAGAAGCTGCACGAAGAGGTCGAGCGCTGGCGGCGGCGACAGGTCATCTGCCCCAGCGCGCACAGGCGCAGGCCCCCGGGGTCACCACCCGCACCGTGCTCTGGGTCGGGCCCGCCGGACTGGGCAGACGCGTGCAGGGGCGCGGGAAGTGCCCGCGCGGCCGCCACGCAGTCGCAGTGAGGCAGGCAGCTGGCGCCGGGCTGTCCAGGCGGCGTTGAAGTGAGCACGCATTTCGCCCCCCAGCGGCGGCAGCGAGGACCAGCGCAGGAGCTTCGATGACGAGGACGCGGGCTGGAGCACTCTGTACTGGAAGTGACCGTGCGGTGGCGCGCCTCTCTTTTTGACGGGGCCGCATCATCGAGCTGACCTTGTCTTCGCGTTCTTCGAGGTAGTGCCACGGGATGGAGAAGCGGGCGGCGGGAAAGCCGCCCCTGCAGCCGGGCGGCATGATGCGCGTGCTCGGCGCAATCGTGGGCAAGGTGAGAGGCAGACGTGCGCACAGTCGGATCGTCTAGCCCGCGTTGTCGGCTGTCCGCGCGCCATCCCTGGCGACCCCGCACGAACTTGTGTCGTGCGGCTCCCCGTCGCGCGCACCTGCGACGCGTACCGCGCAAAACGTCGATCTGGAACGCTTCAGTCTTGTCACACCCATCAACACACCGCATGATCTGCGCTGGGCATGGCCAGCTGCGCCATCTGTGGCGGGCTTCTTGCCTTGCGGCAGACGGCCTGTGCCCTCCTCAGACGAAAGCGTTGCGGCTTGTCGGACCCGGCACCGGCCTGCTCGTGTCATGGGTATCGCACTGCCTGGCTGTCCGATTCGCTTGGGAGCTGACGGCGAAGGCCGCGCTGCAGTCCACACTTTTTTGCTAGGCAGCTCGCATGCACCCTCGCAGCGCATCTGGTGTTGGGTTTGCGAGGTTGCCGTCCAGGTCCCGATCTCCAGCACACGGGGCATCGGTCTAGCGGCCCTGCAAGCGGGAACCGTTCAGAGGCTGACGCCGAAACTGGTCTTCGGGCTCTCGCTCCACGCGCCAACGCGGGAGTTGCGCCCGTGGCGACTGTGCCTGCACCCACTGCATCATTAGGATCTTCGGCTTCGTTTCGTTGCTCTTCGAGTCCCACAGGCAGCCGCACCCGTGCCCTTGCAGGGTGGGCAGAAGGAGCGCAAGAAGGGGCCGGTGCAAGTGCGTCTTGGTGAGAAGAATGACTTCTATTATGACGAGAACAGGAAGATGTGGGTGGAACGAGGAAAGGAGGCGGAAGCCGACTCGCTGGCGAACACTCTGATGTCGGGGCCACCGTCGTTTGCCGACTTGGCACAAGCGGCAGGCGAGGGAGGCGACCTCGGAGTGCCCGTGCCCAAGCCGTACTGGGGAAGCAGCGCTGGTGGCAGCGAGGTGGAGGAGGAGGGGTTCGCGCCCGGCATGGCGAGTGCTCCGAATCCGAGCACCCCGCTCAGGTGCGCGGTGCAGCGCCTGCACACTGGTGCCCGCTCTCTGGCATCGCACGGCTCATCCCACGCCCTCTCCCTCTCTCCGCAGGGCCGGGCACGGGCACGCCCGCAGTGGCAGCCACGACCACCTCCCTGCGCCGGGCTTCCGACGAAACGACTCGTCTACGTCGCTCTCTGGACACTCACGGTCGAGCAGCCGCGCACACGGGCTGCGGCGATACGTCGACCCCGGGTACATCAAGACGTCGGCGGATGGGTCGCGTCCGGACACCCCCCCGCTGACGGTGCCCCCCCCGGCCAGTTTCGCGCAACCTCCCCAGGCGAGCAACATGGGCAAGGTCTCCATGTTCGTCCCCGCGTCCTCCCAGCCAGAATCCAGAGAGGACGAAGACGGTGCGTCCCCGCGCCGCGTCGCAGCGCCCGACGAAGGAAGGCCCGGCGCGCACGTCGCTGTCCTGCGAGCCGGCACTGACCGAGCCGTGCACGGACGCGCCCCCCGCCATCCTGCAGAGCCCGCGCGCGAGGACGAGGCGCCCGCACCGGACGGCGCACCATCGCAAGCGGAAGCGACCGGCAGCCGCGAGTCGCGCGGCGCACCCGAGGAGCAGCAGGAGCAGCTGCCAGTGTCTGCCTTCATGCAGGGCAGCCAGGCGTCCGACGCACCCGATGAACAGCAGTCGCATGTTGAACAGCCGGCGCCATCGCACCACGAAGGCGGGGCTGACGCGGACGCCAGGTGGGCAGCGCCTTCCTCGTGAGAACTCGCTGATGCTGCTGCTGTGTGCGCTTTGCTTGTCGCTGCTGCGGTGCGATAGCATCTTCCGCCCCTGATCTTCTCGACTTGCAGCGCTGGCAGGCGCCTGGACCAGGAGGCCGGTGCGATGGCGGCTGAGCATGCTGACCAGGCACCAGGCCAGGACCCCCCACAAACAACAGCCCCTTCTAGCGAGCAGGAGCAACCGAGCGTGGGACAGCAGGACAACGTTCCCGCGCCCGAACAAGGCACCGAGATGTCTTCCAACACGGAACTCACGGCACGTCCCCGCGGGCTCCGCATCCTCGGCCACGCCTCTGTCCGCCACCTTGCGTTTGGCGCAGGTTCGGGCGTGCCCACCTGCTCACGCGCACCGTGCTTCCTCGCAGACGGATGCATCTCTGCAAGGTTGGGCATGGGATGAAGCGAACAACGAGTGGGTGGCGACCCAGGAGGGGGCGTCTCCACATGGCCACCCCAACGGGGCCGCGCAGACCGACGGACACGCAGCTGGCTGGAGCAATGCGGACGGCACGTCGGGCACCCCGGCCGAGTGGAAGGCGTACTACGAGAGCCTGGGCTACGAGATTGACGACGAGAAGATGCGTGAGTGGGAGGAGCACTACCAGCGGCAGCTGCAAGGGCTCCCACACAGCGACCACCACGGACCCGAGGGCGCCGCGGACGAGCACCAGGGCGTCGGGCACTCTGATGCGGCCGCCCCTCCGGCAGCGCAGGCGTCCCACGAGGTCGCAGAAGGCGAGCAACATGCAACGGTGCTCAGCCGGGGCGCCTCAGGACTGTTCAACGGCCCGTCAAGAGCGGAGACCGGGCCGCCGCGGTCGATCTTCGGCAGCGACAGCGACGACGAGAGGATGCAGGTCGTCACTGCCGCGAACCCGGGGCGCTCCCTGGGTGAAGCACTGGGGCTGCCACCGACGGGGAGCAAGCGGCTGCGCGGCGCGGCCGGTCGTCGGCGTTCCAGGCTACCCTGGGAGAACTCGGACAGCAGCAGCGACGGTTCCGCAACGGGCAGCGTCCGCCTGGCCCTCCTGCCTCGTAAGAAGCGCAGTCATCGCGCGCGCCCCCCAGGGACCGCCCCCGCTAGCGGCGCGACGAGCTTCGCGGCGACGCCGCACAAGACTGCGGCGGCAGTCGCGCCCACGGAGGGTGCGAGCGCGCCGTCTGGCCAGACTGACGCAGAGCTCACGGCAAGCGCAGACCCCTCGAACAACATGACGGTGCAGCAGGCGTTCGGACAAGTCGTGAACGAGGGGAAGGACGTGGCGAGAGGTTTGATGCAGGTCCGCTCTGCGCCCCGGTCAGTTGTACTGTTTTTGCGTCGGGCCACTGAGCTGTCAGGCCACACCCAACCAAGGAACCTTGCTCTGTGTGCAGAACTTCGGTGCCGCCATCAATGGCATCCACGACGCGATCGGGCGTGACGAGGACCCGGACGATGAGGAATACAAGAGGCTTTACGGAGTTCAAAGCGCTGCAGAGGTCACGGGCACCGACGCGCTGCCTCCACCTGGCCCAGATGCACACACCAGCCCAGATCGTGCGTTCGAGCAAGACACGATCGGTGCACCGTACCAGCCAGACGGCGGCACTACTGCCTCGTCGCCGGTCGGACAGGAAGGCCTTGCACCGGCACATGACATGCCCTCGGGTTGGGGTGGAGAAGAGGCTGTCGATGACAGCCAACCGAACGACGCGGCCGAGCCGGAGCACAACCCAGGAGTCGAGCACGTCGAGGGGTCAGCGCCCGTTGACAGACCCGAGGACGGGCCTGTGCCCGCCTTCACGAACAGCGAACCGGAGGCGCCACATGTTGAGCACGAACCGGAGGCAACACATGCCGCGCACGAACCGGAGGCGCCACATGTTGAGCACGAATCGCCTGCCACAGTACAGGATGTCCACCCGCCTGGAGAGCAGCAAGAGAGCGCTGGTGAGGAGGGGCTGCAAGGTCAGCTCGAGGCAGCGCACGACGAGCTCGGGCAGCAGGTCGCCGAGGGAGATCAGCTGCGTGAAGAGCTCGAAGCAGTGCGGTTTGAGCGAGACGCGCACTTGCAGTCGATGGCGGCGGCACAGCAGGTGCCAGACGGGGCGACCTCGCAGCCGGTGGCCCTCAACATCGTCGTGAGAGGCTCTGTGGCCAGCGAGGTTGAAGTGCCACGGCCGGCAGCGCAGCACTCGTCAGGGTCGCTGTCGCTGGACGACTTGCAAGACGCCGACGCGCTGCGTCGCCGCATCCAGGAGCTTCAGCAAGAGAGCAAGAAGCAAAGACATGGCAACCAGGTCCTGCGGAAGCGGCTGGATGCGCTCAGGCAGGAGCTTGCGGCAGCTCAGTCTGCTGCGCATGATGCAACTGCACGTGGAGAGCAGGTTCGCGCAGAAATGCAAGCGTTGCAACAGGAGAGGGACGAGGCCTGGCAGCGCGTGGAGGCCCTCATGCAGGTGCGTCGGATGTGCGTTGAGACGTGCGTGAGGTCCGTTCGGACCGTGACTTGCACGGGTGACACGTGCGTGCATGCGTCGCGGTTTGCCTGCAGGAGCACGGCAAAGAAGAGGGCCGATTGGCCGAGGCCAGCGAGACACTCGAGGCGATGCGCCGTCGAGCACTTGCCGCAGAGGCGAGGTGCGACGAGCTCACGGAGATGCTGGAGTCGGGATACTACTCGAATGCGGCGCAGCAACAAAACCCGCAACAACTCGAGGAGCTGTCCAAGGCGCTGCAGGACAACAAGGTGCGGACCGGCTTGCGTGAATGTGCATGAACTCGAGCATCACTCGTCGTGCAGCTGTGGAATCTCTGCGCGGTCCTCACCAGGATGCATCGTCAACCGCCACCCTTCGCAGGCTGCGCTCGCTGAACTGCAAAATGAGCGCGAGAGCCTGTTTGAACAGCTCAGGACGGCGCATGCAGCTCAGCAAGACGCTGAAGCTGCGCGATGGCGGGTGCAGGAGGTTGAATCAGGTTTGCTCTTCCCCGGCTTGAAATGAGTGTTCGTGGCAGTAATGCTCCGTGTTTTTGCTGACGTCGAATCCCCTTCACGAAATATGCTGTTGCAGAGCTCGCGGATGCGAACGAACGTGTTGAAGAGAGGGAGGCGAAGATCAAGCGGGCCGTGGGCAAGATCAGGCAGCTCCAGAAGGAGATCGCCGACGTCAAGCGCGAGAAGGCCGAGCTGGAAGCCAAGCAGCCGCCCAGTGAAGATCCGGGCCTTCGGAGCGAGGTGGACTCCCTCTCGTCTCGCCTGCATGCAGCCCAAGACGAGCTGTCTTCCCTGCAACGTCAGCTGCGGGAGGTCGAGGAGGCACGCCAGGACGCTCAAGCGCGACACGCCACCGCGCAGCAGGAGGCTATGGATGCGCGCGCAGAACTCGACAGCGTGCGCGCAGAAGCTGCGGCGAGCTTCGAGCGCGCGTCTGCAGCTGACGCACGTCTCTCTGATCTCCAGGCTGTCGTGGACGACCTGCGAGGGCAGCTCGAGAGGGCGCAGCAGGACTCCACGGACGAGCTGCGGGCCGCCCACAGCAACGCGGACGCTGCCCGGCAGCAGGTAGCTGAGGCCTGCGAAGCGAGAGATGCTGCCGTGGCACAGGTCGAGCAGCTCCGAAGCGCACTCGAAGACGCTCAGGCACAGGTCGCGGCGTCGATGTCTAGCCCGGAAGAAGTCGAGGCCCTTCGACAGCAGGTCGCGGCGATGCAGGAGGAGGTGGATGTCGGCAAGAAGCGTTACCAGGTGAACACACCTTGCCTACCGACACGTGGCGGAGTGCCATCCCACTGCACCGTGTCGTTGCGATTCCTCGCGCTGGACTGAATCTGGGTCTGCGCTCGACGCAATTGCAGGGGCTGAGGGTCAAGGCGAAGAAGCAGCTTGACGAGCTGTCGGCCCGCCAGAAGCATGCCATGCAAGAGGCCCAGCAGGCGAACGAGTCGCACGAGGCGGAGGCGGCTGCGTCAGCTGCTCGCATTCAGGCACGTGTCCGCGTATCACGCACTGGCAGCGGCCCTGCACTACCTGGTGCAACCATCAGGATCAGGATGTTGCGAACTCCACTTGTCGCCTTCGCTGAATGCAGGCCCTCGAGAACTCCCTGCGCGAAGAAGGCCAGAAGGTGCAGTCCCTGCAGCAGCAGCTTGAGGTGCTTCAGGCCCAGCTGACTGACGCGGAGGCCGCCAGGAGTGCGCTGTCGGACGCACGAGCGCGGCTGGACGAAGTCACGTCGCGGTTGGAAGCCATGCAGAGCGCACTGCAGCAAGCACAGCAAAGCGAGGGTGCGTTCTTTCGCCTGTTGGATGTCGCAACTTCCATGGTTGCGATGCATGTCTGGCCTTCCACAAGGGGCACACTTCCGCGGGGCATGTCTCGCAGAGGCCTTGAGGCGGGAGCTCGAGGAAGCGCGCGACAGGGCGCTTTGCGAAGAGCAAGGCGCTGCGTCGCGCGTAGCTGAGCTGGAGAGTGAAGTCGCAAGGCTGGCACAGGCCAACATCGAGAGCTCGCAAGACGCGGCGGCGAGCAGACAGGCTCTGCAGGAGGCGGAAGTGCGCGCGGCCGCGCTTGAGGCTGCCAAGCAGGAACTGGCTGCCAACGTGAGCACCGCACAGCAGGCCGCGGCCCATGCACAAGAGCTGCAAGCACGTGCCGAAGCAGAGCTGCAGTCGAGTGCGGCACAGTCTTCGCGAGTCGCTGATCTGGAGAAGGAGGTGGAGAAGCTGACGACGGTCAGGAAGAAGGCGGTGTTGGCCATGAAGCGCGCCCAGTCGGAGCGGGACGCTGCGCAGGGCCGTCTGAAGGAAGCAGAGGGGGCGGGACGGGACGCGCAGGCTGCGCTGGACGACCTGCAACGGGAGTGCGAGCAGTTGCGTGCGGACGGAGAAGCTCTCAGAGCCCGCCTGTCGGCGCTTGAGGCGTCGACGACCCCTGCGGAGGAGGTCGACAGTCTGCGGCAATCCTTGCAGAACGCAACAGCGGAGCTGGCGGCGGTCAAAGCCGAGCGTGATGGCTTGTCTGCCTCCCTGGAGCTCGCCACAGAGCAGAGTGGCCAGCTCAACCAAGGTCTCGCGGGCGCCCGGGAGGAGCTAGCGGCCAGGATGGCGGAGGCCGAGACCTGGCAGGTCAAGGTCGCGGCCGTACAGGACGAGGCCGAGGCGGCCAGGACGCGCGCCGAACACGCCGAGGAGCAGCTCCGACAGATAGCGCAGGAGCGCGATCGCCTGGCTGAGGAGCTGGCTAGCGCCCCCGCGGCGGGGCACCCCTCGGCCGAGGATGATGGCATCTACGAGCAGCTGAGGGCCGCCCTGGCTGAGCGGGACGAGGCCGTGCAGCGCGCGCAGGACCTGAGCGTCGCGCTCGCGGGCCAGGAGAAGCAGCGCGGTGCCGCGACGCCTGGGGAGTCTGGCGGGGCGCTGCCGTGGGCGGGTGTGTCGAATCCCCTCTTCGAGGCGAACGGGAGCGAGCAGGGCGCGGACCTCGCGGAGGAGGTGGCACGCCTGCGCGCTGAGCTTGAGAGTGTGCGCGGTGAGAAGGACGCGCGGGAGGAGGAGTTCCAGGAGCTGCTGGCGTGTCTGGCACTGGAGGGGGGCAAGGCCATGCGCTTCGAGGAGGAGCTGCGTGCGCTCGGCGCGGACAACGTGGATGAAATACTGCAGGAGATGGAGGACTTCTACGACGTTGACGGCGCGGGCAATTTGTGAGTCGGCGGACTGTGGGCAGGCAAGGCTGTTGGCGACAGTCTTGACGAGCAGGACCAGCCGCGGCGCGCACGCGCCCCATGACTTTGGGATCACAAGTATCGCGCTACGTCCTCTGCCGCTTCTTGCCTTGTCCTCCCTTCTGTTTGCCGGCCTGCATCTGCAATACACGCTTGCTATGGCTGGTAATGGCAGGCGGCGGCTGCTGACACATGTGCCAGCGGGCGAAGCACGGCAGAACACCAACCTGTTGCTTCCGCTCCATGCGGGCAGCGACGACCTTCTCGCGTTCGAGCTCCTTCTGCACCGCCTCATCGTCGTCCTCGAGCACTTCCTCCATCATGTCCACTGCAACCAAAGTACCGCGGAGCGAATACAGCGCGATGTGAGCGATGCAGTCGTTCGGTCGGATCAGCAGCCGCGCCTGCATCTCTAGCAGCGTCCACACCCTGCAGGTGCGGGGCTCCCTCTCTCAGGCACGACTGAGTGCGTGGTGTTCATGGCGCACCATCCTCTCCGTCTTCGATGCTCCGCTTCTTCATGTATTCAGTGATCCACTGCATCGTCTCCTGCTTGAGTCCCGCGATCGCCGCGGACAGGGGCGCAGAGGCAGCTAGGCAGTGCGTGGACACCTCTTCCCCGTTGAAGCGGAACGACGCTCGGATTTCTCCCGCCTGCTGTGACATCACGCAGCTAGATTGATGCCGGTGCCAGATAGGCTCTGAAGGCTGCAGTATCGAACTTCCTGCCCGGCACTGTCGTGTTGGAGGTCGCCGGCTGCAGGCCGTTGCAACCACGCGGATCGCTCGATATCGCCCGGATTCGGCGCGCGAAACCCCTTCGTAGCACAGACTACGTAATGCGATACCTCGCGCCTAGCCGCGACGCCGCTGCAGCAGCGGTCTCGTCAGGTGCTGGGTGCAAGCGAGCCGAGGATATTCCTGCACCGGGTATTGCCACGGAGTCCGTGCAGCCTGAGCAGTGACGGAGTGCCTTTGCGGATTGTACATCGGCGCTGGGTTGCGAGCCCCCAACGACCTTGCAGGCGCCTCCTTTGGGATGTGAGAGTTTCTACTTCGCGACCGCCGCGCATCTCGAGGTCGAGCTGGCGCTTGCAAACGTGCAGCTCTTTCTACACGTCTTACCCGCGCGGACGCAGGCGCATTGCTTCCGCGTCATCCACACCAGACTGGCAGGCCACACGTGCACGCAACAGGAGTTGTGTCGAAGCACACAGCGACCATCAAGGGACGGGCCGTGATGTCCTCTCGCCGCGACATCACGTTCGTAGCATACTGTTACTGTTGCTTATCTGGGATGCTCGGATGCGTGTCCCAGTTCATCGCGGGTGCCGAGGTGGGCTACGCACCAGTCAAGTGGGTGGGAACCGTCGCGGTGAGGGCGGAAACACGCACGCACGCGCGCGCCGATGGCGAACTTGTCCATGCAGGCTGCCCATGTATGCATCGGGTGGTCCCAGTGCAACTGCCGCGCGTAACTGCTTGTGCAGATGAGTGCACTACCCTGGGCTGCCGCCCGCTGCAGGTGAACGCCACCGCAATGGCGGCGCAGGCAAGGGGCTTGCGGCAACTCCCGTCGTCTGTTGTCGGTGTGGTGCTCGCGACGTGCGCGAACATCCTGTTCACCGGCATCATCGCTCTTGTCCTTGGCGGGAAGCGTGACGAGAGCATCGATCTTCGCTGGGCAACTGGAGCGGTCTGCCTCGTTGTCGGATGTGCAAGTGTGGTAGTGGCAGCGGACCCGGGCGCTGGGTTGCGAGCGAAGACCGACTGAGGCAACATCAGTAGCACATGACCCTCACAGGCGCGCGCGCGCAGGTGCCGCGAAACCCCTCTGAGCCAGCCATCGGCCGCGGCAGCCACCTGGACGGTGTCGCCTAATCGTTGGAGCGACAGGAAGGGCCTGCTCAGATCGCGCCGCCGCTCCCATCCTGCTGCGTGTGCTGGGCCCCTGGGAAAGGTGCCGCACCCTGCATCTGCCCGCCAGCTGTCCCACCCGGCTGGCCATGGCTCTGTCCAGCGTCGGGCATGATGTTCTGGCCCGCAAGCAGCCCGAGGTAGCGCAGGATCTGCACCGAACGGGACAAACGCGACACCGGTGGGGCGTCCTGGACAGAAGCACAAGCTGGCCGACAATTCCACCAAGGCGCCAGCGGCAGTCAACCGCACCTCTTGCTGTTGAGGACCTCCGGAGCGCCCCGCCTCGAGCAGCATCTGGACTTGCAGCTGCTGCAAGTTGTGTTGCAAGTTTTGCTGCAAGTTCTGATCCGCCCAGCCCGCTCGCTGGTCGGGCGCGCCGGGCCACAGGCCCTGCGGCTGGGCCATGACGCTGGCAAGCTGCTGGCGCTCGAGGAGCGAGGCGACCGTGAATGGGAAGGCGCCGAGCATCAGGAGCGGGTTTGTAGGCACAGCGCCTGCCAGCTGTTGCGCGGCGAGTGCTTGGGCCTGCGCGGCCCGTATGGCCTCCTGCGCTCCGTCTGTGACCATGGGTGGCTGGTGTGGATCGGCGAGCGCGGTGGAGACCTGCGTCAGAGGCGCAGAGGCCGGCCTCAGACTGGGAGCAGCTGCTCCTGCACACGAGGTGGGGGGCAGCGCGTTGTGGGTCGCACGCAGGACGTGGATGCTTCCTACACGAGGCACAGCAGGGATCCGATGGCGCACGCACCTTGCATGTCGCCTGTTGAAGCAGCGTGCATGCCCCGCTTTCCCAGGCCTCGTCGAGCGTTCTGCATGGAACTGCCAGCAATACCGCCGCGGCCGACGATGTTCCCGATTTTCCTGAGCTGCAGGGACACCGTCACGACGGGGGTGCGTTGCGGCCAACGAGAGCGCGAGTCTTGTCTGGGCAACAGACAGCCGTGCCTCTCTCACCTTTCGGGCTTTCTGTTTCGCACGGATCTCCGCGAACTTCGGGTCCTTCTTCTGATGCGTGTAGAAGTACACGATGCATTCGTTCGCAGTCCTGCAACGGTTCTCCAAGGCGGGGGTGCGCAGCTATTTGTTGTTTTCTGTCACGGATGGTGGCCGCAGCTCGCACCGTTGCAGGGCGAAGGCGTCGGGAACAACCTGCCCGGAAGCGCCGCTGCGATCTTGTTGAAATCCTTGGGATGCTGTGAGAATCGTTCGAGCAGTGTTTTGCGCTCCTTCTCGCTCCAGGGCCGATGCAATTTGGCACGCTGCACTCAAAGGGATACAACACGACCGCGTCTTGCTTCCGGACGAGCGCTTCGGCTTGCCGCGTGTGCACCGGATGTTCGGCGTGCGGCCGCACCCGCAGCTCCTCCCGCGGGTCGAACAGCCCGTTCCGTGAGATGTAGCAGTTGCGCTTCAGGTCGTCCGGCCCGAGCATCTCAGGCAGCGGGCAGTAGACCTTGTTCCGCTCCGCATCCAACATCCGTGCCTCCCACATAGCCTCGTTGCGGTAGTCCGCGAGCGCCCCCTGCGGCAAGCGCACGGCCCCGTACTGGTCAACATGGCAGTGTTGGTGCGTCCATCGCGCTCCACTCGGGCGCGAACTGCACGCATCCGCCCCCCTCCCCCCGATCATGGCAGGCTTTGAGGCGGCTGCGCACCGTGACGGGAGCGGACGGAGTTTCTTCGGGACCTGGCACTGCTGCTGCCGTTGCGTTGCGTCCCCTGCCGCGGTCCTTCCCGCGCCGGCCTGCACTGGCGGGAGTCCTTCCCTCTTCCGGGGCGAGCACGGTAGCTGGAGCCTCCTGGCCACGCACCTGCGCGACGAGGTCTCGGAGGGAGAAACAACTTGGCCTCCTGCGACATGTCTCATATATTGTTGCGGATCCCAAGCAACGGAGCGCGCGCAGGCGCTACGCTGGCTCACCTGGTTGAGGCGCGCAGCCATCACTCGGTAACGCAGCGCCGCGTCCCTCTGGAGGCCGCGCCACTTGTCCCTGCGCTGCTGGAGCAGCTGCTGCAGGGCCGGTTTCACGGCCTTGTAGGACGCAAACAGCCGAGCGAAGCCCGGCACCTCGGCGGGCTTCTTGTACAGCGGCACGTCCGCCTGTGCGGGTCGCTCAGCACCTGCAACAGAGTCCGAACGCGCGCCTTCGCATTGGGCGTGCACTTCTAGGTGTGACGGGGAGCAAGCGAGACCCCCGGCGCGGCCAGAACCCCTTCCAGAACGCCAGCAGGCTGTACCTGGATGTTGCGCTGCAATGTGCGTCTCCAGTTTGGTTCCGATCCTGCGCAGCGACGCCTCGTGGGTGCGCGCCACCAGTGCTCGGTTTCGCTCCGTGATGGCGTCCACGAACTGCTGCCTCTGCCTACCCGGTGCGATGCCCTCCCCCCGCGCCAACCGCACGATGCGGACCAGCGCGGCGTTCTTCGCGGCGGCCTCCTGCGCCTTGCGCGCCTCCTCTTCGTCGTCCTCCGCCTCATCGCCATCTTCGGACTGTGGGGCGCTGGCGCCCGCGGACGGCTCCGGGGAAGCCTGCCGCGCGTTCTCGTCACCCCCCATCGAGTCCACCGCCTCGTGTCCGCCAGATTCGCGCGCTTGCTTTTCACTCGACACGGCAGAGGGTTCCGCTTTGACCGAACCGCCTTGCGGCGCTTCTGGTGAGGCCCCGCTCATTCTCTCTTGCTCCGGCACCGGCGCCTCGCTGCGACACGGCGTCTCAGCTTTGACACGCGGTCCTGCGCTGTTCGATCGTTGTGAGTGAGGGGCACCGGAATCCGCGCCCGCTGCGTCATCCACGTCCATGCGCTCCTCCGAACCTTCCGGCTTCGCAGCCACAGGCGTGCCTGGCGCATCCGTGCCGCCCGCCGGAAGTTCCTGGCCCTCACCCCCTTCCGACTGTTGCTGCGCAGGCAGAAGCTCTTGGAGAGTTCCGTTGCCAGCCTCTGCCTTGCCTCCTGCAACCCTCGCCGGAGACGTGACCGCGTCTGCAGGGGGATGCGGCCTGGCTTCACCGCTGTCCGTGTTCCCCGGGCCTCTGCCCTGTTCCTCCGCCGCATGGTGCTTCTCATGTGCCACTGCATCCTCATCCGCAGCCGTGCCGTTTGGCTGCGACGTCGCCGCCGGCTGTTCTGCGATCCCCGTCCCTGCGACTCGCTCGCGGTCGTCGGGCCGTGCTGCCTGCTGTTGTCCGCCGGCGGACCCAGAAGCTCCGCCGTTTGCGCCATGCATGAATTTCTCTGCATCTGCGCGTGCGCTGTCGCCGCCTCTAGCGCTCCTGCGAACACGTGTGATGCAACAATGCCGTGATCAAGTGGAGGCATGGCGATTCCAGGTTCCAGCCACCGACGGGATCATCTGCGTGCTGGTAGTGGGCTCCTTCAGCCAGTATCGCGAAGCGGAAACGCACCCGTTGCCATCTTCGTGCACCGCAGCACCATTGACGGGCACGACAGCACCGTCCGCTGCTGGTCGCTGTTCTTGCGAGGCCGATCCGCCCGTTGTTGCACCGCGGTGAGCTTCCGCAAGTTCGTGCGTTGGGGCCTCAGTTCGGACGCTGCGGCCAGACCAGAGCATCATACTGTTGTACATAGTGGCAAGTGAACATGTTTCGATGGCACGATTTCGCTGCAAGCTCCTCAGCGCACCTGTTCTTTGTTGCTTCCCCATTGCCCGGGTACCGCAAGCGGCCTTCGCCGTTTTCCGGTGCAGGTGGCAAGGGGCCATCCCTGCCGACATCCCGCTCGTGAGAGACCGCTTGCTCGCCTTGCCCCTCTACGGTGCCATGGCTCAAGGCCACGCTCCTGCACATGATGACGAGTGTCCTGAAAAGCTCGAACCGCGGCAGGACGCAAGCAGCGGTGGTGTCCGAACAAGCGACAGGGCGCTGCGTCAGTGCCATGCGCGCCCAGGACGGTGATGAAGAGCAAGGCCGGCATGGCAGCCAACGCCTTCCGCGGCGCACACAAGCACTGAGACCACGCACCTGTGAGCTGCGGTGCCTAATTCTGCGTTTAGCTCGCATCCTGGTGCCTGGAAGTCAGTGGCTGGCATGGACGGAGGCTGTCCTGGCGCCTGCTCGCACTCCACGACTGCATGCCCCCTCGCGCCCTCGCTCGTGGCCGACGGCCCCGCGCCATCGTCCAAGCGGGGTCTCTTGGGGGTTGGCTCCCCTGTTCATCGTGAATCGCGAGCCCAACAGGTCGGCGGGCGATGCGGCAGCGCTGAGAGGTTCCTCGCGGTACCTCGCGATTGTGACCGCAAATGGGCGCGGGAAGGCGCACCTGGAGCCTGACGGGCCTCCTCTTGCATACCAATCACGACAGGCACACTCGGCTCAGGTTTTCATCCCTCGGTCTCGCTGTGAATTTGGCGTTGCCGCATGATCGTCGGCACTGCACTCTTCCGCTAATACCCGTGCACAAGAACTTATCTGGAGCGCAGCGCACCCTCAGAAGTGGCAGCCGGTGGCAGTTGCGCAAGGCGAACCGCTGCGCAGCCCGGTCCAGACGGTCTGAGACCCCTCCAGGCCGCTTAGCACGGCGCCTGACGCAGCAATAAGTCCATCGCAGCTTCGAGTCCACAGCATGCAGACGAAGCAGCGCTGACTCATCCGCACCGCACCGCCGGGGGCGCGCGTGCGCACTCGCGACGAGCCACGTTCACAGCCAGGCACCACCGGCCGGCCCTACAACTCATGCAATCACCCTTCCGGTCCCGTGAACCGCACGTCGCCGCGTCCGAAATGCACGGGTGGAGCGGGAGGCGGCGGCGGAGCGGCAGTTGGCCGCGCTGGTCGCGCCGGCATTGGAGCGGCCCCCGTGTCGGGTGTCGTTGCGCCCGGCGGGGGAGGTACGAAGGCGCCCTGCGCCGGTGGACCAGGCGGCGGCGGTGGCGGGGGAGGCGGAGGCGCGCCTGCGTCCCCGGCGGACGACGGCGGACCGAGGCGGGGCCGTCGGAAGCTTGACGCCACGGGCGGCTGCGTCGGAGCGGGCGGGGGTCTGGGCGGGGGGGGCGGAGTGGATGGCGGTGGCGTCACCGACGGCCGCGGCATGGGTCGCATCACGCCTTCCGCAGGCGGCGGAGGGGGCGGGGGCGGGGGCGGAGTGGCCGGCCCCCGGGCGATGGGCGGCGGCGGCGGCGGCGGTGGTGGCGGTGGAGGTGGGGTTGACGGCGGCTGGGCGGGGCCTCCCGCAGGGGCCACGCGCCCAGCTGCGTGCCTCCCCGGGTCTCGACTCGGCCCTGCGTCCATCGCGGACCCCGCGGTCGGCGGCCTGTCGGACCCGGAGGCCCAGTCCTCAAACCCAGCCGAGTCGTCCACCTGGTACAGGAGGCGGTACTTCTCCTGCAGCCTCTCGAGACGGGCGTCCACACCGTGCTCCCGCTCCTCCTCCTTCTGCTTCTGCTTCCCTCCCACGACGCCCTGGACAGTGCGTGCCAGTGCCTGGAAGCCAATGTGTGTCTTGGCCGTGTACGACTTGCCGCGCTCGTGCCGCATCATGAAGTCCAGGCCTGGCTCCTGGCGCCCGTATTGCTCGTCGTTCTGCGCGAGACAAAGAAAAGCCAACGTTCACGCGGTTGCGATGTGTGCAATCCGGCATGTCGGAGCATGCACGTTGTCTTGCTCTGTGTCGGGCACCCACCTTCAATCCCTCTTCTGCAGCTATGTTCATCGCACGACGGTGCATCTTGATGCGCTGGATCCGCGCTTTGAGCTGCTTGCGGAAACAGAAGAGCAGGATGGCAGCTACCAGGACGCCAAACCCGAGCGAGCCTGCAAACACGCGGCAGCGGACAGGTGAGGCCACGGCGTGCGCGGTGCAGTGCGCGGCTCTCCGATCGGCGGCGTCGTGCGGCCACGCACCTCCGATGGTTGCCAGCAGGGCGCGCCGGAACTTGTCCTCCTCGTCCTGCTGGTTGAACGGCACCGGGTCGCTCGAAGGGGGCTGGAGCGGCACCAGCGTCGACGCGATGGTCGCCTTGAACGAGTAGTCCACGGACGTCGTCTGCAGGAGCCGTCGCAGCAGCGAGGAGTGCGCCTTGCGTTGCCCGGCGTTCGCCCACCTGAGCCCTACCGTCAGCGTGAAGTTGCGCGCGTTGCTGGCGCCGAGAATGCTGACGGAGCACCCTCCAGCGGGATCCAGCTGCGGCGACGCGCTGTTGCAGGCGGTGAGGTTGAAGGGGGTGTTGGCGTTCACGAAGGCCGTGTCAAACAGCGCCACGAACACCGACACGGCCTGCGACTGGAGCAGCGCGCGCGTCCGCCGGTTCGTGCCCGTCACGGTCGCGCGCAGCGTCAGGTTCTGCGTCTCGCGCAGCTCCGCGACCCCGATCTTGAAGTAGTCGTACTGCACAGGAAGAGGCCCACAGCGTGGTGAGGGCGGGGCGACGTGCGGGGACGTGCGGCGCCGGGCCGCAAGAAAGAGACGGAACGGCACGGTGGCGGCCGTGAGCCGTCGTTCGCTCTCTGGGCATGCTGGACGCGCACGTCCTAGAAACCAGCGACCGCGCGATCGGGTGCGACGGGTACCTCGAATGCTCTCAACGTCCCAGTCTTGCTCATGACCTCGAATGTCTCGCCCGCGAAGGTGTTGGTCGCGGGGAGCACCGCGTTCTCGACGGGGACGAGGAGGTCCGACTGCTGGATGACTGCGGCCAGCTGCTGCGAGTTGACGTCCTTCGCAACATTGTTCCCCAGCTTCAGGGCGAGCGTGCTGGCCATGACCTCCTGCGCGTTGTTGTCCTGCGGGGGCACGGGGGCTCGCTGGGTCAGCTGCACGCCAGCTAGGCTTGGCTGGAGCTAGCACTGCCGACGCGCGTGCTCGGGCACGCAAGACGCCGCCCTCTCACCTGGTAGCGCGGAACGAAGATGTCGTCGTGCACCAAGAGCACCCGCCTGTCCGCGGCGTGTCTGATGGACAGTCTGTACGGCGACACGAAGTCCGCGGGGAGGTCCTTGAAGACGTTGGGGTACAGCTGCAGCGCCACCGCACCGTCGACGCCCGTCCGCGGCTCACTGGCCCCCTCGTACTTGTAGTACGGGATCCACTGGCCCGTGCCCCCCGGCGTCAGGTCCTTGAGCTCCACGACGACGTACGCGTCGCGCACGGTGGAGATGCCATCCGGTTCGACCACCTTGATCAGCATCGTCATCTCGCGCTCGTACACGACGTCCTTGATCACCTCGGACGCGGCGCCGGTGGGGGCCAGGAAGAAGGAGAGCGCCCCCTGGAGGACCTTGTTCTTGTACGCAAGAGCCGACACCTGGCCGCCTGCATACGCGAGCGCGCGGCGGACAGCGGTGGACGCACGGGGGCGCTCAGGGGCGCGCGCGGCGACGGGTGGGGCTGTTGCGGGCGGCCGCACCGGAGAGCACGTCGGGGAACCGCACGGTGACCTCCCCCGGTTTGACCGAGTCCGTGTTGCCGCGCACGAGGGCGACCGCGATGTCGGGCTTCACGGGCTGCCCGGCGAGGTCCTTGAAGTTGACCGACATCGACGACCGGATCTGCACGGCGCCCTTGAGGTCCAGGATCTGCAGGTCGGAGCTCGTCCCCTTGCACCTGGCAATGTCCCCCACCGGCAGGGACGTGTCGCTGCAGTTCGAGCCCCCGATCAGCACGATGCCGACGTCGTCGATGGAACCTGCGCCGCAGCGACGGCAGCCACCCCGCACCGTGAGTGCCGCCCCTCCCGCGCGGCGTGACAGGTGGGACTCGTGCGACAGGGGGGGGGGCTGCGCACCTATTGCCTGGCCCATGGTCGCCCCGGGGCGGAAGGTGGGCGTTCCGTCCGAGAGCACGGTCGGCAGGTTGCGCACGGACCACTGGAAGTCCACGTTGAAGTCGGGCCGCGCGGGGTCGTAGGGCACCTCGAGGATGCCGAACGAGGGCGCCGAGATGGCCGTGAGGTGGTTGTTGGCGATGCGCGGCTGCGTGTGGCCCCAGCCGTGCACGAGGAAGAACTTCACCCGCCGCTGCAGGTCGGCCACGTCCTGCTCGATGAAGAACCCGTGGAAGGCGCGGAAGGGCGCCTGCTGCGGGAGCGAGCCCGTGGTGGGGACGAGCGCCTGCCGCCACGGCGCCGTGGTGTTCTGCAGGTCGATCACCAGCAGGTCGTTGTTCGGGAGGTACGTGCTCGCCGGCGCCCCGTCGTGCGTGGTCATCCCCCCGTAAATGAACAGCTTGCGCTCGTAGATCGTCGCCGCGTGCCCGTACCGCGGGGGCAGGACCGCGGGGCTCCCAGGCGGCGCCGTGATCTGCGAGGACGGAGGGCGGTCGGCGCGGGTCGCACGCACGCGGGACGGTGCGGAGGCGGGAGCCGCTGGCGCAGCATCCAGGACGCGGCGCCCACCTGCGTCCACTGGTTGGGGGACCTGTCGAACACCCAGAGGCTCTTCGTGTACGTGTCCTCCCGTTCGCGCAGCAGCGCCCCCGCGTCCGACCCGGCCGTTCCCCCGTACACGTACACCAGCCCGTTGAACACCGTGGACGTGTGGCCCGCGCGGGGCGGCGGCACCGCGCCCGACGTCACCGTGATCTGCCGCCACGTCTCCAGGATCGGCGAGAACTCCCACAGGTTGTCCTCGCACAGCGGTCCGCGCGCTGGCTGGGCAGGCCTGCAGACGCAGCCCGGGCGAGCTTGCGCCGCTCGCGAGGGCGCGACTTCCGCGACAGTGCGACAACGACGATGTACAGAGGCGCGTGCTGCGCCGCCCAGGCACGTACCTCGAGCAGACGCCCCCGTAGAGGATGATGGCATTTGAGACATCGGACATGGTGGCGAAGGCGCGCGACGAGGGGAAGTCAAGCCCGACGCGGCCCTCAGTGGTCTCGACCGTGATGTCAAACAACCGTTTCCACACATTCGTCCCGAAGTCGAAGCGCCACTGGTCTCCTTTGAGCGCGCCTTGACTGTCCACGCCTCCCATCTCGTACCACCGGTTTGTCCTGCGCAGCGGAGCGGGTACCAGACGGGTGCGCCAGTCAGTTGTGTACGCGGTCTGCGTGATGGCGTGTCACGGCGCCCTCGCGGTGCTGCCGAAGGCGCCAGAATGCCTCGCGAGCACATCAATCAAGCAGCGTTTCCAGCGCCGGAACGAAGCGTACGGCGTCGGCGTCCGAGGAACAGACGACTGTCCGCGCGGGGCGTGGTGCGGACGGCCAGCCCGCAGCGTCCGCGGGAGAGGCAGCGACAGCCGCGTGCTCTTGCCATGCACTGCCAGGCCGCGGACGTTTCTGCCTGGAAGCGCGCGGGCCACGTCGCGGGCGCGCTGGAAGCGCGTAGCAGCGTCGGCGAGCGCGTGGTCGAGGGGCCGAGACGCCATGCCGTGGCACTGGGCCCCGCTTCTGTCTGGTAAGCGCCATATCGACTGCCGTGCACAGCGCGTCGACGGCAGCTGCGAGCATGTTCGCTGCCGCAGTGCGTGCAAAGATTCGCGTTTTGTCGAACCCGGCGAAGGAAAGGTAGGGCCCACCTGCTAATCATTACGTTCGCCGTGCCCACCCTTGGCCCTGGAGTCTGCCCAGAAACGGTGTTCTGTGGGCGCTTGTCCCAGACGTTCAGCGTGCCGTCGCATGTTGGCGCACAGCAGCACAGGACGAGCCCCAGCAGCACGACGGGCCACAGGAACCCGTTTGTTCCGGCCATCATGGAATCTCCCTGCACACGCCTGTTCAGCGCCCACCCACACCGCGCGGGAACATCTCGCGTGTGTCAGACTGTGTCCGCGGACTGCGACCGGTACTGCGCGCGCCGCCACGCCCGCGGCCTGATCTCGCGGCGGCAAGCGGCACCCTTCGTTGTACCGCGGGGCAGTCTGCACGGGGGAGGGTCCGTCGCGGTCGTCTGACGCGCGGCGCGGGCCCTGCACAGCAGCACGCGGCAAGGGATGCGCGTGGCGTGCGCGGCGTGCATTGCGGCCCGCCGAGGAGGTGGCAGGGCGACGTTTCTCGGCAGCTGCACAGCCCGGCTCCGAGGAGTGGTTTGAATCGCGCGCGCCCAGAACTGCCGGAGCGCAGCGCCCGCGACGGCTGTCCCGCTGTCCACCACTCGTCTGCAGGCAGCCGGCGCGGTTTTGGCCGCCGCGAACGCCGCGGGGTGTTCGGAGCGAGGCGTTGTTGCACGCGAGGACGCACGGCCCGAACGAACGCGAGTGCCGCGGTCCGGTGGACAGCATGCGTTTCTTCGCGGAAGGGGCCTCGGAGAAGCCGTCCGTGCTGGGCCGGTCGGTCGGCCGGGCGGTCGATGAGCCCGGGGGGCAGCACGGCAACGTCTCGCGGTCTCTGGAGTCCCTGCAGCGGCCTTCCAGGTCTCTGCGGGAAGAGATAGCGGAGGACTACTCTTCTCAGCAGTTCGGAGACGTCACCAAGCAGCTGAGGCCCGGGGGGCCGAAGGCGGAGGCCGCGTCTGCCGCAGAGGCGGCCCAGGCTGGGCAACATCTGTCCCAGCGAGTCCGCAAGTCCTGGCGATACCACGACCCGGTACAGGTGCGCGATGCCGCGCCGAACGTGGAGCGCGGAGAACACTCGTCCCCCACGCGTGCGAGAGCGGCCAATCGTCGCCGCAAGGCCAATACGTGCGCCGGCGAGACACTCTCTCATGCTGATCAATTTGGTTTGCCGCGTGCCCGGGCCTTTCCGGAGACGGCTCGTGACGCATTCGGGTGGTTCCATTGCATCTCCAGCTCGTGCGCGGGACGTCGGTCCGGATGTCATCACTTCGCGGCCTGCGTAGGACGCTCTTCGCGCCAAGCTGCGCCGAGCTGTTCGACCCTCCCACAACCAGCACGACCGGCTCGCGCCCCCCCCGATTGCAGTCTGGATATCTGGTCCTGAGTCCCAACAAGCAGCCGTTCGTGCCGTCCGCGGTGTCGCCCAGCAAGATGCCGCGCGGCACCCACCACATCGCGGGCACCCAGATGGCCCGCACGGAGCCGCAGGACGTGCAGGGCGGCGCGCAGCCACTCCCGGCCACGGTGTGCCCCTGGTCTCGAGATGTGGCCCGCGCCGGCACCGCGACCGCATCACAGGCGCACGTGTGTCACTCGGCGCACCCAGTGCCGCCCGTGCAGGTGACGCGCACCAAGTCGGGCGCGGACCGCCTCCTCGAGGCGTCGCAGGAGATGCTGAGCGCGGAGCTGGACCAGCTCGCGGCGGACGTGGAGAGCCAGCGCGCGGGCAAGATCTCCCAGGCAGAGGTGGACGCCAGGCGGCGCCGGGTGGTGCGGCTGATGGCGCAGGTGGACGACCAGGTGCGCGGCGCGACCGGCAGGTGCTGATGCGGCGCCCTGCGCGCGTGCTGTGGCCTCGGCGCTGCTCACGGGGTGGTGTTTTGCGGCTGTGTGTTGCAGCGGAGTCGGGACAGCGAGTCCCTGCGCACCCTGGTGTCGCGCCTGCGGTCGTCCGTGGAGTCCCTCCCCGGGCAGCAGGAGGCGCGGCCGCCCTCTCCGGCGCGGCCGCCCTCTCCGGCGCGGCCGCGGAGCCCCGGGAAGCCGGTGCACGTCCCCACGGTGGACGCGTCCACGGACGCGGGGCCGCCCCCCCCGGAGCCGGAGGAGGAGGTGGTGATGCAGCTGGCGGTGGTCAGCCGCAGCCCCGACAAGCACCGGTACGAGGACGGCGCGGAGGACACGCCGCGGGCCGGGGCGCACCGTGGTTCGGGGTCCCTGCTGGGGGTGCAGGACCTCCTGGCGCGGCTGGGGACGGTGCTGGAGCAGGGGCGGAAGGAGATGCACGACCTGTACGACCTCCTCGAACAGCTCATGGGCGACGCCGTCGGGGACGTCGACCCCGCGGACCTCGTCGACCTCGCCCAGGCGTTCCAGGTGCGAGCGTTCGTACGTGTGTGTGTGCACGCCGCGCCTGTCCGCTCCCGGGCGCGCCCCGGTGGTGACGCGGCGCCGTGTCCGTCCTCGCAGGAGTACTCGGTGAACTCGCTCCTGGCGCCGGTGCTGGAGATCGCGGCGTCCGCGCAGCAGCTGGTGGTGCAGGACGCGACGGCGCGCAAGTACCTCGGCGAGGACGCGGTCGCGCCCTCGGTGATGGCGCGCGTGGCAGTGCTGCAGCCGTTTCTGACCACGGAGTCGTTCGTGACGCCCGCACTCACCGGCATGGAGGAGGACGTCCAGCAGCGCTCGCCGCCCATCCAGGTGGCGCTCGTGAAGGCGCTCCGGGACGACACCTCGACGCGCCTGAGGACCTCCACGCAGGAGTCGCTGCAGACGCAGGCCGGCAAGGTGCGCAGCCCACCTTGACGATCACTCGCAGGGCATGATGTGCACATCACTGGGGTTTGGTGCTGACATCGTCCCGTTACCCATACCATCCCTGCCTGCTGCAGGCCCGCTTGGGTACGGCAGACCTTCGTCGCGTGCTGGCGATTGTGCGGGAGGCGGTGATCCACGTGGCGACGGAGGCCAAGCGCGTGCTGCTGGCATCCTACCTCGACCTCCTGAACGCACTCTCGCTGCGCAGGGCCGAGGCGCCCTCGCTGACTTTCATGCGTCCAGCGGCCCCTGCAAGGCCGAAGAGGTGGGGCCGTGCGCGGCGAGCACCCTTGCTGATTAGCACAGGCCACAAGCGAGTCGCCGATTCAGACAGCCTGTGCTCGTGTCGTCCTGCCTGCAGGCAACCTCCCGCGGCAGCGCAGAGCAGCCAGCAGCCAGCACAACCCTCGGGACTCGTGATCGGGCCCGGTGCAGATGGTGTTCGACGCGCAGGTGGGTCTCCCACACCAGAATGCACCGCGCGTGGGGCGCGGCGCGTCGCCTGTGCCACGCCTTGCTCGCCGCATCGACGGCCATACGTCACCGTGCTCGGCCGATGTTTGCAGGGAGCGCGGCGCGGCGCCGCCCCCCCGCGAAGAAGGTCAAGAAGAAGAAGAAGGCCAGCGCGGGGGAGGCGGGGGCAGCGCCGCCCTCGCCGACGCGCAAGCCCAGGAACGTGTGGGCGGGGTCGAAGAACCACACGCCGAAGAACCACACGGAGCTGGCCGCGCGCCTGGTGTGCCCGCTGGTGAAGGACGTCCCGGGCTCCAAGAAGTGGCGCGAGGTGCTGCAGGAGCGCAAGGCGGAGAACAGGCCGCTGCTCGCGCCGCCCAACATGGGCGCAGCCACGCCTAACCCGGAGCCGTGGAAGCCGTTCTCGAAGGGCGAGGACGAGAAGCCCCTCCCTGGCTACACCACCGCCCACACCAAGCTCCACCACCTGGTGTGTGCGACCGCGTCGCCGGCCCGCCCCCCTCTACCTCACTCCCCGCGCGGCGGTGCACCGCCCCACCCGTGACACCGGCACACCCCCCCCGCGTGTCCCCCCGCGCAGGTCCACAAGATTGGCAAGCTCCATGTGATGCGCGAGAACTTCACGCGGGCGATCCTCGACCTCGACCTCGCGTCCCTGCGCGCCGAGGAGCAGAAGGCAGACGTGCAGCGGGAGCTGGGCGTGGCGCAGGCGCGGCTCAAGGTGCGACTGAACACTTGGAATGCAGCACACTGCCGCCACGGGCCTCGCGCACGCGCCGCACCGAATGTCGCGTTGGCTCACACGGCTGTTGCAGAAGGCCATGGCCATCGAGCGTTCGGAGGTCGTCGAGAAGCGCGAGACGGAGCTGGAGGCCGTCCAGCTGCGGGCCAGCAGCATCCAGCGCACCCTGGACGAGATCCGCTCGCGGCAGCAGGATCTGCAGACCCAGGTGCGCAGTCCGCTGGGCTGGTTGCTCGATCGCGGCCCTGTGTCGGGGGCGAGCAAGAGCGCGCGACGCAGACGCTGGCGAACAGCAGCGCCCCCCTCCCCCCGAGTCTGGCGCAGGTCGCTTCCGTGAACGAGAGGATCGAGGAGTCGGAGCGCGAGCGGAGGAAGATGGAGCGTCGGGAGGCGGCGAGGGAGTCGGCTGCGTGGGAGGCGGAGGTCAAGTCGCTCCTGCAGGACAAGCTGAACTCGGAGCTGGGGCAGAAGCTGCAGAGGCTCGCCGCGCGGAAGAACGACCAGCCCTTCATGTTCGAGGGCGGGGCCCCGGCCGCGGACCCCGAGCTGGAGGAGGTCCGCAAAGAGGTAAACAGTCGCCGCTACCCGTTGTCTCGCCCCCCGCTGATGTGCTCCATGCGCAAATGCAGATGGCATGTCGACTGTGCCCTGCGTCGCAGATCATCGCAAACATCAGGAGCCGGGGTCCGTGGCAGATCACGAGCGAGGCGCTGATGCGGGGCCGTTTCAAGTCCCGCCCACCTGGGGCAGACGCGAGCACGGAGACGGCGTGGCGGCAGGTGTGGAAGTGGGTCTGGTCCTGGATGGAGGACATGGTGCAAGAGGGGCGCCAGTGGCAGGCTGACGAGGAGCAGGCCGCGCCGGACCCCGAGGGCGACGTTGTGCACTGGGAGGGGCGCGCCTACTCGGTGCACGGCCTGTTGATGGCCGCGGCCGAGGACGCCTGCCGTCGCATGGGCACGAAGCTCAGCAAGTACTGGGAGGAGCTCGTGCAGGAGAACATCGCCGACGACAACGTCAGGGTGAGCGCGAGGCCCTGTGCATCGCAGCCCCTGCCGTGCTTGCGCGAGGGAACGACCGTGGTGGAGCCCAACACGGCTCAGATCGTTCCGCACTTGCAGGCGGCCAAGGCGATGGAGGCTGCGCACAGGAAGGCGCGCCCGGAAGACGGGGACGCTGCCGAAGCGGCGGAAGCGGAGGACACACCCCCCCTGGACCCTCCTCACGTTCGCCTGATGCGGGTGCGTGTTGCCATTGAAGGGCACTCGGGCGTGGAGCTGCGTTGCGCACGTGATTCCGACACCGAGCCCGTTGTGTTCCGTCGCCGCAGAACGTCCTGCCTGGCCTGGAGGCGCCCCTGCGCGACTACATCATCCAGGTGCTCGAACTTGGCGAGAAGGTCGAGGGGGGCCAGGAGCGGGAGATGTACCACGGCGGGGAGGCGCCGCGCTGGAGAAGGCCGATCACGTTCCTGGACCTCGAGGTGGTGCTGCGTTCGTGGCAAGTGAAGACGCGGGACGGCGGGGAGGAGAGCTACCTCGTGCAGCGGCTCGCCGGCGGCCTCGACGACCTCAGACAGCGCCTCGCGAAATCTGCGGTGGCATGCTGGCGCGGCTTGGGGGCGTCTGAGTCCAGCGGCGTGCAGCGAGCCGTGAGCAACAAGGTGCGACGCCCACAGCGTCCGACAGTCCTGGAGAGTCCCCACGCGTTCCGTCGTCCACTCACGTGCCTCCTGCTCGCGGCCACCATGCAGGTCCTGCGCGAGTCGACCGCCATTTTCGGCAAGGTCCTGAACGACATCAGCGACGGCGTCAAGCTGCTCTGTCAGGACGGCTTCACGGGCGACGTGGCCAACAAGCTCTGCAGCGCGGCGGGGCCGCTCGTCGAGGAGCAGGTCGGGGCTGGCCCAGGATGTACTCCGAGCCCAACGGCCTGCACTCGCCTGGTAGATGAGGCGGCCTCCAACAGAGCGCGCGTGCGTGTTCGGTTGGTGCAGGGTGACCGCCTCGAGACCGTCCTGGACAGCCTGATCCGCGAACGGGTGTCTGCCGCGGTGGACAAGGTCAGGGGCGAGCTCGAGACGTCCCTGCCGACGGACGTCAGCTCCAGCCTCCTCAACATCAAGGAGCCCATGCGGCAGGTGCTGACGTCCAAGGTGCAGGGCGTCGTCAGCGGGCTCGAGGACGACCTCACCAACGCAGACTTCAGGACGCCACTCCACGACAGCGTGCGGAGCCTCTGCCAGAGCCTCCAGAGCCGCGCCCCGGACGTGGCGGCGGACGCTGTGTCGAAGGTGCTGTCCACACACGTGGAGGGAGTCAGTGAGCGCCTGGCCGCGGCAGTCTCCAGCTCCGTCAGGGAGCCCGTGGCCGCGAGGGCGACGGAGTGGGCGGGCGACACCATCGCGGACACAACCGGCAAGGTGCGAGCCTCACCTGCGCAGGTTGTGGTTGTTGCAACTGTCGTCCTACATCCTTCCGCGCCTTCAACGTCAACTCGGCACCCCCGGCCGCAACGCAGATCCTGACCGCCTTGTCAAGGACTCTGGATGCTGTGCGCGAGGGGCGCCAGCTGCCCGAGTCGGCACTCGAGAGGCTCGGGGCGGAGATGCAGTCGAGCATGAGTGCCGCCGTGGACGAGCTGTGCGGTGAGTGCCCCTCGCCCATTGACCGCCGAACGGTGCCTCTTCCGCGCTGCTCCAGGCCGCTCGTAACGAGCGTGCAGCGCATTCGTAGACTCCCGCCTCTGTCTTTGGTGTTGTTGGTGCAGACTCGCTCGGAAACGCCTGCATCTCAGCGATCGTGCGGGCCTACATGGAGAAGACGCGTGTGGAGATCATGAGCGCCGTCGAGACGGCTATTCCGGTCACGACTGCGCGCATCCAGCGCGAGATCGACACGAAGTCGCAGGCGCTGGTTCGCGAGGTACGACGGGGCCCGGGTCCCTGCGCGCTGCTGCTCCAGCGCCGTGGCGACCTCCTGACCAGACCGAGGGGTGCCGAGTGCGCAGGTGGTGAGGAAGGCCGAGGCGGCGTACCACCAGAGCGAGGAGGGTCAGAAGCTGGGCACGCAGCTGAACGACGTGCTGGCGTTCCAGATCGCCGGCGCCACGGAGGGCTTCGGCATGGACAGGGCCAAGGACATCGCCCAGGTACGTGTGCGCGCGCTCTGCCTCGCACCTTGCGACCGCTGTCCGCTGAACCTGCGGCCCCCACCCAGAAGATGGACCACACGTGTGCGCAGGGCATCGCACAGCGCGCGCAGATGGCCGTCGAGCCGGCCTGCGAGATGCTCGAGCGGCGGACGCTCGAGGTGGCCTACATCCTGGCGGTGGCAGCGAAGGACGTGCACGTGTACGTGAAGCCGCACTGCGACCCTGCGGACCCTGGCTTCGTGCCCATGACGGGGCTCGGGGACCTCGCGCGCAGCACGGGCATCAGCCGCAGCGAGATCCGCCGCACGGTGCCGCAGATCGCGCCGCCGTCGCGGACGCCCTGCGGCGTCAAGCGCGCGTCGGTGTGGCGCCTGGTCTCGCCAACCATCTCCAAGGAGTACCTTGCCGCGAGCAGGGCGCTCAAGAAGGCGCACGCCGCGCGCCAGGCCGAGCGCGACAGCGGCGACAACGAGCTCGACGCACTGCGCGGCGACGCGGAGGCCGAGGAGGCCAAGGCTGCCAACAAGCCCTACATGCCCCCGCAGCCCTACGTCGAGGGGCCCTGCAACGAGATCGTCCTGCGTATGGCCAAGCGGCACCAGATGGACATGCGTCAGGTGTGGGAGGACTTCGTGGAGCAGGAGAGGGCGCGCGCGGCCGGGAAGCAGGGCGCGCCTGCCAAGAAGCCCGCGCTGCTCAAGCTCTTCCCCGGGGTGCCCAGGCCGCTCATGGCGTACCTCATCACCCTCCTGCGCATATCCGGCCTCGAGGACACGAACAACGTCGTGTCGCGCCTGGAGTTCGACAGCACGCTCGCGGCATGGAAGATTGTGCTGGTGAGTGCATCGCATGCTCACTTAACCGCAGTCCGTCGCCGGTGACTCCTGCTCCTGCGCGGCCCCTGATCGCGCACTGTGTGTTCCTTCCGGCGCCGCAGGTTCGCGACGAGTCGGACAAGAAGAGGGTCGAGAGGGTGGAGATGCGACCCATGGAGGTGGACCGCGGCGCCATTGAGGGCGCGGAGAAGCAGCTTGCAGCCGCGGCCGTGAAGCAGTGGGAGAAGACTGCGTCCCGGCACGCCGAGCAGGTGGTGTCCGCCGTCGACGGCGTGCTGTCCAACGTCATCTCCCGGGTCCCCGCGGCACTGACGGGGGACGTCAACGTGGCCACGACCCACAGCTTCGACGACCTGCTCGCTGCTTTCAAGTCGGGCGCTGACCAGGCGATCGAGTTGTCGATCAAGGAGATGGACAGCGACCTCCCCAACATCTTCAGGGATGCCATGCTCAAGTTCGCGCAGACGGTCGCCGACAACATCCCCCGGGATGCGTCAGCGAAGGCGTGGGTCGCCGACGATGCCCGCGCCCGCGTCGAACAGGTCGCAGCGGCGCTGTCGCAGCGGACGCGGGCCAGTGCGGATCGCATTGCGTCGCGCATGAAGGCCTTCGTCTCCTCGCAGGGCCGCGTCTCGAACAAGGAGATGGCGACCCGGATCACGGAGGCAGCGGTGACGGCGGCGCGTCAGTGCGGCGCGGCAGTGTCGACTGCCGTTGCGTCGCACCTGACCCACACTGAGGACGTGGATGCGGAGAGGGCCGCGCACGTGGTAGACGACGCCCTGCAGCGCGAGGCGGCGGCGGTCGCGTCTGCGATGCCATCGGTCGTGATGCGGGCGCTCGGCCTCGCGGAGTTCCCCGGGGAGCGCGCCGCCGGAGAGCCTCGGCCCTCGTACGAGGCGGCCAAGGACGGGGTGCTGCGGGAGATCGAGGAGCGCCTGACCAGTGCGGCCACGCGCGACTTGCTGCGGGTGAGCACGGACGCCAACGCGGCCCCCCCTCGTCGTCGCTCGCGCTAGTCGCGTGCGGCTGCGTTCCTCACCCGGGCTTGCGTTGCGCGCTTGTGCAGGTGTCTGACGAGGAGAAGTTCGTCATCAATGAAGACGCGGCAGTGGGCAAGCTGCAGGAGGAGATCAAGAAGCACCTGCGAGAGGTGACCGGCGCGGCCCTGGACGCGGCGGTCAAGGAGGGCCTCGCCTCTGAGCGTGCAGTGCTCGCGAGCCTCCTCGCCCAGGATGTGGCGGCCGCGAACAACAAGGTATGACCCGTGTGCGTGCATCACCTTCCCTGGTCTCGCCGCTTTCATCGCGCTGTGTCGAACCAGCGGTCGTTTCGAATGAAATTGTCGCAGGTCAGGAAGGCCACGCTGCGGTGGGCCAAGGGCCAGTTCGTGCACGCTGCGGTAGAGTGTGCGCTCTCCGCAGCGATGCGGGCGCGTGACCTGCACTGCGCCCTCGCGGAGGCCGATCCCCGGCGCACCGGGTCTGTCGACCCGGCCGGCGTTGCGCACCTCCTGCGCATCTCGGGCTCCAAGACACGGCAGGAGGCGCGAGTCCTGGTGAGTGGTGCACGTCTCACGAGCGCCGTGCGTGCGTCGAAAGTGTCTGGAGGTGGTTCTGATCGCGATCGGCGTACCCGCCCTGCAGGTCGGCTCCCTGTTCCCTCCTTGTGGCCCGGACGGCGAGATCCTGGCGGTCAAGGCGATGGAGGCGAACCGGTCCGAGCTGTACTTCCGCGTCAAGAACTACCTGGCGCACAAGACGGACGAGGCGCTCTCCGAGCGGGCTGCAAAGGTTCAGTCCGAGGATGCCAGCGTCGACGAGGCCATCAGGGAGGAAGACCAGGCGATGACGCAGCAGGTACGCGCCCCTCCCTCGTGGCGATGCGGGAGCACGAGCTGTGCGGTCCGTCTGGAAAGGCCGACGCGACAGCACGCGTTGTGCCCCATCCACCTGCAGGCAACACATCGCCCCGCCATCAGGCCGCGCTCTGCCCGAGCGTCGGACGGGGTGAGCTCGGTCGAGAGCGAGGTCGGCGAGGAAGATCACGGAGGGAAGGACGCAGGTACGACATCGAGTGTTCGAGCGCGTGTGCGCTGCCGTGCACGGGCCGCGATCAGAGAAGTACTGACATGTGCACCACGTCTGGCCACGTCGCCCCGCAGGCTCGCGAGCACCAGACCCAGGCAGCACTGTGGAGGAGCTCGTGGAAGAGCCGGAACCGCCGCGGCATAGTCAGCCGGCTGCGGTGTCCGAGGCAACGCAGCCCCCTGCCGTCTCAGTCGCGCAGCCGTCGAGGCAGGAGTCCGCGGCGAAGGCGTCGGCAGTCGAGTCGGAGCCGGCGTCCGCTCCCGAGACGCTCGGCCGGTCCGTGTCGGCTGGAGCTGCGCTGGCGCCGCAGGGGGGGCCGGTCCGCCCCGCGCCCGCGGTGGGGGACGACTCCCGCTTGACCCCAGACTCCAGCGACGGCGGGATCGGGCACCAGGCGAACACGGCTCCGGCCAAACGACCCTCGCGTGGCAGCGTGAGGAGCAGGGACAGCGCTGCGTCGTCGCAGCACCCTGAGCTCGCGGCGGAGGCCTCCAACCTGACCGCAAGCGACTTCTTCTCCGAGGCGAGCCACCCGCGAGATTTGTCCGAGTCGCTCGCAGCACGCTCCTCGCAGTGCGCGCGCCCCTGTCGGACTGCTACGCACGACCGGGCGTGCGTTGTGTCACTGTGCGACGGGTCAGCATCTGTGTCTCGTCTGCGTGCAGTTGGACGCGTACCTCAAGCGCGAGAAGATCCGGCTGGTTGACCTCTGGCGGGTGTACGACAAGGAGAACAGCGGCGGGATCCCCGCGTCGGAGTTCGGCAAGCTGCTGCTCGACGTGGTCCCGGCGCTGACCGACGGCCAGGTCCGGTATCTGACAGTGATGCTCGACGTCGACGGCGACGGCAGCGTGGGCCTCGACGAGTTCCTCGACCTGTTCAAGCTCTCGCGGGAGACCGGGACGCAGCTGCACGTCAGGGACCGCGTCGGACTGAAGGACGTCCTGCAGCGGATGGCCATGTTCCTCAAGGTGAGCCAACCTCCTCCCGACGGACCACCGCGGCGGAACACGAGGCTCGAACGCGGAGCGCCGACCGAGCTCACAAGCTCTCTTTCGTCTCTGATCGTCCCCGCAGGATGTGCCCGGAGGCGCCCGTTCACTTTTTGCGGCATACGATGTGGACGGGTCGCGCGAGCTGGAGGCACGGGAGCTCGTGCACATGTTCCGCGATGCGCTGCCTGGTCTCACGACGCAGGAGATCCGTAACATGCTGTACCAGATGTCGGAGCTGGACCCCACACAGGACGGCAAGGTGTGCTGAGCCGTGCGCGCCGCATGGATCCGCCACGCACAGCCGCTCGCCGCCGGTGGCGCACAGCTCTTCTACCTGTCCCGCGTCATCGCAGGTCTCCCTCGACGAGCTCGAGAAGGCGATAAGCCCCTACTTGTCCCCGCAACACTCGAAGCCGGCGTCCCAGACCGTCTCCGCGCCCGTCTCGGGGCAAGCGGGCACGCAGCTGCCGCCCACGGTGGCGGCGTCTGCCTCGGACGTCAACCGCGGCGCACACCCCGTGCAGGAGCCCCTCCGCGAGGTGGCTCCCGCGGTGGTGGAGGAGATCACGGAGGAGTCCGAGGGGCCGGACGGGTTCGAGGTGGACGGGGCCGGGAGCCTGCCGCTGCTCGAGGGCATCCAGCGGTACGTCCACATCCAGCCCAGCAGGGTGGCGGACGTCCTGGCGTCCATGGGCGGCACCGTGCGGGACGAGGGCCTGCGCGAGGCACTGCGGGAGATCCTGCCGCGGCTGTCCGCGCACGACGTCGACTTTGTAGCGGCGATCGTGGAGGCCGGCAGCACGGACTCGACGGTGTACGGTCCCCAGCGGCTGTCGCTGAGCCTCGAGACATGCTACGAGGTGTCCAAGATGGCTCAGGCCGAGGGGCTGCTCTCGCCGGGCATCGTCGCGCTCACGGACCGCATGCGCGTCGCGGGCGAGAGGTGCCGCGAGGCCTACAACCGGTGCGTCGCGACAGCTCGCAGCGGGGCGCAGGCGTTTGTGGACTTCATGCACGAGGTCTGCCCGGACGAGAAGGCGCTCAGCGTGCGGGCGGCGCTGGCGATCTTCCGCGACTTGACTCCGGGGCACGACTGCGAGGCGTCGTACGAGCAGCTGGTGCGGGACCTGCGGGTGCCTGCCTCGCGCCCGTCGCAGGCAAGCAGCGACCAAAGCCACGCCCCGCCCCCGCCGCCCCCGCCGCCGGCGGTCCCGCCGCTCACCAGCAGGCCGTCCATGTCGCCGTCCGCGCCGCCACCACCGGCGGCTGCGATGTCGGAGGAGCAAGCCGCGGTGGCCATCCAGGCCGTCTTCCGCGGGCACATGGCGCGCCGACAGCGCCCGCCGGCGCCAGCACCCCTGGCGGTCGAAGGTTCGGCCGCGGGGAGCGAGGAGCGGGGGACCGTCCCTCCCACGCCCGCCGTGGTGACCGTGCCGGAGACGCCACAGCACGGACACGAGAGCGTGGCTGCGTCACCGGCGCCCCGGCGGATGGTCGCCGACGCTCCTGTCGAAGACATTGCGTTCGGCGGAGAAGGCATGGGGTCGTTAGAACTTGACTGAAACATGCGTAGCGCGACCCGGAACTCACAGCAGTCCGGCGGGCTCTCGCTGGGGCCATGTGATCGTAGATGACGCGAGGTAGCACGGCACGGATCCTGTCACGCCCGCAGGGACATCAAGTCGGCCTCCAGCCGCTTGGGCACGGCCTCCGGCCCTCGAGACGCATGGCTCTGTGGCGGTTCTGGCGTCTCAGGGAGCGGCGACGGAGCGTTGCCGGGCTCGCTGGTGCCGTCCGCTCCATCTATCAGGCTCGCGACCAGCGACGCGTGCTGGGACCGCAGGCGCTGGAGCGTCCTGGACGTCTCCATGCGCTGCAAGGCCGCTGGCGTCGCAAGCCGCGTGAGCTCGGCGATCTCCTCGCGGTGGATGGCGACCTGCGCGTTGGCGATGGCTAGCTCGAGCTGCAGCTCCGAGAACCGCGGGAGATGGACTGTTTGGTACTCGGCCAGGGCGTCGCACATCATCTCTCTCTCTTGCAGCAGTGATGCCAGGCCGATCGACAGCTGCGAGTTCTGCTCCGCGAGGGCTTGCTTCTCTCTCAACAGCGCCTGCAACGGTCCGGTGCACCGCGTCTCTCTGTGAGGCGCCAACTCACGTGTCGACGCAGGGTGCAGCGCGAGAGTCAACAGGGGAGCACCTGAAGTTGGCCTTGCAGGAGGTCCATGGTCGCCTCCTCCTCGCCCGCCATGGATCCGTTCCGCCTGTGCCGGGACACCTCCGCCCCCGCGCCGTGTGCGCTCCCCGCGCCGGTGAGAGAGTCCCCGGGGGGCTCAGTGGCGTCATCCTGCGTCGCGGCGCGCGCCTGGACGACGAGCTGCCCCCGCAAAGCGTCGAGCTCTGCCTCCGCCTCCTCGAGACGTCGCGCCATCGCCCCCAGCACGTCGTTCTTGGCCCGCAGCGCCGCGTCGGCCATGTTCCTGTACGCGCAAAAGTCCCCCTCCGCAATCAAGGCCGTGCTCCTGCGCCACGAGACGGGAGCGACAGTGAGCAGCAGCCGTCGCGAGCAACTCGAGCGCGTGGCACCTTCCCAGCGCGCGGTTGGACGTGGGGAGGGTTGCCGCCCTAGGACGCTGCTTCTCAGGACGCAAAGCAAGCCGACATCGCGCATGCTGGCGCGAGGGCACTCGTCGACGATGATGGATCGCAATGACATGGCGTTGCGCGCGCAAGCAGGGCTTGACGTACCTCGGGGCGCCGTCGACGGCCGCCGCCTGCCCTCCCTCGTGGAGTTGCGCGCGCGTTGCATCCTGCGCCGGGCCCGGCTGCGCCGCGTCGGTGCATTGCGGCGGAACCCTTGCGTCTATCCTCCATGTCTCCAGCCACTCGCCTATCTCCTGATAGGAAGGCCCTTCCGTGACACTGCGGAAGACGTTCAGTCCAACACTGTTTCGCTGTTGCAGCGCGCGAACAGGATACATGGGAGCGCGGTGTGCGGGCGGCATGGAGGAGAAAGAAAGCTGAACGATATGCGCGGCCAGATTCGCGGCGGACGACGATGGCATGGCCGCAAGAGCGGCCGGAGGAGGCAGCGAGGTGGCAACACGCGCACGTCGCGTCCCCACTCCTGCAGCGCGCTGCGAGGATGTTACCCACGCTGCGGCGACGAGGTTATCGCCGCGCGTCTCTGCTACGACGAAAGCGCCCATGGGCGCGGGCGTGTTGCACGCGTTGCGCTCCAAGCCTAACTGCCCCACGCGCAGCCGCACAGCCGCACCTGATGGGTGGTGTCGCCCCCGGCCTGGCGGACACGCGCCCGAGCAGTGATCGCAGAGCCTCTGCCAGCATCCTGTTGCGACGACGCAGCGCTGGACGGATGGCACTGGTGTGCTCCTCCACAGCGCAGGGAGAGCAGCGCTGGGCGAGAAGGTCTTCCGGGGCCCGTTGTCCGTTGGTTCGATTCGTCGTAACCTACATCACTGCAGCGCGCCGCCCCCAGCCGCAGCCGACGTAGCCGGCCGCCGCTCGACGCCCCCTGGAGAGGCAGGGGCCCCGAGCTGGCTCCATCATCGGCGGGGCTATCGGCGTGCCGCGTACTCCCGTTCGCGACACACCCGGCGTGACTTGGCCAGGAAGGAGGGGCCGACATTCGTCTGCGGGAGTTCGGCCGCGCCATCGATCAGGAGGAATCCAGCCGCGGCAAGAGACACACCATGAACCGGCGCCCCCTGCCTAGGACGGCCGGCTGACGCGCACGTAGCTGGTGCATTATCGTCCTTTCGGTCCGGGAAGCACGATCGTTCGGCGCTTGGCGCGCTGGTCGAGCTACGCGGGCCTTGCACAAAGCTGGCCAGAGCAGGCCAGAGCAGAGGGGCGGAGGCAGCATGCTGCGCGTCAACCTCACGTGTCACTACACGATAGAGGTGGAAGAAGAGGTGAGAAGTTTCGGCAGCTCTGACACGGTCGACCCGCGCCCGTGGCGAATCGTTCCCCCTCTCGCCAGCCTGCACCACCGCGAGGCGTGGCGGCAACGAACACGCGTTTCACTCCCCCAACGTCGCATTCGCCAGGCGGTGTCTGCGGTCGTGCGCGCGACGCACGCGTTCGCAGCTGCGGCGGACCTCGGCAGCCGTGCCAATGCAGACCAACCTGTTGCCCGGCTGTGCGTCATGTATGCGCGAGCACGAGCACCTTTGCGGCGGCGGGAGCGAGGCCAACTGCATTGATCTTGGTTTCCGCGGCACGGTTCCCGGCACAAGGCAGCAGCCCGGCGTGCGCGGCGCCCCGGGTGCAGGAGTCACCTCACCCAGCTGCGCGTCGTTTCCTGCGCCGTGCCCGCTGCAGAGCGATCACCGCGCGCACTCCCGAGCTGGATCAGGCCGCGAGGATGCTCCGGCGGGCCGGAACCGCCGGGGGCGGTGGGAGGACCAGCGCACCGGCGGTCGCTCCTCGCGGCCAGCAGAGGTGCACCGGTCGCGCGCCAGCGGGAGCGACGGGGCGGGCACTTCGGCGGAGTTCTCGAGCACGTCGCGCTTCGAGCGCACGGACGTGACCGAGGAGTACGCGGCGGCGACGGGCCTCGCGGGCGGCCTGTTTCCGGACGACCCAGACATTCGCTGGGCCACCACCTCGAGCCCCCGCGACGCCCGCGCGCGCGGGGGGGCGCGGCCGCAGCGCGACGCGCGGGAGTCCTTCGAGGACTCGCGTCAGCTGTCGGTTCCCCGCGACGACCAGGCGGTGTGCACGGCCATCCTGCCCTACGGCGTTGACCCCGTCGACTGGGACGTCGGGCTGCGTCACAGGCTGTCCTCGGAGAGCATGGACGTCGCGAACGAAGGAAGTATGTCCGGACGAGATACGCCCGGGGCTCTGTCCCCGGCGGCGACCTCGACCGCGCGCCGGGGGGACGGGAGTGCCCGCTCGGTGCGCGGCGACTCGCAGGTGAGCCGCCGCGCACTCGCGCGCCCCCGCGAGCACACATGCGACGCCGCGACTCGCGACCGTCCCGCCGCGCCCCACCGCCGCCCGCCTCCCGCGCCTCGCAGGGCCCGACGCACACACACATCCACGGCGAGGTAGTGCTGGGGCAGCCCCGCATCGTGTACCGCTCCCGCGGCGCCGCGCAGCAGGAGGGATCCCCGGCAGCAGCAGCAGCCGCGGCGGCCGCGGCGGCGATCGCGCAGGCCAGCGGGTCCTCGCAGCGCGCGGTGATCGAAGCCGCGGCGCGCGCGGCTGCAGCGGCGGTCGCACGCGTGCAGCAGGGCCCCGCGCAGACCGGCGCCGAGTCGCCCGCCAGCAGCCGCCAGTCGACGCCGCGGCCGCGCGCGGTGCCGCGCGCCGCCGCCCGCGCACGCACCCCGGAGGCGGCCTTGGAGGTCCGGGCCACATCGGCCGGGTCGCTTGCCGCGGACCGCGCCGGGGACGCCCCGGAGACCCCCGATCAGTCCTTAGGCGGCACTCCGGGCGCGCGCCGGCACTTCCCGACGCCCGGGCGGCTCACCGAGAGCCGGCTGGCGCGCAGTCTGGCCCCGCTGTGCAGCGAGGCGTCCAACGAACAGCTCGCGCCCGCGGGGACGCCCAAGACGGTCAGCCCGTCCGGGGAGAAGTCGTCCGCGACCGTGGCGCCCGCCGTTCCTGGCCGCTCGCCGCTCACGAAGCCCCGGCCGAGCATCCGCCCGCCGCGCCGCACGGGCCGCGAGGAGGCGTGCATGTTCGTGCTGTCGCGCGCCGAGCGGGACGAGATGCACCGCGCCGCCGCGCGCCAGGCGCTCGCCGCCCACATTGACTCGTCGGACTCGGAGGCCACCACCCCGGGTGCGTCGCGCGAGCAGAGCCGCGAGGACATGTCAGGCCTGCAGCGGGCGCTGTCCGCCGCGGGGCGCGGGCTGCAGCCGCTGCAGGCGGGCGTCCTCGCGCGCTCGCAGCGCCGCCTGCGCGTCGGGCGGGACCTCGGCCTCGACCTGACCGAGCTCCCCAAGGGGCAGCAGCCCGCGCGCACGCTGGAGCCCATCGCCTCGGTGGGCAACGTGGGCGGCGCGGCGGCGCTCGTGGGCGGCGCGGAGAGCCCCGGCGAGGACGACGAGAGCTCCGCGGGCGACGTGGCGGTGACTCCCAACGCGCACTGGGGCGACCCCATGCTGGCCTCGGTGATGGACAAACTGCTGCCCAGCCAGATGGAGCATCGCCGGGAGGAGCCGGTCGCGGGGGTGAGGCCCGTCGCGGAGATCCTCTTGTTCGGGGAGGAGGACGGCGAGGGCGAGAACGGGGCAGGTGAGAGCGCGCGCTGCGTGCTGACGGGCGGCCCGGCGCAGGCAGCATTCCAGTGGCCGTTGCTCACATGATCTTGCTCTTTCGTGTCCGTTGCGCAGGGCGCCTTGTTCCGGGAGCGGGCCTCCCGAGCGGCAACCCCACGCCGCTGCTGGCGGACTTGGACACCGCGGAAGTCCGACGGCGGTCCGAGCGGCACGCCGCGGAGCCTGCCCACGGAAGCTGGGACGCGTGGGCCGACGCGCGGACGGGGCGGCGCGCGGGTCCGTCGACGCGGCAGGTGCAGCACCAGGGAGGGGCTTCGGGACACAAGGGCGAGCTGGGGCGCATGCACGGGCCGAACGCACGGTCGCGGTCGTCGACGATGCTCACAGGGCGCCTCGCGAGCAAGGCGTCGGAGCTGCCCTCCGGGCACAGCCACGCGGACGCGGGGTCGCGTGTGCGGGGAGCTGCGCGGGTGGGTCTGCCGCAACTGCAGGCGCGTCGCGCGGAGGGTGCGGGCGAGGACAGCACGGAGGCATCGATGAGGGACCGTCCGGGTCCGCGGCGGCACCTGTCGCACGGCCACGCCGGGCTGGGTGCACGGGTGCAGCAGCGGCACTCGGGGAGGCTGCAACACGTCGCCGAGGTCCACGGCGGACGCGTGGCGCCCAGGAACTTCCGGGCCGCGCCGTCGGCGGGGCCCTCCCTCTCCGGCCCCTCGCTCGCCGGGGTGCTGGGTGTGTCCTCGCTGCAGGGGAGCGAGCGCAGGTGATGGCATGCTGCTGCAGTGGGCGAGGTCCTGCACCACGAGTGATCGATGTACTAGCTCGCGCGCGACCCGCAGTCGGCCACGTCCTCGTGCGGTGGTGAGGTCCGACAAGGCCGTTGTCAGCCAGACACAGTCGCGCGAGACGTGTGATGCGGCACACGAGAGCGCCGCCACGCCACGACTGCACCGCCGTTTCTGCGGGGCGCGGTATCGCCTGCGCCGATGCGTTGTCTGTGCCGTCGTGATGCACTGCATGTCTCGAGCACTGCTGGCAACCTTGTCCCCGACATACTGACCGTTGACCGTGATGGAGACGAGAGCGAGCTGAACGGCGAACCGCAGGCGATAAGCATCAGCGGGCAGAAGCCTGGGGAGCTCAGCGGGACTTCCGCCGTCGGACAACGGCACGGACACCTCCAGGCACCAGCAACAGTACCCAGGGCCCTGCGTCTGTCTGCGGCAGACTGCCCGTGCTCGGGTCTCGGCGAGAAACGTGGAGCCCGACATCGGGGTGGAACAGAAGCTAGCGTTGCCTCGCTCGTTGACAGCGTCCCAGCACGTGCGTCGCAGCGCAAGGGCTGGCCCTCCCAGCACTCCCGCGTGGTTGGCCGCGCGACGATGTCCTCGACGACCGAGAGCCTGAAGGAGCGCATCCGTGCGCTGCAGGAGAAGTTCAAGTCGACGAATCCCGGTGCCTCGCGGCTGGTATGCGTCACCGGAGCCCCGCGCGTTGCCGCACTAACAACCCGGTCGCGGCGCTCCAGGCGCCAGGCCTGTTGCGGGGCTGGACTCACGCGGCTTTTTCGTCTCCTTACCTACTGACGGTCTCTCGACGTCGAGGATGCGCCGGCATCATCGCACGGCGTGGAATGCCGCGCCCGCGCTGTCCGCCTGCTCCAGCTGTCGTCCGAGCGATCGAGTGACTCCGCGTCGCATCGCCTACGTTCGAGCTAGAGTGAATGAAGCACATGTGTTCGTGTTGTCCTCGCTCTCAATCATCTGCGGGCCGGCCTTGGTGATCACCGCGCGGCTGCATTCCCACCTCATGGTGCAGGCCGCGAACGCCGAGGAAAAGACCGCAATTGCGTCGGCAGCGCTATCTGAGCGCGATGGAAACGTGAGGGCGTCGGCGGGGGACTCGTTTCCGCCCCTCCCTGCCGCGAAGGTGGAGGAATCAGGGAGGAAGGTGCACAGCCTGGCCTCCTCCCCGCACCGCAGCGCGGCCTGCGTGGGGAACGTCTCCGCCAGCCAGCCCCATTTCGAGCGTCCCACGGAGCTGTCGAAGTCCCTCAACGCGGATGAGTTCCACGACGCGGTGGAGGAGATGGGCAGCGCCGCAGCTACCCCTCGCGCACCACCACCGCCGCACACCAGTGCCGCCGAGGGCGCTGCCTCCGACCACGGGCAGGCCGCAGGTGCGCGCGGCGATCGCCGGTCGACAGTGTGCACACGTGGCGCCGAGCGACTGCGCGTCGCCCGCGCGGCTGTCGCGCCGAGGCGCCGCGCACTGCCCGCTAACAACTGCACCGTGCCCCCGCGCGCCCCGCAGCCGGCCGGTCGTTCGACGCGAAGATCGAGGGCCAGTTCGTGGACCAGCAGAAGCGTCTGGCGCAGCTGTCGGCGCTGTGCCGGCAGCAGCAGGAGACGATCAAGCGGATGCGGGCCCACGAGGCGCGGCAGCAGACCGACATGGCCACGCGCATGAAGGCGAAGGAGGCCGAGTGCCGCCAGGCGCAGCAGGAGTGCGCGACGGCCAAGGCGCAGCTGCAGGACCTGCACGCGCGGTACCAGGAGATGAAGCGGCGGTACACGGCGAGCATTGGCAACGAGGCCAAGTGGCAGGGGCAGATCGACGCCTTCGAGCAGTCGGCGCGGGCGGCGTTCGAGCAGGCGTGCAAGGAGCGGGACAACGTCGCGAAGCAGCTGGCGGACGCGCAGCTGAGCATCGAGGAGCTGCAGAGGGAGATTGTGCAGCGGGAGCGGGCGGCGACGGTGTGGGCGCAGGAGAGGCAGGCGGCGCAGGCAAAGCTGCAGGAGCTGCAGGGCCTGCAGTGCGCGAACCAGGAGCAGAAGGCGCGCATGGACGAGCTGGTCCGGCGCGGCACGCAGGCGGAGATGAAGGCCCAGGAGGCACAGGCCAAGGTCTCGGAGCTGACGCGGGCGCTCGGGGACTACACGGGCGAGAACAGGCGCCTCTCGAAGGTGCGCCGTGCGTGCGTCGCGTCCCGCAGCAGCACCGCTCGTGGCCTGAGCTGTGTGCGACGGATGTGCCCCTGCCCATGCTCGCATTTTCGCGAACCGCAGGAGTTGATGGAGAAGAGCGCGCAGAACGAGGAGCTCATGCGCTACTGCGAGCAGCTCATGGAGCAGGTCCGTCAGTCGTCGTGACGAACAACGTGCGAGGAGTACTAGACACGATTACACATGTTAAACAATTGCCTTGCTGTGGTCTCGACGCGTCGCCCTAATCGTCGAGCACGCGTGGACCTAATGGTGCGCTTTGTCGACGCGCGAGTATCAGTCTCATCTAATCTAATCTTATCTAAAGGTGAAGGGGAAGGGACGACGTTGTTGTTGTGTTCCGTCACGGCAGGGCGACGAGCATGGCCTCCGCCGCGCTGCAGAGCGCGAGGATGCTGCTGATGCCGACCGCGCCCTTGCCGGAGTAGAGGTCCCCGTGGTTGCTCAGGGAGTTGGATTCGGACCCGATGGAGTCCACCAAGGCCAGCACGGGCTTCAGCACCGTCGAGTCCGCCTTGCCGGCCCGGAAGAGCTCCTGAACGCTCGCCTGCGCCCCGCGACACAGCGCGAACAGCCCCGCCGCGTGCATGGCCCCCTCCTGGGCCGCCATCGCACGCCCCTCGACAGCAGCCTGGCGCTGCACCGCATTGCACAGCGCCTGGATGGCGCGGATGGAGGCCAGCACCGTCTCCCGCGGGCTGAGGCCCTCGACCACCTGGCTCGTGCTCCCCGTCGGGTGCGAGTCCCCCGGCGTCATCGTCTGCACCTGGCTCGACCCGCGCTGAGGCAGGCCCTCAGCCTGCGGCTCGGCGGGCGCGGGGTCCCGGACGCGCGTCGAGAGCTGCGACACTGGCACGATCTCCGCGGGGTCGTCGGCGGCGTCGTGGACGCGCGGCAGCGAGGAGAACGAGTGTTCGTACGCGGGGTCCTCGGGCTCGCAGGGCGGGGCGTCGCTGGGCGAGCACTCCGTCACCTTGATTTGGAAGCACTGGCTGTCGAACACGTGGTCCGGCGTGCGCTGCAAGATGCCGAGCATGTCGAGGTTGGTGTTCCGCGCGACGACGCTCTCCACGACCGCGGCGGGCCGCGCGCGCACCCCCTCGTGGGAGATGAACATGTTGCGCTCGCCGGAGGTGCCGAGGGCGCGCATGATCTTCACGAGCAGGGAGTTCTGCAGGTTCCTGGTCTGGCAGTGCACGTCGCGCCGCACGGGCACGGCGAGCGCCAGGAAGCTCCCGCGCTTGTTGCTGTGGCGTCGCCCGTGGATGATGATCTCCAGGCCGTACGTCTCGAGCGACGTGATGTCCTCGTAGAGCATCGTCCAGCGCACGTGCCGCCGCGTCAGGTTCAGGTAGATGATGCGCTTCTCCGTCAGCAGCAGGGCCTTGTTCTCCTTGTTCTGCAGGAAGTCCTGCACGTGCTCGTCCTTGTACCGCCCGTACTTGAGGCGCCCCGCGACCTCCGTCCACTGCCGGAAGATCGCCCGCGCGTTGTCGCCGATCTGGTCGCGGTGCAGGATGGAGATCGGCGCGCGGATGCGCTTGCGGTTGTTGCGTGCCTGCTGCACCACCGAGCGCATCCCGCTGTTCTGCACGCTCTGCGCGACGCCGTGCACGGTCTTCGAGGCCAGTTCGAAGAGCCCCCCGATGGGCTTGAGCACGAACCCGAGGCTGCCCTTGGCCACGCCCTTGGAGAAGCCGCGGAAGCCCGTGCGTTGCGCGCCGATGATGGGCATGCGCACGATGCCCGTCAGGCCGTCCACGAGCCCGGACGCGAGCGCCTGGCCGCCGTACTGCATGCCCTGCAGCGTGTTCTGCGGGCGCCGGCGCGAGCGGAGCATGTACTGCTCGTCGCCGGACAGCAGGGAGAAGCCCTTGGAGATGCCGCCGGAGAACTGCCCGAGCGCGGTGAGGAGGCCCATGAGCGAGCTCTTGAACGCGCCCGTCGCGCGGTCGGTGAGTTCGACGGGCGAGGACGGCAGGGCGCGGTCGGCGCGGTTGCCGCGCAGGGCCTTGAAGGGGGAGATGGCCAGCGCGACGGCGCCCTTGCCGAGCTCGGTGAGCATGATGACGGGGGAGAGGATCTCCATGGTGCCGAGGATCTGGTAGATCTCGCGCAGGGCCGCGCCCGAGAGGTGCTTGTGCACCGTGTTGTACAGCTCCTCCGAGGCCATGAGCTGGTTGTTGAGGACCAGCGCGCCGATGCGGATGGGCACCTGGTTGATGTCCATCAGGTTGATGCCGAAGTTGCGGAACATCCGGAGCCCCTGCCCCGCGCCCTGCGACAGGTAGTCGAGCTGCGAGCTCTCCGCGTAGGGCACAATGGTCAGGTTGACCTTGATGGTGTCGATCTTCAGCGTCTTGAAGTAGAACCGCGTGGAGCTGCTGCTCTCCGTGTGCACGTGCGACGCGCTCGCCAGCCGCGACAGCTGCTCGCGCAGTTTGGCCGACTCGGTGTGCCGCACCGACCCCACGCGCTGCAGCTTCGCGTCGTCCTCCGAGCGCAGGTGGTCCACGGGGAGCGAGTTGAGGATGCTGATGGCCACGTCGATGAGCTCCTCCTCGACCACGAAGTCCACCTCCGCGATGTCGCACGTGAGCTCCTCGAAGTTCATGATCGTGGGGTTGGCAAACGACCGCTTCGACCACACGCGCAAAAACGGCGTGCTCGCGCGCGGAAGGATGCCGCCGGCATGCTCCGCGCCGTTCCTGGCGTTGCCGACGCGGCGGTGCTGGTGGCGGTGGCGCTGCAGGAGCTTGTGCATGCGCGGGACGTTCTCCAGGTAGGTGGGGGTGCGGCTGAGGATGATCGGGTGCGTGGACGAGAGGAGCTGGTTGTCGACCTGGAGCGCGCTGATGGACATGCGGATGTCCTCGTGCGTCTTGAAGTTGCGCATCACCGCGCTGATGTCCTCCATCAGCATGAAGGCCACCTCGCGCGGCAGCTTGGCGCTCTGGCTCTCGACCATGCTCACGCCCACGCTGGCCAGCGACAGCTCGAGTACGAACGCGCGCAGGTCGTCGTCCGTGCCCTCCTCCTTCCACCGCAGCCGGATGTGCAGGTCGCCCGTCACGAACTTGTCCTCCTCGCGCCGCGCCTCGAGCGCCAGCCACGTGTAGTGCGGCCGCCCGTCCATGATCTGCGTCAGCGCCACCGACGCGCTGCCGAGGAAGACGTTGTGCCCCACGCGCCGCCGGTCCCACAGCGACAGCTCCAGCGTGTCCTGCGGCGTCGCGTTGTCGAAGCGGAACGACTCGTTCCACACCGGCGTCATCGAGTTGCGCGACACCTTGGACGTCTCCGTCTGCTCCCCCAGCCGCGTCGACAGGTGCGCCACCACGTACGAGTCCATCGTGTACAGCGAGCGCAGCACCTTGCGGCTGTACGTCGGCGTCAGGTTGCGCGCCTCCAGCACCGTCACCTCCAGGCGGCCCTGCTTGCTGGTCGCCAGCTGCAGCGACTGCGGGCATGCCTGTCCACACACCGCTTTCATGCCGTGCGCGTCGATCATCGCGCCGGGCTGCGTGATCAGCTTCTTCGGCGACAGCTGCCGGCTGCTGCGGCCCGGCGCCACCGACGGGGCGGGCGTCTGCGACGGCTCCGACTGGTCGGCGGGCCCGATCTGCGGCGTGGGGTGCTGGTTGGACGCCAGGAAGCGCTCCTCGAGCTGTGCCAGGATCTCCAGCCTCGCGTCGAGCTCCTCCTCGAGCGACCGCACCTTGAGGATGATCTTGTCCAGCGGGGTGATGCGCCACGCGATGCCCAGCTGCAGCACCGCGCCAGCGCCGTCGCTGCGGAGCTTGCCGGCGTTGCGCTTGGTCAGCGCATAGGTCTTCAGGTCCGTGACGCTGAACCCGTCGACGCGCTGCTTGGTGCGCTCCACGTCGCGCAGCGGGATGATCACCTCGCCGACGCAGTCGTCCGCGCCGACGACCGTGCGCGCGTACACCGCGATGCGCAGGTCCGACCGGTTGCTGACCGTCTGGAACACCACCTCCTCGTGCCACTCCGCGTCCCCGGACTTGCACTTGGACACCTCGGTCTTGAACGTCTGCTCCTCGCAGTGCAGCTTCATGTACACGTCCATGTCGCGCGCCACCGCGGCCCGCCGCAGGAGCAGCTTCCGCCCCTTCTTGTCCGCGTACAGGCCCTCCGCGCGCACCACGCGCACCGCCAGCTCCCCGCCAAGGAAGCCCAGGTCCGTCGTGCGCTTCGTGTCATCGCCCGCCGCCGACCCGGGCGTGCTCACCGTCGACCCGGCCTGCACCTCGCCCGACGGCAGCGCGCGCCCCTCCGTGTGGCCCCGCAGCGCGTACCGCGCGCGCACTACGTCCTCGAAGAGCCGCGTCTCGTCCACCATCAGCGACTCGAACGTGCGCGGCGGGGCGTGCGTCGGCGTCAGGAGCGTGTTCGACAGGATCATCGACTCATCCAGCGCGCTCAGCATCGCCGTGCTGCTTGCCGCGTCCGTCCGCCGACCACCGCGCAGCCCCGTGTTCTGACGCCGCACCTCCGAGGGCCCCGCCTCCAGGTACTTGGAGACGTCCATCGACATGAACCGCTTGCTCATCATGTTCGACTTCTTCCGCGAAAGCTGGCGCCCCGCTTGCCCCTCGCCCAGGGACTGCGACGTGCCGGCCTCACCCCGCCCCGCCGAGCGCTGCCGCTGCATGAAGGCCGTGACCAGCGGCGCGGCGCCGCCCTGGCCGCCGTGCGACACACGGCCAGCGAGCGGCGTCACGCCGTCCGGGGGCGCGCTGACGGGGCTGGCGCCCGCGGCGTCGCCCTCCTCCTGCACCGCCTGCAGGGACGCGCGCGCGCGCCCGCTGTTGAGCTGCGACAGCTGCCGCTCCCCGGGCAGCTCGTCCGAGCCCGCGTCATCCTCCGCAGGCATCGAGCGGCCCGACGGCGACCGGTCCCTCATGCTGCCGAACGTCCTGCCGCTCAGCTCGCGCGCGATGTCTGGCACGGCGCTCTTGGTGCGCGCGTGCAGGTGCGGGGGCATGACGTCGCCCACCGAGACCTGCGTCAGGCGCGGCCCGAGCCCGGCGACCCTGTGGTCGGGGAAGCGGTCGTCCGCGTCGACGTCGCCCGCCTCGAGGTTCCCGAGCCCGAGGAGCGTGAGGTCGTGGTGCGTGAAGGTGCGCAGCTGCTTGCCCACGTGGTGGATGTCGGCGAGCAGGCGCTCCATCTTGATCTTCTGCGTGCGGATCTCCTCGTTCTCGTCGTGGCGCTGCAGCAGGATGTCGCGGTCGTTCGAGAAGGCCAGCACGCGCGTGGCGTCGTCCGCGTACACCGCCACGTAGATGTTCTCCACCGCCGTGGAGGCCATGTTGCCCATGCGCTGCTTCTTGCCGACGCCCTTGCCCTTGATGCGGCGCTGCAGGATGGTCGGGTGCACCATCAGGTTGTCCAGCTGGTACTCGTGCACCGCGCTGGACGCGTCCATGAAGCCCGTGCGCACCACCTCCACCTGCAGCCGGTTGCGGTCCATCTCCGCGGGGAAGTCCCACGCGTAGTGCATGAACTTGCCCGGCGCGACCTGGTCCCACTGCACCGACCGGCTCGGGCTCTTCAGGCTCTGCCGGAACTTGATCGTCGTCTTCCGGCAGCGGTTCTCCACGCGGTAGGGCACGGGGCGGTTCTTGGAGCTGATGAACGAGACCTGGAGCGACCCCTGCACGGGCGAGATGACCACGTGCAGGATGTGCACCTCGTGGCTCGACAGGTCGCGCAGCCGCACGCCGAAGTCGCTCGGCTGGTCGATGCGGAAGCAGCCCGACCAGGCCCAGTTCTGCAGCTCCCCGTCGAGCTTGACCTCGATGGCCATCTTCCCGAACCCGTCCGGCCAGTGGAAGGGCGTCTCGTGCTTCGGGTGCAGCACCAGCGGCCGCCCCTCGCACCCGCGCTGCCGCACGTGGATGGTCTCGTTGGTGGTGTTGACCATGAAGAACCGCGGCGTGAACGTGACGACCTTCACCTGGTCGTACGGCTTGGGCGCGACCGAGATGTGCACGCCGAAGTCCAGCCGCCCGTGCGTGCGCTTGAACGGGATCAGCTTGCGCATGTGCTTGCTGCGCAGCCGCACGTCCAGCGCGCGGCTCGACAGGCGCTTGCGCAGGCCCTTGCGGCCGTCCGACGGCGGCGGCGACAGCTCGCGCCCGCTCCCGCCGTACTCCTCCTCGCCGTCCGCGTCGTCCTCCGCGGCCGCACTCGACGCGGCCCCGCGCGTGGCCAGCATGCTGACCCCGCCCTTGGAGCCGATCTGCGTCACGTTGATGGGCTTGGTCCACGCGTGGTCCTTGGTGGAGAACTGGATGTTCCCGCGCGCGACGCCCATGAGGACCGGCTCCGGGTTGAGGTCGTCGTCGCTGCGCGGCGCCACGCGCTCCACGGTGCTGCCCAGCTCCTTGAAGATGATGTCGTGCCCCGAGAGGTTGAGCAGCCAGAACGGGCACGTGATGTTGATGGTCTTCTGGTTCGCGAGCTTGTTGTGCGTCCAGTCGAGCCGGAGCGACATCTGGCGGCCGTCGCCGGCGTCCAGCGACACGTCAATGGACTTCTCCACGACGTGGCCCTGCCGCGTGACGACCGAGGGGATGTCGTCGTCGAGGAACATGTTGGAGACGGGGTAGTGGATGGCGGTGGGCTGGCTCCGGAAGGGGTCGAGGCTCAGGTTGATGTAGAGCTTGTGCGACATGTCAAACTCCGTGACGTGCAGCTTGTCCGCGGACTCGACGGCGACCTTGTCCTGCGTGTTGCGCATGCCGCGCTCGTGGAGCTGCATCCTGACGGGGTAGGGCAGGAGGTTCTTGATGACGAGCGGCGCGCTGAAGACCAGCGTGTACATGGGCCGCATGCGCATGGTGCCCGTCATCGGAATGAACGCCTGCAGCTCCTGTTTCTGGATCGAGAGCGACGTGGTGAACCCGTCGAGGCGCCCCGGCTGCGGCGTGCAGTGCACGAGGCCCTGCTGCGCGAGCAGGACGCTCGGCTTGGAGTAGTCCAGGCGGATGGCGTCCTTCTCGGCCTGCTGGTAGCCCACCGCCTGGACGTAGATCAGGCCCGAGTTGATGAGCGACGTGGGCACGTAGCAGCGGCTCCCGGGCTGCAGAGGGCCGCTCTGCGGGAGGCTGATGATGCGGCTGTTGCGGCGGTGGGCGCCGTACAGGTGCACGCGGAACTCCAGGTCCGTGTTGGTCTCGTTCAGCAGGCAGAAGGGGCCGTGCACCGACAGCATCTTCGTGCGGTCCTCCAGCTTGACGTCCACGACCACGGGCATGTGCTCGTCGCTGCGCGTCCCCGCGTCAAACTCGTAGGCAAAGGTGCCCACCTTGTCCACCACCACGTTCGTCAGCGGGTTGAGCTGCCCCTCCACCTGCATGCTGATCGTGCGCGCGAGCACGTCCTGCTGCGTGTCGGCCAGCACCACGTGCACCGCCTTCGGCTCCTGCAGCAGCGGCTCCTCCGCCCCCGGTCGCAGCGCGTGGATGTGCGGCGCGTCGCCCACGCTCTCGTCCGCGGGGTTCTCCACCCAGCACGACAGCAGGCGGCCCGTCTCGTTCTTCACGATGTACAGGTTGTGCGCGCGGGCCGGCTCCTTGGCGTCACGCGCCCCGCGGTCGGCCAGCACGGGCGAGAGCAGCGCGCCGCGCGAGCCCGCCGCGCGCGTCTGCGTGTCGCGCCGCGCGAGCCGGCGCCGCAGGTTCCCGCTGTCCGCGCTGTCGAACGAGATCTGGTTCGCGAAGGTCATGGCGTCCCCGATCGACTGGAACGACGCCGGGCTGAACAGCACGTTGAGGCGCTCGCGGGAGCTGACCAGGACGTTCTGGCTGTTGCCCATGCCGCGCATCTCGAGCTGCACGCGCCACGGCTCCACGATGTTCTCCATCATGTCCATCGAGCTGTTCAAAAACGCCGCGTGCAAACTCAGGCCGGCCGCCGCGAGCCGGTTGGGGCTCACGCCCGGCACCACCTGCTCCTGTCCGACGAGGACGGAGATGTGCGACACCGCGGCCTGCAGCACGTCGATGCTGTGCCCGTGCCGGTCGTCCACCAGCGTCACCTCCACCTGCTCCACCACCAGCACGAACTGCTGCAGGGACGGCCGGAACGCCCCCGGTGCCGCCGGGGGCGGCACCTCCTCCTCGTTGGTGCCGCGCGCGCTCGCCGTGCGCCCCGTGCGCGCCTTCATCGACTCGCTGCGCATGATCTCGACGCGCGTGTTCTGCGCCGCCTGCATCGCGCGCCCCAGCGCCTCCTGCATCCCGCTCAGATCGTCCAGCTCCACGCCGCTCTGTGTGCCCATCGTGCCCGCCAGCGACGGCCCGCCGCCGCGGCCGAGGTTCAGGTGGTCCAGGAACGACGTGCCAGCCACTGGCGCCCCTGCGACGTGGGCCACGTCGTCGGCGGCCGCGGGCTCCTTCTTCGCGCTCTTCGCGCGCCGCAGAGACTGCCCGCCGTCCGCGAGCTCGTGGCCCGAGCCCTCGCTGCGCGGGTCCGACTGGGAGAGCGCGACCATGCGCGACGGGACCTTCGTGGGCCCCGGGTTGGGTGGGGCCAGCGCGCCCGCGGGGGCGTTCAGCCGCAGCGAGCCGCCGAGGATGGACCCGCTGTCCTCGTACCTCTTCACCTGGCTGAACAGCCTCGTGTTGTCCGGAATCGGCTCCGCGACGGCGGTGTTGAGGAACGAGGAGGCGCGCCCGCGCTTGGTGATGGGCGTCACGGTGGCTTTGCCCATGAAGCTGTCACCCTTGAGCGGCATGGGCTTGCGCACGAGGCCGGGGGCCGTGATTTCCTCCTCCCAGCTCGGCCGCAGCTCGTCCGTGCCGCGCGCGGAGTTTGCCAGCGTGCTGTCGAAGACGGCCTGCAGCTGCTTGCGCTCCTCGTCCACGCGCTCCTGCTCCTCCTGCTGCAGCTGCTGCCCGCGGCGCACGAGGCTGATGAGCGCGGTGATGGACTGCGTGTGCGCGAAGGACGGCCGCAGGTTGAGCGGCGTGAAGCCCGCACGCACCACGATGGAGCAGGGGCGCTCGTGGTTGCGCGGCGTGCTCCACCGCACGTCGAGGAACCCGCTGACGGGGCGCAGGATGCCCCCCTCGTGCGCGTCGATCTTGGCGAACAGATCCGCGTTGAGGTCGCCGCGCAGCTTGGCCGTGTCCACGCGCAGCTGCGTCTGCCCGTCGCCGCCCCAGTGGTACCCCACGCGCAGGGCGTCGAATGCCAGCGCGAGGTGGCGGTGGCTCAGGCGCGGCGCCTCGTGGATGGACTGCCGCGTCTGCGCCGGGAGCGGCACCTGGATGCGGCTGTGCGCCAGGACCACGTTGATGAACATCCACTGGTCCGCGTCCCTCCGCCGCGGGAACAGCGCGACGGAGTCCTTCCACATGTACCGCGTGAACACCTCCTGCACCTTGTGCACGACCGACAGGTCCGGCCCGTGCGGCCACAGCAGTTCCGCGCCCCACATCTCCACCTCCATAGTCGTGGGGCCCCCGCCGTCGTAACGCCCCACGTGGTCCTCGAAGTACCCGTTCTGCATCACGTACTGCACCCGGAAGCGCTTCGCCGGCCACTCCGCCGCGCTCCGCCCGGGCAGCGCCGGCACCACTGCCGTGCTGCCCTGCTCCCCGCCCAGCCCGTGCTGCAGCACGCTGAAGCCGGTCCCCGGCGGCTGAGGCGCGGCGCCGGCAGCGATGGCGGCCGCGGGCGGCACGCGAATCACGGGGATGTCCGTCCCGCTCGCGCCGGGCTCGAGCGCTGCCCAGCGGTGGTCCGTGATCAACAGCCCGTCCGACTCCACGCGGATGCGCCGCGAGGGGCGGTTCGGGCCCAGCTCGGGCGGGCTCGCGAACTCGTCGACGACGACCCTGCCGCCCGTGAGCTTGAGCAGCGACAGCCGCTGCCCGCGCCCGCGCAGGAAGTCGACGCCCATGGGCTGCGCCTGCGGGGGCTGCTCGACCATGGCCTGCAGCGCGCCGACGTCCACCTCGATCGACCACGACGGCTTCGCGTCCGGGTCGACGCCCAGCGTCGGCGGCAGGTCGGGCACGGGCTTCAACACCTCCCCGATCTTCTTTCCGTAATAGCACCCGGGGGTCTGCGGCAGGAAGGTCCCCGGCTCGGCCATGTTCTCGAAGGTGAAGGCCATGAGCTGCTGGTACTGCGCCTCCCCGAAGACGAGCGCGCAGTACGGCCACTCGAAGGTCATCCTCCACTTGCTGGCCTCCGGGCTGTTGCCCACCAGGATCTGCATCGACAGGTCCCCGCCCTCGCCGATGTGCCGCCAGTGGTACTCCGGGCTGCACAGCGTCATCAGATTGCTCAGCGAGAAGTTCGCCGCCTGCTTGATCACGCGCTCGACCGGCGGTTTCTTCGCCGGCGACAGCGGCGCCAGGCCGGGCGACCCGGGCGCGTCGTAGTCGTCCTCCTCCAGGTCGTCGCCGCTCGACGACTCCTCCGACGTCTCGCCCTCGTGGGCGCCCTCGTCGATCCGCCCGAACGACCCGCTGCCCTCGGGCGTCCTGCGCCCGCGCGGGTTGCGTCCCCACGGCGCCGGGGCCTTCCGGACCGGCCCAGCCGGCGTGCGCTGGCTCCAGATATCCTCCTCGGTCTCCTCCACGACGGTGCTCGGCAGCCGCAGGTGCCCGGGCGGGCTGAGCTTGAGCTCCGCGATGCTCGGCGGAGGCGCCATCCCCACCGCGGCCATGTTGGTGCGCAGGCTCTCCGCGGCGTCCATGGCCGAGGGCGGCGGGCTGTGCGACGACCCCGCGTCCGCCGGCGCGGTGCTGGACCTCGAGACCGCCTCCTTCGCGGCCCCCTCCCCGTCGGGCCCGAACATCGACGTCAGGAAGCTCTCAATCATCTTCTCGTGGTCGATCCGGCAGTTGTACAGCTGCAGCCCCTTCGCGTGGAAGCCGAGGCGCAGATCGCTGAACCCCTGCGCGAGCCGCGCCACGTCGGCGTGCGGCCGGAAGAGCGCGTAGAACGACTCGGCGACGTCGACCAGGCGCAGAACCGACGTGTAGCGCTGCCGCGCGGTGGTGTGCGTGACGGCCGCGCGGAACGTCTTCATCTTGTCGTCCTTCGAGTCGTGCGAGCTCGTGATGCTCGGCAGCGTCCCGTCCAGCTGCCCCGTCCACCGCGGGTTGACCACCCACAGGTGCGGCATGTTGGGCGGGCGCGGCCGCCGGGACTGCGTGCGCTGCGGGGCGCTGTGGCCCGGACTCTCGTGCTTATCATGCACGCTCCGCTGCGCGCGCCCGCCCGCGCCCTTCCGGTCCAGCTCGTGCCCGGACACGCGCCGCCACGCCTCCCGCAGCGAGGACAGGTTGTCCGGGTGCGCGCCGCGCTGCGACTCGGACGCGCCGGCCTTCTTCGGCGCCGTGGCGGTCTTCGCGGCCTCCTGCATGACCTGCACGTAGTCCGTGCGCACCGGCAGGTGCATCACCAGCTCCTTGAAGGCCACGGTGAGCATCTCCGCGCTGTGCGAGTTGCGCGGGAGGTCCAGCATCGAGTCCAGCAGCTTCAGCTCGATCGCCGGGGACGGCGGCGTGCCGGTGCGGTGCGCGGTCGCGGGCCGCTTGCCCGCGGACAGCAGGCGCGACAGCTCACGGCAGAGCTGCACCAGGCTCTCCTGGTACGTGAAGTAGAAGTGCAGGATGTCCCACAGGAAGCGGAACAGGAGCGCCCCGCGCACGTTCGTCCCCTCCATGCGGATCACGGTCTGGTCCGGCAGCTCGGTGTCGACGTGCACCGCGGCCCCGGGCTGCTGTTGTTGCGCGCCTTCCGCGTGCGACCGCAGCATGCGCATGGACGCCTCGCGCTTGCTGCTGACCTTGCGCGGCACCTGCTTGCGGCGCAGGGCGGCGGCGGCCGTCACGGGGTCCCCGGCCAGCCCCAGCGCGCCGCCCTCCTTGGCCATCTTGAGCCCGCGCTTGAAGATGGCGACCTGGAGCGCGTAGCCCGACTCGGGGCAGGGCGCGCTGATGGGCAGGACGAACGCGGACGTCGTCGGGCAGAGGTGGTCCACGAGGCTGACCTCCTCGCAGCGCGCGAGGATCAGGAAGCTCGACTCCAGGCCGCGCACGGGGCCCGCGGGGCGGCGCGCGCGCTGCCGGGCGCTCTGCGCGTCATGCGGGTTGCGGTGGTACCGCTCCTCGACGCGCAGGCCGACGCCGTCGAGGAGGACGCTCGCGACGTGCTTGTCCTCCACAGACATGGTGACGTACGAGCACGCCGCGCGCACCTCGATGGCCATGCCGAGCAGCGTGCTCATCGCGACGCTACCGAGGCCCTGGCTCTGCGCCTGCGCGTCCCAGTAGCCGCTCTCGCGCATGCGGCTCAAGAGCGGCCCGTCGCTGTCGCCCGCGAGCGCCCGCTTGTGTGCCGGGCTGGCGTTGCGCACCGACCCGGCCTTCGACTGCCGCCCGCTCGCCGCCGAGTTGTACCCCTCGAAGCTGCTGTCCGAGTCGGACCCCGACGAGCTGCTGTCCGAGTCCTCCTCCGAGTCGCTCGCCTTGTCCAGGTCGCGGATCTTGACCACCGACGCCGCCTGCTCGAAAAACTGAATCAGGTGCGGCGACGCGCGCTCGATCGACCGCGTGTTCAGCGCGAGGCCCAAGTAGTTGCACCGCACGTCCAGCGCCGGCCGCTGCGCGCCCAGCGTCGACCGCGGGAGCACCATGGTGAAGAACACCTGCCCCGTGGGCTGCAGCACGAGGTGCTCGTAGCCCTTGCGCACGTCCTCGCACGGCCGCTTGGAGCGCGTCTCGAGCGTGTGCGCGCGCCAGAAGTCGAAGCACAGCTTCATGCGGTCCCGCCGGCTGTACGCGCGCGGCTTGAGCGTCCCCGGCACCGCCCGGTCCGGGTGCAGGATCTCGTTGGGCTTCACGTCGTGGCCCGAGGGGAGCGGGTGCAGGATGCGGTCGCGGTTCTTCGGGCACATGAACTTGGTGTAGTGCGGCGGCTCGGCGTTCTCGACGGGGCTCGCGGTGTGGTCGGACAGCCACAGGCGCCCCAGCGACGCGCGCACGTCCGTCCCGAAGGTCCGCGGGTCGTGCGCCGTCCCGATCTGCAGCCCGTGGATCCCGAACGACAGCAGGTCGACCATCCGGCTCGCCTCCGTGGCCTTGCTCATCGTCAAGATGAACTCCGGGATGTAGACCTGCACGGCCACCACCGCCTCCATCGCCACCATCGGGGTCGCGCTCTCCCGCGCGCCGTCGTCCTGCCCGCGGCCGCGACTCCGCGGGTGCTTCCGCCCCGCGCGCACGCTGCTGCGGCCGCCCCCGCCGCGCAGGCTGCTGCCCCCGACCGAGCCGTTGTGCACGCGCAGCACACTGTGCCCCACGGGGTCGTTGGCGACGCTGGCGTCCAGGAGCTCGTCGCGGAAGGGGTTGTGGCCCGGCTGCACGGCGGCAGCGAGGCGGCGCGTCTGCCGGTAGAGCTCCACGCAGTCGTTGAGCAGCCCGATGAGGTGTCCCTCGGTGAAGGGCGAGATGTGCACGCGCACGTTGTCCGAGTTGAAGCGCATGTTCTTCGCCGCGCGGATCTGCCCGTCCTCCTGCTCGAAGCACTGCTCGACCACGCCGTGGAACTTGACGTTGCTCACGATGTCCAGCGCCTTGACCTCGCCCGCCGCCGACACCTTGCGCAGGAACGCCGACACGTCCAGCTCCACCTCCTTGCGCTGCCGCGTGAGCGTCCCCGCGCGGTTCTGCAGCCACCGCGTCTTCAGCTTCCGCGCCGACGCGTCCGTGATGTCCTCCGTCTCCACCTTGACCTCCCCCACGCGCACCACCAGCGTGTACCCGAGGTGGTTCAGCCCGTTCATCCGCCGCCGCCCGCGCCCGCCCCCAGACGCCGCCGAACTCGGCCGCCCCTCGTCGTACCCGCTCCACCCCGACGCCGTCGACCGCCCGTCCTCGCCCGCGCTGCTCCCCGGCACGCCCACGCGCTGCCCCGGGCGCGCCGCCGCGTCGGGCGCCTTGGTCACGTCGTCCACGTCGCGGCCCGTGGGGATCGAGAGGAAAATCACGCCCGTGCGCGCCTGCACGAGCGTCCCGCACGACGGGCCCGCGCTGGCCTGCAGGTCCTCTGGGCGCATGGCGTTGGCCGCCTGGTCCATCACCGCGGCCTGAATCGTCACGCGGCGCGTCATCACGAGCGGCTCCAGGTGCGCGGGGGGCGCCGCCTCCGCGCCGAACCGGCAGCACGCCAGGATCACCTCCTGCAGCACCACGCAGTCCAGCGGCGCCACCACCACGTCCACCCACGACGGCTCCAGCGTCACCAGCGCGGGGACCACGTACTTGAGCGACACGAACGACTGCGGACCGTCCCGGTAGCCCCCGGCGCCCGACCGCCGCGGCTGCCGCCGGAAGCTCCGGCTCAGGAAGCCCCACGTGCGTGACGGCAGCCCCTTGAAGGCGCGCGCCGCCGCGCCCCGCTGGTCCGCGGGCTCGTGCGCCCTGGCCGCCGCGCTGGCCGGCGGGCGCGCGCCGTCCGCGCCGCGCTTGGGCCGCATGGTGCTTGCGTGCGGGAGGTGCTCGTCCGGGGGCGACGCGACCAGCGTCACCACGCAGGGCTCCCGAGGGCCGCGCGCGCCCACGGGCGGCGGGGGCTGCCCGCGCCGACCCGCCTGCGCGCTCCCGCCCTCGATCGCGCTCGTGATGAGCAGCTGCCGCACGTTGAGCGACACCTCCAGCGGCCCGCTCCCGCTGTGCACGTGCGTGGGGTTGCGCGGCGCCGACTGCGACCCCGCCGCCGGCAACTTCCGCGCCCTCCGCCTGTGCCGCGAGCTCATCGCCGCCGCCTCCTCCTCCGCCTCGCCCTCCGCCCCCTCGTCCTCCACACCCCCCCGCACCTCCGCCCCCGCCCCCGCCTCCACCGGCTGCGACACTGTCCCCATCTTCTCGACGTCCCCCAGACGCGAGCGCCGCCCCGGCCGCGCCTGGCCGCCGTCCACCGACACCGGCCGCCCCTGCAGCGCCGGCGGCGGCTGCTGCGGCACCGGCGGCTGCTTCGCGCCCCTCTTGGGCTGCCCCGCCTGCAGCTTCACCTGGATGTCGTGCACCGCCGCCTCCAGCATCGTCACCTTGGGCTCCGACGTCGCGCGCACGGACCCGTCGTTGCCCGCGCCGCGCGCGCCCATCGCCAGCCGCACCGCGACCTTGGGGCAGAAGAGCGTCAGCTTGAGGCGCAGGGGGCGCTTCTTTTCCAGGTACACCTGCCCGCGCAGGCGCAGCACGCCGAGGACCTCCTCCATCTTCGCGTGCGTCGCGTCCGTGCTCCGCTGCCCGGCCTCCCAGTTCGCGCAGTGCCCCACGGGCAGCCCGAGCAGCAGGCGCAGCAGGAGGAGCGCCATGGACGGCGTCGTGACCCACGCCCACCAGCGGAAGACCACGCTGTCGTGCAGCGAGACGCGCTCGTCGATCGCGCGCAGCGTGCGCTCGAGCCGGCGCCGCAGGAGCGACGCGAGCGGGTTGTAGTCGAGCACGGCGAACCTCTTCAGCACCATCCACTTGACGTAGGCCTCCACGTAGCGGTCGCGCACGCGGCACACCGAGACGACGTCCGCGACGGAGCTGAGCGTCTTGTCGCGGCGCGTCATGTACCACCGCGAGCGCGTGAACTCGCGGCGCACGCACCCGACCGCGTGCTGCCACCACGCGCGCGGGTCCTGCAACACCGGCACGCGCGGACGGACCATGCGCGCGCCGCGGAACTTGAGCGAGTCCACGATGCACGCGCTCAGCGCCTGCAGCGCGCGCGTGCTCGGCGCGTCCAGCGTCAGCATCAGCGCGTTGGCCGTCACGCCGATGTCGAACACCGGCGACGACTTGTCGAACGTGCCCGAGGCCACGCCCCACCGCACCGCCGCCTGCGCCGACCACCGCCGCAGGAGCGGGTGGAGCTCGCACGCCCCGTGCCACGCCGGCAGCTCCTCGTCGAACGCCGGCCGCGCCCCCGCGCGCACCGGCGCCGTGCGCACCCGCTTGGCCGGCGCGCCCGGCCCGGGCCAGTCCAGGCCCGCGGCCCACTGCTCCGCGCGCGACGCCGCGCCGCTCCCCGTCGCGTCGCTCGTCCGCGGCGCCCGCTCCGTCAGCACCGCGTGCAGGTTCAGGTTGTCCACGCTCGCCTCGAGCGCCGCCACGCCGTACGGCATCGCCTCCCGCCGCGGCGCCTGCCGCAGCGCGAGCGTCCCGACCTTGAGCAGCACGCCGCAGCCCTCCATGCTCGCCGCGCCGCCGCACCCGCACGCCGCCGCCGGCCCGTCCCCGTGCGCCGGGCCCTCCCGGTCGTCCCCGCTGGCGCGGCGGTGCGTGCACACAATGTGCTCGCCGCGCGCGTGCGCGCCCGACACCTTGACGCCGAGCACGAGGTCCTGCACGACGAGCTCGACGCGCGAGACCACCTGGTACGCCAGCTGCCGCCCCAGGAAGAGCAGCACCTTGTACAGCACGCCCCGCCGGTGCCGCTTCATGCCCCACAGCAGCTTCTCCACCGCGTCCAGCTTGTTCTCGCGCAGCACCTCCAGCCCGGACTGTATCCGCCGCAACATCACGTCCGGGTGGACCGTCTTCGGGTTCTGCACGCGCGCGGGGCGCCGGCCGGGCGGGTGGGCACTGGGCGCAGTGCGGGTGGCGCCCGGACGCGCAGCGGGGCGGGGCTCCGCGCGCCGCTGCGGGCGGGGCCGCCCGTGCGATACTGTGCGAGCGCTCGCGGCCGCGCGTGTGGCGGCAGTGTGGGCGGGGGCGCCGGAGACGCCGCGTTCGAGGCGGGGCGGGCAGCCGTGGACCCGGGCGTGCGCCGGGGCGGGCGGCGGCGCGCGGCCCGCACCTGTCGCGTCACGGCGAGGAGGCGGGCTCCCTGCACGGAGAGCGTGGCCCGGCGGGTGCGCCAGTTGACACGGAGCTCGACCTGCTGCAGGCGGGCCACTTGGAGCTGCACGGGGAGGTCCACGGGCGCGATGGCCTCCGCGTCGAGCTCGAGGTCGGCCACGCGGATCCATCCCGACAGCAGCCGCGAGGTGACCCGGTGCGCCTTGGCCTTGGCGCGCCGCAGCACCAGCCGCACGCCCACGCTCGCCACGCGCGAGGCGGGTTTCGTCACCCTGCGTCGCACCGCCGGGGGAGGCCACGCGGTTCTCGGGGCGCACGTGCCGCCCAACACCTTCTGCGCCGGAACTGTGCGGCGGGCGCGCGGGTGGCGCCCTGCACACCGGCCTGCCGCGCAGCCGATTGACCCGTTGGCGAGCGCACGCAGCGACCGGCGCGCCACCGCGGCTGCCCGCCGCCCGACGCCGCGGGACGCGGGCCGCCCGCTGCGCAGGACACAGTCTAGCGCGACACGCCGGGCGGCGGCTGCGCTGCCTCGCCGTCGTCGACGGGGGTGCGCGTTCAAGGAGGCTCCTCGCAACTGACCGCACATGCGCGCCGCGACAACCCTTCGACGCGGCGCGCCTGGCGGCCCGCTGACATGCTCCACGTCCTCGGGGCAGGGGGGCGCGGTGCGCGGCGTTGCGGGACGCGGGAGTCCGCGAAACGTGGTGTGCAAAGCTCGCGAGGCCGAAGGGCCGTGCTGCCGGCACCGTCGCGCGCGCGTGCAGGCGAGGGGGGCATGGGATCGTCCGTGTCGGTGCGGGCGTACCAAAGCACTGCGAGGGACAGCAGCAGGCCCGCGAAGATCACGGCTGCACGCACTCGTGCGCTCTCCAGCAGGCCGCTGAGGCCCGCCAGGAGCGCGTCCAGCGCCTTCGAGTACATCTCTGTAATATTCGTCATCTCACGTCCTGGGAGCCTCGCCCGGAGCCCGTGTTATGTTCATGGTGGGCGTCGCGGAGCTGGTTCAGGGGCTCCCACTTGACAAAACGTGCGTCGCGGTCCAACACGACCGCCTCCCCGCGCGGCTCGCACCGTGCCAGGTAGTGAAAGTGCCAGGCCGCGTGGCGGCGGAGCGCAACGGTCGTGGCCGTGCTCGCCAGCCGCGGTCAGCCCCGCCAGAGGCCACTGCTCCTATGACTGCCAGGGCTGGTCGCGGCCGGGGCCTCCGCGCGGCAGCGCTGCATTCGGGACCGCCCGCGGACGCGCCCGGGCACTGCTTGCGAGCGCGAGGGGCCGCAGGATGAGCGAGCCGGCGGAGTCTCCGCGCAGCCCGGGCGCGGGCGCCCCTGCACCGCACACCGCGTCGAGCGACCCGCGCGCGCAGGACAACGTGGTCGCGGGCTGCCTCGAGCGCGGGAACGCAGCTCGCGAGGCCGGCAGCTTCAACGAGGCCATCAGGGCGTACAGCGACGCGATGGAGTATGCCACGGGCCAGGCAAGGGAGAGCTGCAGGCGCCCCCGCGCCGCCCGCACACGCCCCGCCGCGGCCGCGCGACCCCCGCGCCGCCCGCTCTGCCACAATGCGCGTCACGAAGCCGAGCGGTCCCATCGCGCCCCTCCTCGCAGGAGTCGATAGAGGTGCTGCGACTGCGTGGGTCGTGCTGGACGGCGCTCGCGCGCAAGATCAAGTCGACTCCGGCGGCCGCGAGCGAGCGGCACGCCATCTACGCCCTCGATCCGACCCAGCTGGCCCAGGTACCACGCCCCCCCTGCGCCGACCGCGCGTTGGAGCGCCCGCAGTGTGCAAGGAGCGAATCTCAGCGCCCGCGACCCCCACCGCGGCCGTGCAGATGGCGTACAAGGACGCGGACGCCGCGCTGTCCTCCCAGCCGTCCCGCGCGGAGTCCGCGGAGCTCCTCCGGCTCAAGGCCGAGGCGCTGCTGCTGCGAGAGAAGCTCCCGGAGGCCGAGGACGCCTGCCTGGAGTGCCTGCGGACGCAGCCGGACGACCCCGGGGCGCTCGCGCTGCTCCGGGAGGTGTCGCAGGCGCTGGAGGACAACGAGGACGAGCCCGCGCAGGACGACGGGGGGGACAGCCCCGCCAGCCGGAGGTCGTCCCTCGTGCGGCGCAGCGCGAGCAAGCGCGCCGCGCTGAGCCGCTCGGACGAGCTCGAGTGCGTGCTGTGCTTCAAGCTCCTCTACGAGCCCGTCACCACCCCCTGCGGCCACAGGTGCGCGCCCCGCCACGTCCCGCCGTGCCAGTCCACTGCTGGCGCCCGCGGCCCCGCGACCGCACCCGCCCCGCCCCGCGCGCCGCAGCTTCTGCAAGCCGTGTCTCGCGCGGGCGCTGGACCACCGCTCGGCGTGTCCGCTGTGCCGCACGGTCATGCACGCGGGCCGCGAGCTGCCAGTGACGTGCACGCTGGCCGCCGCGCTGAAGAGCTCGTTCCCGGAGGAGTACGAGGAGCGGCGGCGCGAGGAGCAGGTGCACGCGGCGGCGGCGGGCGACGGCGACGAGGCCGTGCTGCCGCTGTTCGTCATGTCGCTGATGCTGCCCTACGGCACCATGAGCCTCAACATCTTCGAGCCGCGGTACCGCCTCCTCGTGCGGCGCGTCATGGAGGGCAACCGCCGGCTAGGCATGGCGTGCGTCACGCGCAGCCACGAGCTCGTCCCCATTGTCTGCGAGGCAGAAATCACCAGCTGCTCCCCGCAGGCAAGGCTAGCTTCCCCCGCGCGCGCACGCACGCAGCGAGATGTTGCCCGGCCTTGGCACCGCTCGATCCGACGCTTCGAACCCGCGTGCGCGGTGGGGGCTGCGACGCAATCGTTTGTTGTGTCACACAAACAACCGCGCCCGCGCCCCCTGCCCGCAGCCCGACGGGCGGTTCCACATCGAGCTGCGCGGGACCCGCCGCGGCGAGGTGCTCGAGGCGTGGGAGACGGACGGCTACCGCGTGGCGCGCGTCAAGTTCCTGCGCGACGAGGCCGCGGGCGACAACGCGGCGATCGCGCGCGAGGTCGACGAGATGTCGCAGCACTGGATGGAGAAGCTGCGCGAGTCCGCGGCGTCCGGCGGCTCGGGGTGCCCCTACACGGCGGCCATGGCGGCGCGGGTCAGCACGATGCTGCGGCGCGCGGGCGAGCGGCCGACGGACCCGGAGTCGCTGTCGTTCTTCATCGCGGGCCTGCTCCCGCTGAACCCCTCGCAGGAGCTCAAAATGCTGTCCACGCGCAGCACCAAGGCCCGCTTGGAGCTCCTTCGCAGCATGCTCTCCACGGACGACCCGCACAACTCCCGCTGCTCCGTCATGTAGGCGCAAACAACGGATGCTAGACGCCGGACAGGGCCCTGGAGCCTCGCGGGGTTCCTGCGGCGGGCTGGCAACGCGCGCAGTGTGTGAATAATCATGCATGTGATGGGGACGCGCCGTCATAGGGCGGGCGGGTCGGGGAGGGCTCGCACGCCCCAGGAGCGCGGCGGTGGGCTGCGGCGCGTCGGTGCGCACCTGGGGTGCTCGCACGTGCGGAAGGCGCGCGAGCGATGGAGCGGTGTGGGCGGCGTGCATGTGTGAGGGCTCCCGGTAGGTCCACCGCGGCGGTGCGGCTGGGCGCCGGTGCGCTCGACTGCGTCCGCCGCATTGCGGTGCTGCAGCGGCGCCGCAGCTGCGCGGGCACGCCGTGCGAGTGCGTCCGCCGAGACCCCGGCACCCACAACCCCTCGGAGGAGTGCTACTCAGTCAGCCAGCTCAGGCGAGAGCCGCGCTCGGCTGCTTCGGGGCGCGGCGGTGCGCGAGTCCGGCAGTTTCCGGACCTCCGCGGCGCGTCTTGCGGTTGCATCACGTCGGTAGCAGCGATGCCGAGCCTCTCTGGACATGCCCAGGCCGCGCCCCCGCTCAAGGGCGCGGCCGCCACGGCCGACCTGCGCGCGACGCACATCATCTGCACGATGGGCCCGCGCAACGCGACGGAGGAGAACCTGCGCAAGTGAGTGACTCGCCGCGCAGGTTCCCGGCCCCCCCCGTTGCTCCTGGCCCGCAGACACAGTGTCCGGCGCGCCGTCGCGTAGCGCGGTACCCGCGTTGCAACCCGCCTTGGACGCATTGGCGGGCCCGGTTCATCCGCATTCGCCCGTCGGGTCGGCCTGGTGCGGCCCGGCGGACCGGCGCGGACCGGCCCTAGTGGCGGCAGTTGGTGATGTGTTTACGCTCCGCCGGCCTGCGAACCACCGCATTCGCCCGAACCCGCCCGCGTCCGCGTCTTTCAGTCCACGTACGACCGAGCGACGTCGCGTCTCGGGTGTTTTCGCGGTCGAAGCGCGCTGCTGCGCACCCCAACTGACGACACACAACCGACCTGTGCAGGCTGCTGGACGCTGGCATGGATGTGATGCGGCTCAACTTCTCCCACGGCGACTACGAGTGGTTCGAGCAGACCATCAACCTCGTGCGCCGCATCCAGGCCGAGCCGGGCTCCACGGCCCGCCTGTGCGCCATTGCCCTCGACACCAAGGGGCCCGAAATCCGCACAGGTGCGCGCGCCCGCCGCGCCGCGGCCCCCTCGCCTTCACCCTCGCTGCCAGTTAGACCGCTGCCCGCGGCGGAACACGCTCGTTCTCGCTCTGCGGCGCGCGAGGGGAGGTTGGCCCGGCGGCGGTGTGCGCAGGGTTCATGGCCGAGGGTCCGAGCAAGGGCGGCAAGGAGATCCTGATCAAGCAGGGCAGCACGGTCGAGGTGCACACGGGCGACGACTGGAAGCAGAAGGGCGACGCGAACAACCTGTACGTGGACTACAAGGACCTGTGCACCACCGTCAGCCCGGGCTCCATCATCTTCGTGTCCGACGGGCAGCTCGAGCTCAGGCGCGCGCCCGGGGCCCAGCGCCCAGCACACGCGCGCACGGAGGCGCGCAGCGCGCGCGGGCCGGTCCGCACGCGCCGCTGGCCCACCTCGCATGCCGCGCGCGTGGGTGCAGGGTGACGGAGGTGAAGGCGGACTCGGTGGTGACGCGCGCGGTGAACTCGCTGGCGATCGGGGACCGGAAGGGCGTGAACCTGCCCGGCGCGATCGTGACGCTTCCGGCGGTGTCGGAGAAGGACCGGCAGGACCTGGCGTTTGGGGCGCGCATGGGCGTGGACTTTGTGTTCGCGAGCTTCATCCGGTCGGGGGAGCAGGTGCGCGAGGTGCGCAAGGCGCTGGGGCCGGAGGGGGCGGACATCAAGGTGATTGCGAAGATCGAGAACCAGGAGGGCCTGGACAACTTCGACCAGATCCTGGAGGAGGCCGACGGCGTCATGGTGGCGCGCGGGGACCTGGGGATCGAGATCCCCGCGCCGCAGGTGTTCGCTGCGCAGAAGCAGCTCATCCGGCGGTGCAACGCGGAGGGCAAGCCCGTCATTTGCGCCACGCAGATGCTGGAGAGCATGATCACCAACCCGCGCCCCACGCGCGCCGAGGTGACCGACGTCGGCCAGGCCGTGCTCGACGGCGCCGACTGCGTCATGCTCTCCGGCGAGACCGCCAAGGGCGACTGGCCCATCGAGGTGCGCCCCGACGCCACCGCGCTGCACCGCCGCGCCCACCCGCCCGCGCCCCGCCGCCCACGCCCGCCCGCCCCCGCCGCCCGCGCCCCCCCTCGCAGGCGTGCTCCACGATGGCGGCGATCTGTCGGCAGGCGGAGAGGCTCTTTCCGTCATACCAGGTGTACAAGGACCTGCAGGCGCTGAACCGGCACCGCGAGAGCATGCACTTCTGCGAGGCGACGGCGTGCAGCGCGGTGGGCATGGTGCACGAGCTGCACGCCAAGGCGATGGTGGTGATGCCGCGGTCGGGCCGCACGGCGCGCTTCATCTCCAAGTACCGGGCGCCGGTGCCGGTGGTGTGCGCGACGAGCAGCGAGCGCATGGCGCGGCACATGCTGCTGCACCGCGGGATGCTCCCGCTCGTGGTCGACGCCGCGCTGCTCACCGAGGACATGTCGACGCGCAACACGCACTGCCTCATCAGCCTGGCCACCGAGACGCTGCGCACCTACGGCGTGGTCAACCCGGGCGACACGATCATCTGCGTGCACTCCGAGCGCGTCGACAACGCCGACCTGTGGTGCAAGACCCTCTCGGCCGTCCCGCGCGAGTTCAAGCCCATCAAGAAGGTCTGGGGCTCCGAACTGGACTTCTCGCGCCTCGACCCCGCCTCCAGCGTAAGCGCCCGCCGCACCGCACCACACGCGCGCCGCACGACGCACCCGCGCCCGCACGCACAACCGCGCCCGCGACTCACACGGCCCGCCTTGGCGCGTCCCTGTTGTTGCAGAGCGGACACGTGCCGGGGCAGCGCACGGAGCCCAAGGACCACCTGACGCCGCTGTCGCAGGTCATCCGCACGATGGCCGAGCGCCAGGTGGAGCAGGTCCAGAAGACGTCGTCGGGCAAGGACAAGAGCCGCATGCTCACCAAGTTCCACACCCTGCGCGAGCTCGACCCCAGCGAGGCCGTGCAGACGCAGCTCGTGCTGCGCGTCGTCAACGTGCCCGCCGGCGTGTAGGTCGCCGAACCGCAGCGCGGCTGGAGACGCTGCCGCACACCTGAACAAACACGCGCTGTGACCCCTTGCTTGACGCTCGTGCAGTCACTGTATCAGCGTGTCCGGGCGCCGCCGCTATCCAGCCTCGCTCGACTCCGCGGCCCCGTAGTACTCGAGCCTGGCCAATCGCAGGTGTCTCTCCACCCACGCCCACAGCGCTGGCTCCTCCAGCCGCACCCGCTCCAGACTGTCCTGCTCGTGCCTGCGTCGCGGGGGACGAACACACCGACCGCTCGGACTGTGTCCGCGGGCTGAAGCGGTACACGGGGCACCGCCGCGTCCGTCCGCGCGTGCAGGAGGGGTGTCTCGCCTGTCTGCCTCGTCGTGCGTCATCAGCACCAAGTTGCACACGTCGGCGGGCTTCGTGCGGTCCCAGCGAACGAGGGCGAGGTCCCCCGTTTTCCGCCAGCGGCCCTTGTCCCTGCCGTGCGCGACGCCGAGGCGCCGCACGCTCAGGCCCTTCCACACGCTGCGCACCAAAAAGATGACGTCGTCGACGTCCACGTGCACGTCGTCAGCGTGGCCAACCCTCGTACACTCCCTGTCGTACAGTCCCTCGAGTAGCCCAGCGTACTGCTTGCCCTGCAACGCAGACACCGGGCACTGCCTGCTGGGCGCATGATGCAACGGTGCGCAAACGCATGCTCGTGGCGCCGCCTCAGGCCTGCTGCGCGACACGACCACCCTCGTTCCGCGTGCCACGGTCTAGACGATCAGCAGCGAACATCAGAGCCCCTCCCCGAGGCCATGTGTGTGAACACCGGGAGGCTGTGCTTGAGCTGATTGACCGGGCCCTCGTTGGTCGACAGATGAGAAACACCAGGCACCCGGGCACCCAGGACGAGCGCGATCTCCTTGAAACCTCGTGCACGGACTCGGGGGGGGGCGCGGCTCGCCGCCGGATGACGCCATAGAAGCACCGTGGTAGTGTGACCAGCGCGTGAGGGCAGCTCTCTGCGCGGCGGCTCCGGCGCTCAGGCCTGTGCGACCCGCGAGTGCACTGCACCGACGCCGCGCGGTAGCCGCAGCAGGCAGCGCACCTGCAGAAGCGGCGTTGGCTCGCCCAGGAACGGCGCTCCCGCCAGCTCCGTCAGCACACGCGCGGCGGCCGCGACGCCGAACGCCGTCGGCGACGTGCCCAGCACCGGCACGGTGCGCACTCGGAAGTTCGGCACGACCTGGAAGTCCGCAGGACTGTCGCTGGCCTGCACCTCCTCGGACGCCACCAGCCCGCAGCGCGCGGCCTCCGTCGACAGCAGGAGCTCGACGCCGCTGTCGATGCCGTAGCTCCGCTTCAGCCGCGCCCGCACGGCCCTGCCCAGGGCGTCGAGCGAGGACTCGGAGATGTCGACGAACCGCAGCCGCGTGGGGTCGCACTTGGACCCGGCGCCCGCGCAGCACAGCAGCCGCAGCCCGCGGCGCTTGCACGCGGCGACGAGGTCCACCTTCGTCCCGATGTTGTCGATCGCGTCGATGACGTAGTCCGGGTGCTGCGGCGCCCGCCCCTCCTGGCACCTGCACCCACCCGGCACGGGCAACGCACACTCAGCGCGACGGAGCCGCGTCGGCAGCGTGTCGGGCCCGGGCGCCGCGCCCGGCGGTGGGGCCGCACCACGGCCCCAGAAGGTCGTCCTCTGCCGCCGCGGTGTACATCTGCGCGCGCGCGTCGAGCTGCGCCTCGGGCATGATGTCGCGGAAGTGGCGCTCGAGGCACGTGGCCTTCGAGAGCCCCACGTCCTGCCGCGTCGCCACGCAGTGCCGGTTGAGGGAGGACACGGTCACTTGGTCAAAGTCGATGAGCCGCAGCCGGCCGACGCCGGACCGCAGGAGCATGTGCGCCGCGTGCGAGCCCACGCCGCCGAGCCCGACGACGACCACGAATGCCCGCGACACGGCTGCCTGTGCGTCCGCGCCGAAGAACTGCACGTTGCGCGTCAGTTGCTCCTGCGCAGGGCGCGGACGGACGACGGACGGCGCTCGGGCGCGGGCTGTGCGAGCGGCGGCCGCGGCGGACGGCAGGCCGAGTGGGCCGGGGAGGGCTGGCGGTGGCGAGCACCGGTGTGAGCCGCGCGTGCGAGGGGCCAACACAGCCGTCGCGCACCTTGACGATTTCGTCCTTCTCCAGCAGCTCTTCCATCGGCATTCCCCCGCCGTCGTCGTCTCGGAACGCCGCCGCCCTCCGTTCGGCCTTCTCGAGAGCATCTTCGCTGGGTGGTGCTACAGCAGGAGCATCAACTCCGCGCCGCTGCTGCGACAGAACGGCCCAGGTGACGGCAGCGCCCGCCACACCTCCAACAAGTATACATACGGTTGCACGTGCATCAAGCATCGCCGCAGACCGACAGGCCCACGGATGGCGGCGCAACGAATGGTGCAGTCACGACTGCCGCGACGTCGTCGCTTCCCACGCGCCCACGGAGAGAGCTGGCCTCACTGAAACGTCGCCGGCGACCGCATTGCGCACCGACTCACCCCGCCGCGCTGGTCTCGACCTCTATTCACGCCTGTCGCCGCACGTTGGACGGGCCGCCCCCCCCATGACTCCGGGCGTCAGACTCGAGCCGGCTGGGCCCACGCGGAGCCTTTGCCGGCGCGCACGAAGGCAGCGAGCAGTAGGGAAGGAACTCAGCGTCGCCGTCGTTCCACTGCGTCGTGCGTCGTCGCGTGCGGCGGCGGAAGAGGCCCAGATGCGCCGAATGCTGCTGCGCAGCACCGGCGCGGCCGGCACGTGGAGGTCGACGTACCGCGCCAGCCCGGCCGCTGCGGTGCACACCCGGTGGCTCTCGTCGCCCCCCCCCGGAGCGCACCACAAGGGCGGCCGCGGCGGGTACATCCAGTGTGTTGGGCGCCCCGGACTCGCGCGCTGCAGCACGTGTAAATGGCGCATTCAAGCCGAGCCCGACGCCAAGGTCCGCCCCCCTATGGCCCGCCCACGCGATCGTGTCATCCGCGCGCCTTCGCCGGCCCCTGAGGAACATTCGGCCGCGACCGGTCGACACCACGAACGCTCCCGAGCAAGGGGCGCGCGCCGTGCCGCCGACAGCGACGGCGCCCGACGCCCCGACTGTGCAGGAGCTGCAGCCGGAGGCGCAGGGCGCCCCGCTCAGCGCCTCTGCGGCGGCGATTCTGGCTGCCGCCCAAGCGCCGAGCACCTCCGCCGGCCCTTCCCTGCGCGACCCTGCGCTTGCGAAGCAGGACGTGCGCGATCCGCTGACCGCATTCGACTGGGCTGGCGAGGACAGGGCGCTGCTCGCGGGGAGCGAGCCGGGGCGGGCGCCGCTGCGCGTTGCTGTGCTGCTCTCTGGGGGCGTCGACAGCTCCGCGGCCCTGACGTTGGCGCGGGCCGCCGGGCACCACGTGGAAGCCTTCTATTTGAAGATCTGGTTTCAGGAGGATTTCCGCAATTTCTGGGACGCGTGTCCATGGGAGGAGGATCTAGAGTACTGCAGTGCTGTGTGCGACGCTGCCGGGGTGCCGCTGCACGTCGTTCCGCTCTCCAACGAGTACTGGGACCGCGTCGTCGAGCACTCCATCCAGGTCCGGCGCTTCCCTCGCGCAGCACCCTCCCACCCCCCAGTCGCGGTTGACTGCGTGGCGCACACAGACACACACGCACATGCCCCACTACGGGTCGCAGGAGGTGGCGAGCGGGCGCACCCCGAACCCGGACGTCCTGTGCAACTCGCGCGTCAAGTTCGGGGCGTTCTTCGAGTACCTCGAGCAGCACCACGGGCAGGACTTTGACCGCGTTGCGTCCGGGCACTACGCCGCGCTGCAGCGGCCCGAGGGGTCCGCCGCGGGGCCCGTGCGGCTGGCCATGACCCCCGACGACGTCAAGGACCAGACGTACTTCCTCGCGGGGCTGACTCAGGCCCAGCTGGCGCGGTGCATGTTCCCCCTGGGGCCCCTGACCAAGACGCAGGTGCGGGAGATCGCCGCGCGCGGGGGGCTCCCCAACCAGGACCGGAAGGACTCGCAGGGCATCTGCTTCCTCGGCAAGGTGCGCGACGGCCCCCGAGGCGAGGCCACGCCGGGCGTTCAAACTCACCACGTGCGTTGGCGGGGGTGGGGGCTGAGGGCGACCCGGCAGTGCCTCGCGCGGCGCAGGTGCGCTTCAGCGAGTTCGTGAAGGAGCACCTCGGGGAGTGGCCTGGTCCGCTGGTGGACGACGACACGGGCGACGTGGTGGGGTACCATGAGGGGTTTTGGTTCTACACCATCGGGCAGCGGAAGGGCATTCGGCTGCCGGGTGGGCCGTGGTACGTGACGCGCAAGGACCCGGACCGCAACGCCGTGTGGGTGTCGCGGCACTACTACGAGGGCGGGGGGGGTTCGCGGGACAGCACGCTGGTGGGGTCTCTCAAGTGGAACACCCCCGGGCGGCCGGACTTCACGAAAAGGTGCGAGGGCGGCCGCGAGAGGGACGGGGTGCCCGGGGGCGAGGCAGTGCGCAGGGCTGAGCCGGTCAGCGTGGTGCTCACGTTGTTGCTGACGCGGGGTGTGCGCAGGACGGAGGTGAAGGTGCGTCACGGCCCCGCGAAGTACGAGTGCGAGGTGGAGGAGCTGGACGGCGGGCGGACGCTGGCCCTGCGTCTGCCGAAGGACGACCAGGGCCTGGCAGCTGGACAGTACGCCGTGTTCTACCAGGGGGGGGTGTGCCTCGGAGGCGGGATCATGATGGGCCACGCGCCGGACGAAGACGAAGCGGACAGTGACGAGGACAGTGACGAGGGCGTGATGGGCAGCGGGGACGTGGAGGCGCAGGCGCTGCCAGCGTAGGTGCACTTCGCAGGGGAGGGAGCCCATGCCCGGGGGAGAGAGCCTGTCTGCGGGGTTGACGCACAGCATGCGAAGTACGGCGTCGCGGAGGGAGCACTCACGCGAGAAGCGCGGCGCCCGGGGCGGGATCTCGTGGAGGACGCACATTCAAGGGCTGCACGCAACACGCGATCAGTGGCGACATCTGTGACTCCGGCCGCGCCTGACTTTGTTCTTACAAGCACACGCACACACACACATCCAGGCCGCACCGAGGCCACGTCCGCGAGGCACCTACTCCCACGTCTTGAACCCGCGCTCCTTCTCCAGTGCCCGCAACGCCATCCCGTGCGGCCCCGGGTCCGAGAGGTAGCACTTGCTGAGCGACGCGTTCGGCGCGGACAGCCACGTCAGGACGTAGTCGGGCGACACGAGCGCCACGCCGCGCAGCCGGCAGGCGTCCGGCAGCCCGTGTGCCGCGCTGGGGGCCACGAGCACCGCGGGCGCCTCGTCGACGTCGAACGCCTCGTCGAGCTCGTCCCGCGTCTGGAACATGCGCGTCGTCGCGCCCCCGACGCTCAGCAGGTTCGCGGCGATGTCCGGGCTGACCTGGTCGATCTCGCCCTCCCCCTGCGAGAGCACCCACGCCGACAGCGGGCCGCCCACGGTCACGAACGCCCGCCGCCCCGTCACCTGCCGCCGCCGGTACCAGTGCAGGCCGGCTCCCTCCTCCACCTTGCCGCTCCCCTGGAAGATGTGCTCCTCGATCAACTCCCCCCACTCCTCCGGGGAGGTGACCCCGCGCACCGCGGGCCAGAACGTCGGCACCACCACCGGCACGCCCGCCGCCAGCGCTGACAGCAGCTTCACCGACCGCGTGACGCCGTCGTGCCCGCCCCACGCCAGCAGCGTCACGCGCTCCGTCCACTCGGGCGAGTCGCACATCTCCCACTTGAGCTGCTTGACGATGCGCGCGATCGCCGCCTCGTCGTCGGGCGCCACCGCCGTCAACAGCACCGACTGCGCGTCCGTGAGGCGCGACGACAGCCGCCGCTTCGCCGACGGGCCCGCCGCGCCCACCGATGCTCTGCGCTTGCGCGCAGCGAGCGCCGAGACAGATCCGCGGCCCGCCGGCGGCGCCGTCGCCGGCGGCTTCGCTGGGGTGGCGCGCTTCGCGCTGCGCGGGGGCGCGGCGCGTCGCTCGTCCTCCGACGCCGTGCCTTCGTCGCTGCTGGCGGGCTCCGCACCACGCCCTGCCTGTGCCGGGGAGCGGCGCCGCTTGCGCTGCTGCTGCTGCGACTCCGTGCCCTCGTCGCTCGCCTCGCTGCCCGGAGATGCCGCCCGCGCCGCCGCCTTCCCGCGCCCACGCCCACGCCCGCGCCCACGCCCACGCCCACGCCCCGCGCCCCCTCGCCCGCGCCCACGGCCCCCACGGCCCCTCCCGCGGCCCGCACGCGCTCTCTCCCCCGCGCTCTCCTCCTCCTCGCTCTCCTCCTCCGCCGCCGCCGCCTCGCGGGCCGGGCGCAGGATCTCGTCGGCCGCCTCCTCGCTCGCGTCGCCATCAGGGTCGCTCAGCGGCTCCCGCACAGGCCCCCCGGGCGATCCCTCCTCCTCGCTGCCGTCCTCCGACGACGAAGACGCGGCCGGCGTCACCGTGGCGCGCCCCGCGCGCCCGCGTCCCCGCCCGCGTCCGCGTCCGCGCCCACGCAGTCGCGCTGCCATCTTCGCTTTCGCCAAGCTCTGGTACGGCGTCCCGTCCGCCTTCGTCATCGGCACTTCCTCCTCGGACTCCTCTTCGGACTCCCCCTCGGACTCCTCCTCCGCGGCCGCCTGCTGCGCCTTGCTGACCGGCTTCACCGGCGAGGCCGCCTTCGCCGCTCCCGCCCCCTTGGCCGCCGCCGCGCCCTTCCCCTTCGCGGCGTCCTTCTTCCCCGTGATCGGCACCCGGCCCCCTCGGGCCATAGTCGCAACCCGCTTCGCCGCAATCAGCGTCTTGTACGGCTGCCCATTGGGCCGGATCGGCGCGCCGGCCTCGTGCCCAAACGGATCCCACGTCGCCCGGTCCTCCTCGGTGCCGCCCCCCGCACGCTCCTCCTCCTGCGCGTCCTGCTCGTCCGCCTCCTGCGCGCCCTGCTGTTCCTCCTCCTGCGCGCCCTGCTGTTCCTCCTCCTGCGCGTCCTGCTCGTCCACCTCCAACTCGTCCGCAGCCCCCTCGTCCTCCACAGCGCCACCGGCTGCCGCCTCGGCCACTGCGGCCGCTGCCTTGATCCGCATCCGACGCGTGTGCCCCACCTTGGCGTACTGCAACGATGCGTACCGCGTCCCGTCAGGCTTGATCATGCTCACGCCGTCCACCACGTCAGGCTCGCCCTCCTCGGAATCCTCGACCGCGTCCGCAGGCCCCACGCCGGCCTCGTCCTGCGCGTCGCCGCTCTGGCGCCCGGCGCGCACCGGCCGCGGCGGGCTGCTCCCCATCGCCTCCACCGCCGCCAGCTTCGCGGCCCGGGTGGCTGCACGGCGCGCAGCAGCCATCGTCGCGTACGGCGTCCCGTCCGGCTTCGGCGGCGCGCCGGCCTTCATCCCGAACGGATCCGAGACGTGCCGCGGGACCCCCTCGCCCGCTGCCTCGGGGGGCGCCGGCACGTTGGCCGCTGGCTCCGCCGCGCCCTCGTCCGCAGCGGCGAGCGTCGCCGGGGCGCCGGGCTCCTGCAAGACCGCCTCCTGGCCCGCGTTGGCGTCGGCCAACGGGACCGCGACTGCAGCCGGGGCCTCAGCGGCCTCGTCGCTGCCCGCATCGGCAGCGGCCGCCTCCTCCGGCGCGGCCCGCCCGCGCCCGCGGCCTCGCCCGCGGCCCCGGCCCCGCCCGCGGCCCCTGCCACGGCCGCGGCCGTGGCCGCCCTCGGCCGGCTCGTGCGGCCACTCGCTGTCCGACGTCGAGGGCGGCGGCGATGCGTGGGCGGCGCGAGCGAGGCTGCGCGCGGAGCCGCCCTGCCGCCCCGCCCGCCGCGCCCGCCCCCGCGCCCACGCCCACCCCCGCGCCCACGCCCGCGCCCGCGCCCCGCGTCTGCATCGTCGGCAGGCGCCAACGCGTCCGCATCGCTGGGGGGCGCCAAGGCGCCTGTGTCATCGGCAGGCGCCCCTGCGCCCGCGTCGCCGGTCTGCTTGCGCGCAATGAGGTCATCCAGAGCCGCCTGGCCCCACCTCAGGACGTACGCGCGCCTGCGCCACCCCTCCGTCGCGTACGGCGTCCCGTCGGGCTTGTGCATCGGCAGCTCCATTGGGGGCTCCTCGGAAGCGGGCGGCGTCGCCGCAACCTCCGCGCGGCCCCGCCCGCGCCCCCTGCCGCCGCGCCCGCGCCCACGGCCGCCGCGCCCGCCTTCAGGCACCGCCACGTCGTGCGCAGGCCCCCCATTCGGCAGCACCTCCACCTCAGCGTCGAGAACCTCCTCCTCCTCCTCCACAGGCGCGACCATCGCCACACCCCCGCCCGGCGCCTCAACCACGACGTCCCGGAGCGCCACATGCCCAGCCGCCACGTGCCCAACCGCAGCGCCCCCGTCCGGCGCCACATGCCCAGCCGCCACGTGCCCCTCCGGCGCAACATGCCCAGCGGCCACATGCCCAGCCGCCACGTCCCCGTCCAGCGCCACATGCCCAGCAGCCACATGCCCAGCAGCCACATGCCCAGCCGCCACGTCCCCGTCCAGCGCCACATGCCCAGCCGCCACGTCCCCGACCGCAACGCCCCCGTCCGGCGCCCGGTACGCGCCCTCGTGTGCGCCCGCGTGCACGCCCGCGTGCCCGCCCTCGTGCCCGCCCTCCGCCAGCTCCGTCTTCATGGTGTGGTTCTCCCCCTCGCCGGCGTTGCCGTTCACCAGGGGCTCCGGGCCCGCGGGCGCCGTCGCGGGCGACGTGAAGTGCGCGAAGTTGAGCGGGATCGGGATGGTGTCCGGCTGCTCCCCCGCGTAGTCCACCTCGCGCCCCGCAGCGAACTCATACTCCTCCGCGTCCGCCACCGCGCCGCGCACCCACGAGTCCTCCAGCCACCGCAGCTGCACCACCTTGATCGCGTCCGGCTTCTCCTGGTTCCGCCACCGCCGCGCCTCGGCGTACTTGGACCCTGCGACGGGGCGTTGCGCATACTCGGGGGGGGAGTTGGTTGTGGCGCGTGGTGGGCGCGGCGTGCGCCGGCGGGCGGCGTGCGGGGCGGGCGCGCACCGAGGTCGTGGTTTTCTTCGTACGCGAGGAGGTGCGTGGTGTGCTCGGCGGTCATCGACCCCTCGTAGGACCCGCCCGTGGCCCTGATGATGGCCGAGATCATGTCCTTCGCGAGGTGCTTGTACTGCGTGGTCGTGATGATGCAGCCCGCGAGCAGGCCGCTCCCGGGCTCCCCGCTGCGGTGGTACACCACGTCGGCGTCACACGGGGGCATCCAGAGTGGGTGCAGGTGCGGGAGGTTGGCCGCCGCCGTCGGGAGGCACCTGCGGGGGCGCGCGGCGGGGCGCGGAGGCGGGGTTCGGCGCGAACGTGGCGGAGCGGGGCGGGGGGCGCGCGGGGCGCTCGGGCGGCGGCGGGCGGGGGCGGGAGGGGAGGGAGGCGGTGAGTTGGTGCGGGGGCGGGGGCTGGGGGCGCGCTCACCTGCGCATGATGCAGTGTTTGAGGAAGTGCTGGTTGATGAGGGCGCGTCGGTGCGCGACCGCCTCCTTGTACCCCCTCGTGCGGCGGTCGTGGAGCACCGCATGAGTGCATCTCTCGTCGGCGGGCGACTCGCACAGGACCCCGCCGAACCGCACGATGTCGCGCTTGTGGGACTCGAGCTCGTGGTTCTCAGGGACCTCGATGTAGAAACCCAGGCCCCTGCGGGAACACGCGCGGGGCGGGGCGCGTTGTGCAGGAGCACCAAACGTTCGCGCGGACCCACGCGCGCGCGGGCGCCCCGCGGCGGACCCCGCGCGCGAGGGGCTCGCGAACGCCGGACGGAAGCGCGGCTCGGGCAGTCCCGCGCGCGAGGGACACCCCCGGCGGCGGGAAGGCGGGCCGAGCAGCAGTCTGGTGGCATGGTGATCTAAGGGCCGTGGGGGGGGCTGCGGGCGCGAAACTACCCCCCGGGCCCCTCACGGCACAGACATTCGAAATATCCGTCCACTACACCAGCTCGCGGTCCTCAGTCGGACGCCTACTCGCGGGGAGCGCGGGCAGAAGCTCTGCACAAGGCCTGGGAGTCTTTGAGGCGAGAACGCGCGCGCTCGACGCCGAACATGCACCGACGGGCGCCCGCGAGCGTATCGCACCGCGCCTCATCGCGACGCGCGCCGCCGGCCCCCCCGAGAGGCGCCCGGGGCGGCAGTGCGGCAAACCCGCCCGCATCAGCCGGCGGCACTGAGCGCGCGAGGTCGCGCGCGTGCCCCCCGCGCGGGCGACGCGGCGCGCAGGTGCTTGCGCAGTGTCGGTGCGTGCAGCGAGCCCCGGGGGGCGCGCACCAGCGCGCCGTGCGTCGCGCTGCGGGAGGCTGCCATACCTGAACGGGGCTTCCTCGCTGAAGCCGTCCGCCATCGTGGCCCGCACGGCGTCCAGCGCGCAGTCCCGGAGGTGGCTGTCTGCTGCCGTCGTGTCCAGGTGCCGCGGGGCCAGAAAGCCGACCTGACGCGCGGCCCGCCGCGCAGGAAGTAGCCAAACGCTCCTCGCGCGCTCCCGTCGCGGACAGTCGCCGTGAACGCTGCCCAGCACGCCAGCCGCGAAGTCGGGCTCGTTGTTGTGCCGCCGGCCACGCGGGAGCTGGCCCGTTGATGCGCCCCGGGCCAGCCGCGGGCTTCGCGCCAAGTGGGTCGGACAGGGTCGAAACGCCCCGTGCACGGCCCGACGCCGCCCTCACGGGCCCGGCCGCGCGCCGCTCGCGCCCACAAATTCCACGTTACGTCACCTGCGCCGCTCACGCCGCACATCGTCCGCGTTCGAGACCACTGACGGTTGCCCAAGTCGCTGCACTTGCGATTCAACTCCCGGGAGTCGCGCCGCGGGCTTCACCGGGCACCCCAGGAGCACCTGCGGGCCTCGCTGAGCAAGGAACATGGCCGCCGCGATGTACGGAGAGCAGCCCTACGGCGACACGTACGGTGCAGGGCAGGCCACGGGCACTTCCCCGGCCAAGCCGAACCGGTGCGTGCTCCGCGCCCCTCTCCGGACACCCGCGACCGCGCTCAGAACGCAGTCGACAGCGCGACGCTGCCTCGGGCTCTCACGGTCGCTGCTGCGCTGCGCAACGCGGCACAGCCTCTCCGTGCCTCTGTGGCGCCCCCCGCGCGCGCTCGGTGGGCGCGCGACCCCGAGGGCCCTCGCAGCGCGCTCCTGCTCTCCTCACGCGCTCGGTGCGCCGCGGTCGCTGGCTTTCCTGCCCGCGCGGCGCTGGTAGAGCATCGAGCTCTCGTGCTTTGCCCACGCTGAGCTCCCCCTGCGCCCGCAAGCCCGCCCGGCGCGCAGAACGCGCGCCACCCGCCGCGCCGCGGCGCCCTCGCCGCTTCCTCACGCCGTTCTCCGCCGCCACGCCTCCAGCCAGCCCCCCCAGGCCGTTCCCGCCCGCCAGCAGCCTCTTTTCGTAACCAGGTCGCATCACGAACGCTCCGGCACGCCTCGCGCCGGCCAGCGCTCCGGCGTCACGCGCCCCGCCTGCGCCCCTCCGCTGCGCAGGGACAAGAAGACGTGCAAGTCGATCACCGTCAAGCAGCTGTTGGAGGCCCACAGCGACGGCAACAACTACTTCGTGGACAACGACCCGCTCGCGACGGTCTCGCTCGTCGGACGCGTCGTCGACGTCAACGCCAGCGACCTCGGCCACGTCGTGATGTGCGCGCCCGCCCTCGCCCGCGCGCACGCCCGCCCCCCGCCATCTGGTCGGTTGCTGTCCTGCGCGCCCCCTCACCGCACGCACCGCCGGGCCGCGCGCGCAGGATCGACGACACGACGGGGGTGTGTCCGGTCGAGATCACGGACGACGGCGACGCTGAAAAGGCACGCTCCCCCCCCCTGAGCCGCAAAACACCCCCTGTCGCCCCGCGTTGCCGGCGCGTGCCCATGCCACGCGGCGCCGCGCTCATCCCCATCCATCGCGTGTGTCGCGCGGCGCAGATGCGGGGCGTGGAGGTCAACAAGTACGTGCGCGTGTTCGGTGGGGTCAAGTCCTCCGGGGGGTCTGTGGCGATCAACTGCATGCACGTGCGGCCCGTGGAGGACCACAACGAGATCACGCACTTCATCCTCGAGGCGATCTTCACGCACATCCACTTCACCAAGGGCACGCGCGGCGACGGCGCGAACGCCGCGGGCGCGGCCATCGCTGGCGCGGCGTATGGCGCGGGCTACGGCGCGGCGGGCGGCGCGGGGTACGGCGCGGCGGGCGGCGCGGCGGGCGGGCTCGTGGATTCGGTGATGCAGGTCCTGGACTCGCCCGCGGTGCACACGCGCGACAGCGGGGTGCAGCTGGACGAGCTGGTGCGCATGCTGGGGGCGGGGGTCACCCGGGAGCAGGTGCAGGCGGCGTGCGACGCGCTGCTGCAGGACGGGCGGGTGTACACCACCATCGACCAGTACCACTTCCGGAGCTGCACCATGTAGCACGGCCGGGGGGTGTGTTACGGCTGGCCGCACACTGACGTGGCATCGCGGGGCTCGGATGCAGCGCGGATGAGTCGTCAGTGGACGCACGAGGCGATGTGAACAGAGATGGCGGGGAACACGTCACACTGGCTCAGCACCCTCGTGCCAAACACTCATGCATGGGCTTCCCCTCCCGACCACCCCCCGCATAGCAGGCTCCGCCGCCAGCGAAGCCGCGGTACGCATCCTCTTGATGTCCCCGTTCGCAGACGATGCCGCACTCATCGAACGCACTGCAGCAGGCCTCCACCGAGTGCTCCAGCCCTTGCCGCTGGGCATGTTCGGCAGGCCTCCGCCTGGCCCCCCGAACGGAACCTCTGCCAGCTGACTCCGTCGGAGCTGCCCACCCTGTCGCTGCCATAATGGTGGGGGGTCGCATGACTCCCCACCTTGTCGAACGATCTTTTCAGGTCCGCAAGCCTTACGGCTGACGACGCGAAGTATCTCACCAACAAGTATCTCACTCTGAGGTCCTCAGACACCTCCTAAGACCTCACCAACTGCGCGCTGCTAGTGTCCCGCACGTGGCGCTCGGTTCGACACGGCCGCCGCGTACACGCGTCCTCGTGCGCCCGCAGCGCCGCCCTCGCGGCCGTCAGGCGTCCCCGGAGGCGGCGGCAGCAGGCTGCGCGCGCGCTGCGATCGTGGCCTCTGGCCCCTCCGGCAGCGTGTACGCGTCGGTGACGATGCCCGCTTGCTCGTCCAGCTGCCGCACGGCCTCGTACAGGCCCACGCCCACGGACACGGCCAGGTTGATGCTCCGCACGTGCCGCTCGACCATCGGGATGCGCACCTCCGCGCCGTGCTGCCGCGCAGCCTCGTGCGCGGCCTCCGGGAGCCCCGAGGTCTCCGCGCCGAACAAGAGCCAGTCGCCCTTCTGCGGCGGGCGTTCGATGCATCGCTCACGTGGGCTGGTATGTGACAATGTCACCAGTGGCGATGCGGGTCGGGAACAGCACAGGCGGGGCGGCGCGCCGCGCGGGAGGGCCAAAGCGAGCACGGGCGTCCCGTTGCGTGCGTGGACAGCGCATGCCGGGCGGAGGCGAGCGGTGCAGGCGCGCGTGTGTGTGTGGCGGTGCGTGCCTCGTATCGGAACGCAGGGGCGCAGTGCGGGTGCCGCGCGAACTTCGTGAAGGCGATCAGCCTGCGCGGCTCCTCCGGGAGCTCCGTCCAGTGTCGGTAGAAGGCGTCCCAGTCCTCCCACACGGCCACGGCGACGTACGGCCAGTAGTCCAGCCCCGCGCGTTTCAGGTTCTTGTCAGACAGGTCGAACCCCAGCGGACCGACGAGGTGCAGCGCGACGGAGGTCGCGGCGCAGGTCCGCGCCACGTTGCCCGCGTTCTGCGGGATCTGCGGGCGAGTCGACGCGACGTGGTGAAGTGCCGTCAGTCCACCAGCACGGGAGTGAGCGCGGGCGGGGGAACGCCCGGTCCGATGTGCTGTGCGCGGGCACGCTCTGGCTGCGCGATGAGGGAGGACCTGGGGGTGGACGAGCACGACTTGGAGGTCCGCGCGGTGGTAGGTCTTGCCGTCGCCAAGGGACGCGAGCTCCGGGCCGTCGTCCCGCGCAGCTCTCGCGACTGCTCTCCTCAGCTGGCATTGAGCTATGTGATGCGATCTGGCAGCGAGTGAGCCTCGCTGATGCGCGGAAGCGGCCGTGCGGCGCAACGACGCAACACACGGGGTGCTTTGCGCCCTCGCTGGCGCCTGTTGCCGGTGAATGCGGCCCAGTCCGCCAGCGGAGGGCGCCCAGATGTCGACTTGTGGTGACATCAAGTGATCGTTCCGCGACGCCCAGCTACCCGCGAGTCAACAGAGGAGCTGGAATACAGCAGGATAGAGCGCGGAGGATATAGACGCGCAGGCACTGGTTCAGAGCGACTTCGTGAGTGGACTGCGAGGGCACGAGTCTCTGACGATGAGTCGCGTGCCGCACGCAAGATTTCGCCGCGGGAAGTGAGCGCAATCGTGTCAGTCTGTCATCAGCCGCTGCGCGCCGCTGTCCGACGCCGGGCGGAGCGTGCGAGCGCGCACAATGGGCACGCCGCGCGGTGTGCTCGGACAGCCTCGGTTGGCGCACATCCACGGTATCTGTCGAGAACGATTTTCATCCAACGGAAACAGAAGTGGGCGGGAACAACTCCTGGGAGGCCGAATTCAGACTCCCTTCCTGCGTGTGCCCTCGTGCAAACCGACCGACGCAGCGGGAGACACGTCTGCGGGCCTCCGCCCGGACCGGGGCTGACTAGTTGCGTCGGAGCGTCACAGACACGAAGTTTGCACTGCCCAAGGCCCTCTCCGTGCTTGTGCGCTGCTCGTGGCGCGGGGGACGCCGCCATGACTGCCTGGCTGGCGAGACTGAATGCGTTAGTGACGTACGCGCTGGCGGCGCTGGCGGTCATGTCCGTGGGAGCGATGTTGTCGGAAGAGTGGTACCTCAGGAACTTGAAGCAGCGCCCAGCTGTGCGCATCGCGGTCCAGAGCTTCGAGGTCTTCCAGAGAAATGCACGGGGAGTAGATGAGGTGCGACGCCACGCCCAGCCGCCACCTCGTCCCCACCCGACGACGGCCGCGCGCCCACCCTCCACGTCCGCTTCGCCTGCTCCACCTCCGCCACACGCCCCTTTCCGATCCATCCCGCACCGCCGCACAACTCCTTGCACATGAACCATGCTCCGCGACCGCGTTTGCACGCTCATAGGCCCGTCCCGTGGCCCCGTCGCACCATGCCAGTGCCCGCGCCGCACCCCTCAGCGCCACGCCGCCGCGGGTCCGCGTCCGCAGGTGCTCATGCAGATGTACCTGGACATGGACTTGTCCCCGCTCTTCCACTGGAACACCAAGCAGCTGTTCGTGTTCATCGCCGCCGAGTACTGGGACGACGACCACGCCCTGCAGCAGGTCGTGCTCTGGGACCGCATCGCCACCACGCCCGAGGCCGCGCGCCTCACGCAGCCGGCGCTCCGCCACAAGTACCGCTTCGCCGACCGCGGCGGCGGCCTGCGCGGGCGCGACTTCAACCTCACGGTGTCGTGGAACATCATGCCGCGCGTCGGGCACCTCAAGTTCGGGGAGGCCAGGGTCTCAGGTGCGACGGCGCGAGCGACCGCGCGAGGGCTGCTGCGGGGGGCCCGGCGGCCTGCCGGGCCTGCTCTGAGCAGTGCGCGGGGTGCTGCGTTGACGCGGTGCACGCTCGTGCGGGCGCGACGCAGACTTGCGGTTTCCGGAGGAGTATCTGACGCGGCGGGAGCGCGTGGAGGTCGGGCGGGGCGGCACGCCGTCGTTCAACTCGCGTGCGAACCGGCAGCGTTTGATAGCGGGTGCGCGCGGGGTGCGCCGCGAGGAGGACGCGGGCGACAAGGACGAGGTCATCCGCATATCTGAGCTCTAGCGCGGCGCTGTGACGCAACGGAGCCGGGCTCCAACCACACGGCGCCGCCGGCGCCACCGCACATGTGTGATCCACGACTTCCCTACCCCCCTGGCTAGCCTCGCCCCCCTCGAAACCCTCGTCAATAATGATGACTTTCTCAACCTCTTACCTGAGCGTATCCGCGAAGGTATGGATGGCTTGTTTCTGGTGGCCCCGCGCTATTCGGTCAGGTTTCCACCGCTGTCGCGCTCGGTGTGCACGCACAGCGGAGTTGCCAAGTTTGCACGCAGTCGCCTGTACGACATCATGCCGACGCAGTGCGACTGTGCGCAACACCAAGGACCGGACCTACGACGCCACTTCACGCTCGAGGACCCCTACTGGCAGATCGACGGCGAGCCTGTGCGGCACCTCTGCACGCTGGACCCTGCTGCGGCGGGCATCCAGAGCACCGCGTACCGCCGTTTGTTCGCCGTCGGCGGTGCCAAGCACCGACACGTCCCGGAGCTGCACCAAGCCACGAGCGCGACCGTAGCTAGCATCGTTGAAGCCTACCAGAAGCCGCTGCTCGGGTGGACGAAACGCGTCAGCAAGGCCGCCGACATGGACGCGGCAGCGTGCATGCCGTACATTGATGCTATACTTGCTGCTACGCAAACGGCACTCCAACCCGCTCTTCAACCCGGGTTCCGCCTTCCATGGCCCCCGCCGCTGGCGGACATTCAGCCCGACGATCGCGTGGCTCTGCGGCGAGACGCGACACGCCTCACCATCACGACCATGGACAAGAACGCCGGGAATTTGGTTTTCGTGTGTCGGCGCGCCTACATCGAGGTCCTCCTGCACGACCTGCACAGCAACGACGCTTTCGCTGTCAACGAGCCGGCAAATGCCAACATCACGCATGCCAGGCACGTGGTGAACGTCGCTAACACGACGGAGGCTATGTTGGACAACCTGCAGCTACCAGGAATACGCACCGAACGCGAGTGCGGTGGTCTACCGCACTACTACGGGACGATGAAGCTTCACAAGGCCAAGGTGGACGTGCGGTACATCTCGGACTGCTCGAGCGACATCACGCGCCCCGCAGCGCAGCTGCTGACGAAGGCCCTCGGCGCGCTCATGTGCCACGCCACCCTCGTGGAGGTCTGGAGCTCCATCTTCGACGGCGTCCCGGAGGACCTCTGCAGCAGCTTCGCGCCCTTCTTGGTGGACTCCAGCCGCGGCATGCGTGACATGGTGACCGCGTATCTACATGACAACCCACCACGCTCAGCGATACATGCTCAACAACCACCTCTGCTGCTGGGCGCCGACATCAAGCGGCTCTACACGCACATCCGGCACGAGACGAGCGCGGACCACGGGACCGGCCTCATCGACTGCGTCATCGAACACATCGACGCTGTTTTTGCACTGCATCCAGGGCAACACCTCCTGATCGACTTGCAACCCGCGTTTGACGCGAGGGAGACGTGGTGGTGGGTGGCGCAGCTGCCGGACGCGGACGGCATGGTTGGGAAATGGGCACCGAGCATCGAGCAACTTCATGGTCTCGTGCACATCCTCGTCAAACGCGCCTACGTGGTGTTCGGGGGCGTCGTATATCACCAGACCTGCGGTGTGCCCATGGGGCTCTCGGCCTCCCCCCACCTCGCGAACTGCTACATGTTCCGGCATGAGCTCGCGTTCCTCTGCCAGTTTCGCGACCGCTGGTTGAGCACTGGCGACGTCGCTTGGCTGAAGGTCTTGGGGTCTTTCCGTTATTCCAGGCGCTACATCGACGACAATTTCTCTCTCGCGAACGCACTGTACCGCTACTTCAACACCCACCCCCGCCCCCCCACCCCGCCCCCCGAAACCCCGTCGTCGATCGTAGATCTCATCTCTGGTATACATAACATGTACCCCCCCTGTCTTGAGGTCGAATTTGACGCCCCAGCGAACCCGCTCGACGGTGTCTCCTTCCTAGACCTCCGCGTGCGTCCGCATCCCGAATATCAGGGCTTCCTCCTGATCTCGCACTATGACAAACGCGGTCTGTTTCCTGAGAACATTCACCTCATACAGTACCCCCACGCTTCGTGTGCGCTGCTGCGACGACACCTTTACAACATCGTCCGCACCGAACACATCCGCGTGTCCAGCGAGGTGACTGACCGCGACAGCTACGTAGCCAAGATGTCGGCCATGATGCGCTACATGCGTACGCATCGAGGTTACTGCATGCGACAGGTCCTGGCGATCCACCGCGCCGCCTGCCGGACGCACCCGAGCCCGCATTTTGGCCCTGCCACGCCGGCGGGCCTGGCTGACCTCGTGCGTCGCCACGTGCAGTTTGCAGACCATACTGGCCAACCTGCTGACAGGGCGTGCCCGGCGCCCTGCAACTCGTCACCCTCATACATGATCCCGGCGCTGCGAAGCTGGCTCGGAACTATCCAGCCATGCCCGCACACATGACGCACTCTGTTACCCCCCCGATGTTGACATGTTGGCCATGCGCGTATTCCGTGGCCGCTAGACCGAGGTATGATCCCTTTTCGCATGACAGGCCACGCGCGGGGGACGGCGATGACGAGGAGAGCTGAGTAGCCGTCGGCGCGTCGCCACACAACGCGGACAATGCCGCAGACTCAGTCACCGCTGTCACCCAGCCGGCTGCCGACACCCCCTGGTACAAGCAGCCTAGGACGTGGACCAGCACTTCGGCGCGTCGGCTGGCGGGCGTCGTCCAGTACTCGCGCGGCTCGCCGCGTTGTTGCTGACGACGCCCGCCACTCACTCTAACTGATTGCAGGTCAGAGCCTTCCCTTGGCACATGATGGCACGCTCACATGGCATTTCGCGCGAGTACTCCTAGCACGCTGCCGCCTTGATCAGGACGATAGCACACCCGCATTTCGTTTCGTGCGCGGGTGGTCAATTACTACTCTGTGTCCTATGCCATCCCCACTTTCGCGCCCCGCCCGGGCGGCACGCGATGCCAGTGCTTGCTGTCGTTGTGCCCCCCGAGGAGGCACTTGTACGTCGACGGCCGCTCCCGCTGCACGGGCCGCCCCCCGTCGTAGATGAGGTCGAACCCCCCCACCTTGGCAGGGACCTCCCCGGGGGGCCTCACGCCCTCCATGTCGACGACGTCGACCATGTCGTTGAGCATCACGTACTTGAGCGCGTAGTCGCTCGGGGTGTCCGCGCTCAGGCTCGGGCTCGCGTTCACCTCGATGAGCCACGGCCGCATGTCGGCGTCAATCATCACGTCGTACCCGTACAGCTCGAAGCAGTGCTTGTCCTGGATGAGGATGCCCTCGACGGCCATGAGCGCGCGCAGGATGAGCGCCTGGATCATCCCGAAGCACTGGTCCGTCGCGCGCCACCCGTGGTGGCTGGCCATGTACTGCTTCAGCGCGTGCAGGCTCCACTTCGCGCCGCGGCTCGCGTCGTAGTCCGGGTTGTGCTTCTGCACCGCCGTGTTCGTCAGGTGCACGTACAGGTCCTCGAGCGCCCCGCGGTGCATCGAGAACCGCGTCTTGGTGAAGCGCGCAAAGCCGCCGCGGTAGAGGTACGCGCGCAGGGGGCGGTAGCTCGTCACGAGCGCGTAGATGCGCAGGTCGAACTTCTTGCCCCCGATGAGGTACGGGTTGTGGATGTAGGACTGCACGATGTACGACTCGACGCCCTTCTCCGCGCTCTCCGCCTTGGACCACCCGACGCCCTTCTTCCAGTCGCTGATCTGCGAGAGCTTCGTGATCAGGAAGATCCCCTTGCCCTGCGCGCGCCCGATCGGCTTCATGATCCACACGTTGCGCTCCGGGTCGCCCCCCTGCCGCCGCTTGAACTCCTCCACGAACAAGTTGTACTCCAGGGGGAGCACGTACGACTTGGGCAAAAAGGGGAAGAACTCCCCCACCGTGCCCGTCGCGCCGTCGCCGTCCGTCCCCGCGCCGCCGTTGCCGCTCCCGCTCCCGCCGCCCGCGCCGCGCCGCCGCGCCGTGCCGCCGCCGCCCCCGAACGGCGCGGTGTGCTGCACGCGTCCCGCCGCGGCGCCCTTCGAGCCCAGGTTCGCCTCGGCCTCCTCGCGCGCGGCGATCGCGTTCGCTTCCCGCTCGAGCGCGCGCTGTTGCCGCTTCACGTTCTTCAGCAGGTGGTCCTTGCGGGTGAGCTCGTAGTGGTTCCGGAAGTGGTTGATGCGCTGGTGCTCCGCGAGGTGCGCGCCGTCGAGGTTCTCGTGCACCCACGACACGTCCGACCTGCGCGCGCGCGCCGAGCACGTGCGGGGGCAGTTCGACGCCGCTACCGGGGGGCGCGGCGGTGGGAACTCGGGCCCGGTGCGCGGGAGAGGGGAGTCGATAGTGAGGGGTGTCGGGCCCCGGTGCATGGGGGCGGTGCGGGCGCCGCGTCGGTGCGCGGAGGGTGCGGCACGGCATTGGTGGCGCGGTCGTGGGCGTACCAGAAGAAATCCCAGTTGTCCGAGTCCGTGTCTACCTCCACCCAGCCCGGACGCTCCCTGAGGACGTCGAGGACCGTGTTGCGGAACCCGCACCGGAACCGAATGGGCCCAGAGGGGCGCGATTGCCTGCACGCACGCACGCACGGCCCCGCGGAGTGACGCGACGGAGCAGCCGGCGCGGCCCGGATATGTACGAGGGCAGGGTGTGCCGCAGGGGGCTGCGCGTAGATCGGCCGGCGAGCAGGGACGGCCCTCGGCGACAGGGCAGGGCTTGGGGCCTACAGGTGGCGAACGGCCGCACCTGGGGTTCCCATCGACGCCTATTCCCCGGCCTGGAGCGGAGGACTTTCGCGTCGTGCGTTCCGACATCACCTCCGCCCCAGGAACCCCGCCGCAGCGCCCGAGCGAGCCCCCGCTACCTCGCCGGACGTTCAGGGCCTGCGTGCCAGCCTGCCCGCGAGCCTGGCCGGGATCAGGCCTCCCCCTCCACGGTCAGCGCCCCGAACGACTCACGGAACTCGGATTCGCCACCAAACTGCCCCAGCCCGTCCGCAGGCTGCGCCCGCGGGCCCCTGCACGGCCTCCCTCCTGGAGCGCTCCACTGCGTGCGAACGGGCTATCACCGGGGAGGAGCTTCCGAAACGGTTGATCCTGATGGAATGGCGCCGGACGGAGAGCACGCCCACCCTCCGGGAGGAGCGAAGAGGGCTGCGCGAGGCTACAGGGGACTCGATCCACAGCGATTGTTTCTACCCGCGAGCTTCCCCTCTACCCCGCGATGCAGCCGCCCCCCTCACCCTCCGCAACGTGACGGCGGCGCAGGGACGTCACCCTCGTCGCCGCTCGAGCACACGAACTCGTAATTTCCCGCCTCGTACACATCGTCGCTGTCTTCGCCGGTGTCCTGCGAGCCCGCGTCGCTCCCCTCGACAGGTCCACCGCCCGCAACACCATCCATGACCCCAGCGGCCACAGCCAGCCGACGCGTCAGTTCCGCAAGCGCCCAGCTCCTGTCGAAGCGCATGTCGTACCAGTAGTTGACCGCCACTGTCAGGTCGGACCCGCCGGACGCCGCGCCGTCGGGCGAGCCCCCCTGCTCCACGTAGTGGTACCACATCGCGGGGAGGTACAGGACGTCGCTGCAAAGAAATGCGCGTTCGGGCCCCACAACACATCTAACGATGCCGTCAAGCTCCCCGCGAGCCAACTGTGGCATGACGCCGCGCCGGGCCGGGAATTCGGGGGCCCGGGCCGCGTGCACGCGTCGACGACCAGCCCGACTTGGTATGTTGTTGCACCTTGAGACGCCCCCCGCGGCCCGCGCCACCAGTTTTCGTGCGTGGTGCGGCCCGGCGAACGCGGGCAGACTGCCTGCGCCCCGGGCGATCGCTTCGCCCGTCGTCGCATCCCGCGCGGCGCGTGCTGGCATCATGGCCGGTGCGGCGGAGAAATCAAACGGCGGGGAGGATGGCGGGCAGCACACGTTTGCAGTCAAGACGAACAGCAGCGTGTACAACGCTGTCGCGAAGGTGCCCGCCTCACGCCAACCGCGACCGTCCGCGCGCCCAGCGTCCGCGGCCCGGTCTCCAGCGCACAGGAGACTCGCAGCGCCGCACGGCCGCGCACGCGATCGCTCGCCACCGTCGATCCCGCCGCGCCGGATGCCTGTCCAGAGAGGAACATCCTCGTCCCGCGCGCTCCCGGGAGCAGCGTGCAGGTAGCCCACGTTCACGCCCCGGGTGCTGGCGGTGGTTGCAGATCCTGCGCGGCCTGCCCGGGTGGACGGAGACCTCGTCATCGCAGTTCTGCGACCTGCTTCTCGGTGAGCGCTGGGACATGCCGTGGCCGCTGCTCGCCGCGGAGCCCCAGGGCCGGCGTCCGGGCGCAGTGAACCACGTGCGAGGTACGCGCCAGGTGACCGTCAAGGGTCTGATGCGCAAGTCGCTGGCGGACGCGACGGCGCACGGGCCGCAGCAGGACTACAACGAGAACAGGTGCGCGGCGCGCTCGCTCCGGGGGGCGGGAGGGTAGCTGCCTGCTGCCCTGTGACGGTCGCACGCGGGTGTCGACGCGCGGCGTACGTGTCGTCGGTGCTGCAGGGACGTGTTCGTGCCGCAGACGTTCCTGGTCGTGCCGCGCGCTCCGGGCGCCGAGCAGACCGCGGACTGCGAGCGCGAGGCCTTCACGGCAGCTGCGAGGGACGGCGGAGCGGTGTGGGTGTGCAAGCCGACGGCGGGGTGCCACGGCAGCGGCATCCGGCTGTTCCGCGACCCCACCGCTGCGCTCGAGTACGTGGACGGCCACTTCGTGCCCAGGGACTCCCCCGCGGGGAGCGAGCACGGCAGGACTGACAGCGACTCAAGCGGGGCGCCGCGACCCCCGGCGAAGCCGTGGCTGGCCCGCCGCCGCGCCAAGCCGCAGGCAGCGTGGCTCGCACAGGTCCGGCGCGCCCCGCGGGCCGCTGTACGCACGTGCACGCGCGCTGGTCCCGGTGTTGTCGTGTTGCATGCAATGGTTGGCTGAAGCCGCGTGCTGCGCGTTCGTGTCGTCGCAGCGGTGCGTGGACCCACCGATGCTGATCGACGGCCGCAAGTTCGACATTCGCGCGGTGGGCGCGATCGCGGACGACCTGTCGGTGTGGTTCTACGGGGAGTACATCCTGCGCATGTGTAGCGAGCCGTACGACGGGAGCGACATCGACTGCCCCTTCCGGAACATCTCCAACCACTGCATCCAGGTCGAGTCCGAGAACTACGGGTGCGCACGCCGCCGACACACGCCCACAACGAACAGCCCCGCCCACACCCCCCAGCTTCGCCCTTCAACACCCCCGCGCCGCCCACCGGCGCCGCACGACGTCGCACGCGCGCAGGAAGGGCGAGGAGGGCAACGAGCGCTTCTCCGCGTCCCTCAGGGAGGCGCTGGCCCGGCAGCACGGCCCAGAGGAGGGCGCGCGGATCGCGGCGGACATTGAACGGCAGATGGAGGCTGCCGTGCTGGGGTGCGTCGGGGCGTGCCGGGGGTACCTGTCGCGGCGCGGGTCCGAGCGGCAGTACGGGTGCGTGCAGATCCTGGGGATGGACTTCATCATTGACTCAGGGTACAAGGTGTGGCTGTTGGAGGCCAACGGGAGCCCCGCGGTGGCTGAACGCATGCTGCCGGACTTCGCGCGGGACGTGGTCGGGACGCTCCTGCGGCCCATGGTCGAGGGAGCGCCGGCGAGGACTGGGCATTTCCGGTGCATCCAGCCCGCGCCTGATTCGTAGGGGGTGATGGGACGACTCCGTACAGACGCGGTCCGGGCGCGGCGCTACACCAGGTGAATGCGATGTGATCCTCGAGGCGATACACTCGCTCATGGGTCGTGGTCGCGAGCCCAGGGAGGCCCCCGTGAGGCTCCGCCACTACATGTTGCCTGCGCGTTTTTGTTGACCCGGGAGAGTCCTGATACATCGACGACATGCGGGCCGGGGGCAGACCGCTGGCCACGACGCGAGATGCGCGCCGGCACAGCCCTCGTGGTTTCACGGTATTACACTCTCGTCGTATGATCTTTCTCAGGTCCTGACGCCTTACTTCGCGTCATCGGCGGGGTGGTGCTCCTCGACAGCGGGACATACAGGGTGCGTCCCGGCCCCGCACGTGCGCCTCCGGCCGCCGCCGTTGCCCACCGCGCGCACGCTGAGGCCCCCCCCTGGGCGGTGGCGCAGCTGATCTTGTGCAGGCGGACAGAGCCGCGGACGCGCACCCATCCGGCCTCACCGCTGCGGCGCCGTTTCGTCCCGGTACCCGCCCATCATCCCGCCCGCCCCGCTCCCCGCCAACCGCGTCACCCACCGGTCCAGCTTGGGCTGCCCCTGCGGCGCCTCCGGCAGCGCCCCGAGGTGCACCGCGAGCCACTCCTCCACGGCCGCGTACATCTCCGGACACGTCTCGTGCGCGATGCCCGGAAACACTTGCGCCTGGAACTCGCCGGGACACCCCGCGGCTGCGTACGCGGCCTGCGCGGCCTTGACCGGCGCCGCAAGGCCGCTGACGGGGCACCGCGGGTCGCGCTCGCCGAGGGCTACCAGCACCGGGCGCGGAGCGAGCGCCGGCAGCACTTGCGGGGCGTCGTAGCCGTCGTCAGACAGCAGCCCAGGTAGAATCTTGTTCCAGACCGCCCGCACCACGTCAGCGTCGACCTGCTCCTTGCCCATGTCCACGGCCGCGGCCTCGAACACCCTGCAGCCGCGCATTCGGTGCCTTGAGCAGTCAGACACGCCTCGAAACAAATACGAGCCCTTGTGAGTGCAAACACTTTCACGCAACACCGGCCGTGCACGCGCGGGCGCCTGCCTGGGGATGCTCGCGACGCGCGCGTGGTACGCCTCGTTCTCGATGGCCCACTTGAACCCCTGCGTGCCGATCATCGGCGCCCCCACGGCCACGCGATCGTCCAACATCATCGCCAGCATCGTGTGCATGCCGCCGAGACTGATGCCCGTCATCCCGATGCGCGCGCTGTCCACGTCCTCGCGCGTCTCGAGCAGGTCCATCAGGTGCACGATGTCCCACACGCTGTCGAGGAGGAACGGCCGCTCGCCCGCCCCCGGCCCTGCGCCCCGCCACGCCCCCACGAGCGCCGCCTCGTACCCCTCGCGCAAGGTGCCGCCGCCGGGGGGCTCGACGCCGCGCGCACCGTGGTACCTGTGCGGTGGGCGGCGCGAGACGGGCAGATCGTCTGGCGCTCGTAACGCATTGATTGATCGATTGATACTCGAAGTGCTCGTTCGAAGACTCACCGGCAGTCAATGGCGGCAGCGATCATGCCGCGCTTCGCATAGGACCGCATGAGGGGCGCGACCGACTCCATCCCGAGGCCCGTCGGGTGCAGCACCACGACGGCGGGGAGCGCGGTCCCCCGCGCGTGCAGCGGCGGCACCGCGGGGCGCACAAGAGCCACGGGGCACACGTGCTGCCCGAGCGGGTGCGTGTGCTCCTCCGTCTGCATCTGGTGGAACTCCACGACCAGTCCGTCCTGCGGAAACACCACGCCGGGGCAGTTGTCATGTCCGGTCGAGCGCAACCGAGGCAGCAAGGAGCTGCAAGGTCGCGCGGTGCCATGAAAAGGCAGCATGATGAGACGTTGAGCGGCGGAGGGCGACGCGTGGTTGAATCTCCACGCACCTCCGCGCCGAACGCCTGTTCGTAGCGCGCGGGAACCGTCATGGGCGTGACCCGCGATGGCACCACTCTTGCTCGGCCCCTCGCCACGGCCTCCCACAGCACGGCTCTGCCGGCCGAGGGCAGAGCCGCGGACATGACGGCAGGATGTAGGAAAATCGCTGCGTCCCGGCCCCTCCAGTTGCAGCGACGAGCCCTACGCGGCCAGGGGGCTCCTGGCTGGAAAACGGACCTGCGCGCCGCGATGCGGGCTGCGAGTGGCAGGTGTGGCTTTGCCTGGACTAGCGGGGCCGGGGCAGGAGGCTGTGCTGGGCGGGGCGCATCCCCGGGGCCATGACGCGCGCTTGGGCCCCGCCCTCGGCGTCGGGCGCTAGGTCTCACTGAGCTGGCACGCCCCCCTGCGGGACGGACACGCCTCGATTGCTGTGGATCAGTCACCGCCACCGACGCTTTCGAGACCGCAGCAAGTCCAGCGGAGGCGAGCGCGCTGGCGAGTGCACGGCGTGCACTTGACCTTGGTTGTGCCAGGCGGCCATGCCCGTGACGGTTCCGTCGCGCATTTGCTGCCCGCTGACGGTCCATATCCGCTCAGGAAACACCACGCGCGCTTCATGGCGCGCAGCGAGCGCCATGGCCCAGAACAGCGGCGACGTCCTCCCTGCGCCCTTCCTCGACCTCTCGCGCGTGTCCGACGCGCACTGCCACCCCCAGCTCGACACCGCTGCCATCAGTGACATCCACACTACCCCTGCGCGGACGTTCGCGATCATGTCCGTGTCGCACGCGACGTGGCCGGCCGTCGACACCGCCTGCGCTCATCTCCCCATCGGCCGCGCGATCCCCGCGTTCGGCATACACCCCTGGTGGGCGCACCTCCACGCGTCCAGCGCGTACCGCACCAAGCGCGACATCCTCGTCACCAAGCCCCGGCCGCGCGCCTCCCCCGAGCAGGCGCTCGCCGCCGCAGAGTGCGCGCTCGCTGCGCTGCCCGAACCAGTCCCGCTCGACACCTGGCGCGACGAACTGCGCCGCCGCCTCGAACACGACCCAGGGGCGATCGTCGGCGAATGCGGCATCGACCGCGCCGCGGAGGTCCTCGAGGGGCTCCCGCACGCCCACCACGACGACGTGCTGCCCCACTGCCGGCTCGAGTGCAGCGAGGAGCACCAGTGGAGCGTCCTCGGCGAGCACCTGGCCCTCGCGGGCGAGCTGCAGCGGCCGATCTCGCTCCACTGCGTCCGGTCGTACGGCCGCCTCGAGCAGGAGCTGCGCGTGGTGGCCAGGCGCGACGCCGCGTCTATCCCGCCGCGCGTGATGCTGCACAGCTACGGCGGGAGCCCCGAGATGGTGCGGAACTTCGTGGCGCTTCCGAACGGCCTCGGCGCGCGCGTGTACTTCTCGTTCAACGCCGTGGTGCGCAACGGACGCGCCAAGCTGCTGGCGCGCGTGGCCGCGGTGCCGGACGACCGCGTGCTGGTGGAGTCGGACGTCACGAGCGTCGCGGGGCTCGCGCCCGGCCTGCGCGCCGCGGTCGAGCTCGTGGCCGAGGCCAAGGGGTGGAGTCTGCCCGAGACGGCAGAGCGCGTCGAGGCCAACTTCCGGTCGTTCTACGAGGCGCAGCTGCGCGCCGTGGCGGCGGCGTAGCGGCAGGAGCGCGGTCACCACGGGGCGGCAGGGCTCTGCCGCACTGCTGAAGCGAGGCGCCGCCGAGTGGAGCGGGACGGGTGAGTTTGTGTCCAGCATGATGGTATCGTTGGCGGGCAGGTGCTGCTCGTGGGTTGCAGACGGCGTGGTGTAGCTCAGCAGGTGTGCGGCGCGTCTGGGGCGTGCTGTGCGCGAGACCGGCCCGACGAGCGGTCTGTGGTTGCAGGAGGTCCCCGGGGTGCGCCGGGGGCGTCTCGCAGGGCGCTTGCGGGGACGCTTGCTCGGAAATTTTGGGCGCCGCCGGCATCAGTGATGCCACTTCGGGGCGCGTGCGGGCGGAACGGATACGGGCTGCAGCGGTGACGGCACGGATTTTCGTTTCGCACATGGGTCCGTTTCAGTCGCGAGCAGGTGGACGATCGTGCACTAAGCGCTCCAAGGTTCGCCTCCGGCATTCTACGCGCTCGGCTGTCTGTCGTACACGCTGTACGCGGTGGCGTGCAGCGAGGACGCGGGCCAAGTGAGCTTCCTCTTGTTCGAAGGAAACAGCGCCGTTCGCGCCCTCGCAACGCAGGATTCGGACCTGAACGTGCCAGCAATGATGTCTGACAACGAACGTTCCGGCGAACATCGCACGGACGGCGGTCAAGGCTCATCTCGCAGCGAGGTGGTGCTGCTCCGTGTTCTAAGGGAGGCGCCCCCCTTGCTGCTGGACGTGCTGCCGGACGAGGACAAGGCGAGCCTCGCGGCTTCGTGCTGGAGCGCGCTGGAGACGGTGCTGCGGGACACCCGGGCGGTGCTCAAGGTGCACCCGGACGACCCGGTCATTGGTGGTCTGGCTCGGCGTCTGACGAAAGGGCCGTGCGCTGGGTCCGTGAATCTCTACGGCGTGCAAGTGCCGGCGACGGACGCGGGCGCGCTGCTGAAGGCGGCGAAAGACGTCGGCTTTGACCTGCCGTTGAGTGTCGTGGACCGCTGCGGGGAGTTGGAAATCGACGACGCTTACAGCCAGAGAGCGACGCGCGCATGGGCCGACCTGGTGAGGGCGCTGACGGCGGAGCCCGGCGGGGCGCACGTGACGCGGCTGACCATGCCATTCCCGAGCGGCGGATCAACAGCGACAGCGGAGGCGCAGGCAATGGCGAAGGTCCTGCAGACACCCGCGTTGGTGGACAGCCTACGGGCCCTGAAAGTGGCCGTGAGGCCGGGGATGCTGCTTCACCAGGTGCCGCATGAGGCCGTTCGGGTGCTGCGCGCAGCCATGCGCGGTCTGTCGGCGCTGCAGCACCTGGAGCTCGTGGGCACACCCTTCAGCATGGCGTGTCTGAACGGACAGGAGAGCTGCCTGACGACGCTCGAGCTGGGACCGGCGGATTCAGCATTTTGGCTGGGTCTGACGGGTTGGGAGTGGTTCGTGGACCCTCTCGAGCGGGCCACGAACCTGCGCAGCCTCAAACTGCCCGTCGGGCCTAACTACGTTACGACGTCGCAGCCACGGGGATTACCGATGGGGCTGGAAGTGCTCCGTATGGACTGCACGGCCCCGCTGCGCTGGTGGGAGACGACGAACCTGCGTTCGCTGGAGCTGCATCACATAGCAGAACCCGACGGCATCGACCCTGTGGTCTGGAAGCGACTCGCGGAGCTGATCAGCCGCAGCAAGGAGCTGCGACGGCTGGTGATCGGCGACATCTCGACGTGGCCCCACAGCGCGGAGCACGTCATCGAGGTCTTCGCGGCCTTGGAGCGGGGCGCGGTGGAGGAGCTCGTGTTCACATGTCCGGATGGCTTAGGCGAATTGCTGACGGCTGCTGCAGCGTCGATGGTTCGCAACACCGCATCGCTGCGTGAGCTGGAGCTAACGGGGCGCTTCGAACATTTCAACTTCAACCGATCGGCGGTGGTGCGGGCCCTGCACGACACCACGACGTTGCGCAAGCTGCGGCTCCACGCGGCTGTCGATATGGAATGTCCTGGGGCAGCTCTTGGCGGTCTGCTCAGCCGTAACACGTCGCTGGTAGAGCTGGACGTGCCCGCGATGCACGCGATCAGCTGGACGCCGGAAGGCACCTGCGAGTTCCTGCGGGGCCTGGGTGAGAACAGAACGCTGCAGGTGCTGCGCTCTGGCGGTCCCTACGGGCCGAATGATGGAGACATACGCAGACTGATGGATGCGCTGTACGGCGGGGATCGTCACGAGGGGCGCCAGCTGCACACACTGACACTTGCTTCTCCATCAGCTCTCCATGAGACTAATGAGAGTTCCATCAGGGACGACGAGGTCGAGTGCATCGCAGCTGTCCTGGAGGACCGGCGGTCGAGCAAGCTGCGGAGGCTGATCCTCAGGGGCATCAAGGTCGGCGACAGAGCGGTGGAGGCCATCGCGCGGGCGCTGCGGGGGAACTGCTGGCTTGAGTCTTTGGAGCTGAGTGTGGCCCAGTGCGAGGTCACGAGCGGGTGGGACAGCTTGGCAGCGGCGCTGGCGGAAAACACGACGCTGCGGCACCTGGACATCAGGCAGTTGCGCTGTGGTAAAAAGCTCCCCATCAACCCACTGCTAGAACAGCTGTTGCATGCGCAGCGATACGCGATCGCCCAGCGGCAGACGACCGGCCACAGCTGCTAAGCGGCGGAAGCCGTCTGCTGTATCGGAAGCCGTCTGCTGTATGTATGTGCAACACAGCAGCGCTGAGACGCAGGACGAGCGGCCGTCTGTGAGTTGCGAAGCAGGTGACGCCTTCACTGCTCTCAGAGCGCGGCATACGGCACCTTCGTAGGTCAGCCGCGACGCCGTGCAATTGCACCGTGCGACACGACTCACCAGACAGCTGCGAGTGGCACGCAGCTACCCCCGCAGCTTCTCCGCACCATCACCACAACACCGCCCTCACACCCGCTCACCCCTCTCCGTCGTCCTCCGCCAGCTCCGCCGCCCACTCCCGCACCTCGTCCAGCTTGTCGTTCAACTCCCCCACCACGAACTGCAGACCCTGCACCACCTCCTCCAACGCCCCCTCGTACTCCGCCCGCGTCGGCTCCGGCGGCACCGACGGCTCCGCCGCCTCCCAGCCCCCGTCGTCCAGGTCGCCGCGGCACCCGCAACCGTTGGGTGCCGCAGCGTCGCCTCCCGCCGCGTCGCCGCCGTCTGCCTGCCCGTCGCTCGCCTGCGCCGCGCGCCTCGCCCGCTCCTGCACGCGGGGCGCGAGTTCGCTGATCATGGGGGATGCGTGCGCAAGGGTGGCGAGCCGTGTGATGCGCGCGGGTACAACCACCAAGGCTGGGCCTCGCGTACCTGCGCGCGGTGCATCTCCTGGTGCTGCTGCCGCGCCGCGCGGTCCGCGAGCGCGTGCGGGTTCGGCGGCGGGTTCATGGGGTCGTAGTCGACGTTCTCCCCTCTGGCCTGCCGCTGCCAACCCCACACGTTGTCTCTCCCGGACTTCCGCAGCACATGATGCGTCACCGTGAACCGCAGCTTGTTCTTCTCCTCGTCCTGGATGCTGCGCAGCAGATCCGCCAGGTCGCTGCGCGCCAGGGGGCCTCGGAGCTCCTCCTCCGCAGCGAGGACCTGCCTCGAACACTCGTTGAACTGCTCCGTGGACGCCGCGATCGCCCGCTTGTAAGGCCCCTCGTTGTCGCTCTCGAGGTAGGCCCGGAACGCGCCGTCGAGCTCCCCGTAGATCTCCGCACGCCGCGCCTGCGACGAGGCGATGAGCGCAGCAGGAGCGGGCTGTGAGCCGACCCGACACGGGACGCGAGGTCCTTCTGAATGACGAAAAAGACACAGCGGTGAGTGGAGATTCGCGACGACGGCGGGCACGACATACTGATCCTCGCGCGAAGCGGCGTCAGCCGGAGAAAACAGCACAAGCACTCCGGGCCCGCGGCCGCGCGTAGATGCATCGGGGGACGACATTCTTCGCCGGTCGTGGTTCACTGTCGAGTGGGTCACGCACCTGTACGCGCATGACGATTCTCATGGCCTGCAGCGCGCTCTCCGGCCGCTGCGGGCCGTCCGCTGCGCCAGCCATCGCCCGTTGCGACGCACCAACCGTCGCTGCGAGCCTCGGCACCCCGGCACGTCACGCCTCTCAGCATCGCTGTGCCGGGCGTCCCCAAAGGCGCCCCGCCGGCCACGCGGCAGTTCATGCTGTGTGGTAGAACAATCACCGACTGACATCGTGCCGCCGAGCGCACCGAGCGGCTTTTGCGGCGCAGCGGGTGCCACGCACGCACCACGGCCGTGCAGCGCCCGGCTGCACGCGCACCCGGGCTTCACCCGCAGGTCCTTTCACCCCAGTGCTCCAGGCGGTGTTTGCACGTCGCCGGCGACGTGAACAGAAGCACGGCGGGCGACTCCGCGCGAGGCCGGGGACGGGCGAGTCTCACAACGGGCTCCGGTCAGCGCGCGGTGCGCGTGTCGCGTCGTCCGAGGGTGCAGAGCTTGTGACATGTAGGGGGGGGGGGTTTCTCATGCCCAGAGAACGTGGCATGCTGGTTCCGTGGGGCGGGCTCCCCCCACAGGGCCTCCTGCGTCGATAGGGCCTCTCCGAGGAGCGTGAACTGCGGTGCGCCATCCTGCGCGTCCTGGACGTCGCGCTGACCAACCACGCCGGGCCGCTACGCGGTCCACGGCCACTCAAAGGCCGGGTCGCTGAGGGCCGGCTTGTAGCTCCTCGGCCACGCGCTCGTGCACCACGCCGGCGTCGTCGCCTCCGTCGCGCTGCTCCCGTCCTCGCTGCCCCGCCGCGTCTCGGGCGCGCTGCCTGCGGCCTGGCGCTTCAGGTCCCGCGCGGCCTCGGTGGTGAGACCCAGGTGCGACAACCTGCGCGGATCGACGACAATGGCGATATTCGGCCCCGAACCGCCTGAACCATGGCCGAAACAGCGTCCTACACCGAGGGTTGGTGTGACGTGTACTGGCTGGGTTTGACCGCGGCGGCTCCGCCGTCGAACCGCACAACAGACAGGTGCGCGCTGCGGCCGCACGCCGAGTCCTGAAGGACCTGAAATATGCACCGAGCGCAGGAGTTGAAGCGCTCACCTGAGCCCAAGGGCGGGATGAGTGCAGTCGCCTTGAGCTGCCGGGGACGCGCGGGCGGCGGCGAGGGGCTTCCCGTCGCTGCGGGCGCGTGGAGGACGCAGAACGAGTCAGGCGCGTCGCGCGGCGGCCCGCGAGCCAGGAACACGCGGCTGTCGCGGGCCCGGCATATTATGTGCTGATAGGCAGTTGAGCAACTGCTGAAATACGTCTTCGCCCTCTCACGCCCATATGGCCGCGGGAGTGCCCGCTCCGACGACGCGTGCGGCGTCTCCGGTAACTGACGTCCCGGCGGAGGGTGCGGCGCGCGGCGGCGGCGGCTCACCCGTGCGGCTCGGCGGGGGGATGGCTCATGAGGCCCACGATGCCGAGGCAGACGCCCAGGACCGCGGTGTCCGTGGCGAGGATCTTCCCGATCTCGGCCTTGTCCAGGTGGTGCTCGTGCGCGCCGCAGGGGGTCGTCTTCGTGCGCTGGTAGGTCATGGCTGCGCGGTGTCCTTTTCCGTGCCCCTTTGCTCGTGTGACCGCCGCTCTAGGCGAGCTCGCCGGGTTCGAGGAGGTTCGCGTGAGAGGCGCCTCTTTCTCGGGTCGCACAGCGACTGAGTGCCGCGCGGGCGCGGCTGCCCGCGCCAATGGCGACGGGTCTTGGACTGCACGACCACCTCAGCGCCTGCGTCACCGGGGGCCCCTGTCAGCTCGGAGGTCCGCGCGGACAGCCCCGGGGGGGCGCACCGACATCCATTGTTCGATGTGATGCTGTGCGATTGCCGCGAGGCGGCCTGGGCGGACTCTACAAGGCGCGACGGCCGTCGTGGGCCCATGTGACCGCGAGCAAGCTTGGTACAGCAGTAGCGCGCCGCAGCAGCGACGAACTCGCCGACTTTCCGACCGCCTGCGTCGATGTTGCGCGAATACTGTGCCGCGCAGGGAGTTTCATGCGATTCGGTCCCGTTCCGGAGCCACACGGTGCACCGAAGTAGCTGTCACAGCCCGCCACGCCCAGCGGCCCGTGCCGGCCACGGCCTGCGACGGTGCAGCTGCTCCTGCGCGCTGCGCTGGGCGCAGCAGTGTCTCGCGAGTCTTTGAAGCGGGTCTTCGCGTCCTTTCCTCACGACCACCCACATTGCACGGCCACGGACACGCCAGGTGCTCGGACAGCGCGCCGGGCCGTGTCTGGGACGCCCGGATGGAGTCCGGTCCCCGGGTGGCGCGCCGCGCGCTGCCGGCCGCCCGTGCAGCGACAGGGCGCGGCGGTGGATGCAGAGGATGCTTGTGCGGGGGCGCTGGCGGGGCGCGCGCAGTCGGACCAGCGCGGCTGGTCGTCCGTCAGGGCGGGAACGCCGAGGCGGGGGAGAACACATACGTTTGGCGTCGTCACGCCCTGCACGGCCAGTTGAAGCCACCGCTGCCTGGGGGTCCCGGGCGCCCCGGCGCCAGCGAGAACCTGGCCGTCCACCTGCGAGCCCGCCGACCTCGAGGAGGTCGTGCAGCTGCGGGACGATGGGGCGGGGTGCACGACCGGCGCGGGCACGGCGGTGCGTCGAGGTGCAGTGGCTCACCGCGACGAGCGACTGCTCGCTGTAGCGCCCGCGACGTACCCTCCGAGCATCAGAGCGCCGGCGACGACAAGCGAGTCAGCAGCTCGGAGGGTCAGGTACATTGGACCCGCCATTCGTCCGCGGTACCGGATCTCGCGCGCCCAAACCATTCCCGCAGTCCGTGCGTCGCGGTAGCCACGTCTTCGAACCAAGTGCCGCACGCATGCACCGACACGGTCGCTCGCGAGCGATTCTGGCGAGCAGGCCGCCCGACCAGTACCATCGAGCGCCGCTCGCCCCGCAGGCGGGGCGAGTGCCCCCTTGACAGTGGCAATTTCAGTTGGCCCGACGGGCACCGTTTAAAGCGCACGAGGTGCAGAATGAGGGGCCTCAAAGCAATGTCGCTGATCTAACTCTCAGTCGGGAGCAGCTCGTGCCCTGTACGCCTGGGCTCGCCCCGCACTGCCACGCCTCAGCATCCGATGGTCACGCGCAGCCCTAGAAGGTGCCCGCGCGGGACACCTGCGCCCAATAATGCGACGCTGTGCCACAAACCGAGCGAACCAGAGGCTGGAAATCGCGTTCACGCTCAGTTCCGTGGCGCCGGAGCCGTCCGCACCCCTCTCGGACGCGTGCTCTCAACCCTGCCTCCACGACCGAAGTCGGTCGCGACCCGACGCGCGCGGAGCCCGGCCGACTGCACGCAGCGGTGCCCAGCATGCGCGACAGAATGTTGCGCCTCCACCGGTGCCCTCCGGGCCGTGTTTCGGCTCGCGGCTGGCGTAGCATGCGGCGCATGACGCACGTGAGGCGCGGCGCCGGGCCCGGCGCGCCGCTCGCGCCGCAGCCGACCGCTGCCGGACGCCCAGCGCCACTGGCTCCGCGCGAGGCCCTGGTCGGGATCCCGGCACGTGCGAGGGACGGCACACTCGCGCGAGCGCAACCCGCGAAGGCCGCATCGGAGCACGGGCGAAGCACGAACGAAACGCGACGCGCAGCGGCGCGTGCAGGAGGTTGCTCTTCGTGCGCCATCGCGCGGCCGCCCCGCGCGCGCGCGTTCGCGCGCTCGGCCGCGAGAGGCCTCCAGTGAGGCACCCCGCGGGCGGTTGTGGGCCCGCGGAGCGCACGCGCGGCGTCACTTTCGCTACCCAGCGACATGCTGACTCTGAGGGCTGCTTGCGTTCCCGCCAAGTCTGCTTTCGTGCGTCTCGCCGGACCCCGCGCTGCACCGAAGCTCTCCGCCGCCACCTCCAGGTGCGCACGCGGCGAGACGCACCGAAATGCGCCGTCTCGCTCCCCGCGATGGACGCTCCCATATCGTTCGTACCACCTTGAGCAGCCAATTTGACGTGTCGAACCCTCCACGCGCGCCACCGCCGTCCTTGGACGCTGCTCCATCCAGTGGTGCCCGCCCGCGCTGCGGCACCCTCGCCAGTATCATCCCCCTGGCGACCCGCGAGGGAACACTCTCCGCCCTCCTCGACGCGAATTCCCGACGTTTCCCACGGCATCGACCGCGGCCGCCCCGCTCCGCGCGCATCCCCCCTCCAACACACCGCAGCAGCAGCGCGCCGCCTCCGCGACGCCCCGGCGCGTTCCGGCTCCATCCGACGTTCCCAACGCGCGCTCCACCCTTCCGCACACAGTACGCGCCGCTCCCGGCCCCTCCTGGGCCGCCAGGCGTCGGCAGCGGCCATATACCCACCAACGCCGGCACCTCTGCGCGCGCGCAGGAGGGTGTGTGTCTCCGCGACCGCCATGGCCGTCACCCAGGTTCAGCAGGCGTCCACGGACGGCATGGACGTCTGGCGCGTGCCGTGCCTGTCGGACAACTACTCGTGGCTCCTGCGTGATGCCTCGGGTAAGGTCGCCATGGTCGACCCCGCCGAGCTGGGGCCCGTCGTGGCCGCGCTCGAGCAGCTGGGCCTCAAGCTCGACTACATCCTGAACACCCACCACCACGACGACCACGTCGGTGCCAACCTGGTGCGCACGACCTATCCCCCCGCATGGTGTGGCGCGGATGCACCGCCTCGCTGCGAGCGCTCGCGACGACGCCCGGCGCCGCGCCCGGCCGCCCCGCAGGCGCTCAAGGAGAAGTTCGGCTGCAAGATCGTCGGCCCGAAGGCGGACGAGAAGCGCATTCCGGGCATTGACGTGGCGCTGGGTGACGGCGAGACCTTTGCGGTGGGCGAGCAGAAGATGGTGGTGTTCGACACGCCCGGGCACACGACGGGCCACATCACGCTCTTCTTCGAGGACGCCAAGGCGCTCTTCCCGGGCGACACGCTCTTCCTCATGGGCTGCGGCCGCATGTTCGAGGGCACCCCGCAGCAGTTCTGGGGCTCCCTGAACCGCCTCAAGTGCGCCCCAAACACACGCGACGCACGCGGCCGTCCGCCGCCCGTCCGAGCCCTCCTCGCGCGCAGCCACCGCCCCCGCGAGCGCCTGTGCAGACCCTTGTTGCCGGTGAGTATGTGTGTGTTTGTGTGCAGGTCGCTGAACCCGGAGGCCCGCGTGTACTGCGCGCACGAGTACACGCAGTCGAACGCGAAGTTCGCGGTGTCGGTGGACCCGGAGAACCCCGCGCTGGCGGCGCGGAAGGAGAAGATTGACGCTGCGCGCGCGGCGGGGGAGGCCACCGTGCCGGGCGTGCTGGGCGACGAGCTGACGACCAACCCCTTCCTGCGGCCCGACGACCCGAAGATCCGCGCGAAGCTCGGCGTCGCGGCCGACGCGCCGATGGACGAGGCCTGGGCCGCGATCCGCAAGGCCAAGGACAACTTCTAAAGCTGTTCTGCACATAAAGTCGACAGCTCGAAGTGGCAGATCGCTGGGCCGGGCTGTCGGGCCGGGCAGGCGTGTGAGACGGACCGGTGCGTCGCGGGAAACGTATGGGCGGAGTCACATATGGATAGCTTGCTCGCTGGCGGCAAGCGTTAACTGGACTGCGTGTACACCTGTGGTGGAGTCTGGAACGGCTGCGAGGGCGCGTCTCGCGGGGCTGCGCTGCAGCGCGCCGGCGGACGGGCGCGCCGAGAACGTGGCGGCGGGGGTCTGCGCCGTGTCGGGAACGTGCAAGGTGGAAGGTAGAAGTCTGAAAAAAGATGTCGAGTCGCGGTATGTGGAATCCGGGGCGCCGCGACGACGCTCCCTCTCCGCGCGTGCCGCGCTGGAGGAGGGCGTGCTTCGTGCAGTCCGCCGCGCCCCGTCAGAGCGGCGCGGCGGCTCCCGTCTTGATGTGTTGTAGTGGTCGAGTGGTACAGGTGCCGGGGCTCCGTCGCCTGTGCTGGCGCCGGCCGCGCCCGCGCGCGCGCTCAGACGAGCCACGCGCGCATCATCTGCAGGTCCACCGGCACGTTCCGCGACACCCGCGTCATCGAGTAGTGCGTGCAGCGACAGTCCGGCGTGTAGCTCCGCACGAGCTTCAGGATGTAGCACCCGCGCGCAGGGTCCCCGGGCGCGCGCGTCTGCACCACCACGCCGTACGCCTCCGCCTCCGCGGGGCCCGAGCCCTCCGTCCGCTCCGGCTCGAAGCCCTCGCCGTCGGCCACCTTGCTGCGCAGCGTGAACGCGCTGCGCGACTCGTCGTACACCACGACGTCGCCGTGCGAGGACGCGCCGGCGTCCCCGCGGCAGCACTCGTCGCCCACCGTGCCCATGAAGGTCGCGCCCACGCCGCCCTCGCCCTCCACAGCAGCGACGAGCTCCGCCGCCAGGCGCTGCTGCTCGCCGCTGCGCCGGCGCGACTCGGGGCTCATCGCGCGGCTCCGCGGCTTGTCGGCGAGCGCGCACGCGAAGCCCTGCTCGCCCTTGTTGGCCGCGCCGAGGCGGTGGACCATCACGAGCGCCTCGGCGTCCTGGTTCTTCTTGCCCAAATGGCGCGCCACGGCCGGCCAGAGGCTGGGAACGTTGGCGACCGCGGGGTCCACGCGGTAGTGGTCCGCGCGGGGCCGGCCCGAGGGGTCGGCGCCGGCCAGGACGTGCAGGACGGCGCTGTTGTGCGCCGCCAAGCGCACCAGGTCGTTGACGGCTTCGCGCAGCCACCCCGCCTGCGCAAACAGCATCGGAGCGGGCTCGTTTGGCGAGATGTTGCACGGAGAGCGCGGAAAGGGCGCGCGCGCGGCGCGCCGCGGACGCGCGAGCGCTGCGCAGCGCGTCAGTTGGAACCATTGGACGTCAAACGGTCAAAAGGGCGGGACAGGCTGTCGTGCGACGAGCGTAGGAAAGGCACACGCCACAGGGGCGCCTGCGCCGCAGCGGCCGCGCGCGGGCATCGCAGACGTAATCCGGCCGCCGACGGCATCCGCACATCGGAGGGAGCGCGCCGAGCGCACGTGCGGCGCGTGGCGGGCCGGCGGGAGCGAGCGCGGGGCCTGGGGGAGGGGCGGTGGCGGTGCACACCTGGAGCGGGAACGAGTCGTCCTGCGACCGTCCGAGGCCGTCAAACGACCCCGCCGACAGCGCTGCGGCAGAGGCGCAGCGGACGCCGCCCTGGGCGCCGCGCTTGGCGCGCCGGGGCGCGCGCGCCAGGCAGGCACTCGGTGGCCTAGAGCGAGCTGCACCCGCGCAGGCCCGAGTGACGGTCGGGCAGCCGACCGCGTGCGCGAGGGCGCTCATTTTAATGTGCTAGCTCGAGGTGCCGCGCGGGGGGGCGCCTGGGGGACCGGTCGCGCGGCCAGCTAGGTCGATGCTGCAATTCCTGCCTCCAGGGTACCGGAGGGTCGCTCCGCACAGGGCAACGGGATCGTGCTCGTGCGAGATTCGATAGCTCACTGAGGCGCAGGAGCGTCGATGGTGTCTGCGCGCGGCGGGCGGCGCGCCCCGGCCTCGTCGCCCTCCGCCTGAGGAGGGGCACACGCCGGCACGCGCCTTCCCCACTCCAGGCTGGAGCGGGCCCGCGGCGCGCCTGGCCGGCCCCGTCCGACCCGCGCGCCCCCCGCAACCGCTAGCCCTGCTCGATCGGCGAGCCCGGAGCCGCGGAACGGCGGCGCCGGCGGTGCGGGCGGCGCGCGCGCGGGGTGGGCCACACGCGCTGCCCTCGACCGCCGTGCGCCGCGCCACCGGCCGACAAGGCCGGCGTTTCCCGATCGTTTCGTGGTTGTGATGGTACAGAGACCGCCCCGGGGGATGAAGCGTCCCGGATACAACATCTCAGTCGCAGTGCTCGGACGTCACATGGGTCGGCGGTGGCGCCCAGCCGTGAGCCGTCCCGCCGCCACGCGGGGCCGTGAACGGGACGCACCTGCGGTCTTGATGAAGAGATAGGGCCCTGTCGGTCATTAGATCTCCCGTACGACCCCGGACAGCGAGCCGGGGAGGTCATATGTCATCGCCTGAGGCCTGCGTGCGACCGTGCCGCCGACGTGGGGGCGCGACGAGCGTAACCACGGTCGTGAATGGGTGATTCGTGACTGTAGTTCGTGCAGACTCCAGACGACGGACTGTTTCCGGTACAAACCTGGTGCAGGGGACGGACGCTGCCACTGCAGAGCTCTCCCTGCGTGCAGCGGCCGGCGTGGGAGAACGCTGTCGTGGCGCACGGGCGGCTTATCCTTGCCTGTGCGCGGCAGCGCCACGTGCGCGTGCCCGCCGGCCCCCTCCACGAGCCGCTGGTCAGCGTCGCAAGTCCCGACAGTTCGCATGCGCGGCCTGCCGGGGCGCGAGGCGATCGCGGCCAGGTCCCGGCTCGCGCGCTGGACGGCAGCGAGCGGGCGGTGGTCCCCGGCGTGCTCCCGGGCCGCCGCGACCACGACGCTGTACACACGTTGACGCACAACAACAACAACATGCTGTTCCTGCTCGGCGGGCCCGCAGCACCGCTCCCCGCGACGGCCCGCCGTGCCTCGCGCCGCTCACCACGCGCGCCTGTGCCGCCGCGATCGCATGCTTTGGCAGGTGGGGGTGCCTCGCCGCGAGCCAGCACACACTGCTCTGGGGCTGTGTTTTGCGTGGCTGCAGGGCGTGTGAGGGGACGGGGGGCCCTCGCGGTCGCCGGACCGTCCGCCTGGCCTCGCTGGGGCGCGGGTTGCGCCCGCGGGCGAACCAGCCCGTGCGCCGATGGCCGGTGTGGGGTGGATGGTAGAAAACCCACGTCAGGGGGCTCCAGGACGCTGCCGCCTTGTTCGGGCGCCCACAGCGACGCGGCTGTGTACACGCGTGCACGCCTAGCAAGGCCGGCGGGTAGTGATAGCGACCCTGCGGGGAGGGAGCGGCCTCTAGCGATGGGCAAGCAACGCGGGCTGCGCTTCGCCCTGCGTCGACCGACCCGCACGCACGCCCGGCGCATCCGGTACACGTACTTCCTTCAGGGCATCGGGGCGCCCCTAGCGACGCTCACCTTCTTCGCTGTCAGTGAGAGCCCGCCCGCCTGTGTGTGTGGGGAACCGCCTGGGCCGCGACGCACGGCCCTGAGCGCGGCTGGCGGCGCAGCCGATCTGAATGTCGCGTCCGAGCACTGAACCGTCGCGGCGAGGCGGCGCGCGCGGACATGGAGCGCTGGTGACCGCGCGGCGCGCGTTCGCACCGGACCCGGCGTCACAGATCGCCGCCGCCCCGTGGCCGCCTGATGCTCTGCAGCGCTCGGGACGCGGTGGGACCTGCAGCAGAAGAACATCCTGTCCGGAGTGCACCCCTGGATCCGCAGCCACTTCAACAGGGCCGTCTACGGAGCGGACTACCAGTCCCCCTTCACCGTCGAGCCGTACCCGGAGAGGGAGGAGGAGTTCTGACGACGTGGCGCGACAGCCGCCGTGGCAGAACATCTGAGAGACCACCGTTATAGATCCAGATTGCCTCTTGGGACCCGGGGTCGCCAGAACGCGCGCCCTTTTACAGCTGCACTCTCTCCGGTCACTGCGGAGCGGTAGATGATCGGTCTGCTCCCGTTCGTGCTCATCGGCGTGGTCTGGGGCTCCACCAATCCGTTCATCAAGCGCGGCAGCGAGGCCGCCGCGCGACGTGCGGCCCAGCGCCACGCCAAGCGCCACGGCCCCGCCAAAGCCTCGGCGGCCACCCAGCCCGGCGCGCTCGACCTCCTGCTCACCCCGAGCTACGTCGTCCCACAGGCCATCAATCTCCTAGGAAGCGCCGCGTTCACGGTCCGTCCCTCCGCCGCGCGCATCGTCACACAGTCCCTGCTTACGCCAATGACTGCCCCCACACCGACTTGTCCAACGGGTGCCCGGTCGACGCAGGCGCTGCTGGGGTACACGCGCGTCACGCGCGCGGGCCCGGTCACGAACGCCGTCGCGCTGTCCTCCACGGCGCTCTGCGGGTGGTGTCTCGGCGACCAACTCAATCTCAAGCTAGCTATATTCGGCGTGGCACTCGTAGCCCTAGGAACCTGGCTCTGCGCGAACTAGCCGCACGGCCCCCTCCGCGATGTCCGGCGACACGCACGACGGCCTGATCGGCGCGGACGAGGCTCTGCGCGCAGCGGGCCTGCCCGTACGCGCGCCGGCTCCGCGTGCGGCGCCCGCGCCGCAGGACGCTGCGTCGCAGAAGGAGTGGGCGGACGTGTGCCGGACCGTCGCGCGCGATGACGTCCCGCTCATGTCCGGCGCGCGCACCGCGGGCGAGCCCGACTCGGAGCTCGTTGACGCCGCGGCAGCGCCGGGAGGCGACGCGGCGCGGGACGCGGGGGAGCCGGCGTTTGCGTTCGCGGGCGACGACGGCGAGGGGCACGACGCGCTCGACACGGACGTGGGGCCCGGTCTCGGCGGCCCCGGCGCGCCGACCGTCGCCAGCATCGAGGCGCTCATCCGCGGCCTCGAGGCGGCGCTCGGCGGGGGCGACGCCGGGGCCGCGGAGCCGCAGCGGGCGCCCGCGAAGACGGAACCTGCGCGGGACCCGATGGTCGCGTTCCACCGGCTCCAGCCCGTGTGCGCGCGGCTGTTCGAGCAGGCCTGCGACGCGCGGGCGCTGGCGGGGACGCTCGAGGAGCTCGAGGGCCTCGTGCGGGACACGGACCGCGAGGACATGCGCGCGCCGGGCGTCGCGGACTTCCTGATGTGGCCGCTGCTGATGATGATGGAGTCGGCCAGCGGCGCGGGGGGCGAGGCGGCCGCAGCGGGCGGAGCGGCGGACGCGGACGCGGACGGCCCGGCGTTCCCCGCGGCCGCGGCGTCGGAGCGCGTGGTCGAGCGCGTGCTGTCGTGCACGTGCGCGGCGCTGGAGCAGTGTCCCTGCGCGACGGGGGAGCAGCTGGTGGAGCTGCTGGGCCGCGCCGCGCCGCTGGCCGCTGCACCGTCGGCGGGCGAGGAAGCCGTGCTCGGCGCGCTCGAGTGCGTGCGGCTGGCGCTCGGCGGCGGCCCCGGTGCGGCGGACGACGTCGAGGACGACGGCGACGGCGCCGCGACGGCTGGCGCAGCGCGCAGCGACGGCGGCGCTGACGAGCTGGCGGGGCGACTGGCGGGGATGCAGCTCGCGGAGAGTCCCGTCGAGACGCTGCGGGAGCCGGAGTCCGCGGGGCACCTCGGGGCGACGCTGGGCAACCTGCTCGCAGTTGCGCGCCGCGAGTGCGAGCGCGGGGCGCGGGGGAGCCCGGCGGTGCGGCTGGCGGCCGTGCGGGCCGTGCGGGCGCTGGTGTGCGCGGTCGCGGACGGCGACGCGCTCGCGCCGTTCCTCCCCGGGCTTGTGTCGGGCCTGGCCCGGTGCATCGTGGCCTGCGTCGGGCAGGGGGGGCCTCCGCCCGAAGTGGGCGCGCTGGCCGCGGCGCGGCCGCTCGCAGAGACGGTGCTGGCGCTGAGCGACTCGGTCGTGCACGCCACGGCGGACGCGACCTTCCTGGACGGCACGGCGCGGCGCGCAGCAGACGCGCACTTTGGGGAGTCGGCGCCGACGGGCACGGGGGGGGTCAAGACCGCCGAGGACGCGATGCAGCGCCTACAAGCAATGGTGGGGCGCGCCCTGGCCGGGGACGCGGCCTCGAGCCGCATGGACGAGGACGAAGCTGACGTCAGCTGGCCCAGCCGCAGCGCTGCGGCGCGGGACGGGCCGCCGGAGGACCCCGCGGACCTTCGCGTGGACCGCGACGTCGCGTGGGTCCGCGGCGCCGCGGAGAAGCTCTCGCGGCTCCTTCCGCGGCTGCTCCCGCCCCTGTGCATGCACCCGAAGCCCTCAGTGCGCGCAGCGACGGCGGTCGCCGTGTCGCAGATGCTCACGCGCTGCCCGCTGGCGCTCGCGCCGTGCGTGGCGACGCTGCTCGAGGCCTCTCTCGAGCTGTCCCGGGACCCCTGGGCGCGCGTCAGCGCCCCCGCGGTGGCGTGTCTGGAGCGCGTCGCCATTGGCGAGGAACCCACGACAGCAGCGCGGCGCGGGGGCGACGACGGCGACGGCGCGTCTGTGCGTAGAGCGGACAGGCCTCGCAAGAGCCTGTCGGGGCGGCGCGGCGCGCTGGACGGCGAGGCGAGCGCGGCGCCGGATTTGGCAGTTGCGCTGCTGGGGGGGGGGTCGGGGGCGGCGCTGGGCCTCGAGGACGGTCCGATCGGCGTGGAGCCGCTCGAGCCGCTCTTCGGCGGGGCGTTCGAGGACGCGGACGGGCTGGGGAAGGAGGATGGCGGGGCGTCGGACGCGCGGGGTGTGGAGATGGATGACACGGGCAGGGGGGTCGGTGCGATCGATACGGAGACGCTGGTGCGGTATCTGGACGGCGACAGAAGCGTGGATCCGTTCAGGCTCGCGTGGGGGGGCGCAGATGGCGAGGAGCGCGAGGCGGGGGAGCTGGAGGCGGGCGAAGACGCGCAGGGGGGGTTGGCTCCTGTCAGGATCCCGGGCCGGGCGCTGGAGCGGCTGCTTCTGGACCTCATGGTCGACGGGCCCAAGGCCCTCAAGGCCGGGTCGGCGGAGTGCGCCGCGCACATGGGCCGGCTCGCTGCCGCCATCTCCGTCGCCGGGCCGGAGCGGACGTGCGCGGTGCTGATCGCGTCCTCGCGCGGTCTCCCGGCGGTGGTCGACCTGGCCTGCCAGGCGTTCGCGCCGGACGCGGGCAGCGCGGCGCTCCTGCTGCACGCACGCGGCGACACGGGCGCGTGGACGGTGCTTGACGGCGATGCCGCGGCACAGGCCGAACCAGCGCCGCTCCTGCCGCGCATGTCCCCGGGGCTGCAGTACATCACGAGCAAGGAGCTGTACGACGCCGTGGCTCTGGTGATGCGCTGCCTCGGCCGCTGCGCCGCCGTCGGCGGAGCGACACACCCCCGGGGGCATGCTGCAACGACCACCAGCGCTAGCGCGGCGACAAAAGCCTCGCTGGCGATCCTCTGCGAGACCTTCCTCGAGAGGCTCACGGCCGCTATACACACGCGCGCGCCAGGCCCCGGCGGCGCGCCGTGGCAGGCCAGCGCGGCCGCAGCAGCCATGACCCTCTCGGAGGTCATGTTCGGCGCTTCCGCGGCCTGGCAGCCGCCGGACGGCATCCTGCAGCGCCTGCGCATCGCGTCCCAGCAGCGGACTACCACGGACCGCCTCGTGGCCATGGCAGAGCGCGCCGTCGAGGCCGCCACGGCGCCCGCTGTCCTGCGCCTTCACACCGCGCAGGGCGACGCCCACGAGCAGCACGCCGCGACGTTCTCGGAGCTCGGCCTTTCCGCGGCGCTCCTGCGCGCGTGTCTCGAGCTCACCGGCACGCTCGCTCGCGCGCTGCCCACCGCGTTCCCCGCGCGGGCGTCGCTGTTGGCGACAGTGCTTGTGCCGCTGCTTGAGCGCGCTGAGGACCCCGCGGGGGCCGTCGCGGCGGCCGCGGAGGCGGCGCTGGGCTCGGTGTGCGTGCACTGCGGGTTCGGGTCGCTCCGGCGGCTGCTGGCGGCGAACTCGGACCATGTTGTCCGCGAGATCTGCCAGCAGCTGCGGCACCTCGACGCGCACCCGCGCGCGCCACGGCTGCTCGCGAGTCTCCTGAGGGTACGCACGATGCTCGCCTGCGGCGCCTCGCTTGGCGACCCCGTGCACCGCCGGCGCGTGGGTGAGGGAACAGGGATCATGCCCCTGCGTGTCTGCGTGTGCTGCGTATGTCCGCAATCGGTTGCGAGCTTGAACGATCCCACGCGCGTGGGTGCACATCATCCCCGCTCATGGCTCCGTTGCTGGCCTCCATAGTGCAAAGCAACGGAGCCATGCGCGGCGATGGTGGGACCACCGCACGAGGCATCGTTCAAGCTCGCAATCGGTTCCGGAGATACGCTGCACACGCAGCTCGTGGGTCTCTCACCCACGCGCCCGCGGTGCTCAGGATCGCCTAAGTGCACGGCGCGGGACCTCCATGCTCAATTTCTGGTTTCCTATTTCGTTGTTGCTTTCGCGCTTCTCGGCAAGCTGACGCGCTGCCACCCCCCACCCCTGTGTCTGCAGCGCACGGGCGCGGCGCCGGACATCCTCCCGCTCCTCGCGGAGCCCGCTGCGGCCGCCTTCAAGGGTCTGTCTGTGTGGGCGCGCAGGAACCAGGCCGCACAGGTCCGCCCGTTCCTCGCCGTGCTGGCCGAGATGGCCAAGGGCGCCGCGGAGGAGGGCCGCATCCTCGCGGACGACGCCGAGAGGTCGCGCGACGAGCACGCGTCGAAGGCGGCCGCGAGGAGCCACGCGGAAGACGCAGCGATGGACGGGAGCGCGGCGCCGGGGACGACGCAACCGGTGGAAGTCCGGGAGTACTTCCTGGGCCGCAAGCGCGACCGCGACGCGGCCGACCCGGCGACGGACGCGGCCGAGGGGAGTGGCGAGTACACCCCCCCTCTGCCCGGCATGTCCGCTGCACTGCGCGAGGAGATCGCGCAGCGGCGGACGCGCGCGACGGCGTGCGCGTCGCTCTGCGGGCAGATCGTGGAGTCCGCGTCGGACCTCGCGTCCAGCCCGGACGTCACCTCCGCGGTCACAGCGCTCTCGACGTGCACCGCCGCACTGCACGCGCTGGCCGGGGCGCAGCGCGCGCTCGCCGCCGACGCCGCGACCGTCGACGCGCTCCTCCCGGACCCGCACCCGCACCGCTCGGACCTCCTCGGCACCAGCGCGCGCCCCCCGCCGGAGCTCCTCCCCTCCGTGCACGCCGTCTGGTACCCCCTGGCCACGGTGCTGCGGGGACCGACCGACGGCCGCGCACCCGTGGTGGAGGCCGCCCTGGACGCGCTCGCGGACGTCGCGGTCAGCACAGACGGCTCGTTCCTCGCGCGGCGGGTCGCGACTGACGCGTGGCCCGCGATCCGAGCGCTGCTGCTGTACGGCAGTGGGCTGGGGTCGGCCGGTGGGCCGCGGACGCTGACGACGGGGACGGCGCTGGAGGAGGAGGGCGCGCGGAGGAAGGGCGTCGCGGCGCTCGTGGACCCGTCGCTCGACATGAGCGCGCAGGGTGTCGTGGCGCCCGCTGCGTCCGCGGCGGCGGTGGCGCGGGCGCAGCAGCAGCTGATGGGGTTGCGGGCGGCGGCGGCGGGCGGGGCGCGCGCGATCGAGGCGCCCGTCGAGACCGGCGCGCTCGCGACGACGGGCGCCGCGCGCGTGCGCTGTGCCGCCGCGCGGTGCCTCGCCACGATGGCGCGAGCGCCCGAGGGCGCGCGGCGCTCAGGATGGTCGGCGGCGACGCCCTCGACGCCGTCCTGCCGCTCACGGGCCCGAGCGGCGGCGCCGCGGCGTCCGCGGTGCGCGAGGCAGCGGTGCAGGCCGCGCACGCGCTCTCCGCGATGGACCCGGACGCCGCGTGGGTGGTGTTGACCGACACAGCCCAGCTGGTCCGTCAGGGCCCCCCTGACGCAACGGAGCCCCCCGCGGCGCGCGTGCGCGTCCCGTGGGAGCAGCCGTCGTCCCCTGCGCCCGTGGACGCGCTGCACGTGCCGCGGGATGGCGGCGAGGTGCCGTGCGAGGCGGCGGCGGCGCGCTGTCTGCAGTGGCTCGCGGCGCCCGTGGGCGCCGGCGCGGAGGCGTGGCGGCGGCGCGCGGAGGGTCGCGGCGCGATGGATGAGGACGATGCCGCCGTGGACGAGCTCGAGGGCGACCTCCGCGGCCTGCTGCGCGACCCCCGGCGCGACGCACGCCCGGGGGTGTTGGAGGTGGACGGGGCGGGCGGCGGCGCGGCTGTGTCGCGGCGGGCGGGCGTTCCGTGTCTCGTGGACGTGCCGGCGTCGCTGGTGCACCGGTCCGGGCGGCTCTTTCCACCCGTGCGGTCGCTGCTGCCCATGCTCGGGTCGGCGGGCGGGGACGAGAGCGCAGCGACGACGGCGGCGCGGCGGTTGGCGGCGCAGGGCGGTGGGGAGGCGGCGGCGGCGCTGCTGGGGCGCGTGGAGGAGGCGGACGCGCCGTGGTGGCAGCGCGCGCGCGCGGCGGTGGCTTTGACATAGGTGTGAACGCGCGCACACGTGGCCGTGTGAGGAACTGGACGTGGAAAGAGCACGATAACGGTGGCCGTCGTGCGTGCTGCGTCGCGCGGCGTACTCGCGGCCGCGTGGACGCATCAGCCTGGCGTCATGCTGGGGGGGTGTCGCGGGGCCGAGCGGCCGGACCGGGGTGGCCGCGAGCGTCCGTGGGGCCGCGACGTGTGGGTGCGGCGATGGGGGCGCGCGGTCGTTGGTGCGCCGATCGCCGCGTAGTGGCCGCGCATGCCAGCTCAGTGGACCCTGACAGTCGGTCGACGCTGGCGCAGCTGGCGGGGCCCATGGGCCGAGCACGCGAGCGCAGTGCGTCAGTACAGCGCTGTACACTGTGGGAGCAAGCGCATCGGTGCCGATCGGTCGCAATCGACGCGCGTTCCGTGGAAAACCTGTTTGGAGCACCCAGGAGAGGGGCACCCACGTCTCGCGTCGGTATAACAGGAACACGGAGCTCGGCGCCGCGCTACGGACGAGCGTAGCAGAGTGAGCCGTGTCGGGCAGGGAACTAGGTGATCTGCGCGAGGATCGTGCTGTGCGGGGGCACTATGAGCCGGGGCTGGTGGAAGTGCGGCGCATGTCAGGGGCTGTGGCTGGTGGCATTTATAGTCTGCGGCGTGCTGGCCACATGCGACGCTAGAATTCTCTCCGGGCGCGAACGAGGTGAGTTCCCCCGTGTGCGCCCGCGCAGGCCCCCCTGCAGCACGCTCGCACCTACGCGTCGTCCGGCGGCCCCCACGCCGCGTGGAATCACGTCGCACGCGCCACCCCGCGACCACCCTCTCGCCTACGCTCGTCCCACGCACGTCCCACGCGGCCACATCTCCCACACAGTGGCGCTGAGCTCCCGTCCTGCCCCCAGCGCGCTCCCAGCCTCGCGCGCCCGCCCGCGTCCGCCCAGCGCCGCCACGCCCCCCTCGCCCCGCGGCCCCCATCGACGCCGAACCAGCGCACCGAGCCCGGTGCCCGTTCCGCAGGTCTCGCGGGCGCGCGTGCCGGCGCGGCCCCCGCCTGGTTCCCCGCCGTAGCTCCCGCAGCGCGGCACCCGCTGCAGAGCGACACGACGCCGCCCGCGAACGCGACGGCCAACACGACCGCGCCCGCGAACACCACGGACGCGCCAACGACGGCGCCGGCCGCGAGCGCCGCCGCAGCGAACGGCACTAGCAACGACACGGCAGCAACCACGACGCCGGCAGCGACAACAACAGCGCCCGGCGAGACCACGACGCCGCCGGCGACGACCGACGCGGCAACGACCACGCCGGCCGCCACGACCACCGAGGCGGCCACGACGCCGGCCGCCACGACCGCGGAAGCCACGACGGACCCCGCGGGCGCCGGGAACACCCCTGCCGCGACGACGGAGCCGGGCGGGGGGGACGCGACGACGCCGGCCGCGACGACGGAGCCGGGCGCCGCCGGCGGCGGCGGCGGCGGCGGCGGCGGCGGCGGTTCGAAGGTGAGCGACGAGGCGCGGACGGCGATCATCGTGATCGCGGTGGTGTCGTTCGCGGGGCTGGCGTTCGTGGGGGTGCGGCGGGGGATGCAGGCGTGGCGGAAGCGGCGGTATCCGCCGTCGCTGTACGTCGGGGAGCTGGAGATGACGGACGGGCCAATGCTGGGGGACCGGGGGGAGTGGACGGCGGCGAACGACGGGGACGAGCGCGGGCCGCTCGGGAACCGGTACTGAAGGATCGCCCCGGGCTGTAAGGACCGCCGCGCAGCTGTTCGAACAGCGGTTCAGTCGCAGCATCGATGGAGCGGCGTCGATTAGGTCACACGACGGACGACGGCCCCGCGCGCGTCCGCCGGGCGCCGGCGCATCAGTGCTGCACGAACAGGCTCGCCTTCCGCGCCTTGAGTCCGTTGATGTACGCCTGCGCAGCCATCGCCTTCTTCCCGGGCGCCTGCACCTCCAAACACCGCAGCGCTGTGCCCGCGCCGCACGGCACCACCAGCGCGTCCTTCTCCTGCGCGACCGGCAGCAGGCCTCCCTCGCCCACCGCCGCCCCGCCCTCCGACGGCTCCGTGCGCACCACCTTGATGTTCACCTCCTCGTCGCCGCCGCCGTCGACGCGCTGCACGAATCGCCCCGTGGTGCCCGGCCAGCCCGCGAACGCGCGCACGCGGTTGTGCAGCTCCGCGGCGGGGAGCGAGAAGTCCAGGAACGACTCCTCGCGCGAGATCTTCGCGGCGTGCGTCGCCTTCGACCCGTCCTGCAACCACACACACAAACAGCGCAACGCTGACTGCGATGTCGGCCGCTCGCGTTGATACGTCGTCTGAGCGCGCCCGCGCTTCGCTGCGCACCTGCGGCACCGCGACCTCCTCCGCCTCCCCGCTCCACACGCGCGGCAGCTCCTCGATGAGCGCCTGCATGCCAGCGGCCATCAGTCTGTCCAGGAGCTCCGGCGCCGTCTCGTTCGCGCCGATCGGGGCCGTGATCTGCCGCAGGACCGGCCCGGCGTCCATCTCGAGGACCGTGAACGCCACCGTGACGCCCGTCTCGGCCAGCCCGGCCTCCACGGCGCGCGGGACCGGCGCAGCGCCGCGGAACGCGGGGAGCAGCGAGGGGTGCACGTTCAGCGTGCCGTGCCGGGGAATCGCAAGGAACTTCGAGGGGAGGAAGTTCCCGTACGCCACTGTGATGCACAGGTCGGGACCGAGCTCCTGCGCGCAACAAAAACACAAGGTCTGTTTGTCAGATATGTAGCGGTCGCTCGTGGCGACCCGGCGTCGCCGAGGAGGCGCGGCGAGCGGCGATCAGAGTCCGATGCGGTTCACGCGACGCCGCACCTGCAGCTGCGCCAGGAAGGCGTCGTCCTTGGCAGATGCGGGCTCCCAGATCGCGTCCTGTGCTATGCCGCGCTGCGCGGCGTACTTGGCGACGGGCGACGGCACGACCTTCTTGCCGCGCCCGCGCGCCCGCTGCGGCTGGGTCACCACCGCCGACACCTCGAACGCGCTCTCCGGCGCCTCTGCAGCAGCCTTGGGGTGGGTGCACGGCAGGTGACGCGCACGTCGCAGCCGGTGGCCGTGCTTGCGCGCGCGCTGCGTACTTCGTCATAGTTCGGAGGCCGCTGCCTCGTGTGGTGGCGCGAGGCCCCCACAGGCGCTCGCGGCGACGGGGGGCAGCGCAGAAAGCGCACCTGCAGCGTCGAGCAGCTGTCCGAGCGTAGCCGCGGCGACGTCCGGCGTGCCGAGGAACACGACCCGCTTCTTGCCCGCAGCGGTGCACGCGACCTGCCGTCCACGCGCCACGCCCGGGGCGCCCCATCTGGTGCGCGACTGCAGGCGGGCGGGCTGGTGGAGACGTGACGTCAGCGGCGATGAGGCAGTTCGATGCCTGAAACATCAATCGTTGGCGCCCGTGATGCGAGCGTGGGGCAGTTGGTGGCGTCCAGAGGTCGTTTCGGGCCTTGCCTGGACCTCCCGGAGGCTAGCTGGTCTACACCGCGGCGCGGTGCAGTTCGCTGGGCGTGACGGCCCGGCCGATAGATGGCACCGTACTACGGCCGCCGGTTGAGAGAATATCCGCCGGCGCACGACGCTCGGGACCGACGCGTGCGACCAGCACACCCGTGCTTGCAGGCCAGCCATGCTCCCAGCGGCGCGCACGCCCTGCCACCACACGAATTGGTCAGCTTAGGCTTCGAAACAGAATGGAAATAATATGATCCAGCTCCTGTGGTGCGAGTCTGTCGCGTATAGTGACGAACGGTGGGCCGCTCGCCGCCCAAAGGCACCTCCCCAGCCTCCCAGGGGCAAACCACGGTCCTGTCCGCCGATTCACCAGCCCCACAAGCTACATATCGGAACCGGAGACCGCCAGCTCGTCATACTTACCTGCACGGGTTGTATCGCCTCGATCATGAAGGGGGCGTGCCCATCGGCTGCTGCTCGGCCTTGCACTTAGCCCTGCGGCGTCGGTGCCAGTGCCCAACTGGGTTACTGGACGTGACCATTTTTGGAGGCGGGTCACTCGATCCGGTCCCCCCCGCGTCACTCGACGCGACCGCCTCGGAACACCAACCGCGCCCCGGCGCACGTCTCACGAGAGTCACGGCTCATCTCCGCATCAGAGTGTCTTGCAACTGTCCGGGTGTGACACCGGGGACACCGGCGAGGACAGCCTGGTCCCCTGGAGCTCCTCTGGGGCGATCATGCGGGACTGGGTGTGCGTGCGAAACCTACGGACCATTGGCGACGAGCCGGCGAGGCGGTGTGAGCCGGGCGAGCCGGCTTTGACGCGGTGGCACGCTACGACGGGTGCCGGAGTGGTTTATTTGGGCGCGGTGGCGGTCGATCGCACCGCCATCGCTCCGAAATACACCATCCTGGCCCCCATCGCAGCCTGATGCTCGCGCCGAAGCCGTCTCGCTCGGCTCGCACCGCCTCGCCGGCTTGTCTGCGTCACGCTGCGTCGTGCTCTCGCCGTCCCGTGTGAGACCGGCCGGTCGGACGCCAGTGCCGCAGCAACCAGCCGGGACGTCGTGTTGCGCCGCCAGCCCCACGCGACTGTGCTGCGGGGGCCGAACGGGGTGGGGAGCGGGTTGCTGAAGGCGACACTGCCTCGATGTGCCGGGCAGGCGAGGATGAGGACTAGGCGTCGGTTCGGTCACGCGCGTGCTGCGCGTGGAACGGGGTACCGCTGACCTTGACGTCGCTGTTCGCGTGCGCTGTGTGAAACGGGAGTTGCTGTGCGACGCAGTCACGGATGCGAACCGTGCTGCGTTGTTCGTGTCGTGCATCGCACGAGAGTGACGGGTTCCGTCGCACGGCGCAGCGACATGTCGTGTTCGCTGTCGCTGCGTCCAGCGCCAGTGGCGCGCTGCCCGCTGCCTGTCTGCGACCTCCAGGGAGCTTCCCACGTTTATTCAAGTGAGCGCCTTGGTCTGCTGCGCCCATCGTCGCACGCTTGCAGAACGGCGCACGTCCTCTAGCTGTCGTCGCGCACGTCGAGCGAGGCCCTTGCGCGCGCACGTCACGCGCGATGCATCAGTTCCGCAGCGCGCGCCTGCACGCCATCGCGGATGCAGCGCGGGCGGGCCCGAGCCGACGCGTCTCTGCGACACACGAGCAACCACTCCAGTCACAAGCGAGATCACGGACTCGCACGCCGCCGCCGCGGCCCGTCAGGCGCTGATGTGGTGTGCCAGCGCCCTACGTGCGCGGTCTCCCGGGCCTCACAGGTCCTCGCCTGTGGCCGCTGAGAAGTACGACAGCGAGCCCGTCGGCGTCGGCACCATCGTGCGCCCCCCGGGCTTCCACCCGGCCGGGCACACTTCGTCAGGGTGCGTCTGTATGTGCTGGATGGCTTGCAACACGCGCAGGGTCTCGTCGACGGACCGCCCGAACCCGAGATTGTTGATCGTCGCGTGCTGGATGACGCCCTGCGCGAAGGAGCGGTCCGCGCCGAAGCGGCGTGTCAGACGGCACCGACGGCGTCGATTCAGCAACCCCGCGTGACGCCGAGCGCTGTGACGATGGTTCGGCCCGCGCGAGACCCCCGAGATGCAGCGCGGTTCCCGGCCGGAGAACGGGGGGCGTTTAGCGCGCACCTTGGGGTCGATGACGAACAGCCCGCGCAGGGCGACGCCGTCCGGCGTCAGCACGCCATAATCCGCCGCGATCGTCTTGCCCAGGTCGCTCACCAGCGGGTACTTGAGCCCCTGCGCGGCGCCGCCACACGCAGCGCGGCAAGCTCATTTCCTACGGCCCTCAGCTCGGTTGCATGCTGACATGACAGGTATTCCCAAACTCGCATGCTTGCGGCACCAGCGACGCGGCATGCGGGCCGCGCCGACGTCGGTGCGACGGGGACATCGCGCGTGCTGTTGGCGGCGGAGGGCGAGGGGGGGGGGGTTACCTCGACGCCCCCTGAGTCCCGGGGGGTGTTGAGCCACGCCAGGTGACTGAATTTGGAGTCCACCGAGACGCCGAGGATCTGCAGCGGGGCCGGGCGCGAGCGGCGGCGGTGAGCTGGCGTGCGCGGGGTCGCGCGGCGCCGGTCTGCGCGGCCGCGGGCCGTGCGTCGCACCTCCGTGTTGCGATTGTTGAACTCGTCGTACGCGTCGCTGAAGGCCGTGATCTCCGTGGGACACACGAACGTGAAGTCCTGCAGGATGGTAGAAGCAGCGGGCGGCGCCTCGTTCGGTCCGCGCGCGCCCCGGCGACTGCCGCGGAGAGCATGGGTGGGGCGGTTGCTGTGCGCGAGCGCGCCGGTCGGGTGGAGCACGACGGCTGGTGTTGCTGGGCGTCGCGGTGTGACGATGATGATGGCTGCGGCGCCGCAGCGGGAGCGCGACGTTCGGGCCGCGGCCGTCTCTGTGGGCGCCCCGTTTGTTGCCGCCGTGGGCGGGACATCGAACTGCCGTCAAGGCAGCCGCGCGTTGCGCTCCCGCGCTGCCGTCGATCCTGGGCCGGACTCAGGCTCGGTCCCGTCGCAGTGGGTGCGTAGAGGACCGCATTGGCCGCCCGTGGTGGCGCGTTCACTCACCAGCGGGTAAAAGAAGAGCACGACGTACTTCCCGTCGCGCTGGTACTCTTCCAGCTTGATGTCTATGAATTTCTTGTCCTTGACCGCCTCCGCCACGAAGCCAGGCGCGGGCCGGCCGACCTGCGCGGCTCCCAGGACGGAGCCCACCGCCGCGAAGGCCAGCACAGCCAGCAGCAGCCGCACCGCGATCCCCATCGTTGCGAGAGTGCCTCGGCGCGCCGCCGGCGGAGCCTGTCCAGCCGCGCCTGGCAGCGAGGCGGGCTCGCCCCGTCTGTCTGGCCCGCAATGGCCTCCCCCCCCCCTGCTCCTGCTGGGTCCGCCCTGCGCGCGACGTCATGCCCAGGCCCGCGAGGCCGCGCGCCGCAGACGTGCGAGGTCGATTCTCGGGCGACAGCGTGAAAACGAGCGGAGATCGAGGTCGAGCCACCGAGCAATTCGATCGGGGAAGTGCCGGAGTCTGTTGCGCAGTCTCCACGGCCCGGGGCTGGCCCCAGAGCCCCCTCAGCGCCGGTTCTGGAGTGTCATCAGACTGATTGACGCAGCGGCGCAGGTATAATCCTGTCACACCAGGATGCCGGGCGTCGTGGAGACTCTCAAGTGGCTGGAGGCAGCCTCCCAGCCGTCTGTGGACGCCGTCCGGGACACCTGGGGCGACGTTCTCAGCTCTCCTGCCTTCGAGCGCGAGGACCAACACAGCAGCCAGCCAACCGCGCCCGTCGCGGCGACGACGGCCCCCCCGCGACCCGCCGAGGACGACACCGGCGCCACGCACGCAACAGCCCGCGCTGCGCCGCAGCTGGGCGAGGTGGAGCCGCGGATCTGGAGCGACGATGCCCTCGATACTGCCTTCCACGCGGCGCTCGCGTCGTACCGCGCCGCCATGCCCCGACATTGCGGGCTGAGCCCCGAAGAGGCAACTGCGCAGGCAACACGCCACGCTGAGCTCGCGTCGGTGCTGCGCCGCCCGCTCTTGCCCGGGCGCGCCAAGGAAGCTACGCCTGCTGTTTCGGCGAACGAAACGCCCGCGCCGGCGGCTGCCGACAGCGCTCCTGCTGCCGTGACACCTCCCCCGGCGCCGGAGGGGTCGTTCGGGGCCGAGGTGCCGTTGTGGCACACGGAGATGGTGCGCTGGGGGCAGTACGTGACGGGGGAGGTGCCGACGGGCGCCGGAGACGCGTGGGCGCCGCGCCCCGGGGCCGAGAGTGCGCCGGGCGGCGCGATGGCGGGCGAGGCGGCGGACGGCCGGGCGCTGGTCGACGCCATAGCGTATCAGGGCGCAGGCACGATCGCGGCGGAGCACGCGCGCGCCCTGGGCGATCCGAACTTGTACGCGACGCTGATGGCATGGTTTGACGCGGGACTGCGAATAGGGCGCGCGGGGCGGTGAGGCCGGAGGTGCGCACAGGACGAGCAGCGGCCGTGTGAGTCGGGCTGCGACCGTGCGTGCTGTCCGGACGAGAAGAGACGGGCATGGGGTGGTGCGACGTTGGTGCGACGTTCGTGCGGCGACCGATGGCGTGCTCGCGAGGTGCGGCGGTGTGGTGCTGTCGTTGTGACGGTCTGCGGGCGTCGTTCTCGATCGGCTCGCGTGTCACGATGGCGTCCTCATGACGATGCGACCGTCGTCAGTCAGGTCACATCAGCTGGGGGCCATCTGCCCACGTTCGCGCACCGCCGCTACCGGCGCGGCGAGCAAAGCTGGCGGTGAATCTTCGCACCGAAATAATCAGTCCATTTGCGGCTCGGACACCACACTGCGGCGGCCCGGCAGCCTGGAGCAGCACACATGTGGCGTTATGACCACCGATCACGCGGAAGGGGGCGGGGAGGGCTGGTGTGTCGCGCTGCGGGCACCCGCGGCCCTCAACCGGATACTCCGATCGCGTCGAGCCCCCAGTCGACCGCCCACATCACCAGCTCGTACGCAGTCTTGCTGACTACGCTCTCGCGCTCGCCGGTCTCCTCCTCCCGCGCCTTCGCGGCCGCGTACTCCTCCCCGAGCGCCATCGTGGCGACCTTCTTCGCCCACGACTCCCGCGCCGGGAGGAGCTCCCCGCGCTCCTCGCACGCGCACGGGCACGCCGCGCATCGCGCCGCCGTCTCGCGTGCGTCCATGGGCGCCGCAGCGCGCGGCGCGAGGTCCGTGTAGTAGACGGGGAGCGTCGCGGAGTCCGCCCAGCACAGGCCGTGAGGGGACGCGGTCGGGCTGGCCGCTGGGCTGGCCGCCGGGGACGCAGCGCCGCTCATGGTCATACCGCCGAGCGACGCACTGACTACGAGACACGTGGTCGCCGCGGCGGCGATCATCGAGCCGCGCGAGTTGGACCGGCACGCGGCCGCCGGTGGTGCCTGCGGGGCGACGTTTTTAGGCGGGGGCGGGGGTCGGATGCGACTGGCCGCGGGGGGGGGTGCGGTGGCGCGTGCTCAGTCGTGACGTGGAGGGGCGCGTACCGCTGGAGAGACGGTTGCGCCGAACGCCATGGTGGAGGTGGCTGTGGGCGAGGCTGTGGTGGTGTTTTTCGCCAATGTCGGTGCGGGGCCTGTGTGGGGAACGCGGGCGGACGTGGCGTGAGCCTCAGTCGACCAGGGCGAGTTTCGACGAAAATGCGGAGTTTTTCGAAAGTTGTGCTTGGCTCAGCTGCGTCTTCGATAGATGTGGCGAGGAATTTCGATGCTTGTGGCGCAAAAATTGATGGGAGGGCGGCGGCAGCGGCCACGCCTGTGCGGGTCGCGCCTCGAGCTGGTGGGGCCGCCAGCGCCCCGCCGCGCGGAGTTTTTCCCGATTTGTCGCGACGGTTACAATGTAATGTAGTCAGAGAAACTAGAGAGCGCATGCCGCGCGCCGGGAAACTAGCACTCGCGTGCCACGTGTGAGCGAAATCAGGCAGGTCAAGGCCGCCAGGTGGCGCAGCCGCCGCACAAAACTGCAGCTGTTCACCGCGGCTCGGCGTCCGAGGGAACAAGCAAGCGAGCGGTGCCGGCCGGCGCCGAAAAACCGCGGATATTGTCGGGGCGCGGCACGACGGTTCGCCGCAGTCGCATCATCATCGGCCGGTGGTGGTCTCACCTGACGCGCGTGAACTCCTCGGTTTGTGGTGTTCGTGAAGTATCAGAGATGTGCAGCTTCGCGGCGTCGCACGCCGCCCATGACCCCGACCTCGGGCGCCGTGGCGGGGGAGGGGGGCCTGAATCAGGGGCACCCGCGGCCCGCCACCTCACGTCAGCCAAGCCCCGCGTCTCTTCGCGCCCCGGATCCACTCCGAAGCAAGCGCCCTCGCTCCGCATTTCGCGTGCCCGCGGGATGCGACCTCGAGGCCCCATCGCCAGGCAACGCGCCAGCCGCGCGGGGGGCGCGATGCGCGGTGCCGCCAGGCCCGCCTACCCGCCGCCGCCCACCTGCAGCCCCGGGAAGAGCGACGGGAACCAGTACAGCCGCTCTCCGTCCGGCGCGCCCTCGTCGAGCATCGCCAGGCCGTCTCGCAGCGTGGCGCGCAACACGTCCTCCGCGCGGTACTCCTCCCAGCCGAGCTCGCGGCACAGCGCCGCGACGCTCGTGTACCCGTCCTCGCGGCACGAGTCGATCGCCGCGGTCAGGTCCGCGGACACCCCCTCGGGGACTGACCGCAAAAACTCCCTCCCCCCGATCGCGGTGACCTCGTAGCCCCCGTGCAGCTCCCGGAGCCGCCGGAGCGCGAGCCGGACGTCCTCCTTCCCCACCTCGTCCCGCGCCGCGCGCCCCCGGCGGCGGCGCAGCGCCGCCAGCACGTCATCGAGTGCCACGAGGCCCCCGTTCAGCGGCCGCGTCGCCAGACAGAACTCGATGATCTGCAGCCCGAGCTCGTAGTAATAGTCGCCTGCGACGCGCGGGGAGGCGCGCCGGGGCGCGGGGGGGGGTTGAGTCAGTGTTGTTGGGTCTGGCACAGGCTGCACGGGCGCGCGCCGCGCGGCGGAGGGCGGCGCGGAGGAGGCGGGCGCACCTAGGCCGAGGAGCTTGGACCAGGCGGTCTTGCGGGAGGCGAGGGGGTCGACGCCCGCGTGCGCGCACAGCGCGTGGAAGTGGCCGCGGAAGGCCGCGTTGCTGCGGATCTCGTCAGAGTGCTGCGCGACGAACGACTCGAGGGCCTCGCGGAACTTCGCGAGGTTCTCCGTCATGCCCTTGATGCGGTCCCGCTCGATGGCCTGCCCGGCTTCCTGGAACTGCTTCTGTCGCTCCATCTGGCCCCTCAGGCCCGCAATACCCGCTCTCCGCCGCATGGCGACGGTCTCAACCAGACAGGGCTCGTCGACGCGGCGGATTTCGCGATGATAGCCTTCCGCTGCGGGCGCGGTGGCGCCTGAGGGGAGCGCGGTGGACTTTCGGCCGCGCGCAGATGCGAGCCGCTCGTCCGGGGGGCGGCTTTTGGGTTCGAAACGGTCGGAGCGATGCGCAGCTCCGCGTTGCAGTGCCCGAGGCAGCCCGCGACGCGAGCAGTCGAGCGTCGCGGCGCTTCTACCAACTGCGGTGGTCTCTGGGACTGAGTACGACGCGAGCCTGGCTGACGCAGGGCTGATTTTCGCCGCCTGCGTCGCATGCGGGACACTCAGCACATCGGCGCGGTCACGAACGCGACGCATAGCAGCGCGAGCAGCGTGGCATTGCTCGGGAACACACAGCTGGGAGCGGAGCCGCGGGTTGCAGGGGACCTGCGGGGGCGACGGGCGCGATGGACGTCGAGGAGATGGCGACGAGGGGCAAGCATGCCAACAAACTGAAAAAGAGGTGCGTGCGCGCCCCGCAGGAGACATCCAGCCGCATTCTGTGCACCTCGCGCGCGCTGGCTCTCCCCCGCGTCCAAGAGCAGCGATTCTGACTTGACGAGATCGCCGTCGAAGCCCAGCGCGAGCAGTCACACGAGCAGCTGCGCCATTCCACGCGCCGCAGCGCCCTACCTGCACAAGCAGCAGCATCCCATCAATGACACCCTATCCCGGCTGCCGCGCAGGGTCTCGCGAAAGTACAACCCCGCGCTGAACCCCTACAACCAGTGGACCTGGCGGTTCCTCCCGGGCCTCCTGCTCGGCTACGGCCTCGCGCGGTGGCTGGACCTCATGGGCCGCAGCCGCAGGAACACGAAGACGCGCAGCGGCGCCCCACGGTGAGGCCCGCGCCGCGAGGCCGCGCCACGCGCCCGCCGCCCGGCCTGGCGAGCCGGAGCGCTGCCCGCGGGCCCAGCACGCTCGAACGCGCAGTGTGGACGATTCCTTTTCGGCCGTGCTGCGGCGCACGCGCGGCGCAGTCGCGCTCGGGCCGCGCGAGACGGTTGCGCGAATTTTTCCCGCGCGATGCAGGCCGGCGTCGGCTGCCCAGGCCGCGGGCGCGGCGGCGCAGACGCGCGAACATGAGGCGGTGCAGGAGCCCGACGAGGAGCTCAAGATGGTGCTCGTGGTCAACGAGGAGCTCAAAATGGTGAGGCCTGCTGCTCCGCGCGCCGGCTGCGTCGCGCCGCGCAGCGCAACTGCGTTGCGCGATGCTTCGCGCTCACCTTGGTCACTGCGCCCGGCCGCGCAGGGCAAGGGCAAGATCGCGGCGCAGTGCGCGCACGCGGCGGTGGGCGCGGTGTCGGAGATGTCGGCGGCGGGGAGGCGGGGCGCGGAGACGCTGGCGCAGTGGGAGATGTGCGGGCAACCCAAGATCGCTCTCCGGATTCCGTCCGGACCCGAGCTGAACGCGCTGGCGCTCAAGGCGCGCAACGCGGGCTGCCCGATTTACGTCGTGCAGGATGCCGGGCGCACGCAGGTGGCGCCGGGCTCCCGCACCGTGCTGGCGATCGGGCCTGCGGCAAAGTCTCTTGTCGACAGCGTGTCGGGGGGGCTCAAGCTGCTGTGACCGCGAGCCCGCCGTCGTGCCTCGCCGCGCGCTCGGTCTGCGTGCGGAGCCCGCGGGTCGCGCCTGCGCGTCTCGCGGGTGGGAGCCCGCTGACAAGTGTTTGTGAATAATGGTGGGTGTGCCGATGGGCGCTGCGCCCGTGGCGCGGCGCGCGTGGCTGGATCTCGCGGCCCGGGCGGCGCGTGGAGGGTTGGCGGGGACGAGGGCGCGTTGCGGGCTCGGCGACGCGACGTGCCGGCCGACGCCGTGGCACCGTGCAACGGAAATCGCGCTAGCGTTCTTGTTCGCGCGACTTGGAGCTCGAACCGCGGCGCAGCGAACGTATCATGTCTCGTTGTTCGATGGGTCGATGGGTACATGGCGTGGAGAGCGCGTAGGCGGCGGGGCGCTGTGAGGTGGGGGCCTAAGGAGCAGCCGCGACGCGGCCGTCAAGCGCGCTGCGTGGGCGCAAACGTGGGCAAAATCGGACGAGAGGCGGAGCGCGGTCGCGGCTAGGCGGTGCGGGATAGCAAGAGCGCAGCGGCGGGCACGGTTGCGCTGCGAGGAGCTCCAGAGGCTCTGGGGACGGAAGCATAATTAAAGAATAGGGGCGGAGAGCTGGCCAGGCACCTCGGTCCAGCCGGCCCGAGCCGCACTGCGCACGGCGCGCGGCCGGCCGCGCTGCGTCGCCCGGAGGCACGTCCGGTCGACGAATTAACAGTTTGGACGACATGGGGGCGGAGAAGGGCGGCGGGGTCGCATCGGAGCGGAGAGCCGGAAGCACGGGCAGCCCAGCTCACTGCGACCCGGCCGAGCGGGACGGGGGCGCCAAGCCCTCTGCCGACATGCTAGCAGTCACGCAGAACGGCAACCACCGCGCACCCACCGCCTCGGCGGGCGACTCCCCCTCAGTGCACCGCCACCCGCCCGAGGCCGCTCCATCGGAGACTGAAGACAGTGGCGCCGGGTCCGGGCCGCTCGAAGACCCGAACAGGCTCTGGACGCACCACGACAAGATACACGTAAGCCTTTCACGGCAGCCGCCGCGGCCCGCGCCCCGCTCCGGGCGCCAGCGCGCCCCGCAGACGGGCGGGTGGCATCACGTCACGTACGTGCACACACTCTCTTGTGCTCGCGGCCGTCGCGCGCCTCCCTGAGCGCGTCCGCGCGCCCCGGGCGTCGCAGGGACGACTGAAGCCACAGGAGGAGGTCTGGGAGAGCCGGAAGCCGCTGTTCACGCTGAAAACGGACGAGTTGTTCGAGCTGCCAGGACGCCCAAACGTCGCCTACATGATCAAGGACTACAGCCGGGAGCCGACCGGAGCCGCGCTGGTGCGCGCGCCCTCGCCCGCGCCCCGCCCGCCGTCCCCGCGCGTCGCCACGTCCGCTTTGCGCGACGGATCGCACCTGAGCGACGCATACAACAACGCGCGGCGCGGCGCCGCCGTCGCGACCGCACGGTTGATAGGGGTACGCGCCCCCCTTCGTGCGCTGCAGGCACGCGAAGAGATACCGTTCCTGTTCAAGGCGTTCGAGGTCGGGCAAGCGCGGCCGCCGCTGCGGGCGAACCAGGCGCCGCGCGCGGCCACGATCCACGAGTTCCTCGACTGGACCATGACCGGCTCCGTCCCCGAGGACGTCCGCGAGTCCGTGTGCAACACCCAGGTCCGCCGCGCCCCCGGCCGCCCCCTGCCACTGCAGCGTCCACGCAGCACCACCACCACGCGCGCCCGCGGCGCCCCCGGCGCCCCCCGCCCGATCCTCCCGGCGCTGCTCACGTGCAGGACTTCTGGGGGTTCCGGACGCTCATCATCTACTCCCGCTTCCGCCCGCAATACCCCCCCCCCAAGATCTACGACGTGGAAATCGAGGCCCCGGAGCCGAAGCTCGCGGCGCCGAAGCCGTCGCTCCCGCTGCTGCTCACCAAGGGCAAGCCTTTGACGGCGGCCACGGTGCGCGCCGGCCGGGGGTACCTGGAGGTGCCGTTTTTCGCGACCGTCGAACACCGCAAGGGACAGGGCTTCGGGCGGGCGCTGCTCGAGGCGATCGAGGAGGTCGCGCGGTCGCTCGGCCTGGGGCTCATCATGCTGTGCTCGGAGAACCACCACAACACGTGGGGTGCGCTCCCCGCCCGTCGCGAAACGTCCATTCGCGACAGTGCAGCGCACACGCACAAGCAGCGCCCGTCGCGCCCCGCGTGCCCACGCGTTCGCGCCGCGCCGCCGCCGCAGGGGTGTGGGAGCACTTTGGCTTCAAGAAGACCACCCGGGCGGAGTTCGCTTCCTTCGGGATCCACCGCAGCGAGCTGCTACACATGGACAACACCGTGCAAATGCACAAGTTCCTCCTCCCGCGGCCGAAGTGGATCCCGCTGAAGATCAAGCACAGGACGCTCGTGCAGCGCGTGTTCTTCCACCGCCCCGCGGACCCGAACGACCTGGCGATCGACCGCGCGGCGCCGGCGTCGCGGTGCCGCCGCACAGCGTCCGTCGCGGGCGCCGCGTCGTTCGGCCGCGGGACCGTCGGCGAGACGGCGAGCCCGAGCCTGAGCTTGGCGACGTCCACCGAGGTGCGCCGCGACGAAAGCGAGCGCCCCGCGCTGCTGCCGGGCACGATCACGCTTGCGCTCACCATCACTCGCGGCGTCGCACGGCGCTCGGGCTGCGCAACTTCCTCCCGCTTCGCGGGCCCGTCCCGCTGCACATGTGCGATGCGACCGCGGCCTGATCCGTCGCGCGGTGCAGGGCCCGTCGACATCGAAGGCACATGCAAACCGTGGGATGTCGACACGCGGGGCGCGCGCCGCGGCCGTCTCCGGCCAGGCGTTCTCGCACCACGACGACGGCGCGGGCGAGGTGCGCAGCAAGCGCCTGCGGGAGGCGGCGGGGGACTCGAGCGAGGGCGGGGCGGGGTGGGAGCGGCGGCAACGGCTGCGCACCGGCAACAGCCTCCGGAGCCTCCATACCAGCGACTAGGCGCGCTGGCCGCATCGCGGGGCCTCGCGCCGTTGCCGGCGAACCGCTCCCCCGCAGGGCGCAGCTCTGCGCGCGCGCAGGTTGACTTCAATTGTGATTCCTCAATCGTCGTTCCATCTTTCACAAAATAAAGAGTCGCAGGACGCGATTCGTCACGCCCCGTCACGCGCCGCCCCAGACAGTACCTCGCACACGTCACCGCGGGCGTCAGTTCAGGAAGAGCGGGCCCTCCGAGGACGGCAGGCGCGAATGCTTTCCGCGTCGTCGCCGCTGCGCCCCGTCACGCGCGAACGGGTCCGGCCGGAACGCCTGCGCGTCCTCCGCGCGGCTCCGCCGAGCCCACCCGCCCTTCGACTTCCGCGGGCGCGGCACGCGCGGGCGCTGCGCTGCGCCGACCCGCGCCGCCGCCTCGCGGTGCGCTCCGCGCTCAGCTGCCGCATCACCGGCGCCGCTCGCGCGCGGCCCGGCCGCCGCCGCCACGCCCACCACACCGGCGCCCACGCCGCCGCCGCCGCCAGGTACAGCGGCCGCATCGTCACCGCCTTAAACACCGCCGCAAGCGTCGTCACGTCCACCAGGGTCCGCAGCGGCCGGAACCTCCTCCGCTCCGGCGCTTCCTCCGGCCCCGGCGCCCCGACGTCCCCTGCGCCGCGCGTTGCCTCCCGCGGGGTGTCCGCGACGACGCTGTTGCGTGAGACCTCTTGCGGACCTGCGTCGCCCCACGGCAGCCACGACCACCAGTTGCGCGGCTCCGCCGGCCGCTGCGCGGGCGGGCCTGCGTGCGAGAGCCGCCGCGACGTCCGCGACGTCCGCGACGCCCGCGTCGACCTCGGCGGCTCGACGCCAGCGGGCGAGATGTGCTGCGCGGCCACGACGCCGCCGTAGGCCGCCGGGAGGCCGTCGGCGCCGAGGCGGTCGGTGAGGTCCGCGGAGATGCGCGCGTTGTTGCAGAACGCGATCTTGTTGCGCGTGCGCTGCGCCACGAAGGGACACACCGCGCGCCAGATGCCAGAGAACACAAACGGCGCGTTCACGAACCAGAGCCGCGCTAGCGCCTCGGGGAAGTGCGACTGCAGCACGGACATGATCCCGCGGAGCGTGGCGACGTCGAGATCGCCCATCCGCACCCCGGTCAGGTCCAACAGCACCGCGACCTTGCGCGTGGGGTTGTAACGGACGTCAGCGGCCGCCATCCCGGCCTCCATCGCCATGCAGATGCACCGCTCGACGGTCGCGGGAGCAGGCTTGGCGTGCCCGGGCTCCGGGCGGGCGTTCAGGGCCACCACGGCCTGCCCGTCGTCAAGCCCCACCCCTAGCATCGATGCGTTCATGGCGCGCATCGCCTCCGCGGCCTGCACGGGGAGGTGAAACGTTGCGATGTGAGGCGTGTGGGAGGACAAGCGGCGGGGGGAACGACGCAAGGGCGGCGGAGAATGGGGGCAGCGCACTGGGCGGCGAATACGGTGCGAGGCGGCGCCGGCGTCGCGCTCCGCGGAGCGGGAGTGCGCGAGGGAGGTATGCGGGGATGTAACGCAGGTGTCTGCGTGCCGGAATGCGCCGTGCGAGCCGTGGAGAGGCACCGTTTCGTGAACGCCGAGGGCACACTTGCCTCCGCGCCCCGGCCCTTCCACTCCCGGGCCGTGGTCTCGCGCCACGCCGCGTGCTCCTGGAGGCATTTCTCCGCGCGCTCGATGTCCCAGTCGCGCGCGTCCAGCCACCGGAACGCCGTGGCAGCCTCGACGCTCTCGCCGTGCTCCTTGAGCCGCGACGCCGCCCCCGAGGCGCCCAGCCGCCGGTGGAGCTCGTTCACGAGCCCGCGCTTGTCGCCATCGAGGTTGGCAACGAAGTCCGTGCCGCCTGCGAAACGCGAGGCCGCGAGGGCACCCCGAATCGGTTTGCGGTTGGGGGATTCGTGCAGTCGCTTCACGCGCGTTTTCGCACCGCATCCGGGGTCTCGCGAGCTCTTTCGCGGGCACGCTGGCGAACAGGTACGTAGAGATCGACGTGCGCGGCAGCGCGGGCCGCGAGGGCGAGCGACCGGACGGCGGGCGGCGTGCGTCCCCTGCGGGCGCCCTGGTGTGGTCGAGAGCGCCCTGCTGGCTTAGTCAAGGGGTGAGAAGGAAATGGCTCGAACGGCGTGCCTTCGCGCCGATGTCGGGGGCGATCCGGAGGCGAAAAGACGGCACCCAGGGCCAAGCGGGCGGAGGAACCAGCCTGTAGGTCTGGTATGGTTGAGAGGGCGCTCCGGCGACGGACGGCCCGCAGCGATGGGTTCGGCGGCGGGGGATGGCTGCGCTGAACGTTGGGGAATCACCTTCGACGACTGGCGCTTTCGGCGCCTGCGCTGCGAGCCGCTCGTCGTCGTCGTTCGCACCACGGTCCGTGCCGCACCGCCATCGGCCGCCTCCGAAGTGGAATGATATCTTGAACCGCATTGCCGATTTCAGCGCTAGCCGCCTGCCGGGCCGGCACGCACGCGCGACGACGGCCCGTGCCCGCGCGGGAGCCCCTAGCACCCAAGATCAACTACTGCGAAATCCTTCGCGGTGCAGCATTCGCGCGACGCGTCAATGTCTCAGACGCGGAGCCACGCTGTATATCTGGCGAATGTGCCGCCCGGCGCCGCCCCTATACCCCCGTGGAGGCTGCGAGCGAGGCATAGTGTGCAGACATCCCCCGCCACGTCAGGCGCCACATGCGAGCGACGCTGCCACCGCTTTCACTTGCCGCCGCACGAGGCGAGGCGCGCTAGTCCGGGGCGCGCGACAGAGTCGTCCTCAAGCGCCGGGAAGTGCCAGCACACGCCTCGTCGTCTTGGAGGCGCCCCTGGGACGCCGTGGCACCCACATCTTCACTAACCGACATACGTCTTGACGTCTCGTGTGTTGACATGGTGGAGAAGGGGACTGGGGCGTGAGAGCCGCCGTAGACGCGATGAACTCGACGCAGGCGGAGAGGGTGGCCCAAGCGTTCCCGTTGATCACCACCGCGGGCTCCTCCGTGCTGCGAGTGCTGCGCGTCATCCACGACCAGCACACATACGTCAAACTCTTCCTCATCGGGCCCGTCTTGGCCGCCCTCCTGTCCCTCGTGCTGCTCCGCGTGACCTGCCACCTACGTCGCCGGGCAGGAACCGTCGCCTTCTTCCACCCCTACGCGAACGACGGCGGCGGCGGGGAGCGCGTGCTGTGGTGCGCCATCGAAGCCATCCAGTCCACGTGCCCATGGGTCAAGGTACGCGCCACGCGCCACGCACCGCCGCCCCATCACACGCCCCGCTCGCTCCCCGCCCGGCCCCTCCGCGCGAGTCTCACTCGCTCCGCAAACCCCCTCTCCTCCGGCGCACAGATCGCGGTGTACAGCGGCGACGGCGTCACGGAGCAACAACTGCGCGACAAGGCACGCAGCCGCTTTGGCGTGCGCATCGAGCGGGCCGTGCGCGTGGTGCCCGTCCGCACGCGGACGCTCCTGGAGCCGACGTGGTACCCCGCCCTGACGATGATCGGCCAGGCCGCCGGCTCCACGGTCGTCGCCCTGGAGTGCTTGGTCAGGTTTATACCTGAGGTGTGGTTTGACACCACCGGATGGGCGTTCCCGTACCCGCTGGCGCGGGCGGCCGGGTGCCGCGTCGCGTGCTACGTGCACTACCCGACGGTGAGCTCGGACATGATCGAGCGCGTGCGGAGCCGCACGGCCACGTACAACAACGCCGGCGCCGTCGCGCGGTCGTGGGTGCTGACGGCGGGGAAGACTGCGTACTACTGGGGCCTCATGCGCCTGTACGGCTGGTGCGGACAACACGCGCAGGTGCGGTTCGGTCGCGCAGCTGTCCGTCGCCACGGCACGCGCGCCTCCCATGTTCTCATGTCTTGATGCGACGCTCCTTGCGCCCCGCTGCTGCGCAGACGGTCATGGTGAACTCGTCGTGGACGAAGGGCCACATCGAGAAGGTCTGGCGCTCGAAGAAGATCGCGCTCGTGTACCCCCCCTGCGACTGCGCGACGCTGAGCACGCTCCCGATCGACGGGCGCGACCCGGACCGTCCCATCGTGCTCAGCATCGGCCAGTTCCGCCCCGAAAAGGACCACGTTCTCCAGCTGCGCGCGATGAAGCGCCTCCGCAACCTCCACGCCGCGTCCGACTCGGCGCTGAGAGGCCCCGCGCGCACGCGCGTGGAGTCGTGCCGGCTCGTCGTCATCGGGAGCACGCGGAACGCGGGCGACGAGGCGCGGCTGCGGCAGGTGAAGCGCGAGGCCGGGCGGCTCGGGCTCGGGGAGGACGACGTGACGTTCCTGGAGAACCTGCCTTATTCAGAGCTGCAGCGGTGGCTCGGGCGGGCGGCGTGCGGGCTGCACACGATGCGGGACGAGCACTTCGGGATCTCGGTGGTGGAGTTCATGGCGGCGGGCGCGGTCCCGATCGCGCACGCGTCGGGCGGCCCGCGGATGGACATCGTGGTCCCCGGGGGCGTGTCGGTGCAGGAGGGGGAGTCCCAGGTGGGGCTGCTGTGCGAGACGGAGGACGAGTACGCGCGCGCGATCGCGCAGGTGTGCGCGATGGCGCCCGGGGACCGCGCGGCGGTGGCGCGACGGGCGCGGGCCCGCGCGCTGCAGTTCTCCACGGCCGCATTCCAGAGGGCGTTCGAGCGGCCGTTCCTCGACGTGGTGCCGAAGCGGCCGATGCACATGGTGTACGGGGTCGCGAAGGCGCCGCGCGAGGAGCGCGCTGCCGGGAGGCCGGCCGGCGGCGGGCCTCACGACGAGTAGACACCAACCAAGGTCTTCTCGTGTCTTTTGCACGTCAACCAACTAGTGGCTGTGATCGGCCGCCGCCAGGACGTGGAGCGCGAGCGTGGTAGTGTCCCGGGCGGCGCGGCGTCGTGCCAGGGACCGGTCAGCCAAGTGTCAGAGCATGCTTGGTAGCCCTACGGACTTGAATGACTGATTCGCAGCAAGATCCGAAGCAGACTGCGCGACATCTGCTCGCTCGTGACTGGCACAGTCGGCTGCGCGCGGCGCAGTGCGGGCGTCGTCCTGGTCTGACACGCTACCACTCCTCGACACTGTTGTTGTACCAAGGGTCGCCCTGTGTCCCACCCAGGGTATACTCCCCCCCGCTGCCCGCCCCGGAGCCCCCCTCGCCGTCCAGGCCCCCGTCCTCGCCCCCGTCGTCCGCGTCGCTGCTCGCGCCCGCGCCAGACCCCCCCGCGACACCCCCCGTCCCGTCCTCCCCACCCCCCTCCATGCTCCCGCTCTCGTCCTCGTCGTCGCCTGCCAGGCACCCACGCACAACGAAAGACCGGGTCTGGCCCTCGCGAGGCAACGCGACGACGACGGCGTCGCCGCGAGATCGCGCAGCACTGTTGTCAGGCGGCGGCGTTGCAGGGGGGGGGGGTGTTTCGGCTCACCGCGGTCGAGGTTGCCCATCGAGAAGGACGGCAGAAGACCGCTCGTCGGCCCCGTCCGCGGCGACGCGCTCGGCACCGCCAGCGACGACGGCTGCTCCAGCCCCCCCTCCCCAGTGTGCAGCGAACTGAGCAGCTGCACGCAGACCCGCGCGACGCACCGGAGCGTGTGAGCGCCGCGCAGCGTCGCAACTCAGCGGTGGAGAGGCCGGCAGCCGCGGTCCATTCGGGCCTGGGGGCATGGGCTACCCTAGAAACAGAACATGTGGTGCGTGGGCGTGCTTTTGCAAAACGCACCTGTGGGCTCGACGGCTGGGCCGCGCTCGACGTCGCGCGCCACTGCCGCGACGGCACTGTCCCTGGGCTCACTGTCCGCGCGCCGCTCTTCGCGCCGGAACCCCCCCCCGCGACTGCCCCCCCCCCTGCGTCTTCCCATTGCAGGTCCGAGCTCGACGGCGGGCCCGGCGCGGCCCCCGCCTCCGCGACGCCGTTGCCCGCGCCGTCCCCGGGCGCGCTGCCTGTCTCGAACGAGACCCCCCCGCGCCGCCGCTTGCGTTTCCGCCCCTCCTTAGGGGAGTGACTGGGGGGGGTCCGAGGGGGTGTGTCGCTCGGGAGCGGCACGACCTGAAGCGCATGCGCAGGGACGACGGGTGCGCGCGCGTGGAAGTGCGTGTGCGCGCCCTCCGCGCCCCCCGCCCCCCCGTTCGCGCCCGCACCGTGCGCGGGCGACGCAACAGCGAGGCCTGCCTGCGCCAGCGCGGACGGCGTCAGGTAGGCGGCCTCGGGCGGCGGCGGCGGGTTTGTCTGCGCGTCGAGGATCGCGGTGACCTCGTCGACTGTGCGCTTCACCGGAGGCATCGCGAGGAGCTTCGCCGGGGAGGGTTGGGGCTGCGACGGGTCGCCGAGGGCCGCTGCGACGGCGCGCACCCACGCGTCGGTGTCCTCGGTGGCCTGCTTGAAGACGGCGGCGATGCGGCCCGCGAGCGCGGCCTGCACGTCGCGTGGGCTGTGGAAGAGCGCCATCAGGGTCCTGGCGCGGGAGGTGGGCGGGAGCGCCGGAAACCTGCGACGCAGCGGCGTGCGGGGATGTCAGTCGATCAGGGAAGGCGTGGGCGTGGTTTCCGGTGACCGGCGGCGTCTGTGCGGCCCGTGGGCGGGATAGCGCTGCGCGTGCACTGCTGGTCCGCGGCACGCGAGGCCCCGGGGAGCCGTTCGGGGCTGCGCAGGCGGCGAGGGGTCTGCGCACTCGTCGATGACGGCCGCGGCGTCCTCCGTCGTGAGCGTTGGCCCGTCGTGAAGCGCGCTCCAGGGGTACACAAACCGCTCCACGGCCACGCCGGGGCCGTCGTCCGCCATCCCGGCCCCTGAACCGCTGCCAGCCTCCTCAGATACTCCTGTGCGGTAGTTCGTGCAGCGAGGTCCCCGGAGTGAGGCGCGGACTGACGCGAGGCCCCCTCCCAAGACAACTGCTCTTTTCGCTCCGCTGCCGAAGCGCCGCGGGATCTACGACTGAAATATCGACGCCCAGCCACGCCGCATCAGGCACGCGCGCCCGGCGACGGGACGTGCCGAGGCCACAGTGCGTGCAGCGAGCGCAGCAGAGCCGCACACTCCGCACGTCAGTGTGTGTGTGCGTGTGCTTGTGAATGGCCGCCGCCGGCGTCCTTCCACGCACCGCGAGCTCGCCTCGCACCGCAGTGACGTCCCCACGCGGCCAGCGCGGCCGATCCCGCCCCCACGCCCACCACCGCCACCACAGCGCGCCCTGACTCACCACACCCCCCCTACACCCCCCACACCGCACCACGCGCCGCAGCCACCCCGCACGGACGCCCACTGTCCGCCCGGCCCGCATCCACGCCTCCACGCCGCGCACTCCCCCGCACCGGTCAACGGCAACCACCCCCCGTTGGTGGTTCCCACCCATTCACCCGCTATCGAGCAGCCCGCCGCGCAATGTGCGTCGCGACGGCGCACCGAGCGGCGGCCACCGGCCTGCGCCGCCGCACAGCGTCGCGCGGCGCCCCCCGCGGCCCGTCCTGGCGGTGACGCGACCGGAACACCTCTGGTATAACATGGCTGCGCACGGCACCCCGCGGCGCGAGGAGGGGCGCGGGGCGCGGCAGTGCGCGGCAGAACACGGCTGCCTGTGAAGTGGAGCGCGAGTAGCTGTTCGGAATCGCTCTCGGAAGGCCTTCCGTGCGCAGACGGGAGGCGCACCCTAGGGTGGCAGGCTCGCTGACGCCGCAACTTGGAGGCAGACGGGGCGATTTCCGAGACGGCGCAGCGTCGATACGCATCACCAGAGACGCCTGCGAGCGGGGCGCTCCGTCATCACCACCTGACGCGACCGGTCCGCACCCATCCGACTGGGCTCGGCGAGACCGGCCCACGGCGCCGTTCGACGCGCGCCGTCGATGTCGAACGCGGCTCTCTGCGATATTCCTGCCCGGTCAGAGCCGTGCACGCCGCGGGAAACGCCATCGGTGCCGCGTGCGCGCGCTGCCGGACAGCTTGCGTCCTGATTCCGCTCGACACCGCGCTCGTCCGGACACCGACGGCCCCCTCCGCTCACGTCCACCCTTTCCGTAATCACTTATGCCCGGGAAGGCCCTTCCGAGGCTCCGCGACCCCCCACACGGCCGCGCTCCACGGCCTAGTCCTGTCCATCGATGTTGATGCCATCCGTCCGCTCCGCCTGCGTGTGCCCGTGCAGGCGTCCGCCACCGGACACGGTCGCGATGAAGCCTGCCTTCCAGGCCTCCGGCGTGCGCGGTGCACGTCCCGCCCGCGCCGCCTCCCGCAGCGCGGCCTCGCGGGCCGTGTGCGGCACCGCGTGTGCGTGCCGCTCTGCCGCACCCCCCGCGCGCTCATTCGTGACGTTCCGCCGGCTTCCCGCGCGGTCAGTCGCCAGACACGCGCTCGCCGATGACCAGGAGGGTGCAGCGCTCGACAGCGAAGGTGCGCCGTCGCTTTTCCCCCCTCAACGGCTGGCACAACGCTTTCGCGGCGCGGGCCCCCCCGGCCCGCAGAGCACCTCGTTGCCGCCGCCGCCAGCTGCACCGCCCCCCAGCGACCTGTTCCGCCCGCAGCCGCGCTCCGCGCACGCCGCAGCGGGCCTCACGCCCGCTTCTCCCCCCTGCGCCAGCTGCAGCGCGCAAGGCGGCGGTCTCGGCGCTGACGGGGATCCAGAGGGACGCGCAGCCGCTCGAGGTGATCGACGTGGACGGCTGGGAGGAGTGGCTGCCGCACTTCCAGCGCCTGGACGACCTGGAGACGCGCGCGGAGCGTGTCATCACCACACTCGACGACGCCGTGGCGCAGGAGGACTTCGCGACGGCCTCGCACGTCCAGAAGGAGGTAGAGGAGCTCGAGAAGGAGGACACCGTGCTGCAGGTCGAGCGCGACCTCCTGCACGCCCTCGAGACGGAGGACTACGCCCGTGCAGTCCAGCTACGCGACGAGGGGGGCGCGGGGCTCGTCGGGTGGTGGGCCGGCCGCTGCGACACCAAGGAGGACCCCTGGGGCCACCTCCTGCGCATCGTCCGGCGCTACGGCCGCTACGTCGCCGTCGCGTACACGCCGCGGGAGCTCGCCGAGTCGATGGGGTGGACCTCCGAGTCCACGGGGTCGACGGGGGGGCCCGAGCAGCTGACGATGTCGCAGGACCCGCCCAGCCTCGACGACATCGGCTCCTCCGTGATGGAGATCTACGTCCGCCCGAACGCGAGCGGGGGGTTCGACAAGAAAGCGGCATACCTGTTTTCGCCCTTCATGGCGCAGGGCGAGGAGGACGACGGCGGCGCGGGCGGCGACGACGGCCCGGACGGCTCCGCGCGCGTGACGCTGAAGAGTTTGGAGAACGTCGACGCCGCGGACCTGATCGAGACGGGGAAGGAGGCTGTTGAGCGTAAGCGCGACGAGGACCGCAGGCGCGGCGGGCGGCCGCCGGAGCCGCGGCGGCGCGACGTGGACCGGGCGGGCGGGGCGGGGGAGCCGATGGGGCGGGACATTACGGCGCAGACGAGCGTGGAGGACTACCGGCGCGCGGAGCCGGGGCTGCCGAAACGGCGGCCGCTGAACCCGAACGCGGACACGACGGTGCGGAAGCCGCTGGAGGGGCCGCGCGGGGCGCCGCCGGGCGTCGGGCACGCGGACGCGGCGGAGGCGGGCCCGGCGCGGCGCGTGCACGAGGCGCGCATGGCGCGGGGGGGGTCGGGGGGGAGTCCCGCGCAGCACGGGTCCGGCGAGGACAGCGGGGACGGCGAGGACGACGAGGCACGGTTCGCGCCGCGCGACGAGTACGGCTTGCGCGCCGGGGCGCGCGACGAGGACACCGGAGCGGATGAGGACGCGGACGACGGGGGCGGCACGCCCGAGGGGGGACGGTTCCTCGAGATGTCGGAAGACCAGGACAGCTTCCTGTACATGCAGGGCTTCGACGCGAGCTACACGAGCGGGGCCACGCAGGCCGCGGACATGGAGTTCGAGGCTGCGCGCCTGCCCCTGCAAATCGAGGTGCTGAGCAGGGACGAGCTGCGCGCGACGGTGCTGCCGGGGCACTCGTCGGGGTCGAACTACGCCGTGAACCCCGAGGCGCTCGTGGCGACGCGGTCGGCGGGCGCGGAGGAGGCGCAAGGTGACGCGGCGGCGGGCGCGGCGGATGTGGGGCCGCTGCGCGGCATGACGGACAGCGCGGTGAAGGAGCAGCTCGAGCGGTCGCTCAAGAGCGAGGTCAAGCCCGAGCCGACGCCCGCGGGCCCGGACGGCGGGCAGGAGGCGTCGGCGCAGGGCGGCGCGTGGCCGTTCGCGGAGGGCGACGGAAAGGACATGGAGGTCAGCGTGGGCATCGAGATCTCGCGCGAGCAGCTCACGCAGCTCGGCGTGCCCGAGGACCGCATCGAGGGCTTCGGCCGGGGCCTGCAGCACGAGATTGCGGCGCGCGTGCAGAGTTTGATGGACGAGGGCGCGGAGCTGACGAAGGACCGCGTGGACTCGGTCGTCGCGGCCGCGCTCGAGGTCGTCGCGCAGCGCGAGGGCCTCGGGCGCGTCGGGAAGCTCCTGGGCGAGGCGTCGAGCGGGCGAGTTGCCACTCACCTCGAAACGTCCGAGGAGCCCATGGACGACCCTGCAGGGCACGACGGCCGCAGCGTGGTGGCCGCGGAGGCCGCTGCGGAGCCCGCGCCTGCTGAGGCGGAGGAGGCGGCCCGGACGCCCGCAGCGAGCCAGATCCCGCTGCCTATTTTGTACCAGCGGCTTCCCACTCTTGCTTTCCCGTCTCCGGACCCGTTCAACGGGTACTATCTCGGCAACTTCGGCCCGCACGGCCCGGAGCTGCTGCGCGTGTCGCGCCAGCGCTCGGCGGACGGCACGGAGAAGGTCGTGGGGCGGAAAATCACGGGGGACGACAACGTGCCCGCGGGGGAGGTGTCGTTCGAGGCCGAGGTGGGGCGTGCGCGCCGCCTGGACCCGCGCGGGGCGTACCCGGACGACTTGGGCATCACGGGGCGGTACAAGGGCCGCGGGATGGTTGCGGACCCCGGATTTTCCAACCCTCGGTGGACGGAGGGCGAGCTGGTGTGCTTCTCCCGGGCGGCGCAGGCGCAGCTGACGGGTGGCGCGGAGCTGGGCTTCGTGTGGAGCATCGGGGGCGGCCGCGCGGGGGGGCGGAGGTTCCTGATCCTGCTGAAGGAGGCTGCCTTGCGGGAGGAGGAGCCTCTGGTGGAGGTGTGATGGGGTGTTGATGTGCTGCGACGACGACGACGCCCGGCGCGGGCGCGCGGCGGAGAGTAGACTCGAAGGGCAGGATCGAGCATCAGGGCAGAGGAGGCCCTGTGTGAGTTGATCGGTAGCGTTTTGTTTTCCAACGGCACGGGCTGCCTGCCGTACCATTGTCTCGCCTGCCGTACCATTTCGGTCGCTCAAGCGTCCTCGCGGTGAGGGTGCTTGTAGGTCAGCGAAGTACAAGCCGCCCGTGTGGTCAGGTCCGTGCCGCCTCGCAACTGGAACCAGCGCTCACGCGGCCAACAGCAGAACGACTCGTTCGGAACGATTGTGGATGAGCTCGATGATTGATGATTGAGCAACCTTGAAACACGGACGTTGCAGACACGTTCGCACAAAACCAACTCGGGGAGCGAGAACTCGCTGCTCGTGAGACCGCGCAACGTTCCGGTGCCACTCTGGCACGCTGCCACCGCGGCAAACCTGTCGGAGGCAGTGCGGCGTGCCACCGGCAGCGAGCTGCGGCGTGCAGAGTCGAGCGCACTGCCAAGCACGTCCGAGCCGTTCGTTCGTCGCGAGAATGCACTCACAGCGCGCGTGCAGAGCGTGCACGTACATGATGTTGGTTGGGCGGCGCAGCGACGTCCCTGCCGCGCCGCGGGGCACAAGCCCTAATCTTCAAGTGATGTCCGGATAGACGAAGCGCTGTTTGACTGGTTGGATGCAAACTACTTGTAGGCGACACAGCATCTTGCAGTAGCATCGCGCGGGTCCACGTCCGGACTCCGCGCGCACACGAACGAGCGAGCGACAGGGGGTCTGAGAGCAGAGCGACTGCGGGGCGCGTCGTGCGCGCGGGAGCGAGCGGGCAGCGCACGGGCGCGGGCCTCACTCCCCGCGCGCCTCGGCGGCGCCCCCGCGGTCCTCCTCCTGCTTCGCAGCTTCTCCGCGACCGTTCCCGCGCGCGGCGCCGCCGCCGACCCCGCCGAACGCGCCGCTCGCCAGCGCCGACAGCAGGTGGTGCATGTGCCCCTGCTGCACAGTCGCCAGCGCATTCACGCCGCCCAGGCTCGCTATCTGCTGCTGGATCTGTGCCAGCAGGTGCGGCGGAACCGGCTGCCCGCCGCTCACGAGCCCTTCCGGCCCCGCAGCGACCTCGCCCTCAGGGATGGTCCCTACCAGCGCCATCGGGCGGCCCCCGCGCGACGTCGGCGGCCCCGCGGCGCTCGTGATGATCGGCGTGCCCGTCGCGGGCGCGGCCGCCGTGCTGTACGGCGCAAACCCTTGCAGCATCGCCGCGGAGGACCCCGACGGCAGCGACGGCGGCATCTGGAGGACGCCCGTGAGGCTGCCGAGACTCAGGCTGCCCGGCGCGCCGGACCGCAGGCCTGCGCTGCCGGCCGCGCTGATCATCCGGCTCAGGTCCGTCGCGCTCGCGCCGGACGCGTGGATCCCGGCCGACGCCTGCGCCGCCGACACCTTCGCGCCGCCGCCGCCGAGCGTGTCGAGCGCGCCGGCCGAGGCGTGCCGGCTCTGCGCCCGCCGCGCGCCCGGAGGAACGCGCTGCCGCGCCCCGCGGCCCTCGGGCACCTCGTCCTCCTGGTCGCTGTAGCTGCCGTGCGTGGAGGGCCCGCCGCCGCCCGAGGGCCGCGACCCGCCCGAGACGTACCCCATCGAGTCCGTGCGCTTGAGGCACTGCCGCGGCGCGGACTCCGTGCCGCAGCGGCCCTTCCTCTGCCGGACGCACACCGCGCAGCGCCCGGACCGCGCCCCCGCGCGCCGCGCGCCGCGCCGTCCGCGCCTGGGGGCAGCATGCCGCCCTCGGCCTGCGCGGCCGCCGCGAACTCCGCGAGCCGCCCGTCGTTGCCCTCCATCCCCGCGACGTTCCCGAGGATCCCGAGGCCCGCCTCGGCGGCGCCGTCGGCCTTGGCCCTGTTGTCAGGGGGGGGGGGTGTGGGGCTCGCGGGCCCCGGCCCCGCCTGGCTCGCGTGCGCGGGGCAGAAGAACTTGTACGGCCGCGCCTGGAAGTACGCCCCGGCCTTGAGGCGCCCGCAGGGCAGGTGGAACGCCGCGTTGCAGCCCCGCCCCATGCACCCCAGGCTCGCGCCCGACGACCCGCACCCCGCGCACCGCGTCATGCGCGCCGTGCTCACCGCCTGCGACGCGCCCTCCAGCCGCGTCCCCACCGCGCGCACCGACCCGCTCCACCTCAAGCACTGGTCGTGCACCCACGCCGCCCCAACCTGCACCAGCTGCCCCAGCCCCGACGTCTTGCGCCCCGCAGGGCCCTCCAGCGGCGCCTCGCCAGCCATGTCGCACAGCGAGCACCGCGTCCCGGACGGCGCCGTCGGCGACGGCGCGAGCACGCCCCTCGGCACAGCGTCGTCGTCCTGCGCGGCAGGCTCCCCGGTGGCAGCGCGCACGCCGGGGAGCAGCGGCGAGCTCCCGGGCGTCTTGCGCGCCGCCGCACCGCCACCACCACCACCGCCGCCGCCGCCGCCGCCGCCGCCGCCGCCGCCGCCGCCACTGGGTGCGGTGACGCGCGCGATTGCCGCGAGGTCCGGCGCAGAGAGGTACGCGTTGCCGGAGCCGCGCAGCAGCCCGCCCTCGGGCTGCAGGACGCCCTTGTAGGGAATGCCGTTGAGCGAGACCGTCACCTGGAGGTCTCCGGACGGCCGCAGCGACCAGTCGGACAGGGACACGTCGGCGTCGCCGTCGTCGACGGCGGCGAGGGCCGCGAGGGAGCACAGCGAGGACATGCGCATGCGCTTCATCGGGCCCTCGTCGTGCTCCGGCTGCACCGCGAGGCTCGCGTGGCTCTGCCGCTTCGAGCTCGAGCGCGGGTAGAGCCCCAGCCGCTGCACCTGCGCCGCCGCCGCCGTCGCGCCCGACCCGAAGCTCACGTGCGTCGCCGGCGACGGCCCCGTGCTGCGGTCGTGCCCTCCGCCGGAGTGGTCCGCGAACCCGCCCTGCCCCGCCGCCTGGTGCAGCGGGTTGTGCGGCAACGTGCCCGCCGCGTCCTCCTGCCGCCCGTGCCGCACCTGCTCGTACCCGCACAGCGACGACACGTGCATCGGGTTCACGCTGCCCTCGAGCCACTGCGGCGCCTTGCGGGTGCGCTGCGTGCGGCCCTCGAGCACGGCGACGCGTCCGCGCGCGGCAACCACGTCCTCCCCCGCCTCCTCCGCGGCGCGCTTCGCCTCGAGCTCGACCTCCTCGGCCGCGAGGTCGTCCACGAGGCCCTCGGGCGCCTCCGCGAGCTCGTCGTGCGCCAGGGCGTCCTGCTCGCATGGCCCGGGCAGCCCGGTCAGACGGTGCTCCGCCGCGTCCGAGATGCCGCGCGGACGCGGCCGCCACTCCGGCAGCGGACTGGCCTGGTACCCCGGCCCGACGTTGATCCGCGCGTCCGCCGAGAACTGACCCTGCGCGGCGCAACGGGGTCACGAAGCAGCGTGTTGTTCGACGCGCGTCAGGGGGGGAGGGGGGGTTGCGTCCGTGTCAGGGGCGGGTGCGCCGCGATGTGCGACGCGGCCGCGCGCAGCGCAGTGCGTCAGCGCAACGTCAGTACGCCTCCTGATGCCCGCACACCGTCCTGGCAATCCAAACAAGCGCGCCACGTGGGGGGGCGCGCGCGCGCGCATCTGCGGGGCGCGCTGGCGCTGCCGCGGGCGCGCACCTCGTCGAGCGCGAGCTCGGGTCCCCGCCGCGGCGTGCGGCTGGCGATCGTCTTGAACAGGTTGAGGGCGGCGCGGCTGGAGGAGCGGCGTACGCCCGAGTCGCGCTGCGCCGCGACGCCGATGGCCTTGCCGTCCGCGCGCCCGACGCGCGACGGCTTCGAGGACCGGTTGTACTTGGTGGTGATGTTGTGGTCGTCCATCCACCGGCCCAGCGTGAGCGCCTGCGCGTGGTGCAGGGGCGGGGTGGCCGGTGAGGTGGCGGTGCGGGAGCGGCGCGGAGGCATGGTGCGAGGAGGTGCGGACGCGAGAGGGGCGGCGGGGGCGCGAGGCTGGCGTGCGCGGGTGGGGTTGCGGGCGGGCGGGGGGCGAAATGTGGTGATGGTGACAGGGGTGTGTGGCGCGGCGCAGGCCGGTCGACGCGACAGATCGTGCCGCCTGCGCGCAGCCGCGACGCGGTCCGCGCGCGCAGGGGCGTCGTCGGAGCTGCCCGACGCGTCGACGACCCGCCATCGCCCACGCTCGCGCACATGCACACACACTGACGCCGCGCAACGCCGCGCGGCGCGCGCCGCGATCGCTCCGCACCTGCGAGTGCGACCCATCGGGCTGCAGGATCCGCACGGAGTACTTCCACTTCTTGCTCGCGGCCATCCCGGCATGTCGTTCAAACTCGGTCGGCGTCATCCGGAGCTCGTTCCCGGCCTCCGCGCGCCGCAGACACGACGCGCACGTGCACACGAACATCTGGTCCGCGACGTAGAAGACTCCCTGCGATGCACACGCGGCGGCGGGGGCCGTGGGCGGCGCGTGCGGGGCGTGCGGGGCGCAGTGTGCAGAGCAGGCAGCCTGGCCGCCCATCGGTGGGGCCAGTGCACAGGTGGTGGAGAGCGGGCATGCGCTGTGGGCGCACGCGGGGTCGGTGGCGCGGTGAGGCGGCGCGGGGGGCGTCGATCGGTGGAAAAGCGGCGCGGCGCGCGCGGTTCCGGCGCATTGCGACGGCGGGTGACGCTAGGCGGGAGGGCGCGGTGGGCGGTGGGTGCGCCTGGGGGGCGCGGGCGGGGTGTGCGGCGGTTTGACGGTAACCACGCGTCGGGAGCGTGCGTTGGGGGTGCGAGGGGCGGGGAATGGCGGGGTCGGGCCCGGGGGTGCCGGGGGTCGTTGCGCGGGCAGAGGGCACAGAGGGTGGAGGTGGGCGCGGGGTGCGGGGAGGCGCTGGGCTGCGTGGGGCGGTCGGGGCGCTGATGGTGCGGGGAGAGCGGGAACCGGGGGTCGATCGCGGGAGAGGGGCGGAGGGGGCGCGGGGGGCGGGGGCCAGCAGGGCGGGGGTGGGAAAGGGGGTAGCGAGGGAAGGGGAGTCGAGGATTCTCGACTTGAAAGGCGCGGGGAGGGCAGGAGTGCGCGTGCTCCCAGATGGCGGGGCGTCGCGGCGCCCGCGGCGCCGCTCGAGGCCCGGGAGGGGCGCGCACCTGGAGCCCATTGCAGATGACGGGCACGGAAACGTTGTCGTCGTCGCCGTCCATGTCCGCGTCCGCCGCGGCGGCCTCCCTGGGTTCCTCCTCGTCACTGTTGATGCCAATGTCGCTTTCCGAGTCCCCCCCGGGGGGGTTCTGCGGCTCCTGCGGCTCCGAGAAGTGTGCGTCGTCTCCGTCGAAGCGCGTGACCGCGATTTCGGCGGGCTTCCGCGGCTCCTCGGCCGCGGAAGGGCCGTGCCCTGGCGCCGCGGGCGCAGGCGTGGGAGCTGCGCCGTTCAGCTCGTGCGACGCCATGGGCGAATCGGCCGGAACTGCGGACATGTCTGTCGGCCTCGCCCCCGTGCAGGAGGTCGGCGGCCGTCTGAACTCCCCCGGAGCGCCCGCGGGAGCTTGCCCAGGCTGGGCAGCCAAGTCCGCCTCGGGGGGACCAGTGGGTCCCGAAGCGGCCGCGCAGGCCACAGTTTCCGTGCCCGATCTCGCTGCGGTGCCCTCGGGGACAGCCATCTACTGTGGCGCGGCCGGAACGCCCGCGCTCGAGACTGCGCCCGAGCCCGCGATGCCTCCCGCCGCTGCCACGGACAACAACTCGGCTCTCCCGTATCAGGACGAGCTCTCTGGGTTCTAACTGATCGCCCTCGCGCGCCTGGGCCCGGCAACGACGGCCCATCGCGCCGGTCGAGGCAAGGACAGAAGGGCGACCCAAGGCGGAGAGTCCCCCCGCCAAGCTCCCGTCGGGCGGCCTCGAGCCCGCGCGACGCACGCGAGCGACGGCATTCAAAGTGGTGTGCGGCCCTGCGTTGTCCGATCCGCGCTTCCGCGCCTCTCGCGCCGCTGTTGACTGCCCGGGACTATGTGTGCCTCGACCCTAGTTTGCCGTCGCCCGCTGCGCCCGGGCGCCGTCACCGCCCGCGCGGCCTGGCGGCGGCCAACTCCATTCGCCGCGAGCCGCCCCGCTCGACCGCACGCGCCGCGCGCAGCGTGCGTGGCGCGCGCAGCAGCTGGACGACAGGCCAGCCAAACGGCCGCGCTGGTGGCCGGCGTAGCCGGTATTTGTCTCACGCAGTGCCCCCCGACGCTCGCGGCGATCGAGAGCCTCGCGACCGAGCCAGCCAACGCCCTCTCGCTGCCCACCTGGGCCATCCACGTCTCATCAGTGGTGGAGTGGGTGGTGGCGATGGGCCTGGTGTGGGAGTACGCAGGTGCGTGGCCGGGCCCGCGCGCGCGACCGGCAAGACGCATCCGCGCCATGCCCGAGGCGGTGCGCGCGGCGGCACATTCCCCGGCACCCCGCCGAACACGCGCGCTGCGCGCTGCACCCACCCCCCGCGCGATCGCAGCGCAGGTGCCGCGCAGCGTCGCCGCGGCGGCGGCGAGGGCGCGCGCTGGGCTTAGCTGCGCGGCGCGCACCGGCCTGGCGCGTCCCGCGCGCCGCGGTGCTTGCGCTACGAGCTCAGGTTGCCGCGGCGACGATGCTGCGCAGAGGTCACGGGGCGGTCGACCTGGAAGGGGCTGACGTGGGGGATGATGCCGTGCTTGGGATCGGCGATGTGCGCGTGCACGTACCACTTCTTCTACAACGCTCCGGAGCTGGACTTTCTTGTGGTGTTGCAAGCGGGCCTGACCGTCGTGGGGAACTGCACCTGCTGGGCCGCCGCGTACCGCATCTACAAGGAGGCGCAGGGCGGCGCGTCCGCGTGAGTCGCGCGGCCGCGCGGGACGCAGCGGCTGCCACTGAGTGCCCGCGGGCGCGCTGGTGTGGTCGATGGCTGGCGCGCCGCGCGGACGCGTGCGGCGGTGAGTGCGTGCGCGCGTCACAACGGCGGCGGCCCTGGCGGCTGTGATCTCGAACGATCGTTCGACCAGAGCGGTGAAGCGCTGCAGTTGACGCAGGGTGGCTCGATCAGGCATCCGACGCGAAACAAGAAGGTCCGTCGCGCCGCATCGGACACGCGCCGTGCGGAGACCCGCGAAACGTCGACAGTGAAGGCGGCCGGGCCGCGCTGCCACCCATGTGGCGCAGCCCGCGTGCGCCGCGTTGGTGGCCAGGGCCCCCCGCCCGCTGCGCCGCAGTCCGTAGCGCATCGAGTGTGAGCCGTGCACGATCCTCTCTTGCCCGGCGTGCCCCTCCTCCTCACGGGCACTGTCCCGACCCGTCGTCTCGCCACGCGATGTTAGCGCCCGAGGCGCGGCATCCCTCCCACGCCGCGGTGGCGTCGAAGCCGAGCGCCTGGCCCTGCCGCACGAGGCCGTTGTGGACCACGGCGACGCAGAGACACCCGCGGCTCGACAGCTGGGAGTCCCACCCGAAGAGTGCCTCCGTGACCGCGCAGCAGGCCTGGCTGCGGCCGGGCAGACAGGCGGCCACGGCGGGAATCAGGACGCTGACGCCGCAGTCCTGCACGGGGGCGGATGGGACGGGCAGGTGAGGGCGGTGCCGGGGGCGGCGACGCGCGGAGGGGTGGTTGGATGGTTGTGGGCTGTTGTGGTGCAGTTGTGGTGTGGTTGGGTGGTTGATGCGACGGACCTGGTCCGGAAACTGCGGAATGTCGTACGTGGAGGGCGGTGGCACGGGCGTCGGTGCGGGCTCGTCGCCCGGGGCCGGCTCCGCGAGAGGTGAGCTGGCAGTGCTGCTGGTGGGTTGTGGGGCGGGGGTGGCGGCTGGGGGAGCGGCTGTGTCTGCCGGAGCAGGATCTCCGTTGGCGGAGTCCGTGTTGGCGAGACGGCGGCAGCTGGCGTGAGGAGGGAGGAGGAGAGCGGCGAACAAGACGAGAGCAGCAAGCTTGAGGACTCGCGCGACCAGAAGCATGTTCCCACTACCGACGCTCGAGCGGGCGCGACATCGTCCCGGTGATTTATTGCGGGGCGGCGCGGAGGCACTGGGGCCGGCGCGGCCCCGCAGCCACGACGATCGTCAGACGAGCAGTTGGACTGACTCGGCCCCCCGCGTCCGGCGCACGCCAGCGAGAACGAACGCGCACGACCGCTCACGTACACAGGCAGCAAGTCATGAGGCCGGACAACGGACAACGGCGGGCCGTCCCGCTCACTGCACGAGCACACACCACAGAGACAGACCCGTCGAGCAGCCTTGCTCACGCAACTGCCGGCCGACCACCCCGAATACCCACGCTGCGCACCAGCATTCTCCCCACGCGCCGACCAGGAACTGCGCCGCCGCCCTCTCAGAGCGCGAGCAGCAACAACGCTGCGCTGACACGCTCCGACGGCCAGCGCCCGAGCGCTGCGAGCAGAGCGCGTCGCCCGTCATCACAGTCGCGCGGCGGGCTGCCGCACGCGCCCCGCCGACGCCGCGGCCCGCACCGCCTTGAAGAGATCCTGACTCAGGAGGTGTTCCTGGTTATACTCCGCCACCTGACGCAGGGAGTCCGCGACGGAGTGGTCCCTGGCGTGCAGCAGCGCGCGCTTCGTCCCCTCCGTCGCGCTGCGCGGCTTCGCTGCGATCTGACGCGCCAGGTCCAAGCAACGAGCGTGCAACCGCTGCGGCTGCACCCCATCTGCACGCACGACCTCGCTGACCAGGCCGATCCGCAGCGCCTCGGCCGCGTCGATCGTGCGGCAAGTGAGCGCGAGCTCCCTCGCGTTCCCGTCGCCCACGATCCGTGGCAGCCGCTGCAGCGTGCCGAGGTCCGCGGTGATACCCAGGTCAACCTCCTTCACCGAGAACCGCGCCGTGCTGCACAGAGAGACGGCGTTCTCGCCGGACGTGAGACGCTGGCGCAGGGAGCCGATCCCGCCAGCCGTCCAGGCGGGCCATGGCACGCACAGCGAGTGTTGTGCGCGACGTCGTGGACCGCTGGCGGGTCGGCGCAGCGCACCTGTCGCAGACGCGGACGTCGCAGGCGCAGGCGAGGTCGACACCTCCGCCTACGCACGCGCCCTGAACGCCAACGACGACGGGCTTCCGGCACCGCTCGACGGCGGTGACCGCATCCTGCGATGGCGGGGCCGACGCGGGGCGGACCGCTCGGCGGGCGTGCGGTGCGGTTCGGCGGCAGCGCTGCGGGCGGGACGGGGAGCGACCTGCATGACGAGGATGCCGTCGGCGGGCCACGTGTCGCCCGGTTTCTTGCCGTCGAGGTGCCGCGCCAGGATGCCGATGTCGATGCCGGCGCAGAAGTTCCTTCCGCGCGACAGGAGCGCCACGCAGCCCACCGCGGGGTCCTCGCTGAGCTCGTGCCAAATGCGGGGGCCGCCGCCGTAGAAGAAGCCCTCGTCCAGCGCGTTGCTCATGCGGCCGTTCATCCACACGACGGCCACGCCATCATCTCTGAGCTCGACCGAGAGGTTCCCGGCGGTCGTTGTGCGCATTGCGCGCACACGCGGGGTCCCTGCGTGCCTGTTCGGGGCTGCGGAGCCGCCGGACTGATAGCTGGTTGGTTGCTGCGCAATACCGCTCTCGATCACGCTTGCTTCCCTCGTATTTCGACCGCGACGTCGTGGTCCCTATACTGACCGATCGATTGCCGGGCCGGGCCGGTTCGATGGCCCGTTGTGCGGTGCGTGCGGGTGCGTGCGCTGGCCCACTGAAGACGGGCCTGCTCGCACAACCGGCGCGACAAACTACGACTGCCGTGCACGGACGTCGAGCTCCACGTCGACAAGTTCGTCCTGCGCGTGCTCCAGCGCCGCGAGAAGCCGGCCCGGGGCCTGAATCAGCGGTCAGTCTCGCCCCCGACACGCACAGGCACCCGGCGCGCGCTCGCTCAGCTCACGAGAACCGGGCGCCCGCGCTACCGTGCAGGCGTTGCACGACTCCGGACCCCACCTCGAGTTCGCCTGCTCCGCGTTATTCAACCAAAACGCAACATCACATCTTGCGAAGCTTCCCGCCGCCCTGCTCCGGCGGCCGCACCGCGAACACGTACGTCTTGCACCCCTTCTGCAGCTCCTCGTTCTCCGCCTTCGACAGCCCGTCCCGGAACCCCAGCGTGCGCCGGTGCGCGTACCCAGGGAAGGCCCGCGTGACGAACGGCAGCACGCGCTTCAGCTGCAGCAGACCCGACGTCGCCCGGTGCGCCTGCACGCATGTGCGCCGCGTCCGCGACCGTCAGTGGCCGCTCGGCGCAGACAGCACGCGCTCTGAAGTTGCCGCGACAGCGCGGCGGTGCCGCACCGTGCCCGCGACGTTCCAGCTGGAGTACGGCTCGCCGTCCTTGAGCGTCACGTGCACCTCGCCCTTGGCCTTCAGGACGTGCAACGCGGACCGGAAGAACCCAGCTAGGAGCTCTACATTCTTCCGGGTGTTCGTCGCGACGTCTTTGATGCCCAAACCCGCGTGCGGGAAGTGGAACGCGATGCGGTCGAACTCGTCCGCGGGCGTCAGCCGCTTCCCGCCGTCCCGGGGCTGCGCGCACGAGGCGACCAGCGCAGCAGGCGTCAGCGGCGAGGCAGAGCGGGGGTGTGTGGCGCGGCGCCGGCGGGGGGCCGGGCCCGGGGTGCGCGCCTGGAGCGTTCTCTCTAGCCGCGTGGCGTCCACGTCGAACTGGACGTCCGCACCGGCCCCCATCACCTCCGCCAGGATGTCAGAAACCGGGTCCTCACTGTCGTCATACTTCTCCAGCACGACTGCACTCAGGGGGGGTGTGCGCGCTCGGCGTCGCGGCCGGCGAGCCGTGGCGCGGGGTGCGCCGCGACGACTGCACGGCCGCCGTGCCGGGCGGCCCGGAGGGGGGTCGAGATGTGCAAAATGTTGCCCTGTTAACGGGCGCGGTGGCGGCTGCGCGTGCCTTCCTCCGAGTCGTAGGCCGTCGCGACGACGCCGGCGCCGTCGCCGCCCAGCAGCCGCACGAGCGCCCTGGCGAAGGAGAAGTTGCCCTCGCCGACTAGCAGCACGCGCAGAGCGGCGCTGTACCCTTGAGGCAGGCCTGTCTCGTACTCCTTGGCCTTGAGCTGCTTCTTCTTGCGCTTGCTGATCCCCTGCGGTGCGTTCTAGCCCTGGACGCTCGAGGCGTCGCTGTCGATGATGGGTGCGAGCGCGCGAGCGTTGCACCGATCGGCGTGCGGGAGCGCTCACCCCTGGCGGGTTCTGGCCCGGTATGGGTTTGCCCTCGCGCTTGAGCTTCTTTTTGAGCTTCTTGAACTTCATCGGGCTGCCCAGATGCGACGCAGCCGGACGCAGCGGCCCTTGTGAACGACCAGGGAGCGCCAGAGGTCGCAGTGCACGCTTTCGCGCCGTATCACGACGAAATCTTCAGCCTCGATGGCTACATTCAACTCATGGCAAGCCAGATAGCGCGCTCACAAGTCAGGGCATGGTGTCGATCCGAGGTGACAGGCCAAACAAGGGGCAACTAGGAACACGCGGCGCGCGCGCCTTCCGGGCCGCAAACAACGCGATTTCTGGCACTCCGACAACGCTACACCGAGTGACCGTCGCAGCGCGCGGGCTGCGCCCTCGAAGCCGCGCCCAGGACGCCCCGGAGCGAGGTTATACCAACTGCCAGCACCACTGCATGTCCCTTAGACACGCTCCGTCCGGCCCTCCGCGGTCCCTCGAGGGCGGCCGGGGCCACCGCCCGGGCGCCACTCCCCGCTGCGTCCCCCCCTGTCCGCGACTGCGCCCGGCTGAAGCTGTCGGCCGCCCCGATGCGGACATTGTCACAAGCGCTTGCATCTCTCTTCTACCGTTTCCTAGGCCGGAGGACGACGATGGCCGCGGCGCAGGACAGCAACCCGATCCTCGTAGATCCCCCCGGGTTGCGGTCTCAGCACTCGTACCAGACCACGTACTGCGTATTCGTGAATGAGAGCCCTATTCAGGTTCACTTGCAGTGGTACGTTCCCGTCGACCGCCGAGCGAGCCTTGGAGCGCCGCGAGGCCACGGAGGGGATCAAATAGCGGACGGGTCGACCTCGCATTCCGCTCTGCTCGCAGGATAGACTTCACCGGAAGCCTGAAGAGTTACGGCTACATAGAGCCCGGAGAGCGCCGCACGTGCGATCCCACGTACCCGTAAACCGCGCCGAATCGTCGAGGAAAAACCATACGCATGTTTTTCGGGCGCGGCATCATTCGTGTCCGGACGGAGCGCCGCGGAAACAGCCCTCGCGCCTCGCCTTCTTGCTCGCTCGCTCGCGCCCGCGAACCGCCACCGCACACCGCGCCGTCCGGCCCATGCGCTACCAATCGATCTCGATGCCCCTAAACCACCGCGCGCGACACAGTTTCGCGCCCCATAGCCCCGGTTCCGCGCTCGCGCCCCACTGTGCCAAACATCGCCACCGACACTCGGCCTCGACTCGACGTCACAGTCCGCGCTCCACGGAGGCCCCACACTTTCACCGCATTCGAGTCGGTCCCCGCGGTGTGCAGGCAGCACACGTTCCTCACGCACCCGTGGACCTTCAGGTGCACGGAGCCCGGCATCCTGATAGTCGACGACCAGGACCGCATCGTCGTGTTCCCCTCCGCGTGGGCCGGACCGGCTGGCACGTCGCCCAACGTAGTCAGGCGAGCAACCCTGCTTCACCGTCAACGGTCCAATCGCTCCAGACCGCGTCTCTGACGTCGTGCCCCGCTTATACCTGCAGGCTGCGACCTGCGCGGTACATCGAGTGGACGCCCGCGGAGCACCGACGCTGGGGGCATGTTTTCAAGGTCGGCCGCCCTCCTGCGCCCGCGCGCCGCACCATGCACGCCCCCCGCGCCTGCATTCGCTTTGTTGGGGTTTCACACAACGATGCAGCGGCGCATCCGACAACGATCGCCCACGTGCGCCGCCCCACGCGCAGACCAAAGTCCGGACGCTGCTGCTGTGCGTCGCGAGGGAACGCCAGCGCCGCGCGGCCCGCCAGCGCGCCCAAACGAACCCGCTGCGCCGCTCACTCCGCCTTGCCGCCCGCATCTCCCCCGCGGGCCCGCCAGGCGACGCCCCCGCGACGGGCAATACCGACGCGCGCGAAGCCCCCGCCCGCCGCTCCAAGCGCCTCGCGTGCAAGCGCGCCGCGGCGGACCTCGCGGACGACGCCTGCGACCGCGCAACGCGACGCAGGCGCAACCCCCCCTCCGACGACCCCCGCCGGTACAGCCGCGCCGGCCCCTCCCTCCTCCGCCAGCTCGCGAGCCAGGTCGACAGCGACGACGACCCCGACGCCGGCGCGTCGAGCGACAACGACAGCTGCTGCGCGGCGGTGTGCTGCTGGCCCCGGTCGGACCCGCGCAGCACGGCGCGCTCGGTCGACGCGCCCGGCTCGACCGCTCCAGCGACGGTCGATCCGGAGCCGCTCGCGACGCGGCTCGCGGCGTTGCCGACGGACATCCTGCTTGAGATTGTCAAGCACATGGCGCCGCCGCTCCCGGTCGTGGCGGCCGTGCCGGCGCTCGAGGACGTGCCTGGCGCGCGGCTGCTCGCGCCGGTGCACGTGGCGCCGCCGGCCGACCTGGACTGAGGCGTGGCGGGCTGGACGGGGCGACGGGGACGTCAGCGACGCTGGACGGCGCGTGGCTGCGCCGGGGTGCAGGGCGCCGCTTCCGTGATGGCGAGAGCAGGTCGTGACAGCTCGTGGGAGGAAGAGGCCGCTGCGGCGCGTACAACATCTGCGGCGCGACTGTAACTTGCGTGATGACGGCCAACCGTACCGGGGGGGACAATTGCGGCGCCCGCCGACCGCGCAACGCAGAACGAGGTATCGATACGCCCGCGCAGGGCACGCAGCGCGCCACGACAGGCTGCCACGGATCCCGCCGCCAGCGGCAGCAGCCGGCGCTCACACCGCCCGCACTCCACCCCCCGCGCCGCTACAGCGCGGGCGCCCCGCCGCCGCCGCCGCCCGACTCGCCCCCGCCCGCGATCCGCCGGTCCGTTCCGTCCCCGGCCTCGTCCGCGTCCCCTTCTCGTCGCCGTTCCCTGCGCGAGAGCGCCGCCTTCAGTTGCGCTCGGAACCGCTGGCTCGTGAGCGCCAGCACGGGCCAGAACAGCGTCGCGGCGGCGCGCACGATCCACGAGTCCCTCAGCGTCGTCTTCGCGTATCCCTCCCACATTCTGCGGCTCACCGCCATCCACGCCCCCGCCGCCACCGCACACGCCGCCACCGCGACGAGCGAGCCGCCGCCGCCGACGGCCGCGGGCGGCGCGTGCGCGTGGACGTGCGGCCCGACGATCGTCACGCTCTCGCGGTAATACCCCCCCCCGAAGTCCCGCTCAACCCTCCGGCTGTAGTACCCCTGGCCGTGGTCCCGCGCGCCGCGCTCCGCCTCGCGCCGGGCCTGCGCGACGCGGGCGGCGCGCCGTCGGTCAGCTGTCGTCGTGCGGTTGGGCAGGCGAGCGCTGAGCGTTGCAGCGTGCGTGGATGCAGTTGATAGATTCACTCGCTACGGGGCTCGATGCTGGTGGGGGATGCGCGGGTGCGGAGGGTTCGCGCTGCCCGGTGCATCGCTGCGGGTAGCGCGTCGCTGGGCGGGCGGGCGAGGGCGTTCGCTGCGCGGACGTCGCGCCGGGGCGACGAGAACATGACCGTCCAACAACCCGAAGCAAGTCGGAGAGTTTCCAGTCCACTGGTGCAGCAGTGTACCGGCAACGCGACGGTTCGGACAGACATTTCTCGTGCTATGCGAGGTGCATGAGTTGCGCTTGCAAAGGTGCTTCGGACACGGGGCACGGGCGCGCTGTTTCCACAGCTTCGAGAGCGCAGACAGAGCGCGGTGCGACAGCGGGGGCGTGCCTGCTCCATGCGCTGCTCCATCATCGCGTCCATCTCCCTCATCATCATCGCGTGATCCGCAAACATCCTGTCAATAGCGCTGAACGGATCCAGAGACCCTTCTCCAGAAGACCCGCCGGGGCGGCCGACAATCGCGCGGAGCGGGCCTGTGCGGCCCCGAGCGGGAAGATACAGCGTTCGTGCGCTGGAATGTCGGCATCGCGGAGCCGTCAGAGCGCCCCTCCACGCGCGGCAGGGCGTGCAGGAAGGCGCTCGCGCCCAAGCGCGCGCGTCCGGGGCCGTCAGCGCGGACATTGCCGCCGTGGGATGTCCTGAGTGTCGCCCGGGTGATTCTGCGACGACAGCGACCGCCGCGAGCCCGAAGGAGGACCGCCTTGTCCTCGGTGAGAGGTGTATCAGGGGCCCGACCGCCCGTGTCGGACAGCTGTGGGGACTGGCGACCGTTTCGAGGCGCCGGTGGCGCGCCCCGATGCACAGTCGTCCTTGGTCCCGACGATCAACGAACCCAGGTCCACCGTGCCCGCTCCGTGGAAGAGCGAACGTCAACAGAAAACGTAGCAAGCTCTTTTTCCACACATTTCCACACCACCCACGTCGCACATGTTGCCACAGGCTGCAACGCATCCATCTCCTGCGGCCGGACGCTAGTATAACGATCGCGGCGATGTAGGCCGGACGCAGCGCGTCGTTTCCTCGTTGCACTCAAGCAGGCCGTTGCGCCCCGCCCGACCTCCGCGCACGCCCCAGCGCCGCCATGTCTGCTCATCTCCGAGCCGCACCGAGGCGCCCCCAGGCCACATCACGCTGCAGGTGCGCCTCAACGCCCCGCACTGCACCCCACCGTCCCGGCGGTCACCTTCTCGCCGCCCCAGCCCACCCCTCGCGCCCCCCTCGCAGATTCTGCGGCAAGCGCGAAGCCATCGGCCGCCTGATGGACCCCTGCAACTGCTACAAGAAAAGCGAGGGTGACCTTGTGCACCCCCAGTGCCTCCGGGCGCACCTTGAGCGCCTCATGACGTCCACGTCGGACGCCGCCGCGAAAGCGGCGCTGGTGTGCCCCACGTGCGGCGTCCGGCTGCGCGTCACCGTCCGCGCAGACCCCTCCCTGACGCACCTGCTGTCCTGGGGGTCTATTGCGACGGCGGCGCAGCTGTTCTTCGTGTCCGCGGCGCTGTCGATGGCGCTGACCGCGCTGTACCTCCTGTCGCACGCGCGCGGCGGCGCGGGGGCGTCGATCACGGGGCTGCGAGCGTGGGAGCTGGCAGTGGTGGCGGTGGCGCCGGGGGGCGCGGCGCTCGTGGTGCTGGTGCGCCGGTGGCTGCGGATGCAGCAGGAGATACTCGTGGTGGACAGCCACGTGTAATCGAGCTCGATCGTCCAAGCTCCGATGATATAAATCAAAAAACAACCACGCGCGCACTTGACATGTGCGCGCGGGGCAGCCAACGGCGCGCCGTGCGTCGCAACGCGCTCCCGCGCTCCGCTCCCCGCGCCGCCGCAGGGCTAGCCATGGCGGGGGCGGCAGTGCAGCAGCAAGGCAGGGCGTAGCTGCGACGGCAGCGACGCACGCGGCTCTGCGCACTGCACAGGGCGTCACAACGCGGCGCGGCGCAGTTAGGCCGCGGGGATGCCGTGCGACTCGAGGTACGCCGAGATCTTGTCCTTGGAAATGGCCCCCTCGTGTTTTGTACCCTCGACGAACTCCCCCCCCCGGAACAGCATCAGGGTCGGCAGGCCGTACACGTCGTACTTCTCCGTGAGCTCCGGGTTCGAGTCCACCTCGACGCTCACCACCTGCGCCCCGCGAGCGCGCACAGCGGCCGACGGTCAGCCACAGCACGCGCTGTGTGCTACGTGCTCGTATCACGGTGGCGGGTCGGCGCTTCGCGCGGCGAGCGACCGCCGGCCCGCACGCGGTGGGCCCGGCAGAGGCTGCGACGCGGCGAGCCGCACGCCCCGCGCGGGGGGAGCGGCCGGGCGCGTGGCTAGGCCAGCGCAGTGGCGCCAGGAGCAGGCTCGGCGTACCTTGAGGTTGCCGCTGTACGACTCCTCGATCTGCTTCACGAGGGGGTCGATGAGCTTGCACGGGCCGCACCAGTTCGCCCAGAACTTCGCTAGAACCGGCTTGTCCGCCTGCATGAGTCATCCACGCAGGGACACTGTGAGCTCGCACGGCCTCGTACGCCCCCCCCGGCGCGCGTGCTGCGTCGCGGGGCGCGGCTCGGGACCGGCGAAGCAGCCGACAGGGCGGCGATCGCGGGTGCGCGCCCCGGGGGCAGCGGGAGGCGCAGTGGAGCTCGGTTGGAGGGGGTCAGCTGAGCTAGGGGGCTCCGTGCGACGCGTGTACGCGTCGCTTGGCTATTTACGGGCCCGGGTGGGACGAGGGTAGCTGTTGGGGGCTTGATTGGCGGGCGGGGGGGACGGGTGGGCGCGCGGGCGCGGCACCGGGGCGGCAGTTGGTGGAGAGGCTATGGGTGGGTGAGTGCGCGCCCCCGGTGCTCTTGCGGTGGGCGCGAGGGGCGGAAGCGGCGTGCAACGGACCTGCAGAACCTCGGCGTCGAAGTTGTCCTGCGTCACCTCCATCACGCGCGCCGTCACCTCCCGCGATGGCACGCCACGAGCCTTGGGCAGCGGGCCCGCGCGGCCGAAGCCCCGCGAGACCGGTCCGGCGGGCGCCGCGGAGGTCGAGAAAAAGTGGGCGCCCGGGCCGCGGCGCGATCCCGCACGGGCAGCCGCCGGAGCGGCGCCGGGGCACCTCCCAACGGAACTCATTGCTCTGATCGGCTCGTGCCTCCCGATGCGCGCTCGCCCGGACGATTCGGTCTGCGACGACCTCAGCGAGTTTATTCCCAACGAAGTGGCGCCGCGCGCGGCCCCGTCGACCGCATGACGAAACCGCGACGCGTATGGACGCCTCGCGAGGGCCCCCAACGCCCCCGGTGGCCCCTCGCGACCTCAACGGCCACACACCCGCCCGCGCCAGCGCACACCGAGCGCACCATCTCCCTCACAACCTTCTCCGCCGCGAACCGCCTACTTCCCACGCAACCTCGCCCCGCGAACCGCGCTCCCCCACGTACTGTTGTAGCGGGTGCCACCGCGCGCCCGTCACACCCCCCGCCGCGCCTCCACCGATGAAGTAAGCGCACTGCACAGCACTGCACCTGGCTCGAGCGCGAGCGTCTGAGAGTCACGGGCTGCGCCAGGAGAGCCTTTTTATTGAGTGATGGGCGTGGAAGGCTCCTCGATGGCGCGGCCGGGGACGGGCGGCGCTGCGCGGTGCTGCGCGATCCACGCGTGCGCTCCCGGGCAAGTGCGCTTCCCGGGCGGGCGCCCCCCGGCGGCCCACGCCCGCGGCCCCGTCCTGTGGCGCCCGCGAGCGTCGGTGGCCCCGGAATGTGGAATGTCCGTCGGGGCGCCCCGCCCGCGGTTCGTTCGGGCCGGGGCGCGCTCTGACGGCGGAGATATGTACAAGGTTCGTCCTCGTCCCGGAGCCCTGGCACGCCCCGCCGCCCGCGCGGGCGAACTCCCGCTGGAAGCACCGCGTGCACTGCGCGCAGCGCTGCGCGCGTAGAAGCTCGCTCCCAGGCGACGAATCCGTCACACGAGCCACACGCACTGTCTTCGGACCCGTTTCGCAGCAAACGGACGCGCCTGCGTTCGCACCAGAGGACGCGCGGCGCTCTCCTGGTCGGGCGTCTACATCCACTCAGCGCCCTGGGCCCTCTTCCGGCGCGCAAAAGGGCCCGAGCGGCAGCGTCGCGCGGCAAGGCGTGAACGCTCCGCCCGCCGGGCCGCCGGACGCGCGGTCCGACCCGCGCATGAAGTCGCAGCTCGACCCGCGGGAGCTGCGCAGCCTCATTCGGTACGCCATCCGCGGCGAGGAGACGCGCGTGTCGCTCGAACTCGGCCTCGACGAAGACACCGACGACGTAGGCCCCGCGGGCCGCGCCGAGCGCGTCGGGCGCCGCGTCGACGACCGCCGAGGCCTCCCGGGAGTACCCCGGACGCGCGAGAACCGCGAAAAGGTGCGCGCCCTGACGCAAACACCCCCCCGCACCCGCACGCCCCGCCCGCGCCTGCTGCCGTGCGCGGCGCCCCGGCCGCGACCGGCGCCTCCGCCGCCACCACGTGCGCAGGTGAGCGCCGCGCTACGCGGCAGGATCGTTTGGCCGCAGGTGCCGAAAGTGCTGCGCGGGCGCGACGGCAAGGTCATGCCCCTCGAGCACCGCATGAATCTCAAGGCCGCGGCGCAACGATTCTACCTCACGCCAGGTGCGCGCGCGTTTCACCGCCGCCGCGCCACGGCCGCACGCAGCGCCCGGGGTCCGCCGGCCGCGGCAACGCCCATGCCGACCAGCGCTTGGCGGTGCCCGTGCGCGCAGAGGGCCTGGAGCGCAAGAAGGCGCACGCGAGGACGCAGATCGGGCGTCCGAAGAAGTGCGGGCATTGCGGCGAGCTCGGGCACAATCGGCGGGGCTGCCCGGAGCTAGTGGACGTCGACGACGTGAGGATGAAGGCGGGCAAGGTCGTGGAGGGGCGGAAACAGAACCGCTGCAGCGTGTGCGGCGAGTACGGGCACAAGCGGCCACGGTGTCCGCGGGTGCAGCGGGAGGTGAAGGAGGAGCCGGGCGGCGCTGCGGCGGCCGCGGCGGCGGCGGGGGCGCAGCCGGGACACAAGGGGCCGCCTGTGGCGGCGAGCGTGGCGCCGGCGGAGGCGCTGCGGTCCGCGAGTCGCCGGCGGTCGCGGGCGCTGCTGTCGAGGGACCCGACACCCCCCCCTCCGCGGGAGAGGGGCGGGGGGGGTCCGCCGGGGCCGTACGGGCCGCCGTTCGAGGGCGACGCGGGGCGGGCGGCGCGAGCGGCGCGCGAGGAGGGCGGGGGCGCGCAGTCAAGCACTAGCGACAGCGACAGCGACAGCGACAGCGACCAGGACGCGTAGGGAGCGCGCGGGAGAGTCTGCGCGCCGCGCAGGCGGCGGAGGAATGTGAATCTGAACGGCCGAGGCTGTCGTTTGGCGATCCACTGACGAACCGCCAACAGCACATGCCTGTAAGTCAGCGAACAACAAACGAACACTGGAGCACGGAGTCATCCGCCCGCGCGAGGACGCAACTTGCTTCGTACTTCGCTGACCTACAAGCACCCTCACCGCGAGGATGCTTCAGCGACCGAACTGGTTTGTACTTCGCTCGTACTTCGCTGACCTACAGGCACCCTCTGGCTGGCGTCAGGACGGCGCGGGGCCGTGCGGCGCTGCGACCTAGATGATTACATTTGCGTCAGGCGCTTTCCGCGCCCGCCGACCGGCCGAGCGCGCATCAAAACGCACCATGGCATAAACATAAAAACTATCAACTGTCGTTTAGGGGCTAGACCTAAGGATCCCCAGGGACACCTCCATGGCCACGTCGATCTCGTCAGCCTCGTCCTGCAGGCCCCGCGCGGCACTGGTGATCGCGAGGCGCGGCCACGTCACGCCTGTGCCTCGTCGTGCAAACCCCCGTGCAGCCACAGGGCCTTCGCCGCCGCCGACGACACCGCGGTCTTCTGCGACCCCGCCATCTTCCGCGGCACCGACACCGACACCGGGCCCCCGCCGAAACTCCCCCCGTAGCTCGTGCTGCCCGACAGCGGCAGCCCCAGCAACCCCCGCACGCCGGCCTCGCAGCTCCCGCGCTCGATCTCCGCCTTGTAGCTGTCCTCCGTCAGCGACCCCGCGCCCCGCCACGACGAGTGCCGCTGCGTCGTGTTAGTCCCGCTGCGCACCATCGTCCTCTCCGACGCCCCGTGCAGGCTACTCCGCTGACTGCTTCCCACCGCGGCGCCCTCGCCGCCGTCGCCGCCCCGCGACCGCCCGAGCCCGCTGCACGAGCTCCCGGACCGCCGCACCGCCGCCTCGCCGCCCCGCCTGCTCCCGCCCTCCGCTGACGACGCAGGCGCGCCGCTCGCCTGCCGGGAGTCATAGCACCGTGGCTCGCGCAGCGGCGCCGCCGCCGCGCCGGCGCTCCCCTTCTGCGCTGCCTTCTGCGCCGCCGCGCCCGCGTCCCGGCTAGACGACGCCCGCCCCACGCCGCTGCCGGCGTTCGACGAAGACCCCGTCCGGCTGCCGTCGTGGCGCGCCTGGATCGACGCCGCCGCCGACGCGCTGCCGGGCTTGCTGCTGAGCGGCGGCCCGGCCGCGTCGCTGCGCTCGGACGCCAGCCGCGAGCAGAACGTGCAGGAGCACTGCACCTGGAACATCGACGTGACCTTCTGCAGCAGCTTGCTGTACTTGTGGCCCGCGACGTCGAGCGACCCGCCGAAGCCGTCGCCCTCGGCCGTGGGGAACGCGCGCCGGAAGCGCAGCCGCGAGAGGTCCACGGAGCGGTCCGACGCGAACCGCTGCTTCACCGCCGCCACTGCCTCCCAGCTCCGGCGCTGCCGGTCGCCGTCCGCGCCCGCGGGCGGCGGCGCGGGCAGGCCGCCGATCTCGTCGTACTCCCGCAGCAGCGCGTACAGCTGGTCGAGCGACTTGCTCGCCAGCCCGCCCTCGTCACGCGCGCTGGCGTGAAGCCGGTCGAGCTGCTGCTGCTGCTGCTGGGCGGCGGTCGCGGCCTGGACGGCGGACAGGCGGCTGCTGGACGACGCGAGGCGCCGCGCGCCGGCCCGCCCGCGCGGCGAGAGCTTCTCCTCGCAGTCCGAGAGGAGCATTCCGACCTGCTCCTGCGGGTGGCCGTACAGGCGGACGCGCTGGCGCTCGCGGGAGCGGTCGTACCAGGCGACGCGGTGCGCGGGGTCCTGCCCGGCGAGCACGGCGGCCTCGGTGAGCATGGAGAGCTTGAGGGCGCGGTCGAGGGGAGTCTCCGTGGACAGCGAGGGGGAGTGATTCACTTCCACGAGCCAGGGCTGCGTTTGGGGGGGTGTTGGAGAGGGGGCTGTGAAACAGGGCGGGAGGGGCGGCAGGTACGGCGCGTGGAGCGGACACACAACCACAAAGCAAGAAAGGTATCAGCGATCAGATAACGAGGCGCTCGAGTGAGGTGGGGCACGTGACTTTGCAACTTGCAGTTCCGATGGCGGCGGCGGCCCGGCGATGCGCGGCGTTTCGGGCGCACCTTGAGGTTCATGTCGAGCAGGATGTCGAACCCCAGGACCTCGAAGCACTTGCTGCGGTCCGGCATCGCCCTCAGCGCCGCCGCGCCCGCCGCCTGCGCCGCCGCGCCCGCGCCGCTGTCGCGCGGCGTCGGCGTCGCCGACCCCGACGCCGTCGGCGTCTGGCTCACCGACGAGTAGTACGAGTGCGCCAGCAGCGGCTGCACCGCGATCATCGTCTTCACGATCAGCGCCTCGATGGACGCCCACACGCGCGCCGCCGACGTGCTCGCGCCCGCGGTGTGCAGCCCGCCGGCGAGGATCGACGCGACGACCTCCGACAGCGGCTTCTTGATGTCGTCCGCGGGCGGCGTGCCCGGCGCCGACGCGCTGTCGCCCGCCGCCGCCGCCTGCTCGCCGCCGCCGCCCCCGGCGTCCGCGCCCTCCTTCCCGGGCTTGTTCAGCGACCAGTTCGTGAGGTGCATGGTCGTCGCGGCGATGTTGCTGCGCGAGGGCACGCGGTACGGCGTCCGCGCGATGCGCGCGAGCCCCTCCTGATACACATGCAGCTCTAGAGGGTCGACGGAGAGCACGAGGCAGTACACGCGGCAGTCGAACTTGCGCCCGTCGACGAGGCACGGGTTCCCGATGTACTCCTGGGCCACCGCGGAGTCCAGCATGCTCTTGTCGATCCGCTGCGCGACAAGAAGACACCGGCGGGAAAAGGTCGCCGCAGAGCCGAAATCTCGATTGCCCGGCCCACGGGCCGCACCGGCGGCAGCGCACGCGCGTGCGTGGTCGCGGGCGCGGTCGCACCTTGAGGTCCGCGGCCTCCTGCACCAGCCGCACGCCGCGACCCATGGCGCCGGCGTTGGGTTTCAAAATGAACGTGGGCTGCGTGCTGCGCCCCCAGTTCGGGTGGCAGTACGGGTCGTCGCTGTCCCACTCCTCGTCGCTGTCCTCCGCGCGCCCCCCGCCCGGGAACAGCCCCTCGATGCCGTCGCCAGGCTGCCCGGCCTGCATCCTCATGGGAAACGCGTCCGTGCCCGCCCTGCGGCCGTGCTGCACGCTGGACTGCCGCGCCACGCTCGCCTTGCTCGCCTCCGAGCCCGTGGAGCTCTGCCTGAGCGGTCGTGCGCTCGCGGAGGCCGACGGCGGCGCGGGGTGGTTTGTGCCGCCTGCGTAGCGCTGCGACGACGCCCGCACGCCGGCCTCCTTCGCTCCGCGCGCCCCGCGCTGCCGGACGACGTTGCCGACCCTCGGGCGCTTCGGCGCCGCGTCGGCCGCGGCCCCGGGTCCGACAGGGCCGAACAACACCTCCTCCGGCGTGAGGGGGTGTGCGGAGGGGCCTATCGCGCCGATCGCCTTCATGAACGGCGACAGCTCGTCCGGGAGCAGGAACGACGTCGGGTGGAAGTTGAAGTCCTCCGGCATCACCCTGCGGCGGCGGCGGGCGCTCGAACGTCGCAACGGCGGCGCAGGGAGCGCTGCCGGGCGGGGGGCGGCAGCGGGCGGTTCGGGACGGCGCGTGCAGCACGCAGGGGAAGTACCTGTGCATTCTGCGCATGATGCGCGCCAGGGAGAGTTTTCGGCAGATCTGCAGCATGCCAGGATAGTGGTTGATGGCCTGAAACGGAAGAAGTTTGTGGACGCGGTCGACGGAAACTGAGGAATCCACCCAAGCGAGGTCCCACCTGCACCGCGGGGGGGCGCGCGGGCCGTGAGGGCGCCTTTAGCGGGCCGCGGCCTCCACGCTGTGAGCGCTAAGCTCCCGGCCGCTCCCGGGGAGCTCCGACTGCGAATGTGCGCTGGAGCGCTGCCCCCGGCGATGGCTCGTAGCATGCTGAGGCCGGGGGGCATTGCGGAGGAGCAGGTGCGCGAGGGTGCCGGCGCAGAGTGCGTGCATGCGTATCGAAGCACGCTCGCAGGGCGCAGCTGCGCCGTGCCGCCGCCGCAGCGCCCGTCGCAGGCCGGCGGGACGTCTAGCCGCGAGTCACGCGTCCCTGGGGCGCGTGTCACGCCCGGACGGCCTCGAAGGCGACGGGCCCGTCCATTCGTTGTCAGGGACGCGCGTGCTGGGCGCCACGCGATCGCTGCGGCGTATTCGGATGCGTTTCCGGACGCACCGCGTCCGGAAACGCGCGCAGGCGGCGGAGGGGCGGCACGCGGGGCCGGCGCGGCATGGAACGCGCCCTCGCTGTGAGGTTCCCTCCACGGCTTTCAGCGCGGTGTTCGCGGCGTCCTGGGACGTTCCGGCGTCCGTTGCGCGACGGGGGGTCGGCGTGGAGGGCGTGCGTGCAGGGAGCGCGGGGAGCGCACCATTCGTCCCCCGGGGCGGCCAGCCGGTATCCCGCTCTCTGGAGTGCCTCGTGTACCACTGGGTACCGGCACTGCGAGACGTCCGCTTTCAGGAACGAGTCGCGCCCGCGGTCCTGCTTGCTGTTCTTGGACAGGCCGGTCGGCACCGCCGTGTCCAGGCGGGCCTTCTCGGCCGCTGCGGCCAGGAACCGGGCCTCCCCAGGAACCTTCTCCCAGCGCGGCGCCATCCTCGACTGATTACCACGGCCTACGAGCACATTCAATCGGCAGGCGCGAGCGGGCAGCCCCGCGGACTCCACGCGGCACCTCGCGCCGCCCGCTTCCTCCTACCCCGCAGTTCCACTCAGATATCCCCATGCACGCCCCGCACACGCGCCCACGTCGCTAATCCGCGCCACAACGCGCCCAGCCTCTCCTCCGCAGCCACCTCCAACGTCACCGATCTCCCCCTGTGCGCCCCCTCACGCCCTTTCCGCAACTTTCGCGTTCAGCCAGCTTGACACTGCCCCGACCGCGCGCCGCGGACCCCAAAGACGCCGCGCGCACCCCAGCTTCTCTCCACCACACCCCACACAGGCCCCACATGACGCCCCCACCGCCGACACCTCCGCGCCGCCCCGACTCGCCGCCCGCCGCGACACGCGCGCCGGTGCCTGCGCCGCTGCGCGTGCCCGCTCGCGCAGCCAACGGTCGCCCCCCTGCCTCGATGATGGTTCGACCCACCGACGTTGTATCACAAAGATGGCGCTGCAGGGCTGGCCGCGCCGGCCCAGCCCGCTGCGCAGCAGCTGCGTGCTCGGGGCCGGCGTCTCTCTGCGCCGGGCGCTCACTCAACGGCGGCATGCAGCAGCGCCCTGACAGCGGTACGCTGTCGTACCTGCGCGACGCGGCCCGCAAGGGGGCGCGGCGCGGCCGGCGGCGCCCAGAAGCCGCGCAGAGGCACTGGCGATCGCGTCGTGACGCTGAGGGCGCCGCGTGGTGTGGCTGCGTGCTGACGGTGCGGTGGCGGTGGCGCGGGACACGGGACGGTAGCGCGGGTCCCTCGGGACCGCCCGCCGCGCAAGATGGCCGCCGCGAGCGTGTTCGCGGCGATTTCCACCGCGTCGGACGTCGCGGGGATCGAGAAGCTCTACGGCGGCGACGGGTGCGCCCCCGGACGACTTGCTTGGAGCATGTGCGCCTGGTGCAGGGCCGCACCGGCGCGCAGGGCGGCCAGGCCGCGGAAAGATGTAGCTGGAACTGAGATGGGCCGTGCGGGCGCCGCGCTTGCGCGTCGGCGGCGCCGTGCGCGGCGCGGGGCGTTCGGGCGTGTGGTTGTGTGCAACATGCGGTGCGGCCTCGTTCGTGGACCTGCGGGGCTGAGCGCGGCTTTGCATGCGTTTGCGCGGTGGCTGCAGGGTGGAAGAGCGGCCGTCGAGCGTCGCCCGGCTGGTTGAGACCTCACAGTTGTGCGTGACTGCATTCAATGCGGCCGGTGAGGAATTGCACGCCGCGCCCGCACGCGCCGGGCAGGCCGTCTGCCGCGACGCCTGCGCGCGCAACGCGCTGATATGGCCGCGTTCTCGCTCCTCTGCTGGCACATCCCGCCCCGCCCGCCCTGTGGACGTGCTGACGCCGCGCAGCATGCGGGAGCGTGCTTCGTGGCGCGTCCTCGCCCGCACGCTGGCGCACGCGAGCTCAAACGCGGCACGTGCCCTCGTAATATCTTCGCAGATCTGTCCGTGGTCGGTTTCTTGTCGCTCGGGCACTACCCGGACGAGGAGCCGGAGGAGACTGAAGAGGGTGAGGAATCGCGGCTCCAACGCTCCGAATGGGCGGTCGCAGAGGCCCAGACGATGGGCCACGTGTCTCCGGACATCCTCTGGGTACGTCCTCGCGCCCTCCAACCCGCATGAACGCCGCTGCAGGACCCGTTCGCCGCGCTCGTCGCCGCTCCGCGACCATCCCCGCGCCGGTTCGCCGCCGCCCCCGCAGGTGAAGGCGCTCCAGCTGTCCCACGACAGCCAGGGCGTCGTGCACGCCATGCTCTCGAAGTGCTTCACCCTCGCGCGGTCCCTCACGACCATCGGCTGGGTCGCTCAGACGGTGGGGCGCGTAGGCAAGCCGAGCGTCCCGCCCATCGTCCCCAAGGCCATCTCCTCGCACCTCAGCCTCGCCGCACGCTCCGACGAAGTCGGCGCGCTCCTCTACACCTGCCACCGCGACGATGTCATCCCGAAGGTGTGTGCCGCACACCTGTGCACACCCTGCGTCCCCGCAGGACGCCCCGCTCCGCTCCGGCGCGAAACACCCCGCTCCGCTCGCCGCGCCCTCTCCGCAGATCCGCGTGCGCTTCGCGGAGGAGCGGGACTTCGACGACCTGCTGCCGCTGATCCACTGCACGCTGGTGACGTCGCCGGCGCTGGCGCAGCTGCCGACGGCGGACGACGCGGCGGCGCTCGGCGAGACGACCGCGCTGGGCGACACCACGCGCACGACGGCCACGCAGCCGCCGGGCCCGCCGTCCGAGGCCGACGCGCTCGCGCGGCTGATCGCCACGCAGGATGCGCACTCCAAGGTCCTGGTCGCGGAGTGCGAGCGGCGGCGCGGGAAGCCCGGGGCCGTGCCGCGGGCGCGGCCGGCGAGCAACGCGAATCCGGGCCGCAGCGCCGACGGCCCGATGATTGTGGGGATGGTGGCGTTGTCGGACGACATCGACGTAGCGGTCCTGCAGGAGTCGTTCGAGCTGGACACGTACGACTGGCTGCTGGACGCGGACGCGTACGACGACGTGATGGAGCGGGCGCGGGGCATGGTGGCGAAGCGGGCGGACCTCCTGGGGGACTCGGACGAGGAGGGGGGGAGTGAGAAGGACCTGGCGGGGGGGGAGTCCGCGGAGCAGCTCGCGAAGGCGCGAGTGGTACGCACGCGCGCGCGCCGCCTGACCGCCCCCGCGCTCGCGCATGCGCGCACCGGCGCCCACGCTGTCGCTACGCCCCTGCGTAACGCACTGCCGTCTCCGTCCGACGTCCGACGCGCCCCGCACCGCCCCGCAGGCGCGCGTCATGGGTAGCGCGGCAGAGACGGACCCCTCCTCGTTCATCAAGCCTATCCGCGAGGACGGCGAAACCGCCCGCGTCGCGGCGGCACTGGAAGTCCTCGACCCGTCCTCGGGCATCCTCGCCGAGGGCGACATCCCGCCGCACAAGGCCTTCGCGGTCACGATGCTCTGTGTGCTGCCGGGGTGGGAGCACGTCGGCCGCGCGCTCGCCGCGGGCGCCTTCAAGGCGTACGACGCGCTGGAGCACGCAGTCCTGACGCTGCCGTTCGGCACCGTCGAGCCGTTCGCGCTCGAGGCGTTCACGCGCGTGCCGCTGCGCGCGGGGATGCAGTTCCCGGAGGTGCTGTACATCTGTTCGCGCCCCGCGGTGACGTTCGACGTGTCGGTGCGCTTGGCCGAGGACGTGGACTTGCCGGCCATCGAGCGGCTCACGGAGGGGCTGGACAACCGCGACGACCTGGTCGCGCACGTCGCGGAGAGCATGCGGGACTCGGAGCGCGCGGGGAGCTGCATGGTGGGCACGGCGAACGGCGAGGTGGTGGCGGTGGTGACGGTGGAGCAGGCGCTGCAGCTCGAGGCGCTCTGCGAGCGCTACAAGCTCCGGAAGCTCGTGGACGTGTCCGTGCACCGCCCCGAGGGCCACGCCGAGATCGACGTCCTCGTCGTCAACCCTCTGTTCTTGTCGCACAGTCGACAGATCATGAGCGAGGTCATGCGGCTGACGGGCACGACCTGCCTGTACTACGCGATGGCGCTCGGCGAGGTCCCCGTCGACGTGCTCTGCGAGCTCCACCAGGTCCTCGTGCGCGGCGACATCAGCTCCGAGGAGCGCGCACCCAGGGAGCACGAGGCCGCCCCCGGCGACGGCGGAGCGGACCCGGACGTGATCCTCGAGGACTCCGAGGAGATGCGGGAGGAGAGCTCGGAGGACGACGACGTCGGGTTCTCGCTCTACGCGCTCCCAGCGAAGTACATCCACCACCGCCGCGTGCCCGTGAACAGCCGCGTGGTGGTCGTCGGGGCGTCCGAGACGGGCCTCGCGGCGGTGGAATCGCTCCTGTGCCACCGCGACTTCCTCTTCGGGCACATCACCGTGATCAACCCCGGCGGCATGCCCACCCCGGCGACCGAGGCGGGGCGGCGCGTCGGGCGCATCGGCATGGTAGGCGTGGCGACGCTGCTCGACGCGACGGTCGTCGGGATCGACCGCGAGACGCGCACCGTCGCGCTGTCGGACGGCGGCGAGGTCGCGTACGACCTCCTCGTGCTCACGCCGGGCGTGCAGGACCAGACGCTGGCGCGCCTGGACATTGCCGGCGACGACCGCCCGCCGGTGATCACGGGCATCGAGCTGTCGATCGGCCTCACGGAGACGGTCGCGCAGGAGCTCGCGCTGTCGACGCAGGCGGGCCTGCCCGTCGTGGTCTTCGGGTCCAGCACCGCCGCGTACGACGCCATGCAGCTCCTGATGGGCATGGGCGTGCCCGTGAACGGCCTCCTGCACGTCACGAGCACGAACAAGGGGCTGCCGTCGGTGATCGACGAGAGCGCGGAGGCCGCGGGGATGCGCACGTTCCGCGGCGTCCGGCGCAAGACGGCGCAAGACCACCACCTGTACGTCATCGGGCGTGTGGAGGAGTACAGCGTGGACTCCGTGTCGGTGCGGCTCGCGGAGGTCGACGTGCGCACCGGGCAGGCCGTGCACCACGAGACGCTCGAGTGCCGCCTGCTCGTGTGTTGCGACAAGCCCGAGGTGGACCTGGACATGGTGCACGCGGCGGAGGTGGCGGGGCTCGTGTTCGACGGGCGGATCGTGGTGGACGGGAGCTTCCGGACGAACGACCCCGCGATCTACGCGGCCGGGCCCGCGGCCAAGTTCTCGCAGCGGTACGGTGGGGGACTGATGATGCAGAACTATCACCCGGGGGAGATCGGGCAGCTGGTGGCCGAGGCGATCGGGAAGCACTTCCAGAAGGCCGTGCACGCGCCGTACGCGGCGCTCTCGGACGCCGGCGACGCCCCGAACGCGGCCGTCACCGTCGCGGAGCCCGCGCCGGACCACCTGCCCATCATGGTGCACTGCCGCGCCGTGCGCTGCGTGCTCCCAGGCAACATGATGTTCCTGTACTCCGGCGTCCCGGAGGCCATGGCCCTGATCGACCTGCACCACCCCAAGGGCGGGTTCAGCCTGGAACGGTACGCCGAAGAGGGGGAGCACTTTCTGCGGGTGAACTTGGACGCCGAGCTGCGGGTGCACAGCCTGGCGTACCTCGGGCCGCGGACGAAGCAGGCCGAGATGCTGCGGCGCCTCGCGGGCCTCCCGACGTCGTACCTGGGCGACCTGTTCGACCGGTACGCCGCCGGGGGTGTTTCGGACCTCCTGGCCGAGCTGACTCAGCCGTGGATGTCCGCGCTGTACCACGACGAGTTCGCGGACCTGCGCCGGCGCCTCGTCGAGGCCAGCGCGCTGCCGCTTTGGGCGGGCACGGTCGATGCTGCGATGAGTGGACCGGAGCGGAAGGCACACGAGAGCAAGGGCCGGCTGCGGGCGATCCAGGCGTGCGCGGCGTTCCTGCGCTCGCAGGCGACGGAGCTGCCAGAGTACGAGTTCTGAGCGCGGGCGGCGCGGCGCAGCAGCAGCGGCGCGCACGTGTGACGCATGCCACTGCTGACGCGGCGCTCGGCGCGCCATCGCTCGGTCGCTCGTTCGCCCGTCCCGTCCCGTCCTGTCCTTCTTCGCGCGGGTCTAGTCTGCCGTCCTGCGTCGGTCTCGAGCGCCCGCGCGGCGACGTGCAGCTTGTAGGTCCGTCGCACGTCGCACGCATAGCCGAGGGGGGGGCTGCGAGATTGACACGTGAGAGACAGCCAGCGCGGCCCGCGAGGTACGCTGCGCTCGCGATATCGGGCGCTCTACGCCGGGCACACGCTCAGCGGCGGAATGTGTGTGTTACAGCTGCGGCTCCGGCGCCCGCGCTCACTGGTCCGCGCGGAGGAGCAGCACGACGGCCTCGGCGGCGATCGAGCGGTTCTCGCCCAGGGAGTCGACCTTTTCGTGGGTCTTCGCCTTGATGTTGACGCAGGACTCATCCAGGTCCAACAGGTCCATCAGGTTCTTCCGAATCTGCTCCTTGTGCGGCGAGAGCTTCGGCTTCTGCGCGATGATCGTGCAGTCGATGTTCCCGATCTTGTACCCCTCCTCCCGCATCAGGCGCACCGCCTCCTTTACAAACACATCTGAGGTCTGGCCCTGCAGAGTCAGGCGGACCGTACCGGGGCCGTGCAGCTCGGACACGCACAGATAGGGACAGTATTGTATCGGTACAGGCCAAAGAAGCACGTGTTCCGCAGTGAGGTGCGCGGGAGAGGCACGGCTAGGACCTAGAGCCAACGAGCGACCCCGAGCCCACGGCGCGGTGCGCGGAACGACGGGCTCGCGCGTTTAAACTTGAGCACCGCGTGCAATCTCTGAGGCGCCGAAGCGCCGCCGGTCCTGCTGCGGCAGCGCCGCTGTCGCGTCGATGATGTGCCGCACGCGCACGCGGGCGCACCTTCCACTTGGGGTCGTTGTCCGGGAAGAGCTGTCCGATGTCGGGCTTCGAGAGCGCGCCGAGGATCGCGTCCGTCACGGTGTGCAGCAGCACGTCGCCGTCGCTGTGCGCCACGCACCCGACAACGTGGGGGATGTCCACGCCGCCAATAATGAGCTTGTAGCCCTCCTCGAGGCGGTGCAGGTCCCAGCCGTGCCCGACGCGGAACGGCAGCGGCGTGGTCGAGGCGGCCGCGGCGCGCACGGACCGCGCGGCCCGCCGCGGCGCCAGGCGGGCCGCGGCGGGGCAGTGCGGTCGCGAAGCAAGGAGCGCGGGGGCCGGCGCCATCGTGCTGTGATGCGGGTCTACGGCGCGATGTGGAGGAGGGAGGGCGTGGAATGTGCGCGTGTGGGCCGGAGGTACTGAGGGGCCGGGTTGCGGCGCTGGCGGGGGCCTCAGAAGAGGCCCCGATAGCTGACAGGGGGTGGGGGGCGGGAGGGTGGGGCTTGTGGGGTTTTGTTGCGGCGAGGAGGCGCACTGGAGTTCTTGGACGCTCGCTGACGTGGCCGTGCTGTAGATTGACGGGGTTGGACACAGCGAAGCAAACGAGTGGGCTCGTGCACTTTTGGGGATCCGTGCGTGGACGCAAGGTGCCAGAGAGCGGCCAGGTAGGCCTGGTTCGGAAGTTCATAGGATAGACGCGAGGCAGGTGTATCCAGGCACGCCCCCTGCCCACACACCGGCCCGCCATCGCCCGTTCTGTCGAGCGCTCGTTTTCCCGCCCGAACCCCGCAGCGCGCACGCCTCCGCGACGCCCGCCCGGACGCTGCGCTCGCGCACTTACACACAGCCATCCCGTTCGCCCACGCGCACTGCTGCGCGGTGCCCCTGTGACAGCGCAAGCGGCCTTTCCTTCTGCACAATGCAGACCGACTCTCCGGCAGCCTGCGCCCCGGACACAGCCAGCAAGCAGCGTCCCGGCAGCGGGGGAGGGAGACGAGGGAGGCGCGGCGATGGTGTACGCAATCAAGGAGTTGGCGAACAACTACATCCATGAATTTAAGAGAATGGGTTGGCGGGACATTCTCCTGCAGGGCATCTCGCTGGCGATGATTATCGGCTCCGCGCTCACCGTGTGGAAGACCCTCATGCTCGTCTCCATGTCGGAGTCCCCCGTGAGCGCCCCGCGCCCGCCCGAGACGCGCACGCGCCCGCCGAGTGCCCCTCGGCATCAACGACCAGCCCTGTGCGGCCGCACACGCGCTCCCACGCCGCGATTCTCGCCCCTCCAGCTCCTTCTATCTATCTCATCTTTTCCCTCTGGCGCTCACACCGAAAACGAGCCACACCGCCGCACGGCATCGCCGTTGTATTTGCCTCCTCACGCACCCCCCGCAGAGCGGCCCCGCGCGTCCCGAGCCGCGTCGCAGGTCGTGGTCGTTCTCTCGGGCAGCATGGAGCCGGGGTTCATGCGGGGCGACATCCTGGTGCTGTACAACGGCGGCCGGGGCCCCCTCACCGGCGACGTAGTTGTCTTCAAACTACAGGACCGCGACATCCCCATCGTGCACCGCGTGGTGCGCAACCACCAGCGGGGCGACGGCGCGCCCACGGAGCTCCTCACCAAAGGCGCGCGCCCGGCGGCGGCGACGCCCCAGTCACGCTTGCGTCCCCCGCTGTCGACGCGCTCGCGCTCCGATTGCGGGCGCCGGAAGCAGCCGCTGCGCCTGGCTTCCGCCGGTTCGACGCCAGCGCGCGGCGCGCGCGGGCGCCGCTTCGATCATCGAGCGCGTCAGGTCCTCCGAGAGTTATTAATTATTAGTTGTCGTTTGATAATTGTTTGATGTGTGTTTGTGGTCGTTGGGGTCGCAAGAGCAGTTGGGAGTTCCGTGTCCGTGTTGTTCATTTGTTTCCGTCTTCGTTTCGTTCGCGTCGCGCAGGGGACAACAACTGGGGCGACGACCGGTCGCTGTATCCGCATGGGCAGGACTGGCTGGGAGAGCAGCAGGTCGTGGGCCACGCGGTCGGCTACATACCGTACTTGGGAATGGTGACCATTCTCATGAACGACTACCCCATGTTGAAGTACGGGCTCATAGGCGTCCTGGGGCTGCTCGTGCTAACTACCAAGGACTAGGTACGAAGGACTAGCACAACGTTTCTGTGTGTGCGGCGGGTGTGATGCTTCTTCGGGCCAGAGCGCGCGGTGCGCGTCGCCGCGTGATGCAGCGTGCGGCTGCGGATGCGCGCGCCCGCATGTCGCGTGTCGTTTCTTGCGCGGGTGGTTTGTTGCGTCTCATGCGCGGAGTCAACGGTGAATGCGGCCACGTGGGCGGCCGTGCGGCGGCAGCGCGGGTTCGTGCTGCGGGTGGCCGGGCCGTGCGGCGTCGGTGATGGCGCGCGCGCTGCGGCGGCTGCGGGGCGATTTCCGGCAGCACGTACGTATGCGCCGGCGTGGTGGCTCGGTTCCGGTGAGGGACGACAGCAATCGAAGCGCGTGCCAGGCTACACATTCAGCAGTAGAAAGAGGGCGGCCGCGCGGCGGCCGCGACGGCGGAGCACGCGCACGCGAGGCAGCATGGTGAACTGCCGTGACGTCGACAGGCAACGCACCTGCGCGGGCACGTGCATGATCGCGATTGACGAACGGACGCTCCAGCTCGCCACCACGTCACAGTAACGGTGGGGGGCTGGCATGACTCGCCAACTAGTCGAATGATCGTTTCAGGCCGTGCCAAAGCCTTATGGCTGACGACGCTATGCATGTAACACCTCACCTCACTTCAGTGCAGTCGTGCCGCACGCTCGTATCGGTGCCCTGACGACCGCTGCCGCGCTGACCGCGTGCCGCCGTCCGACGTACGTCAGCGAGCCCGAAACCGGCCGTCCCGTCCGCGCCCGCGCCCGGCAATGCGACTCGCGCGCCCTAGTACGAGGCGAGCGCCTTGTCGTCCACGGCCGTCGGGCGCCCCAGCTCGTGCTGTCGCGACACGGCATAGCATAGGTGCGTCTCATGCAGCCACTGCGAGAACTCTCCGAGACTGCCGATCGCGCCTCCGCCCTCGCGCCACGTCCGCAACGACTTCGCCTCCCTCTCCTCCCGCGCCCGCAGCACCTCGTCGTCAAACACCCCGTCGTCCGAGACTGACACGTATTCCAGCTCGAACACCCCCCCTGGCCCCGCAGTCCCCCCCGGCGCCGCCGCCGGCGCCGCCATCCGACAGAGCTCTTCGAAGATCGCGCGCGAGCGCGGCATGTGGAACTCGGACGTCACGACGCACAGCCGTCGGAACCCTCTTGGTAGCGCGTGAATGACAATCGAGAAATACGCATTGCCGATGGTGTCGTACGACGAGACTTCGCGCAGGATCGCGGACGCGGGCACGCCGCGCTCCATGAGGTACTGCGCGCACGACACCGCCTCGTGCACCACGAAACCCTGGGGGTTCAAAATAGGGGGCTTGTGGGGCGTCCCGCCGCCGCTGCAGATCACGACGCTCCCGCGCTCGCGCCAGAGCTCCGCGGCACGGTCGACGCGCCGCGTGACCCACTCCGGCAGCGTCCCGTCCCTCAGCTGCCCGCCTGCAGCGCGGATGACGACGGGCGGCGGCGTGGGGCGCGCGGGCACCCGCCGGGCGCGCCGGAGGCTCGGCGGACGCGTGCGCGCCGCTGGTCCGCCTCGAACGTACCTGCCAGGATGATCACTGCGTCGCACTTGCCGCCCGTGAACGCCCCGCCTTCAACGCAGCGCCACGGCGCCAGCTCGTTGGTTCCCGCGGACGCCGCATGCCGCACGTTTCGGCCCCGGGCGCCGCAGCGTTTCGGTATCAACGAAGCGAATGGGCGGGAGAACGTCCTCGGCGCCGCCCAGGGCTGTTGAGGGAGGCGTGGGCGAGGACTGGGCTTTCTGAGTGGCCCGGGGCAGGGCCTGGCGCCCTGGAGCAGGCTCTGGACGGCGGAGGCGCGCCTCATGGCCGTTTTCCTTGCGTGAAACCGCGCAACAGCGGCCGCGTGGCCTCCTAGGTGCGTCACAAGCCCGCGACGGGGGGTGCGTGGGGAGAATGCGTCGCGCTGCAGCGGCTGGTGCGGCCCGCGAGGCCCGTGCGGGTGTTCCGCAGATGGAGAGTCGACGCGTGCACGCCTGGAGACGCGTCTCGAGTCGCGCCGGGGCCCAAGCGGCGTCGCACGCGTGTCAGGGGATTCCTTCTACTGTGGAAACGGCCCCCTGCGCTCCTGCGAGGAGGACAAAGGCCTGTTTCCCGCGGCAGCACGCGCACACGATCGCGTTGCTCCGGTACAGCTTCCTTCGAGCACAGTTTCCCGATATCTGCGACCAGCACGGAGAGAGAAGCCTTCGGAGCAAAACGTAGCGCACGGCCGCTGTAGCCGGCGCAACAAATCCGCTAGACGCCGCTCGCAGCTCACAATGCAGCAGACCGTCGGAGCGCAGTGCGTCCGCGTGACGGCACCGTCCCTAGCGCCCTCCACGCGGGCCAGGACCTCCCCTTGCTGCGCGCAGTTGCCGCGAGCTGTGCGCGGATTCCAGGCCGCGCCGACGTCCATCCGTCGCGCCACCAGGCTCCATGCAGTCACCAGCGGCGGCTCTCCGTCGGAAGGTACGTCCTGCGGCGTTTCCGGCAGATACTACCACCCTCCCTTGGGCTCCGTTCCCGCACCTCAGACCCCCCCCCTCCCCCTCATACGCCTTCCCCGCACCCCGGTCGCCGCACCAGCCGCGCGCGCGCGCGCAGCAGGCGCGTCGGTGCGTTGCGGCGCCCCACCGCCGCGCGCGCTCAGCACGCACCGCCAGCCCCTCGCTTCGCTCCGCGCCAGCGCCGCAGACCCGCGCCGTTTCGCCCGCTGCGCCGCGCGCAGGCGACAGCGACGGCGTGGAGGCAATGCGTCAGCAGCTCGAGCGGTCGATGGACGCCGGAACGAACGACATGACGGGCAGCGAGCTCTGGGCGCTGTGCAAGCAGAAGTGGGGGCGGTCCTACGACATCAGGCTCGTGCGCCGCGGCAAGAACATGTTCGTTCACGTGAGTCTGCGCCCCCCGCCGCCCGCACGCCCCGCGCCCGCGGCACCACGCGCCCCCCCCGAGGCGCCTCCCTCTCCCTGGCACACAAACGCGCCCGTAGCCCGGCGTTCGCAGGTGATGTGGAAGTTCCTCGAGCAGCAGTCCTTCCCGCTCACGCCCGAGGAGTACGAGGAGCAGCTCGACGCCGTGAGCGCGTACCTCAACCACTGGGGGTGTGCCGACCTGGTCCGACGGGAAATCATGGCCGCGAAGAAGCACCCGGGGTACAACGTGGGCGGCGGCGCCTCGGCGGTCAGCATCCGCCTCGAGGGCGTCACGGTCGGCATGGGGGAGTTCTGAGCCGCCGCAAAAACAAACACACCCCCTCTGTACCAAAACACCCCTCCACCCGTCACAGACTGACATAGGGCCGCCGGACTGTCCGCTCGGCCGTGCGCTGCCTGCGCGGCCACTGTGAGCCCTGGCCCGACCCCCCCGCGATACCCTCCCACCCCCCTCTCTCTCTCTCGTGCTACGCAATCGCCCGCAACTCCCGGACGCGCAGCTCCCAGCTGGCCAGCCCCCTGCGCGACCAGCACGGACGCACTCGCGCAGCACGCGACCGCGCACCGCCGCCCCGCGTCCCCGCTCGCCCCACCCAGGCCTGCCCGCGGCAGTGCACGATGCCGCACACCGCCTCGCGCTGCGCGCACAGGTGCGCCAGAGCTCCGCCGCCCGCACGCTGCCGCCGCCTCACTCTACCCGCACGCGCGCGGGCTCCCCACCGCTCCCGTCGCGCTCAGCCACGCTCACCGCAGCCAACGCGTCTCACACCGCAGCCTCGCTACAACCGCGGCGCCGCCTGCTCCCGCGCAACCGTGCGCCGCCAGTGCTCCTCCGCCGCCGCGGCGCGCGCGTCCAGCGCCTCGAACTCCGCGTCGAACTCCCCCAACTCCCCCCCCACGTCGGCGAGTCCTCTCCACCACCCCAGGCCCGGCACGCCGCTCTCCGCGAGCGCCAGCGCGTGCGCGCGCGCGGCCGCCGCCCGCCGCGTCGACCCCTTCGGCGGCACGGGCACCTGGTGCGGCTGCAGGCCCTCGGGCAGCTCCAACAGCGGCGTGCGCTGCGCAAGCGACCGCTGCAGAGCCGCGACCTGGAGCCGCAGGCGCCGCTGCCGGAAGACCGCGGCGGTGGACTCGACGCGCCGCGCGTCGCGCTCGCGGCACAGCTCGGCGCACCGCTCCGCGAGGGCGCGGGCTGCGGCGTCGTCGAGGGGGAGCTGGTGGGCGGCGCGCGTGGCGGCGACGTCGTCCGCGATCTGCGCCGCGAGGGCCGCGCGGCGCTCCGCGCCGATCGCGAGCGTGCCGTCCGGGGCGAGCGTGCTCCCCCAGACGTCGGGATTGGCCACTGCGGCGGCGGCGGTGGGCGCGGAGGCCCGCGGGGAGGACACGGCGGTGAGCACGGCGCGGACGGAGTCCGGGAGGGACGCTGTGATGGAGGGGTCGAGGCGGGAGTGGTCGCCGAGGCTCGAGGACTCTCGAAGCGGGGCGCGTGGGAGGGCAGGGGTGGGGAAGTGGGGGTGGAGCCGTGCGGTCGCGCGGCGCTGGAGGTGCCCGCGCCAGGCCGCCTGGATGGCGGTTGCGGCGCGCTCGCGCTCCCGCGTCCACCGCTCGAGCTGCGAGGCCGGGGCGAGAACAAAGCGGTGAGGGTGTGCCTCCGTGCGGCGCATACCGGCAACGCAGCAAGCCGAAATCCACCGGATGTGATTTATTCGTGGAAGAGAAGGCAGAAGCAGCGGCGCTCGCGCGTGGAAAGGCAGCACTCGGCGCGTCCGCGGAGGTTTGGTTTGACGGTGGGGAACGACAGACGACTGCTCGTGCGCGGACCTCGACCGGGTTCATGGCCTCCATGCGGCGCTGCTCGTCCAGGACTACCGCCGACCGCTCCCTGTGCGCGCGCATGATGCGCTCCATGCGGTCCCGCGCCCTCAGAATGCGCCTGTGCACGTCCACGTCCTTTCGCGCCAGCATCCCGCGCACGTGGCGCTGGACCGTGACCGCCGCCGCCTGCGCAGAGAAAATGCAACGCTCTACGAAGCTATTTCCTCAGATACCGTCCGGGCGGACTGTACCGTGCGTCGCGGCGCACTCACTGCCCTCGAAAGCGCGCGCGCAGAGCTCCGCGGGCGCAACAGCGACCGCACGCGCCGGCAGCGCGCGCACCTGCAGCCTTGCGTCCGTCTCTGGCGGTTGCGCCGCGCTCGCCGCATCCTGAGCGACGCCTCCCTCGACCATGCTGCTTCCAGCACCCGCCAGCTCTGCCTGCGACATCCTCGGACACCCGCGACACCCACGGCGCGCCCGACGCGACCTGTACCTTCTATCCGGTACAGCTCTGCGCTCTCACACCGCCGCGCCGCCGCAACGGACCTGCGAGGTCGGCGCAGAGCGTGGGGTACATTAGTGCACTACCAGCCAACACTGCCCCTCGCCGATACATGCATGCGCGACCGGAACAACGCACAGCGATACGGGCGTCCTGCCCACTCTGCACGCGTGCTGTCCGCGATTCGCGCCGTCCGCGAAGGAATCGCCCCCGAGACGCCACAAGAACACAAGTGGGTGAGTGTTCGTCCAACGCGATGTTCGCGGCGCCGCTGCGCCACTGCCCCGCGCGACCGCGCCGGTGCTGTCGCGTGCGAGCCTGCGGGACCCCGACGGGCGCTGTCGGTCCCTACGGACCGGCGCCGCGTGCAGATTCCCACCCACATACACACCGCGCTCGCTCCGCGGCGTTGGCGCGCACCCAGGCCGTACCCCGCTCGAACCCGCCGCAATCAATGCCATTTCTGTGCCCGCCCGCTCCGATCGCGACGATCGCGAGGGACGCGGCGCCGGGGGCCGGGACGCGGGGAGGCACACGCGACCGCCCTTGCGTCCAAAGCCACCGCGATCGGGGCGCAGAATCCCGCCCCAAACCGGTCCGGATGAATGAATCTCCCGCCAGACGCCGTGTGCGCGCGCCCGCCCCGCCGTTTCCGGCCCACACCGCATCTGTGGCCTCCTCCGAGCGCAAAAGCGTCTCGCGACTGCCCCCGATACGCGCCCGTGACGCCACTATTTCCCGTCCAACCCCACACGACTTACCTGGGCTTCGATTCCACCGTGATGTATTTGGCTTTGACGACGCTGTCGCGCGTCGTCGACACAAACCCCACTGCGCACAGCGCCAGCACACTTACGGCGATCCGCGCGCTTCGCTCGACGTCGCTGCCCGCAGGTAGGCGTGCGCGCCCCACGGCCCCGTGATGGGCGCGAGCAAGGAGCAGCTGCTGCAGCGGCTGGGCGAGTGGCGAACGAACGCCGACGTCGAGATCAGAGCGCAGGACCTCCGGCTTCCGTGGCTCTCGGACGTGCCGAGCGTGCCGGGGAAGCACAACGCGCACTTCCTCGGCCTCGACATGGTCGCCACCTGCATGAACTCTCTCAGCCTCGAAGCACGGCAGCAATTCGACCCCGCCGCTTTCATACAGTTCGCGGACGTGCTCCGGAGCCGCGAGAACGTCCGCCCGATGGTCCCCGAGCGCAACACGAGCTCCGCCGGCGTCGAGCGCGTCATCGAGGGCCGTCTCGGCGGCGACGTCGCCGGCCCGGCCGATCTCGCCCTCTCGGGATTCCAGCTATCGAAAGTGCGCAAAATCGCCGACATCATCTACAAGCACGAGCACAAGATCCCCCTCCCGCTCCTCCGCGCCATGGTCGACCGCCTCGCGCCGTTCACGGACGAGAACGGCCGCTCCGTCGTCGACCGCCGCCGCCTGAAGGCCGCACGCATCCCGGGGGGACTCTCCGCGGTGGCGCGGCAGCGCGGCGCCGGCGCGTCGGCGCGAGCGCCGGCGGGCGCGGCGCAGCGGGGCCAGACGTTCGCGGAGAGCCACGGGCTGCGGGCGACGACGTTCACGCCGGACCAGGCGTGGTGCGACGCGGCGATGGGTCAGACGGGCGTGTACGGGCAGATCAACAACTACGGCGCGGAGTTCTACGGGAACGGCTGGGGGTACTACTGAGCCGCGCGCCCCGCGCCGCCGGCCCGGTCCAGCCGCCGGTGTTGCATGGCCATGGTCGCGACGCAAGGTTGGCGTGTGCGGCCCGGGGGTGTGCCGGGGTGCCCGGTGGATGGCGGGCAGAGGCGCGGAAGATGCGTGGCGGAGTGCGGGGCGGGGCGCCGACGGCGTCGTGGTGTGGGACCTGCGACAACGGGCGCGAGGCCCCGTACGTGAAGCTGTGACGCTGGCCAGCGCGACCGTAGGGGACAGGGAGCGACGAGAAAGGAATGCTAGGCCGACTCACAGTGCATGAAACGGTCGTCTGGAACAGAATTCGTCGTTGAAAGGGAACGGCTCCCGCCAGGACGGCCCGTGACAGCTGGTGCCCACTTGCACCGACACGCGCGGCCCCGGTCCTCTCATCGTTACCGTAAACCCGGATTTCCGTCTCCCATTTCGAAAGCTCGTGATGGGTACTGCTTTATTGCCGTGCCTGCGTACCGTTTCTGGATCGTACGGCGAGTGCGGGGACACCGGGTTCTACCCACCCAGGCGCAGCATCATGGGGTCGCCGCGGGGCCGCCTGCGGGCAATCACGACGTTCCGGGGCCAGCCTGGCATGTTGTTGGAGTGCTGAGGAACATGTTGAGCCTAACGCCGCTCTCAGACAGGACGAACAACTCGCCGCACCAGCCTTCGCCGCTCGGCAAGGTGGCGACCACGCCCAAGTCGCCGTTTCTGGTCAAGAGCAATGAGGTGCGCGTCCGCGCGGCCGAAATCCGGCGCGTCTCTGCCGGATCCGCCGGTCAGAACGCGGCGCGGAGGCCCGCGCCGGCCCCCGCGGGCCTGGTGTTGCCTGGCAGCCCGTTACGACCGGACGCCCTCGCGAGGGTTTTTCGCGGCATGCCCGTGCCAGAGATGGAATGAACGTATACTGGTGAGCGAATTCGCGTGAAGGGACGCTTCAGACGTCGGCTCCTGACGCGGGCGCGCCGGTGTTGATTGCACCGCAGCTGTTCGATGCGTCCCCGCCGACGCCCAGGCGGACGAACAACCAGCTCAAGGACCTGAACAAGGTTTTGCTCTCGCGGCTGGGCCACGAGCAATCGAGGGAGACCGAGCGTGCGTCCCCCGTCGCGCCCCGCCTCGTTGTCACCCGCCTCCCCGGCCATCCCGCTCGCCGGGCCGCGTCAGGGGCGCAACTCTCCCACCGATGCCTTCGTTCGATATCATCCATTCGCCTCAGCGTGCCGGAACCGCCGAGACATCGCCGCATCGTCCGCGTTCGGCTGTCGGCAACGGCCAGCTGTCCGCACCCTAGGTTCAAGTCGCGGCGCCGCGCCCTCCCCGCTTCGCAGTCAAGCAACAGATCGACAAGCTCGAGGAGGAGAATGCGGGCCTCGCAACCAACCTCAGGGCCTCCCAGGAGGCCCTAGCGGACGCCAGGCACCGGGCCCAGAAGCTGGATGCCCTCCACAGCGACCTCGAGGCCACCCACGCACAGACCAAGCGCCTCCAGGTACGCCGCGCCCTCCGGCTGCCGTATACGCTCGTTTCCCGCGCGGCGCGGCGCAAACGCGCGCCGCACGTGGCGCCTGCGGGCCGGGCGGTGCGGTGGAGCGCGTATTGTGAACGCGCGCGTCCCGTCGCGCACGTGCAGGGCCTGGTCGCGACGCTGGAGCAGGAGGTCAAAGATAGGGAGAAGAAGCAGCAGCGGGTCGCGAAGCTGCAGTCCGAGCTCGAGGACGCCCACGCAGAGGTGCGCTGCCCGTTGTTGCACGCCGCGGTCCCCTCCGACGTGCGCCCCGCGCGCTCCTGCCGCCGCCCGCGCCGCAACGGTGCCGCTTTGCGCTGTCCGTGAACTGATGCGTGCTGCCGGGTGGTTTTATCCCCGAGGCATCCCTTGTGGGCTGCGCGGCGGCCCTGGCTGTTGCTCTGAGCAACAGCCCGCATCGTGCGAGGAAGGCCGGCGCGTACCGATCCCCCTCGGCCTCCGTTCGCTCCTCGCAGCTGCACGCGGTGCGTTCGAGCGAGGAGGGCATCCGGACGGAGCACGAGGGCGCGAAGAAGGTCCTCAAGATGGCCTTCTCCAAGATCAAGTCCCTCCAGGAGGTCCGCACCCACGAATCCTTGTCTCCCCTTCCACCCGCAACTCCCAACTCCGCCCCACGACCCCCACCGGCCCCGCCCCCGCCCCCCGACCCCCGCAGTCCCTCTCCGTCGCCCAGAAGCGCGCCGCGCAGTCCGACGCGCGCGTCGCGGAGCTCGAGCAGGCCGCGGAGCGCGCCCAGGCGCAGTCCGATGACTTGTCCCGGCTCCGCACGGAGCTCCAGGCGGCGCTCACGGGGCGCGCGGAGGCCGAGGCCTCCCTCGAGCGCCTGCGCGAGATCTCGACGGCCTGGCGCCGCGCCGTCGAGCAGCAGAAGGGCGAGCTGGCGGCGACGGTGGAGCGCCTCGCCATGGAGCGCCGCGGGATCGAGGAGTCGCGCGACGCGGCGGCGCGGGAGCTCGAGGCGACGCGGGAGCGGCTCGCGGAGGCGGAGCGCAAGGAGGGGCGCGTGCCGGAGAGCCACGAGGCGGAGCGCGCCCGGCTGGTGTCGCAGGTGGCGGCGCAGGAGCGGTCGATCGAGAACCTGGGCCGGCAGCTGCAGACGAAGCAGGCGGTGATCGAGAAGTACGCGAGGCAGATCGAGGTGCGGCGCGCGCGCGGCCGCGGGCCGCATGCTGCGCTGCGTTGTGTGTTTCTGTGTGTACGTCGTGTGTGTGTGGTGGGCGCTGACGGACCGCGCGCGCGTTGTTTCGTCGTGCAGGCGCAGACGCAGGAGCGCGACGAGAACGACAAGTCCGTCTCGGAGAAGGAGGACGAGCTCAGCGTCGCGCGCGGCCGCTCCGAGGCCCTGACCAAGGCGCTGGCCAACGCCATGACGCGGATCGCGGAGCTCGAGACGCGCGACCACGCGCTCGTGCGCGAGTGCGAGGCGCTCGAGGAGGAGAAGAACGAGCTCACCGACGACCTGCGCGCCGCCGAGGCCCACGCCGACGGTGCCGAGCAGCGCGCCGGCACCGCCCAGCGCGAGGCCGCGGCGCTGCGCGCCCGGCTCGACGCCGCGAACGCCGCGCTCGCGAAGGCGCGCGCGGAGAAGGCCGACGTCGACACGCAGCTCAGGGAGGTCCTCGCGGGCGTCACGGCGATGCAGGCGCGCGTCCAGGAGCTGGGCGAGCTGCACGCGCGCGAGGCCGGGGCGCTCCGGGCGCGCGTGTCGGAGCTCGACGCGGCGCGCCGGGAGATCGAGGCGGACCTGGCGGCCGCGCGGAGCGACGCCGAGGCGCACGCGCGCGAGCGCGCGCACATCGCAGACTCGTTCGAGACGTTCCGGGCGAACGCCGCGGCGACGCGCGCGCAGCTCGAGGGCCGCGTGGAGAAGCTCGAGGCGGGCGTGGGCGAGGCGGCGCGGCGCGCGGCCGCGGCGCGGAAGGACGCAGAGGCCGCGGGGGCGGCAGCGGCGGACGCGGAGCGCCGGCTGGCGGAGGCGGAGGCGGCGCACGCGGCGGCGATGGAGGAGGAGGTGCGCGCGCGATACGCGGCGGAGGAGGACGTGGAGGCGGCGCGGCTGGCTGCAACGGCCGCGCGCGTCGAGGCGGACGCGGCGGAGGGCGCGGCGGCGGCGGCGCGCGAGGAGGCGGAGCTGGCGCGGCAGGCTGCAACTGCCGCGCGGGCGGACAAGGCTCGGGCGGAGCAGGACGCCGCGGACGCGCAGCAGGCTGGGACTGCCGCGCACACCGAGGCGGCGCAGGCGCGGCAGGCTGCGACTGCCGCGCTCGCGGAGAAGAGCCGGGCCGAGGGCGAGGCCCGCGACGCGCAGCAGGCTGCAACTGCCGCGCAGGCCGAGGCCGAGGAGGTCCGGGCTGAGCTCGAGGCGTCACAGCAGGCTGCAACTGCGGTGCGCCAGGAGCTGGCGGCGGCCGAGGCCGAGGCGCGCGACGCGCAGCAGGCTGCAACTGCTGCGACGAGCGAGGCCGAGGCGGTCCGCGCGGAGCTCGAGGCGTCGGAGCAGGCTGCGACTGCTGCGCGCGGAGAGCTGGTCGCCGCAGAGGGCGCGGCGCTGGCAGCGCGGAACGCCGCGAGCGCCGCGCGCGCCGAGGCGAACGAGGCGCGGCGCGAGGCCGAGGCGGCGCGCGACGAGGCCGCGGAGGCGACGCGGGCGGCGGGCGCGTCAAAGGCGGAAGCCGACGCCGCGCGCGCGCACGCAGAGGGTGCCGCGCGGCTGCGGACGCTCGCGCTCGAGAAGATCCGGGCGCTGCAGGAGGAGGTGCACGCGGCGCGCACGGCCGCGGACGCCGCGGAGGAGCGCTTCGCGGCCGCGGAGGCGCAGGCGCGGGAGCTGGCCGCGGAGCTCGCGGCCACGCGCGGGGAGATGGCGGACATGGAGGCGGCGCAGCAGGCGGCGCTGGCGTCGCTGCGGCAGGAGATGGAGGCGCAGATCGCGGTCGCGCAGGCCGAGGCGAGCGACGCGGCGGCCGCGGCGGAGCGCCTGGAGGGCGACGTGCGCGACAGGGACGGCGCGCACGCCGCGGCGCTGGCGGAGCTGCAGGCGCGCTTCGACGCCGCGCAGGCGCGCGCGGACGCCGCGGAGCGGGGCGTGGCGGACGCGCGTGCGGCGATGGAGCGGATCGCGGCGGAGCGGGGGGCGTTGGCGGCGGCGCGGGAGGCGGCCGAGGCGCGCGTGCGTGACGCGGGCGCGCAGCTGACGGCCGAGCAGGAGCAGAAGCAGGCGATGATCGAGGCGCTCGAGGGCATGCGCGCGCAGGTGCGCGTCGCGGAGGCCGCCGAGGCGGCGCTGCAGGCGCGCGTCGCGACCCTGGACGCCGACCGCGAGGCGGCGCAGGCCGCGATGGCCGAGGAGTCCGCGCGGGTCGAGGCGCTCCGTAAGGAGCTCGAGGCCGCCGGGAACGACGCCGGCGGCGCGCGTCGCGTGTCGCGGCTGGCCCTGGAGAAGGTGCGCGGGCTTCAGGGCGAGCTCGCCGCCGCCACGGAGCGCGCGGAGGGCACGGAGGCGCGCGTGAAGGCGCTGCTGACGGAGGTCCACGAGGCGCGCATGGCCGCCGCGGCCGCCGGCGTCGCACACAAGAACATGGAGGCCTCGCTCCTCGCAGAGGTCAAGGCGCTGAAGGCGTCGCTCGCGGACAAGGAGCAGGGCCTGGCCGCGGCGAGCGCGCGCGTGGGGGAGATCAAGGCCCAGATGGACGCGCAGGCCGCGGCGCTGGGCGAGCAGATGCAGGCCCAGGCCGATGCTGCGGCGCAGCGGGTAGCGGAGCTCGAGGGCGCGGCGGAGGCGGCGACGGCGCGCGTCGGGGCGCTCGAGGGCGAGCTCGAGCGCGCGCGGACGGCGCAGCGGGCGCTCGCGCGCACGGTCGAGGAGGAGCGCGCCCTGGCGGCGCAGCGCATGGCCGACGCCGACGGCAAGCTGGCCTTCCTGCGGCGGGCGGTGGCGGAGGCGGAGGCCGGGATCGCGCGCGAGCGCGACGCGCGGGTCGCCGCGGAGGACCGCGCGGCGCGCGAGGCGGGCTCGGCGGCGCAGGCGCGCGCGGAGGCGGAGAGGCTGACGGCGGTGGAGGCGGCGCTGCGTGCGCACATCGCGGGCGTCGAGGGGCGGCTGTCTGCGGCGGACGCGGACGCAGCGAAGGGCGCCGAGCGCGTGCGCGAGCTGGAGCGGCGCGCGCAGGACGCGGAGAGCGCGCTGGAGCGGTCCCAGGCGGACCTGGAGGCGGCGCGCTCCTCGGGCACCCCGCGGGGCGAGGGCGCGAAGCGGGTGTCGCGGCTGGCGATGGACAAGGTCCGGACGCTCCAGGCGGAGCTCGAGAAGGCGCGCGTGGACCTCAACAACGCGGAGTACCGTCGCGAGGAGCTGGCGAGCAAGCTGGACGACGCCGGGGCGGTGCTGGCGGACGTGCGCGCGGGCGCGGCGCGGGCGGCCGAGGCGCACGCGGGCGAGCTGGAGGCGGCGCGCGCGGAGGTCGCGGCGCTCACGGCGCGCGTCGAGGCGCTCGCGGCGACCGAGGCGGAGCGCGAGACGCTGCGCGCGCAGCTTGCGGACGCGCTCGCTGCCCGCGAGGGCGTGATGTCGGAGCTCGCGGACACGCGGGCGGCGCGCGACGGCGCGGCGCGTGACGCCGCGGAGGCGGTCGCGGGGCGCCGCGCGGCGGAGGCGCGGGCCCGGGAGGCGGAGGCGAACCACCGGCGTGCGCTTGGGCAGCTGGCGGTGATGGACGAGCAGTGCATGCAGCTGTCGGAGCGCGAGAAGGCGGCACGGGCGGCGCAGGCGGGCGCGGAGGCGGCGGCGGAGCAGGCGCGGGCGGACCTGGAGGCGCGCGTCGCGACTCTGCAGGCGCGGGCGGATGGGCTCGCCGGGTCGCTCGGGGCGGCGCGGAGGGAGCGCAAGGAGCTCGACGCGCGGCTGCGGCGCACGGAGCAGGAGCTCGAGGTGCGGGGCGCGCGTGCGGGGTCGCTGTGTGCGCGAGCGCGGTTCGCTGGTGTTCGCGTGGAACGGAAGTCCTTGTTCGCTGATTGTTGCGGTTTTTCCGCGCGCGTTTGCAGGAGTCGAAGGCGAAGGTCGCGGACCAGACGGAGGCGATCGAGGAGGCGCGCCGCATGGGCACGCCGAAGGGCGAGGGCGCGAAGCGCGTCCTTCCTATGGCGCTCGAGCGCGTGCGCAACCTGATGGTGGAGCTGGAGGCGGTGCGGCGCACGGCGTCGAACGCGGAGACGCACGAGAGCGCTCTCGAGGAGCAGCTCGAGGACACCCAGGCGCGCAGCACCCCGCACACCACACACGCGTGCTCGAGACACATGCAGAACATATCTATCTATCCATTGAGCGCGACAGTCGTTGTTTGTTTGATTGTGTCCGACAGCCGGCCCCGCGAGCCGCCCGCGATGAAATGGCGACGTTCCCGGTCCTCGAGCCGCGCAGAAGGAGCTCGAGCACGCCGAGGAGCGCCTCGCCGCCGCGACGGCGTCGTGGACGGAGCAGCTCGCGATCGCAGACGGGCGCGCCGACGCCCTCGCGTCGCAGCTTGCCACCGCGACCGCGGACCTCGCGGACCGCGCCGCGGCGCTCGACGCCGCCCGCGCCGAGCTCGCCGCGGCCCGCGCGGCCCAGTCCGGCCTCGACGCCCACGTGGCGGAGCTAGAGGCGGAGCGCAACTTGCCGCAAGGCGCACACGCTCGAGTCGCGGCTGGCCGGGGAGGCGCGCACGGCAGGCGTTGCTCGAGGAGCGCGACATCGAGGAGCTCCGCGCGCGGTGCGAGCGCGAGGAGCGCGGCCGGTTCGAGCACGCGTGCCGCGCTGCGGAGCTGACGCGGCGCCTGGAGGCGGCGGAGGCGCAGGCGCGCGCCCTCGAGACGCGCGCGGACGAGGCGCGGCGCACGGGCACGCCTGGCGGGGAGGCGGCGAAGCAGATGCTGCGCAGCTCGCTCGCGGAGATCCGGAGCCTGCAGGGCGAGGTGGCGGACGCCAAGTCGCGGGTGGCCATGGCGGACGAGTCGGCGTGCGCGTCGCTGTCCCAGCTGGCCGGCGCGCAGGCCGAGGCGGCGGCGCTGCGGGCGCAGGCGCAGGAGGCGGCGCGGGCCGCGCAGGGCGAGCGGGCCGCGCTGGCGGCGCGTGCTGAGGAGCTGACGGCGGAGCTCGAGGAGGCGCGCAGGGAGCTGGACGCGGAGCGGGAGCGCTGCGAGGACCTGCAGCGGGACCTGCAGATCGCGCACGAGGAGGCATTCGAGCACCGGAAGGTGAGGCTATTGATTGCTGGAGCATGGTGGACATTATGTTTGTACAGGCGGGGTTGTGGTCGCGCAGCCACGAAGCGGAACACTGCTCGTTTGATTACGGCATCTGCGATGCGGGGAATGCGCAATCGCGCTCGTTCGTGGTTGCGAACACGAGCAACTCGTACCAGTCCTCTCTGAAATAAGATACACTGAGTCTCGATGCACTCGTTTGTTTGCATCGCATCGATGCGTCCTCACGCACGCTCACGTCCCGCACCGCCCCGGCCCTCCGTCGCAGGAAGCCAAGCGCCACCGCGAGCGCTGGCAGCTCGCGCACACCAACCTGGAGTCTGTCAAGGCGCGCAAGCTCCAACTCGAGACGGACCTCGCCGCCGCCCGCAAGCACCTCCAGGACCACACCGACACCATCGCGGACCTCCAGGGGGACCTCGGCGTGTGCCGCAAGCGCATCGCCGACCTCCAGGCCGCGAAAGCGCGCCTCGAGGGGTCGGCGCAGGGCGCGGACGCGCGCGTGCGCGACCTCGACGCCGCGGCCGCCGCGGCGACGCGGGAGCGCGAGGCGGCCGAGCTGCAGTGCGCGGCGATGAAGGGCGAGCTCGCGGAGGCGGCGGCGGCGCTGGAGGCGGCGCGCGCGGAGGCGCGCGAGGCGCGGTCCGTCGGGACGCCGCGCGGGAACGCCGCGAAGAACAGGGTCGCGCTGCTGCAGGGGCAGCTCGCGGTTGTGCAGGCCGACCTCGAGCGCGCGACGGGCGCGGCCGCGGAGCTGCGGCGCCGCGAGGAGGACGCGCGGACCGAGCTTGCGGCGTCGCGGTGCGAGGCCGAGCAGCTGAGGTGCGCACGGAGCCCCCCGCGCGACGCGGTGCAGCGCGTTCGGTCCGGCATGCATGTTCTTGAACGTCCAGCGCGCGCCGACACGGGCTGACGTGACGCGAAAGCACGAGTTGGCTGTGTTGTTTGACCCCGCCCGCCGTCCCCGATTCTGCAGCGAGGAGGGCGCGGCGCTGTCCCGGTACATCGAGGAGCTCGAGCGCGAGGCCGCGGAGGCCGCGGTGCGCGAGGAGACGCTCCTGGGGGAGCTCGAGGGCGCGACCGAGCAGATCAACGGGCTGGTCACGACGCTGCAGGAGGTCGTCGCGGCGCGCGACGAGGCGGAGCGGCGCGTCCAGGCTGAGGCAGAGGCGGCCGAGGCGGCCCGCGCGGAGGCGGCCAAGGCGGCGGCGGAGCTGCGCGGGCGCGCGGCGGAGCTGGAGGAGGCCGCGGAGGCGGCGCACAGGGAGCACACGACGGTGCTGGACCGCGCCGCGCGGCTGGAGGCGCTCCTCGAGGACGCCCGGCGCGACCTGAGTCAGCGGGAGGGGGAGTTGGAGGAGGCGCGTCGGACGGGGACGCCGATCGGCGAGGGCGCGAAGAAGGTGGCGAGGCTGGCGATGGAGAAGGTGCGCGGGCTGCAGGCGGACCTCGAGGGCGCGCAGCGCGACCGGTCGGCCGCGGAGGCCGCGGCGTCGGGCGCCGCGGCGCAGGCGGCGGCGGCGCGCGGCGCCCTGCGCGAGGCCGAGGGCGAGCACGCGCGCCGCACGAGCGAGCTCGAGGAGTGCATCGCGACGCTGCGCGGGGACCTCGGCGCCGCTCAGCGGCGCCTGGAGGCCGAGCAGGGGGAGGCGCGGGCCGCCCGCGACGAGGCTGCGGCGGCGGAGGCGAGCCGCGCGCAGATGGTAGAGGCGTTCGCTGCCGCGAAGCAGCGCAAGCGCCGCATGGAGAAGGAGCTCCGGCAGGCGCGCGAGTGCATCGCGAAGCAGAGCGCGGACCTGGAGGCGCGCCGCGCGGAGGTCGCGGAGATGTCGCGGGCGCTGGCGGCGGCGCGCGGCGAGGCGTCGGAGGCGGCGCGGTCGTCGTCGGCGCTGCGGTCGCAGCTCGCGGAGCTGCGTGGGCAGCACGCGGAGGCCGCGAGCGCCGCGAGCGCGGCGCGGAAGGAGGCGGACGACCTGCGTGCGGCGCTGGCGGCGGCAAAGGAGGAGAGTGAGGAGCAGCTGCGCGCGGCGGAGTCGACGGGGACGCCGCGCGGGGAGGCGTCGAAGCAGATCCTCCCGCGGGCGCTCGAGAAGGTCCGCGCGCTGACGCAGGAGGCGGCGGAGGCGGCGTCGCGGGCGGACGCGCTGACGGCGGAGACGCGGGCGTTCGGGGACGCCGCCGAGGCGCTCCGCGCGCAGCTCGTGGCGCGCGACGAGGAGCTCGGGCGCGTCCTGGGCCGCGTCGGCGAGCTCGAGGACCGCTGCCGGGAGCTCGGCGAGGAGCGCGCCGCGGCGCAGGGTGCGCTCGAGGACGCCACCGCGCGGCTGCGCGGCGCCGAGGGCGAGCTCGCGGGCCTCCGCGAGGACCGGCTCTCGCTCGCGGCGCAGCTGTCCGGCGCGGAGGAGACGTCGCGCGCCCTGCTGGACCGCGCTGTGGTTGCTGAGGCGGGGCTCGAGAGCGCCCGGGCCGACGCCGAGGCCGCGCAGGGCCGCGCGAGGGCGCTCGAGGGCGAGAACCGGGAGCTCGGGAGCGCCGCGGACGGGCTGAAGTCGCGCGTGGGCGCGTTGCGCAGAGAGCTTGAGGTTATGACGGCGCGGGCCGAGGCGTCGTCGGCGGACAACGAGCGCATCGAGAAGCAGCTCGTGCGGTACAAGCGGCTCCTCGAGAGCGCCGAGGCCGAGCGGAAGCGCCTCCGCGAGCGCTCCGCGGAGCTCGAGGGCGTCGCGAGCGACCTCACGTCCAAGTTCGGGAGCGCGCGGGCGGACCTCGCGGCGGCGAACGAGCGCGTGCGCGCGCTCGAGGCGCGCCTGCGCGAGGCCGAGGCGGCGCTGCGCGCTCGCGGCGAGGAGCTCGACGCCAAGGCCGTGTCGCTCGCCACGGAGCGCGCGGTGTCGGCGGGGCGCTGCCGCGCGATGGAGGACGAGCTCGCGGCGCTGCGCGAGGCGGCGGACGAGCTCCGGGCCGGGATCGGCGCGGCCGAGGCGGACAAGGCCGAGGCTGCGGCGCGCGTCGCGGAGCTGGAGGGGGGCATCCAGGCGGAGCGCGTGCGCGTCGCGGAGCTGGAGCACGCCGTGGAGCAGGCCGCGGCGGCGCGCGACGAGGCGGACGCGGCGCACGCGGGCGCGCTCGCGGACGCCCGGCGCGAGCTCGAGGTGGCGCGCGCGGACGCCGAGCGCGCGCGTCAGGCGGCAGTGGCGGCCGAGGGCGGCGCGGAGGAGCTCCGCGCGCGCGTGGCCGAGCTCGAGAAGGACCGCACGGTCGCGGCGGAGCGCTCCGCGGAGCTCGAGGGCCAGATCGCGGCGCTGCAGTCCCGCCTGGACGGCGTGCTCGCGGAACGCCGCGCTCTGAAGAACCGGCTCGCGCACGCCGAGCGCGGCTTCGCGCAGGCGCGGGCGGACCGCGACGCGGCGCTCGAGGACGCGGCGGCGCGGGCCGCGGAGATCGCCGAGCTCAAGCGGCACGTCGCGAGCGCCACGGACGAGACGGCGTGGATGCAGCAGGAGCTCAACTCCGCGGCTCTGGAGGGCGCGCGCGTGGCGAGCGAGCTCCGCGCGCTCCAGACGGCCAGCGGCGGGCTCGTCGCGGAGCTCGAGCGCGTCCGCGGGATGTTCGACACCGCGGAGGGCCGCCGCGCGGCCATCCAGACCCGGATCGACGAGGTGGAGGCGGAGCGCGCCGCGGAGCTCGCGGCGGCCGCGGAGGCGGCTGCGCGCGTGGAGACGCTGGCGGAGGAGCTCGCGAAGGCGAGGCGGGCGGTTTCGGAGCGCGAGGCGTCGGCGGCGGAGATGGCGGCCGAGGTCGGGGACCTGCGCGCCGCGCTGGCCGCGGCGCAGCAGCAGGTCTTCGCGCGCGACGACGAGATCGGGGCGCTGCGCGCGGAGCTCGAGGTGTCGGCGGAGCGGCTCGCCGCCGTCCAGGAGCGGGCGGAGCGCGCCGCGGGGGTCGCGACGCTGTCCGAGCAGGCCCGCGACGTGCACCGCGAGCTCGGCGTGGCGCTCCGCGGGGAGCGCGACGTCCTCGAGAAGGAGAACATGGCGCTGCGGTACGCGCAGGAGCGCCTCGCGCACAAGATGCAGGCCCAGGAGACGGCGCTCACGCACGTGGCGGAGCGGGCGCGGGCCGCCGAGAGCGAGGCGGCGCAGCTGCGCGAGTCGCTGTCGCGCGCGCAGAGCGAGGCGGAGGCCGACGCGGCGCGCCAGCTCGAGGCGGCGCAGCGCAAGCACGCCGCGCAGGTCCTCGAGGTGCGTCGCATGGCGCGCGCGCAGAGCGAGGGGGCGTCGACGAGCCGCATGAGCAGCCCGCGCGGGTCGCTCGCGACGCCGCGGGAGCGCTCGGCGTCCCGCGCGCGCACGCCGCGCGGGGCCCCGCCGCCGGCGGAGATGCGCACCTTTGGCGCCATGTCGGTGGTGCTCATGGTCGCCACCGCGGCCATCAGCGCGGGGTTCCACTTCCTGACGCCCGGCGGGTCCGGGAAGGGCCCGGAGGCGAAGGAGTGAGGCGGGGATGGCCGCCGCGGAGCGTGCGGCGGAGCCTCGGGCTCGTCGTGCGCGGGCATCGGCGGACGGCCGGTGCTCGACACTACATGCATGCAGGAACTACACGGTACGTGTTGCGTACGGGGTCGCTACGGGACGGCGGGTGCGTTGGACGGAACGCTCGGCCCGATGATGTTGACCACGCGCGTGACGCACGCCAGGACTACAACTAGATTAGCGACAGAGGGCTTCGGCTGACGTCGCGAACAGAAGGACAGCGGCGTGCCCGCATCCGCGACGGGGCGCGCGCACGGCCGGGCGGCGGAGCGATGCGCTCGCTGCCGCTGTCGTCGGCTGCAAGGCGGGGCGTTTCCAGTCCCGCCACCGCGGTCAGGACGACTTGACACACCAACACAGCACCCCTCCGGAGACGCTCCTGTCTCCGGGGCGCTCGAAGGAGCGAGGACCGCACACGCACCACGGCGGACGGTGGCGGCGGGTGGCCGCGGACGCACGGGCCTGGGAAGGGCACCTAGCGCCTGCGCTCGCGGCCGCTCGCCGCGCATCTCGTCCGCGAACGAAACCACCACACAACCTAGCCATCGGCGGCGGGGAGAGACTCGTCGCCTCCACAGCGCCCGACGTCTACACAACGCGACCGTGGAACAGCCTCGTACGGGAGTTGCAGCCTCCCGCACGCGGCTCACTCACAGCAGCTGCTCCTCTCATCCACTCCGTCCGCGAGCCCGCGGGGCCGTTGCAGCCGGCCCTCCGCGGTTCGACAGGAGTGTCCCCTTCCTTGCGACGACGGCAGAGACAGCGGGGGCGGGGTGCGGGCGGTGTTGCAGCCACCGCGCCGCGCCGCGCGCCCCGGGACTTGCCGCCGTCGGTGTGGAGGCCGGGTGAACGAGAGGGGCCGTATGACGTCCGGAGGCCGCACTGTTGCCGCCCAGATATGACGATGTGAACTGAACAGACAGAGTGCCGCGGGACCGCGCTCGATACCTCGTGACGTGCTGGGGCGCAGGAACGTGCAGTCGACTTCAGCTCGGGGCTTTTTATGACGTGGTTCCCATTTGTGGGTATTTCAGTGCTCCGGGGCGGGTGGTGAGCGTCAAGGCGCCGCGGACCGCTGCGCGCAGCTAGGGCGGCGGCTGGGCTGCGCGCGGCGTCCGCCTGATCGTCACAGCGGTGCCGGTGGCGCGCCCGTCGAGTCAGGGAGGGGGTAGTCAGCTAGCGGGCTCGGCCGTCAGCGTGGCCGTTCGGCGCTCGTTGGTACACCGCGAGTACAGTCGGCATCCGTTTGACGGCTGCGGTGGTGCGCGTGCGCGGTTGAGAGAGCGCAAGGCCAGTAGAAGCAAGTCACGATGTCCGGCCTCTTTGGACGTCCGGTGGTGCGCGCGGCGGTCGCGTCCGGCGCCCTCATGGCCACGGGCGACGTGTTCTGCCAGATGGGCGGGTGGAGCGCGAGTGATCCGGCGCGAGACGTGTCCAGGGTGAGCAGCGCGCCGTTGCCACGATCAGTGGCGGTTGGCCGTCTTCAGGGCGGCTGCGGCGGGCCGCCAGTGGCAGCGCAGGCAGCCTGGACCGCGCGGCCTGCTCTGGCTACATGATTGTCCACTCCGGGCCCACAACCGCGCGCGTTTCTGGGCCGGACGACCGGCGGCGGGCTGATGGCCTGCGTGCTGTACATACCGCTCGCGACGGACATTCCTGGCTTCCACCGTGGATTCGAGCATCTCGTGCGATTTTTGGCGCTTCGAAGCGCACACAGCTCGAGAGGCAGCTGTGTTGAAGCCGTCTAGAGTGCACAACGCCGTGTTGCATCCATGGGCCTGGGTTGCAGGAGGACGCCTCCGAGGCGCGGCCGCACGACTGGGCGAGGACGGCGCGGTTCGGCCTCGTCGGGCTCACGCTCCACGGCCCCTTCTTCTACCACGGCTTCCGCTGGATCGACGGCCTGAGCTTCCTCAACCGGTCCAGTCCAATAGCGAGCGCCGTGGCCAAGAGCCTCGCCGTGCAGGTGCGCCGACCCCCGCACGCTCGAAAGCACAGACAAACCCGTCCGGAACTGGGCACACGCGCTCCGGACTCGCCGCATATAGGTCACACGCTCTGGCATCAACTGCTTGGAAGCCAGACCGCTCTCAGGCCTCGGGAACGCGACGGGTCCTCGAAGCAGCCCGCGCCTGCCTCGTTCACTGCAGGTAGCGCTGTTCCCGACGTACACGACGGCGTTCTCGGGCTACATGGGGACGCTCGAGGGGTTCCAAGGTCGGGAGCTCCTGTCCAAGGTGTCCGCGTTTCTGGCGCCCACGCTCTTCACCGGCTGCGCGTTCTGGCCCGTGGTGAACACGTTCAACTTCGCGCTCGTCGCGCCGCCCGCCCGATGCTACTACGTGGCGCTGATGGGCCTCATTTGGAACACATATCTGTCGTACAGCAACGCGCGCGCAACGCAGCAAGCGCCCGCGCTCGCCGCGGCCCCAGAGGCGCGCGGGGGGAGTCCGGGGCTCGGGCGGGCCGTCCCGGCGAGCGCTGCCGTTGCCGCGCACTCAGCGCGCGACCGTCCCGCACCCGCGACCGCGATGTGAGTCGGGAGTGCCGCGCGGGAGGGCCGTGGATGGGAGCGGGCGGGCGCGGCGAGCGCGGCGCCGACGAACGCGCGGTGCGGCCGCTTCGTGCGATGACGTGCGTGCGCAAGGGCCACGTGGCAGGCACGCCGCACGGCGCCGCCGGACGTCACAGCGCCGCGCCCGCGAGGCGCAGGAACAGCGCGCACGTCGCTGGGGGGCCCGGAGCCGCGTTTCGCGCCCCTGCTCCGCACGCGTCACGGTTTTGTGAAGAATGTGGCGATGCTGCGCGTGTTCGCCGCAGCGGCCTCGCGCTTCGACACCTTCGCCTTCTTCTTCTCCGCGCTCGCGCCCTCCGCCGCCTCGCCGCCGCCGCTGCGCTTCCGCGCGCTAGAGACCCCCCCCTCGCCCCCCCCCGCCTGCGCGTTCTCGTCCCCGCTCGCACGCCCCCCCTCCGGCGCCCCCGCGTCCTCCGCCTCGCCCTGCTTCTTCTTCGCAGCCGCCAGCGCCGCCTTCCGCTCCTGCAACGACCCGCACGCGACCGCAACACATCAGCACCACAACACACGTCGCAAACAACAACGCAGCGGCCGCGCACGACGAGCGGCGCCGCGGCCGGCCACGCGCACCTCCTGCCGCTCCTCGACCTCCGGCTGCACGTACGTCGCGAGGTGCTCCCTGCAGAAGTACAGCGCCGGGTCCTGACTCATGGCCTGCGTCAGGTCTTCCAGTCGGACTGTGCGGCGGCCCTTGTCGCGCGCCGCGCCCGCGGCGCCCGCCGCGAGCGCGCCGAGCCACAGCTCGCACGCCTTGTTCAGCGTCAGCGCCGCGTCCTTCGCCACGCGCTTAATCTCGCTGTCCGCAAGTATAATCTTTTTGACCGTTGTGAGCGGGAACGCAAAGGTCTTCGCGGCCGTCTGCGCCTCGGCGTGCTCCTCGCGCTCAACCTCCTCCTGCGCGACCTGCTCCGCGAGCTCGGCCGCGCGCGCAGCGGCCTGTTCCTGGTAGCGTGCTTTCGCGTCGTCCGGCAGCGCGCGCCAGCGCTCGCCGAGGATCGACGCGACCTCTGCGGACCGCCCGACGGCCGGGAGGGAGGCTGAGCTAGAGCGCGGTCGCGGCGGGAGCGGGGAAGTCGAGGACCGGCGGCCCGCGCGGGCGAGAGATGGCGCTGGGTGGAGGGAAAGGGCGCGAAAGCGGACGCGAGACGCCGGGTGGGGCCGACGTGACGGTTGCCAGCGATGGAGAGAGGCTTTGGCTGGGCCGTGAGCGCGGAGAGGGCGGGTGCGTGGCGGTGGAGGTGCGTGGCTCGCACCGGCAACGGCTACGGACTGCTTGTCCGGGTGCTTCGCGCGCCATTCCTCGGTCGCAGCCGCCCGCTCGTCGTGCGAAAACAAAAAGTAGGCCGTCGGGGCCCTCCTGGGCGGCATCGTGAGGCGCCTCGCGCAGCCCGCAGCGCCCCACGCCGCTCCCGCCAAATCCTGCAGCGCTCTCAGCGAGAGCTAGCCCGGCCCGCCGACGCGCAACGGTGCGGCAATCACGAACGTTCTCTGCACGTGAGGCACGCTATGACCGTATAGCGTCTCGGGGGAGCGCTGAGCGGCCCAGACGGGGCCGTGCGAGGCCGTGACGCCGACGCGGACTGGTACGCAGCCACTTGAGAGACAATCGTGGCGAATGGGGACAGGCGTTGCGTTGCTGCGTTCGCGGTTCGACGAGCGGGACGTGTGCGCGGGTCGCCCCGCCCGCGGGCAAGTGACCGCCGCGCGCCTGTGGCGCGTGGAGCGTCGCGGGGTGGAGTCCCAGCATGACGCGAGCTCCGAGAGTCCCCCAGGGCGCGGACAGCCCCGCGTGGGAGGCGAGACGGTTGCACCGCGCCAGTGCCGCCACTCAGCGATGTGTTTACGCGCCGCGGGCGCACCTTCAGCGACGCACGGCCCGCGTGTTGTGGCTGCGGCACGCTCTCTCGAGGAATGTCGGCCGCAGGCGGGGACGGGGCGGAGCGGGACCCCCTAGGAGAGTCCCACATGAGTCAAGGCACAGCCCAGACCGGGTAAGATCGGGCATTCACAGCCGTAGCGGAGAAACGTGTGCTGGCATCATAGTCCTGCACACACCACGCCGCATGGAGCGCGCCAGGCCGGTTTCCTGCGATCCTGGCAGCGAGATACCGTGAATCTCATCCACTGTGCGTGGCGCGTCGTCGCAGGGGCCGTGCGTCGGCGCTGGAATTCGGGGTGACGGCGACCAGCCTCCGTGCGCGCACGTGTGTCATGCGCCTGCCGCACGGGGACGTCCACACGCCCGTGTTCATGCCCGTGGGCACCAACGGCTCCGTCAAGGGGCTCACCCCGCGGCAGCTCGAGGACGCGGGCTGCCAGGTGCGCGCCCGGCAAGGACTGCTGCATACGTACAAGCGCTCGCGCACGCCCCCAGGCCCGCCCTGCGCCCCGGGGCGCGCAACGACCGGCCGCGGGGCTCTGCGTACACGCCGCGTACACGCCGCGCGCTCGCGGGGGCAGCCACCGTCGAAGCGCGGCGGCCATGACACGGCATGACATGCTGACTGCATGGGGCATGTGGGTGCGGTGCAGATCATTTTAGGAAACACGTACCACCTCGAGAGCGCGCCTGGGGCGTCGCGCATCGCGGCGATGGGCGGGCTGCACCGCTTCAGCGGGTGGCGGCGCCCCATGCTGACCGACTCGGGGGGGTATCAAATGGTGTCCCTGGGGGAGTGGTGTCAGGTCGACGAAGAGGGGGTGTGTTTCGGGGAGGTCCCTGCGCCGCAGCGCCGCAGCCGCGCATCGGAGCCCGGCCACTGCGGGGCCGCCGCGTCGTCCAGGGGGTCCAACAGTGCGTCGGGCGCGCGAAGCGACGGGCGCAGCGGAGGCGCGTGCGGCAGCATGGCGCTGACGCCGGAGGCCGCGATCCGGCTGCAGAACGACATCGGCGCGGACATCATCATGGCGCTGGACGACGTCGTGCCCGCGACGCACCAGGACCGCGCGCGCGTCGCGGAGGCGCAGGGCCGGACCTCGCGGTGGCTCGATCGATGCCTCGCGGCGCACAGCCGTCCCGCGGAGCAGAGCTTGTTCGGCATCGTGCAGGCGAGTGGGTTCCCGTGGCCGCCGCGCGGCGGGCCGCGTCTGATGGTTGTTGCAAAGCAAAACGAGGAGACACACAGCGTGGGGGCTGGGGTTGCGTTTCGGTGCAGGGCGGGCTGGACCCCGAGCTGCGCGCGAGGTCGCTGGAGGACATTCTCGCGCGCGACACGCCCGGCGTCGCTGTCGGCGGGCTGTGCGGCGGCGAGGCGAAGGACGCGTTTTGGCGGGCGGTGAAGCAATGCATGGACAGGTGCGTGGCCCGCCCGGATCTGCGCGGCCGCAGCCGCGCAGCTGCGTGCGGGGCGCGTGGCGGGGCCCCGGCCGACGACACGCGCGATGCGGGCGTCACAAGTGGGAGCAGGCGCGGCGTGGCGGCGGGGCTCCGGCACGCCGCTCGCGAGCATGCTCGCTGCGATGAGTGAGCGCGCCGAGCGACGCGAGCGGAACATCGACGGCGTGGCGCTGGCGCGTGGCACTGCAGGTTGCCGCCGGGCAAGCCTCGGTACGTAATGGGCGTCGGGTACCCGCTGGACATCGTCGTGTGCTCGTGCCTGGGCGCCGACATGTTCGACTCGGTGTATCCGACGCGCACCGCCCGGTTCGGCACCGCTCTGGTGTGGGGCGGGACGCTGCACCTCCGCCGCGCGGCGTTCGCCGCGGACACGCGCCCGCTCGACGACGAGTGCCCGTGCGAGGCCTGCGCGATGAAGCTGTCCCGCGCGCGCCTGCACTTCCTCCTCCGCCGGGTGAGTCACGATCGTCGCGACCGGCCCAACACCACACCCCGCGTCGCCGCACGCCGCCGCCCGCCCGGGCCCCGGGAGCGGTGTTCCCGGCCGGGCGCGATCCGGGCGCGTCGACGGCGCTGTTTGCAGGGCGTGGACGCGGCGAAGGTGCTGCTGCTGCAGCACAACGTGACGTTCACGCAGCAGTTGACCGGGGGGTTGCAGGAGGCGATTCGGGGCGGTGAGAGCCGCCTGGAGGCCTTCGTGCGCCGGTACTTGGCGGGGGTGTTCGGAAGCGAGGGAGACGCCCCGGAGTGGGTGCGAGACGCCATGGCGGCGGCGGGGATCGCGCTGTGACGATAACGCGCCTAGGACGCGCCGCGCAGTGGCCACCTCCGTCCTGACGTCGGTTGACGCGTGCATGCCGGTATTTCCGCCCGGGCTCGTCGAGACATACATGTTCTTCCCGTTCACGCTTCGAATGTTGAAAAACACCGGACTGCTTCGCCTGACGAGGCGCGGGGGAGTGAAATCGCTTGACGTGTCCAGCGCGCTGGACGACCCGCACATTGGGGCGCTGCCCGCGGCTGGACGTCACATACACACAGAGCGAGGCGAACAACCTTACACGACCAAGTTCTACGTCACAGTTGGCAGTTGCCGGAGCCACACAGTTGGCAGCTCTGGTAGGCACCCCTGTGATGATTGCGAGCACCCTCGCGCCCATGCTCTCGTCCAGCGAGGGCTTCCGGGCTCTGCTCTACGGCGGCGCCGTCGTCGGCGCCGCGCCGACCCCGAGGACCCCGGGCGACCACACGGGCTGGGAGGTGAGCAACCGGCGCCATCGTGCGCCGCCCCGTCCGCCTGCGCGCGCGACGACGACGGCAACGATAAGCTGCAAATGCCGGCTACGCGCGCCGGGCGCGCAACGCATCGCCGCTGGGCGCCACGGCGCCGGGCGGCGAGGTTGACGAACGACGCTCGAGACCGCCCTCCCGCCCCGGCGCCGTGCCCCGCAGAGTTTCTTCGGAAACGGCACCACGACGCTCCCCGGCATCAAGACCGCCGCCCTGCCATCCCTCCTCTCCACCCTGCGGCTCGGCGCGCCCGCATGCGGCACCGAAATGTGGCCGCCAGCGAGCTGCACCGAGGCGCGCCCCCCGCGCGACCCCCGGCCGCTCCGCGCCAGCTTCGCCCAGAGCGGAGCCTGCCAGCAGGTACGAAGACCCTCTCCCGCCCAACAAGGCGCCAAAAACCCCGCCAGCGACGTCACAAAGCGCCCACCAACCAACGCAACCACCTGCTGGTTTCATCACGCATCAACCGCCATTGGCGCGCCGGCACCGCGCAGCCCGCCGCGCGGCCGCGCACGCGCGCCGCTGGGCGCCCAGACCCCGGGCCATGCGTCCAAGCGCGTTCCGCGGCCCCGCGCCGGCGCCCCGGGTCCGCGGCACGCCGCTCCCTTTCTGGCCTTTATTAAACCATGCCCCGCCATGGCAGGTCCACCCCACATGCAAGCTGACACGCGCAAACGCCGTGTTTCGCCGCCGCAGCGTGCGCGCACGGTGTCGCTGGACGGCACGTGTCCAGAGCAGGCCCCGGCGGCCGCTCCGGCGGGCCGGGCGGCGGAGGGGCGCACGGGGGCGGCGCCGCGCAGGCAGCGAGGCGACGGGCGCAGCAGTGTGCGGCCGCGGGGCGCCGCTTCGGCGGCGGAGGGCGGCGGCGCGCCCGGGCAGGCCCGGCGCAGTCGCGGCGTGTCGCTGGCGGGGTCGAGCGCGGCGTCGGAGGACGTGCGGGCCGTCTGGACGGACCTCCATCGCTCGCTGCGCCACGCAACGGGCGAGGACCGCGCGCCCGTGAGGGTCGAGATCAGCCTCGCGCTGGTACGTCTCCGCACTCCCTCCCTCTCGCGGCGCACGCGCGCTCGCGCCGTTCCCGCCCGCGGGAACGACCACGAAAAGCCCTGCTGCTGTTTCGCGGTGCGGGTCGTGCTGCTGGGTGCTCACGCGTGCCGCGGCGCCCGCGCGCGTGACGTGCAGGACGAGCCCGAGGGCTCGAGCAGCGGCGCGGGGGCGTCGAACCCCGCGAACGACCCCGTGGACGGGGGGGAGTTCGAGGACGTGTGCACGCACCACATCACGGAGCGCGTGCGGTGCCGGATCGAGACCGAGCTGCCGCCACGTGAGCGCCCCGCCGCCTCCGACGCGCTCCGCGCGCAGCCACGGCGCACACCGCCTCGTGCGCGTCGCACCACCCGCACGCAGTCGCGCGTCGTAACGGTGTGTGGTTCTTTGGTGCTCTGCGCGCAGGGGTGCGGGCCTTCAGCCGGATGCGCCGGCTCGGCGCGAAGGACCTGGCGGTGCTGGGCTGCCACCAGCTGTGCGACCTCGACCGCGAGGGCCGCGCGCTCACCCCTGCCGACCGCATCTCGCGGTCGCACTCGCCCGCTCGCCAGCAGAGCATCGGTGAGCGCCCCGCCGCCGCGTGTCCAGGCGACGCCTCCCTTGCCCCCCGCCCCGTCCTGCGACGCCGCTTCCACCGACAACAACGACAGCTCCCCACCCCTGCTCCGTCGCCGCTGCAGCTGGCATCACGGACCTGCAGACCCACCGGCCGCTCGTCCAGCGCGTCGGGAACGGCCTTAACGAGCTGCTCCACGGCGGCGCGAGCGCGCCGAATCTGCGGAAGCGCGCGGGGGCCCACGGCCCCGACCACGTGGCACGGTGGAAGAAGCACGCCCTGGTGAGACACCCCCCCCTTCCCTCTCGCCTCGCCTCGCGCTGCCCTGCCTCCCACACGTACTTACGCCGCGAGGCCGAGCGATCGGAAATCGGGTCTCGCGTGGCGGAGCGGCGGAGACCTCCTGACTGCGTTTGTTGCGTTGCGCTGCTCGCAGTCGGCTCTGGAGGAGATGCGGGCCGAGGCAACGCTCAAGATCTGAAAGATGGACTCAAAGCGCGCCGCCGTGCGGCGGGCGGAGGCCGAGCTCTACATATGCCGGCCACAGACGCCTGCAAGACGTTGTTCGTGACCGACGGACAAGACCCCCCCCCCACGCCCCCAAGGAACCCCCTGCTTCTTCCCCCCTGCCCCTCCCACACTTTGGCCCCGTGTCCCGGTCGTCGCACCACGTGGTGATACGGGCGCGGCAGGCCCCTCGCCTTTCACACACGTGCCTTTCCTGGCACCGCTGCTGTCCTGCATGCCCCTCCGATGACCTCACGGCCACGTGAGGCGACCGTCCACCAGCGCGGCACGTTCGCGTTCCTCGCCGGCACCGGCCACAAGCGCTCCGTGCACGCCGCTCCATCCACGTGCGCGTTGCATCCGGCCAGGGGACCCGGCCGCTGCAGCCCACGCAGACGCGGCTGCGCGCAGCGCACTGCATTTCCTCACCGCGCGTCTGCTTCATTCGCGCTCGAACCCACGGCGCGGCCGCTGGCCGCAGCGCCACGTGCACCGCCCCACGCGTGCCGCGCCGCGCCGCGCCGCGCCGCCCGCAGCAACTTCATTTCTGACCTGAATCTCGCCCGCAGCAACGTCGACGCCATCCGAAGCACCCCCCTTCAAACCATCAGTCGACCCAACCCCACGTGAACCCCCTTTGTTCCGAATCCAATATCTTTTCAACCCTATGCTTGATTTTCCTGCCGCATGACGCCCCCGCACAGACGCAGGGGCTGCGCGCGCACGTCGACGACATCCTCGAGTACATAGCAGGATGCTGACGTCACGCAGCTGCCCGTTGAGGCCGCACACATGCGCTGGCTGCAGCAGTGAGACCGACTGCACGTGAGAACGTGACGACCGGCCGCAGGCTTCCACGCGTGTGAGCGTGCCCGACGCGAGCGTCTCAGGCGTCAACGTAACAGCCAATTGCTGTCCTGCTTGGTCAAGCGTTGCCGAACGTTTCCCACCGTAGCGACCACGCGCATGACCGGTGCCCAACTGGCCTGACCGCGATACCGGCTCGCCAGGAATGCGGGCGACGGCCTCGCATGGGGTAGGCGGGATATGGACCCGTACCGAAAGTGCTACGCGCCCCCATGCGCCAGTAATGGTCCGCGCTTGTTCTCTCCGAGGCGTACTCCACCCAGCCCGACAATCCCACGAAGTTCGTGAAGGCCTGCTGCAGCCGTGCCCCTACGGCGGCGCGGTGGCAGCGTGGGTACACACCCCCGGGGGGACTGGCACACTGACTCATGTCGGTTGGACTCTGGACGTGCTGCTGGACCGAGGCATAAAGGCCCGTCGTCACCTGGGGTCGTTCAGAGACTCACGCAGCACGCTGTGCGCTTCCTGAACGATCCCCGCATTGTCTCACCGTACGACTGCTCACATTGTCTACCCTGTCTGCTGTGTGAGTCTCGCCTGCCGTACCATTTCGGTCGCTCCGGCATCCTCGCGGTGAGGGTGCTCGTAGGTCAGCGAAGAACTAATTTTCGGGTGCATTGTATGCCATGCGTCGGTCAAGGGAACTGCACGTCCGCGGTCCTGTGCGCGCAGCCTTCGCCGCCCACGCTGCAAGGCCTAGAGGACGCGTCAGTGCACGCCTGCGAGGACCTTGAGGCAGTGCTTCATGAAGCCAGCGCCAACGAGCGCTCCTGCGCCCTCGCTGTCGTCGTCGTCCTCGGAGCCGAGGATGAGGTCCCTGACGACCTCACGCCTCCGTGCCGCCATCTGGCGCACCCTGTGCGCGAACCGCCTCATCAGCCAGAACTTCGGGTGCATCGGCAAGCCAACTGCGGAGCACAAACGTGGCACAAGGCGTGCGCGTGTGACGCAGGTCATTCGGCGTCCATCCGCCGCAGCTCCGGCACCCAAGCGCGCAGCTTACCCTCCATGACCATGCCGCCGCCCCCCGTCACGCTCCCGGCGCTCTCGGCCAGCTGCACGCCCTGCCCGGTAGATGATTGGCCAACGTCCATGCACCTCGGCCCCATGCGCACGCCGCACGCCCGAACCATCGCCGTGAGCCTCTCCGCGCCGTCCCCGTCGTCGGGCAGGCCCATGCTCTCCAGCAGCGAGCCGGCCATGCCCGCGTTGCAGAAGCATCCGTCCATTGGTGTCTCTTCGCCCAGCATCACCGTTACTGCATCGACATGGCACTTGACGCGGTGTCGATGTCCCCACGGCATCGCAGGGCCCGCGAACTCGACGCTGGCCTCATGCGGGGCCGAGCGGCCGCGACCATCGCCAGTTGGTCACTCGCTGCGGGTGCAGTCACCTACGGGGCAGCAGGACTCCGAGCTGCCGCGCCTGCAGCTCTCGAGGTCGGCCATGACGTGGGCCGGCACGCTCTTGAACGTCACGGACTGCGCCACCGCCACGCACTCGTGCTTCGGCGCCCAGGGCATCGCCGCCGTCACACTGGCAACAGCCGCTAGCGCGGCGAGAACGAGCGCGAGCTTCTGCATGTTTCGATTCGCCGCGACGGGAGACGGAAAATTGTGCGGCGCCGCCGCCCGCGCTGCCCCATAGGGGGGCGCCATGTGTTGTGACACTGGCGCCAGGTCGGCCTTGCGCAGCGACGAGGTGGAGGGCTGGAAGGACCGGAAACCGCCGCAGCTTGGCTTGTTTCGGCGCCAGGGTGCGAGCTGCGGGCCTGGACGGCGCAGCCGTTCACAGCACCGGGCCGGGACTCGCGGCCATTGAAATTGAATTGAGAAATGGTGGTTCAGGACTTTCTGTTCGTTCCGGACACACCAGTGCTCGCGGCGGTCGCCGCGCCGCAGCCCGGGACGTGCGTCAGCTGGCGCCGCGCCGCCGGCACGCGCCGCAGCCGTCCCCGCGTGCGTCCCTGAGCTAATCAACCATCAGATACCGAATCCAGTCCAACACGAGACTCCAAACCATAAGGTGCGCACCACGCCGCTCCAGCGCCGCCAAACCGCGTCCAACGCCGTCGCCCCGCGCCCCCCGGCCCAATCCAGCCCGAAGCAGCATCTCGGCGCCGCCTGGACCTCACACCGTCGCCCTGGCAGACCAAACGAGCGCCCGCCCTGACCCGCCCTCCTCCCGGAGGAGGCTCCGAGGGCTCCAGGTCCCACCCCCGGGCCTTACGGCGCGCGCGGCGCGCCCCGCGGCCAGTCGCGCGAGGTCCGTGTCGGTCAGTTCGCCGGATCGCCGTCGCTATCGACCAAACGCAGCCGCGGCCCGCCACCGCCCCGCCTGGGCGCCCCTGCAGAGGCCGTGCCTCACACCCCGTTTGCCGAATGTCGGTTTAGGCTCCCGTATGTCCGCCGTGCTCATGACCGACATCACGCGAGTCAAGTCACCGATGCAGTCGCGCGCCCGGACTGCCGCGTGCCGCGTGGCCGTCGTCGCGAGGGCCTGCACTGCTGGCTCGCAAACCAGCCTGTTTTCCAGCGCCCCGGGGGCCGGCAAGCGCGGACCCGTCGGCGCCAAACCCGCCAGGACTTCCTGCGGGCTCAATCCCGAGAAGCCCGGGCCGTGCCGCGACTGCAGGTGACCGCCCCGTTGCCTCTTGCGAAGAGAACCCTGCCCGCCCGCGCCCGCGCGCCGCGTGCTTCGCCGTCGTCCGCCCGCGTGGACCTACCCTGCAGCTCGGCCGTGCCCCGGCCCGCGCCGCGCCCGCAGCACCCACGCACCCGCGCCCCGCAACGTCTCTGACTGCCCTGTGCAGGGACCCGTCGTGGGGCTACCCGGGATACGCGCCGCCCCGGAACCGAGGCCCCTCGCCAATCGCGTGTTCGATCCAGGTGCGCGCGAGCCCCGCCCCTCGATCCGCAACCCTCGCGCCGTGCCCTGCCTGCGGCCCGCCCTTGGCGGCGAAACCAGACTGCGTGTGGTCCACGGTGACGCGCAGAGCCACTCCGGGTCGGGCTCGGGGCTCTCCGCGGCGACGCACGACCTCGTACGCAACGCAAGGCTCGAGTGGCTCGAGTACGACATGCTCAAGCCCGGCCGGAGGGCTTTTCTGTCCTGGGACAAGAGCCCAGGTGCCGTGCTGCTGCCAGTGATGTTGCGCCCCGCGGCCCCTGCGCGCGCGAACGGCGCGCAGGGTGCGCGAAATGTTTGACGGGCATCACTGTCGCTTAGACCCGGTGCAGGGCCCCCGCAGTCGCCGCGCGGGCCCTGCACCGGGTCAGGCGACCCAGATGCCCGTCGAATGTTTCGCGGACCCTGCGCGCCGTTCGCGCGCGCAGACGCGCGCTTGGCCGCTGGCTTCCGAGCGGAGCGCGGACGAGGCGTCAAATCGCTGCGTGGCGCCCGCAGCGGACCGCGCTTGCAACCGGCGCTGTCCCTTCTCTGCCCCCGCCGCGCCCCCGCGACGCGACTTGCCCCCCCGCCCCGCGCCCGCGCAGAAAACATACTCATCATTAAGAAAATGGGCGACGAGCGCGCGCTGCGGGCCCTCCGGGACGTCGCGCGCTTCCTCCAAGACAAAGGTGACCCCTCCACGCCGCGCGCGCCCACAGCAAGCCGGCTCGCGCACCACCGCCGCGCCCCACGCCACCGCCGCCGCGCCACCGCCCCCGCTCCCCCACGCCAGCCCGCCACGCCCGCCCCCCAATGTTTCGCGCTTGCGTCGTGTCGCGTCGCCGCAGGGCGCAAGGTGTACGTGGAGGACGTCGTCCACGAGCGCGACTGCAAGGACCTGCTCCCGCTCGAGGACAACCTCGACAAGATCGACCTCGTCGTGACCCTCGGCGGCGACGGCACCGTGCTCTACCTCGCGTCGCTGTTCCGCCGCGACATGCCCATGCCGCCGACGCTGTCCTTCTCGATGGGCACGCTGGGCTTCCTCACGCCGTTCGACATGTCGCAGTACGAGCGCGCGCTCGAGCACGTGCTCGAGGCCACCACCGAGAAGCTGGGCCTGACCGACTCGCTCATGGGGTCCGAGGCCGACTACGGGGCCCGGGGGGAGTCTCAGATGTCGGGGGAGTCGGACGCGCAGTTCGGGCTCACGGATACGGTCGAGCTGAGCGACGACGAGGACAGCGGCGGGGAGGGCGAGCCGCGGAACAAGGCCGAGCGCGCCATGCGCCATCGGCGGCGGAGCTTCAAGAAGCTGCTGCAGGAGTGCAGCCACTACGGGAAGATGCCGTACTGGCGGCCGGCGCACGCGGGGTCCGCGGTGAACGCGACGGTCGACGGGCGGGTCGAGGGGGGTGTGCCGGTGCCGGCGCGCGTCGGCGGGGAGGGGTCTGGCGCGCCGCTGTCGGACACGGAGGACGCGTGGAGCGAGTTCGACGGCCGGAACGGCGCCGGACGCCGCGCGTACAACGGAAACGGGAACGGCGGCTCCCCGCGGATCGTTGCGGGACCGCACACGCCCGTCCCTGCCAGCGCGGAGGGTCCCACGGGGCTGCCGTGCACGCTGCGGTACCGCATGCGCTGCGAGACGGTGCTCTGCGGCGTCGTCCAGGACCTCCAGTTCGCGCTCAACGAGGCCGTGATCGAGCGCGGGAGCTCCCCCGCTGTCATCGGTGAGTCAGACCACGCTCACACCCCCCCAACCCCCATTCGACACGCATAGACGATTTCTCGCCCACAGCACTCCTTCGCAACGACCTGCACGCACGCTCGGCCGGCCACTGTTGCGTGAAACATCCCCCTTCTCGGACATGTTCCCGGCGCATGTCGCCGTTGCAACCGTGGTAGCGAGCTCAGCGTTCGTTCCGCGCGTCCGGCGTCCCGCAGACGTGGAGTGCTTCATCGACGGCGTGCACGTGACCAACATCCAGTCGGACGGGCTCATCATCGCCACGCCCTCGGGTTCGACGGCGTACTCGCGCTCGGCGGGGGGCCCGATGGTCGCTCCGTCCGTGGCGTGCACCGTCATCACGCCCGTGGCGCCCTTCTCGCTGTCGTTCCGTCCGATCGTCGTCCCCGACACGACGTGCATCGACATTCGCGTGCCGTGCGGGAGCCGCACCACGCCGCAGGTCACCTTCGACGGCCGGCCGGCCGCGAAGCTCGAGCAGGGGAGCTTCATCCGGTGCCACACGGCGATGTACCCGATGCCGGTGATCACGCCGGAGGAGCTGGACATGGATTGGTATGAAGGCATCACGCAGAAGCTCAGTTGGAACCAGACGATTCGACACACCCGGAAACTGACGATCGAGGAGGCCACGAGCCAGGAGTGTCGCATCGACGTCAACTACGAGCTGTAGGGCGTGAGCGGGCGAGGGTTGAGACCGGCATTGTGTATGTAAGGGGGGGTGTGTTGGTGGCGCGTGGGCGTGGTTTCGGGCGCCGGGGGGGGCCGCGGCGACGTGGAGGCGGCCGTGGACGTGTGACGTATCCCTTGTACGACCGAGCTGTTGTGCGTTTCGCGCCAGCACTCCTAGCACGTTGCCGCCTTGATCGGGACGACAGCACACCCGCATTTCGTTTCTTGCGGGTGGTCAATTTCTTCTTTTGCGTGCGCGGGATGCTTTGAGCGGTAGAGGTTGCCTTGCGCGAGAGAGACCCGCGGGTGCATGCAGCGTTAGATGCCGTCCCTGGACAGTCCCGCCGCCCTCTTCTTCCGGGTCAAAGCATGAACCTCCGTGGACACGTCCCTGTTGCTCGAACTTTGCTCCCAACGTTCGTGACGCGCAGACACGACGTATCGTTCGTTCATCGCAGTAGTCGGGCAACAATCAAGACACAACCTCTCCGCGTACAAACACATCAATGTATAATTACACGTGCACATCCTCCGCACAGTGCCGCACAGCCTCTGAGTACGCGTCACAACCGAGCTTCTCCAGCCCTCAAACACGCCCAGCCTCCACACCCGCCGTCACTCCCCCCCGCGCCTTCCGCCCATGCGCACCGGCCGGAACCCAAAATACCCAGACGGCGGCATGTCCTCATCCCTCTCTAGCCCCCCGACGTCCGCGGGCGGCACCGCGCTCGACCCGGACGACAGTCCCCCCGACGACGTCAGCGACCCCTGCTCTACCGTCTCGAACGCCGCGGCCACCGTTGGACCCCACGCGACATCCTCCGCGGAGCCCTCCTCCACCTGCACGTCCTGCCACGCGCGCGCGCCCCGCGTCCGCGACATCGACTCCTGCATGTCCCCGAGCCCGCTGCCGCTGCTGTCGGGCCCTGACTCAGGCCCGGCCTCGAAACTCCCCCCCGAGGGCCCGAACGGGCGCCGCGGCGCGAACGAGCGCGGGGCGTCGCTGCCGGGCCCGCGGCCGATCGACGAGGACTGCCTCCGCAGGCCGGGCGCGCCGGGCGCGCCGCCGCCGCCCTCCGCGTCGACACCGATCGCTTGCGTGATGTTTATCTCTGCGGGCTTTCTGCGCCGCATGCCGCCGGCCAGGAGCTCGAGTTCTTCGCGCACGGCGCGCTCGAAGGAGTCGCTGCCGGAGCTGGTGGTCGCGGTGACCGTCAGGCCGCTTCCGCTGCCGGGGGGGGTCATGTCGGACGCACCGGGGGCGTCGCTGCCGCGGCTGGCGTAGAACGCGGACGTCCCCGCCGGCGACGCCTCGCTCGGCGTGCCCTCGCGCGGGCGCCACAGCCGGTGCCGCGGCAGCCCCGCCGGGAGCCAGTCCGGGTCGCTGATGCGCCCCAGGTCGGGGCCAGGCGGCGGCGGCGGCGGTGCGGGCGGGTGCTCAGGCAGCTCGTCTTGCGCGGAATCCCGCAGCGCTCGGATGCTCGCTTGCACGCGGGCCTCGAACGGCGCGGGCTCGGGCGCCGCGGGCGCCGGCGCAGGCTCCTGAGGCGGCGGCGGCGGCGCCCGCGCTGTCTCTGCTTCTGTGTCGCGCTGCCGCTCCGTGGTGCGCTCCTCGACGACGAGGAATCGCTCGTAGGACGACCGGACGGGGCTCTGCGGGCTTGGCGGGGTCTCCGGCCCCCTCCGGCGCGGGGGCGGTGCGTCGGCGGATGACGCAGGCGAGGGCTCTGGTGATGCGTCGAGCGCGGTTTGGACGGCGCGGAGGCGCCGCTGGATGCCGTCGATGACGTCCTTGAGCGCGTCTGGTACGGCGCCGGGCGGGGCCGGGCCGAGAACGGGCGCGGGGCGCGGCGCGGCGGCCGGCGGGAGGGGGGTGTCGCGGGAAAGTCCCCCCCGGGGCATGCCAAGGACGAGGACCGGCGCGCGCGGCGCGGGCCCCTCTGGGACGTCGTCCGCGGGCGCGTGCGCGCGCGCAGGCGGCGGCGACCGCGCGGGCAGCGTCGCGTCGGCGGCGGCGGCGGCCGGGCCCGACGCGGGGAGGTGTGTTTCCGTTTGCTGCCCAAACTCCCCCCTGCCCGGCTCGTCGGCCATCCGCGCGAGCTCGCCCTCGACGAGCTTCACGAGCGCCTCCTCGAGGCCGTCCTCGCCCGGCCCCGCCTCGGGGGGGGAGTCCGACCCCATGCGAGACAACTCCCCCACCAGCGCCTGAGTGGCCAGACCCCGCAGGTTGTCGACGTCGCTCCGCGCGGGCGGCTCCCCCGGCGCGCGCGTCCCCGCGAGCACGCGCTCCAGCACCGCGTCCGTCAGCGCGTCCGTCAGGCTCTGCAGCGACGACCGCGACGATGGCGGCTGCGGCGACGGCAACGGCGATACCGCCCTGTCGTGCGCGGCCGGCGGCCGCTCGGGCGGAGCCGGCTGCTGCGGCTCCGGCGACGACATCTGCGTCTCCGCAGCCGGCCGCTCCGGCTCAGGCGGCGGCGCCGGCGGCGCCGGCGGCGCAGGCGGTGGCGCCGTTTGCTGCTGCGGCGCACGCGGCGGCGGCGGGGGCTGCTGCGGAGGCGCGATGTCGGCGGCGCGAGCCTGAACCTGCTGCAGGAGCGCCCCGAGCAGGTCGCGCATGGCGTCCGCGGACGGCGGCGGCGGCGTCGTTGTCGTTGGCACGTTGTCCGCAACGTGCGTTGCGCGGCTTCGCGTCAGGTTCGGCACCATCGGCCCCGACGGCACCCCGATCTGCTGCCCCGTCGTCTTCAGGAGCGCGGCGAGCGGCTGCGGCGGCTGCAGAGGGTCCCGCTGCGGCCGCTGCACGCGCGCCGTCGCCGCCACTGTGGTCCTGATCGGCTTGAGAGCGCGGGCGGGGGGCGGGTCCGTGGGGCGCTCGGGGCGCCGCCGCGAGTACTTGGGCTTGACGAAGCGCCCGACGCTCGGCAGCCACGTGCCCTTGCCCGCGCCGGTCTTCCACAGCGAGCGCTCGCCCGGGCGCGGCAGGAGGGCTTCGGCGCGGGAGCCGAACGCGATCGTGGGCTTGACTTTGCGCTTGGACGGCGCGTCGGGGTCCGCGGCGCGCTGGACGGCGCGCTGTGCGGCGCTCTCGCGCTTCGGCTGGAGCGGGGGGGGGACTGTTGGTTCTGCGGGGCGCGGAAACACCCCCCGCACCGACATTTTGACGGAGGGGCGCTTCGCGCGGGCGTCGTCCGCGGCGCCGGCGGTCGCAGGCCGCGGCGGCGCGGCGCTGCCGCCGCCCGGCGCGCGCGGGGTGGCGGTCGCCGGCCGTGCCAGCGCGTCCGTCGCAGTCGCGGCGCTCGGCGCCTTGCCAATCGTCTTTGCGAGTCTGCTTTGCACCGCGGGCCGCTCGACTGCCCCAGGCGGCGCCGCCGCCGCTGCAACTCCCGCGCCCGCCTTCGCACCACGCACAGGCACCGCGGCGCGCACCGCGCGCCCCGCCGCACCCCGCGCGACCGCCCCCTTCCCCCCACGCCCACCCGACATCGCCGACACCTCCCCCGCAACTGCAGCGATCCGTGCCTCCACCTCCCGCCGCACCTGCGACATGTACTGCGCGTCCTCGTCCCCCTCGACGTCCTCGGGCTCCTCCGCGGCACCCTGGTCCAATACTCCCCCCCCCGTCACCGCCGTGATCTCCTTGGACAGCTGCGACAGCACCTCGAGCTCGCTCCGGGCCATCCAGTAACGGAACTCGCCGCCCGTGGCGTCCGCGACGGCTTGGACTGCGCGGACGTGCGGCGCCTCGGGGTCCTCCGCGGCCTCCGGAAGCCAGCCGTGCCGGGCGGGCGGCGCCGCAGCTGTCAGGCCAGCCACTGCGCGCATCGTCCGGTCGACCGCGGTCGCGAGCGGCGCCGGAAGCGGCGCAGCTAAGCGCTCTGCGGTCCCAGCGGCGGCCTCCGCGGGCGCCGGGAGCACGGCGGCCGGTTCCGTGACGGGCGTTGGCGCCAGCGACACGCGACGGGAGGTGGTCGCGGACCGCAGCGACGCCTCCGGCTCCACGGACGCCCGCAGCGAGGCGGCGGCGCGTGAGCCACGCATCGACTCCGCCGCGGACGGCCCGTGCGAGGACCTCAGCGCTCCCCGGGGCGCGTGCCGCGACGTCGAAGCGCCGCGGCTGGGCGCGTGTGGTGGCGGGAGCGCCGCAGCCGCGGGCTCGGAGGGCTGGGACCTGACCGAGGAGGCTTTCGCGCGGTCGTTCGCGGCCCGTTCGGCGGCCGCGTCCCTCGCTGCGAGTACCTCCCTTGCGCTTGCTGTCGCTACTGTTTGCGTGGCCTCCGCGAGCGAGGACGCGAACTCGCGCAGCTGCGCCATCGCCTGCGCGAAGTCCTTCGCCGCTGCGGTGACAGCTGCGCCGGTGTCGGGCCCGGAACGCCCCGCGCCCGCTAGCTGCGGTGCCCTGCCAGTGTCGGTGTCGGTGTCGTCAGTTTGCGTGCCCTCTGCCACGTCGCCCGCGCCGTCCGGCTCCCTCGAGGCGTCGATGCCCGGCCCGGGACGCGACGGCTGCGGCAGCGGCGTGGGCTCGAGGGGAGCGGCGCTGGCGTCCTCGGCTGCAGGCCCGCGCTGCACGCGTGCACGCAGCTCCCCGCCTGTGACGACCACGACGGAATCGTCCTCGGCCTCGTCCGCGTCCGTGCCAGCCCTGCGTGGACGTGGAATCCTGACGCCTGAGCTGCGGGCGGCGGGAGTCGCGATGCGGGGCAGGGCACGGGCAGTGCTACAGAAGAAGTGATGGCACTGTGACGTTCGGAATGATGCGGTTGTTCGCTGTAGTGCCGGTGTTCGTGATGTCATGGCTAGCGTCGGCGGTGACATGATGCGGGCGCAGGGCGCGAGTCGTACCCGTCGCCGCGCGATTGCTGCTTTGCGTCATCTGGGGGCAGAAACGGCTTGAACTCGAACGCCTGGAGCTCCTCCTCCTTATCTGCGGCGCCGGGGCGGCGCCCCGTCGCCTGCGCGCCGGAACCACGGCCCGCAGCGGGCGCCTGGGCCCCGCCAGTGCTCCTCGCTGCCTCTCCCGCCCCGCCTGCCGCGCGTTGGTCGCTCTGCGCCAGCGCAGCGCGGATTCCGTCGACTGATGACGGCGGCAGCGCCGCGCCGGGCTGCATACGGAACAGCGCCGCGGCGTCAGGGCCCCGCTGCTCGACGTGCCCTCTGCTCCGGTCCTGGGCGTTCGGTGCGTCCCCGCGGACGCGCTCCAGGTCGTCGTCTGCGCCCTCCGTCCACGTCCCGAGCGAGGGCGTCCGCGTGTGCTTCGCCTGGACCCCGGGCTCGGACGCCCTGCGCCTCCCGCTCGCTGCACCCGCTGGGCCCCCGTCAGCGCCCTCCCGGCCGCGCTCGGGCTCCCCAGACAGCGACGCCTCGTAGCCCGAGACACCCTGCGCCCAAGCCGCGCCCTCAGCCTGCGCCTGCTCCTCGTCGCTGGAGCGCCTGGCCTCCACCAGCGACGCCGCCGCTGGATTCAAGCTTGCGAGCAGCCCGCCGAGGTATGCGCGCACTTCCCGCTGTTCGGCGCGGTACATCGACGAACGAGACGCAGAGCGCCGGCCAGGGCCCTTGCGCGGCACCGTCGCGCGCTCCACCGCCTTCTCCAGCAGCGCTTTCAACGCAACCGCGTCATCCTGCCCCGTGGCCGCCACCAGGAGCTCCTGCACCGCAGCGCGCACGGCGTCCTCCTCCACGGGGAGCTCGATCGAGACCGCCGTCGCAGCCGTCATCTCGGGCCCGACGCGCCCCTCCGCGCGACAGTTGCTGCTGCGAACCCAGGTTGAGCGTTTCGAGCGCGCACGCCGCGGGCCCGCGGAGCGTGCGGCTCCTCTGCGACGGGACGCCTCGGAGCAAGTCCGTCGCGGCTCCTCGCCGCGCTTCTGGCCGGTATCGGCTCCGCACGAGGCCCTCAGGGCGCGCAGGTGCTCAGCGGAGCACTGCTGTTGGTACTCCCCCCCGGCTGCCCGACGCGGGTTCCAGGCGCGCCCGACGGCGGCAGAAGCATGCCACGCCCGTGCGAGACTCCGGCGAGCGAAACCACAGCGCTCGCCGTCCCGGAACGACACCGCCAACCCTCACCCTGTTAACCCCCGTAACTGGCACACCCGCACAAGACACAAATGCGGGCGTGCTATCGTCCTGATCAGCACGGCATCACGCGCATCGCACAGCCTCGCAATCCCGCAACTCAGATCACAGAGTAGTAATTGACCACCCGCGCACGAAACGATCACCCTCCGCCTTACTACGACGTTGTTTTGTCATCACACGACGCGCACGAGGAGGGGGGGTCTCAACTAGCGCGCCGAACCGCGCGTCTCCTTCTCGCCAGCAGCAGCCCGAAGCCACCAAGCACGGCGCTCCTCAACGCCCCGCACACTCCCCCCCTCCAGCCGTTCAAACCGTTTCCCATCCCGCGCAACACAGTTCAACTCCCGCCCCGCCGCGTTTGCTGCGAGCTCACACGCCGCCACGCGGCGCAGCGCCCCCGGTCCCCCGCCGCGCCCCTCACGGCGCCTTGCGTTGGATGAGCCCCGACCCATGCTCTTCGTACTCCTGCTTCGACATCCACATCTGCTGGAACGAACCCAGGCTGGAGAGAATCGAGCCGCCGATCCACGTGGAGTAGATGCGTTCGACGTCGTTCGCGGGGCAGTGCACGCGGACCTGCGCGCGGGGGGGGGGGTGTGGCGGGGGGGGTCGTTGTAGCTCCGGGCGAGGCTGATTCCGGAGGGCGCGGCGATGCGTGTGTGACGTGGTGGAGGAGGGCGCGGCGTTGGCGGGAGGCGGTGTGCGGTGGAAAAAAAAAAAGGTTGCGTATGTGTGATTGTTGTCGTCGGGCGCGTACCTTGCTGGTGACCATGTTGACGGGGGCGGTCTCGGTGAGCTGCGTTTCGAGGCGGTCGCGCATGGACGTGAACAGCGATGTCCCGCCGCACACCGTGACGCTGCCCCACATGTCGCGCATGATGTCCACGTCGCAGCGGTCGATGCACTCCTTCACGGACGCCGCGAGGCCCTGCGCCGCGCGCCCGGGGCCCAGGAGCCGCGAGAGCTCGGCCTCCCCGCCCTCGACGCACTTGGCGAGGGAGGGGTCGAACAGCACCTCCGGAACCGCGAAACGCTGCCCGTCGATCTCGATGGTCTGGCCGTCGGGGAGCTCGTACTTGACGCTGCCGTGCGAGGCGAGCTCGTCCGCGGTGAACTTGCTCTCGGAGAGCTTGCAGACGGCCTCCTTGATGTCGCCGCACACACGCGCCGTGTGGTAGGCGTGGAAGCTCTGCGGGGGTGTTGGGGGTGTGTTTGGACAGGGGTGGGCGCGGGCGGAGTGCGGCGTGCGCGACGGGCGCGGAGGGCCAGTGCGGCGTGGCGCGTGCGGTTTTCGCGCATAGATAGGGCCGGAAAAACCGCTGGGAGTCGAGATTCAAGGTCTTCTTTCGTGTGGCATGGCATTTCGTTTCGCGGCGACCGCGCCTACAGGGCCGCGAAGACCTCGGCGGCGCGGAGCGCACGCGTCGACCCCCGCGCGGCACCCAACACCCCCCCCCTGACGCACCTTGGTGATGCCAGTAGTGTCGGCGTCCTCCACGGTCCAGTCCCCCGAGGCCCCCTGCTTCCGCGTGAAGGTGTACCGCGGCCGCACCTCGTTCCCCGTCGCGGACGTGACCACCTTGTGCGCCAGCTCGGACAGCAGCGCGCCCGCCACGGGGTTGCGCACGATGGTCTTCTGCAAAACATACCCGTCGTGCACGGCCGCGCAGACGGCGTGCTGGTGGCCGACGTCGACGACCAGCGCGGACGACTTCGCGGTCGCGAACATCGAGAGCGTGTGGTTCTTGGACAGGAACACCGCCGGCACTTGGAAAGTCTCAAACATGATTTCGACGAGCTTCTGTCTGGACGCAGCCGGCAGGTCCGACGGCTCCGCGATCATCACCGGCGCGTCCTTCGCGCCGACCGCGAGCCTGCACGCGCGCCGCACCGCACCCGCCGCGCTCAGCTCGCCTCCGCAGGCCCGCGCAGCACACAGCGCTGACGGTGCGCGACGACACGCGGGGGGGGGGTCGCGCACTTGTCGGCGAAGATGTGGCGGTAGATGGCCTCGAGGGCGTCCCAGTCCTCGATCGATCCGTCCGGGCCGAACGGCGTCCGCACGTCCATGGCGGGCCGCGCAAACATGGCACCGTTGTCGCCGGACAAGTACGTTTTGCCGCCCTTGGCGTGCCGCGTGACGCCGCCCGAGCGGGCCGCGGCGTTCTCGTCGGCCATCTCGACGTCGCCGTCGCCCTCGAGGACGCCGACGGCCTGCGCGCGGGGGGGGACGCGTGTGCCGGCGTGGTGGGGCGGCGCTGTGTGCTGGCGGGCGGGCGCGGTGTCGCGGGAGAGACCTTGTGGTGGTGTGAGCGCCAGACGGCGTCGGGGTCGAGTTGACGGTCGCGGGGAGGGCTGGCACGCGCGGTGGAGAGCGACGAGTGTGCGCGAGAGCGGGCGCACGAACGACGAAAAGCCTCTGTCTCTGTCAGTTCGGCGGCGTCTTAGAGCGGCATGATGTCAGCAAGGGTCGTTCAGGCGGGGCAGCCGGCGTTGCGGCACGGGCGGGCGCTCTTGTTGCGAGCAGGCAAGGCAGTCGTCGCCCCGGGCGCCTCCGCGCGTACTTTCCGTGCGCGTCGCGCGCGCGAGGACCAAAACAGATAGATGCATGCGTGGCGGGCGACGATCCTGCCGCACGCTGACGGCAGGCACCGTGCGGAGCCCCGAACTCACCCCTGGGAAAACAGCCTTCGGGACATCCTCTCCGGCATATCCTGCCTTCACGTTCCAGCTCCCGACATCTACGACGACGGCGTTGATCTCATCGCCGCCGAACGCGGCCATAGCGGCACAAACGGCGCCGCACAGGGGCCGTACTCAGCACACGAGCTCAAGGCGCCCCCCTCTGCCCTCAGCCAGCCTCTCCGCACACCGCTGCGCGACCGCGTCGCAACTGAGCCAAGCTACGCGCTCAGCCGCACGCCAGGCGCCGCACCGCGTCCCTGGCACCGCAACGGCCGTCTCTGGTGGTCCTCCCGCCTACAGGCACTGCACGCTGCCCGTCGGGAAGCACGATTCAACGGCGGCGTGGAAGGAATGTCCGGCCGCGGAGAGTGCGTGCAGGGCCTCGATCGCCGGGCTGACGTCAGCCTGGGCCGGGCAAGACCAAGGAGGGACGTATGCAGCTGTGGGCAGACTGGCAGCCGCGCTGTGGTCCTCAGCGGGGGTGTCACGGCCGAGCCCGGCGCCTGTGCGCGCGCAGATGCTCGAGACCGGCGTCCTGCGCGCTCGAATCGAGAGGAGCGAGCCGGGACGACGCGCAAGCGACTGCCGTAGTCGTTGGACGTGCAGCTTCTATCGTTGCTCTTGCGGTGAGCACCGGCGCATGGGGTCCTCCCGCGCGCCCGCGCGCGCATGTCCTGCATCGTAACTGCCAGAGAGGCCCACGAACGTCGGCTTTCCGGCGCTTCTGCGCCCGCAGCGCGCAGCTGCAGTGCTCGCATCCATCGTCCGGGACGTTGCGTGCTGTGTGCTGCACGCTGCGACGTTTCCTTCCGAGACGCGTGATGTATGCTTGAGCCGGTATGCGCCACGCAGGACCGTCGGTGCAGGGAGGGCGTCGCGATGTCGGGCGCCGGGGCCCAGGGTGGTGGCGCCGGGAACCAGCCACTGTTCAAGCTCGACTTGTCCGGCATGCGCAACTTCGTGAAGTTCAGGAAGACTTGGGACCTCTCGAAGGACTGGGACATCACCTTCGGACTCGACTACAACACGCGAACTCATCGCCGCATCCCAAGAGTTGAGGTGCAGTCAACAAATGCCAATTGCCGCCGCGTCGCGCGCCCACTGCCTCGCCCGCCCCGACGCCGCCGCCGCCCGGATGAACACCACTGACGCTACGTTCCGCGCTGCTCCTGGACGCGCCACGCCGCGCACATCGAGCGCAAACCCCGGGGTTGTCTCCTCCCCTCTTGCCCCGCTCACGGCCACACGGCGCAGCCATTCCGCAGGCTGCGGCCGCCACGGGCTAGAAACGTACGATTCTGACGCCCACGTTCCGCGCCGGCACCGCTCTGCAGCTGACGAAGACGCTGGGGGAGAAGAAAGATCTCAAGTTGCAGATTAATGAGTCCAGTGTCCTTCTGGCGCAGCGTATCTGCGTGGACAAGGGCAAGTTCGGGCTGAAGATGGACGCTGGGGCCGGCATCACGCGGCACGGCACCCCGCACGTGCTGGTCGACCTGCAGGAGGTGCGACCAGCATGGGCGGTGGCGGTGGCGGCCGCGTCGCTGGTGCTGCTGGGGAAGGAGCTGGGCGTGCAGCGGGAGAAGCAGGTGTTCAAGTCGGGCACGACGGACGCGGACGTGGCCGCGAGCTTGCAACGGAAGGGCTACGGGCTCACTCTGAACATCCGCGAGCTCAGCGCAATCATCAAACTATAACTCGTGTTGCACGCGAACCGGGAGACTGGGTCGGCCTCGACCGACGGCGCGCGAGCGCCCGACGCGGCGCGTCCCGGAGTGTGACCGACCGCGAACGCACGCGTGCGGCCGCCGTGCGTCGCGCGTCGCCGTTGCTCGCCGCAGGAGGCTCGGACGGTGGCCTAGGGGGGGTGTCTGTGTCGCCGCTGGCCGCGGCTGCGTTCGCACTGTCCGATGCAACGCGCAGGCGAGGCGGGAGGCGCGTGACGGGTCCGGACGGGCGTCAGTTATTTTTTTTACCTGTGGTGCGTCGATGCTGGTCACGGGGACTGCGCGCAGGGGCAAAGCGCACGGCCGACGCTAGGCGCACCGAATCGCGGGCGCGGCGCCCGAGGTGACGCTGCGTGTGCGCGGCGAGTGGTCGCCGCGCTGGCACAGCGGAGTCTCCCTGCCGCGCACACAATCACTGGAGTCTCCCTCCACCGTTGTCGTTGCGCCTGGCCGCCTCCTTTCCCCCCTTGTCAACGCGACCCTCAGGCACGGCATCCGTCAACATATCCTCGTCACATCGCTAGACCGCGGGCGGCGCAGTCCCTGCAGCGCCCAGCCAACTCCAACGTCGTGGCCGCGCGGTGCGTGCTGCATCCACGTTCGCCACCGGACAGCGCCGCACGTCTCCTAACCTCTGCACATCTCTTCAGCGCTGCACTCTTCTTCCGTTCCCCAACCCAGTTTCCGCCCACCGTCGCACCCACGCACCACCGCCGGCGCTCAAATCTTCGCTGTCGGCTGCATGAGCACCGTGTTCGACAGGTGCCCCGACGGCGTCTCGTCCATCGTCACGTGCCGCCCAACCACCGCCTGCTCTATCCAGTTCCGGTCGTCCGCGCCCGTCAGCGCCGGCCCGTCCTCGTCATGCGCTCTTTGCCCGGGCTTCTGCCCCGGCACCGCACTGCGCCCGCAGTTCGCTCCGACCGGCCGGTAGTCCCCCGGCGGCGGCCGCGCGGCCCTCTGCGGCACCGACCCCGGCTCCTGCGCGCGCCCGACGCCGAGGCGCAGGTTGTTCGCTGCTGACGCGTCCGCGCGGCCCTCCGAGGCCGCCTGCCGCATCCCCGCCTGCATATCGTCGAGCACCGACTTCACGAACTCCTTCGTCTGCCCGTACTGCAGCCCCGCCGTCGCGGCCAGCGTCGCCTGCTGCGGGCTCCACCCGCAGTGCCGCGCGAGGTCGTTGATGATCGTGGCCGCCATGTCGCTCGAACCGAGCCCGACGCGGGCCTTCTGGTAGATGTAGCCCCAAATGAGCGCCTCGATCCTGCTCGCGAGGTCGTCCACGGCCTTCCGGACGCTCTCGGGCGTGTTGTCGGTCGACGCCCTCATGCCTCGAATGCTCGCAATAGCCGCGGCGGCGGCGCCGCCGGCGCCGGAGACCGCGGGGCTGTCCTCGATGAGGTGCATCTGCCTGACCGCGACGCGCTCGATGCGCGCGGACAGGATGTCGGCCATGTGCGCCAGGAGCAGCACACTCTCAAACTCGCCCGTAGCGCCGTCGAGCTCGAGCCGCAGGAGGATGCGCGCGATCACCTCGGGGCCCCACGCGCCCGCGGACTTGTCGAGGCAGCCGAGGAGGACCTCGGCGAGGAACCGCGGCTCGACGGCCTCGGCGAATGCCGTGATGGCGACCACGACGGTGACGGCGCGCAGCCGTTCGGGGTCGCGCTCGGCGAAGTCGAAGAGCGCCTCGACCCAGCGGCCCGGCGAGAGCGCGGGGACGTTGGAGCGGATGAGCAGGCGGAGGAGCGAGTCGAGGCGGATGCGGTCGGCCTGGCACGCGGCCGACATGAGCGACGCCAGGCGCGCGGGACGGAAGTTCCCCGTGATGGACGACACGAGCGCGAGGTGGAGGTCCCGGCTGAGGGGGAGCTGGAGAGCCTCCTCGATCTGCTCGTTGCACGCCTGCGACGCGCGCACGGGGCCGCAACACAGCACATGAGTCAGGTTGCGCACTGCGGGTCGCGGCGGGGAGCTCGCGGCAGGTGGGACGCGGGCACGCGCGCGCGCACCTGCCACGTCAGCAGCTGCCAGTTGCCGACTTTCCGTTGGTGCCAGTGCAGCGCGAATGCCGCAATCACGGGCCGGCGCAGCCCCGGGTCGCCCGCGGCCGCCTTGCACGCGTGCTCGCACAGCTGCGCCTCCGCGTCCTCGCTGTACTCGAGCGCCTTGCACACCGTCGTGACCAGCTTGTCCGCGCGGCTGCCCGCCAGGTCGACGAGCTCCTCCAACATGACTCCAGTCTGACTGACCTCCCAGCGCGCCTTGCGCGCACAGTTGGCGAGCAGGATGCCCTCGGAGAGGTGGTACTCCGGCACGATGGCTGCGCGCGACGTGCGGTCCGTGGAGAACCCAAGCTGCGAGCGTTCGCAGGCGGAGACGGCAGACCACCACAGCGCGAGGAGCGCCATGAGCGTCGCGGGGCGCTGGAGGGACACGGCCCAGAAGACCTCTGCCACGGCGGCCTCGTCGCCGTCCCAGCACGCGAGGACGTCCGGGGCGACGAGCGCGGACACCACGCGCACGACGCGCCTCCCCTCCGGCTCCGTGAGCGGCACGCGCGCGGCCTCGGAGATGCTGGTGCGGACGTTGCGCTTCGGGCTCTCGGCTGCTTCGACCTGGCTGTCCTCGGGGATGGAGCCCGTCGCGACGGAGGCCTGGGAGCCCACGAGGCGTGGCGCGGCTGGGCTCGAGTTGCCGAGCGCGATGTCCAGGGCGCGCGACGACATCTTTCCGTTGACGGGGTCGAAGAGGGTGTTGTATATTCCCTGCTCCTCGCAGTTCGCCATCAAGCTCTCCATAATCACTACGTACTCGGCCACGTCCTGGGAGCACCGGGGTGGAGCCTGGCGGGTTCGGGCGTGGGTTGCGGGAACGAGGGCGTTCGCGCCGGGATCCTGGGGGAACGGGGCACGAGGGTCGAGGGAGCCGGCCGCGCAGGCGCGGACCGCGAGGGCGGGCCGCGCGTAGACGTGAAAAGTCCAGTGAGGCGCTGGCGGCGCGCGTCGAGGGCGAGGTGGCTCGCGAGCCACCGAGCACCGTCGTGCGTGAGATCTGAGAGGGGGGGCGGGGCGGGGGATGCGCTGCGGGGGCCGGCCGCGCCGCGAATGGCGACAGAATCCCCAAGTGTGTAACGCACCCGCGCCGTGAATCCCTTGAGGTCGCTCTCCAAGATCTCAATCTCAGGCTCGTCCTTGTCTTCCTCGTGCTGCGGAAATGCGCGGAACGCGGTCGGAGAGCGGTGACGCGCCCCGGCGTGGCCGCGCTCATGCCTGCATCGCTGACCCGCACCGCGCGGGCCGCGCGGGGCGTGACGGGCGCGTTGCTTCGCGCGCGTCGGGCGGTCACAGTTCGCGTACCTTCGAACCGAAGAGGAATTTCCGCGTCACGCTAATGGCCGTCTTGCTGATGCCTCGTTGCAGAGCGGGACGACGCGATTCCCCCGCCGACCGCCTCAGGCCGGCCGGGACGGGCATGCCACGAATTTTCAGACTCTTCGCGACCAGGCTCCTGATTCGCTCGGTCGACTGGTCCTCGGAAAACGCGTCGTCCGGCATCGTGGACACCCACTCGTACGTGGCCCGCACCGCGTCCACAAGCCCCTCCATCCCCTGCATCGCGACCTCCGCCGCCTGCTTCGCCATCGCGCTCGCCTCCTCAACCACGCGCAGACACCCCGCGGAAGCCCCGGTCACGCACTCACCACCCTGCCCCCTAGCACCCTTTCCTGCCCGCGCCGGCCCAGCGGCGCGGGGTCAGCGAAGGAAGCCCCTCGGGCGGCCTCTCCGCCTCGCTGCTGCGGCGTGAGGCAGCCGCCTGGCGCGGAGGCGCCCCGCTGCGTCCGTGCCGCTGCCGTTTGCCTACGCAGGCTCACTCGAGGCGCGCGCCGCAGCCGCACACGCGTCAACTGCGCCTCGGACGCTCACCAAACACTGCTCACTTTGCGCGCTCCCGCCGTGGAGCGCCGCCCTTCGCGGACCGACCTCACAGGCGGCCGGGGGGACTCCACACAGCTCATGACCTCACTGAGTCACACACATACGCGCGCGCGCGACGGCCGTCCGGCATGCCACGTGCCTCGCCGAACGTCGCGCCGCGCCTTCGCGCGCGCCCTCCCTCGCAAGCCCGTGGCCCATGCGACGCCAGCACTGCCTTCAAGGCCCCGCGGTGCACGGCGCGACTGGGACATGCGTCACACCTGGGACGCAGAGCACCGTGCCTGCGCACCCCGCGGCGCCCCGCAGCCGCGCACGCGCACACCAGCGCCCGCACCGGTGGAGGGCGGCGGCACGCGTGCGCGAGGCCCACCTCTCACAATCGGTCGGGGGAAGAATCAACTAAGAATCATTGAGTGATGCGCCAAGTGACGGCTATCTCAAGTGCGCCTTCTCCTGAACGCCCATGACGTCCTTGGCCAGCTCGTACGCCGCGAACCCGAGCGCCGACCCCGGCACCACCTTTAGACACTCGGGCAGGAACCCGCGATACAACGCCCGCAAGCCTGCGTCGCGCACGATGTTACGTGCGGCCGCCAGCGCGCCCGCGTCGCCGGAGCCGTCGCGCGCGGCCATCTGGACGCGGCGCCGCACGGTGTCGAGCGGGAACGTCAGGGCCGTCGACGCGAAACCGGACAGACCGCCGTGCGCTTGCGCCACGAGCGTGGGGGGGGAGTCCTGGCCGGGGCGTTGCCGCAGGTACTCCGCGCGAAGGGACTCGTACACTGCGAGGGACGAGCGGGCTGCGGAGTGAGAGCGCGCGGCCGCGACGACAAAACGTGCGGTGCGGTGCTGCGAGCGTGTGTGTGCGCGCCGGCTGTTCGCCCGCGCGGCGCAGGCGGTCGCGCGTCTCACCGGAGAAGGTGACCGTCAGCGACGGCCCGACTTGCACCATTGTTATACCTGCGCCTTGGTACAGTCCCCTGAGTCCCCCCGCCTCCCTTACGAGGCCGCGCAGCGTCGACGCGATGCCCTCGCCGCTGCGGCCCGACGACGCCGCCAGCCGCGTGCGCACCAGATCGAGCGGGTACGCCACGAGGCACGCGAGCATGCCGGACACGCACCCGACAGCGCCCCGGCGTGCCACGTCGGCTGCGCCGCCCGCGGTCGCGCCCGGGGCGGCGGGCGCGGCGCTGGAGACGTACCGGGCCTGCAGGGCGACCGCGACCTTGGTGGCCTCCTCGTATATGAAGAAGTTGACGGCGGAGTAGGGGAATCTGTGTATCACCGTGGCCAGGTTGCCGCGCCACAACGACCGCACGCCCTCGTCGCGGACGATCCGCCCCATCGCGCCCCACACGCCGAGACCCTCGAGGTCCCTCACGACCGCGGCCTGCGCGCGGAGCGGCACGAAAGCAGTACCATCCTGAGTCTGGGTGCGCGCAAACATGAAAACTCGACTGAAAAAACGTCCCGAAGATAGGCGCTCGGCGCGAGTCGCACGGCGAGGGCGCGCGCGTACCTTCCCCGCCGCGTGCGTCATGCCCTGGAGCTGGTACAGAATCGTCAGCCGCGCCAGCGGCGCCGTCGCGGTCTTGGAAACAGCGCCCGCGCAGCCCCCGGCCAGAAACAACCGCGCCGCGCTCGCCGCCCAGGACGTCTCCGAGCGCTGCGCCTCCCCGCCGTCCCACTGCGCGGCGCCGTCCCGCAGTTTCCCGGGCCCTCTGCGGCGTCTGTTGCAAATGTCCTCAGGCCCTGAAATCAGCGGCGCGTGGCTCTCGTCGAACCCGGCCTCCATCACCTGCCCCCGCAGGACGTCGATCCATTCAAACGGAGCGCCCTCGTCGTGTTTGTGACGCTCGGCGGGCATCCCGGCGCCCGGCGCCGCCCGCCCGGCACTGCCAGGCCCGCGCGGTGTGGCGCGGGGCCCGGAGTGCGCGTAGCCCGCCGAATCGGTGATCCTGCCGGGCTCAGACGCGGAGAGCACGAGGGCCGACCGTGGGCTGCGTCAGACGCGCGCGCGCGGGCGGAAGCGGCGCGGCGCCGGACGTGTACGTGGTGGCTGGCGGCGTGCGCAGGAGAGCGTTGCGCGGACTGGGCGCCAGGCGTGTGAGGACGACGCACGTGCGCGCCTAGCGCCGAGCTGGGCCGTCTTGGCGCGCGGACGGCGGCCGGGCCGGCCGCTGGGAGAGCTCGGCGGGCGGTACCTCACGGCCAGCACTCTGGAATCTAGGGAGGCGTGTTTTCCGGCTGATTCTGACGCGGACGTCGGCGTGTTACTCAGCGTTCGTGAGGAGTAAGGGGAGGAGAGTGCGCGGGACGCTGCGGGGCGCGCGTCCATGGCGTACCCGCGCCGGGGGCCGCAGCGTGTCTTCCGAAGGAGAGGCCTCCACTTCCACGCGTCGCCCGTGACGGAACGGGCGCGCTTTCCCCCGCCACGCCGCGGCCTCGCGGCACTCGGACGGCGCACGCTGCCTAGCTGTGCGACCGGGAGCGAGCTGCCTCCTGCGCCGCACTTGACGCGGTAACCAGAGGAAAGTGCTTGTGCCGGCTGCTGGTGCGCACAGGGCGCGTGGCCGACCAGCATCGCGCTCGCCCGCGCCGCTGGCGGCGTGAGTATCGGGTGAAGGCCCGGCGCGGACGTGAGTGGTGCTGCGATGGCGCAGGAGGACGTAGACGACCTCGCCATTGCGGCGCAGGCTGCAAAGGTGCGTGTGTGCTTAGGAAGACACAAACAGAGATCTTAGTGCATCAGCGGCCTTCTTTCGACCAAATTTCACCTCCTTCGCTGGGAAAATTCATTCTTCCGTGGTTATACTAAGAAGAATTGGCATATCCCTTTTGTTGGCGCTTCCCCTCTGGCTGCGTCCGACGAGCGGCGCGTCCGACGCGCTCCGTCCGCGCAGGAGATGATGGACGAGATCGAGGCCCGCAAGCGGGCGGCAGCAGCGAGCGCCCCGGCGCCCGTCACGGCCACGCAGCCGCAGCCAACTGACACCGCTGCGCCGGCCTCGCCCCCCGACGGCGACGCTCCCGCCCGGACGGACCCCGACGGCGCGCAGCATCCGGCCGACAGCGCAGCCAGGCACGTCCCGGTCTGAATCCACACTCCTCCTGCACGCCCCCTCGTCGCGATCACTTACCAGCAGAAAGTGAACAGGACTCGCTCTCTTTTGTATTTGTCGGCTCACCGCGCGCCGCGGACGCCGCACCGTCCTGCAGCGGCGAGCGCGAGTTCGAGACGGACAGCGACCCGATCTCTGACAGCGAGACGGAGTCGGACAGCGACGTGGAGGGCGCCGGCGGCGACGACGACGACGACGGCGGCCTGCCGGGCGTGCTGGGCGCGGTGCTGGGCGCGCTGGAGCCCGCGAGCGACGGCGAGGACGACGAGCCGCCCAGGACGAAGAACGAAGTCACAGGCAAGGTCACACCGCCCAGGCGGGGCCGCCACGGAGCACACAGCATCCAGCAGCTGCAGCCCTCATGCTGCAGCGCCGCGGCCGTCGCCGGCGCGCTCGTCGGGGCCCCGCGAGTGCGTGGTGGTTCGATGTTTCCTCGCACGCATACCTCGACATACGCGTAACTGCACAGGGCAGAAACAAGCACGAGAAACAGAACGGGATGATTATATATCATTTTTCGATTAGTTTTCATATGAGCAATTGAGGATGATGTATGTATGTGTCGCCTTCGGTGTCGCAGAGCTGCCGCCCGTGGACCCGGTGCCGCCGGACGCGGTCAAGGCCGACGACGCGCTCGTCCACATCGGCACGCTCACCGCCGTCGTCGAGGGCACCGCGGTCGTCCAGGCCGCGCAGGGCGCGCCGCCGCTGGGCGAGGGCTCCATCCTCGTCCTCTCCGACACACGCACTCCGCTCGGACGCGTCGAGGAGACCTTCGGCCCCGTCGCCGCGCCCCTCTACTCCCTCCGCCTTCCGCAGTCGGACGCAGCGCCGCCGCCGCACGGCGCCGCGGTGTCGACGGTGCAGCGGCTGGCAGAGTACCTCCTGCCCGCCGAGCTGTACTCCAAGGGGTACGACGCGTCAGGGCTGCACGACGAGGAGCTGCCGGCGACGCAGCAGGACTACTCGGACGACGAGGCGGAGGCGGAACAGAAGCGGAGGGCGCGCGCCGGGAAGAAGGGGGGGGTGTCGGGCGGGGGTGCTGGGAAGGGGCGGCCACGGGAGCCGCGGGGCGAGCGGCGCGGACCGGGGGTGTCGCCGGGGGTGTTGCCGGGGGTGCCTGCGGGCCCGCCGGCCTACGGGGCGCCGCCGCAGGGGTGGGGGGGTGGGCTGAACGTCCCGGGGGGGTTTTACGCGCGCCCGCCGATGCCGATGGGGCACGGGTACGGGATGCCGTTCCCGCCGTACGGAGCGCCGATGCCGCATGGGTTCGGAGGTGGACCGATGCCGCCGCGCGGCCCCCCGCCGCCCGGGCCGTGGGGCGCGTACCCGCCCCGCGGCGGCCCGGCGCCGCCTCCGGGGCCGCCTGGAGCGCCGCGGCCGCCGCCGGGGTGACGGGTGCGTGCTGAGGTGAGGTGAGGTGTCACATTCTTCGCGTCGTCAGCCATAAGGCTTTGGGACCTGAAAAGATCATTCGACTAGGTGGCGAGTCATGCTAACCCCCCACCGTTATGGTAGCAACAGGTTCGGCAGCTGTGACAGAGTCAGCCTGGAGCAAATCCTCGATGCCACGAGCAAAGATCGCCATGCCTCGCTGATTCGGCAGGTTCAGAAGATAACGCACTGCAGCGTTGGCAGCGGCTTCCTGTGAGCGGCGGGTCAGATAAGATCCTGCGTGTCGACTTCAGTCGTGTTTACAAGACTGCCAGCGGCTCAGAAGAGCTTGTTCTTGCTGGCCTCGGCCTCCCGCTGCTGGTACTGCGCCACGAGCTCCGCCCGCGTCATCCCGCTCCGGTTCCGCCGCGCCTTCGTCCGCACCGGCTCCGCCTCGATCTCACTGCCCCCCGTCGCCTCCTCCGACTCCCCCCCCGCCGACTCCGGCTCCGGCTCCTTCTTCGCCGCCGGCGCACGCGGCGCCGCCCGCCCAAAACCAAACAGCCCCGTCCCACGCGGCTTCGCACCCTCCTCCGCCTCCTCCGCGGCCTCAGGGGGGGTGTCCTCCGCCACGTCAGCCTCGCCGCCAGACGCAGGCGTGGCCTTGCGGGCCACGCCCTTGCCGATGACGAAGTCCCGCCCAAACAGCCCCGTGTCACGCTTCTTCGCAGCCGGGGCCGCCTCCTCGCCCGCCTCCTCGGCCTCAGCCTCCTCCTCCTGCTCCTCAACAACAGGTGCTGTCTTTTGCGACCCAAACCGGAAAAACCCGCTTCCCCGCGCCTTCGGCGCAGGCGCGGCGCTCTCCGCCTCCGCCTCCTCCTCCTCCGCCTCCGCCTCCTCCTCCTCCTCCTCAACTACAGGGGCCGTCTTCTGCGACCCGAACCCGAAGAAACCAGTGCCCTTCTTCTTCTGAGCGGGCGCGGCGCTGTCCTCCTCGTCGCCCGCGTCCTGCGCGGCAGCCTGCTGCCCCGGGAGCACCCGCGCCGCGCGGCGCATGCTGAGCGTGCCCGCGACCGGCACCGTGCCCTCCGGCGCAGGCTCGATCTCGTCAGTGTCCTCGTCCTCCGCCGCCATCTCCGCGGCCCGCGCCGCGGCCTGCACGACCGCGATCTGGTCCGCGAGGAGCTCCTCCTTCTTCCCGGGCTCCACGCCGACGGCGACGACCTCCATCGACGGCACCGGCGTCCCACCGAAGGCGAGCGCCGCCGCGACGGCCCTCGCGACCTGGCTGCGCGCGACGGCGGTGCGGGCGTCGTACGACCCCGGCGGCGCGATGCAGATGTCGGACTCGAAGAGGTACTCATCCTCGACGCGGTCCAGCACGCCGTGCCCGATCACGGAGAACGGAATGTCGTACTGCGCACACAGCGCCTCGAAGCGAGCCTTGGCGCCCCGCGCGCCGCCCGAGCTGAGCGCGCCGGCGAGGAGGCTGCGCGTGCCCGGCGAGCGGACGGGCCCGTCGATCGGTGCGACGAGGATCACGGCCCTGGCGCCCGCCTGTGCGGCGCCCGCGACAATCTGATCGGCGTAGCGGAACGAGATGTCGGACCGGCGGCCGCCGACGTCGTCGCCCGCGACGACGATGACGGTGGCGTTGCGCGGGACCTCGGCCGCGACGTCCTCGGGGTCGACGGGGTCAAGAACGGCGGCTTCGAAGTTCTTCGAAACAGAACTCTCGATGAGTCCGAACTTCCTGGCGACGTTGTAGGCGCGCTGGGCGCGCTCCGGGTCCGTGCACCCGCCCTTGACCTTGAAGCCGGCCCCCAGGAGCGTCACGGCCATCCGCGCGCCCAGCTGCGCAAAGGATTGGTCGCGCGCGGGCTCAGTGCGGGCGTCGGGCGCGAATCCGGGCACCGCACCGCCGCTCAAAGCGGCGCGATGCGGTGCCACGACATCGCAGAACACAGCGGGCCAGCGCAACGGGAGGCTGCTGCTCTCCCGGCCGCGCTCCGCGCCCCCGGTCATCAGCACTAGCTAGCGCCACAAAGACGGCGAATCCAGGCAGCACACTGCGCAAACAGCCTATTTCTCGATCTCGAACGCGACTCTCGAGGCACGGCTACGCGGAGAGGCGCGTACCAGGCCCTCAGGTTGCACGAGGAAAACGGTTCCTGATCCCTTGATCTCCTCTGGCCTGGTAGGTCCCTTCTGCGCCTTGGTGCCTGCAGCGGCCTGCGCGACGACCCGGACGCGCGGCGGGTCGAAGCTACGCCTGTGCGCCGCGCCGTTCTCGCGGACAGGGGCGCGGCGGGCCGCGGGGAGCGGGGCTGCAGTCGGCTTCCGCCCCCCGTTGACGCGCTGCGCGGCCGCGGGGCGCGCGCTCCGCACGCTCGCGAGGCCCTTCATGATCTCTCGAATTCGTGTGCCGCGCCTCGGCGCCGCGCGCCGCCCTTGCGGCCCGGCCCGCTCGCGCCGGCCCCGCATATCTCCAAGCGCCGACTGTCGGACCTGCTGGCACGAATCAAAAAGGGAGCCGTCCTCTGACCACCGAAACACGGGCCCAGCGCCCGGCGCAGGCGTCGCGGCGGCCACCGGCGCTCCGCCGCGGCACCGGCCGGCGCATGCCGAGCGCATTTGCCGCGCGGCGCAGATATGACGCGCCAGGGCGGCGTTGTGTCCATGCTGCGATGCCCGCAGCTGCGTGTTCGTGCGCTTGCGAGCAGCGGCCGGCGCCGCCCGCGCCCCGCGCCGGTCGTCCGCCGCCTCCGCGACCGCGTCTGCACACGGCGAGGGTTCCGGCGGCTGAACCAGACTGTGCGGTGTCCCAGACTGGAGGACTCCCTCGCTGTGTGTGTGCGCCACTGCCGTTGTGTGGGGGGGTGCTGCGGGGGGCGGAGGGCGGCGGCGCTGCCTCTGCGTGGCGCTCAGGGGCGGGGATGGACGCCGCGGGGCGCGGGCGGCGCGGTTGCGTGCGCGCGAGGGGGCTTCCGCGCTCTCATGATTAGACGAGCTGGGATGAGACCTTGGGGGGGCTCTGAGCCTCAGTGAGGGGGTTCGGGGTCTTGTTGGGGCTCAGGCCGGCGGGTGCGGCGCACGCAGGCGTTCGGCGCGGCGAGCTCGGTGTCTGAGGGTTGTTTTTTGCGGGTTTGGGCGGCAAGTGAGAGTCGGACCTGCGCGCACGGTGCTGAACAAGGGGTGGCAAGCGGGTGCGTGGAGGGAGCGGCTGGCGGGCTGTACGTGGGCGGTGGTGTTGGTTAGGAGGGCGGAGGGTGGAGATATGGCTTCTGAGGCTGGTATCGGCGTGGCGAACATCGTCTTGGTGCGCCCTGGACTGCTGGACGCGGAGAGAGAGCTGGGTGTGCTTGCATGGGCTCTGTGCGCACGCGCACCGTCCGCGATAGCCCGTGCGACGTTCCTGGAAGCTGTGTTGAAGCGGCATTCCGCTGACGGATGCAGCTGCATCGTTGGAGCGGTTTCTGGCATGAACGGGCCGGAAGTTGAGTGGCCTGTTGCGCGCCGCATTCCTCACGCTAGCTCGCGTTCGGCGATGCGTACGGGCACAAACAACGATCCTCAGCTCTCTGAGCGCGCGACAGCGATCGAAACACCCAGCTGCGCCCACACACCGCGACGCACGGCCGCCGGCCTCTCACACGGGGCCCACACGCCTCGAACGCAGCACCGCGGCGGTTCTCGATGCCCCGCCGCACTCACCTCCACAGGCACGCCTCCTGCTCTCACGTCCGCGCCCGCCGCGTGCCCTGCGCAGACGTTCGTCATCAATGTCCTCGTCCTGTTATGCATCAAACCTCTGTGGCCGCGCGGGATCGGCCTCCCGTGCTTCGTCACGGGCAGGCCGGACGGAACGCTCCGCACCTCGCCTCGGCACTTCCTCGCCTGGGACCAAATCGACCCAGCGGGCCTGACTCAGTCGTGGCTTCTACCAGAGTGGGGCCTCGTGGCGTTCCGGTGCTCCATGGTCCTGACGTGGCTCGGCACCATGGTCCTCCACGTACGCCCGCCGCGCGCGACCCGCGCATGGCCACGCAGTGGTGTTTGTTTCATCGCAATCGCTGTTTCTCAACTGTCTCTTCGCTTTTGTTTATATTTTATATTTCATGTCGCAACGAGCCTTTCGGAGCAAGCCCCCGACGGCGCAGCTTCTCTGCCGTGCGCCTGAGCCGCGAGGCGAGCTGCCGAGCGCCGCGCGGCTTCAGGACGCCGCAAGTCCCGAGCAACAACGAGAAGGAGAGCACGAAACTCCCCCCCCCGCTTTGGCGCGCAGGCAGTGACCGGGGGCGGGTTCACGTACGGCTACGCGGACCCGCCGGGGACGTGGATCATCTTCTTCACCAACATCACGTGGGTGGGGTTCTGCGTCGCGTTCTGTGCGGGGTTGTACAACCACCTAATGAAGGACCTCCAACCCCCCCCCCCGGGGCCCGCGGGCGAGAAAGTCTTCATCCAGCACGACGGCCCGACGATCGACGGCATCGAGACAGGGGTGCGCCTACCCGCACACTCCGTCCACGACGGCAGCGCACCTGCAGCACAACACCCCCCCCCGAACCCGCCCTGTGGTACGTGCACGCTGCGGCGATCGCGACGGACGTCCGCAGGCGCGAGACGCTTGCGCGCGCGGTGTCCCGCGGCTGCAGGCGGGCCCCGTGGACTTGCCACCCGCGGAGGACGCACAAGCATGTGCGCCGCCGCCGGTGTGGGCGTGGTACCAGAAGGCGTTCATACTGATCTGGGTGGTCATTCTGACGTCGTCGCTGATGCTGGACGTGTTCTACTGGGCCGTGATCTACGACGGCGGCGCAGAGTACTGGGAGGTCGCAGGCGCGGCGAAGGAGTTCACAAACGCGATGCGGCACGCCGTCAACACAGCGCTGCTGTGGATCGACCTCTTCCTGTCGAAAGTACCCATCGCGACGTACCACTACCAGGTGCGCGGGGCCTGCGTACGCCCGTCCGCGATCACTGCCGCTCTTGCCGCACGCCAGCGCGGACGGATCGATCGCTGTGCCGCGCGACTCGGCGGCGCCCGTGAGTCGTGGCCGATGCGTCGCTGCTTCGGCGTGCGTTGCAACGGCCTCACGTGGTTCGGTGTGCTTGCGTTGACGTTGCGGTGCAGCCTGTGCTGTGGTACACGACGGCGTACGCGGTGTGGATGTGGATATACTACGGCGCCTCGGGGGACTGGATCTACGAGTCTCTCGGCTGGGACAGGGCGTCGTCTCCGGCTTACGTCATCCTGCTTGTGGTGTTGCTGGCCATCAGTTTGTTCATTAATTTCGGCCTCGTGCTGCTCCGCGACAAGCTCAGCCACGCGTACCACACGCACCGCGGCACCCTCTGACCCGGCGTCACCCCAGACCAGTGACCGTGTGACGCGAGACCACGAAATCTCGACTCACACCGCAACGCTTCAACCATGCACCGCGCCCCGCCGCTACGTCATCTCGCCCTGCAGCTCCGCCTCCGTCTGCGCGATCGCCTGGCGCAGCTCGCCCGCGTCCGCGTCCGTGAACATCGACGCCGGGTACACGGCGGAGCCCCACTTTGGGTGCAGCGCAATCTTGCAGCACCCGGCGTTGGACACGCTGTACCCGAGGAGGCTCGACAGGCCCTGAACTTCAGGGTACACCGCGGCGTTCGTCTGGTCGATCATCGGGTAGCCCGAGCACGGGTCGATGTAGTCGGCCCAGTGACCGGCGGCGCGCAGCTTTGCGCACACGCCGGCCGCCCAGCGCGCGAAGCGCTCGAGGAGGCGGTCCTTCTCGCCGTCGGCCTCGGGCCCGAACTCCACGAGGTCGACGACCGCGTGCTGGCAGGTCGGGACCACGAGCACGTCTGCAGCTCGCACAGACACGGCGCCGTTGCGCTTGTCGTCGCGTAGCAGCAGGGGCGGATTCCACGTGCCGTGAAACGACGTTCATCGTGTTGGGGATGATGTTGCGGCGGACTGGCTCGGATCGCGCTGGAATTGAGTTCGTTGCGGCGTGGCAGCGGAGGGTTGAAGACGCGCGGCGCACCTGTGACGTCCCTGTCAGGGAACACGGCCTGGACCTCGTCGCGGTGGCGCTTGGGGAGGCGGTGGGCGGACCACTCCATGCCCCAGGGGTTGGTCGTCACGGGAATGACCGGCTGGTCCGTTGGCATCGCGATTTGTGTGTTGTGACAAGGTGTCCGGGACGCGAACGAAGACAGGTTTGTAGACGTGTTTCGCCGGGACTAGCTCGCAGTGGATTTATCCGAGCGGTGCGGCGCGTGTCGGCGTTCGCAGGGGGTTGTGCGGCGCAGTCACCGGCGTTGTGCTGCTGCTTTGAGCTCGGCGCGGAAACAGGCGGACAGAGCCTTGTACTCCGCTTCGCACGCTCCCTTCTTGATGTCTGGGAGCAGGGACTTGATGCACTGCCCGTAGGCCGCCGCCTGCGCGCAGGACCGCCGCGGGCGCAGCTTGCCTAGGACAACGCACGACCCTGGTCAGGGCGCTCGTGAAACGCCGTTATGCACAGGTAAACACGCCGTCGTTAGCTCATTGGCTTTTTATATCGTCTGACACCGGAATGAGGAGTCAAAAACCGAGGAATTGACGGCATTCAGAGAAAGTCTATCTGTACAGGAAGGCGCGCTGCTGCGCGTGATAGCGGCGCGCACCCACCTGTGCGGAGCACGTCTTGAGCGCAGACGAGAAGACGCGTAGGTACCGGTGACGGTCCCCCTTGCCGGCCATCAAACGCGCGCGCCACTCGACGATGCCAGTGGCACCAGATGCCTCGCGGCGCGGTGGAGGAGCCGTCCGCAGGGGAGTGCGCTGCGGCTTCGAAACAGCACGGCATGTGCCCGAGGCGCGTCGCGCGCGGCCAACGGCGTCCGTCCACACCCGAGCGCGGCACAGCTGGAGTTCTACTGCGGGCGCCACACACCGTGCTCGAGGGCGCTCGCGCCGCGTGTGGCGCGGCAGACCGTGCCTGAGCGGGCCTCGCCACTCTAGCTTGCGCTGCGTATCTACCTGCATACTCGAACGATGCTAGCTGCCTCTGCGGCGCCGTGCGCCGGCCTCCAGCACTGCGCTTCACCTAGGTGCGTCCATTCTGCCGCCCCCGACCCTCATCTGCCACGTTTGCAACACCACGCATGGATGTATGTCTTGAGTGTCCGTGTGCGCTGGAAAATGTACATTTCGCGCCGTGGAGCGGACGCTATCCCGTGGGGAAGCTGGTTGCATCCTGAATGCTCTTGCGGCTCTCCAGGCCTCGCGAGGCGCTGCAGACGCTCGCTGCGCCGCGTTCGGGTGTCTCTGCAGGTCAAAGTATAGCAGCGGCGTCCGTCCGCTCCCCCAGCGGCCTCACAGGCAAGTCCTGCGCCGCTCGCACGCCCGCGCATCCGGAGCACTCCTGGCCGCGACGGGGGCCCGTGCACGGACTGCCACGGCCGCCGTGGCGTCCGCCCGGATCCATACTACACAGGAGCATGCAGCGCGGGCGTCGCGCGGGCCTGACTCAGCCACAATGCGTGCGTTCGCGTGTTTTCAGTACCAGCACTCCGCCCCTCGTTTCCGCACGTGGCCGTCGTGCACGGCGGCAGCGACCAGCGCGTTCCCTCGCCCACTTTATCCGCCGCTCAGAACAGCAACCGCACGCCGCGGCAGGCCCCGCTCGACCCAGGACGCACATCTCCTCTCCGCTGCCGTCTCTCCCGCCCCGCAGTCGGCTCGTGGCGCGCGCCTCGAAGACCCCGCAGCGGCCGAACGACATCGACGAAGCGAAGGAGGTGACGGAGAAGTACGGGCTCGAGGCGGGGCTCTTTAAGGCCTTCACGAGCAAGCGGAAGGACGGCGGCGACGGCGCCGGGGCCGAGCAGGGGTCCGGGGGCGCCGCGACGGCGAAGGAGCTGCTCAAGCGCTACGGCGGGGCGTACCTCCTCACGTCCATCAGCCTCAGCATCATCAGCATCGTCACGTTCTACCTCGCCATCGACAACGGCGTGGATGTCGCGGCACTGCTGGCAAAGGTGGGCATCGAGGTGACGCAGGGGACGGAACGCGCGGGGACGTTCGCGCTGGCGTACGCCGCGCACAAGGCGGCGTCGCCGATCCGGTTCCCGCCGACGGTCGCGCTCACGCCGCTCGTCGCGAAGGCGCTGGGCAAGGACGTCGACGGCGACGCGGAGGGCGACGCGTGAGGCGGGCGCCGCGCGAGCCGGACCGCGCGGAAGTCGCACAACGGGACGGGCAAGCGCCGCGCGTGCGTGTGTGAGACGTTGGCCACGCTCTCACCGCCTGCTGTGGGTCTGACGGAACGCCATCACCGCCGTCGCCGCGCAACGCGCGTCCCGCGGCGACCCCGCGCCGGCACGCACGCTGCGCAAGCAGCGCGCTCCGCCGCACCGCGACACCCCCCACCGACCGTCAGCGCCACGCGCTCATCGTCACACGTGTACAATCCATCACCCCCCCCTCAGCGCATCGTGAACCGAATCTCCTTCTTCTGGCGGCGCTTCGCGGCCTTCGGCTTGATGTTCGCCTTGATCTTGACGCGGTACATCGTGCCCTGCTCGTCCGGCGGCGGCGGATACCCCCCCTTCAGGCACACGTCCACGTGCGTGTCAATCCACCCGCCCATCTCCATGTAGGCCAAATTGAGCTTGCTGGGGTCCTCGGGGCAGTTGAACGTGAACTTGATGATCCGCCGCGACCCCGGCATCACCGTGTCCCGCGTCGGCGACACCGACCACCCCACGCCGATCGCCGCCGCGTCCATGTCCATAACCACAAACTCCCCGGGGGCGCTCCCAGCGTGCGCCTGGAGGTTCCCGACCTCGAGCTGCGCCTCGCCGGACTCCCCGGGCGTCACGTCCTTGGGCAGCGTGAGCTGCAGGTTGATCGCGGGCCGCAACCCCTCGAATTTCGACAGTTGTTTATACTTGAAAGGGTCTTCCGCGACGACCTCGCGGTCGTGGCCGACGATGTACATGCCCTTCTCCCAGCAGCGGCCGTAGAGCATGACGGACACGTCGTCGTCGCGGTCCTGGTTGGGCACCTCTACGCGCAGCTTGTTCTCGAAATAGAGGTACTCGTGGTCGGGCAGGAAGTTGACTTCGACCTGCTGGCTGCCCGAGGCCTGGATGGTGCCCTCGGAGGGCTTGACGACGAAGACGGGGGACCCGCCGACGTTGGTGTGCGCGCCCTTGCCCAGCAGGAGCCGGTACTTCATAGGGAAATCCGAGGTGTTGGTGATTGTGAAATGCCGAGTGCTGGCCTCGCCCTTGAAGACGTCGCCGAGGTCGACGAAGTCCTTGTCGACCTCGAACGTCGGCGTCACGCCCTCCCCGATCAGCGCCACGCGCACGTGCGAGCGCTCCGTCGACAGGGTCAGCACCTCGCGATGCCGCCCGCGCTGCGTGGGCTTGTACGAGATGAGCAGGAAGCGGCCCATGCCGGCCTCGAGCGGGCGGAGCGCGTTCACCAGGCTGAACGTCTCCTCCGGCCCGAGCGGCGACGCGAGCAGGCTGGCCTCCGCAGTGCCCATGTTGAGCACCTGCATGCTCTTGACGACGCGCTCGCCGAGCGGGACCTGCCCGAAACGCATCTCGTGGTACCCGAGCTCGGCGTTGAAGGGCAGGGACTTGTCGACGAGCAGCTCGGGCTGCTTGCACGACACGTCCACCTGGAGGTGGATCGCGGGCGGGACCCCCCCGCGGCCCTTCTTCTTGTCAGACTTCCGCACGCGGGTATAAATGAAGCAGGGGATCGTGAACGACTGCCTGCGGTTCCACAGGTGACGGTCCGGGATCTTGGCCATGCTCTGGATGCGCACGGGCGCCTGCCGCGCCGCCAGCGCGTCGCCCTTGTCCGCGCCGTCGCCGCCGTCGCCGCCGCTGCCGTCGGCGGGCGCCTCGGCCGGCTTCTCGCCGTCGCCGTCCTGCGGGGCGTCGTCCTCCGCGGCCGCCGCCGGCTTGCCCTCCGCGGCCGCCTCGCCCCCCTCGAAGTGCTCCGCCAGGGGGGTGTATTCCACCTCGATGCGCATGGACTCCCCCGCCTTCAGCATCCCCACGTTCGGGCTCGCCTTGAGGTTCCACGCCGCCGGCATCGCCATCTGGTACCGCTGCGGCGTCCGCGACACGTTCCGCAGCAGCACCGACGCCCGCGTCCGCCGCCCGATCTCCGACGTCGCCAGCACGAGGTGGTTGCTGGAAAACTCGAGCGGGGGCACCTCGGCCTTCGCGCGGCACTCGATCGCGAACGTGCGGCCGAGGAGCGTCCGCATGTCCGTCGTGAACTCGTGCAGGCCCTGCAGCGTCGGGCGGAACGCCACCGTCACCTCCGCGCTGGCAAACGGGAGCAGCGTGCCGAAGCCGTTGCCCGGGGAGACGGTCACGCCGGGGCGCAGCCGGATGAAGCCGAACTTCTGCGGCAGCCGCGACAGGTTCGTCAGCTTCACGCGCAGCCCCGCGGACTCCCCAGTGTAGCACTGTCCAAAGTCCAGCACGGGGGGGTCTATTGCCACGTCCGACGTGGTGCACATGCCCTCGATCGTGAACGGCACCGGCAGCGGCTGCTGCGGCGCCGACAGCTTGAGCGGCAGCCGCAGCTGGCAGTCGGGGCCGTCCCCCATCGGCTCCGCCATGTCGGCGGCGACGAGGCGCTCCACCATGCCCACCTGGGGCCGCAGCTTGAGCGTGAAGTTGAAGGTCTCGCCCGCCTGGACGAACCCGACCGCGGGCGACACCTCCAGGATCCCGTTGAGCTCGTGCGGCCGCACCACGAGACACTTCATGGCGCTGTTTCCGCTGTTGCGAACGACCAGCTGCGCGGTGTACGCCTGGCCGTAGACCATGCAGCGGTAGTCGATGACCTCGTGGTCGACGCTCACGGGGTTCGGCCGCACCGACCCGTTCACGCGCAGGTCCAGAGACGGCACCTCCTGCTTCGGGAAGTCCGGCGAAACGAAGCGCAGGCGGAGCAGCGACGAGAAGTCCGAGACCTGCTCCGGCGCGTACGTGAACGTCACCGCGTGCCCGCCGTACGGCTTGATCGACCCCGACAGCACCGAACACGTCAGCCCCATGTCCGCGAGTCGCGCTTGGTTACGCGACATCTTTACGCTCAGCGTCGGCTCGATGCCGGCGCGGGACTTGCCGCCCGTCGAGCGCGCGAAGTCCAGCGCGCCCGAGGAGTTCCGCGCCGCGCGCGCGCTCCGCGCGCTGCGCGCGCTGCCGGCCTCGGAGGGTCGTTGACTGCGCGCGGCTTCGGGGTCGTCGTTGTCGTTGTCATTGTCGCCCGCGGCGTCGCCGTGCTCGGGCTTGTGGACCTCGAGGTGCGACTCCGCGACCTCGATGATGAAGTCCACCGGCAGCGCGCCCTTGTTCTTGATCACCACCTTCCTCGTCTCCGACGCGCCGAGCGCCAGCCCCGGGAACGACAGCGTGTCCGGCGACAGCAGCATCATCGCCTTCTTGCGCCGGCACCGCACGGGGATCTGGAACGGGCCCGTCTCGCCCAGCAGCGGGATGTGCGTGTCGATGTCCCGGTTCAGCAGCGGCTGGAATGTGATCTCCACCGAGCACGTCATGCCCGCGCTCATGTACCCGGGGGGCTTGTAGCGCAGGGAGAAGTACTGGTACACGTCGTTCGGCATGTCGAGGACCTTGAACGACGACTGCGCCCACGACACGTTCGTGAGCACCACGCGGCGCGAGTAGGTCTTGCCAACGTCGAAGTCCTCGAACACGACCTCGCGCGGGGACGGCAGGAACGCCGCGCCCTTGAACTCGCGCCCCATGACCACCTGCGGCTTCACGATCGCCGCGCGCTGCTTCTCGCGCAGCTCCTGCATGCGCTTGCGCTCCGCCTTGCTCAGCTTCTGCCCGCCGAGGCGGCCCGCGCTCGGGTCCTTGCCCTCCTCGCTCCACACCGCGGGGTACTCCGGCACCGCGTGCACGTCCGCGGACCCGTCCGAGTCCCCCGAGTCGTCCTTGAATTCGATGGTATAAAAGTCGTTGGGCGCGGGAGGGCGGTATTTCTGCGGGACGAGCTCGTTGACGATCGAGATCTGGCGGTACCGCGCCTGCATAGCGCGGATCTGCTCGAACGACGCGCGGCCGGTCCCGAACTTCCAGTCCCGGACCGTCATGGCGTCCGAGGGGTAGAACGGCGCGTGGCCAGTGGGGTTGAGCAGGGGGAGCCCGTCCTTGGTCTTGCGGATCATCCAGCGGCGCATGCGCTCGTCGACCGCGGCCACGCCCATCTCGCGGTTGTACTTCTCCTTGTACTCGCGCTCGCGCCGCGCGGCGTCCTGCGCACGCGCGGTGTGTGTGAGTGTGTGGGGGGGGGGGGTTTATGTGACGGTGGAGCTGCGCCACGTTGGCCACGCCCTCGCGCCCGAGCGGAGCGGACCGAGCACAACGGAGACGACGTAACGGATCGCGCCGCCTTCAAAGACACAGCAGCGCAGAGCGACAACCTCTTTCGTGCAAACAAAACAAAACGCGCGACGCGCGCGGGTGCTCACCGCTCGCTTCTTGAGCACGGTCTGCTCCTTGAGCAGCATCTCCGCGATCTTCATCTGCGCGTTCTCGAGCTTCCGCCGCTGCTGCCGCTGCCGCCGCTCCCGCCGCTGCTGGATCTTGCGTCGCCGAAACACCTCGTACGGGTTCTCCCCCGCGTCCTTCAAGCTCTCGAACTCCGCGTCCTCCTGCCGCTTCCGATCCAGCAGCCGCCGCTCCCGCGCCATGTGCCGCGACCGCACCTCCGCCTCCGCGGCGCGCAGCGACGTCTTGAGCTGCACCAGCGCCGCGGCCCGCGCGTCCAGCGCGCTCTGCTCGCGGCCCTTCACGCCGTCGAGCCGCTCGTTCAGCACCGCGGCCTTCTCGCGGATCCGCAGGATCGCGCGCAGCCGCCCGTCGCGCGCCGCCTGCACGACGCGCTTGCGCGCCGCCTCGGCCTCCCTCTCCGCCTCCCGCCGCAGCTCCGCGTTGTGGTCCCGCCGCGTCTGGTACAGCTCCGCGCCCTTCCGCTCCATCCGCGCGATGTTCCGCGTCACGTCCAGCATCGTCCCGCCCACCTCGCCCGCCCCCTGCGCCCCGCGCACCCGCCCCATCGTCACGCCCTCCAGCGCCCCGCCCTCCTCCGCGCCGAGCTCGATCACGCGCGCCAGCGCCGCCTCCATGCGCGACCGCTCCAGCACCGCCTCGTAGTGCTCCTCCTGCAGCTCCTGCACGCTCCGAATCTTCTCTTGCAGATCATCCAGCGCGGTCCCAATCTCATGGTTGATCCGATTCAGCCTGACCACGGGGATCACCGGCAGCCGCTCGCACTCCGCGGCCTTGTCCTGCATCGCCGCGATCCGCCCCTCGAGCGCCCGCACCGCGTCCGTGCCGTCGTCGAGCTTCTGCCGCAGGTCGGCAGCGCGCTCCTGCTGGATCTTGAGCGCCGCCATCGCGCGCCCGGCCTGCTCCTGCTCGAGCCGCGCGGCGAGCTGCGCGGCGCGCTCGGTGCGCGCGCGCGTCCGGGAGGACACCGGCCGGCGGACGGGCGCGGGCGACGCCGCCGTGTGGCGCGCTTCGAACGAGACGCCGTCGCTGCCGTCGCCGGACGCCTCCGCCTCGTCGTCGTCCGCGCGCTCGAACGCGTACTCGTCCTCCGCGTCCTCCTCGAGCGCCCAGAGGCTCTCTAGATACTCGAGCTTGCGGTTCGTGAGTGCCTCCATCTCGACTGCTTCCGCGTACTCCGCGTACGTGCGCATGTCGACCCCGACGCCGCCGTCCTCCGAGACGTCGAGCGCGACCCTGCGTGCGGAGGGCGCGGGGGCGGCACGCGCGTCGCGCTGGCGTGCGTGGGAGGCCGTAACTCGTACACGAACACATGCACGGAGCCCGAAGACGGCGTTTCTCGTGGCGTGTGGCGGGAGGAGGCCGTGGTGGGCTAAGACCAGTCATCTGGGGAACCGCGCGCGCCAGTGCGCGCCATCGCAGCGCGTGCAGGGCGGCACGGGAGCGCAGTGAGGCGCGCTGGGGCGTCCTGCCGGCGTCTCCGCGCACCTGTAGGTCGACGCAGGATCGAAATCGTCGTCCCCGGCCTCCTCCTCCCACTCATCTCCACCCTCGAACTCGCTCCCGTCCTCCCCCTGCGACCCCTCCTCCTCCTCGGCCCTGCACACCTCGCAGGGGAGCCCGCCAGCTCAGCCGCGCTGCGGGGCCTGGCCCGCCGGAACCCGGCCCGGCCGGGCGCTTGCGGGGCGGAAGGTGCGGCGCGGGGCGGCCTGGGGCGCCGCGCGTCCGTTGCGGGCCGTGGCGGCCCCGCGCGACTTGAACACAGCGGCACGACATGCGTCGGCGGATTCTCGAACGCTCGCGGCCGTTCCCGCGCTCTGTGTCCGCGGAGCGCCACGATCACGCAGTGAGCTCGACGGGCGCGCGGACGGAGCGGCTGCGGGTGCGCCCCCGGCGCCGAACGGAGGGTGCATGCTGCTTCATGGGTGCTCGGGCGGCTCGTGCGGCGCCGTGCGGGGCGAGGTCGGCGATTTCTAGCGCGAAAAACAATCTCGTATGCTTCTGCGTGGTGCGCGTTAGCGTGGGAGGCGAGTTTGCGGGCGTCGCACCACTCCTCAGCTCCTTCTGCATAGCTAGACTCTTCCGGTGCGCCTGGCTGCCAGCTGGGCTCGTGCGAGGGCTCAGCGGACGCGCCCGGCGTGCTGTCGACGTCCGCCATGTTGCCGGCCGGTCCAGCGGGTCCCCGCGGCGTCTACTTCATCTCAGGGCGAAGGAGAGCTGCTCTTCCTGCACGGGTGCTGCGCTTGCTCGCCGTAGCGCCTCCTGGCTCGTCGCGGACGCTCGCTCGGTGCTCGGCGGTGCCCGCGTGGGCGAGTTTCGCGCGCAGCGCCCGCGAGGCGGGGCCAAAAGCTCCGGAACGCCCGCGCAGAGGGTTGGACAGTCCACCGGAGTGTGTCCGTCTCGCCGTTTGCCTTGGACGTGTCCGGGGATGCATGGGCGTGCGGCCCGGCGCCTTCCGGCTAGACGTGTGCGGCCAGCGGGCGGCGAGATGGCGAGAATTTAGACAAACCATGGCAGCTGCGGGCGCTAAGATCGATGCCTGTGGGCTTGGGTGCGCGAGACGCCGCATTCCGGCTGATTTCAGGCTCCATCATGGTGGCTCCTCAAAGATATTGTCTATACGCATGAGACTGGGCACGAAACGACGGGAATTCGGGGCCACGTCCCGGCGCAGGCGGCAAGAGAAGCTCCAGGCTATTGACGGCCCCTGCGGCCCCGTGGAGGACGCGGTCACGCGCGTTCTGTTCACGGAGGAGCAGATTCAGTCCAGAGTTCAAGATCTCGGCAGGCGAGCCCCCGCACAAAGCCCTCAACACGCAACAACGGCCTGCATCCGCTCTCACGTCCACAGCCCCTCCGCGCCCGCACGCCACGAAATCGCACCCAATTCATGCATGCGAGCCATGCCTACATGAGAGGCCATTTATCCGGCTGGGAAACAATCACTCCCCCTGCCAGCCTCGTGCGCTGCAGGCAGTTGGCCCAGGAGTACGCCGGGCGAGCGCCGCTCGTGGTGTGCACGCTGACCGGCGCGTTCGTCTTCCACGCCGACCTCGTGCGCGCCATGCGGCCCTGCCCCGCCGGCACCGAAGTGGACTTCCTGCGCGCCTCCAGCTACGGCGCAGGCAAGCCCAATCCCCCTCATATTCATAAGATATACACGTGTTGACCACCTCGATTATTTATTCATAAGCAATCTGGCAGTTGCAACGGCCTCAACCACCCCGCAACCGACGCGCCAGCGAACCGCCCACCAGCACCTCCTCGTCCGCGCACGCCTGCTCGTCCGCAACACACCCCCCCCTCCCCCACGTCATCAACCAGTCATCAGTCAGTTGCAGCCCCAAGACCAAAACCCCCCCCTGCTGCCAGATCGACCCCACCCACTCCGTGCGACGCGCCGCCGCGCAGGTACGGAGACGTCCGGGAACGTGCTGGTGTCAGGCCCGATGCCGACAGCGGTGCGCGGGCGGCACGTCATCCTGGTGGAGGACATCGTTGACACGGGCATCACGGCCGCGCGGCTGGTGGCGCTGCTGAAGGACGAGCTCGGCGCGGCGTCCGTGGCGCTGTGCGCGCTGCTCGACAAGCCGTCGCGGCGCCAGATAGAGATAGCTGCTGACGTGGCGTTGTTTGTAGGGTTCGAGTGCCCGAATGAGTTCGTTGTTGGGTACGGCCTCGACTACGACGGCGCGTACCGGACGCTCGGGTGCGTCGGCGTGCTCGACCCGGCGGTGTACGGGGGGGAGTGATATTTGGTACGACGGGGTATGCGTGTGAGCGGGCGGCGTCGCGCGTGATGGCGGCGCGCGGCCGCGAGCTCGCGCGCACTTCGTCGCGCGTCTTCCGTAGGGGATTCCACGGGACTTTCCGAGCGCTCACGCGACCGACGTCGGGGCACACTTCGTATTGCTCTCTTGGCAACTGTCGCCGTTCGATCAGCCGGGATGCCGGCGCAATCGTGCTCGCTCGCGGCGACGAGCGCACCGGGCTATGTGTGTAGGCATCGCCGCGCGTGCGCGCTGGCCCGGACGAGCGTCCGCGTGTGCGCGGCGCGTGCGCCGCGTGCCACCGAGGCAGCACTGGGGCGCCGCGGCGCGTTCCTGGGAGCGCTCACCGCCGCGCTCGGGAGCGTCGTGGCGAGGGAGGCGCAGGCGGCCGCAGCGAAGATGGACCAGAAGACGCTGAAGGCGCTGCAGGTGAGGATGAGCACACAAGGCTGTTGGCTGGCCCGCACAGCCGGTCGCTGTGCGCCAGCCGCTTCGACCGCGGTGCTGCGAGTCGAGTGTCTGTTACCGCGAGAAGGCATCGCGTGGACGAACATGAGGAGAAAACGCGCGTGTTGTCGAGGGAGTCCCGGCATGGGCAATGCAGCTTGCTTGACCCCGCGTGGGTGGTCAATTACTACTCTGCGTGGTGCGCTGCAGGCCGCGTTCCAGGAGGCGTTCGACGCGGGCATGAACGGGGACCTCGACAGGGCGGACGCGGCGTGGGGCAAGTGCATCGACCTGGTGCCCACGAACAGCGCGTCCTGGTCCAACCGCGGCACGCTGCGGCTGCAGCGCGGGCAGTGGAACGAGGCCGCCGCGGACCTCGAGCAGGCGCTCAAGCTCGAGGAAGAGGTAGGCTCGCTGCGCACATTGCATTACATGGCCGTTCCAAGCCGCATGAATGCAGAAACAGGGCTACAGGGTGCGTTTCAGCACAGTAGACGCGGGTGCTGGTCAGCTGGGTGCAGCGACTTCTGGCAGCGCTGGGTCCCCGGGCTCATCCGCGCATGTGCCACTGGGAGCCGACTCAGAAGATCCGGCACCCGGGCTCGCTGCTTCGTCCGACCGGGTGCCTGATCTTTCGTGTCGGCTTCGACAGGCACTTGCGCGGATGAGCCCGGAGACCCAGCGCTGGCAGAAGTCGCTGCACAGAAGTCGCTGACTTCCTGCTCATCGGCGCGACGAAGCAGCTACGTGTACCGTACGTGCTAGTCTTGACGTAACGTAATGTTTCTTGGCCGCGTTTGCAGGCGAATGGGCCGGCAGGCGCGGATGCGCTGGTGCTAAACAACCTGGCGAACGCGCGGGGCGCGCAGGGCCGCTGGAGCGAGGCGAAGACGCTCTACGGCCGCGCGCAGGACGACCCTGACGTTGGCGAGATCGCGCGGGCCAACTACGCGCTCGCCGCGTTCCAGGCACGCCGCCCGCCCCCGCCGCAGCCGCACCGGCCTCCGCACGCGCAGCCACCCGCCAGCAACCGACCTGCGAGCACGATGACTCATGTTAAGTGTGAGGGTGTTTGTGTCGTCGCGTGCAGTGCGGGGAGGACGAGGAGGCGATCCGCGCGGTGCGCGCGGTGCTGCGCAAGGACCCGCGTTTCCTGGACGTGCGCTGCGCGCTCGTGGCCTTCCTGTGGGCCGCCGGGCGGGAGAGGGACGCCGAGGACGAGTGGCGGGCGCTGGAGGAGGAACAGAGCGGGCTGGGCGGCGAGCTGTACAACAAGAGCAACGTGTTCGACCGCGTCGCGCCGCGGTGGCCCCCGCGGCCCGCGGCGGCGATCGCGGCGTTCGTCAACGTGAGCCGGAAGGGCAGGGCGCGGGACTACGACGGGCAGGAGAAGGAGTACACGTTCTAGGGGGGGTGTTGCCGTTCTAGGGGGAGCGACGCACATGCGCAGGTGTGTTTGTTATGCGAGGTGGATGCGCGTTCGAGGGAAATGACGTGAATCGCTGCGCGGGAGGGAGGAGCGGTGTTGAGGGGAGGTTCTCGCCGGGCAGACACATTCGCGGTGGACCCTAGCAGCTTGAAGCTGGCGCAGAGGCGCCGGCGTCCAATGCTGAACCCCGGGCGTGATGATGATGTGCGCCGGGCACGAGGTAGGCGGGGGAGCGGGAGGGGGGGGGTAATATGTCGCGTCTGACTCTTGCATTGGCGCGATGCGAAGGCAGGCGACATCGCCCGGGCGTTCCACTTCCCCTGGCCACACCTCCCGGCTGACAGGTACCAGCTGCGGTGCGGGCCTTCGCTGGACGCGCTCGCCCGCGCACTCCGCCCCCTCGCTGCGTGTGTTGAGGTGACTTGCCCTCAAGCGAGGCCGCCGCAGGGACGCGAAGCGGGTTTCCGGGACGTTTCCCCGCAGCCACCGCCTCTGCTATATTTTTCCAAAGCGCACACGGCTTTTTCTGCGAGCCTTGAAGCCCGATTTCGCAGGAAAAGACGCACATAGGGATCTCCATCTGCTTTTTCCAGAGCGGCTGTTTCTGGAGCGCACACCGCCGCGTCTGTCCGCCGCGATGGACCGCAAGGCCCTCGAAGTCGTACGCACGGCGCGGGCGTCCGGCCAGGAGCGCTGGGTCGACCTCGCGACCGGGCCGCGGACTCGCGTCTTCCACTGGACGGCACGCAGGGGCGCCCGGGACGCGACGCGGCCTCCGCGCACGGTACTCATGGTCCACCCGCACGGCTACACCGCGCTGTCCTGGGCGTGGTGCGCGAAGACCCTCACGGAGGAGGGATACGACGTCGGTGCGCACCTGACACACACACCCAACATGCAGAAACGCCCTCCCCGGCGCGCGCGCTTTCTGAGCGCCGCGCGCTCGACGCGCGCGTGCAGCTCAGACGGTCTGCCGCGTGGGCATTGTGCTTAGAAGCGCGTCCGCCGTCGGCGTCCTCGCAGTGGCGTATGATCTGCGCGGGCATGGCGGAACCTCGATGGCGTCCGGTACGCCGGTTTCCGCGACGGTCGACGACCTGGTGCGCGACGCGCACGCTCTGGTCGTCGAGCTCGACCTCTACAAGCGCCCGCTGGGGCTCGTCGGGGTCGGCCTGGGCGCTGTCATTGCACTGCTGTTCGCGGCAAGGCATCCTGACATCGTCGCAGCCCTGTGGACGTCAGGTGCGGGCCCGCACGAGGGCGCATAGGCCGTACCGCAGGCTCGCGAGTGCCTGCGCCTGCACCAGCAGGCACAGCATGAAAATAAACCCGACTAATATTTAAAAGACGCGTTTTGGTTGCACCGGCCGCAGGTCTACCGCAGCTGCGCCTCGGCCCCTCCGCGGCCGCGAACCCGATCGCGTACAACCTCAGCTTCCTGCCGGACGCGAAGCACGCCCGCCTGGTCCCGGGCCCCGCGGCAATCGAGGAAACAGTATCTGCGATCGCCGCCGCCAACTCCTTCGCGGCCGAGCCGCCGCCGGGGCCCGAGGGCCGCGCGCGCCACGCCGCGGCGGTGCTCCAGGAGGACGAGGTGGCGTCCGCGCGGCTGCACGTGCCCCGCGGGCAGTACAGGACCACTCTGGACCGGTCTTTCGTCTGTCCGGGCCCGACGCAGGAGCAAGTGCTGTCAGCGCTGAGTCAGGTCGAGGTGCCGGCGACCGTGGTGTTTCCCGACACGCCCTGCGCGAGAGAGTCACGTGAGTCTTGCGTCTCCCTACGCAGCATGCCCGCTGTGCTGCTGATGCGCGTCACTTTATAGATATGAAAAGATAGATATGAAAACTACATTGATAGATATGAAAAGATAGATGAATACTACATTGAGATGGACTCGCAGTCTGACGGCTTGGTGGCTGTTGTTACTCCACCGCAGGCGAGGAGCTGACGGCGGAGGTGCTGGGGCGGAGGGTGGCGGGGGCGGGGTCTCCGCCGCTGCGCCTGGCGACGCTGCTGGGAGTGCAGCGCATCTCACCAACAGGCGCGTCGGCGTGGTTCCGCACGGCGCCGGCCGTGCCGGGTACTGTGCAGAGGAGCCGACTTGCTTGCCGGCTTGTCGGAGCATGCGCCGCGCGTCTCACCGCACCGCAATGCACGTCGGACGGACTCAAATTACATTTTACACCCCTCTCTCTCGCAGACGACCCGGACGACGTCGCCGAGGACGTCGCCGCGTGGCTCGACGCCCACCGCGAGCGCTTCGACGACCCGCGGGGCCCCGCCGGCCGCACGCCGGAGCACCTCGGGCTTCTGCCGCTGCCGACGTTCCGGTGTCCCGAGGAGGCGCGGCGGTACCTCGGGCCGCGGCGCGTGCCGGACGCGGCGGCGATCGAAGCGGCGCTGCGGCAGCTGCGCGCGGACGACGAGGCGCCGAGCACGCCGTCGTCGGAGGCCAGCGGCGACGGAGCGCGCACGGCGCTGTGCGCGGACCCGCCCACGTACTACGGACGCGTCGGGTGAGCAGCGAGAGTGAGCTGCAGAGGCCAGCGAGGATGACAGTTGACTGCGCTGGTGGCCAGGAACGAGGTGCAGATTCGAATTGTGACATTTGGAATTCAATGTGTGGGCTCCCTCTTCTTCCCACGCAGGGATCCCAGCCGCCCCTGCACATCGCCCTGCAACCCTTCGCGCCAGGGACCACGCTCGTCTTCCAAATGCTTGTTGAAGTACGGCGCCACGTGCAGCGTGTGGCGCGCCATCTCGCCCGCAAACGCGCTGTTGTGTCCCTTGACGCGGTTGTGAGCCAGCTCGTGGAGGACGGTCAGGAACCACTCGCGAACCTGCGTGAGGCGCGGGGCACAAGGTATGTCAGCGACTGCGTGCGGGACAGTCGAGTGCTGTGCAAGCGAGCGACGCATCCAGCATCGAACGCCCTGCTGCTCGCAAGCGCTCAAACAGTGAAGCCGGCGAGACAGATCTGAAGCTGCGCAGTGGTCAGCGGTGACGATTTCGATGCGGCGAGAAACGCCCACTCGGTTCCCAGTTTGAAGTACGCGATTCGCATGTCAGGAAAAGAAAAGGGAGGGGCACGTTTCAAGCGGGGAATTTTGGGTGGCATTCGGACGCACCTCGTCATCCGGTGTCTGACCTCTCCTGCCGAAGAAGTCGGCGTTGAACCACAGCCCGCCGCCCCGGTTGAAAGCCATATTCGACGACGCCGGATCGTAGAAAATGTTGTATCTGAGGACCGCCGCGTCAACCGCGTATGCTTCGCGACAAACCTCACTGAGCAGCCAGTAGACGACGTTGCTGAGGCCCTGAGACCGCGTTCGCACCTCGTTCTCGTCGGGTTTGGCCTGCACAGTCGCTTCGTTAGTCCAGATGCCAACCGGAAACGACTCGCCCGCACTGACCTCCTTGCCGCCAGTGAAGGGAGGATCGAGGCAAATGCCAAGCAAGTCGTAAGTAAGGTCGATGCCGCTGCAGCAGCTGACTGTTTCTTCGACACGCGTGAGCCCACCTGGGGCATGAATTTGCCCGTCAGGTGGGCTCACGCTCTCCATCGAGGCGACGAACCCTCTTCTGACATCCTCGTGCCACCCAACCGGCTCCCCTGCGCCGTCCTCGACCCCGCGGAAGTCGGTTTCGCCACGACGGGGCTCCGCCTCCGTGTGCTCGACGACCGCACCGTCGCGGCTCGAACCCGTCTGACCCGCTGCGCTGCCTCCCGCCGAGCCGTGCCGGTCGCCTGACTCCGTCTGTGGGCTCTCGACAGCCGACCTCTGGCCCTTCTGGGGGCTGTCGCCTGTGGCTTGTGTCTGTTCCCCGTTGTTTGTTGCAGCACTCTGCGTGCGCCGCGCGTCCGCGTTCGTCTGCGCCAACGGCTTCGTGCGCTTCAATTCGTCGGGCATGTAACCGGTTGGCACGTGGCGCAAGATGCAAGCTGTTGCACGACGGCGAATCTTGTCCCTCTCCCGTTCATCTCTCGACGACTGTTTGATGAGTTCTTCGAAAATCAGATTCCTCAGGCAGCCGCACGCACCAAGCTGAGTGTTCTGGCACGGCGTCTGCACCACACACGGTAGATTCGGAGACGTCGGGAACAGGGCCTGTGTGTGCGCAGACGGTGACAGCGTCGTTCGTCGTGAAGGGCGCCCACGTCCCCGGCTCGAGACGCCAGCGGCCCAACATGCCGACGTACAAAACTCAGCACGTGCAACGGGCTGCGTACCTGCCAATCCTCCTCGAGCTTCTCGTGGCACGCGTCCAAGTTGAACACATACATTTTGTCAATCACGACCAGGTTCTCCTCGTCAGGTCTCTTTCTGCGCAGAAAGACGAGGACTCTGCCGTGCCGCCCCTCGTCGCCTCTGAGGTTGAGGAACTTGATCTCCTCACGCTTCACCAAGCCGTGGAACAGCTTCTCCATATCAGCGCGCAAGGCGTCCAGGTACTCCTTGACTTTTTCCCACCATTGCTGCGCCTCCGCGAAATGGTCCTCCTCCTGCAGCGCGATGTGTGGAGGGTTCGAGTGATGCTCGTGTCCAGGATCGCAGGCTCGGGCGAGATGATGTGTTAGTGCATGACAAACGCGACGGCGCAACCGCCAGACGCCGTGCAGTGCAGTCGTTGTCGCGATGGTGCTGCAAGAGGAGCGATTGCTGCTGTCCGTGCAGGCACCGAACGCACCCGCATGTCCTTCAAGACTGCTCTGAATTCTGCCCAGTATTCATCCAAAGGCTTTAGCAGGCCCTTTTGACCATGCCACTTTTCATAGAGCTTGTTGCCGACCTCCGCAGGCTGCTTCCAAAGCAGCTCCACCTCGCTCCGCGTCTCTTTGTCGGAGGCCGTCACGGGAATGACGTCGTTGTTCCTGTGTGTCCATCGCAGCGCTTGAAGCAGACCCCTCCACAGCTCCAGGAACGCAGAAGGTCGAGTCCACGCCCAGGCGTTATAGCCCAGGAGATCACCGTTGCTTTCCGCATCACTGTTGAGGGCGTCGAAGAGAAAAATGTACAGCACTTTGACTGCGCCATCGCGCTGGGTGGCATCAACCTCGTCGAAGTGGGCCATGAGGTCGTCCTGTGTTCCCCGCCAGCGGGCGAGATCGGCGAAGGCGGCGATCAACTTGTCAACATCTACATCCGATCTGCGGCGCACCGGGTGCAACGTGGCGCAATTGTTGCGCGGTCGTCAGACCCCTAGGCCTACGGTGGGGATCGCCCGCATGTCCGCCGCGAGCCGCCAGCGAGGCGCGAGCTGTCGTGATGCGAGTCTGGACTCAACGGCGGGCTGCCACCGAGTCAGGGTCACGCGTCGCTGTGTAGCCATCCCAGCAGAACAATGCGGCATGGCAGCGCGTGATGCATGATGCCGCACCCTACCTGTCACGTTTCACGCCAATTTCTGTGAGATGGTGGGACGGTCCAGTGAAATCGATGCCGAAGCTCAGGCGAGCATTGGTCTTCAGTAGAATCCCGTGCGCATAAATCTTTCCGCGAGACTGCGTCCCAATGAGTACATCTACTGAGAACTCTTCCGACTGTCCGTCGAATTCCACCTGGCCTGATAGGCTGATCTTCTGCAGCGGCAGCGACAAGTCATCTCTCGTTACGGCACCACTGGTGAAATGAGAATCAAGTTGCACGATGAGGCTGGGGTGGTGCTTGCCTGAGGCGCGTCGGGGCCCAAGACGAGTTCGAATCGCTTTGTCTCGGGATCGCGGCGCATCGAGGCCGGCGGCAACGGCGCTTCCAGGAACAAGTACGGCCCACCGAGCACATCCTGCGTTGACTGGACCGCGACGACGACGTGCTCGACTCCCTTCGCCTGTCGAACGGAGACTGCATGAAGCGTCGCGCTCTTTGCGGCGCACGGCTGCATCGTCTTGGGGTCCAAGTGAGCGAACCGCCACTCTGCGTTGCGTGTTTTGATCCCGACGTCCGCGCCGGCCGTCGTCATCACGTTGATGGAGACCTTCAGGCCCTCACCAAAGTACCCCGCCGAATAGCTGTTTTCCTTCCCGCTGGAGTTCCCAATCACGAGGTCGTCGAAAGATATGTGCGTTCGAAGATTGATGAGTTCCAACACACGCTTCCCCCTGCAGACGGCCTGGACCATCACGCCGAGCAGCACGTGGCGTCCACCACTCATCGGACAGGCCAGCACCTCCAGGGTGTCGATCCCACTCCCCCCCAGCTGCCGTTGAATAGCTTCAAAGTATCCAGAGTTCTCCGGGCACTTGCGCTGCCCGCGCGTCCTCCCCGGATCGCTGCATCCCGGCTGCACCGTCGCCAGCGACCGAGCCTCGTCGATCCAGTTCTGCACGAACTCGCGCGCCGAAGGGTCGTACTTCGGCGGGTACCCCCGCGCAGTGTTGATATCCTTGACTGTCTTCGCGGGACCTTGCGCCTCCCCCGGGCCCTTCGGCGACGGCCGATCGGGCCATGCGACGACCCCGCCGCGTGGAAAGCCCGGCGGCGTCTCGCCGAGCACGAGCCAGCTGACGACGATGTCGTTCACGAGCCTGTTTTGGTCGGGCGAGAGAAAGACGCTCGGGAGGTGCATGTCTGTGCGCACCGCAGACTCCGTCATCGTACCTGCGTTGCACGCGGCGGGCAGGAGAAATCGGAAACCGGCGCGGTGTGCCGTTCAGGGCGCTGGAGGGAGCACAGCGTTGTGTCGTGTCGCACATCCGGCGTGGAGAGATTCGCCGTGAACCGCTTCCCCAGCGCACGAAGGCGAAGTGAGGGGCACGCACATGTGGAAAGCATGCATTTGCTCGCTCCGCAACCGGGCACTCCGGCCACATTCCACTGCCACAGGGTGCGCACCAGTGCTCAGCAGCGCCGGCGAGGCCGCTCTCGATCTTCCCGCGAATCCAACTGAGTGTCCCGGAGGAGATGGCCGCTGGCTTCAATCGTCCCGCCGAGCCTCGTACCACGCGTCCGCGCACGCCAGAGCCTGTGGTATCCCAGGCCGCGGCCCCGCCGATTGAGCGCGCGCCGGGGCGATCGCGAGGCAAAGCAGCGCCTGCAAAGATCAGATCGTCCAGCATGTAGCAGAGATCAGCGTCTGTGATCGGTGCACGGCCGGATCGCGCGGCCGCAAACTTGCGGTACCTCGCGTGTGGCTCACCTCGTCTGCAGGCGCTATAGAGGGACACTTTCGACGCAGAATGTGACTGTAGCCAAGCTGTCTCGCTGATATCTCCGTGTTGGTCGCCAAAATACCCGTCTCGATCCCGCTGCGCCGCGCTGACCGGAGATGTCCCCCCTGTGGCTGGCAGGCCCCGGGGGGGGAACAAGCACGCGGGCGCTAGTGCGCGGGAAAGCGGAGGCGAACGACCGCCGACGCGCTCGCCTTCGAAGCACTGCTTCTACGCTCCAGACGGCCAAAGCCTGTCGGCGCGTTGAGCCCCTGCAGGAGTGGCGACATGCAACCTGCCTCGTGCTTGCTTCGCAGATAACGGCGCACGAGACCGCGCGGGGTACCGAGCAGCCTGCTCACCCCTGGAGCACCCGCCGCCGCTGTGCGCGCCGGTGCGGCTCGAGTCACGCGCCGAACGCTCGCCAATATGACCTGCGACTACGTGGGCGCCAGGGGAGGGGCGCGGCGGGGTGTGCGAGACCTACAGTCCCGTGCGACGCGCTTCCTCCCTGCTGCGCAGCTGCGACCGTCGCGGAGCGCAGTCCTGGAGCTCCGCGCACCGGGCCAGAGACGTCGCGGGAAGCAACGTAGCGTCACAGGCGCATGGGGCGCCGTGGCACGGACCGGCGCGCGCGTCAGTCGTCCGCAGTGGCCTCCTCTCCGCCCGAGCTGTCCGAGGTGTCGCCCGAGGTCGTTGCCTCGACGTAGTGCGCCCGGCAGACCGGCATGTAGGACTCCCCCCCCCCGACCTGCTCGACGCCGTCGCCGCCGGCGACGCGCAGCGAGAACGGCGCGCGCTCCCCGCACCGCGCGCACGACGCCGCCAGCCGCGTCACCACGTCCGCCAGCGGCACCAGCTGAGTCAGGTCTCCAAAAGGCCTCCGCAAAAAGTCCCCATCGAGGCCCGCGACGAGGACGCGCATGCCGTAGCGCTCCGCGGCCTCGACGCAGAACCCCGGGAGCCCCCGGAGGAACTGCGCCTCGTCCACCGCGACCACGTCATACCGCCCGGACACCCCCCCTGCGTCGATGAGGTCCCACACCTCCCCCAGGTCCCGCACGGCGACGCAGGGCCGCCGGAGCCCGTCGTGGCTCACGACCTCGCCCTCGGCGTAGCGGTTGTCCACCGCGGGCTTCACGAGCAGCACGCGGCGCCCCGCCTGCTCGTGCTGCGCCACCTGCCGTAAAAGCTCTGTTGTCTTTCCGGCGAACATCGGACCGCAGATGACCTGGATGGATCCTGCGACGGACGAGGCGCGGGGGCGCGGGGCGGCGCTCGGTGCCTGCGGCGGCGCGGGCGCGGCTTGATCCGCGAACGGAGTGGTTGTGGTGTGTTTTTGTGGGGCGTCTGGGGGCGAGGGGGGTCGCACCGCAGGCGGGGGGCGCCGGATCGCGCGTAGCGGATCCGTTGGGCTCCGCGAGGGCCGCGGTGGCGGTGTTGCCCGCGGACACGCTCGACGCGCGGCGCTTGCTGTTGGTGTCGAGAGCCGAGTGCGGGGCCGTGGGCGGCGTGGCGGGCTTGTGGTCCGCTCCGAGTGGCCGCTCGGCTGCGCAGAAGGAAGAAGGGGGTGCGCGTGCCATCAGGCGGCCGCGAGCGTCTGGGGCGGGGCCCCAGGACCCCATCTGGCGTGCAGCGATTTCAGCGCAGCTGCTCCAGCGGCGTCCGCCGCTCTGTGCCGGAGCTCTGTGCGCCCGTGAACGAGGCATCCGGGTCGTTCAGCTCCTATGCTTTGAAAGCAGGGCGAAGTTGCGTGCGTCCGACGCAGCGGCGATGCCGGCAGCCCGAGACGAAGTCCCTGTGGCGGGGGGCCGTACGTGTGCTCGCGGGGAGCTGCATCGCGGTGCGCGCGCCTCGAAACGCCAGACACGGCAAAGGTTTACGCGAAAACGCCTGGATGCGCTGCGAAACGCCGCCGGGCCGCCCGTGAACGATCGGACTAGGCCCAGGACTACACCGCGGTCTTTGCAAGGCCGGCCACGCGCGGAGGGGCGACGGGAGCGTGCTTTGTGGGTGCCGGGAGCGGCGAAACGCCGAGCCGATGCGAGGTCGGGGCGCCCTTGGCCCCGAGAGAGCGCTTCGGGCCACAACACATGACCGACTGAGCTCCACCGCGGCGGGCCGTCGACGAAAACGGCTGTCGAAGCAGCAGGACGTCTGCCGGACATAGAAGGTCCCGTGCTTCTGGATTTCCTCGCAGTATGTCGCGCGAGGCGGCGCAGAGGGCCCCGCATAAAGTGCTGGGGGAAAGAGGGGCGCAGCGCCGGCTGTGGTGATCTGGTGAGAGCGCGGCTTGGCCGCCCGGGCGCTGCCGCTAGGTGTTTGCAGGTGCGGTAGCGATCGCGGGGAGGTGCCGCGTGGAGACGCACCTGGCCGGCGGGAGGCACACGACGGTGCAGGCAGCCGCTCGTTTGGTGCCCTGAGCCACGCTTGGTGCGCGGTCTTGCCGCCCGTCCTCGCTCTCAGCGACAGTGATGCAAAAAAGACCGGGAGGCGCCCGGTGCGGGGCTCGCGGGGCGCGGCGAGGCCCGCGCAAGTGTGGGTGTTGATGGGCGCCACCGCCATGGTCGCGAAGTGTTTCAGCACCAGCCGTCCCTCGCGTCGCAGCACGGACATACAACTGCCGGGACACGCTGCGAAACGGGCGCGTGGAGGGGTCCTCACTCAAGGGAGACCGCGGAAGGGTTGTCCTCCTAAGTCGCGCCCGAGGCTGACGCAGGGGGTACAATTAGCCGCGAAACAGCGCCCTGAGAAGGAACCAAGGTCAACCACACAGGAAATTGGCCCGAGGTCGTGTCAGTCGCAGTAAACGGGACGTGGACGGCGACGGCACTGCGTTCCCCGTCGCAGTCACCCCGCGCCTGGCCTCGCACGCGCGCAAGCCGGCTCGGAATCTGTCGCGGAGGGACGGCAGAGCGATGGCATGTCGTCGCAGCACCCGCGGCGGGCCGCGGAGGTGCAGGGGGAGTTCCACCACTGACGCACAGCAGCCAGTCTGTCCACAAGAGACCGTGACGGGGGGGTATTCCTCGGACCTGGTCGCGCCCATCCCGGCGGAGGGCAGCGCGGGCACCTCGAAGACACGGCTGTGCCGCGACTCGTCTCGTCGCTGGACGCGCGCGAGCTTTTCTTGTCACAAGCCACTGCCGCGTAAAAGCGCAGCGACGTGAGGGTCCGGTGCTGCGATGCGGACGACGACCGGCCCGGGCGCAGCGGCCTGGTGGCGGGACAGGCGAGGGAAGTCGGCGATGAGCGCAGAGCTGCCGCTGACGCGCAGCGCGGGGCGTTGTGTGATGTCGCAGACATGGTGTTGCCATCAGCTCCCGATCGCTCCGGTGGTGCGCGCAGGGGCTCGCGTGCCACGTGCGTTGCGCCAAGGTGGTGGCGCACGGCGATGCTGTGCAGCGCGTGGGGGGGGGGGGAGATGTTGAGGACACCCCCAGCGGAGTGACACGAGGTGTTGCGTGGGCGCGCGCTCGTGGGGGCGGTGGGCGTCGCGGGCGCTGCATTCGCCGCAGAGGTGCTCGGGGCCGCACGGAGAGAGGGAGTTGCTGCTCGGAGCAGGGCAATAGGATGCGTGGTTGACGCAGAGAGAAGAGGTTTGGGAAACGATGGGCGCTGTAGGGCAGACGAACGCAGGCTGGACAGCTCATGAGGTATATCCGATATCTGCGTGTGTGTGGGCGAAAATCCACGTCGTTGTGTCCCTCGCAGGGCCCAGCAGCGGCTCTCCTGTTGACTGGCTTTGACTTGACGGGAGATTCCGTCGCGACGCAGGTGCGTATTGGATGGGACGTCAGACGCTCGGGTCGAGTCATCAATCCAGTCATCGAGGAGGCGTACCTACGCGACGACATCTCCCTGCGCACGGAGCTCGGGACGGAGTAAGCTCACTGCACATCCTGGCTCTCCGCGCGCTCAACACCGCGCGTTCTCTCGGGTTTCGCGGCGCAACGTCTTATAACAGTCCAGAAGCGTCATAATTTTGCGTCGTCATTGCGCTTCAAGGCCTCTCACGCCCACATGATCCCTCCCCACAACTTGCGCTCACTTTTTGGGCCCCCGCCGCCGCGCAGGTTCCCGGACAGCGTCCCCAGGCTCTCGGCGCAGGCCTCCCACTACGCCGTCCTCGACACGGGCGTCATCTCGGACCTTCTCGAAGTCTTGGAGCTGCCAGAGGTCGAACATACCATTTTGCCAATTAGCGCGCTCCGCGCAGCCATCAAGGCGGCCGGGGCGAACATCCGCCGCGTGGGCCGCATCCGCGCGCTGTACCGCGACGGCCGCAGGAGCACCGCGGCGTTCGACGACCTGCACCACCGTCAACTGGCAGAAAGGGCCAGGAGCAGAAACACGGGCCATGTTGCTGCGACTCCGACGCCCCTGGACGTCGCGGAGCTCTACAGCGCGGAGATCCGCGGCGCCATCCCCGTCGTCGTCGTCTCGGAGGCCGCCGCGTCGAGCGTCGGCCTCAGCGCGGACGTAGACACCCCGGGGGGCAGCGACGGCGCAGTCCCCCCCCTGGCGCACGGCGCGGCAGCGGCGCTGCGGAAGTTGGCGGATGTGGGTCTGGCGTGGGCGGCGCCGTCGGGCGGGGTGTGGGTGATGCGTCCGCGGGCGTACTTTCACGCGGCGTACGGGGGGAGTCAGGGGGGGGTGTTGGAGCTGTACGACGCGGTGGTGCGCGCGGCGACGGAGCGCGCGGCGGAGGACGAGGCGGCGCGCGCGGCGCGGGACGCCGGCGCGGGACTCCCCCACCTCCTGCCCTCGGAGATCGAGTCAGGGCTTGACAGCGGGGAACTCCTCCAGGGGACGTTTTGGGCCGAGCGCGGGCGGCCGTTCTGCGGCGTCCTGCGGCTCGCGGCGGGCTCGAAGTCCACGAGCCTGGACGTGGTCATTCCGGACAAGGCGGCGTCGAACCGCGCTATTCACGGCGACGTGGTGGCGGTGCGCTTGGTCGACGTCGTTGGGGCGGGGGGGGGAGGTGACGAGGACGACGCGGACACGGACGTGGGCTTGGCGTCTGTGGCGGAGGGGATTACGTTCGAGGAGGGCGTGGGCGGCGAGGTGGACGAGACGGCGACTGTGGCGGGCCAGCAGGGGCGGGCGCAGCTGACAGCGGTGGTGGTGGGGGTGTTGCAGCGTGCGGGGGGGGACATCGTTGCGAGCATCGACAAGGGCGACGAGGAGGCGCTGATGGCGATGGACGCGGCGCAGGTCGACGCCAGACTCGAGGTATGCTGCGAAGTACCAGACACTTTTTCTCGAACTCAAAAGACCGCATTCCTCTTGATTGGTTGCGGCGCACCCGTTGCACGCGCGCAACACCGACGCGCCGCGCCGTGCGCTGCAGGGCGTGCTGTGCGTCCCGCTGGACAAGCGGCTCCCGAAGGTCCGTCTACGGAGCAGAAACATCACCCAATTGTTTGGGAAGCGGCTCGTGCTCAGGATCGATCGCTGGGACCACGGGGCGTCGTTTCCGCAGGCGCACCTCGTGCGCGTACTCGGCGACATCATGGACATGAAGTGCGTGCACCGGCCCGCTCCTGCGCGCCCCTAGACCAGCCCATGTCCAGTTCGCCGCAGTGTGTATATATAGACTACTGACGGTTCGCGAAGGACGTTGGCTTTGTTTGTTCGTTGCAGGGCGGAGAGCGAGGCGGTGATGGTCGCGAACAACGTCGTGTGGCAGCCGTTCTGCGAGGGGGCCCTCCGGGAACTCCCCCAAGACACCCCCCCGGACGACCTGACGGCGTGGCAGGTCCCGGACAGCGACGCGGCGCGTCGGCGCGACCTGCGCAAGGAGAAGGACGTCTTCATTTGCTCCGTGGACCCGATCGGGTGCACGGACGTCGACGACGCGCTGCACGCGCGCAGGCTGTCTGCGAGCGAGGCGGCGGCGACCGCCAAGCGGCTGGCGGCGGCGGGGAAGGGCAACCGGCGGCCGTGCTTCGAGATCGGCGTGCACATCGCGGACGTGACGCACTTCGTGCGGCGCGGGGGGTACCTCGACGGCGAGGCCCGGCAGCGGTGCACGACGGTATATTTGGTGGACCGAAGACTAGATATGCTTCCAGGACTGCTGAGCGGCAACCTGTGCTCGCTCGTGTCCAACGTTGACCGCCTCGCCGTGTCCGTCATCTGGACGCTCGACGAGGTACGCGCCGCCGCGCAGCAATCCCCCAGCTTCGCGCACAATCAAAACCAATCCCGAAAACCTATGTGTTGCTTCCTCGCATCCCTCCGTCTCGCAGCCGCCCCGGCCGCTCCGTCGCAGCACGCCGTTCGACGGGCGCAGCAAACGCAGTGCTTTGCGTGTGTGTTTTCGCAGGATTTCGAGCCCGTCGACGTCTGGTACGGCCGCACAGTCATCCGGTCGAAGTACAAGCTACACTACCAACAGGCACAAGACATCCTGGACGGCTCGGACGCGCCGACGCCCGCGCCAGGCACCGACACCGTCGCGCCGGCCGACCTCCCCGTCGTCCGCGACTCCCTCCACCTCCTCGCGTCCGTCGCCTCGAAGCTCCGGGCCGGGCGCGTCGCCGCCGGCGCTCTGGAGCTCGCCAGCGCGGAGCTGCGCTTCGAGACCGTCGGCCCGGACCGCACGGGCGCGCCGAGCGCCGTGAGGACGAAGGTCGAGATCCCGATGATGGGCGTGGTGGCGGAAATGATGATCTTTGCTAACGCGTGGGTCGCGCGGCGCACGCACGGGGCCTTCCCGACGTGCGCGCTGCTGCGGCGGCACCCGCCGCCGCGCGAGAAGGCGTTCGAGGAGGTCCGCGAGGTGCTCGAGGGGGCGGGCGTGACGCTCGACGTGTCGTCGAACCGCGCCTTGCAAGAGTCCTTGGACAGAGCGGCGGCGGCACTCAAGGTACGGGAATTGATAGATGGACGGATGGGTTGCGCGCTCGTTCTGCATCGTGATGCGTGCGGCGACGGGGGAGCCGCTTGCTAGCGGTCGCGCGGGCCAGGTTTGCGGTGCCATGGGGTGTCTTTGTGCGATTTGATGAAGATCCAAGGATTAGTGTTTGTTTGTGGGTTGGTTGGCTTGTTGCGCAGGACCCGGCGGCCGTGGTGCTCGTGAAGGCGATGGCAACGCGCGCGATGAGCGAGGCGCAGTACTTCTCCACCGGCGACGCCAAGGAGTCGGGCTTATACCACTACGGTCTGGCCCTCCACCATTATACCCACTTTACATCCCCCATCCGCCGGTACGCCGACTGCATCGTGCACCGCCAGCTCCTGCGCGCCATCGGCGACCCCGAGGACGCCGAGGACGCTGCGCGCAGCCAGGAGCGGGGGACTATTGCGGCTGATGCGGGGGGGTCGGGGTACGACGCTGCGGGCATCCGTCTCGCAGCGGACACGATGAACGAGCGGCACCGGAGCAGCAAGCACGCGCAGAAGGAGTGCGGCGACCTCTACCTGCTGTCGCTGCTGCACTCGCAGCCCCTCGTCGAGCAAGCCGTCGTTTACGCATTGACCAACAACACGGCAACTGTTTTCGTTCCGAGGTTCCACATCCGCGGCCGCGTCCCGCTGACCGCGCGCGACTCGCGCGCAGCAGTGCTGCCGGAGGGCCACCCCGCGGCCGGGCGCGCCGGGCTGCAGCTGGTGACGTCAGGGGGGGTGTTGACGTCAGGCGGACCCGCGACGGACGCGAAGGCGGTCGACGCCGCCGGGAACGTGGTCTGGGCCGTGCGGCTCATGGACAGCGTGTACGTGCGGCTGTCGGCGGAGGCGTCGCGCACCCACGGCCCGCGCATGCGCGTCCAGCTTCTGCACGCGCAGCACCCGGACGCTGTTGCCGCGGCCGAGCAGGCGCGGCAGGACGCGGCGGAGGCCGAGCAGCAGGTTCGCGTGGACTTCCGCAAGCTGTACAAGGAGCACAAGAGGGAGCGCGAGGCGGCGCAAGCGGCGGCTAGCGCCTCGGCATCGACGCACCGCGACAGCCAAGAGGCGACGCTCGCGTCGCCGGACGAAGACGCTCGTCGGCGGGCGAGGTTCCAGCAGTCCGGCTCGGATCCTGCGGCCCCGCGTGCGGCGCTTGCGCGCGTCGCCGCGCTCCTGCCCACACTCGCACCCGCCTCAGAGGCGGGCGCGCTGCAGGGGCCCGCTGCGGGGCCAGACGTGGATGATGGCAGCGTGTCCGAGGCCTCTGGCGTCGGAAGCGAGAGCGGATTGAGCCTGCCAAGCGACGACGACGACGACGTGGCAGAAGTTGTCGTTCCGGCTGCTGGACTGCGCACTGGGGCGCGTCCGGGGCAATCGGATGCTGACCTGGATCTGAGCGATATTCTAGCGGATCTTCCGGGCGGCGGAGCACCGATGGCCACGACAGAGGCGGACCTGGACGATCTGCTCAGCGGGCTGGACGTCGGGGCGCCAGGGCCATCGCCGGCGCAGCGGCCTGCGCGTGGCGAAAAGGTGGCGGCCGGGAAGACGACGGGCGACGCCGGGCTCGACGCGCTCCTCGGGGGCCTCAGCGACGCGGACGCGAAGCCTCGGCCGGGCGCGCCGGCCCGCGGGGTCAACGACGACTTCCTGTCGGACCTGATTGGGGGGGGTGTTGATGACGTCAGCACGACGGCGGCGGCGGCGGCCGCGAAGCCCGCGAAGGGCGAGGCGCCGCGTGGGGGGCCGTCCAGGGGCAAGAATCGGGCCGCGAAGACCGCGAAAGTGAAGGAGGCGAACCTTGCGGCGGTGGCGGCGAAGGAGGATCGGAGGCCCGTGGTGGGGGCGGTGGCCGACCAGCCGGTCACGACGTCCGTGCCGATGGCGACGGCGGAGGGGGAGTTCTGCGCGGGGGTGCGGTCGTTCGGGCCGACGACGCGGAGCGCCGGCGACAAGGAGGTGAAAGTGGCGCGGAAGACCCTGGAGGGTATCTTGCAGGAACTGGACCCCTCGATTGACCTCGGGGCCCCGCGCGCGTGTGCGCGGCGGTCGACGTGCTCGTCGGAGGCGCTGGGGCGCGCGGCGGTGTCGCGGGAGGAGGTCGCGGCGTACAGGAGGGTTGGGAGGCGGCTGGCACAGCTGGTGGGGGGGAGTTCCGGGCCTGACACGGAGCGGCGCGTGGCGCGGGAGAGGCGGCTGCGGGACGCGATCGCGGAGCTGGAGGTCGCGTCGGGGGCGGCGCGGGGGCGCTGATGCACGCGCGGTTCCAGCTGGCAGCGTTGGGCAGGGTCGCGCCGGGTGCAGCGCGGCTGCGGTTGCCGCACTTCGCGTCGCTCGCGGTCGTCGGCACGCGCGAGTTTCAGGTCGAGCGCTTTCCTGTTACACGGCTCACGGCCTCGGCAGTCTCAGACTCGCTCCCTGGACCGTGTAAGGCACAGCTGTGCATAGCGTCACCTGTGCCACTCTGCGGCACCCAATAGAGCCGTGCTGTCCGCGACGTGCTTGATCGGCCCCGTCCTCGCCTCCAGCCTCCGTCACACGACCTGCTGCACTTCACCAACACTGCCATACCAAACCTGCACTCAGGCCACAGCAAGGCACACACATGGAGCCGCAGCACCAAGCCGGAGCGAAGCCGTGCAGGCCGATCACATCAACCAGCTACCAATTATGAATCGAGGACTTAGTAACTAATGAGAAATAAGTAACTACAGCCCTTCAATGTATGTTTCCTGACGACAGCGCGTCCACCGCCTGCCCCACGTCCCACCCGCTCGCCTCCAGCGCCCGCCGCGCCCGGTCCCGCCCGTACCCCATCTCGATCATCCCGGCCAGCACCTCCTGCTGACCGGCCGTCAGCTCCGCGCCCGCACCGCCGCCGTCTGCCGCGTTCCCGCCCCCGCCCGCCGCGCGCCGCGCAGCCGCCGCCATCGCGAGCTGCCGCCGCCTGTCGGCGTCGCTCTGCGGCCGCGCCGGACGTGCCTCGGAGCCCGGCGCGCCGCCTTGCGACGGAGGTGGGCGCGCCGGGGCAGTGTCGGTGATTGACACCGCGTCGTACGCGTAGCCGCCGCGCACGGTCGCCGGTCCGACGGCGCGACCGTCTCCGTCGCCTCCCCTGCGACGGAATCCGGGCGGGTGCGTCTCGTTGAGAGTGCAAAGGACAAGAAAAAAGCAGTCGCGTGTATATGATAAGAAAGGGATAAATAGGTTTGTGGTTGTTTGCTCTGTGTGTTCGTGCGTTGGCCGAGAGCGGCAGTGGAACAGCGCGCAGTGCTCACCCGTCGGCGTCGCGCGGCCCCCAAGCGCGCCCGATGGCCCCGCGAACCGCCTCGGTCAGCGACGCCATTAGGCCCCCCCCGCCGGACCTCTCACTCCCCCCCAGGCGGTGCCCGGCGGGCGCGTGCGCCACCGGCAGCCCATCCTGCCGGCCGTGGATGTACGACGGCAGCGCCACGACCCGTCCGAACGCGGGCGCGGCCTCCACGCGCGCCAGCAGGTGCGCCTGCGTCACGGCGCCGCTGTTGTACGCCAGCGCGGCGGCGTACGCCTGGCCCGCGAGGGCGCCGGAGAGGTGCCCGAGCAGCGACACGGACGGCATGATGAGCTGCAGGAACGCGACGAGCGCGTACGGGTACACTTTTGCGGGCACGGTGAAGAAACCGAACAGGGAGCGGCGCTCGGCGCCACTGACGGCGGTCTCGACGACGATGAGGCCGAAGATGATGCCGGAGAACCCGACGGAGCACGCGTAGAACTGGTCGTCCGTGGGCGTGAACGGCAGCAGCGCCGCCGCAGTCGCGACGTGAAGGACGGCGGATACGATGGCGAGGGCGAGGATGGTGTGCGCGAGGCGCAGGGTGCCGAGGGAGCGTTCGAGGACGGAGCCGATCGGGACGAACGCGAGCATGTTGAACGCGATGTGGAGCAGGCCCAGGTGGACGAACATCGACGTCACCACCCTGCGGGTTGGAAGGGCGGGGGCGACGGCGCTCGGTCCGCGGCTGGCGTGCGGGCGCGCAGGGGAGCGTTGTTTGGAGGGGTGCGGGCGTAGATATGATGTGGTGGTTGGTTGTGGAGTCTTGCCTGTATATCTGAAAAGAGGAGACGAGGGCGTACGGGGCCATGCAGACGGCGCGGTAGTTGTCCCACCCGAGGATCGCGGCGACGACGAAGATGGATACGTTGACGACGAGGAGGGATTTCGTGCACAGCGGGATCCTGCAGCGCGGCGGGAGAGGCAACTGCCTTGCTTGGGCAATGCGGGCTGTTCCGGCGGCGCACGATGAAGATCGATGGTTCGCATGAGCAGGTAGCGTCTGGAATACTCGTGACAGCCTGGTGCTACGGCTCGGTCGAGCTGCTCCAGGGCGAGAGCGGGGCGTGCTAGCATTCCGAGAGGCAGGGGTCGCTCACCCGCGGAACCACTCGCGGAGCTGGGTCTGTGGACTCGGCGCTTGCATCGCTTCGTCAGGCTCTTGAGAAGGCGCTTGCTGTTCCATTGGCTTCCCGGGCCATCCTCCGCCGAGCACGTAGCTTGCGTTGACTTTCCCCGCTCCGTTCGGGGCCGCCGCCCGACGTTTTCGCGGGAAACTCGATCCCCCGACTCCCTTCAGTCGCGAAGAGGCATGCTCACACCAGCACGGGCGGATTCAACCGCGGAGCACCCCTCAGCAGCAAACTATCTGCACTCGCGCGGCACGCAAACACGCACGGCGGCTCCTCGCTCACCAGACAACGCGTGCGCGCAGCGTCTGATCCAGAGTGCCAGAGCGCCACCGCAAATGTGCGCCCGTCTGCGTCCCCGGTCGCCCTCCTGCCCCCCGGCCACGCCAGTTTCCGTTGTTTTTTCTACTTCCGCCCCTTAACCCCTCCCGCACAAACAAAGGGGAGCGCCCCCCGAGACTCACGCCCGCGAGGAACTACGCGAGCGTCGCTGCCTTGCCCGTGCTGCTGGTCGGAACTGCGCTCGCATGACGCATGTGTTAGCACTCAGGCTGAGTCAGCGCCCCCTGCGTGTCTGACTGGTCCCGTCGCGGCAGTTTCATGAACTCACACGCTCCCGCGCGGGTGCCGCGCCATGAAGTCGCAGCACGTCGACAGGCGTGGAACGAAACGAGTCTTACATTCCGCCACTCACTCAAGACTGCTGCCCTTCTCTGCTCAGCTCCACCAGCTTGCCGTGCACGGCCTCGAACAGCACCCACGTGACCACCGCCTGCGGGATGCTCTTCGCCACGTGCGGCAACACCCCCCGATAGAAACCCCGCACCCCCTCGCGGCGCCACGTCGTTCGCACCGCCGACCGCAGGTCCGCGTACCACGCCGACTGCCGCTGCTCCGCGGCCGCCCTCACGTCCGCCGACGCCACCACCTCCACGCGCTGCTGCAGCCGGGACCTCATTACTTGCAACGGGTACGTCGCGACGCCTGCGATGATCTTCGATGTCGTTGCCGCCGTGGATACCTCCCAGGGAGTGAGCTTCGGACGCCCCTGGTTGACGACCGTGGCCTTGCCGCGCTCCTCGCGCGGGCGCAGGACCTGCGGCGGACCGGGCGGGCACGCTGTTTGGCGGGCCGGCGGTATCTCAGGTTGCGGTCGGGGGCGCCGAGTGAAGGTCGTTTGGCGCGCTCGGCCACACGCATGGCCAGCGGAGACAAAAGGGCGCGGGAGGCGGCCACGGGACGGCGCAGTCGAGGGCTCATGGCGCAGCGCTGATCATCCGAGAGCAGCATAGATGGGCGCGTGCGGCCGGCAGGGCCGCGGGGTACGCCGCGGCGCGACGCACCTTGGTTTTCGCGAGCGCGTGCGAGATCTCCTCGTACGCGAAGAACTGCAACGCCCCATGCGAGACCAGCAACAAACTCGGCCAGAATCCCCGATACAACCCCCTCAGCCCCTCCTCGCGCGCGATCGAACCAAGCGCGTGCACCATGTTGCGGTAGGGCTCCACGCGTCCCGCGGCACCCCGGCGGTTCTGCAGGTACAATCGCGTCTTCACCACCCACAGAGGGTTGAGCAGCGCTTGCACGATTACGCCGGCCTCGACGCCCGCGGCGAGCTGCGCAGCCGGCCCGAGGCGCGTCTCGGCGGTCGCGGAGCGCCCGGACGCGCTCTGCATGCGCTGGTACCGCTGCCGCGCGCGGCTGTAGCATCCAAAGTAGATGGCGTTGGCGAGCCCGTTGGACACGACGGTGGTGCCCAGGCCGGCGTACAGGGCGCGGGCGCCCTCGGTGCGCACGATGGAGCGCACGGCGTCGAAGAAGGTGCGGTACTGCACCGGCCCGGCGCCGTCTTGCACTGCAAGGAGCAAGCGCACACCGCAAGTCGAGATTTCGTGGTTCTCGCCGCCGCGCTGTTACCATGCTGGCGCGCCGCTCGGCTGGCGCGCGCGCCACGCCGGCGCCGAGCACGCGAGCACGCCCGGTGCCCGCGGGCCGGCCGAAGGACCCCGGGGCAGTGATGGGGAAGAGGGGGGTGTTCACCTTGCAGGCGGGTTTTGATCACGTCCAGGGGGATGGTGGCGAGGGTGGACCCGATGCCCGCGATGCCCCCGGCCACGCTGGACGCGGTCGCACGGTCCCGGAGCGCGCCGCGGACAGCCTGCACCGCCTCAGCTGCACGCGTGACGGGCAAAGGCTGCTCCGCCACGTGCTGGGGGGGTGACGCGCGGCCCATGGTGCGCCGCTGTATCGCGCCAGCTCAGTCTGCTACAGTGCGCTGCTTCTGGGCCAGCACGGGCGCGGCAGGACAGCTGCAAGGCGCGTGGTGCGCCTCCAGCAGTGGCCTGGCCTCCTAGTGCCGCGCGTGCGCGTCCTCCAGGGCCTGAGATGTTTTCCCCTTGATACTGATAAAGCTATTGAGTCGTATATGCGCGAATGCCGCTGGTTCAGGTTGAGTTCCGCAAAGCAGCGTCCCGAGACCCGGGATGTGGGGCGTAGGTGCTTTCACCTCCGTTGAGGCGTTTGACGCGCGGGCTGGTCCAAATCGCGGCGCCCACTGGATGTCGATCGAACGCGCGTCAGCTCGATGGCCGGGAATCGTGTCAGACGCGCGAAGGAGTCGGCATCCGAGGGCTGTAGCGATCTGGAGCAAGCCGCAACCCGTGGCGGTCACTGCGGGGCGGATCGCGGCTGCGACGCAGCGATCTGCACCACCACGCGCGCGACTACTCTCCGCGCACCCACCCGGCCCCCAACAAACCCCGCGGAGCGCGCTCCGACCCCCCCTTCCACAAAACACCACCCATGAGTCAGGGGGACGTCTTCGGACAGCCCCGCCCCGCACGGCGGCGCCTGGCGGCCGGAATGCACCCTCACAGGCCCGCGCGCCGCCGTGTCAGCTCGAGGCGTGCTCCGTGAGCCACTGCAGCACGAGGTCGATGCCCTGTCCCGTTTTGCACGACACACAGTACACACACACCTCCCGCTCCCGCAGCGCGTCGAGCTCCATCCGCGCGACGAACTCCTGGACCGGGAGCGCCTGCGGCAGGTCGCTCTTGTTCGCCAGCACCAGCAGCGGGATCCCTGCCACGGCGACGACGCGAGAGCAAATAAGTGAGTGTTCAGAGATCAACAAATACTGAAAACAGACTCCGAGCGAGTCGTGCTCGAAGTCTACGCGCCGCAGCGCATGTACGCTACTACGGCGCCGCAGGACGGCGCGCGATCGGCCCGGGGGGGGGTGTCAGAGATGGACCAAGGCCTTGTGCCAGTGTGTGCTGCTGGGGCGCCGGCGCGGTTCGGCCGGGCGGGGCCGCGTGCGCACCTGAGAGGCTGGGCTTGGATAGGAGCGAGTGGAGTTCGCGCGCGCTGGCCTCCATGACGGCCTGGTCGGCCGCGTCGACCACGTAGACGATAGTGCCCACGCCGCGGCAGTAGCGTTCCCACATGGACCGGAAGCGCGCCTGGCCGCCGAGGTCCCACACCTTGATCGTCACGCGCCCCTTCGTGACCTTGCGCATCGAGAAGCCGACCGTCGGGATCATGTCTTGGGAAAAGTGACCCGTAGCCAAAACGTTCACCAAGGAGGTCTTCCCGGCATTCTGTAGCCCAATCAGCGACAGCTCCATCTCCTTCTTGAAGAACAGGCTGCGAACGGGCGTCGGAGCGGCTCGCGCGGCGCGTGAGCGGTCCGCACAGAGACGGCAACACGTTCGCCACGCACAACACGCTCCGCAGCGCGCGGAAGCGCCACAGACAAGGCTTTCGTGCAGCCGCGGGCACTAGCCCAAGTACCAGGCTAACCGAATCTGCCGATTCTGGCGCAGTTCGCGGCCGCTCGACGTCGGTTCGATCAGTCGTGGCGAGCTATGCGGTTGTGCAAGGTAGCTAGACGCTGCGGGGTGCCTCGAACGCGCACTATGTCGTCCGTCGCGATCCGCGGGCGCGCGCTACCGCGTCTGATGGCGCAGCCGTCGCCCGCGCGGCCGCGCGCAGGTCGCCGCGGCGTCGGAAACGGCCACGCGGCGTCGGCTGCAGCTGAGCGGTCTTCAGGCGCGCTACGGGCGGCGGCTTTTGCCACGGAGCGGCCGACGCGGCCCGGAGTCGCTGGCCCAGATCGTTCCCTACTGGCCGCAGCGCGCCGGCAAGACAGGTGCGCTGCTGCAGCGCCTGAGCAGCCGTGTATCTGACAAGCATAGCGCAGGAGGAAAGTGCGCCGTGCAGCGTCTGACGGGGGCGCGAGGCGGTCAGTCGGGGGCGGGGCGTCCGCAACGGTCGGAAGAGTGGTGCGGCGCGGGCGGCGCGGTTTCAGGGGGCCTGGAGACGAGCCCCGGGCGGGTGGCGAGACTTGGGGAGAGACGCACCCGCGCAGCCATTCTATGAGCTTGTTCCACCACCACATCCTATCCCGCTGGCGGAAGTGGTCGGCGCGGTGCGTGCCAGCCTCAGGTGACGGCCCCCTCCCACGACGCCGCGCGTGTCGTCACGAGGAAGCCGCTGGTCGTTCGCCCCCGCGCAGCGCGGTCGACGACGATGATCTCGAGCCTCCCTCCACGCCACGAGCCGCCTCCCAAAAATTCCACTTCCTCTTCATGCGCACAGCGCCCCGCGCGCCGGCCCCTTCCCGCGCGAGCCCGTCCGCCTCCTCCTGAGCAGTGCTCCCACGCCTCCCAGCGCGGCACGCGCGCTTGATCGGGCCGCGGCGCCGCCCGCGCTCCCTCCTTTCCCAGGAAGCGAGCCGGCCTTTCGAAGGCACCGCAGGACCCCGCACCTGGTCCGTATCGCAGGGCACGCCCTCCCCGCTCCACCAGTTGCCTAGCTCCGTATCGCAATGCCGGGCGACAAGGCCGCGAACCCCATGCGGGACATCCGCGTGTCGAAGCTGGTGCTCAACATCTCGGTGGGTGAGTCCGGCGACAGGCTCACGAAGGCCGCCAAGGTGCTCGAGCAGCTCACGGGCCAGGAGCCCATCTACGGCAAGGCCCGCTACACCGTCCGGTCCTTCTCCATCCGCCGTAACGAGAAGATCTCGTGCAACGTGACTGTCCGCGGCAACAAGGCCATGGAGCTCCTCGAGGCGGGCCTCAAGGTCAAGGAGTACGAGCTTCTGAAGAAGAACTTCAGCACGTCCGGCAACTTCGGGTTCGGCATCGACGAGCACATCGACCTGGGCATCAAGTACGACCCGTCCACGGGTATCTACGGTGAGGAGCCCCCCGCGCTGCGCCGCGAAACGCCGCAGGGCGTGCTGGTGGGCTTGTGCGAGCCCGCCGCGGCGAGCCCGGGGCGCGCGCGCGCCCAGCGGCGCGCGAGGGGGCGGTTCGAGGGTGGATTCGGCGAGCGGGGGCGGCCCCGCGGCGCCGGCGGCGCCGGATGGGCCGCGGCGGGACGACAGCCGCCCCAGCAGCTGTGCCGGCTGCAGTGGTGATCCCGCCTCGCCGCGGCCTCCCGGGGGCGTCCTGTTGCGCGGGTCCGCGCGGGGCGGTCTTTTTTGCGCCGAACATTCGACTGGGCCTGCGCCCGGGCGCCTGCGCGCCCCGGACGCCGCGCCCCCGCGCGCACTGCCTGGGCTCTCGCGCCCCCCGCCGCTGCGGCGGCGCGTCCGTGCGCGGTCGCTCACGCGCGCGCCGCACCGTGCGATGCCACGCAGGTATGGACTTCTACGTTGTGCTGGAGCGGCCCGGGTACCGCGTGGCGCGCCGCAGGAGGTGCCAGACGAGCGTGGGGGCCCCTCACCGGTAAGCCCTGCCCCGAACCGATCGCTCGAGCCCCCCAACGCGGTGCTTGTCTGCGCAGCTGCGCCGCGAGGCGCCGCCGCGCGTGGTTTCGGGCCGCCCCGCGCCGCGCTTTCGCTCCTGTGGCCCAAGCAGCAGCAGACGCGCCCTGAAGCGCCCGTGGCTGCGTTTGCGCGCCCAGCTGCGCGCGCCGGGCTCCGTGAGCGAGAATATCCACGTCCATCGGCCCATAGCTGCCGTTCGGGCGGCGCACGGGCCGTGGGCGGCCACGAGGGAAGCACAGTGCAAGACCCGCTGCGCGCCCGTACTCCGCCGTGCAGCGTGACGAAGGAGGACGCCATGAAGTGGTTCACCCAGAAGTTCGACGGCGTCGTGTCGACCAAGTAAGCCACCGGTCGCAGCGCCCACCGGACCTCCCGCTGTCGCCTCCTGGCGCGGCGAGGCGCCGGGCGGCTTGTGAGACCATACGAACGCCACGCCGCCACCCGCGCGTCCGCTGCTAGGACCGACGCACCTGAACAACTAAACGCCCCCTCGGGACGGGCGATCGCCTGCGAGCAACGAGCCTTGCTGCTGTGCGCAGCTGCGGGCACCCGCGCCGCCCTGACTGTTGCGCGGCCCAAGCGTGGCGCCGCAGCCGAGCGCACGATCCGTGCCCGGAACGCGCTCTCTTTGGATGGGCGCTGGTTCCCAAACAGCATCGCAAAAGACCACTGTTCCATATTTGTTTTCCATCTCGCTGTTCGACCTCCAACCAGGGCGACGGCGGGGCCACGAGTGCGGTCACGGGCGAGCCCAGCGCGGTCCCGGCCCCGCGCCGGCGGGGGCGGCGGCCTCAGGACCGAACAGCAGCGTGACGCGTCGTCGGTGGCGCATGCGCGATGCAACTGCGATCGCGACCGTAGCCGCGGTCCTCTCCGCCCGTTTCACAACGCGAGCTGCCGCCTGAGCGACGCCGGCGGCGCGGCAGGCCAGCTGCGGCGTCTCGGCCTCGTGCGATGCGCTGCGCGGGGGGTTGCGTAGCGCCACAGCGTCACTTGCGGCCCATCGCGGCCATGCCCTGGGCGTCGTCCTGCTGCGCCTGGAACTCCGCGAACCGCTGCCCCACGCGCTGCGAGTGCTTCATGAACTTCTCCACGCACCGCTGCACACATCGGAGCGCCGCCAGGCACACAGGGCATCGCCAGGTTTGTTTCCAACGACTTTCTCGTAAATACGCGCGCAGAGGCGGCGTGCCGCACGGTCTGCATGTGTGCTGGCGCGTGCCCCGAGTGCGCGGGGTCGCGGCCGCGCGGCCGCGGTGCGTGGCGCCAGCTGGAGGCTTGTGTGGGGTGCGCGGTGGTCTGTGCGTGCGCGGCGCTGGTGCGTGTGGCCGCGCAAGGTTGTGTAGATAGGTGTCATGCGGCCGGTGACGCGTAGGGCGCGTTTGGGTCCGGGGGGAGGCGGGGGCGGGCGGTGGGGCAGCACCTGTGTGCACATCTGCTCGTCAGACTCGAGGTTCTTGCTCTTGAAGCCGTTGACGCAGTCCTTGAAACACATCTCGATCAGGTTGTTGTACAGCACCAGGCTGCGCGGCGTCGTGGCCGAGCCGGCTATCAGCGGGGCGGACGCCTACGCGTGCCCTTCCCTCGCGGCACCACGAGCGAGCGGCGAGGTTTCGGCCGCATCGGGCCCGCGAGGATGTGCCGCGAAGAGTGCAGGGTGGATCGCAGCGCCGAACCGCGGCGTTTCTCCAAGGGAAGTGGGGCGAGCGGCCAGCGAGGGGGCGAGGCTGGGGCGGTGTCGCGCGCGTCGCTTGATCGCGGTGCGCGTCGAGCGATCGCGTGGCGCGCGTGGCGTGCTCACCTGTCCTTGGCCTGCATCACCGCCATGCGCTGGTTCAGCGCGGCCTCGTCGGACGCCGACAGCCCGGGCACTCCACCCGCGTTCATGGTGCCCTAAGAATGCCCCGTGCCGGCTACACAAAGCAAGATACTCCGCGCGGCTGCTGTGACAGCGTCGCCTCAGATACGTAGAGTCAGTTGGCGCGAACGGTCACGACGGAAGAAGGGAATCCTCGAACTTCGAGGGCTAGTTAGGCCTGGCAGGTTTCGCGGTGCGTACGGGCGCGGTAATCGCCGCCTACCACGACGGTGAGGTGCAGCTTGGAGAACAGGAATACTGCGACCTGAAGCGGACTCCGGCGCCCGTAGTTCCGCACGGAGTCTGTCAGACACGACGTCCACTCAGTCCGACCAGACTTCCAGGCTTGGCCACGCGCCCGACACAGTCTGCGCCGTCTTCGGACGTGGCCGCGTGTCTGGCGCACCCGCGGCATCAGGCGACGCCCTGGCCGTTCGGAATCGTCTCTCTCCGTCTCTGCAGCACACATCGACCTGTTCGACCCCAGTCCTCGATGAGACAAACAACGCGAGGGTGGTCGAGCGCGACGACCGAGGCGTGAGCGGGCGTTCGCACCGCGCAGATCCCGCCGCGAGACGCCGGCTGAGCGGCGCGAGGCGACTCAGGGCCCGTGCGTCCGCGGCCTCGGGGCATCAACAAGCGACTCCGGCTGGCGAACTCGAGGGCACGTCCGCGTCCCTGGCTGCGCAACGAGGCCGGAGACCTAATAAAATTGTGCGGAATGAAGCTGGTCCGGGCCAGCGACGTGGCGGCGCGATGGCGCGACGTGGCGGCGCGATGGCAGGACGCGAGCACTCGATTGAAGGAGAGCCTCCAGCCGTGCATGTACGGGCTGGGCATCGTGGCGACGCTGACGGTGTACGGGCTGCTGCAGGAGCGAATCATGACGAGGTGCGCCGCGGATTCGCTCGCGCTGCGGCCCCCGCGGCCCGTTCGCAGCGCAGCTGCAACACCCATTGGGTTGACAACAATGCCTCGCGGGGTCGCGGCCGATGTCGCAGGGCGTACGGTCCTCCGGCGTGGGACCCGGACGGGAAGGCGGAGATCTTCTCGCACTCGCTGTTCCTCGTGCTCATGAACCGCGTCGTGACCGCGGTGACGGCGCTGGCGCTGTGTGTGTCGTCGGGCACGCCCGTCGCCCCCGCGGCCCCGGTGCGGAAGTACGCGGCGGTGTCCGTGAGCAACGTCCTGGCAACGTTCTGCCAGTACGAGGCGCTGAAGTGGATCAGCTTCCCCGTGCAGGCACGTGCACAGAGACGCCATTGTATATTGTATTGTACCACTCTGTAGGTTGAATACGCCCCCGGTGGCGGGGCTCGCGTGGAAACAGCCGGCAGATTGCTCCGGAGGAGCCTGCCAGTGCGTGGTCGAGCTCGCAGGAAGGCCGCAACCTTCGTTCCTGATCAAATATGAAGTAGATATGTGGTTGCAGACTCTGGGCAAGACTGCCAAGGTCATCCCAGTGATGGCCTGGGGAGCCGTGGCGATGGGCAAGAAGTACACCTCCCGGGACGTGCTCCAGGCGCTCGTCCTGACGGCGGGCTGCACGGCCTTCGTCCTCACGGGCGACACCGCGAGCGGACGGGTGCACTCGGCGGCCGGCAGCGCCGGGGACGGGCAGGGCGTGCCTGCAGCGCTGCGGGGCGCGAGCCTCATGGCGGGGTACCTCGCGTTCGACGGGTTCACGTCGAGCTTCCAGGAGAAGCTCTACTCGGAGTATGACATGGCTGTTCCGAATCAGATGCTCTACATCAACCTGGTGGGTACAAATACGAAATCGTAGCAGAAATTGCCCGACATACGATGGGAAAATGAGTGCGATACAACAGGCGACTCTCGCGCCAGCCGATCGTGCGCGACGGTCGCCGCGCCGGCGATCGCACAACGGGTGTCTGCACAATTATGATTCTTCTTCTTGTGTTTTGTTGCTTCGCGCAGGTGTCGGCGGCGCTGTCCCTCTCGGGCCTCGTCCTCTCGCGCACGCTGATCCCCGCGGTGTCCTTCGTCCTGCGCCACCCGACCGCGCTCGCAGGCGCGCTCGTGCTTTCCACCGCCGCCGCGTGTGCTCAGCTCCTGATCGGCGCGACGATCAAGCGCCACGGCGCCGTATGCTTCGCGATCGTCATGACCACGCGCCAGATCATCGCCATCGTCGCCAGCTGCGTCGTCTTCGCGCACCCGCTCACAACCTGGCAGGGCGTCTCCGCCGCTGTCGTGTTCGCGACGCTATACATGCGCGGCACCCGCAAACGGACCGCCGGCGCGCCGCCCGCGAGGGACGCCGCGTCGAACCCGGACGCTCAGGCCGCGTGACGCCCGGCCCTCCGCTGTGACGCCAACGCGCTGCCTCTGTCGCGCGCGACATGCGACACCTGGGCGTGCTTCGTCTCACGCGTCCGGTTCCGCCTTCCCCTCCTCCCCGTCCGCCTTCTTCCCCTCCTGAACGTCCATGCCCGCCTCCGCCGGTTTCGCTGCGCCTCCTTGCCCCCCCCCTGGTGCCTTTTCACCCCCCCCCTTCGGCGCCTGGCGCGCCGCGGCCGCGGCCGCGTCCCACTTCCTCCACTGCTCCTGCACGTCCTCCGGTGCCTTCTCCGGGAACTTCAGCCGCAGCATCAGCTCCAGGTCCCCCGGCGCCGTCGCAGGCTCGCCGCTCGCCTGGTTCGCCTTGCGCCCCTGCATGACGGTGAAGTACGCCACGAGATCCTCCGCCGCGAGCAGCCGCAGCGCGCGCCACTTGAAGCCGGGGTGGTTCTTCACCTGCACGCACCGATAATCAAGAAACACGATCAAATACAAAACCGATAATCAAGAAACACGATCAAATACAAAACCATCAATATGCCCCGCCAGCGCGCCACGCCGAGCGCGCTCGAGGGCCAGAGCGATCAAACGAGAGCCTCGCGCCAGCGCATCACGCGGACGTACCTTCTCGTCCTCCTCGAGCCCGAAGTCGGGGTCCATCTGCGCGGCAACGGTGTCGGCGAAATCAGATAGTGCTTTGCGCACTCCGCGGTCCTCCGCGCCCAGGTCCTCGACGTTATCGCCCCAGACCCGCCACAGGTCGTCCAGCATTTCGTTCCCCAGCGACACCACGGCCTTCCCGTCCTCCCACTCCCCGTTACCCCCCCCCCGTACGCGGTGCGCCGCCTCTTGAGCGGCCGCAGCAGCCCCGCGGCCCCGGCGTCCCGCGCGTCGCCGCCCGCGCCCGCCACCTCGAGCGTCGGCATCGCAGGCAGCTCGAAGTCCGCGCAGCTCTTGTCCTGCGCGTCGGAGAACTTCCACGACGCCCAAAACGACTCCCGCGCCACCAGCGTGCGCAGGTACGCGGCGAACGCGCGCGCCCGCGGCCCCGTGAGCTCGAGCTGCGACCACACGCGCGCCTCGAGCTCGTTCAGCTCCTTGGTCTGCTTCGCCGAGAGCGCGGCGGGCTTCTCGGGCGGCCGGCCCGCGGCCTTCGGGGGCGTGGGCCGCCGGGTCTCGCGCGACGCGGTCGCGCGGATGTCGAGCAGGACGAACAGGCACTGCGCGAGGAAGTGCCGCCGGAAGGCGCTGTCGCGCATTTGAAGATTGAAGAGACTCGGCGACGTCAGATAGTAGCCGTTGAGACCCGAGCCCACGGTGGAGACACCGTCCGAGTCGACGGTGGCCGACTCCTTCCCGAAGTGGTCCAGGACGGCGCGGATCCCCGCGACCATCGCCGCCCACTGCGCCGGCGTGCTGTTCGCGGGGTGGGGGGGTTTCTGGAAGTGCCCCTGCAGCGCCCAGAACGTCCCGTAAAACTCCCCGTTGATCGGCTGGCCCGTGGTGTCCCGCGGGGGGCCGTCCGCGTCCGCCTCGGGCACCGCCTCGGCCGCGACGGGGTGCCCGCCGTTCAGCGCCGACGACAGATTCACTCCCGACTTCTCCGTGAGAGGAAACAGGCGCGCGACGAGGAGGAGGACCTTGCCGCACAGCTCCGGGGCCTCGGCGCGCGGGACGCGGCGGATGAGCTTGTTGCAGATGCGGAGGAGGACCAGGCGGCTGACGTGGGCGTACTTCCGTAGCGCGGGCATGTTGCTGTCGATGTGGCGGAAAATGTCCGAGCAGTCCGCGACGGAGCCCATCTCGAGGGTGTCCTCGATGAGGATGAAGACGTGGTACGGCGACTCCGCGGCGCCGGCGTCGACGATGTGCATCGACGCGCCCAGCAGCCGCGGGACTGCGGAGGACGATTGGGGGGGGAGGGGGGGGAGTCCGTGCGCGGTCAGCGAGCAGCGAGGGGCCAGCGGCGCGGGTTCGTTGGCGCGCCGTGCGTGCTGTGCGCAGCGAACGTACATACAAACGTGAAAGAAGCAATTGAACATTGCAGTCGCGTTGTGTGTGTGTGTTTGCGGGTTGGTTTGGCGCGGGACGCGGGGCCTACCTAGCGGCGGGGATTCCGGAGAGGGCCGGAAGTGCATGACGGGTTCGTTCGCCGCGGAGGCGTCCCCGATCAGGTCGCAAAGGACGCTGCGGAGGGCGTTGTCGATGGTCCCGCGTGGGAGGTCGGGGAGCTCCGCGGCGGTGCGGGCTACGATTCGCTTCGCTGCATTGACGGCGCGGGGGGCGCTCGTGGGTGAGTGCGGGCCCGTGCGGAGACGGAGAGCTGGCGGTGTGGGAGCAGGGGAGGTGGCCGGACGGGGCGGTGGTGCGGCGCACAGCGGGTGGGAGTCAGTGCGACGGGATGTTCGAGAGCTGTCCGTTGTGTGGAGGCGCGGAGGGCGGTGTATATGCGCTGCTCGATCCCGTGCGGCTCGAAGAAGCCGAGCGCAAGTTCAGAGAGCGCTGCGGGGGCGCACCGACGTCCTCCTCCGTGCCGTCCGCACGCAGCGACTCCTTGATGATGTCCGCCGTCATCCTCAGCTGCCTGTCGTACTCGAATTCGAGCTCCGCCATGGCTGCTGCACCCAGGGGGGCCGCGCCGCCTCACTGCCCTCCTCCAAACGCCAGCGCGCCCGCTCCGCCGGACAAACTCACCCCGCTGACCCCTCAGTGCTCCATAGAGCGCAGCGCTGCCCTGGCGCCCCAGCGACCGTCGCAAGCACCCCGGCAAGCGACCCAAACCCAGCAGTGCTTGCTGTTGCGCCTGCCCTGGAGCCCGCACACCGTCAGCAGTCCACTCAAGCACGCGAGTACGCGCAACTTCTTCGAAACGACGCATTGCGCGGGCTCCCCACGCCCAATCACGCGCGACGCGGGCGATTCCGTCACACCCCACCCCTCATTTTTTTCACAGCAGCTGGACCCCCCCCCCACGGGATTCACGGTCCTGGGCGGCGCGACGCCGCCTGCTGGACCGAGCCCGCGAGGGCCATCATCGCGCGATCGTCCGCGACGCAAGCCATCGGACACAAGGGCGAACATAGCACCGCACATGGTGAAGCTCGCACGACGCACCGGCAGCGGTGCCTGGACGCCACGACGCCGGCCGCGACCTGCGCGCCCACCGCGCCGCCGCGCAAGGACGCCCAGCAAGGCGTTTCACCCGGGGGGGGGGGGTATTACAGTTCGGTGTGTTCTACCGGGGCACTCATTTTCTCGTGCATGCGGCGGTAGAACTCGTCGTAGTGCGCGTGCACGGGGCTGACGAGGTGCCCGCGCACCGTGCCTACGTACGCCACGCTCGCGCACAGCAGCGCGAGCGCGAGGAGCACCGCCACGGCCACATACTCCGACGCGCGTCCGCCGAACGCGAGCTCCGCTTGCTCCGTCTGCGCGAACATCGACTCCCGCGCGGCGCGCCCGGACAGCGCCTTGATGCGCAGCGTGGAGCGGCCCGCGGACGCGGTGGTTTCGGTCGGCACGCCGCGGCGCCCGGAGCGGCGGTTGGCTGGATGCCGGAAGACGCCGTCGGCGCCGTCGGCGGCCGAGGACGCCGGCGCGCCGGACGGGACCTCGCGCGACCGCGTCGACACGCTGTCCTCCTGGCCCTGCGGCGGGAAGTGGGCCCGGCGGCTGCGTGCTTGTGCATTGGCACGGAACGTGCGCGTGGTGATGCGTGGTGGCGCGGACGCGGGTGCGTGGCGGGCTGGCGCGTCGAGCGTGGGTGGGAGGAGTGCGTGGCGGGTGCGCCGTGTCGTCGGCGCGCGACGGAAGTGGTCGCGCACCTCTTCGACTGAGCCTGGGGGCATTGGGGGCGAAGCGCCGTCGCCGCGCGCTGCGGCGGCGGACTGCCGTGCCTGCAGGAAATCATGGGAAGTGATCTATCGCTTTGGACGCACGCCGCGGGCGGAGCATCCCGTTCCAGCGCGCAACCGCGCAACAGACTTGCTCTCTGTTTCTGCGGCCCGTGTCCCACGTCGACGGTCGCGCTCGCCAAGCCACAGCGCGTTCGGCGTCAAATCACTGCCGCTACATACACACGGCGTTATATTCGACCGGGACGCGCCTGCTCCCCCGTTCCGGGCGGCATCGGAAGGTCGCGCAACCAGCGCTCCCTGATTCCCGCGCTCACGCCGTTCAGACCCGTCCCCGCGGACAACGCGCGGGTCCCCGTCGACCCCGAGAGCATCCCCGCGGACCCGGCCTCGGACCCCAGCCCGGCTGCGAACGTGCGTCGCAGTGATTGCAACACCGGACCCGTGTCTGGACTCCGCGCACCGCCGCGCGGGCTCACGCTGCCGCTTGGGACCGGGCTCGCGCCGCGCGGCGAGACGCTGTACTGGTCCCGCCGCATGCGGTCGCGCAGGGCGCTGAAGCGGCGCGCCGCTGGGCCCGTGCTACCTCCTGACTTCTCGCTCATCGTCGCGCTAGTGGCTCACGAGGCCGCGGCGGGCGCAGGGGACGCGGGGGCGGCGGAGCCGGGCTGCTCGGACCCCTGTCTGCGCACGGGCAGGCCAGGCGTACCACAGCAAGCCTGAGTGGCCACGCAACAACGCTTAATATATATATGTATATAATTATGGATGAATGTAGATGTATATTTCGAGGTCGCGACGTGTCGGTGCCGCAGGTGTGCTGGCAAGCGGCGCGGGAGTGGCCGCCCCGGCCGCGGTGCGGTCCGAATGGCTCCACGGCTGATGCACAGGAAGGGGGGGTGTTGAACTGACGTCACGTGGGTGCACGGCCGCGCCCGACGTGGGGAGGCGATGGTGCGCGGCGCCGCCAGAAGCGTACCGCTGCGAGCCGCTAGGCCCGTGCGAGCTCTGTCGGCGGAAAGCACGCGGTGGACGGCGAATCGTGTATTAGTGCAGCCTTCCGTGTTCAATTCGGTACAGCATTCGAGCAGCGCGGGATCCGCCTCGAGCCCGGCGTCGCGCGCACCGCTTCCAGACAGCCTCATGAACGCGCGGGCGGCGAACGCGAAGCCAGCGTTGCTGGCAGGCCCCCCTCAGCCGCGGACCCTGCGGCCACCCCGCCCCTTGGCGCTGCGCGGCTCGCGGCAGAGGCGCCTGGCGCTCAACAGCGATAGCTCCGAGGTAGGTTTGACCTCGATGCGCGCCGTAACCATCATCTTCGAGCAGTCTCGCCACGCCAGAGCGGGGGTTCACAGCGTTTCAGCGCTCCGTGCTGCGCGTGTTGTTGGCCGCAGGACCTTGACATAAGCGTGTGGGACACGAAGCCCGCGTGGTGCCAGCCGTGGACGATTGTCGGCACCGGGAGCACGGCGGTGGGCGGGACCTGGCTGCTCTGCCACAACCTCTGGGTCGAGGGCGTCGTGGCGGCCGCCGTGGGGCTGTGGTGGTACACCTTCCTGTTCGCGTACCCCAGGGCGTACAAGGAGGCCGTCACCGCCGAGCTGCGCGCCCGCGCGGCCAGCGCGCGTGCTGCCAGCAGCCCTGAGCAGTAGGGCTGGCAACGGCGACAGGGCCGACGTCCTGCGCTCCGATCCAGGGGCGAAGTAGTCTGCAGCGCCGAGTAGTAGGCTCGCACGGAGCGCACTGGCCGGTCATACACGGAATCGACGCGAAGAAGTAATAGAAAGTAATAGACGATTCATTGTGACGGGCTACAAGATGACTCATGCGGCCGACACGCACGTGCGCCGACCGCCGGCCGCGCGGCGGCGAGCGAGGCCCGCCGTGGCAACGCCCCGCTGCAGCTGCATGCCGCTCGAGAGACGCCCAGGCGCGCACGTGCCTCCCCGGCTACGTGTTATGGGAGGGAGGCGTCGCGCGCCACCGCCCCTCGCGAGCGGCGGCGACGCGCGTACGCGCTCCTGCCGTGCGCGTTTCACGCGGAAGCGCGAACGCGCCTCCCTGTGGTGCGGGTGCAATGCGCGACCCTCGCAACAGCGATGGCACGGCGCACCGTGGCCGTGTCTGTGCGGCGCGCGAGGGCCCGGAACGCTCGCGTAGTCGTGCGCGGGGGGCGGAAGGGGCTCCTGGCCCCGCTGACGAGGCCCATGCGCATCCCGTGGACACTGAGAGCCCCACACAGAGAGTCTGTCTCTCTTTTCAACAACAGGGTCGATCGAGCTGGTGGGGGGGCGACGGAGGTCGCGCCCGCAGGGCGGTTCCCCAGTCCGCGCTCCCTAGGTGAGGGCGAGGCGTCGTGACAGGTGCTCACCGCTGAAGTGGGCTGCTGTGATGGCCATTGGTGGCCCTGTGCGCGCCCTGTGACGCGCAGGTGCTCAATGACGCAAAGTCCTGCATATTCGTGATCTGGAGTAGTCTCACAGCGGTGGGTCACAGCGTCGCATGCCCCCAAACGGCTCCCGCGACCGCAGGTCGCTCCGCCACAGGGCGTAACGAAATCGACCGCGCACGCCGCCTCTCTCCCCCTCCAATGCCGCGCGAACTGGCCTCTAAGTCGCCATGAACCTGTGTGTGTCGAATGAGGCCCGGTCGGGCCGCGCTGGGCGGCGCTGGCACGTACTCACCCGGCCTGTTAGGGAAAGGCGGTCGCGGCTCGTCGTGGCTGGGTCGCAGGACGGTGTCGAGGGCTCGGGCTGACGACATTATTGCTGGCTAGGCTCCGCGCGGGCGCGCATTCACGGGCAGGGGCTGGCGGCGCGTCTCGGCGAGACTGACTCGGCAGCCGGGATCCGGAGGTTGTTCGCTGGCGCGGCGCCAAGGCGCTGGGCGGCCGCGCAGCTCGCCCTCTCGCTCACGGCTCGGACACTTGTCCATCGTTCCACGCCTCGTTGTGCGGCACTGCTCGTCACCAGGCGGACCGTGTAGCGAAGCGCATCCTGGGCCGTGAGCTCGACCTCGCCCGCACTCGCGTCTCCGAGACACGCGCGCGGCCTTCTCCGCCCGAACTCGCCATTCTCCGTATCCCCCTTCCGTCTCGGTAGGTCGCCGCTCCCCCACAGGGCGGCACGACGCTCCGGGCCCGGCAAGCTTCTAGTCACCTTCTCTCGCCGCGGCGCGCTCGTTCGAGGGACCTCGCGCCATGTACTCTTCGTCCAGCGCCCACATCTGCGCCAAGGGCCTCCCGCGGCTGCCCGCGCGCCGCGCGGCGCCGCTCACCGCGTCCAGCCGCGCTGCTGTGGCGCCCCTCCGCACTGCCCGGGCGACCCGCGCCGCGACCGGCCCGCGGCCGCGCGCCGGGACCTGCGTCGCCTCCGCCGTGGCCTACCCCGGCGAGGAGGAGAGCAAGGAGGAGGACGCGGTGGCGGGGGCGCTCCGGGTGCCAACAACGGGGATGGCTGCCCTGGGCAGCAGTGGGGGTGCGGTGCTCGAGGTACGGCCCACGCCACGCACTCCCGCGCACACCACAGCTCGCTCGCGCGCATAGCTACCGGGAACGCGCGCGCTCCGGCCCGGAGTCCCCCCCCTGTCCCTGCCAGCTGGCCCGCATCCTGCCCGGCATCCAGAAGAACATCTTCGCCGTTCCGGTGTCCCCGGGGGGGGTCCGCGGCCTAGTCTGCCCCTCGATGGTCGCAAGCTGGCCCGCTTCGTCGATGCGGTGGATTCGCGCCGTGTCGCGCCGCGCCGGCGCCGTCACGCACCGCCTGCCTCTTGCCACCTGCTCTGCTCACGTCGCCCCCGACCCGCGTTGCTCCGGTGCGCGCCCGCCCCCCGCAGCGCACGAAGTTCGAGCAGAAGCAGGAGGTGCGCCAGTCGTCGCCAAAGATCGACGAGGGCGGCGGTGGCGGCAACAAGGGCGGCGGAAAGGACCTGGGAGGTGGCGGCGGTGACGGTGACGATGGTGCGAGTCCCCCCTGCGCCCCCGCGGCCCGTTCCGCGCCTGGCCCGCTCGCACGTGACGCTGCGGTGCCGGTTTCGCGCAAATGCGCCCCTTGACCGCGGCTGCATCGCCGCGCAGCGCAGCTCTCTCTGCCGGCATAGCCCCCGGCCAGCCAGCCGCTCGCCCCGGCCCGCACGCGCCCTTCCGTGCCGCGAGACCGCCCTAGCGCGCACGTCCGCGCGACCAATCCCGCGGAACGCCGCCCCGCGGCCCCTCGCGCGCCGCGCAGCGTCCGCAACGCGCCCCAGTCCTGCATCTGCCGCTCGTCTCCGCGCCCCCCGGCCTCATTCGCGCCGCTCCCGCGCCCGCGCCGCAGGGGACGACGACGACTACGGCGAGGAGGGCGACGGCGACGGCGAGGGCGAGAACGGCTGGTGGCGCAACCCGCTCGGGGAGACGTTCGACCCGCGCGCACTCCAGTCGGTGCTTTCCGAGTTCGGGCGCACCGCCGCAGACCTGCCCATCATCCTCCGCCAGGGCGTCGAGCTCGGCCTCTTCTCCGCCTCCATGATCTTCCGGTTCTTCTCCGCGGACGTCCGCCCCTCGGTCGCTCGCGCCGTCTACGAGCGCCTGCCCCCCGCGCAGGCCAAGGGCATCATCGGGCGCCTCATGGCGGACCCGGGCTTCCTCCAGAAGATGGCCCTCGACACCGCGCTCGCGTGCGGCATCAACGTCGCGTGGGAGTGGCAGCAGCGCGGCCCGCGCGCGGCGGACGAGGTGGACCAGATTGCCATCTCCACCGCGTGCCTCGCGGCCGCGAACGCGGCGCTGATCTACCGCCTGGCGCCCATGCGCGCGCACGGCAGCACGGGCCGCCCGCTCCCGTGGCAGCAGCTCGTGAACGGCGTGCCTAACAACGTGTTCGAGGCGTCGTCCAAGGCGATGAGCTTCACGCACGCTGGGCGCGCGGGGTCGCTCCTGATGAAGACGGGCGAGCTGTCGCTGATCGGCGCGATCGCGGGCGCGTCGACGTCGGCGCTGCAGCAGGCCGCGGTGGCGCTGCGGCGGAAGTACGGGCCCGACGCGAACTACTCGCCGTCGATGCCGATCCCGGGCGTGCAGGCGGCGGCCGTGGGGACGGGCGCGTTCATGGGGATCTCGAGCAATCTGCGGTACCAGGCGCTCTTCGGGTTCGACCGGCTGATGTTCGACCGCGCGAAGACGCTCGGGCCCGCGCTGCTGTCGACGGGGGTGTTGCGGGGGGTGTCTTGCTGGGCGGGGCAGGCGAGCAGGAACTGGTGCCTCGGGCTGCCGCACGAGCTCCCAGCGAAGTACCGCGTCCGCAACGGGAAGGTGTACGCGCACGTGGGGGGGTACAAGTACAAGTTGTTCCGGGGGGGTCCGAAGGCGGCCGCCCGGGGGAGTGGGCGCGTGGTGCGGCGGAGGATGGTGCGGCGGACCAGCAGCGGGTCGGGGCCGCGGGCGACCGAGCCGCAAACCGTGGCGTAGGCGCAGGCATCGACGCCCGCGTCGCGACACATGATGAAAACATGACACACCCCCCCTCCTGCATTCTTAGCCCAAACTCCGCTCGGACGGCGGCTTCGACGGCGCGTCGAAGACCCGCGTAACGCACCTGAGCAAGGCGCGTCAATTTCGAACCCGCGCGGTTGCGGCGGCGGCAGTGCGCAAGCACCACCACGTGGCGCGGCGCGAGGGAGGCGCAGAACCGGCGGCCCCCGGGGCCTGCTTTTGGGGCATGCGCAGGCAGCGGGGATGTATGTGTACTCCTGCGGACTCGAAGCCGCTCGACGACCCCCCCCGTTTCTCGCGGAGGTGCACCATGAGCACACAGGCCCTGAGGGGCGCCGGTGCTGCGCCGCACCTCGGCCCCCCGGCCGCGCGTTGTGAACCTAGCCGGGAGAGAATCGCGCCGATCGAGTCACTCTCGTGCCCCCAGTCGCGCCGAAAGCCCACTATGTCATGCTTGGCGTGTGACGGTCTCGCGCCGCCGGTCGCGCTTGGCCTTGCATCCGTGAAGCCAGCTGTGCTACGACGAGCGCCGCGCACCTTGGTCACTTCCTACGGCCGCGGCAGGCTCGTCTGCTTTGCTGAACGTCATTCCCACCTCGGATCGGCCGCCCCTGCCCGGTAGCAACGCTCAGGCGACTGCGGGGGTGGGGCACACGAAGTGACGCCACGCGACGGTGCACGGCGGCCGGCGCAGAGTGTGTCGTCACACGGCGCCGCAGGGCGGGCTCCTCGGACAGCAGCGCACGTCGCCGCCGTCCAAGCACAACAGCCCGCGCCCAGCGCATCAGCGCGGCGCGAGCGACGCCCACATGCGGTGCCGTGGAACACCTCTTTCCTCCCCCGTCCGCAGCAATGCTCTCCTTCGCGCGCGTCCCTCACCGGGGCCCGCACCGAAAGGAATCAAAACATGCCGCCAACCCCCCTCGCGCTCCCGCGCGAGCGCCCTCCCCCCCCCGCCTCCTCCCCCGTCTCGCTCCTCGTTCCGTCCATCTCCTCCGCATCCGTGCCGCCCCGCCGCGCGCACGATGCCGTCTTCTGGGTCCTTTCTGAGTATGTAGTGTCATGGTGCAGCAATAGCGTGGCGCGGAGCCCGCGCGCGTCGCGCGTCAGTGCATCGCGCTGTCCCCGTCGCTGTCCTCGTCGTCCGAGCTCGCGAACGCGTCCGACGCGCTGCCGCCGCTCACGCTGCTCGGCTGCGGCGACAGCCCGCTGTCCGCCCGCTCGCTGCCCCCCGCCTCGCCCGCGCCCACGTTCGCGCCAGGCTCGCCGCCGACGTTGCCCCCACCCCGCTCGTTGCCCCCGGCGCCCGGCACGTCCCGCGGGCCCGACCCCGTGCGCTTCTTCGCGCCGCCCTCCTTGTCGCCGGCGCCACGCTTGCCCCCCGCGCCCTTGCCGGCCCTCGAGTTGTCCGCGAGGGCGAACTTCCGCACGTACTCCTTGACCTTGGCCTCGTACGCCGCGGGCTGGCGGATCAAGAGCGCGGCGGCCTCGCCGTTGAGCGGGTCCGTAGGGTTGGGGTACAGAAGCAGCTGTGGGAGGAAGACCTGCGGGGGGGCGCGCGCGGGGGGCGGGCGCGGGTGAGCGCGGGTGCGGGGGAGCGCGGCGGGCGCGGCGGGGGGCGGGCGGGGGCGCGGAGCGGGCCGCGGGGCGGCGGGTGGAGTGGCGCGGGGAAGCACCTCGAAGACGTTGACGAGGTCGAACATGGGCGACCAGGTCTGGTTGATGACGTCGAGGCAGACGGAGCCGGCGCTCTCGTCGACGTTCGGGTGGAAAATGCGGTTCACGAAGCCGATGGACGGGCTCTTGAAGGGGTACCCCTCAGGCAGCTCGACGTGTACGCGCCACTGGCCGCCCTCGTAGGGACCTGCGGGCGCTGGGGGGCAACAGCCTGGCTTGGGCTCAACGGACGCCTCGCGCGCGCCGTGCGGGCCGCGCCGGGGCGGTGCGAGGTGCCGAGGGCGCGAGAAATGTGGGAGAAGTGCACGGAAAGGCGGCGAGGGCGCGGATCGGCGGACGGGCCGCACGCACGCGTGCCTCGGCCAGCACGGTAGCGCCAGCTTCAACACGCGCGACCGCCGCCGCGCCGCCGGTCGCACGCGGCCACGCCCCGCGGAACGGCTTCTCGCGACCGGAACGGCCCGGCGTGGGCCCAGCGGCCGCGTTCCGCGGCGGGACGCGCGCGGAAAGCCCAGATGCGTCCTGTGGAGCCTCAGAGCACGGACGGCCGCAATGCGGGCTCGCGGGGCGGGCAGGGGCCTCGATCGTGGCGGAGGGAGGTCGTCGGGGCAGGGACGCACTGTTCTTTGGTCCGTGGAACTCCACGTTGAGCTCGCAGAGGCTGTCATTCACCAGGTCCACCTTGTAGTCGCTCATCATACTGCGTGTGTCGCGGGGGGCGCGCGAAACGGCGTTCGGGCGCACGCAGAACGGTTGCGGCATGGGTTTCGAGGCGGAGAAGCGGCCCCGCGGGGCGCTGGGGCGCTGCGCGCGCCGCGCGGAGGCGGTGGGTGCGCAGCTTGTCTCCCGGCCGTGCTGTCCTCCAGCGGCGCACAGGGGCCGATGTGGTCGGGCGCGGGAACGGAGGCACCGCGGTGGCGCAGGGGGGCGCGGCGCGGGGGCCTCGCGGCTCGTCCGTCGGCTCGCGACGTGCGCACATCTGCTCCCAGGCCTCACTGGCAGGGTGCTCCTCGCCCGGTGACCGCGACCCGGAACCGCGCAGATTCGCCGGGTTCCGCGGTCGCGGGGGCTCAGCGCGACGGGTGCTGCCCGGCGCGGCGCGCGCGGGGCGGCGAGCGGCGCGTGCGGGGCCGGGAGCGAGCGGAGAGCACGCGGGGAGAGTGGATCGGTGTGGAGCGTACAGTTTCATCACGTCCATCTCTCGCCGCTTCCCAGGGGACGTCATCTTGCTACTAGGGATCTCGCGCCCGGGACTGGACTTCGCGCCGCGGCGGAGGGGCCCGGGGCGCGGGCGACGTAGCTGAGCTGGGTGCCTCGGCAGAGGGCGCTCGGCTGCGGTGAGCGAGCGCGCGCTGCGATGAACTAGAAGACGGGGCTCGGACCAACCGAACTCGAGAAATCGATGCGACGCGCGCCGGCGTCGGCGGGCCCCAAAGACGCGCGATCCGACCCCCTGCGAACGCAAGCGAGTGCTGAGCCAACTCCTCCCTGAGCTGCGGCACGCCCCCCCGCCGCACCCCGGGCAAGTTTCCGCGCCAAACGCGAGCGAGCCGCACTCTCGAGCGTCCGGCACGACACCCGCGCGCGGAACCAATCCCGCGTGCCCGCACGCCCCGCCAGAGTCCACCTCTGCCAGTAGCCCACCCTGGCAGAGCCGTCCGCGAGCGCATTTCGCCGCGTTCGCGCCCCGTCCGGCCAGCGCGCAGCACCGAGCCCCCCGCGCGTCTGCGACCGGCCCGCCGTCCAACAGCGCCCTCTCGAGCTCTGTGTTTGTGTTTCCAAGACAGCTTTCCGAGGCTCCGCGATCATGCCGACGCAAATCGTCACCCCGATCGACTACAAGCCGGGGACCCTGCGTCTCCTGGACCAGCGGAAGCTGCCCCTGGTCCAGGAATACCTCGAAGTGACGTCCCCGCAGGATGCATGGCAGATGATCAAGGACATGGTCGTTCGCGGCGCCCCCGCGATTGGAATCACCGGTGCGCGCCCCCGCGTCACCGTCAGTACGCAGGCGTCGTGGCGCGGGCCTCCCGGCGCCGGCGTGCCGCGGGAACCGGCCGCGGCAGCTCTGTGTGTGCGCGGTGGGCGGGCCCCGATGCGGCGCCGCGCCGGGCGCGGGCGGCGACGCGGCTGCGATGTTCTGCGTGTATGAAGTGCCGACATGGCGCCGCGCCCGTCCGATGCCGTTCTCGCAGGCGCGCTCGCGCTGGCGGAGGACCTGCGCCGGCAGCGCGGAACGTTCGCGTCCCCCGCCGACGTCTCCGCGCACGTCGCGACCACCATGGACTTCCTCGTGACTTCTCGCCCGACCGCCGTCAACCTCGCCGACGCAGCGGGCCGCCTCAAGGCCGAGGCCGCCCGCCTGGCAGCGCCCGGCGGCGCTTCGGACGCGTCCGCGGCCTGCGACGCCATGATCGCGGCGTGCGAAGGCGTCCTGCACGACGACGTCCGCTTCTGCAACGCCATGGGCAACGCCGGCGCCGACGCGCTGCTCGCGGCCACCGCGCACATCACCGCGGGCCGCTGCGTCAACGTCTTGACGCACTGCAACACGGGGGCGCTCGCGTGCGGCGGCATCGGCACCGCGCTGGGCGTGATCCGCGTCCTGCACGCGCGCGGCGTCCTCGGCCACGCGTACAACACCGAGACGCGCCCGTACAACCAGGGCGCGCGCCTCACGGCCTTCGAGTTGGTCCACGAGAAAATCCCCGCGACGATGGTCTGCGACTCCGCCGTCTCCTACCTCATGGCCCAGGTGCGAGCCCTCGCCCAGGCGCACGCCGCGGCGCTCCGCCGCCCCCCGCGACTCGTGGCATGCCACCGCCGGCGCTGCACGTAACGCGCGGTGCGGTGCGTCGGGTGGCCGCAGGGCAAGGTCGACGCGGTCGTCGTGGGCGCGGACCGCATCACCGCGAACGGGGACACCGCGAACAAGATCGGGACGTACCAGCTGGCGCTGGCGGCCCGGCACCACGGGCTGCCCTTCTTCGTGGCGGCGCCTACGACGACGCTCGACCCGGCGCTGGACCACGGCGGGCTGATCGAGATCGAGCAGCGCCCGCACGAGGAGATGACCACGTGCCCGCGGACGGGCCAGAGGGTCGCCGCGGAGGGCATTGGGATCTGGAACCCCAGTTTCGACGTCACGCCGCAGGGCTTGATTACAGGGATCGTCACGGAGCACGGGCTGATTCCGCGCAAGGAGGGCGGCGGCGGGTTCGACGTGCGGGGGTTCCTGAGCCAGCACGGGCAGGAGGTCCCCGGGGGGAGTGACAGGCGGGTGTTGGAAACCAAGCTGGGCTACAGGCACGGCGCGACGCTTGACCACCCGGGCGAGCGCGGACCCCCGCCGCTGCGCGCCGCCGCCCCCCGGCCCGTGCTTGTCCCGCACCGCCCTGCTCCGCCCCGCACGGCAGGGGCCAGGGCGGCGGTGCGGCCTGCGCTGGGGCGCTACAGCCGCCTCGCCTCCTTCGCCGTGCCGCGGACTCCATGACGTCTGCCAGGCACACACCCGGCGCCGACGCCACCGTGCGTAGCAGCTTCTGCAGCGCGCTGGCCGGCCGCACGGCCGCCCGACCGACGCCGCGCGCGTTTGCGGCAATGATTGCCGTGCAGGGACCTCGACGAGGCCGGAGTGTGCGCGTACGTGGCGGAGAGGCCTGGGCTCGCCCGCCTGGTGGCGCCAGAGGGCAGCGACCCGGCAACGTGGAAGGTTCGCGAGGTCGGCGACGGCAACATCAACTATGTGTTTATCGTGGAGGGCCCGCTCGGGGGCATCGTGGTCAAGCAGGGGCGCCCGTATATCCGGCTGGTGGGGGAGTCCTGGCCGCTGACTCAGGACAGGATCCGCCTCGAGGCGCAGGCGCTGCGGGAGGAGGGGCGGTGGTGCCCGGAGCACACGCCCAAGGTCTACCACCTGTCGGAGAACCTGTCGCTGTTCGTCATGGTGAGCGCCATCCCGGATCCGCATCCATACGTCCGTCCCGCAGCGGAAGGCGCGGTGCCGCGCGCGTCCACGTGATCGCGCAGCCCTGACACCCCCCCCGCTCACGCCGCCACCCAAAACCCCACCTGCCGCCCCCGCTGCCCGCAGGAGTACATCCCGCCGCCACACTCCATCCTCCGCCACGCCGTCTGCGACGGCGGCGTCTTCCCGCACCTCGCCGAGCATGCCTCCAAGTTCCTGGCCCACACCCTGTTCCATACCTCCCTCCTCTACCTGTCCACCGCCGAGCGCGCCGACCTCGCGGCGCGCTTCCGCAACCCCGAGATGTGCCGCCTCACCGAGCAGGTCGTCTTCACGGACCCCTACTTCCCCGCGGATATAAACAAACACACCTCCCCCCAGCTCGACGCCGACGTGGCGGACCTGCGCGCCGACGCGCGCCTCAAGGCCGCCGCCGCTGAGATGAAGCGCATCTTCTGCGAGTGCGGCGAGGCGCTCGTCCACGGAGACCTCCACACCGGCTCGATCATGTGCACCGAGGCCACGACGTACGTCATCGACGCCGAGTTCGTCTTCTTGGGACCGATGGGCTTCGACGTCGGCGCGCTGCTCGCGAACCTCCTCCTCGCGTTCTACGCCACGGACGGACGGTCCGCCGCGGCGGGCGGCGGCGCGGACGACCGCGCTGCGCAGCGCAAGTGGCTGCTGCGGTCCGTCGGCGACATTTGGCGGATGTTCGTAGCGGAGTTCGAGGCGCTGTGGGCCAAGTCCCACGGCGGGGATGCGCTGCGGAAGGAGGTGTTCGGACACCCGCTGGAGGACGCGGCGGCAGAGGGGGCGGCGTCGCGACTTGCGTTGGATGCCTGGACCCGGAGGCTGCTGGCGGACTCGCTCGGGTTCGCGGGGTGCAAGATGATTCGTCGCATCGTGGGGATCGCGCACGTCGCGGACCTGGAGGGGATCGAGGACGCGGACCGGCGCGCGGTGTGCGAGCGGCGGGCGCTGAAGCTGGGTCGGGCGTTGCTGACGCAGCGCAGCGCGTTCGAGAGCATCGAGCGCGTTCTGGAGCTGGCCGAGGAGATCAGGAAGGACGGGGCGCAGCCGTACTCGCCCCTGTGAGCTGACAGAGGCTGAAATCGATTTTTGGTCGGGCTGGGCCAAGCTGCCATGTAGGCGGCGTGAAACGCGTCCTCCGTGGTGTTGGACCGCCGGCACGTGCACTCCGCTCTACCTCTGTTGCCGCTCATCGTCAGCAGCTTGAGTGGTTACAGAAGAATGAGGTGAGGTGTTACTTCTCTTGTCAACTGGTGCCAGCACGCATGCCGTGGTCTGCAATCAGTTGCCCTACTCCACGACTATCCTCAGTCTGGTGGGCGTGACGCCGGTGCTCCTCGATCGGCGTGCAGCCGGCGCTCACTGCGCCCCACTCGACGCATGTGTGCGTCGCCGCCATCGTCGCCAACATGCTGCTCAAGGGGCGTCGATACCACACCGACGAGCCTGAGGACAGTCGTGGACGGGGTCCGCGGCGCTCGCGCGACCCCCGGGCAGCACGCCGTGTCGTACTGAGCAGTCCACGTCAGGTTTTGTCTGACATGCGGTTTAGTTCCCGTAGGACCGTCTCAACCGCGGCGTCGACGGGCGCCGCGACGGGAACGACCAGCAGGCGGTGTTCTGCGCCGGGCGCGCCGCGCGAGGCGATCTCGCCCGGCTCGGGGGGCCGCAGCGCAGCGAATTGAGAGGCCAGCATGTCAGCGCTCATAAAATGACCCGTCCTGGCGACCAGCCGATCGCGGATGTCCTCGAAGGAGCCCTGCACGCAGGGGAACGACGCACGATCGCGACACGCGCCGCGAGGGCGCGTTGCGGTCACGCGGACAGCGGCAAGGTGTAGCGATGAAGCACAACCCCGCGAGACGCGCGCTTGCCTGGAGGAACACCCACAGGGTGGGCGTCTCTGCGATCGCGAGCGCGTCGCGGTGCTGTGGGCCGAGGCAGGAGCAGGCCACCACGACGGGCGCGTCCGGGCGGCGGAGGGCCTCTTTGGTGCCAGTGCGTAACGCTGACAACCACGGGCGTCGGTCGTCGTCGGTGAGCGGAACGCCGCGGGCCATCTTTTGGATGTTGGCGTCTGCGGGGCACGCAGGGCGCCGATCGGTCTCTGCAGGTGCGTAGCGAAGCCAGCGCTCGTGCGAAAGCGGTGACGCCGCACTGCTTTCATGGCGACTCTCGTTCCGGCAGCGGGACCGACCTGGATGGAAGTCGTCGCCCTCCAGGAACTCGCACGCCAGCGCCTCGGCGAGGCGGGCGCCGAGGGTCGACTTCCCGCTCCCAGACACCCCGCAGCAAATCACGATTACCGGCGTCACTGGTACACAAAACGGGCTGCGCGCTCCGTAAGCCGACATTCTCGGATATCTAAGGCGCTCCTGCGGTCTCCTTGATCTATTCTTGCCGGAACGCGGCGCGACACCGGCCTGGCATGTTCGCGCCGGTCGTAAGGCCCCACGCAAAGCCTGTATTGCACCGCATCCGCCCGGCCCCGGTAGGGCCGGAACACCGATACTCGCAGCACTGCCGGGTCTCTAGGAACTCAACAGACCACAGCGGTCGTCTTTGGCTGCTTTGTCTCGCGAACGCAGGCGAAGCCGCTGCCTTCTAGGCCCTCCGTCCTTCCGCGCCGATGCGCTCGGAACCGGGTCGATCTTTCGCGGAATGTAATCTCATCGGTGAGATATGGGCAGGGAGGCTGGTTCCGCGGGCAAACCCGGTGCCGCCCGCGGGCCAGGCGCCCGTGCAGGAGGTCTCATGTGCACGCCCCCCGCCACCGCTGCTCAGGCCCCGTGTGAGGCCCGGCTTCATCATCGGCGCGCGCCGGCGCTCCCGGTCCGTAGCTGACCATCGCTGGCACACGGTCGGACCTCAACGGCGCGGTATTCGCGGTTGCTTGAGACAGGGCAGGCGCCAGGATACCCCACTCGTCGGTGTATGCTTAGGAGAATGCTGAGCTCTGTGGCGCGTGTCATGCAGGTACGTGGCCGCAAAACGCACTCCCTCACACACATCAATCCTGCCCGGGCCCGCTTTCGGCGCGGTAGCGGCCGCAACGCTCACCGCGCGGTCTACAATGACAGCCGCCAGCGCACGGCCCCCGCGGCTCCCTGGCCGTCGGCAGAGCGCGCTCCGTGCCGCGTCGTCGGCGGCGCCGCTCTGGCACCGCGACAGGCGTCGCGTGTGCGCGCCGGGCGGTGTATATCCGTTCCTGTGCTGTCCTGCGCGGCTTCTACTGCGATGTTCCGGATGAGAGATACAAGGAGGGCGCGGCGGCGCGTCCCCGCGACTCCCCCCGCGCCTCTCGCGCCCCGCTCAGCTTTCCTGCACCTCCCTCCCTCCCGCGCCGCATTGCTCGTGACGGCGTCTGCAGCGACCGCGCCGAGCGCTCCTGCATCCCCCACCTCCTCCCACGGCTGATTCCCGCGACACCCGCCCTGGTTTCACCGAGCCCCCGCCCCTCCGCGCGCTGCCAACGCAGGCCCGCCCCTCGGGCGCGCTCCACCGCGCCGCGGGCGCCCCCGCGGGCGCCCGCGCGGCGCCGTGGCGCTCCGCAGCGCTCGCGCCGGCCCTCCGGCCCACGGCGGCGCCGCTCGCGGCCCGCACAGCCCCGCGGACCTTCGCGAGCGCCACGGACGCCCCCGAGGAGACGTTCCAGTACCAGGCCGAGGTCGACCGCCTGATGGACCTCATCGTCAACTCGCTGTATTCCAACCGCGAGATCTTTCTGCGGGAGCTCGTCAGCAACGCGTCGGACGCGCTGGACAAGATCCGGCTCGCGTCGGTGCAGAACGCCGAGGTCCTCGGCGCCGCGACGGACCTCGAGATCCGCATCCGCGGAGACCAGGACTCCGGCACGCTGGTGATTGAGGATTCAGGAGTGGGGATGACGCGCGAGGAGCTGATCAGCTCGCTGGGCACGATCGCGCGCTCCGGGACGCGCAAGTTCATGGAGGCGCTCAAGGAGCAGCAGGCCGCGGGGGACTCGAACCTCATCGGTCAGTTCGGCGTGGGCTTCTACAGCGCCTTCTTGGTGGCGGACCGCGTGACGGTGGAGACGAAGAGCAACGACGACGAGTCCGCGTGGCGCTGGGAGAGCCTCGAGGGCTCGCACGAGTACAAGATCGCCAAGGCGGACGCGGCGGACCTCCCCCGCGGCACCCGCATTACGCTGCACCTGAAGGAGGATTGCAAGGAGTACACGCAGTGGCCCAAGCTGCAGGAGCTGATCCGGACGTACTCGGAGTTCATCTCGTTCCCCGTCAAGGTGTTCCAGGAGGTGCAGGACCCGAGGGAGGTCGTCGACGAGGAGGCTACCAAGGCGGCGCAGGAGGAGGAGGACAAGAAAGCCGCGGAGGAGGGCCGCGAGGCGACCAAGGTGGAGCCGACGATGAAGACGGAGTTCGAGAGCAGCTGGCGGTACGAGGCCGCGAGCGACAACAAGCCGATCTGGGTCCGCCCCGCGCGGGAGGTGACCAAGGAGGAGCACGAGCAGTTCTTCCAGACGACCTTCAAGGAGTTCGTGCCGCCGCTGGCGTTCAACCACTTCAACGTCGAGGGCACGATCGAGTTCAAGGGCATCCTGTACGTGCCGGGCATGGCGCCGTTCGAGGGCCTCAACCCCATGAAGTCGACGCGGAACATCCGGATGTACGTCAAGAGGGTGTTCATCAGCGACGGGTTCGACGCCGAGCTGCTCCCGCGGTACCTCTCGTTCATCAAGGGCGTCGTCGACTCCTCGGACCTCCCGCTGAACGTCTCGCGCGAGATTCTGCAGGAGTCGCGCACCACGCGCGCCATCCGGAAGCAGCTCGTGCGGCGGTCGCTCGACATGCTCAAGGACCTGCAGGAGAACGCGGAGGACTACAAGCGATTCTGGGAGGCCTTCGGGAACCAGCTCAAGATGGGCGTGATCGAGGACGAGCCCAACCGCGCCAAGCTGGCGCCGCTGCTGCGCTTCTCGTCCTCGCAGTCCGCCGACGACATCACCAGCCTCGAGGTGCGCGCGGAACCGACGCTGCTGCCGCGGCGGCCGTTGCTCGTCGCGTCGCCGGCTTTGTTGCTGCGCTTTTAACCAATCCCGCCCTCCCCCCCCCCCGCGACTCCTGTTGCTCGCGCCAGCACGCGCGACCACCGTCGTCTTCGCAGGCGGCTCACGCCCGCGGCCGCTCCCGCCACCTCATCACACCCCCAACTCCCCCCCTTGCTGCGCGCAGGAGTACGTCGGGCGCATGAAGGAGGGTCAGACGCAGATCTTCTACATGGCCGGGGACTCCCGCGCGGCCGTCGAGCGCGCGCCGTTCGTGGAGCAGCTCGTCAAGCGCGGCTTCGAGGTCCTGTACCTCACGGAGGCGCTGGACGAGATCGCGTTGACAAACTTGGCGAAGTTCGACGACAAGGAGCTGTGCGACGTGACCAAGGAGGGCCTGGACCTCCCCGGCGACGAGGAGGAGAAGAAGGAGGCCGAGAAGCTCGCCGAGGACCTCAAGCCCGTCGTCGACTTTATGACGCAGGCGCTGGGGCCCAACCGCGTCGAGAAGGTCGCGGTCTCGACGCGGCTGGACGACTCGCCGTGCGTGCTGGTGACGAGCAAGTTCGGGTGGTCGGCGAACATGGAGCGCATCATGCGCGCGCAGGCCAACGCGGACCCTCGTTCGATGGAGTATATGCGCGGGAAGAAGACGATGGAGATCAACCCGAAGCACCCGATCGTGGAGACGATCGCGTCGATGGTGGGCGGCGGCGCGGCGCGCGAGGCGCAGGCGAAGGAGATGACGGAGCTGATGTTCGAGACCGCGCTGTTGACGTCGGGCTTCAGCGTGGAGGAGCCAAAGGACTTCGCGCGGCGCGTGTTCGCGATGATGGGGCAGGTGGCGGCGCCGGGGGCGGAGAAGGAGGCCGGCGGGGCGAAGGAGGAGAAGAAGGTCGAGGAGGTGACGGCGGAGGTGGTGGAGGAGGGCGGCGACGCCGACCCGTGGAAGTAGGGGGGGGGTGTTGATGGCGGCTGCCGGGCGGGCTGCGGGCCGTGACGTGTGAGCGGGGCTGCGCGAGCGCGCGAGCGCGTCGTGGCGTGCGATGCTGGCCTTCGCGGGCAGGATGTTGGTGGTCGCGGCGAGCGTTGTGCGTCGAGGGGCGATTTCGCCGGTGATGCGGGGGCCAGCGGGCAGTGGAGCACGTGCGCGAGTCAGGAGCTTCACATCCCGGCCAGGACGGGAGGGCTGCTGCCGGCGGTGCCGCGCAGGGGCCGCTCAGTCGGACTGGAACATTACTCCCCCTTGATGACGGCGAGGAGGTCGTCGCTCCGGTACAACAGGAACTCCCGCTCGCCCTCCTTGATCTGCGCGGCCCGCACGTGCGCGACGCGCGGTGTGCGTTATTGAGCGGCCAGCGTGCCTTCCTGACGCAATGTGGCATGTGTTTGTTTGGGGCGGGCGAGGCTCGGGGACGCACCGGCTGCCCGCCGAACTCCGGGAGCATGACCTTGTCGCCCTCCTTGACCGGCATCGGCACGAGCTCGCCGCTCGTGGTCGTCCGGCCGGGGCCCACTGCCACCACGGTGCCTTCGTTGACCTGCGGGGGCCGGGAGGGTCGGGGAGGTTCAGTTGTGAGTGCGAGCGGGCTGATGCGGAGGCGAACCGAGGCTGGGGAGCGCGGGCCGCGGTCAGCGCGCGCGCACGGAGGCGCTGGCGCTGTCAGGGTGCAGCTTCGCCCGTGTCTTCGCGGCCCCTGAACGCTGCGATTGGAAACACCCCGGTTTCGATGCAGAATGGCGATATACGAAGAAGATACGAAGCGGGAGGAAGGAGATCCGCCGGCGCGGGCGCGGGGCTGCGGCGCACGGGCCGATCGCAGCCGGGCCCTGGGCAGAGCTTCCAGACGCACGGCTCTCTCGCGGTCCTGACAGCACTCAGTCCCCCCCCTCCTTGCCACAAGGCGCGGTACCGAGCGAGAGGAAGCCGTGTATCCTACCGCGGCGCCGCGACGGTCGCGGCTGCGGTCGGACGCGCGCATAGCTTGTGGCCGCGGAACGAGAGGCTGTTGGGGGGGTTCAAAGTCACCTTCTTGGTCTCCGGGAGCAGCACGCCGCCGGCGGACTTGGTGGGCGCCGCGACCTTCTCCACGAGCACCCGGTCGAGCAGCGGAATCAGCCGCCGCGCCATCGTGGCCACCTGCTGCCTAGCTGCTGTGGCTCGCCAGTCCTCTGCTCAGCGGGGAGCTGCGGCGCCCTGTGACTCGATCGTGAGCGGTACTGCGGCGCAGGGAGGGGCCGCGGGGCCCGTGAGACGCGGGTTTCATCGCAGGGGGGGGTTCAGAGCGGACTGCAGTGGCTGAGTGCGGGAGCAGAGGGGTAGTGCGCTTGTGCGGGATGCGGGAACGTTGGACGCCCGCAGCGACGGCCCACGGGCACCACGTTGGTCGGCGGAAGGCGCGCGACGATCTGAGAGTGCGAACAGGGTGCCTGGGTGACAAGGGCGGGTCGAACTCTGTGAAATCGACAGGCAGGTGCGCCGCATTGCGATTACACGAGTCTTGATTACTCACTCACGCCACAGATGGCTATTCGAGGTCTCGTTCGAGCACCGCGCCGCTTGTTCGGCCCTGCAAACCCACCTCACAAGGAACCCCTCATGGTGCACTGTCTCCACCCAACTGCCTCCTTCCGCTGCGGTTCGAGCGCCAACCGGTGGTTTCAGCAGCTCCGTGCATACACCGCGGTCGAACCATTCGGCCGCTCGACCGCGCGGCGATCTCATCGCGCGACAACATGGCACGTCGCACCGAACACAATCTGTGCGTGCGTGCCTGGGTCGCGTCCTCAGGATGGCGCACCGCGACTGCAGCGCGTGATGGGGTCGCGGCGGCGCTCCAGCGAGGCGCAGCGCGAGCCGAAGCGCCCGCGCGGCGGGCACCGGGCCGACGGCGCTCGGGAGGCGCCGCGCGCCCGTGACGGTGCGCCAGGGGCTGCGGCGGCGCGGGACGCGCCCGAGGCGGCGAAGCGGGCGGCCAGCGGCACGGCGGACCCGTTCATGCGGGCGTGGGCGTGGAAGCGCGAGCACCTTCCTGACAGGGCACGGTTCCATAAGCCGTACAAGTATGACTTGAATGGGGGGGGAGTCAGCGACGCAGGCCGCGACGTGGGCGCCCAGGTGCGGCGCCGCGCTGATGGAAACGGAGGCGCTCTGTGTCCGCGAGGCCGCGCAGCCGCAGTTCCTGCGAGCGCGTTGTCGCGGTGGCGTAAGTGCGCGCGTACTGGCAACTACTGCAGTTGACCATCGAGCAGGCGCCGTTCGGGCCGGAGGGCTTCGCTAGCACGGTGTGGGACAGCAGCATCGTGGTCGCGAAGATGCTGGAGAAGGCGGCGGAGCGTGTCCGCGGGAAGCGATGCCTGGAGCTGTCTGCTGGCACAGGCCTTGTAGGTGCGCAGCGACCCCCCCGCCGCCGCAACGGAACCGCAACGGACGCGGCTGGTGTGCACGACCTCAGCTGCGCCGCGCGGAGCGGTTCCTGCAGCGGTCGTGATGGCCAGGCTGGGCGCGTCACGCGTGGTGGCGACCGACCTCGAGCCGAACCTCCCGCTGCTGCGACGGAACGTGGCGAAGAACGGCGCGGACGTCGAGGTCGCGGCGCACAGCTGGGGCGAGCCGGTGGCGGCGCTCGGAGGGCCGTTCGAAGTGATTTCAGTTTGCGATTGCATGTATGTAGACGAGGACGACGTGGTGCGCGCTCTCGCCCGGAGCATCGCGGCGCTGCTGGCAGCCGATGGCCTGGCGGTCGTGGCGCAGGGGCGCAACGACAGGGCGTGGGAGCGGTTTGTGGCGCAGTGTGCTGCGCAGGGGCTGGCGCCGCCGCGCGCCGTGGGGGACGACGAGCTGGACGAGGTGTACCGGGCGCCGGACGTGTCCGTGTGGGAGATCAGGCGGGAGGCTGCGCGGCAGGGAGACTGATGTGCGAGGCGGGGGGTCCGAGAATGCTGCTGCTGCTGTCGCTGCCAGTAGCGGCAGAGGCACACAGCTGCGCGTTCGCCCGCGCGCGCTGCTCTCAGGTGGATCTGGCAGGGCGGGATGAGGTGAGGTGCTAACTTCTTCGCGTCGTCAGGCTTTGGGACCTGAGAAGATCATTCGATTAGGCGGCGAGTCATGCTCACCCCCCACCGTTATGGTAGCGACAGGTTCGGCAGCTGTGACAGAGTGATGATGTGACGTCGAGCGGCTCCGTGGCTCAGGCGGGTCTTACACGCGCAGCCAGTGTTAGCTGCGCGGGGTGCGGGGCGCGACGCAGGCCTTCGAGCAGCGGAGGCGTGAATCGATCGGAGTGCGTGCTGGCCCGCCGCCTAGGGAGAATGCCCAGGGCCAGCCGCGGGGGGAGGGCCGACAGCCGCCACGGGATCACGGCTGCCGTTCTCTTCCGCCGCCACAAAGGTCCCGCAGTTCGCTCCGAGGGAGCTCCCCGCGGGGCCCCGCGCCGCGCACCCGCTGTATATCATCATAGCGGAGCTCCAGGGGCGCTAGCTGCGCCCCTAGGCCTCCACCTTGATCGCCTTGGCGCTCGACAGCTCGTCCGTAAACTCCTGGAACGGCCCCTTGACGTAGCGCGTCTCGCGCCACAGGTCGGGCGTCAGGAAGCCGTACGTGTGCTGCAGGGCCGTGTACGTCGCCTTCACGAAGTTCCCGAGCGTGGCCGTGTGGCCCCGCGAGCACGTGTAGCAGTCCTCGATGCCCGCCATCTGCAGCACCTTCTTGGGCGTGCGGGCCGCGACGATGCCGGCGCCGCGCGGGGCGGGGATGAGCCGCATCGTCACGGAGCCGCACTTGCCGGAGACCTTCATGGGCACGGTGTGGGGCTTGCCGATGTTGGAGCCCCAGAAGCCGCGCCGGACGGGCACAACGTTCATCTTGGCGAGGTTGATGGCGCCGCGGATGGCCGTGGCGACCTCCTTGGCGCACTTGACGCCGAGGCCGAGGTGCCCCTCGTGGTCGCCGACGATGACGAAGGCCTTGAAACGCGTGCGCTGGCCGGCGCGCGTCTGCTTCTGCACCGGCATGATCTTCATGACCTCGTCCTTGAGCGCCGGGCCGCAGAGGTTCTCCACGATCTGGTACTCCTTGATGGGGATCGAGTGGAGGTAGATCTGCTCCAGGGAAGAGATCTTGCCCTGCGTGGAGGCGGGAGGGGGAGGCGAGGGGCTTCAGAGGCGGGCGTGTGGCGCGCCGGGGGCGCGGGCGGGGCGGGGCGCGCGGGAGGGGTCGTGAGAAATCGTTGAGGGCGGGGTGGGGGGAGGAGGGCGGTGGCGGGCGAGGGGCGGAGGCGCTGCGTGGGGTGCGTCGTCCGGCCCGCCTGCTGTTGCGCCGGCGGCGTCGCGCCTCCGCGCTCGGCGCCTCTCGTGCGGAGGCCGCAAATGGGAAACGCCGCCGCGCCGGCGCGGGGCGGCGCGTGCGGGGCGCGCGCGAGCGTGACGGGCGGGCCAGTGCCTGGGGGCTGCTGGGCGGTCCCGGGTCGCACCTGCTGCACCAGACGGCCCAGCTTGGTCGTGGGCACCCACTTGTCCTCCGCGTCATCCCTCCGTCCGCGGCGCCCACCGCGTCCGCGACCACCGAACCCACGGCCGAAGCCCCCACGCCCGCGCTCCCCACCGCCACCAGCAGGAGCCGGAGCCGACATGTTTACTGCACGCGGGGACGAAGGGAGCTGCCAGGTCAGCGGTGGCGTCCTTGGGGGCTCGCTCGACGGCCGGCAGAGCGCGCAGAGGGCGCTCCGTGCCGTGCGGGCCCCGGTTCGTACTCAGGAGGGAAAGCAGGCCGGCAACGGGCGCGCTCGGGGCGCGCAGACCGCCCCGTGATAGCTGAGGCGCGTTGAAACACAGAGAAAGACGAAGGCGTGCGCGGACTGGCGTGCGAGACGCCGCGGGGAATCGGCGGGGCCGAGCTCGCGCTGTCGGCTCGGCGAGACCGTCGCGCTGGAGCACTCACCGATTCAGGAAAGTGTTCCCGTGTGAGCCCGCGCCTGAAGAGGACGACGGCGCCGCGCGGACGCGCCCCTTGTCGCCGGTGCGGGCCAGCCTGGCCTGACAGCAGGCCCCAGTCGAACTCACGTCGCCGGCACGCGCGCCGCTGGCGACGAATACCCGCGAGCGCGCCGTCCCGGTCCTCGCGACTCTCGGACCGGCCGCGCGGACTTTCAGACCAGGAGCGACCCTGCATTGTCGCTGCCGACCGCACTCGCCTTGCACCGCTCCGGACGCCCGCTGCGGACCACCATGCAATCCGCGGTCCGCGCCGGCATGGCGCCGTGCCTCTGCCGGATCTCTCGGCGCGGCGCCGCCCCCTGCAGCTCCGCTCTCTCGCCCACCGCGCGCCCAGGGCCTGCCAACCTCCACACCGCATCCCAGCCCTCGTTGCGGTCCGCTTTCGCGGGCACGACGGACGCGCTGGCGCGCTCCCGCGGGCCCATGGTCGCGCACAAGGGCCGCAGCTTCAGGTACGACGAACCGCGCCGGGTCTTCGTCCCCGTCCCGCGACGGGATTCCCGCCCCAGCCCCTCCATCGGCCTGCAGCAGCTCTCGTGGTGCAGGGGGCTTGCACGCCGCCCGCTCGGCGTTTGGAGATTCTGGACGCCGATGCCTCCCCCCGCGACGCTGCTTGCATACGGGTCTATCTGTTCGGGCCAACGAGCGCGCGTCCGGGGCGCCCCACCTCCGCCCTGCCGCGCGCCACTGCTCCGTGTTTCCTGGAATCGCGGCGGCGGGGGTCGTGCTTCGTTTTCTACCACTCAAGGCCCCCATGAAACCTTCTCCAGGCTTCTGGCAGTCTTTTCCTTGGGATTTCCGATCGGCATCGAACCATACCGCCACGCAAGAGGCGCAAACCCAGTCTGCCCCATCCAGTCCTGCCAACGTCCGGCCCGCGCCCCCGCGCCCGCAGGACGTCCGTCGTGAGCATGGGCCTGCGCACGGGTATCGTCGGGCTCCCCAACGTCGGCAAGTCCACCATGTTCAACGCGCTAACGGAGTCGTCTGGAGCACAAGCCGCAAAGTGAGCGCCCGGCGCCACGCCACGCCTCCCCGCGTCGCCGCTCCGCCACTCAGGCCTCGGGACAGCCGCGACCCTGCACCACGTCGGTGCCGCGCGCACACCGCCGGCAGCACCGCGACACAGCGCCTCGTTCAACATCCATGCTACTCGTGCGTGCCTACCGTCGACGCGCGCCGTCCCTTCGACTGGATCCCCGTGTCATTTAGCCGTTCTGCGACGAACACTTCCGCTGGCGTGGAGCGTGCCCCGCCGGGCGGTCCGACCCACCCCCACACCCCCCCCCCCGCCGTCGGCCTGCAGCTTCCCCTTCTGCACGATCGAGCCCAACACGGGCGTGGTCGAGGTGCCGGACCCGCGCCTCGCGGTGCTCTCCGAGATCTCCAGCACGAAGAACACCATCCCCGCGGTCGTCGAGTTCGTGGACATTGCGGGCCTTGTTGAGGGCGCATCCAAGGGCGAGGGGCTGGGGAACAAGTTCCTGGACGACATCCGGAACGTCGACTGCATCGTGCACGTCGTGCGGTGCTTCGAGGACGAGAACGTCGTGCACGTGTCCGGGCGGGTGGACCCCGTGCAAGACTCCCTGGTCATTAACGGGGAGCTCGCGCTGTCGGACTACGCGCAGATCGAGCGCCGGCTGGAGCGCATGAAGAAGCTGGGGAAGAAGGAGGACCCGAAGAAGGTGCGCGGCGCCCCCGTTGGCGGGAAATTGCGTTTGCGCTGTGGGGTTGATGCGAGGGACGACGCCGTGCGGCCCGTGGTGGTGCGTGCAGCTGGCGCTCGAGGAGGGGGCGCTGAAGCGGATCATGGAGGCGCTCGAGGAGGGGCTCCCGGCGCGGTCCGTGGAGCTGACGAAGGAGGAGGCCGAGCTCGTGAGGAACCTGAACTTGCTAACGATCAAGCCGATGATCTACGCGGCGAACGTCGCCGAGGACGACCTCGCGGACAAGGGCGCGAGCAACGAGCACGTCACGGCCCTGCGCGCCCGGGCCGAGGAGGAGAACCAGGTGCGCTGCACGGCACCCAGCGCCACTACGAGTGCGCCACAACATGCCTGTTCGCGAGCCTTTGGACCCGGACGTTCGCATCGGAGCACGGCGCCACAGGGGCGAGGAGGCGTGCAGATAGGCGCTGAGCGCGTCTGTGCCTGAGCCGGTCACAACACGAAATCAGTGCGTTGATGTTTGCGCTGTTCTGTTCTTTTGTTGCTGTGTTGACCATGGCGTTGGTCTTTCCGTTGGTGTTGTTGAACGCACTCGCACTTTGCATCGTGCAGAGCGTGGTCATCATGTCGGCGAAGGTCGAGGAGGAGCTGGTCGACCTGGACGAGGAGGAGCGCGCAGAGTTCCTGGCGGAGCTCGGCGCGGAGGAGGGCGGCCTGAAGAGCCTCATTCGCGCGGCGTACAGCGCGCTGGGGCTGCAGACGTACTTCACCACGGGCGAGAAGGAGACGCGGGCGTGGACCATCCGCAAGGGCATGACTGCGCCGCAGGCTGCGGGGGTGATCCACACGGACTTTGAAAAGGGGTTCATTCGCGCCGAGACGGTGTCGTACGACGACTTCGTGGCCTGCAACGGGTACGGGAAGGCGAAGGAGACGGGCAAGCTGCGGCTGGAGGGCAAGGAGTACGTCGTGAGCGAAGGGGACGTGCTGCTGTTCCGGTTCAATGTCTGAGGCGCGCGGCGTGGCGTGTAATGAACGATCAGTCTGATCCGAGCCAGGGCTTGCCGCGCGACGCTGCCAGAGATTTACATTATGTGTACATCCTATGGCGCTGCGAGGCACGGACACGATCGACGAAGAGCCCTGCATGCGGTTTGCTTCACTCCCCCTGCGCGGCCTCGACGCCCGCAGGCGCGACGTCCGCGCCGGCAGCCGCGGGCACGATGTCCGCGACGGCTGCCTCCAGGGCCGCTGGCGGAACGTCCACGGCGCTTGACCGCGACTCGACGCTGAGCAGCCCCGCCAAAACCCCCCCCCCTGCGGAATCCGCGCCGTTCCCGCTGGCCACGCGCCCGCTCGTGACGCGCTCCTTGTGCGCGTCCGCCTGCCTGCGCCACCCCGCCGAAGACATCCGTCCGAGCGGCGAGGCCGCACGAGCGGAGCTCTGTCGCCCACCCCACGCGCCAAAGAGGGGCGCGGCGCCCTTTCCCTCGCCGCCGTCGCCCGCGCTCGGTCCGTTGAGCTCCGTCGCGAGCACGGGCACGAAGACCTCCCCCTGCCCCGTCTTCCCCACGTCCCCCGTGGACCCCCCCGACACCCCCGGACCGTGAATACGTAGCACGCTCGGAAACTCCCCCCCGCCGTCCACGCGCGAGCTCGCCGGCCGCGACAGCGCGATGTCGTACCGCGTCCGCGACTCCCCCGCCCACGACGAAAACTCCCCCCTCTCCTCCAGGCCCCCGATCAGCGTCACGCCGTACGGCTGCCGCTTCGTCGCCCAGCCGAACCCCGGCTCACCGCCGCGCCGCCCGTCCGACGTCGCGCCGCGCCGCCACCCGTCCTGCCGCCGCACGTCCACCACCGCCCGCACCTCCGCCGCCGCCGCGTCCCGCGCCCGCGCGGCCTTCTCCTCGACTTTCATCTTCTCCATCGCCGCCTCCGCACGCAGCTCCTCCTGCGCGGCCCGCATGTACTCGCGCACGACCTCGCGGCGCTCGCGCGCGCGCTCGCGAAGCGTGGACGTCCGCTCCTTCGCCGCGACGGCGCTGGCGCGCTGCAGCTCCGTGGTGTGGGCCCTACTGACCTGGCGCGAGAACGCGCCGAGGGTCGTCGCGAAGGCGTTCGTGACGGAGCGGGCGTGGCGCGCGTACTGCGCGCGGTCGCGGCCGGACTGGACGATGACGGCGCGGGCTTGTTTCGCGCCGAGGACCTGCTGGCCGCGCTTGTCGATGGCGTCCGCGGCCGCGTCGGCGCGCACGGTGCGCTGGTCGCGCCGCTGCCGCGCCGTGCGCTCGCGCGTGTGCTTGATCTCCGTGAAGGCCTTCTTCCGGCGGGTCCTCTCCTGCGCGCGCACAATCGGAACGACGAAAACGTTGGTCGTGTGAAGTGGCATTCTGGTATTCACCTGGGCTCGAAGAAGAGCGGAACGATGCGAAACGGCAGTCGCGGAAGCAGGCTGGGCACGGCGAGCGTGTTCTGTGCCTCGCACACCCCTCGGCTACACCCCACGGCAGGGTGCCGAAAAGGACCCCAGGCCGTGTCTTGGGTTGCAAGCGCAAGACCAGGCCCTGCTGCGGCCGCGCGGTCCGCACCTTCTCCACGACCTGCACGTTCTTCTGCGCCTCCGCCTTGGCGACCGTCCTCACGATCGCGGCGGTCTCGCTCGGCTTCATCACGGGCCGAGAGTCCCCCCCCGTATACTTGAGCATCGTCACGTCAGTCATGCGCGGCCACGCGGGCAGCCGGTTCCGCACCGCCGCCGCGCGCATCGACCGGTCCGCGAGCTGCGCCACCAGCAGCGCGCTCAGGCTGTGCGACCAGATCCGCTTCTGTATTCGCAGCGCCTCCCCCTGCATCTGTTTCAGAAACCACGGGTCGCCCCCGACCTGCGCGGGGTCGTCCGGCCGCATCAGCGTCGCCTGCGCGGACAGCATCGTCATGTTCGCCTGCGACTTCTCCCCCAGCGCGTGCACCGGGTACTCCAGCACGTCCTCTCGGATGAGCGACGCACGTTGCGCGTCAACCTCCGACGGCGGCGCGTAGTCGAGGAACGCCGGCGGGTCGCTCTCGGGCGCCTTGAACGCGACCGTCTTCCGCCGCTGCTTCGGACTCCTTTCCGCCGTGAGCTCGCTCGCCCCCGTCGTGCGCGGCTCGCCAGGTGCCGCCACCAGCCCAGACGGCGGACCCGAGGGGGACGCCCCGCGAGACCGCGGGACGGACGGGGACGCGGCGCCGGAGCGCTGCGACGCTACCGACAGGCCCGCGTGCATCCCGGACGGCTCGGTGTCCCCCCCCATGTCCGACATGAGGTCCATGGGGTCAGGGGGGGGGAGTTCCGCGTGGACCGCCGACGACACCGCGCCCTGCGAGGCCATCGACTTCCGGAACGCGCTCACGCGGTCCGCCGTCGTCACCTCCGCGCCGGTCCCCGGCTGGTCCGACCCCAGTTCCACAAAACTCTGCGCAGAGCCGCGCATGCCCGTGTGCGGCGAGACGTTGACGACGCCGCGCCAGGGCGGCGACGCGACGTTGGCGCGCGCGCGCGTGAGCGCCTCGACCCAGGTGACGCCCTTGCGGATCGGCTCCTGGGCGAGGGTCTGTAGGGAACCGCCGAGGTAGTGCGTGGCGTCGAGTCCGAGCGACTCGAGCCGAGCGACGGCGTCGGCGAGGTCCATGCGCTTGCCGAGGGGCTTGGCCATGCCCTTGCGGCCCATGCGGAGCTTGTAGCCCGGGAGCGTGGCGTGGAAGCGATCCTCCAGGGTGGGGGTGCGGGGGCGGGTGCGGGACGCCTGGATGAGGAGCTGGCGGATGAAGACGCCGAGCTCGGAGTTCGGGAAGTGCGCCTTGACGAAGTCGTCGATCCGCGCGACCTCCTCCTCCCACGCCATGCGCGCCCGCACCTCTGCAGCCACATCTTGCGCAGCACGCCTTCAGGCACCGCACGCGACGCAGAGGGCCGCCCCGGGCACGAGCACGCGCGCGGGCACACGGAACGCACACGCCGGCTCGTCGGAGCAAGCCCCGGCCACGCGCGCACGAGAACAGGAACGGGTACGTCAGCCACGCACCGTCGGTGGCCTCGAACCACATGTACTCCGAGTCCTGGTACGAGTCCTCCGCTCCGAGCGCGCCCGTCACGGTGCTGGGCTGCGGCGCGCGCTGCCCGTGCGCCCACGTCATCATGACGCCCATCAGCTTCAACCGCGACGGCGGGATCGCCGCCAGCGTCACGCTCGTGCGCGTCCGCGGGTCCCACGTCATCAGCGCCACCATCACCGCGCGCCGCTTCGCCTCGATCGAGTTCGCGAACTGAATCCGCGTCTCCGGCCGCCCCTTGCCCAACTGGTGTGCGGAGATGCCGCTTGCAAATTGCACGTCCTCCAGCTCGCAGCCGTCGAGCAGCAGCGCGCCCAGGTCGCTCGAGGACCGCGCCTCCGTCACGCCGTGATGCAGCTGGTCCGCCACGTCTATGTACCGCACACCCGCGTTCAGCCACTTGGAAATGCTGATGCGCTCTTGAAGGGACTTCTCGAGATCGTCCACCACGATCATGGCCTCGCCGTGCACCGAGATGCCGTAGCCCACGGTCTGCTCCGGCACGCGCGGCGGCGGCGCCTGTTCCAGGATCTTGGTCAGCCTGTCGCGCATTTGCGTTGTAAGGAACAGCGCCGAGGCGTCGCCGGCGAGCTTGACGCACTGGTTCAGGTGGCGCATGAGCACGATGCGCTGCGTGATGTCGTAGGCGCGCCAGGCGCGCTGGATCGCGCGGGCGGCGACCATTTCGATGTAGCGGGTCACCAGGGAGGGCTTCACGCTGCGGCGGGCCAGGACGCCGCGCGCGAAGGCCTGGATGCTGATCGCCGCGCACGTGCGCTGCACCGTCTCGCCGCTGCGGGGACGGGCGGGGAGGGCCGAGGCGCGTGGGAGGTGTTCGAACGAAACAAACAGGGTGTCGTTGTGAGGGCGCGCGTCGGGCGCGCGAAGGCCGAACCCGGCCAGGCACGATTCGGTCGTTACGTTCGCGGCTCGCACGCAAGGCAGACACTCGAGCAGCCAAAGGAGCCGGAAGAGGGACAGGTTCAAAGACGTCAGCAGCTGCACAGATGCCTCAGCTACGTCTGATGCGTCACTGAGGCGCCCTTCCGCCGCAGCCGGCACGCAGAGTCCGCGGCGCGCTCACCTGTACAGGCTCATCGGCGGGTCGTGCGGCGGCTTGACGTGGCGGTTGTAGTAGTCCACTTCCTCGCTGACGGCCTCGAAGATGCTCTCTTCGGCCGGGAGGAGCATGGGGACCATGACGGGGTACTCCGGGGGGTCCACGAGCTGCCCCGCCTGGTCGGCGCGGATGAGCCGGTTGACCATCTGCCTTGGGAGCCAGGCTTGGTTGCGGAGCTTCTTCATACGGAAGTGCACGATCGGCGGCGCGTTGCGCATCGGGAGGATGAGCTTCGAGCCGAGCTTGTCCGTGGGGCGGTCGCGCGGCCGGAGCTTGCGCAGAATGAGGCCCTCGTGCCTGTGGCACGGGGTAGGTTGGGGGGGGGGCGTGTCTGTGGGGCTGTGCGACGGTGGCGGCGTCGACGCGGCGCCGGAGCGCGAGCAGGGGCCACGTGCTGGAAGGGCACGATGTTCGCAGGGGGTCGCGCAGTGCGCACCTGGAGTTGGCGAAGAGCTGCGTTGCCATGAAGCTGACGCTTGCGTCGCCCCCCACGAGGGCGCCCGCGTCGTAGTCCGCGCCGCGAATGATCTGGACTTTGACGCTCTGGAGCGCTTTCGGCAGCGCGGGCGGGTCCCCCTCCCACACGGACGGCATCAGGGAGCGCATGTACTCAGCGTGGTCGCCCTCAGCGACATAAAACACACGCGCGCGCGCGCCGCCGACGTTCACGAAGCCCTCGTGGTTCTCGAGCGTCACGATACGCGCGCTGGCGTGGTCCCCGAGGATCGCCTTGCCGATCTGCGGCGCGGTTCACGACGACCAAGAGATGCGACGACGTTTGGTGACTTCCACGTGGCACAGCATGATGCGTTCATCGTGGCAAAACGCCGCGTGGCTCGCCAGAATCACCGGCCTGGTAGCGCGGCGAAACAGCGGGGGACTCACGTGCATGCTAGAAGTCGCGCGCTGCAGCGCGCGTGCTTCGTGTTGCCGCTCCCGCGTCACCGAGCTCTTCCCGACCACCGCCTGCGACATCGCGTCGAGCTCGTCGACTTCGCCGTAGTACACCGACCCCGCGCGCGACCGCGCGGACACCCCGCGTGACCGGCCGCGTCGCCTCGACGTCGGGCGCGACACGCTGGTGCTGTCATCACCGTCGCTGTCGTCCATGTACCCCCGTTCCCCCGCGCTGGCCCCCGCCCGGCCCGTCGTCTTCAGCCGCGTCATCACGGCCTCGGCGGCGTTCCGTCGCCGAACCTCATCCACGCGCCCCGAGTCCCCCGCTGCCGAACCCGCCCAGGAGGGGCGCGCAGAGTCCGCCGCCGAGTCCGTGCGGCCGCGGGTCGTGATCGTGCTGGCCCAGCGGGTCCTCGACGTGCCGCTCATCGCTGCCCGTCGCTACGAGGCCGCGTTGCGCGGCCGGGGCGGCGGTCTCTGCACCAGGGGACCAGCAACACGCGAACCTTGGTGCGGGAAGCAGATGAGCCGGATATCCGGCCATGCGGAAGGTGTGAGTTGGAGGAAGCGTGGGGCGGGAGCTTGTGCGGCTAGGCCGGGCGTGCGGGGCGGCGTTGACGTTCAAAGCGTCGGTGCAGGTGCGACACATGCGCAGGGCCGCGCGGCGTGCGCGCGCGGCGACGGCGAGGGTTCGGGCCCCGGGGAGAGGGCTCGTGTCAAGTGGAACGAGGCGCGCGTACAGAGGCCGGACTCAGGCCGCGACCGCGCTCGGTTCGCCCCTCGAAAGAGCTGCGCTCACGTCCTTGCAGGGTCCACGCGCGCGTCACCGCGAGCGCTGGGCGCTTTGCCGCGAGAGCGCGGTGGGACCACGTCGCTTGCGGGCGCGCGTCGCGGGAGAGGCACGCAATGCCGCGCGCGAGCGGCCGGGCGGCGAACACTCGCACCGTGCGCACCACCGCCGTAGCTCCCGTCACGTGCGCCCGGAGCCGGACCGACGCCCGCTGTTTCGGTGCTTCATACCAGCCCGCCGCCTCTCGGTCCCGTTCGTCTCGCCAGCTCCCTTGGGAACGTCCGTTCGTGCCGTCAGGGTGCAGCGCAGCGCGCGTCTCCGCCTTTTCTCGCGCCCTCGCACCTACAGGGCGCTTTCTGACCCCTTCCAGCAGACCCCTGACCTCAAGGCTCCGCCCTGCGCCCGGCCGCACGCGTCAGTCAGACTGAAGCTGTCGCGCGGAGTCAAGCTCGACTCAGGCACGCGGGGCCTTTCGCTTCAACCCGCCGCTCGCTGACACCTTGTGGCCCGATGATACCCCGCGCCCGCGCCACACACATCCCCTAGCTACCTCGCGAAGCCCTTGCAGCCAGGCCAACGCGACCCCAAGGATAGATATGCTCCTTGCAACCGCTGCAGTATCTTGAAGCCCTCGACGCTCTCCGGCGGCCCTGACAGCGCCTGAGCAGCCTGCAGTCCAGTCTAGATCGTGACAGCAACGAGCGACGACGTAGGGCCGCCGCAGGCGCGCGAACGCACCCTGCTGGGGTAGCCCTGCTGGTTGGTCAGGCCCTGGGCTCCGCCGCGGGCCGCACCGGGGCCGCACGCCCGTCCAGAATGGCTGTCTGCCGCCGTTAGTACTCGAGCGACGCCACAATGGATCAGCAGGCCGCGGCAGAGGAGTTCAAGCGACGGAAGGCTTCGAACACGGCGTTACTGCGCGCGGCCGCTGCCGGGAACCTCGCAGCCGTGGAAGGACTGATCGCCGAGGGCGCCTCCGTCGATACGACGGACGACAACGGGCTCACGCCGCTCCACCTCGCCGCCGCGGGCGGCCGCGACGCGGTGGCGCGGCTGCTCCTGTCAAAGGGCGCGAGTGTGCAGGTGGACGACAACGCCGGGCGGACGCCGCTCCACGCGGCCGCGCGGTTCGGGCAAGCCGGGATCATCGAGCTGCTGCTCGCGCGCGGGGCCGACCCGGCGGCCGCGGACAGCCGCGGGCGGAACCCGCTACACACCGCGTGTTCGCGGGCGCACGATGCCGCCGCGAAATCGCTCGCGGGCGCCGGGCCGGACGGTCTGCGCGCGCTGCGCGCCCTCAACGACGACGGCGTGACGCCGCTGTGCGAGGCCGCGCTCCGCGGCGCGCACGGCTGCGCGCGGGCATGCATCAGCGTCGAACCGACGGCGGCACTGGCGGCGTGCCGCGGCCTCACTGCGCTGCACGCTGCGTGCTCGCGCGGGGACGCGGAGATGGTCCAGATCCTGCTTCTCGGGGGCGCGGACGCGCGGGCCGGGGCGGGCCCTAGTGCTGTATCCTCGTTGCACGTCGCGGCACACCAGGGGAGCGTGGAGTGCTGTCAGGCGCTGCTGGCCGCCGGCGCGGACCCCGGGGTGATCTCCGCGGACGGCGACCGCCCGAAGGACGTCGTGCCGCCGTCCTGCGCGCACGCCGACGCCCTGCGGAAGCTCCTGGACCCCCCCCCCTCCAAGCCCGGGAAGGTCAATCACACCCCCCCGAAGCGGGCCGGGCGGCCGGCCGCGGACGCGGTGCGCGGCGAGGCCGGGATCACCGTGCGCGTGGAGACCGCGGGCGAGAACGGCGGCGCGCCGACCGTCGAGGAAACCACCGAACAGGTCCGCCTCAGCCTGCCGGCGTCGGCGATGGCCCCAGACGCGGGGGCGGCCGAGGGCCTCCCGCAGGTGCCGGCGGACGCGGCCGAGGTGCAGGAGCTGCGCAGGCAGGTCGAGGAGGCGCGCGGCGGCCGCCCGCACGCGCCCCACGACCCCGCTGACGACCCCGTGCACCCCAGCGTGCGGCAGGCGCTGGAGAGCGCAGGCGGCAAGGTGAGCGCGGTTTCTTCATTTTGGTCGTTTCGGGGCGCGGAGCGTGCAGATGGCTGCGACGTGGGGTGCCTCGATGCGGTGTTTCGTGTTTCGTGCTGTTGTGCGCATCTGCATCGTGCCGGACCAAATGAGATGCTGTGCTCTTTTTGTTCCTGCGTGCAGATCGGGGTCCGGCGGCGGAGCCGCAAGCACGCGGACCAGGGCCCGGAGATCCGTCCTGTGCCACGCCCCGCGACGCCGCCCGCGGACGCACCCGGCAACGGGCAGCACCCTGACAGCGGGGACAAGGCGGCGTCCGAGGGGGGGGTATTACGCGAGGACGGCGGCCGCGTCATCGACGCCGCCGCCGCCGCCGCCGACGACGACGACGACGACGACCTGCCCGCGTGGATGACGGCGGTGTGGAAGGCGACGAAGGTGCTGCGGCGGCGCGTGACGGGGCGCCTGATGGTGGTGTGCTGCGTCATTTTGTTCATGGCGGCGTACAGGGCGGTGCGACGGCGGCTGTACGGTGCGGGGCTGGAGCGGTACGGCGAGGAGGGGGGCATGACGGTGGAGGACTGGCGCGGGCTGGTGGGGCTGGAGCGGGTGCAGGGGGAGGCGGGCGGGCAGGGACGCGGGGAGCTGTGACGGCGGCAGGCGGTCGGGACCTGAGCGGTGTTGTGTGCCTAAGTCTGCTGGTGTGCGCGGAGTGGTGCGAACGTGCGGTTGTGTTGCTTTGCAGTGCGCTATTGCGTTTCAGAGTGGAGGGATGTGAAGGCTCACGATTCGCGATAGTGTGGAGAAGAGTTCGTGCGCTGTTTGATACCGCGAACCTCCCGGCTCGCTCTTTCTTTATGTCGTGCGCTGCCAACACCCCCCTGAGACATGCAGACGTCCAGCCGTCCCTTATCGATGGTATGAAACACAGAACCCCGTCCTGAACAAAGACACAAAGAGCACGCGCTCAGATACGAGCTCGTGCGCGCTAGCGCCCAAACAGCGCGGCGTTGTGCTTCCACCACAACTACTACGCGGAGGCTTCACGCGACCCTGGTTTTCACTCGCACTTGTCACACTCCGCCGCCGTGATCGCCCACTCCGGCAGCACCTTGCCCGGATTCAGCAGCCCCTGCGGATCCAGCGCCCTCTTGACGCGCGCCATCGCTGCGATCGCCGACGGCGTGCGCGAGTACAGCACGGCGTCGCGCTTCATCCGCCCGAGCCCGTGCTCCGCGCTGATGCTGCCCCCCTCGTTCCGGACCTGCTCGTACACCCACGGCTCGAGCACCTCCGTGAGGTCGCGTGCGTCCTGCGGCGCTACGACGTTGAGGTGGAGATTGCCGTCGCCGAGGTGTCCGAAGCCGAACGCCTGGGCGCCGGGGCAGGCGGCGGCGACGCGGGCGCGGGTGGCCTCGACGAGCTGGTAGATGGCGTGGGGGGGGAGTGACACGTCATACTTGTACACGCGCCCCTCGCGCGCCATCGACTCCGTGATGCGCTCGCGCAGCGCCCAGATGGCGTCGGCCTGCTCCGAGCCCTGCAGAGGATGCGGGGCTGCGCGTGCGATGCGGGACCGGGGCGAGACGGCATGCTTCGCTCAACTGAGATATATGTTTCATTAGTGAAGCGTATTTCATGGCTGTTCGCTGAGTTCTGCGTGTCCATCCGATCCACGAGCGCGACGACCTCGCAGCCGCCCGTGCACCTGGCCCGCGCCGTCCAACGACGCCAATCGATCGACCAACAAACAATCGAAGAAAGAGGTCTTGCAGTGCACCGATCGACCGAACGGTCGGTCCCGAGGTCAGGCGCGCACCTCGGCCATCACGCCGTCGCCCACGAGCCCGCCCCCGCCCTCGCGGTCCTCCATCGCGGCCCCCAGGAAGTCCTCCAGCTTCTCTCTGTCATGCTCCTCTCGCGCCCCGTGCGTCTCCACCACCAGATACACCGGCCACGGATCCCGGTCCCCCGCCGCCAGCGGGTTCTGCACGCCGTGCCTGGCCGTGACGTCCGCGCACGCGGCGTCGAAGAACTCGAACGACGCGAGGATCTCGCCGAGGTGCCGCCGGGCGAGCCGCAGGACGCCGAGGGCGGCGTCGAAGGTGGGGCAGGCGAGCAGGGCGACCTGGTGGGAGGCCGGGGCGGGCGGGCAGAGGAGCGCGACGCGGGTGACGACGGCGAGGGTGCCCTCGGAGCCGATGAGCAGGTTCTTCAGGGCAAAGCCTGCACGGTAGAGACGCACGAACAGAACAAAGAGGAATTATGAAATGGTGATTGTGAGGCAATCCTGAACAACCGACTGCCCGACACCCCCCTACTTGCAGTTTGCATCGCAGGGTCTGGCAACCCCCCCCCGCCTCCACAGCGCGTCTCATCACGCAGCAAGGCAGCATGTCCGCGTGCGCACCGGTGTTGTCTTTCCGCAGCGCGGTGTCGGACCGCGCGCCGCCGCCCATCAGGTCCACCACCTCGCCGTCCGCGAGCACGCACACCAGCCCGAGCACGCAGCCCTGCAGCGACCCGTACCGCAGGACGCGCATGCCGCCCGCGTTCGTCGCGACCATGCCGCCCAGCTGGCACGACCCACGCGCCCCGAACTCCACAGGCGCCGCAAGCCCGTGTTTCGCCAGCGCGTCCTCCAAGTGCTGCAACACCACGCCCGCCTGCACAGCGCCGCGTTCGCACCGAGCCTGGCGGAACCGCGATCGGCTCTAAACGCGGTGCGAGCCAGCACAGTGAGCTGGGAGCGCGTGTTCCTATACTCCCCCCCACGGAGCGCCTTCGCGACCGCCGCGGTGCTGCTGTTGCCGCGAGCCCGGCGGCGGCGCGTGAGCCCCGAGCCCCGCTGCCCGGCGTGCTCTTTTGCGCACGTAGCGTATGTTTACGTGCACCCTGGCGCGCAGCGCGGGTGACGCGGCACTCGCGCGGTGCCGGCAAAGGCGCGCTGGGACGCGTGCTCGCGGGTCCGCGCACCTCGACCACCGCGATGCCCGAGCTCTCGTCGATGCTGACCACTTGGTTCATTCGCGACAGACTGAGCGTGACCTCGCGGGCGATCCCGACGCTGCCGCCGACGAGGCCCGTGTTGCCTCCCTGCGGCACGACGGGGATGTTGCGCGCGGAGCAGTGCCGCAGCACGCTCGCGACCTCGCGCGTAGACCTTGGCAGGAGCGCAACGGGAGACTCGCTTCGGTATTTCCTCATCCAGTCCACGCGGTAGGACTCGAGGCGGTCCTCGCTCGTGACCACGCCTGCGTGGAGCGCGCCGGTGCCGCGCCGGTCCGGCTTCGGTCGAAAGCGTGGGGGGAGGCACGCGAGCGGGTGGCGCAATACGCAATGTGCGCACCGTCGGGGCCGAGGAGCTCCTGGAACCGCTGGATATCGCTGGCAGTGACCTCCTGGAACTTGTCCGCGGCGTTGGACGACAGCCAGCGCACCAGCCCGGTTGCGGGCGTGACGGCGCGCCACCGGCGGGCATGGACTGCGAGCCAACTCATCGCCCGCCACCGCCTTCCCACTGCGCTCCCGAAACCGCGCGGTCCGCGAGCCCTGCTGCGCGCAGCTAGCCGCGCGTGTCGCTAAATCTCAACAATAGCCGCGTGGCGGCGCCAGACAGGGACGTTAGGTTGCAATCCTCGTCGCCTCTCTCTTGGATCACTGAGGCGCAGCGGACGCCACCTCGCCCTCGCCGGACGCTCTGCAGCGCTGTCGCTGCGCGCGCGGTGCGCGACCTCGCGCGGCGGTCCGCCTACGAGCTCTGGGGGCGGGCCGTACTGAATAGTAACTACCCTGGAGTGTCTTCCGTGCTACTTTCCGCCGCACCACGGGCTTGTGGGCCGCCGGCTCCGCGTCTCAGGGCCGGACAGGACGCGGAGTGTGCTCTGCGTGGTTCTGAGAACGGCAAAGAGGGTGATCTCGGCCTCGCGGCACCGAACGCGTGTAGCAACACCACTGAGGAGCGGACAGCTGCCGACGCGCTGTCTTTCCGCGGGCACCTGCCCAGAGGACCTAGTAGTCGCGGGATCCCCTCGCGGAAGCGCCGGTTTTTCGCCGTTTCCACCCCGCAGGCAGGCCGGACTTGGAAAGTGCACCCGCCTCTCTGGAACGGGTCGGTGTGGCCAGTAGGGGACGCGCGAGCAACTGAAGGCCCGCCGCCACGATGGATCGCGTGCGCGCCACGCGGCACCTGCGGTCGCTCCGCCGCATGGACCCACACACGGACGCCGAAGTCGGCTTACTGGTGCGCCTTCCTCACAACAGTCCTGCGCGAACACGGCTCGTTCTGCGGCGTTCTGGCCCCATCCTCCCCGCCATCTGCATGTTTTTGGTGCGTATAGCGTCCTGTTTCACGCGTCGCACGGTTTCACGCCGTTCGGGCCGCGGGGGCGCGGCCATCACGTCCGGTGGCCCTTCGCCAGGCTCACATGAGCACGTGCTGCCCCGAGGGTGCTTCTGCGGCGCGTTGCGCCGCGGCCCGCGGCCGTCTGGTGCGTGTGCTGCGACCACCGCGTCGGGTCAGTGGGGCAGGGCCCTCGGTCTGCCGTCGTGGCCCAGCCATGTGCCCGGAGGCCGTGCTCGGGCGCAAAACGGCGCGTCCTGGACGAGGCACGCATGCGCGTTCGCAGTCCACGCCGACGACGTTGACGTCTGTCGCGGACCCCCATGCGTGCCATGAACCATCCGTTCCTGGAAGCGGCGTTTTGCCTCCTTCAAAGGCCAGCCTCCGTCGGCGCCGCCGTTTCCCGGCACCCGAGGTGGCTCGCGCGGTCCAGAACGCTCACACAAGCAGTAACCGCGCCCCCGCGACCGCACACACCCCCATCCCTCGCCTCTCACACCCCCCGCACGCAAACCACCACGTTTCTCAACCAACACACGCGCCCCCGCCCGCCCCGCGCAGGCCAGCGAGTCGCGGCCGTCCCTGGAGCACGTCGCCGAGGGCCAGCCCTCCTTCCGCGGCGCGCAGCTCCTCCAGGCCCCGAGCCTCAACCGCCGGCGCGCCCCCGACGTCGGCGTGTCCGACCACGCGGCCCCGGACGAGCCGAAACCCACCGACTTCCAGTCCATCCGCGACATGATCCTCTCCAGCTACTGGAACATCCTCCTCCTCGCGCTCCCGCTCGCCATGCTCTCCGGCTTCCAGCGCTGGGGCGCGGTGTGGGTCTTCCCGCTCAACTTCCTGGTCATCATCCCGCTCGCGCTGCTCCTCGGGGACCTCACCGAGGACCTCGCGCTCCGGTTCGGCGACATCGCGGGCGGCCTGCTGAACGCGACCTTCGGGAACATCGTCGAGATGATTCTCTCGCTCGCAGCGCTGCAGCGCGGCCTCTTCACCGTCGTCGCCATGTCGCTCCTCGGGAGCGTCTTCTCGAACCAGCTGCTCGTCACGGGGACGTGCTTCCTGCTCGGCGGGCTGCGGTACTCCACCCAGAACTTCAGCGTCGCCGCCAACAAAGCGTACGGGTCGCTGCTGATGATCTCCACGATCTGCCTGTCGATCCCGTCGATCTACGCGATCACGATCGACTCGCGGGACGAGGCGCGCCAGGTGCTCGTGATGTCGCGCATCACCGCGATCATCATGGTGCTCATCTACGCCGCGTACCTCTACTTCTCCCTCGTGTCGCACGCGTACCTGTTCGAGTCGGACGAGGACGAGGACGCGGAGGAGCCGACGCTGAGCGTGTCCGCGAGCCTCATGCTGCTCACGGGCATCACGGTCATCGTGTCGGTCTGCTCGGAGTTCCTGACGGGGAGCATCGAGGAGGTGTCCGCGCGGTCCGGGCTGAGTCAGCACTTCATCGGGGTCATCCTGCTGCCCATCATCGGCAACGCGTGCGAACACCTCACCGCCGTCCTCGTCGCCCTGCGCAACAAAATGGACCTTGCGATGTCCGTCGCGCTGGGCAGCTCCATCCAGGTGCGCTACACGTGGCAATACCCCCCCCCCCGCGCCCACCGCACGCGCCCGAGAGAGGTCGCGCGCGGCGACGACCCGCCCCGCTCGCGTCCGCTGCCCCTACTGACGACACTCCCCCCCCTGTTCTCTCCCGGTGCAGATTTCGTGCTTCGCGTTGCCGTTCGCGGTGCTGGCCGGGTGGGTGATCGGGCAGCCGTTCGACCTGACGTTCGACCCCGTGAGCGTGCTCATGTTCACGCTCTCGGTCGTTCTGACCAACATCTTGACGCCCGACGGACAGTCGCAGTGGCTCATGGGCCTGGTGCTCCTGTGCTGCTACGTGCTCATCGGATGCACGTACCTCATCGGGACGTTCGCGTGAAACGGCGGCGGCGGGTGCCGGAGGAGCGCCCCGCTGCGCGACGTGCCGCGGCCGCCCTCCCGCGCGGCCCATAACCTTTGGGGGTGTGATGGCGTTGTACGTGACAAGGGGAGGGGGGGTGTTCCGCCGCGCCGCGTCTCGGGTGGGCTTGGGGGGCGGGGGCGCGGGAGGTGGGGTGCGGCGGGTCAGTGCTGTGGTGCGCCGGTGTTGAGGGGGGGTCTTTTGGGGGCGGATGACGCCTGGACGGGGGATGTCGCTGCTTGGGGGTGCAGGGCTGGCTCACGGCACGGAGACGCGACGTGGGCGGGGCGAGCGGCGCGGGGACGGGCGAGGGTCATGGTGCGTGCACGTGTGCTGGGGCCCCGACATCTGCTGCTGCAGCTTGCTCGTCCTGCGTGCGGGCACTCCAGCGCGTCGTCGCTCTCGGCCGCCCTTTCCTCGGTCAATGTGACCTCCGGTTCGACACGTTCCGTTCGGTTCCGTCAACAATTACAAAGTTTGTGTTTGTCGGTTCCCGAAACCCCGGGGACCAGTGTGGCTTCGACCACAGGAGCTCGTCGCGGCAGTGGGCGATCGCGGACCCCTCGGACCGCTTTTTCTGGCTCCGTCGCGGTCTCACCCCAGGCGCTGGCCGGAGCTGCAGCGCGAGTGGTGCCTGTCGACAACTCCGCACCGTATGTACGAGCAGCCCTTAGGCCGCGTCCCGCGTCGTTCAGTGGCTGAACTTTGCAAGGCAGGCAAAGCTGGGGCAAATGATTCCCTGGATGTCCGGCATTCTCGGTTATGTTGTAAGCACCAGAATGCGCTCTGGTGGAGTGGGTCGGCAATAAGAGCGCCGAACTTCCGGCAAAACTGACGCGCAGTGTTACAACCAATTCATGTGCACCCGGTCCGGGTTCCTCCTCCGTCTCTCGTCGTGCACGGAGCTTGCAGGGTGATTGCCTTTGACAGGCCGTGAATTCCCGATAGACTGCTGTCCCGGCAGCGGTCGACCCGCGGAATGAAAGTTCCGCCACACCTGCCTCCGAAAATGCTGGTCGGGCCTGCGCACGGGAGGCCCACGAACGATGGGGCCTCAGGGGACTCTGCCTGAGCCTGTCTTCGGATACGAGGGGCCTCGCGCCGCGCGCGCACGCCACTTTCCTACGGCGAGCGGCGCCCCCACAAGGTTCGAACCCACGCTTTCGTGCATGGCTGCTTGCGTGCGCGGCGCGCCGAGGCATCCGCTATTTTCGAGCGGCCGAGCCACGACTCGCTCCACCGCCCGCTACAGTCCACGTTCGCGCCTCGAACCGGTCACGCAAGCCCACTGATGCTATATGAAGCGCGAAACCGGGCGCGTACTCGCGGCTCGCCCCGCCACGGCGCGCCGCTCCTGGTCCACGAAGCCAACCGAGGCTCGCGCCGCGCTCGTCGCGCCCCCTGCCGACGCATCGCGCCCGCCACGGCCTTCATTTGCAGCCAAACACGCTCGTGGGGGCGCCGCGTTGGGCCGGAGCGGCCCCGCGCATCGAGCACGTCGATGCTTGCGGCCAACTGCTACTCGGTCACCGCCGGGCGCGCGATCGCCCGGCGGCGGATGGAAGGCCACGACCGACCGTGAAACAAACCACGAGGTGAGGCGCGCGCGCGCGCACACGGCCCGCGCCCGAGGCAGCGACGCCCCGCAGGCAGCAGCTCGAGTTTGGCATGTCATCAACAAGCAGGGCATTACGTAACCCGCCGACCGCGCCCCGACGCGCCACGCGACCGCCCCCGCCGCCCGCAGGGTCTCGCACCGCCGGGCCACTGGCAAACGACGCCGGCGGCGCACATGCCTCGCCGCGGCGCACAGCTGCAGACGTCGCCGTGACGCTGCGCAACCAAGCCTGCCGGCGGGCCCGAGCCCGAACCACCCGCCTGCCAGCCGCCCCCCGCATGATCGACTGAGAGCAGTCTGGAACCTGAGAGGCGTTCCGCTACCCGTGAATGCTCCCGCGGGCAGGGCGCTGCACACCAGCACAACAGCTGGTGACGGGGGGGTGCGGTTGCGGGAGCGCACCGCAGCGCGACACCAGGACATCAGAACTACATCGCGGCGCAGCGCGTCTGGCGCAGGCCGCGTGGGCGGTCTGCGCCCCAAGCGCGACACCCCCCGGGGGAGACAACAACCTGTCCGCCCCTGGCACACTACGACCGCCGCGACCCGCGAGGCGCACCGGGTCCCAAAGCCGCCCCGCGCGCCTCGCGCACCTGGCTGTCCGCGTTCGCTGCTCCACGCAACGCAGCGACCCCCCGCCATTGCGCGCCATATTTGCCACGCGCCCTGGCAGCCGCCCCCCGCGGGCAGCAAACTTTCGCACCTTTTATTTTGACTCCAGGGCGGGTGCGGTGCACGTGAACCGCACAGCTCGCCCCCCAAATCGCAGTGCGACGATTGGCATAGCTGGCGTGCTTTGGCGCCCCCGCTGCTCCCTCCTCACATAATTCCACGCCTCTCCCCAGATTGCCGTCGTCACGGGCGTTGTCCTCCGCCGCGCCCAGCGCGCAGTGGCGGGCACATGCTGAGTCACGGCACCATACTCTATCTTTTACCCCCCCCCTTTGCTCAACAACCCCCCCCTTGCCTGGACAAGAAGCGGAGTTTCCCCTTTCTCCTTCCGGGCCGCACCGTTTCCCTGTTGCATCGTTCCCGACGCGTTCCGACCGCCCCGACTCGGAGCACGCGCCCGGACCACCCCGTTGCGCATGTGCCAGCTGCTGGTGCATGCAGGACACACGTGCGCCTTGTGCTCCGAGCCGGCGGCCTGCTGGCACGACACCGCACGCATGCAGGTGATCCAGCGGTCCCCACAACCCAGGACTTGACGCTGCGCCGCAGGGCGACTTGACCCGGGCCGCCACAGCCACGGCACCCTTTTCCTTACCACTACTCTATCTCTCCAGGGTAGTCGCGGCCTGCAATCACCCCCCTTTCGCACTCCTCATCTCACCTGCGGCGCAGCAGCGAACCCAACAAGGAAGCAAACCACCCACCCCCCCTTCCTCCCGCCCTTCACTCCCCCCCCCTGGCTTTCGGTCTTCCACCGGCCCCGTCCCCGTCTTCGCTTCAGAGCCCTCCCCTCCCGAACCCGCTCGCCCCTAAACCTCCCTCCCTCCCCTTCGCCCCCGCCCGCCCCTCAAGCAGCTCCAACAAGAGACCGCAGATGCACTGGTTCGCCACATCACCGGTGCGCTGCCGCAGGCTGGCCACGGTCCCGCACGCCTCGCAGCTTGGCAGTTGCCGCTGCTGGATCAGACTGCCGCTGTCCTCGCCGTCCCGGGCACCTCGCTGCCAACCATCAAGCGATGATGGCATCGACCCCCCCCCTGAACCCTGCGCCAGGCGCACGCCCGCGTCCGGTGGCAGGCAAAGAGCCCAAGCAACCCTTCGCGGCATCAGCGCCGCTCCGTACACCGCTGCACACGTCGACACCCCGGTTGTCACAGACCGGACAGACACGCAGGAAATGCGCAACGACCTTTCGCGCGCAGCGAGCAAAGTCGCAGGCAACATCCCCCGCCGCCGCGCCCGAGCACGCCCGTTGGGCTCGGGCGCGGAGCCGCTCCAAGATGGAATGCTGCAGGACTGAACGATGACTGAATGACATCATCGATGAAGGATAAAAGAACGCTGAACGAATGACCCGCCGCCGCCGCCCTCTGGCGAGTGAATAAGCGACCCCATCAACACGCCGGCGCCCCGCGCCGTCGGCAAGCGGACGCGATCCATTCAGAACGCGGCAGGCAGCTCGCATGCACACCTCCGTGTGTGCATGGCCTGTCACGTTCGCTCCCGCCTCCCCTGCCCCCCTCATTTTGCGCGCCCGCCCTTTCAGAACCCGTCCCTACCCGATTTGCAGTCCCTGGCGTCATCGGACGCCGGCACGCACCTGCAGGCACGAATCAAGTCCCTTCGGCCTCCTGCCCTGGGGCGCCGACAAATTAGCCCGCCCGGCCCCGCCGGACAGTTCCCTTGCCCCTTTGCTGCAAAATAAGATCTCCCCCCTTCCCTCCCCCCCACCCCCCTTCCCTACGCGAGGAAGGCGCCTGTGACGCACGTCCTCCACCGCTGAGTCACCTCCGCCGCTGCGCTGTCCCGCCCGTGGCTATGCCTGCGTGGAGTCTCCACCCCTCTTGACTGCCGGCGCGATGGGTGCCCAGCTGGCCTGACCGCGATGGGTGCCAAGCTCCTCGGAGCGGGAGCAGAACAAGCTGGACGACGCGATGCGGCTGTACGACCGCGCGCTGCAGATACAGGAGCAGGTGTACGGGCCGGAGCACAGTGAGGTGGCGATGACGACGTTGGTGTCCACGGGCCGAGTCGAGTGGCAGCAGGACAAGCTGGACGACGCGATGCGGCTGTACGAGCGCACGCTGCGGATACGGGATGCAAAGTTAGGGCCGGAGCACAGTGAGGTTGCAACGACGCTGGCTGACACGGGGTGGGAGCGTCCGAGTCTCACGAAACCGGATTGATCATCGAGGTAAAATGGACGTCGCTGCATACGCCATCTGTTCATGGCAGGAAGCGGGCGCTCGCTACGGATGCTCAGGGCATCGAGCGACCATCCACGCACCGAACGTACGCGCTGCTGGCCGAAATGGCCGCGAGGCGGCTGGCGCGCGTCGCTACGCGTGTCGGACCGTCAGTCATGCAGCACATTGTGTGTGGCACATTGCGGGGCCGTGTCGACAATATCGACCTCGTCGGTACGCCGGCCATGCGAGCTTCTCACAAGCCAAGTCGCAGCAGGGTTGCCGGGGGTCGAGGAGCGCCACAGCGGCGTTCGTTCGCCCATCACGTGTTCTTGAACTAGATAGATATAGATCGATAGTCTTGGTGGTCGTTTCATCCTGGACTGGACGTGCAAGAACGCTCACGGACCCTCGAAGCGAGTACAGGGACGTGCGCGCGGCGGGCCGAAGGAGGCGTGCGGCGGCCGGGTGCGTCGCGCAGTCGGACTGTCGAGACACACGCGGCGCTGACAGCAGGGCGGAGTCGCGGTCGCGGGCCACGTTGGGCGGGCTGGCCGGGGCGAGCTCGACACAAACCAGGCGCGCCTCACGCGAGTTTGCGCGGCTGCCTGCCTCGAGGGGCTGACCGGCGACCCTGAGGCTGTCCCGGTGGGCATCGGGGGCGCGGCACGCGCGGAACGAGGCGTTTCTCGTCGACGTGAGGGCACCGCCGTCACGAGAAGTGGAGCTAGGACTGTGTTCTCGCAAGCCGACGTTGACTGTGTTCGCCGCACGCGTGTCACGTTGTCCAGCTCTGCACGGGACCCGGCCGCCTCGCCATGGGGTGCGGGGCTTCCACTCCCGCTGGCGAAGCCACAGCGGCGCCTCAGCCCGTCGCGGACAGCACCGGCGTCGCGCCACAGTCCGCGAAGGAGAGCCCAGTGCAGCAATGGAGCAGGGTGCAGGTGCAGGTGCGTGTGTGGCGAGGTCGTTGACCTACCAACCGCGATTGTGCTCGATCTTGTTGGAGCAATGTACATACAGCGCCGGCTGATGTGCGTCAGCTCGCGGGGAGCCCGCACCGAGCCCTGCCGCTCTCACGACTCTCTTCCCAGGGGCGCACATGCCAGTGCGCGCGCAATTAGCGCTCATTTCGCCAGATGCTCGGCCTCGCGTGACAGCATGGAGTCCAGTCCTGACACACGCCGTGCGAAAAACGATCCGCATGGAGGGCTGAACCACTGTGGGCCGCTCACGTGTGCAGGAGTGGCTGAGAGCAAACGATATGCCGCCTGAGGTGCTGGAGTTCGTGAGGGGCTTCACGGGCAGGGCCCTCGAGGCCCTGTATCGCGACGCCAGCGCGGCCGGCGGGTGAGAATCCGCGCCCGATTCGACGGACGTGTGCGCCTGCAGGCAGCGCAGGTCAACACATGCTGGACGGTCTTTCATGCCCCGCGTGTCCTGCAGGGCGAGCGGCATCAAAGACACCAAGGACCAGATCGGAGTGCACAGGTTCGCCCTGTACGATGCGATGGAGGAGCTCTTTGGCCCTGAGAACACCCCACTTGCGGGGCCGGCAGCGAAGACCGACGCCGCAGCTCCCATCCAGGTGCCGCCGGAGCGGGCCTGGCATTCTTCGGGGACAGATACGCCTCGCTGCGAGCCCGTGCCCGCCGCGTCTGCCAGCGGGGGTGTTGCCGGTGACGCTGTGGAGGCTGTCGGCGCCGTGAAGGGCGCGGTGGAGGAAGCGGCAGGTGCGTGGCGGGAGGATTCGGTGGCTACCTGCCCTTCTCGCGGGCGCGTGGCGTGCCAGCGCAGGTATTTGTGTGCCTACAAACAAGCCGGAGAGTCTGTCGTCACTTGCAGAGAACTTCGAGGTCGCCAAGGACTTCGTTGGGGACGTGACCGAGCTGGTCGCTGCGACGGGCAAGGGCGCGGACTTCCTTGAGAAGGTGGGGTCGATCGCGGCCCCGGTGGCGGGTTTCGTGACAAGCGTGATGGAGTCGGCGCCGTGGCTCGGGCCCGCGGTGAAGGTGTGCGCGAAGCTAGTCGCGGGGGTGCAGGCGGTGCACGCTGCGAAGGGGAGCTGCCTGGAGCTCGCAGAGATCGCACGGTGAGTCCTCGCACCACGCGAGTGCGCACGCGCTGTGTGGGTTGCGTCGACGCTCACTCAAGCGCCGGATACCGCCTCGGCTGACGTGTCTCGACTGCGTTCGCGTGCGTCGCAGCACCGTCGCCTCGACCCTGGACAAGCACAAGAGCAAGATCAAGCAGGGCGCAAAGACTTCGCAGCAAGTGGACAGCCTGAAGGGCGCGCTGGAGGAGGGCGTGGAGCTGGTGACGAAGTTCAGCAAGCGGTCGTTCCTGGTATGCGGCCCCTGCGACGCGGGTGCCTGACTCTCGTCGCAGTTGCGGTTGTTTGATGTTTGATACAGTCACGATGTTCCGACTGGCCGAGCCCACCCTCACGCGCGGTTGTGCGTCCGTGCAGGTCAAGCTATACTTCTGCAGGCGGACAGAAGAGGAGTTCCAGGTGACGTGTCCCGCCCATCGCACAGTAGGCCAGCCGACACCAGCAGTGCCCCGGTCTGACTGCACAACCACGCAGACGGATGGGCGTGTTTGCCGGCCTGGGTTACTGACGTCGCGTAAGCGACGACGACGCTCCTGTGCGTCGACCGCCAGAACCCCGGTCGCTCTGCGTCGCGCAACACCACCAGCACTGTGCGTGAGGTTGTGTTGCAGGAGGTCACGACGAACATCCTGCGTCAGGTCGACCTGATGCAGTTCGACGTGATCGTCGACGTGTCGGACGCGGTGAACGACGTGAGTGCGGGCGTGCAGGAGGTGAAGCAGGTCGTGGCGGCCATCGAAAGCAAGATGTCGACCGGGGGTATGTTCAGGAACGACGAGGACGAGGCGCTGCGGAGGAAGATCGAGGACCTCGGCGGCATGAGCGCGGTGCTGAGCAGCGACGACGCGCTGGGCGACGTGATCAACAGCATGGGCGCGCAGGGGCAGGTGGTGGCGGGGCTGACGCGTGAGGTGGCGGCGTCGATGGAGCAGCTGATGGAGTTCCACAGGAAGGGCACGCACAGCGTGATCCGGAACGACGAGCTGAGGGTATTCTGGAGCGAGCACATCAAGGGCAACGAGGTGCGTCGAGATTGCTACCCGGTTCTGTCTGTCAGTTGGTGTTTCAAAGCAACGACGCGTCGGTCTGCTGGCACTTCGCGACCTGCCGGCTAATCTGCGGTGTGCAGGGGTGCACGCGTCTTGTATGCTGCCTGTATGCCCGATCCGAGCTCGCTTGAAGCCGGCGCCTCACATCGCCCACGACATGCGGGTGCGTCGTCTGCGCAGGTGGACACGAGGACGTTCGTCACGCAACTGGCGGCTTGGCTGCGCGGTGTGTCCTTCGAGCAGGAGCTGGCGACGCAAGTTGACGCGAACACGGACAAGCTGATCGTGGAGCTGAACTTGGTTGATGACGTGTCGATCGCTACCTTCAAAGTCAACCCCAGCCTCGTCGACAGCGTGTTCCCGGCGAACAAGACCGTGGCCGCGAGGCTGCAGGAGATGCTCGGGAGCGGCGTCACGTACTGCACGGTTCCCGACCTGCCCGACCCGTTGCAGCAGCGCGAGGACGACGTGGAGACCGTCGTTGCCGCGCTGGACGAGAAGCCTGTTGCGGTCGTGCACGGCTCCCCTGGATCAGGGCGGCGCGTGCTGGCGCACATCATTGCGCGCGAGGTGATGAAGGATCATCCGGCGGGACTGTTGCACGTCGACTTGAAAGAGACATGGCGGTCGGAAGAAGACATCGTGAAAGAGGTGGGGCTGCAGCTGGGGCGGGACTGGAAGCAGGCGCGCGACATGACGGACTTCTTGGAGGCGACGACGCGCGTCCACAGGGGCTCGGTGCTGCTGGTGATCACGGGCGTGACGTCAGAGCTGTGGGCGCAGGCGCGGCGAGGCGGGGGGCGGGGTCTGAGGCCGTTGGTAACGGGGCTGCTTCAGAGGCTGAAGGAGGGGAGCCTGCAGGTGCTCGGACAGAGACAGGGGCTGTCTCTCGTCGTAACGAGCGAGGTGCGCACGTCTGTGTGTTTGAACAGACTTGCGTTGTACCTTTGATGCGAGACTGCTGTCCTGTTGCGTGTGCACCGTCCCAGCTCCCTGGGCCGTCGAACGCGAAGTGCCTGGGCCCAACCTCGCAGGCCGAGCTGGACGTCGCGGCCTTGGAGGAAGACATCAAGAAGGCTGTCAGACACATCAGCATCAAACCTCTCGACGAACGGGGCCTGGCGAAGCTCCGCACGCAAACGCGTCGGCGTGCCCCCTCATCATCTGGCATAGCTCACGACGGCGGCCTCGCGGACGACCTGCGGGAGGCGATGGTCGGTCTGGGGGTGTTTCCTGGGTCGTTCAACCTTGAGGCGGCCACGGCTGTGCTGGACAGGCTGGACGCTGCGCCGCTCCTGCGCAAGCTGGTCGACGCGGGCTACCTCCAGCTGTGGCGGGAGAGCGGGCGATGGGAGCTGGGCGAGGAAGGGCGCCGAATGGCCGAGACCCTTGCCAGCGGCGACCGCACGAGCTTGGCCCGGCGCGCCGAGAGGCGGTTCGTCGACTACGTGGAGAAGCTGACGGAGCGCCTGAAGCGATGGGCACAAGGCAGCGAGCAGCTACAAGCGCGGATGATCTTCATGCGGGAGCGGCACAACATTCTCCGCGCTGCGGAGGTTTGCAGCGACGACGATTTCGCTTTGCTGGGGCACGTGGGCTTCCTGCTTCAACGCGACGACGACATGAATGGCGCCGTCGCACTGTACCAGCGGGCGCTGCGAGGGTGCGAGCGCAACCATGGAGACGAGAGCACTGCAGCTGCTTCTATTCTGAACGCGCTGGGCAACGTCATGCAGGACCAGAACAAGCTGGACGAGGCGATGCGGCTGTGCGAACGTGCGCTGCGGATACGGGAGCAGGCGTACGGTCCGGAGCACACTGACGTGGCGGCGACGCTGGGCAACATGGCCAACGTCATGCGGCAGCAGGGCAGGCCGGACGACGCGATGCGGCTGTACGAGCGCGCGCTGCAGATCGACGAGCAGGTGTACGGGCCGGAGCACAGTGAGGTGGCGAAGACGCTGGTGAACATGGGCGGCGCCATGCATGAGCAGGACAAGCTGGACGACGCGATGCGGTTACGAGCGCGCGCTGCGGATCAAGGAGCAGGTGTACGGGCCGGAGCACAGTTCTGTGGCGGCGACGCTGTACAACATGGGCTGCGTCATGCATGAGCAGGACAAGCTGGACGAGGCGATGCGGCTGTACGAGCGCGCGCTGCAGATACAGGAGCAGGTGTACGGGCCGGAGCACAGTGCGTTGGCGGTGACGCTGAACAACTTGGCCAACGTCATGGGGGACCAGAACAAGCTGGACGAGGCGATGCGGCTGTACGAGCGCGTGCTGCGGATACAGGAGAAGGTCTATGGACCGGACGACACTAAGGTGGCGAAGACGCTGTACAACATGGCCACCGTCATGGGGGACCAGAAGAAGCTGGACGACGCGATGCGGCTGTACGAGCGCGCGCTGCGGATCAAGGAGCAGGTGTACGGGCCAGAGCACAGTGAGGTGGCGGCGACGCTGCACAACATGGCCACCGTCATGGGGGACCAGAACAAGCTGGACGACGCGATGCGGCTGTACGAGCGCGCGCTGCGGATACAGGAGCAGGTGTATGGGCCGGAGCACAGTGCGGTGGCGGTGACGCTGAACAAGTTGGGAGCCGTCATGTGGGACCAGAACAAGCTGGACGAGGCGATGCGGCTGTACGAGCGCGTGCTGCGGATACGGGAGCAGGCGTACGGGCCGGAGCACAGTGAGGTGGCGAAGACGCTGAACAACTTGGCCAACGTCATGCGGCAGCAGGGCAGGCCGGACGAGGCGATGCGGTTGTACGAGCGCGCGCTGCGGATCGACGAGCAGGTGTACGGGCCGGAGCACAGTGAGGTGGCGGCGACGCTGGTGAACATGGGCCTCGTCATGGGGGACCAGAACAAGCTGGACGAGGCGATGCGGCTGTACGAGCGCGCGCTGCAGATACAGGAGCAGGTGTACGGGCCGGAGCACCGTCAGGTGGCGGTGACGCTGTTCAGCATGGCCGACGTCACGCGGCAGCAGAACAAGCTGGACGAGGCGATGCGGCTGTACGAGCGCGTGCTGCAGATAGAGGAGGTGTATGGGCCGGAGCACAGTCTGGTGGCGGTGACGCTGGGTAACATGGACGACATCAGGAAGGAACTGGACGCACTGGGGCGTCAGTAGGATGAACATGATCTCGCCGATTGATATTTTGTATCTTCCTTGCAGCTGTGTTTGGCAGCAGTGACTCAGTGCCGCCACAGACCCTCAGATTGCACTGCTCGGCATCACGGTGCGTCGCGCGTGCCGGAGGCGAGTGCAGCTACGGCACCGGTGGCACAAGATGTCAGATGTTGCGGCACGGCCTGCAATGGTGTTGTTTGATTTGTAACAGGTAATGATGCATCGAGGGTGAAGACGCACACACCTGATCTTTTCAGGTCCCAAAGCCTTATGGCTGACGACGCGAAGAATGTGACACCTCACCTCACCTCACCGCGTGCTGATGAGGCCATGTGAGGCCGCACAAAGATATGAACGTGGTTGAGCGTCCGAGTCTCACGAAGCCGGATTGATCATCGAGGTGAAATGGACGCTGCATGCACCGTGTGTTCTAGACAGGAAGCGGGCGCTCGCTACGGACGCCCAGGGGGTTGAGCGACCGTCCTCGCACCGAACGTGTGCATAGGCAGCCGGAGCAGCCGTGAGTCGGTCGCCGCGTATGACCACGCGTGTTGGAGCATCAGGTATGCGGCACCAACGGACAGAAATCATGGCTTTTTACAAAAGCGGCGCCCGTGGCCATTGTTCGCCACGTGGGTCGCCGACGCGCTGTTCGAGCCCGCGTCGGATCGCTGCAGATCCACGGGGCTGTTGCCGGGGGCCGAGGAGCAGCAGCTGGCGCGGAGTGCACCGAACCCTTTTGTTGCACGTATGGGTGCCATGGTGGCGCGCTCGCTTCGTCGACGCCGCGTTCCGCTCGAGTACTACGAGGAGGACGCGGCACTCATCGGCCACACTAGCGCGCCCGCGGTCCGTTCCCCCTGCACCGTCACGAGGCTGGAGCGCCGTGGTCAATCTGTGCGTCGCGAAGAGCGATCGCCCGCGCGGTCGGCACGCGCGGCCTGAGGCGTCTCGATGTCCTGCGTGCCGTCGCTGGTTCCCTCGACCCGAGTTGTCCCCTTGCCTGACACAGCATCGGATGACCCCTCCCTGACTAGGCATGCGCGGGCCCGTCCGCTTTGCTTGGCGGGCGCGAGCCGCTGCGGCACGCGCGGAGAGATAGCAGGTGTGGTGTTTTGTCCGAACGACGCACATTCAGGTCTGATGAACGAGAAGAAGTAGGTCACGGTGTTGGTGCAGCGGGCATAGTTTTGCTCATCGTTGCGCACAGGGCGGGTTTGGGGCCCGGCCGCGTCGGGGGCGGTCGCGGTTGGTTGCCAGGATTGATGCGCGTAGTCTGCTCCAGCTCGTCGATCCTCAGGCACGCCGGGCACAGAGCGCGCGCCATGAGTGTGAGCGCTCCACCAGCGCGGCCGTGCGTGCACAGCGGGGCGTTCTTGAAGGGCGAGAAGCAGCACAACATGCACCTCGTGGTACGTGATCCCAGGCGGACGCGGTCGATCCGAAAGTTCCCGCGTCCCGACGCCGTATCGCCCCGGGCCGTGAACTGCCCAGCAACCAAGTCTCGAGACGCAACGTAGCGCCTCGACGACGACGCAACGTCCCTTTCCGCCCCGCCAGCGCCGACCTGGCTTCTAGGCGCCGCAACGACCGTCGCAGAATGCCACAGTGAGCCGTGTGCTGGCCTCCACGCCCCCTCTCCATCCTATGCACTAGGCCCGCCTGTCTCTCCCGCACCTCCGCAGCGGCTGCTGACACGATCTGTTGACGCGGACGGCCCATTCCGATCGGTTGCGTCACGGCGCGCCCGCCCGCTAGGCCTGCACAGTCCAGTACAGGCCACCGCACCCTCTCTATCTACGCTCTGCAGCTTCTCAACTGGGCGCTCCCGACGTGCACGCTCCAGTGCTGGACCGCCGCCACGTACCGCATTTGCGCCGACGGCGGCGCGAACCAGCTGTACAACATCGCCACCCACATCCCCCCCCGCCAAATCCTTACTACAGGTAAGCTGTTATAAACGCACACACAACGCGACGCAATGAGTGCGCGCTACCCGCCCGCGTCCTCACAGGCCCGCTCCGTTCCGCCTCCCCGCAGTCGGCGCGCAGGCGCCGCCCGCGAGTCAGGTCGTGCGCCCGCAGGACGCGCGGGGGGTGTTAAAGCCGGACCTGATCGTGGGGGACCTGGATTCGGTGTATCCTGACGTCAGGCGGTTCTACCAGGCGGAGGGCGTCGCGATCCGCGATATGGGCCACGACCAGGACACGACGGACCTGGAGAAGGCCGTCCGTGCGGCCCGGGACAGCATAGGGGCCGTAGAGGATGGCCGGCCGCTGATCGTGGCCGTCGGCGCGCTCGGAGGCCGGCTGGACCACTCCCTCGGGAGCCTCAGCACGCTGTACAAGTTTCCCGAGCTCGAGCTCGTCCTCGTCGGCGACGGCAACACAGCAAGGTGCGAAGAACAACAAAGAACAACAAACATGCAACCAGCGGTGTTTTATTCGACACAGCAGCGCCCGCGCGGAGGCCGCGTCGTTCCGACGCGATACCACCACGCAAGCCGCTCCAGCCCAGGGCTTTCCGGTCGTGCAGCCGGGTGCCCCGAGGCAGGCAGCCTCGCTCCCGCCGTGCTGGCAAGCACCTCCCGCGCATCGAGCTGCGTTGTGCCCGTTCGCCTGCAGGCTGCTACCGCCGGGGCGGAACATCATCCGCGTGGACCGGAACGTCGAGGGCCCGACGTGCGGCCTGGTGCCGCTGGCAGGTCGCGCGGTGGTGTCCTCACGGGGGTTGAGGTGGGACATGGATGGACTCGAGCTGGAGATGGGCGCCATGGTGAGCACGTCGAACGAGGTGAGCGCGGACGAGGTCGAGGTGTTCACCGACGTGCCGTTGGTGTGGACGACGGCGTGCCCCGCCGCGACGTCCCTCCCGCCCGCGCAGAGCTCGCTCGAAAGGTAGCTGGCGCGGCATGTGACGGCGACCGCACGCAACGCGAGGACGTGGCGTGCGTGGCTCCCGCGCCCGACTGCGTGCGTCTCTTTCGTGTTTGAAAGCCCTCACGAACGACAGCGACTCCAGGACAGAGAAGCCTTGCGCAGGGGGACTCTCAGGCGCGCCCGACGTGAGTCTTCACGCGCTCATTCGCGAAGGTAGAGCGAGGCACGCACGATGCGCCGCAACGCCCTTCGCTGCGTCACGGCCAGCAGGCGGAACAGCCGTGACTCGGCATCACAACGCGTCAGTATCCGAAGCCAGAGCCGCCCCCGCGCGAGGGGCCGTCGTCGTCGCGCTTCTTCGATTTTCGCCGCGGGGGCCCGCGCACCGACTCGTTGTACTGGCGCATCCGCTCGCCCTGCTCGTACGCCGCGCGGTCGGCGTCCTCCTTGCGCTGGTCCTGCCACGACGTGAACGAGAGGTAGACCACGCCGCCCGTGACCACGACGAGCGCCGCCACCGCGATCACGAACAGGAACGTCACTGCACGGCGGGGGCGGGAGTGGGCAGAACAAACTGTCACGCTGTAATATCATATCTAATCATACGAAGTCCGAACTCGCACTTGACTGCCCCGACTGCAAGCTCAATGCGTCGACGATGGGCAGCGCGTAGCTGCACGTGCGCTGGGCGCGGCTGCCCGCCTTTGACGCGTGAGCTGTCGGTTTTGAGCGCACGAGTGCGTGTGAAATGTCGAGGCGGAGGGGTCCTCACCGAGGGGGTCCGGGGGGGGGACGCCGTCGTCCACGACGTCGGCGATGGCTGGCGCGGCGAGGAGCATGCCGGAGAGCGGCGCCAGTAGGCCGAGCGGAGATACTCGCGCCTTGGACTTGAGACCTGCGCTTGGTCGCACGTGTGGCGCGCGTGGGCAGTCCTTCGGGCTTGCAGCGCGCATTGAGACGCGGTCGGTATATTGAGAGCACTTAAACTAGGGAAAAGGGGGTAATGCGGCGAAACGAGCGACGAACGCAAGGCGGACGTGCTGCGGGAAGGTTCCGGGCGGAAAATGGTCGTGTCTGGGGGACTGATGCGCAAAGAATCTTCGTCCCTGGCCCACAGTCGCTGTCATGTCGCATTCCGTGTCACCATCGAATCTGTGTCTCCCCCAGGGTCGCCGGGCACCTGGGTTCCCTGGGCCAAGTGCTCCACAGTACCCAAACAGGCCGAGCAAGAGAGACGGGCTCACTGAATCCACAAAACCAGCTTTCTCGTCTCGCGGTCAACGAATCGCGCACATAAAATCCACCAAGTCGACGGTGTGCTGCGCACCAGCGGACGCCTCATCTGCGCCAGCGTTCGTCGCTCGGGCGCCGCAGCCGCCCCTCCCGACCGCCCCCGACGACGGCGGCGCCTCCACGTGCAGCTGCTTCCACGACCCTGCAGCCCGTGGCCTCGCGCACGCTGGCCGCGAGGCACAGCTGCGCACCGCCACCGCACACGGCGCGCGCCCGATAGCCCCTACAGCCTTCATGCTGCCCGTGACGCCCTTTCTTCCACCGGCGGCTCTTGCTTCTGCCGCATGCGGCCTCCCCGACGGCCACAGAGCCCCTGGGTGGTCGCCACGCCATGACTCATCACGGCAGGCTGTCAGGGGGGGGCCTGATTCAGTCGCCGTCACGGCCGGGCCGGACCGCCGCGTGCGCAGGCCCTCCGCCCAAGACACGCGCGCGATATCCCGCGCCGCCAGAGAGTCTGTCTGCTGCGTTGACCACCCAAACACGCGCACAGCACACGAACAAAAAGATATCAACAAATACATATCATTTGTAGACTCTCCATCCTCACAGCTGCCTTGCAGCCCTTGCCTGCCCCGGCGATCGCGCGGCAAGCGAGGCTCAGCGCGCGGGGTCGTGCCGTGGATGGGGAACGGCGCGAAGTCACCGGAAGACAGCGCCTGGCGTCGCGCGCGCGGCTGTGCCCGCAACTGACGCGTTGAACTTCGTGTCGTCCGCGCCCCTCGCCGGCCAGAGCCCGGGCGTCGGCGCCGTGCCCCCTGCGCCCCCGCCCGTGACGTACCCCCTGCAAGCGAAGACTCGCACGAGCTTTTGTAACACGTCATCTAGCGCTGGATTGCTGTGTGCCCAGAGCACGAGTTCGCCGACGACTCGGCTGGGGGCGTCGGGCGCGTGAAAGCGCAAGCAGGTCCGCGCAGACACGGCGTCCACCGGCGCGGCGGGCCTCCGCATCCACGGCGAGAAACAACAGGCCTGAACCGTGCGAAGACAAGACATGAAATGACGACACGGTGCGAACTGAACTGCCTCTCCGGCTCGCGCACGGCGGGGACTCACCTCGCGCCGCCGTAGTCGGACCGCCCGGCGTCGATGGTGGCCGCGAGCGCCACCTGCGACACAGGCACTGAGATGTGCAGCGCCTCGGCAAACACCTTGCTGGACCGCACCAGCGCGTCGTGGTGCTCCTGCACGGCCCGCCGCAGCGACGCCAGCTTCGCTTCGATGCTGCCCACCACCGCCTCCGACGCCGCCTGCACACAAACAACGCATGTCGCACACGGATCCCACACGGACGCATTCATCGCCAATCGCCCCCTAACAGCGCTTCCGATCATGCACAGAAACCACACAACGTCGGTACGACAAGCAGGCCGCGGCTCGGCGCCGTGCCGCGCCGCCCCGGTGGCAGCACACACCTGTTCGCGCGCCATGCGTCCCAGGGCCTCCTGCACGCCGCGCGAGGCCTCGATGCTCTGCTGCGAGATCCCGCTGACCCGCGCCTCCATCGCGCGCAGCGCCGCGGCGACCGGCTCCAGGTCCGGCCCGCGCTCCAGCACCGTCACGCGCTGTCCGAGCGCGCCCGACATGTCGCGCTGCGCCGTGTCTAGCTGCCGGCAGTGCGTGTCGAGGCTCTTGACCTCCGCTGCACGCACGGACCGCACGAGGCTCCAAGAGGTCGGCGCCGGCTGCTTCGTCCGCCGAAAGGCGCAGCAATCAACTTGGAGGGGTCTGTTGAGTCAGTCAGTCAGGGTCATCGAACGAGGAAGGGGGGGGTGTCGATCGAGGTGTGGTCGGACGTGCGTGGGCGACGCCGCGGAACGCCCCCATGGCATGAGCGCGCCTTCCGCCCGCGCAGGCACGAGGAAATCAACATCGGGAGAGTTTGCGTGCAGTGCGCGGCGGGTGCCGTGCGCACCTGCCACCTCGGCGAGCTGCCGCTTGATTTCCCGGTCCTCCTCCGCGGCGTCCCGCCCGAGCGCGTCCACCTCGCCCTTCAGCTTCGCCTCCAGGTCGGCGATGGCGCGCCCGATGCCGCGATGGATGGCCTCGCGCGCCTCGACCTTGGTGGCCAGGTCCTGCGTCGCGGCGCGCATGTCGTCGAGCCCGCCGCGCAGGTCCCCCATCGCGCCGACGACGCGCTCCACGCGCGCGCCCTGCTGCTTGCTCTGCGCCTCCAACTCACTCAGCCTGCACGCGGGCCGAGGGGGGTGGAGGGGGGAGTGTTGCATCTGCGTGCAGGTACGGCGGCGGCGGTGAGCTGCTGCAACTGCGGAGCAGGCAGCGAGTGAATGCGAGGGGGAGGGAGGTTTCTAAGTCTTGTTTTCATATTTGTCCTCCCAGGCGAATCGTGGACTGTGCTCATGCCGGGAGCGGGACTCGAGGCTGCGGGGACGCGCCGGCGGCGTCGGCGACCGCTGCGAGCGCGTCCCGGCGAGGCGCGCGACGCCGGTCGCGGGTCAGAGAGGCGCGCGTGGCACACATACACACATACACACACCTGTGGTGCAAAACGTCGTTCTCGGACCGCAGCCCCTGGTTCTCCTGCCACGCGCGCTCGAGGGCGCCGAGGGACTCCTCGTACTTGGCGTGCATGCCGTCCATACGGCGCTGCATGTCCTTTCGCAGGTCGTCCATGGAGCGCACCCACCCGCGCCGCTCCTCCGGCCACCGCGACGACTCGTCGCGCACGGCCTCGAGCTGCTCGACCACCGCGTCCGCGAGCATGTTGAAGCCCTTCTGCAGCGCCGCGACCTGCGAGGGAAGCGCGTGCCCGAGCGGGGCGTGCATTCGAGCAGGCGACCCCAGGAACAGAGACCTTATCAACCGCGCCTGGAGCTCCGCACAGAGTGTTTCTCGCACAAATCATGTCGTTAAATGAATGTTTCGGTGTATCCCGTGCTCTGACCGGTGCGGAAAACGCCATTTCGCGCCTGGAGAGGCCGCGGGGCGCGCATGCGTGCACCAGAGCACGCTCGCACGGTCCCGGCGCCGCGGGACGCACCTGCAGAACGAGGTGCTCGTTCATCTCCGCACTCTCCGACTCCAGCGCCGTGTTGCACTCCAGCCGCTTCGTGACGTCGTCAAGCTTGGTGCGAATGGAGCCCACATCGCGCAGCAGCGACGACCCCTTCCGGTCCGCTCCGACGCCGTAGTCCCTGCGAGACACTCCGAAACCGCTACGCATATACAGATGGCTCGCCGGCGTGCGCGCACGGGGCGCAGCGGGCCTGCCAGGCAACGGGGCCAGGCTCTCTCTCAGCGCGCTCGCCGCGTGCTGCGGGCGCGCACCGGGCCGCTTCCGCCCTGTAGCGGTTGAACTGCGTCGAGGTTCTTCGCGACATCTCGGCGCCCCCCGCCTCGCAGCGTCCACTCCACCGCCTGCGCCGACCGGCCGCACGCCCGCTCGCTGCGCAGCTGCTCAACACCCACCCAAGCTGTGCTGCCACGATTCGAAATCCTGGGGTCTCCCGGGCGCCGAAACGCTTCCAACAGCACGGGTTCCGGCAGCGAGCGACGAGTCGCGGCGGTTTCGCCGTCGCAGGCGGCCGCGCGCCCTGGAATCGCCCGCGGCGAGGCGACGGAGTCTGTCAGTCTGTGCGCAAGTGATAGGTTCTACCTCCGGCGTCAGGGGCGCTGACACGCCGCGGCCGGGCGCCCCGCGCGACGGCGGACGATATCGGCGACGACGTCCGGCGGGCATGCGGCGCGCTCTTGCGCGGGAGAGGCGCTGAGTGCCTGCAGTGCAACATTCAAGGCAGCTGACGCACACGAGCGGGGTGCGATGAGCGGTTGTCTTTGAGTGCCCGCTGACCTACAGGCAGCTTCGCTGCGAGGACGCATGAGCGACCGAGGTGGTACGGCAGACGAGATTGGCACAGGAACACGAGGGATGATGTGAGCAGTCATGCATGCCGCTGACCCGCTCGGAGAGCCCGCGCGAGCTCTCCTGCGTGCTGGACGTACACGCGCGGCATCGCAGGCGCCGCCAAAGCGCAGAAGACGCATCGAAAGCAACGTGCGTCGGTGCCGCAGAGCGCAACACGGTGGCGACGGTCAGCACGACGCGCCGGCCGCTCGAGCGCATCTAAGCTCGTCACACGGCGAGGCGCGCGCGCAGCTACGCGAACCCGGCAAGGAGGCTCTCGAGCGCGGCCTGTTCGTCGCCCTGCGCGTCCGCCAGCGCCTTGCGCGCCATCTCATCAGAAAAGCCCATCTCCATCAGCCCCCGCACTTTGTCGTCCTCGGTCTTCCCCATCGCGAACGACTGCGTCCAGAACCGCGCCGTCTGCTCCCACATCGGCCGGTCCTGCAGGTACTGCTTCGCCACCTGCGCGCAAGCGCCACACGCGGGAACAAGGCGGGGCGTTCGCGGCGCAGGGCGGGGCGCCCGAGCGCCGCGCGAGCGCGTGGCTGCACAGCGCGAGCGCCGCGGCCGCGTGCGGACGCGCGCGCGCCGGGACCGGGCGCGCTCGGCGTAACGCGCGAGGACGTTCACTCATTCCACGCGCGACGAGCGGGACGGCGCGCTCGAGCGGCCGGGTCGCTGGATCCGGGCCGTCGTGGTCTCGACGGAGCGTTCCGCGCGGCTTAGGCGGTCAGTTCGGCGCGTGCGGGGCCCGGGTGCGCGCTGGTTGCAACGCAGGCACGGACCTGGGCGTCTTGTGGGTCGTTGGGTTCGGGGACCTGGAGCAGGACCTGGAGGGAGAGCAGCGCGGTGCGGAGCGTGAGCGCTGGCGACCACTGGTCCTTGAGAATGTCGAGGCAGATGGCTCCGGAGACGGACGAAACGTTGGGGTGCCATAGCTTGGTGAGGAAGCGCATTTTCGGGGGCTGGAACGGGTACATGTCCGGCAGCTCGATGTCGACGACGAACTTCCCGCCCTCGTACGGCGTGTCCTGCGGGCGGACGGTGCGCGGCGCGCGCGGTCGCGGCTTGCGCGGGCAGGACGCTGTGGGCTTGGGAGGACGTGGGGCGCCCCGGAGGCTCGCGTGCAGCGCGGTGGCGCGCTCGCTGCGCATCCTTGTGAGCGGGTGCTTGCTGGACGGCGGCCGGCGCGGCCCTGGGATCGCGGCAGGCGCGTGCGGGGGCCGCGAGGCAGCTGAGGGCAGTTGCGCGGGGGCCGCCGACGCAGAACGCCGCGTCGATGCGGACCGAGACTCCGCGGTTGTGTTGCAGGTACACTGCTCCGACGGAGCGTCGCGGCCGGGGGGCCGCACGGCCGCGGACGGCGCTGCACGGATGCGACGCGCAAGGTCAACCCACCGAGGGGCTTCCCGCACGACGCCCCAGCCGCGCGCCGCGTGAGGGGCGCGTCTCTCCAGACACGTTCCGTGCATGAGGTGCCGTGGCGCCCAGGACTGAGCTCCCAGGTGGGCCCTTCGGCCCGCACAAGCACCTGGGAGCAGGGCCAGGCCTCACCTTGGGCCCTGCGAGCGTTCCCCGGAGTTTCCGGAAGTCTGCGTCGTCGAGGAGCTCGAGCGTGATCCCCGACTTCTCTCCCTCGCGCCTCAGCTCCGCGAGCTCCTTCTGCACCCGCCCCGGATCCATCGCCGGCTACACACGCGTGTCTCCGCCGGCCGACGGGGCGCGCTAGTCCGCGTGGCTCGGCGAATCACGCGCCGTGGATGCCTGACGCTGATCCTACGTGTGCAGCGTGCCTATCAAGCCGCGCCGCACGTGCGGCTGTCGCGCCTCGCCCACGGGCTGCGTAGGGCACGGCACGAACACTGCTGCGCGCGTCGCCACCGGGCCCGGTCGAAACGAATCGAAGCGCCCGACGGCCCGCTGTGCTGCGTGCGCCACGCGCGGGCCGTCCGCACGCAACGTGCCGGTCGCGGGAGGGGGGTTGCTCGTTGTACCAACCCCCCTCACGTCAGCCGCTGCCGGCCGCGACACCTGCCCTGCGCGCCGGGATGACACGAGCGCCGCGGGCGCGAGCACAGGAGCACGGGCTGTTGCGCACGCGGCGGGCACGACCCGCACCACGATGGTGCAGCTCGGTGGCTCCATGCCCGCCGTCACGCGGGGGCGCCGGGTGGGGCACAGCGGCGCGCGCGAGGACCGACGTCCCGCGCGCCCGCGAGAGCCGCTGTTTGCGCGCGGCGTGTCACACCGCAACCCCCCCCGAGGTGGAACCGCCTCGGCGACGTGGTTGTGGAACACCCCCAGGGGTGTGTTGACGCGCGCGGCGGGTGATGGCGTCGACGGCGCGCGCGTGGCCGCGATTCGGGCGCGCTCCGCGTGGCCAGCGTGCAGCTCCGGGCGTGCTGCGCGCCGACACCGTGCGGCACGGGCCGCGAGGAGTGTTGCAACACCACCTAGCGAGGGCGTGGTGCGGCGTGGGTGCGGCCGCCGGGAGCCGCGATGTCGTCATGGCTCCGTGCAGCTGAGAACTTCTTCGAGACGATCGACCAGCAGGGCAAGCGCGTCATCGACGAGCATGCGGGGGCTCTCAAGCCGCGCCTGAGCAACGACCGCGGTGCGCCCGCAGGTGGGTGCTGCGACGACGCGAGGCCCCTGTGCTCGAGCCCGGGCACGATCGCTCGCAGGGCCCGTTGCGGGGGACCTCGCGGGGTCCTCGCGCGAGGAGGGCACGGGCTGGAGGTGAACGGGGAGCTTCCTTGTAACAGCGCTGAGCAGCGCAGTGCTCGGTCGTGGATACGGAGCTCGTGGCATCGTTCGTGTGTGCAGGAAACGGATCGGCGACGAATCTGGCCGCTGCGGAGAAGGAGCAGCCCGTCGCAGCGCATGACCCCGCGCCCGCCCCGCGCGGCCCCAGCGGGCGGGGTATGCAGCTCACAGCGGCGACTGCGAAACGGCCTGCCTCTGGGATACCAAGCTCCACGGCAGCGCACAGGACCGCCCAGGCGCCCGCGGTGACCGCGAACCGCGCCGCGCGAGTGCTGCCCGTGGCAGCACCCGCCAACACGACGCCCGCAGAGCCCCGCCAGGGCCCCGCGCAGGCCGCCGGCTCGCCCCAAGCGCCGCCCGCGTCCTCCGCGCCGCCGCCGCGGCCACCGTCCACGGCGTCCCTCGCGGCGCCAGCGCCCTCGGTAAGACACAGCGCTGGCGGCGCACCAGGCGGCCACTCCCGCGACGGCAGCGACGTCAAGGCCGCGATCGCTGCCCAGATCGACGCCGCAGGTGAGGACTGCCGCCCGCCCGCCGTCCCACGCAAGTGCAACACACCCCCCGTCCATAATTCATCCTTTTTCACGCCCCGGGGGTGTGCCCGCTCGCTCGCAGAGACGGCGTCGACCCACGGCGGGCCCGAGGACGCCGGCAGCGGCGCGGACACGCCCTCGGCTCCGCACCGGTCCGGCAGGGAGGCGTCGTTGCTGCGGCTCGTGGACCGGCTGCAGGCGCAAGTGCAGCAGCTGCGGCAGGAGACGCAGGAGCTGGAGAGGCTGCTGGCGGACGCCGAGGCGCAGCAGCGGGCCGCGGAGGCGGCGCAGAGGGCGGCGGAGGAGCGCGCGGAGGCGGCGGAGGCGGCCGCGCGTGCTGCGGAGGCTGCGCGGGCGAACGAGGCGGGGAGCCTGGGGCGCGAGGCGGAGGCGCTGCGGGAACGCGTGGCCGAGGTGCGTGGCTGACTGGGCGGTCGGGCCGCCGTTTGCGTGCTCAGCCATGCCGCTTGATGTGTCGTGAGCGTTGTTGTTGTTGCGCCAGCAGCAGATGTTGTTTGCGGGTCCCGGATGCCGCGCTGCAGTCGGAGGAGGCGCTGGAGCAGGCGCGGGCGCGCGCGGCGGAGCTCGAGGCGCTGCACCGCGGCGAGCAGGCGCGCGGGGAGGAGATTGAGTCCAAGCTCCTGGCAGACCTGCAACGGTGAGTGCGGGACCACACCAACCGCATATGACATTCGGGGCCCCTCCCCGATCACTGCGGGCCCCGCGCCCGCCGTGTGCGCCGCGGAGACGGTGTCTGAACTGACACTCACTCATCGAAAGCCTTCCTCTCGTGCAGAGAGGTGGCGCAAGCGGAGGCGCGCCTCGAGCAGGAGCGCGCGGCGCACCGCGACACGCGCCGCGCCGCGGGCGAGCGCGAGGCCTCGTCGCAGGCGGAGCTCGCGGAGCTAGCCGGGCAACTTGCGCGTGGGCAGGCTGCTCTGGAGGAGGCCCGGCGGAAGCACGACGCAGCCGCGGAGGACGCCGCGGCGCTGCGGTCGCGCCTGCGCGAGGCCGACGCGAAGATCGAGGTCCGCACACGCCGTGCCGGCGCGGTGCATTCGCCGCAGGTGTGCTTGCATGCATGCGCGGCGTGCGACGGGGCTGCTTCCGCTGCGGTTGCCGGCGCAGGAGGCGCTGCGCGCGGCCGAGGCAGGCGAGCGCGCCGCGTCCGAGGCGGCGGCGGCGTCGGAGCTCCGGCGGCGGTGCGAGGCGGCGGAGGAGCGGTGCCGGTCCGCCGAGGGCCGCGCGGCGGCGGCGGAGGGCGAGGCGCAGGCGCTGCGGGCGCGCGCGGCGGAGCTCGAGGGCGCGGCGCGCGACGCGGCCGGCGCCGGCGCGGGGCGGCACGACGTGGCCGCGCGGCTGCAGGAGGCGGAGGAGCTCCTGGGCCTGCGTCAGGAGCAGCTCGAGCGGCTGTCGGCGGACCGCGCGGCGCAGAAGCTGATGTACGAGCGCGAGGTGCAGAGGTGCGAGCCCGGGCCGTGCGCGGCGGCGCGGCGGCGGTCGGGGGTGTTGCCTGAGCCCGAGCGGTGAGCGAGGGTGTGCGCGTGCGTGTGCCTGCGCGGCTGCAGGCTGAGGGAGGAGGCGGAGGGGCTGCGGCGGCGCGGCCCGACCGCGGGGCACCAGCCGGGATACGGCGCGTACTACGACGGCGGCGGCGAGGCCATGGTTCCGTTCCACGCCGTGGGGGGGGTCTACTCACGCCTGGCCAACGACAAGCGCTTCGGGCGGGCCCTGCGCGCCGGTGCGGCGCCCGACTCTCGCACGCGCGGCTCCGGCCGACCGCCCCGCGCCGCGCCGTGCCTGTGCACCCACACACACATTTGCACACACACGACTGGTGCGCCCGCAGGCACGAGCGCCCTCGACGACGCGGCGCGCACGGCGATGGTGCTGGTGCGGCGGTACCCGCTCGCGCGCCTCGCGGCGGTGCTGTACCTGGCGTCCATGCACCTGTTTGTCTTCTTCGTCATGCACCACTGGCAACACACGACCTTCGAGGACCTGCACGGCGCCGAGACGGGGTCGCACTCCGTCGCCGCGGCCGCCAACGCCGTCGCCGCGCGGCAGGCGGCCCGGGGCAGCGGCGGCGCCGGGGGCTAGGCGGACGCGGCCTGTGACAAAACCAAACCACAAGCACTGCCGATCTTTGAACGCAAAGCGCTGCCGATCTTCGGGATGTTGGAACCGGCGGACGTGTCCCGATGCGCTCGGGGAAGGCATCGCGTGTGCGGAGCGTGTCGTGCGCGCGAATCGCGTTCCAGCGCGAGCGCAAGTGTATCGAGCGGCAGGTATCCCGAATCTCGCGCACCACGGGTCGCGGCGCGATCTGCCGCGCGCAGCGGGCGCTGGACTGGTTGGAAGAACGTCGTCGTCGCCGCGCGGGGGCCGCGGAGCGGCGGGCCGCGAAGCCAGGGGCAACCACCTGACAGCAGCACTACCCGTCTCCAGCGGGCTCGCGCGGGGGCCGCCAATGGCGCGCGCGGCGCCCCGGCGCGGGCATATTCAGCTTGCTTGAGACATATCGAGACAGTATCCGACTGCCTTGGAGTAGCTGCACTCGTTACATGCGTGCTGCCGAACGCACCCGGACCCGGTTGCCTCGACCGGACCCTCGCGGCCAGGCGAAGGCGAAGAAGAACAGCGCCCCCGGCATCGCGACTTGAAAGTACAGGGTCATGGAGTGCACCGGCTGCGACGCGCTCTTCGAGCCGGCGCCGAAGCCGAGCTGCCCAGTGGTCCTCTCTTGCGGGTACGCGCCCGCGGTCCCGCTCGCCGCTCGCACCCGGGCCGCGTCTCTTGTGTCCGTGGTACTCGATTGGGCCGCGCGGGCCGCCCCGACGGCGCCCAGGGTCGCGCGCGCGGGACGTACCCGTCTCGTCGTCTCAACAGTTCCGCTCGTGAGCAGCCGCGCGGGCCCCCCCTCGCCTGCGCGCGACGGACCAGAGTAGATATGAACGACAATACCTGCGAGCGTCGCGCGAGATCGCCGCGCGGCCCCAGCGTCGCACCGGTGTGGCCAAACCGGTGGCTCACCAGGCCCCGCCCCCTCCGCGCCGCCCACTGCGCAGGCACACCCTCTGCCGGTCATGCGCCGTCGACTTGGCGAGCGCAGACCCCGGGACGGGACACCCCACCATCGTCTGCATCTTCTGCAGGTGAGCGCCCCACCTGTTCAACAGGCCCGGCTGCAACGCCCCCCGTTCCGCGCCGCGGCCCGCCCGCGGCCCCCGCCCGCGCCCGCCGGCCTCGAACCCGCTCACCTCCCGCGTCCGCCGCCCGAAACGCAGGGAGCCGCACATCTACGCCAAGAAGGGGGCCAGCTGTGAGGACCTGGTAGCGAGCCTGCCCGTCAACCACGGGCTGCTCGAGGCGAACGCGACGATCCTCTCCGTCACCGCCGAGATGAAGTCCCTCCTCGGCGTCCTCCGCAAGCTCCTCCCGGAAAGCGCGGCCGGCGCTCTCGCCGAGCAGCACCAGTGGCAGGTGGCGCGCGGGCCGCCCGGCCACGAGCCCGCCGCGACGCCGGCCAACCCCCCGGCCGCCGCGGGCCTCCCCGGCGTGCCCCGGACGTCGCCGCCGGTCCGCATGGCCGGCCAGCCGTACGCCGCGATCCACGCCCCCGCCGTCGACACGGTCACCGCTCCCATGGGGTGGACGCCGCCGTCGAACATCACGGCCGAGGCGGTGCACGCGTACGGCAAGCACGCCGGCGCGCTCGCCACGGGGTCGCTGCCGTACCACATGTGGCCCGCGCGCGCGCCGGCCCCGCGCGGCTGGTCGCCGTCGTGGGGGCCCGCGGGGCCGCCCGGGTTTTTTCCCGCCGCGGGACCGTACCCGCACCGACTCGAGGAAGCCCACCGACTAGACCCCGTGCTCGCGGCCCCGCCCGCGCCGCACCCGCGCGGCTGGGCGGCGCTGCGCAACATCCGCGGGCCGCAGCAGCTCCCGCCGCCGTCCGAGGCGCAGATCCGGATGATGGAGCTCATCATGCGGCCGGACCGCGCGCGCGTGGCGCCCGAGGAGGGCAACAGCGACGACGCCCGCGTGACGGTGCAGCAGCGCGAGCTGCCGCTGGCGGCCATGATGGGCGCCAAGGGCGCGATGCCGGCGCCCGAGGGCAAGAACATGAGCAACGAGACTGAGAACAACGAGCAAATGCGCGCGCAGAAGCGGGCTCGCCTGGATCAGCCCCAGTGACGAGCCGAAGCCCGCAGGGAGGAAGGGGTGTCAACCACACATGGCGGTTGAACGCCCCCCGCCCCCGACCTCCCTCGATTTCTCCCTCGATTCCTCCCCCTGCTCCCCCCTCCACGGTGTATTCGAAAGAATTTGTCTTTTTGTCTGACGGCGGCGCCCGTTCCGCGGCACGGCGCTCCTCGTCCGCGAGGATGCGCCCCCCGCGCCGAATGAAGAACCAACGCCGGCGAACGGGGATCAAGCAGCGCCCCCGGTGGCCTTTCCTAGCAGTCCACGCCGGCCCCCCAGCCCCCCCCTATTGACACACCGGGCACGCGTATGCAAATACCCCCTCTCCGCCCCTGTTCCCTACCACAGACGTGCCCCTCACGATGAAGTGAGTGTACAACAACGCCCTGCGGCGAAATTGCCGGCTCCGCAAGATGACTACGGGCGGGGGAGACCTCTCGACCCCCCCCGAGCCCCTGTCGGACACGCACGCCTACCCCCACAACACCCCCCCCCTCCCTAACCCGCCAGCCCCCCGCCCTGACCGCGCCACATCCTGCTGCGCTGCAACGACTTCGCGTACACCACACCCCCCCTCCCACGCGCCGGCGCGCCCCGCCAACTGTTCACATGCCGCCCGCTCAACGCAGGCCTCGCTGGGTTGGCCCCTCTCGTACATGCATAGTAGCAACCGCTACCCCCCCGTGCGCACGTCGCGGCGTCCCGGCCGCGCCCCAGCCTTGTGCCTTTCCCAACCACACCGCACGCACCAACGCACCACCGCTGTTGCTAGTCCTCCTCGCGCTTGATTCCTCCCCTGCCTCCGAGCCCACGGGACGACGCTGGTCCCGCGGGCCGAGCGGAGGCCAGGAGACGCAGCAGACACGAACCGCGGCGCCCTCCGCGGCCCCTTAGTCAGTCATTCCCGGTGCCGTGCTGCACACCGGTGTGATTTCTTCCTGCTCGTCCGCGTCCCGCGGTGTCCGTCGCGGTCTCACGTCTGCCGTACCGTTTTGTTTCTTGCGCGGGTGGTCGATCGCTGCTTTTCCGCCGTCGCGGTCTCACGTTGCGCAGCATCCTGACCGCTTGAATTCGCCCGGCTCGCTTGCAGCCCTCTCTCGGTCGCTTTCCACGGCCCTCAGCCAGCTCGCTCGCTGTGCTGAAAGCGATTCACTGTCGGCTGCCTCTTGGACGTACCTCGCCCACCTGGTGATGCGCGCGACACGCAAAGGCGCTTCTGCCGCGCCATGTCGGCCGCTGAAGAACCCGAGCGGTCGGGCTGTGGGCCAGCGAGCACTGCAGGACGCCGGGGGACGCCGGCGCCGGGACGTCGGACCGCGGCTCCGTGGCTTCGTTGTTCGTGTGCGCGGGCACTCTCTCTCTCTCTCTCTCTCTCTTGGAGGCCCACACACCCGCATCCACGCGAATGCGAGTCTCTCCGCGACATGAGGCATATACTGCATGATGTTCAGGCCCTCGCCGGCGATGTAATTGCTTTTTGGCGTCTCGAGGCACCCACAGGGGGACTGGCGTGGAGCGGCCTCCCAGCAGGCACGCGCGGGCTCCTTGGGCTCCTCCACGCGTCAACGGCATCAAATCGTGCACGTATCAGGTTGTCCGTTCTACTCGCAAACGAGAGAGCAATGAGGTGAGCTGCGGATGGGTCATCGAGGCGCTCTACGGCTTCGGACCACCTGTCTGGCCTAGCTGTCCCCAGCTCCTCTATGGCTGCACGGCCTTTTTATGAAACAAGATCACAAATGTCTGCCCTCAACGTGTCGTGTGTATGTCTGTCTCGGTGGATGCGACACACAATTCGCTTGAAACGCCCTCATCCCTCGCGCGGGCGCGATCCTAGCATCCCTGCTGTAGCATCTCCTAGGCCGACAACTACTCAGACACATTTTCCAGTACAACGCTCCCTCGCGCTCCTACAAGCACTCACATCATGTTTCACGGTGGTATCGCGCCGCAGATCGCTACTGCGCGCCCCCTGGGCGCTCCTGCTGGTTCTTGTCGTGTGCGCCTCCCCCGCGCTGGCCTGCGACACGTCGGACAGCGCGGACTACGAGTGCATGAGCACGCTCGGACAGTACACGCTGTACTGGAACCGGCCGACGGAGCAGATGCGAAGCAGGTGCGCCACGACACGCGCCCACGTGCTTCCAGCCTGCACCTGAGTTCCCCGCCACCTCGCGCAACACAGCCCCGCAAACGCCCCACGCGCCTGCGCTCCTCGTGCGCGGCCTCTGCAGCCAGAATCCGACCGTCTCGATGGCGTTCCGGGTCCCCGCGGGCGACCACTCGTACTTTTCGTTTGGCTGGACTCCCAACGGCGGCATGGTCGGCAGGTGCGTCGCAAACACCCGTCTTCACCGCCTCTCCGCCTGCGACGCACGTCACCAGCATCGCGAACGCGGCGCGCGCGCTCTCCCTGCCCGCCGTCGTCGCCCTGCCGCGCGGCAAGCAACTCGGCCTACGCTGGCTGACGCCCCGGTCGCTCACGTGAACGCGATCGGTCCCCGCGCCCTGCGGCGTGCTCGGCCTGCCCCCGCCACACGCGCTTCGACGACGTGGCACGCGTCGCTGCAACAACAACAAGCATCCCGCCGCGCCGCAGCTACGCTGTCATTGCCTGGGTCGACGGGACGAACCCGGACCTCGGGGTCTACGAGCTGCGATCGAAGCAGTCGTCCGGCATCGTGCGCACCACCGACGTCGCCTCCACCCTGACGCGCTACACCGACACAGCCCCGGGGGGACTCAGGGAGTTCCAGTTCGACCTCGAGATCAAGGGCGCGGGCAACGCCGCGGGCGCGTTCTTCCTCGACGCCTCCCCCGGGGTCGACAACAACATGATCTGGTCCATCGGGCGGACCACCAACCCCCCCGGGACGCTCGTGCAACACATGAACCGAGGCTTCGGGACGCTCAACTTCGGCACGCAGGTCCGCTGCAGAGCCCACCTTCGCCAACGCACGGAAGCTGGCCGACCTGGATGGCTCTCGATGAAGAAACTGACGGCTGTTTTGGTGTGTGCGTGCGTGCGTGCTGCAGGCTGCGGCGACGCAGGCTCCGACGACGACGCAGGCTCCGGTGGAGACGCAGGCTCCCGCGGGTAACTCGCCGTCTGGGCAGAACGCTGCGCCCACGCAAGCAGCGGCGACGGCGGCGCCCGCGACGGAGCCGCCGAGCGGCAACACGGGTGGCGGGCGGTACGGCGGCGGGCCGTCGGGGCAGACCGGCGCGGCGGCTGGGGCCTGCGTGGCTTCGGCCCTGGCCGCACTTGCCGCCGCCGTCACCCTCGCCTTCTGATGCTGTGCACTCGCGCTGGACATGTCATGACTGCCACCGCGCCGACGCTCAGAGGCGCTCGGCGCGGACGCGCTGCGCTGTTCCCCAGTGACCATGTGAGCTTCGCGGCGCCCACGACACGCCCGGCCCGGCCCGCTGCACGTGACCAAGTTCACAACACGACCCCTGCGGCCAAACCCCGGTCGCCCGCGCACGTTCCGGGCGGTGGCCTGCCTCCGCCTGCGCTACCGCACCCGCATCGTCACCCGCAACGTCCCCTTCGCCTTGCTGAACTTCGCACGAGCGCTCCCCTCGTCCACCAGCTTTGGGAGCCCGACTTCCAGCCGCGCGAACCCGTGCTGCGTCGCGTCGAGCACCACGCGACGCTCCCCGACGTCCAGCCCCACACCAGCCATCCCCGGCGCCCCAGGCAGTCGCACAACCATCACCAGCTCGCCGTTTCCCTCGTCTCTGATCTCGTACTCGGGCCGCGCCCCAGACGCCCCGGCCGCGGGCGCAGCCGCCCCCTCGGCCATCTCCTGGATCAGCGGCCCGGCCCCGCGGGCCCCGCCGGCCCCGGCCGCCTTCGCCGCGCCACCAAACGGCCCCGCGCTGGGCGCAGGTCCGCCAGCAAACCCCGGGCGAGGCTGCGAAGCCATGCCCGCGAGCTCCGACGCCAGCGACGTCGGCAGGCTCACGCCCGCGGCCGCCGCGGCCTGCCGGACGTCCTCCTCGCCCTTGGCTTTCCGCCGCGCCGCCAGCTCCTCCATCGGCACGACGAGCTGGTCCCGGAACACCTGCAGGTTGCCGCCGCGGCGGAACTCGACCGCGTGCTGGGCTTCCATGAGCTGGAACGCGCGCTCGATGAGGATGCGCAGGACCTCGTTGTTCGCGCCCGCGACGCGGAGGGTGTCCACGTGCGCACGCAGCGCGAAGACGCGCGCCGTGACCTTCACGCCGGTCTTCGGCGCGGCCGGACCGCCCGCGGGCACGTCCTTGTCCTGCGGCTCCCGGAGCTGCGCGCACGGCAGCACGACGTCCGCCAGTGCGGCCCCGCGGGCCTTTTTCAGAGCCTCATGTGGCCCCGGGCTCACGCCGCCCTTCGCCTTCGCCACGCCCGCGGCGACCGCCGCGGCCTTCGCTCCAAGCTCGGGCGGACCCTGGTCGCCCTTGACGTCCGCCCAGAACTCGACGTGCGCGTCCCGGGCCTCCGCGCCGGCACCTCGCGGGCGGCACGGCGCGACGACGACGATGGCAGGGCGGTCGCGCAGGCCCTGCGGGACCGCGCCGCCTGGGCCGTCGTCCATCGGAACCACGCGGTCCGACGCCGGCCCGGGCTTGCGCTCCGCGGCGGGCGCCGCGCCACCGGGAATGGGCACTTTGCCCTCCATGCCCGCATCCTTCGCGGCCTTCTCCAGGAAGCGCCGGTACGCCGCGGGGTCGCGGGAGGACAGGTCGTCGAGGTGCCGCCACATGACGTCGGCCTGCGGTGGCGGGGGCACGTGACCGGTTGCACACTGTCTTCCCTGAGAGGGGGGAGGGGGGGTTGTTTCTCTCTCCTTGCCGTGGGACGCACGGAACGGCTCGTGCGTCGCCAGGACGCGCAGCACGCGGCGTGCGGCATCCGAGCGGCCGCCGAGCGTCGCTGTGTGGGTCTGCGGGTGTTGCGCGAGGTCTCGGGCGCTCACCTGGCGCATCAGGTCTTCGGTCTTCACGCCCTCGAGCCCCGGAATGTCGCCCTCCCCCTTCGCCCCCTTCTTCCCCTCCCCGCCCCCCAGCACCCCCTTCATCAACGCGGCCAAGTCAACCCCAGCAGGGAGGCCCCCGTCGCCGCCAGCGCCCGCGGCGGCGCTCTGCGCCGCCGCCATCAGCTTGTCCAGGTCCATATCCGTCTGGTTTCACGCGAACTCACGCCGATTTGGCGTCGTCGTGGCGTTGCCGCTTCTGCTCGTGCTTAGCAACACGTTCGGGGTGCTTCTGGTAGTAGTCTGCGCGGACCTCCTCGATGAACTCCTCGCTCTCGATGCGGTGGCCCTCGGTGATGCGGTCGAGCGCCTCGTAGGCCCCGCTCTGCTGAAACAATACCTCGAAGAAGCAGCCCGTCTGCGCAGCATGGTCGCGGGCCGCGGCACCCGTGACGCAGGCGCTGAGCGCGCAGACGTGTGGCTTCGCTGGCGGTGGCGTGGATCGAGGGGGACAGCAGGCGGGATGTTGCGCGCGTGGATATTGTGCGCTGGGACGCGAATGGTGAAGCGCGTTTTTGGGGAAGCTTGCGTGGGGGTCGAGGCGCGGGTGCTGCGGCGGGTTCGGTGCGTGGCGAGGTGGCGGGGGTGATGTGTGGGCGGGCGGTGAGGGCTGGGGGATGCGGGGCCCGTGCGGCGCGGCGGGAGGGGCGCGCAGGGCGGCGTGGGGTGCCGCGCGGTGGTTGCGGAGCGGGCGGTTGGTGGCGGGGTTCGCGGAGACGCACCGTGAAGCTGACGACGGCGAGTTTCTTGTAGAAGGAAGAATCGAGGCCGCCCGTGAAGCGGCGCGGGGGCATGGTACGGAAATACAAGCTGCGGGACAACACGAGTAGCACGCCCGGGTCACTCGCGCGACGTGACGGTTCGGTGCTCAAGGACCGGAAGGGATCCCTCGACTGCACGGCGCGGCGAAACAGCGCCCGCAATCAGCGCGGGGCGCGGCACCAGGACCCTATGTAGGTAGAACCCCAGCGCGGGATGTGCTGGCCGGGTCTTCGATGGCGGTGTGAGCGCACGCGCGGCGCAGCTTCATCTTGAGCTGCACACGAGCGAGCCTGGCGGCGTGCGACCGTCTCAGCGAGCACACGGAGAGAGAGAACAAGCCCAGCGGAGCGGACGGGTCCTTTTCGCCTGGGGACGGCTCTTGGGGGCGTTTGGGGGAGGCTGAGGATGAGGCGGCTGTAGATACCGGGTGGATGGAGGCGCTGACGTAGCGTGTCGCCGCAGTCGACCCGGGCCCGCGGTGGCGCCGCAGCAAGCAGCGTGGGTGCACGGGGCGCGATGTGGCCGTTCCAGAGACGTCCGACGGGCGACCAGCGGTCCTCAGCGGGACCTTCAGATACGGAGTCGAACCCCGGCAGCGTGTCGGCCCATTCCGCGACTCCCTCGCGCCGTGGGCTCAGCCGGAAAACTCGGGCGGTGCGCGCTCCTTCCGCCTCGCGTCCCAGCGGCGCTCACGCACGCCGCACATCGCGCACACGCCCCTGGGTCGTTCACCAGACAACGACGCACCCGGGCACGCCCGACTCGGCGCCGGACGCGGCCGAGAGGGGCGGCTCTACGGTCCCCTGCAGCACCCTCGGCCTGCCCGACGACGCCGTGCCGCTGCAACGGCCCGACTTCGCCCGCCGCCGAACGACCATGGCCATTCCTTGCGCCCAGCCGACAGCAAGCCCCCGCACGGTGCCTCCCGGCGCTCAAAGCCCCCTTGGGCCAACGCATCATGCAGGATGGCTCCGCGACCGAGCGGCCCGCTGCGCCGCCGGTCACGCCGCACAAGGAGCGCTGGACGGGCATTCCAGGCTGGACGCGAGGCCGCGAACTGCTCCCGATCCGGCTGGCGCCGCATTTGTGTGCCTATCTGTATGAGACGGGTGCGTGCCCCGGGCCGAGCGAAGGGGGGGCGGGCCCGCTCGCGAATGGTAGTCTTGCCGGTGGCCTGGCGAGCGGCATCGACTCCCCCGTCCACGGGCGGACGGTGCGCTTCGCGGAGACCCCCCCGCCGCCGCGGGAGGTGGGGGGGTGGGAGGGGGGGCTCGGTGGGCCGCAGAGGGGGGCGCAGGAGCGCGCGAAGGACTACCGGGAGTACCTGCGGGGCGTCGCGCGCCACGTCAACCGCCTCAGCCGCGACGGAGGGGTGTTGCTCATGAACCTGAGTCAACCCTTCGTTCGAACCTGCCGCGGGTGCGATACACCCCCCCTGATGTTCCGCGCCCCCGTGCCCCTCGTGCCGTTGCTGCTCTCTCGTCGCGTGCGACCAGATCGCCTCACAGCCCCCCACCAACGCCAATACCCCCCCCCCTCCCGCGCCTTTCACAGCGGCCCAAGTGAGTTTGACGAACGCGTGGTGCTGTGGGAGCCCGCGTCGAGTCTCCCGGACATCGACTCGCCGGGCCTCCCCGGCGTGCTGCCGCTGGACGTGCTGTTCGCGACCGCAGAGACCGTCCACCGTGCGCTGGCGAAGGGCTTCACGGTGGTGCTGCACGCGCGGTCGGACCGGGGGTACGCCGCGCACCTGACGTGGTACGTCGCGGCGTGCGCGCTCACGCTCGGGGGCGGGTTCGACCACGTGGGCGATGCGTTCGCCTCGCTGCCTATCATGCCGGCATTTGACAAGGTGCGCAATCAAGCACCAACCACACAGACACGTACAATCATGCCAGCGTACATGAATCCGGCTCGATGAACAGCCCCACTGCCAGCCTAGCCTCGGGCAAACCCCCAGCTACACCCCCTGTAGCTGCGGGTATGACTGCACTGGTATGGCCGCTCTCCGCTCTCGCGATCGGCGCCACCAGCGCACCCCCGCGGCGCGCGATGCGTGAACGATCGCGTTCGTCCCCGGCGCCGCTGCAGGACGCGGAGATGCCGTCGATTCGGACGACCACGTGCACATCCCAGAACGTAGTGCTTGCGTGCAACGGCGTCCTCGCGCCCGTGGACCTCCGCCGCGGCATGCTGCAGGCCCAGCACCAGTACAAGCAGTACCTCTCCTCCCTCCTCGGGCGCACGCTCCCCCGGGGCGGCCTCGCGGAGGGTCCCCGGCTGGTGGTATCTGAAGTGCACGTCACGTCGATCCCTCTCATCTGGCGCCGGTACTGCAAGGGCAGCGTCGCGGGCGGCTACCAGGTGGACTTCGACCAGGAGCAGTTCGTGGGCAGCGAGGAGTTCCCGGTGCTGAGCGTGTTCCAGCGGGGGCGCGAGATCGGATGCTTCGCGCCGGAGACGCAGATCGAGCCGTGGGGGTTCCGCGTGGGGCTCACGGTGCTCGGGGACTGCTCGATCGCGGTGTGGCGCTCGCCGATGGCGAAGGGCTGCGGGCGCGCGCCGGCGCTGGTGTTGACGTTTCACACCAACTTCATCGACGCAGGCATGGTGCAGTACTCGCACCGCTTCCTGGACTTCCCCGAGCTGCTGCGCGGGCGCGACGACCAGCGGCTGATGATGACCGGCGGCGACGGCGCGCTCCCCCAAGTCAACCTCTTGCTGGTTGACCCCAGAACGGCGTCAGGGCGCCCGGCGCGGATGGTCCAGGGGGAGTCGGCGGAGCTGTTCGACGAAGCGGGGATGACGCCGGCGGCGCTGGGGGCGAAGTGGGCCGCCGGGGCGCACGTCGCGCTTGACGACGCGGGGCGACCGGGGGGGAGTCGGCCGTCATCACGAGGGGTGTTATTCGACGGGGCCGACGGTGCGGAAGGCGGCGCGGGCGTGGTGTCGGAGGTCGGCGCGCTGCAAGCGCGCAAGGGCGCTGCCAATGCACCGGGGGCGGTGCAGGCGGGGGTTGAGCGGGCAATGCAGGACGGAACGCAAGGGGGGGAGTCGGAGGGGGCGCGGGCGGGGTCTGAGGCGTCAGGGTCGGCGCAGGCCTCGCCGCATCGACCGGCGTCCAAGCTGCAGATAGAGAGCGGGATGAAGTCGCGACTTGAGCAGGCGCTGGCGCGTGCGGCGGAAAAGCACGGGCTGGGTGGTGGGAAGGCGCAGAGTGGCAGCGAGGGAGGTAGCACGCGCAGCGCGGGGACGCCAGGGCCGCCGCGTGCGCCGCCGCTGCCCCCTGGCGCGGCGTCGCAGGGCGGAAAGACACCGCCGCCGCCGCCGCCGCCCTTGCCTCCCGGGCTGGCGGGCAAGACGCCGCCGCCGCCGCCGCCGCCGCTGCCAGGATCCGCAGGGCGGACGCCGCCGCCGCCGCCGCCGCTGCCGCCGGGGCCAAGACGCCGCCGCCGCCGCCCCCGCTGCCAACGGGACGGAAGGGCACGCCTCCGCCAGCGCCGTCGATTCCCGGCGCGCCCCCGCCGCCGCCCGGCGGCCTGGCGCCGCCGCTGCCGCACGCGCGGGCCAAGACACCAGCGCCGCAGGCGCGCGTGCGGCCGTTGTTCTGGACGCGGCTGCGCAAAGTGGATGGAACAATCTGGGACGAGATCCTGCCCGCGGGCGTACCACGTGCCGGCCTGACCAAGGCGGGGGCGTCCTCGAGCGCCGCGGGGGCCCTCGGGCCGTACGCGCCGAGCGACGAGGACCTCGTCCGGCGCATTCGCGAGCTATTTTCGCTGGAGAACGTGCCGGGGAGACAGGCGAGCGCGATGGCGAGTTTCCTGGCGCGCGGCGGCGCGCGTGGGGAGGACGGCGGCGCGGGGGAGCACAAGCGGCAGCTGCTGCCGCTGCAGCGCGCGAACAACGTGGGCATCATGATGGCGGCGCTGCACAAGTCCCCCCGCGAGTGTCGGCGCGACATCATGGCGTGCAACGTCAACACCGGGGACGGGCTGCGGCTGGAGCAGCTCAATGGGCTCATGCAGATGGTGCCGTCGGAGGACGAGGCCAAGCGCCTCGCAGACTATGAGGTGCGAGGCTGCGGATGCCAGCACCACGACCAATGCCCCACTGCGCCGGGTTGCATCTTGCATCGTTTCTCACTGACCGACAAAGGACTGCCTGCTCACTCGAGTAACCGTCATGGGCATGACGAGTAGGACCCCTTATCACTCACAAGGAGTTGTTTCCCGGTGTCTGAGAGATAGCTGTCTGACAGGCGCGCACCTCGCTGAGCAGCCTGCTTCCGCCTGCTATGCGCGCGCAGGGGTCGCTCGACGAGCTCACGGACCCGGAGCGCATGCTCGCGGAGCTGGCGGCCGTCCCGCGCGTGCGGCGGAAGCTGCACATTCTGACCTTCATGGTGCGACTCGATGAGTACACGCGGGACTCCAAGAACGCGGTGAGCGCGGTCCAGGAGGCGTGCAAGGCCATCCGCGGGTCGGAGCTGCTCCACGGCCTGCTCCTGCAAGCGCTGGCGGTCGGGAACGTGCTGAACGAAGGCAACGCCATGCGCGGCGCCGCGCTGGGGTTCAGGTGCGGAGTCCGCAGGGCCGGACGGGGCCACGCTCGCCTCGTGGATGGGGGCGTGCGCGTTGGGCCACGACGGAACATGCGAGGGTTCCACGTTGGGAAAGAGGAGTCGTGTTTGATCGAATAATCGCTGGTTGTTCTTTGTTGTGTTTCGATCTGTGTGTCGTCACCGCGAGATATGCGCTTGTGCCGGGTCGCAGGATCGAGGCGCTGATCAAGCTCAAGGACACGAAGACCACGGCCGGCGTCCGCGCGGGCAGGCGCGGGAACGGCAGCGCCACGGAGCACGACATCGCAGCCACGCCGCCGGCGCGCCCCAGCGGCGCGCTGAGCACGGACAGCAGCGGGAGCGACACCGACGACGCGGACGACGCCGGCGCAGCTGCGCGGTGGTGGACCAGTGCCTGGAGCAAAGTCTCAAACCTATTGGAGGTTCTGGCTTTGGCGTTCTTAGAAAGCAGAGGCTGGGCGCCTCCCGTGGAAGACGAGGGGGCGGGCGCGGGCGGGGACGCGCGGAGGGTGTCGCGGCAGGGCTCGCTGCTGGTCTCCGAGAGCAACGTGGGCTCCGCGCGGAAGAACCCCCGCGCGGCGGCAGACAGGCACATGGAGTTGATTCGCAGTCTTCCAAAGATATCTGTCCCGCTCCTGCCGATCAAGCAGGCGATGGTCCGCATGCAGAGCGACCTTGACGATTGTCAAAAGGCCATCCGCGAGGGCATCGAGCGCTGCTGTATGGAGCTAGAAGAACTGCATACGACCCGGGAGGAGTTGATCAGCGCGGGAGAGGACCCGAGGGAGTGGCCGGAGCAGGCGTTCGCGGAGGCGCTCGACACTTTCACGGAGCGCGCGCGGACGGAGTCGGAGGACCTCGAGAAAGGCGTCGGGGAGGCGAAGAGTGACTTGCGGACGCTGGTGGCGTGGCTCGGGGAGCCCGCCGGTACCGACGCGGGGGAGGTGCTGGAGCTGCTGTGGCGGTTCGCGGCGGACTTCGACGAGACGCTGCAGCGCGTGGCCGGGCTCGACATGCGTCCGGCCGGGCAGCTGATGCGCGGGCCGTCCACGATGGGCAAAGGGGTGATGACTTGAGGCCCCGGGGGGTGTATTTCACAAGAGGCGTGACCAGGTGGGCTGCGTTGAAGAGCATCAGCCCGAAGGCTCCTTCGATACGCTGTTGTCGTCGTTGTTATCTGCATCCGTTATCAGTTGCTGACCACAGCAGTTGTTGGCTGACTCAGCCGTGCGCGGCCAGGTTCATGAACGCCGACAGCGCGTGCTGTGCGCACGCGTGCGGGCAGCCCCTCTCTTCGCACTGCAACTCCAGCGCCGCCGACAGCGTCACCACCCTCCGCAGCCGCTCGCCCCTGCCCTCGCCCCGCTCCCCCAGCAACTCGTACACGCGGAGCAGGCCGTGCGCCAGCGCGTTCGTGCGCGTGCGCTGCACGCCGTCGGGCATCCGCTCCTGGCCAACCGCGTACAGGAGCGGCGCCAGCGGGTGCCGGATGACCTGTGCCGAGTGCAACTCCCCCTCGATGAGCCGTTCGACGAGCCACGCGATGTCGATGATGTCTGACACCAGGTCCGTACACGCCCTGTCGTCTCCCGGGGCGCTTCCGCGGGACCGCCGGTGCGGCAGGATGTGCTGTACGAGCCTCGGGGTCTGGCGCAGCAGGGTGATGCATACGACACCGAGGGCGGAGAGGGCCAGGGCGTTGACGACCGCCTGGCGCCGACGGCGGCGTCTGTGATGATGACAGTCGTGGTGCGCTTGCTGGGCGCAAACGGCGCCCCGCGGCGTGGCAGTGTCGTGTTCGACTTCAACCTTGATGTCCCAGTCGTTGATCGCCATGGCGCCGGTTCGGCACTGGGTCTGCACGAAAAGGGTGTGACTTGCGGGCATGCATCGTCCGGTGCGATGGACCTGCCGCAAGCGCTGGCGAACAAGCAGCGGGCGCGGATGAGCTGTCACGCACCCTTTACAGAAGCTCCTCTCCGCTGTTATCCTTCGCCGCCCGAGCGCCGTCGTTGAGTCATCTTGCGCAGACGCGGATGATCGAGAGCTCATAGGGGCTCCCTGCCGTTCGCGCCACATGGAACCAAGTCCCCCTGTTGTATCGTCACATGTTCGTCGTGTCATGTGACGCGTCGACGTGTTCTGACCGCCCCTCCGCCGTCACGTCGCACGGGCGCAGTTCGTGGACGTAGTGAATCTTTTAGAGCATCAGTCCTCTGGCTCGGACCGTGATGCCTGTTTGCAAATCCCAACAACACGAAAAACAGGTGCTGGCTCGGTCGTGGCGCAAGATCGCGACCGCTCGAGGGGCTCGCAAACTTCACACTCTGGCGTCAATGCAACGGTCTCGAGAAGACCTGGGCGATCCAGCGTCGCATCATGCCCAACGCACGCGCGTCAAGCAAGCCCAGCACCCTCCCGATCATACCTCTGAGAGCGCCGCAGACGCCGATTTCGCCGTCACGCGCACGGTGGCGGCACTCATGCGCCCGTCGTACCTTCGGATCTCCTGAATGATCGTTCCGACCCTCTCGCCCTGCTCCGCCATTGTGCACAGCGCCCGCGTGACCGCCATGTCCGCGAGCTGCTCGCACCACGGCCGCACCGCCCGCCGGCGCGCCTGCTCGGCCCACCGCGCCGCTCGCAACGCCTTCGACGCGCCCCGGCCGCTCACGACGACGCCCCGCCGCCCGGCCCCGGCGCCCGCCGCGCACTGCTCGTTCACGTTCAGCAGGATCCGCAGCGCCGCGTTGTTCAGCTTGTGTAGGCCCACCGCGATCGCCTGCTCTCGAGTCCCGCCCGTCAGCAGCTGCTCAGGTCGCCTGCTCGATACAAAGGCAGGCGCCGCACTGACACCCTGCTCGCCGCGCGAGGACGTGCTCAGACGGTACCCGAGGGTTGTACCGCTGCTGCGGCCCGAGGACCACCCGGGGGGAGTGTCATCGCCGTCGCGTTGCTCCCCCCAACGCATCAACACCGACCCCACGCGCATGCCGTCCGCGGCGTCGCGGTCGAGCAAGAGGCTGAGCACGAGGCGCGACTGGCTCGGCGTGAGCGGCCCGGTGTCGACCGAGCGCTCGCTCGCGCTCGAGACCCCCCGTTCGGAATTGCTCATACCGCTTTGCCGGGACTCGTGCGCCCCGCGGACGCCGTTCGCGCCGCGCGAAAGGGCCGCGTTGTCTCTCAGGATGCCAATACTGGGCGCGCCCCCGACCGTGTGGACAGCCAGTCGCGGGCGCTCCCGCACCCGCTGCGGCCTGCGCGCGCGCTGCTGCAGGAAAGCTCCGACAAGCCCGCTGACTGCGACTGCGACTGTCGCGGCGACCGCGACCGGGACCGCCTTGCGCAGACCGAGCCTCGCCCGCCCTGCACCAGCCGCGGGCGGGCAGCCACCCTCCTGAAACTCAGGAGGGTGGCTGCCCTCATTCTTGGATTGATGTGACCTGCGCGCGTTCCAGCAGGGACTCGGATCCGCCGCTTCAGTCCGATGGGAGCTCCGCGGCCCCGCCGCGTGCGCGCGGGGGAAGCTCGAGGTCCCGAGCAATGCACGGCGCGCGACGATCGCGGGAACGCACCCGTCCTCGCGCTGTTCCTCCGCATCTGTGTCCTCCGGTGCTGGGGTCGCGGTTCCGGCCCCTTCGGCGTGGCGCGGCGCCAGCAGCGCCTCGTTCGACGGCTCCGTCATCGTCCCGCGGTCGAGAGTGCGACGGTGTGGCGCGGCGGGAGCGCGATCAGCGCCCCTGCGTGTCGCTTGAGAGGGGTGTGGGGCCTGATGCAGGGGGGAGTCGCGTCAGCCGCGTCCAGGCATTGGCGGGCGAAGTCACCCGTGGATGCCCACGCGGGGACGGCGGCACTGAAAGCCCTGTGACGCGCCCAGCGAGGTCATACCGCCCCTGTTCAGCGCTAGATACCGCCGCTCGACTTGTCGCGAGCAGCATACGTCGAGGACCTCGGCTTGGACGCAGCATGGCCCCTTGTCGCGGCGCGCGAGCGCGCTCAACCGGTCTCCTGGAGCGTGCACGGTGCAGTCACGGTGCGTCCTCTTCGTTCACGTCGTCAGGGCCTCTGAGGTCCTCGCTTCCGTGCTTGTAGATCTTCGGCAGAAGGACGTAGGTGGCGTACACGGCGCATGACGCAGCGGCGAAGCAGCCCGCCTGCGCGAGCGCGACGCCCGAGAACTGCATGATGAGGTGCGTCGTGACCGCGATCCCGGCGCACGGCAGCCACGGGAACCACGGACACTTGAACTTGCGCTCCGAGTCGAGGATTCCCGACTGGTCCTCCCCCGCTCCGTCCCCCTCTCCATCGGCATCGCCGCGCAAGAGCGGCTCCTCTGCCGCGACCTGCCGGACGGCGCCGGCCTCCTCGTACCACGACAGCGCTGTAGGCGGGAGAAGTACAAGAAGAAGCACAAGCACCAGCGCCCAGGGCGGCCAGAGTTTGACTTCGCCGGCGCCCTGCGCGTTGACGTGCGTCGTGACCGCGCAGTTGAGCGCCAGCGACGATGCGACGGCCGCGACGACCCACCCGCCGGGAGGCAGCGTGCTGGCAGCCCTACACATTGCGTTGCGCACTGCAGCGCCGGGCTTGGTCGACAGCGCGGCTCCGCGGTACCGGAGGATGAGCGCAGACGCGCACACGACGATGAAGGTGGAGAGCACGCCGATCGAAATGACGTCGGTGAGAGCCTCGACAGAGACGACCAGACCTACGGCAGCCGCTGCGCCGCCCGTGACGGCCGTGGAGAAGACAGGGACGTGGGACCTAGCGGAGATGGTGCGGAACGCCGAGGGGAGGAGCCCGTCGCGCGCCATGGACATCAGGAGCCGCGGCTGGGCGTAGATCGTGCAATAGATTGTCGCCGTCAACACCTGCGTTGCAAATCATCATTTCGATCAAAGCCCGTGGGCTTCCGTGAGCCTGTAGCGCTCTGTCAGGGCGAGAGCTAGGAGCGCAACGCTCGGGGGGATCGAGGCGAAGTCCCCCGTCTCGCACAGCAACACCGATGGATGCAGCAGACGCGACCGTCGCGTACGTACGTACCGTGACGGTGCCGAGCGCGACGATCTTCGACGCCCAGGGCACGCCGACGACGCGGAACGCGGCTGCGAGGGGCGCGTGCAGGTCCAGCTCGTCCGAGGGCACCATGCCCGTCAGGACTGTGGACACCCCCACATACATCAGCATTACTACCCCCAGAGACCCCGCGATGCCCATCGGGAGGTCGCGGCGCGGATTGGCAAGCTCCTCGCCCATCGTGCACACCTGCGGAGCGCAGCAGCGGCCGATGCGCGACGTGTGGGCGCGGCGGGCGCGCTGCGGCGGACACGCCACCGCACACGGCAGACGGGAGGCGCACCGCGTCGAAGCCGATGAAGCTGAAGAAGACGTACGACGCGCCGGAGAGTACGCCTGCGGCTCCGTGCGGCGCGAACGGCGTCCAGTTGTTCGGGGCGACGTGCGTGGCCCCAAGAACCACGATAAAGACTATGAGAAAGCCATTCATCATAGTAATGATTCTGTTGAGCCGGCTGGACTCCTTCGCGCCCGACAGCAGCCCGGCAGTGCACACGAGGATCACGGCGGCCGCGAGCGGGCACAGCGGCGTGCCGTCTCCGCGCCACGGCACCTCATAGGTCCAGCGCGGCAACGGAAGACCTAAATCCACGAATAGCTCCGCGACGTAGTACGCCCAGCCGCGCGCGACGGCCGACGCCGACACGGCGTGCTCCAGCGTGAGTGCGCACGCCATCAACCACGCCACCACCTCGCCGAGTGTGATGTAGGCGAAGCTGTAGACCGACCCGGCGACAGGGAGCTTCGCCGCGAGCTCGGCGTAGCAGAGCGCCGGCGGCGCGCAGGCGGCGGCGGCGGCGGCGAAGGAGAGCGGCACGGCGGGGCCGGCGAAGTGGCGGGCCGCGCGACCGGTCGTGACGAACAGGCCGGCGCCGATCGTGCTTGCAACGCCAAAAGCGATGGCGTCCCAGGGGCCGAGGGTGCGGCGGAGCGCGCCGTGGCCAGAGCCGGAGGCGTCGGAGCCGGGGCCGCGGGCCGTCGCGATGACCTCGGCCTCGGTCTTGCACCTGCGGGCGCGGAAACAACTGCTGGACTGTTTGCCTCGTGGGTGTACGTTTCCGGATGTGCTGCGTCGTGAGACTGGTCCTGAAGGATGGTAGAAGCTGATTTATTCCGGTAAGATGGAATTTGTGACGCATACGCGTCGCATTCACGCACCGGAAGGACCTCTGGACTGCGGTCCTGGCCCAACCCGGGCGCCCGTCCGCGACCGGGGCGTCGCTCATCTCCCGGCCGGTCTACACTCTCAGATCCGATGCCACTGTACTCGCGAGGAAGCTTGGTTCGCGGCTGACTGCGCCCTCCGCCGCCACCAGCGCCACACCAACTGCCAAGCTCTCTCTGCCCGGCCTCAGTTCGCAACTCGTTTGCCTGGAGCCAAACCTCACACACGCCGCTGCGACCCCTGGCCGCGAGCACTGTGCCGCGCACCGCGCCCACCACCGCACTTCAAGCCACCGCCAGTTGTCCCCCATTACATGGCACATGACGCCCCCCGTTTGCGTCCGACCACAGCGATCCCCTCGCCGCGCCCCCGCGACCTCCGCAGCCCCGCTGCCACCTCGCGTGGAGACGCTGCACAGCTTCCATGGCAGCAGCCCTTCCCGGGACGCGAACACGTCATCAAGAAGATTCATAGTCATATCACACTGTTGTGTTTTGCATTTTTCGCCGCCGTTCTCTCATTTCTCTTCCCCTCGCCTCCGCCCCCGACCACAGCACCTCGCTACAAAGACCTCTTGATCGCCTCGCACACGCGCCTCGCCGTTTTGATCGCAATGACCGCAACCAAAGCCACCGCGCTTATTTGCTGGATCTTCTCCACGACGTCCGCCTCGGACGGCGCGCGCGTGCGCAGCATCTGCGCGGAGGCTGCCCTCTCGAGCTCGAAGTCGTACCTCGAGCGCCACCCGTGCCTGCACGGAAGCGGAGCGGCGCACAGCGCCTCGCTGTGTGCCAACTGCAGTGCACGAGGCTGCGGGGGGGTCTGAGCGCCTGGGGGGGGGTTTGGGGAGGTGTGTGGTGGGGGACGCACGCTGGTCGGAAGCGCGCCGGCGAGGACCGCCGTTCCTCGTCGTTTTCTGGCACCGGGCCGGGGGTCGTCATTCCCAAGGAGGAGTTGCCAGGAGATAGGAAACCACGAGTGCCGTTGGCTCCGAGATCCTCCGTGCGCGACCGCGGCGGAGAATGCGCGCCGGCCCGCGCGCTCACTGCCGTTGCGTCTCCGGCGCCCCCGCGCCGCTGCTGACGTCAGGGGGGTGTGTTGCCTGACAGTCAGTCTCGTGGCGGGCGGCCGAGGCGCTGGCGACGCGCCGGATGTTCACGGCGCGAGCCGTGCAGTACAGCGCGCCGCGCGGGGCGGTGGTCCTCGGCGTTTCGGAGTCACACGGGCGACGGAGCGTTTCGGAGCTGCACGCGTGGTCAAAACCCCCCCCCTGCGCCGCCCAGAGGCCGCCCGCCGGAGGCGCCGGCGTTGGGGTCGTCCGCGTCGAGGAGGCCCATCTTGGCCTGCTCGACGATCTCGTCGTGCGCCTCCACCGTCCGCACGACGTTCAGTTTGGAGGACTCCTGCAACTCCCCCCCTAGGAGCACCTGCGGACGTGCAGCGCAGTCGGACCGACGTCGCGCGTGCCCCCGTCTCTCACGGTCCGCCAGGACCGCGCCGCGGCCTCTCGCGCGCTGGCATGCGGGCGCACGGGGTGGGGTGGGGGCGTGTGGGGCGGGCTCGCTGCGTGCGGGGCGCCTCGGGCGGCCGCGCACCTCGTCGAGGATGTAGTAGGCTTTGTGGAAGTTGAAGATGAGGTCGAGTTCGCAGACGTTCCCGAAGAGGCGGTCCAGGCATTCGACGAAGTGGTGCACGGTGTCCATGGCGTGCAGCTCGTTGTCCTCCGCGTCGATGGCCACGGCGAAGTAGAGCGACGCGTACCGCTTGTACACGATCTTCTGGTCCCGGAAGTCCAGGAAGTTGCACTGCTTCGAGCTGCGCCCGAGGATCATCCCTGGAGAAGGGGGCAGCGTGCGCGGACGTGACGCGGGGACGCCAGGAGCGCACGTCCGTGCCGTGGCGCGTCCTCGGTCCCGTGGGCGGGCAGGTGCGCGGGGCGTGGTTGGAGGAGGCGGGGCCAGGCGGCGCTGCGAGGTTTCTTGCCTGAGACGTCCTTGATGATTTTCGCGCGCTCCTTCTGGCTATATGTCGAGTACCACTTGCCTAGCCTGACCTTGCCTTGTCGGCTGATCAGCAGCAAAAAGTGAATCATCCTCTCTTCCCCGAACCTGGACCCCGCGAGCTGTCTTGCTCCAGCACCTCGCCTTCTCGGCGCTCACCGCGCACCCTGAGATTTTCCGCGACGTTATTCGACCCCGGGTGACGATTCACGTCTATGTCCGCCGAGAGACGCCGTGGACAGGTGCTAGAGTGCCCGAGCCTGCCGGCAATCTCTCCACAAACGCCCGTGAAGGTCCAAAACGCCACCAATCGTCCCCGCAACCGTGATTCAAGTGTGAATTCCGCCGTGAGAAGCACCGTCTCGTATCTGCGGCAGCTTCGGGCCAGCGCCACGCCTTATCTCCGCCGCACACCCCCCCTGCGCCTCTGTCTTCCTCCCGTGCTCAGGCAGTCTCGCCCGTCTTCGCCGCGCCACGCGCCCATCCCGCGGCAAAGCAGCCCGCGCCGCCTCCCCCGCGGCCGCCCCATCCCGCACGCACACACGTGGCGCCGCACGACCACCACGCGCGCGCACTGACCCCCCTTCCCCAGCGCTGCTCTCACGAGCGCTCGCGCCGAGGACCCCGCCGGGATGAACCCAGGCGGTGGCCCGCCGCCCTTCCCGGGCGGAGGGCCGCCCGGCGCGCCGCCGCCGCCCGGATGGCGCCCTCCTCCGCCCGGCTTCGCGCCCCCGCCCCCGCCGGGCGCCGCGCCCCCAGGACCGCCTCCCGCAGGCCCGCCGCCGGCTCCGAAGCCGCTCACGCCCGAGGAGATGCAGGCCCAGATCGAGGAGAAGGTGCGTGCGATGCGCGGCGGCAGTGTCGTGGCCGTGGGGCGACGCTCAGGGCCGTTGCTGGGTGAAGCTGCACGAGGTCGGGCGCGTGGCTGGTGTAGAGCGTCCTCTGCCGAGCGTGTTGAGCTGCCAGCGGACAGCTCCGTATTTCTCCTCTCTCGATCTCTGCTTGGCTTCGCTGCTGGCCCACCGCTCGCGCGGCAACGGCTCGCAAACGCAACGCTCTCGTCGCACTGCCCTCCGGCGCGCCGTTGCGTGCCGCACGCGGCCTCTGAATGGCGGACGGAACAAAATTCGTTGCGAGCCTTCGGCGCTCGCAGCGCAGCCGCGCTGTCGCGCCCTGAGCAGCGCTGCGGCACCACCCCCGCCCCCCCTCGCTCCTCAGTCGCCCCTCGCGTCCGCCAGCACGAGCGTCAGCCGCGCGCGCCGCCCACCCGAGTCCCGCGCGGCCTCAGACCCACGCCACGGAGCCCCCCTCGGCCGCGCCCAGCGCCCACCTCGCCCCCAGCGCGCCCCCCACACCGCACAACTCAGCCCACCGCCCCGCACGGCGCGCGAGCGACGTATCATCGCCGACCCCCGCCACCCCCGCCTCGTCCGCACCGCAGGCGCGCAAGTGGCAGGCCCTCAACCGCAAGCGCTTCAGCCACAAGCGGAAATTCGGCCACACAGAGCCGCAGAAGGCCGACATGCCCCCGGAACACGTCCGGAAGATCATCCGCGACCACGGCGACATGACGAGCCGCAAGTTCCGCGCGGACAAGCGCGTGTACCTCGGCGCGCTCAAGTACGTCCCTCACGCCATCTTCAAGCTCATGGAAAACATGCCAATGCCGTGGGAGGACGTCAGGTGCGCACCCGGCCACACACACCCCCCCCACCCGCTTCGCGCCCTCGCGCACTGCCCGTCCTACGCCCTCCCGTCGCCCCACACCCGCCCGCCCCCCCCCGACGCGCAGGTATGTCAAGTGCCTGTACCACGTGACGGGGGCGATTACGTTCGTGAACGAGGTCCCGCGGTGCATCGAGCCGGTGTACCTGGCGCAGTGGGGCACGATGTGGATCATGATGCGGCGGGAGAAGCGCGACCGGCGGCACCTGAAGCGGATGCGCTTTCCGCCGTTTGACGACGAGGAGCCGCCGCTGGACTACGCGGACAACATCCTGGACGTGGACCCGCTCGAGGCGATCCGCATGGACCTCGACGAGGACGAGGACGGCCCCGTCGCGGAGTGGCTGTACGAGCACATGCCCCTGCGCTTCACCAACATGGTCAACGGGCCCAGCTACAAGAAGTGGCGGCTGCCGCTGCCGATCATGGCCACGCTGTACCGCCTCGCGGGGCAGCTCCTGTCGGACCTGACGGACATGAACTACTTCTACTTGTTCGACTTCGACAGCTTCGTCACCGCGAAGAGTCTCTCGATGGCCATTCCGGGTGGCCCCAAGTACGAGCCGCTGTTCCGGGACATGGACACGCGCGACGAGGACTGGAACGAGTTCAACGACATCAACAAGCTCATCATCCGGACGCCGATCCGCACGGAGTACCGCGTGGCCTTCCCGCACCTGTACAACAACCGCCCGCGCAAGGTGCGGCTGGCCGAGTACCACTCGCCGGCGGTGATGTACATCAAGACCGAGGACCCGGACCTCCCGGCGTACCACTACGACCCGCTCATCCACCCGATCCCCTTCTACAAGACCGGGACCGACCAGAAGGTGAGGAACACTGCGGCGCGGAAAACGAGACGAGAATCCTCGAATGCCGGCGCGCGCTTGCCGCGCGAGCGTCGCGGCGCCGTGCCGCGGAGGCCGCCGCCCCCCCCGACCCGCCCTGCTCGCAGCGACGCTCGCCACGCCCCCGCCGACCCCGGATCCGCGCCCCGTATGTTTGTTTGCGCCGCGCAGATGGGCGACGACGCCGACTCGGACGACGACGACGACGACGACTTCGAGCTCCCCGAGCACGTCGCGCCCTTCCTCGCGGAGCAGCCGCTGTACACGGACACCACCGCGTCGGGCCTCGCGCTGTTCTGGGCGCCGCGGCCCTTCAACCTGCGCGAGGGCCGCACGCGGCGCGTGATCGACGTGCCGCTCGTGTCGACGTGGTACCGCGAGCACGTCCCGGCCGGGTACCCCGTCAAGGTCCGCGTGTCGTACCAGAAGCTGCTCAAGACCTGGGTGCTGAACAAGCTGCACGCGCGCCCGCCCAAGGCGGTGAAGAAGCGCAGCCTGCTCAAGGGCCTCAAGGCGACCAAGTTCTTCCAGCAGACGGAGCTGGACTGGGTCGAGGCGGGCCTCCAGGTCTGCCGGCAGGGCTTCAACATGCTCAACTTGCTCATTCACCGCAAGAACCTCAATTACCTGCACCTGGACTACAACTTCAACCTGAAGCCCGTGAAGACGCTCACGACCAAGGAGCGCAAGAAGTCCCGCTTCGGCAACGCGTTCCACCTCTGCCGCGAGATCCTGCGCCTCACCAAGATGGTAGTCGACGCCAACGTGCAGTACCGCCTGGGCAACGTCGACGCGTACCAGCTCGCGGACGGGCTGCAGTACACGTTCAGCCACGTCGGGCAGCTCACGGGGATGTACCGGTACAAGTACAAGCTGATGCGCCAGATTCGGATGTGCAAGGACCTGAAGCACGTGGTGTATTACCGCTTCAACACGGGGCCGGTCGGGAAGGGCCCCGGCGTGGGGATGTGGGCGCCGATGTGGCGCGTGTGGATGTTCTTCCTCCGCGGCATCGTCCCGCTCCTCGAGCGCTGGCTCGGGAACCTCCTCGCGCGGCAGTTTGAGGGGCGGCAGAGCAAGGGGGTGGCCAAGACGGTGACGAAGCAGCGGATCGAGTCGCACTACGACCTGGAGCTGCGCGCGGCGGTGATGCACGACATCCTCGACATGATGCCCGAGGGCGTGAAGCAGAACAAGGCGCGCGTGATCCTGCAGCACCTGTCGGAGGCGTGGCGCTGCTGGAAGGCCAACATCCCGTGGAAGGTCCCGGGGATGCCGGCGCCGATCGAGAGCATGATCTGCCGGTTCGTGAAGAGCAAGGCGGACTGGTGGACGAACGTCGCGCACTACAACCGCGAGCGCATCAAGCGCGGCGCCACCGTGGACAAGACGGTCTGCAAGAAGAACCTCGGGCGGCTCACGCGGCTGTACCTCAAGGCCGAGCAGGAGCGCCAGCACGGGTACCTCAAGGACGGGCCGTACATCAGCCCCGAGGAGGCCGTTGCGATCTACAGCACCATGGTCCACTGGCTGGAGTCGCGCAGCTACCAGCCCATCCCCTTCCCGCCGCTCAACTACAAGCACGACGTCAAGCTGCTCATCCTCGGCCTCGAGCGCCTCAAGGAGCAGTACATGGCCGCCGTGCGGCTCAACCAGACGCAGCGCGAGGAGCTCGGGCTCGTGGAGCAGGCCTACGACAACCCGCACGAGTGCCTCTCTCGCATCAAGCGGCAGCTGCTCTCGCTGCGGTCCTTCAAGGAGGTCTCGATCGAGTTCATGGACCTGTACACGCACATCATCCCCGTGTACGAGATCGAGCCGCTCGAGAAGATCACCGACTGCTTCCTAGACCAGTACCTGTGGTACGAGGGCGACCGGCGGGGGCTGTTCCCGAACTGGATCAAGCCCGCGGACACGGAGCCGCCGCCGCTGCTGGTGTACAAGTGGTGCCAGGGCATCAACAACCTCACGGACGTGTGGGAGACGGGCAGCGGCGAGTGCGTGGTTCTGCTGCAGAGCACGCTGGAGAAGATGTACGAGAAGATCGACCTGCGGCTGCTGAACAAGCTCCTGCGGCTGATCTGCGACCACAACCTCGCGGACTACATGACCTCGAAGAACAACGTCGTGATCGCCTACAAGGACATGCAGCACACGAACAACTACGGGCTGGTGCGGGGGCTCCAGTTCGCGTCGTTCATCACGCAGTACTACGGCCTCATGATCGACCTCCTCCTCCTCGGCCTCACGCGCGCGTCGGAGATCGCCGGGCCGCCCAAGGCGCCCAACGAGTTCCTGTCGTTCCGCGACCCCGCCGCGGAGACCAGCCACCCGATCCGGTTCTACCAGCGGTACATCGACCGGATCCACGTGCTCTTCCGATTCACGGCGGACGAGGCCAAGGACCTCATCCAGCGCTTCCTGACGGAGAACCCGGACCCGAACAACGAGAACGCCGTCGGGTACAACAACAAGAAGTGCTGGCCGCGGGACGCCCGCATGCGGCTCATGGTGCGCCCCGCAACGACGCGCGCCCGCGCCCGCGCACGGCAGCCCCGCGCACGCGCTCCACCTTCGCTCTTTGCCTCGCATGCGCCCGCTGCTGTGTTGCGTGCGACGTGGGGGGATGACGGGCCGCGCGGCCCGCGGTGCGTGCGTGCGCTCGCTGACGGTGCTCTCGGGTGTTTGTTTTGTCGCGCCGCAGAAGCACGACGTCAACCTGGGCCGTGCGGCGTTCTGGGACATGAAGAACAGGCTCCCGCGGTCGATCTCGACGCTCGAGTGGGACAACTCGTTCGTGTCGGTGTACTCGCGCGACAACCCGAACCTGCTCTTCTCGATGAACGGCTTCGAGGTCCGCATCCTCCCGCGCTGCCGCATGTCGGCCGAGGGCCTGGCGCACAAGGACGGCGTGTGGGCCCTCCAGAACGAGGCCTCGAAGGAGCGCACCGCGCAGGCCTTCCTGCGCGTCGACGACGACGGCATGAAGGTCTTCGAGAACCGCATCCGGCAGGTCCTCATGTCGTCCGGCTCCACGACGTTCACCAAGATCGCCAACAAGTGGAACACTGCGCTCATCGGCCTCATGACGTACTACCGCGAGGCCGTCGTGCACACCCAGGAGCTCCTCGACCTGCTCGTGAAGAACGAGAACAAGATCCAGACGCGCATCAAGATCGGCCTCAACTCGAAGATGCCGTCGCGCTTCCCGCCCGTGGTCTTCTACTCGCCCAAGGAGATCGGCGGCCTCGGGATGCTCTCGATGGGCCACATCCTGATCCCGCAGGCCGACCTGCGGTACTCGCAGCAGACGGACACGGGCGTCACGCACTTCCGCGCCGGCATGACGCACGAGGAGGACCAGCTCATCCCCAACCTGTACCGGTACATCCAGCCGTGGGAGTCGGAGTTCACGGACTCGCAGCGCGTGTGGGCCGAGTACGCGCTCAAGCGGCAGGAGGCGCAGGCGCAGAACCGCCGTCTCACGCTCGAGGATCTCGAGGATTCGTGGGACCGGGGAATTCCGCGCATCAACACGCTGTTCCAGAAGGACCGGCACACGCTGGCGTACGACAAGGGGTGGCGCGTGCGGATGGACTTCAAGCAGTACCACGTGCACCGCATGAACCCGTTCTGGTGGACGCACCAGCGGCACGACGGCAAGTTGTGGAACCTGAACAACTACCGCACGGACGTGATCCAGGCGCTCGGGGGCGTCGAGGGCATCCTCGAGCACACGCTCTTCAAGGGCACGTACTTCCCGACGTGGGAGGGGCTCTTCTGGGAGAAGGTGAGGCCCGCGCGCGCCGCGAGCGATGCGGCACGCAGCCGCGCTCGCTTGCTCTGGTCCCAGCGAGCACGACAGTCGTGCACGCGCCACGCCGCGACGTCTGACGCGAAGCGAGGAGGGCCCTCCGCGCGCATCAGGAGACGGGCCCGCGCCGAGATTCACACCCCCTGCCACGCGCGCTGTCATGCACTCGCAGGCGTCGGGCTTCGAGGAGTCGATGAAGTTCAAGAAGCTCACGAACGCGCAGCGCACGGGTCTGAACCAGATCCCCAACCGCCGCTTCACGCTGTGGTGGTCGCCGACCATCAACCGCTCCAACGTCTACGTGGGCTTCCAGGTGCAGCTCGACCTGACGGGGATCTTCATGCACGGGAAGATCCCCACGCTCAAGATCTCCCTCATCCAGATCTTCCGCGCCCACCTGTGGCAGAAGATCCACGAGGCCGTCGTCATGGATCTATGTGCGTCCCCACCCCGTTGGCACACCCAACACACCCCCTGCTTGGCTCTTCGACGGTCCCGACAATCGCGACGTGTGCGCGCGAGGGCCGCGCCTGCGTTCCCGCTGCGCGGTTCCGGCGCTCGAGAGACGTGCCGGGCTGTCGGTTGTTATTGTCTGACCAGGGTGTGTTTTTTGTTTGGGTGTTGTGCGTTGCAGGCCAGGTGTTCGACCAGGAGCTGGACGCGCTGGAGATCGAGACGGTGCAGAAGGAGACGATCCACCCGCGCAAGTCGTACAAGATGAACTCGTCGTGCGCGGACATTTTGCTGTTTGCGGCATACAAGTGGCCGGTGTCGAGGCCGACGCTCATGGCCGACGCGAACGACGCGTTCGACCAGAAGGCGACGAACAAGTACTGGGTCGACGTGCAGCTCCGGTGGGGCGACTACGACGCGCACGACGTCGAGCGCTACGTGCGCGCCAAGTTCCTGGATTACTCGACTGACAACATGTCGATCTACCCCTCTCCCACGGGCGTCATGATCTGCATCGACCTGGCGTACAACCTGCACTCGGCCTTCGGGAACTGGTTCCCGGGCGTCAAGCCGCTGATCATCAAGGCCATGGCCAAGATCATGAAGTGCAACCCCGCGCTGTACGTCCTGCGCGAGCGCATCCGCAAGGCGCTGCAGCTCTACTCCTCGGAGCCCACGGAGCCGTGGCTGTCGTCGCAGAACTACGGCGAGCTCTTCTCGAACCAGATCGTGTGGTTCGTCGACGACTCGAACGTGTACCGCGTGACCATCCACAAGACCTTCGAGGGCAACATCACGACCAAGCCCATCAACGGCGCGATCTACATCTTCAACCCGCGCTCCGGCCAGCTGTACCTCAAGATCATCCACACGTCCGTCTGGGCGGGCCAGAAGCGCCTCTCGCAGCTGGCCAAGTGGAAGACGGCCGAGGAGGTGGCGGCGCTGATCCGGTCGCTGCCGGTCGAGGAGCAGCCGCGGCGGGTCATCGTGACGCGCAAGGGCATGCTGGACCCCATGGAGGTGCACTTGGTGGACTTCCCGAACATCGTCATCACGGGGAGCGAGCTGCAGCTGCCCTTCCAGGCATCGCTCAAGATCGAGAAGTTCGGGGACCTGATCCTGAAGGCGACGGAGCCGCAGATGATGCTGTTCAACCTGTACGACGACTGGCTGAAGACGGTGTCGTCGTACACGGCGTTCTCGCGGCTGGTGCTGATCCTGCGCGCGCTGCACGTGAACACGGAGAAGGCGCGCATGATCCTGCGGCCGGACAAGACGATCGTGACGGAGGCGCACCACGTGTGGCCGAGCCTGTCGGACGCGCAGTGGGTCAAGGTGGAGATCGCGCTCAAGGATCTGATCCTGGCCGACTACGCCAAGAAGAACAACGTCAACGTGGAGGCGCTGACGCAGAGCGAGATCCGCGACATCATCCTCGGCGCGGAGATCACGCCGCCGTCGGCGCAGCGGCAGCAGATCGCGGAGATCGAGAAGCAGGCCAAGCAGGCGGCGCAGACCACGGCGGTGACCACCAAGACGATGAACGTGCACGGCGAGGAGCTGATCGTGACGACCACGTCCGCGTACGAGCAGGCGACGTTCGCGACGAAGACGGACTGGCGCGTGCGCGCGATCAGCGCCACGAACCTGCACCTCCGCGTGTCGCACATCTACGTCAACTCGGACGACGCCAAGGAGACGGGCTTCACCTACGTGCTCCCGAAGAACCTCCTCAAGAAGTTCATTACGATCGCGGACCTGCGCACGCAGGTCGCGGGATTCATGTACGGCGTGTCGCCCGAGGACAACCCCCTGGTGAAGGAGATCCGGTGCATCGTGCTTCCGCCGCAGTGGGGCAGCCACGCCAAGGTGCAGCTCCCGGAACAGCTGCCGGACCACGACTACCTCCGGGACCTCGAGCCGCTCGGGTGGCTGCACACGCAGCCGAACGAGACGCCCCAGATGCCGCCCCAGGACGTGGTGGCACACGCCAAGCTGCTGGAGGCGCACCGGTCGTGGGACGGGGAGCGCTGCGTGGACATCACGTGCAGCTTCACGCCCGGGTCGTGCAGCCTGACGGCGTACAAGCTCACGCCGCAGGGCTACGAGTGGGGTCGCGCAGCCAAGGACGGCGGCGAGACGCACCAGGGGTACGCGCCGGGGCACTACGAGAAGGTGCAGCTGCTGCTGTCGGACCGCTTCATGGGCTTCTACATGGTGCCGGAGACGGGGTGCTGGAACTACAACTTCATGGGCACCAAGTGGCAGTCCAAGATGCGGTACGGGCTCAAGTTGTCCAACCCCAGGGAGTTCTACCACGAGGTGCACCGCCCCACGCACTTCGTGGACTTTGCGAGCCTCGAGGAGGCCGCGATCCCCGCCGACCGGGAGGACCACTTTGCGTAGGTCGTGGGCGGTGTGAGACAGTTCGTGTGCGTCATCTCATGTAGCGCATCTTGTTCAGTGTCTCGCGTGAGACGGTGCCTGGTTGCGGTGTGGGAGCTGCGCGTATGCGGTGGTGGGTGTCTAGCGACGATGGGCGGGGCGTGCGGCGGTGACGTGGGCAGAGGTTGAGGCAGACGTGCAAATGTAGGTGTTCGATGCGTGCCCAGACGCTGACAGGGGCGGGTACTCTTGCAGGACAGCGACGCCACGGAGGAGGGGGCATCGAAGACGCGGCCATTGGTCGAGGAGATCTTGTGGGACTACGGGCGCTCCTGCGAGGACCCACCTCATGGTGGGTCCTCGCCAGCCGTCGCTTGCTCGAGACGACCAGGCGCTGACAAGAATACTTGACGGCAACGACGGCCTGCGAAAGAAGCTCGCCGCGGAGCGGTGCAGGGCCGTGCGCGGTGAGCTGCTTTCCGAGGGTCGTCTTCGTCGTCAGGCTCTTGCGCCCCTGGTCAGGTCGAGCGAGCAGCGGATGGCTGGAACCCGCCGAGAGGTCGAGCCCGCCGGGGCGCCCGTAGCTCCACAGGACGTCCTCGACCAGGGGCGTCTTGCATAGCCCCTGGTGCTCGTCCTCGCCCCCCTGCGCGAACGCAGCGAACCCGAACGGCGACGGCGGTGGCGCCGGACGTCGCCCGCGGTCGTCTCACGTCATGCATGTGTATGGGATGACGTCGCTGGGCCTGCTTTCTCTGGGTAACGTGATTCGCTGTTCGAGTCTTATCTGCCGTTTTCTTCGGTCGCAACACCCTCGCGGCGAGGAGGGGCTCGTGAATCGGCGAAGTATGAAGCAAGAAGCAGTGAAATACCCGCGCTACGATGCGTGCGCCCGCCAGAATGCTCGTAGGCCAGCATGGAAATCTGTTTTGCTTCAAGCTGCCAAATTGACAGCGACTGGCCGTCCACGCGCTCACGCGCACGTCATGCTGCTCAGGCTCGATGACAGCATCCACACAGTCGCGCGCGTGCGCGAGAGATCAACTTTGGTTACAGCGCCCCCCAATGGGCATCAGTCGACGAACAACAACACTACCCCATGATACTGGAGACCCCCCCTCAAGGGCGGCTTCGCCCCGAACCGCTCACCTAGACCCGGTGCCCGACCGGCCGGTTCATCGTGAGCCCGATCTTGAGCATGTCGTCGTGACAGAAGTACTCCTTGTACGTCGACACCCCCTCCAACTCGCTGCCGCCCACCACCCCCGTGCGGCCCATCGTCCCCCCCATCCGGTTGTTCGCGCGCATCGTCGCCGCGCGCGCCCGCTCGTGCGCACGCCGCGTCTCCTCCAGCTCGAGCGCCTCCTCCACGCTGGCGTCCCCCACCGCGTCAGGCTCCTGCTTGCCGTAGCCCGTCTTGTTGAACACGTTGTCCGACCGGGGACCCAGCCAGTCCGCGGACCGCCTGTACGTCGTCGCGTTCGACAGCTGCAGCCTGTGCGGGTCGAGCCCGGGCTTCTTCAGCGGGTTTTTGCCCTTGTGGGCGTACGCGCGCGCGTCCGGTTGCACGTACGAGTCGCTGTAGAGCGACGTGCCCTCGAACGGCGCGGACCGCGCGTCCGGCTTGTGCTGCGACGCCTTCTCGCGCGGCTGCAGCGGGTGCGGAACGAACTCGCTGCCGTACGTGGACGCTCCGTCAAACGGCATCAGGTGCTTCGGCAGGCGCCTCGTGTTGACGTTCCCGTCGCGGTCGAACGGCGCGTAGTCCTTCGCGGCGTCCGGGTCCTGGAACGCGTGATGCGATTCCGGCCGCGCGTCGAACGGCCGGTCGCGCACGAGCTTCACGTGCGGCTTGAAGGGCTGCCGGCGGTCACCCTCCACCGGTTGGTACGAGGCGCGGTGGGTGGTGTTGTAGCGGTTGGGGTCGCCCGGGGTGTACCGGAAGCGGTTGCGCGTCCACGCGGGCCGCTCGTCGCCCGGGTCGCCGCGCTTGGGGTCGAACTGCGTTCCGTACTCGGTGGCGGCGTCGAACACGGCGACGGGCTTGACGGGCTTGCGCGGCGCGAGCATCTTGTGCCGCGGGAGGTTGTTCGGGTTCAGGTTGATGGGCTTGCGCTGGAACTGCGCGAGGTACTCGCTGTGCTTCGGGCAACCACCCGACAGCTTCGGGGTTTGACCCTCCGGCGCGGCGCGCTGCGGACGCTCCGCGCGCTTCGGATAGTACTTCGTGTTGTACTCCGTGCCGTGCTCGAGCGGCGTGGGCCTGCAGGGACACCCGCGCAGCGCGAAGCGGTTTGGCGCGTGCTGCATCGGGGAGGCGCGGCGCGTCGCGGGGGCGGTCGGCTCGGGCCGCGGCGCTCACTTCGCCGTCCGGTTCGGAACGTTCTTCGCCAGCGGAAAGCGCCCCGTCAACCGCGGCTCCCGCGGCGCGACCTTTTTGTTATACTCCGCCAGGTACTCGCTGTCTCGCGGGCACTCTCCGTGACGGCTGCACAAAGACGAAGAGACAGCGCCGCGTGGTGAGTGAGGTCAAGGGCAGGGAGGTGGCGTCGCGGGCGCCGCGCAAGGGAGGCTCGTGGCACGCAGGGGTGCGGCGGGGGCGCACAAGTGGTCGCCCTCCGTGCGATGGCGGTCCTGGAGCGGGCGCGTCCTCTGGGCCCGCTTCGGGCCGTACTCGGCCAGATACTCGCCCTCGGTGGGGAACTTCGAGCTGATCCCGGCCCTGCAAGAGACGCGGCGACAAGACGGTGCGTCGCGCGGCGGGTCCTCGCTCCGTCGCGGCCCTCTCTGCCCCCAGTTGCAGTGATAGGACAGGAGGACGCTTTGCGCCGGCAAAGATCGCACGATCGCGCCGCAACGGCGCAGTCCGGGGCGCAAAAGCACGCAGTCAATGCGCAGGCATGTTTTCCGGCGCCTGCGCGGCCGGCACCGCGCGTTCCGGATCGCGTCGCGCGCAGCGAGCTTGAAGCAACGACGCAATGCGTGCAGCGCCTCGAAAGCCGGAGCTGAGAGCCGCGGGGCGCGCATCGCGCGTCGGGGCAGGAGTGGGCAGCTCACCCCGTCCCGATCGGTCCCGTGAGGTCGTACGTGACGTTGCTGAGATCGTCTTCGTTCGACCGGTCCACCTTCTTGGGCTTGTACTCAGCGAGGTACTCGGACTGCGTCGGGCACTTGCCGTCGTGCCTGCACGCACCCGGGCATGGCGCTGCTCCTGGATGCTCCACACGGCCCCGCCGGGAAGGACACGGCGATCGAGAGCCGCAACGGACCGCCCGAGCGGCATATCGAGCCCAGGACTCCGCTCTCGGGCCGGCAGACAGGCCTCGTGCGCGCTGTACGCGGCGCCCGGCCGAGGTGACATGCCCATCTTGTTGCGCACCTGTTGTCGAGGGTCTCGCGCTGCGCAAGGTTGTCGGCCTTCTGCCTCCGGTCGACCCTCTTTCTGTAGTACTCGTTCTGGTACTCGGACATCTCGAACTCGTTCGGCCCGCGCACCGGCGGGTGGTTCACCCGGCCCCATCGCACCATCTTGTGCCGCGCGCGTGTGCTGCGCAGCCGCGCGCCTCCTCGACGTTAGCGCAGCGAACGCGCTGCTCGTAGCGTGGACGACGCGTTCCGTTGCCTCGCGCGCAATGCCCGGGCAAGGCGTGCCCCAGGCGGAGTAGCAAACGCTGGAGGGCGACGGTGCGCGCTAGTTGCGCGAAACGCTGCGAATCCGGTGTCCAAGCGCAGCAAACGCGGCGCGCGCGACTCTCCGCGGCAGCACCGTGCCTGCGCGGCCCGAAGTTGCCCACGTGCGCCGCGCGCCGCGCGCCCCGTGGAGGACACCCTCGACATCCCCGGGGTTGTCAACACCACCGAACGCAGAGGCGTGAGCTTCGTGTTTCGCGAGCCCGCCGTCCGCACGCCCGCTCTAGCCGCCGACCTCACCGCGGTATGCGCGTGCCTCTGCGGGGCCGCCCACAGCCACGGAAAAACGCGGAGTGAGCCCACGCGGAGAGAAAGAGGCGGGGCGCGAGCGTGCTCGCGTTCGGAAAGTGGAGCACCGTGCTCGCAGCGCGCGGTGCGCTGCGTGCGCAGATCGATCCGCGGCGGTGTCGGTCCTGGACCAGCACTCCCCCGCCCCCCGTCCGGCCCGAGGCGCATGCAGCGCCCACGCCGCCGGGTCACACGCCGCGCCGGGGTCACGCCTGTGCGCTCCCCGCAGCGACCCGGCCCGTCTCGCCGGGGGTGCTGTGGCAGGAGGCCACGCACAGCCCCAGGGGGAGGAGTATAAGCAGCATGACGTACAATAGCACCCCCAGGTCCGCCTCCTCGCCGACGGGCGGGCCGAGAGCGCCCTCGAACCAGTAGAGCATCACCCAGCAGTAGCTGGCGTACGCGATGCCGGCGGACGCGATCAGAGACGCAGCCCGCTTGGCACGCACCGTCGCTCTGGGCGACGCGGGCGGCGCGCGGGCGCACAGGGCGGAGGCGACGACCGCACGGAACGGCAGTGCGGTTGGCAGGGAGCGCGCCAGGGGATGGAACGCCCCGTGGACCGCTGCAAAGCCGAAGAAGAGCGTCGCTGCCAAGGACGCCACGATGGCAACGGCGACCGGCGGCGGCGTCGGAACGCTGCCGCCGTGCTCGTCGGCCCACCACCCTGCGACGCACGGCGAAGCACCGCAGCCTGCGACGTCCTGAGTCGACCCGGTGGAATGGAAACGAAACCCCCCGCGGGGGCGTGGGATGGGGGGGTTCTGGCAGCGGGGCGCCGCACCTGTCGCGAGGATGTGCAGCTGGTACGGCGTCTTTCCGTTCTCCTCGAACGGCACGTCGAGGGAGTAGTGCATCAACGGCCCTGCTGCTGCCAACATCGCAGTCTGTCTGACTGACAGCGCCCATCCCGGCGCGTCCAGGTACCTGCAGCGACAAGCCCGTGGACGTGCTCGGTGGTCCACGGCCGGTGCGCGGCCGCCGCGGGCGATCCGGGCGCGGTCGGGGGCCTCGTCGCGTGCGCACCTAGCAAGCTTGTGCGTGACGAAGCTGTACGTGAACGCGGCTGGGGCGCCGAGGAGCACCACGTAGCCCGCGGGGTTGTGGATCGCCGCCATGAGGAAGTCCGCGAGCTGCTCGTTCACCGGCCTGCGCCACCGTCGCATGAAATACACTGGTGATGCAACACGGGGGGGGGGAGTGCCGGGAGCTTCGCTGGCCCGCTGGCGCGGCGACCGCGGGCGCGACGAAGCGGCCGGGCAGGCAGGCACAGGCGGGGGCGCCGTCGCCGCGGTCGTCCGGCGCGTGGGGCGCGCCTGAGCAGGAACTGGAGGAAGGCGCCGACGTCGGGTCCGAAGAACGCGTTGAGGGCCAGGACGAGCGTGTGACTGCATGTCCACGCCCCGTTCTGCGACAGCGCGCCGAGCGCGGTGCCGACGCCGAGCGCGTGCACGAGGTGCGACCCGGGGCCCGGCATGGCCTCGTGCGCGCCGAGGAGGGGATGCCGGGCCCTGCGCTGGTACGTCGACGTCCAGATTCAAGTGAGGAAGCGTTCTAAGTGGACGTGTTGCCGGACACGGCCCTACGTTGCGCGCGAGGCGACGGTTCCTGCAACCTAGGAGGCTTGCACGCAGGTTGTGGGCTCCTTATGGGATGATGAGCGAGTTCCGTCCGCGCGCACGATCAACATCGAGTTGTACTCAGCTGCCGGCCGCGGGCGCCGCCATGACACGCCGCGAGTGGTCTGACCCAGCAGCCGAAGTCGCACCAGCCCGTGTCCGGGGCGTTGCTGACGCACGGTGCCGCGCCGCCCGCGGGGCAGCGGGGTCGTGATAGGGCCGGCCGCCTCCGCAAGCCGCGAAACAACCAGCTGAGCCGCTCGTGTCGAGGGAATCACCGCTCTGCAATCCGTGCGCGGGGGTCCTTCCTTGTAGGCGCTGGAGGACGAGCACGCAGACGGGCCACGACGATGCGTGCGTCGCGTTGCGCGTCGCCTCGAGCCTCCTTGGTCTGAGTATTTGGGCGAGGCGCGCGGAGGCCGGCAGAGGGCGCTGGCGTCGCGCCCCCGCCTCGGCCTGCTAGCGCACGCAGAGAGTGCGGTGCAGGACGGGATGACGGGGCGTTCCGGCGTCGAGTGGGCGCGGCTGGCTAGCGATGTGGGCAAGGCGTCGCTGCGGGACGTTGTGGAGGCGGCCAGGGCCGCGCTGAGCGAGGCTGCGCCTCAGGACTTGGCATGCCAGCGGGGAGGGGGGCGCAAGGCGGGCGCGAGGCGCGGGTCCGGGCGAGGCGATGCGGCGGACGCGCGGGAAATACTGAGATATTGCGCCGCAGGCATCGCCGATGCGCCGAAGACGCAGGACGTGGCGGGTCTCGTGGAGCTGTCGGGTGCGGCAACCAAACCTAGTGCGCGGGCGGCGACGTGCCGTCCGCACTGGGCGCTCCCTGCCACGTGAATGCAAAAACTGCCGTCGCAGTGTCCCGCGGCGGGAATAAAACCTCGGCGAATCCCGCGCAATCCGACGCTCGCGACCCTTTTCCTGCTCTTTGTGCAGGGCAGGCCATCGCTGTGCTCGCCTCGGCCGAAGGGGAGGGCGGAGACCTCTCTCTCGCGAAAGACCATTTCGTGCTCGTGAGGGCGCTGGCGGCCCGGAAGCTCTACGAGCCCGCGGCTGCCCAGGCGGGCGCGCTGCTCCGCAGGCTCTCTCAGGCGGCCCCTCGCGCGGCAGCGTCGCCTGAACGCGACCATTTGGTCAACGGGGCCGTCGTTCACCTCGTGATGTGCTCCGTGGAGAGCGTCGCGGGCGGCCGTGGGCCCCACCACGGCCTGCCCGCTCCACTGGCCGCGCTCGTCGCGCCAGTGAGCGAATGGGCGTCGCAGCAGCCCGTCGGCGGCGCAGGCGCCGAGAAACCGACGGATCACGTCTTCAGATACCTGTACAAGGCCGCGGTGGCGCTCTGCGGCCCAGGACCGGCGACGCTCGCCGAAACGCAGGTGCACCACAATGCTCTGTTGCTCCGCCCACACAGCGTCTCCGGCGCGCCTGCCTGCTCAGCGCCGCAGTTCGTCACACAGCCGTCGCATGCGCGTGCAATGCTCCGCCACGCTCGGCTGGAACGTCGCGGGCAGCGCCGTGTGGCCCGTTGCCGTGCAGCAACAAGTTGGTTCCCGCACCGTGCCCGCAGGACGGTTGCGACGTCGACGGGTTCTTCCGGACGGTGCTTCTCGCTGGACAACACTCACCGAACCGCGCGAAGGTCCCTCAGGTCGCGGCGCGACTCGTAGCGGCCCTTGAAGGGCCACGCGCAGTGGCGCTGGCCACCTGGGCGCTGCGCGCCGCGTCCGGCGCCGCCCCCGCCGACCTCCTGCAGATCGCGGACGCTGCCGCGCGTGCGGCGGGGTCTTCCGGCGCGGCCACGCCGCACAGCGCGATCGCTGATTTCTGCGACGCTGTCGCGGCAACGTTGCCCCTCGACGCTGCGCGGCCCGTGGCCGCGGGGGTGGCGCTCGCAGCCTGGCACAGAGCGGCGAAGGCGCCGGGAGGCGACGCAGCGCGGCTGGCGGCGCGGAGCCTGCGCGACGTCGCGCCGGCAGCGCAGGGGCTGCTGCGGAGGGTTGGGGGCAGCGGCTTGTGCGAGGCGGCGGTGGCGAAGGCGTGGTCGGTGTTCCGACGCGGGGTGATGGACGCGACGCAGGTGACGTACGACGTCGGCGGGGACGCGCGGGGCGGTGCCGGGGCGGCGGCTGGCTGCGTCGCTGCGGCTGCGACGGCGCTGGCGCGCCCGCAGGGGGAGCGTGCCGCGCTGACATGCCTGGCGACGGCGGTGCGGATTGACGCGGCGTGGGGCGTCGAGGACGGGGTGTCTTCGGCGGCCGCGGAGCTCGTCGAGCGGATGGCGGGCGATGTGGTGGCGGCGGCGAGCCTGGACGGCCCTGGACGCACCGACTGGCTGTGGGCCGCGTCCGCGTTCGGCCGGGCCGGGGCCGCCCTGGACGGCGCGCATCGGGGCGCCGGAGCCGACGCCATGCGCGCGGCGTGGCACTGCGCTGCCGCGGCGCTGGCAGCGACATCGCGGTCGCCGACCGCCGGCGGAGACGCCGGCGCGTTCCGGGACGCTGCGGCGGAAGTTGCGCGGCGCGGCGCGCTCGCGACGCGCGCGCTCGAGGCGAGCGGGGCGCGTGAGGCTGCGGCGGACATGGCGACAGCAACACTGCGCTCTCTCGCGGCTGCTGCGGCGCCTGCCGCGCCGCCGGCGAGCGCGGTTGGGGCGGCCGCGGCAGAGCTGGCGCGCGTTGCTCCGGGGCGCGTCGGAGCGCTCGTCGAGGAGGCCCCCCCGGCCGGTGTGGCGCCTGACGTGTGGGGGGATGTTTTGATTGCGCTCGTGGACGCGGTGGGGGAGTCCGCGACTGGCACGGCCGCGGAGCGCGCGGACGCGCAGCGGGATGCGATCGCCGCGCTCCTGGAGGCCGGCGGCGTCGTCGCCGCGTGTCCGCTGCGGCGGGCGACGCTGCTGCTCAAAAGCGCAGAGATGCCCATCTTTCACGCCCCCCTCGGGAGCCTGGCCGGCGCGTCAGCGCGCCAGACGCGCGCCGACCTGCAGCAGGCGGCAGCTGCGCTCGAGCAGGGCGGCGCGGACGACGAGCGCGGCGCCTCGGCGATGCTACACTCTCGGGTGCACACGCTCCGCGCCATGCTGATTCTGGCGTCAGCGCCGGACGGCCCCGCGGACGACGGCGACCTCGAAGCGGTCCTCACTGACCTCCAGGAGCAGTCCCGGAGCTGCGCTGCGGCGCTCGCGTCGCACGCCCGCTCCGCCGCTGATTCCGACGTGCTGTCGCCGTGCGCGGTGATCGCGGGGCTGGCGCGTCTGACGGACGCGTGCGCGGCCTCGGGTCATTGCGGCGCTGCTCGGGCGGCGTGCGAGGTGCTCGGGTGCGTCGCCGGCGCGGTGGTGGCGGCGGCGGAGGGGCCTGAGTCAGCATTGGTACGCGCGGCGGGGTTGGCGCTTGTGTGCTGCGTGCCGCTGGCGCGCGTGACGCTGCCGGGCGCGCTCGCCGCGCCGGCGTCGTACGCGGACGTGCGGCGCCGGGCGCGCGCGGCCGCGGAGGCCGCGTCGGGGCGCGGGGGGAAGCGGGGCGGAACGACGATCGAGAAACTCCACCTGTGGTTTCCTCGCTCGCTTCACGCGGCGCACGACGCCGTGTGCGACGCCGGCAGCCCCCACGACGCCGCGGCCGTCCTCGCCGCACACGACACGCACGCCACGGGCGCCCACGGCGCCCTGTGCGACCTCGAACTCGCCCGGTGCTACGCCGCCGCTGGACAGCACGTCGCCGCTGCAGCGAAGGCCGAGCGCGCCGTGGCGCGCACACGCGCGCTCGCCGCCTCGGCACGGCCCGCCGACGGCATGTCGGACCTCTGGCACCTCTCGGCGCACGTCCAGGCGCTGTCGCAGCTCGCGGAAGCGTGCGAGAGGTGTGGCATGGTCGAGGAGGCCCTGACGGCGCTCCTGACGGCGCACGCGCTGTGCGAGGGCCGCGGGCTCGCGCTTGCGGCCGCAGCGCTGCAGGCGTCGATCGCGGCGGTGTACGCGCGGCGGCACGACGTCGCACGGACGGAGAGTGCTGCGACGCGGTGCGTGGAGGAGTGCGGGGTGGCCGCCGGGGCGCGGTGCTGCGGGTGGTGCGTGGGAATGGTGCGGGGGACCGTCGCGGTGGCGCAGGCGGAGGGCGCGGCGGTGCTCGGGCGGCACACGGAGGCGAGCTTGCACCTGGAGGCTGCCAGCCTGCCAGAGGGTGGCTGCGATGCGAGTGCCGCGTTGTGGCGCGACAGCGTGGACGTCGGGGCGCGGCTGTGGGCGCTGCGCGTCATGGCGGGCAAGGGCAACCTCGAGGCGGCGATGGCGGCCGTCGGCGGCCTCCTCCGCGACGTCGGCAGCCCAGTCGAGGTGCAGGACGACGCTGGAGGCCTTGGCAGCATATCTGTGGGGGAACGGGAGCTGCTGGGTGACAGCAGCGCGGGGCTTGGGGCCCTGCAGGCGTCGGCCGTGCTCACGGCGACCTCGCTGGCGCTCGCGAGCGCTCCGACCGGCCCGCGATCGGAGTCGGGCGCGACAACAACGGCATCCACAGCTAGCACGACTCGGTCGCGCGCCTCTCGAGCAGGCGGGCGCGCGAAGGCGGCGCGGGACACCCCGAGCGTCGCGGGCGCGGTAGCCGCGCTGCTGCACGCCGCGTGGCTCGCCCGGGAACACGCGGCGGCGTCGCGTGAGGCCCTGCGTGTGGCCGCACAGATCCTGTGCCATGCTGGGCTGCAAGGCGCCGGCGCGCTGTTCCTGGCGAGCAGCGTGGGCAGGTCTTTCGCGCTTCAGGTCGAGCTGTCCTCACGGCAGCAGGACGCGCACGCGGGGCCGCGGGACGGGGCGGGGTCGCGGTCGGAGGGCGACGACGACGTGTTTGGCGACGGCGGCGCGCAGGAGGAGAGCGCGGCGGCAACGGCTGCCGTGTCCCCCGCGGAGAGCAGCGACTCCGAGGTCACGAGCCCCGCTGCGCCAGCACGCCCCGGCGGCAGACGGCGAGCGCGCGTCGGCACTGCGTCGCGCTCTCAGGACACGCACGCGGACGACGTGGCCGACTCTGCGACGTCCGACGCCTCCTCGCGGCCTGGCGGTGCTGCGCCGCGGAGGGTCAGGGGCGGCCGCGGCGATGCGGGCGCGGAGGAGGAGGGTACGAGCGATGTCTGGGTCTCTGTGGTGGAGGCTGCGCTGATGTCGTGGGCGCGGCCGGCGGGGCGGGCCAAGCGCGACGGCGACGCATGGCTGCATGATCTCGACGATGCCGCGGCCGAAGCGCTCGCGCGGACTGCAGGCGCACACGTGACGGTCGTACTTGCATCCGCACACTGCGGCGTCCGCGGCGGCGGGGGAGGCGCGCCGCCCGGCTTGCTGTGCGGCCGGATAGGTGGCCCTACAGATGTTTCAGTAGCGTGCGCGTTCGCGGCCTCGGATGGCGCAGGTCCGGACGAGGACGCGGGGTGTGCGCTGGCGGGGTTGCGAGCGCGCATGGAGCGTGTGCTGGCGTCGTCCGCGGAGAGCATGGCGGACGCGCCTGCGCCCGACGCGCCACGCGCAGACCGCGTGGCCTGGTGGGAGCGGCGCGTCGAGGCGGACGCGGACCTGGGGGAGTTAATTCAGGACCTGAGTCAAGCTGCAGAGGACGTCGCCGACCGGATCGGGCTCGAGCCGGGCGCGCTCGGGGCGCCGCGACCGCCGCTAGAGCTCCTGCTCGACGCCGCTGCGCAGTCTCTGCCCTGGGAGGCCACGGAGGCCTTCGCGAAGTTCGGAGTTGTACGCCGCGTCTCGCTGGCGCGCGCTCCGGCCCTCGCGTCCCTTCCCGCGCCACGCACGACCTTCTCCGGCCCCACGACGTACCTTCTGAACCCCTCCGGCGACCTGTCGTCCACCGAGGCGGCGTTCGCGCCGTGGTTCTCCCGGCTCCCGCAGTGGCGCGGGTGGGCCGGGACCCCTGCGCCGGACCCGGCGGAGGTGCTTCCGAGCCTGCTCGCGCAGCTGCCCGACGGCAAGACAGGCGCGTCGGCGCCGCCCGTGCCGGCGTTCGTGTACATGGGGCACGGCGCGGGCGAACCGACGGTCCCTATGCGGCAGCTCCGGCGGGCCGGCCGCGACGGCGCGGTGTGCCGTCCGGCGCTGCTCGTCGGGTGCTCGAGCGGACGTCTGCGCGACAACGGCGAGTACGACCCGTCCGGCCCCGTTCTGAGCTACCTGCTCGGCGGGAGCGCGACTGTCGTCGGCGCGTTGTGGGACGTGACGGACAAGGATATCGACCGTTACGCGCGCGCGGTGCTGGAGCGCTGGATCGGGCCGGAGGGCTGCGGGGCCGCGGAGCCGCCGACGCCGGCGGGCCGGGGCCGGCGGCGCGGGGGAGTGCTGTCAGGGATGTCTGGAGGCGGGGGGGGAGTCGCGGGCCGCAGGGGCCGGGGGAGCGGGCGCGGGGGAGAGACGTACGTGGCCGACGCGGTGGGGGAGTGTCGCGGGGAGTGCAAGCTGCAACGGCTGATCGGAGCCGCCCCTGTGTGCTACGGGACGGCCGTTGTGGTAGAGGGCTGCCCGGCACCGACGGAGTAGGTGCCTGCGGAGATGTGAGAACGCGGTGCCGCATGGCTGCGGGGGGTCGCCTCGAACGGCTCGGTTTCGCTGGGGAAGGGGGGGGGAGTGTGGCGGTTTGGTGTCGTAATGCTGCGCTCTTGTTTGCACCGCCGTGAGAGCGCGTTGCATCAGTCTGCGCTGCTGGTGCCTGACTTGTGGAGGCTTTAGCAGTAGAGCATATTGCGGCGCCGCTGACGGCGCTTGCGGCAAGTACACCTGAGGTGTGGGAGGCTGCGCCCGTGAATAGAGGTTTCATGTGCGGGCGTGACCGCGTGCGGACTGACTCTAGAAACTAGGTTCTGCTGCGGGGAGGCGCGGGCGAATGTCGAAGAAGGCAGTGCAGGCTCGATGCCTGCTCTCCGGGCCTGGGTCCCCGGCCACTGCCTCGGTGCCCCTTGGGTCGGGCAGGATCTCGTGCCCCACGACGCTGATTGCCGAGCTAGAAATCGGGATTGGCGCAGCAGTGAAGGCGAGTCCTGCAGCTGCGCGGACAGTGCTCTGCGTAGCAACGTCCAGCACGCGCCACGCGGCCTTCGCCCCAGAAATTCACGTACACGGCACAGTTTCCTGATATTCAAGCCTAGTACATCCTTGTGCGGTGCTGTTTCATTCGTCACGGCGCAGGTTGAGGTGGCATTCGCCGACACGAAGTACCTGTTCCTGTGCACCGTGGCGGCCTCGCCCGGCGCTGCACAGAGCGACTCCAAGCCTGTCGTCATCGTCGATCCCAGCATCCAGCTCCCAGCGGCCAAGGGCGCCGCATGTGCGTCGCTGTCGGCGCTTCTGCAGCGCAACGCGGGCACCGCGCCGCGCACGCTGCCTTGTAGGATCAGGCCCCTGACGGTCGGCGCCCCGAGGGTGCAAGCCGCCCGAGAGGTCCATCTCTGGACCACGCACGCGCTCGCAACCTCGGAGACCCTTCCAATGCAGGTTCGTTGCCCCGAAACCATATCATAATCAGTTCCGCAACTAACCAACTCGCGCCGATCACCCTGACGACGTGCAAGGCGCGACAGATCCCCACGCAGTAGGCCGCGAATCCAGGCGCGCACATCTGGCCGGGCGCGCCGCCAGCGGCCGGTTTGCCCCCAGATGTGTTGATCGCTTCTCTGCTTTTGTCGGCAGGTGTCCCAGCGGCTCGCCGTCTCCGGGGCCTGGATCCACCTGTGCCCGGGCGTCCCGACCAGCGCTCTGCTCGTCGGCTCCACGGACCCCAAGTCGGACGCAGCAAGGCCTGTCAGGATTGTACCGTCCACGAAGCTAAACACCTCCACGTGGGAGGACGAGGGGGCGCCCGCGCGGCCAGAACCGCCGCAAAACACCGCGGACGTCGACGCTCTGGCGCGGGGCATCGCTGACGTCTCGATCGGCGCCGTCGACCAGTCGGAACGCCGAGACGACGCCCACGCAACAACAGTACCTGCGGAGCACGCCCTTCCTGCCGCACAGGCGAGTCCTGCGCGGTGTACGGATGGCGGCAGGGAGCAGGCGGCGTCTGAGAGGGCGTCGCCGGGCGCCGCGTCCGCGGATACCGCGCCTGTTGCGAGAAGCAACCGGGGGAAGGTAGAAGGGAGCTGTGCGGACGCGCGACCGAGCACGAGAGTGGTGATCGAGGTCGAGGCGCCCGGGGACCGTGGAGGGGGCGGAGCAGCAGGGGCGCCGGAGCGGGAGTGGTTCGAGACATTTCCAGTCGAGAAACTGGGTCCTCCAGCGGAGTCTGTCATCCATGGCTGCAGCGCAGCGCTCGCAGCGCTGCGCCAGGTCGTTGCGTGGCCCTGGCTGTACGGTAAGCAGGCGGACGACCTCGGCCTTCGCTGGCCGCGCGGCGTGCTCCTCCACGGCCCGTCAGGCTGCGGCAAAACCGCCCTGGTCCACGCCGTCGCTGCGGAACACGGCGCGGCCGTCGTGGAGGTCGTGGCTGGCAGCGTGTACGGCGGGTACGTCGGGGAGTCCGAGCGGCGCCTGAGGGAGGTCTTCGCAGAGGCGAACGAGCGCGCGGCGCGCGGGGAGCGCGTGCTGCTGCTGTTGGAGGAGATCGACGTCATGTGTCCGGAGCGGGAGGGGCACCGGCCGCACGAGGTGCGGGTGGTGTCGCAGCTGCTCACGCTGCTGGACGGGGCGGCGAGCAGCGGAGTGCACCCGATATTCGGCGGGGCTGAGAAGGTGAGCTCGAGACCCCAAAATACAGACAGAGTCCCCCGCCGAGATGGTTGGTTGCCGACGTACCGGAACGACAGCCGACGCGAGGGTGCTCCGCGGTCGATGTGCATGCTGGAGCCCCGCCTCGTGAGTTGTGCTTCTCAGGGCTCCTTGCGTGCTTGCTCTGACGGATGGTGCGCTGCAGGTCAACAGGCCTGCAGTCGTGGCAACGACGACGAGGCCGAACAAGATCGACCAGGCGCTGCGGCGGCCCGGGCGGCTCGACCGCGAGATCGTCGTCCCCGTGCCCGCCCCGGCCGACCGCGTGGCGATCCTCCGCGCCCTGATGGCGAACACAAGCCTGGCTGATGGTGTCAGTGTGGAAGAGATTGCAGAGGCCGCGCACGGCTACACAGGCAAGCGCCGACGCGACGCCAAGCCGGTGTCTGTCCAGTGCGTTGTTGATCGTGACTCATTTGCCACGGCGGCAGCCCTGAGTCAGTTCGTGGTAGAAGTGCGTTTCTGAGTCTGATTTCAGATTCGAAAGAGATTCCGCGTTCGCTGGGCCCCCGTTGCCGCAGGAGCCGACCTCGGGCAGGTGGTGCGCGAGGCTGAGATGATCGCGAGCTTCGAGGCGCGCGAAGAGCGCGACCCAGGCCCGGCCAACCCCCGTGTGTCCGCGGGCCTCCTCAGAGCCGCGATGAAACGCGTGGGCCCGAGCATCACGCGTGGCATCGCGACGGAGCTCAAGCCAGCGCGCTGGCACGACGTCGGGGGCCTCGACGACGTCAAAGCGAGGCTGCAGCAAAGCGTCATCTGGCCGCTGACACGCGCGAAGGACTTTCGGCATTTCGGGCTGACGCCGCCGCGAGGGGTGATGCTCCATGGTCCGCCAGGGTGTTCAAAGACGCTGCTCGTGCGCGCGTGCGCGACGGAGTCAGGAATCACCATCGTGTCGCTGTCCTGCGCGCAGCTTTTCTCGCAGTTCGTCGGGGAGGGCGAGGCGCAGCTGCGCGAGGTGTTCTCGCGCGCGCGGCTCGCCGCGCCGTGCATCCTGTTTCTCGACGAGATCGACGCGGTGGCCCCGCGGCGGCAGGGGGGGTCGGAGGGGGGGTCGGAAGCTGCGTACCGCCTGCTGTCAGTTCTGCTCACAGGTGCGCCGGAACGGACACGCTCGCACCACGAGCGTGCTGAGACGAGAGGACGCGCGTGATTGCAATGCAACTGCGTCCACGTCGCGCGACGCGCCCTTCTGTGCTTTGCCAGCAACGCACACCTGCTCCACGCCCCGGCCCCGCCTCCGCACCACACCGATCAGCCCCATCGCACCGAACATGCGCGCAGAGATGGACGGGATGGAGCTCGCGACGGGCGTCCTCGTTGTCGGCGCCACGAACCGACCCTACGCCATTGACCCAGCAATGCTGCGCCCTGGCCGGCTGGAGGTGCACCTCTTCGTGCCGCCGCCGGACCTCGAGGGCCGCGAGGCGGTGCTGCGCATCCACACGCGCCGGAACCGGCTGGCGGACGACGTCGACTTGTCGGCTGTCGCACGCGCGACGGAAAAGTACACTGGAGCGGAGCTGGAGGCGGTGTGCCGGGAGGCTGCCATGAGCGCGCTGCGGGAGGACGTGGAGCACGCGGACACGGTGCGCGCACGGCACTTCGAGGAGGCCCTGGAGTCAGTCCGACCAGGCCTGACGCAGGAGAGCCTGGAGGACTATTCGTCGTTCGGGAGCAGGAAGGGGGCGTGGAGCGAGGCGATGCGGGAGCGCATCGAACAGACCGCGAGGCAAGAGCGCTGACGCGTTCACAGAAACCTGTGAACGCCTCGACCGCGGCTGCTTGAACGCAGTTGCGCCGCCTGCCTGCGTACCTCAACCTAAGCGTCACCTACACGACACCATCTCATGCAATGCACGTCGGACTGCCTCTTTCGATCGCTCGGGGGCTAGGTCTACGACGACGCACTCCCCGGTCCCCTGCCACGCCCCTCCCGGCACGCGCCTGAGGCAGCAGGCCCCCGCTGAGCTGCGTCGCGCACGCCGGCACGGAGCCACGACGCCCCGACCTTCAGCCGGTGCTCGTCTGTCGGCTGGCGCAGCCAGTACGCGGCGCGGCGCGCGATGGCGCCCAGCGGGCCCTCGATCGTCACCTCGTCGTCGACGCGGACGCCGGCGACCCGCAGCAGCGGCGCGAGCGGCGACGTCGCGACGGCGTCGCGGGCGGCGCTCGGGAGCTCGAAGGGCAGCGCGACGGCCGCGGTGTCGCGTCCCAGCGACATCATGTTGCCCAGGTGCTGATACTTGAAAGGCAAAAGAGGTCTGCCGGTGATCGAGGCCCAAATGTTCCACGCGACGTAGTCCGCCTGCTGATACGCAACCTGCGCGGTCTGCGGGAACTGCTCCGAGCGCCCCGAGCCCCCGGGGACCTTCGCGGACACGTCACCGAGCGCAAACACCCGCCTGCATTCTCCAACACAAAGCAACGCGTGAGAGCGCAGCCACAACTCGCCCACCCGCGCAACGATCGACAACGACGTAGCACGCGCGCCCCAGCATCCCATCAGTCCCGTTATGGCTCCAGACGCAGCACACGCGCTCTCCAGCCTCTGCCGCCCTCCCGCACCAGCTCCCTCACCTTTGGTTCACGACCCGCAGGGACTCGTCCGTCTCCATCGCGCCCCACTCCGTACGCGGGAACGGCACCCCCGGCGCCGCCACGCCGTCGCCCGACCGCGTCGACGGCGCCTGCCCCGCCGTCCAGCAAACCAAGTCGTACTCCTCACTCTGCGCCCCGCGCCCGCCGCCCTCGTACTTTACGACCGCCCCGCGCGGGCTCTCGGGCGTGTCGCGCTTGCTGATGCGCGCGACGCGCGTGTTCGCGACCACGTCGACGCCCACGCGAGTCAGGTACTCGCTTGCAGCCTTGGCCTGCCCACGAGGCGCGTCCGTCATGATGCCGGCGGACGGCGTCACGAGGGACACCTTGCCGGCCGCGCCCATGCGCTCCGCGATGCACGCCGCGAGCTCGACGCCGGCGTACCCGCCGCCGACCACGCACACGCGCCCAGACCGCCCAGATCGCTCCAGCTGAGTCAGGGCCTGCACGTGGGTCGGTGCGGCGCGTGCGCGCTTCGTCGAGGTGGACGGGGCGATGGAGCACGTGTGGGGATGGGGCGATGGGTTGTGCGCACCTCCTTGATGGCTTTGGCGTCCTCGAGACTGTTGAAGGGAATAGCATGGTCGAGGGCGCCTGGGACGCCGCGCGGGTCCGCGCGGGCGCCCAGCGCGACGACGAGCCAGTCGTACGGCACCTCAGATCCGTCGGAGAGCTTCACTTTGCCGCCCACGCCGTCCGCCCCGGCCTGCGCGTCCAGAGAGCGTCGTGCGTGTGTGTGTGAGTGCCCTGTGGCTCGAGTGCGTCACGGGGCCACTCGGGCGGGCTGCAAAGCCTCACGCAGGCGTGCGTCTGCCGTACCGCGGGAGCGCGCAGCCGCGCGACCTGCGGAGGGCGTTGTGGGGCTGGCGGGAGCGCACCTCGACGCCGCCCACGGACGCCGTCACCAGCCTGACGTCGGTCGGGGCCAGGAGCGCCTGGAACGTGGGCGCGACCTCCCACTCCTCCGCGCCGTCGTTGATGAGCTCGTACAGCATCGGCTTGAACACGAACCGCTCGCTCTTGTCCACCAAAGTCACCTCCGGGCGCATGCCGTCGGGCCACGTCAGCTGACCGAGCTTGACCGCCGTGTACAGCCCCCCGAACCCCCCGCCCAGGATGCACACGCGCGGCGGCCTGCCCGTCGCGGCGGCGCCGAACGCCGGCGCTCCGGCAGTGCTCGCTGCAGCGGAGGCGTACGTGCGGCCGCGCCCCGAGCACTGCTGCAGGGGCCGCGCGCCGAATCCACCTGGCGTCGCCGTATGGCGAGCGTGGGAGTCTGCAGGCGGGCGGACGCGTGGCCGCGCGGCGTGTGTGCGGGGCAACGCCGAGTGCAAGGAAGGAGGGCACTTAGGGTCAGCGTGGTTCGATCCACGCACGGTTACGAGTTCCCTCGGCGGGTTGTTCCTCATATGTTGCACGTAAGCTTCGTTCTGTGGCGTCAAGTGGCCGCAAGAGCTGACGATAACGCGCTGGGAGCGGGCACAAAGGACAGCCAAGAGGGCGTGCACGGCTCGGTGAGCCGTTCCGCGCGCGCCGTGAGGACGCTCCGGCCACGGCTGCTGGGCATTGGCACTCGGGTGTCAGCGCGCTGAAGCGGCGCGCGGGAAAAGGCTTGCGCGGCGTTCGGTGCCGCGGAACGTGACCATGGACGTTAGGGTGGCCCGTAGCGCCACATACACCACAGTTTGGCCTGTTCGCTGCGGCCGTTCGCCGCTGGTGTGGCGTGTTGAACCGCGGTGGCGGGTCGGGCACGTCGAGGACGTCTCCGCAAGACGCGGGCTCGCCCCCCGCTGTGAGCGGCGTGCGGGGTGGAGGGACGCTGCGTGCGGGGCGGTAGACGGGCCCGCGAAATGCGACCACTTACCTAGACGCCCACCACGGAGCGTGAGAGTGTGTCCGATCCGCCAAAACGCTCCGAGCGGCCCCGCAGCGGCTCTCACAGAGCGCCCGGCACAGCTCATCTTCGGGGACGCCGCGGGCATGGGCAGACAGGGCGTTGCTGTGCGGGACGCCGGCCGTGTCTCTCAGCCGCGAATGCTGCGTCCCGTGCCTCCTGCGCCGCTACTTGTCCTGCGGTGACACCAATCGGCCGGAACCCCCCCCACACCACGCTAGCGGTCAGACGGCGCGACAAGCCCCTGGCCCCGCGCAGCAACGCGGAGCGATGGCTGCAATTCGAGCAGCGCACACACTCCAAGTCCGTTCCACAACCGCACGTGTCCCGAGGACCGCCCCTCAACACGCGCGCGAGTGCTGATCGTCACTGCCCGGGGCCTCGCAAACGGAGCTCAGGGGCGCGCCGCAGCAGGAGACGCGTGGAGCGGCTTGACCGCCGTGACGCGCTACGACCGACCCATGTTGTCGTTACACGTCTGCGGGTGCGCACAGGCTGCGCTGGCGGGCTATGTGGGCGCCGCCACTCGGTTCGAAGTGGTGCTCATCGCGTGCGGGGCGCGACTTCTCAGGTTGGAGCGCCCCCGGCTGACGTGGGATGCGGCCCGGGGTGTCGGATGGAGAAGGAGTCGGTGGTGGTGTTTTTGCCTTGTTCCAGCACGGGTGGCCGCGTGGAGTGGCGGATGAGCCGCGAGGCACCTAGCATTCTCCGAAGGCCTCAGAGGGGGGTGTCTTGGGATGTGGGGGTGGAAGGAGGAGTGTGGGGTGGGTGCGCGGGCGTCGGGCAGCGCAGACACGCTCGTGGAGAGTGGTTCGGACAGGAAGCCTGGCAACTGAACGGAAATTCGCCGTTGTGCGCGGGCACGCAAAGTCAAGGGGCCGCGGGAGATGGAGCGCCTGCTCGATGCAAGTCCGGGGTGTGGCGCGGGACTACCCTAGCAAAGCGCCGGCAGACTCGTTTGGTGTTGGGCCGGGTAGTATTGGCTGGAAGCACGCGACCTGCGGGGCGGCGTCGGGCCCAGCAGGCCGGGGCTCCCTGGCCGCCACTCCAGCGGCGCAGCGGGGCGGCCGGCTGGGCGTGGCGACGGCGGTCCCGCGATTTGCAGGCCCATTGTTTTGCAGGATCAAGGATGCAGAACGCAATGACATGCAGTCCTATGTGCGAGTGGACTCGTAGTGACGGCGTTTATGTTCACTGGCGTGCAAGAATGGCTCAAGGGGAGGCGACGTACGCCGTAGAGCAGCGGGGCAGCTGCCAAGGTGTCGCCCGGCTGCACGAGGGCGCGCAGGGCGGGTAGGTGGGCGGGAGGAGCCGCGCGCGAGGATGCGGCACGAAGGACCCTGCACATCCACCACGCGCCGCGGGGGCGGTAGGGACCAGTGCACGGGCTTCGCGCCGCCGCCGGCGCTCGCGACGCAAGCATCCGCACCCATCGCCGGTGGCGCGGGAGGAGGAAAAGGAGGGGAAGGGGGAGGGGGGAGGGGGGAAAGCCGCGTCGGGAGGGTTCTCGTGTTGCCAGAACGCATCTCGGGGTGTGCCAGGGGCGGCGCGGTGCGCGGAGCACGGACAGTGAGGTGGGTCCATGTCTATGTGTCGACGTTGCGGCGCCGCAAGTGAGGGCGTCGGCGCTCGATATTGGGGGGGGTAAGAATGCTGTCCGTCCAGGGATCTGCAGGCCCCCTTCCGTCCTTGGGTGGCCGGAAAGCGGTTCGCCGATACCCCTGCGGCGCAGGCGGCCGCGCGGAGCGCAGCCGTAATCGTTCGCGGCGGCGCGGGGCCTGCGCAGCTCACTGGCTGCCGCTCTGCCCCAGGCCGTTGCCCTGCGTGTCGCAGCCGTCCCCGGACGACAGCGGCTGTGCGCCGCTGATGCGGTGCCCGCCGTTGCTGGCCAGGAGGCTGCCGCCGGACGCCGCCCCGCCCGCGGAGGCCGCGGAGATGAGGTCGCGCAGGGCCGAGATGGCGTCCTGCAGCACGACGTGCTTGGGCCGCTTGTCGGTGCCGTTCGCGCCGAGGAACTCCGACGAGCACGGCACGAGGTCTCTGATCTCGTTGATGAGGCCGTTCAGCCGGTCGCGCCGCGCCTTCTCCACGGCAGGGTGGTGGGGCTTCACCACGCCCCCGCGGGCCCCCGCGGACGCCCGGAGCGCCGGCGAGGACCCCGCTCCGTCGGGCGCCGCGCCCGCGGACGCCGCGGCGTTCACCGCGGCGATCGCCGCGGTCCCGCCGCGCATCGACTTGCCCGCGCCGCGCCGCCCCACGCTCCCCTCCTCATCGATGGCCGCCGAGGCCGCCGCCGCCCGCGAGCTCCGCCGGACGCTGCCCCCGGGGGACTTGGCCTCGGCGTTGCCCGCGGACACCACGCGGTGCAGCCGCGTGTGCCCGTGCAGCCCGTTGGGCGACGTGGGCACGCCGTGCTGCGCGCTGCCGTCCGGTCCGCTCCGGCTGGCCTCGTTCTGGAAGCCGGGGGCCAGGCGGAGGCGCCCCAGCTCCTTCTGCGCCTTGCTGTCCTCCGCGGCGGACTGGCTCGCCGGGAACAGGTGTCCGGACCGCACCGACCCCTCGCCGCCGCGCAGCGACCCGCCCGGGGTGAACGCGGTGCCGCCCTGGACGGAGCCGCCGGCGTACGACGAGGCGAGGTCCGAGTAGAAGTCGGACTCCTCGCGATCGCGGTACTGGTCGAGGCCTGCGGGGCGGCGACGGGCGCGATCGGGTGGGCCGCCGGGCGCGGGCAGTGGGGGGCGATCTCCGCGGCAGGGCGGGCATTACGCGCGCGTGCGGCCGATGCGGCCCGCGGAGACGTGCGCGGGCACGGAGCGGGCGGAGCGGAGCGGGTTATGAGAGCGGGGCGGCGGGGCGCTGCGTGGTGGGTGTTGACAAGCGCCGGCCAGGGAGGGAGAGGGCGCGGCGTACGCACCTTCCGGGAGCATGTCGCCCGGCGCGCTGCGCAAGACGTCGAGGTGGGGCCGCGGGAGCACCACGTTGATGTTCCCCTGGTTGGCGCCCGGCAACGCAGCGGGCCGAGAGTGTTGCACCCCCTGTGCCGGCATCTGGAAGCCGTGCGAGGCGGGCGGCGCCGCGTATGCGAACGCGCTGAAGTTCTGCTTGTTCACTTGGCTGTAGGGCCCCTGCGCGGCGCCCTCGAACCCGTCGGCGGGAGAGAGGCCAGCTGTGCCCAGGCCCGTAGTGTCCATGCCGTTGGCGACATCCAGGCACTCGAATCCGTCCGTCTCGAAGCCCTGGAGGAGGTCTTCGAGCGAGGAGAGCTCCCCCTGCGAGAGCGAACGGGACGTGGCTGCGCGGTTACGCGGCAGCGCGCGACTTGCGTGCAATGAGGTTGGCGGCTCGCGCGGCGTGCGGCGTGGACCGCGAGCGCCCGCGACGCGCGCACGAGCGGGCCTGTGGGTGTCGGCATCCGCCGTCTGCGCTCTGCGATCGCGAGCTGGACCGCAGCTGCCAGCAGGAGGCACGCAGTAGGCGTCACCCTCCGGTGCAGAAACGAGCCGGGGCGCGCAATGCGCGAGTGAACAAACGACACGAGCAGTATGCGAGGCGCGAGAACGACGCGGGCGAGGCTCTGGGAGCCCCCTAGCACGAGCGCACGCTCGGCACCACCGCAGTGGGCGAATTTCGGAGCGGAGCCCCCTCCTCCGCAGCGAGGGCGACAGGGAGTGGTTCCGGCGAGCTTCCCGCAAGCCCTCGAGTATCACGCAGGCCGTGAGGGAAGAATAATCGCAAAGCGACCCGCGACGAGGCACGACAGCGGAAAACGGCATCCCGCCGGCGACAGCGCGAGCATGGGCCCCGCACCTTGTTCTCGCCCGCATGCAGCTGCTGATGCTCCATCATCCACGAGGAGGGCCCGTTGGCAAAGGGCGGCATCGCCTCCATGCGTCTTGCCAGGTACTCGAGGCCTGCCTGCTCAGCACCGCACTGGAACCACTCCGTGGAGCAGGTAGCCTGCACGGGAGTCGGCAGGAAGGTGCGTTGGGGTCAATGTGAGCCAGCTTGCGGCAGACGCCGTCAAAACCATCCCCAGCGACCGGCGGGCGGCGGCGAGCTGGTATGGTGGCGTCGAGGGCCGGCGATCGGCCGCGACAGCGGCTCGTACGTCTCGTGCTGCGCGCACACCGGCTCTCGACGACCAGTGCGGCCGCACGAGTCGATGTGCCGCCACGTCTGGCGTCTGGCGACGCCAAACGGCCAAAGAGTGGCTCGGCAGAGCCGGCCTGTCGCTCGCGGCGCGTGGCTGCACGCAAGACTCGCGCGCGCTCTCCAAGGCGCCGCGACCGACACCGGCCGTCCAGGCGGGCGTGCTGGTTACCTTCTTCGGAGCCCGGGATGCGGCTTGCGAGCTCCGGTGCCGCCTTCGCGTGTACGAGCGGGCCGTGAGCTTGTTTCTATCGTTCCTGCTTTGCGCTGTATCAATCTGTCAGAAAGTCTGCTCTTTTACGCGACCGACCGCTCGCGGGTGGACCCAATGTCGCACACCAGGCACAGTGCGGCATACCCTAGGGCCCCCCCTGTGGTCCAAGTCCGCCAGCTGGACCCCCCCCCGGCCCTCGCAGGCGGACGACAATCCCCCCTACAGTACCAACTTCCGGCGGCGAGCGCGCGATCGCGAAATCCAGGCGTTCGTGTGCACCGGCCGGCCGTGTTGTAGACCTGGGCTCCCTAGACGCGGCTGCCCCGCGGTACGCGACGCCAAACAGGCGCCGGCCACGGTGCGCGCGGATCTTTCCTGCCACCATGCGGCCTCTGCCGGACCACGCGGCGTTTCCGCCGCAGGTCGGCCGCCCGCACGAAGCCTTACATCACATGGGGGCCCAAACACTAATGCCGTTGCGCTGCATGCACGCGTCGCGCAGACGTGCGGCAGCAGCGGTCGGCACGGAGAGAGCGTGCGCCGCCTGGGCCCGCGACGCCCGGCAAGGCGCCGTGCGGCGGTCCTTTCGCGCTCCTTCGCGCTGTCGACAGAAGAGGGCACCCGACCCGCGCATGGCCGGGACGCTCCGTGACTCTCGACGCACTGGCGCTGGGCGAAGCGGGCAGCAGCATCGTCGTGTGGTTCACACGGTCAGGAACGGGCGTGTGGCACAGCAGGGAATTTGATGTGCAAGGCCTTGGCTGGTTGCTCTGTAATAGTGAGCGCCCCATCTTGGTGGGGCGCTGCCCGACAAGAGGCGTGGGGTCTTCGGGGGACTGTGTGCCAGGCGGGGCGGAGAGGGGCGGAGGCTGGGTGTCGCTCTGGTGCGCAGTCCAGGCAACCCTTGGCCTCAGGATGGCCCCTGGCTCGCTTGGGTGCCGCGCGGGCAAGTCGGATGTTCGGGAGAGTTGAGATAGGGGGCGGAGAGGGGGGAGGGGGGGATACTGAGGCAGGCGCGCTGGTGCGGACAAACATGATGGGCTCGAAGGACCGTCGCCACTCGTTGGGTGCCGTGGGGGGGGGCGCTCGCGGCGATGACGCGCGGCGGCCGACCCTGATTGGAGGAGGGCGTTTCAACGCGCGCTCGCGGCGGGCGTACCAGAAGCGGAACGCACGAATCGCCACGTTGAATGCTGACATGGGCAACCAGTCTGACGAAATGTGAGTGCCCTGGGCCCCCCGGATGCGGTCCGAGGCCCGGTACAGAATAGAGTAGAATCGCACAATTGTCGACGCGCTGCATCGCCTGGGAAGAACTGGTGCTGAACAAGAGGGGGGGGGGGAGTTTGGGGTGGCAGACAGGGGGGGGACTTGGGGGAGAGTTTTGAGTTCGGGAACAAGACAGCAGATTGCTCACTCACGAGGCGGCATACACGCACGTCGCCGTCGGATCGCGTTCCGTCGCGATGCTGTTGCGTGCGTTGAGTGGGCAACCAGCCCTCAGGCGATGCGCCGCCCGTCGTCGACGCTGCTGGCCGTCACGCTGCCGTTGGTGTTGCTGTCGCGGATCGTGCCGTGGTCGTGGCTCGCGCCGCGCTGCTCCCCGGCCTTGCCCACGGGGACCAGCGCGCGCAGCGAGCCTTCCAGGACAGCGCCCTTCGCAGGCCCCAGACACTTGGCCTTGGCGCTGTCAGCCTGCATGGCGGAGCGCGGCGGCCGCGACGCACTGCGCAGCGCGGCGAGCTCGAACTCGCCAGCGACGCCCTTGAGCCGGAAGCTGCCGATGTGGTCCAGGGCCATCGCCTCCGTCAATGAGACCCAGCGCCCGCTGGCAACCACACCAGCGGGCAGCGACGCCTGTTCCGGAAGCGCGCCCGCGCCGTCGCACGCCGCGCGGTCCGGCACCCGCGCATTCCCAAGCCCGTCTGCACCGCCAGGCGGGAAGGCCACGTGCTTGCCTGCCCGCGACGTGGACCTTGGCGCAGAGCGCTCGCCAGGCCCCCCGGCCAAGATGCAGTCCGGCGCGTCGGCGTCGGCGCCCGCGGCGCCCTCCGTCACCTCGACAGTCGCTGGGTCCACCTGACACACGTCCAGCAGGAGCTGCGCGTTCACGTTGCAAATGGTGGCCTGGCTGGTGCCAGTGCCGGCGCCGGCGTCTGCCCGCGAGGCGTTGGAGCGCCGCTTGGCGTCGTCTGAGGACGCCTTCAGCCCGTGGGACTCCAAGGCGAGGTCGAGGCTTGCGTGGCGGCGGAGGTTGTGGTCGACGAAGCGGCCCTCGCCGACGCTGGTGCGCGACAGAACCGCCAGGGCGCGCCCGATCTGCGCAGCGGGGCCGAGGACCTCCCCTGCGCGCGCCGCCGCGAAGCAGATCCGCGCCGCGCGGTTCACGACGGAGCCAAAGTAGTCTGCGCGTCCCGTAGAGGCGTGTGGGGTGACGCGGATCGGGCGGCCCTCGCAGACGCCGACGCGGACGCGCAGGCCGCGGTCGACGACCTCGCCGGCAGGGTTCGCATGGACGCCCGCGTTTGTCGTCCGGAGCACGCGGGCCGGCCACGCCAGGTCGCGCAGCGTCAGCTGCAGCGACCAGCCGAACATGAGCGCGTCGCTCGTGCAGTGGAAGACGAGCATGAAGGACCCCGTCAGCTCCTGGCACTCGTACCCGCTGAACCGGGGCAGCAGCCGCCGAACGGCGGACTTGTACAGCCTGAGTGCGTCCTTGGCGGCGCTCTCACTCTCGCGGAAGAGCTCGTCGAGCTTGCAGGGCGCGACGAACGCGACGGTGACGAGGGGGAAGTCCTCGAGCTGCGACTTGCAGCGCATGCACGCGCTGTACGCCACGCCGTGCACGCAGGGGTTGCTCGAGACCAGCGGTGTCTCCAGAGTGCCGGGCGCGTCGAAGTAGCCCGGGAGGACGAGCGAGCTGGCCGGGAGGGGCTTGAACAAGCGCGCGCGCTCCTCGAGCTGCGGCACGAGCGGCTGGAACAGGTGCACAGGCCGATGGTTTGCCCCGAGGGCTGCGTGCACGCCCATGTCGAGCACGGCCAGCGCCGACTCGAGCGCGGCGGCGTTCGCGGCCACGCGGCCGTTCTCGAAGAAGTGCGTCGCACCGGCGGACCGTGCGAGCGAGTCGCCGCGCCAGAACGAGGCCACGCGCCTGATGGACTGCGCAAGCGACACCGACAACGACCACGCCGTGCCGCGGATGGCGCCGGCGCTCCTGTCGCGCTCGTCGACCTCGTCCGCGGACGTCTCTCGCGTGGAGCGGTACCGCGCGGCGCGCGCCCTCCGCGGCATCCCGAGCGGACCGAGCACGAGCCTCGACATGTCCTCTACCGCGACCGTCGTGGCGCGGCTGCGCGCCCCGGACTCGCTGGGCCCGCTCGAGGCCTCGAGGATCGCGCCATGGCCGCCGCGGCCGCTGTCCAGGCCAGACTTGCCCACCTGCAACGCTGCAGCGCTCTGGCCAATGTTGGGCGCAGCACTGACGAGCTTCGCCGGCGGCGCGGGGCCGCTGTGCGCCGCGCGACGCATCAAGAAGAGAGCCTGGTGCACCGCGGAGGCGCGGATGCGGTCCTCCGTCTCCGCAAGATGCGGAATCGCAGACTCGTAAGACTTCTCGCACATGAGGATCTGCCCGCCACTGGTGACGTCCTGAATGGCGTTGACGAGGTCGTAGACGGGGCCGGTGTACTCGAACCGGCGCGTCATGCGGTGCACGGTCTGCGTCGCGTGCGCCGTCGCCACCGACATGCGCACCCGCAGGCCACAGAAGTAGACGTCGCCTTCCCTCCGCGGCGGCTGCGGGCGCGAAGGCGGGCCGGGCTGCTCGTTCGAGCCGGGCGACGTCTCGGGCGACTCGTTCCCGTCGCGCGTGGCGACCCCCTCGTCGTCCACGACGCGGCTGCCGTGCCGAATCGCCTCCGGGGGGGGTTTGAACGTCAGGCCCGGGACGGGAGCGGGTGCGGCGCGCGTCGCGCCGGCGGCCTCGAACGAGTGCAGACGTCCGTCGCTGAGCAGGTCGCTCGCGAACTGCTTGCGTCCTAGCGCGCCAGGCCCCTCGCCCTGCGCTGCCCCCTGTGGTGGGGCGCCGTCGGCGGAGCGCAACACCCCGCGCACCTTCTCGCCCGTCCCGACGGACGTGCGGCGGACGCGGGACTCGCGCGCTAGGACGCTCTCGGGCCACGGCGTCGTCATCAGCGCCTGTTGCACCATCATGCAGTACCCCAGGGCGTCGCTGGGGGTGTGGAACGCCAGCAGGAACGAGTCCCCCTCCGTCGACACCTCGTAGCCGTACCAGCGGGGCAGGTGCTTGCGCAGAACCGTGTCGTGCAGCGCGTTGGCGACTGCCATGTCCTTGGGGTTGCCCTCCCACATCTTGGTCGAGTCCTCCACGTCCGTCAGGACGAGCGTGACGTCGCGGCCGCCCGGCGGCGGCCCGGCGCGCTTCCTGCGGTCCTGGAGCGCGGCCTGCAGCTGCCGCCAGAACAGCAGCGCCAGCACCACCGAGCACACCACGAAGAGACCTATGGCGCTGCAGGCCACCACCACGATCAGCTCCAGCGTCGTGAAGACCTCGTCCTGCTCCGGCACGCACCCGAAGCGCTCCTTCGGCATGAAGTCGCGGTCCCACGCCGCCACGTCGCCGTCGGGCGCCCACCCCGACTCCCCGGACGTGCTGACCTCCGCAAAGCCCTGCCGCTGCTCGTCCGTGAGCGGCCGGCGGCGCAGGACGAAGCCGGACGCGCACACGCAGCCCTCGTACCGGAAGTAGAGCGGCGAGAGCCGCACGGTGAACAGCTCGAGCGCCCCCTGCTGCCGCGCGGGGACGACGTCCGGACAAAACATCTGCAGGTTGTCGACGTCGCCGCTTTGCGCCAAAAACGTGTCGCAGAACTTCAGCGACTCCGGCAGCAGCTCCCCGCGCGAGTTCCGCCGCGTCAGGTTGTGCGTCATCAGCGTGTCGCGCGCGTCGAACGTCTGCAAGTCCTCCATGTCCCCCAGGTTGTCGGGGACCTCGCCGAACACCCGCGTCTTGGACACGTCGAAGTGACTCAGGAAAGGCGCGTCGCGGAGCGACTTGGGGAGCGTCCCGGTGAGCAGCGGGTTGCGCGAGAGGTGGATGCGGTGGATCGAGGCGGTCGTGAGCGGGTCCGGGAGGGTGCCGGTGAGGTTGTTGCCGTCGGCAGCGAAGATCCGGAGCGTCCCGAGCGTGCCGAGGGTCTTGGGCAGCGTCCCGAAGATGCGGTTGTCTCCGAGGTCGTACTCGCGGATGGGCAGCGCGAAGATGGCCGGGTCGAGACGGCCCGAGATGCGGTTGCCGCGCAGGTGGTAGACCTTGGCGGTGACGCCGCGGTTGATGATGATGTCGTTGAGCTCCAGGAACGGGGCGTCCTCCTCGCGCACGTTGAGCGCGTCGATCACGCCGAACTCGACGTTGTTGTTCGTTCCGTCAAGAACCGACATATAGGGCAGTTGCGCGAGGGACGCAGGGATAACGTCGAAGTCGTTGTTCCGGAACACCAGCCGCTGCAGCCGGTGCGCACCCTGCAGGACGGACGGCGCGGCGGAGAGGACCAGGTGAGCGGCTGCGGCGTGCGACGTGTGCGAGCAGCGCGCGGTGTGGGTGAGGGGCGCGCCTTGCCGAGGCTGTCCGGCAGCGACCCGGTGAAGCCGTTCAGGTGGATGGCCATGTCGGTGAGGAAGGCGTGCTCGCTCCACTTGTGCTCGCCCGACTCCGGGAGCGGCCCCTCGAATCTGTTGCTCGAGAGATCGAGGAGGCGCAACAGCACGGCGTCGGCGAGCTCGACGGGGAGCTGCCCGCCGATGCACAGGCCGGCGAGGTTGAGGGTCTCGAGGCCCGTCGCGAGCCGCGCGAGCGCGGCGCCCGGGAGCTGCACGGGCGCGGCGGCGGGGTTGTTGCTGCAGTCGCGCACGCGGTCGAGATTGAGCGTGACGACGGCGCCGGGGCGCATGCAGCGGATCGGGCCGGAGTCGGCGAGGCCGACGATCTCGGTGTCGGTGCGGATGGCGACCGGCAGCGTGCCGTCGGCGCCGCAGCACTGCACGCCGGGCCAGCAGCAGTGGTGGATGTCACTCTGCCAGATGCGCCGCATGTCCGCGTCCCGCCAGTTCGGGCCGTCGAGGGCCGCGAAGAGCGCCTGCAGCGCCGCGCGCTGGCTGCGTGGGAGAGAAACGCGAGGGCGGCGGTGAGCGTCGCGCCCTCATGCTGGATGTCGCAGCCGCAGTCGTGGGGGGCGGCTCGCTCCGTCACGTCGATGCAGCTGCGAGGTATCGTCGGGAATGCAAGTCAAGGCGCGACCGCGGAGCGCCCCTGTGCGCCCGGGACGCACCTGTCCTGGCAGGCTGCGCCGCACGGGGGTGCCGCTGCAGCTACGGCATCGTCGAGGCGGGAGAGCGACGCCGCGAGGACCTCAAGCAGGCCGATGCCGGGGATGTTCCGGTCGGCGTTCGACCCCGGGAGCCAGATTTGTGCGCTCTGCGGCGACGGTGGACAGGCGTTGTCGGTTGCATGGGCGTCACTTGCAGGCGCGGGGCGGGCTGCGGGGCTGTGCGAGCGGGCGGGCGTGGGAGCGGGGCGGAGGGCGCGCGGCGGTCGATCGGCGAACGCGAAAGCAAAGCAGATGCGATTTCCTATCTGGGAGCGCACGTGGATGTCCTCGTCTTGCTGCCACTGCCTGATCAACGCACGGGCGCTCCAGCTCGTGTCCGCCGCCGATGCCTCGCTCCTCAGCGCGGAGATCCCTCGCAGTGCAACGAACGCCTGCATCGCACGCACAGAACAAAGCGTGTCCAGCCCACCATGCCAGCAGCAGCGGAAGGGAGCGCGTTCTCGCTCGCTTCGCTTGCGCGTTCTCGCTCGCTTCGCTTGCGCATGCGTCATACTAGTACTCACCGAGCATGCTGCCGGGTCGCCGCCCAGGAGGCCCGACAGCCACGCTGGCTGCGCCACCTGTGCTGGCTGCGCCGTTCCTGCAGGCGCAGCAACTGTGGGAGCGCGGTGAGAAGCGGGGCGCGCAGACGGCGATGCGAGGCGGGCCGTGCGTGCGTCGGGACGGGGAGTGGGAGCGATGGACGCGCGCCGCAAGTCGCGGCGCCGGGCCCCGCGGCAGCAGGCACGGTGTGCTAGCGGCAGGCAGTTGAGCAGCCAGGGCGGCGGAGCGATGCGCGCGCGGCCCGTTATTGCGGCGCTGGGAACGTCCTGACGACGAGGGAGCGCCGTCGTCGCATAAGGCCCCTCGTGGCGAGTTTGAGGGTGAGACGGGTTCAGGCGGCGGATGCGTGCCCCTAGGCGTGCTAGGCAGGGCACGAGGCCTCAGACGGGCGCAGCGCCGGACCCTGGGGAGGCGGGAGGGTGCGCTGCGCGCGGAGACCGACAATAGCGGTCGACGGGGCGCGCGGCGGCCGAAACCAGAGGTCCGTGCGGGGGCACGCACGAAATGAGCAGCATCGGCAGGCCTGGATCGACGGGCGGTGCTGGCGCGCTATAACAGCGGCGGCGGGGTGCGATCCCAGCAGATATACGGGCGTGGTGCTGAGCAGGGCCACGAAAATCGCGGTGGTGGACCGTGCGGCTGCGCTGCCGGTTGATTTGCACTCTGCGGAAGGGGAAGCGCTACGGACGCGCTGCTGCGAGACGCGAGCCAGGGAGCAACGGGCGCGCCGCGCGCCGAGGGTCGGCGTCTCGCGGGACGTCGCGGCGCGCCGCGGTGGCGCTGCCGCGTGCCGCTCGCTGCGGGCCGCCCTCCGTCATTGCAGCCCCAGGGTTCGTAAAGCGGCGCGAAAAGAGGAGCGTGGACCGATCAGAGCAGCTCGCGCCGCGGCCTGGGCACGAGGGCGACCGCGCGGCTGTGTTGCCGGCCTGGGGCGCACCTCGGGCGGCGCAAGCGGCCAGGAGAGCGCACAGCAGCGCCACGGCGCTGGTGGGCCACATCTCAGGGTTCGCGGGTGTGCGGATGAACTACCCGCTCTCCATGGTGTCTAGGACGGTGCGGGGCCTGAGCTGTGCTGGGAGTGACCGCGGCCACGCGGGGAGCGGGGCAGCAAGGGCTCCGGCCACCTGAGGCTGCACTGGAGGGACCCGGGTGCTCTGGGGCTGTCATACGCGCGCTCGATTACGAACAGTCTAGCTTTCAAAACGCCCCAAGTATCTTTTTCTATCAGTGGTCGACTCGCTGTGGTATAGGGGCCTTGGTATGCCTCCTGGCTCGCGAGATACGACAGGTTGAACGTGCCGCTCAGCGCGATGCCTCACAGCACGGTCGCGGTCCCTGCGCGGCCACGACGCACCGGGTTCCGCACGCGCATGGGCCGTTGGAGCCCTCGATCGCCCCAAGGGCCCCCCTTCGCCCCCAAAGCGGATCCGAACCGCCTGCGCGCAGCAGTGCCCTGCGTACACACTCATGGTGCGACGCGGCCGCACGGCGCATCGCGGCGCTCCGCGTAGACGCAAGCAGGCCCTGCGCCTGCTCTCGAGCGGCCGGCCGCCTGCTTAGCTGCCACGTCGGAACCGACGGTGACTGCTTCCCGGCTGCGCAACCCGCGTCGCACGTGTGCTCCGTTAGGAACTCCCCCCTCGCGCCCGAGAGCCTGGGAATCGCAGTCCGCGACGCGGCTGGGCAGGCGCGTGCACGGCATGCTCGCCGTGACACGCCGGAGGAACGGGCGACCCAGTCGGAGGCCGTTGAGACTCTGTGTCTGACAGGGCGGTGCGTCGGTTGCAGCGGGGCCCTCATTGGGTGCGCGCGCCCGGGGCCCGCCGCCGAGACGCGCCCTCGCCGCCGCGCACCCCGGGCGAGTCCGACGCGAGTCGGCATGCCCTGCTTTCGCCTCCCATCGCGCCACACCGCCGCTGCGCGCTCCCGCAGCGGCCGCGCGCGGCCCCGGAGGGCGGCGTGCGGGGCGGGACGGGGCGCTGCGATGGTCGTGGCGGGCGACGGGGCGTCGGCAGATGAGGTCGCGGCGTGCCTGGCCGCTGTGTCTGCCGCCACCAGCATGCCCGTTCTGGGCCTGGCGCCCGAGCAGGTCGTTTCGGGGCCCGGTGCGGCGAATTTGAGCAGAGGAAAGGTCGCTCTGGCGTCGTCGTCCCATCGCGACGTCTTCGTCGTCGCAGGGAGCTCTGCTGACGGCCTGGAGATAGCGACCGACCCAGTCTACGGTGTGCTGGCCAAGGCGGACCTGGGGGCCTCCCTGTGCATCGTTGTCGGCAGAAGTCCCGCTCTGAGCTCCGATGTGGACACGAGCGGCACGGTGGCAGTCGCACGACGGGCTGCTGTCATTGGAGTGCCGTCCGTGGCGCTGTCTCTGGCTACGAGCAGTCCACAGGCGCCCCTGACCGCTGCGATCGCAGGTGACGCACCGAATGCGCGATCGCATCTCAATGTTATCAATGCAGGGCAGCGTGTCAGGTCAGATTTCAGCCCCGAGTGTGGCCAGACAGTCGAGATCGCCCGAAATTGCTTCTCTCTGCTGTCTGTCTGTCTGCAGCTCTGGAGGCGATCCTCCCGCACGTCGCGAGGACGCTGGCGCTCCCGGACGAGCCCGCGAACTGCCCGCGCGCGCACTTCCCCTTCCCCAGCCGCGGGCGCTGGTCGAGCGTCGGTGTCGAGATCCCGACCGCCCCCGGCGTGCCCCCGGCGGGCGCGCGGCAGGGCGCGGAGTTTGCGCTCTCCGACTGCTGGTCCCTCGGCGAAGAGGTCGAGCGCAAGGGCGGAGCAACAGGCACGCGCCACCGCACGGCCACACAATCACATCCTCATGCATCGCGTTTGCATTTCTGTCTGGCTAGCTACGCGCTGACGCTGAGACGCCCGTCACGCATCGCCGTCTGCGCACAGAGCCGGTCGAGCCGGGCGCCGAGGCGCGCGAGGTCCTTGCGGAGGCGTACAGGCAGGCTGACATCATGCTGTCGGTCACAGTCCCCCCCTCGTGGCGGGCCGGGGGGCGGGTGTGCGCGACGAGACCAGGCGCGCTGTGGCACCGTGAGCAGGTGAAGTCGGCGGCGGTCGAGGCGGCCGCGGGGCAGGGCGGGCGCGACCTCTGGGGGCGGTCGCTGCCGTCGCAGGGCTCGTCGGACGGCAGGCTGGAGGCCGGGCGGTTCGTCCCACAGGATCAGACGGCCAAGGTCAGCCGCCGCGCGGAGCGGGGCGCGGACGGCGGAGGCGCGTCGGGCGTGGACTGGGCGAGTGTCGTGGCGGGGGGGGAGTTTGAGCTGACGTCAGGCGGGATGCTGTCGGATCCGGTCGAGGGCGGGGATGTCGACGCGATCATGGCAGGCTGTGTGTCGTGCTCGACGCTGCAGGTCTGGCCTTGCGGACACCCCCTGTCGATGACGGACGTGGTTCTGGCCGATGCTATGGCCGAGGGGCCGGGGGGAGTGCCGGCCTGGCTGACGGGCACAGAGTGAGCGCCTCAGGAGCTGCCCTGACGAGCTGGCGTCCTGCCGATGATCCAGCCATGTGAGAGCCAACATGCAATGGGGAAGAAGAGCGCCAATGTCCGTCCATCGATGGCAGCAGGTCGAAGCCGACTGATTGGAGCAAGAAGCAAGGCGGTGTGATGCGTGACGCATGGCGCGGGCGTCATTCGCAGCATGCGCACCTTGGAATAGGTCGCCATGCTCAGAGGGGACACTGTAAATCAGCCCCCCCCCGGCGTGCTCTGGCGGGCCCAACGCCGCGGCGAGCTGCTGCGCCTCGTGCGTTCCGAGGATAGACTGTCTGCGAACTGTCGAGCTCCGTGCCGTTGCTGAGTACGGCGTGGGACCGCACCGCTGTTGTTCCTGGTTGCGGCGCAATGTGGCGGGCGGCCGCGCACCCCGCGCCCGCGAGCGCACCACCGAGCGCCGGGCCGCCGGTCAAGAGCCATAGATGCCATCTAGCCAGCCGACGGCCGCGAACGTTCCGCGTGCGCGCCGAGGAGGAGGATCGGCCGGGCGCCAGCGCACCCAAGAGCGATGCCAGCGCCGCGCAGTTCAACCCCTCCGACCCCGTGGAAACGGTAGCGTGGGGCGGGAAGCTTCCAAGCGGCCGCCGGGTCCTCCTCGGATCCCTCGCTGGGGCCACGATCGCCCTGGGCGGTGCGTGAAACCTCCCTGGCCGCAAGCCAACGGCCGAGCCGGCATGCGCCTCGCCAGGCCCTCGAACCACCGAGCGCGATCACCGCGCTCGCTCCCCACGCTGAGACGCTTCGCAGGGGACTTGGGCGGGGTGACGCGGGCGCTGTTCTCGGCCGCACCGGACGTGGCCCGAGCCCTGCAACTGGACGTCGTCTACCCCATCCGCGGCTTCAAGCGGTGCTTGGACACCTCTACGGGAGTCGAGTACCTGTATCCGGTGCGTCGCGGCCGGTATATACGCGAAGCTCGACGAATCGCGCTCCTCTCGCGACACGAGAGCAAATAGGTGAGCTTGAGGGTTTTCGTTCACCGCCGCGACGCTCGCAGGGGGACTGGATCGCCGACACGGTGCTGGCCCGCGTGAACGCGCGGCGCAGCGAGCTCAAGCGCTCGCTCGACCCGCTCACGAGCGACCAGGAGCAGTACGTGAAGTCGCGGCAGGGGCGCGTGGCGCCGCAGACGGGCTTCAAGCCGCCCGTCGCCAACGGCGGCGAGAACGTGTCGGTCATCGCGGCGCCCATCCAGGCGGGCTTCTCCCTGCCGGCGATGGGCCAGCCCGCGGAGGCGGCGACGCTCCTGTTGGATACGTACATGGCAAAGGGGTTGGAGCACGAGCTGCTCGACTCAGGGCAGTACAACGACGACGCGGGGATCCTGTACTACTGGTTCGAGTACCGCGTGGTCACCACGGAGGTGAGAGAGTGCGCGCCGGGCCGCGTCGCAGCGTCACTCCGCCGCTGCTGCGCGTGCGCGCCGAAACCACCTGCGTCGTTTCCGATCGCGCACGTATCGCACAACGCGCCGGACGAGCGCTGCGAGGCCGAGCGCACTTGGCGCTCTGCGTTGCCGCCGCACTGCTTGGGTGGGACCCAGAGCGGCTCGCCGTGCCCGGTGCTGCGCAGTGGCGGCGGCGGTCCCTCGCGGTCATCGCGGCGCGCGGCAACACGGTGTACACGCTCGTCGCGCTGTGTCCGGAAGACACGTGGGAGCGCGAGGCGCCCCTTCTGCGGCGATCAGCGTTCTCGATGCGCGTGCTGCCGCTGGTGCCCGGGCCCCCGGGCGTCGGAGGGGGGTACGACACGGGCGGAGCGTCGTGGGACGACCTGTTCAACGGCCAGAACCGGGCGATGCGGGCAGCGTGACATGACGCTGTGACCGCGAAGTTGAGAGGGCCGCGCGTTCATGAACTGGTGCGAGTTGCGGAGCGCTGTGGAGGAGCGTCGCAAACGTTTCTGTCGTCTTGCGCGCGCGGACGGTGCGGGAGTGGGGGGCGGGGGGGTTGAAGGGTCGTTAACACCCCTCTTGGCCTGGTATGAGCGTCGGTTGGGTGTGAGCTTCTATGTAGGGCGCGAGCGTGGGCAGGCGGCCAGTGTTGCGTGGCGAGGTCGTGCGTGCGGGGGTCGAAGTTGACATGCCGGCGTCGAGAGGGCGTCGCAGTGGATCCAAGGCGGCTGGGCCGGCCAGCAAGCGCAGGAAAGCCGCGGAGGACCCCGGCGATGCGTCTCTGGATAGCTTCTTGACGAAGCTTGCGGCACGTCTCGCTGGAGATGACGGCGCCGTCGCCAAGGTGCGTGGACGCTGCCAGAAGCAAGCAGCGCCGACAGGGAGGCTCTGGCGCGCTGCTGCCAGCGTGCTCGTGCTCCGAGACTCTCCATCGCGGCATCGCGATGTCCACGAATCATTCTGGTCATGCTGTGCGAGTTTGCGATGTATCATGGCTTGACAAGGACAAACGAGCGCGTGTTTCATGTGTGCAGGACCTGGGCAAAGAGGACCTCGCTGTAGCTCTGGATGCCTCCCTCGCTGCTCTCTCGGACGCCAAGATCAAGGGCGCGATCACGGCCGACACGGACGGCTGCGTCTCGCGCCTAGCCGAGCTCCTGGGTCTGCAAGACCACCCCAAAACGGAGGCGGGGCGGAAAGAGAAGGCCCCAAAGGCCAAGAAGCGCCCGTCCAAGGCCGCGCCAGCGAGCTCCGTCGACGACATCGCCGATTTCGCGACGGATATCGCCGGCACGCTGCTCGACAGGTCGTTCCAGGCCGCCGAGACTTCTTTGGCAGGCAGCCACGAGGCCGGCGCCGGCCTCGCCGTCGCCTGCGCACGGTTCCCGCCCAGCAGCGCCGCGGTCGATAGCCTCGTCGATCGGTCCACCGGGGGAGCGCTCGCGAAGGCGAAGCGAGCCGACGGCGTCGCGAGCGCTCACAGCCTGCTGGGTATGACGGCAGCGGCCGTCGCCGCCCCCGCCGCGGCGGTCGACGCAGCGCTCGGCAACGCCGCGGTGGCGGCGGCCCTGCGTGAGGCGTGCGCCGAAGCCACATCGATCGAGGACGTCACGGCGGTGCGCGAGGCCGCGTCGCGCTGCGTCGCGCGCACGTGCCTGCTGCTGCGGTGGGCCGCCGCCTCCGGCGACCCCGACCGCGGCCAGCCGTACGGCCTGCCCGACCCGTCCCCGCCGAGCACAGAAAGCTCCGGCGCCGGCGCGCTCGTGGCGGCGCTGAGTGCTCATGCCGAGTGCGAGCTGGTGCTTGCCGCGAACGGGCGGGGGGGCTGCCCCGGAACCGTCGGCCTCGCGAAGAAGCTCGACGCAGGCCTGGCGGCGGCCGGGCGCCTCGGCGGCATCGCCGCGCAGCTGTTGCCTGCGCTGGCAGCGTCCGACGATGGAGCGCTGCAGCCGTGCGGGGCATCGGCTGATGGGAAGTCGGCGTCCGCGGACGCCCTCTGGCTGGCGTTGTACGATGCAACGTACGCCGCTGGGGCCGAGGGGCTCGCTGGCGCGCCGGACGCGGGGCAGCACGGTCTGGTGTTATACCTGCGTCAAGTGGCCGTGCTGCGGCGGGCCGAGACGCTGCTGAGCCGCGTGGGACGTCGGGGCGACGCCCGGACGGCCGCACTGCGTTTGGGGCGCGGTGCTCCGCCGCAGGAGCTCCGGGCGTGGGCGGCAGCGCAGACGCAGGCGCCCGCGGTGGCCGCGCTGGTGGCCGCGGGGGAGCGGGGCGGGGCGGCGGCGATCCTGCGGTTCCTTTCGAAGGAGGCGTCTGGGGACGACCTCGCGGTGCTGCTGCGGCTCGCGCAGGCCTCCGAGGCCGCGGAGGGGGGGCGGGGAGAGGAGGGGGGGGGTGTGGAGGCGCTGGCGGACGACGTGCTGTTCACGGTGGACGGCGGGGGCGCGGCGGGGCAGTTCGGGCCGGCGTGGAGGCCGTCGGCGAGCGGTGGGGAGTCCGGGGAGGAGTCGGACGGGACGTCGAGCGACGGAGAGGGGGGGAGTGCGGATGCTGACGCGGCGTTGCAACGGCTGCTCGGGCGCCGGAAGGCGGGCGTGGACATGGCCGCGCTGGACGAGGGAGGCAGCGGGGACAGCAGCGGTTCGGAGGAATCGGAGTAGGACCGAGGCAGTCAGACCAGGAGGGGGGGGGGTGTGAAGAGCCTCCGCTGCGCGTGAGAGCCTCCGCGGCTGAACGGCGGGCACCCTGCCGGCTGGCCGGCATTCTCGCGATCGGCTGCGCGCGCTCCAATACTTTAGTTCTCCGGGTATCTTGCCCTGCGAGACTCGCGGGACCACGCCGCTAAGAGTGCGCCCGCGCTCGGCGACGTTGACGACGGGGCCGACGTAAGCAGCCGCTTTGCTGAGTTTGTACGTTCGAGTCCGCTGCAGCAGCGTGGCGACATGTTCTAATTCGGTCTCAGGGCTGCTGGCTCGTGCGCGAGTCTGTGTTGGCATCAGAGGGCTGGGACGTGCAGGCTCGAGGTTGACGCCGCGGTCCGTGTGCCTGGCCGCCGAGCTCATCGAGGACAGGATCGGGAGTCCGGTGGTATACGAGCGATCGGCCCCGCTGTGGGACCCGCGGGGCGTGTTGAGTTGCTAGAAGGGGTGGTGCCGCGGGAGAGGGCAAGGCACTGGTGGAGCGCGAGCGCGCGATGGCGCAGCCGGTGCTGCCAGTTCTCGGGGTCCTCGGGCGGAACGGCCCTGGAGGATATGTCGGCGGCGGAGGTGCGAGGGGCCCTGGTTGGTGCCTGCGTGCTAGTCGCGCGCGAACGCTCTTAGCACGGGGCCACGATCGACGGTCTGTGGCCCAAGGGGATGAATGAGACTCTGGCTTGCTGGGCGCGGCGATGTCGTGCTTCGCGCTCCCTCGTGCCGTTCGCATGGACGCAGAGAGCAGGCAACCCACTGCCCAGGCGCTCCCCTCGTACGCAGGGTCGAATATGGCGGCGTATCTGCGTCGGCTGACCAAGCCGAAGCAGATGGACCTGCAGTACAACTTGTGGATCATGTGGCAGCTCGTGGTGTCCCCGCGGACGGCGTACCGCCACGTCGCGTACCACAAGCAGACCAAGAACCAGTGGGCGCGCGACGACCCGGCCTTCCTCGCCATCTGCTGCGTCCTCCAAGCCGTCTCCGCCGCCGCCTGGTGTCTCGCCTTCTCCAGGTGCGACCCCACGACAACACCCCCCCCCACACAACACCCCTCCCCGCGGGCGCCGCCCCAGCACCCACGAAGCCGGACCGCGCTCCCTGCGATGCAGCTCGTTCCTGGCGAGCATCTGGCTCGTCGCCTCGGCGGTCACGGTGGACTTCCTGGGCCTCGGATGCGTTGTGGCCACCGTTGGGTGGTACACGGCGAATCGTTACCTGAAGCGCCGTGCGCCGCACAAGCACGCAGTCGACTCCTCCGTCGAGTGGCTGTACGCCTTTGACGTCCACTGCAACTCCTGGCTGCCCACCAACCTCATTTTGTCGGTGCTGCAGCTGCTGCTCTGTCCGCTGCTGCTGCGGAGCGGCACGCTGCCGGTCCTGCTGTCGCTGCTGCTCCACGGCGCCGCAGCGGGCTACTACTTCTGGCTGACGTTCCTGGGGTACTCGACGCTGCCGTTCCTGGAGCGCAGCAGGTCAATCGTGTGGTGGCCTGCGGTGGCGTTCGTGGGCGTCGCGCCCGTGCTGCTGCTCACGGGCGTCAACCTGACGAAGCTCTCGACCGCGTGGTTCTTCAAGGGACAGGTGTAGCGCTGCTGCCGCGCGTCGTGCGCGTCGTGTGGTACAGCACAGCGAAGCGTGAAGGCGGCGCACGTGGGTCTTCTTGGCAAGATGCTGCACCCTGCCCGTGTGAAATCACACACGCACCGTGAGCATCGTCGTCGCGTGGATTCGCACGAAACAGCGGGCTGGCGGGGGCGCGGGGAGAGCAGCATTGTTTTTTCGCACAGCAATCCTCTGCGTTACGCTCCACAGGCGACGCACTGAGAGACTTCCCGGACCTACACTCGCGCCAGGCCTCCGGCGGGCCACCTCGCTCCAGTCGCGGACTCACCCGCTGCTCGAACCGCTCACGCCGCCCCCTTTGACAACAACGTAGCGCGCCGGCAGTCCGAGTCGCGTCACGGCCTTCGAGTACGAGTTACACTTGTTTTGTTCGAGTCTACCCCCGCCGATCTGTCTCACGCGGCGACCTTGGACTTGAGCGTCAGGAGGTCCGGCAGCTTGGACGTGTAGGCGTCCGGGCGGATCTGGTTCTCCGGGGACAGGAGCTCCTCCTCGCTGGTGACGCCCGAGAGCACGAGCATCGTACCCGTCCCGTTCTCCTTCCCGAACAGGATGTCGGTGTCCAGGCGGTCGCCCACCATGGTGATCTCCGCCTTGTCGCACCCGCACTTCTGCGCAATGTTCTCCAGCATGAACCCCGACGGCTTCCCCACCACAATCGGCTCCCTGCACACCAAAGCGCACGAAACGCGCGTGTGCGGCCGGGCCCGCGAGCAGCCGCGACGTCACGACCGCGGCGCGCCGCAACTCAACGCATAGGGACGAGCAGCGAGCTACTGGCGAGCTGGGATTCGCGGGCACGACGTACCGCTTCGTGGAGCCCTTGATCGCGCCGACCATCGACCCGTTGCCCGCCCACTCCTGGGCGTCCGTCAGGTGCGTCACCGCGTCGGTGTTCGTGGCGATGAACATGCAGCCCTCGTTCTCCCGGATGCACAGCGTCGCGGTCTGGATCTTGTGGTAGTTCACGCCGCGGTCGAAGCCCACGATCACGGCGCCGACGTCCTTGTCGTAGTCCAGCGCCATCCCCGGCGCCAGCACCACCTTCCTGTCCGAGTCCTGCGGCCCGCCGATGTGCTCGATGCCCACGAGGTCCAGCTCCTCCTGGATGCCCACCTCCCCGATGATGTAGACCTTCTTGTTGAACCCGAGCGACTCGAGGTAGGCGGCCGCGGCGTACGAGGACGAGTACACCTCCTCGGGCTGCACGTTCAGGCCGAGGTCCGTGAACTTCTTCACGTAGCCCTGCGTGCACGGGGACGCGGGGCGCGGGCGCGGGTCGGTCGCGGTGCGGCGCGCGGCGGTCGTGCGCGTGCGGGTCGTGGTGACCTGCGCCGAGGTCGACGGGGAGCGGGGGCACCTTGCGGGACTTGGTGGAGTTGTTGGTGACGAAGAAGAGCTTCTTGCCCATGGCGCGGAGCATGTCGAGGGTGTCCGGGACGCCCTCGATGAGGGAGTCCCCGCGCCAGATCACGCCGTCGCAGTCGAAGATGAACACCTTCGTGCGCTCGATCATCGCCATCTTCTCGTCCTCCGTGATGGGCGCTGCAGATAGAGAGGGCGGCGCCGCGGGGGTGCTCGGCGCGAAAGCCGCGCCGGACAGCGCGCGGCAGCTGCGGTTATCCCCCCAGGTGCCAACAAGCGGCCGAAACGGGCATTCCTGGTACACAAAGAGGAAATAAGTGTGCGTGAAGGGATAATCAGTGAGTGTGGTAGCGACAGGGTGGATTTTCTGGCGAGAACGGGCCGTTCCCGGTCGCTCGCGTGTCACTGGCTAGGCCCAGGAAAGGACAGCTGCGAGGCCCCGCGGCGGCTTCCGGCTGATTTCCGTTCGACGCGATGGGCGCTCCGCGTAAAGTTCGCGCGCACACTTCGTACTCGGGCCACATCGTGCTCCGAGCGCTGCGAATTGAGCACCTCTCCTACGCTGCCCCTCGCTCCGAGGCGCAGGGGGCGACGCGCGGCGCGACACGGCAGACACGGGCGTCGGGGACGTACATGCAGCAGCCTGGGTGACGGGCGCCATCCTCGCGGTGTTCACGCCCGTCGAGGGGCCGCGCAGGGAGCGGGGTGCGAGCGGCGGGGTGGCCTTCAGTGCGAGAGCTCCTCGCCGCGGCGCGCTACTGACAGAACCAACCGATCGAGGAGTCTGGATCTGCTGGATAAGCCTCATCGTTTCCTGTCGCGCGGGAATGCTGCGCGTACGTCCACACGCGTCCCTTTCTCGCGCCCAGGGCCCCCTGTCTCACCCAGGAGTGTGCGCCCCGAATCATCCCTAGGGGGCCGTGGGGCGACTTGGCGCTCAAGGTGCGGCCGCGGGACGCAGCCTCGGCACGCTGCGTGCATTACGACTGCTCGTTCCCGCGGTCAGTTCACGCAGGAGTGCAGAAACTTCGAAGCAGCGCTGGCAAGTAGGGGATGCGGGCGGCGCGTGTGGACGTGACGCTCGAGGAGCCGGTGCTGGCCACGGGGGCGGACCCCGCGCAGCTCAAGGTGGGGCTCACGGTGCGGCTGCGGGCGCAGGAGGGTGCTGCGGCGGGTGATGTGGACGGGCTCTGGGCGTGCGGCACGGGGGATGCGCCGCTGTTTTTCGTGCCGAGGAAGACGCTCGATGGATGTAGGGTGCCGGAGGGGTACGATGTGGGGACCATTAGGACGCTGCGACGGCAAACGGGCGGCGGGAGTGTGCCTACGATGCTGGTGCTGCGGGTGACGCGTGGGGAGGCGCAGCGCGACACGGGGGCCGCGGGCGCGCCGGAACAGGAGGTGAGTGGTCTCAACGAGCCAGCACCGCTCTGCAATGCTCCCTTGCGCGGCTGCTTCTCCACAAGAGAGACGCAGCTGGCAGTTTCTTCGCCGGGCAATCGCGCGCGGCGCTTCGCGGCACGAGAACCACGTTCACGGGCTGCCACCGACCACGAGCGTGCGCGCATCCACCTGCAGGCCCAGGGGCAGCGGGAGCGCCCTGCATTCCTGAGAGAGTTTGCCGCCGGAGACGACGACGAGGCATTCCGGCTCGCCCGCGCGCAGCTCGACCGCGTCTCGAACGACCCCCGGTGCGGCACCCCGAGCGCCCGACCACCGCGCCTCGCTGCGGCACCGCGCCGCGCACTGCCCGACCCGCAACGCTCGCGACCGCGCCGTGCACCCGCGACGCAGAGTCCGCAACTTCCTGCGGGACCCGCGGCTGCAGAAGATCATCGCGCACATCGACGGGTGCGGGGACGACGCGGAAACGGCCCTCGAGGCCGCGCAGACGCAGAACGCAGACTTCCGCGAGTTCACCGACGCCATCCTGGACCTCGTGTCCGCCACATAGCACAGAAGTGATTGCTACGACCGCACGAGTCACCGCCGCGTGGTTGCGCGGCTGTCAGCCATCGCCGCCTGCGCAGGCAGGCCGAAAGAGCGATTGCACGGAATCACAGCGCACTTCCAGCCACGGCGCAGGCGAGGCAGCAGCGCGCACTCCGTCACCGCCGCGTGCGTCCTGCCATGTCCAGCAGGCCTGCCATGCCCTTGCGCGGCGGCGTCCCAGCTGCCGCAGCCGCCATCGCGTGCTCCGCCGTCCCGGGCTGCGCAATCGCCACCGCCTCCGGCGGTGCTGCATCCTGCGCAGCGTCGGCCCCGGCGCCGTCCTTCTTGTCCCCGGTGGCCTGGCCCGTGTTGTGGTCCATGACGTCCAGGCCGTAGATCCCACGCGCAATAAAGAGCGCCACGTCTGGGTGCTCCCAGTACACAAAGTGCGCGCCCAGCGCCGACAGATACTGCGACTCCGTCGGGGAGTCCTGCAGCACGAAGTCCATCCGCCCTGCAGCAGCACGTCGGCCCCGTCCGCCGGCCGTTCTCCCCGTGCGCGACAACATGCCGTTGCACATAAGATGCGCGTTTCGCAGCGAGGCTCGCCCGCGTCAGATATGCGGGGCCAGCTGCGTGCATGCTTGCGATAATTCGAAGGCAACCAAGGCGCGTCAGTCGCGTGCGTTGACGAGGACGGCAGCGCAGGGGGGGGGGTTGTGTTCCGTACCTTGAGCGTCCCCAGGGGCCACGTACGGCCCCTCTGTGAGCCGCACCGTCAGGTTCCACGCGGTCTCGGACGACGTGCCGTCGTCCGTCACGCTGCGCAGTCCCGCGTCGGTCCCGGGCGCCTCCTCGTCGACCCTCTCGCCGCCAGGACCCTCACGCGCGCTCGCGCGGCTGCTGCGCTGGTACCGCGTCGCGAGCTCGTCCCACGCGGCAGCCTCCGCGCGCACGGCCGCGGCGGCGGCGGGGTGGCTCTCCTCGAAGGCCTGCGAGGCGAAGGAAAGGGAAGAGGCAGCATTGAGTTGCACAAAAAAGAGTTTGCCAGACCACCCAAGGACGGGGCCTCGGTGTCGACATGTACCGAGCATCCACGGCACGGCTGCGAAGTGCGCGGATCGCCGGTTCCGCCATCAAAACACCCCCTGTGTGCGATTTATACCTCGAGCTGTTTCTTGGACTCTCCGTCGCCCTCGCTGGCCCCCTGCAGCAGCCGGCGGAACGTCACGGCGTCCCAGATCCACTGCGAGGTGGCCCCGACGTAGCTCGCGGCCGCGGCCGCCCCGGCGCCCACGCTGCTCGCCCCCTGCACCACGCTGCGCCCCACCGCCGACGCCTTCTCGCTGATGCCCTCCGCCAAGTCGTACAGCTGGTGGTGGATGCGCTTCCCGCCCCGGAAGTACGGCACACGCATCGGCCGCCACGTCGACGCCGACGCGTCCGCGAGCGGCTCCAGCCGGTACGCGATCCCGTCGTATGGGTGGTAGATGTTGTACATGCGGCGCACCGCAGGGAGGCAGTCCCCCACGCCGCCGAACAGCGCCGGGAGCGTGTGCGCGGCCTTGACGGACCCGAGACCGTGGCCGTCCTCCGGGCAGAAGCCCCGGATCGCCAGGAACAGCCCGAGCGGGGAGCCCATCCAAAACACACGGTCCACTTCGAAGTCGAGGGGTTTGTATCTGATGCGACCGCGCCCGAGACCGCCAAAGGGTGCCGATACGGGCGGCCGTGGTGGCTGCTGGTCGCTGGACCCGGCGGCGTCGTCCAGGCCGTCTGCCTCGTCGATGCCCGGCGGCACTCGAGATTTCAGGACGCGAGCCACTTCCAAACGCCAGTCTGGACCAGGCGGCTGCTTCTCGTCCTCGGGCGGCTCGCCGTCCTGGTGCACTTTGTCGCTGCCGTCGCCGGGCTTCGCAGGAGTACCCTTGGTGCTTGGCTGCTCCTCGGAGTCGCGTTTGCTCGACTGCTCTTTTGCCTGTGCTTCCTCCTTGTCGCCCGACTCCGACCCCGCGCCCCTCCCGGAGCCCTCCGCAGCCGCGCCGCCGTCGCCGCTCCCGCGGTCCTGCTTCGCGCTGTTCCCGCCCCACCAGCGGTATGGGTTGTACCACGAATACCCCCCCCCTGCATCCTCGCTGTGCTCCGAGCCCCCGCCGCCGCCGCCAGCCTCGTCCATCTGCTTCCTGATCTCCGACAAGTCGGCCTGCAGCCGCTGCAGCCCCGCGCGGCCCCTCTCGCTCTCCCTCGCCCCCGCATGCGGAGGTTTATATTTGTCCCACTCCTCGGGCAACAGAGCCGACGGCGTGCGCCCGTGCGCGCGCGGAGACGGCCCGAAGTCCCCCGCCGCGCGGATCGCCACCACGACGACCTCCTCCCCGCCCTTGATCGGCACCGCGAGCAGCTCCACCCGCACAACACGCCCCTGCTCGCTGCCGGCACCGCGCTGGCGCTGCGCCGCCTCCTCCGCGTCGGCCGCCTCGAGCGCCGCAGCCATCGCCTGCGCTTGCTTCGCAGCGGCCTTCTGCGCGGCCGCGAGCGCGCTGCCGGCGTCCAGCGCCCCCTCAGACTCCAAGACATCCGCCATGTCCAGAAGGAAGTTCTTGTCTTCGCCGCTCAGCGGCAGACCCTCCATGTCGGCCTGGCGGGCGGCCTTCGCGACCTGCTGCTCGAGGTCGCGCAGGATGCGGGAGTAGAGCCGGGGCTGGTTCGAGAGGATGTCAAAGCACACCACCGACCCCAGCGAGTGCGCCACGATGTGCACGGAGCCGTCGAAGTCCGGGTTGCGGGCCTTGAAGTGCCTGCAGGTGTCCAAGCGGGGGTGTTTCGCGCCCTTCGATGCCCGCCCGCGCCTTGGCAGGGCGTGCAGGCGAGCGTGCTTGCGTGGCGCGTCAAGCGAAGAACGGACCTGTACATGCCGTTCAGCGCCCCGGTCACGGAGTCCATGACCTGCTGGCAGTGCGCCGGGCTCAGATAGTACAGCACGTCCATGCTGGTCATGGTCACCAGTTCCCGGAGACCCCCCCAGCCACCATGAGGTATAAGCTTCCCGACCACGCGGTCCCCAGTCAGCTCCAGCCCCTTCCGCCACTGCACGGGCAGCACTTCGATGCGCCCCTGAGCACGCACCGTCGCCTCGCCCACCTGCGCGCACATCCAAACCCAACGAACCCCTGTCCAGTAACAACAGCGCCAACCCTCGCATTGCGCGCTTCGAGGCGACGCCTTGCCGGCGACGCGGTCCCCGAGCTGCCAGGCGACGCGCGCGCGGAAGGCGGCAGCGTTGCTGGGCGGCGGGGCAGTCGCACCGTGCCGCGAATCGCGCCGTAGATGCCGCGCCGCATCGTCTGGGCGTCCCGGTGGATCGACGCGCTCGCCATGCGCTGTCCGACGCCGTGCACGACGAGCACGAGGTGCTTGACCGGCGTGTTGCTGCACAGCTCGTCCGTCTCCTCCGTAGGGGACCTCTCGTAACCCCCCTCGGAGGCCTTCTCCGGCGGCTTGTACCCGCGCCGCAGCCGCAGGCCCGGCGAGGTGTCCCCGCGGAAGCTGATTGCGCGCCGCAGCTTGCTGTACGCGTCCTCGTAGCACAAGAACATCTCGTCGACGCCCGCGAACAGCGCGTGCAGGTGCTGCACCCCCGTGGCGCGCGCGGAGCTCGTCAGCTGCACCCGCGCGGCGTAGATCCCGCTCGACCGCAGCCGCACCATCCCGCTGCTCGGCCGCCACACGCGGTTCCGGAACGCCTCCTCGAGCTGCTCGGCGATGTCCTCCCGCAGCGGCATCCACTCGCGCGACCCGCGCTCCACGAACCACGTGCCGCGCAGGACGCGCTTCGCGGGGCCCGGCCAGTACGAGTCCGTGAGGCGGCGGTCGGGGAGGTGCACGTCGCTCAGCCCGCCCTTGACGGCCACGGTCGGCGCGTCGTCCTCCGGGGGACTCCGGGAGGGGTCGTGGGTGGCCGCGTCCTGCTGCGGGGGGCGGGGGTCCTGGCCCTGCGGCGCGCGGACGGACGAGCAGCGGCGTCAGGACACGGCCGCGCGGAGCGCAGCGCGACGCGTGCGTCACGCAGCGGCACGACACCCTCATGCGCATGACGTGTCCTGCATCTTCCAGTGATTGGCCGCGAGCCTGGCCGCACCGGCCTGGCGTCGCCATGCGCAGGGACTTCTTCCGGCACGCGCGGGGGGCTGGGAGCGCCTTGCCTCTGCGATCGGTCCGCGCTTCGCGCTGCTTTGTTTCCCCGGGTCGGGCCCCAGTGACATCTCCGCCACCTCGGCCCACCAGGCGCGCTCGATCTCGTGGCGGTCCTGCTGGAACGCCGCCTCGATCGCGCGGGAGTCCGCGTCGCAGAAGCGGTAGAAGTCGCCCTTGGACACCACCTCGGGGACTGCAGGGGCGCCGCGTGGAGGTTTGTTGGAGGCGCGGGGGGCTGGGGCGACGAGCGGGCGACCGTGGGGCCGTGCGGTCTCGTGCGAGGGGTACCTGGGTGCAATAGAACAGGCATGGGCGGGGGCGGCCGATGGCAGCCGCGCGGTGGCCCGGTGCGGGCTCTGTTGGGCGAGCGCTGGGACGTTGCGTCGGTGGTGCTGGAATCACGAGGGGACACGTCGCTGCCTGTGGTCCCTACCTCCGACATAAAGCGATTGGTTGCTCGTTGGGAGGCGTCTCAAGCGACGCATTGCGCCACGTGGACAGCGCGGCTGCCTGCGTGCGGCAACGCACCTGCTTTGGAGAAGGGCTTGGTCGAATAGTACCAACGCACTTCGTCGCCGGTGAGGGGCGTGTAGTTCTTATCCGTGTCCTTGGTTTCCCGCATCTTGATGCGGATGGGCGACGGTGACGCGGACGCTGACATGGCTTCTGCCTCCACGCAGCTGCTTCTCCGCGTCTGGTGGCAGCCTACGGCCCCGATCTGCCAACAGGTGTGCCGGCTCTTCCTCGACTCCTGGCTACACGATCGAAGCCCTCTAAACAAAGCGGGGACCCGCCGAGATCATGCCCTGCAAGGAAAGACGACCGTGGCGTGCGCGAGGCGCCGAAACAGGACTAACGAAGCCTTCGCCGATCGAAACACTGGCCAGGCTATCGCGTAGCGATGTCCCAACGTGTCGTCGGCGTCTCCTTGAGCCGCAAAGCCCACAACTTGTACCCAAGGTCTTACCGAGCGAATGTGCCTTGTCCGGGCGTTGTGTCGCGCGCGCACGGGGCCGCGCGCGCACTGTTGATCGCCCGCTTGGCGGTTCTGCTGGCGGGAGCCCTCCCCGAAGGCAGGGGGGCGCCCCTCGGCGCGAGGCAGCACCATGGCTCCCATCCTGGACCCCAATTCGGCCGCGAGCGTCGTCATGGGCCTCGTGGACAGCAACTACAAGGTGTCCGATATTCTCTCGGTCATCAGCTCGCTCGGATACGCCGCCACCGCGCCAGACGCCCCCCCCCTGACACCGCGGAGGCGAGTTGTCCCGCTGTGCACCTCGCGGAATCAGAGAGCCTCACCCGAGCGAGCGCAGCAGCCGGCGGCTGCAGAAGCGTGCACGGATCCGCCTCTCGGCCGCAGGCGTCGACAGGGAGAGCTCCTCCGTCTGTATGCAGGGGCGCGGAGCCAGCTGGAGCTGGCAGGGATTGGTTCGAACGTGGGCTCCTGGCAGGGATTGGTTCGCCGGCGCCGACCGTGCGAGCGAGTCCACTGCGGTCGATTCGAGGCTCGGCCGATCGTCGGGACCAGCGGCGCCTCGGAGGCGCGGTGCCACGGCAGCGGAGGAGCGCTGCGGCACCGACGGCAGCTCCGCGCGAACCGTCACAGCACGTTCCGGCCACTCCGACCACCCCGGCGCACGCCGTCCGAAGTAGGTAGGCGCGCCGCAGCTCCGCCCCTGTTCCACCGCGACGCACGCTCACACGCGGAGGCCGCGGCCACCCTTCAGTCTCCTCACTTCATTGCGAATACCAATTCCTCGTCTGCGGCCACCTCCTTTCCAGTGACCCCCTGCCCCGCCCTCGCAGGCCGCCAGCGACGCCCGCAACCGTCCGCACGGACCATCTCCCCACCCTCCCGGACCCCGACTTCCCGGACGCCAACTACGCCCTCGTCCACCGCCGCACGCCCGGCGTCACGTTCACCCCCCCCCAACACACCCCAAGGCGCCCCGCGACGCCCCACGCCGCCCCGGACGCCGGGCCCGCGGACGCCCGCGACGCCGCCCGCGCGCACGTCGAGCGGCGCACCCCCGCGGCGTCGTTCGGGACGGCACGGCGCTTCCACCGCGGGGGGAGCAAAACGGCGGCGCGCGAGCAGCCGTCGCAACGACGCAGCGTGGCTGCGACGCCGGACCCCGCGGCGGCGATGGCGCCGGTCCTCCCGCGCACGCGCGCCGCCGTGATCCTGTCGGCACCGCGGTTTCAGGACCCAGGGGTGCCGAATGTGGGGCCTGCGCCGGGTGACGTGGCGGGGGGGCCGGGGGCCGAGAGGGAGCGTCGCAGGCGTGTGCTGCTGCGCGCGAGACGCAGGGTCTCGGAAGCGATCGCGCGCGTCGACGCGGTGCTCGGGGGACCTCGGGGCGGCGATGCCGCAAGAGCTGCGCCTCAGCGCTCGCGTGTCGCGGCCTCGGGCGCCGCAGAGGAGCCCTCCGAACGGTCTGCGCCCTCCGTGGATGTCTGGAAGGCGGTGCGGCCGTCGGCGATGGCCGTCGGATTCGGCCGTCCGCACAAGAAGCGATCCGCCCCGCGGGGCGGCAGGGGGGGTGTTTCGCCCGAGGCCGACGCGGAGGGCCGCGGCGCGAAGGTCGCCCGCACCGACGGTCCACCGTCGCTGCAGCCCGTGTCGAAGGCGGTCCACACGCCCGTTTTCGGCCCCGCGGGTGGCCCGGCAGCACACGCCGCAGCGCTTGCGGCGCTGAAGGAGCGCCGGCGCCGGGCCGCTCGCATCGCCCGCCACGGCCAGCGCGGAGGCCGCGCGAGTCCAGACAGGTCGCTGACGTCCGACACGGATGCCGGGCCAGGCCCTGCGAGCTACGACATAATTGTGGCGAGTGCGTTCGAGTCGCGGGCGTCGCGGGTGCCCGCGGCGACGTTCGGTGCGAAGCCGCAGCGTGCCGCGTGGGCGCAGAAGAGCGTCGACCTGCGCGATTACGACGCGGCAGCGGCGCAGGACGCCATCGCGCGCCGCGTCCCAGGGGCGCCCGGCTTTGCACAAGTTCTGGGGCGCGAGAGGCGGCGGAGCGATCCGGGGGAGCGCGGGACGTCTGAGAGGGCGCTGGACGTCCGGCACAGCGCGGTGGAGCGGCGCGGCGACGTTGGCGTGCTTGCGTGGCGGCGCAGAGAGAGCTCCGGGGGTCTGAAGTGGGACAGACGGCTGCTCGACATAGACCCCGCGGCAGGTGAGTCGCTGCTGCGCCCTGTGCGGCCTTCTCGCGGTGTGCCTGCCTGCCGAGAGCGCTCCACTGTCCTGACGCAGGTATCAGATATGAAAGTAGAAGTTAACGCTGGTGCCCCGTCTGACCTGCCCGCAGCGCTCGACGCCCTCGCGCCGCGCAAGCCGCAGTGGAACTTCGCGGGCCCGCTTCCGCAGCGTCCGGAGACGCGGAAACCCGCAGGAAACGACGAGGTACCCCTCGACGTCGACAGGGCCATGCTGCGTGTGCGGGCGAACCCATTCGCGGGCGGCGCGCCGAGCTTCAGGCGACTGCTGCCGCGAGAGGTGGCTCGAGGCGACGCAGACGACGAGGCCGGTCCGCCTGCAGCGTACTCGCTGGACGGCGGGCTGCGTGCGATGCAGCGGCGCGCACCAGCGTGGGGCTTCGCCGGGGGCGCTGCCGACAGGTTCGGCGTCGACGAGGAGGACGCTGCTTCGGCGCGGATGCTCCGGCTGTCGGAGGCCGACGCGGTGAACTCGCGGATGAGGCGCGCGCCGGCGTGGGGGTTCGCTGGAGTCGGGGGCCCGGTAGAAATCCGGAAGCCTGTCAGACGAGACCGGGAGGTGGGCATGAGCCTGGAGCTGCCCCCAGGGATGGGCTTCGGCGAGGGCGTCGTCGGAGGCCGGTTCGACAAGGTCATGCCCCGCGGTCCGCTGGGGGGTGTCGACGTGAACATCCCCGGCCTGGGTCAGCACGCGGACCGCCTCAAGGGGCGCGTGAAGGCCGACCTGGGGGTCTACGACCTCAAATATCGCCTTGTTGAGCCCGCGGTGCGCGTACCGGACCTGGAGAAGCGCCGCGGTCACCTCGGGATGACGTCGGACGCACCGCGCGGGCCAGAGGACATCCTGGACGTTGCGCGCGGCGAGCGGCTGCTGCGGCCCGCCCGCGGCCGCGTGCCGCGCTTCAGCGCGGATCTCGGCCGCTGGGACGTGGCCCCGGGCGCGAGGGACGCCGCGGACGCGATCGCGCGCCGGTCGATGCCCAACCCGAACGCAGATGTGCCACTGCGGTTCCGGTTCGGACGCGTCGTAGACTTCGACAAGCAGGTGAGGGCGTCGGCTGTCTGGTGCGCTTCGGGACGCGCGCTTAGGTGGGCCTCGGCGCAGAGTTGTGGCCAGAAGCGTTTTTTTTCGTCAGTCGTTCTGATTTGAAGAGGTCCTGGATGATTCGTTCTGCAGGTCGAGCGACCGGGTGTGCACGAGCGCGCGGACAACGCGCTCGGTCCGGGCGAGTACAAGTTCCCGCGCTGGCTGGAGAAGCTCGCGGGCGACGGCGTCGACTTCGGCCGCCGCGCAGCGCGCTCGCTCAACGCGCCGCTGCTGCCGGCGGACGAAGGCGACATCCTCAAGCTCGAGCCCACGAATGCGGATGGCCTCGTCCGGCCACGCATCCGCGAGGTCGCGATCCCGAGGGAGCACGCGCGCTCCGCAGGGGGGGGGTCCGCCGAGTCAGGCCTTGCGCCCCTCGACGTCAGCTACGCCGCCGTCGACAAGCGCGTGCTCGTCCCGATCTTCGACAAGATGGGCGCGGCGCACGGGATCGCCGTGGCCGCCGCGCCGGACCGGGAGCCGCTCCCGCAGGTGCCCCTGGGCAGGCTGGCTCACTTCGACCGCGACGGACGCGGGATGCACGACTGGGCGCGCGCGGGGCAGCGGTGGCGCGAGGAGCGCGTGGCGAAGAGCGAGGACCTCGGGAGACCGGCGGGGGACCCGTGGGCGGCGATGGACGCCCTGCGGCGCCACGTGCCAGGTCCCGGGGAAATGCGACATCAGCTGGGACGTTCGTATGGAGCGCAGGAGCCGCTGACTGCGTGGGTGGACTACCTGCCGGACTTTGCGCCGGCCCTGGACGCCACGAAGCCGCGGCCGCCTGGCGCGGCGGGCACGAGCATTGCACCGGCGTCAGGGGGGGCTGTTGGGGAGGGGTTGTTTGGAGGGGACTGGCGGGACCTGGGAGGGCGTGAGCAGGACGCGGCGGTGCGGCACAATCCGCCAGGCGTGGCGCTGAAGAACGGCGGTGCTGCGCGGACCGAGACGGGCGGGGCGGGGGCGTCTGCTGACGGAGACAGACTGGTGCTGTTCCCGAAACTTCCCCAGGGGTATTGGCCGCCGGAAGGCGCCGGGGAGCCGTTCGCCAAGGCGGTGGGGCGCGAGGACCCCCCCGAGGCGCTCCCACGCGATGGCGACCGCCTTATTCTGTTCGGCGTGGGCGCGGGGGCTGACGCAGTGCGCCGGAAGGCCCCCGGGCTGGTATTCGCCAAGGGACGCTACGCCGGGCACGCCACGGGGATTTACGAGGAGCAGCACCGCGGCACGATCGAAACACTCCCCCCAGACTACCCCGCGCCGGCAGGAGCGGGCTACGCCGTCGCGCAAGCCCTGCGGCGGCAGGGCGAGGACCGTCGCCACCGCCGCGCGGCGGCCGCGGCGGAGGACGTCGCGCTATCGCGTGCGGCGCTCGTGCGGGCGCACCGCGAGTCCCAGCACCCGCTCAGCGGGCCCGAGCCGTCAAGTCGCCCCGCCCCGCAGTGGGGTGCCGTCGCCTCGCCTGCGCTGTCGTCGCGGGCGCCGCAAGGGCCGCTCGCGCGCGCCGTGCGCGAGGCCGGCGCGGCGCCTGCTGGGACAGATCCGCTGCACACCCGGCTGCGGCCCGAGCGGGCCCTGGCGGCCGTCCGCGCGGCCGCGGAAGCAGCGCGTGCGTCTGCGTTGCGGGCGGTGGCGCCGCGGGTGGCGGGGGGCGTGCCGGGCGCGGTTGGGACGCGGCGAGCTGCGGAGCGGAATCCAGACAAAGTGACTGAGGCGGAGGGTGGGTGGCGGGGCCTCGACGACACGAGGAGACGGGCAGTTGGTGCTGCGCGGGAGGCTGCGGGGAGGCCGCGGGTCGAGGAGGCTCTGTGACTCGGGGGAGATGTGGGTCGTGGGGCCGCGGGCCGATTCGGCGTGTCTGACCGGCCTGCCGCTGCTTGACAGCAGGCGGTTGCCCAGGCGGTGCGTTCGAGGGCGTGGCGCGACGCCGCACGCGTTCGTGTTCCCGAGAGCGACTGGGCGCGTGTCCGAGTGATTTGACGTGCGCAGCCGGACGCTCGTCGTTTGCGCGCGCCGCAGCAAGCCCACGGTACCAGTGCGAGCTACCGACCGCGCTTGAAGGCGTCCTAGGATTCGACGCTCGCAGTCCTGGACGGTCCGTACCAAGACCGCTGTGCGCGCGTCGCAGGAACCAGGTATGGGCCGCTCAATCTGCGTAGAGCGGCGTGCGAGTCACACTGCAGCGGACCGGCCTCCTCGCTTCTCGCGCCCCCGCGAGAGCTCCTTTCGCCCGTCTCGCCCACGCGGGCATCGTGTCGCACATTGTGTGACAGATGTGCGGACTTTCCGCCGCGAGGACACCGCATTTCATGCGGCAGGGCAGACGAGACTCGAGCAGCCAGACATGGTCGAACCTTTGCGCGCAGGATGCCTTCTTCTGGCCAGGCAGACCCCGGCGACGACCGCACTGGACACGCGGCCGACGCCGCGGCAGCGAGGAATGCGTCGCCCTCCCCCTCGGGCGTGAGCGCACTCACGGCCGATGAGCGCGAGACCACTGCCAATGACCTGACTGTGGAGGAAATGAACGCCATGGCCGGCGAGGACGGCTTCCGCGCCGACGGCACGCGCTGCCGCGTGACGAACAAGGCGGGCTTCCTGTGCCACATCGAGATGGACGCGATCTGGCAGCTGTCCGTGGCGGAGGTGGTGCAGATCTTTAGCAACCCGTGCAACGCCGCGGTGTTCCGTGACATCGCCGCCGTGCCGCACCGCGCCCAGCTGTACGACTTCGGCGGCGGGAACGAGGTCGTCGAGGTGCGCGCCCCCCCTTCGGCCGACCGAGCTGCGCCGTGTGCACAAGTCGCTCAGCCCGGGCCGCTGGACGCGGCGAGACGCTACCGTTCGTCGCGCACGGCCCGCTGCGACGCGTCCCGGTCCTGTGTCTGCGGTGCAGGTCGAGCAGCAGTCCGAAGTGCGGTTTCTGTGGGTTCGGAAGCGCTTCTCCACCCTAATGCATGTCCGCACAGTGCCGCCGAAGAGCCCCACGGACGGAGCGAGCATGGAGGTGTGCCTCGCGGAGCCAGGCATTCTCACGAAGTTCCACGGGAAGTGGAGCCTGCGCCCCGCGGACGGCCCGCGGGGGCCCAACACTGCATGCATCGGCACGCTGCAACAGGAGGTGCTGCCCGCCGGGATCCCCGCCGGGGCGTCGCGCGTGCCGTTCGTGGGCCGGCTGCTGCGCGGGATGTCGGTGCGGGCCATCCGGCGCATCATTGAGGACATGCGCAAGATCGAGCGCCGCGTGCTCAAGGGGGAGGACATCGCGAGCGTGCTGCGGCCGCCCGGTGCGGTGGAGGTGCGCACGCCCGCGCTCGAGCCCGCGCAGCCGGCGTGCAACCGACACGTGCGACGAGATGACGTTTGCGTGCAAATTTAGTGGTGCGTGGAAAGAAGGACATTTGCGGTGGTATCCTGCGCCCTGCAGGCGCCACTGGGCGGGCCGGACAGCGTGCGCGTGCGGGACTGCAAGGTCGCGCTTTCCAGCGACGACCTCGAGGTGCTGCGCAAGCAGGACGAGGCGGCACGGGAGGCAGGAGCCAGCAAGACACAGGGTGGCACGGGTCCGGGGATCGCCGATGCGCCTGCGCTGGTGTCCGTCCCCGTGCTCTCCGATGTTGAGATATCGGACGACGACCAGGCGTAGGTTTCGAGTGCTTGTGCTGGACTGCGAGTGCGGCGCATCGGCAGAGTAATGACCGCGCAGTGAGCACACAGCGTTCGAGGGCGGCAGCGCGCCAGGGCGTTCCAGCAAGGACTCTCAGAGCACGGTTGCATTAGCAGAGTGAAGGACCATGGCCGAACAGACGCAGATCACAAGAACCATGGCGGGGTTGGCCAAAGCCGCGACAGTCGAGGAAAGGTTCTAGTGCGAGTCAACGTGACAGTGCGAGTCCAGGACCACGCGCGTGGCGGCTGCGAGGCCACTGGTTTCGAGAAAGGCGTGCCGTCAGCATGGCAAGAGTGCCCGTGGTTCCTCTGGTGTTTCCCGGACGCAGGGGACGACGACGGAGCCGACGTTCAGCAGCCCGAGGTCGTGTGGGTGGATACGAGAAAGGGTGCGCGGGTGGAAATCGAGGAGGGTCGGGTGGGGGTGGGGGCGTGTAGCAACAAGGCATGAAAATCTCCTCTCGGGGTGGGCCCATCCCGGCAGAGGTAATCAGATTTCAAAAAGAGGAGCCACTGGAAGCGACAGCGTTGCGGGGGTCCTCTTGGCGCGTCGATGGACGCAGGCGCACGGCGAAGTGCGCGGGCTGAAATTTGCTCTGCGAGTCGGAGGCTGGCCCGCCCTTGCAGTCTCGTTGATGTTTCAAAGAGCAGGACGAGACGTGCGGGCCCGCGGGTCGGGCGATGCGGGAGAGGGGGAGGGGGGGCAGGGCGGGGAAAGGAGAGTCGCATGCCGTGGCACCAGCATCAGTGGTGCGGTTTCGCGTCAAGTTGGTTCCTCTCTCGACTGCCGAGGGAGTCAAATACGACCGAGCGCCGTACTGGTCGCGTCGCTGTCGTCGAAGATGTGATCGGAGTGTGATCGGCGCGTTGCAAGACCGGGCGGAGGCTCGTAGCCTGGGCTGTAGCCACCACCACGAAGCAGCGAGTGGTCGAGAGGCGTCACTTCCCTGTCGTGTCGTGGTCGGCCATCCCGTCCGGGTCGTTGCCCCCGGGCACCAGCAGCCAGTGCGTAGTCATCATGCCCTTGCCCTTGACCTGAATAGGGCCGCGCTCCCGCAACATCAGCGACGCAGGCCACACAGAGGGCAGGCCCTCCGAGCTTCCAGAGGCCATCTCCGCCAGCGCATTGAGCGACGTCACGGACGAGTTGAGCCGCTTCAGGCGGCCCTGCTCCACCGCAAGCTGCTTGTCCACGATCTTGCGGGCCGTCGACGACAGCTGTACGCAGCCCTCCCGCGAGAGCGACTCCATGCGCGCCGCGACGTTGACGGTGTCGCCGAACAGCGCGAAGCGCGCGCCCTGCGCTCCGATGAAGACGGACGCGGTGACGGGCCCGCAGTGCAGGCCCACACGGATGCGGATGTTGCCCATCTCGGGATGCGCGGGGCACACTGGGACCTCCGCGGCCGCCTTGACGGCGTCGAGCGCCCAGCGGCACACGCGCAGCGCGTGGTCGGGCGCCTTCTCGTGCAGGTTGCCGGCTCCCATGAAGGCATCGCCGATGATCTCGACGCGCCAGATGCCGTGCTTGTCGCACAGGGCGTCAAACTTGGCGAACAGGACGCCGAGCGTGTCGGAGATCTGCTTCGGATCGAGCTTGGCAGACATGTCCGTGTAGCCCACGATGTCTGTGAAGACGATGGTGACCTCCTCGTGCTTCTCAGGCTCGACGTCCTGCCCCTGTGCCAGCATGTGGGCAATCTTCGGGGGCAGGTTCCCGTGGCGGCGGTCCTGGGCGGCGGTGTTCCACATCAGGAGCTGCGCAAGGGTGTCCTTGCCGCCGCAGAGCACGCCGAGGCGCTCCGCGATGTCGTCGAAGTCCGGGCGGCGCGCGGGGTTGCGGTGGCAGCACTCGAGCATCAGTTGGCGGGCGGCCTCGGGCATTTTGGTCGGGGGCAGCGGCCGGAACCGGAGAGTGTCGCCACTGCCCTCGGAAACGATCTGGACGCGGTGCTTCGTCTCCCCGAGGAAGTCGCGCCCACTGAGCTCGTTGATGTCCGACTGGCGCCCGTCCCCGCCTGCCGAGGACTTGGCGGCGGCGGTGTCGAGCACGGCGAACACTTCGGCCATGAGGAACGCGAAGGCGTAAACGTCGCCCTCCGCGCTGCAGACCTTGTCGTCGGAATAGAGCTCGGGCGCGATGTGCGGGCCAGGCGGGGCGTTGTTGCGCTTGGCCAGCAGCAGGCGGCGCCACTCGTCCGTGATGGTGACGTTGGAGACCAGGGGCTTCAGCGAGCCAGTGAGCATCACCCACTCGGCCGTGAGGTTGCCGTGCAGGACCTGCGGCTGACTCTTGTGCAGGAACGACATGCCGTTCGCCACGCCAAACAGGAGTGCGGCGCAGTGCGAGACGCTCAGGTTGGCCGCCGTGTCCTTCAAGAAGCCCCGCAGCGTGCCGTACTCGACGTCCTCGTATACCTGCAAGGTCGATCGCACGGTGGGCAGCATGATGCACCAGAACAACACACGGACTCCTTCCCAGGGACACAAGGCGGCAGATGTCCGCGAGGGACGTGATGGTGCTGCGCGGCGATGGGCAGGACTCACCACGCACGGCGGATCCTCCGCGACGCCACCCAGCACAGTCACCACGTTTGGGTGCCGCACGCGGACGCGCTCCCTCATCTCCTGCGCCAAAACCTGCTTGATCGAGTTCGCCAGCGGCGCCGCCTTCTTCGGCCCGCGGGCCACTGCAAACGACTTCGCGCCCTCCAGAGGAACGATCTTGCCGGACTTGGCGTGCGAGACTTGGATGTTGTCGGGACGCGGTGAGCCAGCCTCGAGGTCGTCGTCGTCCCCAAAGGTGCTCCCTGCGACGCTGCCGGGCAGCGGCTTCGGCGCGCCGTTGCCGTGCGACGACGCGGTCGAGGTCCCCGGCAGCGTCTCCGGCTCGCGCGAGTCGCCCAGAGCCGGTACTCGAACCACGGGAGGAGGCGGCGGCTTGTGGTGGAGGTCCTGCACGGAAGCAGCGGAATAGCCCGGCGGTCGGGCGACAGTCGCACGCACATGCACCCCTCGGCGCAGATCACGAGCATCGGCAGCATGCCTGCTCGCGCGTGGGCGCACCTGGGAGCCGTTGCGCAACACCTTGCCCAGCGACGTCCCAGGGGCCGAACCGCGGCCCGAGTTGCCGGGGCACGAATCATCAGGGCACGTCGAGCCCGGATACGAGCTCGCGAGCTGTCCTGGCTTTTGCTGGCTGTCGAGATTGTCACTGTGGAAGTTTGTCGGGACGCAAGCGGCGCTGTCGGTCTGTCTCTTCTCTCTCCTTGTGTTCGCCCGCGAGGGTCCTTCGTGCTCGTTGATGTGCTCTGAGCGACGCGTCGGCGCATGCTCCCCCTCGGCGCGGTCCATGAACATGCTGCTCTTGCGCAGGCGGCTGGACTGGTGGACTGCTGCTGGTCGGCCAGAGTTGGCCACTTCGGCCTGCTCGAAGAAGCTGACGACCGACCGCGGCGTCTTCGGCGAGTTCTTAGCCGCAGCGTGCCCCGACGCGGACACCTCGTTGTACAGCTCCTCGTAGCGAGCGCTCCTGCCAAACCTGCGCGCCGGCTCAGGCGCGGTGCTCTCCGACAAGTACAGCTGCCGCACGGTCACCGGCGCGCCGCGCAGCTCCGCCCTGAGCAGGAGCCCCGTGCTGCTGCACCCCAGCAGGATCGGAGGGTCGCAGAACACCAGGTCCTGCGGGTCGATCAGATACTGCCCGCGGCGTGCCCTCCGCCACACGAAGCCCGCCACCGCCGCCATGATCGCGATCGCGACCAGCACCGACCCCACAACGACGCCCACGCCCCCGCCGCTGCCCCCGATCGAGTCGTACCAGTTGGTCTCGGGTTGGCACGATGCACCCTGAGGCTGCGTCCCGGCGGGGCAGACGCAGGTGCCCGCGCCGTCAGGGAGCGCGCCGGCGAGCGTCGCCGAACAGTCCTTCGGCGCGATCGAGACGAGCGTGGGCGACGACGGGGCCTGGACGTCGTCGATGAGCACTTCCACGACAGCCGTGCCAGTAGCATTGAGCGTGAACGACAGCTGCGCGAGGACCTGGCGCGGGTTCGTGCCCGCGATAGCGCGGACCGGGATGGCCTGTGGGCTGGCGGCGAGTTGGCGCCGCGCTGGGGAGGTCAGGGCGGCGCTGCGAAGGATGGTGTTGGCCTGGCAGGGCACGAGCTCCCCGGGGCGGGCCGGGTCCGTGCACCTGTCGCCCTCGGGGGCATGCACGCGGACCTCGACGGTGTCGGGCCGCGGAATGTCCGTGGACGTGTGGATGAGGGCCGCCTCGTCGACGACGGTGATGACGAGCTCGTCGCCCTGCTCTATCGCTTGACAGACGTCCATCAGCCCGCACCTGCCTCCTATCGCCGGGGGCTCCTCGTTCGAGGTCACGGAGCGCCTGAGCTCGACGTGCACCGTGAAAGGAATGTCCGGGAGCTGCGCGAGGGCGGGCGAGGGTGCGTTGCGAGTTGGTCGTCTGTGAGCGGGCCACTGAGGTCCAAGGAGCGCGCGTGACCGCGAGGGTCCCTGACCCCGACGATGCCGCTGCTCGCAGATCGTCACCGCAGCAGCGTTCGGCCCCGGCGGCGGGCGTCCTGCGTGGAGCAACAGGCGGGAGTGTCGCACCTCCAGGCAGGGTTCGCGGAAGCACTCGTATCCGTCAGGGCAGGGCAGGTCCACGTCGCTCGCGGTCGCCTCCACGACGGCCTTGCTCTTCTTCGCGAACCCAGGCGGGCACACCACCGACTCGTACCCCTGGAACGACCTCTTGCACGTGCCTTGGTTGTCCGTGAGCCTGAGCTTCTCCTGCAGGTTGCGGACCTTGGTGTACGACAAGGGCACGTCCCACCCGAAGAATCTGCCCGCCTGCGCCGCGGCGTCCGTCTCGCGGAGCTGCAGCAGCGCCGCCCGCACCATGATTTGGATGGGCAGCGGGACGTGCTCCAGGGACCCGAAGCCCCACTCTGCAGACAGCGAAACGACGCTCGCATGTTCGTGGTCGCAGGGAAGGCGCGCCCGGGCGGCGGCGGCGGCGGCGGCGGCGGCACACGCGCGCAGCGCACCTGGATAGAGTCCCGACGAGACAGGTAGCGGGTAGTTGTCCTGGATCGCGAGCGCGTCCAGATGCACGGGCACCAGCCGCCCGGCGGGCACTTGCCCGTCGTTCACCTGCGTCGGGCGAGGGCGCGATCGCGTGCCGCGCGTCACAACCTGACACCGTGCGTGCGCGTCGTCTTGCGTTGCAGGGCGCGAGGGCGCGCCCTGCAGCGCCGGGACCGTGCGCGAAGACCGTGCAACAGTAGAGCGGGGCGCACCAGCTCCTCGATCGTGCCCGTCGTCACGAACCCAACATCGGCCCTGCCCGCCAGCACGTTGTTCACCACCTCGGCCTCGTCCCGAACGAACCGCAGCTGCCGCACGTCCCTCCCGAGGATGTTGACGCCCACGTCCTGCAGCTCGAGCCACTGCGTCTGGTGGCCTCCCAGCGCCGTCAGGTCGTTCGAGTCTATGATCTTGCCTGCGTTCGGCAGCTGGGTGCGCTCGCGTGAGCGACCTCGCGCACGGACGTGGCTGCCAACGATTCTGTGGGACAGTGCCTTCGACGAGAAGGCCGTCCGCGGGCGTTGGGGGGGAAATGAGCGACAGAGGGGGCGAGAGTCGCTGTGTGAGTGGCGCGGACGAGAGAGCCTTTCAGGCGGGGCACCCCTGGGCGCGAGCGGTCGCCGTACCTCGCACGTCTTCGAGGGTCGCAATGTCTGTGCGCTCGGCCAGCCGGAAGATCACGCCGCCCTTCTGTCCGAGCGCGACTTCGGTGCCATTCTGGAGGCGGATCTTGGTGCGCCGAGTGAGGAGGAAGTTGACGTTGAACTCCGACGAGAAGCACATGTGCAGCGACGGATCCACGAACACGAAGTCGACCCTCTGCGCGGCGGAAATCCGGGCTCGGTCGCGCGTGAGCGGCCCAGAGCGCTGACATGGATACTTTGCGCGGGGCGGACAGCACAGGCCGGAAACGCGCCGCCGAGGGCCCGCAGCAGCCCAGCGGTGCATCATGCACGCGGGCGGCGGGGGCGATGGGCCGCGGCGCGCCGCTGCCGCGCGCTGCCGACCGGCAGGCAGAGCAGGGTGGGGGGAAAGCGCCGACGCGTTCCTCGCGGAAACCGGCGGGGGGGGCTTGCCTTCGCCGGGTCGGTCGACTCCACGTACTCGTAGGCCGTTGAGAACAGCATCATTTGCATCTCCACGGTCATCGCAGGGTCGGTCTTCTGCAGCTCTTGCTCAATGAACCCGCCTGGGCCGAACAGCGGGCCGAACTCCGCCTGGTCGCGCGCGACCCCTGCGGGACCCGGATTTTCATGACAAAGCTAGGTCACTGCGCGAGCACGGCGCGGGTAAATCGCACGCACGGCCCCGGTCCGCGAACAGGTGCACAGCGAGGCTACCTTGCTCGCCGCGCACTCGCTGGCGCGCGGAGCGATGAGGAATGCACGCGGAGCCGCGCGCGGCCAACCAACGAAGGGCTCGCGCAGGCGAGCGCGGGAGCGGGCGCGCTGCCGGAGCGGCGCCGCGTAAGTGGTCGGCTCGACGGAAAGGAATGAACCGCCGATACGGGCGCATCCGCGGCCCAAGCGGGGCGTCGAGCAGCGCGGCGCGCACTTGCAGTCGAATGCACCCGGGGGATGCGCGCGGAAACGCAGGGTTGGCGACGTACCGCGCGTGGACAAAACGCCAATCCGGAGCTTGGAAGGGTAGCCCGGCGGGACCTCATAGATGCGTCCGCGGCCCGCGACCAGCCCGAAGAGCAAGAACAGGACCCAGACAATCATGGCGTCTGCACGAGATCCTCTCTACCGCGAGCGGCGCGTCGAACCGTTCACTCCATGGCGCCGCCAGTCGCCTCACGATGCGTGCGCGCACACGGCTGCGTCTCGGAGCGCGCGCGAACCTGCTGCCTGCTCTGAACGCGCTCTGAAATGCAGGCCACGCGCAGCACGCGCCCCCAAGGCACGGCTGCCGCGTCCAGACGCCGGGCCTCTTGGCAGAGGGTCCCCGCGCTGTGTTTGACGGGCCCAGCGTCGGACGCAGCCGGGGCCGCGGGGGCGCCACGGGCCGGCCCGAGGGCGCTGCTGCCCGGGGGCGGCCGCGCAGTCACACGGACGCTCGCGTCGGGCCGGGGCGACAGCGACAGCGCGACATGCAGCTCGTGGGGCGTGTGCAAGCAGGGCGACAGGCGCTGTGCGGGCTGGACCGGGAGGTCCTGCGCGGAAGGGCGGCGCGGAGGACCAAAAACGTGTATGGTGAGTCGGAACGCACCGTTCTCTCTGCGTGGCGCCGTTCGACGGGTGCGTGCGCGAGAGAGCCGCTGCCAAGTCTCCAACGGGTGGTGTCGTCCGCATCCGATGTTGAACGGGCCAGATTCGAACCATCCTGTCGACTATCGAGCCCCATCGGCCTCTCTCCGCGAGTACGTCCGGATTTCGTTAGTCCCACGCCGTCAGGGAGCGACACAGCGGTTGAGAGCACATCGTCGCCACCAGACGCGCTCCCGCCGCATCGTCCGCACGAACGAGCACCCGCACCAGCGCGCTGTCGAGTTCTACACACGCCACGCCTGCGCGACGCGTCGGGACGGTCCCAGGGCCGACATCGCGCCCACGCGTCTGCCGTGGTTGCAGGGCAGCGGGTCCGCGCGGCTGGCGATGACGACGGGCTCTCCACGGCGGACCTGCCCAAGGTCGTGGACTTCATCTGCTCCACGGACATGATGCAGTTCGAGGTCGAGACCGAGGATGTCTCGATATCGCTCACGCGGCGCACGGGTGAGCCCCGCCATGGGCGCCCCGCGCACCGGAGCCGCCGCCGACCACGACGCGCCGCCGCGAGCCCCGATCTGCATGAATCCCGCTCAAGGCCACCCCCCACATGGCACATTCACAATCACGCCGGCGCCCCACGCGGGCAACGGCCGAGGCAATCCGCAGCGCCTTCATCCCCCTCGCCTCGCCGACGCGCCCGCGCCCTGGCGCATCTCACCCGCACGGCGCCCTCGGTCGCGCATCTGCAGGGCCCGTGGGCGTGCACCGCTCCGCCGCGCACGTCGGATTCGCGCTCATGCCGGCCGACTCGAACGCGTTCGCGCCGCCGCAGTCGGCGCCGGCGGAGACCATGCCCGACGACGCCGAGGTCGCGGGCGTGCCCGACCGCGTCGAGGTGTGCGACGACAAGGGCTGCGTCATCACCGAGGCAAGTGCCGCCTGAGCTCTGTGGCGTCGGCTGCGTGCGTGTTGCTGTGCCAGCGGGCTGACGAGTCGGAACGCCCGCGCCGAGCTGCCGCAGGTGGTGTCGTCGCCGAAGGTCGGCCTGTTCCGCGCGGGCAAGTTCTTCCGCGGGAAGCAGATCGGAAAGGACCCCTGTGTCAGGGTGGGGGACTCCGTGAAGCAGGGGCAGGTCATCTGCAACATCGAGCAGCTCGGCAACCACTGGCAGGTGCGTGGCTCGCGCCGGACGCAAGCGGGGGGCGCGGATGGCCGGCAGCGATGTCCTGCGCGCCGCCGCTTGCGTCTACGCCGACTGCCTAGCACGTTCCGGCGCTGCGTGCCGCAGGTGGAGGCGCCGATGGACGGCAAGGTGGTCAAGTTCCTCGTCGAGGAAGGCCAGGCCGTCGGGTACAAGGACCCGATTGCGGAAGTGCAGTCGTCGTGAGCAGCGGGCACCTCACAGCACCCGCGGCGCCGCCGCGCCGTCAGAAGACTCGCCGGGGTCGCGCTGACGAGCGCTTCTGGCGACATGCGGCGAGCTGAGCAGTGTGATTTCTGTTGTGAGACGAAAGCCGGTGTGGACTTGGTGACGCAACTCCCCCCCAAGCTTTCGCGTGCGCTACTTCTCGTCTGGCTTCCACCGGAACGCCGACGGGAGCGAGCTGGAGAGGTACGGGAAGCGGAACGCCACGGGCTCGTATCCGGGAGCCTGCAGCGCCCACTTCTTGCTGAACGTGTGCACGCGCGTGGTGCGCTGACCGTCGTCCGCCTCGAGCGGCCCGCCTGCGCACAGCCCGCCGCCGCAGATCCTTTCGCTCTCCCGGCCCGTGACGAGTCGGCCGCAGCGCACGAGAGCGCGCACGATAGCACGCCCGCATATCGCGGGTGGTCAATTACTTCTTTTGCGCAAAACGTGGTGAGAGCGCAACACGGCCACGGGGCTGTACCTGCATGCGTGTAGGAGAGAATGCCGCCCGCCAGGTTCCGCACGTCCCAGCCGTCGCGCAGCATGCCCTGCGCGAGCCACGCGCTGCGCACGCCCAGCGTGCAGTGCACGACCACGGGCCGCCCGCGGTACTGTTCGCGGCTGGAGCTGAAGTCCCGATAGAACACGCTGCCGGGAATGCGGCTCACTGCGCGCTCCGCGGCCTGCCTCACGTCGACAACGACCGGGGCTGCCCGGTCCCCGGCCTGCAGCACCGACACCAGGTCCTGAGCACTCATGTCCGGGACCTGCAGGCGGCCAGAGCGCGGATGAGCTCATCGTGCGCAAGCGGAGGCACGTGGTCGTCGCCGCCGGGCGCTGCCGTGCCATGCGGAGTTTCGGGTCGTGCGGCGCAGGCTCTCTCACGTCCGCAAAATCCTTCTGCCTGTATCGCTCATACATGTCGATGACCGTCTCGCGCAGGCCCCGCTCAGGCGCAACAGCGTCAGCATCGTGCCCGCCACCCGCGCCCGCACTGCCGCGCTCGTCCTTCGAGGCAGATCTCATGCACCCATGGCGGCCCCCACGCGACGCGCGGGCGCGCTCTGCCCGTCGATCCCACCACCGAATCGATCCCAAGACGTGACCGTGCTCGCAAGCGCGCCGCCCGTGACGGGCCGCCGGAGCGGTGCTGCTCTGCCCTGCGCTGATGGCCCGCCGTGAGGGTCGCGCACCGACGGATAGGCGACCGTGGGGCGCTTGGGTTGCGCGCATCAACAGGTAGAGCTACGAGTGTCAGGTCGCCGATTGAGACGAGACGGAATGAGGCGGGAGCTCGGGCGCAGTGGTCCGGGGGGGTGGTGGTCGGGGGCGTCAGTGCTGTCGAGACGAGGGCGCGCCGCCGCGGGACCGCCAGGGCGTCTTGGCTGCGCGTGCACGCGATGGTCGGTCAGGAGCGACGCCGATAGCGATCCGAGATTGCACGAGTGTGGCGCAGTTCGAACTCGAGTTCAGGAGTCTGAGTTTCTCGACCTCCGTCGGCGCTTTCGCTCTCGTGTGCTAGGCAGGGTGCCTGGGGCGATGGCTGCGCTGCACGGCGGCGCGCTCACAGCGCGTCCGCCGCCCGGCACGCACTGCCCGCACGTCTCCATCCGCACCCAGGTCCGTTCACGCTCTGCCCCGGATCCTCGACGTTGTGTGCCACCTAGAAGCTGCTCCCAGCCACCCACCCCGCACCGCGCCACGAAAGCGGCTCGATCGGTCGATTCGATGCGCGAAGCGGTCCCTCGCGCCGCGAAGAGCGCCGTCATGATCTTTCGAGAGAAAGAGACGTCGAAACCGACACGCATTCGGCGCTGGTCGTCGGAACCTCTCAACAGGCGCGCGCCTGGCCGCCGCTGCGCAGGGCCCCGTCCAATTCACGTGCGTACGGCGGCGCGCCCTCGTCGCGAACGCATCGAGTCGATCGAGGACGCCTGCGACGCCCCTCGAGTCGCGCAGCGCCGGGCGGGAGGAGCAGCGCATTGGAGGCGAAGGCAGCTCGGCACCCCCGGGCACGAACGGCGCGCCACGCGACGAGGAGCGCCCCGTCGGCGAGCCGCCGCAGCTCCCCGGCGAGGACAAGTCCTGGCCGGACCGCCTGTCGTCGCTCGTGCCCCCTGCGCTCATCTACGGCGCGGTCGCATGGGACGTGAACGCAGCAGGGTCCCCCCACCTGCTCGCGCCCCTCGACAGCGCCGTGCACAACTTCGTGTCCTCCAGCGTCGGCTCCGAGCTCCAGCAGGTGCGCGCGGCCGCGACCACGCAAACACGCATCGCACGAGCCCGAAATCCGCGCACAGCCAACACCGTCGCTGCGTTCGTGGGCGTGGCGCGCAGATCCTCGGCCGCGCCGTGCTCTCGGAGGCCGCGATCTACCTGTCGCTCGCGGGCATCATCGGCGGGTGTAGCTTGCAGCTGTTCCGCTGCCCTCGCGCCGCGCTGCCGCGCATCGGTCTCCTGGCAGGGTTCTACTTCTTCGGCGGGGGCGCGGTGCTGCACAGCGACCCGTTCCTCGTCGACGCGCTCAAGGAGACGTTCGAGCGCGCGCGCCCGAACGGCCTCGGCCACACGTTCAGGTCCGCGCGCCCGCCGCGCCCGCAGGCGCACGCCACCTGCTCACACACGCGCGGTCGCTCACCGGCCGCCGCCGCCCGCCGGTCTGCAGCTTCCCCTCCGGTCACACGACCGCGGCGGTCTTCATGACCGGCGCCTTCCTCGTGTACGTCCTCCCGTGGCTGGCGTACACCGGAACCCTCGCGTCGCGGACGCTGCCGCGCGTGGACGCGTCGGACCCGCAGCTGGACCCGTACGACATCGCCGTGCAGCTCGACGAGGGCGGGTCCACGCCCCCGGAGGACGCGCGCGACGTGGACGAGGACGAGGTGCTCTTCGGCCGGCCACCAGCGTGGGTCCCCGCTGTGTGGGCTGTGGCGGGGGGCACGACGGCGCTGGGGCGCGTGCTCGCGGACGTCCACTGGGTGTCGGACACGATCGCGGGCGCGGCGCTCGGGTACGCCCTGGCGCTGACCCTGCGTCAGTCGGACCAGTGGTGCAACAATGCCGTGGAGCTCATCATGCAGGAGCGGTTCCCGAGGCGGCGAACCACGCCGCGGTAGCGGGCGCGGGGGCGGCTGCGCGAAGCAGCGACGTGCTTTCTGTGACGAGTGGCGAACGAAGCCAAGCCACCTCCCCCGCCGGTGTGCTTGTTGTCGGGCGTCTGGTGTCACGCAGAGGCCCAGACGTGGGGCGCGGGACCGCGCCGCGAGGCAGGGCGAGGATCGGGTGCTGCAGGGACGTTGAGTGTTGCCGGGCTCGACCGGGAGGGAGGGAGGGGCGTGATGTGTTGTCAGGGGGGGGGTGGCCGCGCCGCGTATGCACGTGTGCCGTGACGCACCCCGCGGCATGGTGGGGCGTCTGTCGCTGCCGTGGTCACTTTTGGCAGCCCGTTTCCGCAGCGACATCCACATTCCGTGGCGTGCGGGCCTGGGTGGCGGACAGCGGACGTGCCTGCGCCAGCATGGCGATTCGCGACGAGTTCATCGCCCAACACCGGCGCGAGCAGGCGAAACGTCGACCGAGGAGGCGGCCGGCGACGGCCGGACAGCGGCCCGCGTGGGACGTGAGCGACGCGGCCGCCCTGACCTGCATCACGGCCTTTGCTCGCCCGAAGTCCGCGCCCCAGACCTTTCGCGCCGCCCGAACTGCCCCGCAGAGCACCATCCATGACCTCAACGAGTACAAGCTTTCCCCGGAGCAGCTGGTGAGCGGCAGGGACCTCGCACCACGGCCGCGAGGGCCCCCCCTGTTCACTCGCAGACTGTGTACAGTGGTGTTTGAATCGCGGGGGCCGTCTCGGACACAGCCGAGCTCCCAGGACCGCGCCTGTGCGCTCCACCCATCCCTTGCGACGGCCTCGAGCGTGCGCGCGGACTTCGCGCCCCGAAGCTGACGTGTGCTGCGCGTGTGCGCAGGAGGCCAAGCTTGCCCGGCGGCGCTCCAAGCACCAGGTGGCGCTCTCGACGGACCTGAGGGCGGCGTGGGAGGCCGAGCAGGAGGCCATCGTGCAGTCGGGTGGCACCGCGAGCGAGCGGAAAGCAGCGGCCGTGAAGGCGGACCTCTCGCGCGCCGTGATGCGGGAGCTGGGCGCGCTCAAGGCTGAGCAGCGCGGCAGGAGCGACGTGCCGCGTCTGGAGGGCGTTGCGTCCCGCTCCGAGTCCCCCGAGGCGCCGGAGATCCAAGGCGGGACAGGGCGAAGGCCCACGGCCGCGCAGGTGCGGACACGCGCGCGCGCCGCGGAACCGTGACTGCGCAACCAACATGCTGTGTGCACGCCGCGCCCGCGCTGTCTTCGCGTCGAGAAACCGCGGGTTTCGGGACCGGATTCAGATCGGGTGCGGCGTCATGCGGGCCCGCGCCCCCGAATGAGGCGGAAACAGGCCGCCAAGCCACGTGGTGCTTGCCCCCTGCAGCTCCTCGCCGAGCGGCGCCGAAGGCAGGCCGAGGCGGAGCGGCGCGCGCGCCCGCGCGTCGTGGACTTCAACCAGGAGATCGAGGACTTCGAAGCAGCCAGGAAGGCCGCGAAAGCAGCGAGCAGGGCCGCCTCAACTGCGCCCTCGTCACCGCACCGTGCGCTTGCGCGGGGCCCACCCTCGCCGCGGCGCCAGGAAAGCACCCAGAAGGCAGCACGGATACCTGCGGCGTCGTCCGGTCAGTCGGCAGGCGCGCCAGCGGCCGCCGCGGGCCCGTCATCGCCGGCTGCCCCCGACACAAGCGCAGCCCCGCGACGGGAGGAGCCGGCGGCGCCGGAGACCGAGGCGCGGCTGCGGCGAGAGTTCGAGGACTTCCGCGGGCATGCCAGCACGATGCTCTCCCGCATCCAACAGCAGGTCGGTTGCAACACCCGCCCCCCCCCGCAACAGCGCGCATCACGCTCCGCCGCATGTCGCAGAGCCGCAGCGCCTGCCGCCGCGCGCCCGGCTCGCCCCATGATCCGTCCGTCCGTTCGCGCACCGCTGACGCCGCGCCCGCGCGTGCGCTCACGACTGACACAGAGATATGTGTTGATGAATTGATTGTCGTTGTTTCGCGACCGCATGCAGATACAACAGTTGCTGGACCCGGCCAACGCCCCGAAGCCGTCCGGGGACACGCCCGACACCTCGATGGTGCGCGAGCGCACCGCTGCGGCGCCGGAGCCCGCGCGACGTGCGCCTGAGGGCGCCCCGGAGCTGCCGGCGCGGAGAGCGCAGCCGGCGTACGTGCCGCCGGTCGATCCCACGCGGCTGCGAGCGGTGCATCCGGGCCTGGAGGCCAAGGTGCGGCGCACGCGCTGCGCATCAGCGCGCGTCCGCTCACGTGCCCCCTTGTGGGATGCACCATGGCTGCGCGCGTTGCACCGCAGCCGGCGTCAGCGGCGTCTGACTTCGCACGTAACGGGGGAGACAAGCGCGTTTCGTGTGCGCAGATGCCTGGCGGGGGCGTCCTGCGCGACCCCACTCCCCTGGAGGACATCGAAGCAACGCTCCCCACCTACCAGGCGGTGCGGGCGGTCGCGATGCAGCGGCAGGGCGCACTCGCGGACGAGGCGCGCATGCACCTCGAGGCGTGCCCGATGCCACGCGGCGCCGCGCCGCCCGCCCCGACCACGCAGCCCGGCGGCACGCAGGCAGCAGAGGCGGCAGCCGCGGAGCTTGCCGACGCAGCTGGGGCGCCGGTGCTCGCGGGCGAGGACGGGCGGGCACAGATGCACGATCCGGCGCGCGTGGGCACGGCGGAGCTGCCAGTCAACCGTTTCCTGCGCCGAGAGGTGAGCTGTGCCCCCGCATGCACCAGCGACACAAACAGAGACGAGACGCGTCGGGCGCCGCCGCGGACCCCCTGAGGTCGTGCCGCGTGCTGCCCTGGGCGTCCCGGCCCCGCGGTGCCCCGGGGGGGTGCACGGCGGGGCGGCCAACGTGTGTTGGTTCCCGCCAACAGCAACACAACGTTGCGGGTCGTGTCGCCGCGCAGGACGGCCGCGTGGCGGTGGCGTTCCCTCCGCACGATCCGAGCAGCCTGCGGAGCGAGGTGGACAAGCTGCTGGAGTCGTACCACGCGGCGAGGCGCAACTTGCCGCAGCCAGTGACGCAGCGCAGCAGTGCACCCCCGCCGCTGCGCTCCGGCGTCGTGGACGTGGCGTCGCTGCTGGTGCAGCGCGGGCAGGCGGCGCGCGGGCCGGTCATGCCGCGGGACTCGATGGCGCTGGCCGTGCACGCAGCGGAGGGGGCTGTGGCGTAGATAGGCCGCGAACACGTTGTGACAGATAGGCGAAACGTGGTTGTCGAGCTCACCAAGGTTCCAGAAGTGATGTGGCCGGCATGCTGTGGCGATGCCTGGCTGCTGGCGTCCCCCGGCGCAGGCCGCGCGCGCGAGACGGAAGCGTTGCGTCAAGGGCCGCAGCGGGCGCCGCGGCGGGCCCGAGGGCGCAGGTGCGGGGCGGGATCCGGGCGTGCTTGGGCAACCCGCTGCATGTCCTCGGGGCGCGGCAGAACCGACGAATGACGGCGAGGCTCCGCGCTTCTCCGGGCCAGTATCGTCACGTCTTTGCCTTGAGCGCGTTGTTCCGGGCGGAGGCGGCGCGCGGGGGGGGCCTCACGTCTGTCTGGTGGCAGACGGCCCTCTCGAGGGCCGCGCGCACGATGGTGCGCGCCGCGCGCGCTCTCGGCCTCTTTCCCTTCGGATCGTTCAGAAGAGAAATCAGGCACAATGGCTGACGGTGAGTCATTCGCCCGCCCTGTATATTCGCTGCAAGGGCGGCAGGCTGCCGCCTCGCCGTGCTGCATCGCGGGGGGGCGACGCGGCCATTCCTCGCCGCCTCTTGCATAATTACGTACACGAGATGCCGCATTCGCGCGTTTCGCGTTGCGTCGCGCCCCGGGTGCGCCGTGCCGCGACCCTGCCTCGCGGGCGATGGCAGCGCGTCCCGCCGCGTACGTTCCCGCCCCCGCGCTGACGAGGTTGCGCCAAACTCCGTTGCTCCTGCAGGCAAGGAACACCTCTCGCTCGTTATCTGCGGCCACGTCGACTCTGGCAAGTCGACGACCACGGGTCGCCTGCTGTTCGAGCTCGGCGGTATCCCCGAGCGTGAGCTCGAGAAGCTGAAGGCCGAGGCCGACCGCCTGGGCAAGTCTTCGTTCGCCTTCGCCTTCTACATGGACAGGTGCGGCGCCCCCCCGCCCGCTCTCACCCGCGCCAGCCCACCCGTGCCGCCGCCTCGCGGCGCGTGCGCGCGCTTCCGCGCGCCCGCCACGCAGAATTTCGCGCACCACTCTACGGAATGCGCGCTAGCTCGCCAGCCTGCGCGGCCCCGCCGCCGCGCAGCGGCCCGCCGCAGCCGCCTCGCGCATCCCAGCCCCATCTGCGTCCCTCCCCGCCCCGGCGCCCCCGCGCGCTCCCCCGACGCCCGCCCGTCCTCCCGTCGGTCCCTCGCAGGCAGAAGGAGGAGCGCGAGCGCGGTGTGACGATCTCGTGCACGACGAAGGAGTTCTTCACTGACAAGTGGCACTACACCATCATCGACGCCCCGGGCCACCGCGACTTCATCAAGAACATGATTTCCGGCGCCGCCCAGGCCGACGTGGCCGTGCTCATGGTCCCCGCGGACGGCAACTTCACCACGGCGATCCAGAAGGGCGACCACAAGGCCGGCGAGGTGCAGGGCCAGACCCGCCAGCACGCGCGCCTGCTCAACCTGCTCGGCGTGAAGCAGCTCATCGTGGGCGTGAACAAGATGGACTGCGACACGGCCGGCTACAAGGAGGAGCGCTACAACGAGATCCGCGACGAGATGCGCCTGATGCTCAAGCGCGTGGGCTGGAAGCCCGACTTCGTGGAGAAGCAGGTGCCCGTCATCCCCATCTCGGGCTGGATGGGCGACAACCTGATCAAGCAGTCGGAGAAGATGGGCTGGTGGAAGGGCGTCGACGTGACGAACCCCAAGGGCGAGGCGATGAAGATCGTCACCCTGCAGCAGGCCCTCAACGACTTCGCCGGCATGCCCGACCGCAAGCCGGACGCGCCGATGCGCCTGCCCATCTCGGGCCTGTACAAGATCAAGGGCGTGGGCGACGTGCTCGCGGGCCGCGTCGAGCAGGGCACCGTCGAGGTGGGCAAGGAGGTGATTTTCCTGCCGACGCACACGGCGGCGAACGCGTGCCAGGGCAAGGTGTTCACGATCGAGATGCACCACAAGTCGGTGCCCAAGGCGGTGACCGGCGACAACGTGGGCATGAACATCAAGGGCCTGGACAAGGGCAACATGCCGCGCGTGGGCGACGTGATGATCTACAAGGACGACAAGGGCCTGTCGCACATCAAGTCGTTCACCGCGCAGGTGCAGACGCTCGACATCCCCGGCGAGATCAAGAAGGGCTACTCGCCCATCGGCTTCGTGCGCTGCGGCCGCTCGGCGTGCAAGATCACCGAGCTGCAGTGGAAGATCGGCAAGGAGACGGGCGGCAAGAAGATGGAGGACCCGCACTCGCTCAAGTCGAACGAGGCCGCGCAGGTCAAGTTCGAGCCCATGCAGCCCCTCATCTGCGACACGTTCAAGAACTGCGAGGGCCTCTCCCGCGTGGCCTTCCTCGACGGCAACTCGGCCGTCATGCTCGGCAAGATCGTCGCCGTCGAGAACAAGTAAGCCGACCAGGGTGCAAACGCGTGCCGCGCGCCAAACGCGCCCCCGTGCCGGCCGCGCGCGGCCGGGGCGGTGTGGTGTGGGTGGCGCACGGCACGCGTTGTTTGAGAGGACTTCCTGCTACTCGGACTGCGATACGAAGGGAAAGCTTCCCGTGTGAGGTAGACCTGCCCAGTCGACCCGCTGCGACCGCGCCTCTGTGTGCTCCCGTACGTCTCGCCACCACCCGCCCATCCGTCAGTGACGCAACGGCTGGTCAGCGGCCCCCGCGCGGCCGTGCGCTCGGCACCGCCGCGGCTGTCACCGTGCGGCTGGCAACGCGGCGCGTGCCTCTTCTCCGCGCGTTGCGGCCGCCCGCCGCCCATAGCTGGCATGATGCATGCGCTGCCGCAGCGATGCGTTCGCGTTCAGGGCACTGCGGCGTCTGTCCCGGGAGTCTGCACGCGTGGTGCGAGCAAGTGTGTCACCACGCAGTGGGCGAGCCTCTGACTTGCGCGCAGTATCCCGTGAATCCCAGGGGCTGCCGCCAGCGACGACACTGCGTACCGCGCGAGTGTCTGAGCGACGACGGCCGCCAGCCTGCACGCCGTAGAGCTGGTCCGCGTCCTGGTTGATCGCTGCACGTGCCTCGCGAGCTGCGCGCACGGCACCGCGTCGCTCGGAGTTCCCCCACCCCCCTAACGACAGTGCATGCGTTGACGCGTCGCCGCAACGGGCGACGGCGGCTCGGATCGAGGGCGATCACATTCTCAAATCAGTGCGTCTCGGAGATCGCACTCCTGGCTGGCGCCGTCACCCCTGCAGCATGGGTGGGAGAGCCGACGCCACGGCAGCGCGGGCCTTCTCGCAGAGCTCGTTCGCGTCCTTGGAGACGATCGCCGGGTGGATCGTGATCTTCGCGCGCCCCGGGTACATCTCTCCTGCAGAGCTCGTGACAGACACGTGCCGGCGACGGATCAGGCTCGCCCGTGCGCCGCTGGCAGGCTCAGCACAGGTCTGCGCGTGCTGCAGCCAGCAGCGCTCGCTGGCGCCTCTCCGCAGCGGTCCCCGTGGCACGCTGCGCCCGCGGCGGGGCCCGCACCTTCGCGCTTGTTCGGCATGATGGGCCCGCATCCCTCGAGCGTGATAGGCACGACGGGGACGCCGACCTTGGCGGCCACGGAGAACGCGCCCTTCTTGAAGGACTGCATCTTCCCGTCCGCGGACCGCGTGCCCTCGGGGAAGAAGAGCACGGAGCAGCCTTGTTCGAGCAGCTCCTGGCAGTCCTTGAGGCACTTGAGCTGCGAGCGCCGGTCCGTGCGCGCGAGGGGGACGTGGCCCGTGAGCCACATCGACCACCCGACGATCGGGATCATGAAGATGGACAGCTTCGAGATGAACTTGAAGGGCCGGGCGATGTGGAAGAGGGTGTAGATGTCCATGAAGGACTGGTGGTTGGCGACGTACACGACGGCCTGGTCCTTGTCTGGGAGGTGCTCCCGCCCAGTGACCTGCGGCGCGGAGGGCGGGGGGGGCGGTTCGGGGGCCCGGGGCGCCGCGTGGCGTGCGTGTCTGGTGCTGCGACGTGATGTGTCCTGGGGGTGGTTTCTGGCGGGCCGGGCGGGAGCGCGGACCTGGACGCGGTAGAAGGGGAGCGTGGAGACGACGGCCCAGATGTCGTTCGCGAAGTGGTGGAGGCGCCGGCGGTACTTGTCGAACAAGACTTGCACGGGGTGCGACAGCAGCATGAACGCGAAGATGGGGAAGGCGAGCGCGACAGTGAAGACGTAGAAGACGGTCGCTCTGAAGTGCGCCATCAACTTCCCGAGCCCTGCGCGGACGTCAGGCGGGCCGAGGGCGGTGGAAGGCCTGGACAAGCAGCCGAGGGGCAGCCTGGCCCTGCCGCCCCAGAACTCCGCGAGCTCGGACCATTTGCATCGCGATGTAACGATATGATGTAGTAGTAGCCGCGGGGCTGGCTCGCAAGGGACAACACGGCCTCGGCAGGCGCCGCCGGCACCACCTGCACCGACGGGGCCCACGGCCTGCAGCGCGGCCACGATGCGGGCGGAGATTGCAGCGACGCGCACGCACCGTTCTTCTTCGGAGGATAGTAGCTCGCCAGGTCGGCGACGCCGGCCGCCGCAGCCCCGCATCGGACGTCTCCGCGGCACTGCACCCCCTCAACGCCCTGCACCGGTGGCCGCGGCGGACACGGCCTGCGCAGGCCAGCTCGGGCGAGCGTGCATCCCTCTCGTGCCAAAGCGGGCGCTTGCGGTGCGCGGACGGCGCGCGAGGCGACGATGGCGGCCGGCCGCGCTGTGGACTGCATGCTGGATTCCCAGGCGAGATGCGGACAGGCCTGACACTCTCGGGACTCGACTGCGGGATGAGGACCTGCGAGCAGGCGCGAAGTTACCCGTGCGCGGGGCGAAGGCAGCACATTGGCCGCCTGCGGCGCCCGAGGGTTCCTTGTTTTCCACTGGGGTACAATTGCCCGCGCCCCGCCCCCGCTTGAACGCGCGCGCGGGCTCGGGCGTGGCGGCACAGCGCGAGCGCATCCCGACTTGCGCGCGCGGCGATTCCATCTCGGTTGCGTGTCAGTTGGGAGCCGCAGCAGGGGTGCGAAGTTTGTTGCTTCAAGAAGGCGCGGGCTGGTCAGGAGCAGGTTCAGGCAAGCCTGTGGACGTGCACGGGTGATAACCTGACTTCATCGCCCCGGCGCGCGTAAGTAGCCTGCGGGACATGGCCGGGGAGGACTACATGGCTGCTTTCAGGGCTGCAAGAGCAGCCCGGGGTGGTTCTGGGCCGGTGAGCGCCCCTCAGCACTGACTCTGAGCCGAGGACGGATGTCCAACACTCAAGCACCAGGCTGAATGGGCACCGCCATCTCACCACCCCGCCAGAGCTCTTCACGAGCGACCCTTTTGCCAGCGCTGGTGTGCCACAACCAGCCGCCTCCCAGCCAATGCCTGTCGCCCCCGCTCCGATTCCTGACGCCCATGATCTCGTATTCCATTCGCTCGCAGTCGGAGCCGAAGCGGGCCCCCGGCGCTGCCCGCCTCCCCCGTGAGGCACCCTTGCCAGCCCATGGCAGCACCTCCATGCCCGGACACCGCGACGTGCCCAGCGCGGCCCCAGCCACCGCCGCGGGCAAGCGCAGGGCGACCGAGGCTCTCCCAGAGGGCTTCTTTGACGACAGGGCCGCAGACAAGAGGGCCAGGGGGCTCAACGCGCGGAAGGCACAGGACGACGCCCTGCGCGCGTTTCGCCGGGAGATCGAGCAGGTCGAGCAGGGCACTGCCGTCGACGCAGCCGCGCCGCTGTCCGAGGACGCCGCGGACGCGCGGCGGGACGGCGACGGCGCTGCCCCTGTCGATGTCGCCGCCACAGAGCCGGGCGTGAGCGCGGACCGGGAGGCTGCGGAGGAAGTCGAGCGTCTGCAGCAGGTGCGCACGTGGTGTCAGGTAGCTTGTGGGCGTGGCCGCTGGGCGCCGCCGACCCCGGTTGGGGCGCGGCCGTGAGGGTTGGATGCATGTGTGCTCATTGCGTCACGGTTGGAGCGCCGGTGCAGATCGTGGGGCTGGGCAAGCTGGAGGACCGCGTCGAGGACTGGCGGGCGGCGCGGGCGCGGCGCCGGAGGGAGCACGGGCCGGACGGTGGCGAAAGGGGGCACGGCTCCGACCGCCCCCCTGACGCCGAGTCGGCCAGCGACACGGGGAGTGACAGCGGGCTGGACGAGCTGCTCGACTGGCGAGCCAGGCGGTTGCGTGGGTGAGCAGGCTACCGGCGCGCCGCGGGCAGGGTGTCGAGGGCCATGCCGTCGCTGGTGTTGAATGCAGAGGGGTTGGGTGGATGACCACTGACGCTAGGTCCTACGTGCACCGTGGGCGCTCGTGGGGCCGAGCTGACGCTGGGGCTAACGCAGAGGACGAGGGCCCCGGCACCAGGACTCCCGCCCCCGTCGCCGACGTCACCAGGCACCTTCCCTGCACTTTGTAACCGGGCTGGAGGTCACGTTGACCAAGTTAAGGGGTGGCCGAGAGCGCCGACGCGGTTGAGTACCCGCACGCAGGATGAGCAAGCTGCAGCGGCAGATGCCGGGGTCCCTTTCTGACAGTCCCCGCACCTGCGCACGCAGCTTTAATGAAGTCTTCATAGTTCTTCGCTGACCTACAAGCACCCTCACCGCGAGGACGCTTGAGCGACCGAAGTCTTCGATCAGTCACTAGCCCCGCGTGCGGGTACTCGTCGGCGAGCCCCACCACGCGTCCCGATGTCGTCGGCCGGTGACCCTGCCCGGTGAGACATACGCAAGACATCACGCATGTCAGGTGTGATCAGCTTGCGCCTGTTACAGTCTGCAGAGTCTCTGTCCAGTTGCAGCATTCTCGGCGACACCAGCCGAGCGAGCACTGCTCGGGCCGTTGACGGCGTGCGCCCCACGTGCCCTGCAGTGCTGTTGCAGCACGTGCCTATGCGCCCAACTTGCGCGACATGCTCAGCTTGCCCTTGCCGTTGCCCTTGCCCTTGCCGTTGTTTCCGTTTCCGTTGCCGTTGTTGCCCTTGCCGCAGTCCGTCTGCGCGGCGGTGCTGATGATGTCGTCGCCCTCCTGCTCGTTGATGATGCCGTCATTGATCAGGTCGTGCACGTGGAAGACCACACACGTCACGTACTTGCCGTGGTTCTTCCAGGGCTCAGCAGGTGCGCAAGGACACAGGTCGAACGCCGAGCAGCCCGCGTTGGGGCCCGCCGGGAACACCACCTCGTCAGCAGCAGTACCGAGGCAGTTGTCGAGACAGAGCAGCAGACCGTCGCCGTCGTCGTCCGAGTCAGGCACGCCGCACCCGCACACGCCCGGCGCGATCTTGCCCGCGTCCGCGGGGCACTGGTCGTTGCAGTCCTCCGTCCCGTCGCCGTCCGAGTCCGTGTCCGCCACGCCGCACCCGCACACGCCCGGCGCCACCTTGCCCGCGTCCGCGGGGCACTGGTCGTTGCAGTCCTCCGTCCCGTCGCCGTCCGAGTCCGTGTCCGCCACGCCGCACCCGCACACGCCCGGCGCATCTTGCCCGCGTCCGCAGGGCACTGGTCGTTGCAGTCCTCCGTCCCGTCGCCGTCCGAGTCCGTGTCCGCCACGCCGCACCCGCACACGCCCGGCGCGATCTTGCCCGCGTCCGCAGGGCACTGGTCGTTGCAGTCCTCCGTCCCGTCGCCGTCCGAGTCCGTGTCCGCCACGCCGCACCCGCACACGCCCGGCGCGATCTTGTTCGGGTCGTTGGGGCACTGGTCGTTGCAGTTGCAGGTCCCGTCGCCGTCCGAGTCCGTGTCCGCCACGCCGCACCCGCACACGCCCGGCGCGATCTTGTTCGGGTCGTTGGGGCACTGGTCGTTGCAGTCCTCCGTCCCGTCGCCGTCCGAGTCCGTGTCCGCCACGCCGCACCCGCACACGCCCGGCGCCACCTTGCCCGCGTCCGCGGGGCACTGGTCGTTGCAGTCCTCCGTCCCGTCGCCGTCCGAGTCCGTGTCCGCCACGCCGCACCCGCACACGCCCGGCGCATTCTTGTTCGGGTCGTTGGGGCAAAGGTCGTTGCGCACGATGATGCTGATCGACCCCGCCGCGCTCGCGCCGGCGCTGTTGCGGAAGACCACCGTGATGGCGTAGCTCGTGCCGGCATCCGACAGCCCGGGCGTCCAGTCGAAGCACGGCGTCAAGGTGCCCGTCGTGGAGCTCAGGGGCGTGAGCGTCATGCCCGCCACGGGCAGCGGCGCGGCGGCCGTCACCAGCAGGTCCCAGCCCGGAGCGTACGTACCAGGAATGGTGCCCGTCAGGCACACCTGCGTGCATGCAGTGCCCGGCGTGCACGTGACGCTGGCAGAGCCCGTCACCACGGGCGCCGGGATGGCGCTGGCGGGGTTGACCTCGACGATGACGTCCACGGCAGTCTTCTGCGGCCCGCCGACCTCCTCCGCGACGATCTGGTACGCGAACTTCTTGTTCTGCTTGCCCACCGTGTTGCCCTGGAGGACACAGCCGCCGGCAGCGGTCGAGACGGTGAACGAGTTGCCGAACGGTTCGTGGGTGAAGCCCTGCTCGCTGTTCGTCGCCTTGCGGCAAACGAAGCCCCCGGACGGAGGGGACGCGAGCGGGAAGAACGTCGTGGCAGTAGCGCCAATCGGGATGGGCTGGATGGCCTGCCCGCCAAACGTCATGCCGTTCGGCTCGCTGGGGTCGATGGTCGCCGCCACCCTGAAGTACGCGTTGCTCCCAGACTCCAGCCCGCCGATGCGGCAGCAGCTTCTGAAGTGGATCTCGCAAGCCGAAGATGGCGTGTTGATGATGTACGTGGACCTGCGCGGAGACAGAGACGCGGGCGCGGCTCGAGTCAAGAGCCGCCGCTGGACCACGTCTGCGCTCACCGCTCGCCGGGGACGCAAGGCGGCGCCCCGCACGTGCCAGCAGCCGCCACGCACCCTGCCATGGGGGTTGGGAGGGCAACTCACTGCGTCACGTCGTACTTCAGTCCGCCTGCGTCGGCAAACTCCCCCACGAAGGTGTTCGAGTTCGCGCCCATGTTCGACACGCCACAGCCATACAACCGCGGGTAGTTCGTCGCCCCGTCGCGCCAGGCGTGGTCGACGGTGACAGTCGTGGTGCCGCCTGTGACTTCGTACTTGATCCTGCAAGCCACAGGCCGCCGGCGACGTGAGCGTTCGGCGCGCGCGCGCACCTACGGCAGCCACGGCAGCACGCGACCGGGGGCACTCACTTGCCGTGCCGGAAGTGCGACGCCTGCGCGCCCGTGGCCATCACGGCCAGGGCCAGAAGGAGGAGGAGCGCCGACCTCATGATCGCCGCAACTGCACCGCACGACGACGGGCGCACACCCGTGAGGCTGGACGGCCACATCGAGTGACGGGGGGGTTGCTGTGTGTTAGCAACCGTCGGCGTGTGGGCGAGCCGACGACCGCCCTGCGCGGACGCGCACGCCCGGCGCGCTGTGCCAAATGCCCAAACAGCAACCGAGCGCATCCCGCATCCCCAACCGCCCCGACGTCGCCGCGGACATCGGCACGCACGGCAACGGGGGCACGGGTGCCCGGCTCGCGTCGCTCGCGGCGCACGAGGCTGCGAAGCAGCATGCCGTGGCGTTTCACCACAAATGTGCCAGCTGCGCAAACGCAAACGCCGCGCATGTGGCCGCAGCGGCGCCTCCCGCGCACCGGGACATCCGAGCCCAGGGCTGCCCCATGCGCCCCGCAAGCGGCCATGCTGTGCCCGCTCGGCAGCTGCTGCGGACAACAATGATGTCGTCGTGCCGCTGGGCATCGCCGATCCGGAAACGTGCGCCCAGGGTGGCGCCGCGCGCGCAACCGCCACAGCAATAGAGGGACGCCATCGCGCGCCGTCCGGGGCCGCACACGCGCAAACTGCGCGACCAGGCAGCGCTCCACTTCCAACACGACCGCCCTGCGCAGCCACAGCTGCCGCTGCTTCCCCCTACAGCACGCTAGGGCGTTTGAGCCTGTGTCGGTTTCTCGATGGGGCACGCCCGCCATCGCGGCTCTGCCGGGCTCCGATGCGGGCGCGGGCGCCGACTTGCGCTGTTCTCAGATTGACACTAGTCCCCTGGGACTCGTGCCGCGATGCGGTGTTGCCCCTACGCGCGCGTCCGCAGGGGCGTGCCCCCACGGCGGGGCACGTCGGCCGGCCGCCACGACCGCGCGGGCGGGTGCTCACCTGCGTGTTTTCCTGGCTTCGCCGTGGAAGGGCTGCGCCGAAAGTGCACCCCGCCGCCGCCGCGCCCGCCTCATGGGCAGGCGGCGGCGGGGTGTTGTGTCACATGACAGCCTGGTCTGTCAGCCCGACTCCCCGCCGTTCCCGGCGTCGGAGCGAGGTGCGGCGAGGCCGGCGTCACGCGGGCGGCGGACAGCCACCGCAAGCCGGCGGCTTTGGGCGGGAGCGAGGCGCGAACGAGCCGACGTTGCGGCCTCCAGTGGCGCGGGAGACGGCCTGGTGCGCGACTGACAGCGCCACGCGGCCTTGTTGCCAGGCCGGTCAGACCAGCGCGTTGACACAGCATGCCGTGTCGTCCAGGGGTGGTAGTTCTTCGCTGACCTACAAGCACCCTTGGCACGTGCCGCTGGTCAGGCTCACACAGCTGCCCGGATCATGCGGCGTCCCAACCGTTGTGGCTCGCTCGCTGACGCGCAGAGGGCGCGTGTCGAGGAGCCGGTATAAGGAGGAGCAGCAACCCGATCGTGGGTGGGGGAAAACGCAGGGCAGGGAAAACGCGGCCGCAGCTGCGGGCCCCGATGCGCGGCGAGCTGCACGTTCGTCGTGTGAAGTGTCATCTTCGTTTCGTGCACTGGCGCTGGGCCCGGGGTCGGGCCATGGTGTCCGACCCGGCTTGTGTCTGAATGTCTGACGCAGCGCACCGCGAGTTATCGCTGAATCATGTTGACCTTGGACATGGTGAGCACCGTGAGCGCGAGAAAGAGGCCGACGAAGCCGCAGAGGACCCCGACGCAGCCCCACTTGCTCGGCGGGAAGCTGCCGTCCAGGTCGAAGAAGGCCAGCGGGGTCTGCGCGCCGCCCTCGCCCGGGATGATGCGGTCGGTGACGCCCTCGAACTGGTTGCGCATGAGGCCGCCCCACGTGAAGCTGATCCAGTCGACGTGGTGCAGCCACTTGTAGTACGACGGGATGTCGTCCCTTCGCACGATGAACCCCGCGAGGTACAAAAAGATCACCACGATGCTGGCAAGCATCCCGTTCGCCGCGTCGAGGGTCGGGCTCACCGACGCGACGAGGTACGCGAAGGCCGTGCCGACGGACAGCGTCATGAGGTAGATCAGCCAGAAGGCCGCGAAGCTCCCGAGGAGCTGCAGCGGGTAGAAGAGCAGGAGGCAAAAGGCGACGGAGAAGGGCACGCTGAGGACGAACTCCTCGGCGAACTTGTAGAGAACGTAGGTGAGGGTCGAGTAGCACCCGTCGGCGCGCTCCCGGTAGAACAGCGCGCGCTCGAGCACGATGGATGGCAGAAAGGTGCCCGCGCCGAAGCTCGGCAGCACGCCGCCCATGAAGAGGATCGCCGCGGTGTTCGAGACGCTCCCGGGGGTGTCGACGTCGTCGCCCTGGGCGAAGAAGAGCGACATGACCACGAGCGTCGTCAGGATCTTGTCGCCTGTGCGCGCCATCACGTGCGGCGCGCTCTTGTAGTTCGCGCGCGCGCGGAACCGCGCCATCGTGTAGAACGCGTACCACATCGGCACCGTCGTCCCGGCCCGGCTCCGCGCCGCCCCCGCGTCGCGCTCGACGATCTGCCGCATCGACAGGGTGCGCGTCCCCAGCGCCTGCGGGCCCTCGAGCTCCGCGACGCGCTGCAGGTGCGCCCCCCGCGCGGCGCTGCCCTCCCACTTCGCGGCGAAGTCCATCTCCTGCGTGCTCTCGTCCGCCGTCGTCACGCGCACCAGCCACTCCACCGTCGACTCCTCCTCGCGTTGCGCGGGCAGCGCCACGTCAGGGAGGGACGTGAAGTACCCGGTCATGCCCTTGCCCGCGGCGCCCGAGTAGATGACCCTGCCCGACCCGAGCATGATCAGCTCGTCGAACAGCGCGAACGTGAAGGCGCTGGGGGAGTGAATCGTGCTGCAGATGGTGACGCCGCTGTGCGTCAGGCCCTTGACGACCGCCATGACCTCGTCGCTCGTGTAGCTGTCCAGCCCGCTCGTCGGCTCGTCCAGGAAGAGCACGCGCGGCTCCGTGATGAGCGCGATGCCGATGTTGACGCGCTTGGCCTGCCCGCCGGAGATGCCGCGCGCGGTCGCGCCGCCGATGATCGTCCCGCGCGCCTTCTCGAGCTTGAGGTACCGGATCATCGCGTCCACTGCGCGCGCGGGGGACAGACGCCGCCCAGTGAGAGCCGGGATGTGCCACCAAGGCCTGACTACAGTGACCTGACTCCGCAGCGTCATACTGTTGCACGGCACGACAGGCGGGGCGGCCCTGAGCGGCCAGAGCCGCCGCTGTGGCCGCAGCGCCCCTCGGCGTGCGGGGGCGCACCGGCGCGCTGCTTGTCCTCGGCGGCCTCGGTGTGCGGGCGCTTGAGGTGCGCCTGGTACTGCAGCATCTCCTCCACGGTGAGGTTCTCCAGCAGCGTGTCGGTCTGCTCGACGTACCCCGTGTAGCGCTTCATGAAGGCGGGCGACGCGGTCTCGCCGCCGTACGCGACCTCGCCGTCGATCACGCCCGACGTCTTGCGCCCCGCGAGCACGTCCAGGAGGGTGCTCTTGCCCGACCCGCTGGGCCCCATGAGCGCGGTCATGCGGCCGGGGAGGAGCGCGCCCGTGATGCCGTTGAGGATGCGCAGCTCGTTCCTGCGCGCGCGGGCAGTGGTGGCGCGGAGGGCGAGGTCGGCGCGCGGGAGGGTGCGTCGCAGCCGCCCGACAGCGGCGCGCGGAACCGGCGCAGGGGCCGCGGGGCCGCGCACTTCTTTCCGGGGTTCACGGTGTACGACACGTCCTTGAACGTCACGACGAGGCCGACGCTGACCGAGTCGCCGCATCCGAAGTAATCCAAGCTGCTTCGCCCAGGCTTCTTACTGGGCGCGTGGCCCAGCTCCACGTCAGCGTGCCCGTGGCCCTGCATCCCTCGTTCCTTCATGCAAACTATGTCCCTGCGCAGCGGAGCGACGCGTCTTTCGCGGCTTATCCCCGCGACGCCGCATTAGATGAGGACCCGCGGGCATCAGCGCAGTGCGAGCGGCGTCGCGCGCGGGCACGGCGGCACCGCTTACGGCGCGCGCCGCGCGGAGACCGACGCAAATAGTCCGGTGCCGGACGTTGGGGCCCAAGTACAACGTCTTGAGGCGGGGAAACGCCGGTTCTCGGCATCTGTGGCTAGGCCGAGTGCGGCATGCCGAGGAGCGGCCGCTCGCCGCTGCGAGCGCGGCCCGCGCTTCGTGTGCGCGCAGGACGGTGCGCAGTGAGCCGGTTGTTCTCGACTGCCCTCGCGCGGCTCACCTGACGGGGTCCCGCCTCTGACACGGCGCCAAGTCACTAGCAGCTCACCAGTGGCTGCGAGGACGCACCTCCACGAGTGCTGGTCGAATCCTCCCTAGGCTGCGGCCTCGTGACGGCGCCGCGTGCCTTGCTCGAGCAATGACCCGCGCGCGGCCGCCATGGGGCCCTCACGACTGGGCATTCACAGAAACACCCCCCCTGTGCACGGAAAAGGCCGGTCTGGGGGGACGCGGGTGAATGCTGTCGCGGTCGTGCGAGCGTGCGTGCGACTTTCGACGCATCGCATCGCGTGCAGGGTGCGGGTGCGGCGCTGTAGCGTGCGTGCGGTCTGGCGCGCCCCGCTCGCGTCGCCTGCCGACGCCCGTCCGCAACGAGCTTGACCGGAGGGCTGCTGACCCAATGTCGCGGCCTCGCGCACTCGCACTCCACCGCGGCGCCCGCCGTCAGGAGAGAGAGGGGCTGTTTTTTCACCTCGCAGCGGAGGTACGTCCCGCCGCCCTGGAACGCGAGACACGTCACGCGCGGGCGCGGTGCGGTGCGCACGAATGCACGACGTGCATTGCACGCGCCGTCCGCGCCGCGGAAACGCAGTCCTGCACGGAAACGCAGGCGGGAGCCCAGATCGTGGAGGTACTGGACTGGACTGGACCGAAAGGTATTAACAGCTGTAACGGCCACCTGACGTTGCCGGAACCGCCCGGCCCTTCGACCCGCGCTGCTCGCGCGCCGCGGCCAATCGCGACACACGGCTGCGACGTAGTGAAACAACGCAGCTTCAACCACATGGGACCCGTTTAACGCACCGAGCCGACGAGGAGCTCTGCCTCCAGGCTAGCCCCGTCCGTCGTGCCCCCGCCTCGTGGACGAGCCCTGCGGCCGCGAGCGCCCGACAATGAGTAGACAGGACAGCAAGGTATTCGTCGGCGGCATCAGGTGCGCGCGCGCCGCCCCACTCGCCCCCGCGGGCGCGGCGAAGCCCTGCTCGACGCGACCCTGCCCCGCCCGCGCCCGCGCTTCATCCGCGCGCCGACGGCCGTGCTACACCTTCCCGCATTGTGCAGCTGGGAGACGACCGGCGACCGCCTGCGCCAGTACTTTGAGAACTTTGGCGAGGTGACGGAGGCTTTCGTTTCGCACGACCGGCACACGGGCCGCCCGAGGTACGCATTGCCCCCCGCGCCGCCCACGGCGGCCCAACTCGTTGCGATGGACGCTTCCCGCCGCGCCGCTCCCCGCCCCGCGCGCCAACGACCGCGAGCTCGCAACGGCCTGCAGGGGCTTCGGGTTCGTCATCTTTCGCGACCCGAGCGTCGCCGACCGCGTCGTGGAGTGCCAGCACACCATAGATAGGCGACAGGTTGAGGCGAAGAAAGCGCTCCCGCGCTCCCTCGACGGCTCCGCGCCCTCCCCGCTCGGGAGCCAGCGCCGAGGCAGCCCAGAGGAGAGCGGCCCCTCGACGCCGAACGACTCGCGCCTCCCGGCCGCCCCGGGCGAGGGCGACCCGCGCCGGCGGAAGATCTTCGTCGGCGGCCTGCCCCCGAGCGCCAACGAGAAGGTCTTCCGCGAGTACTTTGCACAGTTTGGCGAGGTCAGCGACGTGGTGGTCTCGTACGACCCGGGGAGCAACCGCCACCGCGGCTTCGGGTTCGTCACCTTCCGCAGCGAGGCCGCCGTCGACTGCGTCTTCTCGTACGGCTGCATCCACGTGCTCTGCGGGAAGCAGGTCCAGATCAAGCCCGCCGTGCCGCGCAGCGAGATGCTCCTGCAGCAGCAGCGCCTCAACGCGGCCGCGGCCGGCGGCGCGCCACGCGCGGGCGTCGTGGCGCCGGGCGTCCCGGGCAACGGCTTCGGTATGCTGCTCGGCGCCGGCGGCGTGTCGATGGAGTCGATCTCGGCCCTGCTGTCGTCCATCGGCGGCGGCGTCGGCGCAGAGGCGCACGCGCAGCACGCGATGCCGATGTTCGGCGCGCCGCCGCAGGGCCCGGACAGCGATCTCTCGCGCGTCGCGCAGGCCCAGGCCGCGGCGGCCGCCGCCGCGGCAGCGCTCAACGCCACGGCGCCCATGCCGTCGGGGTTCGACCTCGGCCCGGGCGTGCCGCCCCCGCCGTTCCCGGTGATGACGGCCGCCGCGATCCACGCGCTGTCGGGCGACGCGGACGCCGCGGCGCGCATGAGCGCCGCCAACTGGTATGCCGCGCAGGCGCAGCACCAGCACCCCATGCCGACGCAGGCGCAGTTCGCGGCCGCGCACCGGGCGCCGCTGGCGCCGTCGTTCCCGCAGGGCAGCCTCGGGGCCGTGCCGGGCTTCGTCGGGGCGTCGACGCCGCTCCCGGAGCTCGGCGGCCCCCCCCAGGGCGTGCTTCCGCAGCGGGTGTCGACGCCCGGGCAGAGCACGCGCTCCGGACCGGCGCTGCCGGCCACGGCCCCGCCGCTCCTGTCGGACACGCAGCGGGCGCTCGGGCTGGGCCCGACGCCGGGCACCAGCAGCAGCGACTGCAGCCGCGGCGACAGCGGCGCCCCGGCCCACGCCACGACGAACGAGGGCGGCCTGCAGCTCGAGCAGACGTCGAGCGGCTACGACTCGGGCTCGCGCGGGCACGCGCAGGTGCCGCCGCGCGGTCCGCCGCGGTACGGCGGGCCCATGGCGGGCTTCCCCGTCACGTGCCCGCCCGGCCACGGGCTGCCCGGCACGCGCGACCTGCAGCAGCCGCTGTCGATGCAGGCGGCGAACTCGCGCAAGTCGTCCCCGCTCGGCCTCGTCACCATGCCCGTGCCCAGCGCCGCCGGCGTGCCCGTGGCGACCAAGAACGCCCGCCCGGCGTACCAGTCGGACCGCACGCTCGGCTCGTCGGGCACGTGGTCGAACGCCGCGGCGTCGGGCGCGCCCTCGGACGACTCCGGGAGCGGCGAGATGATGCAGGTGGACGACCCCGCCGCCAACGGCGCGGACGACGCGTTCCAGGCCTCGCTGGTGCACGACCTCGCCGCGGGGCTGGACGCGTGGATCAGCGCCGGCGGCCTCGCCACCAGCGCCATGTCGCCGTTCCTGTCGGGCCGCGCGGGGCCGGCGCTGCTGGAATCGGTGCGCGCCACTGGGCGCGGCACCGGCGACGGCAGCGCGCTGGCGGAGCTGGACGCCGCGGGCGACGAGTTCTGACGCCCGCCTCCGCGAGCCCGCACTCGCTCGGCAGGGAACCAAGCACGGGCCGCGCCGTATTACGGCGGTTCCCGACGCAACCCCTCCCCCTCCCCCAACCCCCCCTAGACGCCGCGTGCGTCTCTCGGAACGCAGACCCCGCTCCGCGACGCACCGGCAGCTGCTGCAGCGCAACCATCTCGGCCCCGATCCTCTCGGGTGTGTTGCTCAACTAGCCCACTTGTTGCCGACCCCTTGCCCCCTCACGCCCCGGCCTCCTTCTCCGTCCTCCCCCCTCTCAAGTCCCTGTCCGCGGACCCGCCCCCTACGTTGCCCCGAATGCCGCCCGTCCCTCGCCCCCGCCGGGTGCACAACGGCGGATCGCGCTCGACCACGGAGCCGACCACCATGCCGTGTACGCACGACCATGTACCTGGACACCCCGAGGCTGCGGGCTCCCCGGCCGCTCGCGCCCCCCCCCGTGGGCGCGAGCGTACCCCGTCGGCCGGACGCCTCAGCCAGCAATTGACGTTATACGGCGCAGGAAACGGCCGTCAACGAGACCACGGGGCTCACGCTCGGGAGGACGGCCCTTATTTGGCACTCCCGACCCCCGAGTCGATGCTTCCGCTCCCGCCCACCCGCTTTCAACCCCCCGCCGCAGCATCGCGGTATATACCTCCCCCCCCCTCCCCGAGCTGCAACCATGAGCGCCAACGTCCCCCCCCAACGCCCCTATCCCCCCCCGTGCGCATTCTGGCAGTTCCCACTCCCCTCAATGACTCAGGGGACGAGATCTCATTGTACGGAGCTGGCTGCTCCGGCGCCCGGCGTGTTTTGTCCGGGCGTCTCGGACGCAGCCCCCGCCCACCCAGGCGCAGTATCTGCCTGTTCGCCGACAGCTGCTCCACCCAACGTGGACGGCTCATGCGGCCCGCAGAGCGACGCGCCGCCGCCGCCCCCGCGCGAGGGGGTGTATCGACCTCGCACAATGCTCACGATCCCTTGCACGCGCGCTTTCGCAGCGGAGGGACCACCCTTTACACAACTCAACCTTTCGCCCCCTCAACCATTGGTCCGGCCCCGGCAGGAGGAGAGAGATTCTCCACCGGGACCGGCCACTGTCTGTCGCTAAGTTGCAGGTAGGCAGAGGCGCGAGAACTAGTCGCCAGCGCAGCCTGTTCTCGCCACCTAACCCACCCCCTTCCCTACAGAGGCGCCTCCAACTCGCCGCCAACCCCTAGTCGTGTCACCAGCAGCACGCCCTGGTCCCCCCCTCCCCTCACCTTGTGCACCCAGTCCCCCTAGAGGACTTCGCACCCCCCTCCTCCCCCACCCTCCTCTCCGGCACCCCTTCCCTCGACCCTCGCTCCAACCACGAAAGATTCCATACCATAGCCCACGGACGTTCCCGACCGCAACTCCCACACGTCACGTACGCAATGCACAACAAGAGAGCGCAGGCAATTCACCACGCAGGTGCCCGACGACCGCTGCCGCCCGGCAGCTGATCCTCGCGCGCCTCCGCGAGCCGTCCCACGTCCCAGCTCACGTCCGCACCCCAAGGGCACGCTCTCGCGCCGCCAGCCCGCGGCGCATCCGCAGAAAGCTGCGGCGCCCGGCGTGTGCCCCTTGGATAGCCTTAATAAACCCTTCGAGGTCGTGTCGGACAGATAATCAATCGGTTCGGCGCGCGACACCCACACCGTGCGCGCGCCGTGCAGACAGCCTCAGTCTCCGACTCGTGCCGCCCCACACCCCCCTTTCCTTCCTCCATCCAACCCAGCGCTGATCCGCCCCACGCTCCCCTCCACCGCTTGCTCTCGAGCCAACCAACAAGTGATACTTTCCACGAGACAACAAGAAGCTTGGGGCCAGAATGCCTTTCCTCCAAGGGCACAGCGCCCAGCACATGCACTCGAGAACCCCCCCTCCCCCCGTCCCTCCCACCCGCTCCCCGCCCCCGCGAAGCCACGTCCGCTCCCGCCTGCCCTCTTCCGCATCCCCACTCCCAGTTGCCCCGCGCACTCCGCCGCCTAGGGATGCCGTACCCCGGAACCCCAAGGCGACTCTCAACGCAACCCCCCCCACCCCCCCCACGACTCTCCTGCGCTCTGCACACGTTTCCAGCAACGCCACTCCGCCCCGGGACGATTGCGTTGCTCGGCTGTGCGCGCGCTTGCGCCCACGCAGCACCGGTGATGCTCCAGCCCAGGCCTCTCGGGGCGAAGCTTGCCGTGCACGCGAAGCCTCGCTTCCTGCCCGCCCGCAGCGCGCCCAACCCACGGCCGCCCCGGACCCCGACCTCGCGCCCGCACCTCCACGCACGTGGCGCCTTTTCAACAGCCCTCGACCGCCGCCAACCCGCTGCCCGTCGCCAGGCACGTCGCACTCCGCGAGCGCCTGCACGGGCCCACCAGTACGCGGTGAGGACATCCGACGAAATTTCAGAATAGGCTGGAGGCGTTCTGAATCGAGGCGGCGCAACTCGTGCCGGGAGCCCCCGCGCCAGCGAGGCCAGCTCCCGGCACGATGTAACGCATCATACGGAAATTGAGTGTCGAAAGTCGTTCAGAGTGGTCTGAGTCTCGCCTGCCGTACCATTTCGGTCGCTCCGGCATCCTCGCGGTCAATTACTACTCTGTGAGGGTGCTCGTAGGTCAGCGAAGAACTGTCTGCCGTACCATTTCGGTCGCTCCGGCATCCTCGCAGTGAGCCGCCTTGATCAGGACGATAGCACACCCGCATTTCGTTTCGTGCGCGGGTGATCAATTACTACTTTGTGAGGGTGCTCGTAAGTCAGCGAAGTACAAGCAAACAAAAAAGCGTCGTTCGCGTCCGAGACAGCAGCAAGTCGCTTTGCTGCATCCACCCCGAGCTAACACAGTTGTCGCGATGAGGGTGCATGTAGGTCAGCAAACTAAGTACAACCAGTTGTCGAACTTCAGGACAGCTCGGGAACAGCTGGCAGCAACAGCCAAGCTTGCATCGGGAACAGCAAGCGGGCTTGCCAGCACCACAGGTGAGGCGTGACGGGGGTGCGCGATAGTTCTTTGCTGACCTACGAGCAGCACCGCAGGTCACTCCGCATCTCATTGTGCGGTACTCGGGACAACACAGACAGGGCCATCCAGCCCCCCTACAAGAGGCTTGGAATCTCCGCTGGGCACAGCTGCGGTGTGCGTGACTCACAGCGACTGCTTGAGTTACTAGTGAGAGGATCACTGAGGTTCCGTTTCGACCGGGCGACCGCCGGCCAAGTGGTGGGTCCGGTCCGGGAAGGTGTGCCTGTCCTGCCCACAGCTGCCCCGGCGACTCGCGTCCCGGGGCAGGATGCGGCACACAGGGCAAGGTCGAACTGCATTGGCGTGTCCGCACGCCTGCTCAAGTGCTGCGGGTCGCCTTCATCGTAGCGCGCCCATAAGCCGAGCAGTGGAGCACTGACAGCGCGCTGCGCGAACGCCTCGGCCTCATTCACGAGTTCCGCATGAGGCCGTGGGGGCGCTCTTCAAATTCGATCTTCGAATCGTATTGCAGGCAATGCACCATGTTGGTACAAATCTGCTGGCACACGCCATGGCGGCGCCTTGAATGCGACGCCGATCGAGCCGCAACTGCGCGGGGCTGCTGTGACTCAAGATGCGTTGGCGTTGTTGCCGTTGTTGCCGTCGTTGCCAGCGGTGCCGTTCGCGTCAGCACGTACGAGGTCCGGCGCACCGCCGCGGCCCTGGCTGACGCGCTCCTCCACCATCTGGCGATCCTCTGGACGCAGCGCCGACAGCCCGACCAGATCGTTCACGCTGCGCAGCGCCGACCACGCATGGGGGCTCACGCAGCGGAAGTGCGTCCAGTTCACGCTGCTGCGCCGCTCCGCCGCCACCGTCCCGACGCGCAGATCGCCCTGCTCGATGCCCTGCCCGCACTCGGTGCACACCATCCGCGACAGCCGCACGTACTCCACGATCGCTGGAGCCGTCACGGCCCCGCCCACCGCCGCGCCCGCGCCGCCGCCCGCTCCGCCCATTCCCGCGGGCGGGAAGGGCTGCCCCGCCGGCGCCGCGCGCAGCCCCGGCGCGAGCGACGACGCCGACCGGTTGACAGAGACCACCATGGGCATGGGCGCGTTGGTGCCCGTCGGGATCGACACCATCGTGCTCCCGCGCGCCACGAGGCCGCCGCCGGCGCCGCGCTGCGCAGACATCATGCGCCGCGTCTGGATGTGCTGCTGCGCCATCTGCACCGCCTGCTCGATCAGCCCGCGCAGGTTGTCGTCGACGCCCTGCACGGTGCGCCCCATGCGGCGCACGTTCTCCGCGACCGCCTCGAGCAGCCGGTCCTTCTTCACGTCCCAGTCAGCCTTCCGCGCGTGCCAGTCGCGCCGCTGCTCCGCGGCCAGAGTCGGCAGCAGGATGTCCTGCGTGAAGAACTCCAGGTCGATCGAGGGCGCGGGCGGGCCCGAGAGCGCCGCGCGGCACTTGGGGCACGTCATGGACGCGCTCGCCGGCTGCACCATCCACTGGCAGATGCACGCGCCGCAGAACGTGTGCCCACACGGCGTCACGATGTGCGGCGCCACCATCACCTCGAAGCAGATCGCGCACGTCATCCGCTGGGACACCAGGTCGAGCGCCGCGCCCGGGTTGACCTGCTGCGTGGTGTTGTTGTGCGCCGCGGGCGCCACGGGCGCCGGGGCCGCCGCGCGGGCCGCCGCCGCCCCCCCGGTCGTGACGGTGCCCTTGATGGGCGGCGACCGCATGGCCAGACGCCGCTTGTCCGCGGGGCCGGCGGGGTCGCTCGCGGGCCGGTCCGGGGTCGCGTCCGAGGTGAGGCTGCAGCGCTCGAGGCCCTGGCGGCGCTTCGCCGACGGCGCGCCCGCGGCGCCGCTCGCACCGCCCTGCGCCGAGGTGGCCGGCATCGTGCGCAGGATCGTCACCACGACCTCGGCCACGCCGTACTTCTCCGCGTCCGTCGCGTGCCGCAGCACCTGCTTGAGAATGCCCTTCGACGCGCCCCGCAGGACGTCCTCGGCGTCCTTGTGGCTGCCCGCCGCCAGCCCACGCTCCACGTCCGCCACCATGCGTTCGATGGTGTCCGGGGAGCACATCTCGCCGTCGTCGTCGTCGACGCGGCGCTTCTTCCGCGAGGACCGCGACTCGCTCTGCATGCCGCGCTGCGACGCGCCCTCGACGATGTTGGCCGTGAGGCCGCGGCTGGCGCTGCTGGCGGGCTGCGGGGCGGCGTCGGCGGGGGCGGCTGGCGCGACCTCGTGCGCCGAGGAGACCGCCACGGCGGCGGCGCTGGCGGGGGCCGGCACCGCAGTCGGGCGGCCGACGATCAAAGGCGTGCCGCCGGCGCTGGCCCGCGCGTCGCTCGGGGGGCGCTGGCCGCCCGCCGGCGGTGCCTCCGACACCGCCGCGTCCGCCTCCGCCGCCGCCTCGTTGGCACCCGCGCCGTCTCGCTCGCGCTCCCCGGCCGCGCCGACCGCCGTCGCGCCCGGCATCCGGACGACGCCGGCGGGCAGCATGACGTCGCGACGGCCCGCCTGGGCCGCGCCCGGCGTGGCGTCGCGCACGGGCGTTGCGCCCCGAGCACCGGCGGCGGCCGGCAGCGCAGTGCGCACGTTGACCAGCGGGGTCATGACGTTGGACGGCATCATGGGGGGCATGGGGGCGGGGACCATCACGTTGGACGTGCGGAACGCAGTCTGCAGCGCGGGCGCGTCGACGCCGAAGAGCCCGCCCGTGCCCGTGCGCGCGGCGTTGGCCGCGGCCTGCGTGGCGCCGCCGCGCGCGCCCTCGGTGGCCTGCGCGCCCCCGCCAGCGCCATGCGTCTGCGGGTACCCCGAGAGCGACATGGCGCGGTGCGAGCCGACGGCCGCGTCCGGGCCGGGGTACATCGGCTCGTTCACGCCGACCTCGTTGCGGAAGAAGTTGACGATCGCCGTGTGTCCGAACGTGGTGGCGATGCGCGTGGGCGTGATTTCGTTGTTGGTGCGCGCGTTCACGTCCGCGCCGAGCTGCACGAGGAGCCGCACGACCGACTCGGCGCCGTGCTCCGCGGCCATGTGCAGCGGCGTCACGCCGCCGTTGTCGCGCTGGTTGACGTCGACGCCGCCCACCTCAATCAGGCACTGCGCAGTGTCCACGTGCCCGCGGATCGCGGCGAAGTGCAGCGGGCCGCGGCCGCGCGCGGTGACGAGCCTGGGGTCCGCGCCGCGCTCGAGGAGGAACCGCAGCACGAGCAGCGACCCGTAGAACGCCGAGTAGTGCAGCAGCCCGCGGCGGTCCTCCCCGAGGATGAAGTTGACCGGGAAGTTGCGCTCGTCGACGAGGAAGCGCAGGACGGGCAGGTGCGAGCGGATGCACGCGATGTGCGCGGCGGTGAAGCCCACGTTGTTCGGCTCCATCAGGTCGACCCCGCTGTCAATCAGGAGCTTGCAGATGCTGGGGCGGCCGGCGTCGGCGGCGAGGTGGAGCGCGGACAGGCCCGTGGACGTGCGCGCGGACAGCAGCGGCCTGCAGTGCTGCGCGAGGAACGCCACGGTGTCCTCCTGCGGTGGGGCCAAGGGGCGCAGGGAGGGGGTCAGCGGCGGAGGCGGGACTCGGCTGCGTGTGCGCGTCCGGGTGCGAGCGCGCTTCGGAGAGTGTGCGTGGCCGAGGCGCACCTTGTTCTGGGTGACGGCGACGTGCAGGCACGTGTAATTTTCGACGCCGGTGGTGTACAGGTCCTGCGGCGTGGTGGCGAGCATGCGGCGCATGTGCTCCACGGTGCCGGACCGCGCAATGACGTGCGAGGGAATCCCGTCGAAGAAGAAGCGGAACGGGTTGGTGTAGTCGCGGTCCTGGCGCGTGACGCACGCTGGCCCGCCAAAGCTGAGCATGTCGCCGTGGCGCAGGAGGACCTCCTCGTTCGGCGTGATGCGCTGCTCGTTGATCCACGTGCCGTTGGTGGACCCCTGCGGTGCGAGAGCGAGGCAGAGGGGGGCGGCGGGCGTGGGGAAGCGCCGCCTTGCACAGTGCCTGGCCAGGAGCGCGACCGAGGCCACGGAGTCCACGTGCCGCCAATTCAACGCGCCGATCCGCGGGAGGCAACGCGTGAGTGTGCCACGAGACACGGCGCGTTCGCCGGCGAGCGCCGAGCTGGGCGCGGGGAGGCCTTGAGGAGGTGCGCGGAGGCTGCTAGGGCGCGCGGGCCCGCAAGGGCGGCCGTGGGCGCGGCATGTTACGAGGCGGGCAGCATTGGCGCTCCACAGCCAAGCGCAGGGCACCGATTCATGCGTGTGAGCTGCACGGATCTCGGAACTCTCGCTGTAGGTCAATTTGAGGGTGCCCGCACCTTGTCCACGACCCTTATTGACGGGAGGTCGACGCGGAACTCCGCGTGGTTGCGCGAGATCATCTGTGGGAGCGCCGGGGAGTCGATGGAGAGGTCGCAGTCGCGCGCGCGGCCCACTGTGATGGACCACATGCTTTCTGGCCCCGCAATCGACCCCACGTCAACGACGACGTCCGCCGGACGGTCGTTCGCCCCCAGCCGCCGAAGCATCGCGGCTCGGCTGGTCCAGCGCCCAGGGGTGTGCGTCCCAGCCGCGAGCAGCCGGTGTGGACCTTTGTAGTGCTACAGAGCTTCCGTGCTGCCCGCAGGCGGGCCGAAGCGCGTGCACGGCGGCAGTGCACGCGGGCTCCGGTGCAGTGGGTGCTCCCCGCCGGTGTCGCCTCCACGGCCTGCGCGCAGCAACGACGTGGCACTGGCCCGTGTGATGAACGTACGAGCCGGCCGCAAGCCACCCCCTCAGAGGCACGAACCAAAGCGAGCGCGTCGGTCGTTGGGAAACTCCCACACAGGTGTCCGGAGCGCGTTCCAACCCGTTCGAGAACTCGGCCGCAACGGATGCCGCAGGAGCAGTGAACCGCCACAGCCAATCAATCACGCGGTGGGCGGGGGCACGCCGCGGCGGGGCGGGCAGGTCGGCCACCCGGACTGGACGAAACGAACGGCTGCACGCGGACGTCCGCGCGCCCGCACGGTTACGCGGCCTTACGAGGGTCGGGAATTCTCCGTGCGCAGGGACGCGCAATCCGCTCACCAAACACCCGGGTGCCTGGCCTGTGTGCTCTTGGATTTCAGCAGACGCGCCAGCCGCGCGGGCCGAGCGGGGAGCTCACCGCCCAGGGCGCAGCGCCGTGCGGTCTAGCTGGTGAGGGACACCAACGCGCTCCCCCGCGTGTATCCGGCCGCTACGTCGCCTCGGACTCGTCCACGCGAAATGTTCCCCTCCCGCGATCCTCGCACCGCAACGACGCCCCGCCTCGCCGCCCCGGGCCGCACAGACCCACCCACCCTCACAAAACAGGCCTCTCTACAGTGCCCCGCTCGGGCCTCTACAGTGACCCCGCTCGGCGCGCCGCGGGGCGCTCGGATCCCGGCGCCGCCACGGCGCGCGCGAACGTCCGGCCGGGGCGGCGGCAGCGCGTGGGCGCGGCGCCGCGGCGGGCGCTGGAGCCGGGAAGCAGTTGATTAGCATATCGGCCCGGGGGCCGCCGACCGGGGTGTACAGGCGCCGCGCGGCGCGTCGACGCGGAAATATCCGGGGCTTTCGGACGGCTTTGAGCGGGCCCGGCGGCTGCTCGCCCTCGACGCGTCGCGCGGGGTGCGGCCCGCATCGGTCATTGGCCCATGCCCCGCGGCACCGTGGCGCCGCCCCGCGCTCCTCGCGGCCGCGCGATCCCGCTGCTCGCAGCAATCATTTCCACGCACGGGAGCGGTGGCGGCGGTATCCTGCCTCACCGGCCCCCGATAAACCGCATCACTGGGATGTCGTCCCGCCTGCGTCACGGACCGGACACGGTCGCGCTCGCAGCCGGCGCGCCGCCCGTGCCTGTCCCCTGCCATCCGCGGCAGCCCCTCTGCGCCCCTCCGGCACCGCCCCCCGCGCCCCGCAACGCTGCAGCACACACACGCAGCGTGCTGCCACACATCGCTCCGCCGCCGTAGCCCGCCGCGCGCGGGCGCGCGCGGGCGACAGCTGCAGGAGATGCACCGAGCGTCGCCGCGGCGCCCCGAACCGGCCGTCCGACGCGTGCGGCACCCGCACGTCACCTGGCCGCTCCAGCGCTGCGGAGCGCGCGTGAACGCCCCTGTCGCCCCAGGGCGGACGTCCCGGCGCTGCTGCGCGTGCGAGCAGGGTCGCGAACCACGCCAGAATGGCCCGCGGCTCCCCCAGAGCGCAGGGTGACGGGCGGGCGCGCCTGCAGCGCTGCGAGTGTGTGTGATGGCCCGCGCGGTCACAGGCGGGCCGAGCGCGCCGGACGGGGCTCCGCGCGCCCAGCTGCTCCACCGTCGCGGCGGCTACTTCGCACGTCTACTTCGCAGGCGGACCGTGCACTTCCCGCGCCCAGGAACCCCGTACCGACACCGCCAGCGCCAGCGCGCGTGCCGCCGCACCGGAACGTGTCCGCTGCGGCGTGGCCGTCCCGCTCGCTGTCGCCGCCGCGGTGGCGCATGCGACCGTCCGTGCGGCGCCTGGGCGGCGCCCCCGCGAGCGGGAGCACGCGGTTGTTGCCTGGCTACATCGGGCAGCTGTGTGGGTCGTTGCCGAGCCATTTCGCGCGATGTCCTGTCCCGCGACAGTACTGGCATGGAGAGACCCCGCTGCCGTGGCACGCGGAGCAGTTCACGGCCCCATTGGCTCCGTCCCTGCGCCGCAAGACTCCGTACGGTGTCTGCGCGTGAGCCGGGCGACCAGGCGGCGGCGGAGGCGCCCGCGAGCTGCACGCACGCGCGGAGGGGCGGGCCTCACCGGATGACGTAGTCTCCCACGATCAGGAAGCCCGTCGTGTTGCAGAATTTGCAATCGCAGTATCCCTTGCCTGCGCAGCACACACACGGCTCGTTCCCCCGCCCCTGCACTTGCATCCGCCGCGAGCCTCGGGCCGTGAGAGGGGCAGGCAGGACAGGGGAGGCGTTGCGGGTCGGAGCGGCGGCGCGGTGCTCGGGGCGCGCGGCAGCGGGGAGGGGCGTTCAGCCCTTGCCGGACGTTGCACGGGGCCCGGGGAGAGCGCGTCCGCCGTCGAGACGGGAATATACGTGGTTTCCGCGCGAGAGAGGCAGGTGTGATGCCACAAGCGGGCGCCCGGTGGTTGTTGAGGGCCGTGGGGCGCCGCGGCGGAGCTTTCCCTTGCCGCACCAACCGTGTGCGCGTCGGGCGCCGCACGCGCCGCACACGCCCCGAACAGCAATGAAATGCGTGGTTCTAGGGAGCACATGTGGTGAGCCACGCGGTGGTCGGCCGGATTTTCGCGGGCACGGCCTGTGTGCTGCGGCATTCCGCGCGCTGGCCGCTGGGCAGGTGCGCACCTCTGCCCCTTGAATCTTCCACTGCATCTCGAGCGAGGCGGCCTTCTCGCGCCCGCGCCCGGGCGCCGCGAGGCTCGCGAACTCCCGCGCGAGGTCGTCGCCGGCCTCGTCCCGGTACTCGTCCCGGTGGGCGCGGCAGACCAGGCAGCGCTGCCTAGGCGGGTTCGCCCGCTGCCGGAGCGCACGGGCCGCGCGCGCGGGCCTCGGGCGCGTCCCGGGCCGGAAGCTCGTGCAGTGATGCCAGAACGCCGCCGGAGACATGAGGGCTCGGCGCGGCGGGGGCGCGCGGGAGCGCGGGAGGTCCTGGCAGTTGGCGCTGGGCGAAAGTGGCGCGGTCCGCAGGTGCCGGTGCAGGTGGGCGCTGAGGTCGACTCCGCGGTCGCTTGTGTCGCGGGCGGAGCGCGCGGAGCGCCCAAGGCGGCTCTTCCTGCACCCACGGAGTCTCGGAGAGTAGTCTGGTGCAGTGTCGGTCCGCGGGTGGGCCGCGTCAGACGGGGTCCGCGGCGCCCGGGGGCATCGGCGGCGGGCGGCGGGCGGTCTCGCGAGTCGCTGGGGTTGAGACGGCCAGGTCGGGGCCGGCGGTTGTGCGCGGGTTGGCAAGTGGAAGTGCAGCATTGAGGGAGCGGCGCTGGCTCTGTGGGGCCCGCTGCGGGCCTCCGTGACGCGTGGGGGGCAGCCGATGGACTGTTGCGTCTAGGGGCGTGATTTTCGTGATCTTTCTTCGGCACAACATGCGACCGCTGGTCCTGGTGCTGGCTGCGGTGCTGCTGGGCGCCGCGGCCGCCGTGCGCGTGGGAACCGTGTCGTTTCCGGGATCCACGCGCACGAGCGACGGCATACACGTTCCACTGTACCGCAAGAACATCCCTGTCCCGCGCCGGGGCCTCCGGGAAGCCTCGTTCCCGGTCCGGGGCGGCGTCCTAGAGATCGGGTGCGGTCCCGCAACCCCCGCTCGACCTGCGCCGGCGACGCCCTGCGCGGCCTACAGTCTCCAGCGTGCTGATCCCACACCACACCCCCCCTCCCCGCCTTGCAGGTACTTCTACTCGCAGGTGCACCTGGGCACGCCAGCCTCCACGTTCGAGCTGATCGTCGACACCGGCAGCACGATGATGTACGTGCCGTGCAGCATGTGCGGGAGCGCCTGCGGACCCAGCCACGCGGTGCGTGCCCTGCCCCGCGTGCCCCCCGGAGCTGCGCCTGGCCTCACTGCGCCCCCAGCGACCAGGCGTGACGCCGGCTCGCGGCGCCGCCGACGATCGCGTCCGGCCCGCCGCTGCTCGCAGAACCCGTTTTTCGACATCGAGGCGACGTCGTCGGGCTCCTGGGTGGAGTGCGGGGCGCCCTCGTGCAACTGGGCGTGCGGCACGCAGTCGTGCCACTGCCGCGAGGGCAAGCACTGCTCGTACACGCGCAGCTACCTCGAGGGCAGCAGCTCGCAGGGCTACCTCGTCGACGACGTCATCCAGCTGAGCGACGGCGGCGAGCCCGGTGCGTCGCGTGCTCGCTCTTGTGCCGCGCCCACTGGCCGGCTGCACGGCCGCGTGGGCCCTGGTCGCGGGCGCGCGATGCGTGGCTGACGAGGGGCGGCGCGTTATGATTTTGCGGTGCAGCTCGTATCGTGTTCGGGTGCGAGACCCAGGAGACGGGCGAGATCTTCTACCAGTGGGCCGACGGGCTCGTCGGCGTCGGGCGCAGCACCGCGGCGCTGCCCTGGCAGCTCGCGGCCGCGGGGGCGACGGCGAAGAAATTTTCCCTGTGCATGGGCGGGTTCTACTCGGAAGGTGCGCGCCCCCAAGGCCGCCTGAACGCAGCGGTGGTCAAGTCGAGTCGCACGGCGGGGGCGCGCCGCGGCTACTCCCCGCGAACATCGCCGCAAAGCGGCCAGAATATTCCCCGTCGGGGGCTCACCGTCGGCAGCGCGTCGCTGTCAAGGCGCAGCCATGAACCGTGCGGCCCAGCTGATTGTGTTGGCCCTCGCCTGCGCAGGCGGCTCGATGATCCTGGGCGACAGCGGGTCGTACGACGGCGTGGAGATGCACGGAGCGAAGCAGGCCTCCGGGAGCCAGGTGTTCTACGTGGTGGACATCCCGCGCGCGGAAATCGGCGGCAAGGCCATCGCAGGAGGGATGCCCGGCTGCATCATCGACTCTGGGACCACCTTCTCCTACCTCCCGTCCTCGGCTTTCCGCTCGATGACATCTATCCTCCAGGACGTCGCGACCGAGAAGAAGCTCCCGCGGGTGCGTGTACACAGCTGCATCGTCCTGTGCAGAACCGACCTCGGCCCGCTGACGGCCCGGGGCGGCCCCGCCGCCGGATCTCATCCCACGCGAAACAGTAATTTTTTTACGCGCGCGCGCAGATCGAAGGCCCGGACCCGGCGTACCAGGACATCTGCTACGGCAACCTGCCCACGCCACACGAGGAGCTGGCTGAGGTGCTCCCGGACATGGTGCTCCACATCGGCGACAGCCAGCTGACACTGCCGGCAACTCACTACATGTGGCGGCACGGTGCGCCGCCCTCCCGAACCTGCCACCTGCTATTGAACCAGTTCCTCCATCGCCCCAGCGCCGCACGCCCGTAGCTCGCGCCACGCCGCACTGCCGTTCGAATCCGGGCCGTTCGATCCCTCAAGGAGCACGATTCCGCCGTCCTGGCCCTGCGCAGCGGGACGGCCGGACGGCTGGTGTCTGGGCTTCTTCGACAACGGCGGCAGCCCCGCGCTCCTGGGCGGCGTCACCCTGCGCGACACCGTCGTTCATTTCGACGACGAGGCCGGCCGCATCGCGTTCGGCCGCGCGCGCTGCACCGAGCACGGCCCAGAGCCCATTGGCGCCGACCCCAAACCGGACCCCGACCCCACCGAGGCGCCCGCCACGGACGCGCCGGAACCGACCGAGGCGCCCGGCACGGACGCACCGGCCCCGACGGACCCCCCCAGCGTCGACCCCAAGTCGCACGATGGCGACGACGACAGCGGCGGCGGGGGCGACAACGGCGGCGGGGGCGACAACGGCGGCGGGGACGACGGGCACAAGAGCGACGACGACGACGACGACGACGACAGCCCCGGCGGCCCTCCGTCCTCCGGCGGCACCAGCAGCTCGAAGCGGTTCCGGGAGATCCTGGGGGGGGTATTGGGCTTGATCGGCGTGGCGGTGATCGTGGTGCTGATGTGCCGAAACCGCGGGCGGCTGTCCGGGCTCGCGGCGCGCGTCGGGCTGCGTCGCTACGACCGGTACGAGACGTACGACGTCGTGGAGGGCGAGGCCGAGGACGACCTGGGGACGGGTGTGGCGGGCATCCGCAACGATCCACGCGCGCCCGGGGTGCGGCGCGGGCTGACGGGGGTGAACAGCGACAGCTACGGGGCGTACATGGCGGGCAAGCAGGGCGGCGCTGGGGCCAAGGATGTGGAACTGGGGGCAGTGGGGGGTGCGGAGGCGAACGGGGGCAGCAGCGGGGAGCGGTCGCGGCGGGGGCGCAAGGGCGGGGACGCGGGGAACGGAGCGGGCGGCTACCGCGACCCGCTGGATGAGATGTAGGGGCGCGGCGTGGGGGTTGCGGGCGCGGATCTGTGATGCAAGCGACACGCGGGGCTGCGCGCCGTGCGAGGCATGGGGTCGGTCGTGGCGTGCAAGGCAGGGCGTGGTCAAACGCAAAGCGACGCGGTGCGTTCGGGTTTCGCATCGACATCTGCACTTCAGTGTTTCTCACCCTGCGTGCGGGTACTCCACCGCTGAAGCTGCGCTCGGCCGCCCCTGTCTTGGTCACTGTGACCTCCATTAGACGCTGATGCCGCACTGATTCTTTGCGAAGTGCTGCTTGCGTGAGGTCGGTTACATATGGCGGCCCGACCACCGCACTATCAAATGCAACTGCACATGTGCGTTCCCGCGCGACGCACGCACCGCGCGCGCTCACTGCGCCTCAACGCCCGCCGCGGCCGGCGCCGCGGCTTCCGGCGCCGCCTGCTGCGCCGCGGCCGTGCACTGCACCGCCGCGCGGCGTCCGCCTCGCCGCCGCCGCCCGCGCCGGCCGCAGCGCCCTTTCCGGCGCCAGCGCTCGTCGTCGCCACCGCCGCCGTCGCCTTCGCAGCCGCCACCTTGGCCCGCTGCCGCACCTCATTCACCATGCCCTGTAGATACCGGAACTCGGCCTCCGCTGACGAGCGCACGGCGTAGCCCGTCTGCCGCGCGAACGCGCACAGGGAGTCCCACGCGCGGTGCAGGTCCACGGCCGCGCGGTCCGCCCCGCTGTGCGTGCCCGAGTAGAGGTGTGCGCGCGCAAGCAGCAGGAGCGCGATGCCCGTCTGCGGCGCGTGCGGGCCGTGCGTCTTCTGCAGCTTCGCGACGGTCGCTTCGAGGTTCGCGAGCGCCGCGTCCTGCACGACGTTGCCGCTGCCGGACACCGCTGCGGCGGCGGCAGCGGCAGCAGCAGCGGCGGCCGAGTCGCCCGGCGCGGGAGCGCCGTCGCCGTTCGGGAGGCCCTGGCCGGGGTTCGGCATGTGCGCGGGACCCTGCGGGCCCGCGCGGGGCGTCGTGGCCTTGAGGTAGGCCTCGTAGGTGCGCTTGGCGCCCACGCCGACCACGACCAGGTCGCCGTCGCTGCCGCCCGTGGCGGGCTGCGCGCGGCGCGGTCCGGGCGAGGTCTTGTAGTCGAGCTGCTTGCTCGCGGAGGGGGACTGCGGGGGAGGGAGGGAGGACACCGGGTTGCATTCACCAAAACCGAAGTATTTTGAATATGCAACATATACATAGATGTGCGCTGATGATGTTTAGATATGCAACACCGCACTCGAGGAAGAGAGTGCGACCCGGCGCCCTCTGTCACGACATGCACGGCTCTGCACAACCTAATCGCGGCGCAACTGCGCTCAAGGAAGCACGACTGCTGCCACCACACACACACACACACACCACGCAGGGTGCGGTCACTCACCAGGAGGCCCAGCATGGCCTCGACGTCCGCCGGCCGGTCCCCGCGCGGCGTCCGGATGGCCGCGATCGCCCCGAAGATCCCCCGGTCCGTCCCGAACAGCCCCGGCGAGTTGTGCGGCCTGGCGCTGCCCGGGCTGGACCCCAGGCCCAGCAGGCTGCCCCCGCTGCCCAGCAGCGCGCTCATGTCCGGCGCGCCCCCCACGTCCAGCGGGAGGTCGAAGATCCGCGGCGAGTCCACGTTCTCGTGCGAGTGCGCGCCCCCCGACCCGTGCAGCCCGCGGTCGCGCCCGCCCGACCCGCGCCCGCCCGACGGCGGCGTGGCGTGATGGCTCGGCGACGCGTGGCGGCCGTTGGCGACGTTGCGCGGCCGGGCGCGGTTGTGGCGGCTGCGCTGCCCGCCGCTGGCGTTCGGGTCCCCGAGCAGCGAGCGCCTGGCTTGCCGCTTGCCTGCGCGCCCGTCGTCGTACGGGTCGAGCTCGTCCTCGGTGGCGTCCTCCCGGCGCGCGCGGGGACGCTTCGCGGCGCCGCCGCCGGTCGCGGAGGGCGCGGGGGCGCCGTCGGTGTCGTCGTCCTTCTTCTTCGCCCTGCACGTTGCGGAAGGGGCACCGGGGTACAGACAGTTGGGAAACAGCGACTGCGAATGCACCCTCGCCTCGAATGATGGTCGGCCACGCAGCAACGCCCGCGGCGTGCCCACGACAGCGTCGATGCACCGAGCCGGTGCGGTCCGTGATCCCTGCGGCCCGCCGCCCCGCACGGCCCGCCGCCCCGCACCCGCGAGCAACGCACACGTCGCGCGCACCTCGACCTGGCACCGCGCGCAGCGGCGTGCCCGCGGCGGAACCGCGACAGCTTGGACGCCATGAGGTCCGTGATGGGCTTCCCGTCCGGCCCCGGGGGCTGGAACCCCTCCGCGTCCCACTCCTTGAGGCCGAATAACCCCTCCAGGGGTCTCGTGAACACAGACTCCTCCCCCTTGCGCTTGACGTCAGTGTACAGCGCGCTCGCCATGGTCGCCTCGGGGGTCTTGCCCTGGCACCGGATCAGGCCGCGCTGCGGGGGGCGCGGGCGCGGAGGGGGCGTTCAGCACACACTCAGCATGCCACGTGCGCAGGGGCGCCGGAGACGCCAGCGCCGCCGCCGGCTGCGACGCACGGGCGGCGCACACCCGTATGCGTCCGCGCGTCGCACGGGCCCGCCGGCAGGGCGCACGTCGAGGGAGCGAGGCGGGCCGCAAGCCACACAGCGGCGCACGACGGGGGCGCGACGCGGCGTGCGGGGCGCGGGACGCACCGACAAGGCGACGCGGCAGATCTCTCCGGTGGACATGAGGCGCCGCTCCATCCGCAGCACCGCGGCGGCGGCGGATTTGAAGATGCCCCCGCCCTCCTTGAGGGGCGCCACCCCCGGACCCAACGAAGTGCGCTTGAGCTCCTCGCCGAGGCCCGCGGTGGCGCGGCGCAGCCCGCGGCCCATCGCGGACGTGATTTCTCCCACCCTCGCGGCCGCGGCGCGGCGGCTCCGCCTGCGAGGTCGCGGGGGGCGGGCGCAGCAGGGTGACGGAGGCGCTGGGCTGTTGGGGCCGCCCGACGGGGAGCTGGGGGCCCGCACGGGTCGCGCGGCGGACCGCGCGGAGAGGTCTCGTCGATGTCAAGCGCGCAGGGTGGCGTGGCGGCGAATTGCGGACCCAACGAGGCGGTTCAGGAGGTTGCATGAGCCTGGGGTGCTTTTGAGCGAGCCTCGGCGCGGGGTAGCGCCGATCCGTCAGTCGGGCAATACGAGGCGCGCCGTTCGTGCCAGGTGCGCCGGTGACGCGCGAACGAGGCGTCGCGCGGCGGCCGGCACGGCTACGAGCAGCGCCTGGGTCGCTTCGCGCCACCACGCGGGGGACGTGCGCGCGCTCAGCGGGACGGCCCGGCTCGGGCGAGCGGCAGCGGGGCCGGGGGCGCTGTGGTCGTTCGGGGCCGGCGCGGGCGAATGCGGCCGGGCGCGCGCGGGTGTCGCGGTGGTGCGGGTGGTCCACGCATGCGCGCAGTTCAAGCCGCGTCGCCTCGCGCGGCTCCCCGGAACCGCGTGGTGCGTTTCCGCTGCGCGTTTCCGATCCCCGTCGTCGAAATGCGCGAGGGACGCGGGCTCGCGGTGTAGCAGGGCGCCGTGCACGCCCGCGGCGCGCCAGCCTGAAGCAAAAGCAGAGCCTGCCAGCAGGCGGGGCGCCCGGTGTGTGGAGGCGCACCTCTCCTCCGTTGCATCCGCCGCCTGCAAGTCCATCTTGTGCCGGTCGCTCGGGGCCGCGACGGGCGCCCCGCGAGGGCTGCGGCGGCCAGGGACCGCTCAAAGAGGGCAGGTGCCTGGAAACGCCTCCGTTGTCGCACGACGTCCGCAGCGCGCTGAAAGCGGCGTGGTCGGTTCGCGCGCTGGTCAGGGCCCGGCGAGACAGCTAGCTCGAAATTCGCGCTGCCCCTGCGACCTCTCCATGCGGTGTGCGGCCGCTCGCGCCGTGGGGGCATGAAGTAGGCCTGGCGAGTCGAGTCGGGGCCTCGGAGATCGACGTTTCCCGACTGTCATGACATCGCCAGCACCCGCCGCGTCCGACTGGCCCCCGCAGCGCGACGCACGGCCCGCAACGCGCAGGTCTCGGCGCGTCCCTCCAGCCCGGACCCGCGCCGACACCCCGGCGCCAGCGCTCCTCGCTCCCGCGACGATTACGTACCAGGCCATCACACCGGGCCGCCAGCCTCGTGACACATCAGCGGCAACTCACGCGGCTCGCGCAGCCCGGCGACCAGCCTCGTCGCCCCGCGCGGCACCCGCGGCGCGATGCGGACCTCGCGGGCGGCACACGGCGGCGGTAGAGCGTGCTGAAATCACACCATGGTCTCCGCTCCCTCCTCAGGGCGGGTGGACTCGCCCGGAGCGCCGCGCCCGCGTGGGTCTGTGTCTGCGCGGCGCGTCTACGTCCGCGAGAGGCCCATGACGCGCCCGGCCTCCACCCAGCGCGTCAGGCGAGTGCCGGCGCGGTCGGGGGGCCACAGCACGTGCGTCGCGCGGCCGAGCACCAGCGCCACGGGGACGGGTCCGAAGGCGCGGCTGTCGTCGCTGCGCACGTGGTTGTCGCCCTCGACCCAGCAGTGCCCCGGGGGCACCTTCACCGGGTCCCTGCCGCCGGGCACAGACACCCAGTCACCTTCCAGGGCGACGATCCGCTTGATGATGTCCGTCTTGCCGCTGCGGAGGGCGCGCGGACGTGCGCTGGCGGGTCGCGCGTGGCGGCTGGGGGTGCGACGGTGCAGCGTGCGGGGGGGCCGAGGGGGGGGTGGGGGGGGTCGCAGTGGACAGGCGGACCTGTCGGGGGGGTGGAGGAGGACGACGTCGCCGCGCTGCAGCGAGGGCTTGGATCCCAGGTACGCGAGGCTCGTCCGGGAGGTGTCGACGAGCACGCGGTCGCGCCGCCAGCCTGTCGCAGTGCCGCCGGTTCCCGCGCCGGTCCGCGGGGGGTTGACGGCCGGGGACATTGACGGCCCGTCGACGGTGACGACCTGCGACGCGTGAGCGGAACGCTTGGGCCGAAAGGTGTGCCAGGGCGCGCGTTAGTGTGGCAAGGTGCGTCGCAGGCGAAGCAGACGCATGATATGGGCGCATGTGGCCAGGTGGGGGGTGTCTTGACGTAATCGCTGACTTTCGTGGATCGAAGTGTCGCGGTGCCGGCCTCCCAGGGGCGCGCGAGCACCAGGGGCGTCATGCGCGTGCACGCGCCCTGCGTGGCGTCGATCGTCCGTCGCGTGGCCCGTGTCCCTCACCTTGAACGGCACCACGTCGAACACCATGACGAAGAAAGGGTACCATCCCAGAAACCCCAGCCAAAACGCCGTGCGGGTCCCCGGGGCAGCCATCCTCCCTCTCCCGCGCCTACCGCCGCGCGAACACGCACTTTCCTGCCTGTCTCGGCGCACGACAGACGCGTACGAATCAACAGCAACCTATCCGTCGCAGAACCAGGCCTTCCGTGCAGCCACGGCACTCGAGACCGCGCAACCAACCCATGCCGCAGCAACCAGCGCACTCCGCGGCGCCGCGGCGCCCGCACGCGAAGCCGAAGCAGCGCCGCGGCGGGCCAGTCAGCGCCCGCTGCCTCCAGGCGCCTCCCAGCTGCGCCGCGTCGCCACCCGCAAGCAGCACACCGCACGTCAGCCCTCTGCCGCCGCGCCCCCACACACGCACCCACGGCCGCTGCGGCCGTTCATTCCAGGACAGAGTGCAACCCACGCCCTGCCCGCGCGCCCGTGAGCCCGCCCGCCCTGTCGCGTCTGTCAGGCTCCCGTCCCACAGGGGCGCTATACCCCTGCGCCCGACAGCAGGTGGTGGCACCATACGCGATGTAACATCATGTTGAAAGGCCCGCAGGCGGAGGCACGGCGGCCGCAGCGCTGGCGCAGCAGCACTCGCGGCTGACGTGCGCGTGCTGGTGTTATGTGGACGTCGAAAACGAATCTCGCGATTATAATCTTTTGAGATAGGTGCGGTTGGCAACCACCATGGTCAGTTGGGTGCCTTACCTTAGTCGTTACGTATCTTACGCCCGGCCGCGTTCGGCGCCATGGGCGTCCTGGGCGCGCCGTTCGCGGTCAGTCTCACTTCGTTCTGCGCAGCAAGGCTCCTGCGGGGTGCAGAGAGCGCACGTTCCGCACAGGCTGCACGGTTGGGGAGGGCGGCCCCTTGGACGCGCGCAGCGGGCGCGGCAGGGAGGCATTTGTCGACTTGCGCCACCAGGCAAGGGGCCCCCGTCACCCCGCTGGCCTGTGCGTTTCGCTGCGCGGCGCCTGTGGCCCCGCCTGTGGCTCTGCTGCGCGGGTTGCCCCTGCAACTGGCTGGCCTCAGTCGGTGCGCCCTGCGCGCGGCACCCGCGCGACCTCGACGCTCCGCTCCCGACAGTGAAAAGCGAACGCGCCCGAAACTGTCGCTCGCGTCCCATCTTCGGGCACGCGCGGGGCGCGGCCGCCGTGTGCGCGCGACGAGGCAGCCGAATCCCCGACCGTTCGCGGTGCCGCCTCCGGGGCCAGCCCCTCTTCATTGCCGCGCCCGGCGCGACGTCGCGTCCATGCAGGCCGCCAGCCGGGATTGTGCCGCCCGAGGCGCGGCCAGTCCGTGTCCGCCAACTTGACCGCACTGACTACTTCTGTTCGTCTTTCAGGTCACTCCGTGCGCTCAAGGCAGCCGCCACGTACCGTCCAGGACAGTTGCATCTCAAGCACCAGAGGAAGGTCGTAGGCTGCGCCTGGCTGACTACAGCCGGGGACGCCATGGAGAGCGGCGGGGAGCGGGCTCCCCTCTTGGAGGTGAGAGAGCGCGGCGGGGCGCAGCGAGGCCGCGCACGCCTCGTTCGGGCGTCCCGGCATGTCCGCACGCGTGCCAGCGGGTCCCGCGTCCGCAGCGCAGTCCCAGCCGCAGCACGCGCCGCGTGAACTGCGCTGGCAACCCACTGCTGGCTACACCCGCGAGCGGCCCGTGGTGGGCCGCCTGGACACGGCTTGCTCCGCGCAGGCCGCCGCTGGTCGAGAGATAGTGGGACGGCGTCGCGCGGTGCGGCGTCGGTGCGGCCGCATAGCAGGATGCACTTTGTTGGTGAGCTTTCTCTGAACCGCCCCTGTATGGTCTGACGCTGTGCAGGGGGGCGACCCTTGGCTCTTTTTCCTCTATGGTGACTCACAAGAGATGAGCTCTGGCGTGTCGTCCGTGGGTTCCATCGGCGGCAAGCCCGTCTCGGGAGTGCCAGCGGCCGACGACGTCTCGTGCCAGGGCAGCGGCTTGCGGGATAGCGGGAGCAGCGAGGACCAGGTCGGCGACAGCCCGTACGGCTTCCAGGAAGGCATGGGCGAAGAGGTGAGGCCGGGAGCGCCCGGGAACAGCACGCACCGGCTCCAGTGCCCACCACCAGCCGTCTTGTCGTGCTCCCGCCGCGCATGCTCCTCCTTTCGCCTCGGCCCGGCGCAATTCGCTCCGTTCGAGGCTCGCCGCACGCCCCGCCTGCCGCAATGCAGATCTTCTCCGCGCGGGAGCGGCAGTCTGCTGCCCTGCTGCCACCCCTCTCGCCCTTCGCCTCCGGGACGGAGTACAGCGACTTGAGCAGCAGCGCGACCACGCGCAAACACGGCGGTTCGGAGCAGAAGGGCGGCGCCGGCGCCTCGGCGGGCCAGGGCGACGCGGGGGCCGACGCGCAGACGACGACTTCGGGCGGCGCAGGCGGCACAGCGCCCGCGCAGAGCGGCGGCACGACGGGGACGGGCGCGGGCGGCGCGGGCGGCGGCGGGGACGACCGGCCGCCGCAGAAGCCCGCGCCGTCCGACGACCGCCCCGAGCCCAGCCCGAAGCGCCGGAAGCTGGCGGGGGAGGACAGCGACAAGGGCGGGGCGGGCGTCGCGCAGCACGTGCCGGGCGACAACGGCACGCCCGTGTCGTCCGACGACGAGGACGAGGAGGACGACGAGGGCCCCGCGGACGGCGCGGGCGGCTCGGGCGCCCTGCAGGGCGGCGGGGGGCCGCCGGCCAAGGGAGCCACCACGGCGCCGGTCGCGGCGGGGACCGCGCAAGAGACGCTCGCGACCGTGGCGCGGGACTCGGGCCACGGGCCGTCGACGGGCCCCGCGACCGTGGCGAGGGACTCGGGCCATGGGCCGTCGGCGGGTCCCGCGGACGCGGCGCGCGAGACGCAGGCCGGGTCGTCCGGGCCCGACGACGACAGCGGCAGCAGCGAGCAGTGGCTCGAGGACATCAAGCGCGCGGTGACGCACCCGAGCGAGATGGTGCACGTGATCGACTTCAAGGGCGGGCGCTTCCGGCACCTCCTGTACGACCCCGCCAAGACGGTGTACGTCGAGCTGCAGACGTGGGAGGCGGCCGTGCCGACCGACGTGTCGCGCCGCGCGGAGCAGCTCGACCGCGTCACGGCGGACCAGGCCCGCGGCGCGCCGTCGGCGCCGGGCGTGGACGCGCGCAGCAGCGGGCCGCGCGGGGCGGCGCGGGGGCGGGCGCTGGGGAGGCCGCCGCGATGCCGCCGCCGCCGCCGCAGCAGCCGGGTGCGAAGCCCGCGGCGGAAGGCGCGGGCGCCGGTGCGGACGCGGGCGCGGGCGCTGGCGCTGCGGCGGTGGTGACGCTGACGGCCACGCCGACGCCTCCGCAGTCGACCGACCCGAACCGCGGCGTGCTGGTGCTGCCCAACCTCCCGCACACGGTCAAGAACGCGAAGCGCAACGCGCCGCTGCTGCTCGCGGGGAACGGCGGCGGCCTGAGCGTGAACTGCATCTTCGAGTCGTTCGTGCCCGTCATCGAGACGGTGCTCATCGCGCCGCTCAACATCCCCGGGGGCACGATGCTGATCCCGCGCAACCACTTCGCGCGCATGCTCGTGCTGCGGTTCACGCGCGGGATCCCCGACGAGCAGCTGCGCACGGCCTTCAACGGCCGCCTGGCCTTCGTCGTGCGGCTGCGCGACGAGCCGACGCCGATGACGGACGAGGAGATCGTCGCGGTGTTCGGCGACGGAAACCACGGGTACCGCGTGTGCGACGAGCTGCGCGAGGCGATGACGCTGAACGGGGCGGGCATCTGGCCCGGGGAGCGCCTGCGCGACCGCAAGGACTGGGCTGCGCAGAGCCTCAAGGACCTCATCCGGCACTTCTTTGACGAGCGTGGGTTCAAGAAGCCATTCATCCGGGGCGTGGGCAAACGCAACGAGCGGGACATCGTGCGCGACGTCGCGGCTGCGTATGGGCTCAACCACTGACTTGGCGACGGGAGGGGGGTCGTACGCGTCTACACGTACGCGTGTAGAGGTGTCCTCCAACGCGGAGGGCCCCACCTCCCGCACACCCGACCCACCACCGCAGGGGCTATGCAGACGAGTATTTGACAGTGTCCCCCCACCCCTTCCCCCCCCTCCCCTGCCTTCGTGCGTGGCATCCGCCGCTAACCACTACGCGGTCGCACATGACGCTTTCGCACAGATACCATAAGACCACACAGCCAGCCCCCGAGGTCCGTGGATGCCAGCGCACTGTATGCTGGCAGAAATGGCTTGCGTGCAACAAGGGCAACGATTCCGGTCACCGCATGGTGCTCGGAATGAAACAGTCACTCTAGAGTCAAGATCTTGGGTGGGTGTGACCATGAAATCTCGATGCGAATCTCCTCACTCGAATCCCACAGGGTGTCTGTAGGTCAGCGAATTGCAAACACAACGTGCCTGGACGTCAGCGAATTCGAAACGAAATGGACGTTCGTCACGTCTTTCTGATTCCCTTGTGTGCTGAGGCTCCAGCAGCACGGCGACCTCGCTCCCGGCGGCCCCGCTGCTCACCCGCGCAGCGACTTGATCTCGCCCGCGTACCTGCGCACGGGGCGGTCGAACGGCGCGCGGCGCATGAGGTATGTGTGTGTTGGTGCCAAAAACGCTCCCATGCCGCCATTGCTGCCCGTGAGCTCCGCCTAGGCCGTTCAACGGCCGAGGGCGGGCGCCTGTGTCAGCGCGACGGACCAGCGCATGCGTGAGCGCGAGCGCGACGCGCAGCGCTCCCCCCCCCACAGTGTGTTCCGCACCGCTTCTGCACTGCCGCACTCGTCGACACGTCCCAAATCGACAGCAGGCCCTTCGCGCCGCCCGCCGCCAGAAGCAGCGGATCGCTGGCCGCGAACCCCGCCGTGAACACCGCGCCGCACTTGAGGTCTTCGGCAACTATCTGCAAAGCAAGTACAGCAAGCCACGCACCATGAAACATCGTCCATGTCCGACAGATTCGAACCGGCGCCTCGCTGACCGCGCTCGACCGCCTGGCTCGTCGGCCAAGGCGCAGGGCGCTGCATGCAGGCGCGAGAGGCGACGCAGACAGGCACGAGGCGCGCTCGATCATGCACATGTAGCACACGTGGCCAGGGGACGATCAGGCGCCCGCTTGTCGCTCTGAACGGCCCGGAACAGAGACGTTCGGGAGGCGGAGGCAGCACAGGAGCCGGCGTGCGCGCACCAGTCCTGGTTTGTCGTCTCTGACGTCCCACAGCTTGACCTTCTTGTCGGTCCCCGCGGTCGCGACGAGCCCCGGGAGCGCCGCGTTCACCGACAGCGAGCAGCACGCGCTGTCGTGCGCCTGCAGCCGGAACAGCGCGCCGCCCCCCGGCCCCACGCGCGCGTCGTAGCACGCCACCAGGCCGTCCTCCGTCGACGCGTAGAAGGCCGTCGGCCGCGTCGGGTCCCACGCCACGGCCTCGACGTCCGCGGTGAGCTCCCACGTCGGCACGTCGCCGCCCGGCGCGCGCGCGTCGACCACGCAGGCCCGCTTGTCGAACGCCGCCGTCAGCAGCACGTGCCCCTCGTGGGCGTTCCACGCCACCGCCTGCACCTTGCCGGCGTGGTGGCGGAGCGTGGCGTGGCACGCCCCGCGCTCGAGGTCCCACAGCTTCGCGGTGCCGTCCGCCGACCCCGACGCCAGCCCGTTCCTGAACACTGGGTTCCACGACAAGGCCATCACCGCGTCCTCGTGGCTGCCCCCGCGCAGCTTCCCGGCCTTCTTCCGCGCCTTCTTCTTCGCCTTCTTCTTCTCCTTCTTGTCCAGCCCCGCCCCCGCGACCTCCTCGGGCCCCGCCACGCCGCCCAGCACCGCCACAGGCTCCACGGCGTCCAGCACGTCGAGGTCCCAGAGCTCGATGGCGGGGGACATCGCGCCGACGGCGACGAGGCTGCCCTTCGCGCCGCCGCTCTGGGGCCGGAAGTCCGTCCACGCGAGCGTCAGCGGGAACGCGGGGAGCATGATGTCGTGGTGGACGTACAAGTTGGACTCCCCCCCCGCGTCAAGCTCGTAGACGTAGACCTCGAGGTGCGAGACGTCGTCCTCGTTGCGCGCCGCGAGCACGACGTTGTCCGTCGGCTTCACCTCGAAGTCCTCCACGGAGCTGTCCGAGGCGGACTCCCCCCCCTGCAGGTACGGGTCGTCCCGGGGGTCCAAATGCATGGCCCCCCCCCGGGTGCGTGCCCCCGGCGAACAGCGACAGCCCGTCCTCCTCGTCGTCGTACGCGTCCATGTTCAGCTCGGCCAGCAGCGCCGACACGTCCGCCCCCGCGCCCTTGCGCTTTCCCTGCATCTCACAAACGAAACACCCCCCCTCCCGTCGCTGTTCGCGGTTTTCGAAGCCCGCGCGGACGCGCGCAGGGCAGCAGCGCGCGCGCGTGGTGCGTTGCTGCCCGGCTCGCTCGCGTGCGGCGCGCTGAGGCGCATGTTGTGTGGAAGGTGAGGGGCGAGGTGCGCTGGGAACGCGCCTTCTCCTCCTTCAGGGCCTTGGCGACGCTCTTTGCGCGCGACACCTGCTCCGCCGCGTCCTCGGCGTCGTCCCCTCCGCCCGCCTCCTCGTCGGACGTGTCCATCGCCTCGTCGGATTCCGCCGCCCCAGCCTCCGCCGCTGCCCTCAGCTCCTCCTGCATTTTCCGCAAGAGCCGTTCCGTTGGGAGACAGACCGAGGAGCTCCCATGCACAGAGGCGCCGAACCGCGCGTGTCGGAGCCCGGGGACAGCCAAACGGGGCACCGGGACGATGCCGCCAACGCCCAAGGGCCTCGGCAACCACGAGCGCAACGCCGCCAATGGGGGGCGAAAAGACGCCCCCGCCGCCGCGTCCCAGCGGCTCCCAGCCCGCGGCGGGCCCGCGGGCATCGAAGCAGCCGGCGCGAGCCGCGGGCTGTGGCGGCCGTGCAGGCGCGCAAGCGGCGCGGGCGGGGACGCACCGCCGCCTCCGCGACGCCGGCGCCCTCCTCCTCCCGCCGCGGCTCCGCCGCCATGGCGCCCTTCGGGATCCACTGAATGCACGAAATCATCGTCCCGGCTCACCGCCCACGCAGCACCGCCCCGGCGCCCCGCACGTTCTGTTTGCCCCCGGGAGGCACGCCCGCACCCCGGCTCGTTCGAGTTCAGCGCGCGCGGACGCTCGGTGTGCCGGGCACGCGGACTGCGAGCGCATGCAGCCCGGCGCGACATTGTCCGCGGCGCCGGGGCCCGGGGGGGCTTGGCGGAGCACTCCGCAGGTAGGAAGCGCGCCCCGCTGGCCGGCGCTCGGCGCCGCTGAGGATTTCGGGCGGCGCGCCTGCGGCGTGAGGCACGTACGGTGCATCGGAGCGGACGAGATGTCGATGGCTGCTCAGGGAAGCGTGACGCGGGCCCAGCTCGCGGGCAGGCTGCAGGGGCGGGTGCCGGCAGGTGCGCGTCCCGGCGCGCGATCGCCGCGGGCCCGCTGAATGTGCTCGTGTTTTGTTTTCGATGTGGGGATTTTGCCGTTCCGCCGCGTAAACACGCCCCCGGCCCGCCGGTTCAGAGACGTTTCTGCCCCTCCTCGCCTGGACAACCACCCGCGCGGTCCGAACGCGGGCTCACGGCGAAATTCGCGACCAGATGCCGCGTGTGGAATACCTGCGAGCCTCCGAGCATCGCCGCGAGCGCCCTTGGCCCCTCGCATACCCCCAGCGGCCGACCCGGTCTCGGCACCAAGCATTAGCACCCGCCTCGCGCGAACGCGCCGGCCCCTCGACCGCCCCCTGCCGCCAATCAAAAAGCAGCATTCGTTCTCCCTGGCCGCTCGCGAGACAGCTCCGCCCCGCTGCCCCCCCTCCACCGCCACTCTCGCGCTCCAGTCCCAGCCTCTCCTCTGGATGCCTCGCCCGCAGCGCTGCGCGGTCCAGCGCCCCGCACGGCTCGCTCGCGCGCACTACAGCACCATCACACTACCCTCCGTCCCTCGCGAGGCCCTCACGACCCCCTCTCCTCCCCCCCTTGCCTGCACAGGCCGTGTGGGGCCTGCGGTGCCCAGGGCGCTCCCGGCTGGCGAGCCCGAGCACTCCGCGGGTCCCGCGGCGGGCGCGCCGACGTCCATTTCGGTCCAGATGACGCGCCGCGCGACGCTCGGGGCGGCGGCGGGCGCGGTGCCTGCGATCGGGCTGCTGAACTCGCTCGCCGTGCCTAGCGCGGAGGCCAACACGGTGCTGTCGAACGAGTGGGAGCTGGTGGACCTGCCGATCGACCCCGCGGTCGTGCTGCTGGACATCTTCATGAAGGACGACAAGAACGGCTTCCTCGTGGGCACGCGGCAGACGCTGCTGCGCACCACGGACGGCGGCAACACGTGGGAGAAGCTCTCGGTGCCCGCGCTGGCCGAGGAGGGCTTCAACTACCGCTTCAACTCGGTGTCGTTCATCGGCGACGAGGGCTGGATCGTCGGCAAGCCCGCGGTCCTCCTGCACACGACGGACGGCGGCGCCACGTGGGACCGCGTGCCGCTGTCCTCCAAGCTCCCGGGCGTCCCGATGCACATCTACTCGACGGGCAAGGGCGAGGCCGAGATGGTGACGGACCAGGGCGCGATCTACGTCACGGGCGACGTCGGCGCGACCTGGAAGGCGCAGGTGCAGGAGACCGTCGACGCCACGCTCAACCGCACGGTGTCGTCGGGCATCTCCGGCGCGTCGTACTACGAGGGCACGTTCAGCAACGTCGCGCGGAACGACGACGGCTCGTACGTCGCGGTGTCGTCGCGCGGGAACTTCTTCATGACGTGGGCGCCCGGCGAGACGTACTGGCAGCCCCACAACCGGCCGATGACGCGCCGCGTGCAGACGATGGGGTACTCGCCCGAGGGCAAGCTCTGGCTGACCACGCGCGGCGGCGACGTGCTGTTCGCGGACTCCCCCGGCGTCACGGAGGCCTTTAGCCAGTCGAAGCTGGGCTCCCGAGGGTTTGGCGTGCTGGACGTCGGGTTCCGGCCGGCCAGCCAAGACGTGTTCGCGTGCGGGGGGTCCGGCACGCTCCTGAAGAGCAAGGACGGCGGAAAGACGTTCAAGCGCGACCGGAGCGCGGACACGGTCCCGGCGAACCTGTACGAGGTGCGCTTCTTCTCGCCCAAGTGCGGGTTCATCCTCGGGAACAACGCCAAGGTGATGCGGTTCATCGGCGGGGGCTCGGCGTGAGGCGGCCGGGAGGGGGGCGCACGTGCCCCGTCGCAGTACACGTGTGACACAATTTTCTCTTGCTGGTGTGTGTCCATCTCTTTGCGTGTGTCTATCTCTGTGCGTATGGTGCGGACCGGCGGCGGCGGGGGCGTGCAGGACGGTGTAGCGGCGCTGTTGCACGGGTGGGCGGCGCAGATCCGACAGCAAGGGGCAGGGTCGTTGTGCGCCTTGACAAGCTCCTCTAGTGGACACGCCATGCCCTTGCGACGCCCCTCGCTCCCCACGGTTGCAGTGGCAAGATTCCTCACACCGCCAACGCGCGCCTTGCGCGGCGCTCGACCGTCTGTGGCGCCCCGCTCACCCCTCCTGCCCCATCGACACGACATGGCCGCGCCCCTGTCTAGCGCTACGACCTCCGGCGCAGGCGCGCGGCGAACGCTCCGTCGATGCCGTCGCGCTGCGGCAGCGTCGCCATCCACCCCTCGGGCGCCACGACCTGCGGGTGCACCTTCCCCTCCGGCACTGGCTCGAGCGTGAACGCGCCCGCGTGCCGCCGCAGGAACGCCTCCACCTGCGCGCCGTTCTCCTCGGGCTCCATGGTGCACGTGCTGCGGGACAGGGGGGTTCGGGCCGGGAGCCTGGGGGTTGTGTTCCTGCGCCGTCCACGCAACACCTCAGCCCCGGGGGACCGAATGTCGAACGATGACGTGGCTCTGAACTGGGCGGTATGCCGCCGCGTCTGCTCCTGGTTCAGGAAGGCTCGTGAAAGACCTCCCCTGACTCATGCAGGTCATGCAACATCACGGGTACGCGTGCCGGCAGCTCGAGGAGGACACGCGCTTGCACCAGGAACGAACGCGGCACGGTGCACATCTAGCGACGAAAGGGACGACGCGTCTCGCCGATGGGCACGTGCGGTGCTTCCCGTTGCTGCAGCGCACAAGGGCGGGCGTGCCCGTGCTCGGTGCGCGGCGCACCTGTACACCAGCAGCCCGCCGGGCTTGACGAGCGGCGCCGCGGCGTCCAGGAGTCGCGCCTGCAGCTGCGTCAGCTCCTTCAGGTCCTCCAGAGACCTCTGCCAGCGAATGTCTGCCCGCCGCGACAGCGTCCCCAGGCCCGTGCACGGCGCGTCCAGCAGCACGCGGTCGAACAGCTCGGGCACGCCCGTCGCCGGATCTGCGGCCAGGCAGCCCCGAAAGCCGCGTCGGACCAAAACAACAACAGCGCACACACACGGCACAGCACTGCAGCGCGCAACCAGGCGGACGTGGTGGAACCGCTCCCGCAGCCGCACGAGTCTAAGTCGCGCGGCATGTAGCGATCGCGTGCGGCGCGCGTCCTCACCGCAGAACGGCTGCAGGGCCTCGCGCTCCTTGGCACTGCGTGGGAATTCGCCGTCGGCCCCGAGGGGCCGCTCCGCCGCGACGGCCTGGCGCCACTTCTTCGAGAAGACGTGGAGGTCGACCGCCATGGTCGCCACGACCTTCCGCAGCCCCTGGAGCTCCGCCGCCTTGTCCATGGCCTGCACGCGACTCTCGTGCAGGTCCAGCGCCAGGACGCGCCCCGTGGGGCCCATGCGCGCAGCAGAGAACATGGCCTTGCCGCCAGGCGCGGCGCAACAGTCCAGGACGCGGTCCCCGGGCTGCGGGTTCAGCACCGCCACTACGCAGCCGGCCGACTCGTCCTGGACCGCGGCGCGCCCCTCGGCGACGATCCCGGCGCGCAGGAGGTCGCCAAGGCCGGAACGCACGACGAGGAACTCCCTCGGAAGATACCGCGACGGTGCGACTTCTGCACAGCACGCCAACCAACAACGCAGCACAGCGGTCGGCGCAAGCGCAGCGAGGCGGTCTGACGGCCTCTACGTCTTCGCAACGACGCGCGTCGTGCTTGGATCGCCGGCGGGCAGCGGCGCACCTACACCCAGTTCCTCCGCGGCCCTCCGGACGCTGTCCACCGTCGCCCCGCGCGCAATGCTTGGCCGCAGGCCGAACGACGGGGGCCCGTTGTTGTGGTTCAGGAGCTTGAGCGTCCCCTCCGTGCCGAACCGCTCCAGCCAGCGCTCCACGAGCCACGTCGGGTGGCTGCTCGCGACCGCCATGGCGTCGGCGTGCTCCGCCGCGGTCGCGCCCGGGCCCGGCTGCTCGACGCGCGGGAGCTGCCCGGCGTCCTTGGCCCGCAGGAGATTGCGCAGCACGGCGTTGACGAGCTGCGCGCCCCCCGGGGAGAGCTGCTTCGTGAGCTCGACGTGCTCGTTGACGGTGTGCGGCGGAACCTCGAGCTGCAGGACCTCGTAGAACCCGATCCGCAGCATCAGGCGGACGGGCAGCTCGAGGGTGTCGATGTCCCGGCTCGCCACGTGCGAAATGAGCCAGTCGAGCCGCCTGCGCGCAGGCAATCGTCGCAGCGGGTCCTTGTTTCAAAGTGACAGGAACGCGTGGCGTGGCGTGGCGGCTCGTGCGGCCGCGCAGCTCGGCAGGAAGCGCGTCCTCTGGTCGCGGCGCGTGCGAGGAGCGTGCTGCGGGGGCTGAGGTTCGCACCGTTTCCAGCGCGTGACGCCGCCAACCAGGTTGGTGACGGCGCCCATGTTGACGCGCCTGTCGCCGGACCTGGCGCCCGTCAGCTGGCCGCCGACGAGCGTCGCGTACGCCCCGTCGACCTCCATCCGCAGCAGCTGCCACAGCGCCACGGCGCGGTAGTCGCCGGACCGCTCGGCAAGCGTCTTGGCCCGTTGCGCGGCTCTCTCCAAGTCCTCCGGTGCGTTGAACCTTTTGGGCTTCCGCGCGCCGCCCGAGGGTTTACTGTGCGATTCCTCGCGCCTGCGCGACTTCCGCGGCCTCCCCTTCTCCGCCGGGCGCGAGCGAGCCACCGCCGCCGGTGCGTGCACGAAGCGGCGAGGCGCCGCGAACAGTGGCGCCCTGCTCGCCGGGCGCGCGAGGGCGCACGACGTGGCATGCGCGTGAGGAGCCTGGGCGCCCCCCGCCGGAAAAGCCGCGCGGCTCGCGACGTTCATGGCGACGGAAGTCGGTGTGGGAGTAGTGCTGAGGAATGTGCGGGTTCGAAGGCCGCCTGACGCGATCAGGGGCGGGGTCAGCAAAGAAACTGGTCTGAAGGAGACGATAAGAGCGAGAGACCGGCGTATGATCATCGACGTGCCGCGTGGCACGGAGCAGCACTGGTTGGCACAAAAGACGCCCGCAGCTGACCTCAGGGCGTCATATCGACAGAGGCTTCAGCGCACACGGAGGTTCGACCGACCACTGTGCGAGGCGTGCGACGAGACGCGGCGTTGGTGCGCCGAGCTGCGCGTCCGGAGCGGCCTGACTGACTGGCGCGGGAGGGGCCGTCACGGGCGGCGCTGGCGCCGCGCGGGGCCTTTGGGGCGCGCCCGTGCGCGGTCCGGACACAGGAGGACTCGGAGGGCTCGCGCGCTCAGTGGAAACGTTCCTGACAACCGCACGGGGCGTTGACGGCAGCGCTGGAAGCCTGGGTGGCTGACCCGCGTACAGGGCGCCAGAGTGTTCCGGGCGCGTGGCGTCGATAGAATTTCGCATCTGTCGGACACGTTCTGCCGCTTGAGCGCACCGTGAGCTGGCGTGGAACCCCGAGCGCCTCGCAAGCACGAGCTTTTGCCCCGAGCGCAGGGGCGTCGCTCGCTCCACACCTGCCGCCGGCAACTCGAGAGGCTGACACGAGAAGATGCCGACGTATAATTTCAAGTCGATGAAGGTGCGCAGCCGCCATCCGGCCGCTCCCACAGCCGCGTTCCTGCCCCCGTTCCCCGCCCAGCGCCCGCAGTGCGCGCCCGCCCCGCGCTCCGCCAGCGCGAGGTCGCTTGCGCCGCACCACGGCGACGACCTCTCGCCCCAGGCCCCGTTCCGCGCCAGAGGCCCCGGAAATTCACTGTTGCCGCCTCGCCGCGCAGCCTGCGGCGGCAGCCCCAGCAGTCGTCCGCGGCCGCGACGCGCGACGCCGCGTGGCCCGTCCCGGCGCAGCCCTGCACCCTCCGTTCCGCAACGCATCGCCCGCGCGTCGCAACTGCCTCGACGCGCGCCCCCCCGCCACCCCCGCACGCCCGCTGCTCAGCAGCGCCGCGGCCCGCGCGCCCGCGCAGGTGGTGCCGTCCGCGAAGGACCTGATCGACATCGTCCTGAGCAAGACGCAGCGGCAGACGCCGACGGTGAACCACGCGGGGTGGCACATCTCGCGCATCCGTCAGTTTTACATGCGCAAGGTGAAATTCACCCAGCAGAGCTGGAACGAGCGCCTGAGCCGCGTGATCGAGGACTTCCCCAAGGTCGACGAGATCCACCCGTTCTACGCGGACCTCGTGAACGTCCTGTACGACCGCGACCACTACAAGCTGGCCCTCGGGCAGGTGGCGCTGGCGCGGCAGCTCATCGACAAGCTCGCGCAGGACTACGTGCGGCTGCTCAAGTACGGCGACAGCCAGTACCGGTGCAAGCAGCTCAAGCGCGCGGCCCTGGGCCGCATGTGCACGCTGATGAAGCGGCAGGGCCCCAGCCTGGCGTACCTGGAGCAGGTGCGGCAGCACATGAGCCGCCTGCCCTCCATCGACCCGAACACGCGCACGCTGCTCGTGTGCGGGTACCCCAACGTCGGGAAGTCGTCGTTCCTCAACCGCATCACGCGCGCCGACGTCGAGGTCCAACCCTACGCCTTCACGACCAAGAGCCTCTACGTGGGGCACACCGACTACAAGTACCTCCCCTGGCAGGTAACCCGCCCGCGCGACACCCGCCCGCGCACAGCAATAACAAGGTTGCTCCGGCCCGCGACGCCCGCGCCGAGGAGGCGGGCGCGCGCGCGAGCGCCCGGCGCAGGTCGAGTGGCAGCACCCGACCGACCGGCCTCCCGCGCCGCGCAGCGCCCACCGCCCCCGCTCCGCCCCTGAGCGGTGCTGTGTTTTTGCAACACGCCGTCTCGCAGGTGATCGACACGCCGGGCATCCTGGACCGCCCGCTCGAGGAGCGCAACACCATTGAGATGCAGAGCGTCACCGCGCTGGCGCACCTGCGCGCGGCCGTGCTGTACGTCGTCGACGTCAGCGAGCGCTGCGGCTACTCGATCGCGCAGCAGGCCGCGCTGTTCCACTCGATCAAGCCCCTGTTCGCCAACAAGCCCGTGCTGGTGGTGTGCAACAAGGTCGATGCGCGGCCGATGGACGAGCTCGCGAAGGAGGAGCGCGACACGCTGCTCGAGATGGCGCGCGAAGCCGCGCGGATCTCCAACGGTGCGCCGCCCCGCCCGCCCGCCCGACCAACAGGGGGGGGTGTAGTCAAATGCACCTCCCCCTCTCCTCTGCTCGGCGACGAGCAGCCCCGGGAACGCCGCGAGCGTTCGAAGGCACAGCCCGCGGCGACGCGCGCGCTTGACGCAGGCAGCCTGCCGCCCGCTACTTGGCAGCGCCGCGCCTTCACTCGGTGCGCGGCGCGACCCGCATCTCCGGGGCGCGACCCGCCCGCGCCGCGTCAACGCCCACGCAGGTGGTCTCCCCGTCGACGCGGGCGCCGAGGAGGCCGTCCTGGTGCCCATGTCGACCCTGACGGACACGGGCGTCGTCGACGTCAAGCGCGCCGCGTGCGACCGCCTGCTCGCCTCGCGCGTGGAGACGAAGCTGCGGAGCAAGAAGGCCAGCGACGTCGCGAACCGCGTGCACCTCGCGCTGCCCAACCGCGACGGCGCTCCCCCCCCGGACAGACCCCCCCAGATCCCTGAGTCGGTTCTGCGCGCGCGCGCGGCCGCCGCGGCGCTCCCGTCGGGCGCGAAGCCCCCGAAGCGCCGCACGGAGCGCGACGAGCAGGAGGAGAGCGGGGGCGCGGGGGTGTACAGCCAGGACTGGCGGAAGCTGTACCAGCTGCGCGAGGACGACTGGCGGTGGGACGTCATCCCGGAGATCATGGACGGGAAGAACATCGCGGACTACGTGGACCCGGACATCGACGCGAGGCTCGAGGAGCTCGAGCAGGTGCGTCCCCGCGAGGCTCGTGGCCCTGCGCCGCCCTGCCCCCGGAGACGGCGCCGCGTCTCCCCGTGCATCCAGCTCTAGACGCGGAGCGGCGCGCCCCGTTGTTGATGCGGCCCACTGGCGGCGGACGCCCGCGCCTCGCCTGGCAACGACAGCAACGCCGTTCTCCCGCGCGCGATGTTGTGCCTCGCAGGAGGAGGCGCGGCTGGCGGAGGAGTGGGAGGCGGCGGCGGAGAAGGTCCGCGCGGCGGAGGCGGCGAACGCGTTGGGCGAGGAGGAGGCCGAGCTGCTGGACAAGATCAAGGACCGGAAGAAGCAGCTGACGATCGAGCACCGGCGGCGGAAGAAGGCGCAGCAGAGCAAGTCGGTGATGCCGCGCACGGCCGCGGCGGCGGAGGCGACGGGGGAGCGCGTCGGGCGCGGGCGGCGGGAGATGGAGGCGCGGGGCATCGACACGGGCAAGGCGGAGGCGCGGATGCGGAGCCAGAGCCGCGGGCGGAAGAGGACGCGCGACGAGGTGGACGACTTCGACGAGCTGGAGCGGGCGGCGCAGGCGGAGCCGAAGAAGCGCATGCACTCGAAGCCGTCGCGGTCGCTGTCGCGCGGGCGGAGCTTGTCGCTGGCGGCGCCGCGGAGCGGGTCGGGGCTGAGGGACGACGGCGAGATGATGAACAAGGCCATCCGGCTGGAGGACAAGGCGCAGCGGAAGCTCAACAAGGGCAAGGTGGCCCCGCGGCGGGGCGAGGGCGACCGGTGGATCTTCACGAAGATGCCGAAGCACCTCTTCTCCGGCAAGCGGGGCATCGGGAAGACGGACAGGCGGTAGGCGGCGCCCCGCGGGCGGCTGTGACGGCGTCGCGCGTCCGTGCGTCGTCAGAGGGCGGCGCCGCGTCGCGGCGATGGGGGCAACGGCGTGCGCGGCAGTAGGGCTGCGACGCGGGGACGGACGCGCCGTGTTGTTGTTCTCGGCGGAGCAACGCATGCCTTCCTTTGTGTTGCCACGGTGCCGCACCCCGGGGGGCGCGCTTCGCCCGGGGCGTGCGTCACACGTGCGTGCGGCGTCACCGCAGCGACGGCGATATCAAGATGATCATGTCGCCGCGCACGAAGAGGAAGGGCAGGGACCTGCGCACGGGCTTGATGATCTCCTCGTACGTCTCGTCGTCGATCTCCACCGTGGTCACCGTCTCCTCGACCTCGCCGAGGACCACGTTCAGGTGCTGGTCGTAGGCCTGCGGGGGCGGGCGGCGGGGCGCGCGGCTGGACGTGGTTGGCGCGGCAGCAGTGGTGCGCTTGACGGGCGCCTGGGGGCGGGAGGTGCGCGGCGCGGTTCGGGAAACGCATGGAGATGACGAGGGCTCGAGGTGCTCGTGGCCGCGTGACGTCCTCAGCGCTCGCTCGGTTCAGCGTGAGTGCGGCCTCGTGCAGCGCTCGACCTCACGGCCGCGGTGGCGGGACGTGCGGCCCGGCGCGCCTTCGCGGCGCGGCCCAGGCGGTCGGCGCACTTCGGTGCGCGGCGGCGCCGCGCGCTGCCGCTCACTTCCGCGCCACGCCGCGACGCGCCCGCGACGTTGCTGCTGGAGGGAGGCAGGCCCCCCCGCGCGGCCGCCCCGCGACCAGCGTGCTTCCCTGCTCGCTGAGCGGGCGCAGATACCACGGGAGATGCAGCGCGCGGGCGGAACTGGGGCTCACGTGCAGCCGCCCCGTCAGCTCGCGCTCCCCCCGGCACTTGATGTAGACCTTCTCGTCCAGCGCCAACTTGACCAAGTCCAGAGGGTTCTCAATAACGACCGTCCCGTCTTTCGCCGCCATCGCGCCTCCCCCGCGCCGCCTCGCGCCACCTCGCGCTCGGACCCCGGGCTAGGTCCACGTCGCCGTTCGCCGCTGGAGCAGACCGTCACTGCGTCTACGGACCGCCCGTCACAAGGCCTCGCAGGTCGCAAAGGCACGCTCGTCGCCCGGTCTCCCCGGTTGTGGCTGGCCGTCCCGCTGCGAGCGTCACATCTGGCCGCAGCGGCGGAGTCTCCCTGGGCTGTCATTGCGGTTGACGCGGGCCGGCGAATCCGTGGCCATTGCGGGTCGACCGCGCGCGGACGATGCATGGGGGTTCGCTCGCGGCGATTCGGGCGTTGTCGACATTGAGTCGGCCTCGGAGCGGTCCCGTACCGGCGCGCATTGGTCGACGGAACGCGCCAGCGTTTGCTGCCGGCACGCCTCGCCTGGGCCGACCGGGTCCGCGAGACTCAGGGCTCGTCGTTTCCCGCGCGATAAAGGTGAGAATCGCCGCGAACCGATCCGCCGCCGTCGACCGCGCCCCCCCGGAGCCGGCCCTGCCGCACCTCCGCTGCTCTCCCGGGGACGCCGGGCCGCCAACCGCGCGCCACGGGTCGCGCTCCTCCCCATCGGACCCTCCTGCCACCGAGCGACCGCGTCCTGCTTCGGAGGCGCCTGAATCGCGCGAACGTGCCGGCGCGCGGCGTGCTCGTGTGGCGCAGCGCCTAGCTCGTCCCTCCGCCTTCCAGGCCCCCTCACGCATTCAGCGATAGCCCTCGTGCCTCCCCGCGGCTCCCCACATCCGTCTGGCGCGAAAGACCCGGCCTATCGCCCGATCGTGGTCGTCTCGCGGCCAGCACGCCCGCTTTTCTGCCAGCACGCCCTCCCCCGCGCGGCGCCCAGTTCCGCCGCGAAGCAGCGTTCCCTCCCGCGTAGAGCGCTAGCTACAAGAACGAAGACGCAGTTGCGCCGTCCGTTCTCCCACAACTCCCTCGCCGGGCCGCGCCGCAGCCCTCGGTCCACCCCACACCTATCCCGCCCGTGCCCCGCCCTGCCGCGCCGCATTCCGCGCGCCGAACACGCCCGCGACCCCTCCCCACAGAGCCCTCCCCGCCGTCCGGCGCGCGTCCGCGCAGGTCGACCCGCCCGCTCCCGCGGTGCCCCGATGCCCGCGCGCCGCGACCCCGGCGGACGCCGCGCGCGCGCCCAGCAAGCCGCATGAGGCCGCGGCGGCGGCCGCGGCCGCGCACATGAAGGAGATCCACGCCACGGCCACCCGCGCCGCGCTCTGCATCCGCGCCGGCCTCGCCTCGGCGTCCGTCGGCCTGCAGGCGCGCGCCACGGAGCTCGCGCACCACAGCGGGCACGTGGTGTCGCAGATGAAGGCCGCGGTCGAGCAGGCGCAGCGCGACAGCAAGCCGGAGCAGCCGGCGGCGCGCGCGGGCCGCCCGGAGCCGGCGTTTCCGCCCGTGCGCAGGCGTGTGCAGCTGCGGCAGGAGGAGGGGGGGGGGGCGCGCGAGGAGCCGGTGCTGGCGCACGTGAGCGCCGGGCAGGGCGTGCGGCGGCGGCGGCCCGCGTACGACGTGGAGGGCATGCCGTCGACGTGCGTGCTCGGGCCGAACACGCCGCCGTCGTGGGTGGTGAAGCGACAGAAGGAGGGGGGGGGTAAAGGGAAAGGGGGGACCGAGGCGCAGAAGACGGAGACGCTGACGCTGCCGTTCCTGAACGGCAAGACCGTCACGATCCCGAGGCTCACGCTCCCGAAGCTCACCCTGCCAGGCACAAGCGGCACCTCCGAGTGAGTCCCCCCTGGTCGGACTAGACACCCCCCGCGCAGGCCCGCTGCGGCGCTGGGCCGCAGCCGTCCCGCCGCACCGCGCATTCATCGGCCCCGGGGCGTCGCAGCCCCGCAGCACGCGCGCGAGCCCGTCGCCTGTGTCGACGCTGTGCGCGACGTCCCCCGAGCGCCGCGCAGGTCCGACGCGTCTGCGCCGCGGATGGAACCGGCGCGCCCGACCCGCACGCCCCACACGCTCCCCGCCAAGCGGCACAACATGCCGGAGCACGAGCGGCTGTGGCGCGAGGGCCTGGCGAAGGAGGCGGCCCTGCAGATGAACGAGGCCCGCGACTGCTACCGGCGCGCCGTCGAGGCGTGCCCGGGCATCTCCGAGTACTGGTCGCGCCTCGCGAAGGTCACGACGGACTGCCAGTACACCCCCGGGACCACCCCGGAGGCGGCGCGCGCGCTGCACCGCAACGCGATCGAGGTGGCGAAGGAGGCGCAGGAGCGGTTCCCGGACAGCTCGCTCGGGCCCGTGGCGGAGTGCTTCGCGAAGGGGCGCCTCGCGCTGCTCACGGACCGGCCCAAGGACAAGCTCCAGGTGCGGCGCGCCATGACGCGGTCGCTGTGCTTGTGCCCGTGTCGCGCAAGGGTCTCGGCTGGGCGATGGGGGGGCGATGGGGGGGCGTGCGCGGCTGCGGCGGTCCTGCACGGCGCGACGGGGCCGCGCCGCGTGTTGGGGCCAGCTGACCGTCGCGCCTGCCTGGTCCGATCTCCGTTCGTGTGCGCCCGCGTCCCGCCGAACGAATGCTCTGTTCCCTGGCTCGCAGCTGGCGAAGGAGGCCCGCGAGTGCGCGGTGCGCGCCATGGCCATCGACCCCACCGACGACGTCGCGTGCCACGTCATGGGCCGCTGGCACTACGAGATGGCCTCGCTGAACTTCGCCGTGCGCGCCGTCATCCAGGTCCTCTTCGGCACCTCGCTCCCGTCGGGGTCCTATGAGGGCGCGCTCGACTGCTACCTGGCCGCGGTGAAGCACAACCCCGCGCGCCTGGTGCACCGCGTCGAGGCCGCGCGGTGCATGACGCGGCTGGGGCGCGACGGCGAGGCGCGCGAGTTCCTGGAGCCCGTGTTCGGGATGCACATCGAGGACATCAACGCGAAGATGACGCTGCGGGACGCCGAGACGATGCGCGCAAAGCTGCGGCCTGCGGACGGCGCGGGGGGCGGGCGGCTGTCGCGGGTGTGGCGGCGCCGTGGCGGCGGGGCGAAGGCGGAGGCTCGCGGGCCGGGCGGCGAGAAGGGGACCGCGGAGTCGGGGGCGTGATTTACCGGGTTTGGGAGGGGGGGGGTGTCGTTGCAGGCTGGTACGCGCGCACGCAAACGCCGCCGCGCGGCGCCGCGGTGCGTCGCGCGTGCTCCCCCCTGGACGCGGGTCCGCGGGGGATGTCGACCACGTGCGTCGGCGGCGACGCAGACACGTGCTGGCTGATTACGCATTGCCCGCTGCGGCCGGGTGGTTGCTCCTCGCCAGCTTGCCCGCGCACGACGCACACGACTGTAACCACGTACGTGCAGCCCGCTGCCGCGCCGGCACGCGCCCCTCGGCCACGCCCTCTCGGTCGCATTGGCAACACCCGACCACTCGGGGCATCGTGTGTTTCCGAGGCGCGGGCGTGCTGACATACAAACAACGGCGCGGCACTACTCGCGCACAGCGTCGGGCGACCCTCGGGAGCGCCCCCCGCACCCCGCGCGCGCGTCCGAAGGGTGGTTCACAGGGCGGCACGGACGGCGGCGCGCCCGCGGGCGCGCCACGCCGCCGGGTGCCGCCGCCCGGGCGCGCGGGCCCGCGGGCGCGTCTGCGCTCAGTAGTTGAGGTACCGCGACTTCTTCTCCGCGGGCTTGAGGATCTGGAAGGAGCACATGAGGGTCTCGTCGACCGACATCATGGCGCCCGCGTTGTCGAACTCGCCGCAGTAGTTCGGGGCGGAGAAGATCGTCACGAGCTGCCGCTTCGCGAAGAACTCGTACCCGTCCTCGACCACCTGGTGCGCGCGGCACACCAGGTCGAGGTCCAGCTTTTGCAGAAACTCGGCGACGACGTCCGGGCCGTACGTGTACGACACGCCGCGGTCGTTCTCGCCCCAGCCCTGGATGTCCTTGTCCGGGTCCGACCAGAGCAGGTCGCAGAGCAGCCCCGTGTCGGGCACGTCGGTGGGGCGCGGGACCCGCTTGATCAGGTCGAGCGACTTGAGCTCGGGCGAGAGGCCGCCGTGCATGCACAGGATCTTCTCGTCGATGAGCGCGCTCACGGGCAGGCAGTTGAAGCAGTCGGTGAAGGTCTTCCACAGCCGGATGTTGTACCTGCGCTTGCACTCGTCGTAGAAGCCGTAGATGCGGTTGATCGACGCGCACTCGTGGTTGCCGCGCAGGAGGAAGAAGTTCTCCGGGTACTTGATCTTGTACGACAGCAGGAGGCAGATCGTCTCCAGGGACTGCGCGCGGGGGCGGCGAGCGGGGGTGGCGCGGGGTGGGGGCGGGGGCGGGCGTCGGGGCGCCGGGGCGCGGCGCGCACTCGCGGGGCGCGGCGCGGGGAGGGGCGCGGGCGCGGCGCGGGGCGCGCGGGGCGGCGCGGGCGCGCGGGTCCGGCGCGCGGGGGCGGGGGCCATGCCTGCTTGCCGCGGTCCACGTAGTCGCCCAGGAAGAGGTAGTTGGCCTCGGGGGGGAAGCCGCCGTACTCGAAGAGGCGGAGGAGGTCCGAGTACTGTCCGTGGATGTCGCCGCAGATCTTGATGGGCGCCTCTAGCTCCAGCAGGTTGGGCTGGCTGAGGAAGACCTCCTTGGCTGAAAGGCAGATCTGCCGGATCTCCTGCTCCGTCAATTGAACCTGCGGGGACGAAGGAAATGGGGGCGCCGTTCGCGCGGCGCGGGGGGGCCGGTGGGGCGCGGGTCGCGGCGGAGCGGAGCGGAACCGCCCGAGTGCCCAAGCACGGGCCTCGCGAGGGGCGCCCGGGGCCCCGAGCGGTGCCGGCGCGCGCGAGGAGCGGTGGCGGGGATACTGCTCGAGCCGTTCGGCGCGCCGCGGGGGGCGAGGGGGGCCCGGGCACCGCGCGCAGGCCGCGCCGAGGGTGCAAGCAGGTCGCCTGCCGGCAGGAGCACCGCGGGTGGGCGGACCGCGGTCACGCGGGGGCGGGTGCAATGTTGCGACATCGCTGCTCCGGCAAAGGCGCGTCAGGGGGTCCAAGAACGGACGGGGGGGAGCCAGAGGCGATATTGCAGATGACCGGCTCGAGGGGGCCGTGAATGTTCCGGCCTCGGCGCCCCGCGGGCGCCAGGAAGTTTCGCGGCTATACCGGCCCCGGTTCACCGCACAGCACGCGCTCGGATGGCGCCGGGGGAGCCGTGGGCTCGAAAGGCGAGGGAATGCGGGCGTTCGTGCCCCGCCCGGGCGCGCAGGGCCCGCGGGCGCGCGAGCCGGAGCGGATTCGCGCGCATAACGTTGGCGAGCATGCCGGGGGCGCGGGTCCTGGGAAACGGGGGCCCGGCCAGGGTCCTCCTGCGCAGGAGCTTGTGACCGCCCGGGGTGGCGCGCACCTGTTTCCCGGGCCGGCTGTTCCGGACCTCCAGCAGCCTGTCGATGATGTCATCGAGCAATGCTTCGTCCATAGGCATTTTGCTCACGAACACGAGCTCGGCTCGTCACCAGGTCACCGTCGGCGATACACGGAGCGCCTGCGCTTCTGCAGGCAGCGACACCCGCGCGCCACGGGCCGATGATATCAGGCACTCCGCCGGACCGCGCAACCACCCGCGTGGAGCACCAGTCAACGCGCCAGCAGCCCACGCTACACCGACGACTTTGCCCGCCACCGAGACGTCCAGGCACGTGGATCCCCGGGGATGAACGCACTCCCTCGTCACTCCGACGAGCTCTGCCGCACGCCGCGCGCCGCGCGCTCCTTGTCCCGCCCACCCCAGGCCCGCCCCGGGGCCCCCGAGCGCATGACTGTCTTGCTCAGGGCGGCCGCGCGGCGTCGCGGGGCCGCCACATCGCCGCGCGCGCGCCCGCGCCCGCCCGCCGCGGCTCTGCCCGGCCCGGCCCCTCCCGCCGCCACGCGGACCCGCCCGCGCGCCCGGGACGCACGAGGCGCAACTGCCCGCGCCGCCCCTGCCCCCAGCCCCCGCCGCGGGTCGGTCCCGCGGCGATGGGGAAGCGCGAGCGCGGCCACGCAGGTGCGAGGACCGCGCGCGGGACGGCGCCGCGCGCGGGGGACGCGCACAGCACGCGGCGCCTGTGGCTCCCCCTGTGCGCAGCTCGCCCGTGCGTGCGGACGGGGACCCAGGTCGCCCTGTTCCGTCCGCGCCCCGCATGTCCGCTGCCGTTCCTCTCGCCTCCTCATCGCCCCGCCGCGCGTCGTCCCCCGCGCAGGCGGCGCGGCGCGAGGTGCCGCCACCGCCGGCAAGGCGACGCGGGCGCCCGCCGACGACGGCGCGAGGAAGACGAAGCAGAAGAAGAAGAAGGCCAGGCACGCGGCCGCGGCCGCGGCCCCGCCGTTCGCGGACCCCGAGGAGTGGGCCGCGCGCGACCCCGTGGGCTTCCTCACGTGGTGCGCGGAGCGCGGCCCGGCGTCGCGCGACGCGTTCTGGAGCAAGCACTGGGAGCGCGCGGCGGCGGTGTTCCGCGCGCCCGCGCCGCGCAGGGCCTTCTTCGAGGGCCTCGCGGGGCTGGAGGACGTGTGCGAGGTGGCGGAGGAGATGGCGGCGGACGACGAGGACGGTCCGATGCTGTTCGGGCGGGACGTCAACGCCGCGCGGTACCGCGGCGGCGTCCGCGAGACGCCCAACGGCGACGTCGCCACCCCCGAGGTCCTGCACGCGCTCTTCCACGAGGAGGGCTGCACGCTGCAGGTGCACCAGCCGCAGCGGTGGTCGGACCGCCTCTGGCTGCTGTGCTCGTCGCTCGAGGCGCGGCTCGCGTGCCTCGTCGGCGCGAACGCCTACCTCACCCCCGCGGGGCGCCAGGGCCTCGCGCCGCACCACGACGACGTGGAGATCTTCGTGTGTCAGACGCGCGGGACGAAGCGCTGGCGGCTCTACGCGCCCGTGGACGGCTTCGAGCTCCCGAACGCGCCCTCGGGCGACCTCCCGCGGGACCGCGTCGGCGCGCCGACGCTCGAGGTGGAGCTGGCGGTCGGGGACGTGCTGTACCTCCCGCGGGGGACGGTTCACGAGGCCGTCGCGGGGGACGGCGACGCGGGGTCCGCGCACGTGACGATCAGCACGTACCAGCGGTGGTCGCTCGCGGACCTCGCGGCCAACGTGCTGCAGGTGACGCTCAACGAGCGCGACCCCGCGCTGGCGGCGCCGCTGCCGCTGCGCCGCTCGCTGCCGCCGGGGTTCCTGTACGCGGCGGGCGCGCAGGCCGACTTCTCGGCCGCGTCGCGCGCGGCGGCGTCGGAGGTCGCGCGGGACCTCGCGGGGGGCCTGCGCGCCATTGCGGACCGCCTGACGCGGGAGGACGGGGGGGTCAGTGGGCCGGGGGGGTCGCTGGTGTCGCTCGCGACGGACCTCATGTCGCTGGACTTCTGCAGGGCGCGCCTGCCGCCGCACCCGCGGCTCATCCGCGACATCGGCCCCCCGCCGGCGGGGCGCGGCGCGCGGGTGGTGGCGCGGATGCCGGGGATGGCGCGCGTGCTGCCGGTGCGCGGGGCGCCGCTCGGCGAGGAGGGCGACGAGGAGCTGGTGCGCGTGGAGTCGTGTCTGGACAACCCGCGGCACACGCACATGCTGGACGCGGGAGGGGGCGAGGACATGGGGGGGAGCGAGGACGAGGAGGACGAGGAGGACGACGTGGAGGGCGAGGAGGAGGACAGCGACGAGGAGCCGCCGCAGCTGGTGCCGGCCGCGGGCGGGAAGAAGCAGGACGCGGGGGGGGGGAAGGTGGAGGCGAGCAGCAGCGACGAGGACGAGGACGGCGTGGGCGGCTACGCGTCGCTGTCGGACGACTCGGACGCGGAGGAGGCGATCCTGGGGGCGCTGGACGACAGCTCGGACGAGGAGGAGGGGGGGAGTGACGGGAGTGACGGGAGTGACGGGAGTGACGGGAGTGACGGGGAGGGGGGTCTGCTGTTCCCGATGGAGCTCGCGCCTGCGCTGGCGGCGATGTTGTCGGCGACGGACCCGCGGGGCGTGGCGGTGAGCGACCTGCCGCTGCTGGTGCCGGAGGGGTTCGCGGAGGACGGCGACGCGGCCGCGGAGGTGCGGCGGGAGGCCGCGCTCGCGCTGTGGAACGAGGGCCTCGTCGCGACGGTCGACCCGGGGGAGGCGGAGGAGGGCGGGGGGGGGAGTGACGGCGACGAAGGTGTTGACAGCGGGGCCGGGTCGGAGTCGGACGGCAGCGAGGACGACGGCGAGGACGACGGCGAGGACAGCGACGCGGTGGAGCTGGACGACGCGCAGCTGGAGCTGCGGGACGAGGACCTCGAGGAGCTGCGCGCGGCCGGGTACGACCTGGAGGCGATCGAGCGGGCGATCGCGGCGGAGGACGGCGCCGGGAAGAGGAAGGGCGAGCCCGGTGGGGTCGCACAGGTGGGGGGCAAGCGGCGGAAGAAGCAGCGGTAGGTGGTTTGGCGTGGACGGGGCGTGATCGGTGCGACGACGTGGGCGGTGCAGCGGCGGGCAGCTGCGGTGGGAATGCAACAGTTGGGGAGTGCAACACTGCTGCGCGGCGGGCTGCGTGCGCGCGCCGTGAAGTCGCGAGGAGCCTGGAGGACGCGGGCGCCGTGTACGGGATGCTGCGGGACGCGAGGGACCGCGGGCGAGCGAGTTGCGCGTGTGAGGGAGCGGCGCTGTCGCAACGTCAGCGCTGTCATCCATCTGGCTGCCGACACACCGCCTGGTACGCGCGGTTCGCCGCGTTGTTTGTCGCGAACGTGCCACTTGCACCGCAAAGTGTGGCAGATGAGGCACACGTGTGTGTACGGCGTTTCGCCAACGCCTGTGAGGTTGTCTGGCTGCGGCATACTCCTCACAAAGGGTGGTGGAATGTACAAATCCTACCTCGAAATCGTCAGGAATTGCTCCAAGTCAAAAATTGGGCCATTGGTCTAGTGGTATGATTCTCGCTTAGGGTGCGAGCGGTCCCGGATTCGATTTCCGGATGGCCCCTGCGTTTTTTATGCACCCGCACGACGTATGGGTGCCCCCTTCTGGGGCGATGACACGCCACCGCGACACCCAGCACCCCCACGGCGGCCGTGGCCGCCCACGCGCTTCTGCTCCCGCGTCCTGCGCGTCCCGGGGCGGCTGGCGCGCGGCGCGACGCGGGACGGCGTTCCCGCGCCCTTGGCCGGCGTCGCCACGAACGCGCACGAGCGACACAGACAGCCCGCACCGACTGTGCGCAGAGGGCGACCCTGCCGGCCGGCCCGGCGGACCTGGAGCGCACGCAGCAGATCACACGGCTCCTTGCCCCGCGGCCAGGCACCGGGCGCGCCACAAGATCGTCCAAGAGCAGCAGTGCCCGGCAGCGCGGCAGGCTCGGCTCACGCGCCAGTGGCCCGAGCGCCGCCGGAGCCACCCGGGGGTCGCCCGAGCCTCTCCTCTCCTGCACGCCCCCGCGCCGCCTCTTCGCCGCGCGCCCCGATTCCGGGCCCCAGGCAACCCCACCAGGGCCCCCCGGCGACGCCGGGATGCCGGCCCAGCGCCGGACAGCTCGGTGGTTGCGGTCCGAGTCCAGGCAGTGCTGTGCAGGGAGTCGCGGGGCGTGGCCACCGGCGCACCCGCCTCCGGGCGAGGCTGGCAGGGTGTGCAAACGGTCGGTCGGCGGGCCCGTGGTCGCCTCGCGCGCGGCGGGCCGACCTGGAAATCAGCGCGGCGGACGACACGCGTCCAGATCAGGCGGTTCACGCGCGCAACGCTCTATTCAGTGCCCGTGCGTTCCCGTGCGCGGCTTGCCCACCACTGGGGCAGCAACGCAGCAGCCGTAGCGCTGTGGACTGCGGCTGGCCAGCATCGCACGCACCCAGTCGTCCTGGTCGTCAGCTGGACCCAACTAGTTCGCACGCACGCCCACGGGCGGCGCGGCACGTCCCACGGGAGGGGAAATTCCCCCCGACAGACTCGTGGCAGTGCCATGCGCGTCGACGCCCCCCGCGTCCCATGGCCGCCCCTCGCCGCCGCCTGCGCATCAGAACAGCGCATGCCGCACCTCCACACGTAGCGACCCGGGCCGAAACGGGATGCTCGTGCGCACTAAGTCTCGTGGCTGCAGCACGAACGCACTGTGGCTCGTCCGAGGCCTCGAGCGATCTCCTGCGATGCATCGGCGTCCTCACGCTGTCCTGCGAAGGCCGGGTCCCCGCGGCCAGCATGCCGGGACGCCAGCTCACGGCGACGCCACCCCACCCGGCGGGCACACAGCCAGCCCGCCGCGGCTCGCCCGCCGATGATCGGGTCCGCAGGTGACGCCCCGTGACGCCTCCTGAAGGCGTCTGCCTCGCAGCGGTCGCGAACGCGGCGCCCGGCGCGCGCTGTGGCCGTCGGCGCTGCCCCGTTGCAGCAGACGGCGCTGGAGGCCGTCCGCTCCTCCCTGGGAGGCCTCTCCGAGCCAGCGACCCCTGTCCTACCCGCCTGCTGCCTTTCTCCTCGTGGCCGTCGAGTGGATGGCCGCGCGGTGGGTCGCGCGGCGCCGGGCCCGCGCGCTGCGCACCGGCCGTGCCTCCCGGTGCGGCACCGCGTCCGGCGCCCCTGGCGGGCGTGCCTCGGCCTCGGCCTCGGCCTTGATTGGCTCCGCTGTGGGACGCCGGCGCGTAACCGCCGCCTGAGCGTGTGCCGACCATCTGCGTGTAGTTGAGTCCATCAACGCGGCGCATGGTTGCGAGCCGAGGATGACTGTCGGCCTGGCGTCGCGTGGTCTCGCGCGTGCGCACCCGCGGTCCCTCTGCCGTGCACGAGACAGCGGCGTCCACCCCGCGCCGTGCCCTCGCTTTTGGGCACTTGCAGGTGGTGTCGCAGCCTCGGCGGCGGCCGTCTTCCGCTGAGGCCGCGGGCCGCGAGCCACGGGATGGCGGCAGGCACGCCGATGCCGTCTCAAGCCGTACCGCCCCCTCGGTGACCGAGTCGAGTGCAGGCAAGCCTTGCCCCCAGCCCACTGTACCCACACACTCGCGTGCGCGTCGTGCTGGCCGCACGCTGCCCGTGGCAACGGCGCTGCCGACCGCGCGACAGCACGAGCCCCGAGGCCCGCACCGCACGAGCGCGCGCGAACCACCCCTGCAAGCATTCCCCCCAGCCCACACACTCACGTCACACGTCGTCGTCGTCGCTCTCCGCGTGCTCCTCCCTATTCCTCGGCCCTGCCGTGGCCGCCTCCTGCTGAGCTCGCTCGCGTACTGCTGCTGCGCGCTGCACGCGCGCTGCACGGCCGTCATGTGGTGCAGGAAGCAACGTCGCGCCGATTGTTCTCCCGCAGGACTGCTGTCGGCCAACGCCTGCGCGAGGCACGTCGACGCGGACCTCGCACGGCCTCCGGGGACGATCGACGCGCGCACGCGTCAACGTGCCGGTCGGCGACGTCGGCGGCGTCCCCGTCGGTGCGCGGAGGCGATCGAGGCGTGCAGCGCCGCGGCGGACGCCCAGCGCGAGCTGGTCGCTGGACACGCACGTGGTGGGCAGCTGCTTCGTTCGCACACCCTCTAGCGCGACCTCGGCTCCGTCCTGGGCGACCAGGGCGCTGCGCGGAGAGCCAGGTGGATGTCGGGGGGGAACTGTGCGCCTGCAGCGCCGGACGGGACGCGGAGGCGGCTCGGCAGATGCCTCCGGGTCCCGCGGTGCGGAGCGGCGCGCGCGTCCTGCGGGCGGCGGTTCAGCTCCTCCCCGCGGGGATCTGCAGGCGGCGAGCGCAATGGAGGTGATGGGGGAGTCGGCGGTGCGCGACGACGCTGGGCGAGCAGTGCGTGGGCGCGGACGTCGGGCGCGACGAGCACGTGACGCGGGGGCGACGCAGAGCCGCCGCTTGCACGTCGAGCGCGGCCACACGCCTTTTGAGCCCTTGCACCTGACGTGATGCACGTGGGGCGAGCTGCTGCGGTGCACGTCGGCTGCACGTCCGCGTCCGCCGCCGTCGCGCCTGTGCGGCGTTGACGCTGTCGGGGTGCTGGTCGCTCTGCTCATGAGCGGCATTGATCAATGCCGACAACGCGCCAGCGTCAGCGCCGGCGACACGGAGCGCGCGGACCTGGTGCCGCCGCGCCCTTGCCGCGCCCTTGCCGCGCCCTTGCCGCGCCCCCCGCCGCGCCCCCGCCGCGCCGCGCCCGCCGCGCAGAACACACCCCCCTTTGTTTTACCAACCCCCTCCCCACGGCCGCCGCGCCTGGCTGCAGGGGGCGACGAGCGCGGAGAGCGACGAGCGGGGAGCAGCGGCAGCGCCGGCGCGCGCGAGCGCTCCCGCCGGCGAGGTCGAACGGGCGCGGTCGGCTGGACGGCAACAAGGCGCCCATCGCACGGTGGAGGCCCACTCAAGTGGCTTTCGTCGCGTGTGGCCTCCGGCCCTGGGCGAGCTCCCGGGTCCCGTCAGTCGGTTGCCTTCCCGCGCCGGCCGCTGCTGGTGCTCCTTGTGCCTGCCCAAAGCCTACCTGAGCACTCTCCTCCAGGAGCGAAACGGCGGCGCTGGGCCAACACGTGAATGAGCGCGCACGGGTCGTTGCCGCAGCGCGCGTGTCCGCCCGCGCCGGCACGAGGCAGCAGGCAGTACCTGGAGGTGAGGCTGCCCCCCATGCTTGTCGCGCACCGCACTGGGCGGCTTCGGCCTGCAGCTCGCGTGGCATCACTGCCTGCGGGCGCCCGAGCGCTTGGAGCGCATCCCTGACCGCACCGGTGCTGCACCGCTCCCGGAACTCGCCGGGCTTGGAGTGCCGACGACGGGCCCGCTGCACCCGCTCCGGACCACGGCCAGGGACGCCGCGCGCGCGAGTCGTGCGCGGGCTCCGAGGGCCGCGAGGGTCCGCACAAGCGCCCGCGTGCACCGTGTTCGCGATGCGCGCGCGACCGCAAGCCACCTGCCTCGCCCTAGGCTTTCGTGTCCGACGGTAGCGCAGCGACCGTTGGCACTCTCGCGGGCCGATTGGGATGGCGGGGGGGCCTCGGCCGCCCCTGCCTCCGCAGGCCGCACGGGGCAACCCGGTCTGTAAGTCTCTCTCTCTCTCTCACCCGACTGCGCTGCGAGACGACGGGGGAGAGGGGGCTGCGGCGCGGTTCCGCGCGCGCGGGCGGCGTGCGCGCGGGCTGGTCTGGTGCTGCGCCGGGCCGGCGCGCGCTCTGGGGCTGATCGGGGGCCGTTGCGCGGGCGGGGGCGGTGCGCGAGGACGCTGGGCGTGCGATGCATGGGCGATGACGTCGGGCGCGACGAGCACGTGACGTGGGTGGGACGCAGAGCCGCCGCTTGCACGTCGTGCGCGGCCACGTCAAGTGTGTTGTGTTGTACCTCGGTCGCGGGGGCGCGCCGGTCTGGCCGCGCGGCGCTGATTGCGAGGCCGCGGCCCGGGCAAGTACTCCTCAGAGCTTCTGCTACTGCCCCCTGCGTCGTCAGGGGACCGAAGCCGCCGCCAGGTCGACCGACCGGCAAGCTTTCCCAACAGGTGCGTGCCACGTTGTCCTGCGCGGCGGAGAGGGGCAGCCAGCGCTGCGCGAGGCTCACGGAGACTGCTTCGCGCGCGATCCGCGAGCTGTGCGACCTCGCGCGTGGCGCGGGGGCTGCGCGTGGCCTCCTGCTTCGTAACTGATTTTCCTCGGGACCTCCGCCCCGCTCCGGGCCGGCGCACCGTGGTTACTGCGTGCGAGCTCTCTTTCACATTATGTTGGACCGATGGAACGTCGCGCAATCTCGATACGCGCCGGCACCGAGCCGCTTCGACGCGCGGCTTGTTTCCCTGCAACAGCGTCCGCGTCGAGCTCGCAAGGCCCGGGCCGGAGTCCGATGATCTGTCTCTGTCTCGGTGTGGATGCAGTGCACGCGATGGGCCGCCCCGCGCTTGCCCAACAGAGAGGGCGGGCGCGCGGAACCAGGAGCCTGGCGGGCCGCGGCGTCGCCAACCCATTTCGTGTAGGCTCCTGATTCCCCTTCCCCTCCCTCTCTGTTGGGCAAGCGTGGGGCGGCCCATCGCGCCTGGATGGCCTCACCAGGGGACCGGCGGCGCTGGCGGGTCCGCGGCTGCCGGGGGAGGAGCCAATGTAGCGTGTCGGGGGGTTTGTGTTTGGCAACGCGGGGGCGCGGGTGGCCCGGCGGGGGCTCAGGCCCGAAAGGGGGCGCACGACGCCGCCGTCGGGCCACCCGTGCCCCCGCGTTGCAAAACACAAACCCCCCGACACGCTTTCTACTTTCTTCACATTTCTTTCCCCCCTCCCCCCCCCTACTACCGCACCAGCACACAGCCCCCGCGGCGCTCGCCGGAGCGCGCGCTGTGCACACGCCCTCTGCCGGTCGCGCGCCCACGGACCACCGCCCCGCGTGCCGCGACATGTGGGCCGTCGTCGGCAGCGGTGTCTGCGATCGGCACGCGGGGCGGTGGTCCGTGGGCGCGCGACCGGCAGAGGGCGTGTGCGCAGCGCGCGCTCCGGCGAGCGCCGCGGGGGCTGTGTGCGGTAGGGGGGGGGGGGAGAGAAATGTAGCGTGTCAGGGGGGTGTGTTTGGCAACGCGGGGGAGCGGGTGGCCCGGCGGCGGCGTCGAGCGCACCTTTGCGGGCATGTTCTCCTCCTCCTCCCCCGGCAGCCGCGGGCCCGCCAGCGTCGCCGGCCCCGTGGTGAGGCCCTCCAGGCGCGGGCTGGTGTGAGACGCCCTAGGCACCGGCGCCGCTTCGGCCGTCGCCGGCGTGCCGACGGGCACAGCAGCGGCTCCGACGGCCGCGGGCGCGCCACCAACGTGGCCGCTTGGGCCCGCGTGCGCCGCGGTAGCAGCGGCCGTCGCCGGCGCATCTACGTCCATGGCCATGGCTTCGCGGTCACGCCGCCCGCGACGACCAGGCGGTCCCGCGGCGGCGTGCGATCGTCGGCGGCACCAGCGCTGGCTGCGGTCTGCCCGCCCATTGCACCTGGCGCATCAAACACGCAAACGGTTTGATGCGGCGGTTGCACTGGGCGGGCAGACCGCAGCCAGCGCTGGTGCCGCCGACGATCGACACCCCGCCGCGGGACCGCCTGGTCGTCGCGGGCGGCGTGCGCGCGGCGCCATACCCGGCGGCACCTGCGGAGGCGTTTGCGCGGGACACGGTGTACAGTATCTTGATGGAGCCAGCGCCGAATTCCCGCGAGGTCTGCGGGGCGGTGCGCCCAGGCGGCGCGCAGGTGATGTGCATGCCTCCGCAGGCCGCACGGGGCACGTCTCCGGTATGTAAGTCTCAGTCTCATGACACATGCGCCTGGCTGCGAACTTCTCCTCGTCGCTGCGTTCGATGGCGCCGGTGTCGCGCGGAAGACCCTCCGCCCCGTCGCGACTCGCGCGACGGGCGCCCTGTGCGCCGACTGCGTCCGTAGGGGTCGCGTGCTGCCGCTGCGGCCACGGGGTCGCGGCTGACTGCGTGCGGCACTGGGAGGCGCGGCCCCCGCCCGATGCGCGGGTCGAGGTCGGGAGGATCGGCCGCGTTTTCATCGCCACGGGATATAGCGAGCGACTGCGGTCCGCGACTGAAGCTCACGTATTGCGTGGCCGCCGGCGCGTGCGGTGCTGGCACTCTTGGTACAGTGCGAGGGCCCGTGCGCGAGGCGGGGCGCCCATCGCGCGGCGTGTGACAGCCGGCTGCACCAAGACAAGTGGCTCGCACACCGCGGGAATCGCGCGGCCGTGTCCCCACCACGCCGGCCTCGGCAACACTGCTGACGCGGCGGCACCCTGGCGCGCGCGGTCGCTCGACGGCAGCGCGCGATCGCATGTCGACGCCCCCTCGACGTCCGGTGTCTGACGCGCCGTCATGGAGCTCGCTGTGCGCGCCCGGCCGCTCCCCCCCCCCGGGCACCGACACGCAACAGGTCGGCGCTGCGCGTCGTGCGCACCTGGCGGGCGGGCGGCGGCGGCGCGGGAGCTCCGGCCACGACGAGCGAGCCGCGAGCGTCGTGCATGTGTAGCGTTCGGGGGCGGTGGAAAAGGAGGCGGGGTCGGCGAGCGCGCTTGTTTGCTTTGCTGACCTACAGGCACCCTCACCGCGAGGATGCTGGAGCGACCGAAATGGTACGGCAGGCGAGACTCACACAACAGACAGGGTAGGAAATGTGAGCGGTCATGCATGTCGCACACACACCTGCACGACGGTGAGACAATGCGGGGACCGTTCAGGAGCGCACAGCGTCCTGCGCGAGTCTCTGAACGGCCCGAGGTGACGACGGTGCTTTGTGCCTCGGTCCAGCAGCACGTCCAGAGTCCAACAGTCCGACATGAGTCAGTGTGACTGTCCCCCCGGGGTTGTGTATCCACGCTGCCACCGCGCCGCCGTAGGGGCACGGGTGCAGCAGGCCTTCGCAAACTTCCGTGTGTTCGAAGGGGTTGGAGAACGCGCCGGAGGAAACAAGCGTGCTGCGCAGTCGGGTGGCGTGCGCGGAGTTCCGTCCGTGTTTCACATCTCTGTCTCGCATCCCGCACGCCGCTCACTCCCGCGCCTCCGCGGCCCGCGCCCCCGCGTCCTGTGCCACCGCCGCCCGTGCTGTGCGCGCTCGCCGATTACTACTTTCGGCTCCCGCTCATGCGGGAGGACTCCAACATCTCGCAGGAGCGAATCAAGCGCCTCACACACCTGCAATGTCTCCGCGAGTGGGGTTCGGGTTCTGCGAGCTACGCATCAACGCCGCTCTCGGGGGGGACATTGGCGCGTAGCTCGCAGAACCCGAGCGCCCACTCGCGGAGCCATTGCAAGTGTGTGAGGCGCTTGATGGGATGTTGCTGTCCTTCAGCATGAGCGGGAGCCGATAGTAGTAGTCTGCGATCGCGCCTCGCGATGTCGCCGTATTACTATCGGCTCAAGCCGATGCTAAAGGACAGCAACATCCGCTGCGCGCCGCCGCCTCGTCCTCGGCACCAGCTACAGCCCCGTCAGCCACACCGTCCGGTGCACGTGCGCCTCGATCGGCGCCCCCGCGGCCCGCACCGCCGCCACGCCCTTCCCGTTCGCCGTCACCGCCAACCCTCGCACCGCCAGCGCCACCTCCAGCGCCCCCCACGTCCCCACGTCCCCCGCCTCGCCGCTCCCCGTCGCCGCCCTCGCGCCCGCCACGACCGCGCCCTCCCACCCCGCCCCCCCCGCAGAGCCCCCGACGCACCGCGCGCACTCCGGCAGCGACCGCGGGTCCACCTCGCCCACCCTCGCCCGGAGACGCGCCCACCGCGCCCGCTCGCTGGGCCCCGCGAACGCCTCCACCAGGCCCTCGAAGCGCTCCACCACGCTGCGGGGCGCCACGACATCCGCTCCGGGCGCCGATGCGGGCCCGAGCAGGTCGCGCTGCACCGCCGACGCCAGCGACGGCAGCAGCGGCGCCTCCAGCTCCGCGTCGACGCACGCGGTGCGGTGGACGTTGCCCGCGGCCCACGCGCGCACCTCGGCGAGGCGATCGACGACCCCGCCGTTCGACACCTCCGACACCAGCGCGCACAGCGTCGTCACGTCGAGCACCGTCGTCGCCGGGCGCGGCGGGGCGCCGGGCAGCGCCGCGTCCATCGCTGAGCGGCTCGCCGGCATGCCGTCGATCACCGCAGCCCCCATCCTGCAGAGCACGGGGTGAGCGAGCGCGCCGTCTGGACCGCGCGGCGCTGCGCACGGACACCAACATCGGGTCAGGGCGCGACGCACAACGCCGACGGTGCCTGCGGCGCACCTCTCCAGCTCGCGTCGCACGCTCTCGTGCGCGCCGTCCGCGAACACGAACGCCACCTCCGGCGCCCGGTACCTCACCCAGTTGCGCGGCATCGCGGCCGCGGCAAACAGCAGCTGCGCCTGCGACCGCAGGCCCTTGACGTGCCGCGACGCGCCCGTCCAGCTGCTCGACGTGACGTCGAACTTCTGCGTGCCCTTGATCTCCACCCACACCGACCCCCCGCGGACGGCGGCGTCCACCTCGATGGCGCGCGCCCCCTCGCCGTCGGGCGCGTCAGGCCCGTCCAGTCGGACCGTGCCGCCGACCCACGCCGGGTCCGGGCACAGCTCCACTGCGCGGATCTCCGCCTCCAGCCCGGCCAGGTTGTTCCGCGCCCCCGCCACGCGCTCGGCCAGCAGCCCCGCACGCGCCCTGTCGTCCTGCATGCGCTCGGCCGCGTCCAGGAGCGCCGCGAGGGCGCGCGCCTCGCGCAGGCACTTGCTGCGGATCCGGAAGGCCCCGTGCACCTCCTGCGCAGAGAGGCAACGGGGCAGGAAGACGTGCTGGAGTGTTGCCTGCAGGAGATGCCTCCGACGGTGCGTTCAAGGTGCTCCGGGGCGATGAAGCGCTGACGCACTGGTGCTTGAGAAACGTCTCGTCGTTGCGCAGAGACGTCAGGCATCGATGGCGCAGTTCACGGTCGCTGAGCCAGCCTCTTGTTTGCTGAGGGCTTACCAGCTGCAGAGCTCGCTGCGACAGAGCGTCGAAGGCGTCTGCGAGGGACCCAGCTTCTGCTTGCCACGTCTCAAAGCTGTTCGGATCGTCGCACATGACTCCCGTCGCAGCCCGCGGTCGCCCGCGCCCTGCTTTGGGCAACTGCCCAATGCGGGCTCCCAAGCGAACCGCAGAAACGACCTTGCTCCACACGGCCCCAAACCCAGTGAGCTGACGGCGTGCCGTCGATCCAGCCATTCGATGGTGCACTCTGCGGCACGAGCTACTCCCCAGCGCCCCCAACGACATCCGCCTCCTTCTCGTGCAAGCGCTCACGGTGGGTTGCGGGGCACAGGCGTCACTAATCTCACATCTGTCATCATCTAATGGGTACTGGGCTTGCACGAATGGGACGAGTGGCCCCGGCCGACCCCTCAACAGGCCCTCTGAGGACGCATGGGTTGCACACGCCTCCCCTGACGCACAAATCCCGCCGGTCGCTCCGTGGCCGTCGCGGAGCTGGCAGACCTGGTCCGCCGCAAAAAAGCGGGGCGCCTCCTTTCAAGGGTCGGAGAACTTGAGCTCATCGAACCTCGGGGCCAACTTGGCCACGGTCCCGCCCCCTCCGGCCCCCGCCTCCCACGTGGGCGCCTTGAGGCCGGGCGACGCACGCGGATAGGCCGCCACCGGAAGCACTGGCGCGAACTCGACCAGCGGCAGCACCCCACACAAGGGCCCGCACAGAAGCATGTGGTACACTGCGTGTTGTGGGGGCGGGGTGCTTGGGGCGTGTGTCAGTGACATGGGGCGGTTTCGGGCGTCTATCTGTACGTGGAAGACGTGCGCACCTGTGAGGTGGACAATCGCGGCGGCACGGAACTCGACCACGTCGGAGCCGCGCGCAGGGATCCCGTGGTGCCACGTCTTCGGAAGCAGCCGCGCGAGCGTGTATCTGAGCTCGTCCGATACGTTCTCGATATCTGCGTCGCTCATGCCAAGTCATGGCCTCCGGGTTCGACAAGTCCGCCGGCCGGTGAAGCATGCTCGTGCCAGGGCGCGCGCTTCGCACTGTTCACGTCAAGTCAGACTCATCGAGACGCGTGGTTGCCCGCACCTTGGAACAGGCCGTCCACGTAGGCCGCCGTCGCCGTCTGGATGGCGTCCGAGGTGTCGCCAAAGACAGACGAGGCCGCGACGTCCTTCGCAGCGGCGGCGAGCAGCAGCTTGAGCATCACGGCGTTGCTGCACTTGTTCACGCGCTCTGCCTCCTCGACCAGCTCGAGCCAGCTCTGGTACGTGCTGTCGCCGTTCAGCATGATGGCGCCGAGGAACTTCAGCCGCTCAGCGGTCCACGTCCGCGTCGCTCCTGGATCCTCCGCAACGGAGGTCGCACGGGACTGGGGCTGCGACGTCTTCGCAGGCCCTCCCGTCCTGTCGTGGGAGGCGGTCGACGGCGTCGACGGCATCGGCGATGGCCCTGCGCTCTCGGTCTGCGTCGGCCTGGTGTCCTCCTCCGACGGCTCATGCCACGCCGCGGCGACGAGCGCTGCTGCCTTCGCGTTCTTGATTTCCTGCGAGCACGAAGGGCGACGAGCGGGTCTCACAGGGAGCGCAGCGGGCTGAGCGGCCGACACAGAGGCTGAGTCCGGTGCGTGAGGCGTTGCGGCACATCAAGTGGTTTTCGGCGTTGCGAGGTGTGCCGGGGCCTCGTGATCTTGCCTCCACGCGCTTCTCGAGGACCGAGGCCGACATTGAGTGGCGGTACACGAGGAAGCACCCGCCATATTCGTCGGCATGCTCATACGTGTCGCGCCCAGAGCCTGACGAGAGCGCCTGCACGTGCATGTGTTGACGGAGCGGTCAGACGAGCAATGCACGCGCTGTGCACGGAGCGACGCATCTGTCTCGGCCAGCACGAGCTCTCGGACCGGCGCGCACCTCGAACAGCCTGCGACGGATCGGCCAGCACGCCAGGTAGAGCACGCCGTTCAGATCCTCCGCGTAAATCTCGGTGGCCGCCGCCCGCGCCACCGTATGCGTCTCGCGGTTCATGCTGATACCCGACCATGGCACGGCTCCGTCACGGAGCACTGCGGCATGGCAGCTGCCGAACATGTCGTGCAAAAGCAATTCAGCGTCCTCCTTCTCCTGCTCGTCTACGAGCCCAGGCCCTGCGATGCAGCTCCGACGCGGAACTCGCTCAGCAGTGTCGTCTCCTGGCGACGTGGACGCACCCAGCACGCAGGTATCGCGAGGCGCTCACCTCGAGAGATGTCGACGACGGTGGGAAGCCACGTGTAGCCTCGCAGGGGCTGCAGGCAACGGTTGCTGAACTTGCACCGCACAAATGCTTCGGCAAAGCGTGTCTTCGCGCTCGCCGATGCAGCCTCCGGAAGCGCTGTCCCGGCCGCCCCGGCATCGAACACCGCTAGCAAGCCTTCGTTGTTCCACGCGTCGAGAACGTCGCGAACGATCTGTTCCGGCTGCCGGGAGGCACTTTGATCGAGGTCGAAGGGGTTGGCAATCGAGCAACGACCCTCGTTGCGGTGCTGAACCAGACTTCTTGCTTTTAGAATCGCCGTCATGCAATGACTGCAGTTCTCCAACGTGCGCCCGCAGAAACAGCGAGCACCGGCCGTGTTTTCCGCGGAGTCCGACACAATCTTCAGCCTGCACCACACAAGCGGCCAGCGCGAACGTCAGCCCCTCGCAACTGCACCAACAATGCGAGCCCCACCGATGTCGCAAGGACGTCGCCGCTCGCGGTCTCGACGCCCGTACGGCGGGAGTGCCTACCAGAGCTCCATCGAGCCGGCGAAGTCGCTCGTGGCTGCCGCTTCGGGCCTGACGCGCAGGAGGAACTCCTTCAGCGCCGGCACGCCCTCCTTCGGCCCCCCACCAAGCTTGAACCCGAGATGATTTCTCTTCCTTGTCCTGCGTGTGGACACAGCTCGAACTCTCAGCAGGCTCATGCCTTGATGCAGCCCGGCCATGGAAGGCAACGCCCGGGCACGCAAGCGCTGTGCGGGACGACGCACCCCTGATAGGGGACGAAGTAGTAGTCGTTGCCGAATATGCACGACGCTGCCTGGAGGCGCCCGAAATCGGGCTTCTCGCTGTGCAGAACACATCTCGTCAGGCCTTCATCGACTTGGACGTGGGGCGTCTCGAACCACAAAAAATCCGAATCCCGCGATACGGTCCACAGCTTGACCCGCCCGGCGTCGGCCTCTTCCTTTGCGAACTTGCAGCACTGCACATCGGCATCGCCGTACCCTTGGAACTGCGGCAGAACGGATGAAGATCAGGGGATGTGCACCGTTCTCGCAGGGGGGGGCGGGGGCCTCGAGGCTGACGGAAAGAGCGTCCGTGAGAGCCCGCGAGCACGGCCGCACCTGAGCAGTATTCGTTCGGCCTGTGTGCAGCGAGAACTGATGGAACACCTCCTTCTTCAGCAAGGGAAGGCTGTTGATCTCCCGTCTGCTGCGGCGATCTGTTCTATCGCGATCCGGCGAGTTCCAGTCCGCCTGCGTCATCGGCTGGCCGAGGTCTGGCTTGTCCTTGGTGTCTTCGCCGTCGGAACCGCACGCCTTCTTCAGGAACGGGTCCGCGCCCTTGACCGTGGAGTCTCCGTCGAACACGAAGTAGACCTTGCCCCCTACGAGCAACGGGACGCGTTCCATGGTCAACTTCGTCCAGCTCGGCACAAGGTCCGTCGATGGGATGCGAAGCCGAATGCGAGGGCGGCATGGCACGCGCGGGCAGCGAGACAGCGTGCGTTGCGCACCCAGCCAACTCGCCACCTCGTCTGCAGCCGGATCGAAAATGCCTTTGTAGTAGGAGAGAACATCGTCGGGGGACGACAGCTGCTGGACGCTACGACCGCCTGTGTTCGGAATCTTCGCCGACAGCCTGCACTTGAAGTTGCTGCCATCAATGACCAGCCCGTGCGGCAGTTCCGTCGTGCCCGGCCCGATCTTCTTCGCCGCACCCCGGAGGCCTCGAGGTTCGCTCGAGCCGTCCGACGATGAGCTCGGCCGGCCCTGCCACGCGTGACACGGCAAGGCTCAGATGTCAGCAGCGTGAGATGAGTTCGCGGCAGAGCAGGCAGGCCGCCCCGCTCGCGCAGAACGTTCCTCGCAAGGCATGCACTCGGCGAGAACAGCGACCTGAGCGGCGCTCGCGTGCCAGCGAGACAGTCACGGCACGCTCCGCTGCCCAAGCCGGTCGCAACCACTCGCGACGCAGTCGTGTCGGCAGGCGAGCAGTGCGCCCAGCGAGCGGGCCTGCGGCACGCGCTTCCGCCCATCGCGGGCAGTGCGTCGGGTCGGCGGGAGGGCAAGGCGCAGCTCGCCATGTCGACGAAGCCCCGCACAGCACGCCCTAGCACACATGCTAGGTCGGGTGCGAGCGACGCACCTTGGTCGAGCTGTCCTGGCCATTCGGACGGCCCGATCCCCCGCCCTGATTTCTCTTGTGCGGCGGGACCCACTTGCCGCCCCTGCCACCGCTGCTCGGCCCCGCGCCCCCGCCCCGATGCCTGCTGCCCGCTCTCTGCTTTGATCTGCCGCTGTCGTCCATTCTAGCGCGACCTCACCGGGCACGTCCACGTCACTGACGCTATATGCCCCGTGGCTGTGCCGCGAGGGCCGTCCGAGGTCCGCCGAAGGCTCCGCCGCGCGCCCAGGGCCCGACAGCCGTTCATGCTCCTACTGTGCCGAGGCCGGGGGCGCGAGCGCGGCAATTGCTGGCGTCGGGGCGGTGGCGGCCGGCAGAATCGAGAGTACTCGCAGTACTGTGAGCCTAAACTCAAAGACCAGTCCCGTGCGTCCGACTCACCGTCGCGTCGGAGCTCCAAGGGGAATCGGAGCTATCGTGTTGCTTGCAGGGGCCGCAGCGCCCCGTGGGTGGCCGCGCGCAGGATGAACTTCAACCGTCCGCTCGACGACATCGTGAGGGACCGCAGGGGGGGCCGCCGCGACGGTCGCGGGGGCCGCGGAGGCGGGTGGCACGGCCAGCGTCGCTGGGGCTCGGACCGAGGCTACGGCGGCCGGGGCTCGCAGCACCGTTCCAGCATCGAAGACTCGCCGGAATTTCGTAGAATCCATGACGAAGATAGGAAGAAGGCGCTCGACATGCTCCACGACCGTCTCTTCGAGCTGCCCCGCGCGGAGGTGCCCTCCGCCTCGGTGGAGCTCTTCACGGCGCCCGCATTCGCCGTCCCGGACATGATGGACCTCAAGAAGCGCCTCAACGAGACCAAGGATAAGCTTGACACCAAGGACATCAGGCGCGGGCCCACTCCGCGCGCCCGCGACGCCCCAGCGCGGCGCCCCCCCTCGCCATTGACCGCCCACGCTCACTGGCCACTCATCCCGCTCCCGCGACGCGCAGCGTGTGGGGGAAGCACACCACGTTCACCAACCGGGCCGGGGACGTCGTGCGCCGGCTCAGGCAGAGCGTCGCGCCGGAGATGTGCACCATCGCGTGGGCGAAAATGTACGAGATGATTCACGCGTGCGGGCTGTTGACCGAGGAGGCCGTGGGGCGCGCCCGCGCGGACCCGGCGCGCCAGGCGGTGGCTACGGTGCACCTGTGCGAGGCACCAGGTGCGTCGATGCCCGGCGGGCCCCGCGACCGACCGTCTCGCGCGCTGCGCGATGCCATGAGTGCTGTGTTCAACTGACAGCCACGGAGGTCGGCTCTACGCGCCGCGGGGGCCGAGCGGGCCGCTTCCGACGCCGCATGTGCCCGCGCATGCAGGCGCGTTCATCGCGGCGACGAACCACTACGTCCGCACGAAGCTGCCCCGGTGGGAGTGGGACTGGCGTGGGTTGACGCTCAACCCGTACTTCGAGGGGAACGACCGCGGTGCCATGATCGACGACGACGCCCTCATCAAGGAAACAATGCAGCACTGGTGCTGGGGCGCGGACAACTCAGGTGCGGGCCCGGAACGAGCCGCTGTCGCGCTCAGAACAGCTGGGCAGACCGCGGCAGTGCTGGGCGGGCTGGAGCCCCCGGGCCGCGCCGTGAGCGGACCGGGCCGCTCGAGGGGCGGCGCCGGCGCATGTGCGGCACAGTCTCGTGGCACTGGCCTGGCCATGAGGACGCCTGGCGCTCCCGGGGCTCCAGCCCGGGCAAAACCACCCATGTTGCCACCACGTACGTGTTTGCCAGGCCGTCCGGCACTTTCAACCGGTAGTGGACTGATGCTGGCATTTTCAGTCCATCAGCGTCGCCCGCCGCGCTGAAAGTGCATCGCTAGGCGTCCGGACGCCGAGGACGGGCCCGATAGGCTATGCGCCAGTGCCCCAGCCAGGTCGCGGGCGCCGCAGCGGGCCGAGCCGCACGTTACCCTGGGCGGCACTTGATCAACATGTCCACGTAGGCGACGTGCGCGAGCCGGAGAACATCCGGGCGCTCTGGAAGGAGGCCCAAGGCATGTTCAGCAAGCTCGGCGTGGCGGGAGCGACCATGGTCACCGCCGACGGGTCCATCGACTGCCAGGAGAACCCGAACGAGCAGGAGGCAACGACAGCGCCCCTGCACTACTGCGAAATGGTGAGTTGCGCCCCCAGACACGCCGCGTTCCCGGCGCGACATTCTCGCCGTGTCGCACACGGCCCACCCCACCGCCCATGCGCCCGCGCGGCGTGCAGGTGTGCGGCCTCGGCATGCTCGCGCCTGGGGGGTCCCTGGTGCTCAAGGCCTTCACGCTCTTCGAGCACCCGTCCGTGTGCCTGATGTACATGCTTTCGTCGCTCTTCGACACGTGCCTGGTGCACAAGCCGGCCACGAGCAAGCCCGGGAACTCGGAGGTGTACGTGATCGGGAGGGGCTTCCGCGGGATCGAGCCGGCGCTCCTGGAGCGGCTGCTGTCGTTCGTTTCGAAGGACCCCGGGATGTTCAAGAACGTCTCGCTGCTGCCGGAGGCCTCGATACCGGAGTCGTACATGAGGCAGGCGGTGGCGTGCGCAGGTGCGTGTCCGGGGCGCAGGCCGAGCAGCTCGCGCGGCAGGACGAGCTGGGGCATCGCGGCCTGAGTGCACGAGTGCGGATGTCCACGTCGGTGGTTGCAGGGAAGTTCAGCGGCGCGCAGCGGGACATCATCGAGGAGAACCTGGAGCTGGACACGTTCATGAGCCACCCGACGAGGGAGTCGAGGTACAAGGTCAAGCGGTGGTTCGCAGAACACTTCCGAGAGGTGCGTCAGGAAACACACCCCCTCCCCTCCTCTGGTTGCACGGCTGCCTGCGCAGATACGCGCTGCCGCTGCGTCGGCTGGCGTGATTTCCTGCGGTACGCAGCCGCCGGCCGCCCGAGGCGCGGTTGCGGCGGCCCGCTGACATGATGTGTGGTGTTGTGGGGATGTTGCAGTGGTACCGGATCATGCCGCTTGACAAGAGCATGCACCTCGCCAGGACGCGTCTGACGGGTACGAACAACAACACGAACAAGAGCCTCGGGGGCCGGGGGCGCGACAAGCCTGGCGGGACGCTGGAGGAGCGCCGCGCGCACTACAAGCGCAGGTGCGACCGTGCTGGAGCCCGCATGTCAGCCCTGCGCGCATGCTGTGCCTGACAGCGTCCCCGTGGCACGACAGCCGCAACGGACCGCGGGCCGCAGCAGGGCTCATGTGTTGAGAGCGGCAGCGGAAGGGAACACCGCGCAACATGTGTTGTCGTGCCCCGCAGGCGCGACGACCTGTACGGAGAGACCACGGAGGACGGCAGCGCGACGGTGTCGGTCGAGGAGCGGCCGCGGAAGCGCCACATGGGATCGGGGATGGACGTGTACGTCGACGAGCAGTTCCAGGACCCCAGGGGCGACGACGCAGGCATGGGTCTGCCGGAGTCGAACAAGGGCATGCAGGTCCGTGGAGCGGGCCCCTGGTGGTGCGGGATGAAGTGCTGCGTGAGGCATCGCAACGCCGCGATCTCACCTGCGCAGCGCTTTCCGTCCGCCTGCGCAGATGCTGATGGGGATGGGATACAAGCAGGGCCAGGGCCTGGGTCGCAAGAACGATGGGATCAGGCAGCCGTTGCTGGACCACAGTCAGCAGTCCAGGATGGGTCTGGGTTTCGGGCTGGACAACCGCGCCGCCCCCGCAACGCGCTCTTTTGCGCCGGTCCCGGACAGCCGGGCGCACGTCAGGGACGGGCGCGTCTCTTTGGGTGAGTGCCCTGCTGTGGGGCTCGTCGCGCCGCTGACTGCCGCCCGAGTCGCCTTGCATCAAATACAATGCCAACATGCGCTCATGTCTGGTGTTTGCAGGGGGCTCGTGGGCGATCGACGCTGCCCGGCCGGTGGCGATCATCGCGAGCAAGTTCCTGCCGGACGACGTGCTGCGTTCGCTCAAGTCGAAGCGAGAGGCACTCAGCAGCAAGGGCCTGCAGTGCAAGCACGCCACACCGTGCTGCGCGCCGAGGTGAGGCCCGCGCGTGCTGGCACCTCGCCGCCTGGCACACAGAGTCGACGCCCGAGCGCCGTCGCGAACGCGCGTAACAACAAGCGCCCCCTGCGCCGGTCGCCCCATGCAGGTCTGGCAACGGAGTCGCAAGCCGGTCGTACTGGAAGCTGGCTGCGGCGAGCAGGACGCTGAAGATCCTGGAGACGATGAGCCTCGGAGGGATGCTCGACGACGGGACGGACGACGTGTGCGTGGATCTGTCGGCTTCGAAGGCGGGCGTGGCGCAGTTCTTGTGCGACGCCAGCCAGGCGAACGCGCAGCCGCTGCACGTCCTCACGACCGCGTCGGCGGCGGTGCAGCACTGCCCGGCTGGGAAGGTGACGTGCGTCGGCCCGCACCCGGAGGCCGCCGTCTCGGACGGGCACGGCGTGAGCAGCGCAGTGCAGGTGACGATCGCGAGCGTCGAGGAGCAGCTCAAGGCCAGACGAGTGACGGGTGCGTGCGATCAGACTCTTGCGCCGCTGCGGGGCAGCGTGCTCGAACGAGCCCGGGCCGGCCTGCTCGCTCGCTCGCCTGCAAGATGCTTGCCACTCCAACGTGACGCTCGGCTTCGTGGGTGTCGTCCTGCGCAGGGGCGGCTCTGGTGGTCGGCGATCTCTCCAGCCTGAAGAGTCTGGTGAAGTCTTCGCCGCCGGTGGTGCCGGGCTCGCTCAATATCGAGCTGAGCCTGCGCTACCGCCGACAGCTTGTTGCTGAGGCGCTTGTCGGTCTCAAGGTGCGTGCTGCGTTGCTGGCGGCCCTCGACGCCACGTGCGCGCCGCTGAATGTCTACAGCGGCACGTTGCTGCGGATCGTCGCTGGCGTCGGGTGGTGCGGTGTCACACGTTCGTTGCAGGGCGAATCAGCGCGCGCCAACTCGTCCATCCGTTTGTTTCTCCGGCGTGCAGGTGCTTCAGACGAGCGGCTCGCTGGTGCTGCGTCTCGGGGACTGTCTGACCCGCTTCTCGGCGGGTGTGCTGTACTTGCTGCACAGCTGCTTCTCCTCGTTCGTCATCATGCGGCCGTTCACGAGCTGCGTCGTCTCGCTCGGCGAGCGCATCGCAGTCTTCTCGGGCCGCAACAGCTCGGTCAAGGACTGCATCGAGCGCCTGTCGACGCTGCTGGCCAAAATGGAGGAGTGCGAGCGGTCCGGCGAGGAGCTGGTGTCGAACCCTGTGCCGCCCCAGGAGTACATCGGGACGGAGTTCTTCAGCTACATCTTCTCGCGCAACGTGGCGCTCGCCGAGGCGGAGGCGTCGATGCTGGGGAACCTCCTGCGGGAGGGCGCCGCGGAGGAGGGCGCGGCGCTGGACCACGCGGTTGCGAGGGAGCAGGTGGGCGTGCGGGCGTAGGGAGGCCGCGTCACGAGGCGGCGTGGACGACGCTGCGTGCGACACACGAGTCGCTGGACAGCAGATTTTGCTTGGGACTGACTGGAGGTGACTAGAGCTGCGTGATCACACGAACCTGCTGTACAAGGACAGCGAGGCAGTGAGACGTGAGCTGAGAGCATGGCGGAGCTGAACCAAGGATCGGGACGCCCCCGGAGGCGACGTTGCCTCCTTTCGGGCGCTCGGTCTGGCGGGGCACGCCCCGCGAATCAACGTGCTGTGAATACTAGCTTAGCGGCGGGGCGGAACGTTGACGTTCGGCTGCTTGGTCTCTGGAATCAGTGGCAGATGGAAGGCGGCCGGCGGACGTTGAATTCCGGGCGACCCGTCGGCTCTGCGCGTGCTACGTCGCGAACGTCGATGGCCCCGGTGATCGGGTCAAGATGCTGAGCGTGAGTTTCAGGCCACTGCAACATGGAGTGACGAAAATACGGGAACGGGCGCGAGGCGAGCAGCAGGTCGACCACGCCCCGCTTGCTGCGTCCGTCTGCACGACCGCTCCCAGTATGCGCGCCCGCGTCGCGCCCAACAGCACTGCAGAGCCGCGTGTACATCGATCGGGAGGCCCATTTCATGGCCAACCGGCTGACGCTCTGGTTTGCACATGTAGGTGGAGCGATTTCGACCAGGCGGACAATCACGCTGCCGCCGTCGCACACTGCATCCATGCTGCGGCAGCATCACTCCCCCGCATACGACGCGAGCTGGCCCCGGCAGCGACGCAGCAGGCCTGTGCGTATCACGCGCGGAGCCTGGCGGCAGCGTTGCGCAGGCGTGCGTTCGCACCGCTCGTTGTGCGGCCCGTGACGGGCGCGATCTCTTGTACAGCACGCGTCAGGAGGGGGGTGTTGCAGTCTCTGCTGCGAGTGAGCACCGAGGCGCACACATTGCCGCCTCGCCGTGGTGCGCGGTCAGTGCCCGGTGGGAGCAACCGCCGCGCGATCCCGGCACCGACGCGGAGCGGGCAACACGCTAGCAGTTACGTCCAGCGGCCTGTTTTACGGCCTGGTGGCCCGCTCCGAGCACGCGCACCCAAGGTGCGATGATCATACTGCTGTCAGCGCGAATCTGGATCACCTCAAACGCGCGTTTTTGCACGACAGAAGCGCGCCTGGGCAGCGGGGGAGGTTGCAGCGCCGACGCGCACGAATCACGCGCTCGAGGCAGTCATTCCGCCATGAAATTCAATCTTTCGTGGCTGAGCGAGCGGACAGTATGTCGCGCGCGGCGTGTCCTGGCCGCTTGACGGAGCCACAGCCCACCCTCCTCCTGGTGTCCCTTCGCTTCTCCGGCGCGCAGGAGGCAGCAGGAGCCCCGACGTTGGACGACCTCCATCGAACCTCGTCTCCAACGATGGCACGGCGCCGGCGTGACGATACAGGCCCGGCAGCGCGCTCCACGCGCGCCCGAATCGACGCGGGGCCAGCGAGCGCAGAGACGCGCCCGCGGGCGGCGCTGCATGACCTCCAATGCGGGCGCGACGGCCCCCTGGCGAGCATCATCCGTCAGCTCCCGGTCGACGCGCGCGTCGCGCTGGCGGCGACGTCCTCCGCGCTGATGGCGAGCGTGCTGGAGAGCTGCGACGGGGCGCGGTGGTGGTCGCTGGAAGCCCGCGGCCGCCGGGCGCAACAGGCGGGGCTGACGGTCGCACGGCGGATCGAGGGGAGCGTGTCGGAGCAGACGACCAGCCTGGTCGGGTGGGCCACGGGCCAGGGCCGCTGGCAGGTGTTTGTCCGGGCGGGCGCCGACCCCGCGGACGCGTCGTGCGTGGTTCGCCTGGAGGTCGCAGAGGCCGCGAAGCTGCAGCGCAGCCTGGGCGACATCGGCACGTGCGCCTCGCCGATCACGCCCGAGATGACGGGTCTGCGGTGCATCGGTTTGTCGGGGTTGAAAGGGTTCGACATCGTCAAGCAGTGGGGGGGGGACTGGCTGCCCCAGAGCGTGCGCCGGGGGCTGACAGAGCTGGGGCTCGCGGGGACGGAGATCGGCGCAGTGCCGGCGGCGCTCGAGGCGCTGGAGGTTCTTGACATTTCATACATCAGCCACGGCACGAACATCCCGGCGTCCAGCGCGGCGAAGCTGAGGGTGCTGCATGCTCACTGCAACTATCTGCAGAAGCTGCCCGCGGGGGCCGGGAACCTCGAGGAGCTGCACATGCGGGGCGCTCGGGGCTGCGTTTCGCTGCGCTTCGAACCATATGATCAGATGCAGCCCGGCTCAAAGCTGCGGGTGCTGGACGTCAGCTACACCTGGTCCATCCGCAGCCTGCCGGAGAGCTTGCCGGCGCTGGAGGTGCTCGACGTCAGCCGGTGCTGGAACCTGCAGCTTGACGAGTTCCTGCGGTCGGCGACATGTCTGACAGGGCTGCGGGTTCTGCGCGCCAGATGCACCAGGCTCGGGGAGCTGCCGGAGCACATGGACGCGCTCGAGGAGCTCGATGTGCAGTCTTGTCGCCGGCTGCAAGGAATCCCGGCATCGAGTGCGAGGCGGCTGCGTGTGCTGCGGGCTAGCTTTTCGACCATCGAAACGCTGCCGGACGGCGCCGCAGCGCTGCAGGAGCTAGAGCTGGTGAATTGTAGTGAATTTCACGGCGCTCTGGACCCGGACGTCGCGGCTCGCCTGCGCCGGTGGGACACGAGGGGATCGAATCTGCTGCTGCCGGTGGGGATGGAGCCGACTGGGCAGAGGGAGGAGTAGACGTGCGGACTGAGGATCCGCCAGTTACAATGCCGTGCGCTGGCGACGTGTGAGGCGTGCACGGCGATGTGAGGTCCGCGTCTCCCGGGGTCCGAGAGCCTCTGCTGCTGTCGCCGCGACGGTGGGCGTGGTTGGCGTCGGGGGCGGGCGGCCGACACGACAGCAGCGCAGCGCGCTGAAGCCCAGATGTGCGCGCGCGGCCACGGCCGAGCGCAGGTCGTGCGGACGCGTGCCCGTCCGTACATGCCCCGGAGAGTGCGGGGCGCGAGCACTCGTTGTGTGGACGCGTCGCGCGACGGAATATTCGAACATCGTGCGCCGGAAGGCCGCAACGACGCTCCTCGCGAGGAGCGCCCCTCGAAGCCCGCGGCGCGAGGGCACGTGACGCGACGTGTACGAGCCAGCGCTGTCATGCAACAGGAGCATGTGCGGGAGTCGCTCGAATACGCGCTTGCAAATCTCGCTGGAGGCGACGCATCGAGCATCTTCGTCACAGTTTATCCACTGCGTGTCATCGACGAGGCCGTTACGCGCTCGCAGCGCCCGGGCGACCGACCCCATGCACGGCGGTTGATGTCAGCCTCGGGGTCCGACCGCACCGCGCCGCCAGCGCCGCTCAGGCTCCTTCGGGGCCGGCCGCGTGCTCCCCAGGTCAGTTCGCGCCCACCAAGGCGGCAGAAAGCACCGCTGCTGCACGGAGCGCCCGGGAGTCGCCTCTCGAGTGCGCCCTCGCTCGAGATGCCGTCCTTCAAGGAGGTCCGCAAGCGGTGCCCGACGTGCGACTACGCGTGGCTCGACAAGTACAACAAGCCAGAATGCCCCAAGTGCCTCAAGCCCCTCGGAGACGGCCACGGCCTGGAGCGCAAGCTCGAGGGAGTTGATATCTCTGGGATCTCAAAGGTGACGCCACCGACGCACGGGCCCTCCTCTTTCCCGCGCGACGCAGCTCCACTGACATCCGTCTCCCCCCGCGGCCGCCCCGCGCCGTGTCGGAGCTCGGCTCGAGCCGGCCGCGCGCTGCATGTGCCGCAGCAGTTGACGCTGCTGACGCGCGAGAGCCTCGTGCCTACAGGGTCCCGCGGACGCGCGCGAGAGCCAGTCCGGCACGTGCCCGAAGGGCGGAATGCACCACTGGAAGTACGGCAAGTGCAACAAGTGCAACACGCCCGAGGGGTACAAGGACGGCCCGTCCAAGGCCCCGTCGTTCCCGGGCGGGAAGAACCTGGCCTGCTCGAAGGCCCCCGACGGCGGGAAGCACGTGTTCAAGTTCTCGAAGTGCAAGTACTGCGGCGTGAGCGAGTACGGGAGCTCCGCGGCGCCGAAGGCCACGGTGCCGCGCAAGGCCATGAGCGTGCTGAGCAAGGCCGCGGACGCCGGCGAGGGCGAGTCGGGCGAGTGCCCGCGCGGGGGCCCGCACACGTGGAAGTTCGGCAAGTGCTCCAAGTGCCAGGTCGGCCAGGGCTACGAGGCGCACAAGACGACGGCGACGCACTTCCCTGGCGGCGCGAGCATGGCGTGCCCGCGCTCGCCGACGAACAAGCACCAGTTCAAGTTCGGCAAGTGCACGCACTGCGCGCAGCCGGAGTACGACCCGGGGAGCACGAAGCCCGGGGAGGTGAAGACGCACGTGCGCGGCGTGGCCTCGGACGCCAAGGAGCGCATGGCCGGCGTGTGCCCGATGGGCGACCAGCACCACTTCAAGTTCGGCATCTGCATCAAGTGCAAGGTCGACGAGGGCTACCAGGGCGCCGGCGCGCCCCCCAAGTCGGGCCAGTTCCCCGGCGGGAAGGACATGGCGTGCCCCCAGGTGCGGCCCGCGCGTCCGCCGCTCGCACAGCAGACGCGGCGACCACGCGGTGGACACTCCCTGCCGCGTGCGCTCCATCGCGCCGGTCCGTGCGTCGCTGAGCGCCGTTTGCCGAGGATTGTGTGTATGTGGCCGTGCAGGCGCCTGACGGCGGGAAGCACGTGTTCAAGTTCTCCAAGTGCACGATGTGCGGCGTGAGCGAGTACGACAAGTCGTTCCGCGCGGGCATCGAGTCGTCGAAGGTCCGCCTGGCGGGCGGCGCCGGCGACCCGCGCGAAAGCCACTCGGGCGACTGCCCCAAGGGCGAGCTGCACCACTGGCGGTACGGCAAGTGCGTCAAGTGCGGCGTCGCGGAGGGCTACGGCGGAGCGAGCGCGCCCCCGAAGGCCGCCGCGTTCCCTGGCGGCAGGAACCTGACGTGCCCCAAGGTATGACTCAATACGTTCCAATACTCCCCGCTCCTCGACGCGCAGTACCCGCAGTACCCGCGGTGCAGCGCGGCGTCGTTCGGGCGCTGTCGCGCTGATGCGCAAGCAGCTGCGGTGATACTTTTGCCTGCGCGAGCATGTGCGCGTGGTGCTTGCGTTGCTGCGAAGCGACGGGTGGGTTCGCGTCGCTCCGTGCGCTCCTGCAGGCGCCCGACAACGGCAAGCACAAGTTCAAGTACAGCAAGTGCGAGTTCTGCGGCGGCTCGGAGTTCGACTACTTGTAGCCCACTCAAGGCACGTGCACGAGACGACGTTGAGGCCCGCGATGGTTGGGAAGGGACGATTCGCAGAAGCGGCGAAGGGCTCGTGCTGCGACGTCGCGGCGTCCGCAGCCGCGTGTGACCGTGTGATCTTTGAGCCCCGGGGGTGTGTTTGTACCTTTGAGTCAGGGAGCGGCTCGCTGGCGCGAGGTCTTTGCGCGTGCGCGGTCCGTGCAGCGCGCACAACGTTGCTTGAGGACGCAGGGGTAGTTTGGCCCAGGCACGGACGCAGGCGGAACCCGGGTGTGTGTTTTGCGATGCAGCGCAACGTGTCGGGGCAGCACGGGAACCCGAGCCGCGCGCAAGTCGAATCCGTGGTGACGAACGAGGCCTCCCTCTCGGACAAGGTGCGGAGAGCGGCCGGCCGTCGCACGCGGGCTGGAAGCTCGCTGAAGTGCCTGGGGTTCGTTGTCGCGTACGTTGCGGTGGATTCCTGCGTTGTTACTACGCGTCGTCAGATCCTCGATATCCGTCAGTGCCGTCCCTGCACAGGTGCGTCGAGCTGCGGCGCTGAACCGCCCCTGCGTCGCCTCTCGAGGCTTTGGTTCGCAGGACCGGAGGGCGTTCGAAACCAAGGCGCTGCGCGCGCTAGCGCAGGAGATCAAGGACCTGGAGAAGACGCAGTGGGAGAACGAGGCACCCAGGCACGACACCAACTACCTGCGCTCCCTCGACAAGCAGTGAGGAGCACGTCAGCTGTCCAGCCTGCGCTTGACACGATGGCGGAGAGCACGTTCCCCGTCGTGTCTATCGCGTACCGCGAGGAGGATGCCGCGGCGCTCAGAGACATGAGGATGGCCATGGAGAAGCAAGACCTGAGCGAGGCTGCCCTGGGAGTCACAGAGCGGGTGGGCGCGCCCACCCCACCACCCTCAACCCGCTCGCCGGGCCCGTACACGGCCCTGCTCCGCGAACAAAATCTCGAGGACATCCCATGATACTCCACGACCAGCCACGCAAGGCCAGCAGCTCTGAAACGGCGCGTCCACCCGCTCGCGGCATCTTCCTTCCTGGCTCACTCAGCATCGACCACCGTCGTCGTGCCCGTCGCAGGCCATCGACGCGAACGCCGCGGACTACACCGCGTGGGCGTGGCGCTGGCGCTGCCTCGAGGCCCTGCGCTCGGACCTCGACCAGGAGCTCGAATGGCTTGAGCCAAATATGTTGTCGAATCCCAAGAACTACCAAATGTGGAATCACCGCCGGAGGGTGGCCGGGGCGCTCTGCGCGGCCGACGGGCCCGCGGTGCTGGGACCGAGGGTCGCCGCGGAGCTGGCATTCGTGGAAGAGGCTCTTCGGGACGACGCGAAGAACTACCACGCGTGGGCGCACCGGCAGCACTTCGTGGGGGCCGTGCTGGCGGGCGCGGACGGGGCCGCGGCGGCGCAGGAGGAGGCCGAGTTCACGGACCGGCTGATCGAGCGGGACGCGCGGAACAACTCGGCGTGGAACCACAGGTGCACGCACACGACGCTTTCGCCGCTGCGCTGCCGCCACGGCCCCTGGTCGCCGCGGTGGCCGACGTGCTCGCGGTTCGACGACGCGCGGCCCCTGGCTGACGCAAGCACTGCTGCGTTGAGGTGCCGGTTCGTGCAGGATGTACGTCCTGCGGGCGTCGATGGGTGCGGCGACAAGCGAGGCGGACGCTACGAACGTGGTGCGGCGGGAGCTCGCGTACGCGTGGCGGCGGATCCACCCGGTCGGGCACTACAACGAGAGCGCGTGGGCGTACGCGCGGGGCCTCGGGACGCTGCCGGGCGCGACGTTGGTGGCGCTGTCGCCTGTCGTGGGGATGGCGAAGCGTGTGCTGGACGACAGCCCGGGGTGCCCGCCGGCGCTCGCGGCGCTGGGGGAGTACTGCGAGGCTGTGTGCCGCGCGGGGCTGGCGGAGGCGGCGGCGGGCGGCGGGGAGGGGGTGTTTCAGGCGTCGGCGGAGTCGGGCGCCGCTGCGCTGCGGGCGTACGCGAGCCTGCAGGGCAGCGACGGAGTGCACGCGGCGTACTGGCGGACACGCGCGGACGCGCTCGCGGACCACATGGGCGGCGGGGGAGCGGCGAGGTAGCTCGAACGGGTTCTCGACTTGCTTTGAATCGCTGGGCTTTGATATTGAAATTGATATTGCTTCAACGATCCGTTCGAACACCAGACCAAAGACCGCGGTGTCATGAGCATCACGACATCATGAAATCACAGGTCTCGGTCTCCTCCACGCCGATGACAGCCCCGCGCCCGCAGACGACAGCGGACGCGCGTCCTCGCACGCCGCTCGCAGCCCGGTCAGACCGGCAGCCGCAACCGGTCCGAGCCCTGGAACACCAGGTGCGCGCGATCCGCTCTGGTGATCCCGCCCGCCGTGTGCACGGACAGGTACACCGTCAGGTGCCCCCACTCCAGCATATGCACGGGCAGCCCCTCGCGCGACACCCAGTTCCCCCGCAAGTCCAGGTGCGTCAGGCGCCGACACCCCCACCCCAGACTCGGCGACACGGACTTGAGGGAGTTGCGCGAGCAGTCGAGCACCTCGAGCTGCCTGCACCGCCCGACCTCCTCCGGCACAGCGCCCTGCATAGCGTTCCCCGCCAGCCGCAGCTTCCGCAGCGAGCGCGCCATGCACGCCGCCAGCGGGAACGCGTCCAGCCTGTTGTCGTTCAAGTTGAGCTCTCGGAGGCTCGGGAACACCCGCGCGGCGTTGGACTCGCCGTCGTCGGGGTCGTCGGGGTGCAGGAGCGCGTGCATGGCGTCCTGGTGCGCGCCGTCCGTTGTGATCCCGTTGGCGGACATGTCGAGGCGCTGCAGCGCCGGGAGGCGGAGGAACTCGAAGGGGATGGCGGAGAAGCTGTTGCGGGAGAGGTCGATGTCGGTGAGGTGCTGCAGGCGGTCGGACCACGACACGCCCGCGCGGGTCGGCAGCGCCGCGGCGTAGCAGAGACTGCAGGGGCGCGCCGGGGCGGGTGGCAGTTCGGTTCAGTTCCGGCGCGCTCGAAGCGACGGCGGAGCCTGCCACAGTGACTGATGGGATGAATTGGGTGGTGCCCGCACCTCACGCTGAGCTTCTCGAGCGACGTGAAGGCCGGCAGGAGCTCCGGGAGCGCGGTCCTCCACTCCGTTCCCCTGTCCCGCACGCGCCCACGCACCGCGATCTCCCGCAGCTGCATGCCGGCGTACGCCTCCGGGTCGTCCCCAGAGACCCCCCCCGCGTGCACGACGGGCTGCGGAAGGACGAGCCGCCGCAGGCGCCCGAGCTGCGCGATCGCGGGGTCCACGCACGTGAGGCCCGTCCGCGACAGGTCGAGCGTCTCGAGGCCGCCCAGGTGCGGCACGCACTGCGCGAGGTGCGTCCACTCGAGCGGGGACCAGCCGAGCAGCGCGAGGTGCCGCCACGCGGGGGGATCGCCGCTCTCGCGCAGCGCCGCGGCGAGCGAGCCCGGGTGCATCGCGCTGGACTCACTGCTCGACCCGTTGTCTGCGCGCCACGTCATGCAAAAAACAAGGCATCGAGGTCGCACGAACGACGATGATGTGGCGCGTTCGCGGCGCGCTGGGAACGCAGACGGCTAGGGCGCACCGTTCAGCTCCAGGCTGCGGAGTTTCGGGATCGCGACGAGCTCCGGCGGGAAGTCGAATGGTTCGGTGGTGCTCGCGGTGCCGCGGAGCGCCCCGGAGAGCACCAGGCGCGTCACGTGGCTCTTCGCGAGCGCCTTGGCGATGGCCCGCGCGCCCACGGCGTCGCACGGCACGACGAGCTCCTCGAGATGCCGCAGCTGCGACAAATTCAGACCGTACAGCGTGCGCCCGCAGCCCACAACCTCCAGGCTCCTGCGCCCACGCGGCCGAGGCACAGAGACGGTCAGGTCGCGAAGCAAGCGCTGCGCTCGGTCGGTTGAAGCGCGGAAGCCCAGGGCTGGAGTCGCGATGACGAGGGGGGTGTGCGCTTAGGGGTGGTGGTCGCGCCTGATGTGGGGGATGTGGTCGGCGAACCGCTCCTGCAGCTGCAGCGCTCCGCCGCCGATCTTGAGGCGCGTGAGGCTCGTGAGCGCGCCCAGCGTCGGCCCGTGCAGGTGTTGTAGCCCCTCATCCATTAAGGAGAAGTCGAGGGACTCGAGGGACGGTATCTGCGCCAGGACGGACGGCAGCTGCTCGTCGTCCTCCTTGCCCTCCGCCAGGAGCACGTTGCTGCGCGGAGCAGCGGTCGCGGCGCAACGCAGGGTTCGAGTGAGGGGGGAACCGCACACCAGCGCGTTGGAACCACAACGTGACTTGATGCGTGGAAGAGCCGGAAGTTCGCGAATCGGAGCTGTCTCACGTGTTGCTATTGCAGTGGCGGCGCAGGTCGCCGGCCTCGCCGCGCGGTGGCCCTGCGCCCGGCGTGCACGCGGCCACGTGCGCGGACGGCGTGGAGGGTGCTGGCGGGCGCACCTGGAGAGGTCGAGGTGTGTGAGGCGCGTGAACAGCTTCATCTCGACCGGGAGACGGCGCAGGAAGTTGTTGCTGAGGTCCAGGGACTGCAGGGCGGGCATCCGCGACGGCCATGCAGGCTTGAACTCGCGCAAGCTGCAGCCCGCGAGGCGCAGCGTGCGGAGGCCCGGGAAGCCGCCGGGCATCTCGAAGAGGCAGGGCACGACGCGGGTGCGTATTTCGAGCGACCGGACGCCCGCCGCGCGCTTCTGCAGCCACTCGGCAAGGTTTGCGGCGTCCTTGGGGGAGCGGTAGACGCGCGGGGTGGTGGAGGGCGACAGGAGGATGTCGCCCCAGACGAAGACGCCCGCGGCCTGCCCCGGGTCCGCGAGGAGGCTGTGCCAGCGCCTGCGGGCCAGATGGCGTCCGCGGGTCGGCGGTTGGTGCTCGGAAGGTTGTTCCGGTGTGCTGGCGCGGGAGGAGCGTTTCTCTGTGGCCGGACAAGCATGGTTGCAGCTTTCGTAGATGATGGACATGGCCGCGCCCTCCTGGCGGCCCGTGCGTGGGCAGGGGCGTGGCGAGCGGTCCGGGGAGGCCATGGGACGAGTGTGTGTGCGCAGCGTACTTGCAGACGAGCGGAAGGGCGCGGATCTTGTCGACGAAGTTCACTTGGCTCATGATCATCTCGATGCAGTCCAGCGGCAGGTCCGACAGCGTGACGTCGACCGCGGCACCGTCGCCCCCCCCTCCACCGCGCCCGTCCGCGCGGTTCGCGCCCCGCACGCTCATACCAGGCATACGCGCGCTATCGTTCCTGCTCTGAGAGCCCGTTTCCTGAGCAGGTCTCCTGCCTGCCCCGTCAACCGCCGCGACGCGGCCCTTGCTAGCTTCGGCGTTCTGTTGCGGGCGCCGGGGCACCCGACCTGCCGAATCGCTGGCCGCAGTGCGTTGGACGGACACGTGGGACATGCAGCGTGCGGGTGTGCCGCGCGAGGACGGCCGGAAGAGGCCTGCGGGGCCGCGGCAGCGGGGCGGGTCGATCCGGAGACTCCGGCGGTACAACCAAGAAGGGACATCCTCGACTGCCGCGCATCCACGTCTCTCGAGTGCCCAGCCGCCCGGCCGGCGCGCGCACTCCCGCGCACCTCGACCCACGACTACCCCGACCCACGCGACTGCCTAGCCTGAAGCCAATCTGCCCGCATCGGCGTCCAGCGTCGCAGACCCCGCCGCGTCCGGCGCTGGCAAACGACCACGCCACCACCCAGCACGGCCTGCCCGCACGGCGTCCAGCGCGCGGCACGCGCGGCGCGTCAGCGAGGCCTGGTGCGTCGCCTAGCTTCACACCATGGCGCGGCGCAGCATAGGAGAGAAGGAGCGGCCGTTGGTGAACAAGAATGTCGACTTTATCGGCGCCAAAGGGTCCTGGGCAATGTACATGGTCCTCGTCGCGATGCTGTGGGCGGCCTGCGCGGCGGTGATGGAGCCCGGGACGGCGATCGTGTGCACGCACATCTCGCACGCAGGTCCGTGGCCCACAACAACCACGAATCGCCGTCTAATTCCGCGTTTTCCCCCAGTATCTGTCCCGGAGCGTGACGCGCCGAACGCCGGAGCCTCGCCGCAGCCATTCGCCTGCGCGCGCCCCCCGGCGAACAGCCGCTGTACGGATCCCTCGCCCCAGCGCACCCGCGTCGCCCGCGCGGCTCCTCGCGGCCGCCCGCGACGCGCCCTGCGCTGCCACTCCCGCCTCCCGCCCGCGGCCGCACGCGACGCGGCCCGCCCCGTCCGCGGCCGCCGCGCAGTGATCACCTTCTTCTTGTTACACTGGGTCAAGGGCACCCCGATCCCGGGCGACCAGGGCAAGTATAACCAGCTCACGCTGTGGGAGCAAGTAGACGAAGGAGTGCAGGTGCGCCCCCCGCAGCGCGCGCCTCCCGCCCGGGCCTCTCCGCGCCTGTGCCGAGCCGCGCCGCCGCGTGCGGACTGGCCCCGCGCGGCTGCGTGCGTGCTGCGCGTGCTGCGAGCAAGCCGAGGCCACACGTGGGCGCGTTCGTGGGCGCTGCGCGCAGGGGACGCCGAACAGGAAGTTCGCGACGGTCGTGCCGGCGCTGCTCTTCGCGGCCGCGATCCCGGCGGCGGGGAACGGCGTGCTGCTCATCCCGACAGTGGTTGCGGGCGTGGTGGTCATCGTCGCGAAGATGCCCGCGATGTACCGCGTGCGCATCTTCGGGATCAACCGGTACTAGCGCGACGCCGGCGGAATGTGACCGCGGGCCCTCCTGCCTGTGCACACGCACCGCCAGCCTGCCTGTCACGGAGCGTCTCGGGCGCGAAAGCCGTCCGCACGCGCCGCGGATGTCACGTGCGCGCTCGCATCGGCGTGGCTGCGGGCTGTGCGCGCCGCTCGGGCGAGCGTCCTCGCGGTGAGGGTGCCTGCAGTCAGCGCGCAACCAGAAAGGGCGCGGGCGGGCGCATGCGCGACGCGCAGCGAGCGCAGTCAGCGGCCCCGGTGCGCGTGGGACGCGGCGCGCTCGCGATGCCGGGCGTCACACGTTGTGTGGCTAACTGCGCGTCACTGCGGTGGCTGCGCTGGTGCGAGGAGCGTGACGTTGTCGCCCTTGAGCATGACGCGCCCGAGCGCCTTGCGCGTCTTCTTCTTCACGGACACCTCCTCCGCGCTGTCCAGCACTAGGTTCATGAATTCATCGAACCCCACCAACACCCCCTCCAGTTTCAGGTCCTTCTGCTCGAACAGCCACACCTGCGCGCGCGGCGCGCGGAAACAGCTCGATTGCGGCGGGGGCCGGTGCGCGGGGCCGCGGAAGGGCGCGTGCGTGGCGGCCGGGGCGCGCTGATGCTGCCTGGGACGGGTCCGGGGCTGGTTTCTCCGCGTGGGGCGCGCAGGAGCGACGACGTGGACGCGAATGGATCGCCGGGGCTCGGAACATGACAGTCGGGTGCGAGGCAGGGGGTGTAGCTGCGCTGCGCCGCAACGGTGCGCAGCGTGCAGAGGGAGCGCCAGGGGGGCGCGTCTGCGGCAACGCTGAGCGCCGGCTTTGCGTGAAACGCCGGGAGCTGGCCGGACATCGAGAGGACATTCGAGCGGGGTTTCGGCAGCGGGCGCTGAGGGACCACGCAGCGCGTGCCCGAGCCGTGTGGGAGGGCGGGCTCGCCGGCCGTGCACGAGGGAGCGCGAGCGTGCGAGCTGGCTCGGATCTCCCGTACCGGACGGGCGGGTGCGGGCACGGAGCGTCGAGGGATGGCAGCGTGGGGCGCCGGAGAGGCGCGCGCTGCCCCCGGGAGGCAGCGGGCGCAGAGCGGTGCGGCGCCGGGGCCCGCGTGCGCAGCGTGGACTTGCCTGGATCCGCTCCTGACTCTGCAAGTACTTGAACACCTGGTTGATGGGCGGTGTCACCACCTTCTTCACCCGGCCCGACATCTCCGCCCACCAGGAGGGCCCGCTCGCCCTGCCACACCAGTCCCTGACAGCACCACAGCCTCGAACGCCAAGATAGTCGCGAAGGAGTGGAGCCACCGGGAGCAACAGGACGTGACGCGCGCGCCCGCGCCCCCCGCCCATGCTCCCGGCGGGTCCCCACGGAGCCTGACGGCCAAGCTGTGGGAGAGTCCGGTCTGGCCCGCGCCCGACTGCGCCCCGCACGGGGCACGAGCGGCGCGTGCGGCGCTCGCCGCGGGCAGTTTGTATTTTACTGCGGCCCTCGCTGCGGAGACGGGACCAGCGGACCACGCTAGGCTCCGACGCGGCGCCAGAGAGCAGGGAGGCACGTCAAGGCGCTTGCGCCGCAGCCGGCGCACCTTCCGGGCGTGACAGGCGGACACATCGAGAGGCTGTCGTCTCATTAGCGCCCTAGGGGGGCAGCCATGCCCAAGAAGGAGAAGGTGCGGTCCACACCCGCGCCACTGCACTGCTGCGGACCCACTCGCGCCCGCACCGCGGCCCCCGCCGCCCGCGAGGCTGCGCTCGTGCGACGCGGCGCTCGTCCACGTACTGGCGCGTGCGCCCGGCGCGCCAAAGGGGCGTTTGCGTCCCGCATTCTCGCGCGAGGCCCCCCGCATCTCCACAGAGAGCAGGCACTGCGGGCCACCGCTGCCAGCGCCACGGGCGCAGCCAGCCCTCCGGGGCGGTCGCAAGGCACCCATACGCACATCCCCTGAGCCCGCCGCGGCTCGCTTGCGGGGCCGGAGCGCGCCGCTACGGCCTCGCGTAGCTTCACTGGGGGCATGCATGGTGCCGCTGGGCTCTGCCGGGGCGGCGCAGTCGGCGTTCGAGCACCCGCGGGGGCTCCCCGGTATCCCACCGTTGCGGCGCGCTCCGCGCGCATCGTCCCAGCCTCCGTGCGCGGCGCCACGGCCGCAGCAACCACCCTCGGGACTCATGCCTCCCCACGGCCCTCACGCGCCCGCAGAAGCCCGAGACGGAGGCGGACCGCAAGTACCGTCTCCAGCAGGAGGCCTTCGAGGCCGAGGAGCGCGCCCGCAAGCATGAGGAGGAGCACCGGTACGCGAGCCCCCTCGCACGCCACGCCCAGCCCTCTCCGCCCTGCCGGACCCACCTCGCGCCCCTCCCCGCACAGCGCGCCCCACGCCGTCCGCGCCCCGCGCCGTCCGCGCGCCCCGCAGGCTCAAGCTGCGGCAGCGGCAGGTCCGCGAGCAGCGGTACGCCGCCGTCAACGCGCCGAAAATCCACGCGGCGTGGCGGCAGATCATGCGGCAGGCCAAGGTCGACGAGCTGCGGCACGAGATCCAGGTCCTGAGCCAGGCGCACGAGCGCGAGGTCGACCGCAAGGACGCCATCATCCAGATGCTAGACCGGGACCTCGACGACCTGGAGGACCAGTATCTGATGGCGCTGCGGGGCCACACGCGTTCGATCAACGCGCTGCTGGACCTGCAGCACCTGCGGATGCGCGGCGCGCAGGAGCAGTTCGACAGCGCGTGCACGGCGCTGGAGGCGGAGTTCGACGCCGAGCGCGCGGAGATTCAGAACGGGCACGCGCGGCACCGGAAGGACCTGGAGGACATCCTGCACGCGATGCAGCAGGAGTTCGACGCGGCCGCGGGCGAGGCGCGGCAGGACTTCGAGTCGAAGAGGGAGGAGATCAAGAATCGGAACTCGGAGGAGTACAACGTGCTGAAGATCAGCCTGGACTCGACGATCGAGGAGCTGAAGCGGCACCTCGAGCAGGCGCACCAGGCGTACCTCACGTCGACCGAGGCGCGCACGAACGCGTTCCGGCAGCTCACGCGGAACGACGCGCAGAGCGCGCAGGTGATCGAGCGACGCATGAACCGGCTGCTGCGGCTCCAGGAGGCGCTCGCGCACTGGCGGACGAAGATCTCGACGAACAGCGCGGAGTGGGAGGAGCGCAACGCCGCGCTGCGCGACGAGAAGGACGGCATGCAGAAGCACTACACCGGCCTGAAGCTGCAGATGGACCGCTTCCGGCGGCAGCAGCAGCACCGGCTGCGGGAGCTGTCGAAGAACTCGTCCGCGTCGATCGACGGCCTGAACGAGCGCATCCGGCTCGCGGAGCGCATCCTGAAGCTCGGGGAGCTGTGTCGCCGCCTCGAGACGGACCAGGAGAAGGTGACGCCGTTCTGGTCGAGCGCGGCGGCGCTCGCGGACGAGGTGCTCGCGGAGGAGGGCGCGGAGCTGCGGAAGGAGCTGGGGCTGGGGCCCGAGGAGGCCCCCGAGCAGCAGAAGGCGGGGGGGCTGGCGCGGACGCCCGGGCGGCCGCGCACGCAGCAGCACGTCACGATGGCGGAGAACGTGGTCGCCGCGAACGACGAGGCGTCCGCGACGCTGCCGCAGGGCCGGCAGGACGACGCGCCGGCCGCGGACGCCGCCGCGGCGGGGCCGGCGGACGCGGCGGGCGCGGGCGGCGAGGCGACGGCGTCGGGGCCGACTGCGGTGGGCGTGGACCGCGACGGGAAGACGATCGCGGAGTGGAACTACCTCGACCAGTTCCTGAAGAAGTTCAACAAGGCGCTGCTGGACTCGGCGTCGATATCGCGCGAGCACCGGCGGCTGCTGGAGGAGAACGAGGGCCTGAAGAACGTGCTGCGACGGTACCTGCAGGGCATCAGCGTGAGCGAGGACGTGATGCGGAACCCCGCGAACCCGCTGCTCGTGGTGAACAACCGCCTGCAGCAGGCGATCCGGCAGCAGATGACGAGTGCGGCGTCGGGGGTGGGGGAGGTGTCGCGCGGGACGACGCGCGGGGCAGCGGCGATCCGCGCGGGCGCGGGCGGGAGCGCCGGAACGAACACTGGCGAGGAGGCGCTGCTCGAGGTCGTCGCGGGGCAGGGCGCGAACTGACCGCGGCTGTGAGCTGGCAGTGTCTGTCATGCGTGTCCGTGGGGGGGGGTTGTCTCGTGGCACTGGTCTTCGGCGAGAGCGTGCTGGACTGGGCGCACGGCGGCGATGCGGGCGGGGACGGGGGGCCGCAGGACATTTGGGGGGGGGTGTGAGTCAGTGCAATTCCGGGGGGGGGTGTCTCAGTTCGGGCGCGGGGGTCGTTGGTCCGCCGCGCGCCGGTTCGTGCGCGGCGCGAGAGGGCGCGGTGCGCTCGGCCATCTCGGCGTTGTTGCGTTCCGCCACATCGCTCTGCGCGTCACCCTCGAGGGGGTGCATGACCCTGAGCACCATGCGCTGCTGTGCTCGCCGTGACCCGTATCTGTCGCGCAGCCACGACGCAGAGCCGCGTACTCTGTTGTTCCGACCGCTCTGTGCATGAATGTAGCCATGTTGTTTGAGGAATAGAGAGCTTCGCGCGATGCAGCGGGCCAGCAGCAGCGAGGTCGCCAGCGGCGCACCGCGGTCGGTGCCGGTGGACATCGAGCACAGGAGGCACAGAAAGGGGCGAAGCAGCGTCCGGACCGCGTCGGGGCGCGACGACTCCGTCCTGCGGTCCTCGGAGGACGTCCAGGTGAGAGCACGTCACGCCGCCTTCACGCGGGAGCCTCGCCTGCCCCCGAGGAGCGCGCGAGGCGCGCTGAATCGCAGATTGCTGCACGCATCTCCGCGGCTGCTCGCCTTGGGCGGACCCTGCCGCAGCGGCCGCCGCAGCGCCCACGACCTGGGGCCACGCCCGTTGCTCGCGGTAACATGCCCGGTAGGCCGTGTTTCCGCAGGACGAACGTGACCGACGATGGCGGATCGGCGGGTACGAGCTGTCGCACGTGCTCGGGGAGGGCACCTACGCGACCGTGCGCTACGCGGAGCGAATTGCCACGGGGGAGCCTGTGGCGGTCAAGGTGGTCAACCGCGAGAAGATCGCGCGCGCGGGAATGCAGGTGCGCGGCCCTTCCGAGGCGCACATGCGATCGAGCGACAGCCTGGCATCGGAACTAGGGCCGGTGGGGCCTTCTCCGGCGCGTGCGGCCGCGCGGACTGGCTCAGCCTTGGGTGGCGCTCGCGCCGTCCGGGTGGTGCAGGAGAACCTGGCGCGCGAGATAGCGATTCTGAAGACGCTGAAGCACCCGCACATCGTCGACCTGAAGTCCGTCATGGCCACGGAGGCCCGCATTTACCTCGTGCTGGAGTACTGTTCCAGCGGAGAGCTCTTCCACCGCATCTCGCGGTCGCACGGGCTGCCGTGCGACGACGCCCGGCGCGTCCTCTGGCAGCTCATCGACGCCGTCGGCTTCTGCCACTCCCAGGGCGTCTACCATCGCGACCTGAAACCAGGTGCGGCGACGTGATGACTCCGCCACGGGCTGCCCACGCACGCGCCTGGTCGTGGACGCCTCTCTCTGCTCGCGCGCGTGCGGAGGACGGGCGCGGTCGCGGCGGCCCGCACGGAACGACGCCCAGACAAGTTGTTCCATCAGCTGCTCTCGATTGAAAGACGGGAATGTCGATTACCAAATATGCTTCTCCTGTCAAACCAAAGTTCCTGTCCTGGTCGCGGCCGTGGGGCCGGTGCGAGGCCGGGCGACTTACACGCCCCACTCCCAGTTCGCTCCCACGCTGTTCATCTCATCCAGAAATCAGAGCCATGATTTCACATATATTATATTTGTTGACGAGCGTTCTTGTATCTGACTGCACCTTGCTGCGCCGGCCTCCCTCCGCGCAGAGAACGTCCTCCTGGGGCGCAACCTCGAGGTCAAGCTCACCGACTTCGGCCTGTCCTCCCTCCCGGACTCCCAGCGCCGCACGCCCCTCCTCACCACCCTCTGCGGCACCCCCAACTACGCCGCCCCCGAAGTCCTGGCGCGGCAGCCCTACCACGGCGCCCCCGCCGACGTCTGGTCCCTCGGCGTCGTCCTCTTCACCGCCGTCGTCGGCCGGCTGCCCTTCGACGAGCCCAACAGCGCCGTCCTGTTCCGGAAAATCGCCGCCGCGGACTACGTGTGCCCGTCGTGGGTGCCCTCGACGATCCAGCGGCTGCTGCGGCGGATGCTCGAGCCGGACCCGGAGCTCCGCGCGACGATCGAGGAACTGCGGCGGGACCCGTGGCTCTCGGACGCGCACCGCGACCGGCGCAACAACGCGGGGGGGGGTATGACATCGCCGCGCGCGGGGGGGTCTCCGCCGGCGTCGGGCCACGAGAGCGGGCGGCAGGCCGGGGCGGGCCCCGGCGCGCTCGAGATCCTCACCGGCGCGCTCATGGCGTCGCTGTTCGGAAGCGGCGGGGACCGCCAGGGGGGGTCTATTGCGTCGGGACCGCTGTCAGTCGCCTCGGAGTCCTCCGGGCTCAACCTCCTGGCGCTCGCGGACGGCGTGGCGCAGCTGCGCGTTGCCACGCCGACGCTCCTGCCCTTCGACATCAATCTGAGTGCGGCGGCCCCGCAGCAGGCGCCTGGGGCGGACGGCGTTGCGGTGGATGAGCCCCCTGCGGGCAGCGAGGCGCACGAGGCCGGGAGCGACGGGGCGTCGAGCGACGCGGCGGGCGTGACCGTCCGGGACGGCTTCGGGGCGGACGCCGAGCGCCCCCCGCGGCTCCCGTCGCCGCCGCAGCACCTCGCCATGGACTGGTCGTCTCACCTGGGGGAGGTGTGGGGGAAAGCGCCCCCCAAGGAGGGCCAGTCGCCGAGGCCGCCGACGGGCGGGGGCGCACCGATCGTGCTGCCGCTCGCCAAGCCGCCGCTGCGCCAGCCGCCGTCGGTGCAGGCCCTGAGCGGGGTGGTCGGGGGGCTCACGATCGCGCTCCCCGCGGTGACGCGGCAGGCGGGGGACGGCCGCAGCGCGCCGCCTGCGATGCTCGGCCTGCCGGAGCGCCTCGCGTCGCTGCTGCCCCCGGACGTCCTCGCCGAGCTAGTGAGTCAGACGGTGTTGTTTCTACCGCCCGACACCGCCGACGACGGCACGTCGGAGGCCCCGACGCCCGCGGGTGGATCGTCCCGCCACGGCACGAACAGCCGCGGGCACTCGCTCGTGGCGCGTGCGCGCGCGCCGCCCCACAACAGCCGTGCGGAGCGCCCGCTGCGCAACACCGCTGGCGGCAGCAGCCTGCGGTCGCGGCACCCGCTTGGCTCGTACGCGGGCACGCCGATCAGCGGCGCGGAGGACAGCCACCCGAACTACCGTGCGAAGGAGTGGTGGCAGTATTTAGAACACAGCAGTTTGGAACGCAACGGAACGCCGTTGAGCGGACGCGGGACGTCGGGGGCGGGGCTCCAGCACTCCTGGGAGCGGCTCGAGCGGTCCGACCTCGGGCCGGACCGGGGCGGCAGCCGCGGGGCGAGCGCGGTGGAGCGCAGCAGCAGCGGGAACACTAGCGGAGTCGTGCGGGACCTCCCCCGGGGGCGTGTTGCGAGGAGCCACGTCGAGGGCAAGACGCTGAGCGGCAAGACGTCCGACGCCGGCGGCGTCGCGGCGCGGAAACCGCGGCCCCGCGTCGCGGTGTCGGACGCGCAACTTGCGGACCGCGCACGGCGCGGCACCGATGCGAGGAGCGGGACGCCGGGGCTGCTGTCGCCGGTCGGCGCGGACGCGCACAGCGGTGCGTTCGGGACGCTTGGGTACTATATGACGCTGGGGCAGCGGGAGCGGGAGGAGCGGCGGATGCGCGGGGAGGAGCTGACCCCGGAGGGTTCGATGACGCCGGTGCGAGGCGGGGGGTGGGCGGGGGACTCGTCGTTCGACTTGGAGCCGGACAGCGGGACGCCGCCGGGGCGGCGGCAGGGGTGGGCGTATAACTACGAGGGAACGAACACGTGGGATTGACGGGTGTGGGGGGGGGGGTGTATGAGTGCGCGCAGGGCAGCTGATTTGGGATGTACGAATGAGCGATTCGACGTGACGCTAGCAGATGTGTGTAGACGGTGTGACTCGATCGTCCATCCCTCTCGAAGATGGATCTGTATCGGAATCTAAAACACGCATGTGGCCACAGAAATGACTCAACGACTCGAGCTGCAATGGGAGGCGGGGGTGCGACGTGAGTAGTAGGCGAGCGTCGCGACTGCACGCCTTGATGCTCGCAGCGGGCACGTTCGTTTGTGTTATGCGGAATCCATGTCTTTCGCTGCGGACTTAGTCCGCAGTGTATTGAACATGCAGTGTCAGACGTGGCCTGGCATCGTTGGGGCTGCCGCGACGAGAACTTGTTGTTCGCTGGCCTGCAAGCACCCTCACCGCGAGGATGCTTGAGCGACTGTTGGACGGCCGACAACCCCATGCGTTCCCATGTGCTTCGGTGACCTACAAGCACCCTTGCCGATGCTTGAGCGACCGAAATGGCACGGCAGACGAGACGTTGCCGCGCAGCTGAGGCATCGGCGACGGAACGGCTCACACGCGCCGCAAGGCGCTGGAAAGAAATCATCACGCAGCAACACCGGCAGGCCTGTCGCCCCTGCGAGCGAGACCCGGCCGGCGGCTCCGCTATGCGGTGCGCGCTTCATTATATACATATATCGAAACGCGCGCGGCCCCGCTGTGCGAGGGCATCAAACAAGGGACACGCATGTCGACACAACAATGTCCGTGGCATTCGCGTCCACGGCGCTGGTGCGAACGCCCTTCATGTCGTGCCGTGGAGGCTCGGGAAGCGGTCGTCGAAGCGCGAGAGCGGCGACGGCGGGGACTGGCCGACGCGCCGCGCCCCGATCAGCACGTCGTCGGCGCTGGCGCTCAACTCCCCCGCCAAAGCCCCCAGGACTCTCCCCGGCGCTCCTCGCCGGCCGCCGCCGCGGCGACGCAGGCGACGGCAGGTCCCGCGGCGGCAGCGTCGCGTGCGGCACGCCCCCGGGGTAGTTCCCCTGAGACCCGTACGACCGACGCAGCAGCCTGCGCATCGCGGTCAGCGGACTGTTGCTGTCCGGGCTCCCCAGCAGCGCGCCGTGCCCCGACGCCTCCCCCTCCGCCACAATCTCCCTCAGCACCTCCTCCGTGTCCACCCCGAGCTCCTTGCTCAGCGCCGCGCACTCGGTGAGTAACGCGTGCGAAAACGCCGCCGCCGACGGACCGTGCTTGTGCCCGAGCGTGAGCCCCGGCTCCGCCGCGGCGACCACGTCGACCGCGCGCTTCACGAGCCCCGGCATCGCCCACGCGTCCCCGCCGTCCTGCGCCAGCTCCAGCGCCACGCCCTCCCCAGGCGTCGCCTCCTGCGTGTCCCACGGGTCCAGCGAGAACGCCGCTCCGTCGCTGAACGCGATCGGCACGCGCGCGGACTCCGGCACGGCCACCGTGATCCCGCCGAACGGCGCCCGGAGGCTCCGCGGCGTGACGGCGCTGGGGGGCGACCGCGGGCGCGAGCCCGGGGACAGCGTGCGCTGCGGCTCGCGCGGCGGCGACGCGGGCGACGCCGTCCACGTGCGGCCCGACACCGCGAGCGCCCGTGGGTCCGCTGCGGCCGCGGCCGCCGCCGCGATCGCGCGGGCGCGCGAGCTCCCCGCCCCCGCCGTCGCCGGCCGCGCAGTCTGCTTGAGAGACGCAACCGCCCCCGGCGGCCTCCGCGACCGGTCCGGCGTCGCGAGCTCCTCTGGCAGGTCGATCGTGACCTCGTTCGGCACGTGCCACACGTGCCGCCGACCCGCACCGGACACCGTATGTGGCCGCGTCGCGCTCGCGGCCTGCATCGCGGAAACGCCGCGCCGGTCCGGCTCCGCGCTCCTCCGGCCGTCGAGCACCTCCGTGCGCAGCCGCATCGCCGCCGCGGCGCGCCCCGCGCCGGAGCCGACCTTCGGCGACGACCGCCCCGGCGGCGGGCTCACCGGCGCCCCCAGAGCCGCGGCTTGCGTGCGGAACGCCGAGCGATAGAACGTGCGGTGCGCGGCGCTGCCCTCAGCCTGGCCCGCCGTGGTCGGCCGCTCGCGCGGCTTCTCGTGCCGTCGCGACGAGGAGCGCCGTGGGCTGCGCAAGTCCGCGAGGGTTGCTGCTCCGGGGTTGGGCGCGGCCGTCTTGGGCCGCTCGCCGTCGCGGGGGTGCCGCTGCGCTGGAGAGAACTTGAGGCCGCGGCCGCACGCGGCGGGCATGGTCGCGAGGGCCGGCGAGGCCGCGGCTGTCGTCGCACGGCGCGCGTGTTGCGCCGCGTACGGCTGCGACCCCGTGTGGTGGCCCAGGACCGCGAGGTCCGCGATCTGCGGCGTGGGAGAGAGCGGGGCGCGCTGTGAGCTGCGGGACGCGGGCGCGCGCGGCCGTGCGCGGCCAGGAGCCGCACAAGAAAGGGCGCAACACCCAGCGCATCCTGTTGGGAGCCGCCGCGCACGCGGCGAGGGCTGTTGAGATCGTTACGCGGCGCTTGCGGGACACACATGGTCCCAATTACCGCAGCGCGCGGCGGGCTGCTCGAGCGGGTGCGTGGGCATGTGCGGCGGCGTCTGCATGTGAACGTGTGCAACAGAGAGCGCAGAGCGTCGGACGGACCTCGCCGAAGCCCGTGCCGATGTCCGGGCGCATCGACCGTCGCTGTATCATCGGGCCCGGCACCCGTTGCTGGCCGGACATGCCCCGCCGGCGCCGCGGGGGGCGCAACGTGCCACCAGGCGGGGTATTGCGTCGCCGTGCGCCGCCCAGCGGGTGCCAACGGCGCCACGTGGCAGCGCGGAAGGATGCCGCGGGTCCGGACTCGAGGCGCAGGACTGAGCTGGGGGACCAGGGTGTCGCCCCGAAGCACACGCGGCGTTGCTGGCGGGAGGAGCGTGCTGCTGAGACAGCCCCGAGTCGTGTTCGGCGCGCGCCCGCCGTCTGTGGGGCTCGCGTGTCGCAGAGCGAGGACAGTGCCGTGCAAGCGCCGGACGCGCCGCTAGACGGGGACGTGTTTGCTTGTGCAGCCGGAGCGGACGTGCGGAGTGGTGTCGCTATTGCATTAGGGACTGAGGTGCGCGGGTGCGTCGAAGAGTGGGAGGATCGACTGCGCAGGGCTGTTGTTCGTGGATAGACCGTTGCCGTCGCCGGCAAGCGGAGCCGTGCGGGCCATCTCGTGGATAGGAGAGAGGGCGAGCGTGTCTCAACGATGGCCTCGGCGAAACAAACGACGCTGGCGATCCACCGGCCAGGCCTGGTGCTCCAGAAGGCGGTCGAGATCGCGAGGGAGCAGCAGCGGAGCGGTGCGCGCCCCAACCGCCCCGAGCACGCGCAGGGCGCCCGCTTCGTCCCAGCACCCCTCGATCAAAGCATTTTGGACGGTTGCGACCCCAAAGTGAGCTCGCGACGGAAAAATACTGCGCTGACGCGTAGAACATCGCTGGTACTGTGTCTGGAGCGCCGCTTGAGGCGTTCACGGGGCCCTGTCCGACACGGCAGGCTCTTGAAGACGAACACTTGGCACAAGCAGGCCGCGTCTGGGCTGGCACGCTGCGAAACACGCGGGGCCGTTCGCGCTCCTTGTCGACAGTTCCGATACGGAGCTTTCGTCCCCGGCGCACGGAACCGCACCGCGCCCGCCGTGCTCCGCGGGGGACGCGCCCTGCCCGCACCACCTCTGTGTAGCCTGACGCGCGCTCCCGCCGCGACGTGCGCCGCTGCAGCTGGCAGAGAGGCGTATATTTTCTTCCTCGGGAACAAGCAGTCGGGCAAGAGCACCATCATCAACCTAGTCAACGGCAAGAACACCGATGCTCCCACAGGTGACATCTCTCCCCCGCCCACGCCTCCCACCCCGCCGCCCACGCGCCACCGACGCCTCCAGCCCCCCACCCTTGCCGCACGCGCCCGCTCACGGCCCCGACCGCCCTCCGCCGTCCGTCCCCCAGCCGCATGCACCTCAACCACTTCTCACGCCAACTACCGTCCCGCAGCCGCCCTCGCGATCGAGTACACGTTCCGGCGCGGCGGCGTGGCCACGGACATCGACCGCAAGGACATCGCGCACATCTGGGAGCTCTCCGGCGGCGACACGCTCATCGAGGGCTTCGCAGCCACGGCGATGCTGAAGCCGAAGCACCTCGACACGGCGGCGGTCGTGATCACCGTCGACCTCTCCAAGCCCGCGGAGGTCCTCCCGGGGCTCGACCGGTGGCTCCGGCTCGCGCGGCGCCGCGTCGCGAAGAGCTTCAAGGCTCTGGAGGAGGCCGGAAGTAAAAAGGCGATGCAGATTGAGAACCGGGCCAAGCACACGTTCGCGAAGCAGGCGCCCGTGTCGCGGGCCGCGGCGGGCGCGGACGCGAAGCAGCGCGGACCGCACCCCGACCACGAGGCCGTGCGTCTGTTAGGTGCGCACCTGGACGCGCGCGGTGCTGGCCGGGGCCGCTCGCGCGCCGCACGGCGCTCGGGAAGCCCGGGCGGGCAGCGGAGCGTCGTACAGCGTCTGCGGCGCGCATGTTTGGGCCGCGCATCTTCACATGTCGCGCGTTGATTTGATTTGCGACGAAGAGGGAATTTCGTGACTTGGCTGACCCGCCTCGCCCCTGGCCCCGCGCAGGCGTCCCCGTCATCGTCGTGGCCACCAAGTGGGACGTCTTCCACGAGTCCGCGGCCACGGAGGACCGCGAGGTCATGGCGGCGGGGCTGCGCCTGGCGTGCCACCTGCACGGCGCGTCTTTGGTGTACCTCGGCGGCGCCCACACGCCCGCGCCCGACCGCGCGCAGGCCCACGCCGTGCGCGTCCTCATCGACCACGCCATGTTCGCGGACATGGACAAGCCGCTCCCCGCGCGCGTGCCGCCCAGCCTCGACCCCTCTGGGCCCATCGTTTCGCCCGCCGGGTGCGACCGCATCGCGGACATCGGCGCGGTGGGCGGGCGGGAGTTCGCGGGCGACGTCGACGCGGCGATGCAGGGCGTGCTCGAGCTGCACGCGCAGCGGTTTGGCCCGCCGGCGGCGCCGGAGGCGGGCGAGGCGGACCGGCGGGAGGAGAGCGCGACGTACGCGGAGCGCGACATTGACGGGCTGCTGAAGCAGAAGCGGGAGGAGCTGGAGGCGCAGCGGCGGGAGCGGGCCGCGGAGGAGGAGCAGCGGCGGCGCAAAAAGCTGCGGGACCGGCAGCGGGCGGCGGAGCGACGCGCGGGGGCCAAGGCGGCGCCGGCGAGGTGCGCGGGGGCTCTGGGGGACGCATGCGTGGTCTGCGTGACGAGAGAGAGGGAGCTCTCGAATGATTGACCGAGCCATTGATTTTATTTATTTATTTCTTCATTATGTGTTTGTTATGATTGTGGCTATGCAGGTCGAGGAGTAATCGGGCTGTGGACCCCGCCGCGCCGCCGCCGCCGCCGCCGCCGCCGCCGGGGCCGCAGCAGGACACGACGCTATACGAGCGGCCGGCGGCGGGCGGCGCGTGACAGCCTGCGAGCGGCGACAACCATTTGCGTTGGCATTCGTGCCTACAGGGGGGCGCTCTTCCTCGGCGCACGCCACAGCGAAGAATGATCCTCGCAGGCACTCGAGCAGTAACGAATGAGGTGTCGCGCGCGCGTGTGAACCGCGTGAGCGTCCTTGCACAGCGATGCTCTCACACGGCCCGCGGCGAGCTGGGCAGGGCGCGGTGAGCTCTTGCGGGGCGCCCTCGCAGCGTCATACGCGGTGCGTCAGCACCCTCGCGGCGCCGAGGGGGCGTAGGCGGGGCGAACATACAAAATACACCAGCCGTGCACACATCGAGGGCTCCGAGCGCCGGAACGCCTCCTCCGGCGCGGCTGCGTGCGGCTCTCTCTCTTCCTCTCTCTCACGCAGCAACGGGCTCCTTGGCCTGGCCCTCCTTGGGCTTGGCGCCCCCGGAGAGCCCAACGAGCTTCTCCGACAACTCCCAGAGCTTCTGCCCCTTGACGCCGTCCTGCACCTCGGCCGAGGGCGTGTTCACGAAGCCGCCCTGCTTCGACCAGGACCAGTACGCGCCGGACGTCTTGTACTCGGGGTCCGCGACCACGAGGCTGAGGCGGCGGCCGGCCTCCTCCTGGCTGACGTAGCCCTTGGTGATGTTCTTCTGGAACTTGGGGAAGAGCTCGCGGAAGAGCTTGACGTGGTTGCGGAATAGCCCGCTGTCGGCGATGCACCCGGGGTAGAGCGACGCGAACGTGATGCCCGTGTCGCGGTACCGCCGGTCAAACTCGCGCATCGTGAGCATGTTGCAGACCTTGGAGTCCTTGTACGCCTTGGGGGAGTCGAACTCCCCCCCGTTGATCATCGACGTGGGCGGCTGGAAGCCCGCCTCGAAGCCTGCGAGGTCCCCCAGGTCGGCCTGGGGGGGGATCTTGCCGGCGAGCGTGTTGCTGTTGCCGGTGATGGAGCCGACGATGACCATGCGCGCGTCGCCCGTGCGCTCCTGCGTCGCCTTGAGGTCCTCGAGCAGCAGGTTGCACAGCAGGAAGTGTCCCAGGTGGTTGGTGCCAACGGCCATCTCGAAGCCGTCCGCGGTGTACGTGGGCTCCTTGTCCGTGGGGAGGTAGACGGCGGCGTTCGCGACGAGGCAGTCGAGCGGGCGGCCCTCGGCGCGGAAGGCGTCGACGAACTTGCGCACCGAGGTGAGCGAGGCGAGGTCGAGGTGGAGGATGGTGGCGGAGCCGGGGGGGAAGTTGTTGGCCTTCATGGCCTTCTCCGTCTTGGAGTAGTCGCGGCAGGCCATGATGACGTGCCAGTCGCCGGACACCGCCAGCGCGCGCGCAGCCTGCGTGCGGGGAGAGCGCGGGGCGGTGAGACGGGCGCGTGCGCGCGGGCGGGTGGGCTGGTGCGCGAGCGCGGGCGCGCGGTGGGTGCCCACGAGACTGCGCTGCCCGTCAGTGCGCCGAACGCGGCCGAGACGCGCGTCGGGCGGGCAGGGGCGCGTGAACAGACTCGCCGGAGCAGGAACAAAGGAGCGGGAAGTTCGCGACGTGCCGGATCGGAGAGGGACGCAACGGCGCGTTCAGGTGCAACGGACACTATGGTCGTTCGTTTCAGATGAGCTGCGGTGTCCCAGAAGCCTGGTGTGCGCGGGAAAGGGTAGATATTGCCGGGCAGCGCCGGCGATTGAGAGAGCCGCGGGGGCCCTCGAGCTGGGCCGTGACTGCCGAGTGGGGGGCCGTGGCGCAGCGGCACAGGGTCTGGATCTGTCTGGGGGCCGCGGCAAGGCTCGGAAGTCCCTGCCGGCTGGACGCGCGTGGCGGGCGACAGCCTCAGCCTACAGGCTCGGCTCCTGGCGTCGCGAGAGGCGTTTCGCGAGGGTTCTAGGCGAAAGTGAGGCCCTGAGATTTCGGCATCTGCCGTGCGCGCGGAGAAAGGGGTGGATTCTGGCGCCGCTCGGCGCCAGAGATGGATGTGCTCTGGGACCATGACTGGGACCCACGGGAGGTCACCTGGAGACCGAGACCGGACGAGGCGCCCGTGATGATGGCCGTCTTCTTCCCGTCGGGCGACGCAGCCTTGCCTGCCGCCGCACGGACGCTCAGGGACAGGCTGCGGGAGGCGCCAACCGCCTGGCGAGTGCAGGTGGCGCCAAACGCGCTGGCCTGCGACGTCTTGAGCGCCGCGTGGCGCGCAACCGGCATCGACACGCGAGAACTACGCGCGCCGCGGACCGGGGCCGCCGCCTTCGGGCACGCGGCCACGAACGAGGCCTGGATAGCCATGGTGCTCGAAACCGTCGCTACTGGGTCGCTCGCGTGAAGCAGTGATACAGCGTCCCGTCAATGAAACCTCAGAATTCCAACAAGGCGGCCTGGCAGGGCGCAGCGCGTCGCGTCGCCAATGTAAGCCGGTGCGGTCGGAAACGTCCTCCATGAGCTGGCAGGGATCTCCGTGCAACAGAGCCACGAGAACGCACGCACTGCTCCGTCCTGCTGGCGGACTGCTCGGCTGTCTCTTGATGACCAGCTTCCAGACGACAGGAGGGGCACTCGCCATTATTTAGGCTCTCAACACGCACCGTTCAACCTTTAGGGTTCACACGCGGCAGAGCGATTTCGCGCCGCCCCCGGGGGCAAGGGAAACACTCGCAGTCGCTCGGGGCCGCCTCCCTTGGGACAACAAGGGGATGTTCGCTGACCTGCCAGCCCGGGTCACCCGGTCCTCACAAAGGTGCGCATCACGCAACACACCGGACCGTTTACGCCCCCGAACCGAGCTTCGGACGCCCAGGGGTGGCATGTCTTGCACGATCCTGTGATGAGGTGCCCGTAGCGCCACAGATCCTGCGCTCCGCGCCTCCGATCGAGGAACATGCTCTTGCCGACCGCAGCCAGTCTGGATATCGCCCACAGGCGTCACCGTCGCCCCGCAGCGCCTGATCCGGTGCATGGCACAAGCACGGTACCTGACCCGTCTTCACCAAGCAGAAACCGCACCCACGCCTCGCAGAGTCTGCAACACACGACAGGTTGAGATGTCTCACGGCACCACACTCTCGATGCGATCGGAGGACGGCAGGGCCGACGTGGCGCGCGTGCCCGAGCGCTCTGATGCACCCACATCGTCTTCGGCAGAAGAACAAGAAATGTTTCTCCTCACGCGGCCTCGAGGTTGGCCCTCTATCTGAATCTGATGGTGAAGCCAAGGTGCGAGCGTGTGCGTATGCCAGCAACACACGCGCTCGTGTGGGCGGCAATTTGGCGCACAGAGCGCACACAATCTGCGACGTATCATGCTGCGCGGAGTGCGTGTGCTGTTGCGCAGGTGACCGTCGAGCACGGCGAGTTCTGCGGGAACAGAGACGACGGCGTCGTCGCATCGGGTGCGGCGGAGCTCACCCTGCACGGCGTCAAGTGCTGCGGAAACAAACAGTCTGGCATCGTCGCAAACAAAGGAGCCAAGGTGAGGTTCGCGACGTGGCACCGTGTGCTGTTCAACCACCCCTGGTGATGCAGCTGTGGGAATGTCGGGTGCCCGGTCCTGTACGGGCCCGCCGTCAGCGACGAATCGCATGCAGCGATACAGCCAGAGCGCGGGACGATTCGTGCGCGCTCGCAGGTCGTGGCGCACGGGCTGGAGCTCGACGGGAACGAGCAGGGCAACAGCAAAACCGACGGGGGGGGTTCGGTTGACGTGCAGTGAGGACGGTCGCGCACGCGTTGCCGCCACGACGACGATCGGGCCGAACGTCGCGGCGACAGGTCTCGTGAGGATCTCTTGCAAGTCGAACCCGCACTATGAGCCTGTGATTTCTCACAGTGTCGTAGGTGGCCGCCGAGGCATCGCCGCTCGCTCAATGGATCAATTCTCTCGTGTACTAAATGTTTCCTGGCGCCGCGCGCGCTCGTGCGCGGGCGCCCACATAACCTCGGCAGCAGCAGCGCGCCTGCGTCGGGTGACGCAGGCGGCGGCTCTGCGGTGCGTAGCTGGAGGCGGACGCGCAAAGCATCTCAATGGGCAAAAGGGGCGACCGAGGAGAAACCCGGTCGTGTGTGTGTGTGGTCAAAAGCGGAGAGGGAGTCAAGAGCCGACGTGTGTGCGTCGACGCAGCAACAAACACGCGACGAGGACAAAATCGGTGCCGGCGCCCCGCTCAGAAGAGCGCCATCTCGAGCGGCAGGTCGAGGTCCAGCGCGACGACGTCGTCGTCCACCTGCGTCATCTCGCGCAGCCACGGGTGGGCCAGCGCCTGCGCCGCCGTCGGACGGTCGCCCGCCTCCCGCCGCAGCAGCGTCGCGATGAAGTCCTTGCACTCGCTCGACACGCCGGCCCAGCCGGGCTCGTCGAAGTCGACCGTGCCGCCCATGATGCCCGACACCACCGAGCTTGACGTCAGTCCAGTCAGGTCCTCCCAGAACGGCAGCGCGCCGCTCGCGAGGTGGTACGCCACCATGCCCAGCGACCAGATGTCCGCGGGGAGGTCGTACTTCCGCATGAACACCTCCGGCGCGATGTACACGGGCGTCCCGGTCCGCTTCGTCAGCGGTGTGTCGGGCGCGCACCACTGTGAGCAGCCAAAGTCCACCAGCTTCACGAAGAGCCCGCCCGGGCGCGGGCCGACCATCGTGTCGCGCTCCTCGCTCGGCAGGCCGCCCGCCGCGCCCGGCCGCGCCGTCGCGAGCATCAGGTTGCTCGGCTTGACGTCGCCGTAATACACCCCCGTGGCGTGGCACCGCGCGAGCGCGGCGAGCGCGTCGTGCAGCGCGAACGCGAGCTGCCGCTCCGTGAGCTGCGCGGGCGGGCGCAGGCTGCCCACCCGCGGCACGAACTGCGCGAGAGTCCCCCCTGACAGGTGCTCCATCACCAGCAGCACGTGCGTCGTGTCCTCGTACACCCCGTACAGGTCGCTGATGTGCGGGCAGTCCTGCGTGACCGCCGCGTGGATCCCGGCCTCGCGCGAGACCTTGTCGAGGACGCGCGACCGCGGCACGCGATCCCGGGCCTTGGGCAGCGCTTTGACGGCGTAAAGGTCCCCGTGGGCGATCTCGCGGACGAGCCAGACGTCGCCGAAGGAGCCGCGGCCGATGAGGCGGAGCGTCTCGAACTTCTCGTCGAAGTTCATGGGGAACCCGAGCTCGCCGAGCGGCGCCGTGGCCGCGTGCAGCGCGTCGTGGGCTGCGACCGACGCCTCGACGGGGCCAGCCACGGACTGCGGAGGGGGGGGTGTATTTGAGCGGGTGTGGGCGATGGCGTGCCGGGGAGGCGCGGCGGCGCAGTGGGCGGGGCCGCGGCGAGGCGCATCGGGCGGGTCGCTGCTGGGGTGCGGTGGGAGAGCGCTGGCGCCTACCTGGGCGATGGTGGGGGCGTAGCGCCTGCGCGGCTGCGCGGACGCCTGGACGCTACGGCGCTCGAGCTTGCGGCGGGGAATCTGCGCGCGCAGGGAGCGTGGGTGCGGGGCGAGGTCGGCATTCAATGGCGTGGGCATCGCCAGTGCGAGACATCCGGGTTTTCGCGAGACTGCGGGCGCGGCAGGAGGCCCGCGGTGGAATTCCCGGTAGCAGTCCTCCGTGCTATGCGGGCGCCGCGGCGGCGTGGGCGCGCGCGCCGCCCGCGAGGCGCTACGACCGGCCGCCCTAGGAGGATGCCTCCACAGCCAGGAGTGTCAAGCAGGGGCTCTGGGGGGCTCTCACCAGGCGTCCGAGGACTGAGGGCGCGGCAGGGGGGCAGTGCGCGTCTGTGGAGCGCGTTGCGGGCCCCGCTCGCGTCGCTGAGCCTGCGAGGCGGGTGGGAGCGCGGCCTGGGATGTGAGGCCTTGGGTGCAGCGCTGCGATGCGTTGACGGGGGGTGTGGCGCGTCTCCGGGAAACGTAATGCCTGCAGCCGGGTGCGAGGGCCCCGGAGAGGCCCGGGGGGAGGCCGCGGAGGCCGCAGGATGGGCCGTGGCGGCAGGCGGCGAATGTGTTGTTTGCCGAGCGCACCAGCGGTCATTTGGGACGCCATGGCGGCGCGCGAAGAGCCTCGCAGGGCTTGACTGATATAATTGAGCCCCGGCGTGGCGGAGAAGTCGCGGACGAGCGCTCCGCGACCGATCTGCGGGGACAGACTACCGACCGAGGTTGAAAGCGGCTGCGCAGCTCGTCCTGCGCCTCACACACGTCGAACCAATCCTCAGCTGTATGACGCGAATCGAATGCCGCGTCGCACCGAGCGCCAAGGCCAATGGAGGCCCCGTCGAGCAACACCGGCGGACCTGGTCCGACGAGCCCGACCCAACAGCGTCGAGTCCCGCTCCCCGCCTCGCACAGTCCATCGTCGCACCACAGACGCGCCCGCACAGCTCCTCTCAGCTCCCACCCGCCGCCTCGGCGGCATCCCAACAGCGACGGGCGCCCGATCGCTTCATCAGCGGCCTCCCTCACGGCCTCCCTCCAACTCTCACACATTCCCAGCCCACACCGCCCCACCCCTCGAACGCCCCCCCGCGCCCGCCCGGCCGCCGCACCCGGCTCTGCACCGCCGCCCCCGCCCCTCCGACCACGCACGCCCCCCCCGCCCCTCCTCGCCACCGCCGCTCGTAGTCCGCAGCACGTCGCGTCGCGCTGCGCGCCCCGCGGCCGCCCGGCGCTCAGAACCGCCCGAGCGTCTTCGCGTCCGGCGGCAGGAACTCCTCCCCCGGGTACGCGTCCGGCGTCGCGTCCTCCACCTCCTTCCACATTTTGACCGTCTTGTCCCCCTCGCACGTCACCAGGCGGCTGCCCGTCATGTCGAAGGCCGCGGCGTAGATCGCCGCCTCGCTCTCGAGGCTCCCCGGCTGCACGCGCGTCTCCGTCTTCTGGAACGGGTGCCCCGACGCCCAGTCCCAGAACCAGAGCGACCCGTTGTCGCCGCCCGACGCCATCACGCCGTCCTCGTTCAGCGCGAGCGTGTTCAGGATGCCCGGCTGCTGCTGCAGGCCGTTGTGCAGGAACCGCCCCTCGGGCAGCTTGAACTTCTTGATGTTGTCGCTCGCCGCGGACGCAAACGCCCACTCCCTGCAAACACATATCGCGACGCGCACACATCGCATATCGCACATCGCGCCAGCACCAATCAGTGCAACGACGAGGTCCCGCCGCAGCGTGCCGCCGGAGACGCGGCCGGCGCCGACGCGAGCGGAGCAGGCTCGTGTCGGCGTCCCGGCGGCGGCGCTGCGTTTGTCCTCTACAGGAATGAAACGCAAGACGCACCTGGGGTGCGCGGCGAGGGCGCGGACGCCCTTCTTGTGGAAGGTGAGCGTGGTCATCGCGGACCCCTTGCGGAGGTCCCAGAGCTTGATCATGGTGTCCTGGCTCCCCGTGATGACCTGCGGGTCGGTGGGCTGCGCGAGCACCGCGCCGACCGTGTCGTCGTGGCCCGTCAGACAGTGCACCTGGACCTTGGTGCGCATGTCCCAGACGCGGCAGCAGCTGTCGCGGCCGCCCGTGAAGAGGATGTCGAGCTCCGGGTGCAGCGCCAAACAATACACCCCCGAGAGGTGTCCGTGGTAGGACCGGATGACTTTGTTCTGCTCGAGGTCCCAGCACTTGACCATCTTGTCGAGCCCGCACGAGAACATGTACGGGCTCTTCGACGAGATCGCCAGACCTGCACGCAGCCCCACACACCCCCCCCCGTCAGCACCAACTCCCCCCGCGCTTCCCCGCACCGCAGCGCCGACGTGCCGGGCGGGAGCCGCACCTGTGACCTGCTCGGTGTGCCCCGTGAGCGTGAGCTTCAGCTGCCCCGTCGCGGTGTCCCACACCTTGATCGTGCGGTCCGCCGAGCCCGTAACAAACCACGCGTTGCCGGGGTCGAACGCAACGCTCCGCACCCACCCGAGGTGGCCCGAGATCACGCGGTACATCTTCCACGGCGCGCGCCACTGCGGCTTCGGCCACTGGCTCGGGAGCCGCGCCGCGATCTCCGAACTGGGGCGGTACTCCTTTGGTGCGCCCAGGGCGGAGGGGACGAGCGCGCGCGGGGGCTCGACGAGCTTCTTCCGGGACGCCGCGACGATCGCGGTGGACGGGTCGCTGCCCGCGGAGGTGTCCGCGGCGGCCGCGCTGTCGATCAGGCGGTCGACGGCGGCGGTGTCGGCGTCCGTGGTGCGTCGCGAGGTGGCCTTGGGGAGCGGCGCGCCCGGCATGGGCTCCGCGGTGGGCCCCTGCGGCCTGACGTCGACGATGCTCTGTGGAGAGCGGGGTTCCCGGGGGGACGGGGTGAGGAGTGCAGGGCTGGCGCGGTGTGGGCAGGGGGGGGTTGCGTGGGTGGCGTACCTTGGTGGCGGCCCTGCGGTGCTGCGGGTCGGGGAGGTTCTTGACTGCCGCGAACTCGTCGCCGACCTTGGCCGCGATGCGGACGCGCTGGCTGCGGGCACAGGAGGGTGGTGAGCTGGTGGGCGGGAGCGGCGGGCGCGGCACGGGACGGGCCCGTGATGGCCCGGCGTGAAGGCTGAGAGGTTGTCGGAGGGATCTGGGGCGCGCATGCAGTGTATTCGGCGGAGGCGGCTGCTGGCGCGCCCTGTACAGACGAGAGAGCAAGCAGCCAGCAGGACGTGGTGGCTGGGCCTCGCGTCACGAGATATCGCTCCGGCAGGTGGACCGTGCGTCCGTATGCTACTTCTTCCCGCTGGTCGGGCGCCTGAGCAGGCCCTGAGGCGTCGTGCTGATGATGTCGAGTGCAACGGCAGCGGCTACTCGCCGGCCTGGCACGCGGAGGTCGCGTAACATCCGGCGCCACGGCCCGTTCTCACCTCTCTTCATCTAGCGGTATCTTCTCGCCGAAGTTCCCGGTGAAGAGGTCGAAGGTGCGCTTCAGGCTCAGGAGCTGCTGCGCCCGCACCGACCTGCTCTCCACTATGTCGCCGTTGGACGCCATTCTCGCCGATCACTACGACCCACAGGTGCACTGCGCTACGCTCCACAGAGCTCGGCGGCTTCAGCCACCCGTGGACCACACCCGCGGTCAGCCCCGCAACACCGGGCGCTGCCCTCTCACACAACAGCCTCGCAACGCCAGCAACCACCGTCCTTCAACGCGCACCACCGCTCCCTCAGCTCCTCATTCTGCACCCTACCACCGCCCCCCGCTCCCTTCACCCCCAACCACATTCGATCACCAGCCACGTAGCCAGAACACCCCCCCTGACGCCACAACACCGTCACACCCCCCGGCGCGGCGCCCTGCGCTCACCCCTTCCCCCAGTCCCGCACCGCGCGCTCGTGCGCCGTCCGCGAGAACACCGCGCTCTTCTCCGGCCCCCTGAACGTGTCGAAACCCCGCTCGTCCAAAAACCTCTCAGGGTCGTCCTTCCGGTTGAGGACCTTGTCAGGCAGCATCCCGGGGTTCCACGGCACCGCGAGCTGCGAGTTCACCGGCACGGGCTTCGCCTGCGCGATCTTGAACCCGATCTTCTTCGGCTCGTCAACCAGCAGCCCGTTGCGTAGCCGGTCGGTCTGCGCCGGCACCGGCCGCGTCGGGAACGCGGACCGGAACGTCGTGTCCGCGACGACCACCTGCGGGGAGGCACGCGCGGCGCGGAGCGGGCGTCAGGGCCGCGAACAGCGAGCGTGGAAGCGGCGGCGCGGTCCGGGGTGGCGCGAGGGACAGGGGCGACGACGACGCACCTTGGCCTTCCAATCGGCCTTCTCTTTCTCGATGGCCTCGCGGCGCTCGGCCTCGAGGCCGTCCCCCACGAGGTGGACGCTCTGGAAGTACTCCGCGGGATTGGATTCGAGGAGCTCGGGGCAGTGGAAGCGCAGGACGAAGTCCTCGTCGACCTGGGCGGCGCCGCGGGACGGGTCCATCGCGACGGGCTCCTCCCAGGGCTGTTGCAGGTCTGCGGGAGCGGGCGGGGGCGGTGCGGCACATGAGGCGGCGGCGGAGGCATCTCACGGGCGGGTGTTGACGGCCAGAAGCACGGGGTGGAGACGTGGGCGAGAACGCTGCTGTTCGCTCGGCAGAACGCGAGGGTCGCACTCGGCGTCTGCATGTCCGTGCGGCGCAAGCGGCGAGGTGGGGGGTCCGGTGGGGCCGCGCACCTTCGATGCGCGCGTCGGTCGGCTTCTTCGGGTGCTCGTTGAACGTCCCGGGCAGCCGCGGCGCGGGCCACTTGAACTGTTGCCCGTGGGGGAACCAGCCCCGCGCCCGCGCCACGTCCGCCGATATCGTCCCGGGCGTGGGGTCCCCGGACGTGGGGTCGTCCTTGAGCAGACTCTGCATGGCCTGTGCGAAGCCCTCGGGGTCCGGCGCCATCGCAAGCTGCTCCAGCATCCCGCGCTGGGGGTTCCACGTCCGCCATGCCTCCTTGACCGTCGTCCCGCGGGTCTGCGCGAGCTCCTCGATGCGCTCGAGGTTCCTCTGGTGGAAGTCCGCCTCCGCGCGGATCCGGTCCGCCTCGGCCTTGAGCTGCAAGCGCGCAGCGCCGAACACAACACAAGTTGCCATGGCAATGTACACAGGGCCGCCTGGCGCCCACGCGTGCGAGCAAGCGCGAGCACGCGCGACGTGCACAACGCGAATCGGAAGCGCACCCTTTCGAACTCGGGGTTCCGGGGCTCGACGTGCGGCTTGAGGCGCTGCCGCAGCACGCGCCGCCCGTGTTCGTCGACGACGTAGTCCCCGTCGATGGCGCCGAAGTCGCCCTCCCCGGCCTCGCGCGCCCGGACCTCCTTCGGCTGCCATCCGAGCACGTCGTCCCTGTTCAGCTCGCCCCCGAACTTCTTGCTCACCAGACTGACCATGAAGCCTGTCGGCATGACTCGCATGTCCTCGGCCTGCCGCGTCCACGTGGTGCGCAGGAGGTGGTGCAGCCGGCGCAGCCCCTCCATGCACAGCGCCTTGACCTGTCCCGTGGCGTACGTCCCGGCCTCGGACACGATCTTGCTGAGCGAGGCACGCAGCTTGACCTGCTGCATGAAGATGCCCCAGTCGGCGTACAGCCGAGAGGGGTGCGCGAGCTGGCGGTTCCACATGACGCGCCGCTTGGACTCGAGGTCGTCGCTCGCCGCCGAGCGCGCCTCCATGAGCGCCTGACACAGCTGCTCCACCAGGCGCATCGAACCGTTGGTAAGGCCCTCGACGACGACCATGCGGTACTTGCCGTCGATGAGCTGGAAGCCCGTGAGGAGGTCGGCCTCGGGGTCGTTCGCCTGCGGGGAAACGGGCGGGCCCGGGGCGGTGAGCGTTGGCACGCGGGGCGGCAGTCGGCGCTGACGGGCGAGCAGGTTTCGTTCGGGCCCGAGCCGCCGGAACGCGAGACGCGCGCGCAGTGACAAGTCGTGTACGTATTCCAGCGCAGACGTGCCCCTGTCTGCAATCCCAGCCCTCGAGCCGCGCACCTGCTCGGGGCTGATCACGTATGCGTTCAGGCTCTGCAGCGTGTGATTGTTCAGCGGCACCGACGAGTACTCGAACGCCAGCCGCGCGTGCCGCGCCTCCTCCAGCACCTCCTCGTACTCCTGCAACATCATCCGCCGCTGCTCGCGCACGCTGATCTTCTCCCCGCGCCGCCGCCGCGCGCCGCGCGTGGAGCCCACTGCGCTGCTGATCGGCCGGCCGTCCGCGACGTTGACGCGGCTCGCGTTGCGGCTGACGTGGCGGGACTGCCCCGTGCGCGAGGCGTGGGACCCTGACGCTGAGGGGCGGCCGCCCTCGCCCTCTCCACCGGACGCCCCGCCGCCCTCGCCCTTCTCCTCCGCCTCCTTCTCCTCGCTCTCGAGCTCCTCCGGGGGGATCTCCGGCAAGATCGGCGGCTGCGGAAAGCGACACAGCGGGGGGGGGGGGTCGTGCGCGCCGTGGGCCGTCGGAGCCGCAGTCGAGCACGAGGCCCGCACATCACGCGCAGGAACGGGCCCGACGGATCGCAGCGTCCCCGTCCCTGCGCAGGGGGGGGTGTTGCTGCCGCGCACCTCTGGCAAAGGGATCGGATGCGGCACGTGTCCGAGCGAGATCGAGTTGAGCACGCGGACCGTGCGCTCGACCCTGTGCAGCATGTCCGTGTCCCGGTAGTCCATCAGCAGCACGGCCCGCGTAAACGGTTTCACCACCGGCCGGCTCCGCGTCTCCGGTAGGGGGATCGCGACCTTCACGTCGACCTTCAAGTAACTCCCGGCCTCCATGTACGTCCCTGGCCGCGTCTTCCAGTCCAGCCCCGCCGCGGCGCGCAGCGTCGTCGCCGGCACGAGCGGCATGCGCAGCCTCATGCGCGTGCGCCCGCGCACCAGGTCCAACAACGTGGTCTGCGCGAGGCCGAACACGAGCTCCTCGTCCTCCGCCCACTCGTCCCCCTCCTCCACCACCTGCCGCAGCTCCTTCGGCGGCACCACCACGTTGGGCTCCTCCACGATGCACGCCCGGTCGTGCACCTCGAACCGTTGCACCTCAGCCTTCAGACGCGCCAGCATCGCGGGGACGCCGTCCTCGGCCGGCGCGAGCGTCACGACGGGGTCCCCGAAGAGCACGTCGCGCAGCCGCGGCTCCCGCGGCGGGAAGCACTTGAGGTCGGGCCGCGTCCAGGGGAGCGGCGTGCCGACGGCCTCGACGGGCGCCGCGCCGTCCTTGGCGCCGACGGGCACGAAGCGGATCTTCGGCGGCGCGCACATCGTGTCGATCTGCTCGGCGGTCGCGGGGCAGTCCGGGAGGTTCTTCGCCGCGACCGGGCGCGTGATCAGCGGGTTGAAGCGCTGCGCGAGGGCGCGGTGGAGCAGAGGGGCGGGCCGGCCGGGCTTCCCCGGGTTGATTTCCGGCGGAGGCTGGCCCTCCTCGGCCGCGGGCGGCTCGTGCGTCGAGATCTTGAACGACGCCCGCTGCAGCGCACCGGAAGACACCGTACGTTGGTTCTCGTTGCGCGCCTGGGCGCATATCTGCGCGTGTGCGCCGCGAGCGCGCGGGGGGCGGCACGGTAGACGCGCGGTACGGTGATGGGGGCGCACCTGGAGCCCCGGGATGCTCCGCAGCGCCTTCGGCAGGTCCCTGTGTTTGATAGGGAAGTTTATGGCCACGCAGGGCTCGTTCGCGAGGAGGTCCGCGGCGTCCAGGGAGATGGCAGCCTCCTTCTGGGTGCCCTCGATCGGCTTGGGCGGCTCCCCGGGCTTGAGCGTCGGGTCGCCCTCGCGGTAGCGGTAGACCTTGATGGTGGCGTGAAGGCGGCCGTGTTTCTTCGCGAAGGTCCGCACGACGTTGTCCTCGACCTGGACGACGTGCGCGGCTCGCGCCGTGATGTCGCACTGCAGCGTCCGCGTCGGGCGCGCGGGGCCCTCGGGCGCGGCAGCCCCGTCGGCGTCGGAGGGCGGTTGCGCGGCCTCCGCTGGCGCCGCGGTGGCGGGCTCGAAGACAAACGGCGCGTCCACGGCGCTGTCATCGATGCTCTTGATCTGGAACGACAGCGCCCAGCCCGTCTTCGGCCCCTCCACCTTCTCGGACTCGGCCTCTGCCAGCTCCTCTGGTGATGGGTCCGGTGCGGCGGCTGGCTCGGCGTCGGGAGCCTCCGCGGGCGCCGCGTCCGCGTGCTTCTTCGGCGGCTTGTTGAAGTGGACGCTGAGAGCGATCGCGCAGACGACGGCGCGCGGCGGGAGGGGCTCCTCGACGGGCTCCTTCGAGCGGTTGGAGCCGCGCGTGGAGGGCCGGGTGCCGCTCGCTGCCGTGGCGGGGCGCGAGCCCGAGCTGCACGGAGGGGTGTGGCGGGGTCGTTGGAGCGAGGCGGTGCGCTGGGGAGCGCGGGGCGGTGGCACTGGGCTGCGCACATGCCGGTGTGCCTCGGAGGGCGCTACGGAAGCGGCGTGGGGCGTGGCGGTGTCAGCGCGTTACGAGATGCAAGGATGGGACTTGTTTGCGAGTGTTGTGGCCGTGGGCGGGCGTTTCGTGCCGCGCACTGTCGCTGGAGCCGGGCACAACGCACAAGAGATGCTTTCGGGCCTACGAGCGGCTGCTGACTTGGCCGGGGGCTGGTGTGACCGACGTGGGCGTGAACAGCGTGAATATACGCCCTGCCGGCGCGAAACGGGAGCCACGCGGAGGCTTGTCGACCGATCCGCGCCGCAAAAGCTGTGTGCGACAGCACTGTTCGCGGTGTTTGGTCACTTGCGCTCACCTCATGGCATACGCCTTCTCCTACAAGCACCACTGCGTATCAACGGGCGCGTTCGGCCGCCAACAGGCACCGCCCGCGCCTCCGCTCCGAGCGGCAACCTCCCTCCACAAACACGCAGGTCCTCACAGCCCCACAACGCCGCGCGTGACGTCCACCTGTCCCCCGCGCTACAGCAGTGCACGGGCAGCGTCTCGGCCGACCCCCACCGCCCGCCCAGGCAACGTCGCCGGCAGGCGCGTGACATTCACACCCCCACGCACCCCTGGCAGACCTCGGAAGCCGCAGCCACGCGGCTCTTTGCGCCCCGACGCCGCCCGCCCCGCCACCCCACGCTCCGCCTCTCTCGAGCGGCCAGTTCAGGACCGCCGCCCGTGCGCCCCGGGTCGACAATTCCGCTCCGGCCGTCTCAGGCACCCCCGCTGGATTTGCACCCCCGCAGCGCACGCGCTCGTCCTCTCGCACCGCCCCCGCGGCCGCGACAAGCTCAGCGTACTCCCGGCGGGCTCCCATCCTCCGGACGGCGCTGTCGACCGCTGCGATGCGCGCCTCTGCCCCGAGTCACTGTGTGGCCGGGCGGATTTTGGCCCGGCCCGTCGCGCCCAGGTGCGAGGGGCGCCCGGCGCCTGCCGCGCGGCGCGCGCGCTTCGATACGATCGGTCCGGGCCGCCGCCGGGGTCCCAGAACGATTTCGGGGCGTACGCGGCGGGCCACGCGCCGTGACCTGCCCCTCGTACGCGCACCAGCATCCCTCGCACTCAGACGCGCTGACGCGGAGCGGTCCTGCCGACGCGCAAGCGGATGGATCTTGGGCAGATGGAGGTTCTTCTGGCCGTGACGAAAGGGCCTGACATGCTTTCTCGGATCGCAGCAGCCAGGTTCGCTTGCGAGCGCGGCGCAGCCCCACAGCGTCCCGCGCCCCCCGCGCCGCCCCCGCAGGCTCCGTGCGCCCGCTGCGCTGCACCGCGCCCCTCTGCGCTGCCGCGCCACCCCGCCGGAGGGCCCCGAGGGCAGCAACGCGCCCGCGCCTGCTGCCCCGGACACCGCGGACGCTGTGCCGGACATCGGCTTCGATGACGACGCGCTCGAAGCCATGGGCCTGACGGACCTCGCGAGCGACGGCGCGGGCGCCGCGAAGGTCCGGCCGTGGCGGTGGGAGGAGACGACGGACGCGGCGGTAGCGACGTCGCTGCTCTGCGGCATCCTCGCGGTCGGCGCGACGCCGCTCGGGACGAGCGCGGCGGTCAACGACCTGTTCTACTTCATGGGCCTCGCGCTGTGCACGATCTACATCGGCGCGCACCGCGGTCTGACCAACCGCGCGCGTCAGAACATCTCTCTCAAACAAGGGGCGCTCGCGCCGGTGTTCGCGTCCGTGGCGCTCTTCGGCATGTGCGCGCCCGTTCGCTGCGGCCGGCCCGCGCGTGGCTGCCGCGCCCTGGACGCAGCGGTCGCCGGCGCGCCGTCGCGCGTCGTGCAAGGATGTTGTCGCGCGAAAGGACGTGGTGCCATCCGTGATGCGCTGCAGGTACCTGTTCGTGAAGTTTTTGCCGGATCTGGACCTGAAGACGGTCGTGAACGCGTACTTCTGGCTCCTCGGGACGCTCGCGATCGCCGGCGTGGCGCAGGGTCCCCTCGCCACGCTGGCGGGCCCCCTGGGCGAGAAGTCGATCAAGTTCGACGTGCCGAAGGGCTGGCTCATCGACGAGGAGGGCGAGCCCGTCACCAAGGGCGAGATCGCCCCGACCGACCTCGCCATCCTCCCCCTCGCCATGGCCCTGGCCACGCTCGACGCCAACGCCAACCACCAGATCTACACGCTGAACAACTTCATCGCGTGCTGCATCGCGACGGACGTCCTGCAGCTCATCGGCCTCAAGAGCTTCCGCACCGCCGCGGTGCTCTTCGTCGGGATGCTCTGCTACGACGTGTTTTGGGTCTTTGGCAGCGGGGGGGTCACGCAGACGGTCACGGGGAACGACGAGAGCGTCATGGTCGCGGTCGCGACGAGCGACCTCATCACCGGCCCGATCAAGCTCGAGTTCCCGCGCTTCGGCGCCATCCCTGGTGACTATCCTTGGTCTATTTTGGGACTAGGGGATATTGCGATCCCGGGCCTGCTCGCGTGCCTCGCGCTGCGGTACGACGCGACGCGGACCGTGCCGATGGGCGGCCGCGCGCGCGCCGCGGCGGAGGCGTTCCGCGACGTGGGGTCCACTTTGGACCTCAACGTGCAAGACAGCACGGAGGTGGCGACGCGGATGTGCGACGCGGCGCAGGACGCGTACGACAAGGAGGCGGACGCGGACGACGCGCGCCGGGAGTGGAACATGGGCAACGTCGAGGGCGACGGCGACGGCCGCAACAACGGTGCGCCCCTCCCGACGCTTTGCGCGCTTACGCTGCAGGTGCAGGGCCTGTTCACGCCCGAAACGGGCGTCGGTGCCGCGGGGACGCAACGCTGCTGTGCGGGCGTGGTGTGTTTGTTTGCAGCTGCGTTCGAGGCGCCGATCGAGGTGATGCTGAACCGGAACTACTTTTGGCCGGTGATGGGTGCGTACGGCGTGGGGCTGTTCGTCGCGTTCGCCGCGAACGCCATCACGAAGATGGGCCAGCCCGCGCTGCTGTACCTGTGTCCGCTGACGCTCGCGGCGGTGGCCGGCACGGCGGTGAACCGGGGGGAGTTCGACAGGGTGTGGAAGTATGAAGACAAGTCCCGCAGCGTGATGGAGGTCGCGGAGGAGAAGCGGAGAGCCGAGGAGGCCGCGCGGCGGGCGGAGAAGGGGGAGGACGACGCGGGGTTCAAGTGGCCGTGGCAGAAGTAGCGCGCAGAGCCGTGAACGGAGCGAAGATGTGATGCGAGTGATGGAGACGGATGTGGCGCGTGGCAGGCTGCGGAGAGCGCACTGAGGGCGCTATGGATGAGTGCGCGCTCGCGACGACGTCCACCGCCGGCGGAGCGAGCAGATGCGAGCGCCGTTCCGCTGGAGCGAGTCCAGAGGACCTGCTTGGACGTTGAAGAGCACCCTTTGACATCGAGGAAGAGGACGCGGTGCGGGCGTGTCGGCGTCAATTACTACTCTGTGTCGGCGTCCGGAGCAGCGCGGCGTCGGGCGAGAAGAATTCGCTCGCTACGCCATGAACGGCAAGGAGCATGAAGGACGCGTTTGTTGGGTCATTCGTTTCTCAATGCACACACTCAACCAGTTGTGGGTGGTTGGTCAGGGGGAGGTGAGGCCGTGAATGGGCAGGACAGGCAGTGGGGAGGCGCGGTGCGCGGCGACAAGTGGTTCTGAAGCCTGGTTTCCGTGTTCGTTCAAAGTTCACACGTGGCTGGGAGCGCAACGTGCTCGTCTTGTTTCCTTTTCAGTCACAAGTTTCGAAGTGATGAGGGTCCGCATGCAGGTTTCAAGGACGGCGAGGCAGGCAAGGGGTGCCGTCCTGCGCACGTACGCGCGACGCTTAGGAGGCGAACGAGGCTCGCGGGCATGCCGTGCGGACGACGGGGCTGTCGTAAGTACACAAGGGATTTGCCCTCTCAGGAGAAGAGGGGGAGCGAGCAGTACTGCTGGAGCTGCGACCGGGTGCGGGGATGGTGGGGGCGTCGCTCTTCGACCCCGGACGGGGAAACGAAAAACTCTCCGTACGGTGCTGAACGGGGAAGGAGAGGATTTAGTGTCACCCAATGGGCATAGCCGGTGACATAGACACGTTTGAGGCGTTAGTTTGTTGCTTTGGCCGGCGGTTGATCGACACCGGTCGCCAGAACGGAGACGATGGCGTGGGAGTCTCGCAGCCCCTGCACGGCGCCTCGACCAGACCGCCGGCGTGTCCTTGCCGCGCAGGGGGGGGGTCACGCCCCTACGCCGCATGCGAGAACGGATCGCCGCCGTTCGACGACGTTCGCTGGAGCGCACTCGCGAGGCTCCCTGTCTCGGACCCGCGCGCCACCACCAGGCGTGGGTCGAACAGGAACGTGCGCATGTCGCCCTTGCCCTTGACGTCGATCACCTCCTCCTCGAACAAGCGCTGCAGCGCCTCGGGCAGCCCGTTCCACGTGTCCGTCGTGCACCGCACGCACCCGGGCCGCCCGTTCTGCTCCATCCGCGCCGCGACGTTCATGGTGTCGCCGACAAGGCTCAGGAGCTTGCGCTTGCGGCCGACGACGCCGGTCGTGAGCGGGCCGGTGTGCACGCCGACGCGGATCTGGAGGGGGCGGTGGTCCGGACCGCACGGGACGGACTCGGCGATCCGCAGCATGGTCTCGCCCATAAGCACCGCCGACAGCTCGTGGTACGGATCCTCGTCGACGAGGTTGCACGCGACGATGTACGCGTCGCCGATGGTCTCGACCTGCACGGGCACAGAGCGACGACACGCGTGAGCGCGGGAGCCGGGCGCGAAGGCTGTGAGAGGGGGGTGTTCGCTTGGAGGACCGAGGGCGCGCACCTTGTACACGCCGAGGTCGTCGGTGAGCGTGTCGAGCATGCTGTAGAACGAGTTGAGGACCTCGAGCACCTCGGCGCCCGGGAGCGCGCTGCTCATCGCGGTGTATCCCACGATGTCGCAGAAGAGGACCGACACGCGCTCGTGGTCCTTCTTGTAGACCACCTGCGACGTCGCGGCCACGTCGCTCTGGTGCGCCTGCGCGTCCACGTGCCGCCGCACCAGCTCGTCGACCGTGCGGGTCCACTGCTTGTGGATGTCCGTCGTCAGCGACATCCCCCCCCCGGTGCCCTGTACGCTGCACGTCTTCGGGCGCTCGCTCTCCTCCTCGACCACGCGCTTCAGCTCCCGCGGCAGCGAGCTCGTGAACGCCACGGGCGCCTGCGAGAGCTCCGTCGTCGGGCTGTCTTCCTCCAGCGACGCGCACACGCCGGACGCCGATGTGCACGACCGCGGGTGTCCCGACGCGCGGCCGGCGTCGCTGTCGAGGCCGTCCGCGTGCGAGTTGTCGTCCCCGGCGAGCCGCTCCGGCTCGCGCAAGCCAGACAAGCTAGCCCCCCGCAAACGCGTGGGGTCGCGGCGCCTGCCGCGGCGCGCGGAGCTGTGCATCGTCGAGGGCCCCGAGGGCACGTCGTCGCGCACGTGGATCCGCGACGTGCGGTGCGGCGTGTCCTGGCCGCTGCTGTCCGCGTTGTTACGAAACGAGGCGAGCTGCCAGGGGGTCGCCATGGGGACGTTTCGCGGGTGGCGGTGCATGTCCGTGAAGCGGACTCCGTCGTGGACCGCGCCGTGACCTGCGGCTACACGCACGGGGGCAAGCGGGCGCGTTCAGCACTCTGCAGCGCGCGCAGGCCTGAGTCGTGCCTACGTCGCAGCGAGGCCGCGCACCTTTCGACTTCTGGAACTCTCCGAGCAGCCCGCGGTCGAAGCTGCGCGCTGTGCCCAGCAGGTCGCCGTCCGGCAAGTTGCCGGTGTACGACGCGGCATTGTGCTCCATCCATGAAGGGTCGCCGCCGCCCTGCTCGCTGATCTTCAGCACCGTGCGCCGGTGGAACGCTACGTGCTCGGTGCCCGTCTGCATGTGCGACACGAAGCGCGGAATGTCGAACGACATCCGCGACGCCCGCCGGCTGTGCTGCATGATGCGCTCCATGCTCTGCCGAGGGTTGTACGCCGCGTTGCGCCGGGGCTGCTGCGCCGACCCGCGCCGGCGCTTTGCGGTCGCTTGCTCCGCGCGCGTCGCCTGCACGCTGCTCCGGCGCACAGCCAGGCTCGTGTCGCGGATCGCCGAGGCGAGGAGCGCCGACGCGGCCTGGCGCGGGACGAAGTCGAGGATGATGTTGTGCTGCACGAGCGCCATGAGGTGCAGGAGCCGCGCCGCGCCGCCCGTGACGAGCAGCGTGCCGCACACCAGCAGCGCGGGGGGCAGGTCCAGGGACAGGCGCCCGTATGTCATCACCACGCTTCCGACGACCGCGGCAACGGCGGGGACGACTGCGGAGGGCGCGGCGACGGACGCGCGCGTTGGAGAGGTTGCCGGGCGCGTGGCTCGACCAGCTCTTCAGCGGTGCGTGCGTGCGTGCGTGCGTGCGTCACGGAAAGAGAGGGGTGTAAATCGGTCTGCCCGGGCCCGTCGCTCACCTGCGCTCAGCACGGCCAGCAAGGTCGTCCGTGGCACGCTCTCGAACGCCGACGTCCTGGCGTGGCGCGGCGCGGCTGTCCACGGCGCCTCCTCGCACGCCTCAAACCACCCCCCGCGGCTGCCGGGCGTCACCGGCACGCCCGGAAACATCGTCCACGACGCCCCGATGTACGCCGCGACGGGACACGCCACCGCCGCGACCGCCGCGACCACGGGCCCCGCCGAACCGTCGCCGTCGACGCTGGCCTCGCGTCGCAGCTCCCACGCCTGCACGGACGCGACGGCGCCCATCGCGGCGCTCGCGACGGCCACCGGGAGCCACCGCACGCAGTACGGGACCCCCGACGGCGCCAGGAAGGCCGCGGCGGCCAGCGCGAGCACCGCGCCGTGCGCGGCAGGCACGCCGAGCTTCACGTTGACCCACGCGCCGCACGCGCCCTCGATGAGCGGCGGGACGCTCCAGAGCGTGACCAGGCAGGCGCCGACCTCGCCGATGCGCGTGCGGAGCCACGTGCGCCCGCGCTGCGCCGCGCATGCCGCGAGGCACACGGCGGACGCCGCGAGGAGGGCGAGCGCCGCAATCGTCGCGGGGGAGCGCGCGACCGCACGCGCGGCGTCCGCCGCGGTGTCGTAGCACTCGCGGCGTCGGAACGCGGCGTAGGACGCGTCCGCAACGCTCACGTCGAGGAAGCAGGTGGCGGAGCTAGGATGGCACCCAAGGTGGGTGAGTGGGTCCGAGCCGCCCGGGACGTTGGCGCAGACGGCGGCGTCGCGCCAGGCCGGGACGAATATGCAGAGGACGTAGGCGGCGCTTGCGATGGTGTGGAGCGTGAAGAGGCACGCCACGTACTGGTCCGCGGTGAGCGGTAGGAAGGTGATGCCGCCGCACAGGCGCGAGAGGAGGTCGGCGCCGTCCGGTTGTTTCCTGCGGCGGCGGGGGATTTGTCGAGGCGGGGCGAGTGGATGTGGGCCGTGCGGGGGGCCGTGCTGTGCGCGGCGCGGAGCGCAGCTGGGCGCGGTTGCAGCGGCTGCCGCTGGCGCGCGGGGGCCATTCAGCAAGCGTGTTGCGCGGACGCGGTCGCGACTCATGTGACTATCATGTCCGCATTGGCGTCGAGTCCGGTGGACGCGTTCCGTGCCGGAAGCGAGGTAGCCGGGACAGGGTCGCATGCGTCGCCCAGCGCGGTGGCGCTGCCGGCCCGAGGCCGCCGCCACGCGCTCAAGATGATCGACTCATCGCGCACGCGGGCGCGCAGGGGACGTGGCCCGCCGTGCGCGGCGCAGGCGCGGTCCAGTACGCTGGCTTCCGAGGGGGCGAACCTCGTGGTTGCGAGGCCGCTGGGCAACGGGGCGGGCTCCTGGTGCGACTTCGAGAGCGCCCCGAACTTGTCCGCCGGTCCGCGGTCGACAAAAACGCTGGCGCTGGCCGTCGCGCCCGCGCCGCTCAGCCTCGTGAACAGCAGGCTGGATTGGTCTATTGCGGGCCCCTGGGGACCGTAGGCCCCTTCTTGCGCCGGCTGCGTCATCCCTGTGGCCGTGACACCCACTCGCGCGCTCCCTCTGCCCTTGATAGCGCGGCAGAGCGCTCACGGCCTCGATCACTCAGCACTTGGGCTGGTTGACTCACGCCGCAGGCTGGGTTCTCAGCGCCGAAATCATCTGTACTCGAGCTGACCACGACTTGAACGTGCCGCACTGCGCCAGAGGCGCCCTCCCGTATCCCCCGGTGCTCGGGCCGCTAACTGTCACCGACTGTCGGCGGCTTATCAATGGACCAGGAGTGGCGTCAGGTGCACACTGTGGCGCCATGCCCGACATCGACGGCCGCGTGACCAGCGAGCGAGCCCGTGTCGAGGCGCCGAGCAGCGCCAGCGTCGCCGCGAAGCGTGGCGGGCGCAGATGCCCCCGATCACGTACACGCGCACACGCATGAGACTGGGAGCGGTGGTCGAGGCGAGCGCTGGAGGACGGCACGGCGCGACGGCCGCTGGGGCTCCGGTTGGGCCGGGACGGCGGTGCTCCTCGTTCTGGTCCGTCGCGGCTCAGTGGTGGCGCTTTGACACGACACCGTGACAGTTGTTGCTGCTTCGTCCCTGCGCGGTTCTGTGTCGCGCTGCGACACGCAGTCGACTCGTTCTGTGTGGTCCCGATCTCATCTCGTCACGGCCCTCGCCGCAAGGCCGGCCCCCGCTACGCCACTCGTAGAATCCAGCGCACAAGGACAGACCCCCCCCCTCCCTGCAGGCCCGCCGTCCGCGCGTCAGCCGTGCTTCGGGCCCATGAGGTCGCCCCACAGCGACGCCGGCGGCAGCGCTGGCAGGTACCGCGCGTGCACGCGGGGGACGAGCCCCCGCCCCGGCATGGATCCGCGCCCGCGCCCGCGCCCGCGGCCGGCGCTCCGGAGCGCGTCGATGTCGACCTTCCCCGGGTCCTCGAACAGCTCCATCCGCACCGATTGCTGCGGCGACGCGGGCGGAGCGCGGTGCGGTTGCGCCACGCGCGGAGCGTGCCTGCGGGCGGACGGATCCGCCGCGCGAGGGCGAGAGATGCCGGCGGAGACCCCCGATCGCGCTTGCTGATTCGGCGCGGGGGTCAGGACGTGCTTTTGCGACGGTGGGGTTGGGAGAGGTGGGGACCCTCGCACCTTGCGTTTCCGGGAGCCGCGCCCGAGGTCCTCTTCCTTCTCCGTGGCCGTCCCGGTCTCGTCGCCGCTCGCGCGGTCGTCGTCGTCGTCGTCCTCGTCCATGCCGTCGTCGTCCGCGCGCCGCCCCATGAGCTGCAGCGGCAGGTAATGCAGCGCGCCCTGACCCAGGTCCTCCTCGTCGTCCGACGACAGCACCTGCGCGCCACGCCCCGACGGCTCCACGTCGACCCACCGCACGTGGCACGCAAACACGCGGACACGCAGCGCACACACACTCTCAAGTGCGCGCACGCTCGCGCAGGCCGCACCTTTCCGGCGACCGGCGCCGTGTCGAAGTCCAGCTCGGAGGCCGCGTCGTCCTCTGCGGCGCCGCCGCCCACGGCCGCGTCCGCGGCCTGGTCGTTCGCGTCCTTCGTAGATAGGTCAAACTCGTCTTCCGACTCCACGTGCTCCTTGTTCTCCTTCAGCTCGATGAACCCGGGCGCGAACGCCGCCCACCGCTCGTGGTAGTGCGGCGCCCAGATCAGCGCCGGCCCCGCCGCCGTCGCAACGACCAAATTGGGCCACAAGGGATGCCATGCCATGTCCATCGCCTCCAGGTCCCCCGTCTTCCCGCGGGCCGCCTCCAGGACCTTCCGCAGCACCGCCTCGCCTGCAGCCGAGTCCGGGCACGGCCCGGGAGCGGGTCAGACCGCAGACCGTTACCCCCCCTCTTGCCTCCTCAACGCGTGCGTGCGAGAGCGAGGGGGTGCGGCTGGCAGGGCACCGGCGCACCTTTGTCGATCTCGAAGACGTAGATCACGTGATCTGCGCCCGAGGCCGCCGCGGCGACGTACCGCGCGGGGCCGTGTGCGTAGTCGCACGTCGCAGGCCGCACCCCGGGCTTCCACGCCACGTCGTCCTCCTTGCTCCGCAGGACCGCGACCTGCTTCAGGAGCGCCTGGTCCGGCCCGAGCGGGCTCACCCCGACCGGGGCGGGCGCTGCCTCCGGCGACGCCACCTCTGACAGACGCCGCGACTGCGGCGTCCAGTCCACGCCGCGGCTCCGCAGCGACAGCACGCGAATCGTCTGCGAGCAGCCCCGAGCAACGCAACGTGCGCTCGCGTCGAGCGGGATCCCCAAAAATCCGCGGCGCGGCGACCGGGGAGGGTTGCGAGGGTTGCGCGGGCGCACCTTGTCGTTGCAGGTGGCGAGCACGTGCCGCCCGGATCGGTCCGTGGTCACGGCCTCGACGGCCGGCGGGGAGCCGCCCTCCTCCGCCGGCGCGAGCACGAGCACGTCGCCCGCGACCGCCGGCAGCACCGGACCCCCCTTTGTCGCAGGGGCGCCCGCGGGGGGGTGTATGGCCGCGATGGCCCCCGTCTGCGTGCCGACGAGCACGACGTCGCCCTGCGGGGAGAAGCACGCGACCGTGCGGCCCCGCAGCGCGGCGCTGGCGCCCCCCGGGGTGTGGTCGGCGTAGGCTGAGTCAAGCTGAATGGTGCGCGTGTTGTCATTGCCCTCGTCCCACGTGTTGAGGTGGAACCGCAGGAGGAGCGGGGGGCCCGAGGAGAAGGTCACCACGACCTGGTTGTACCTCCGGGGCTCGAACGACGCGCTGCACGGGCACGTGTTCGAGTGTGGGGGGGTTGTGCAGGGCGCCGGGGCCGGGGCGGCGCGCGGGCGGGGCGAGAGCGAGGTGCGGCTCGTGTGTTCACGGTGAGACACGGATTCCTATTTGTTGGCGCGCACCTGACGATGGTTGTGTTGTCGCGCTTCGCCGTCCACCGGGAGGCCGCCCAGAACCACTCCACGGCCCCCGTGAGGACGTCCCAGATGTGCACTTCCTTCGCCGTGCACGACAGGATCTTCTTGCCGTCGCGCGACCACTGCACGCGCAGCACCGGCGCCGCGCTGCTCTCGGCGCCCGGCGCACCCGCCGAGTGCCCGCTGGGGTCCTGCATCTCAACATCCTCGTCCTCGTCGCGGTCGTGGCTCAGCACACGGACCACGCCGCGCGTGTCGAAGTCCCATATCGTGATCGTGCCGTCCGCGCTGCCGCCTGCACTCCCAGAGAGCACAGACCACCCCGCGTCAGGCGCCGGCGCGCGCCGCCGCCGCCCCTGGGTGGCCCGCTGGCTCGACAGCGGTAACAGGCAGAGCGAGCGGGCGTCGGGAGGGGCTGTTGTGGGCCGCAGGGCCACACTCCGGCGGCCTCCCGCCCTTTTGCAGCAAAGCGCGCACGGTGCCGGGGGGCGCCAGGCGCGGCAGCGCGCGTGCGGTGGCGGCGCGGAAGGTACCTGCGAGGAGCGTGCCGCGGCGGTTGAACGCCAGGCAGCGCGTCGACGCCTCGTCAAGGAACTCCTCGACGCGCTCGGGACAACGCTGCCGGTCGCCCTCCGTGCCCGCCATCTCTGCGCCTGCGCCCGCGGACGGGCAGGTCGGCTGCCGCGTGGTATCGGGGGGCGCCTGGGCCGCCGCGGGAAGGCACGCGCTGCTCCTTGCGGGCGCTGCTGCGCTGCGCGGGGCGAAGATGGGCGCGGTTCGAGGCCGGTGGGCGCCCGTGCTGAGGTCAGGGCGCGGAACTGGTTCGCACGTGGCCACGTCTGGATGTCCCGGCGCTAGGAGCGCGCGTGCGGCCGCGTATGCGTACAGAAACCGTTGCGAAGCACGCTCGATTGGTTGATCACGCGAACAGCCCAGGGGGGTTCTGTGGCGACTGGCCGAGCTCGCTGCTGCGACGCCGTGCATGGCCGCGCCCTCAGGCCGGCGCCATGATGCGCGGCGGGGCGCGCCGCGGCCCTGACGCGCCCGGGCGGCACTCCCCTGGAGACCGTCTCCGACGTCCGTCAGGGCCAATGGGAGCCCTGCCGCGCGCCGGCGGACACACGCAGGGCCGGGCGGCTCTGATACGGAGCGACGCGTCGACGTCTTGCGCGACCGACTCGGCGCCGCCGTGAGGAGGTAGCAGAGGGGTGCGGGCTGTTGCCGCTGCGCGAGGAGAGATTGTGCGCCGCTGCGGGGGGGAAGCGCTTCGTTCTGTCCGTAGGAGGTCTGCGTGCCAGGAAAAATGGACGATCATGCGGAGGATGAGAGGCAGATCACATGCAAGCTGACCTCCAAGCTGCCCAGCCCATACCGGGTGCCGCCGGAGCCCCTGGTGAGTGTCTCCGCGTCCACCGCCGCGCCGTACGACTCGAGAAGCGTTCGAGCGGCACGGCCGCCGGCCCGAAGCCGCAATGTCGCGCCACGTGGCCGGCCGCGCGCGCCAGCCGGCAGAGCGGACTCGTTCGGCCGCCCGCCCTGTGTCGCGCAGCGCCACAACAGACACCGATTTGCTACGAGCGGACACTCGGTATCCATGTTGACTTCGAGCGGGCGTCGTGCGATCGCGCCTCGCGACACCCCCCCTGTCGCCCGTTCCCGGCGGCCCGCCCAACATCCGTGGCCCCCGCGACGCGCCCGCGCAGGCGCTCCCGTCCTCGCTCACGCGGCTGGGCCTCAGCCAGGTCGTCAACCACCTCCTCGCGCTCGAGGAGCCCCACCCGTTCGACTTCCTCATCAACGGGGCCCTCCTGCGTCAGCCGCTTGGGGCGTTTCTGCGCGAGCACGAGATCTCCGCGGAGGCCACGCTGACCATCGAGTACATCCCCGCGATCAAGCCGCCCCAGAGCTCCCACGCGGAGCCCCACGACGACTGGGTCGCTGCGGTGGCGGTGGTGGACGGTGCGGACGCGCCGGGCAGCGGGCGGCGCTCGAATCCGCACGTGATCGTGTCCGGCGCGTACGACGGCATCGTGAGGACGTGGTCGTACGGCGCGGGGGTCGCGGGGCGGTGCCTCGCGGCGCACACGTCGCACGACGGGCCGGTCTCGGGGGTGTGTGTGCACGGCGGGGGGGGGGTCGGGTCGTTCGTGGTGTCGGCGGGCAAGGACGGGCGGCTGGTCGGGCACGGAATGGACAGCCACGGGGTGCTCTCGGCGCAGGTGGCGTACGAGGGGCACGCGGACGCTGTGGACTGCGTGGCGGCGAGTCCCGGGGGGGAGTCTGTGGTGTCAGGCGGGTGGGACGGCGCGGTGCGCGTGTGGGCGGCGCCGGAGCGCGCCGCGCGGGACGCCGAGCGCCAGGACGGCGACGACGCGGAGGACGAGGCGCCGAAGAAGAAGAAGAAGCGATCGGGGCGGAACGGCGCAGGCGACGCGGCGCTGCCTGTGCTGCGGTCGCACCAGGCGCTCGAGAAGCACTCGCAGTGCGTGTCCGGCGTCGCGTGGGCGTCGCCGTCGTCGCTGGTGTCGTGCTCGTGGGACCACGCGGCCCGGATCTGGGACGCGGAGACCGGGGCGTGCGTCGACACGCTGAACGGTGCGAAAGCGCTCTTCAGCGTATCCGTCGCGGAGGACGGGCGCGCCGTGGCGCTCGCGGGCGCGGACAAGGCGTGGCGGCTCTGGGACCCGCGCGCGCGGAGCCCGGACGGCTCGGTGGTGCTCAAGGCGTTCCACAGTCACAAGGCATGGGTGGCGGGAATTGCTTTTTGCGCACAGTCGCCGCACCACCTTGCGACGGCGTCGCACGACGGGACCGTGAAGATCTGGGACCTGCGCGCGGTCGTGCCGCTCGCGACGGTCGAGGCGCACGAGGACAAGGCGCTGTGCGTGGCGTGGCTGGGCGGGAGTGCGGTGGTGAGCGGCGGCGCGGACTGCCGGCTGGCAATCCACGAGGTGGGGCTCGCGGGCGCTCTCGGCGATACGGGCGGGTGATGTGAGCGCACTGGCACCGAAAAAACCACCCCAGAACCGACACAACAAGAGGTTTTATATTGACAAACAACTACTTCCTCTCGATTCAAGTGAATCATTGATTCATCGGTCAGCTCCAACCGCGCAGACTGCTCCTCACAGCACCGCCGTCACGACGCGCCCGCCCGCTCCCAGCGCCCGGCTCAACGCACCAGGTTGCGCACCGCAGCGTCAATGTCAGCATACTTGAACTGGTAGCCGGCCTTCTCCGTGGCAGCAGGGACGACCTTCTGGCCGTCGAGGACGACCATCGCGCCCTCGCCGAGCAGCGTCTGCAGCGCGAACTCCGGCACGGGGAGCCACGAGGGCCGCCCGATGACGCGCCCCAGCGAGTCGCACATCTCCGACATGCGCACGGGGTTGGGCGCGGTGCCGTTGTACACGCCCGAGGCGAAGGACTTGTCCTCGAGCGCCTTGACCATGATGCCGACCAGGTCGTCCCTGCAGGATGAGGCAACAAATGAAGATGAAAATGAGTTGATTGGTCGTTCGATTGGTTGGTGATGGGGCGCGGTTCTGACTCGAATTCACTGGCTGCGCTGCTCTGGCAGGAACGAGAACGAGCTGACTCCTGTTCACGTCCGTGCGGCGCGTGGCTGTGAATCGGCCCGAGCAGCACGCGCGACCATCTCTGTGCCATAAGTGGCAGTGTCGGGTCGCGGCCGGGCGGTATCGGCCGCTGCGTACCTGTGGATCCACGAGAACCACTGCGACCCCGACCCGAGCGGCCCGCCCGCGAACACCTGGAACACGGGCAGCATCTTGCCCAGCGCCCCGCCCTCCGCCGCCAACACAATGCCGGTGCGCACAATCACCGTGCGCGCGGTGCTCGACTTGTTAGCCTCCGCCTCCCACTCCACGCAGAGCTGCACGTCACTCGCCCGCACGCGTCAGCGACGTCGACGGGCGCGAACACGCCGCCACAAACAGCGCCACAACAACTGATGCATTTCCGAGTGGCGTGCGGCGTCGGGGGGGGAGTCTCAGGGCCCCGGGTGCTGCGTCTCACCTTGGCGAGGAAGTCCGACCCCGGCGCGGAGGTCTCGTCGTACGTGTTGGTGTCGCTAGTCCCGTAGAAGCCGACGGCGGAGCTCGAGACCAGCACCTCCGGGCGCTCGCCTTCGGGGCAGGCGTTGATGGCGTCGACGAGCTTGCGCGTGGCGTTCAGGCGCGAGTCGCGGATCTCCTTCTTGACCCCCTCGTTCCAGCGCGTCGCGATAGGCTCGCCGGCCAGGTTGACGACGCCGGTGCTGCCCTTGATCGCGGCCGCCCACTCGGAGGGCGCGTGGCAGGACACGTTGCGGACGCCCGCGAACTTGGTGCGCGCGGAGTCCGGGTTGCGCGTGAGAATGCGCACCGCGTGCCCCTCGGCCGCGAGGCGCTGCGTGAGCCGCGTGCCTACCAGGCCCGTGCCGCCTGCAAGCGGCGGCGGATCGCTGGTGAGGCACAGCACGCGCGAGTCCGCGCTAGGTCAAGGCCGGCGGGACCGCCATCGGGGCCAGAAGGCGCGTGGAGCGGCCGGGACGGCGCGTGGGTGTGTGCTGGTGCCAGTGACACGGCTGGGCTACCGATGCGCCGTGTCAGGGCCAGACGGCTGATCTCGGATGCGTCCGATGGCTTGCGACAGTTCGGTTCGTGGCGGAGGAGGTGCGTTCGTGCGTCAGAGACCTCGCGGCGCGGTTCGCGGGCCTATCGGCTGGTGAGGGGCTCCGTGGCGAGGCAGCTGATCGACTGGCTAGGCGCCGATGCGGGACCTCCTGCGCGCGAAACGCCGTCATCGCACCTGTGATAGCTACCGTCATCTTGCCGTCCGCGCCCGTGGCCATCTGGGCCCGGGCGACGAGCGAGCGGCGGCCGGAGGGTGCGCGCTGGGTGGAGACTCGGGCGGTGGCCGAGGGGGCCTGGGCGTGGCCGGACGCGGCGGGGGTGGCGCGCGCCGCCGAGGAGAACCCGAGGCCCAGCGTGTGCGCCCGCACGCGGACGCTGCGGGGGCAGCCAGCGGAGGCACAGGCGCGGGCCTGTGCGTGGGCGGTGGCGAGGGAACCGGTCATTGCGGCGCGGTTCGTGGTTCGTGTCGAAGGTGGACGTGTTCTCGGCGTCGACCTAGGCGGGTGCTGGTAACGACGTGGATCTGGCCGAGGTTTGCTGTGTCTGACGCGTCGTTTGCGTGCGTCGGACTGACGACAGTCAATGGCGTTGATTGGCCGCGCGCCGGGCCCGTCGAACAAGGCCCGCGGTTCTGAAGCGCGTGCGTGAGTCAGTCGCACTGCCGCGTCGGTCGATCGCTACGTCGGGCGCACAACGGCGCCAGGCTTGCACACGTCGCACGAGCAGTGAAACCCGCGCGTTGACGCAGCGGAACGCAGCACTGGCTTCCGTTGCCGCCTCGAATAAATCAGGGATCCCACCCTCGCGAGACTTCGACGCGGTAGCAGCCCCGCACGCACCATGTCGACCATGGTTCCTGCCGAAGGGACCAGGGCGCCCGGGACGCCGCGCGTCGCGCCGGCGCGGCCGCTGTACGAGACGCCGGCCACGGACAAAAAGCTCGCCCCCGTCGGGTCCATGTCTTCCGCGGTTCGGCGCGTCGAGGCCTCCAAGGCGCGTTCCTCGACCAACTGAACGTCGAACTCGGGATCGGTCCTCGCGGCTGCGCCGAGGGCCTTTTCGGATCAACAATGCGACCAACTGATCGGTCCAAGAGTCGATTACCCGGCACGGTGCATGGTCGCGCTCGAATGCGCCCCAGGCGCGCGTCACACGGCGGCACTCCCGGTGCCATGTGTTGCAGGCGGGGCGCGCCGGCGAGGACGCTCAGGCCACGCCGCTCGCCTTCTCGACGACGCTCCTACAAGACGCGGAGGCGGCGTGCAACGACCGGAACGAGAGGACGTTCGCGGAGCTCACGCGATTCTGCGAGCTCCTGACCAACGCGGAGGCCTCCGTCAAGGGGCTGCGCATGGCCACGGACCACCTCGTGTCGCAGACGCTCCTCTCCTCGCTCGAGGAACCCGTGCCCTGCTCCTTCGACGACCACTTCGACATCTGCGACACCACCATCCCTCTCGGCCAAGCGAGCACCCCTCTCACGTCCCACCAAACTGCACGGCGTCCCTCGCGCACGCAGCGCCCCCCCCTCAAGCCCCCTTTCTTGCGCCAGTAGAGACATGCAGACGTCGCGAGCAACCCGCCTGCACGCCCTCGGCGCCACAACACCCGCAGTTATACCACACCTTGGCGCGAACCCACCGCCGCCGGCTGACGCGCAGGGGATCGACCGGGACGCGGTCCAGGGGCTCAAGGAGCGCTACATGAGCGCGGTGGACGGCGACGTGCTCGCGAGCATGCAGGGGTGGCGTCTGGGGTACATGACGGCGCAGCGCACCATGAACGCGCTCAAGGACAGGCTGGACCGCGTGCACGACCGCGCGGAGAAGCTGAGCCGGGCGTACGAGAAGCTCAACCCCAAGGTCGACAAGCTCGAGCACAACACGCACGTCGAGGTGCGACACTTTCGAATCGATGATGAACATGACACAAATAATATATAATTGATCGGAGATTTGAGATGATGCAATTATCGAGTGTGCGGTGTGTGTTTGTGTGTGTGGGCGTCGTGCTCGGGCGCGCGCGGCGAGACGTGCCGGACCGTGATCTTGCGCCGCAGGTCCAGCCGTCGCCCGCCAGCGGCACGCCCGCCGCGCAGCACGCCCTGGGCCGCATCCTGTGCCTCGGGATGGGGCCCGCCGCCGAAGTGGAGTCGGGGGCGAAGTCCGAGCCCGCCGGCAGGGCTCCCTCGCACGTGCACAGAACGCCGGCCCCGCACCTCGACGCGCAGGGGCGCCGCAAGCTGGACGCCCTGGAGAAGCTTGACCACACCCGCCAGGTACCGCCCACGCCCCCGCGAGCCAGCCAGACGCGCCCGGGCACCTAGCGGCCCCCGCACGCTCGACGCGCGGTGCCAGTCGCTGCGATGCACAGGGGGGGGGGGTTAATGCTGCGCGAGGGGGGTGTGTGGCAAGGGATGGCGTCCGCCGGCCCGGTCGGTGAAGAAGCGCTCCCGGGGTGTCGTTGCAGGGCAAGGAGGCGGGTCTGTCTGCGGCGCTGGGGGAGTTTCTGTCTCTCGAGGCGGAGGCGCACAGCGTGCTAAATGGCCTGGCGCACGACGCGACGTCGCTCAAGGCGCTCCTGGTGACCGTGCTGGACCTGGAGCGCGACCTGCTGACCGGCGTCATCGAGGTGGGCGATGCGCCGAACCTCGTTCTGCGGCGCGTGTTCGTTTGTTTGCGTTGGGTGCGTTGGGGTCTCACGACGCGCTCTGACCGTGGCGGTGGTGTCCGCAGGCCATGGGCGAGAGAGCGGTGCCGATGTGCGTTGCGGTCCCGCCCAGCACGGAGGAGCGCGAGGCACAGAAGGCCGCCCTGGAGCACAGTGGCAAGGCCCTGGGGGGGGTCTTGGAGCCGCTGCGCAAGGCGATCCCCGGCCTGCGGCACAAGGCGCCGAAGCCGCCCTCCGAGCACGCGTCCGAGCCGCGCACGGGCTCCAAAGGCAAGCAGCCACCACCGCCGTGACGCACCTGCCACGTGTCATGTCACCCTCATATGTTCGGGCCGCCGAGGGCGCCCGGCGCTCGGCCTTGTGGTTCGCAGAGAAGGTCCAGGTCCAGATGAGGCGCCTGAGCGGCGAGGGCGCGTCGCCCGAAACGCCGCGCGAGAACCTCGAGGGCAAGCTTGACGAGGCGGGGGGGAGTGCGGAGAGTGCCCCGGGGGTGTCGATGCCGGTGTCGCGGAGCCCCCCGGCGGAGTGAGCGGGGCGGGACGGAGCATGACGACGATGCACACGTTGGGGGTTGTCGCGCACGCATCGCATCGTCGCGTAAGCAATGTGCATGAAAGACTACGTGTGCTGCTTGCGGCCGAGGCGTGCGGCGCGGCCGCGGCCGGTCCTGTTGGTGAGAGCCGTCACAGATCGTGCGGAGCGCGGCGGCACACGTGTGCTGCCAGCCCGAGCGCCTGTCGTCATGCTGTCTGTATGTCTGCCTGTGCTGTCTCGATCGCTGTCTGAACGAAGGCCTAGATGTCGAGTGTCATCTACGCCTGGCCTGCTGAGGTGCTTGCGCACGTGGTAGGGGGGGGGAGTGAGAGGGAAAAACTGGGCACGAGAGCGGAACGGAAACGAGAGGAGTCTGCGCCTGCGATCTCCGAGTGCAAGTCACGAAGCCGGAGCGGCCTAGTCCGCCCCTCCCTCGCGCTCCTCTTGCCGTTTCCGCGCCGCCTGCGCCAGCTCCTCCGCGTTCGACACCATCGGCTTGGCCATGGCGACGAAGTCGTTTGCCGTCAGGTCGTACGCCCAGTGCAGCAGCGTCTGGCGCACCACGGGCGACACGGACGCGTCGTCGAACGGCTTGTTCGCGCGCACGATCTTGCCCACCAGGTTGCGCCGCCAGCGGCCCTTGTCGCCGGCCACGCCGGCCCACCGCCCGATTTGCCGCTCGTCGTCCTCCGTGCGACGGCCCTGGTAGAACCTGCGAGACGACCGCGGCAACGGACGCTCAGGGACCAAGGCACGCGAAACCCACCAAGCACAATCATGCATTTGTCGATATCGAATTCATATCTGGAGATGCACCAAGTCAAATCAAAGACACGCGCGGTTTCTTCTTCGCACCTGCAGTACCACTGGAACCACCCGCGCGGGTCCTGCGGATGGATCCAGCCCTTGTCTTCCCAGAACGCCTGGTCCTGCCCGGCCTTGACGCCGTACCGGTTGTTCGACGCCTCATACCGCCGGTTGCGGTACGACGACTCCGGGAGAGGCTTTCCCTGCGCGTCCTGGAACCACTCCCGCGGAAACTCCTCGTGCGTCACGTCCACGGAGTGCCCGAGGATCCCCGGCCGTCCGCCGCGCGGGTGGAAGTAGATGCCCCCGAACACGCCCGCGCGAATGCACTGTTGCGGCGTCAGGTTGGGACGGAACTCCGGGTGGTCCTTGAAGACGAGCCGGCCCTCGGAGTCGCGCGGCACGGCGCAGGAGTCGTCCGCGGGGATCGGCGGGAGGGCCTTTTCCGCGGCCCCGGGCGCGTACCGGTCGATGGCCACGGCCGCGACCGCGCCGGTGCCTTGCTCGGCCGCTGCCGCCGCGGCCGCCGCAAAGAACTCGTCGTCCGTCTGCTCCCTGCGAGGATGCGGTGCGGGGAGTGCAGGGCAGCGTGAAAGCCGTGTTGACGCGGGGTCGCGGCGCCGCGGGAGCGTGCGACGTGTGTGGGCTAGGCGCGGGCTCGTTTGGGCCGCGTGGCGCGGCGGGGGCGCGGCGCGCACTTGTAGGACGTCGGGGCCTTGACGCGGGAGCTTCGACGCGGAGGGCCGTCCGCGGGCGCGTCCTCGGCGGGCCGTTTCGCGCCCGTTTTGCGCCCCTTGCCTTCGCCCGCGTCGCGCACCCCCGCTGCGGCCGCCTGCACCCCCAGCGAGCTCATCCGACTCTGCGCGCACCACGAGCCGAGCTGGGTCGAATCAAGCCACGCACACGGAGCCGCACACGCGCGCCAGGACCCCGCACCGCGCCTGTGCGGCCCCACGACTTTTGTGGTACAGGGACGAGCACACAGACACGCGCGCTCGACTGCCCACCACACTTGCGAATCGGGCCGCCAACGGTTCCCGCGCGCCGCCCGAGCCCCCCCACGACCACGGGGCAGCCGGGAGGAAGCCCGCGGGGCCCCTCGCTGCCGCAATGCGGTCGCAGCCGCGCGGCGCGGGCCGGTGCAAGCACGTCCACTGGATGGCCTGGGGCGGGGGCGACGGGGGGCCGCGCGGGCGCGAGCGGCGCGCTCGGCCCCTTGGATGCGCGGCCACGGCGCGCACAGGGCGCTCGGGCCGCGCCCTGGCGGCGCGTATCGCGCGGGGCCGCAGGAATACGGAGCGCGAGGATCGTGGCAGTGCCGCGGAGACACGGAGCGGTGGCCGGGCGCCGCACCATGTTCGCGCGGATCTTCTCCTCCCTCCTCCGCTCGTACGCAGTGAGGGCGTCGGTCGGGGCCACCTGGGGCCGCATTGTTGCGGCCGTGCGCATGCCCTTGGGCCGGCCTCGCTGCTTCGCGGGCGAAATGGTGCCTTCCGCTCGGCGCTGCGGTCGCTAGCGGCGCGGAACGGGTGCCTCGTCGACGCCTGCGGGGCCGTCCTGCAACGAGCTGTGCCGCGCGACGTCCGGCGCGTCCCCTAGTCGCGCCAGGCCCCCCTGCCTCGCGCCCTGTCAACTCCAGGCCACGGTGGTCGGGCGGGCGCACGAGCGGGCGGGACGGGCCCGTTCGGCGCGACGCGGCGCGCGGGGGGCGCGGAGGGACGTCTGCGTCGCGCGCGTGGTGTCACAGCCGCTTGGAGTACCCCGTTCCGTTGCATTTCGCGCACAGGAGGAGGCCGGACCCTTTGCAGGCCTTGCACTCGCGCGGGTTGGTCTCTCCGAGGTTGGCTTCCATCAGCGAGGCCGGCGAATTGGTTTTCTCGCGCAGCGCGTCCGCGTCCATGCCGCCCATCTTCCCCGTCCCCTCGCACGCGAAGCACCGCACCCCGCCCGCGCCGCCACACGCCTGACACATCTCCGGGTCGCCCGACGTGAGCCCCTTGATGAGCGCGACCGACACCGCCGCGAACACGCTCCCTCCCACGATGATGGACTGCGGCGCGGAGACACAGGACGCCGCGTCACGGCCCCGCCCACCCCACGCTGGGCTCGAGCGCGGTGCGGCGTCGAACGAGCGTGCATGCGCGCGATGAGCGACGCCAGACGCACCTGCAACGCGTCCGGACCGAGCGCGGCGACGTCCGCGACCGGCAGCGCGCGGACCCGCGCGCTACGCCGCCTGCTGCTAGCCCGTACGTAGGGTCCCCGCGCGGGCACGCGTCGGGCCCGCGCAGCCCCCGTTTCCGGCGCGCCCGAAGGCGTGGCCGCCAGTGTGTCGCGGCAGCCGGCCTGGGCCGCCGCGAGGGCGCCCTGGGGCCCCGAACCATGCACGGGTGCACCAGCACCGCTCGCAGGGGCGGGCGCGCAGGGCCGCGTTGCCAGCATGCTAGCGCCCAGCATGGTCGCGGAGCTACACGAATGTGTTCTGGGGCTCCAGGTTGGCCGGGCGGCGCGGCCTGAGAGAGGGCGACCCGCTGCCTGGACGCAGAGGGGCTTTTCGCACTGGCAGCTGGACAGGTTGGGCGCGGTGCGCTGGAAGGCTCCGCGAACGCTATGCCGGGGTGCGCTGTCGCTGTGTGAACGCTGGCGCCGGCGCGCGGGCCCATCCAAGGCGCACACGGGACTCGCTGCGTGGGGGGTGTGTGCTTTTACATCCCCCTGCGTCAAGGGGGACTGCGGGCGGCGAGGCGCCTGCGCAGCGGTCGACGCTCGTCGAGCGCGCGTGCCGCAGGCGTGCGCAACCCCTGCGCTCCGTGTTCGAGCTCGAGAGCATCATAAAATGAAGTGAAAAAGAAATATTGAAGATCAATCGAGAAATATCGAAATGCCATGTGTTATGTATGTATATCTGTGTCTGCGGGCCTCGCCGCCGCCAGCAGCCCCGCGTCGGCGCGCCGGAAACCGTTTGCCCGCAGCAGCTACTCTGTACGTCACGGTGGCAGGCGTCGTAGCGGTGTGCCGGCGTGCACCGCATCGCCCGCCGGGCCCCAGGCTCCTCGCTCCTCGTACTCCCTCAGGATCCGCAGCACCACGCGCCCCGCCTCCCCCGCCTCCCCCGCCCCCGCGCCCAGCGCCCCGCCCAGCCCGCGCCACGTCGCCTCCACCCGCCGCGCGTCCGCCGTCGCGCCGCCCGCGCCCAGCACCGCCCCCGCGGCCCGCGCGAGCGCCTGCAGCGCACTCGGGCTCCGCGCAGCCGCGATCGCCGCCACCAGCGCCTCGACCGCGCCTGACTCATGCGCAGCGTCCCGCCAAGAATACTCCTCCCCCCCAACATCCGGCTCGAGCAGCCGCGCGAGCGCGGTAGCCAGCACCTGCCGCGCCAGGTCGCAGCGGCACGCCCGCAGCGCCGCGCCGAGCGCGCCCAGAGCGCCCGCCGCCACTGCCGCCGCGCGCCCCACCGCAAACGCCGGATCCATTGCGTCGCCCGCGCCGCACACGTCCACGATGGCGCCCGCCGTCGCGACACGCGCCATGTCGCAGTCCGCGCCCGCGAGCGCCGCGCACAGCGCCGGCATCATCCCCGTTCGCAGGACTGCGTCGCGGCGGCGCGCGGAGGAGGAGCGCGGCCCGCCCGCGCCGAGGGCTGCCGCGATGCCCTCGCGGGTCGCGGCGAGCTCCTCGCGCTGGAGCGCCAGGCTGCCGTCCTCTGACCCGAACGGCACCTCGGTCGGCCACACCAGCGCGGAGACGGCGCGGGCGGCGGCGGCGCGCGTCCCGTCGCACAGGCTGGTCTCGAGCACGGCGGTGAGGGCGAGGTGGAGCCCCGCGCGGCACGCGCCGTCGCGGCGACGCCCGCCGTCGCCGCCGGAGCCCAGGAGCGCCACGGACGCCTCGCACAGCGCGCGCCGACCGCCCTCGGCGGCGGACGCAGCCAGGGCGTCTGCGAGGCGGCTGGCCATGCCCGCGCGGCTCGCGGCATCTCGCCGCGCCCCGTGCGCGCCGCCGCGGCCCAGCACCGCCGCGATCGCCCACCCTACGGCCTCCGCAGCGTCGTCGTCCGTCGCAGCCCCCTCCGCCAGCGAACACAGCACGCCGATCGCGCCCGCCCGCGCCGCTCCGTCGCGACGCGTACCCTGCAGCGCACAGCCCGTTCGCATCGTCGTCGGACACGTGGGCGCCTGGAACGGGGACGAAAGGACGGCGCTGTCGTTCGTGGCGTGAGTTCCACCGCGCGCATCGCGGCGGCCGCGCTCGCGCCGCACCTGAGTCCGCCCGGGCCGCAGCAGCCGCGTGAGAGCCAGCGCCGCGCCCTGCACGCCCAGCCGGTACCCCACGTCCTCCTCCGCGGCTCGCAGCGCCGCGACGGCAGCGTCCGTCAGCAGTGCGGTGGGCACGGGCCGGCGCGGGTGCCGCGGCCCGATGTTCGCGCGGCGCAGCAGCTCCCCGACCGCCCACTCCGCCTGTCCGCCGCGCCACAGCGCGGCCCGCAGGGCCCCGAGCCAGGAAGGCGCACTGCCCGCGAGCTCTGCGCTCCGCGGCAGACGCTCGCCGTCGACCCCGGCCCTCGCGCACCGCGCCTGCACGGCGTCGACGAGCGCCCAGCCTTCGTCGGGCGTGAGCTTCCCGCCAGACGCCCCCCCGAGGTGTATCAAATACTCCCCCGTGTTGCTGCGCGCGGCGATGGGGTCGAGCCACGCGAGAGCGTCCGCGCCGAGGAGCGGCGTCCACGCGGCGCGCCACACCGTCGCGTCGCCCGGCTCGTTCGCCGCGCACCACCGCCCCACGACGCGCCGGCGCGCGGCGCGGGCGTCGTCCGCCGTGGGCGCGGTCGCGGCCGGCGTGGGCGGCGCCAGGCGCGGCGGGCGGCGGATCGGCGACAGCGTGAGGGGGTCCTCGAGGCGTCCAATCTGCGGGAGCGATGCGGCGCCGGGGGGGAGTTCGTTTGGTCACCGACAGACGCGAGCGGTGCTGTTGCGGGGCGGGTCGCGGCGGCCAGCGAGCGCGCGTGCAGATGCGTGGGTGGGTTCCGGTGGCGGCGCCGAGGGCGAATCGATGCGAGGAGCGAGCGAGTGGCAGCCGCGGGGGCTGGAGGTGCGTGGAGGGGCAAGGGCGCCGCGTGCGGACCTGAGTTTCCTCGTAGAGCAAGATGCACCATCTGTGGGCATGGAGGGGCGAGGCGGGGATGATTCGGTTGCGGAAGAGGGCGATGCGGGTGCGTGCGGGGCGGAGATGCATGCAGCGAGGGGCCCGGGCGCCACCTGCAGTACTTCTTGCCGCTCTCGCACACTTCGGCCGGGTCGAACATGTCCTCGCTGAGACACAGGAAGCAGGCCTCGCGCGGCTTCGCGGCCGGCTGCGGACCTGCGGCGTAGAACGTGTAGACGGAATGCGCCGCGGGACCGAACCGCACCCTGCGGCCCGCCCGCGGGCCCGCCGTCGCCATTCTCACGCCGTCTGGACCGCCATGCACCGTTACGTGACCGTCATAGCGCGGAGTCTCTCCCGCGGACCCGCGGCACGGCTCTCTGCGCGCGCATGAGGCGCGACGTACACGGGGCGCCGGTTCGCGGGGACGCGTCGGGAGCAGTCGATGTGGAAAGCCGTCAGGGCGATGCCGGTGCCCTTGGGAGGCGTCTGCGCGCGGGCACGCGCGCTCGCAGCGGTTGTGCGCCGCGCCGCGCTGCGTGGGGCCTGTTGCAAGACCCCCAGGCGCCCCTGCGCGCGCCCAGACATTGCCGCACGCCGCGAGCGCACCTCGCCCTCTTCAGGTTGGTCGGTCGGCACTTGTAGGGGAAAGACCAGCAACCATGCCGCGCGGTACGTGCCACGCTTGGCAGTGCACGCTCGCCTGAGCGCTCTCGCGGGGCGTCGCGGCCGAGCGCCGCGACGCGAGTGCGCGGAAGCGCAGCGAGGACATCAGTTCCTGCCGTCCGTCGCGCGAAACGCGCGATATGAGTCGCGCGGCGCCCCCACTCACTGCTCGAGCCTTGTTTCCGTCTCCCTGCGCGCAGGCATCAAGAAGCACATGAAGCGGCTGGCATGCCCGTCGCACTGGCTTTTGGACAAGCTGGGCGGCGTGTTCGTAAGTGCCCGCGCCGCGCCGCCCCCGCGCTGCTGATGGCCGCCGGCTCCCTCGGCTCCCCGAGCTCCCGCGCGGTCCACGCGCCGCGCCGCGCGCGACCCGCGCGCGGCCGTGCGCGAGCGTGGAGCCCCGCGGCGGATCACGCGACGTCGCCCGCTGCCGGGAGCCGGGGCCTTTGCACCTGCTCGGAGCGGCCGTCCCCGTGTCGTGCCGCGCGAGCCCCCGCCGCGATACGCGCGAGCGTTTGCCCGAACGAGTCGAATTATCCCCGCCTATTCCGCAGGCCCCCAAGCCGTCGCCGGGTCCCCACAAGAAGCGGGAGTGCCTCCCCTTGATCCTCATTCTGAGGAACAGGCTCAAGTACGCGCTCACGGGGTCGGAGGTGAACGCCATCCTCATGCAGAGGCTGGTCAAGGTCGACGGGAAGGTCCGCACGGACAAGACGTACCCCGCTGGCTTCATGGACGTGGTGGAAATCCCCAAGACGGACGAGGTGCGCTCCCTCGCGGCCCTGCGCGCGAACCGCGGCCACGCCCCGCTCGACTTAATCGCGAGGCTCCGGCTCTCCGCGCGGCCCGTCGTCTCGCGCGCTGTGCGGGCCCTCAACCGCTCGCGAGCACCTCGGCCCCCTCCGCGCAGCACTTCCGCCTGCTGTACGACGCCAAGGGCCGCTTCGTCGTGCACCGGATCAGCAAGGAGGAGAGCAGCTACAAGCTCGGCAAGGTCAAGCAGGCGCAGTTCGGCAAGAAGGGCATCCCGTACGTCGTCACCCACGACGGCCGTACCATCCGCTACCCGGACCCTGAGATCAAGGTGCGCCCCCTCCCGGCCACCTCGTATTCCGCTCCCCCACACCGCACCGGCCAACCGCCTGCGCAGCGCGCGGACGCCGCGGAACCGGCTGTGGCCCGCCAGGAGCAGCCTCCTCCCGCCCGCGCCCTCGCCCGTCCTCGCGGGCCCGCGCAGCGCAACCCGCGTGCTGCTCGTGCCGCCCGCATCCGCGCCAGCGCGTTCCTACGCCCCGCGCGTGCCGCAGCGGCCGCGTAGCCCCGCCTGAGCACCTGCGCCCCACTCTGTGCCCCGCTGCAGGTCGGCGACACGGTCGTGATCGACCTGGCGACCAACAAGATCACGGACTACGCCAAGTTCGACACGGGCAACCTCGTGATGGCCACGGGCGGCCACAACGCTGGCCGCGTGGGCGTGGTGACGTCCCGCGAGAAGCACCAGGGCGCGCACGACGTCATCCACGTGCGCGACGCCACCGGCGCCGAGTTCTCCACGCGCGAGACCAACGTCTTCGTCATCGGCAAGGTACGCCCCCCCCCGCACCGCCGCCCCACGCCCCCACGGCAACACACGCACACAACGCGCGCCCCGCCCCCGCTCCCCGCTCACTGCGCACCCGCCGCGCACCCCCGCAGGGCAACAAGCCGCTCGTGTCGCTCCCGAAGGCCAAGGGTGTGCGTCTGACCATCATCCAGGAGCAGGCCAAGCGTCACAAGCTCTAAGCGGATGCACCGCTGTCCTGCGGGCCGACGCGCGGCCAGCCCGCCGCCCCCCCCGGCTAGATAGCGCGCGAGCGCGCGACGGACAAGTATAGTGCTGCGCGCAGCTCCGCGCCGCTGGTGGCCCGGTGCAGGTCCCTGCGCCGAGCTTGTGGGGAGGGGGAGGGGGGGTAGGCGGGGGTCGCGCGGGGGCGCGCAGCGCCGCGCATCCATGTGAAGGACCGACCGCAGACCGCTCTGCCCGCAGTTTCACGCCGTCCCGACAGGGCGGGAGTCGTTTGGTGGCGGGTGCAACAGGGGAGGGGGGTGTTCGCGGGCGCGCGTCGGTGGGCCGGCGGTTGGCCGGCCGGTCGTGGTCTGCGGCCGGTGGCTGGCGTGCCGCGCCGGGTGCGCGCTTCGGTGCCTCACAGAGCGCCTCATGAGGTGCGGCGTGCATCGTCAGCACTCGTGTGGGACTGTGTGGGCCGCGGTGGATCGACGCCGGCGCTGCGGCGGCTTGCTAGCTGTCACACATGCAGGGGGGCCGGTTGCGGGTGCGTCAGACCCCGAGTCCGAACCACAGGAGCAGGAACAGGAGCCCGAACCCCAGCGCTCCGCTGCTGAACGCCAGCATCAGCAGCGTGACGACCGTGCCGCGGAAGAACGACGTCTTCGCGCCCGCCGTGGCCTCGTTCCTGCGCCGGGGCGTGCGTGGACGGGCGGTGAGCACGCACGGTGCGCCGGGCGGGCCAAGGGCGACGGCGCGGCGCGGTGACGGCCGCACGCCCGCGGCGCCGCGCCGCGCGAACGAAGCGGAAGTCGGGCGCGCGGGAACGGGCAGAGCGCCGGGTCCCGTCGCTCAGGGACGCGGCAACGCGGAGCGAAGGCACGCGCACAGTGCAGGAGGTGGGTTCGGGCTGGCTCCGCGCCGGTTCGAGGCGTCCGATACGTGCCGGGCATGCGGTGTGCCAGAGCGCCGTGCGTGGAGCGTCGCGGGCGGAACGGGCGCGCACAGGTACACCACAGCGAACCCTGAAAGCCCAAGCGCCATGAAGACGAACGTCGCCAGCGGCAGCCTCTCCGCGAGGATCGCCGGCTTCGCAGCCGCCTCGAACGCCTCCCCCTGCGTCAGGTCCGGGCGCGTCGCCGTTGGCGGGCCCGAGCGAGCAGGCAGTGCCATGACGCGGTAGTTGATGGTCCCGCGTGACGGCGAGGGGCTCGCACGGGACTCACCCAGACGGCCGCCATCTTCCCTCGAAGTGTATCAGGCTCCGGGCGCCCACGAGCGGCGAAGATAGCTCCGTGGCGGACCGTCCTGTCCCAAAAGGAGTGCGCGGTGCCCTTCTGTGGATCCGATGCAGTGTTCCCGAGGCCCGTGACGCCGCGCGCGAGGTCGAGGCAACGTGTCTGTGCCTGCGGCTGCCGCCCGCGTCCGCCGACGTCGCCTGCGGGGCCGTCCCGGGCCACGTCAGCCGCCCCGCCCGTCCTGGCGGGCTCGCTCCCCACGGCCGCCTGCCCCGCCTCCACCGGGCGTCCGCAGGGCATCTGCGCGCTCGCGCACGCCCCCTCGCACTCTTGCGCACCGATCCGGCCCGCCCATCCACCACGAAAGACACTCACGCCCGCACATCGCTACAGGCCCAAGCCAGTCTTCGGTTGCCCGCCCCCGCCTGGCGCGTCCCGTGCGGCGGAGGCACGGTCGCCAGAGCCTCTCGTTATCATGTCGACAGGCCGTTCCTGCGCTCTCGGGTCGGCGTCATCCCCACCCAGCGCCCCGGTCCCACGATGTAGCTCCCGGCAACGCAAGCCCCGGGGCTTCCAACGGCGCTGCATCCGCGCCCGCTCGCACCACCACTCCCATGAGGAGCCGCGCAGCGAAGATACGATCATCCTCGACGACCTCGACGGGCTGGTGCGCCCCCCCGTCCTGCCCCATCTGACAAGCGCAGCTTGGCTCGCGAGGCATGCCCTCACTGCGCCGGCGTGGCCCGAAGCGCAGGTCGCCGCGAACCGCGGCGCGGTCCGGCTCTTCCTGGACACCGCCGACACCGACCTGTGGAAGACCTACATGCCCACAGGTGCGCCTCACCCCTAGTCGGCACATCAAAGTGCGGCGCTCCCTCGTCGCACGTAGATCTGGCCCTGACGACGCTGCCTGCGAGCGGACAGTCATCTCGCGGCGCGCAACACCCCAGACCCAGCACCGCGCCCCCGACCTTTCAACCCCCTCGGCTTCCCGCGTGCAGGGGTGTGGTACGGGATCACCACCAACCCTCTGATTCTGCAGCGCTGCGGCGTCAAGTGCAACTTCGAGACGCTGAAGAAGCTCGCGCTCGACGCGCACGCGCTCGGGGCGGAGGAGCTGCAGCTCCAGGCACGCCGCCACCCCCATCCCACGACCATTGCATCGCACGTGGTGGCACGACCCTGTCTGAGCGTGCTGCCACGTGCAACAATCGATCGAAAGCGCGCCGCCGGGCCCTGAATGCTGCGTTTGATGTCGGTGCGTTCGTCGGCGCAGACGTGGGGGGAGTCGGTGGAAGACATGGTGGGCAACGGTCAGCTGTTGGGGGCCATGGGCGTGGGTGACATGGAGATCGTTGTCAAGGTGCCCATCACGGCCAGGGGCCTGACCGCGGCGTCGCGGCTGATCGAGGAGGGCGTCCCGATCACCATGACGGGTGTGTACGCGCCGCACCAGGTGGTGGCGGCGGCGGCGGTGGGCGCGAGCTACGCGGCGCCGTACCTGGGCCGCATGAACGACGCGGGCCGCGACGGGATGGTGTCGTGCATGCAGATGCAGGAGATCATCGACAACGCCGGGTCGGAGATGCGGCTGTTGGTGGCCTCGGTGCGGAACCTGCGCGAGGTGACGGAGCTGGCGGCGCACGGGTGCAACACGTTCACGCTCGGCGCGGCCGTCGCAGAGGCGATGTACGCGGACCCGCTGACGAACGCGGCGGCGGCGGAGTTCGAGCAGTGCGCCAGGGACGGGGGCGCGTATGACTGACTGGCTGGCTGGCTGGCTGGGCGCCGCACAGGCGCGGACAGGCCTGGGAGCGTGTTACACTGTGCCGCCGCGGTCGGCAGCGCAATCTTGGCAGCGCGCGTCCACTCTCTGTCGCAGCGCGGGTGGCGTGCGCAGCTGGCGCCGTGCAGAGCAATGAACGTATCGTGCAATCAATCAGCGTCGTTTTGGCTCTCACTCGACCCACCCCTGGTTGTGGATGACCCCGAGCAGCGCCTTGCTCAGGCTGCTCTTCAGCACGGGCTTGGAGACGAAGCCGTCCATGCCGACCCCGCGGCACGCGTCGCGATCCTTGTCGCTCGCGTTGGCCGTCATCGCGAGCACGGGCAGCTTGATGCCCTTCTCCCGCAGCACCTCCGTCGCCCGCAGCCCCCCCATCACGGGCATTAGCATGTCCATCAACACCACGTCATACCCCCCCCCGGCGCCGTCGCTCAGCCGGTCCACGGCCTCCTGCCCGTTCTGCACCACGTCGCAGTCGATCCCCATCTGCTTGATCAGCTTGCACGCCACCTTCTGGTTGATGTGGTTGTCTTCGACCAGGAGCACCTTCAGACCCTTCAAGTCGCTCTCCGAACCCACCGAGTTCCTGCTGTGGTTCGACACGTCCACGCTGATGAAGCTCGGGTCCCTGTCGAGCGACAGCAGCGTTCCGGACGAGTTCCGCGGCCGGCTCGAGGGGTTGCCGTGCCCAGACGTCGACGGGCGGGCCTCGCGGTGAGAGCTGCCGTGCGCGCCCCAGTGGTTCCCGGAGCCCCCGCCGCCCGTCGTACGCCGGAACGCGATCGGCGCCGCGGCGCTCGGCGACGCCGGGACCGAAGCCGACGGCGCCGCGGGCTTGAACGGCGACGGCGGGACGGCAGGCGCGCTGCGCTCGCGCTCGGGCTGGCCCGCGCGGAGCTCCTGCGCGTACTTGTCGATGTTCTCGACGCTGTCCACGCGCTCGACGCTCGGGAACGTCAGGCTCGGCGCGCGCAGGTCGAGGGATTCAGATTTGCTGCCCTTGCCCTTGTGGCTGTGTTCGGACGAGTCCGCGCCCTCGCCGAACCTCGCGACGCGCGCGCTCTGCGCGGCGTCCCCGTGCGCCTCCGCGTTGAACACCGAGCCTTTCCCGGCCCCCGGGCGCGACCAGGAGCCAGACTCGCTACCCTGTCGCTCCGCCGCCTCCTCCTCGCCGATCCCCGCGAGCGCGTGGCCGGGCTGCTGCAGCATGATCTTGCTGAGGCTCTCCGAGCGGTGCCGGCGCAGCAGCGGCACGGGCAGGCACTTGAGCTGCTGTCCGAGGTGCGAGAACACCTCGCTGCGCAGCTGCTGCGGGAGGCCGCTGATCGCCTCGCAGATGCTCTCAAGCTGCTCCGCGTTCTCCTCCGCGGACTCGCTCACGCGCGACAGCGGCGGCAGGTTGCTTTCGCGCGCCTCCTCGGAAGCGCGGTCGTCCCGGCTGCGCGGCGACGGCGCGCACTGTTTCCAAGCGTCGAACGCCGCCTGGGTCGCGACCGCCGCGCGCTGCGCCTCCTGCGCCGCCGCGACAGCCGGCGGCGGCGCGAGCTTGCCCGTGTCGGGCAGGGCCGTCGCGCGCGAGGCCGACATGCCGTACAGCGACGACGTGTGCGCGATTTGCATCGCGCCCGGATCGAACCCGCGCCCCGCGGTGTTGTTGATCACCATGCGCGCCTGCTCGATCGAGTACCGGTCCAGCGACCGCCGCTGGATGCTCGCGCGGCCCGTCGGCGACAGCACGTGCGGCGCCAGAGTCGGTAGCGGAATCAGGCCGCCCGCGAGCGACCCGGGCGCGTCCGACAGACTGCCGCTCACGTCCTGCGAGCGCCGCTTGATCCCGTCGATGCTCCGCCGGCTGTACTGCTGCGCGGCGCGCAGCGACGCCCGCGTCGTGATTGGCGTAAACACCTCCCGCTCCGAGCGGTCGATCGACTTCCGCCCGGACGGAAGCGCCGCGGCGCGCTCCCCGAGGTACCGCTTGAAGGTCCACTTGTCGCGCTGCGACGACGGCAGCGAGAGCGGCACGTTGAACCAGAACGTGGACCCCGCGCCCAGCTTGGAGTGCGCACCAATGCGCCCGCCCAGGAAGTTGACTTGCTTGGAACAGATGCTGAGGCCGAGGCCCGTGCCGCCGGTCTCGCGCGGGCGCTGCATCTCGGCCTCGGAGCCCTGCACGAAGTCCTTGAACAGGTTTCTGAGTCCCCCGGGGGCGATGCCGCGCCCCGTGTCCTCCACCTCGAAGATCAGCCAGTACGTGCTGTCCTCGGAGTCGCGCGGCACGGACATCGCGTACGCGCGCCGCGACGAGCCCTTGCTGTTCCGGTCCGGCTCGCCGGCCTCCGTGGTGGACGTATTCGCCGTGCCGTTGGCCGCCGGCGTTGCGCTGCCGGTTGCGCTGTTCGCGCACGCGTCTGCGCTGTGCGCGGACGCCTGCTCGTCTGCGGCGTCGAGCACGGACCGCGTGGAGAGCCGGTGGTGGCTGTTGGAGTGCGGTGTGCCGACGCTGGCGTTGCCAGTGTGGCGGGCGACGGTGGCGCGGCCCGAGGGCGTGCGCGAGGGCCCGCGGCCCGAGTTGCCGGCCGCGGCGAAGGACTCCTTCTCGGAGCCCTCGCTGACGCGCGTGAGGGCGCCGCGCCGCGCCGCGCCGCCCGGCGCGTTGCTGGGCAGGCGGTTGTTGTCCATCGACTTCTGCCCGCGCATCTCGCGGACGACCTGCATCGACGGACGCTTCATGAACGAGCCCTGCTTGTGCCGCCGCGAGGGCAGCGTGATGGACTCGCGCCCGCGCATCCCGTTGTTCTCCTCGTCCTGGGGGATCTGCGGAAATAGAGCACACACGCACAGGGATGCGGTGGTTCGGTGTGCTCGCGGCGGTGGATGGCGCCCCAGCGGGCGGACCGGGCCGACGGATGCGCGTATGGCTGTTCGCTTGCTTCGGGGTACACAGTGTGAGGTGACGGAGGTGAGCGGCGGACAGGCTGACGTCACTGCGCGACAGCGTGCGCTCGCTGGCGGCCATGGGCTCGCGTGCAGCGAGCCAGATGCACACAGGCTCCTGCTGTCCCGGGCCGCGCACTGCACAATGGCGTCCCCCCCTCGCATGACACATCGTCTCTTTCGTTGTTCTAGACTTGCGCAGCGGGGCTGGGTGCTCACCTTGCAGATGTACGAGTGCCGCATCGCCATCTCCGCCTGCTCGGGCTCCTCGTCCTCCTCCGACCGCTCGTCCACTGCGTCCTCCGGGATGGGGAACTGCCCCTGCCGCACCACGCGCACCCGCACGAAGATGTGCCCCTGCTTGGTGAACTTGACCGCGTTCGTCATCAAGTTGAGCAGGATCCCGCGCAGCCGGTCCGGGTCCGACATCACGGGCGGGAGCCCCAGCGTGTCGGGCTTGAGCAGCTTCACGGACCCCTCGCGGTCGATCATGGCGTCGATGATGAGGTGCACGTCGTTGACGAGCTCGTGGAGGTCGACCTCGCGGCGGACGATGTCGAGCTGCTTCCCGGCCTCCATCTTGAAGAAGTCCAGGAAGTTGGAGACCGTGGAGAGCAGGATAGACCCGGAAACACGAATGGTGTTGGCCAGCTCGAACTGCTCCTCGCCCAGCGCGCTCTCGAGGAGCATCTCCGCGGACGCGAGGCAGCCGTTGAGCGGCGTGCGGACCTCGTGGCACATGAGCGACATGAACTCGCTCTTCGCCTCGTTCGCCGCCTGCTCGCGCTCAATGGTGACCTGCCGCGACGCCGCCTCCTGCTGCGCGAGCGTGAGCTGCCGCTGCGCGAGGATCCGCGCGCGCGCCTGCATCAGCTCCTTCGCGGCCAGGTGCGCGGCCAGCTTGTGGTTGGCAAACATCTGCCGCCGGTACGTCTCCGCCAGGTACGACATCAGCGCGCCGACCATGAACGCCATGATGATGTGGTCGCGCACGTTGCGCCCGTCCTTCTGGAACAGCCGCCCCGTGCCGATCCAGTGCACCGCGAGCGCGGTTGGCCCGAGCAAACACAGCGACCCCACCCACCACCGGATCTGCATGAACGTCGTGATGCAGATCAGGAAGAAGGCGAAGAGGACGTAGTCCTGGCTGTTCGACATGTTGAGCAGGAGGCAGGTGATCGCGAGCGCCATGATCGACGACAGCACCAGCTCCTCCTGCCGCGACACGCGGCCCTTGTGGCGCCGCGCCCAGAGGTAGATCATGCCGAGGAACATGTAGAGGAGGGTCATGTTCGTGAGCTGCTGCATGAAGGACTCGAGCTGCGCGAGGGGCGGGGGGGTTGCGTGGTGAGGCGGGGGTGTGAGGGATGTTTGGGTGTTGTTTGTGTGTGGGGGGGGTGTTGGGTGGGGTCGGACCAGGTCGCGGACGGAGGAGCCGGGTTTCGTGGCCTTGGAGATGAAGCGGAAGACGAAGGACGAGGTGTCGAAGATCATGATGAGCATCAGGACGGGCCAGCGCCGGGACGCCACCTCTGCCAGGTACTGGTCCTCGACGTTCGGGTCTCTGCGGGAACACACGTGCCGAGGTGGCGAGAACGGATGTCAGCGGGCGGTGCGGGGCGGATTCGCGGTGCGAGGGCGCGGGAGCGGGGCGCGAGGCGGGGTGTGTGGGCTGGAGGGGTTGGGGGCGCAGGGGGGCGCACTTGAAGCGGAGGATGAGGCGGTCGGTCTGGATGGCGGAGTTCGAGGGCAGCATATCCTGCTGGATCTTCGATTCGTCCAGTTCGGTCTCGCGCAGGTCCTCCCCGTTGGTGTTGTCTGCAGTGCACAGACGTGCCGAGGGCCATCAAGGGCGCGCTCGGGGCGCACGAGGAAGGCGCACACGTGCGCTGAAGTACAGAGAAGAACGGATCAAGCCGCTTTGGGCGGCGTGTGAGCGCTGGGCCCCAGCTCAGCCTGAGCTGCACTGCCCGTCTGCACCGGGCTCTCGCGGCGTGAGACCTGTGGGCGGCGCGATGGTCCGCCAGACAGCCCAGAGAGCAGCAGGCTCGGTCGCGAAAATGGCGCCAAACCCGCAGCGCCCAGCCAGACGGGGCGTGATACTCTCCGGAGCCCCCCTCGCGCCGCGCGGCTCGCGAGGCCGCCACTTCGGCGGCCGTCCGATCCGCGGACAAGCGCTTGTGATCAGGAGACACCGGCCAGGGGGCGCCCGGCCACCGGGATCCCCGCAAACGGCGGGCAGCGCACCTCCGAAGGCACTGAGCAGCGTCGGGTGGTCATCCATTGGCGACGCGTCCAAATCGTCCTCATACGAGTGCTCCGTGTGAGGCTTGCTCTCTGCAGCGAGCGGCCCCGGCACGGCGCCGGTGAGACTGCGGGACGAGCGCTCGTGCTCGCCGCCGCGGGGCCGGGCGCCTGGGCGGCGCGTGCGTGTGTGGGTGCCGCGCGCCACGGGGGGGGGGCGCGTGCGACGCGGCGTCCGAGGCCGGCGATGCCGTGCGGCGACGTCGCGGGCATCGGCGAGGGGGCGGAGGCCGGGGTTCGTGGAGCGGCGGTGCGCGGAGGGGACCGCGCAGCAGAGACGTGACGGTGACGGTGGGCGATGGGGGGGTTCGGCGCTGTCGTTGCGCAGGGCGACGTCGTTGTCGGTAGGGCAGAGTCGGAGAGATGGCGTTGAGGGGATGGTGTTGGGGAGGCGGGCAGGACGGGGGTGGTGCGGGGAGCAGGGAGCACGGTGGCTTGGGGGCTCACCGTCGGCGGGGTCGTCTATGGATGCGGACGCGAATGCGTTCATGACGAACACCGAGGGCTTGGCCTCCACGGGGGGGCCCGTGAAGATGCCCATCCTCGCGCGCCGCGAGCGGCCGCTCGCCTCACCCCTGGTCCAAGAGCCCTCCGCACGCGACGACGGGCGCCGTTCCGCGAGTCAAATCAGGCGCGAAGGCCTCTTCAAGCACGAACTGAGCTATGACGCGCCGAGTCCGTGGCGGGTCCCCTTCGACGGGGCGGCACGAGGGCGGGCGGGGAGGCGTCATAGTGAGACCTCTAGCGCGCGCGTCACGCGCTGCGTGTCGCCTGCTTTCACGCGAGAATGGGCGCGGCGTGCCGCGGGGTCCAAGCACTGCCTTCGGACACGCCCTGCGCGGCGTCCGATGGCTTCGCTGGACCGCACCCGCCCGCAACTGTCTCACCACGCAAGCCGCTTTTCCGCGTCGCACGCGACGCTCCGTTCAGTCGCGGTGCCGCGTCGCCCTCTTCCCGCATGATGGCCGAGCAGGGCCGCCCGGAGACGGGCAAACGCCCCGCGGACGGCACCGCCGCGCCGCCCTATGCATCCGCGCCCAATCTCGCGAGGGTCGTGGAGCAGCTCACGCGCATCGGAAAGCGCTTTCGCGGAGGAGCAGTAGGGGCGGAGTGCGCGGTCATCGAGGCGGCGCGCTCCGAGCTCCTGCCCGTGCTGAGCCGGCGCGCAATGCACCGGGCGCGGTCCACCGTCAAGGATTTCGTCCTGTCGTACTACCCGCTCATGGGCCTGCTGCCCATCGACTTCCTCGAGCACTGGGACACGCTCGTCTTCTTCGAGGTGCGCGAGACCTGGCTCGCGGGCACCTGCGCGGGCGCACCGGCCATGTGCCGCCGCCGGCAGTTAAGAAGCGCCAACGGCCGCTGACGTGCGCCCCCCGCCGCGCAGGTCTGCCTGTACCAGATGGACGAGATCAACGAGGACTGCTGCAAGGCGGGAACGCCGACGCGCCCCGCGCTGTACGGGGCCTGCGCTGACGCCGCCCGTTCGTGCCTGGCTGCGGCGTGCCCCACGGGCGACGCGCTCGACCCCGCTGGACCGAGCGGAGGGCCGCGCCCGGCGCGCACGGCACCCTCCGCGATCGCGACGGCGCGGGCGGAGTTCGCGGCGGGCTTGGCGTACTGGGACGCCGAACTGGCGATCGCACGCGCGCTCGCCGACGTTCCGGGCGCGTTTCCGTGCGCGGGCGCGGCCTCCGCGCCCTCGTCCGTCCTGACGGACGCAGCCATCCTCAGCACGCACGAGAGCAAGTCCTTCGACTTCCGCTGCCTCCACGCCCTCGCCCGGCACCTGCACGGCCTCGCGCCAGCGTCGCCGCAGCTCCTGCAGTTCCTGGTCGTCGACGAGCGCCTCGTGGACATCGGGGACGACCTCGTGGACTACGAGGACGACATCGAGCGCAACTCCTTCAACATCCTGCGCTGCATGGCCGCCGTCCACGGCGCGGGGGCACCGGTGCGTGTCGCCGAGCTGATCGGGCAGCTCGAAGTGCAGCACGCGGCGTTGCTGCGCGGCCTGCCCGAAGCCAGCCGCTCGGCGCACGTGTCGCGGCTGGCGGCGGCCGCGCAGGGCCGCGCCGGGGCGCTGCGGTGGAGCTTCCCGGCGCTAGTCCTGGACGAGGCCGCGTGGCGGCGTGCGCTGGCGCGCACCGCGGAGTGCGCCCCCGGGGCGGTGGCGTGACGGCGGACGCGGCGGCGCGCGCCAGGACGGGTGCGGCTCCGTCGGCGCGAGGGCGACGGTCGCACCAGGAACGACTCCCCCGCGTACACCCCCCCTTTTGTTCTTCCCCCCGTTCGCGAAACGCACCAACGAATCACGGAGTAGGATCACAGTAGAGGCGCTACGCTGACATCGCCGACGCTGACGGCGCGCGGGCGTCGCGGGCCTGCCGGGCCACACGCGACGCCTGCGCGCGGACGCTGTCGGCGTCAACCAACCACCGCGGAACAAAGACAGAACGCTAGAGATCGGAATGCTACAATCGCTCGCGAGGACGGCCGTGCGTGCCCCTCCAACGGGGACGCACGGACTGCTGCACCAGGGCTACGTTGAGTCCCCCCCTTCTTCTCCAGAACCACTCTCGTCTCTGAATAACCCTCCGCCCGCTCAGTTGCTCCATTACACGAACCTCTGTGCCGCCGCCCCCGCTTGGTAGCTCGCGGGCGCACCGGCTGCTGTAACCAAGCAATTGTCGCCTGGCGTGCCGCAGCATCAGTGCCTGTAAGCAGCAGCGCACCCGTGGGACCTTGTTCAGCGGACCCTGCGGCGGGGATCTCTGGAGGTCAGCCTGCAATCTAAACAGCGACGTCCGTTTCCTCTCTTGGCTCGCCGGAAGTTGAGTTGAAACAAGTTTTGTCTGACAGAGCCTCTCATACGTGGGGGACTCCACTGCCGTCGTTGCTCGCAGCCAGTCTATCCCGGCCGTGTCCTACGGCCCTCGCAAGCTCGTTCGCTCTGCTGGAAGTCATTCGCGCGGCAGGCGGGACGCATGCCAGCGCGGCGTCTCTTTCGCACAGCTCACTGGCTGCGCCGCCCGACGGGCAGCCCCCGCGCAGCGCACGCACGCAACCTTGGCCCGACCGCAAGCACGCCACCTCACGACCGCACCGCCCCGCCCCGCCCCCGACCCACCCGCTCCCGCTCAATTCACAGCTCCCTATTCTGCAGTCACCCTCACCCCTCCTCCTCACCCTCCTCGCCGGCCTCCTCCTCGGGCGCCGCCTCCTCTTCCTCCTCGGGCGCCGCCTCGTCCTCGGGCGCCGCCTCGTCCTCGGGCGCGGGCGACACGTCCCCGCGCGGACTCCCCCCCGGGCTCGGCGCGGGGGAGTCGTACAGGTCCGCGATGTTCTCCCCGTGCTCCTCCATCGTCCCGAGGACCTCGAGCGCGAAGTTCACGAACTCCTCGTAGTCGATCTGCCCGGACCCGTCGTCGTCGATCGCGTTCACGATCGCGCGCAGCTGCGGCTGACTCAGGCGCAGCTGCGAGGCCCCCACGCCCTGCAGGAGCTCCGTGGCCTCCGTCACCGACAGCTTCCCGCTCCCGTCCGCGTCCGCCGTCTTGAACGTCAGCGTCAGGATCTCCGCGAGGCTCCCCGGGTCCCGCAACTGCAGCGACTTCACCGCCTGCATCTTCCGCACGTCGTTCACCGCCTTCGCGCGCTCTGACGCCTCCTGCACGTTGATCATCCCGCGCACCGCCTCCGCGGCGGACGCCGCGAACGTCGCGTACCGCACGCCGCCGGAGTCGGCACCCTCCCGGCTACAGATGGGCAGCGCCATGAGCGTGGCGATCTGGAGCCGGGAGAGCCCGAGCCAGTCCTTGCTCATCTGGTTCAGGACCGCGCGGATCTGCTTGATCGACAGCGAGCCCGTGCCGTCCACGTCGTGCTGCTGGAAGGACTTGATCATGGCCTGCGCCAGCGCGTTGGACGACTCCCACGCCTCGTTCTCGACGAGGTCCGCCGCGAGGCGCTCCATGAGGATGCGGTGCGCCATCGGGGCGAACTCTGCGGACGGCGGGCGGGGGCGTGGCGGCGGTGAGGGCGCGGCGGAGGCGCTGGCGGGCGCGCATGGAGGGGGGGGGGTTGTGGGCGGCGGACCTGTGTAGGAGATGTAGCCGTCGCCGTCGACGTCCGCGAGCGTCATGAGCGAGTTGATGTCTTTGCGCGTGAGGCCCAGGTCGGCCTGCTGCAGGGACTGGCGGAACTCCCGGCGACTGAGCGTGCCGCTGTTGTCGACGTCCGCGCGCTTGAAGATCGCGAGGCACTTGGCCTCGAGCTGCTCGGACGTCATGCCCTTGACCATCGCGCTCTCGGCGCGCGCCGCGGCGCGCTGCTCGTTCTCGGCCGTGACCGTGTTGGCGGCGCGCTGCGCCTGGAGCGACTGCAGCAGGTCGATGGCGAGCGGGAGGAACTCCTGGCAGTCAATGAGGCCGTCGCCGTTGTCGTCCACCTCGGACATGATGCGGTCCACCTCCCGGCGCGTCAGCCCGAGCTTGGCCGACGCCAGCGCCTGCCTGAACTCACGGCGGTCCAGCTGCCCCGAGCCGTCCTCGTCCGCTTCCCGGAACATCTGCACGCGGGAACGAGGCGCCCGGAGAGCGTCGGAACCACGCCGCTGCGGCCCAGGGCGGGGCGTGAGGGCCCGAGGAGGGCAGCAGTGACGCACAGCCCAACTGCGGTGCGCGCTGCGCGCCACGGAGAGCCCCGCGACGCGCCCCGGGGCGCCCATCGTCCTCCTGAGAGTGCAATGCGCGAGGAATCGCGCGCCAGGCGCGCGCAGCGGCGCGCGTCTGCGGCCCCCGGCCCCGGCCATGCGCGACAAAGTCGCCGCACGTCGCCCGTCCGGGCGGGCGCGGCGCGCGGGCGCGTCCGCGCGGTGCGCACCTCGTTGATGATATCCTCGAGCTCCCCGACGGTCATGTTCGCGATGTCGAGCGAGGGCTCCTCCGCCAGCATGTCGTGCTCTCCACCGGCTACGCGCAGCAGGTTGGTGAAGTAGTGCGCGCCGTACTCGTACATGTTCTCCGGCTGGTCGCGGAGGATCTCGCGCGTGAAGTTCTTCAGGAGGGCCGGGAACCCGTCCGGAATCGTGAAGAGCTTCTGGTAGCGGCTGCTCATCGTGGTGCTATTCTTGGTCCGGGGGGCCGCAGGGCGGGGGCCTGGCTGGTCTGCGCGACCGGCGAGGTCTCCGGGGAAGGAGCTCTCCCCACACCGGTCCGGGGCCCGGCAGGCGCCCGCCGCGGACGGGGGCGGGTGGCGCTGGCGCGGCGCGGAGCCTGTCGAGCGTCCGCACGGGCTGAATGCGTGGCCCTGGCGTGTCCCGCGACGCGAATGGAATGCTCGCACCTACACGCACGCGACTGCGGACGCGCCGCGACGACGCAGCCCCTCCACGCGCACGCCGCGCAACCCCGGCGGGGCAGTCTGCAGCGTCAGGATGACTCAAGGCGCTGCGGCGCCCCGAGGGGGCCGCGGGCGCTGTGCGCCGGTCAGAACGAATGGTTCACGATAGGGCACCACCTGAGCCGCGACAATCGCCTTTCTTTGACTCCCCCGGCCCAGGAAGCCCTCACTCTCGGTGAAAGCTGCGTTCCTCCGTCTCCGCGTTCTCCCTGCGCAGTAGATCGCGGCGCGAGCGTGCCGAGACGCCGCATCTGCGCGGGAGCTGCGACGGGGTGAGCTGGCGCGGGATCGGGAGCGCGTCCGGCCGCCACAGGGCGGCGCTCGTCGGCGGGGGCGGCGTACGCGCGCGCGCGGGCCATGTTCTGCCTCCTCGACCTGACCGAGGACATCCTCGTCGAGCCGCGGTACTTCGGACCCAAGCTGCGCGACCACCTCGAGCGGGTGCTCCGGGACAAGTTCGAAGGCCAGCTGCTGCGCAAGCGCGGGCAAGTGCCCCGCCCCGCTGCCGCGCGCAGCCAGCGCTGCTCCCCGTCCCTGCACGCCCACGAGGCACTCCGGCCATCTATCCGCCCGCCCCGCGCCCCAGGCGGCAGAATCGCGCCCGCTGCGCCCCCACGCCCCCCCTCTGGCTCGCTCGGCACCGCGGTGCGCGCGCGCGCCGGAACTGGAGGCGCTCAGGGCCGACCTCGGCCGCGCCAGGCCGGGAGCACGGCACGGTCTGCGCGGGCGGCCCGGCGGGCGCCACCACGCACCCGACCCCCGTTGCCCTCTCTCGCACTGCAGCTACGTCATTTGTATTACCGAAATCAAGTCCACGAGCCAGGGAGAGATCCAGGACTACACGGGGTGGGCGCTCTTCCACGTCGTCTTCTCCTGCGTCATCTACCGCCCCCTCAAGGTGCGCCCCCCCCTCCAACTCTGCCCTGATGTCTACTGCACAGCGCCAGTGCCAGTGCCACTTGCGCGCGCGGCCCTCGCGCCGCCGCAGCTACGGCCGCAACGCGCGCAGCTAGTGTTCGGGACGCCGTGCGCGCCGTCCCGCTCCGCGCTGCGACGCCTGGCGTCTCCGGAACGCACGCGTCGTTAGCTTTGCTGGCGTGGTGTGGCTGCAGGGGGAAGTGATCGACGCGCAGGCTGTCAGGGTGGCGGAGAACGTGTGCATCGCTGCAGCCGGTCCGCTGCTGATCGTGGTGCCGACGGACTCGCTGTCGGAGAGCGGGTGGAAGTTCGACGCCGATACGAGTGCGTGGCGGCGAGGGGCGGGGAGTGCGGACGACAGCAAGCTCACGGTGCGTCGCGTGCGCTCGCGCTGGGCGCAGCTTGGCGCCTGCTGTGTCGTGCGTGGCGATTTCGCGCGATGCCGGCGCGGCGAGACGACGTTGTGCGTCGCCTGGTGTGCTGTTGCAGAAGGACACGCGCATTCGACTGAGGATCACGGGGCTGCACTACAGGCTCGAAAACGAGGCCTGGAAGGTCACCGGGATCGGCAGCATCTCTGAGCCCCACCTCGGGGTGCTGTGAGACCCTGTCATCGCTCTGAGACCCCAGGGGGTCTCTCTCGGCCCGTGTGTGGGCCCGGGGCCGCGTGTCATCGGCTCGGCTCGCGCGCCCTCCGACCAGTCGTCACCCTCGCCAGTAGGGCAGCGCCAAGCAGCGAGGATTACGCTCTTGCTGCGCAGGCAGCCACTCGTTACCTTTTTGCAGTCCCACAGGCGCGTCAGCGCGCGGCCGATCGAGCCTTCGGCGAGCCTAGAACGCTGACTTCGGTCAGTGGCAGCTCTCGGGGCCGGCTGTCGAGGCCGATCGTTGGGTCCGATGGACGGGGACGGGGCTGAGGATGCTGGGCCGAGTCTCCCGCTCGTGCGCAGCTTCATGGAGGCCACGGGCAGCGACGAGCAGCAGGTGTGTGCAGGCCGCTCTCGACGGAGTGCGCGCGCGGATCCACCCCCCGGGAGTTGCGCGCTGCGGTGTGGCAGCGCCTCTAGCTGTGCTGATGGCGGTGGGTGCCTACGTGGCGGTTTAGTGGCGTGCTGCAGCCGCGGTAACGCGGGAGGCGCTGATGGTTGCTGGCGTAGGTCGGCGATTCGAGTGCCATCGCGCGCGGTCTGCGTTGTGGTTGCGACGGGCGCGTGCTGCAGCGCTGGGCGCTCCTAGGCGCTGAATGCGCGCGCGCACGGCGGCCCGAAGCCGCGATCCCGGCGTCGGTGACCGAACCATGTCCCAGCATATCATTTTCACGGCCCCACGCGGGCATCACGACTCCGGGGCACCGCCAGCTGGCCGACCCTCCCCAAGTCACACTGCCCGCGCACGCACCGCGACGCGCCCGGGACCGACGCTCCCCTCCTTGCCGGCTACCGCAGCCCAGCGCCTGCCTTCCCGGACCAGCACCCCACGTGCCGACCGCACCCACACCACCAACACCCTGACGCTGTTCCTGCCGCAGCGCCAATGCGGGGCGCGCGCGCGCCTCCGACCACACGCACCCGCTCGCATCCAGCTAGGCGCCCGCGGTATGCCTCGGTCGCGTGACGCGTCTGGCGGGCGCCCGCTCTCACGCGAATCTCCTCATGTGCGTCGTGCGTCGTGCTGTGGGTGTCCGCAGGCCCGGTTCTTCCTAGAAGCCTCCGCGAACAACTTCAACGGCGCTGTCCAGATGTACCGTGAGAACATGGGCGGCGGCGGCGGCGGCGGCGGTCTCTTCGGCGGCCCCCCGCCGCCTGCCGCCGACGACCCCCCCGGGGGTGTTCCCCCGCCCGTGAACGACGCGGGCCCGCGCGCGGACGGCGAGGACGGCAACGTCGCGCTGCAGATCCTCGCCGCGGTGATGCAGGCGCCGATCTTCGTGCTGCGGACCGGGTTCGTTCTCGTGCGGGGGGTGTTTGGCCTCGCGTGGGGCATCCTGGACGCCGTGGGGTCCCGCGTGCTGCCGTCGGGCGTGTGGGCGCCCGTCCGGGGCGTCGTCGGGGCCGTGGCGGGCGCCGGGGACGACGACGCCGACCCCGCGGAAGCCGCACGGTGCGCCCTCGCGCCACGAACGCACCGGGCTGCTGCAACACCCGCCCCTTCACTCCCCCGGTCGCCCGACTGCACCTCAAGCTCGTTCGTGACCTCGCGGATGCATCTGCGGCTCTCGTACGTCAGCCAGATCAGCCACACGCGTCCTGACCACTGCGACCACACCCCCCCCCTCGCCTCTCCAACACGCAGGGCGTTCGCGGCGGCGTTCGAGCGCGACCACGGCGACGCGCACCCGACGTTCTCGATCTGCTCCTGCCACGACGCCATCCGCCGCGCGCACCGCGAGGGCCGCTTCCTCCTGGTGTACCTGCACGACCGCAACCACCAGGCGTGCCGCGACTTCTGCGCGGGCATCCTCACGCACCCGAGCGTCGTGGAGCTCGTGAACTCGCGCTTCGTCTTCTGGGCCGGCGACGTGTCCGTCCACCGCGGCGCGCGGCAGCTCCAGAGCACCCTGCGCCGCCCGCGCCCGCCGTACATGGCGCTGCTCGCGCCGTCCAGCCGCAGCGAGCTGAGCCTCGCCGCCGCGGTCGAGGGCCTGCATCCCGTCAGCCAGATCGTCGCGGAGATCGAAGCCGCCGCCACGCAGCACCAGTATCTCTTGCAGAACGCCAGGTGCGCACAGGATAAGACACGGCGCTGCGACGTGCGACGCGACCGACTGCGAACACTCCGTGATGGCTGCGATGCCGCGGAACGTGCGTTCTCAAGCGCGAGCGCTGACTCAGGCGGCCTGGTCTGACTTTCTGACTGGCTGATCCTCGGGCTCCGGCGGTGTGCAGGGAGGCGCGGCAGCGCCACGACGAGTCGCGCCGGATCCGCGAGGAGCAGGACGCGGCCTTCCAGGCCGCGCTCGACGCGGACCGACGCCGCGCCGCGGAGGCGGAGGCTGCGGCGCGGGCTGAGCGGGAGGCTGCGGAGGCGGCGGCGGCCGCGGAGCGTCGCGCGCAGGAGGAGGCGGCGGCGCGGGAGGCGTCCGCGGCGCAGGCTGCGGAGGCCCGGCGGCTGGCGCGCGAGTCGCTGCCGCCGGAGCCGGCCGCAGGCGCAGGGGGGGTGTGTCAGATCCGGGTTCGACTGCCGAGCGGAGGCAACCAGGCCCGGCGGTTCCTCGCGAGCGACACAGTGGCGGCGGTGTACCGGTGGGTGGACTGCCAGGAGGGTCTCCCGGCTCGGTACGTGCTGGTGTCAAGCTTCCCGCGGAAGGAGTTTGAGAGGGGGGGGAGTGAGGGTATGACGCTGGAGGGGGCCGGGCTCAGCCCGCAGGCGGCGCTGTTCGTGCAGGGGCGGGACTGAGGTCGGCTGGGCACAGGATGTGAGCGGGCGCCGTCCTGGGCGTAGGCCAGCTGGTTTTCTTGCAACTTTGATGTTGCCAGAGCAGCGACGCAAACTTCGCGACACTTGCATGCCCGCGCGCCCTCCTTGGCGCGGATGATCAGCTACTAGTACAGCGTGAGTCCGTCCTGTGCGGCACGTGGCGTGGGGCCCCTGATGATGCATGTGCAGCAGCCACATGTGGGCTCTTGCTTCGCTGCGAAGAGCTCATCTTGGGAGGATGAGATGGCTCGCGAGCTCGCTACGCACCTCGTGCGATGGCCGGTGCGGGGACCGGCCGTCGTCCCGAGGAGCGTTTGCAAGTGTCACATGCCGCGTCGCAGGGTGCGGAAGATACCCTCGCGGCTGACGGCAAGGCGCGTCTTCGCTGACCTACACGCACCCTCGCCGCGAGGACGCTTGTCTGCTCCGGCCAGTCGGCTCGGCGAGGCCCGGCAGCCTTCGTCCGTTGACTCGAGCGCCTGACAAAGCGTGGACGAGCCGCGTTACAGCTCACAGGGCCGCACAGTGACCACTCGCAGTCACCACTCGCGTGCGGGGGGCGAGGTGCTGCGTGCTAGTCGTGCTCGTCGTGCTAGTCATACTCGTCGTCGTATGACGATGAATCGTCGTCGAAGTCGTCGTCGTCTGACGATGAGTCGTCGTCGTCACTGTCGGACGCGTAGGCGTCCCACGGCAGCTGCGACCGGAACTCCTCGCGGCACTCGTCGGACACATGGAGCGTGGCAATGTGCTGCGAGGGCGGTCCGAGCATGAGTGCGAGTTCGACGCACTCCTGCCAGTTCCTTTGCAGGGCGCGCGCGCGACTTCCTGAGATCGATGGGATGTGCAGCGACACCTGGCAGGGCGGGGAGCTTTCGTTGCGGGTGGCGTCGCTCCCGAGCTCGCTCAGCGCAAACGCGACATGACTCAGCTCCTGAACCGACACCCCTCCGCTGCTCAAGAGCGACAGCTGCCGCAGCGTCGCGTTCCTTTTCAGCCCCTCAAGCAGCGGTTGAGCGACAGACGCCCCATCGCCAAAATAGCCGAAATCGAACACCTCGAGGTGCAACCTCTGCAGGGTCTTGTTGCGAGCGAGACCGTGGCCGAGCGCGTCCGCGAGCCCAGGTGCATAGAACCTGTGATTCTGGCCGCGCCGTCCCTCGCCGCTCAGCAAGAACGGCACACCGGAGCCATTTCCGTCCTGGGACGACCAGCTCGCGCCCAGCTTGAGCGCCTCCACCGTCCCGTTGCTCGCGATCGCCTCCCCGACCTTCTCCACACCGTCGATCGGTCCATACAGGTTCGCGAACGCCGCGACCTTCAGCGACGGCAGCCCGTTCAGCAGCGCCGCAACCCCCCTGAAGCCAATGGGGGTGGCCTCCATGTCCAGGTGCGTCAGGGCAGGGAAGCCCCTCGCCAGCGCCGCGCACCCGGCCAGCGTGATGTGGTTCGCGCCCAGCCGCAGGCTGCGCAGGGCGGTGTTGACGCGGGGCGCGTCCGCCGGAAACGCTGTGAGCAGCCCCGCGTCGCCGATGCCGCACACGGACAGGTCGAGGTGCGTGGTGGTGCCGTTCGTCACCAGCGCCTCCCAGACGGCGCGCTGTCCCTCCGCGCCACCTCGTACGCGGGGCACCGTCGTGCCCAGCTTCCCACGGTGAACTGTCAAGGACACAGCCTTGGTGTCGCCCCGCAGCAGTCCCGCCGCGCACTCGACCTCTTGCACCCCGGTGATCCTCAGCGCGTCGATCCGGCGCGCCGTCGCCACCCGCGCGACGGTCTCGACCGCCACAGCGTCACGGTCGTCGCGATCCAGTTTCAGGTGGAGCTGACTCAGGGGGCGGCGGTGCCGCGCCAGGGCGTCGAGCACCCGCGTCCACACCTCGGACGGCATGGCGTTCGACTGCAGCGTGACGTGCGTGAGGCCGTCCGCGCGCCCGAGCAGCGACAGCAGGACGTCGCTTCCGCGCTCGTAGGTTGACGCGTCCGACGGGGCGGCGGGGTGCGCGCCGTGGACGATCGGGTCGATCGAGGGGATCGTGTGGGTTATTTCCTCCTCCGGTCCAGACCAGGAAGAGTCTGAGTCATCAGGATCCCGATCAATCTTCAATCCCTCGATATGGAGCTCGCGCAAAGACCCGTCGAGCCCCGGCAGCCCGAAGATCTTCTCCATGTACCCAGCCGGGATGATGGGACCGTCGACGTCCTCCAGCGTGAGCCTGTGGACGCGCAGGGGCCCGGTGCTGGCCGCCGCGGCGCGTTGCAGGACCGTTGCGAGGGCAACGATCTCCTCGTCGGGGGTCGCGCCGGCGCCGGCGAGCACGGCCAGGTCCAGCGGCGACGACGCCGCCAGCGCCGTCAGCAGCGCGTGCACGTCCCCCGCGTTGATCGAGAATTGAGGAAACTCGATTGTCCCTGCGCAGTTGGGCTCCCCCGGCCGGACGCAGCGCGAGAGGACTCGCAGGGACTGGAGGTCCTTCTTGATGGTTCGTTCGAGGAAGAACAAGTCGCCGATGTCGTCCAAGTCCGTCCTCAGCGGGCGCAGCGCGCTCCGGGAGCGCGCGATGGCGGAAAAGCACCCTGTAGAGGTTGCGGCGAGCTGGATGCGCGAGGCGCGGTCGAGGTACGGCAGGAGCGGGCCCTCGAGCACCGCGAAGAAGCCCTCGAGCTGCTCCTGCGAGAAGATGCAAAACAGGGGTTTGTATGGGCCGCGTGGCTCACAGTGCAGGTGGTTGCTCCGCGCAAACACGTCGTTCGGGCCTGCGTGTGGCGCATGGAGCTCTTCATCCAGCACAATCATGATGATACTCACCGGCGGGGACTCCATTTTGTCGGCGCTGGCTCTACACAGTCGCCAGGCGAACGAACGATGCGGCGCAATGCCTATGCACACGCGGCCGTGTGGTGATGATCCATGCAGCCCACGTCCTGCGACGCGGGGCGCGAGGACACCTCGGCGCAAGTGCCCTGCGCGTCGCGCGTCGCGGCGCCAACGCCCGGAGTCGCCGGACGGGACACCCCTCGAGGTCTGCAAACACGCGTCAGGGAGCCCAGAGGCCACGCAACCGCGAGAAGAGGTGCGGGCTTACATCCTCGGTCGCAGACACGGACCGCGCGCGATTCGGATGGATCTGCCCGACGCCGCGTGGGCTCAGGCTCGAGCCAACATCAAAGACACATCCTGTGGCCCCAGGCACAGGCGCACGGGGCGCAAAGCGCGACCCGCGCAGAGAGAGGCGGCGCGTGACCGCGCGCGGTCGGGGACGAATCGTTGGCGGTCAGGTCCCGCGACCCACCCCGCTCCGTTGCGCAACAGCCCAGCGCGCCGTGACGTCCGAACGAGAAAACCGGAGGTCACATTGACCAGGAAAATGTGATGTTCGAGCGAGAGACGCTCATGCTGTCCAACCTGAATCAAACCCAACCTGAATCGGAAGAGGTTGACGTCGACTCAGGGCGCTCGTCGACAACCCATGGCACCTGCGACCGGAACTCCTCCGGGTACTTGAAAAGAATCGACAGCTTGGCTATCTTGTGTGGAGGCGTGTTGTGCCCCTCCGCCTGCGTCACGAACTTTTCCCAGCAAGCGCGGAGAGAGGCAGATAGTGCGGATTGGTCTTCCTGGTAGATGTCTGGCTCGCAGAACCACAGCGACACCTCGTGGGGCGCAGAGGTCTCGTTGCGGGTGGTGTCGCTCCCCAGCCAGCTCAGCGCGAACGCGATGTGGGTACCACGCTTCCAAAGCCCCGTGTTCGCGAGCGAGAGGCGCTGCAGCGTCGTGTTGCCGCGCAGCCCCTCCGCGAGTGCCTCCCAGGAGCCCGTTCCGAAAGACAGTCCTTCCAGATGGAGCCTCTCGAGCGTTGTGTTTCGGCCAAGACCGCGGCCGAGCGCACCCCCGAGATTGGGAATCGTCGATACGATTCTCTCGGTGAACCACTTGGTGCCGAACCACTCCGAGGTCGGAGCGCCGTCGCGCATGAGCTTGAACGGCCTTCCTGCAAGTCCTTCGGGGCCGATCCAATTGTTGGCCAAACATGCACCGAGCTTGAGCGCCTCCACCGTCCCGTTGCTCGCGATCGCCTCCCCGAGCTCCACCACACCGCCCTGCGTTCCGTCCATGTTCGCGAACGCCGCGACCTTCAGCGACGGCAGCCCGTTCAGCAGCGCCGCAACCCCCCTGAAGCCAATGGGGTTGGCCTCCATGTCCAGGTGCGTCAGGGCAGGGAAGCCCCTCGCCAGCGCCGCGCACCCGGCCAGCGTGATGTGGTTCGCGCCCAGTCGCAAGTCGCGCAGGGTGGTGTTGACGCGGGCTGTGCCCTGCGAGAACGCTGTGAGCAGCCCCGCGTCGCCAAGGTCGCACATGGCCAGGTCGAGGCGCGTTGTGGTGTCGTTCGTCATCAGCGCCTCCCAGACGACGCTCTGCGCGGCATTCGCCGTGGTGGAAGGGCGAAGCAACAGAACGCTCAGCTTTTCCCTCAACATGGGGCCACAGCGGAGGCTCACTGCTGTCGCCGTGCTCCCGCCCGCCAGCAGCCGCGCCGCCTCATCAACCTTGTCCGGCCCGACGAGCTGCAGCGCTTCGACCGGACGCGCCGCCACCAGCCGGACGAGCTCGTCGGCCGCAGGCCCCGTGAAGGGCTCGGGACATTCCATCCCCTCTGATAGGGTTTTGACGTGCAACTCGGCCAGGGGGCGGCGGTGACGCGCGAGGGCGTCGAGGACGCGCCTCGCGTCCTCACCCTCGCGCGGAAACACCTCGCACGTCATGTACTCGGCCTGCAGTCTGACATGCGTGAGGCCCTCCGCCCGCCGCAGCAGTGCCAGCAGCATGTCGCTCGCGGTCTTGTGGCCAGCAGCGTCCGGCGGGCTGGGGGCGTGCGAGCCGCTGTCGATCGGGCCGACCGGGAGAAAGTAATCCTCCGAACCGTCCGGTGCAGCCTCGGGAGCGTCTCGATATCGATAGGTTTCGCGAATGAAGTCTGTTGCCAGTTTCGTGTCGAAGTGAAACGACCGCAGCGACTTGTGGAGCCCCGGCAGCCCGAGGATCATCTTCACGTAGTCCAGCGGGATGCCGTGATGACCGACGTCCTCCAGCGTGAGCCTGTGGACGCGCAGGGGCCCATTGGTGCTGGCAGCCGCGGCGCGTTGCAGGAACGCTGCGAGCACGGCAATCCTTGCGTCGTCGCTCGCGCTCGTCCCGGCGAGCACGGCCAGGTCCAGCGGCGACGACGCCGCCAGCGCCGTCAGCAGCGCGTGCACGTCCCCCGCGTTGATCGAGAATTGAGGAAACTCGATTGTCCCTGCGCAGTTGGGCTCCCCCGGCCGGACGCAGCGCGAGAGGACTCGCAGGGACTGGAGGTCCTTCTGGATGCGTCGTACGTCTTCATACGAGAAGTCATGCGACATATACCTCAGCGGCCGCAGCGCGCTCCGGGAGCGCGCGATGGCGGAAAAGCACCTTGTAGAGGTTGCGGCGAGCTGGATGCGCGAGGCGCGGTCGAGGTACGGCAGGAGCGGGCCCTCGAGCACCGCATAGAAGGTGTCCATCCGCATCTGCACGGAACGGGGTGCAAACAGAGAGTGTCGGCCACGTCGCTGCATTCCCTGGGTTGCTGGTAGTTGCCCCGCGCAAACGCATTCCAGCCCCCAAACGAGCCATGGCGCTCTCCATCCGGCACATGCGGTAGTGAACGTACCGGTGGGGCCTCACTTGCGTCGGCGGTAGGTCTGCACTGTCGCCGGGCGCACGCCTTATGTTGCGAATACGCACTGCTGAGCGCACGTCCTTGCAGCGACCAATGCGGTCCACGTCCTGCGACGCGAGACGCGAGTTCACTCAGCCAAAGCTCGGAAGAGTCCCAGCACACCGCGCCATGATCGCCCGTACACGCCCGGCGGACGAAGTGGACACCCCGGAGGTCTTTCCACACACGTCAGCAACCCGCTCGCGGCCAGGGCCGGCAGGACCGACCCTGCGCCGCCGCGTCGCAGCCCAGCCACCGCCTCGACGTCGCGCCCAGGCGAGAAGCGCCGCCGCCCGGGCCACCAACGCCAAACACACCGCAGCGGCGATCGCAGACGGGTGCCTGCATTGCAGCAACACGCGGCGTCCCGCCAGCCGCCCCGCGCGCCCGCACCGCACCACGCGGGTCCAGATCGGCCACGTACCGCCCACCAAACGCCCGCATCTACACAGCGCAGATTCCATAGTCTGGCGTGTTCATAGCAGAACAACAGCGCCCCCCCGCGCCCCGCCTGGCGCGCCCGGCGCGCGCACGCCCGCCCGGGCCGTTCCAGCAGCGCGAGTCACATCTCTCCGTCGAAACTGAGCCCCACTGGACCTCCCGCCTGCACGCCGGCCTTGCTGCCAGCGGGGCGTTTGCGTTTCTTCGCCTGGCCGCCCGCGTCCTGCGCGGACCCGAAGTTCATAGGCAGGCCCAGCGACGGGTCCGCGTCGAGGCCGCCGTCTGGAGTGTCGGCGTCCGCCTGGGGCGCGGCCTCCGCGGCTTCCTTCGCCTTCTCCTGCCTGCCGCGCTTCCTGAAAAGAGATGGGCCCTTTGATGCGGCCTTGTCGTCGTCGTCTGGGACCGCGGCCGCGCCGGGGGAGGGCGGGGCGGCAGCTGGCGGTTCCTCCTGTGCCTTGTCCTCCGCCGCGCCGTCTCCGTGCTGAGCTGCTGTCGCAGCGGCCTCGCGCAGGAGAGTCTTGAGTTCCTCTCCCTTCGCGAGCTCGAAGGGCAGCTGCCCTCGCGCGTTCGCGGCGCCAGCGTTGGCTCGACGCTTGAGGAGCAGCTGCGCGAGCTCCTTGTGGCCGCCCTGGGACGCAAAATGCAGCGCCATCATGCCCTTGCGCGTCTTACTATTCACAGAAACACCTGCACACCAAGGAAACCCCAGGCAGCTGCGTGAAACCCCGCAGCAGCGGCCGAGGACCGCTCATGTGCACCACTGCCCACGCGCCCACCGCACGCACCGCAGCGTCGGATCACCGCCGCACCAGCACGAAACAGCCAGGAGGAGGCCCACCTGCGTTGATGAGCGCCCTGCAGGCCTCGCTGTGCCCCTTCATGGCGGCGAAGTGCAGCGCGTTGGTGCTGTCCATGGCCGCCGCCTTCGCGTTCGCGCCGCTCTCGAGCAGCGCCTTGATCACCTCGACGTGCCCCGCGTACGCCGCGACGTGCAGCGCCGTCCTGGAGTGCTTGTCCTTCTGGTCCACCGCTGCGAATCAAACTCAGTCGAGTATCCCCTTCTGTCAGCGCGCACGTTCCCCAGGGACGACCCGGCGGACCCGCCGGCGGCTCCCAGGGGCCGCTCCGACCAAGAGCACGCGCCGCAGCGCCGCACCTGCGCCCTGGGCGAGCTCCAGACACACCGCGCCCACATCCCCCCGTCGCGCGACGTCGTGCAGCGGCATCGTGCTGCCCGCGACGGCGACGCGCACGGCGAGCGTGCGACTCGCAAGTGCCGCGGGCCCTGCCGCGCGGCGCCATCGACGCCAGCGAACCGGGGCTGAGGACCGACGCCCCCTGTGTCGAGAGTCGACGCCCCCACTCCACCACTCGCGGCGGGGGGGCCTCCTCCGGGCAGGAGCGCGGCCCCGACCGCGACGCCCAGGCAGTCTTGGCGACTGAGAGCCAGTTGAAGTGGTTGGTGCCTCTCTTCACCGGCCTTATCGTTGCTGCAGCGCACTGAACGCTCGTGGCTCCTCGCAGCTTGAGCGAATTCTCGCCTGCCGTGACGACCGCGTGCGTCCCTGTCCTGCTCGTCCAGCCAGACATCACGACATGTTCGCGGCGCGCGCCCTTGCGCGGCCCTCGGCGCGCCTCGCGGCCGTCCGCGCGCCCTTGCGCAGCGTAGCGCACCCACAGCGGGCCTCGATCCGAGCGCGTGCGACGTCCACCGAGGTCAAGGACGCCCCCGCGGCCAAGGTCGACCCCACGTCGCTCACGTCGGACGGGTCCGCGCCCTCGTGGCAGATCCGCATGCTCTACGACGGCGACTGCCCCCTGTGCATGCGCGAAGTCGACATGCTGCGGAACCGCGACGCCGGCGTCGGCAAGATCGACTTCGTCGACATCGCTTCCCCGGACTACAGGCAAGTTCCGCAGCGCCGGCCCCGGCACGTGCGCGCAGCACGATGGCTGTGCGTGCCGCGCGCCCACGTGCGCGGCCGTTGCGTCCCGGTGCAGCGCGGAGAAGAACGGCGGGATCTCGTTCGAGGAGGCGATGGGCGAGATCCACGCGATCACGGCGGACGGTCGCATCGTGACCAACATTGAGGTGTTCAGGCTGTTGTATGAGGCGGTCGGTTTGGGCTGGGTGTACGCGGTGACGCGCGTGCCGTGGGTCGAGGCCGCCGCGAACAAGGTCTACGGCGTCTGGGCGAAGTACCGCCTGCCCGTCACGGGCCGGCCGGACCTGGCGACGGTGTTGGCGGAGAAGCGCAGCTGCAAGACGGACGAGGCGTGCGAGCTGCCCGGAGCCGGGGAGCGGAAGAGCAGCTGAGCGGCGCGCAGGGCGCGGCCGCGTGGCTCCCGCGTGTGAGCGGTGGCGTTGCGAGGGCTGGGGTCGCCGCGCACGTGCGGGGGGGTTCCGACAGCAGGGGCACGGGGCGCGATCGATGCGACCTGCTCACACTTGCGCGGGCCTATCAGGCGATGGGCTGGGCGTTTCCTCGGTGCGTTAGGCCCTAGGCAAGGAGGGAACGTTGTCCATGGGGGTCCGCGACGCATATGTCCCGGCGTCGTAAGAGTCAGCCCGCGCCCTCGCGGTTCGGCGCGGCCCCTCGCTCGGCCGCTTGTCCGGCTTGCTGGTCGGGCGGCGGCGGCGGCGCGGGCGCGGGTTTGGCGCGGTAGAACACGAGTTTGCATTCCGAGTGGCAAACCCACCTCACTCCCCCCTCGCGGAGCACCGCGGCGGGGGGCGCGGCGTCCGCGGAGCGTTCCTGGCCCGGGTCCTCGTCGGCCTCCATCGCGCCGCTCGACGGTCCGGCGGCGTCCGCGGTGGCGGTTGCCGCAGGGGCCGCAGCCTGTGTGCTGGCGTCTCGCGCGAACACGACGTACTGGCCCACGGTCTCCTCGACGCGGCCCTCGAGGACGATGCCGGTTGATATGTGCATTTCAGGAGCACCTGTCTCGACTCCTGCGTTGCCGGGAGAGCACGAAGTGGCTGTGAAGGAGGATAGGGGCGCTGGTTGGGCATCGCAGGGACCATGAAGGACGCAGCGAAGCGGAGGACCTCGGAACTCATATCATGTCAGTCGCGGGGAGCGGGAACGCTCGACCGGTCACGGCCGTGTGGCGGCCAGGGAGCGACCCGCGCCACTGGGGGCGCGAAGCGCTGGCAGCGCTCGCGGGACGGCGCTCAACGGCGGCCCCGAGAGCGGCGTTCCGGGCCCGCAACACATCGCCATCTGCCTCACCCGTGATCCTGAACGACGCGCCGTGCTCTAGAGCCGCTCGCGCGGGCTTCAGAGCGTCATCATCGCCCAGTTGCACCACGACATACTGAACGGTCTCCTCCGCGCCGTCTGCGGCCTTTTCTCGGAACACGAGCTCAGTGCCGATGTACTCGAAGCTTGACATCGCACGCCAGCTGACGTGGCAGCGCGACTCCCCCCGGAGCTATCACAATCTGCGCCTCGACAGTGCGCAGGTGCGCAGCCACACGTGCGTGCTGCGGAGACGAGGGCCGCAGCACGGAACGTCCGCTGCCGGAGTGCAGCTCGCGCCGCCGGGCGCGCGCAACCATCCCCACAGCCCGACTCGCACAAAGAAAGCCCGTCTGACTGACGCAAACATATCATACTTTTATATTCTGACGCGTGGATGTCATCGTTGACTCCATCTTTCTCCCTCACGTCACAAGCACTCGCGATGTCCGTCACGCGTGCGTCTCGCGCAGCCACTTCTCGACCCCTGACTCCCCCCGTGACCCCCCCAAGGACCTCTCGAACAAGTCCCCCCCGCTGGCCGCGCTCGCTGCGTGCGCCGACCGGCCCTGCACGCCGCGCGCGCCCGCGTACGTGCGCGCGAGCGCCGCACGGCCCGCCCCCGCGCCCCCGCGCGCCACCGTCTGCCCCAACCTCGCCGCAGGTCCCTGCGTCTGACCCAGCCGCGGCAACCCCCCCCCGCCCGGCAACGTGGAGGCGATCGTCGCCGCAAGCCTCCTCTGCTGCTGCTCACCAGCCACCGTCGCGTGCAGACCGCCGTGCGTCCGAACTGCGGGCGTGGGCGGCGTGACGCTCGCCATCGTCGCTCCCAGGGACGCCGCAGGCAAGGTCTGCCCGAGCACGCTCGGGTGGAGGCCCTGCGGCCCAACCGTGGCCGCAGGCAGGGTCTGCCCGAGCAAGCTCGCGTGGAGGCCCTGCGGCCCAACCGTGGCGGCCAGGTGCTGCGTGTTGGTCGGCGTCGGCGCCCCCCCGAACCCGAACCCCCCCCCCTGAGTCAGCGCCACGGTCTGCGCGAGCTGCGCGCCCGCGATCGTCGAGTTCAGCGCCGCGCCCACGCCCGGGTGCACCGGCATCGTTGCCGCCAGCGGCCCGCCCCAGCCGAGCATCGCTGGCGGCGCGCGGGACTCGTAGTGGGCCGAGTGGGAGCGCCGACGCCGCCCGCGCCGGTCCCACCCGCTGTCGACCGAGTAGCTCACGTCGCTCTCCGACAGCGTGTCCCCGCTGTACCGCCGCCCGCGGCCCCGCCTCCCCTTCTCGGCCTGCAGGTTGCGCTCTTGCACCGCAAGCAGGACCTTGTCCACCAGGCCGCGTTTCTTGAGCTTGCGGTACGTGAGGCAGCCGATGATGAGGACGAGCGGGCAGAGGACGACGAAGACGAAGAGCCCGACGCCGGAGAAGGTCCAGTTCGTGGGGTCCATCGCCTTGGCGGAGGACTGATTGCCTGACACCACCACCTCCCCGCTGGTCGTCGCGTTCCGCTGCGGGGCCCACCAGCGCGAAGGGGTGCTGGTGTGCTTGCGTATGCCGTTGCGGAACGGGGCGGCCGAGGCGAGTCGGCTCGAGAAAGCCAGAAGGAAAAAAAGTCATTGTTTGTGGTTTGACAAGACAGGGGCGTCCCACCTCGCGCTCCGACAAGCCGCCGGTGCGTGACTGGAGGTCGTCTTCGCGCACGTCGCAGAACGGCGCGTCCAGGTCGAGCGTGTTCCGCTCTGGGTCCGTCACCCACCCGCTGTCGCAATTGCACGTGCACTTGCCGGGCGTGGGGGACCCGTTGCCGCTGCAGTCCACCTCGATCGGACAGTCCACTTGCGGCGCGGGCGTCGCCGGCGGGGCGCGCGTGCTGAACGGCGCGCCGAACTGCGCAGGCATTCGAGACAATACAATATGACTCTTAGCTTTCCGAAACGCCCTGTGCGGCCACGCAGCGCCCGCACCGCCTGCCCGCCACCGCACAAAGGTCCAGGCTCCGCGGCGAGCCGGGAATCTCGTCCGAAGCGCGAAATTCTAGACATGAAAGAGGGACGTACCGCTTGCAGCAGCTTTCTCGACACAGCGACGTCCAGAGCGCACGAGGGGCCGTCGAGCTGGCACTGCGAGGACGCCTCGGCTTTGTCCAGGGCGTTCCAGGCCCCGTACGTCGGCACGACGTCGCCCAGGTCCCGTGCCGCCCCTATGCCTGTTGAGTTGCCACCGCTGGTCGGGTGCGCGGCGCACGCGCCGACGAGCAGGGCCAGCACCGCGACGGCCCACAGCGTGACCGTGCCGCCCATCTGGGGGGTCATGGTGCGGCGGAGAGCGTCAGCGCGCGCCGGAACCGAGGTCGGAGGGCCGGGATTGTGTCTGGGGCCTCTCCGCAGCCTCACATGCACTCGGCGCGCCGTTGCGGGCCGAATCTGGTCCGACAGCGCTTCCCGACGACGCAGCACGCTCTCAGGCCTATGCCGTCCGATTGCACGGCGCCTTGGGGCGAAGTACGCGGCGGCCGCGGTCCAGGATCGCGCACGTCTGTTGGCTTGCTGAACGGTCGCGCGTGTGTGTTTGGCGGGATCGCGGGACACAATGCGGCGCAAAGGTCTACCGCGTGTCGCCTGAGTGTCCGTGTGTTCGTTGCCGGCGGTTCGCAGGCCGAATGGCTCCCCGCGCGCCCGCTGCTGGGCGAGCCTGACTCGGCCGACACGGACAGACACCCCCCTGCGTCGCTCATGCCTCACACGGCGCGGCGCCCCCGTGCCTCCCCGCCCGCCAGCGTCCCGCGTCAACAGCAACCCGGGGCCGCACGGGGCCGCCGTTCGCGCCCCTCAGTGTGCGGCCACATCCTTTGGTTGCACTGCACCGCCACTGCCCCCGCCCTCGGCGCCCCCGGCCGACGTGGTCGGCGGCGCGAGCGTCGCCATCGGCATCGTCGCCATCGGCAGCGTCATCGGCACGCTCAGCGACGTCGGCACCGGCAGAGACCCCCCCCGGGGCTGTGGCGCACCAAAGTACGAGCTGTACCCCCCCGCGCCGCCCGCCGTCGGTGGCCGCGCGCTCGCGATCGCCGCGTACTTCGCCGCCAGCGGCCCGAACGTCTGCTTCGTCGTCCCCGCGCCCCCCGTCCCCGCCCCCGCCGCGCCCGGCGTTGTCGGCGCCGGCGCGCCCCCGCTCCGCGGCGCCTCGGCCCCCGCCGCCGCCGGCACGTTCGCCGTCGTCCGGAAGGTGTACCGCGACGACGCGGACGCGTACCGCCCGAGCTGCGCCTCCGTAACCTGCGAGTTGAGCCACTGGATCATCTGCTGGTTGCTCTGCAGCAGCGACTGCGACTCGTCGAGCTTCCGGCGCTGCTCCGCGACGCGCTCCTTGAGCAGCTTGCTCTCGCCGCGCTCCCCGTCGAGCGCCACCTGCAGCTGCCCGACCTCCCGAGTCAGGGCCTCCACGCGCTGCTGCTTCTCCGCCATCGTGGCCTCGTGCTGCGCGATGACCGCCTCCTTCATCTTCAGCTTCGCCCGCGCCGCCTTGCCGTCCGACTCGAGCTGCTCGATCTGCGCGACGCGACGCACGGTGCGCAAACACACGTCAGGGGGGGGGGGCTCTCTACCGCGTCTCGACCCGCGCGCACGGGCGGTCGCGGCCGCACGCGACGCCGCAGCGCGCGCCCACACCCCGCCCGCTCAGCGCGACGCTCCCGCGCGCACGCAACGCCCGCGCAGCGCAGCGCAGCGCACGAGTCCGCGCCGCCATCGCATCCCCGCGCCGCACCTTCTGCGCAGCCTTGTCCAGCTCGGCGCGCTCGTGCGCCGCCCGGTCGTCCGCGGCGTTCTTGCTCCCGCGCAGGTCCTCGCACGTCTTCTCCAGCGCGCGGTTGCCCCGCTCCAGGTCTTGCAGCTGTTTCCTGAGGCTCGCAACGAGCTCCTCGCGCGCCTTGACCTCCTGCTTGAGCCCGCTGATCTCCACGAGGTGCCCCGACACCGCCTTGTCCTTCCCGTGGCCCTCGCTGGCCATGCGCGCATTGTCCGACTTGAGACGCGCCGCCTCGTCGCGCAGGGCGCGCAGCTCGCCCTCCGCGCTCCCCAGCCGCGACGACAGCTCCGACACCTTGGTGTCGAGCGCGTACTTCTGGTCCAGCAGCTCCCGGACCTGCGGGCCACGCGCGGCGGGGCGTCACTCGTCATGTGTGCCATGCAACACGGGTGGTGCTGCGTGGGGGGCGCGGGGGGCGTTTCGGCGCGGGGCGGGCGGAGGGGTACCTGGGAGTCGAGCTGCGTGGCTTTGTCCTGCGCCTGCTGCAGCTCGACCTTCAGTTTCGCCTCGGACGCCTCGCGCGCCGTGTCCAGCGCCTGGCGCTGCTCCTCCACCTCGCGCATGTGCTGCTCGCGCGCCTCCGTGAGCTTGGTCTGCGTGTCGACCTCCCAGTACGTCTGTCTCCGGGCGTGCTCGTCGCGTTCCCTGCGCGGCACGAGGGCGAGGGTGCACGACGCGTTACGCTCCCCGCGCAGCCCGGCGGTCCGGGTCCGCGCACCGGCGCACCTGCCGCGCCGGACGGTCGCCCGTCGCACGTGCAAGCGAGAGCCGTGCCGCAACGAGGCGCGCGGGGCGGCGGCGGCGCGTAGCGGGCGTTCCCGCCACTCTGGGCTGCGTGTCCGGGGCGGGCGCTCCCCCGCCGACGCCCCGCCGCAACAGCCCGGCGTTCCTGCGCGGGGGGCTCGTGTGGTGCGCGACGCACCTCTGGAGCTCCTCGGACACCTCGGCGGCCTCCTTTTGGGACACGTCGAGCGCTTGCTGGGTGCTGCGGAGGCGCGCAGAGAGGCCCGAGCGCTCCTCCTTGGTCTCCGCGAGGCGCGTCGCGAGGTAGTGCTTGATGGCCGCGTCCGAGCCGGGCCGGAAGGACAGGCAGATGTGCGTGAGCTGCTTGAACTGGTTCGTTTCGACGACGGCGAACTTGGAGTCCCCGGCGTGGGAGCGCAGCTCGGCCTGGAAGCGCGGGGTCTCCTGGCTGCCCGAGGAAATGCACAGCTCGAGGAGCTCGATCATCTTGCCCGGAAAGGTGCTGAAGTCCACCAGGATGCCCTGGTCGGCCTTGAGGTGCTGGAAGTCGTCCTCCGTGACCTCCATGGAATGCAAAAAGTAGGGGTCTAGTTCGCTCGACAGCTGCAGCACCAGGACCTGCGGGGCGCCGGGCGGGATGGAGGGCGCATGGGACGGCGCCCGGGGGGCGGCGGGCGCGCGGGGCCGGCTGGCGGCGCTGTGGCGGGGCGGGGAAGCAGCGGGTGCGTGCCTGCTGTCCGTGGCCGCCCTTGGTCTTCCCGAGCGATATCCGCATGGTGGCCTCCTCGGTGCGGAGGGCCTGGTCGGGGCTCTTGAGCCGGACGGGCACGGGGTGCTCGTACACGACCCGGAGCGTGTCCATGTAGTCGGGAGGCTGGCTCCAGCTCATCGTGCCGCGCTACCGCTGCGACCCGGCGACGACAGCCGATGAGCGCCCGCTCGCTACGAATTCACCGGTGCTGTGGACACAGGTCGGCGCCGTTCGGGCGTCGTGCGCCCCCACACGTCGCGAGCAGGCCCTGCGCGGGACGGAGGCCGACGAGCAGCGCGTTCGATTTCCCTCGTCGCACGGACCGCGCCGTCCCTGTCCCCGGACTCTACGCGAATGTTCGCACGCGAGGCGACAGAAGTGCCCTGTCGACGCCCGCGCGAACGCCCTTATCGGGCCGCACGCGGGGCCTGTCCGTAGTCGGTCCCCCTCCGACTGTCATGCGGTTCAGGCGGGCTCTGACCTGCAAGCGCCGTCGAGGGTCGGGCGCGCCCGGCATGCCCCGCACATGCATCGCGCGTTCGTTCGACCGTGGTGTGCTGTTGCGGAGCTGCGGGCATGGAGGGAGGGCACGATGTGCCGAGGCGCATCATGCACCGTGCAGTGAAGCCTTCGGGCGCTCCGGTGCCGGGCTCGAGCCAGCGCAACGAGAAGAAGGACGTGCTCGTGTGGATCCCGAAACGTTGCGAGGCGGAGGGATGCAACGCGAGGTGTGCCTGGAAGCAAGCATCTCCGTTTTATGCTCATTTCCGAGGACGGTTTCCGCTGTCCGATGCGCCGACAGTCGCTCCGAAGCAGTCGTCTGCTTGAAAGCGTGCATAGTCGCCCTGCGCGTGCCGTGAACCGCCGTGGCGGCCACAAGACCTAGGACGGAGAGGTGGTTCGTCTCTGCACGTGGGCATGACGCACTCCGGGGGGTTGCAACGCACCTCTGAAGTGAGTTCTACTTCCACCCATTGCAGGGAGAACCTGAGGAAGTGCTCGCGTTGTACATGCGTCATGTACTGCTCAACTGAGTGCCAGAAGGTGCCCGGCACTCCCCACGCAGCCCACGCGACGCCCCTGCCGCCACCGCCGCTCAAACGCGCACTGATCGGCTAGCGCGCTCTCTCCCGCGCGCGCAGAGCGACTGGCCGCGGCACAAGAAGGAGTGCAAGCACATTGCCAGACTAGGGCTGTGGGGCTGCCCGTTCACCGACGAACAGATGCTCGCGCGGCAGCCACTGGGCACCGCGGGGGTCGCGGACGCGCCGGCGCGCGACGGGCCGCGCGAGTGCGGCATCTGCGGGCGGACGTCGCCGCTGAAGCGCACGGCGTGCTGCGGGGAGTGGGTGTGCGACCGTGACGACGAGTACGAGTTGATGAGCTACTCGCGGGAGTTCTGCCACCGGTCGCACGAGCGGTACACGATCTGCGGCACGCACCACTCGGACAGGAACCACCGCGGCGACCAGGACTGGCGCACGTGCGGCGTGTGCGAGGCGGATTTCGCTGGCCAGATCCCCGGGACGCGGCTGTGGTACTCCACGAACGGATACAACTTCGTCCCGGGGCTCGAGGCGCAGTACCCGAAGGGCTCGTTCATCACCACCGAGTGCTGCGAGTGCCGCCGGCGCCTGTACCTAGGCACGGAGAGCTACTCGGCCAAGGCCGGCAACGGCGTGTTCCTGTACTCGTGCGATGCGTGCTCGTTCCGGTGACGACGGAGCGGGGGCGCGCAGGGCCGCACAGTGGTCCGTGCGGAGGTGGTGTGGGTCTTTCGCGGTGCGGCTGTGTGGCGACGGCGGGCGTCGGCGCGCGGGGTCGGCTGCGGCGGGTCTGCGAGCTCGTGGACGGTGCTGTGAGCCGGGGCGGTCGTGTGCGTTCCGCCGTTGAATGGGAGTGGAAACTCCCCCCCCCTGACAGTTGGCCCACTGGCGGTGACCAGCAGTGGTGGCTCGGAGCCGCGTTCGTCGCGTCGGTGCCGCCTGGCGTCCGCGCAGTTCCGCTCGGGACGCGAATCGAGCGGCCGTGACGCTCTGACGCCAGCGCACACGCACACACGCAGCCGTCTGCCCCGCGACGGCTCCCTCGACGATGAGCGCGCAACTCGAAGAGAAGCGCAGGGAGGACCCTCACAGGATGGTGTGGATCCCGAAGCGCTGCGAGGCGCAGGGCTGCGACAAGAGGTGAGCGCCCCAAGCCCTCCCAACCACCTCGTAGGCCGACCCGGCGCGATTCCGCCTCGTCCGGTCGAACCACCGCGCCGCCGCCCACCTCTAGCTTCCGCGTAGCACGCACGTGATGCACGCGTCGCGAAACGGCGTTTGTGTCCCGCACCGCGTCGTGCGGGGGCTTGGCGCGCCAGCAGCACTTTGAACTTGGTGGACAAAAAGCGGCTCCGCCCGCCGTCGGGGCTGCCGCGCTGCCCGCACACGCGCGCGGCCTGTGGCCGTGTGCTCGCCTAGATGCGTCCTAGCGCCTTTCGGGCGGCGCGCACCGAGAGCGCCGGCGCGCAACGGGGGTGGTGCATCGCCCGCCTGCGCCCGGCCGGTCCGAGTCGCCTGCGGTCGCGACAGGCCCGTTTCGTCCGTTTCCAGCACCTCTGGCGGACCTTCCACTTCGAGCGGATCGTCTCGCTGAACCGAACGCACGTGTCCGGCCGGCAGCGCCTCGGCGCGTGGTGCGTGGACCGACCTCCCTCACGTGACCCCGATGGCTGCCGCAGGGAGAACCTGAGCACCTGCGCACGTTGCGCCTGCGTCATGTACTGCTGCGGCGACTGCCAGAAGGTACGTTCACTCCCCGCCCGCGCTGCGCCCCCTCGGTCGTGTTACGTCGCGTGCGAGTCCGTGCGCTCCCCCGGTGCGCGGCACAGGCGGACTGGGGCCGCCACAAGAAGGAGTGCAAGCACCTCGCGGAGCTCGGCGTCTGGGGCTACCCCTTCACGGACGAACAGAGCCTCAAGCAGCACCCGCTGGCGCCGGCGCGCGCCACCGGCAAGGACGCCCGCCCGCGCCGCACGGGCCCGCAGCCGCCGCGCGCGTGCACGATGTGCGGCAGCACGCGGAAGCTCAAGCGCCTCGAGTGCTGCGGAGAGTGGATTTGCGACGCGCAGGACGACTACGTGATGTTCAGCTACAGCAGGGACTTCTGCGACCGCAACCACGAGCGGTACACGCGGTGCGCCTCGCACGCCAACGACAAGCACAGGGGCGACTGGCGCACGTGCAAGGAGTGCGCGTCGCTCGGCGAGGACGACCTGGGGCGCAACTGGCACGCCACGTGCGGGTACAACTTCGTGCCGCCGCTGGAGAAGGACTGCCCGAAGGGAGAGATGCTGACGGAGACGTGCGTGGAGTGCAAGCGCCGGCTGTTCCCGGGCCTCGAGAAGTACTCCCGCAGCTTCATGCCCGTCGCGAACCCCTACACGTGTCAGGAGTGCAGCGGGATGCCGTCGGTGCCGCCGGGGCTCAAGGCGCCGGGGGTGTACGACAGCGAGGGGCGGGACATCAGCGAGAAGTACATTCAGAAGATGATCGCGCGCTTCGGCCTGTGATGCATGCGTCGCGTAGCTTTGTTGAGGGCTGTGGTGACTGGCGACGGCGGCCGGCGCAGGGCCGCTGGGGACGAGCGGAAGCTGCCTCGCGCTGGGAGGGCGGCCATGCGCGGCGCGGCACCGATGCGCCCTCTGGCGGACTAGGCAGGGGGGGGTTCCTCAATGCGACACTGCTGGTGCCGACTGTCGCCGATAATCGGTGGTTCCGGCGCGGATCGAGGCAGTCCGCGGGCTCCGTGCACGCAACATCTAGTTGGTTGCCTGCGAGGCGTTAGAGGCTGCAGAGCGAGCGCAACGACCAGCTTTCAGCCCCACTGCGAGGTATAGAACGCCGGGCGGACACCATGAGCAGCGAGAAGACTGATGCTCTCCGGAAGAAGCACAAGGACAATATGGTCTGGATCCCGCGGCGGTGCGAGGCGGCGGGCTGCGACGCGAGGCGAGCTCCGCTGCAGACTACGGGTCGCTCTTCCGCACCTGTTCCTCGTTTTCATCGCCTCGCTCCGCCTCCCGCTGACGACTCACTTCAGTAGTCATCGAACGAGGCTGGGCTCTGGGCCGTAGGCCCCAGCGGGGTCGCGTCCGACCCGCACAAACGGGCGCTGGGTTGCGGCACCGCTCCATCCGCGGGCGTCCGCTGTGGGCGTTCAACCTCTCTCACCACCACGTACCTGAAGTGAGGCACGCGACCGCACCGCGCGTCCGCGACTCCCCTGCGCAGGGAGGGCCTCCGAAAGTGCACTCAGTGCACGTGTGTCATGTACTGCTCCAAGGAGTGCCAGAAGGTGCGAAACACCCCCCCGACACCCACGAGGCCCACCTGCTGTGCGAGCCGCAATCTCGCGCTCCCGCTGTCTCGCCCGAGCCCACGCATGGACGCAACGTGGTCTTGACGCAACCCAGTCTTGTGACGCGCGCGCAGAGCGACTGGGAGCGGCACAGGGAGGAGTGCAAGCACATCAGCAAGCTCGGCGTCCTCGGCATCCCCTTCGCCGACGCGGAGATGCTCGCGCGCCAGCCCCTCCGCACCGCGGCCACCCAGCAGCGCCCCGCGCCCGCCGACACGCGCCCGCGCGAGTGCGGCATCTGCGGCAGCGCGGGCCCGCTCGCGCGCACGCCGTGCTGCGGGGAGTGGGTGTGCGACCGCCAGGAGCACTACGTCCCGGGCAGCTACAGCCGGGCGTTCTGCGACCGGTCGCACCGCCGGTACTCGGTGTGCGGCAACCACTGGGAGCTGGGGCACGCGGGGGACTGGCGGACGTGCGAGGAGTGCCGGCGGCGGTGGGCGGACCCGGACAGGCCGCGGGACTGGCACACGACGAACGGGTATTGTTTTGTACCTGCGCTGGAAGAATGGTACCCCCGGGGACAGATGCTGACGCTGCTGTGCTACAGCTGGTGCGACAACCGGATCTTCGACGGGTTCGAGAACTGCGCGGACCACGGCGAGAACGCCGAGGGGGAGCAGCGCATCATCTGCCGGGGGTGTGCCGACCACTTCCCGGGGGGAGTGCGGCTCGTCGTGCCGTCGGACAACGGACCGGGACGCGCGTGGCCCGCATAATTCCTGGGGCAGTGCCCGAAGGACCTCGCGTAGTGAGGCGCCAGCAAGCGAACGCTCACTCACGCAGGGGGCTTATTGTTGGCGAGCGGGCGTGGCCACGTTGCGCGCCCCGTTTGACACGTATTTGTTGTCCACGTGCTGCACTGAGCCGCCATCTTTGGTCCGTGGGCGGAGGTTCGCGATGGGAGCCTCTTGAGGCGCATGCGGGCCAGTATCTCGCGTGGTGTCACTCGAAAAGTGTCACCCGGGAAAAGGCGAACGCAGGTCCCGCGCAAGACCGAGTGCGCTACCAGAGACAGGCGTGTGAGGTGTGTGGAGGGGCCAGGTTGCCCGCGCTGGCGGGCCACGGTCACGCGAGCCGGGACGAGCGGCGATGTGCGCCTGACACGGCACGTGTCAACACACCGCGGTCGACCACACCAAGCGACGTTCCGAGCCAAGGGGGGTCGCGACAGGCGCACATCGCACACCACGTGCTCTGGCACAGGGAAGGAGCACCTACGGACCCGTTCCTCGACCACTGGACGCGCCACTCTCTTTTGGGTCCCTCGACTCGGCTCGCTCACCATGACGGGAAGCAGCGCGGAAGAGCTGCGCCACCAGCACAGGGACAGGATGATTTGGATTCCCCGGCGCTGCGAGGCCCAGGGCTGCGACAAAAGGCGAGCTCGAGCTGCTGAATTCGCTGTCTGTTTGACGAACGCCTCTGCGACGTCGGGAATGGAGCCGCCCGGTACCCATTTCGTGCAAACGCTCATCAAACTGTGACGGCGCACGCGAATCTTCTCGCGAGGGGCCGGCCGTGGACGAGCACACGGGCAAACGAGGTTTAACTGCACGATCGCGCTGCCGCGCCGCAACGGATCGTGCGTCCGCAGCCTCTGGGCTGCCAACCACCTTGGATTGATTTTTCACACCACGCGAGGCGAAAACATCCACCGCGGCCGTCGCCGTCGCCATTCGGTTGCCCGTACCAGAAAAAAAGCGCGGTTTCCGGCGCGCTGCCGGCATCCGCGGCCATGCCTTCGCCGCCCACGCTTACGATCTGTAACCATTCTCGCAGGGTCGGTCTCCAGAAGTGCTCCCGCTGCACCTGCGTGATGTACTGCTCGACCAAGTGCCAGAAGGCGCGCCCGACCCACCCCAACGCCACGACCACACGCCCCCAGCGCACCCGCTCATCAAGCACGGCCAGCAGCCAACGTCGCCGGTCTATTTCCAGCTCGCATCGAACCACACGCCGCAACCCCCCGCGAGTTGTTGTGCCCGTTCCTGCGCCGCAGCGCGACTGGGCGCGGCACAAGCTCGAGTGCAAGCACCTCGCCGGCCTCAACCTCCAAGGCTTCCCCTTCTCCGACGCCGAGATGCTCGCCCGCCAGCCCCTCGCCGCACCGCCCACCAACCGCATGCTCCGCGAGTACGTCGCCAGCATCCCGCCGGCCGCCGCCGCCGCGGCCCCGGCGCCCGCAGGGCCGTCGACCCCGACCGACGCGCCGCCGTCGTGCGGCCTGTGCGGCGCCACGGGCCCGCTCACGCGCACGGCGTGCTGCGGGGAGTGGGTGTGCGACCGCTCCGAGGCCTACGTGATGCACTCCTTCTCTCGCGCGTTCTGCGACCGCAACCACGAGCGGTACAGCCTGTGCGGGGTGCACCACGAGGAGGGCCACGCCGGGGACTGGCGCACGTGCACCAAGTGCATGAACGCCTTCGCGCACCGCGGCGCGCGCGAGTGGCAGAGCAGCAACGGGTATAACTTCGTGCCGGGGCTCGAGGTGTGGTACCCCAAGGGGCAGATGCTGACGGACAAGTGCGAGAGGTGCGGCGTGCGGATCTACTACGGCCTCGAGAACTCGTCGAGCACCGCGCAGTGCTGCGGCGGCAAGGTGCACGCGTTCTGCGAGGAGTGCACGCGGGGGGGGTTCGGGGGGCCGTTCCGGAGCTTCTGCAACATCCCGCCTGGGGGGTTCAAGGGCGGGCCGCCGATGATGTGAGGGCGGGAGGGCACGGAGGTCGGGGAAGGCTGTCTGTCGGACACACAATGTGTGGCGCAAACAGACAGAGAGACTGCGACGGGTGCCTCAGGCGGAGGTGGGGCGCAACACGAGGTCGCTCACACGGGAGCAGGTCCGCGCCGCTCATGCGAGCGTGCGAGGGGGCGCGCAGGGAGCGGCGCGGTACAACAACTAGAACAGAACTAGCGCATGTGAGGAAAAAGGGATGTCCGTGGAGACGGCGGGGGCGATCACGGAGCCGCCGCTGTCAGCGCGTGGAACACGCCCGCGCGCAGAGAGATCGCGATCGCGCCGAGGGCGACCAGGGAGGGTCCCAGGAGGCCCACGTGGTCGCTGCGCTTCTGTGCCGCCGTGATCGTTGAGAGGACGTGCTTGCCGCGCCGGGCGACGTTGTCCCAGGCCGCGCCGACGACGGCCTTCAGGATCTTGTCTGCGCGGGGTCGGCTATCGCACGCGAGCGGCAGCGAGGGTGAGAACGCCATTCGAGACATCTCATCTTCGATTTCATGCGGCACGTTCGCTCGAGGGCGGGTCGCGGAGCACGCGTTTTTCTCGCTCACCCGGCCGCGTGTTCATCTGCACGAAGAGCGCCTTCGCCCGCGCGTAGACCTTGCCGCCGTCGGGCCCGCCTGCCCCGTCGTGCACCGTGCACTGCACCCAGATCTTCCGGCCCTCCACGGACACCAGGTCCGCGGAGCACACAAGCAGGGACGGCGCCTCGGGCTGCGAGGACAACAGAGCGCGGCTGCGACGGGTTCGAACGGCGACGACAGAAATGTTCGGCGTGTCCTGCGGCGCGCGTGCGCGGCGTACCTCCTCGACGTGCTCGACCTCGAGCCGCGCGGTGAAGGACGGCACGGCGGGGATCACGCCCTCGAGCTTCATCGCGAACACGAGCGTCCCGAGCGTCTCGTCGGACAGCGCGGACAGCACTCCCGTGTGCACGCGCCCCGCGCCGTGCCCGCACGCCCCCTCGAGCACCGGCATCGCGACGTGGCACCGCCGCCGCGCGCGCTCGTACACCACAGCCGTCTCCCGCGACAGCCCCGCCCGCGCCACCGCCGTAAACAGGTGATGCGGCGACGTTCGGTCTGCCTTGCGGTAGAGCGCTCCGACGAGGAAGCCGGACCCCGTGCCCGCGTAGCTGTCCTCCGCATCGACGACGCCGCGCAGCCACGGCGTCGCGTCCGTCCGGAGCCAGTCGGGCCCCTGGTCGCGCTCGCTCTCCTCCGCGAGTGTGGAGATGTGTTTGGGGGCGGCGGCGGCGCGGGCGGCGTGCGTGCTGGCCTCGTAGCGGTCGCTAGTGCGCTCGGGGAGCGCGCGGGCGCTGTTCGCGGCGGACGCGGCCGGGGTGAGCGTGACGGTGCATTCGACGAACGGCGGCGCGGCGTCCGGGTCCGTGCCGTCGTGAATGCGGGCGTGGACGACGTAGCTGCCGTCGTCGGAGGCGCCGTCGCTGTCGAGCTGCGCCGTGACGACGACGAGCGAGGAGGTCGGGACCTGCGGCGGGCGGTGCGGGGGTTGAGGGCGAGTTGCTGGGACTGGAAAGGAAGTCTCCTGGACGATTCGAGAATCGCTGTTTGAGAACGACACCAGAAGACCACGACTTGCCTTGGCGCGGTAGTTCACCACGGAGCGCCGCGCGCTCGCCGCGACCGTCGCGCTCCGCCCCATCGCGCGCAGGAGCTCCACGGCCGCCTCGTCGCACAGCTTCGCGCTCAGCCCCCCGTGCACCACCCCTGGCCACCCCGCCACCGTCCCCCGCACCTCCACAGCTACGTGGTACCGGCCGCGGCCGGCGTCGAACAGCGCGGCCGCCGAACCGATCGCGCCGGCCCTCTGGAGCCCCGACAGCTGCACGCGAGCGCGGGCGTGCGACGCGGGGCGCGTGGGAGGCCGTGGCAGCGCACAACCTGTTGGCATTATGTCATGTGACCTGATCCCTGGCGCGCGGCGTTGCGGGCTCGCGGGGGGCCGCGGGCGGCGCGTGCGCGGAGGAGCGGGCGGGGGACGCACGATGTGGTGCTCCGGCCACGGGTCCGTGACGGCGTGGACGCGTGCGTCGCTGCCGTGCGCGGCGAGCCAGGGCGTCCGGTCGAGGACTGTCGTGGGTGACATGTTGCGCGTTCGCGGGGATTCGGGAAGTACCTGCGCGGAAATTGAGCGCGCGGCGGCCGCGTGGGCGTGGTGTGCCTCGAGCGCGGCCGGCGGCGCGGCAGGTGCAGCGCTGCACCGCTAGGGCGGTTCGTGCGCCCCTGACGCGGCCCAGGGGGTGTGTTGCGCGCGTTTATGTGACGGCCCGCATGTATATATAGTGATAAGCAGCCAGAGATGCAGAAACAGCGTCACGAAAGCGTGATGTGCGCGTGGCCGGTGCTTAGGTTAGGATGAACACATTGCAGGGAAACGGCCGCGTGTGTCGCAGACACGCCACCAACGCACAAGCGCACCTCTCAGCAGCTGTATCGCTCTACGAACGACGAGTAGCGGTCGGTAGCCGGCCAGGTCGGTGCGCCAGCCCTAAGAAACACCGCCTGACCTCCTGGGGCCTATTCTGGAGCCTGTGCGTCCGTCGCACGCAGGCGCGACGCGCGAGAAGTCGCCCGGAGCCGAACCCGAGGGAGGTCTGGGCCGGGCCTGAGCGTACGTCGCGAACGGCGTCGAGCGCGCTCTCGCGGGGGCACGCGCGGCACCTGCGCCGTGCGCGCCTGGTGGTTGATCCCCGGGCTGCCCGAGGGGCGCGTCCCGCGCGGACCGAACCATCCGACACCGCTCTCGCGCACACGAGCGACCGGGCGTGGCGGATCGCGCTGGGACGCGCGGCGGACGCACAGCGGGGGGGCGCGAGGGCGGCACGCTGGCACCACAAGACGGCCCGCGCCGCACCGTACAGAGAGACTCACGAAACCGGAGCCACATAGAATGTAGAACGAATCACGTACGACGCTCTCGACCGCAGGCCCTTGTCTGAGGATGGCTGTGCGCGCAGGAATCGACGTCAGTTCTCCAGGGCCTATCAAGCAGCCCCCACCCCCCCACTTCTGTTTCAGGGCTCTTTGCCGGCCTCCCCGGCCGCGCTCCCGCACAACCTCGAACCCCAGACGACACCCGACCCGTTGCACAAGGTATATCGCGCGGGTGGACGACCTCTCTGTTTCGTAGGACTCTGAACGGGATGCCCAGCTCTGTGGCGCAGCCCACCGCGGTGCCCGCGATGTCGCGGGCGTTCGCGATGCAGGCCAACCGCGTCCGGACGGCCTTCGGCCTGAGGCCCAAGCGCGTCGTCGCCGCTTCGGCCCGGAAGCAGGTGAGCCGCGGTGTTCGCGCCCAAGCTGGGCTCGTGGCCTGAGAGAGCCGCGCGGCCCCGCGGCGCCGCAGCGGCCCCCCCGCGGCTGGCGCGCGCGCAGGCGCCCGAACGCGTTTCCCTGCGCGAGGTCGTGGCGGAGGATCCTGCGTTTCCGCCCCGTGCGGCCGCGCGCGCGGGGGTGGGTCGCAGGGCTTTTGCTCGACCTGCGCGGGCCCGTGTACGAGGGCCGAGCGGGCCGCGGGCGATGCCGAGGCGGCACACGGGTTTCGAGAGGGCGAGCTCGCGCGGCCGCGCGCCGCGGCGTCGCTTGTATGCTGCGGGAGGTGCCCTCCCACAAACCTCGGCGACTCACCGACCCGCCCCGCGCCCCGACGGTGCCGTGCAGTCCATGGATCTCGCCGCGGATCTGTCGAAGAAGCTGTCCGCGGGCGCCCTGGCCGCCCTGGTGTCGGCGCTCTCGACCGGCGCCCCCGCCATGGCCGAGGACGTCGCCCCTCCCACCGAGGCCCAGGCCACCATGCCGATGCGCACCGAGAGCGCGACGTTCGGCGAGTCCGCCAACGCCCCGGCCGTCTCGACCGAATACAAGCTGCCCGAGGGCAACCAGTGGCGCTACAGCGAGTTCATCGACGCCGTGCAGCGCGGCAAGGTCGAGCGCGTCCGCTTCTCCAAGGTCCGCCCCCCGGCTCCCTCCCGCGCGATGCCGCGCCCCACGGCCCCTGCCGCGCCCCGCAGCACCCCCCGCGCCCCGCATCGCCGCCCAGCACGGCCCCCCCGCGCGCCACGCGCACCCCATCCACACGCGCGCCCCTCCCCGCCCCGCGCTACCGCGCAATCCCGGCCCACCCGCGGCCTCCGCCCGCGCCCACCCCGCAGGACGGCTCCCAGCTCCAGCTGACCGCGGTCGACGGCCGCCGCGCCGTCGTGGTGCTCCCGAACGACCCCGAGCTCGTGGACGTGCTGGCCAAGAACGGCGTCGACATCTCGGTGTCCGAGGGCGACCAGCAGGGCAACTACGTGTCCCTCCTCGGCAACCTCCTCTTCCCGCTCGTCGCCTTCGCGGGCCTCTTCTTCCTCTTCCGCCGCGCCCAGGGCGGCGAGAACGGCGGCCAGGGCGGCGGGCCCTTTGGCGGGGGCCCCATGGGCGGCGCGATGGACTTCGGCAAGTCGCGCACCAAGTTCCAGGAGATCCCCGAGACCGGCGTCGGCTTCGCGGACGTCGCCGGGTGCGACGGCGCCAAGCTCGAGCTCCAGGAGGTGGTTGACTTTTTGAAGAACCCCGACAAGTACACGGCGCTCGGGGCGAAGATCCCCAAGGGCGCGCTGCTGGTCGGGCCGCCCGGGACGGGCAAGACGCTGCTCGCGAAGGCGGTGGCGGGCGAGGCGGGCGTGCCGTTCTTCTCGTGCGCGGCGTCGGAGTTCGTGGAGCTGTTTGTCGGCGTGGGTGCGTCGCGCGTGCGCGACCTGTTCGAGAAGGCCAAGGCGAAGGCGCCGTGCATCATCTTCATCGACGAGATCGACGCCGTCGGGCGCCAGCGCGGCGCCGGCATGGGCGGCGGCAACGACGAGCGCGAGCAGACCATCAACCAGCTGCTCACGGAGCTCGACGGGTTCGAGGGCAACACGGGGATCATCGTGCTCGCCGCGACGAACCGGCCGGACGTGCTCGACCAGGCGCTGCTGCGCCCGGGCCGCTTCGACCGGCAGGTGACGGTCGACCGCCCGGACGTGCAGGGCCGCGTGGCCATCCTCAAGGTGCACTCGGCCGGGAAGCAGCTCGCGTCGGACGTGGACCTCGACAAGGTCGCGCGGCGGTGCCCCGGGTTCACGGGCGCGGACCTGCAGAACCTGATGAACGAGGCGGCCATCATGGCGGCGCGCCGCGACAAGAAGGAGATCTCGCGCGAGGAGCTGGACGACGCGCTGGAGCGCATCGTGGCCGGGCCGGAGAAGAAGAGCGCGGTCGTGTCCGAGGAGAAGCGCCGCCTGGTGGCCTACCACGAGGCCGGCCACGCGCTCGTCGGCGCGCTCATGCCGGAGTACGACCCCGTGACGAAGATCACCATCGTGCCGCGCGGCCCCGCGGGCGGCATCACGTTCTTCGCGCCGAGCGAGGAGCGGCTCGAGTCGGGCCTGTACTCGCGCGCGTACCTGGAGAACCAGATGGCGGTCGCGATGGGCGGGCGCATCGCGGAGGAGCTCATCTTTGGCGACGACAACATCACCACGGGCGCGGCGGGCGACTTCCAGCAGGTCTCGCGGACGGCGCGGATGATGGTCGAGCAGGTCGGGTTCTCGAAGAGCCTCGGCCCCGTCGCGTGGAAGTCCGGCGGCGGTCAGAGCTTCCTGGGCCAGCAGGCGGGCCAGCCCGCGGACTACAGCTCGGAGACGGCGGACAAGATCGACGAGGAGGTCAAGATCCTGGTGGAGCGCGCGTACCGCCGCGCGAAGGACTGCATCCAGAGCAACATCGAGGTGCTGCACCGGACCGCGGACGTGCTCCTGGACAAGGAGACGATTGACGGCGACGAGTTTGCGCAGATCATCCAGGCCGTGCAGTGCGAGCAGTACCTCAAGGAGGACGCGCCCGCGGTGACGATCCCGTACCAGAAGGCGTAAGCTCGTGGACGGGCGAGATGTAGGTCGCGGGCGGCCGCTCTGTGCTGCGCAAGACTTGTGAGAAGGTGCATGCTGACACGACGAGTCGAGAGCTCACTGGGACGGCCTCGCGCTGCTTGTAGACGGCAGGCGGCGAGGCGGTGGGCGGGCGCGCTGGGCGGTGCGGCGCTGTGCTGCGGGGATGGCTGCGCGCCGCTGTTTGCGCAGTCAGCCGGTGCACACGGGGGGGCGAGCCGGACTGCTCCGCACGTAGCCTGCCGACGCTCACAGCGACCTGCCCGCTCCATCACTACATACACTCATCGCGTTGCGGGCGTACGCCCACACACAGTCCGTTTGCGCGGCCGCACCACCAGCGATCGTCGTGCGCACTACGCCCGCCGCCGCGGCGCCACGAACATGTCCGTCGCCGCGCGCGCCGTCTTGTTCGTCGCGCGCTTGCTCGCCTCCTGGTACATCTGCATCTTCTCCTGGTGCACCAGCAGCACCTGATCCACTTTGCGCGCCCCCGCAATCGTCAGCTCCGGCCGCGCAAGGTCGCCCGGGTCCTTCTCCGGCGGCGCCGCCCACCCGCCGCCGTGCCCCGACTCCCGCGCCTTGGACGCCAGCCCGGCGCCGATCCCGGCCAGCACGCCCCCCATGCTTTGCTGCGCGGGGGGGGGTCCTGCGGCCCGCTGTGCTCCGAGTCCGTCGAGCTGCGGGCCTCGTGCTCCTCGTCGGCCTTGGCGCTGAGCTCGAGCAGCGAGTCGTACGTGCAGTAATTCATGGCCTGGAGCGTCCCCGGCTTGAAGCTGTACTCGGAGATGCACCGCGGCGACGGCAATCGAGGTTTCGGCTTTGGCGACTCCTCGAGCGGGGGTGGCTCGATCACGGACGGGTCCAGCGACGGCCGGACGCTCGCCGCGCCCTCCGCGTCGCTCCCGAGACCCCCCGCCGACGCCGGCGCGCCCTCGAACACCTCCGGGGCCGCCTGCAGCGTCACGCGCCGCCCGCGCCTGGCCTGGGAACTCTTCGGCTTCCTCAGGCTCTTCTTCCTCGTGATATCCGCCTCCTGCCCCTCCTCGAACGCCTCCGGGTCGTCCACTGCACACACAGCACGCGGCACGCAACAGGTGTGGCGGCGCAAGACGAAGCGCGAGCCGCGCGAGACCGTCGCCGTCGCCGCGCTGGGCGCACGCACTTGACATCGCCGGCACGAGCGTGCCGTCGTCGGACCCGTCCCCGGCGTCCGGGAGGCTCGCTGCCCCCGCGACGCTCCCGCGCCGCGACCGCTCCGCTCCCTCCGCACCGCCGCCCATCGCGAGCGAGACCGCGCGGCTCCGCCGCCGCCCGCCCGTCGACATGCTCTTCCCCCGCCGCCGTATGTCGCGCCCGGCGTCCTCCGCGCTCCCCAGCCCGTCCAGCTCGTCCAACAGCGCGGCAATCTCCTGCAGGTCTGGCTGCTCCCAATACGCCCCCTTCCCGCCCGAGTGGCCGTGCGAAGCCTTCTTCGCCTCCTGGACTACCAGCGTGCCCTCGTTCGCGAGCCGTTCCGGCGCCCGGAACACGTTGAGCTCGCTTTCCAGTGCTCGGTTCTCGTACTCGAGGACGTCGACTTTCCGGGACAGCTCGCCCATGCGCTTGATCTTCTCCGACGCGCCCTGGCGAATGCGCAGCTTCGCGGCGAAGCGGAGCCACCACACCAGCGCCTGGTTCACCGGGCCAGAGGTGTCGACCTCGGTCGCGGGACCTGCACGCGGCGGACGAGTCGGGCTGCCGTCGGGGCTGCGAGCGGGGCCGCGCGCTCGCGAGGGGATCGATCGCAGGTGCCGCGCGTGGGCGGCGTGCGTGGAAATGCCGGGCCAAGCCGCGCTGGGGCGCGTGGTGCTGTGCCGCATGCAGGCGCGGGCCGGGTGGCGGGGGTGTGGGCGCGTGGCCGCGCGGCGCACCTGCGAACCAGAGTTCTTGGTTCTTCCCCTGCTCGATGCCGCGCTCGAGGGTGTGCGCGACCGTCAGAGACGCGCGCTCGAGTTCGTGGAAGGCCAGGTAGATGCGCGACGAAACGAGCACGAGGCTCATCATGGTGTGCGGCTCGAGGTGCACGTTGCGCAGAACGTCGTCCTTCCACGCCAGGAAGACCTCCAGGGCTGCGGCACAGGGCGCGGGCGCCGCGAGATTCGAGCTCGGCACGCGGCGGACGTTTCCCTTCTCCCGCCCAGCGCTCTCCGCGACGCGAGGGCTGTCCCTCACACGGCGGCATCGCCCAGAGATCAAGGAGCGCGGTCACGGTCGCAGGGAGCGCGTAAGCCGCGCTGGGGCGGCGCTTTCGCTCTCTTGTGAATTCAGCGCACCTTCCCGCATGCCGTCGAGCTTCGCGTTGACGTCGTCGATGTTCGCGCGGTCCTCCTCGGCGTCCAGCTGCACCATGTGCTTCTTCACGCCCGACGTGGGCGGCCGCGCCTCCGCCGCGGGGGCGAAGCTGGCCTTGGACTTGGCGGACTTCACCGCCGCCCGGGGCGGTGCCATCGCGCGTGCAGTGCGCCCTGCCGCGCACACCGGTCGCGCCGACTGGCGAGAGAACTGCCCGGGACGGCGCGGCAGCGTCGCCCTCTAGAGCGGCGCTGAACGACTTGCGCAGCCGGGCTGTTAGACACCCCCCCCTGTCAGACAAACCCTCGGCGTCGAAGTAATCGCAGTTTCGACTCGCGGCGTCCCCCGCTGTTGCCCCACCCTGGTCGGCGGCAGCTGGCGGCGTCGTTGCGGTCCGGCCACCGTGCAAGGCGGCGACAGCGCTGGTGACATGCAGGCAGGACTTTGGTGACAGCCCGGCCGGCGACGAACGAGCCGGCGCGGCGCGCGCGTCCTCGAGGCAGAGCCCTTACATCGGGTGTACTACATCCCGCCGGCCAGCGCGGCCCGTGCGTGCGTTCGGTCTGCGCTGCCGTGATTGGAATCAAATTCGAATTCAAGTGCTGTCGCACGACGTGCGCGCCGCAGAGATAGCTCCGCGGCGCCGCAGCGCGACCTCCGCTACGCCTGCTCGAACGCCGCCTCGTCGACGACCGCGTCGTACGCGCCCAGCTTGACGCGCCGCTTGCTCTCGCGCTTGGAGAGCTGCCGCGCCGCGCCCGCCTCGGCCTTCTTCGCGGCCTTCTCCGCCTTCTTCAGGTCCAGCACGGCGTGCTTGCCGCCGCCCTCCGCGCCCGCCTCCTCCCCCTCCCCGGCCTTCTCCGCCTTGGCCTCCCGCTCCGACTTCTTCATCTCCGCGACGGCCTTCTTCGCCTCCTCCTTCGCGGCGCGCCGCTCCTCCTTCTCGGCCTCCTTCTCGGCCTTCTTCTCCTCGCGCGCCGCCTTCTTCTGCTCTCGATCCAAGCGCCTGGCCTCCTTCCTGTCACGCGGACTCGACGCGCCCTCGCTGTCCACGTGCTCCGTCTCGTCCGTCTCGGTCTCAGTCATCGACCGGTCCAGCTCCTCTGCGAACGCGCGGGCGCGGCGTGGGGGCGTCGTGACCAGAGGACGCGCGCATCATTCTCTCTAATGCGGCGGGGGGGTGTGTAGGGGGGGGGGTGTTGAGCCCTGCCGCGCCGGGGCGCGACGGGGCGCGCCGGGTCGGCAGATCGGCGCGGAGGCGCGCGAGCAGGCGCGACGCGTGCGATAGCGCCGCCGCGCAGGTGGGCGATCGTGTGTGGTGCGCGGGGGCGGACGGCGGGCGCTGCTCACCGGCCTTCATCTTCGGGGATTCCATCGCGTCCATCGCCGACATCTGCGAGGGGGGCCGTGGAAAGGGAGGTGTCTTGCGCGGGGCGGGCGCGGACACGCGGGGGGCGGGCGATGTGACCTTTCGCTGCGGGGCACGTGTGCGGCGGCGCGAGTACGTGCGCGCTCTGGGCCGTAGCTGGCTGCAGGGGACGCACTTGGTTGACCGTGACGGCCTCGATGGAAGCACCGCAGCCCATTTTTCCGAACTTGCTGGAGAGCGCCGCGCTGGTGGTGGATGGGGAAGAGGAGGGCGTCTGCAGCGGCCGCGTGGCGGGAAACGACGGCGTTTGCACGTGTCGAGTGGATGTTGGAAGCGTGCAGTATGCAGCGTTGGCGCAGTTTGAGGGCGTGTACGTCCTCCAGCGGAAAAACTCCAACAAACGTGCCCGGGGATCAAGAGGCCAATGCGGCTTCGCGGAGCCACTATGCGCATGTCTGCCGCGCCTGATCGGGCGCTGTAATACGTGTTCGCCCGTGAGGACACACGCAGAGCAGCTCTGTGCGGCGAGACGGCGTGCGGCAGCGCTCCACCACGAGCACCGTCGAGCGGCCGCGCGCCGTTGTAGCGTCTTTCCGGCGGGCGCTCGGCGAATCCGTGCAGCTATCCTCGCACACGTCGAACACACGCGAGGGCGGAGCCACCCCGCCGGGCAACGAACCTGCGCGCGAGATGCAGAAAACGTGAGGTCCTTCTCCTGTCCGCGGCTGCCCTCACGTCACCGATGCCGACGATCCTGGATTCTTTTCCGCGTCCCCTGTGTACCAGCACCGCGCAACGGCGCCACGCGGGGCCCTTGGCGCCGCCCACCCACCGCGGCAGTCGAACGTACCCCCCACCTCTCTCCATACAGGCCCCCCCGCGTATGAAGGCTGCAGACACCCCCACGGGCCGCTCCTGCGCACTACTTCGTTCCTCTCGTGCAGAACAACGCGCGTGTCGCTGGGACAGCCCGGCAACCGGGATCTCGTGGACTGTGCGGCCCGTGCTGGCTCCTGTCCAGTACATGCTGTGTGTCCCTGTCGGCGGCGCGGGCAGGGGGGCGGAGCGCGGCCAGGCGGTCCGGGAGGGCGCTCCGTGCCAGCGCCGGCGAGGAGGGTGGTCGGAGGCGGGGCGGTCGTCGGTTGGAGTGCCATTGTGTGTGGCGGGCACACATGGGTGCGTGACGGGGCGAGTGCGCGTGTGCGGGGCGCGTGGCGTGGAGGCGGGGCGGCGCTGAGGGTGCGCGTGGGCGGGGGGGTCGTTGCGGGGTGGGCGGGTGTGGGGCGGGGTGCGTGCGGGACGCAGGGTGTGTGACGATGTTGTGGGTGTGCCAGGGTACGACAATTCTCGACTGGCTCCAGCGGCGAGAGATTGGGGCAGGTGGCTCCCGCGCGGGGCACAGTGCGGGTCCGAGCTCGTCTCCCGTGCGGACAGAGGGATCGTTCGCCGTCATTCTGGCCGCGTGGCGCGCAGCTTAGACGAGGCCGGGCGCGTGGCGAGTGTGGAGGCGCCGGCGTCGTTATGACCCCGCAGGATGCTGGTACGGAGGGGGCTGGAGAGGGCCAGGCGGCCGAGGCGTGCCCGCTGCCGCCGTACACGCTCAAGCACACCATCGACCACAAGCTGGACGAAAAGCGGAGAGCCATCTCCGCGTGCAGGTGCGTCCCGCCCTCGAGGCGTTGGCGGGAGAGCACTCCGCATCGCCGCGGCAGCGCCACGGGGGCGCTGCATCCCCATCGCACGCGCCGCCTGATAGGTTGCTTGCATGGCTGATCGGCCGCCGCAGGTTTAGCCCAGATGGACGGCTGCTCGCGACGTCAGCCGCGGACGGAGTGGCCCGGGTGTTCAACGTCGAGACCGGGGAGCTGAGGCAGGAGCTCACGGGCCACAAGAAGGTGCGTCCACATCCGAGAAGACCCCTGATATCGGACGGACCGCACACGGCGCGGAAACTCGCCGCCGGAGGCCCGTGAGCCCCGCCACGGAAGACGCAAGCAGCTCCGGAGTGGCTGGGCGGCCGTCTCCGCACGCATCCCGCCGTTTCCCGCGATACAATCCGCGCCACTGCATCGTGGCTACGACGTATCCGGCCCGGCGCGCGCTCGCAGGGCATTTCGGACCTGTGCTGGAGCCCTGACGGGAATTACATCACGACGGCGTCGGACGACTGCACCGTGCGGTTCTGGAACGTCGAGACCGGGTCCGCCGCGCACAGGGCGCACCAGGCGGAGAAGCGCCACACGAACTACGTCATGTGCGTCAAGTGGCGGCCCATCAACGGCAACCCCAACGTTGTGGTCAGCGGCAGCTTCGACGAGACCGTGAAAGTGTGGGACGTCATGAACAACCGGGCCGTCGTGACGCTCCCCGCGCACTCCGACCCCGTCACCGCCGTGGACGTCCAGCGCGGCCCCGCCACGTAAGCCCACACCCCCCCCTGCGCTGCGCGTGCCGTTCGCACGGGGACTCGCCGTGACGGCGCGCCGCGCGCCGCGCTTGCTGCGCGCAGGCAGGAGTCGACGCTGCTGGCGTCGGCGAGCTTCGACGGATTGATTCGGCTGTGGGACTGCAAGGTGTGGCGGTGTCACCGGACGATCATGGAACAGCCGAACAACCCCCCGGTCGGGCACGTGGCGTTCACGAAGAACGGCAAGTACCTCGTGTCGACGACGCTGTGCGACACGCTGCACGTGTGGGCCGTCGGCAACGTCAACGCCGGCACCGCGCAGGGGGACGCCGCGAAGGCCGCCGCGGACACCAAGCCCCGGCGCGTGCTGCGCGGCGTCAAGTGCAAGCGGTTCTGCACAGGTGCGGCCGTGCCTCGATCCCCGCAGCCCCGCGTCGCTGCCACTTTCTGCGCTCAACACCCAAACACTCTGTTCCCCGCCGACGCCCGCATCCTTCGCCCGCTCCGTGTCGTTCCATCGTCGCGGCATGCGTGGCGCCTCACAGCTCGATGCTCTGGCCGCCGGGCGCTCACGTGCCGTCCCTTGCGCCCCCCGTGCAGCGTCGGCGACGCCGCCCCCTGTGGGCGACAGGAAGGGCGTGGTTGCGTGCGGGTCCGAGGACGGATCGATCCTGATGTGGAACATGGGGAACGGAGCGCGGGAGCGGGGGCCGAGCGAACGCATCCCGGCCGGGGCGGGTCCCGACGGCGCGGGGCACGCGTCGCAGGTGATGTGCGTGGACTTCTCGGTGGACGGGGCGATGGCGTCGTGCAGCCAGGACGGAACGGCGAAGATCTGGACGCTGAACGCGCCCGCGTAGCGCGGCGAGGATGCGTGGAGCGGCGAAGGGGTGTGACGGAGGTCGCCGTGGTGGTAGAACTCTGGGTGCGCGGAGCGGGCGCGGCTCCGTACCTGTGGATAGCTGCGGATGTGTATGCGCGACGGTGGGGGGTCCTGCGGGTGGGTGCGCTGCGAGGGCGGCGGTGAAATGCGGATGATGGTGTGTTGTGGGAATCCCAGCGGCATTGCGTGGAGGTGGGCGCGGAGTTGTGTTTGCTGGGCGTGGCTGACGGGCCAGGGGCTGAGGCGGGTGGTTGAGGTGCTTGGGAGGGGGCGGGATGGACGATGAAGGTCGGCATCGTGCGAGGAGAGAGCATGCGGCGCACAGGTGTTGTGTGTGGTTTGCGTCGAGCATTCGGCGGGCATTTGGACGGGGATGACCGCGGCTGCGGACGGCCAGCGCTGCTGATGGTTGCCACCGGGGATCGAGTGGCATGGTGAGTGGTTGGCGCGTGGCACAGCTGTCAGGTGGAGAGAGTCCGCGACTGGCGGGCTGGCGGGGCCAATATGGCGACGAATCCTCATGTACAGGCGACAGCACGACATGACTCACGTACTCGCATGACCGCCGCGCCATGACAAGCAGCGCGGACGTCACGCTCGTCAGAAACGGCCTGCGCCTGCGGTCGCGCAAGCTTGGGCCCGGTGGATGGCCCGACACCATGTTTGCGGCCGGGGTAGGGCTGCTCGTCGTCAGGATCAGTGACCGCACGTTCTGGACGTCGCTGCTGTACACACGAAGGTCCGAAGACATCAGCGTCTGGGACGACAGTGCCAAGGTGTTTCTGGTGCAAACGGACGTGCAGGGCGTGCCGCTGGCGGGGCGTCTGACAGCGATAAACCACCACACACACTGGACCGTCGTCGACATGCCGGAGTACGTGAGGGACTACAGGTGAGTCGGGCGCGCAGGCCAACCGCCTCTCAGTGGTGACACAGGAACGGGCGCTTGTGTGGGGCGCTGGGGCCGTGGTGTGAGATCGCGGGACGTGGCTGAGGGACCACGGTGTATGCCGACGATGACGACGCAGGGGCTTCGGGAAGGATCCGGTTGGCAGTCAGTGGAACTGGACTGCACGTGCAACTTGGTACAGAAAGGATGACGAGGGAAAAGATCGGGGATGGATTCAGAACGCCGCGCTGAAGGCGCTCCGTGACCGAGTCAGCGCGCTCTGCCTCGGCTCGATCTTCGAGCAGTCCGAGCGCCTGTACGACGTCCTGCTGCTACCCTCGCTGCCCCCACACCTGCAACAAGCGCTGCGGCCGGCCCGCGACCGCGTCTGGAGCTGCGCCCGCTACAGCCGAGTGCAGACGGCCCGCCTGGAGGCAGCAGACGCGGCGGCACCCAGTGAGACCCGCAAGCGCAAGCATGCGGACAGCGGTGTGTTTGAGCCTGAGTCGGACAGCTCTTCGGAGATCGTCATCGACTCGTACGGTGTCATGTCGGCCGGGGCCGCGGCCAGCACGCCTCGCGCGAGCCCCGGAGCCTCCGCACCGTCCACCGGCCCGCCGTCGGCAGCGCTGCCAGCGGAGGCTGCGTGCGAGCGGCCCCGGGCGACGCGCGAGGTGCAGCACGTGCGGGCGGGCGATGGCCCGACGCGGCGGCGGACAGACCTCGCGCAGGCGAGCGAGAGCCCGGGCGACGACGACTCGAAGGGCGGCATCATCGCTGTGTGGGCCTGCGCTGCGCGGGGGGGCGTAATGGAGGCCAGCGACGACGGCGCGGGGCCGGCGGACACCGACGCAGATGTGGGACCACTGGACGTGTGCGGCCGGCCGCGCGCCGCTACCGCCGCCGCCGCCCCGCCGCCGCGCGGCCCCGTGTCGGCGATGCATGCGCTGTTCCTGCAGCACATCACGGAGCAGGCGCGGAAGATCGAGCCGCTGCAGGCGAGGTACGCGCAGCTCAAGGCGCGGCTGGCGGAGGCGCGGGCGGAGTGCGACGCGGCGAAGGCGGCCCTGAGGGCGGAGGTGGGGGAGCTGCGGCTGCTGCAGGACACGGCGCGGTACATGGAGGCGGGGTGGCGGGGGCGGGCGGGGGAGTGAGGGGGCGATGCGGGACGGCGGCGCAGGGGGGGCGCGGTGCGGCGGGGGCTGCGGGGGGGTCGGGAGGGGTGTGTGAGGAGAGGGTGTTAGCGTGGCGTCGGGGGGGTTCGTGCTCAGCGGGTGGGCGAGGGCGTACAGGACGGGGCAGATGCGTGGTGGGCGGGGGTTTGTTGGTGCGGGTGCGCGTTGTTGGCAGGTCGCTCGTGCTGTTGTCAGCGACACTTCTGCCTACGTGGGAGGTCCGGTCATCTGCGGACAAGCGGAGCGAACCTCACCGAGGGGACCGCGAGCGGGCGGCGCTCTCACCGCCCGCCACCGGGGATCGAGTCGGCATGGTGAGTGGTGGTGCGCGGCACAGCTGTCAGGTGGAGAGGGTCCGCGACTGGCGGGCTGGCGGGGGCCATATGGCGACGAATCCTCATGTGCAGGAGACAGCACGACATCACTCACGCGTTCGCATGACCGCTGCGCCATGACAAGCAGCGCGGACGTCACGCTCGTCAGAAACGGCCTGCGCCTGCGGTCGCGCGAGTTTGGGCCCGGTGGATGGCCCGACACCATGGCCTCCGCCGGGGTGGCGCTGCTTGTCGTCAGGATCAGTGACCGCACGTTCTGGACGTCGCTGCTGTACACGCGAAGGTCCGAAGACATCAGCACCTGGGACGACAGTGCCAAGGTGTTTCTGGTGCAGACGGACGTGCAGGGGGTCCCGCTGGCGGGGCGTCTCACGGCGACAAACCACCGCACACACTGGACCGTCGTCGGCATGCCGGAGTACGTGAGGGACTACAGGTGAGTCGGGCGCGCAGGCCAACCGCCTCTCAGTGATGACACAGGAACGGGCGCTTGTGTCGGGCGCTGGGGCCGTGGTGTGAGATCGCGGGACGTGGCTGAGGGACCACGGTGCATGTCGATGACGACGCAGGGGCTTAAGGAAGGATCCGGTTGGCAGTCAGTGGAACTGGGTCGCACGTCCAACTTGGTACAAGAGGGATGACGAGGGAAAAGATCGGAGGAAAGCCGCGCTGAAGGCACTCCGTGATCGAGTCAGCGCGCTCTGCCTCGGCTCGATCTTCGAGCCGTCCGAGCACATCAACGACGTGCTGCTGCTACCCTCGCTGCCCCCACACCTGCAACAAGCGCTGCGGCCGGCCGGCGACCGCGTCTGGAGCTGCGCCCGCTACAGCCGAGTGCGAACGGCCCGCTCGGAGGCAGCGGACGCGGCAGCACCCAGTGAGACGCGCAAGCGCAAGCATGCGGACAGCGGTGTGTTGGAGCCTGAGTCGGACAGCTCTTCGGAGATCGTCATCGACTCGTACGGTGTCATGTCGGCCGGGGCCGCGGCCGGCACGCCTCGCGCGAGCCCCGGAGCCTCCGCACCGTCCTCCGGCCCGCCGTCGGCAGCGCTGCCAGCGGTGCACCACGTGGCTGCGTGCGAGCGGGCGCGGGCGACGCGCGAGGTGCAGCACGTGCGGGCGGGCGATGGCCCGACGCGGCGGCGGACAGACCTCGCGCAGGCGAGCGAGAGCCCGGACAACGACGACTCGAAGGGCGGCATCATCGCTGTGTGGGCCTGCGCAGGGCAGGGGGGCGTAGTGGAGACCAGCGACGACGGCGCGGGGCCGGCGGACGCTGACACCGACACAGATGTGGGACCACCGGGCGTGCGCGGCCGGCCGCGCGCCGCTACCGCCGCCGGACCGCCCCCGCGCGGCCCCGTGTCGGCGATGCACGCGCTGTTCCTGCAGCACATCACGGAGCAGGCGCGGAAGATCGAGCCGCTGCAGGCGAGGTACGCGCAGCTCAAGGCGCGGCTGGCGGAGGCGCGGGCGGAGTGCGACGCGGCGAAGGCGGCCCTGAGGGCGGAGGTGGGGGAGCTGCGGCTGCTGCAGGACACGGCGCGGTACATGGAGGCGGGGTGGCGGGGGCGGGCGGGGGAGTGAGGGGGCGATGCGGGACGGCGGCGCAGGGGGGGCGCGGTGCGGCGGGGGCTGCGGGGGGGTCGGGAGGGGTGTGTGAGGAGAGGGTGTTTGTTAGCGTGGCGTCGGGGGGGTTCGTGCTCAGCGGGTGGGCGAGGGCGTACAGGCCGGGGCAGATGCGTGGTGGGCGGGGGTTTGTTGGTGCGGGTGCGCGTTGTTGGCAGGTCGCTCGTGCTGTTGTCAGCGGCACTTCTGCCTACGTGGGAGGTCCGGTCATCTGCGGACAAGCGGAGCGAACCTCACCGAGGGGACCGCGAGCGGGCGGCGCTCTCACCGCCCGCCACCGGGGATCGAGTCGGCATGGTGAGTGGGGGTGCGCGGCACAGCTGTCGGGTGGAGAGAGTCCGCGACTATCGGGCTGGCGGGGGCCATATGGCGACGAATCCTCATGTACAGGAGACAGCACGACATGATATACACGTTCGCATGACCGCCGCGCCATGACAAGCAGCGCGGACGTCACGCTCGTCAGAAACGGCCTGCGCCTGCGGTCGCGCGAGTTTGGGCCCGGTGGATTGCCCGAGACCATGGTCTCCGCCGGGGCGGGGCTGTTTGTCGTCAGGATCAGTGACCGCACGTTCTGGACGTCGCTGCTGTACACGCGAAGGTCCGAAGACATCAGCACCTGGGACGACAGCGCCAAGGTGTTTCTGGTGCAGACGGACGTGCAGGGCGTGCCGCTGGCGGGGCGTCTCACGGTGATAAATCACCACACACACTGGACCGTCGTCGGCATGCCGGAGTACGCGAGGGACTACAGGTGAGTCGGCCGCGCAGGCCAACCGCCTCTCAGTGATGACACAGGAACGGGCGCTGGGGCCGTGGTGTGAGATCGCGGGACGTGGCCGAGGGACCACGGTGCATGCCGGCGATGACGACGCAGGGGCTTCAGGAAGGATCCGGTTGGCAGTCAGTGGAGCTGGGTCGCACGTCCAACTTGGTACAAAAGAGATGACGAGAAAAATCGGAGATGGAGCCAGTACGCCGCGCAACAGGCGCTCCGTGATCGAGTCAGCGCGCTCTGCCTCGGCTCGATCTTCGAGCAGTCCGAGCACATCAACGACGTGCTGCCGCTTCGCTTGCGGCCCCCACACCTGCAACAAGCGCTGCGGCCGGCCGGCGACCGCGTCTGGAGCTGCAACCCCTATGATCGAGTGCGGACGGCCCGCCTGGAGGCAGCGGACGCGGCGGCACCCAGTGAGACCCGCAAGCGCAAGCATGCGGACAGCGGTGTGTTGGAGCCTGAGTCGGACAGCTCTTCGGAGATCGTCATCGACTCGTACGGTGTCATGTCGGCCGGCGCCGCGGCCAGCACGCCTCGCGCGAGCCCCGGAGCCTCCGCGCCGTCCACCGGCCCGCCGTCGGCAGCGCTGCCTGCAGTTACTGCCACAGTGGCTGCGTGCGAGGGGGCGCGGGCGACGCGCGAGGTGCAGCACGTGCGGGCGGGCGATGGCCCGACGCGGCGGCGGACAGACCTCGCGCAGGCGAGCGAGAGCCCGGGCGACGACGACTCGAAGGGCGGCATCATCGCTGTGTGGGCCCCCGCAGCGCAGCAGGGGGGCGTAATGGAGGCCAGCGACGACGGCGCGGGGCCGGCGGACGCTGACGCAGATGCGGGACCACCGGGCGTGTGCGGCCGGCCGCGCGCCGCTACCGCCGCCGCCGCCCCGCCGCCGCGCGGCCCCGTGTCGGCGATGCACGCGCTGTTTCTGCAGCACATCACGGAGCAGGCGCGGAAGATCGAGCCGCTGCAGGCGAGGTACGCGCAGCTCAAGGCGCGGCTGGCGGAGGCGCGGGCGGAGTGCGACGCGGCGAAGGCGGCCCTGAGGGCGGAGGTGGGGGAGCTGCGGCTGCTGCAGGACACGGCGCGGTACATGGAGGCGGGCGGGGGGGCGGGGAAGTGAGGGGGCGATGCGGAGGCGATGCGGGGCGGCGGCGCAGGGGGGGCGCGGCGGGGCGGGGGCTGCGGGAAGGGGGTGTGTGAGGAGAGGGTGTGTTGACGTGGCGTCGCGGGGGCTTGTACGCAGCGGGTGGGCGAAGGCGTACAGGACGGGGCACAGCCCCCCCTGCGGGGGGGCTGGTGCGGGTGCGCGTTGTCGGCAGGCCGCCTGTGGAGTTTTACCTTCACACGATCGTGGCATCGAGCGAGCCTGCGGGGCACCTGCGCTCACTCGCGGCATGCCTGAGTCGGGGCGTTCGGAGGCGGCTGCTGCGGCGGGGCGCACTGCGCGCGTCCGAAACACCCCCCCGTCTGTCATGGGAGCCTCCTGGACCTTCTCTCGTCGCGTCTGCGGTCCGCCATCGGCGCCGCGCGGCCGCACCAGCGCGCAGAATCAACCGAAACGGCGACCTCCTACCTGTTCGGCGCACGATGAGCACGTACAGGACCTTCAAGCTCCAGCGCGACGGGCTGGACCTGAGGAGCTGCAGAGTGGGCCCCAAGTCCCCGTTTCCCTCCATGGGGATCATATGCCTGGCCTCGTTCCTGCTGCGAGTGCCTCCGCGTCCCACCGAAGCAACGTACTGGACCGGGCTGATGTTCACGGAGCGCCCAGACGCCCCCCGGACCGAGTTCGACCACGACGCCAAGGTGCTCCTCGTGCAGACGGACCCGTTCGGGACTCCTCGGGCCGACCGCATGACGGCGGACAACCACGAGACCGAGTGGGTGAGCGTCGACATGTCGGAGCTGGTCGAAAACTACAGGTGCGTTCCCCGTCGCGGGGCACTGCGGCAACCGCCTCAGGCAGGAGCGCGGTCCGCGACTGTCCGGGGAGCGACGTGACGGTCCGCGCGGCTCACACGGAGGACGCGGCACGGTCATGCGGCGCAGGGCGTTCCTGAGGCCCACCGACGGCCACGGCAAGAGTCGCAAGAGTCGTGCTGCGCGGCCCACCTGGTATCTGGGGGACCACGAGCCCGCGTTCCACCGCACGACGCAGCGCGCCTTCCAGTCGCACAAGGCGCTCTGCGACATGGTCGACCGGCTCCTCATCGGCTCGATCTTCAAGCGGTCCTCAGAGGCGGACTGCGCGCACCCGGTCGAGTCGCTGCCCGCGCACATCCTCGAGACGCTCCGGCCGCGCGGGACGGGCCGGAAGTGGTCCTACAAGGCCAGCTCGCGAATCGCCGCGCTCAACGCGGCCGCCCGGGCCAGCCAGACGCCCTACCGCACCCCGAAACGTGTGCGGGAGGACAGCGACGTTATCGACGTGGACGGTGTCTCGCCGTCGCGCGACTCCTCCGGGGAGTACCTCCCGAAGTGCGGGCTGCTCGGCGAGCACGCGAGCCCGCGGGACCCCGCGAACCGGTGGGGCGCAGGCGGCATGTCGCCCAGCGATGGGGAGGAGGAGCTCCCGCCCGCGCAGGCGGCTGACGACCACCGGAGGCCGACGCGCGAGGTCCGGCACCAGGCCTCGGAGCCGGAGAACCAGGTGTCCGCGTCTGCCGACGACGCTGGCGCGGGGCGCGGGGAGCCGCGCGTGGAGGACGCAGCGCGGCGCTCGGCGCACTCGGAGGGCGGCGGGAGCGGTGCGGCGCCGGGGGCGGGCGACGGGGAGGCGGGGGGCGCGCCTGGGTCGCCCGCCGCGGCGCCGTCCGGCGGCGCTGCGCCGGCGGCGTCGTCGGGGCACATGTCGCGGCTGCTGGCGATGTGCCGGCAGCACATCGCGGAACAGACGGAGAAGATCCGGCCGCTGAAGGAGACGTGCGACGTGATGCAGGCCGAGCTGGAGAGCGCGCAGGCGCGGTTCGATGCCGCGCAGGCGAAGCTGCAGGTGGAGCTGGACGAGCTGCTGCAGCTGCGGGCGACGGAGAGGTTCATCGAGACGGGGCAGGGCGCGAAGCGCGCGCGGCGCTAGCCGGCGGACGCGCCGGCGGCGCACGGATGGCGCCCGTGCGGCGGTGAGCACGCTGCACCGAGTTGAGGGGGGGGTGTTGCGGGTCTGGGCGCGCGGGGCCGTGTGCGGCGCGTCGGCGCCCGCGCAGGCTCGGCGTGGCGCAGCGGTCGCTGGTCGGCGCGTGTGAGCCGCTGCGACCGCTCTCTCTGCCGCGAGGTGCCGCGCAGGCTGTTGGAAGAGGGTGGCCGCGCCCCCGGGCCGGACGGGCCGGTCGGCGCGATGGCTTGGGCCTCGCAGGACTGAACAGATCGAGAGACCGGCATCGCCGGCGCGGTTTAGTCGAGCGCGGTGACCCGGGGGGCGCATCGCGGGTGCTGATGTGTTCCGTCACACACGGCGACGGAGCCGCCCGCTCATGCGTGCGAAGCGCGCCCGAACGCGCCCTGCGACATGTCCGGGATGTCGAGCTACTGCGCGCGTGCGAGCGACGCTGGTTCGTGGGGCGATGCGGCCTCCGCGGTTGGGTGGGGCAAGATAGCTACCACGACTGCGGCGACGCCGTGGGGCAATATACGCGGCCGGCGCGCGCGGTCCGCAATAGTTGCGGAGCTGGGCGGCCCGCGGGGTGAAGGAGGCGGGCGGGGGAGGCCTGTGCGGGACGAAATCCGCGTGTATCCAGTGGAGATGCCTTGGTTATACTCGGTCCCAAATCAGGGCCTGAAGGGGCGCGCGCTGCGCTCGTGGCGGGCACTCGCGGTGGTGAGAGGCGACCCCTCGTCTTAGGAAAGCTACCTCACGCGATGCCCACGACTTGCTCCCAGCACGGCGTGCGCACGCCGCTGCGGCAGGGCCGGGCGCTGAGCTCGGCGCCGAGGACGCCCGCTGGGCAGCGCTCGGTGCGTCGCGGCGCGCTCCAGACCACGACCGCGGTCGACGCTAAGATTGCGACCGCCTCCGCGGAGAGCCTGAAGGCCCTGAAGGCGGAGCGGGCGGCCAAGTACCAGCACCTGAGCGACTCGAAGCTCTCGATCATGGCCATCGGGCTGACCGTGCACAACGCTCCCGTGGAGCTGCGCGAGCGCCTCGCAACTCCCGAGGCCGAGTGGCCGCGCGCCATCGAGGAGCTCACCAGGTGCGCCGCGCCCGCGACGAGTCCCGAGACGGATTGCTCGCCGCATCCCGAATCGCGCCGCAAACCCACCCGTTACGCCGGACGCGCCCGATCCCCGCCCCACGAAAGCCCATTCGCCAGACGATTCCCGCGCGCGACCGCGCGGCTGGCCCCCGCATCGCTGCGGCCCGGGATCCACACAGCTGTGCCCTCGCTCGGCCCGCTCGCCGCGCACAGCGCGCACGCGCGGCTCAAAGCGCGCGCCCCGCGTCCCCTGCGTCCGCAGCTTCCCGCACATCGAGGAGGCGGCCGTCCTGTCGACCTGCAACCGCATGGAGGTCTATGTGATGGCGCACAGCTTCCACCGGGGCGCGCTGGAGGTGCAGCAGTGGATGTCGAAGATCTCCGGGGTCCCGCTCGACGAGCTCCGGCCGCACCTGTTCATGCTGCGCGACCAGGACGCCACCTGGCACCTCCTGAACGTCGCGGGCGGCCTCGACTCGCTCGTCATGGGCGAGGGACAGATCCTCGCGCAGTGCAAGGCCGTCTACAAGGTCGGCCAGGAGGCCAAGGGCTTCGGCCGGCACCTCAACGGCCTCTTCAAGCAGGCCATCACCGCCGGTGCGCCCCCGCCGCGCACCCCTCGCCGCCCGCCCCCCTGGCCTCCCACGCAGCCTGCACCCTCAAATCTACTCCGCTGCGCCCCCACGCGCCCCCGCGCGCGCCGCACGGCCCCGCGCCGCGCCCTCGACACCGCACCCTCCACGCAGCGCCACGCACCCGCCCCGTCGCGGCTCCTAGCGCCCGCGCGCCGTTTGTGGCCCCAGGCGGCCCTGGCGCGACGCACCCCGCGGCCGCGCGGCCCGCCGCGATGCGCCCCGCCCGCGCCGCCCACCGCGCCCCCTCGCCCGGACCGCCCTCCGCAGGCAAGCGCGTGCGCTCGGAGACGAGCATCTCGACGGGCGGCGTGTCGGTGTCGAGCGCCGCCGCGGAGCTGGCCAAGCTCAAGCTGCCGACGGGGGACTTCAACGACGCGCGGTGCTGCATCATCGGCGCGGGCAAGATGTCGACGCTCCTCGTCAAGCACATGACCTCGAAGGGCTGCAAGAAGTTCACGATTCTGAACCGGTCGCTGCCGCGCGCCGAGGCCCTGCGCGACGACTTCCCGGAGGCGGAGTTCGAGATCTGTCTGATGGACCAGCTGATGGAGGTGGTGGCGCGCTCGGACGTGGTGTTCGCGGCGAGCTCGTCGGAGACGCTGCTGCTGACGAAGGACGACGTCGCGCAGATGCCGGCGTGCCCGGACGTCGTGGGCGGGACGCGGCGGTTCGTGGACATCAGCGTGCCGCGGAACATCGACCCGGAGATCGGGACGGCGCTCGGGGACGCGGCGGCGGTGTACAACGTGGACGACCTGAAGGAGGTGGTAGCGGCGAACAAGGAGGAGAGGGCCAAGGCGGCGGCGGAGGCGCAGGTGTTGTTGCGCGAGGAGCAGGCGGCGTTCGAGGCGTGGCGGGACTCGCTGGAGACGGTGCCGACGATCAAGGCGCTCCGGCAGTACGCGGAGACGCTGCGGAGCTCCGAGCTGGACAAGGCTGTCAACAAGCTGGGCGACGGGCTGACGAAGCGGCAGATGAAGGCGGTGGAGGAGCTGAGCCGGGGGATCGTGAACAAGCTGCTGCACGGGCCCATGACGGCGCTGCGGTGCGACTCGAGCGACCCCGAGGCCGTCGCGCAGACGTTGCAGAGCATGGAGGCGCTCGAGCGCATGTTCTCGCTCGACAAGGAGCAGGCGTGAGCGCGCCGGCGCTCGAAACGGTCGGGCTCGGCCCGGGCGCGCCCTGGAGCAACGGGCGTCCCCGGGCTGCGCCGCCGGGGCCGCGGGGGGGCTCTGGCGGCGCTACGCAGGCATGCGGCTTGGTTGCCGCGGCGGGGCGGGCGGGGCTGCGCGCGCGCCTGGCGTTCCCGGGGCGCTGACGGCGCGCCGTTAGCTCCTCGCTGATTCGTAGGTCGCACATTCTTGCGCCGCAGTGCGGCGCCCCGGGTCGTTTTTCTGTTGAGACCCGCTGGCGAGTGCCGCGCCACGTGCGCACGCAACCCCCGCCCCCCATCGAACCACTCCCCTCCACTCCTCTTGTCGCGGACCGCTCCGTGCGCGGCGGGCGCCGCATATATTTGCGTCCGCCGCGCCGCCGTTGGAGCCATAGGCTGGAGACGCCCCTCCATCCCCCGAGACTTAACTGAGCAGCTTCCCACTGTAACGAAGCAGCACGCGAGCGCCCACCGCGTCACTGACTCGCCCGCGCCTGCCCCGCACGACCCCGCGCGTCCGCGCCCGCACCTGCCCGATCACGGCGGCATGAGTGCTGAGACTGCCGCAGCACGCGAGCGGTACGGGGTGTCGGACTCTCGCGCGCGGACTGCCGTCACAGACCCGGCGCGATCGCCCAGCGGCCGCGACTACCCCTGGTCCTGTGCGGGGGTGGTCGCAGGCGCACCCTCTGCGCCCGCCGCACCGTCCCCCGCACTCCCGCCATCCGCGCCCTCCTTCTTCTTCTCCTCGCCGCCGAGCATCCGCCGGAAGAACCGCGCGACCGGGCCGGGCTCCTTCGGCCCCTTGCGCCGCGGCGTGTTCGAGCCCACCATGGCGTACATCGGGTGCGCCAGGTCGTCGTACGACAGCGTGCGCAGCGCCACGGACGTCGGCTCGCGGCCCTCTAGAATCATCTCGATCTCCTCCGGCGTCAGGCCCTGCACGCGCGGCGGGACCGGCGCGCCGTCGCGCCCGCAATCGCTGCGTTGAAGCATCGCACCGCGCTGCCTGCAGGCGCCGTGACCGCACCTCGAACGGATCGTCGCGCGGCCCGCCGAGCCGGAGCCGCTCCTTCTCGACCAGCTCGACGATCTCGCCCGGCGCGAGGCCCTGGAACGGGTCCTCCTCCCCGTTGGCTACCTGCAACCCTAGCGGCCATTTCCCAGCCAGGATCGAACGCGCAGCGCGCCGCCGAGCGAGCGCCGTCGCGCGGTCCCGCTCCTCCTTGGGGTCCGGCTCGTTGTCCGGGCCGAGCCTGCGGGCACGCACCCGGAGCTCGGGTGGTTCGGGGCGGGAAAGCAGAACAAGCGAAGGCAGATCGCAACCCCGCATGTTTCGCCGCAAGTGCCAGCCGCGACGAGGGAGCCGTGCCTGGTGTACGCGAAGTAGACGATGGCGGCGGCGAACAGGGCCCAGTAGATCCGTTCCCACGTCGTGAGGCGCCGGTCGTCCCCGTCCGCGCCGCCGCCCATTTGCCGCCGCTCCCACGGAAACATCATGGCGGTGATGTGCGCCGCGGCCTCCTTCTGCGCGCGTATCATCCGCCGCTCCTCGGGCGTGAGGGCGCCGCCCTCCACCGGCTCTGGCTCGGGGACCTTTGCTTGTGTTTTCGCCGCCTTGGGCTTCCTGCCGAAGAACTCCCGCAGGGTGACGTGCCGCGGCAGCGTGTCGCGCAGAGCCTTGTCCGCATCGACCTTGCCTGCGTTGCGCGACGTGCTGAACGTCGTTTGTGGGCGCGCGCGGACGCGGTGGCGTGCAGAGAGGGCACAGAACGCTTCGAGCGGCGCCTGCGTGGCAATTGGTGCGGCACCGATCGCAATCGGCCTCGCGATGCCGACCTTGGTATCTCTTGAAGGTGAGCGGGTGGTGCGGCACCGTGGTTGCGGCCTTGGCAGCCGCGTCGGTCGACGGAGGCTGCGCGCCCTGGGTTTCGCCGACGCTGGCCCCGAACGAATCTACCGTGAGCGTTTCTCCCGGCGCAGGCGTAGCTGCGTGGTGGTACGTCACGTGCGACACGAATCGCGTCGACGCCGTCGGCGCATCCCGCGCCGCACGGCCCCCGAGCCCGGCCTGACCGGTGCAGTCGCTCGCCACGTCAACGGCGAGGCGCCGCGCCAGGGCCGCGGCTCCGCGCCGCATTCCCTCGATCTCTCGCGCAGAGAGGAGCGACGAGAGGCTGTACACGTCCACGGACACTCCCCCGCGGTGTCAGGCGCCGCGGAGCGATTGCGGCACGCACAGACGCGGCGGGGCGGCTCCCGGGCCACGTAGATGACGTGGACGGCGGTGGGCGGCGCGTGCACAGGTCTTGGCAGCGCAGGGCGCAGCGTGGTGCCATCGTCCCCCGGCCGCCCCGCTTCCCTCCGTTCGCCCCCGGGGCGGTCTTGCACGCAGGTCTGACGCGAAAGTTTCGCGGCGCAAAAGTCCCCCCCCTCTGCGTCGCGCCTGCCGCGCGACGCCTCTCCGTCCGCGCCGCTCTCACGGGGCGTGCGCTCCCGCGTCGTCGCCCGACGTCGTCAGCTCCATGACGAGCTGCTCTTTCAAGTCACGCAACACTCCCCCCGCACAGGGGGACGTTCCATCGCAGAATCGGCGAATCGGGCGTCTGATGCAGCGCGGAGGGGCTGAGGGTTTCGCGACCGGGGCCTCGCGCGGCTGCCGCGGCCGTGCTTTGTCACAACAGGTTGTGAGGACGGCTCGCCGCCCGCTGCGTCCCGCACGACGCACAGCAGCTCCGCGCGCGGTCGCGCTCGATCATGTCCATGCGACACGCCTTCTGTCTTCCGCGGCACGCGTCCTGCGGTGCGCACGGAGCACGTCTGCTTGCAGGGGGTACGTGTGGTGCGTGGTCTGGCTGAACGCGCTTGAGTGCTGTGACGGCATGTGCCTGCGGTGTCGTCGATGTCACGCGTCCGCCGCCGGGATGGCCGCGCGGCTGCGGGGCGTGTCTGTGCGTCACCGGCCTGTGGAGCGCTGATGGCGAGCTGGTGCTGTGGGCGCGCGTGGTGGGGCAGAACGGCGTTGTCGAGCGCGGCCCGACGTGACTGACAGACTTTGCGACCTTCACCGGTGCCTCACACTCGCGCGTGTCCCGCCTTTCCGCCGCGTTGCGCGATCAACAGACAGCGCCAGTGGACCCGGCCGCCCGCCTCGAACAGGGCGCGCTGGCGCGAAACGAGCAATGTCACGCACGACACAGATACATGAAATGTTCCAGCGATGATCCGAGCCAGGAAAAGTCGTTTCACCGGTGTGTGGGCAAGCCCCTGGTGCAGCCTCAGCTCTGCGTCGCGGGCACGTGCGCGGCCTCGCTGCCCCGCCGCCGCCTCGCCGCCGTCCGCGCGGGCATCGGTCACGCTGTCCCCCGCTGCTGCGCACCCTCACCGCGCCCCGCACCACACGCACGGCTATGCCAAGGCTGTCCAGAGAGAAGCGCCCGCGGGGCGGGCCTGAGGGCTCCTTGAGGCAATTACGTGATATTCCGCACACATGGGGCCCTTGGCGCGCCGCAAAGTACCCGGACCGACTAGCGCGAGCCCCAGGCGACGTCAGGAGGGGCAGTTCGGGGAAACTGGCTGACTGCCCCGTGAGCGCGCGGGCGAAGCAGGATGCAGGGAAAATCATCGCGGCGCGATCGCGGCGGTCGACGGCGCAGAAGCGGCGGCCCGGCGCGCACATACGGCAGCCCTCGCGGCTCTCGGGCCGCTCGCAGGGGTCATGTGGGACAGGGACGCGACGGCTGGACTTCCCACGATGACGAGCGTGCCTCCAGTTGGGGCGATTCCAAGGATGCGCCGACACGCTCCGCTTCGGCGCAAAACTTCGGCGCGCACGGTCACGTCGCCGGAGCTGCTCATCGAGACCCCGCTGGGCGCGCGAAGCGCGCGGGTCCGGCGTCTCGCGCGCCGCGACGGACGGTGAAGGCACAGCCGTGGCGCACGGCAGCGTCGGGGCCTCAGGGGGCGCGGTCCGGCGCGCGAAGATTAGGTTCTCGCTCGGAAATGGATTTTCAGGTATTCAGCGAGCACAGAGGGATGATGCGATACCGACGTTACGCATCATTGCGCGCACGCGAGCCCCCTGCCACATGAGCGGGCAGACGAGCACGGGGGGCGCCCCCGGCCGCGGAGGCGCTACTTTCCCCGCCGCGAGTCAAGGCGTGGAAGGTATGACTCAAGTGAGATCGTCCGACATCAGCAGAATGACATCACAGGGTCACCACGTCGCGCATTTGGCCCCCCGTCCCCACGCCAGCACCGCGTCAACTCTCCCGGCGCGTCCGCGCGCTCTCCTCCCCCGCCGCCCGCTCAGCAGCGCTCTCCTCGGATGCGGCGCGCCAGCTGGATGTCCTTGGGCATGATCGTCACGCGCTTGGCGTGGATGGCGCACAGATTCGTGTCCTCGAAGAGACCCACCAGGTAGGCCTCGGCGGCCTCCTGGAGCGCGAGAACCGCGGTTGACTGGAAGCGCAGGTCGCCCTTGATCTCCAGGGCGATCTGCCGCACCAGCCGCTGGAACGGCAGCTTGCGGATGAGCAGCTCCGTCGACTTTTGGTACTTGCGGATCTCACGCAGCGCCACGGTGCCGGGCCTGTAGCGGTGCGGGCGCTTCACGCCGCCCGTGCGCGGGGCCGACGCGCGCGCGAACTTGGCGGCCAGCTGCTTCCGGGGCGCCTTGCCCCCGACGGACTTGCGCGCGGTCTGCTTGGTGCGCGCCATGTATGTGTGTTGCGCGCTCGCGAGTGCCGAGGGCGACGTTGGCCTGTCGAACGGAAGCTCCCGCGGGTCCCGGATGTCTCGATGCAGAGTGCCCGGCGGCGCCGGCGCGCGCCGCCCCTGCTGGCGCCGAGGTGTGGCGTTTTAGTACCCCCCTGACTCGGTCATCCCTGGAACGTGCGGCCCGCCTCCACTGAGCCAGGATTCGCATCCTGGCGTCCAGCGACCCGCCCCGTGAGCCCGCCCCGGCACCCCCGCGCCCGCCCGCGCCCGCCCGCGCCCACAGTCGCCCGCGGGCTCGCCTGGCGCTGCGTCGGCCAGCTGCGAGACCAGCCCGGCTCCTGCAACCGTAACCTACTACAATCTACTACGATCCGGCGGCGCGAAAACGCGCGCAGCATGGCGGAGCAGCGGCGAGACGCGGTCTGCGGCTCGCCACGGGGGCTCCGACAGCTCCGGCACCCTGCTGGCTGCCCACCAGTGTCGTTCACCCGCATTCGTGAGTTTGCGACTGGGGTTCGGCCGTCGTGCCTGCAGGTTGGGGGGGCGCTGCATCCTCGCCCGCTGCGTCCCGCGCAACACGCAGATGCGCTTCGCGCGCGGTCGCGATGCATCATGCCCATGCGACACGCCGTCTGTCTTCCGCGGCACGCGTCCTGCGGTGCGCACGGAGCACGTCTGCTTGCAGGGGGTACGTGTGGTGCGTGGTCTGGAAGAACGCGCTTGCGTGCTGTGACGGCATGTGCCTGCGGTGCACGTATCGGCATGCGTCCGCCGCCGGGATGGCCGCGCGGCTGCGGGGCGTGTCTGTGCGTCACCGGCCGGTGGAGCGCTGATGGCAAGCTGGTGCTGTGGGCGCGCGTGGTGGGGCAGAACGGCGTTGTCGAGCGCGGCCCGACGTGACTGACAGACTTCGCGACCTTCAGCGGTGCCTCACACTCGCGCGTGTCCCGCCGCCCCGCCGCGTTGCGCGAGCAACAGACGGCGCTAGTGGACCCGGCCGCCCGCCTCGAACAGGGCGCGCTGGCGCGTAAAGAGCAGCGTCACGCACGCCACAGATACATGAAATGTTTCAGCGATGATCCGAGCCAGGAAGGTCGTTTCACCGGTGCGTGGGCCAGCCCCAGGTGCACGCAGCCTCAGGTCTGCGTCGCGGGCACGTGCGCGGCCTCGCTGCCCCGCCGCCGCCTCGCCGCCGGACGCGCAGGCATCGGTCACGCTGTCCCCCGCGGCCGCGCACCCTCACCGCGCCCCGCACCACACGCACGGCGATGCCAAGGCTGTCCTGTGAGACGCACCCGCGGGCCTGAGGGCTCGTTGAGGCAATGACGAGATATTCCGCACGCATGGGGCCCTCGGCGCGCCGCAAAGTACCCGGACCGACTAGCGCGAGCCCCAGGCGACGTCAGGAGGGGCAGTTCGGGGAAACAGGCTGACAGCCCCATATACGCCGCCCGCCGACGAAGTACGCTCACGGTGAACGGCAACACGGTTTTCGACAGGCGCGAAACCGTCTTGGCGGTCGCGGCGGTCGACGACGTGGAATGCGCCGCCGGCGCGCACACACGTAGTTCTCGCGGCTCTCGGGCCGCCCGCAGGGGTCATGTGGGGACGCGACGCCTGGACTTCCCACGGGGAGCTTAGCCCCTAGGGCGATGCCAAGGAGGCGCCGACACGCTCCGCTTCGCAGCGAAACTTCGCCGCGTGCGGTATGTCGCCGTCGCTGCTTTTTGAGACCCCGCTGGGCGCGCAGAGTGCGCGGATCCGGCGTCTCGCGCGCCGCGGCGGACGGTGAAGGCACAGCGGCAGCGTCGGGGCCTCAGGGGGCGCTGTCCGGCGCGCGACGACGAGATTCTCGCTCGGCAAGGCGTTACTAGGAGCTCAGCAAGCACGGCGGGGTGATGCGACACCGACGCTACGCATTATTGCGCGCACGCGAGCCCCCTGCCCCATGAGCGGGCAGAGGAGTACGGGGGGGCGCGCCCGGCCGCGCAGGCGTTAGTTTCCCCGCCGTGAGTCAAGAAGCGGAACGTACGACACAAGTGAGATCGTCCGACATCAGCAGAATGGTATCACAGGGTCACCACGACGCGCGCCCGCCCCCCCGTCCCCACGCTGCCAGCGTCACCTCCCGGCGCGTCCGCTAAGCAGCGCTCACCCCGGATGCGGCGCGCCAGCTGGATGTCCTTGGGCATGATCGTCACGTGCTTGGCGTGGATGGCGCACAGACTCGTTCACACACATCTGTCGACCCCCGACGCGCCATCCGGGCTCGGCGCACACACTCCCTCGCCCCGCAGCGCGCCCCCGCCCTCGCCCCTGGCGCCCTCAGCCCCCGAAGCCGTAGATTTTGCGCCCCTGGCGCTTCAGGGCGTACACGACGTCCAGCGCCGACACGGTCTTGCGCCGCGCGTGGTCCGTGTAGAAGACAGCGTCACGGATGACCTTCTCCAGGAACGCCTTGAGGACGCCGCGCGTCTCCTCGTAGATGAGCCCCGAGAGCCGCTTGACACCGCCGCGCCGAGCCAGCCTCTTGATGCCCGCCTTCGAGATGCCCCGCAGCGCTTCCGTCTTGTTCAGGGGCAGCGGGCGCCGCTTGGGGCCGCCCTTGCCGCGTCCGTACGTGTACTTCTTGGCGGTCATGGTGTCGCGTCCGCTTCGTCCGAGTCTCGGGAAGGTCTGCCGGGCCGCCGCTGCGCGCGCCGGCGATGAGCGCCGCGCGAGTGTGCATTGGAGGGCTCCCGCCTGAGTCGGGCGTGTCAGGGGGGCCGCGGGGTGACATCGCGAGTCGCGGGCAGAAGGCTGGGCGGCGCGGGGCGCGTCGGGCACGCGCGCGAGCCTCTGGGAGCCTGGAAGACGGTCGTTGCGAGACTTGCGAGCGGTGTTGCGACGGGAGAGGATCTGGCGTGCAAGTGACCGAGAGATCGAGCGACGACCGGGCTGAATCTTGTTGCTTGGGCGGCCGTTCCGTGCTGGCAGGCTATGAACATGTACAGAGTGAGCGTTCCGCAGCGGATCCTCTCGCTGCACGCGTGCCACTCGCGGTGCCGGGTGCTCGCGGGGGCAGTTAGCGGCCGCCGGACGCAGCGGGGGCGCGGCAGCCGGCCTCTGAAGCTGTCGACGGGCCAGCTTGATGATCGGGCGGACAGCAGGGCGAGCAAGTCCGGACCTCGCCCGTCCGACGACTCCAGCGACTACGTCTCGGAGCCGCCGAGTGGGGCCATCCATGACGTGCGTCTTCCTGGCCGCCTGCGCCGCGCACTTTCCCGTCGACGACCGCGCGAGCATGCTGAGTAACTGGAGAGTCGTTGCGGCGCAGAAATCGGTCTGTGTGTGCGAGGAATGCGCGCCGTTCGGCCGAGGTGCAGGCGTGGGTTGCCAAGGGCGAGCGGCACCCCGTCGTGGTCCTGAAGCGGGGCAAGGCGCGCTTGTTCCGAGAGGGCAACCCAATCGTCTTCCCGGGCGCCATCGACTCGATCCTCGGCAACCAGCCGGCCCTGGGCGACCCGGTCGTGGTTGCCGACGGCAGCCGCAAACCCATCGCGTGGGGCGTGTACAACCCCACGTCGCTGTACGCCGTGCGCGTGCTGCAGAGCGAAGCCGCCGCCGTGCGCTGCCCCGACGCCATCCTCGACCCCGAGGCCGCCATCAGGCACGTCCCATCACCCACGACGCCCACAGCACCCACACGCACGCACCCATCCGTCCGCTCACCGCTTCCCGCGCGCTTGACCGCCCGCAGGAACGCCGTGGCGTCGGCTGCGTCGCTGCGGGGCGTCCTTGGCCTCGGCGTGCAGGGCAGCGGCACCAGCGTGTTCCGTCTCATCAACAGCGAGGGCGACGGGCTGTCGGGCTTGACCGCGGACGTCCTCGGCGACGTCGTCGTCGTGTCGTGCACCGCGGCGTGGCTCCAGCTGCGCCGCCCCGCCGTCGAGAGCGCGCTGCGTGCCGTTGCCGCCGGCGACGTCGTGTGGCGCACCAACCCCGACCTGCTGCGCCAGGAGGGGCTCGAGATCGGCGCGGGGGAGAGCGAGGCCGAGCCGGGGAAGGTCGTGGAGGTCGAGGAGAACGGCGTGTTGTACGGCGCGGAGCCGTGGGGGCAGAAGTCTGGGTTCTACGCAGACCAGCGCGACAACCGCGCGGTGGTGCGGTCCCTCGCGCGCGGCCGCGAGGTGCTCGACGTGTGCTGCTACAGCGGCGGGTTCGCGCTGAGCGCGGCGCTCGGCGGCGCGGCGCGGGCCAAGGGCATCGACAGCAGTGACCAGGCGATAACGCTGGCGGCGAGCAACGCGGAGCGGAACGGCGTCGCGGACAGGTGCACGTTCGAGCGCGCGGAGGCGGCCGCGTACATGGACGAGGCGTTCGAGCGCGGCGAGCAGTATGACATCGTGGTGTTGGACCCCCCCAAGCTAGCGCCCAACAGGAAGGCCCTCGACCGCGCGCGCGGGAAGTACGTGTCGCTGAACCGCAAGGCGATGCGGCTCGTCCGCCCAGGTCCGCTCTCGCCTCGCGCCCCGCCACGACGGCCCTCGTTGCAGCCCCACCGTCGACCCCCCCCCCCACATGCTATCTCTGTGCCTCTCTTGCCCCCCCGCAGGCGGGCTGCTGATGACGTGCTCGTGCTCGGGGGCCGTCGCGCAAGGCGAGGGCCTCGAGCCGATGGTGCGCACCGCCGCGGAGAAAGAAGGCCGTTCCCTTGCGGTGCTGCGCGAGGCAGGGCCCGGACCCGACCACCCCGTCGACCCCTCCTACCCCGAAGGCCGCTACCTCAGCAACCTCCTCGTGCGCGTCCTCTAGACGCCCCGCGCGTTGCCCAGCCGCCTGCTCCGTGAGGTGAGGTGAGGTGTCACATTCTTCGCGTCGTCAGCCATAAGGCTTTGGGACCTGAAAAGATCATTCGACTAGGTGGCGAGTCATGCTAACCCCCCACCGTTATGGTAGCAACAGGTTCGGCAGCTGTGACAGAGTCGGCCTGGAGCAGATCCTCGATGCCACGAGCAAAGATCGCCATGCCTCGCTGATTCGGCAGGTTCAGGACATAACGCACTGCAGCGTTGGCAGCGGCTTCCGAGTCGAGTGTTGCAGCGCCGTACAGGTCCTCGAGGTGCTGGCGTAGCCGGCGGTTGAGAGCGAAGCGGCGGCGCTGTCCAACAGTTGCCGTGGACGACAGGGGCGCATCGGCAGCGGGCGGGGGTGGCAGCGTGAGCTGCCCAGACGAGTCCATGGCCAGGCCCGCTCGTTCCCGGAGAGAGCGTACCGCTGGGGCGCGGCAGTCCAGCAGCAGGTGGCGGAGGTCCTCCGGGGCGGGCGATGCCGCCACGTCCACGCAGAAGCGGCAGACTTTCGACGGGTGCGACAGCGGTGTGTGTTGCCACTGCTGCTCCTGGTCCGCCATGGCCATCGTGGAGGTGCGCAGCCTCGTAGCTCCCACACGCAGGCGGGATAGGGCACGGCGGTCCGCGTGGTAGATCGCGGTGTCGAGCAGATGTGAAGGGATGGTGCGCGGTGGTGGCTGGCACCACCAGGCGTACCTGGCCCGTGTGCGGCCAAGCCCGTGCTGAGTGACCTCGGTCCGGGGATCCGGGGTTGCCGCGGGCTCGTGGTCCGGCAGCACGACCTGAGCGTGTAAAGGCTCGCTGGGCGTCTCTTACACCGGCGCGCTCACGCCGCACTGGCCTCCTCGGGCTCCCTCGCCGCCGCCGCCTCCTCCTGCGCCGCCTGCGCCGCCTTGAGCTTCATTTCACGGATCTGCCGCCGCCCCAGCTTCTTGAACCCCGCCTCGTCACTCGAGTCCCCCTCGCCGCCCTGCCGCCGCCGCCGCACCTCGAGCTCCACCAGCAGCGTGCTGATGTCCGCCGGGTTCACGCCCCCGATGCGCATCGCCTGCCCGATCGTCTCCGGCCGCACCTTGTCCAGCTTCTCCCGGGCCTCCATCGACAGGTTCGCGCACGCCATGAAGTCGAAGTCCCGCGGGATCTTCCGCCCCGTCTTCCGCTTCACCTGCTCCAGCTGCTGCGCCTGCCGCCGGATGAACCCGGCGTACTTGATGCCGATCTCAACCCCCTCCTTCTCGAACCGCCCCAGCGTGCCCGCCGGCTCCGGGAGCTCGTCGGGGTACGAGTACGCCGACAGGTCGCCCAGGGCTCCCTCCGCCGCCGGCCTGCACGGTCATCGCGTGTGACTCCGACATCAGACATGCAAACATGGTTCAATGCGCAGCTGGTATACACACGCATGCGTCGCGGCCGTCTCCGGGCGTACCAGTCCGGCGCGCCCATGTTGTGCCGCTCCAGCAAGCTGTAGTGCACGGACGGCCTGCGCAGGAGCTCCTCGAGCGTCGGCGCTGCTGCGCTCACGCCCTGCCCCGACAGCTCCGCCGCCTCCACCGACACCGCGCTGTCGACCTGCACGCGCGTCGACGCGAGCCGCGCGCGCTCCGACTCCATCCGCGCCATCTTGCCCAAAAACATCCCCCACCGCGCGTCGTCCACCAGCCCCAGCTCCCGCCCCAGCGGCGTCAGGCGCTCGTCCGCGTTGTCCGACCGCAGCAGCAGCCGGTACTCCGACCGGCTCGTCAGCATCCGGTACGGCTCGCGCAGGTCCTTCGTCACCAGGTCGTCGATCAGCGTCCCCGTGTAGCTCCCCTCGCGCGGAAAGGACACCGGCTCCACCCCCTGCGCGCGCCGCGCGGCGTTCAGCCCCGCGAGCAGGCCCTGCGCCGCGGCCTCCTCGTACCCCGTCGTGCCGTTGAGCTGCCCGGAGAAGAACAGCCCCTGGAACCGCTTCGTCTCCAGCGTGGCGTTGCACTGGTGCGCGGGCAGGTAGTCATACTCCACCGCGTACGCCGGGCGGAGCATCGTGACGCCCTCGAGGCCCGGGAGCGTCCGGAGCATCGCGAGCTGCAGCCGCTCCGGCAGGCCCGTCGAGAACCCCTGCACGTAGATCTCCGGTGTGTCGCGCCCCTCGGGCTCAAGGAAGATCTGATGCGAGTCCTTGTCCGCGAACCGCACGATCTTGTCCTCGATCGACGGGCAGTACCGCGGCCCGTTCGACGGCAGCCACCCGCCGTACTTGGGCGTCTCGTCCAGGTTGTCCCGGATGATCTTGTGCGTGTCCGCGGTGGTGCGCGTGAGGTAGCACGACATCTGCGGCCGCTCGACGTGCACGGACTGGTCGAACGAGAACCAGCGGACGTGCTCGTCGCCGGGCTGCTCCTCGAGCCGCCCCCAGTCGATCGTGCGCGCGTCCACGCGCGCCGGCGTGCCGGTCTTCAGGCGGTCGGTCTCGAAGCCCAGCGACACCAGCGCCTCCGTGAGGCCCGTGCTGGCCGCCTCGCCCGCGCGGCCGGCCTCCATCGAGCGCTTCCCGACCCAGATGCGCCCGTTCATGAACGTCCCGGTCGTCAGCACCGCCGCGCGCGTCCGGAAGGTGACCCCGAAGAAGGTGCGCACGCCGCGCACGTCGTCGTTCGGGCCGATCTCGAGGCCGACGACCTGCCCCTCGCGGATGTCCAGGTTCGGCGTCTGCTCGAGCACCTTCCTCATCTCGCGGCTGCAGCAACGCACCCACGCCGCGTCAGTGAGCAACACCAATGCGCGGAAGCACTGCGCGTGCTGTTGTGGGTCGGCGCGCGCGCGCCGCGCCGCGCCGTGCCGCGGGGTGCCGCACCTGTACTCGTGCTTGTCTGTCTGCGCCCGCAGCGCCCACACCGCGGGGCCCTTGCTCGCGTTCAGGATGCGCTTCTGCACGTAGGTGCGGTCCGCCATCTTGCCGATCTCGCCCCCGAGCGCGTCGACCTCGTGCACCAGCTGGGACTTCGCGGGGCCGCCGACGGCGGGGTTGCACGGCTGCCACGCGATGCGGTCGATGTTGAGCGTCAGCAGCAGCGTACGCGCGCCTGCAGCAGGGGTGCGAGGGCGCGGGTGAGCGCACAGCGGGTCGCTGGCGGGCAGCTGTGGGCGCTCCATGAGACACGCAGTGGCCGGTGGGCGGTCGTGAGGCAGTGTCGGGCCTCGCTCGGCGCGCGGGCGGGGAGGGATGGTCCGGGCGCACCTACGCGGGCGGACGCGAGGGCGGCCTCGCATCCCGCATGTCCTGCGCCCACGACCACGACGTCGTACTCCTCGGGGTGGTACCACGTGGGCTCCTCCTCGTTCAGCTTGTCGAAGATGGTGCGCCCGCCTGCGCTCTCAGCGGGCCCGTCGCCACCGCCAGCGGCCGCCCGCACCCGCGTGAGCACGCTCCCCCATGATCCCCTGCGAACAGCACAAGCGTACCCGCGATGTCTCAGCGCGGATGTCTCTCGAGCATCGCACGCGGGCCTGAAGCGCGTGACGCGCGAAACACAGGGCTCGAGGTTGCATCCACACCTTCGTGGGTTTCTGCGCAACGGCGAGCTGCACGCGCACCGCCACGCGCTACTGACGCTAGATGAGATGCATTTCCGGGCAGGGACAGCGGCTGTGGAGCCGCGCCCGCCGGCCAGCAGCGCTCTCATTGCCCGCCACACTTTGCGCCCGAATTCCGCTCACGTGGCCCCGCGACGCCCCAACGACGCCCTCCGAATAGCGCTCGCCTCGACTCTCTCACTGCCCCGCTCGCCAGCCCTCTCCCAGCCATGCAGCCGCTGCTCGCCGCGGTGCCGAGGGGTCTACGCAGCACACCACAGGGGCTCTCCCGCCGCGCGCCCGCCTGCGAGCGCGGCGCAGATGACCGTGCGCGTGTGGGCGCACAACGCAGCACGAGCCCCACCCTACAGCGCCCCCAAACGCTCCGTTCGAGTCCTCACGGCCGCCTCGCAGCTACATTCCGTACCCGCCGCACGATGGAGGGCCGGGACGCCGAGCCGCAGCGCGCTGCTGGAGGGCTTGGCCTGCTGCAGTCGACCGTGTCGGCCGTGGTGTCCCTTCCGCACACCCTCGCGAGCCGGGTCGTGTCGGGGCGGATGACGATGGGCGAGGGCGCTTGGGACGAGGTGCGCGAGGCGGAGCACGCCGCAGTGCTCGCGTCCGCGCGCGAACAGGTGCGAACACGACCTCCCTGTGCCTACTGTAGTCGAATGCAACGTTCCGCGCGGCTCAGCGGGACCCTCGCCGCACGTACGAGCCGCGCTGAGGCGTGTGTGCGTTGGGCGTGCTCGCAGACGGAGGACGTCCAGGTGATCGCGGACACGGGCTGCGTGCGGCTGCCCACGCGCCTCGTCGACCGCGACGGCGACCCGGTCGTCGTCGTCCTCGGCGCCGACATCCGCCCGCTCGCCGCGCCGCCCGCGCACCTGCGCATGTTTGCCGCGCTGCATGCGGAGGCGCAGGGGCTCGCGAAGGACGGCGCGCGGTACTCCGTGCTGTACGTGCACACCGGCGCGTCGCTGCGGAGCAACAGCCCGGGCCTCGCGTGGGCGTGGTGGGCCTGGGAGCGCCTCCCTACCCGATATCATGCCGGGCTCAAGAAGTGCTTCGTGCTGCACCCGAACGCGACGCTGCGCGCGGGCCTGGCCGTCGCGTGCCCGGCGGACCTGTACGCGAAGGTGGAGATGGTGCACCGGGTCGAGTTCCTCGACGACGCGGTCGCCGTTGAGGACTTGAGAGGGGTGCTGCCTGACAGGGTGTGGGAGCACGACCGGCTGCTCGAGGAGCACCCGCTCCTGGACTACGGGATCGTCGATACCGAGAAGATCTACGCGCCGCGGGCGTCGCTCGAGATCGAGCGCGAGGACTGAGCGGCAGCGATGTGACGCCGTCGTACGTGCGACGCAGCGCAAGGGCGGCCCGCGGAGGCCCGCAGCGGAGCCCATCGGCTCGCGGTCGCCGTAGATGCGACCTATATCGGTGGGGCGCCACGCAGAAAGCGGATGCGGGGCGGAGCGGTCACAGACTAGGATTGTGTGGCGTCGCTTGGTGCAGCTGTCGCGCTTGTTGTTGCTCGAGGCGCGGGCGCGCTACGCTCCGCTCTTGCGCCGCTGGCTCCGCTGCGCCCGCTGCACCGCCGCCTGGAACTCCTCGAGCCGCGCCGCCGCGAGAGTCGTCACGGAGTTCTCGAGCTTCTCCCACAGCTTGGAAACACCCTCCTCCAACTCCACCTCCGCGCGCAGCCGCGAGTCCCCTGGTGCGCCTGCGAGGCGTGGAGCGTGTCCGCGGGGCGAGCGTGGGCGGACGCGACCGGCGGCAGCGGCGGTGCGGGTGTGCAGGCTGCGCGGTGCCCGCGCGGGCGCCTGTGCGGGCGCGCGGGGGCCGCGCGCTGCGAGCGCATGCGTCCGAGCGACGTAGGAACGCGGGTGGGTGGAGGAAACGGAGCGTTGCGGCCGTGAGGCGTCGCGGGACGGTGCCGCGCTGGGCGCATGCCATGTGTCCGCGGCCGCGCGGGCGCCGCCGCGGGGGGCGCTGCGCACCTCCGCGCGTTCTTGGGGACTTCGTCTTTGTAGGAGACGGGAGGCCCATCCTCCACACGCTATCCGCCCGCGACCTGGCCCACAAGCCTCCCGGTGCACAACGCGGGGCTGTCTTCCGTCTCGTCCTGCGTCGAACGATACTCTTCACCCGTTTTGATGGTCAAGCTGCAACCATCAGCCACCTGCGCGCCCCCTCGAGCTCCCGGACGCCTGCCGCGGTCAGACACGCCGGCAACGCACCGCTCTGCCCCCATGACACAGGCACCGCCTCGCGGTCGGATCCCGTCCGACGGCCAGCAGCGGCCTGACGGCAGCCACCGCGTGCATGGCGGTTCCTACGCCGCACTCTCGCAGCCGTTGCTCGGCGCTGCCGCTACATTCAAGCCCCTGTCACCGCGACGCACCTACTGCGCCCAGCCGGGGACGCTCGCGTCAGCCGCGGACGTTCGCTCGCCCGCCCAGCGCCGCACGGCGGCCCTCGCGCCCAGCAGCTGCACCTGCGCGTCGCGCCACACAAGCACCGCGAACACCATCCAAGCAACGCAACACGGCAGCTTGCGTGCGCTCGGCGGCCTGGAACGACGCGAAGGGGGGCTCCCGGGAGGCCGGCGTCGTGCTCGCGCGCGGGCGTCTCGGGCCGCGAGCGCCTGAGATGCCCGGTGCCGCACAAGTCGGACCAGGCTGCCTGGTCCGGTCTGACCGCATGATGCGGGCCCGGGGCCTCTTCGGCGGGTCGCCGCCGCCGACGCGCGCCGTTCTCTGTTCCCGCGGGGAAGTCGAACCTGTGAGTCCGCGGCCTGGCCGGGACGAGCGGTAGATTGCGCGAACGAGGCGTTCGCCCGCTGCGAGGCAGTACCAGCAGCGGACCAGCGGCTGGGTGCGCGTTGCGAACTCGCTTCGCCGCGCTCAATTTGCATTTCGCTCTTGAACCGACGTGCCTGGGGTCTGTCTGTCGTTGAGGGGGGCCGATGGCGCTCGCAACGCCGATGGCAGGGCGCCTGCAGGTTGCAGCGCTCCGGGACCGCCTGACGTCCCTGCTGCGCGCTTTTGGGCTCGGCGGAGACCCGAGTGAGCCCATGGAGATCACGACGTCGGACGGCAAGGAGCTGGCGTTCCACAACCGCACTGCGTGGCAGATGCTCCTCCAGGTGGGACCCTCTGCCCCCGCAGCAGCGCGTCCGCAACTTCACGCGCCCCGCGTCGCCGGATCCGCGACGCAACGGATCCCCTCCTCGTCCCGCGCGGTTCCATCGCCGTCGCCGCGCCCCGCACGCCCGGGCCTGCCCGCAACGAACGCCTGGACCCACATGCCACCCCTCTCGCGCCGTGCCGCGCCCGCAGCGCTACGTCCAGGGCTACATGCTCCGCCTGTGCGTCGAGGCGCTCCTCATCCACCTCGGCGACACCGTCGCGGTCGTCGACCCCCACGGCGCGGTCCACCACGCGCACCCGCACGCCCACGCGCGCCGCGCGACCTGGGCCGATCTCCCCACCGAGGTCGTCGAACACGTCGCCGCGCACATCGACTCCGGACGCACCCTCGCGACCTTCGCGTGCGTCGAGCGCCGCACGCGCGACGCCGCGGCCAAGGAAGACCTGTGGCGGCAGCGCATGATCGCCGAGTTCCCGGAGACCCCGCGGGACGGCGAGGAGCCCCGGTCGTGGCGTGCCGTGTACCGCTACATGTCGGAGCTGTACGAGCGGGCCGTGCTGGGCCGGGGCGCGGGCGTCGGAGCCGTGCTCGACAGTTTGGGGCTCTCGCTGCCTAGCACGATGCCGGCGGTCTGACGCGCGGCGGGCGCCGGGTCGTCCGCGGGGACGGGTGTGCATATGTGGCCCCCGCGGACCGGCCGCCCTGGGGGGGGCCGAGATTTGTTTTTTGCCGTGCGACTGTGTATGTGTGTGCGTGATGATGTGATGCGGCTGGAGGTGTCGGGGCGCGGCCGTGGAGTGTCTCTGTGTGGTGCTGGCTGTGGGTGGGTGCGGAGAGGTGCGGCGCGTGCGGGGTGCGGGACCGGCGGGTTCGGGGGTGTCTTGGTGCGGTCAGGGACCCTGACAGCGGTGTGCGTGTTGATGCAGTGCGGAGCGGGGGGCGCGGAGAAGGCGCGGACGCGCTGGGCGTGGTGCGCAGACTCAGCGGTAGTCGAATACCGAAGTCTTGGCGGCACGTCAGGTCGGGTCAGCGGGCTGCACCTTGTGTGTCTCGAGTTGGAGAGGGTTGCCTCGGCGGCGCCGCTGCGGTTGCCACGCAGGCTTCTGACTGTGGTCTCGCAGCCCCCGGATGGTTGTTTCTTAGCGCAATTACCAGCGCTGGCTGCTCAGAGTGGAACAACTCATTGGTCCGAGGCGTTCAGACAGGCACAGCAGTTGCAGGCCACCCCCCTGGGCCCTTTGGCCGACGTTTGACGGGTGTTTTCCCGCCGACGAAGAGACGAATGCGGGAGTAACCGGTGGCATGCCAGGTGACGACGTTCCCCGTGCGGGGCCGCACCGCCGGAGCGTCAAGGCGGTCTCTGCGTCGGAGTTCGGCGAGAAGAGACGCGCCAAGTTCCTGGAACAGCAGAGAAAGCAAAGGTGAGACTACAGTCAGAACAAACGAACCCCGTGCGGCCTCGAAACGAGCCAAAAGGCTTCACGGCGGCGGCGTCTGAGCATCGCTGTGCACTCCGCGTGGCTGCCCCGCTCCGTGGAGCACCATGCTCGACCTCGTCTCGCTCGATGCGCCGTACACGACCGGGCCCCTCGCCCGCTATCTGTGGGAGCAGCCGCACCGTCTTCTCGGAGGGGCAACCGTATAATGCGTGTTGTTGCAAAACACCCCACGCAGGAAGAAACGCATCGACCTCGCGCTGTCGATCGCCCGCGCGAACAGGCAGGACCAGGACCGCGCCAGCGAACCGGCGTCCGACCAGCCTCAAGCGGGCACGTCCGACACCCCCACCCCCAGTGGTGCTCGCAAGGGCGCGCGAGGCCACGGGGCGGCGTCGCAGCGCTTCTGGAGCTCCCAGTTCCTGCAGCCGGACTGGCTCACCGACGTTCCAAGCGACCTCGAGGGCTCCTGGCTCGTGTCGCCGCGTCCGGAGGGGCGGCGGTGCCTTGTTGTTGCGGACCAGGGGTCGACGGTGGCGCGTGGGCGGTCGGGGCGCGTGCTGGTGCGCTGCCAGTCGGGCCTGCCGGGCGGCTCGCGGAGCACGCTGTGCAACGATGGGGCGACGATCCTCGACTGCATTTACACTGGGTCAGGGGCGGGGGTGTCGGTCGGGGGCGAGGAGAACATGGCCGTCGACGGGGACGCCAAAGACACCCGAGGTGCGCGCACAGGAGGAGGCTGACACGATCGCGTCGCGCACGCGTCTGACACTGCCGTCGAGCCGCACCCACGGCCCACGGCCGCGCATTTGATATCCCCCAGAGTTGCCGCTCCTCCTGAGCCGGTGCGGCCGCTTCAAGGTCCTGGACTGTTGCGCGGATCTCGTCCACCTCGTGGCTGCGAAGGAGGTCCCGGACAACTGCTGACGAGATGTACATGAGCTCCAGTTGTCCGTCTGGGGTCTTGCGTTGAGCGGCAAGGCAACACGGCGCATGCTCCGCAAGACCCCAGACGGACAACTGGAGCTCATGTACATCTCGTCAGCAGTTGTCCGGGACCTCCTTCGCAGCCACGAGGTGGACGAGATCCGCGCAACAGTCCAGGACCTTGAAGCGGATCTCGTCCACCTCGCTTTTTTTATGCGTCCATCATTCAACGGGCCGTTGCGGCCGCTCCCCGCGCCAGCAGGCACCTTCTGGATCGTGGACATCGTGGCGTGGCGCGGGCAGTCCCTCGGCGAGGCGGACGTCGACTTCCGCACCTTCTTCGTCGCGTCACGCCTCGCGGAGTGCCCCGCGCTGGGTCCTCCGTTCCGGGACCTTCCCGCCGTCGCGTGCGCGCCCGACGCGATCCGGCAGGCGTACGAGGAGCCCGTCGACTTCGTGCGCGACGGCCTGATGCTCACGCACCGCGACTCGCTGTACGTCCCCGGGCCGACCCCTCTGGTGCTGCTGTGGAAGGACGCGCGGTGCAGCCGGTACGTGGTGGACACCGACGCGGAGGGGCGCCCCGCCGCGGAGCAGGAGGCCGTGCTGCGGCTGCGCGAGGACGGCACTGTCGCCACAGGTCAGCGAAACCGCCCCCACGAATGTCCCGAATGTTTGTGGGTTGCGTTGCACACCGTGGCTGAGCTGACGTGCGCCTGCGGGCAACGCTGCTCGCAGAGGACGACCCGCCAGTGGTTCTTGCGCGCATGCCGGACACGTTCATGGCGCAGCTGCGCGGCGGGGAACGAGGGACTCCGAATGGCGACGCGGCAATGGCAGAGGACGACGGTGGCGGTGGCGGCCGAGGAGCCGGCGCGCCGCGCAGCGTCGACGGACGCCTCCTGCGCTTCGCTGTGGGACCGGGGGGCGTCCGGACGGACCAGGGCGGCGCTGCAGCGGACCTGCGTTACGTCGGGCTAGGGAATCAGCGGCGGGGGCGCGCGGACAGCCTGAGCAAGATTGTGTTTCAGCAGCAGGCGCGGACGGGGGCGTTGGTGACGATCGAGGACCTGCTGGAGGCGGCCAGGTCGGGCATGGCGGAATGACGTGGGAAGGCGACGAGCAGCCGGCGGGAACACAGACCACGAGAGCGGGACAGCAGCCCCCCTCTCATATCCCTGGGAAGAACGTTCTTTTTTTTTAGACCCTCTGACGTTTTTACATCAGCGACGCCGACGTACGACCGCGCGCGTTGTGACGGCTACCCATCGGCACATCACTCGTATCCGATCTCCATCAGCAGCGTCTTCTGCGACCCCAAGTTCGTCACCCTGCGCACCTCGTGCGGGCGCAGCTGCCGGTACCCGCCCAGGCCTAGGTCCGCGGGCAGCTTGAACCCGCCGACGCGGATGCGCTTCAGCCCGCGCACCTCGAGGCCCGCGTACGCCACCAGGGTCCGCACCTCCCTGCGCGAAACCACCAAGGGAGACGTGAGCATGACGCAATGCCAACAGATACCTGCCCCCATGTGCTTGCTGGGCGCTCCCGGCGTGGGCCACGCGCACCTGTTGCGTCCCTCGTTCACGATGATCCGCGTGCGGTTCGCCTGGTCCGGCGCCGACGACGCCGGCCCCACCGCCACGGGCTGCACGAACGCACCGTCAACCATCCCGCCCGCGGCGATGGTCTCGAGCTGCTGCTTCGTGGGCGCGACGTCCGTGGTCACGACGTACTCCTTCGTCAGCCCCGCGGACGGGTGCGACACCTGCTGCGCCCACGCCCCGTCGTTCGTCACGAAGATCAGCCCGGAGGAGTTGACGTCGAGGCGACCCACGCTGTACAGCCGCGGGGCCGGGCGCGCGCCCTTCGACGCCTTCTCGCGCTTCCTGTACCCCTCAATCCACGGCTGCGGGCGCGTGCGACCGGCGAGGCGTGAGGGGGGGTCGTGTGTGGAGGGTGTTTTGTTGTCGGTGGTGTCAGGATCTGTGGGGGGGGCGCACCTCGAGGAGCTCGACGACGAGCTTCGCGTTGCCCTCGAAGCCCTCGGAGGGCGCGTTGGAGCAGATGTATCCCTTGGGTTTGTTGACGGCGAAGTAATAGTACTCAGTGGTTCCCAACTTGAGCTTCCCGCGCCCCTCGACCTCGACCTCGTCCCGCTTCGTGTTCACGAGGTGCGCAGGGTCCCGCACCACCTTGCCATTCACCTGCAGCGCACACGCCGGGCAGCGCCGCGTTCGAAACGACAACCAAGACTGTCGCACAATGCGCGTCGGCGACCTCTGCAGCGGGCGACGCGGGGCGCGCGCGCACCTTGACCCGCGACTCCTCGATCAGGGCCTCCGACGCGCGCCTGCTCGCGACCCCGTGCGTCGCCAGCGTCTTGTTCAGCCGCATGATGTGCGGCGGGTACTTGCTCTGGCCCAAGTTGGGCCCCTCCTTCTGCGCCTGGCCCCTGCCCCCGCGGCCCCCGCGGCCCCCGGACGTTCGCACGCGGCTCGGACGCCCGCCCGCGCCCCCGCGCCCCCCCCCGCGCCCGCCGCGCCCGCCGGAGGGAGAGCGCTTCCGCTCGTACTGGCCAAAGCCCTCGAACCCGCTCGTGGCGGAGCCTTCCCGGGCCGCCGTTGCGCAGGTCACGAGGCGGTGGAACTGGGGCTGCGCGCGGGCTGGAGCTTGCCGCGGAGCGGCGCGCTGCAGGGCCATGAGCGGCGCCTGTGTGCCGCGGATGGATGCCCGGCTCCCGAGGAGGGAGCACGGCCGCAACGCGGACATCGCTGCGAGACCAAGACTGTGTATCCTCGCTTGCATACTGCGGGTTCAGATTGGGGAGGAATGCGGGTCAGGAAGCGGCCGAATGCCGCGCGCGAGAGCTGGAGCAAGCCGCCACTGTCTCGCCCCGGAATGCGCCCTCGACGCGGCAGTCTGGCGCGGTCGCGACGAGTGGTCGCGATACGAGGCGCATTGAAAGACGTTGCTGGCGCAGAAGGGCCCGCGTCGCCCGCCTGGGAAGGACGTTGCGGCGAGAGACAGAGCCAGGCCACCCACCACTCGCTGCGGAGCCCTCCGTATCCTGCAACAACCTCCAAGACGCGGAGCGCAATTCACCGCACAGTGTCTCCGCCACCAGCACCCGCTCCCACACGTCACACGGCGGCCCCGGACGCCCAGGGCGGCCCACGTCAGCTCCGAAACACACCTCCCCCCCGCGCTCCTTGCGCACACACCGGCATCTCCACCTCCACCACGCACCGGCCCCACGCATCCTCACCGCGGCCCAGCGCCCGCCGCCCTCGCCCTCCGTTCCGCCGCCTCCGCCAGCCTGCGCCGCTTCGCCGCCGCCTCGCCCTCCACCCGCCCCGCCGCCGCGTCGCTGCCCTCGCGCTCCCTGCTCCGCGCTGCCCGCGCCACCGGCGGCGTGCACGGCGTCCCGCTCCCCGCCACGGGCTGCCACTCCCCGACTCCCCCCCCCTCCTCCCCCTCCGAGTCCGACAACACGATCACCGCGCTCGCCCCGCGCGTGCTCGGACCCGCACGCCGCCCCGCGCCGCGCGCAGACCCTCCGGAGTCCGAGTCCGACAGCACGATCGCCCCGTCGCTCTCCCGCGCCCCGGCCACCTGCGCCGCCGCTGGCGCGGCTTTTGTCGGAGAGAAGTACGCCGTGATCGACTTGGTGCCCGCCGCCGCCGCAGGAGGGATCTTCCCCGCCCCCAGCACGCGGCCCTGCCCCTCGAACGGCTGCACGTCGCCCCTGCTCCTCCCGCCTGCCGCGCTCCCAGGGGCACCGCCAGCGCCGTCCGCCGCCCCCTTCTGGCCGCCCTTCTGGCCCTTCCTCCGCTTGTCCTTGTACCCCTCGGGCTCCTTGATCTTCTCGAACTGCCCCCCGCAGTGCCTCTTGTGCATGTGGTAAGAGCACCGGGGGTCCCGGCAACTGTCCCCCCGCTGCCCGCGACGCCCGCTGCAGTCCGCCTCCTGCGGCTCGCGGTTCATCGCGCGCTTGACCAGGTGCCCGCAGTTCTTGCACCGCCAGTGGTGCTGCCGGTAGCTGTCGACCTCCGCGTGCATGGTGTGATAGACGGTGATGTTATACCCCCCCGGGGGCCTGTAGGGGTCCGGCGCGGCCGACGCGTTGATCGCGCGCATCATCTTGCAGAACTGCGTGCCGTGGTCGCCGTCGTCGCGGATCCTGCGCGGGCGGCGTTGCGGTGGGCCGGGAATCAGTTACCGGCACAATCCCGTCGTGTTTTGTGTGACGAATGAGGGGGGGGGGTTGCTGCGATGGCGGACGGCGGCGGACGGCTTGCGCGAGCGTGCGGCCAGTCAGCGCGACGCACCGGTTGAGGAATATGTAGGCGTGGATCATTTCGTGCAGGAGAGTCTCTTTGAGGTCCTTGGCGGGGCGGAACTTGAGGAGGGGCTCCGACAGCTTGATGCGGCACCCGCCTGCGTCGCGGGCGGGGGGCGGCCCGCGTTTCGCGCCCCGACGCAGGTGGTGCGAGCGCATGAGAGTGGCGTATGCATGAGGGAACGCACCGTGGCGGGAGAACTCGCAGACGCCCGCGCACAGCGTCATGCGGGACGAGCTCCAGTGGACGCTGCAGGCCCCGAGGGACCCGTGGAAGTACAGCTGCCTGCGAGCGTCGACGGCAGCGGGGCGGAGGAACTGAGGCCTCGCCTGGGACGTGCCGTTCACGTTGGCGGGGAATGCGAACCCGGGTGCGCATGAATCCGACGATGAGGTGCGGAGGTTCGAATTGCGACGCACTGCAGCGGTGCGGGCGTCCCACTCGAGACGCGAGAGACGCTGTGTGGGTGCGAGGGGCGGGAAGGGAGAACGCTCACCCCCAGAACTGGAACATCTCGAAGATGTTCGGGAAGTCGCCCGTCGCATCTTCGACGTCCATCCTGGGCCGCTCAGCCACGGACGTCCCCCGCGAGGGCGCACGCAAGCTCCGCACGGCTCAGCGCGGAGCCTTGCCTCCTCTGCACGGCTGCCGCGGGATCACGGGGGGGCCGGACCGCAGTCCCGCCCGAGAGTGGTGCAAGGTTTACGCCGGCGCGGACCAAGGAGCCGACGTGGGGCGCGAGTGCCGCAGACACCCCCAGACAGACCACGTCAAGCACCGTACGACCGATACTCGGCCCCGGGGGGCTTGTGTGCGCTGCACCGCGGCCTCTGGACAGTCTCGCGACACCGCGTGGTGCTGCGAAGCAGGAATTACAACACCTCGCGCGTTGGCTAGGGTGTAGTTGTGGAGTGGCGCGGGTCTGAATCTCTGCGGGGGGAGGTGGGATGTCCGGGACGCGGTCGCCGGCGCCCGGGGAGGCGGACGCGGAGAAGGTGTACGCGGAGAGGCCGGAAGTAGACCCTAGGAAGATCAATTTGTTAGAGGTGGGAGGCGCGCAACGTCCCTGCATGGAAACCGTCGCGTTGCCAGCACGTCCGGCGCCCGCTCGCGCCTTCGGACCCGCGACTCGCCCCTCGATGTGCTGAGGTCTTTGCAGGTGGACGGAAAGCTCATAGATGCGATCGTGGCGAACAAGGTGCGCCTGCGAACGTCGCCCGCGCATGCTGCAGCTGTCGGGGCTCGCCACGGCTCCCGGGAGAATTTTCACCGAGCGCGGACCTACGCACACGATGTCTGATACGATGAGCCACGTCGCAGTATGCATGAATGGGCCTCGCAGTCCGCCCCACCGCAGCGCTGCGCACCCACCCGCTGCTCCGCACCACTGGCACGCCCGTCGGCCCGAGCACGCGCGACGCCCGGCCCCTCCGCTGCCGCAGACGGACAAGATCATGATGATCGGCGCGAAGCCCCAGCCGGAGCAGCTCCAGATGCTGTGCGCGGTCCTCGCGAAGAACACCACGGTGGCCTACATCAACCTCGCGCGGTGCGGGATCGCGACGCCGCACGTCGAGCACCTGTGCCACGCCCTCGAGTTCAACAAGACCATCGTCGGCCTCGACCTCTCGTGCAACAGCCTCGCGGACGACGACGTCCGGCAGGTCGCGCGCGCCCTGCGCATCAACAAACACATCGAGCACCTCTTCCTGCAACTCAACCGCTTCGGACCCGTCGGAATGTACCACCTCTGCAACGCCATCGTGCACGTCTCGGCGCCGCTCCGGTCGCTCGACCTCTCGCGGAACCCCATCGGCGACGAGGGCGCGATGTGTCTGCGGCGCATGTGCGAGGACTTCTGCCTCGACGGGCGGACGTGCGGGATCGAACGGCTGTACCTGAACAAGTGCGGACTCGCCTCCGAGGCCTCCGCGCAGCTGTGCTACATCCTCGACCACAGACTGATGCCGCAGCTGCAAGTGGTGCACGTCACCGACAACGACTTCGGGGAACAGGACGTGTACGAGCTGCGCGGGGCGGCGCTGCGCGCGGGCGTCAAGGTGAAGATGCTGACGGGCGTGGGCGACATCGTGAAGCTCGACTGGGTGCACGAGGGGCTCGAGGTGCCGCCCTTGTCGCGGCAGCAGCGGCGGCTGGCGGAGACGAAGCTGGAGCCGGAGGTGGTGCGGCAGGCGCTGGGGGAGACGGAGGAGGGCGGGGGCGAGGAGGAAAGGGCTCCGAGCTGACACAGAACACGCACGGACACATCAGTGTGAGGACGCCGCACTGCGCTGCGCTTCGAGCGACGCCGCGGCCGACGCATCATATCATACATCACGAGGCTCACTCATTCAACGCATCGCTTCCCCGTGCAACCGCCTGCCGCGAGGGCCCCGTCACCCAGCCAGCGTCGCGACGCGCGCGTCTAGTTCGCGGATGACGGGGTCCTCCGCGCTGTACAGGCCCGTGCCGAGCAGCTCCGCCTTCTCCCGCAGCAGCCGCCGCACCTCCCCCATCACCTCCGTCGTCCCCCCCGCCTGCGCCACCCCGCCACCACCGTCCCCCGCCACCTCCGCCCGCTCCGGCACCGCCGGCGCCACCTCCGCCTCGTCCTCGCTCTCGCTGACCTCCCCGTCCGCCTCCGCTTCGCTCCCGACCGCCCGCAGCCGCGACAGCCGCTCCCTGATCTCGCGCAGCTCCTCGGCCGCCGCGCGCGACGACTGCACCTGCTCCCCCGCCGCCTTCGCCAGCGCCACCGCGTCCACCTGCCGCCGCTCCCGCCGCATGTACCGCTCCAGCTCCTCCTGCCGCACCCGCTGCAGCGCCCCGAGCTGCCGCGCCAGCTTCACGACCTGGTCCTTGTAGTGCCGCTTCCCGCGCGTCGCCCGCTCCGCCCGCGCCTCCGCGTCCCGCGCCGCGAGCTCCGCGCGGTGCAGCGCCGCCCGCATCTCCGCCTCGGGCGTCAGCCGCTGCTGGTCGCGGTACTCCGCGAACGTCGCCTCCACGTCGGCTGCGCGCGCCTCGGCCCGCGCCAACCTCTCGCGCGTCGCCGCGTGCAGCCGCGCCTCCTCTGCCGCGCGCCCGCGCTCGACCTCGATCTGGTGCTGGAACTCCACCTGCAGCCGCCGCACCGCCGCCTCCGCCTCCTGGAGCCGCTGCGTGTGCTCGCGCTCCATAGCTTGCCGCCGGCGCGCTGCGGCCTCCTCCGCCGCCACCACGCGCCGCTCGCGCTCCTCCGCCGCCGCGAGCACCTCGCGCGCGCGGGACTCCAGCGTGCGGTACTGCCGCCGCGCGTCCTCGGCCTCCCGCGCGCGCCCCTGCTCCCGCGCCCGCCACTCCGCCTCCAGCGCTGCCATGCGCTTCGCCTCCCGCTCCGCGAGCCCAGCGCGGAACTGCGCCTCCTCCGCGCGCCGCCACATCTCGAGCTCCCACGCCGCCTCGTACTCCAGCCGCGCCTGCCGCTCCGCGGCCGTCTCCCCCGCCGCGACGGCCGGCGGCGGTGCCGCGCTGCCCGCCGGGGCCCGTGCCGCGCCCTGCGGCGCCGGGGGGCCGCCGGAACGCCGCACCGGCGCGCCGCGCGCCGGAGCCGCCGCGGGCGACGCCGCGGGCGCCCCGGCGGGCCCCGGCGGCGGCCTCGTCTGCGCGGGGCTCGGAGCCGATGTCGTCGTCGCAGGTGCGCCGGCCCTCGAGGGCTGCCGCGCGGGCGGCGGGGCCTTGCGCGCGACGGGCGGGGAGCCGTCGGCGGGCCCGAGGTCCTCGAGGAGCACCATGACGCGCAGCGACCCCACCTGCACGCGCTCCTGCGTGTACCCGTCGGCCTCCACCAGGTTGGCGTACAGCGGCGCCCAGCCGTAGATCCACGGGGCGGCCATGAGCGGCTGGAGGTCGACCTCCGAGAGCCCGAGCAGGACGTCGGAGCGGAACCGCTCCCGGTGCCACACCTCCACCGTCAACCGCGGGTCCTGCAACGCAACACATCCCGCGGGGTGTTGTCGGGCTGCTGCGGGGGTTGTCAGCGGAACGGCGCGCGGTACGGCGCGGGCGCGGCGGACCTCGGTGAGCGCGTTGGCGACGGCGTCGACCCGCGCGGTGAACTCCACCTCCGCATACCCGTTGGGCAGCGAGGCCTCGGTGTTGCGCGACACGTCCACCACGGGGTGCGTGCGGACGTTCGGGATGGCGATCGGCGCGCCGCCGTCGCCCTGCACGACCTTGACGATCCCGCCGGGCAGCTGCATCGCCGCGTACACTGCAGGGGGGGTGTAGCACCGCACTTGTTGTTTTAGCGGAGCGGTGGGGGGGGTGTGTGGGATTCCCGGGCTGCTCGGCGGCGGCGGGTGCGGGTGCGTGCGGTGGGCTCGCGGGAGGGGCGCGGACGCACCTGAGGCCATGGTGTAGGGCAGTTTGGCGCCGGCTTTGAACCCCCGCAGCTCGACAGCCATGCGGAACCGCCTCTGAGCCTGCGCGGTCTCCGGGGCGATCTGCCGCACCTGCTCGGCGCGCTCCCTGTCGACGCTGCCGGCGAGGGGCCGCGCGGGGCCCGTGGCGACCCCCCCGGGGACGTCCTCGCGCGGCGGAGCGTCAGCGTGGTCCTCGCCGCCCGGTGCCGCCGCGCCGCGGGCGTCTGGCGCCGTTTCGGTGCGCGTGTCGACATGGAGGCCCTCTTCTGTCACTCCCAGCGACGTTGACGCGTAGATTGCGGGGCTTGCGCCGCCGCTCGCGGGCTGCGGGTTGCTGCCTGTGCTCCGGCGCACCGCGTCGACGCTCCCGCGCACCCTGACGGTCGGAACGCCGAGGTCTGCCCCCGCGGTGGCAGTCACCGCGCTGTCCGTCCGCGCCGGAACGCTCCCGCCCGCTGCGCGCTCCTCAGGAGCCGCCGCTGCCTGCCCCCCGCCCGGCCCAGCTCCTTCGCGCGGCCCCGCGCTCAGCCCCACGTCGAGCCCCGCCGCGGACTGCTGCATGAGCCGCTGGAGCGTCTCGCGAACGGCGCCCACGCCGAGGTCGTCGGCCCCCTCGGGCCCTGCGGAGGCCATCCGCGCACCGCGCCTTTGAAATGCGCACCAGGCTGTGGCGACCGTTGCGGCGCGGACCGCGCTTCGAGGCCGTTCCGGAGCCGTGCGGCCACGCACGTACCCGGCGGTGCAAGTGGAGCGGCGCGCGCGTCGCGGGGGGCGAAGGGGGGCGGTCGGCCGCGTCGTGCGGCAACGGGCTCCTGACATAGGGCCGGTCGGACGCACCTGAGAAGAGGATTCTAGTATGGTCGGCGACACGGCGAGGAGGTCTCGGAAGGATGGCCCCGCGGGCGGCCTCCCGCGCGCTTCCTGGCCAGACGACGCGCGGCGACGAGCGTACTTCCACTGTGACGCACGCAGCGCTCGTGTGAGGACACAGCACAGGCGCACTCCGCGCGCAATTCCGCACCGAAGCAGCTGGCAACAGTCGCCCCACGCACGATGAAGTGCCCTGCGCTCGCGGCGCGAGCGGCGCCCGCGGCCGCCCCGCGCGCAGCGACGTCGCAGCAGTGCCGCCCGCGCACCGCGGTGCGCATGTTCGGCGCGACGAACTACGCCGCCAGCGCGGAGACGATCAGCAGGGACGGGCTGGTCCGGGAGGTCAGGTGCGGGCCCCGCAGACCGTCCCGAGCGTCGCATTGACGCCAGTAGCATCAAGTGGGCGTAGGCGCGGGCCTGATTGGCGAGAGACGCGAAGGAGACCCCCCCGCGGTCGGCGTTGGGCGCGGATGGCCCGGGTGCCTCCGGTGGCGCCGGCAGACCGCGGCGTGCAGGGGCCGGGCCGGGGGGTTCGGGGCGCCCACCCCCAGCGGTTCTATGCTCAAATAGCTGAGTCGTGTCGGAAGCGAGCGCGGTGCCTGGAGAGGAGTGCGGGGCGCGATGTTGCAACTGCCATGGTGTCATGACGCGATGTGCTGGATGCCTTGGCCCCTGCGCGGGGACCGAGGCCGCGTTATGGGACGTGGATTACTGTGGGTTCTAGCGCGTCTCGGCGTTGCGGGAGTTCTCGATCGAGCGGCGAGCAGGGAGCGCGGCTAGCCTGCAGTGCTGATCGCCCCGCGCCGCCCGCTCGTGCCGCGCGCAGGCGCTATCTGCGGAAGGAGGAGGGCTGGACGGACTACTGGATCGACGGCGTGGCGGACCGCATCACGAAGCGGCTCCTGGACACCAGCCTGGACCAGGTGAGGGCCGTGGTGGGGTGGCTCAAGAACGACCTGGGGATGAACACGCAGGACGTGTGCAACATGTGCTCCATCTCCTGCGCGATGTTCGGCATGGACGTGGAGGCCGACCTCAAGCCCGTCGTCGCGTACATGCGCGCGCGCGGCGCCAGCGACGCCACCGTGCGGCGGGTGCTCACTTCCAACCCCAAGGTGCTCGAGTACGCCGTGACCGAGGACGGCAAGAAGCTCTGGAAGCGCACCAACAACTCCAAGTTCCTCGCCTTCGCCGAGGTGCGCCCCGCCCGCGCACAGCAACCACCTGCGCGTCGCGCCACCCTCACCCGCGTCGTGGCGCGGGCGGGACGCCGCAACCCAGACGGTCGACGCGCCCGCGGTGTGCGTACGGTGGCCGCTGCCTGGAGGCGACGCTGGCGGACTCCCCCCCCCCGCCGCGTCGGTCAACGGTCGAATGGCGGCGGTCGTGTTGGCGTTGCTCGCAGGTGGACGTGACGGAGGGCAAGGACGGGAAGCAGCAGGCCCACGTGTCGTACTTCCGCGAGAACACCGCGTTCGAGTCGGCGCCGGTGTCGCCGCCGCGGCCCAAGGACGCGTGACGGCGGCGCAGCGACACACGCACGCTGACCGCCGTGTGACCCTCGACGCGAATCGAACCGTGCATGGACAGGCCCTCAGCCGGGACACAGAGCCCTCGGGTGCGCGGCAGCAGCCGCCCTGCAGCCCCGCCCCCTGCCTCGCCCCGCTGTGTGCGCATGAGCAGGGAGGAGGTCCGAGCGCCGCGCCGTGAGGGGCTGGCATGCACGTGCGCGACGTCCGGCTGCTTAGCTGGCGGGTCACGCATGCATTTGACCGGCAGAAACGGCGATGTAACTTTGACGCACGACGCCCGCCAGCCCCTTGCGTCATTGCTTGCCACCGGCGCTGCGGTCGCCGTGCTGCGCTGGCAGCGACCTTTCGATGCGGTACGGGCAGCCAACTTCATTCTGCGCGCGATAGAGGGGCGGACCGGGGCGCCGGGCCCCCGCCCCCGGCGGCTGCGGCACGAGGGCACTCTCTCCCCCACTGCACTGCGTCAGCCCTAGCTGCGGGGTGCAGCCGCCAACAAGGCCCCTGCGCGGCCCCAGCTGCTGCACAGATCCCAGTCTCTGCAGAGGTACCAGAAGTCGTGCAGCAGGCGGCTATCCGGATGAACGGAGCTCAGCTGCCTGGCTAGAGCTGGGGGGATCGCGGTGTTACAGGGACGAGGGCGGGCCCGCGGCGATCGCGCCGGCGTGCCATGGGCGCTATGTGGCGCTCCGTGGCCCTGGCGCTGCTGCTGGCGGCGTGCTGGCCCCGCGCGCCGGTGCTGGCCAGCGGACCCATGTCCTTGCTCGAGTATAGCCGCAGCGACTGGAGGAGCCTGGGAGCGGAGACAGGGTTCCCAGGCAAGATTCCCTGCGTGCCTTGCTTGGCGCGGCACCTCCGCGTTCCGGGCCGCGTTCGCGCCGCGGGCGCACGGGCCCAGCGCCGTTCGGTTGGACCGGCGCGAGGGCGGCGCGGGCAGTGCCGGGCTTGCTCGGGGCATGGCGGCAGCGGGGGGTGCGTGACGTGTTCGTGCCCGTTGCTCACAAGGCGCCGCGTCGCCCGCGTCGACGTCGTGCAGGGGACCAGCGCACAGCGCTGCAGACGACGAACGCGGCTGTCAAGGGCGCGATAGACAGCCAGGTGTTCTTCAGCCCGGACGGGTCGGTGTACAACGTGTTCGTGACCTCCGACACGCAGGTCCACGTCGCGCGGTTCGGCCCCTCGCGCCACAACGCGCAGGGCTGGGAGCTCCTGCGCACCGAGCACGAGCAGCTCGACGAGGCGCAGCGCTACACGGGCGCCGTCCACCAGCTCCCCGAGCTCGAGTTCTACCCGCCCCCGTGGCAGAGCGCCTCCAAGCGCCGCCACGCCGCGGCAGCGCCCGAGGGCGAGGGCGCCCCCGCCGAACAACCGACGCGCCCGCTCGCGCGCACCCTCCTGCAGACCACGCCGCCGGGGGGCTGCCCGCCGGGCCAGTCGCTCTCCAACGGCGGGTGCGCGCAGTGCACCGTGGGCTCGTACTGCCCGGGCGGCACCACGCCCGCGCAGGCGTGCCCCGTTGCCAAGCCCGACCAGACCAGCCCCGCCGTCCTGTCCTTCTACACGTTCCAGATCGACGCGACCCGGGCGCAGCAGTGCGTGATCAACCCGTGCCCCTCCGGGTTCTTCTACCTCAGCAGCCCCCCGTCGTGCAACGCGTGTGCGCCGGGCAACTACTGCGACGGACAGGCGCAGGTCCCGTGCCCGTACGGGACGTTCCAGCCGGCCTCGGCGCAGTCGTCGTGCCAGGTGCGGCCCCGCGCTGCGTGCACGGAGCGCCCGCGTGCGTCCGCCGCCGCCGCCCGCGTCCCGACCGCCCCGCTGGCCCTGTGCGCCCCGCCTGCCTGCAGGCCTGCCCTGTGCCGCTGACGACGCTGGTGACCGGCGCGACGTCCTCGACGACGGCCTGCACGGTCGCCGCGAACATCCGGAACAACCCGCGCCCGCGCCTGTTCTTCAACACCCTCCCCTCGGGCGAAGTCCAGACCTACATTGCCTACGTTCCCAAGGGCGCCGAACGCATGGGTGCGCGCGCACACACACACACACACACACATGCGCCGCCCGCGGCCGCACGCGACCGCACACCGCGCCGTCGACGCGGGCAAACCCCCCCCCTTTCACCACCCCACCCCCCCTGCAGGCCTGTGGCAGTTCACGTACGGGGCGTGGCGCGACATGTTGCAGGGGACCGCCGCGCGGGGGTCGGCGAGCGCGACCACGGCGGAGTTCCGTCCGCGGACGCACGCGATGGTCCTCGACGCGCGCCCGTTCGACGTGTACTTCCCCTCGCCCGACACGGGGTACATCGCGTGGGCCACCGCGGCCAACCGGCTGGCGCTGGCGTCGTTCTCGACGTCCCCCACGGGCGGCATCGCCTCGGCCGGCCTGCTGTACGACTCCGCGGACACCTCGCGGCCGTACAACGGCGGGTCGAACGTGCGACTGCTGCGCAACGTGGACGGCACGAATGTGCTGATCACGAACGACCCGTTCTTCGCGACGGCGAGCTTCTCGCCCGCGCCCACGCCGGCGCACGTCGCGATCGACCTCGGGCGGTGCTCGCTGTCGAATGCGCAGTGGAGGTGAGCGCCCGCCCGACCGCTGCGTACCTGCCGTGCTGCGCTGTGCGTTGAGACCGCCGGGAGAGACCGCGGGGCGTGGCGGCGTGTGTGTGCAGCTGCGAGCCGGGCCAGGCGTACCACTACATCTACTCCGTGAACCCCCTCGACACGTGCTCGTCGGGGAAGGCGGGGGAGTTTTTCAGCGTCGACGGAAAGATGGTCACGCTGGAGCGGCCGTGCCTCCCGGACGTTTCGGGGCAGTACGTGCTCGAGTCCCGTGAGCTGGGCCTCAAGTACAGCAACGGCACGCGCAACCGCGCCATCACCACCTCGGACGGGCGCCTCCTGTCGATATCCAATCGCGTAAACGGCTTCCGCGTGAAGGAGGTGGGGACGGCCGCGACCGCGTCGGTGTACGAGACGCTCGTCATGACGTACTCGGTCGCGCAGGCCGCGAACGGCGCGCTCTACGTCGCCGCCGCGACGTCGGACGTGCAGTCGAGCGCCAACCCTGCTGGGCTCGTTCTGGCGTCCTACGCCCCCTGGAACAGGACCTGGGACTCCTCCATCGGGTCCACGTCCTACACGGTGCGTGAACGGCGCCCGTGCGCGCCCACTGACCGCCGTGCCTCCCGCCGGACCTGTCGCATGTTCTGATGGTGCACACCTTGTCCGCGCGGACGGATCGTCCTGCAGGTCCCCAACACGGGCTCGGACACGACGTTCAAGAGCCTCAGCGTCGCCGCGGACGACCACCCGTACACGGCGCTGCCGTACCTCGTCTACACCGGCACGCAAACGGACGCCGTGCACGTCCGGCACCTGTTCCCCACCAACGTGGTGTCCCGCGAGGTGTACGGCACCAACCGCGGGCAGATCGTGACCTCCGGGTTCGACCCGACCACCGCCTCGGAGACAATCGGCCTCGCCGTCGGGGTGCGTCCTGCCTGACTCACCACAACACCCCCCCCCCCGCCCCGCCCCTGTGCACGGCTCGATTGCTTCGTCAGCGCCTCCCCCGCGTCGCCGGCACGCTCGCACTTCTTCTAAGATGTGCTCTTCCTCCTGCATCGGTCGCAGACGAGTCGGAGGCTCGTCGCGGAGCTCCAGACGGGCCTGACCGAGCTCTCCAGGCCAGTGCTGTGGGGCCCCCCCGGGCAGTTCTCGGCGCAGGGGTTCCCGAACCAGCTGGCGGTGTTCACCGCGATCATCAAGAACCAGCTCTACATCTGCTCGATGGACCTCTCCACCGCGAACATGCGCGCGGAGATGAAGACGTGCGACTTCGCGATGGCCGAGTTCCGCACCGACGGGAAGAACATCACCACGGACATCGCCGCGAGCTCGACCACGCAGGGCGACTACATGTGGGCCGTGGCGACGCACGACGAGCACATGGACTTCATCCGGTTCAGCATGGGCAACGTCATCAGCGGCGCCAACGGGTTCCTCAACGCGGCCTCCTCGGGCGCGGGGGCGTTCGTCGACGAGATCACCAACCCCGCGGGCTGCGCGTCGACGGTGACGCGCTCGGCCCTGCGCGCCGCGGTGTACGACCCCGGCGTTCCGGGGTTCACCAGCTCCAACTTCCTGAAGGACTCCGACAAACTGCCGTTCACGCTGCGCAAGAGCGCCCTCGTGGTGGTGACGTACGACGCGGAGTGTCTGCCGGCGTCCACGGGCTCGGCGAGCCTGTCCGTGCGCTGGCCGGGGATCACGGAGACGCTCTTGGACGTGGAGCGCGGGAACATCAGCGTGCCCTCGGGCAGCCAGATCACGCGGGACCACCTGGGCTTCGACGGCCCCGTTGGCACGCAGTTCAGGACCGGCAGCGTCGCGATACGCGCCAGTCCGTTCGTGGAGCGGCGGTTCTACGTCGCCGTGATGCGGCAGCCGTTCCAGCCGGACCAGACGGGGGAGGTGCGGTTCTTCGAGTGGGACCTGACGTTCCCGAACGCGGCGCCGACGCTGCGGCAGACGATCACCGAGCAGTTCGTGAACCCGGGGGTGTCTTTCACCGGTCTGACCAACACCACCAAGACCTTCGAGATCCTGACGTGGCGGCGCGAGTTCACGAGCATCAGCGGGGACACGGCGATGAACAACCACTGGATCATGATCGCGTTCACCACGGGCACGCTGGTCACGTACCGCCGCGCCTCGACCGGCGCGGCCTTCACGCGCGACCCAAACATCGTGTGGCTCGGCCTGGGGGCGCAGCGCCAGGCGCTCGCGGGCGGCACCGGCACCACGCCGTGGATGTCGTACGACCCGCCGCGTCCGTGGCTCATCAACGAGAAGCTCGCCCTCGAGGTCGACTCCCAGGGCGTGCTGTTCGCCACGTACCCAGACCACACGCACCTGAACGCGCCCGTGGTGATCCAGATCACGTACGACGCGGCGCGCACGAAGCGCGTCGCGCGTGCCGTCCCGCTGGCGACCGGCCTGCAGTCCATGCAGCTGGCGCCGCGGGGCCCGGCGACGATCCTGGCACCCACGTGGACGGTCTCGGGGCAGTCCGGAGACGGACTCACGCTGATCTACCCGGACACCACGTCGTCCGGGACCGGCACCGGGAACCTCCTGCGGGCGTCGACGTTCCGGGCGGACCCGCCCGTCGCGTACGGCTCGTCGTGCACTGCGGCCGACACCTTTGTGCCCCCCTCGGGCAGGGTCGTCGGGGCGTTCCCGAACGGGCTCGGGGCGCTCAAGGTGAGGCTCAAGTCCGCGCGGCTGCTGTCTGTCTGCGGTCAGGCGCCGGCCTAGGTGCTGTTCGTTGCGCCAGTCGCCCATGGGCTGACGCGATCCTGTGTTGTTGCGGACGTTCGTCGACCACGCTGCACAGACGCGCGCACGTCCCCGCCTCCGTTGCAGGTCCGCCAAGGGTACGTGGCCGTGGTCATGTTCTCAGAGGCAGACACCCGCGTGTACGACTCTGCCAGCGCCACGTCGCCCGAGGTCTCGGCGGAGTTCAACCTGTGCACGTCGGGCACGGCCGCCACCGTCCGGAAGATGTTCATCTTCAGTAGGGACCGCGACAGGAACCACACCGAACCGGATTTCGAGTCCGTCGTGCGGAACGAGGCCGGGTACCACCTGCTGATGGCCAGCCGGCCCGCCAGCATCCGCGCCAACGTGTTCCCCAGCTTCCTCAGCGTGTGCGGCGGCTCCTCGCCGGGCTTCGACCAGGCCGGGCTCAAGGTCTCGTGCGCGCCAGGATCGACGGTGCGCCGCCCTCATCGGTCACACTTGAATGTTGAATGTTCAATACACTTGCGCCGTACCGATCGGCTGCACCTCCCCGCGGCCTGCCCCCGTGCGTTGCGCGCTAGCTCGAGCGCAAATCCCCCCACCGCCATCGGTGTTGGTCCTCGCGTGCGCGCAGGAGGTCACCAAGATCGAGCTATCCGGGGGGGTTGCGGACTTTGCCAACGTCATGCCGCACCTGTGGGTCTTCCAGCAGCTCCGGCAGCTCGACGTGATCGTCACCGCGACCTCGTCGCCGGCCACGGAGGCGAACCCGAGGGCCGTCGGCGGCGCCCGCCGCGCCCACACCCTCCGCGTGCTGAATCTCGACTTCTCTGTCGACACCGCGGCGGGCCTCGTGTGGTCGGGCATGAACGACGTCGCGCAGATGATGCCCGGGTGGTTCAACCTCGAGGAGGTGAAGATCATCGGCCTCAGCGTGTCGCACAAGGTGCAAGACATGGTGCAGCACCTCCCCAAGCTGAAAACGCTGCGGCTCGAGAACCTGGCGTCCGGGGCGACGCCGGACACGAACGGGCAGCTGCCGCGACCGATCGTGTCGCTCAGGAACGCCGGCGCGCAGCTGAGCACGGTGGTGATCAAGGACGTGCAGCGGGTCCAGGTCGACCTGGACTCGATCTCCACGAACTCGTCGTCCTCGACTATCATGATCAAGGCCGGCATGTCAGGTGCGCCCGCGCGCAACGCGCCCGCCGCTCTGCCGCACGGGTGCCCGCCGCTCTCCCGCACAGTCACGGTGTGCTGTGGACCTCGACCCCGACGACACGGAACTCCTGCCGCAGACCCCCGCCTGTGTGTGTCATGCACAAGTGCGGTATGTCATGCAGCAGAGGCTGCTGCGTGGTTTCGGCGTCTCCCGATTCCAGTCCGGCGTCAGCCTCCCGTTGTAGTATGAGTCGTGAAGCGTGACGCGCTGCGGTGAGGCCCCCCCCGGGGCTGATCACGCTTCACGACTCCTACTACAACGGGCGGCTGACGCCAGACTGGAGGCGCGAAACGCCGAAACCACGCAGCAGCCTCTGCTGCGCCGCACTTGCCGGGCGGGGATCTGCGGCGGGGCTTCCGTGTCGTCGTGGTCGAGGTCCATGATGTCTGGGCCGGCATGTAGGTTGCCGGTCATCCCGACACGCCGTCGAACCAGCACCCCGTGGTGAGTATCTCGACGCGCAATCTTGACGCGCGTGCAGGGTCGCTGAACGGGCTCGCGGGGCGGAACCCGAACCTCGCGACGCTCGAGCTGATCAACGACGACGGCGTGGTTGGCCTGAACGACACGGAGGCGCAGGTCACCGCGCTCGCGAGTCGATCGTCCCTCACGAGCATCAACCTGCAGAACCACCCCAGCTTCGCGTCGTGCATCGAGGGCGGGGTGTCCCTCCCGACCTCCGTGCGGACGCTGACGCTGAAGAACATGCCGAGCATGTGCGCGAGGGCCGTGGCAAACCGGATCCCCGTCGAGGCCGGGTTCCTCCTCGCGTCCCTGAACTCCGCGTCGACACCGGCCATCACGGTGCGTAGCGCCCCCGCTGACGCGCAGCGGGCCGCTCGTCGCGGCTCCTTGCATCGCTGCGGCCTGCGTCTATGGTGCGAGACCTCGCCCGCGTAATACCCCCGTCGTTTGTTCGTCTGTGGTGTTTGTGCGCAGAAGGTGGACCTGGCCGGAGTTCCGTTGACGGACGGCTCCAGGACGTTCCCGCCGCAATGGTCCTCGATTCCCCTCCAGGAGATCCTGATCGCGGGCTGGCCCACGGTCTCGGGAGCGGCGTTCGCGCCGAGCCTGGACGACCTCGCGGGCCTGACGCTGTCTAGTGCGTCCAAGGTGGTGCTGGACGGCGTCAACGGACTGACCGGGACGCTGCCCGCCGCCTTCCCGTCCGCCCTCCCTGCCCTGCGGGACCTGCAGATCATCAACAACCCTGCGATCGCGGGCGCGCTGCCGGCAGCGTGGGGCAACAACTGGCGGCCGGCGGGCGACATCAACGTGACGGTGTCGAACAACCAGCTCGGCGGGACGATCCCCGCGGAGTGGGACGCGTGGCTCCGCGTCGGCGCCGGATCGGGGCGGCTGCGGTACCTGTCGGTGCAGAACAACCAGCGCATGTGTGGCAACGTGACGTCGCTGCAGGACACGGCCAGCTCGCTGTCGCTCACGCTCCTGACCGGCGGCACCAAGTTGAACCAGTTCTGCGGCATCAGGTGCGATCCCGCCTCTGCTCGAACGCGGGCGGCCCCTACGCCCAAACGTTCCCCCCTGCTTGATCTGTTGTACCCTTGGGCACGCCGGGGGTCCTGACCCCCGCTTCCCATCCCCGCTAACCTCGCAGCGTGTCTCCTGGGAACAAGGTGTACCTGTCCGAGGCCCCGGGGGGCAGCACGGTCCCGCTGGACTTCAGCTTTGACGTCAGCGTGCGCGGACAAGCTATCGGCCCGAGCTTCACGTACCAGCTGGTGATGGACGGCGGGCTGTCGCAGGACGTCACGATCGACGTGGCAGTGTCGGCCGCCTACCCGGACTTGCTCCAGATCCGCCATCCGCCCGGCAGCGGTGCCTTCCGGCAGAACACCACTGTGTTCCTCCCGCGCGCCACCGCGAGCGGCGCGGCGTTCAGCATCGAGGTGCAAACGGTGGACAACGCGTTCACGGACTACACCTTCGACGTCACGGTCGCGCACACCTTCCGCGGCGGGATCTCGGGCGGCCTGAACGGGTTCATCAGCGACTTCAAGGCGACGGTCTTCAACGACGACCCGCCGATCAACATGGCGCTGTCGCCCGCGAATCTCGCGGTGACCGAGGGGCAGTCCCTGAACGTGTCGGTGGCGTTCACGGGCGGGCGTCCGCGCAACTATGCCGACGTGTACCTCCCGCCCACTCCCTTCTCGGTCGCTGACCGACTGCGGGTGCGTCTGCCCCGTCCGAGTGCAGCGCGGACGCGCCCGTTGCTGTTGTGCGTGGCTCGTTGGATGTCTGAAGTGCTGCATTGCAGGTAGTGGGTCCGTGCCCGCTTCTCACCCGGACTGGTTGCCGCATTGTGTTGCAGTACGTCGTGGCGGACCCGCTGCAGATGTGGGGCACGACGGACATCGGCACGCAGCAGATCCGGTTCCCGCGCACCCCGGGGGGCGACTTCTTCGCGCCGCAGCTCGTGACGGTGCGGGCCATCGACAACCAGGTGGTCAACGTCCCGGGCGCGCAGTCGGTCTTCAGCAGCTTCGGCGTCTACAGCCCGACGGCGCCGATCAACTTCCCGCCGCGGGTGATCAACGTGACGCTCATCGAGCCGCGCACCGCCGCGGTGATCGTGAACGCCGCGGCCCTGACCATCCCCGAGGGGCAGTCTGTCGACGTCACCTTCCGACTGCAGACGGTGCCCTCGAACGACGTGCGCATCCGGCTCTCCGTCATCACCGACGCCAACAACGCTACCTCGGTCGCGACGGGCGCCACCGGCCGCGTGGACGCCGTCTCGCGCGTCGACAGCACCAGCCTGCTCGTCTTCACCCCCACGAACTTCGACAACCCGCAAACCGTGCGCATCTCCGCCGTGGGCGACGGGAGGGCGACGGGCACGCTCGTGCGCTACGTGCGGTGGGAGGTGGTCCAGATCTCGCCGTTCGGGGCCGCGCAGGAGTACCTCGGGCTGGCCAGCACCGGCACCCACATCCAGGTCACGCGCACGGACGCCGACGTGGCGCAGCTGGTCAAGCCTGCGGCGAACCTCACGCTGCTCGAAGGCAACGTGCGCGCGGACCTCCTCGTCGGCTTGTCGACGCCCCCGAGCGCCGACGTCATCCTCTCGCTGGCCACGTCCGCGCAGTCCTACACCGCGTCGTCGGTGTCCGCGAGCTACCTCGCGACGCTCGGAACCATCCTCGGCGGCACGGTCGACCTCCTGATGGAGGTCCGCGTGGTGTCCATCCAGCGCGTGACCCCCGGCGACGAGGGCCCCGTGCTGCCGTGGAACGCCACGTCGACGGGGCTGTTCCGGAAGGACCGGCTCGACACCCTGAAGATCATCGTCGAGACGCCCGCGATCGACGGTATCGCGACGGGCAACCTGAGGACGTCGGTGTCGGGCACGGTGACCTCCGCGGACCCGGCGTTCAACACCGGGGCCGACCAGGCGCGCATGAGCTTCAACACCGACGTGACGGTGGTGGACAACCAGCCCGCGGCGGTCGCGGACCTGTGCGCGGTGCCGTTCACGGACAGCACGTTCAACGGCTGCGCGGCGCGCTCGCTGTCCGGCACGGCGCTGGTGGCGGAGGGCGGCACCACGACGGTCACGTTCAAGCTGACCCCGCCGCCGCTGGCGCCGGTCACGGCGACCATCCTCACGCAGCCGTCGGAGGGCACCGCGGCGGCGAGCATCCCGAGCGGCACGGGCAACGACGTCGTGACGCAGTTCTACAGCGTCACGGTCACGGGGCCCGCGATCGACGGCACCAACACGGGCTCGCGCAGCACGTCGACGCGCGTGCGCCTGCAATCCGCGGATCCGTACTACAACAACTTCGAGAAGACGCTCAGCATCGTCATCGAGGACGCCACGCCGCCCGCCGCCAGCGCGGTCACCGTGGACTCGTCGGGCAACAGCACGGCTACCTCCGGCACTGCCATCCTGACCTTCGGCGGTGGTTTCAACCCGGTGGCCACGACGCCTAGCGTCGCCGGCGCCACCAACGCACCGGGCGACACGCTGCCTGGTGCCACGCTGCCGCCGGTGGCGACCGCGGGCCCCGGGGGCGCCACGCTGGCCGGCGGCGGCACGCTCGCGCCGGGCGACACGCTGCCGGGTGCCACGCTGCCGCCGGCGGCGACCGTGGGCCCCGGGGGCGCCACGCTGGCCGGCGGAGGTACGCTCGCGCCGGGCGACACGCTGCCGGGTGCCACGCTGCCTGGTGCCACGCTGCCTGGTGCCACGCTGCCTGGTGCCACGGCGGCTCCCGGCGCCACGGCGGCTCCCGGCGCCACGGCCACGCCGAGCCCAACGACGGCGCCGCCGGTGCAGGTCTCGGTGACTCAGCTCCCAGTCTCGTCCGTCGTGAACAGGCCGCCCGCGACGCTGCAGCTGCAGTCGTACGTCCGGCTCCTGCCCCACGGTCTCACGTTCCCCGTGGACCAGCGGCCGAAGGTGTGCCTTGACGACGCCACGTGCGTCTCTCGCGGCGTGACGATGATGAAGGCGTCCGGCGACGAGACGAACGACTGGGTGACGGTCCCCGGCGTGACGTACGAGGTCCCTGGCGGCGGCGCCGCGTGCAGGATCTGCGCCGTGCTGTCGTCGTTCTCAGTGATTGCCAGCGGGCGCAAGGAGCCAGACATCACGGTGGACGCCCGGACGCTGCCCGCGGCGCAGACGTACACGGAGAACGGCCCGCTGCTCGTGATCGACCCCACGGTGACGGCCTCGGCCCAGAACGGGAGCAGCGTCCGACTGGAGAAGATGGTGGTGAAGATCACCTCCAACTGCAACAAGGACCCGGGCGCGGGGGACCGGATGGCCCTGGTGCTCGCGGGCACGACCTCGACGTACAACCGCACGTCGTGCGAGCTCACGGTCACCACGGACCCCGCGACCACCGGGCTGGACGCCGCAACGGTGCAGAGCGCACTGCGCAACGTGACGTTCGTGGCGCTCGGGGAGAGCCCGAGCGCCGGGCAGCGCGACATCGAGGTGGAGCTGTTCGAGACGCAGTTCGTCGCGAAGAAGCACCAGCTGCGTCCGGTCAGCGTGGTGTCCGTGAACGACCCCCCCGTGGTCGCCGTGCCCCTGACCATCTCCTACACCGAAGGCGGGCCGCCGCTGGCGTTCCTCGCGCCGCTGTCGATCACGGACGCAGACAACAACGGGTTGAACCAGGTCACGGTGAGGATCTCCAACACGGACACCACGGGCCTGACCACGTCGCAGGGCCCGGACAGCATCCAGGTCAACGGCAACGGCGGGCAGTCGTCCTTCACCATCAACGGCCCGATCCAGGTGGGGTCCACGGAGGAGTACAGCATCGAGTTCCGGCTGGCCAGCGGGGTCAGCGAGGCGCCGTTCGCGGACTGGCAGAAGGCCAAGGCGCAGGTGACGTTCGCCAACAACGGCCCGACGATCCGGTCGAAGAACCGCACGGTGACGGTGCTGGCGACGGACGCGAACGGCGCGACGACGTCGGCGTCGTTCAACATCACCATCGCGGAGGTCAACAGCCCGCCGGTGTTCCGCCAGAGCCAGTACACGGCCTCCACGACGGAGGACAGCACCAGCGCGGTCTCCGTCACCATTGTCGCCGACGACCCCGAGGGCGACGCGGTCAAGTACACCTCGATCTGCGACTTCAAGTCGAACACCTTCAACTCGTCGTGGCTCAACCCCGTGGCGCGGCGGCGCAGCCTCCTGCTGCAGTCGTCGAACGACGGCATCGTGCGGTTCGTCCCGAAGCCGAACGCCAACGGCCTCGACTCCCTCGTCGTGCGGGCGGTCGACGCGGGCGGCCTGTCGAGCGCGCTGGTGCTGGTCGAGGTCGACGTCGCCGCGCAGCCCGACCCGCCTCAGGTGGTGGCCAACGTGGTGCTGCAGGCCGCGGAGGGCGCGCCGCAGCAGTTTGCGTGGGTCCCGGACATCGCGACGGACCCCGACGGCGACAACCAGATCGAGTCGATCGAGGTTGACTCCGCGGGGATCACCACCACGGGGGGGTTCGTGTTCAACGCGCAGTGGATCAAAATCACGCCCGTGGACGCCTCGACGCCGACCGTTGCGCAGCCGACCACGTTCACGATCGACGTGCCCGCGGGGGCGATGAATGGGTTCACGTCGTCAACGGTGACGATACCGATCAAGGTCAAGGAGCAGGGCTCGGCGACGCTGACGACGGGGTCGTTCCAGGTGCAGCTGGCGGGCGCGGCGGCGGACGGCACGCCGCCGGTCGTGCCCGCGGGGCAGACGTTCACGCTGGCGGAGGACACCGCGGGCGAGATCGTGATCGCTGCCGAGGACGAGCAGGCCGTGAACGGAGTGCCGCCGCAGAACGGGCTGGTGTTCAGCATCCAGAACGTGCAGCCCGCGGTGGTGACGCTCACGCAGGCGAACAACACCGTCCCGTGGGCCTTCAAGGTCAACCCCGTCACCACCACCGTCAACTTCTTCGGCGCCGTGACCGTCACCTTCTCCGTGGACGACCCCACCGACACCACGCCGCCCGTCGTGCAGACGCTCACCATCAACATCGCCAACGCGGACGACCCGCCCACGCTCGGGTGCAGCGCGTCCACGGCACTCACCCTCAAGGTCCTGCCCGCCGCCGTCGAGGAGCAGCTCCGGAAGAACCCCTTCGACCTCGAGCCCACGCAGCCGGACTTCAAGGCCGTTGGGGCGGCGCGCACGGAGTTCGACTCGGTGTACAAGCCCTTCGTGGTGGGCAGGCTGGACGCCGGCGCCACCAACCCGACCGACCCCGCGACCGGGGGATTCAAGAGCACCTTCGCGGAGGCAACGTCGCAGCTGGCAGCGGCATCCTCGCGCGGGCTGATCTACGGTGCGGGCGAGGCGCTCCTGACGTGCGCCGAGGCCATGACGTGGCGCGTGGCGCAGTCGGGCGCCGACGGACCCGTGGTGCACCACGGCGCGCTGCTCGGCTACGACATCGACACCGCGGCCATCAGCTACGTGCTCGTCACGCCCCCGCAGGGCACGCTCGAGGTCGTGGACCCGACCACGGCCGACACGGTGCTCACCAGCCCGCAGGTCGGCGCGGTGTCCGCGAGCGCGCTGTTCGCGCTGGGCACGGTGCCGTCGTCGTCGCAGACGCTCACCGTGCTGCAGTCGGCGTCGTGGGACCCCGCGTCGGTCAACCTGACCGCGGGCAGCTCGGTGAGCGTCGAAACAATGGGGTCGAATGCCAAGGCCGGGCAGCCGCTCTTCGTGCGCTACACGCCGCCGCTCGCCAAGTACGGCCCCGGCGCCGACTCCTTCGTGTGGGGCGTCGAGAGCAACGGGCAGCTCCACGCCGCGGGCAAGGTCACCGTTGACGTGGTGTGCTCCCCGGGCACCACCTCCACGACGGGGCAGGCCTCGGGGACGTGCGCGCCCTGCCCGGGCGGCACGTTCAACCTGCCGGACGTCTACCACCAGGACTCGTGCGAGCCGTGCCCCGCCGGGACGTTCTCGGCGGCGAACGGCACGTCGTGCTCGGCGTGCCCTGAGAACACGTACGCCGACACACCCGGGCAGGCGCAGTGCACGCCGTGCCCGGACCCGCTGCAGGAGTCTCCCGCGGGGTCGCGCAACTGGACCGCGTGCGTGTGCCCCACGGAGACATGGCGCAACTCGTCGGCCTACGAGCCGCTGACCAGGCTGGCTGGGCTCAGCTCGCGCGACAACAACGGCCTGCTGGCCCCCGTGAGCGTGCTGGACGCGGACCTGGTGCCCAACCTGCAGCCCGGGGACGTGATCCGCATCGACGACAGGTGCCTGCCGTGCTTCGCGGGCGCCGGCGGCGACCTGCTGCGCCAGATCCTGATCTGCAACGTCGTCAACCAGCCGATCCCGGTGCTCAGGGTCCCCGGCTTCTACATCGACCCGTTCACGGGCGTCCCCGAGGAGTGCACCCCGCAGGAGGCGTGCCCGATCATCCGGCAGAACGCGTTCGCGCTGACGCTGGCGGGGGCGTGCGCCGAGGGGTATGAGGGGCCGACGTGCAACACGTGCGCGTCGGGCTACTACCGCAACGCGTCGCGGTGCAAGGAGTGCAACAACGCGGCGTGGCTGTACGTCATCGTGGTGGTCGTCGTGGTCATCGGCGTGGCGCCGCTGCTGGTGAAGCTGGCGCAGAAGGAGGTGTTCGCGGCGCTCAACATCGTCATCGCGTACTTCCAGGCCAACTCGGTGTTCCGCCAGCTCAAGTTCGAGTGGCCCGACCAGGTCCTGGACCTCTTCGACGGGCTGTCGATGTTCAACCTGGACATCGACATCATCTCCCCGGACTGCGTGGTCACCAACTGGTCGGCCACGAACAAGGTCTGGATCGCCAACGCCGTGCCCATCTTCCTGCTCGTCGTCTTCGTCGGCATGTACTACGCGGGCGTCCTGTACGACCGCCAGCGGGCCGCCCGCAAGCAGCGCGCCAAGGCCAGGGCCAAGGCCATCCGCGACCAGGCCATCAAGCGCCGCCAGAAGGACTCCGTCGACGCGCAGCTCGGGGCGCCCATCGAGGCCCGGGCCAGCGCCGTCTCGAACGCCGAAGAGTCGGGGCAGGTCGACGCGGGGCCCTCGGACGCGCCGCCGGCATCGCCCTCGGGGTCCAAGAGGGGCAGCGACAGGGCGTCTCTGGACGCCCCGAAGCCGAAGAAGAGGACCGGTCGCAAGGTGCGCATTGCCGCGGAGGACTCTCCCGAGGGCAGCGAGGCAGTGGCGGAGCGCAACCCGAGCAACACCAAGTCGGAGGGCGCGAAGTCGGTGGCGAAGAGCGACCGCATCGTCCTGGTGCCGAAGGCCTCCGTGGAGGGCGACGCCAAGACGGAGAGCGTGTCGGAGTTCGGCGGCAGCACCAGCAAGTACGGGGGCTCGCTGGCGTACAACATGGACGCGGCGCTTGGCCTGGCCGAGCAGGTCTTCCACATGGACGAGGAGGAGGAGGACGAGCTGACGCTGGAGGAGAAGCGCGCGCAGGAGGCCGAGCGGCGCAAGCTGGCGCTGCGGCTGCGCAACTACGACCACCGCCTGCGTCGCGCTATCTCCGGGTACCTCCTCGTGCTGTCGTGGGGGTACTTCATGCTGCTCTCGGTCAACGTCGACTTCTTCCAGTGCATCGACTTCGGCGGCACCCGCGTGATGAAGTCCGCCCCCGAGACCCTGTGCTGGGAGGGCAAGCACCGCGTCGCCATCGCGCCCGCGGTGTTCGGACTGGTCTTCTACGCGGTGGGCATTCCGGTGCTGATCGCCGCGCTGCTCTGGTACCACCGCGGGATCCTCGGCGTGCGCGACAAGTTCCGGCAAGAGGTCAAGCGGCGCCGCGCGCACCGGTCGCACGAGGAGGAGGTGGGGCTGCGGATCTTCGCGGAGCGCATCAAGATCGCCGAGGTCACCTTCGGGTTCCTCTTCCGGCGCTACGAGTCCCGGCTCTTCTGGTGGGAGCTGTGCACGTTTGCGCGCAAGATTGGCATCGTGGTCATCCGCGCCATTGACAAGCCGATGGAGCAGTGCCTCTCGATGATCCTGCTCCTCCTCCTGTGGCTCTGTGCGGTCGCGAAGCTCTCGCCGTACCTCGACGCGCACCTGGACCTCATGGAGGCCACGGCGATCTTCTTCAACGCGATTACTATCTTTGCGGGCTTCCTCTTCTTCTCCGACATCCTGTCGCCGCGGGACTACGACGCCGTGTCCATCGCGCTCGTCGTGCTCATCGTCACCTCGGTCGTCGTCCTCGTCGCCTTCACCATCTACGACATGCTGCCCAGGTGCGCCACGCCGGTCACTACTAGCTCCTCTGCCTGCACACGTGCCTTTCGTGGATTGACCGCCCGGTCGCGATCCGTCCGTGCTGACGACGCGCCCTCGAGTTTGCTGCGTGCGTTGCAGGCTGCGCCGCGCGATGCGCGTGATCATCATCGAGCACCGCGTGACGAAGCTGCGCGAGCGCCGGCGGCAGCACCACAAGCGGGTGGCCGCAGTGCTCGCGAAGCACGGCATGCTCGGGGGCGCGTCCAAGCTCATGGGCCGCGCGCAGTCCCGCGAGAACAGCATGATGGCGCAGCTCGGCCTCCAGGGCGGGTCCAAGAGGAAAGGTGCGCCTCCACGCAACCTCCAACCCCCGGGCGTCCCCTGCGCACGTCACGCGCCGCGCGGGAGCAGAGCGCAGCGCCACTTTCCGTGCGCGTCGCTGTGCAGGGTTGGCCGGCAAGTCGAAGCTGATATCTCAGAACGACCTGAATGTGTTGCAAATGGACAAGTCCCTGATGGTCCCGAACGTGAGCAAGCTCAGCTGCATCGCGACGATGCTGGTGCCCCCGCGCAAGGACAAGATGCTCGGTGGCGTGCGGCCCCTCCTCGAGCCGGACATCTACGACAAGGTGTCGGGTGAGTGAATGCCACATCAACATCCCATCCGGGGGGCGTGGCGCTCACGGCCACCGCGACGGGCTGACCATTCGCCGCGCGGCGCGGCTGTGCTTGCAGACTACGTGATGGATGCGAAGGCGCGGAAGGACATCGACCGTCTGGAGGTGGCCTTGTCGGCGCTGGGCAGCACCGTCACGCAGCACGAGGTGGAGAAGCGCGAGCGCGCCGAGCAGCGGTACCTGGACGCGAACGCCAAGGACTGGCTGCACCACACGTACGCGAAGACGGCCGGCAAGGGCGGCGGGTTCGGGAGCACTGCAGCCAACTCCGGCCCGATGGCCCTCATGTCCGTGGACCGCGAGGGCGCGAAAGGCGAGCTCCGGCGGCCCCCGTCGCGTGCAGGCGTGCCATGCCTCTTGCGCGATGGACCATTGCCCTGCCCCGGCACCCACGCGTGTCACGTCATCATTCTTCCGTTTTTCGTATCTCATTGCAGACGACGACGTCTTGAACGTCATGTCCGACATTGCGCGGGCGACCGGGAAGGCGGCGGCGAAGAAGAACCGCGGCTCGACGGAGCTGCCGACCGTGCAGAGCGGCCTCGTCTCGGTCGGCGACGCCACTCCCAAGGGCCCTCGCACCCTGCCGGGGGCCGGCTCTACCGCTCTCGACAGCGCGGCGCCCGCGCGGCTCGCGGCGATGGGCACCCATGCGGCGCACCAGGAGCTCCCGACCGCGCGGCTCGCGCTGCCGCGTCGCGACAACCGGATGCAGGTGCTGCTGAAGGACGACGCCCTGAACGCACAGGCGCTGGAGTGGGTGGCGTTCAACGCGTCGGACGAGGAGCGCCGCGTGATCAACTCGGTGCTCGACGAGTGCAATGCGGTGTACACGCACACGCTGGCCGCCACGCTCGCCTGCATGGAGATCCAGCAACTGCCCGACGGCAAAGTCAGGTGCGACACACAAACAGCACACCGGCCGCGACGGACACGCACCCGCCCGCGGAGCCACTCCGTCCGCCGCAATCGACCGCGCGCTACCACGAGCAACACCCCCCCTCCCGCCAACTCCCCTCCGTTTCGCAGGTACATCAAGCACGCCGAGGCTCAGCAGCTGTCGGTGGTGCCGTTCTACAAGGGCCCCAGTCCGATCACGACGGTCGCCGCCGTCATGGCCGACGCGCACGACGAGGCGATGGCCGCCAAGGGCGCCCTGGGCGGGCCCTCGAGCATCGCCTCTCCCAGCGAGCCTGGGCAGTCGAGGACCTCCCTTCTCCCGGGGAGCAAGAAGACCCTGGCGTCGCGGCGGTCGGCGCTCTCAAAGCCCAGCGCGCAGGTGTCGCGCGTGCGCATGCTTGCGGGCGTGTCGCGCTCGCACCTGGGCGGCCCGTCCCTGCGCCGCGTGCACACGATGGACGTCGGGACGCTGATGGACGACAGCAGGCACGAGGACGGCGGCTGGCAGCTCCCGGCCGATATCCTCGGCATCGACGGCCCCGGTGGCGCCGGTGAGAGCGCCGCCCCGGCAGTCCTCGCACCGCCCCGTTTGTTGGTATGTGCTCTCGCGACTGGGCCCGTGCGTGGTTCTGACGACTCCCCGGCCGCCCGTTTCGCAGATGGAGCCGCGGAGTGGCGCGATCGCGTCGCGCAGGGCTACGTGGCGTCGTCCACGGTGGCGCGCGCGGTGATGGAGGGCATGGACATGGAGGAGGACTCTCCGCGTCAGGTCCCCGTCCTGAACCCGGCGCTGTCCGCGGTGACCGAGGGGGAGAGCGAGGAGGGCGGCGTCGACGCCGTCGCCTTCGAGCGCGCGATGGCGCCGGCGCTGATGCCGGGCGTGCGAGCGCGTCCCCAGGAGCCCATGAAGCTGGAGTCGTTCCTGAACAAGAGCACGCACGAGAGCGACGGCGGGGGGGCGCCGACGCCGCTCACGGGCCAGCCCGTGCGGAAGCTGCCGCTGTACCCGAGCAAGAGGTGAGGGTCGTTCCGTTGACATGCGCATGACGCGGGGTGACGTTGCGTGGCTGAGTGGTGCGTTCCGTGGGAGGTGCGCTATCTGACGCGTTGGCGACGGCACGTGTCGGCGTACGCAGGGAGGTGACGTCGCACGACGTGGCCGACGTGGAGGTCAGGAGCGACGGCGACGACGACGATGACGACAGCGACGGGGACGCGCCTGCGTACCTGTCGGCCATTCCTCGGGGCCCGCCGAAGTCGGTCACGATGCACACGGTCGACGAGGAGATGCTGGAGGACGACCAGGGCCCGCAGTGAGCATGAAGGCGGCGTACCTCTCTACTGGTCACTGATCATTAAGACACATTTCGCAGGACATGAGCTGTTGCTGCGTTCTTTGAGATGCCTGACAGACTACAACTCAACCCTGGTACTACGATTGATCGAAACGTCGTCGGCATTCTGCCACGGGCAGGATGAGCCGGACACTGAAGATGACGAACATTGACATGTGACCCAATGCGGCTGTGCGTGCATTCCGCTCTCGCTCGCGGCGCCAAGCGGTTGGTTACAGTTTCCCCCCTGGGAGCCTACATCATGTTGTGGTGCCCGATGGCCAGGCCCGTGGTGAGGAGCCCAAACACGAGGAAGGGCTGAGCCGACGCCTGGTACCTGCAGGCCGCGCACGCGAGGCAGTTCGATCACGCTGCCGCCAGCGGTGCGGCGGGGAGGGCCGGCGGCGCGCGGGGGCACTCACTTGACGTCGTTGGCGATGGGGTCCGGGAGGAGGTACTTGACCTGCGCCACGATCTGCGGGACCACGAGGCCGAAGAGCACCGCGGCGTAGACGGGCTCCTCGAGGCCGAGCCAGAGGTAGGCGGCGACGGCGAGCTGCGTGACGTCGATGGTGCCCGCGCAGATGTACTTGGCGCCGTCGATGCCGAAGGCCACGGGCAGGGAGTTGAGGCCCATCTGCCGGTCGCCCTCGATGGACTTGAAGTCGTTGACGATGGCGATGCCGAGGCCCGCGATGGAGTAGAGGATCGTGAGGATCGCGACGTCGAGCGTGAGCGTCCCGAAGACCGTCTGGCCCGCCCACCACGGGAGCGCGATGTACGACGAGCCCAGCGCGTAGTTGCCCGCCCAGCCCGACTGCTTCAGCTTGAGCGGCGGCGCCGAGTAGATGTACGAGATGAACGACCCGAACACCGCGAGCACCAGCACCGTCGGGAACTCGTGGCCCTGCGCCACGTCGAGCGTGTAGGCGATGCCGCACCCAGCCAGCAGCAGGACCCAGATCTGGGCGATGACCTCGTTCTCGCTGATCTTGCCTGCGGGCGACGCCGGCAGCGCAGCACGCGCCGTGGGGACCGCGCGCACGCGCACGGGGGCGACGCGGCGCCTTCGGGCGTCGTCGGCGGCGCACGCAGGGGTGGGGCGCGCGGGCGGGGGGGCGGGGCGCACCGGAGGGGATGGGGCGGTAGGGCTCGTTGATGGCGTCGATCTCGCGGTCGTACCAGTCGTTGATGGTCTGCGTGTAGCCCGTGAGCATCGGTCCGCTCATCAGCATGGTGAGCGCGGCCAGTGCCACGTCGCGCGGGGTCCACTCGAAGCCGCCCGAGGCCGCGGCGCCGCAGAGGACGCCCCAGATGAGCGGGATCCACGTCACGGGCTTGGTGAGCTGGATGCGGATCTTCCAGATGTCGACGTCGCCCTCCTCGCCCGAGCCCCCCTTCATGCCCAGCATCTGAGCGTTGCCCTTCACGCCCAAAAACACCTCCTGCTTCCCGTCCTTCGCAGACCCGACGTTCGCGTTCTTCTTCTCAGACTTCTGCGACGCGCGAGCGATCACCGCAGCGCGCCCTGCGGGAGGCACGAGCGGCGACGCAGGCAAGTGAGGCGGGGGGGGGGCTCTAGAGGGGTCGGAGCAAGCGGGTTCGGTGACCGACACCGAGACATGCGGACACAGGTGCCCCGGACGGAACGAGCCGGCGGAGTTGGCACGCCGAAGGCGCGCCGCACGGCGATCGTGCGGGCACCACGCGGCACATCTGTTCAGCGGGGGCGCGCGCTCGCCACGCCGCTCGCTCGCGGGGGTGCGTTCGGCCGTGCGAGGCGAGGCATTGCTTCCTGGCGTGGTGGCGCTCGCTTGTTTCGCCGAATCGATGGCTCTAGGCACTCTCATCAACCCAGGTATCCTCCACTGCCGCGCCACGAGGCCGCGGCAATGCGGTGCCGACAAGAAAAACGGTGCGGCTTGTTTTGTGGGGGCCCGCAGCGGCGGACAACGGAATCGACGCGCGTTCATGCGGGGCGGAAGCGCAGTCGAGCCGATATCCTTTTCCACGGGGCCGCTCGAGGTTGTCTGCGCCTCGCAAGTCGCTCGTTGGGGGCTTTGTACTTACCGGGAAGGGTTGGCCGCGCCGACCCGGTCGCGATCGCGCGCGACGCGACGCGCGGCTGGCAGTTTGCCACTTGCATCTCGTCGTGCTGCTCTAGACGCCTCGCAACGCAATTGCAGGGTTTTCGTGCGCAAGTCTCGCCAGCCGTGAGCCACAACTGCACAGGAGGCGCCCCCGGGGCATCCCTCGACCCGCGCACTGCTCGCATGCGCACGCACGGCCCCCGAGGTGTAGTCGCAGGGGGGGCACCGAACATGACGACAGTCGCGCGCCGTGGAGCCAAGGGGCCGCCGCGCGGCGCGCGCCGCATGTGCGCACCCGTGGCATCCCGGCGCTCTGTCTATCAACTCGCCAGGCGCCCAGGCAGGCTCGTTTCCGCAGTGCGTTCCCCGCAGCCGCAAAAGCAGCTGCGTCTCGCGTCGCCGCGGGGTCTTGGCGTGCGGGGTTGCGGCCACGATGGGGGTCGAGTGGCGTCGGAAGTGGGCCGAGTACTTCACGGTGCAGCCCCCGCCGCACCCGACGTACGACCTCGAGCAAGTCATTCAGGCTGCGCTGGACGAGGATGCCGGCGGGCTGGGCGACATCACGACGCTCTCGACCGTGCCTGAGGGCACGGAGGCGGAGGCCACCTTCCTCGCGAAGGACGACGGGGTGCTCGCCGGTGAGAGGCCGCGTGCTGTGTGCGCGGGGCGGCCGCGCTTCCTGTCGTGCCCACGGCGCCGACGCCCGCGTCGCGCGTGGCGGCAACGTGCGCCGCGATTGCAATGCGCTCCCGCTCCGTGACCAGGAGCTCGAGACGCACCGCGTCCTACGTCCCGCCGGCTGGCTTCCTGAGCTGCACGGGGCCACCTCGAGTGCTGCTGCGACGCCCCCTTGATCGCCGCCCCCTGGCGACCGCGCGGCCACGCGCCCGCGCCCCGCCGCACGTCCTGCGCAGGCGTCGGCGTCGCGGAGGTGGTGATTCGCATGGTGGACGCGACGCTGGAGCTGCAGTGGTTTCACAAGGACGGGGCGCGCGTCAACAAGGGCGACATCATCGGGAAGCTGTCCGGGCGCGCACAGCCGATCCTGGTGGCCGAGCGCGTAGCGCTGAACTTTATGCAGCGCATGTCGGGCATCGCGACCGCGACCGCGCAGATGGTCGCCGCGGCCGGCCCCGGCGGCGCGCGCATCATGGAGACTCGGAAGACGGTGCCCGGTGCGTGCCCGAGCGCGCCGACGTGACGCGGCGCGGGCGCAGCGCGAGCGCGGGTGCGTCGCTGGTGCGTGCGCGACGCGCGGCCGCGGTGCGTTGTGGCTGCAGGGCTGCGGCTGCTGGACAAGTGGGCGGTGCTGGTGGGGGGGGGAGTGAACCACCGCATCGGGCTGTACGACATGGCGATGATCAAGGACAACCACATCGCGGCGGCCGGGGGCCTCGCGGCGGCGTGCTCGCGCTGCGACGCGTACTTGAAGGACAAGGCAAGTGACGCCCACAGCAGCCGCGACGACGCAACGCCGCTCGCGTGCCGCACGAGCGGGACCGCACGCGCATGATCCGGCTGGTTGCGTGACGGACCGTGCGCGGCGGGTCCGCGGCGCGCAGAGCATCGACGCGGAGATCGAGGTGGAGACGCGCACGCTGGAGGAGGTGCAGCAGGCGTGCGCGTACCTGGACAACCACAAGGGCGCCACGCGGGTCGCGAGGTGAGAGGGGGCGCGCGGGGAGGGGGCGTGCGGCTCCGGCGTCGGATGCGTGCACGTGCGCTGTGTGTGTGCGCTTGTGGTGTGTGGAACGGTTCGAGCGTGTGGTGCGTCGCAGGGTGATGCTCGACAACATGGTGAAGCGGGAGGGGGGCGGCGTGGACACGTTGATGCTGGAGAAGGCGGTCGAGATGATCGGCGGGCGGTGCGCGACGGAGGCGTCGGGGAACGTGACGCTGGAGACGGTGGGCGCGATAGCCGCGGTCAAGGGGCTGACGTACGTGTCGTGCGGGGCGCTGACGCACTCGGTCAAGGCCCTGGATATCTCCCTGAACATAGAAACGCAGTAGAGCGGCGGGCGGCCGTGCAGAGTGACGTGCCGTCTCCTCACGTGCACGCAACCGACGACCGGCGCTCCCCGGCGCGCACCGGCCCTCGCGACCCAATCCCTGCCGCCGAACAGATGCTGTCACAGTCAGCTAGCGTTTGGGCGCCGCGGCGGCTCGCGAGCGCCCCCGTGCGTCGGTGTCCGTAGGTCTTCCACACGAGATGAGGTGGGCGTGGGCGATCTGTTGCCCCCGTCTAGTGCGCCTCGAGCAGGAGCTCGTTCTCGAAGTAGTCCCCGTCCGAGTCGTGCGAAGGGCGGCGCCGGCTCGGAGCTGCGCGGGATCGGGGCCGCACGAGCGCGCATTTCGCCAACGAAGCAGGGGCAGGAGGTCCGCCTCCCTCGTGCACACGAGGGAGCTGCCGCGCCCCCCGAGCGGCGAAAACGCGTCTCGGAGCCCACGACGAGGCCGAACGAGCACATGCGACGGGGTTCGGTCCCCTCGACGGCGCCGGGGCGTCGCGGGAGGGCCGCACCTCGCGCTCCCTTGCGCACCCCGCCCGCGCTCGTGGAGGTCGCGCGCTTCTTGAGGAGGCCCTTCTTGGTCTTGCGCGTCTTCTCCGTCGACATGATGCGGTGCTTGGGGGACTGGGGGCGGCTGCGGGCGCGCTCGAGCGGGCTGATGAAGCGCACCCGGCTCGCGCGGCGCGGTGGCGCGGCAACCTTGGGCTGCGGGTCGGCCTGGGCCTTCTGCGCGGCCTCGGCGATCGACACGGTGCCGGCGGCCATCGCCATGATGGCAGCTTTGGCGGCCTTGGCCGCGGCGCGGCGGGGACGGCGGGTCGCCACCATCGCGGGTGTGGTTGAGAGGGTGGCTGGGCGGCGCGGCGCGACGGTGCTGAGGGGGCGTCGGAGGCGAAGGACGTCGGTGATGTGAGCTGCAGTGGTGCTGCCGAGCGGTGTCCCGGGGTCTAGGCGAGCAGGCGCGCGCGGGGGGGCGTCGAACGGCGTGCAGGGTGGTGTGGGCCCTCAAGCCCTGGCTCAGGGTGGCTGTGCCGGCTCCGAGGGGGGCGCTGATTGCCGAACGGCGGTCGGGATGGGGCGTGACTGCGACGGCTGTGCGTGTCGTGTGATTCGTCGGTGTTGAGTGCCGGCGTAGACGCAATGGCGACGGTGCCAATGCAGCTTGGTGCCAGCGCGGCTGTAGCCGGACCTGCGCGACTCCAGGGAGGACGTGTGGACCGTCCATGCCCGCTTGCTGTCAAGAGGACTGCTAGGAAGGAGCGTATCTGCGTAGTGCGGCGCGCTGCACCGCCGGAGGGCGCGGACAAGGGTGGAGACCAGCCAGCAGCGGCCGGCGGACAGGTCGGCCGCCGAACCACCGCGGAAGCGCCGCTGCCGCGTCGTCGTTGGGACTCGCGCTCCAGCGCGCGCGCGAATCGGCGCTGCGTTGCGTTCTCGAGGGCCCCCGCGCGTCCGTCTGAGGCCCGTGGCTCACAGCACCTCTCACCGCGCAGACGCCCCGGGGCCCGTCCTGCAGGCCGGCTTGAGCGAGGACGTGCTCGAGAGGCTCCGGAAGGCCGAGGAGGAGGCCTCCAAGCTCCGAGAGGAGCTCGCCGCGGCCCGCGACGCCAACGCAACGGACGCCCCCGCCGCCAAGTCGTCAGGCAGGGCGCCCCGCCGGCGCGCGCACCCCCGCGCCCCGCGCCGCACGCACCACCCCGGCCACCCCGCGCGCGTCCCGACCCGCGCTCCGCCCGCGTCCCCCGCAGAGGACAAGTACAAGACGTACCGCGGGATTGACGACGCGAGCCTGCGCCGCGAGACGCTGTTCTCGGGGTCCGTGAACGAGGAGAACTGGGTCAGCGAGGGCGAGAACTTCCTCACGGGCGGCAGCCCGGGCGAGGACGCCTCCGGGGGCCTCACCGCCGAGGAGCAGGCCACCGTCAACCGCAGGTGCGCGCACAAGCGCCGCGTGCTGCCCGGCGCCCCGCACCGCGACGACGGCGTGCGCCTGAGCCGCCTGCGCGCCGCCGCACCCCCCGCTGCAGGCTCGCCATCGGCGTCGTGGGCTCGCTCGTCCTGGGGGGCCTGGCGCTCATTCCGGACGACGCCATTCTCGGGGACCCGAAGAAGCCGCTGTACGTCTACCTGGTGCCGCTGGTGCGGATCGAGGCGCTCCTGAAGGACATGAAGGTGCGGGACGCCGCCCTGGGCCGTTGAGAGCACGCGGCGGGTGCCCGCTGGGGACCGAGCATTGCTGCGTGTCGTGACGCGACGTTCATGCGCGCGCCCCGCCGCCTGCCGTGCAGCCGCTCGTGGAGAACGCGGAGTGGTCGGACGTGTCCCTCGCGGTGAAGCGCGTGATCGGCGCGCCGAACAACGCGCGCGAGAACCTCAGCAGCGCCGCACGCTACCTGGACGGCCCCCAGAAGACCCGCGCGGTGGACCTGACGTCGTCCTTCATGGAGTACGTCCAGGCGATCGACTACAACAAGTACTACGACACCGTCACCACGCCCAAGGGCGGCGAGGAGGCGCAGAAGTTCGTCTCGTTCTCCCTGAAGAGCCTCAGCGCCTCGCAAACCAAGCTGGCCGAGTTCCTGGCCCTGTTCCCGAAGGACCAGGTGAAGCTCGCGCGCGACCAGCTGCCCCCGGAGTAGGGCGCTGGGGGGAGCGGGCTGTGATGCAGTGGCGAGCTGGAGATGTTGTGTGCGGTCTTCGACGCCACGAGGTGCGGCGCTGTGTTGTTCCGGCCACAGCCGGGGGGAGGCCAGCCCTGTTGTGTGCGAGTTCAGGTGCAGGAGCGGCGCGTCTTGCGCACCTGGTGCAACGGCCGTTGTTTGTCGCAGCGCAGGACGGGCGTCTCCACGACGGCTCTCAGGCCACGCCAGATGAATGCGAGCCGGTGTGGCGTCGGAGCTCGATTTATGCAAGACGTCCGTCGCTCGTGGAGCGTCATGTGCTGGACTTCGGCCCGAAGACCGGCCTGTGCTCAGGAGGTCCCTTTTGGGTGCGACGGTGGGCGTCTCGCAGGCCGGTAACGGGGAGATGATGCGCCAACGCGATACTCCATCTCAGTGACGCCGCTTTGGTTGCATAGAAGCGAAATACACACCGACTGGGACAGCGGGCTGCGGGTTTTCTGTTCCACACAGACAGTCCATCCAGCACAGTCGCGAGCGGCTTGGCGATCGAGCTTGACGTGCTTCGCGGTACGTGGCCGACCTACTTCGCGCTTGGTCAGCCGTCGCACACGCTGTGCGCGGTGACGTATTGCACGGACGTGGCCCAACTGCATTTGCCTGCTCTCATTCGAAGAACCACGCCCACGGCGCCTCCCGACGCAGATTTGGAGAACGAACGCGGGCCCACGGATGAGCCACAGCGATCGAGCCGGCAGTGCTGGCGGTCGCTGCATGGGCGGCTCGCGTCTCGCGGAGACACCGTGGGCAGATAGCCAGCTCTACCGCGTGCTGCAGCAGGGGCCCGTGCCTGACAAGCTGCCGCACGACGGCAGGGCGAGTCTCGCGGCGACGTGCTGGGGCGCGCTCGAGATGGTGCTGCGGGACACTCGGGCGGTGCTCAAGGTGCATCCAGATGACGCGGTGTTGGCTGGTCTGGCACAGCGAATGAAGGACGGACCGTGCACAGGCGAGGTGACGGTGTGCGGGGTGCGCGTGCGGGCGACGGACGCGAGGGCGCTTCTGCGTGCGGCGGTACAACTCGGCTGCCGCCTGCCTGTGGGTGTCGCCGACCCCTTCTTTGGGTTCAGAACGTCTTTGACGGATAACAACGTCGAGTACGACAACGGTGCGAAGAGCGTGGACGAGACGTTCGCATGGGTCGAGCTGGTGACGGCGCTGACGGCGCAGCCCAGCGGGGCACGCGTGACTGGGCTCATCATGCCCACGATGTGCGACCGGCCAACGGTGACGGCCGAGGCGGAGGCGGTGGCGGAGGTATTGTGCATTCCAGCGGTGCGGGACAGCGTGCAAAGACTGCAGGTGTTCGTTGAGCCGGATTTGTACTTGCCGGACGAGGCACACTGGGCGTTGTTCGAAGCAATCGAGGACCTGTCGGCGCTGCAGCACCTAAAGCTCATCGGTGTGCCCGGCGACTGGGCGCGTCTCATCGGCCTGATCAGCTCTCTGACGTCCGTCACGCTCGTTGACTCGAACGAGGGCTGCAACTCCTCCGATCCCGACATCTCGCCGAAACTGATGGTGGTGTTCCTGGACGCTCTCGAGCAGGCAACCAACCTGCGGAAGCTCGAGCTGCCTGACGCGTACGTCGCTGACGCTTGCGTAGCGCTCCCGCCACGGGCTCTGCCGGTGGGGCTGGAGGTGCTCTGCATGAGCTGCTTTCAGCCCTTGTATTGGTGGGAGGCAACGGAGCTCCGTTCGCTACGCCTGCTCGGTCCCAACTCGGACGTAGGTGCACCCGACGTGCCCGTCTGGGAGCGGCTCGCGCAGCTGATCAACTGCAGCAAGAAACTGCGGCGTCTGGTGCTCGGGAAATTCAGGTCGCATCTGGATCTTCAGCAAGTGCTCCCGGTCTGCTCGGCCCTGGAGCACAGTGCGGTTGAAGAGCTGGTATTCGACGAGCCAATTGACGTGTGCGATGACTCCGGGACGTCTAAAGAGTTTTGCCGGGCTCTCAACGCCGCTCTCGGGCGCGTGGTGCGCAACAACGCCTCGCTGCGTGAGCTCAGACTGTTGGGGACGTCCTGCTCGTCCGGCGACAGAGTGGCGGTGGTGACGGCACTGCGCGACAACACAACGCTGCGCGAGCTGGAGCTCGAATGGGGCGACGAAGCCGCGGACCTTGGCGCAGCTCTGGGCGCAACGCTCAGTCGCAACACGTCGCTGGAAGAGCTTGCCATCGCCTTCGCTTGGACGCCGGAAGGCTGGCACGAGGTCCTGCAAGGCCTGGGCGAGAACAGGACGCTACAGGCGCTGCGGTGTGGCTACGCCTCTCATGGTCAAGGGATCACCGACAGGGATGTGCTCGACCTGGTCGATGCGCTGTACGGCGGCGACCGTCACGAGGGCCGCCAGCTGCACACCTTCGAGATATGTGGGGCTGCGTGTCCTATCCCTCTTATTAGTGACTTGGGCGTCGAATCCGTCACAGCTGTGCTGGAGGATCCGTCGAGCAAGCTGCGGAGGGTGGCCCTCGAGCGCGTCCGCCTTGGCGTAAGAGGTGTGGCATGCATCGTACGGGCGCTGGAGCGCAACACATTTGTGTCGCTGGAGCTGCGTGGCAGCGTCGACTTGGACTCGGCGCTGGAGGGGGGCGCCTGGCGACGTATCTGATGAACAATACGCCGCTCAGGCGTCTGGACATCACGGGTACGGTGGTCCCTCGCACAACTCAACTGTGGCTGCCAACCGAGCTGTTGCATGCGCAGCGGTTCGCCATCTCACGGCAGCAAACGACGGCCCGAGACCGCTGGGTAGCAACAGCGATCCGTCGGCTGTATCGACATCGGCTTGCGCGTCCGCCGGCGGCGCCGGGTGCGCGACGTCGCATGACGTGCGACGCGAGCACCAGACTGCCCGCCGGAGCTCTCAGGCGCAGGACGTGGGGACGGCTGGGAGGTGCTGCGCGGGCGGCGGCGGGACACTGCGCTGAGAGCGCGGGGCACGGCGGCAGCCAGTGCGTGCTGTTGTGCTGCCTCTTGAGGCCTGTGATGCACACGACGGTGCTGGGCGACGGGGTGCCTCGGTCGCGTGCTGGTGGCGAGCCACCTCGCACCGATAGAGTCGGTCCAAGGCATGCTCGTGGGATGCTGCTCGCGATCCTACCAGCCCCAGCGCGCCCTTTGTTCGGAAAGGGCTGGCTTGAGCAGGTTTGAAAAGCCACAGGCAGATCACCGCCGCGCCGGGGGTCCGGGCAGGCGTCCTGCTGGCCGTGAGACGTCCAGCGCCTCCTCGAGTGCTGCGCGGGACACTTGCCTGGCGTTTTCTCCTTGAGCTGGGGGGGTGCCCTGACGTGTGTGGGGGTGTGTCGCGGCCGCCGTCTCACGGGCGGGCACGTTCCGCGCTGAAACTGTCGCCGTCGCGGGGCTCCGCCACAGTCCACCGTGCCGGTCTGTCGCAAGCGCACAATGCAGAGCGTGGTCCGAGGGTGCTGCGCGGGGCAGGGTGCCCGCGTGCGCAGCGCGGCCGCCATCTGCCCGCCTCGGCGACCTCAGTGGCGCGTGCGGACGCCGCCGACATGCCAGGCGGGGAAGGGGTTCTCTAGCAAGACGTCGCCGAAGAAGGACGACGCCCCCCGGAAGGAGCAGGCGAGCGGCGCGCGGGAGGACAAGCCTGCGGTGGACCCGGAGACGGAGCGCAACCTCCAGGCAGCCAAGGTGGGCCGCGAGGACCCCTTGTTACCTGACCCCGAGACGCTCCGGTGCCTGAGGGCACCGCAGGGACCGGAATGCGCGGCCTCGGAGGGCGTGGGCGGGCCGTGCGGACTCGCCGCCGTTGTGCGCACTGGGACGCCCTCTTCTCAGTGCCGCGCGGCGTGCGGTGCGTCATTGTTCGCAGGTCGTGATCGACGACATTCTCAAGGAGGTCTGCCAGACGATGTTTGTGTCGGAGGCCGTCGCGGACGTCACGGGCGACGCCCCGGAGACGACGCTGCAGGAGGCGGTGCGCGAGGCAGTGGACAAGCGCTTCCACGAGCTCGACGAGGCGTTCCTGGCGGCGCTGAACGCCTTCATCGCGGCCATGGACCCCGAGAAGGAGAAGGACGTCGTCGACATCCTCGTCGTGCTGCGGTCCGAGGTCCTGAACCGCGTCACAAAGTCGTTGCCCGCCGCCCTCCAGGTACCTCCGCCCGCACGCGACGCCCGCTCCGTCCGCCGTCGCGCGCGTCCGCGGCGCCCCGACCCCCTCCGTGGGCTGCGTTGCTGCAGATACTGGAGAAGCTGTTGACGGAGCCCTCCCAGGAGGCGCGGCGGAAGCTGTTGGTTGCCGCGGGACACAAGGAGCGGGGCGGGGGCGGGGGCGACGCCGACGTGCTGGCGTCGAACATGCCCTCGATCGCCGCGTCGGCCTCGCAGTTCATCGAGGACATGGAGGAGCGCGAGGTGACGCACCCGGGCGCCCAGAAACGTGCGGACGCACGCATGCTGCGGGGCTCGGCACGTCCCGCGTGCGGCGCCGGCTGACCTCGGTCCGCCCCCCTCGACCCGCCGCAGGAGATCCCCCAGCGGCAGCTCCTCGCGCAGCTGTGCATCGCGCGCGAGGACGTGATCGCGGTGGACATGCAGCTGAGCGCGGAGAGCGGGTCGCAGGCGCTGTCCGTGGTGCGGCGGCGGCAGGTCCCGCAGCGCGAGATGACGTTCATCACGCGCCTGCTCGCGTCCGACGAGCTGACGCGGAAGACCTCGCTGTACCGGGCGTTCTCGGAGGACTGGGAGGAGGCCGCGCCGCGCGAGACGGACGACGCGGTGAGACACCCCCCCTCGCACACGGGGGGCTGCACTGGTCACGCGCTGTGTCTGCGAGGTGCCGCGCGGGCAGTGCGTGCTCGCGGCGCGCGGCGTGCGCGTGTGTGTGCTGGCGCGAGCGCGCCGTGTGTTGTTGTCGGTGTGCTAGGGGCCCGCGGTGCTGAGACGCGGGCGGGCGCGGGTTGTGTCGCAGGACGCGCGGTTGCGGGAGCTGGAGGAGAAGCTGCGGCGGAAAAAGCGCGGGGAGGCGGAGAAGCTCCCGCCGGACGTGGTGCGTCCGGGGCGCTTCATGGCGACGCTGCGGTCCGTGCAGGAGGAGATCCGGACCAAGGTGGCCGAGGAGGGCGGCGAGGAGGTCGAGGCCGCGATGGGCCGCGTGGAGACGCTCTTGGAGGAGGCCATGTGGGCGCTGCAGGAGCTGGCGTGGCCCACGCAGGCGACCGTCGAGGACCTGGCCGGGGAGGCCGGGGCCTGACCGCGGGCGTGTGAGGCGGACGGACAGCGCTCACGCAGCGGCGCGCAACGCTTCACACGCCCCCCTGGGAGGCACGGCGGCGCCCCCGCCACGCGCGCCGCTGGGCAGACTGCGTCAGCGCCGCCGCGCCTTGCCCGCCGGCGCGGGCTTGTTCGTCTGGCGGTCCTTCCAGAGTCCCTTGGGCGTGAGCGTCTTGCGCATGTCGTGCGCGTCCTCCCCGTCCGCGTAGTACTTGGCCTCGACGCCGTGCCGGTGGTAGCCCAGGGTCTGCTCGTAGAGGTGCAGCGCGGCGGTGTTCGACACGCGCACGTGCAGCGAACAGTACTGCGCGCCGAAGCTCTCCTCCATCGCGCTGTGCGCGGCGCTGCGAGCGGCGGGGGGCGAACGCAGCGTGGCGTCGCTGGGCGGGTGCGGGTGCAGGTGCGGGTGCGGGGCCGCGGGCGGCGGGCGCGGGGCGGGCCGCACCTCATGAGGCTGGACGCGAGGCCGAGTTTGCGGTGGGAGCGCGCGACGGCGAGGGAGGTGATGTGGCCGTGCGGCACCTCGGCGTCCTCCTCCATCTTCGCGAGGACGTAGCCGACGATGGAGCCGTCGAAGTCCTGCGCGACGAACAGCAGCTGGGGCCAGGAGAGGAGGTGGTAGTAGTAGTACTTGAGCTGGTAGTTCTCGGGGAGGCACAGCAGGTTGCAGTGCTGCATCCCCACCAGGTCGTCCATCGTCGCCCGCCTGATGCAAACCATCGTGAACCCAGCCGCCCAGGACGCTCACACGCGATGGTCCTCGATCCCGGGCCGCGCAGCCAGCCGTTCCCGCGACGTGGCCCTCGGGGCGCGCGGCGTCTGCTTGTGGCACGTGCGGAAGCGCCGCCTGCGCGCCCAGGGTGCGGAGATCCGCGCGGTCAGGGACGCGGGCGCTGGAGCGAATCAGCTGCTGCGACGACGCGGTGCACGACCGTCGCTACGCGCGCGCCCCGCCTGCTTTCGCCTGCTCGCAGTGCGGCGCTCAAGGACCTGGGCGCGCGAGAGGTTGACAAGCGCGCGAGCTGGGTGGCCCCACCTTTCGCGACCAACTGGTGCGGCCTCGGGCTGCGGATGCCGCCGGATGAGAGCAGCGCTCTACACGCGGTGTCGCTGCTCGGCGGCAGAAGGCTGTGCTACGGGGGTTTGATTCTCGCGGCGGGTGCACGTGGGACGCAGTTATTGCATGGTCTATGCCGCGCGGGGCTCCCTGCCGGCGCCCTCATGCTCGCAGGCCAGCCTCGCGCGGCGTGCGCGACGGTCCGGGGCACTCGGAGGACACTGGAGGAGCCCCCTCGCCCGGCGTCAACGGGCCAGCTGCTCCGCCGCGCGAGCACGGGCGCGCCTGGACACCAGGTCTCTCGCGAACGAGCCGCTCTCGCGTGTCATCGCGGTAAACACCGCTGCAAACGGGGAGCCGGAGACTAGTGGGAAGCTCCTTCCTGGAAACAGAGGGGCCGAAGCGAGCGGACGGAGGGCGCCAAGCATCTGAGCGCGCGGCGCCCCGCGAGACGTGTTCGGCGGGCGCTGCGTCCTAGCCCGGCGGGTCCCCACTCTGGACGGGTGCCCCCTGCAGCAACGTTCCGCGGGAAGCAGGGCGGCACGATGGCCGAGGCCTACCAGAAGGTCCGCAACCTGATAGCTGCGGAGATAGACAAGCTGGAGAGGAAAATCTACGACGCGGAGACGCAGTACCTGTCCGCGGACCACAGCCAATGTGGAACCATCTTCAAGGTGCGCGCCCCGGGGGGCCCGCGCGCAGCCCCACGCGCTCCCCCGCGCCCGCGCACACACCACCGCCCGACTTACGTTGCCCGGCGCGCGCCACCCAGCCGCGCTCGGCCCGGACACGCGCCGGCCAGCCCCACGCCGCTTGCCGCGCCCACACAGCAGCACGCGCTCGCCCTGGACCGGCAAGGCATCGCCGCAGGGCAGACAGCTGACGCAGCGGTCTCCCCGCGCACTCCGGCACGCGCCCTGTGGCGCCGACGCACACGCACACTCTCTTGCGCTGTCCTGCTCACACCACAACCCTGACCCTGCCCGCGCAGGGGTTCGAGGGCTTCACGTCGTCGAAGGACGCCATCCGGAAGCGGCAGCGCGCGCTGCGCATCGAGGACCGCGCGTTCTCGTTGTCGAGCATCTCGTCCCCCGCGAACAACGAGCTCAAGTCGGCGCAGAGCGAGGGCCTCGCCGCGGCCGAGGTGCCCGGGATGGGCGGCGGGAAGAAGGGGCGCCGGTAGGCCGCGCGTGCGGACCGGCGGGCGCGGGGGGCCGCCGGGGGGGGCCGCAGCAGGACGCTCGAGGCGCGCGGCGGGGAGGTCGACCTCGCGGGGACGCGCGTGGGTGACGCTGCCAGGGCGCCTCTGCGCGGGCCACGCGGGCCTCGTGCGCGCGGGACGTTCCCGGCACCGCGCGTCGTGACAGCGTTCCGCAACGTGCGTGCTCACATCTCCGCCAGCTCCGGGCCGCGGCGGGGCGCGAGCGATTCGCGCGGCTCGTGCGCGGGGTTCAGAGCGGCTCTCACACACGCTGGCGTCTCAGGGTCCGGGCGCGTGGGGGGGTGTGAGGGCGTGTTCAATGTCATGCAATGTCCGGACGCGCCGCCCGGAGCTGCCTTCGTGACTGCTCGCGACGACAGGCCGGGAGAGGGCCGCGGCCGTGGGGGGCAGGGGGCGGCGCGCGGTCGGGCCCGCCGCTGCCGCGGCCTGTCGTCGCCGGAAGCCCCTCGTGTCCTACGTGCGCTTCCCGGCCGCCTTTTCGCAGAACGGGCACTTCCACGTCTTGGCCTGCTCCGCCCGCGACGGCGTCATGTTCACCGCCTTCCCGTAGAACCACCGGTCGCACTTGTCGCACGCGATCCAGAACTCCCCCGGCCTGCAACGCACACATGCGCGCGAGGCAGTGCCTCCGGAACGTGGGTCGCGCTGCCGGGCGGGGGGCGGGGTGCGCGCGGCGACGCGGGGGCGGCGCGCGCACCTGTAGCTTCGTCGCGAGATCGGGCACGGGTCGCCCTCCGCCTCGCCCCCGCCGCCGTCCTCGCCAAAGTCGTCCACGCCCGCCTGCCCGCGCCCGCGCTTGGTGCCCGCGAGGCCGTCGTGCTTGCCGACCTTGCCCGTGACGCACTCGTAGACGGTGGGGACGCCGTTGATGAGCCCGAGGAGCTGGGCCCTGCGGGGGGAATGTGCAAGGGGGCCGAGCAGAGTCGTCGCCGGGGGCGCGCGTGGGGGCCGCGAGGTGCGCCCGGCGCGGACCCCGCGGGCGTGGGGGGACGAGGACCGCGGCGCGCGGGGCGCCGCGTGCGCGGCGTGCCCGTGGGACCGCGGGGAGGCTCGGCCGTTCCGAGGTTCGTTTGCGCCTAGAGCTCCGCGTTGGGTGGGAACCAGGCGGGTGCGTGCGCGCGGTCCGCGCCGATCGATCGGGTTAGGGCCTGGGGGGCGGCGCTCACCTCCCTTGCCGTTCGAATCGCGCGGCATTAAAGGTCGCTACGGCCATCAGCCAACAGTCGCTGTGCACGGCGATCAGGGACAGCCAGTCCTTCCTCTGCGGGCCAGGAACGGGGAATCTCGCGATGTCGGGGCGGGTGGCGCGGCGCGCGCCTGCGCAGGCGCCCTCGGCGCGCGCAGCGGGCGGGGCGCCCTGGAGGGGCTGCGGGCTAAGGGAGCCCGCGACTGGGGTCCCCCGCGGCCGAGGCGCCGCGCCGACCGACACGGCGCCTTGTCCGGAATCTGGGCGGGCGCATGGGCGCGCTCGCGCGGGCGGGGCGGGGCCGGGACGCACGTTCATGCCGTCTCGAGCGAAGTTGATGCCCAAAGTTGGTTCGGGCAGCTCCGCCGGGATCTCCTCCGCCGGGAGAGCGACCTCCCACGTTCCGTCCGAGTGCCCGTACAGGCACAGATTTTCCCGGTCGGGACTGCACTGGTCGAAAAAGTCGTCGACACTGCGCGGGACGCAAGGTGCGAGGGGGGGGCGGGCGGGCCGTGAGGCGCGGTGCGGGGCGGCGGGCGCGCGGGAACGCGCTGAGCGGGGCGAGGGGACCGCGGGCGGGCGGGCGGCGGGCGCAAAAGAGCGCTATCGGCGCCCCCGCGCCTCGGCGCAGCATCTCGCGACGTGTCCGGGCCCTGGGGGCGCACGGGCGGCCGCGCAGGTTGCCCGCGGGGCACGGGCGAACAGGGGCCGCGAGCGGCCGGGGGGCGCGGCGGTTCGGGAATGGCACGCGCGGCGCGGCGGTGTAGGAAGGTGGGCGAGCCGTACGCGAGGGGGCGCGAACTCACTCTTGCGTGAGGGCGAGCACGACGCCCTTGCGCCTTTGCATGTAGTCCTCGAAAACTTCTTCCGGATTCTTTAGGCTAGCCATCTCGCTCGCGCCGCTACGGGGTATCACTATGGGTGCAGGTGTGGGGCGCCGGGACGCGGCGTGCGCGGGGCACGCGGCTCTAACACCCGGGCGGCGGGTACGCGTGCGAACGCCCGCGCCCGGGGCCGATCGACGGCGCACGAGGGCCTCGGAGCGCGCCGGCCCGAGGGTGGCACGGTCGAGGTTGCTCAGGGGGCTCGCTGACGCGCGAGCGGTCCGGCCGACGTCGTCGTGGCGGCGCAGCGGGATGAGACGATCGATTCTCACCGGCGGGTGCCCTGCTCTGCGCGCCGACGGCCCGCGCGCCCCCCCTTGGGGCCCCTGGTGGATGCAGCGACGGTTTTTGACTCCCCACGGGTGTCCGGCCGCCGCGAGCGCGGGACCGAGGGCGCCGGCGCGGAGGGGGGCATGTCAGAGTTACTCGGACGCGCGGAGACAGTCCGTTCCGGCTGCGCGCCACACGTCGGGGGCGTGCGCGCATCTCCCCCTGCGAGCTGGGCTCCAGAGCAGGCGTGCCCGGCGCGGGCGGGGAGCGGCGCGGCGGACGGCCCGACGCGAAGGATCCCCGGCCGACAGCCGATCGCTCCTGGGCGAGGCGGCCGTCCGGGCGGTGTGCGGCGGGCGCGGGGCGATGGACTCCCTCCAGCGCAGCGACGGTGAGTGGTGCCGCTGGGCGCCGCGCCGGCGGACCCGGCGCATCGGCGGCGCGATGCAGCAGCCTGCGCGCCATCGCTCGCGGCGGGCCCAGCGGCTCGTCGGCGGAGCACCTGGGCCGCCCGGCGCCCGCTAGCAACGTCCTGCTGCTTCTCCTCGCCGTGGCGCCCGCGGTGTGCGCCGCCGCGGGCCCTGCCTGTAGCTGAACGGCCGACTCGAGTCCGCTGCGGAGGTTTCCGTGGGGGGCGCCGCGTGGTTCTGCGCTGCGAGGCGGGCGTTCGCCCTGAACGCAACGGTGCGTGCGTCGTGCCTCGCAGGGGCCGCAGGCAGGCGCCAGCGGCTGGGCGTCGCCGCCCTGATCGGAGTCGCCGTCATCTTCTTCACCCCCGGCCTGCGTGACGTGGTGTTCGCCCTCTCGGCGTGCGTCTTTGCGGTCCAGGTGCGGCCAGAGCAGTGCCTCGCGCGCCCGCCAGCGACGCACGCGAGGGCACAGCCAGCGGCGCACCACCGCACCGCACGTGCAGCCCCCACGCCTCAACCTCCGCGCCGCCCCGCCCGCTGCAGGTCCCGTGGCTGCTCCGTCTCGCCGCTGCGTCCCTCGGCAACATCTGGCGGGCGCTCACGGACGGCGCGGACCGCGCCTCCGTCGCCGAGCGACCCCCCTCCCTGGCGCACGGCATGGCGGGCGGCGCCTCGCCCCGGAGCGACGCCACCCCGAGCGACGCCAGCAAGACGCGCATGTCCACGCCCCACGACTCGCGCGTCAGCGACCACGCGCCGCAGCCGAGCTGGTCCGCCAAGGTACGGTCGCCCGGACCAAGCGCCTGTCGCTCGGTGCCCCCGTCCCGCTCACCGCGCGGCGCACCGCTGCCACACCACGGGCGTGCGCTTTGCTCCCCTGCAGGCGCCCGACACGGACGACGACACGGAGGACGAGGAGGTCATCAGCCGGCGGTACGTCCGCGCGGGTCCGCGCGCGCAGGAGGAGTTCCGGCGGGAGCACAGTCCGTTCGCGGAGGAGGAGGAGGATGTTGGGTGGCCGGGGGGGGGGTTCGGCGCGGAGGACGGGCGGGGGGAGTACTGGGAGGACTTCGACGAGGACGACTGGCTCGGGGAGGGCGCGGAAGCACCGAGGTGAGCGCGCGGAGACCCGCGCCGTGCGTGGCACGCACGTGCATGGCGCCGCGCGGGCGCTGCGGTGCGAACCAAAGGTGGCCGCGCCCTTGCCCGCGGCATCCCTGCAGCGTGAGTGCGGAGCTGGAGGAGAGCCTCGGTCGAGCGGCGGCGACGCGGGAGCGCATAGCGCGGCGGCGGCGGGAGTTGGAGGCCAAGCACCGGGGGGAGTATGAGGAGCGGGGGCGCGCGGTGGAGGCGCGGGAGCGGTCGGAGACGGAGCGGAGGGTGCGCGAGGAGCAGGTGCGCGGGCGCGGTGCTGGGGCGCGGGGTGTGCACCACGTGTGTGTGCTGGCGTGTGTGCGTGAGCTGTTGTTGGGCGTGGCGGGCGGTGCAGGAGCGGCGGCGGGCGGAGGAGGAGGAGCGCGTGCGGCGCGCGGCGGAGCAGGAGCGGGCGCGTGTCGAGGCGGAGAGGAAGCGCGCGGAGGACGAGAAGCGCCGGGCGGAGGAGGTGCGCGCGCGAGGACCACGTGTGTGCCCGTGCGTGTGGGCGGCGCGGCCGCGGGGGACGGCGGGCGCTGACCCGCGGCGTCCATCCGGCGCGTGCGTGCAGGCGGAGGCGGCGCGGCGGAGGGCGGCGGAGATGAGCGAGCAGGAGGCGCGGGAGCAGTCCAAGCGCGCGGAGGCGGAGCGGAAGGCGCTCCTCGCCAAGTACACGGTGCGCACGACGCGCGGCGGGCGGCTCGCGGCGAGCAGCCGGCTGGCGCGGCGGCTGAGCTGAGGTTGCCCGCGTGCGGCGTGTGTGGGTGCAGGGCGGGGACCAGGGCGTGAAGGCGTCGGAGTCGGCGCTGGAGAGCGGGTACAAGTGCATCGAGGCGTTCGAGGACGCGGTGCGGCGCGTGGCGGCGTTCCGGGAGGACAAGTCCCGCGCGAAGCAGCGGCGCGAGGTGGACAAGGCCATCAACAAGGCGCTGATGCAGCTGACGGCGACGATGGAGAAGGTCGAGAGCCAGGCGGAGCAGGTGATGCGGCTCGCGGGGGACCTCCGGGACACCCCCGAGGAGCCGCTGCAGTCGTACTTCGTCGTGCAGCTGTGCCACCGCGTGGCGCGCGACATCACCAACCAGGCCACCGCCACGCCGACCTTCGTCTACCCGCTCGCCGAGCTCGTCGCGCGGATCTTCGCGCACCTCCCGGCCTTCATGCCGGTCATGCTCGGGGCCCTCTTCAAGTGCGTCCCGCCCCCCCCCGCCGCGCGCATGTCGTGGCTGCTGCCGCGCGCCGGTGCTTCCCCCCGCCCGCGCGAACCTCGCCGGCGCTCCCGCGTGTGCAGGGAGGCGCCGCTGGCGGTGCCGCGCTACCACGTCCCGGTGGTGGAGGCCGGTGCGTCGGAGGCGGAGGTGAAGCGGGCACAGATGGAGGCACTGCGCAAGAACGGGTACAGGGAGGGCGACGACGGGCAGCTGGAGGGGCGCGACGACTACCTCGCGCGCCTGGAAGCCTTCATCCGGTTCTACGGAGCCCTCGTCCAGGTGCGCTGCGCGAGCGACGGGGCCGCGGCCTCATGCATGCGTGCGCGACGCGCTTGGCGATGCGGGCCGCGAGGATGACGGGCGTGGCCGCGTCGTCGTCGTCCGCGCAGGCGGATACGCAGCGGTGGGTGTACCAGCACGAGGACACGGAGGGGTACGGGCGGCCGTACGTGGAGCAGTGCGCGCTGTCGCACCCGCCGCACCGGCACGGCACCGACGAGGGCTGGCGGTACCTGGCGCGGCACCTCAACGCGCTCCCGATCAACGGCACCACCGGCCGCGCGCTCGTCGCGTTCCTCAGCACCGCGGGCCACGCCATGCACAAGCGGTTCGGGCGACAGATGGAGAAGCTGCTCGCCTGCATCAAGGTGCGGCCGCAGAGACGCGCACTGCCGTGCCCGCACCGCGAGTCCGCTGGCCGCCCGCTCGTCGTCTGACCTGCGCGTTCCGGGCACGTGGTGTGTGCTGTGCAGCGGGAGGTGCTGCCCAAGTTGACGGGCAAGGACGACGGGGCGGTGCGGACGAACCTTACCACGTACTTCGAGGAAAGGGAGCACCTGCGACCGCCGAAGGGCGCGCAGATGCCGTGGACCGTCGAGGAGCCGGCCGAGGGGTACTAGCCCTGCTGGTGCCACCGCCGCGCATCATCATCCACCCCCACACCTGCTCGCGACTGCGATCTACCACGCGGACCGCCGCGCCCTGACCCGCCTGCGCTTGGGAGCGACAAGGCTGCGAACCTCCACGGTGGCCATGGCGGGCCAGGAACAGCAGTGGCAACACACACACCTCTGTCGCACCCATCGAAAGCCTGCCGCTTCTGCGCGGACGTGGCGGACTCATCCGCCCCGGAGGACCTCGGGGCGGCACGCCCTCCCCGGCGGCACGCCCTCTCCGGGAATGAGCAGGTCTGGACCGTGGGCTCGTCTGGGCAGCTTCTGCTATCGACTTCGCCCGTTGCTGACGCGCCCCCGCCGACCACTGCAAGTGTCGTGCAGCCCCGCCGCTTTGCTCTCAGCCGCCGGCCGCGCCAGCGCCTTGAGGCCCTGCATGGGGCGTCGACTGGAAGCCGCTGCCAACGCTGCCGTGCAGTATCTTCCCAACCTGCCGAATCAGCGAGGCATGGCGCTTTGATCGCGGCATTGAGGGACTGCTGCCAGCTGACTCTGTCACAGCTGCTGAACCTGTTGCTACCATAACGGTGGGAGGCTAGTAGTCACTCGCCACTAGTCATGCGATCTTTTCCGTTCCTGAAGCCTTATTGCCGACGACGCGATATATGTGACACCTCATGTCACCCCAGGAATTGTGTCGACGGCGGTGTTCGGAGCGACTGCGGACATGCGCTACGACACGGGGGAATTGTCCGTTGCGGGCCGCGTGGAGGCACGCAGCACGGCATGTGTCGCACAGCAGCGCTCCGCATGATCCACCACAGGCAGATGCTGCCCGCTCCGTGCACGCGCCGGTTTTCGAAGGGCCCGCAGTCGCGCACGGCCTGCGGCAAGCCTGTCGTGCTATGTGGCTCACAAGCGACCTCCAGCCGGGCGCATTCCGTGTTGCTACACGACCTGCGTCGCTGCGTCTCCCGGGCGTCGCTGCCCGCGCACGCTCTTGTGTCAAAACAAGGAATCCGATCTGTGGGACAGCAAGCTGCACTTCTCAAAGGCGGAAGCAAGCTGTCGACGATTTCGAACGCCTCAAGGCGGGCCTGAGCCCGCGCAACGTCCGTCTAGTGGTTGTCCTCCAGTACGCGACGGCACTGCTGCAGCTCGCCGCCACCAGGTCTCGCCAACCCAACTTCGCAGACGCGAGTTCGCAGGAGGCGGCAGCTAGGGGCGGAGGAGGGAAGGGGGAAGGGGAAGGGAGGGGGGGCGGTCCACTGTCGTGGGGCGGCTCGTCGTCTTGCCGTGATGGAGGAACAGCTGTTGCTCCGAGCGATGTCGAGCGGCTGAGCGGTGAGGAAAAATGCATTCTTTCCGGAGCAGAGGGGGGCCTGCGCAGCTGCGCCCGACCCCTCTGGCGTGGGCGGCCCCTGCCGGAGCGACGCCGGGTGCGGTTCCCCGCACACCATTCCAGCAACACATGCAATGTAGGGGGAGTCTCAACTACGGTGCGGAGGGCTGTGCTGCTCGGCACAGCCAGCGCACGTCACTGCGCGGCCCGTTCCGACCAGGGGAGGGGTCGCGTTTCAATGGGTGGCCTTGACGAAGGGCTGCCCGTTGCTACGTGCCATCTTGCAGGCGTCCTCCTCGATGTACTTCCCGGCGAGGCCGGCGAGCATCATGAGCGGGTCGGCGCTCGCGCAGGTCCGCAGCGGCTCGTCGTCGTCGCTGGGCCGGGCCTTGCGCTTCCCGCCGGCGGTGGCCACGGCGAGGGGCCGGTCGAGCGAGCGCGTGCTCTCGAGGGCGTCCTCGGCCGGCGCGGCCACGACGGACGCCGACATGAGCTGCTGCGCCGCGGACGCGCTGTGGATGCGCGACAGGAGCGCGCCGGGGCTCTCCGCGGCGAGGTCGAGGTGCGCGCTGATGCTGGCGGGCAGCACGCGCTGGTTCGAGGGCTCGCGCCCGAGGAGCACGCACGCGCTGTCGTAGGCCAGCGCGGCGTCCGTCTCGCACTCGTAGTACCCCAGGTTCAGCTGCTTGGCCTGCAGGCACATCTGCGCCTGCCACTTGGCGTTGATCTTGTGCCAGCCGACGCCGACGAAGCGGCTCGTGCGGCGCTTGGGGGCCTCCGGGGCGCAGTGCGACCGCAGCCCGCGCAGCTTCGCCGCCGCGGTGCTCGACCGGATGTACGACCCGCCCGCGGGCGCCGCCAGCACCGCGGCGCGCGCCGCCCCCAGGTCGTTGGCCACCTGCCACCCGAGGATCTCGCACGCCTCGTTGTACGCCAGCGCGGCCGTCTCCGCGCAGTCGTACCGCCCCAGCTTGATCATCCGCCCGCGCACGCTGATGTGCGCCTGCCACTTGCGCTGCTGCTTGTCCCAGCTCACGCCCTTCCACCGCGCGCCCTCGCCGGGGCCGACCGCCGCCGGGGCCGACGCCGCCGACCGCAGCGCCTCGCCGCCGGCGTCCGGCGCCGCCAGCGCGCCCGCCGCGACGCCCGCGTGTGGCTGGTGGAGCAGCGCAAGAGCGACTGCAGCGTGGGCGCCCCGGCGCGGCCGGGGCGACGGGCGCCGCCGCCAGCGACGCGAGGGCGTGCTGCAGGGCGAGGGGTGCGCGGTCTGCGGCCACGACGCCTGCGGCGGCGCGCGGCCGCGGGCGCGGAGGGGGCCAGCGCCGGCGGCGGGCTGCGGTTGCGGCCGCGCGTGGTGCGCGCCGTCGGTGGTCATCGACGACGACGGGGAGCGCGCCGCGGAGACGGCGTCGGTGTCGAACGACGCCATGCGCGGGATGCCCGCGCCGTCCCCGGAGCCGGCTGCAACGGGCCGGGTCTCAGCGGGCCACGCGGCGTGCTCCGCCTGCGCGGGGGGGGCGGAATCGGGGTGGGTTCAGGCGGGACGCGGGGCCTCAGATCGTGGGGGGGCGAGCGGGCGGCGGAGCGGGCCGAGGTGCGCGCGCATGGGGCGCAGGCGGCGGCGGGTCAGCTCAAGGGAGCACGTTGCCGGGCGTGTGGCCTGGGTCCCACGGAGGGGCGCGCCGAGGGCGTAGATAGGCGCCCCGGGCCTATCGCTCCGGCCTCCTGCCGTCGGAAGATCGCCGGCGGGCCGGGCGGGCGGGCGCGGGAGGGCCGCGCGGGGCCGGGAGGGCGCGGACCTTGTCGGAGGCTCCCGTCACGTTGCGCGCAGCCGGTAGGCCCGGGACCGCCTGGCGGGCGCCGGCGAGCATCAAGATCGCCTGCTCCATGTTCGATACCCCGCGTGACGCGGTCTGGGCCCTTCTCGACGTGTCTGCGGGGCGGGGGAGCGTGGCGTGTAAGCGCGCCAACGATGGCGCATCGATGGCCGTCACGAGGCGCGGTGAGCCCGGCTTCGGGGGAGTGTGCGTCGCCTCTGCACTGCTAGAATGCAGAGGATGCGAGTGCCGCGGACACCTTGCCGCGACGGGCCGCGAGCGCTCCGTGCGGCGCGGGCCTCTTCGACCTGTCGAGCGGTCACTGCCTGGCGCGGGGCTGCGGGGGCGGGAGCGTGGCGCAATGACCGCGAGAGCGCGAGGGGAAACACATGCGTACCTCCGATGCCGCACTCGGTTCCCTCGCCGCCGACGAGCGATCGCCGGAGGCGCAGTGGGCTGGGGGGGCCGAGAGCCCGGCAGTGCGGCTCGCTGGGGAGGGGTTACGACGCGCAACGCTCACCGCTGGGTCGCGAGGATACACTGCCGGCTCCCCGCGGCGCCTCGGGGCCTTGATCCCGCGCGGCGAGCCGCATCCACCGCCAAGCGGGCCCTGGGGAGGTAGCCTGGGGAGGCCCCACCCCGCACGTGCGGCGAGCGGGCGGCGCGGTGCACGGGGCGCGGCGCCCGCGACGGCTCGCCGCGGCACGCTGGTCCGCCGGTCCGCGCGGCCGCCCCGCTGCGTGTTCCGGCGCGCCCCGGCGGCGGTGCGTGCCTCCTGGGGTCACGCGGACCGCGACCGCGCCGTGCGGCCCGCACCGCGCCGATCGGGGCGCGCGTCCGGCGTGCATCCGCGGCGGGGCGGGCCGGGGCGCGCGGCGCGGGCGGCGTGGGTGTGCCGCGGCGGAGCCTCGCACGCTGGGCCGCGGCGCGCGATGACATCTCGCGTGCGGGCGCATGACGCACCCCGGGCGCGGGGCGGAGGCGGGCGTGATGTGACGCGAGAGGGCGGATCGGGGAGGATCGGAGCGGAAAGATCGCCCCCGCGGCGCTGGAACGCGCCCGTGGCGGCCGTGTGCGTGCGGGGGCCGGGTGGAAGTGGGGCGGAGGCGGAGGGGCAGCGGGCGGGGCCGGACGGCCTCCCGCGGGGCCGCGACGGGGGCGATGGGCGCTGCTTTCCGGCGGGGGCGGCGACGAACGGCGCCGATCTTGCAGGGCGACGTGCGGGGGTCCGGGGGCGAGTTGCGGTGCCACGGGGAGGGTGCATCCGGGGGTGGTCGGGAGGGGAGGTGCCGCGCGGGCGGCGGGGGGCGCGCCAGGGGGGCGCGCCGCGCGGGCTGCGTGCACTGTGATCGTGGGAATCTTCCTAGGCGGCTGGACGCGTCGTGGCACGCACCACGGAGCACGCGTCGCACCCACCCCGACCAGCAACAAACGTCCGAAGGCAGCGCGCCGCGAGGTGCCCACGCGCGAGCGAGCGGCGGGACCTCGAGTCTAAAAACCCAGGCGTCGCGAGCGAGCGAGGCCGACCATGCCCGTCGTCGCAGCGGGCGGCGCGCGGACCTCGCTGCTGCCCAAGCACGGGGCGCGACGCACCGCGCGGGCTGCGGCGCCCGCGCGGCGCGCGCGGACCGTCGTGCGCGCCGAGCCCGATGAGAAGCAGCGGAAGGCCAAGCCGGAGGGCGAGCAGACGCCCGCGGACGACCTCGCGGCCCTCGGCGAGGAGGGGTGAGCCCACCCGCCACAGCAGCCTGCCCCGCCCGCGCCGTGCACGCCGCCTCACGCCTGCCCGAGCGCGCCGCGGCCTGGCAATGGGCTCCAGCTACCCCGCGCCGCGCCGGTCGGCCGCACGCCCGCTCCCGGGTGCTGCGCGCGGCGGCCCCAACCGTGTCCACAGAGGTGGGCGCGGGGACCGCGCCGGCAGCGGGCGGACGGAGCGTCGTGCGCGCCCGCGATGTCGCTCCCGCGTCTCTCCGACATCACTGAACGCCGCGTCTGCCCGCGGCGCGCCCGCCCCGCCCCGCACCCGGCCTCCCTCTCCAGAGTCCGGGAGCTAGGACTGGCGCCCCGCCGGGCTGGCCAGACCATTTCCCCGGCCGCGCCGCCCACAGAAGCACGCACTTTGCGATCGCGACGCTGACGCGCCCGGGCGCCGCGACGCGCGTTCCCGCGCCCCGCCTGGCGCGTCACCTCTGCCGCCCCCCACCCGCGCGTGCCGACGCCCGCGCGCGCCCTCCCGGCCTTCCGTCGCAGCGCCGACTTCAACCTGGAGGACATCAACCCCATCCAGCTCGGGCGGCGGTCCCGCAAGGCGTTCGACGACATCTGGACGCGCTTCTCCTCCCTCGGCACCCCCTCCCGCGGAGCGTCGCGAAGTGAGCCCCGCGGACCCCCCGCGCCGCGCTCCGCGCTCCGCCCGCCCGCCCGCCCGCCCGCGCGCGCCGCGCACTGAGAGTGTGGGTTCCGTTGCGGCGCAGTGTACGACGAGCAGCTGGACATGATGATGGTGGCGAGCGAGGCGCAGCTGGACCCGGTGCGCACGGCGAGCACGCGCGTGCTGGTGCTGGGCGGCGCGGGGCGCATCGGCAAGGTGTTGATCCGCAAGCTGCTGCTGCGCGGGTACCAGGTGCGCGCCATGGTGCGCGTGGAGGACCGCGACGAGGCGGACCTGCTCCCGCGGAAGGTCGACCTCACGTACGGCGACGTGGCGAACTACGAGGACTGCCGGCGCGCGGTCCGCGGCGTGGACAAGGTGGTGTACTGCAAGGACCGCGAGGGCATCCTGGGCATCCAGGCCGACATGTTCATCGTCTACGAGGACGGCGTGCGGAACGTCGCCAAGGCCATCCTCGACCAGGCGGCCACGCAGCGGCGGCGCGGGCGCGACGACGGCCGCGGCGGGAAGCCCGTGGTGGCCCTGTTTGGCAGCGCCGACTACCAGGAGGGCGGCAAGTACGCGTGGGAGCTCGAGTACGTGGGGCTGGGCGCCGCGGCGAGCCCGCTGCAGCGGAAGATGTACCGCGGGGCGGACACGGCCGCGCTGGCGCCCGTGAAGGAGAAGGCCACGCCGGAGGGCAAGGTGGTGCGCCGCGCGGGCGCGGGCCTGCTGTTCGGCGGGACGATCTACTCGCGCGGCGGCGTGGCGCGCTGCGGCGGCCCGCTCAAGGCCGGGCTCGACCTCGGCGGCACGGAGGGCCTCGTGCTCCGCTGCGGCGGCGACGGCCAGCCCTACACCTTCTGGGTGACCACCCGCGACGGGCACCAGTACCGGCAGCGGTTCTTCGCGAGCGCCGGGTTCCACTCCGTGCGCCTCGCGTGGAACTTCTTCCGCCCGGCCTCGGAGGGCGCCCCGCCGCTGGACCCCTCGGCGGTCGTGCACATGTCCATCACGTTCGAGCCCCGCACGGGCATCGCCGCGCAGGACGGCAAGGCCGTCGTCGAGGGCACCGAGAACCGCCTCTCCTTCGCGCTCCAGCTCGGACACATCAAGGCCGTCAAGCGCGCCCCGGAGGCCGACTTCGTCCTCGTGTCGTCCGCCGCCTCGGCCCTGCGCGCCGCCGCCACCGACAAGGAGACCGCCGACGCGGTCGAGCGGGTGCGGCCCCCGCGACCTCGCCGCGCGCGCCGCATCGCGCCTCTCCCCGAACAACACTCACCTCCCCCCGCGCGCTCTCGTGGTCGCTGTGCAGGAGATCCGCCTGCGCCTGAACGGCGAGGGCGTGCTGCGGTCATCGGGGCTGGCGTACACGGTGATCCGTCCGGGTCCGCTGGTGGAGGAGCCCGGCGGCTTCCGCGCGCTGGTGTTCGACCAGGGCAACCGCATCAGCCAGTCCATCTCGGCGGCGGACGTGGCGGACATCTGCCTGCGCAGCATGCACGACCCGCTCGCGCGCAACAAGACCTTCGAGGTGTGCTACGAGTACACCCCGGAGCAGGGCCTCGAGACCTACGAGCTCGTCGCGCACCTCCCCGACCGCTCCAACAACTACCTCTCGCCCGCGCTCGCGACGCTCGAGAGCAACACCTGAGCCGCGCAGCAGATGTGAGAGAGAGAGAGCGCGCGCGCAGCGGGACAGACATCGTGGTCACACCGCGCGCCGTCACGTGCGCCACCGCACCGCGCCGCCCACGGACTCTGGCCCCGCCCCCATGAACGCCCGCATCGCGATCCCCTCCAGCCCCTTCGCCGCCTCCACCAGGTCGTCGTTCACCTGCGCGCACCGGCGGCGGCGTGCTCGCGTCGGTCGGCGCGCCAGCGACGGACCAGCGGGGTTGGCGGCGCTCGCCAGCCGGGGGGGTGGGGGCCGCACCAGCACGTAGTCGAAGAGCCCCGGTTCGTCCACCGCGTCCATCTCGGTCTTGGCGTTCCTCAGCCGCACCTGCACCTTGTCCTCCGTCTCCGTGCCGCGGCCCCGCAGCCGCTTCTCCAGCTCCTCGAACGACGGCGGCGCCACGAACACAAACATCGACCGCACGTCCGACTTCCGCACCAACCGCGCGCCCTGCACGTCGATGTCCAAAATGCAGCACTTCCCCGCGGCCAGCACCGTGTCCACCGCCGCCACCGACGTGCCGTAGATGTTGTCGTGCACGTGCGCGTGCTCGATGAACTTGCCCTCGTCGATCTCCTTCTGCGCACGCGGACGGGCGCGGGCGGAGCGGTCGACGGCGCGCAGGGCAGCACCGCGGGGCGCGGGCGGCGCGGGGCCGCCGGCGGGGGGCGCGGCACCTGCATGGCCTCCTTCTGCGCAAACCAGTAGTGCTTGCCGTTCTGCTCTCCGGGCCGGGGGGCGCGCGTCGTGTGCGACACCTGCGCGGCGGGGAGTGAGGGGGGCTCGTCGAGCGCGCCGTGTGGGGTCGGCGGGCCGAGCGCGAGGGCGGGCGGCGGGGCGCGGTGCGTCTGCTGTTTCGCCGGCGAGGCATGGGCCGTGGGGGGCGCGTCGCCGCGGCTGGGCGTCTGGCGGCGCGGAGCGGGCTCCGGGCGCGCGCGGCGTCGCCCGGGCGGGGCGGGGTCGCACCGAGAACCCGAACTTGTCGGTGTGTCCCTCTGTGAGCTTGTTGATGAGCGTGCCCTTGCCAACGCCCGACGGGCCGCACACGACCAGCGCGAACGGCTGGGATCCGTCCTGACCTGCGGGCTGGAGCGGGAATCGCGACGCTGAGCGGCCGCACGGGCGCGCGCGGGCGCGGGGCCCCACCGCCCTGGGAGCGCAGCGATCGCCGGGCGTGGAAGCCGCCACGCCGGCGCCGTCCCGCAGAACCTGGGGGAGATCCACGGCCGTCTCGTGCCCCCGTCGGCGGGCGGCCGCCTCCCGCGGCGGCGGCGGGCCAGCGCGCGGGACGTCCCGCGGCACCCAGCGCGGCAGCGGGCGAATCCTCCGCCCCCCCGCGACGGGCGCGTGCGGGGGGCGCTCACCTGCCATCGTTCGATGCGAGGCTCTCCGGTGGGCGCTCTCGGGCGTCGGTGCGGGCTGCACGCGGGCCGGTCTCGGGGTGGTGGCAGGCGGGGGACGCGAGTGCAGGCGGGCGGCCCGAGAAAACCACAGGGCGCACTGCACGCCGCGTGGCATATGCGCGGCTGTAGGGCGGGACCACTGCCGACCCCCGCGCGGCGCAGGGCCCCTTGTGGACCCGCGGCGGGGCCCGTGCGGCTGCATGCGTCATACCAGAAAGCCCGCACGCGCGACTTCGGGCGGCCGCGCGCCCGCCGCCCGCCCTTCTCGAGAACAGGCAGCACGATGACGAAGAAGCGCAGGAACGGAGGACGCAACAAGAAGGGCCGCGGTCATGTGAGTCGCGCACAGCGCTCGACCCCCAAAGTCGCGTTGCGCGCCCGCCCCCGCGCCCGCGCTCGCCCCGGAGCGGAGCGCGGGGAAGAAATTTCATTCGCCCTCCGCTTGGCGGCCTCCGCCTCGTCGCGGTGGCCCTGCAAGCAGCCCGTCTGCTCCAGCGGCTGCTGCTCGGGAGCGGCCCGTGGCTCCGCGACCGCGTTGCGCCGCGCACGGCGCTCACTGTTCGCGGTTTCCCCCAAAATCCTCCCGGTCCAGCGCCCCTCGGCCACCGGCCACGCCAGCCAGGCTGTCCTGTCGGCTGAAAGGCCGTCCCGGCGCCGCGCGGGGACATACCAATCATGTCGCGGCCATTCGCGAAGGCCTGTGCATACGTGGCGCCCGCGCCTCCGCCGAAACGCCGCGGGCGCACCCCGGAGCCCTCCTGACGGCCTCGGCTTCCGCGCGAGCTCGTTTGCAGGTCAACCGCGTGAGGTGCGAGTCCTCCGGGTGCATGGTCCCGAAGGACAAGGCCATCAAGAGGTTCATCGTGCGGAACATCGTCGATGCCTCGGCCATTCGCGACCTGCAGGACGCGTCGACCATCGAGGGTGCGCACCCGCCCCGCCCGCGTCGCGCCCGCGCAGCCCAGCGCGCCCCGTCACGCACCGCGAGGCCCTGCCCATCGACGACATCCCGCTCACGGCGCGTTCGGACGCGCCCTGCCCCCAGCTGCCGCCGCTCAACCGTCCCTCCGCTGCCGCCCCCTCTCCACCCGCAGGCTACGCGCTGCCGAAGATCTACCGGAAGGTGTACTACTGCATCTCCGCCGCGATCCACTCGCGCGTCGTGCGTGTGCGCTCGGTGAAGGACCGCCGCATCCGCGAGCCCCCGCGTCGCTTCGGCCCGCGCCGCAACTGAGCACGCCCTGAATAGCTCCGTATGTGAGGCGGACGAACGCACGCCGCGTCCCACCCGCCGCCGCGCACGCCCCGCGCGCGCCCCGCGCCCACCGGTGGCGCCGCACCGCACCGCAGCCCCACACGCACCGGCACTGGTCCGCGCACCCCGACGCACCTGGCGCGACGGACGCCCCGCCGTGCGCGCCGGGCGCGCGCGGTCGCTCCGCCGTCGTCCGGCGCCCCACCGCGCACGCGCCGCCGCGGTGCCGCGCCCCCCCGGCGTTGAGGCTGTTGGTTGCATGTGTCGCTCCTTCCTGCAACGGTGAGAGGGCCGCCTGCGACGGGCGCGCCGGTCCTGGTCGGGCGGGGCGTGGCCGCGCTCCGGCGCGATGCGCGCGCGCGTTCGTTCGCGCCTCGCGCCCGCCGGTCCGGGCCGTGTGTCGTCGCGCCCCCCCCTGGGTGCAGTGCACCCGGGCCGCAGAAGGGCCCCGGGGGCGCCGCGGCGCTGCCAGAGCCGCGGGTGCCGATAGTCATAGGTTTCGCACGAGGATACCTGCGCGAATCGTCGTCCTGTGCACGCTGTGTGGCGTGGAAACCGCTGCTGGCAGAGAGGTCGAGGTGGACGGCCGTAGCTCCGCGGAGCGGGGAGTTCGCGGCAGGGCGGCGCCCGCGCCGAAAGCGTTAGATCGCCATGCACCGGCCGGCGTTGCAGGGGCGGCCGTGCGCCGCGCAGGTGCCCGTGGGCCCTCGTCGTGCGGCCCGAGCCGGCGCCGTGCGTGCCGCGCCGGGGGAGGACAGCGCTAGGGCGGAGCAGATGAAGAAGGACGCTCAAAAGAGGCGGGAGAGCTCGTCACAGGCGACCGCGACCGACGTCGACGGGGCCAAGGGCGGCGGGTCTTCCCACAGGTAGGCTGGTGACGCATTGCCGCGAAACGACGTCGCGGGCCGCCCGGGGACCCGCCCGCGTGGCAGGGAGCGCAATGCGCCAGGGCCGCGCGAAATGCGCGGCGGGCCTGTTCCGCAGCCCGCGCGTGGGCGACGTGGCCACCCTCCGTGGTGTGCCTCGGCCCTGCCCGCTCGGCAGCGGGGGGCAGTCGAGGGGGGCGAGCGCCTCACGCCGTGCGTTACTGCACCAGCCGTCGATTCCGCGCCGAATGCGATCCGGGGTCGCCGCGGGGGGCCCTCGCGGCCGACGTCTGCTAGTTGGTGCTCGCCGGGGAGCCGTCCGGGCGCCTGCGGCCTCCCCGCGGTGTTCCGGGCGGCCCCGCGCCCCCCGCCGCGACCGCACAGGACGAGAGCGTCGCCGCTCGTCGGCGACGCCGTCCCGCCGTGCGTCCGTGGTGCCCGTGGGCCCTGCCGCGTCGCCTCGTGCTCCCCGGGGCGCGCCCTGGGCCGCGCCGAGCCGCGCCGCTCACCGCGCGCGCGCCCCCCCGCTCCCTGGCCCCGCAGCAGCGTGAAGGCGATCTCGCTCCAGGCGACGCTGGGCACGGGCGCGGTGAACACCACGCTGCGCACGGAGCTCCCGTCGCCCGCGGTGGCGTCGCGGAACCTCATGGAGCAGGCCAAGTTCGCGCAGATTTGCACGGTGATGGGCGAGATGCACCACCGGCGCGCGGGCTACCCGTTCGGCACGGTGGTGGACTTTGCGGTGGACGGCGCGGGGTGCCCGGTGTTCTGCCTGTCGCCGCTGGGGATCCACACGCGCAACATCCTCGAGGACCCGCGCTGCTCGCTGGTCGTGCAGATGCCCGGGTGGTCGGGCCTCGCGAACGCGTCCGTCACGTTGTTCGGCGACGTGTACCAGCTCCCACGCGAACTCGAGGACAAGGCCGCCGACCTCCTCGCGTTCAAAATGACAGGTGCGGACGCACGAGCGAGACCGCGAGACCGCGTGCGTGCCTGCGTGCGCGCGTGCGTGCCCCCTCGCGCGTGCCGCGTCGCGCGTCCGCCGCACGCGTCGTCGTTGTTGACGGTGCGGGTGGTGTGCCGTGCGCGTGCGTCGCAGGGAAGGAGGCGCAGGGGAAGTGGGTGTCGGGCGGGTACTTGTTCTTCCGGATGCACCACATCACGGACGTGTACTTCGTCGGCGGGTTCGGCACGCAGCAGTGGGTGGACGTGGCCGAGTACGAGCGCGCGTCGCCGGACGCCGTCGTGGCGAACAACCTCCAGCGCACGCTCCAGTCGCTCAACCAGCAGTTCGGCAAGGCGCTGAACAAGAGCCTCTCGGAGTCGGAGCGGTCGCAGCCCGCGGACGACGCGGTCATCATCAGCATCGACCGCCTGGGCGCCGACGTGCGCGTGCGGCGCGGACCCGAGTTCACCGTCGAACGCATCGGGTTCGACGACCACGTCTTCACGCTCACGGACGCCGAGCAGCAGCTCCGGAGCATCACCGCGGACTCCACCTCGTTCGACCAGCACCGACTCTCGTAGCACACACACGCACCCACCCACCCACCCACACACACGCGCAACCACGCCTGGCCCCCGACCTCTCGCCCGGGAACCCGCGACACCCGGGGCCGACCGGTCGACACGAGTGCATGTTGTGCGAGGCCTCGACGCCCCCCCGCGGGCAAGGATGGCGCTGGCAGCTGCCCCGGGGCCTCCTACTAGGTCTCCCAACGTCAATGTGAGCATCGCAGTCGCAGCCGCAGCCGCAGCCGCAGCCAAAGCCTCGGCCCGCCGCTGCTGTGTCGATGCCAGCACCGGTCCAGCGTCAGGGTGCCGTCGAGCGTGCGGCTACGCGGACCAGCGCCGCGACGACCAGCGAGGCCGGTTCGCGCGTCCCGGAGCGCCGCGCGTGAGCACGCCCTGCGTCGGGCCAAACCACCACCGCGTCAACGGAAGTTCCCACGTCCCGGCGTGCCGCCGACGAGAGGGCGGCGGGGCCTGGATCGCGGTCAGTTTGACCGAGCTTGCGTCCAGGTGTTCGACGTGCCGCGACTCACCGGCGACGTTTCGGCCGCCCAGCTCCGGAGCGGGACGAGCTTGATAGGCACCCAGACGCGCTCGGGGAGGTGTGTGGGAGGCCGTCATGGCCGCGGACAGCTGCCAGATCCTGCGTAGTGTGTCCGAGGTCCGGGAATGGACGCGAAAACACCACAGCGAGGGCAAGACGGTTGGCTTCGTGCCCACAATGGTGCGCCCTGCTAGAACGCCCGCGCTCCTCGGCCGCTCCGTCCGTCTTTGGTGCTATATTTAGCGCGAGCAGTGGCGTGAGTATCACAGGAGCCTGTCCCTACGTAGTCGATCGGAGCATCAGCGTCGTCGCGCGGGTACTCCGCACCACCTGCTTTCGCGCTCTGGATCCGCGCGCCCGCGTCCCGCAGCGGTTCCAGCGCGCCTCCGGGCCAACGACGCAGCCACCCTGCGCACATACCTTTCGTCGACCTCTTCCACCCCACGCTGCCCACAATGGACGGCGCGCGGTGCGGGCGGAGCGGTGTCCAGCGCCAAGGACATCAATTGCAGTCCGCCCGGCACTTCACCGCGACCGAGCTCCCGGCGAACGACCCAGCGCACGCACGGCGATCACCGACGGCGCGCGTCTGCGGCGCGGGGCGTCCCTCGTCGGCCCGGCTGCGCCCCCCGCACTCGCGTCGTGCCGTCACATCACAAGTCGCCGCTCACGGGCCCGGCTGCGCTCGCAGGGGGGCATCCACCAGGGCCACCTGTCCCTGGTGACGGAGCTCCAGAAGCGCAAGATCGACACCGTCATCGCCTCGATATACGTCAACCCCACGCAGTTCAACCAGGTGCGCCACCCCCCCCCTCGATCCGCGGTGTCCCGCCGCGCAGGCCCGCAGTCCGCCACCGCCCGCCGCCGCGAGGGCGACAGCGGCGCTCCGTGCGTGCGTCGCTCCGACCGCCGCGACCCCCGCCCCCGCCGTGCAGTCGGAGGACTTTGACACCTACCAGCGCACCCTGGACGCGGACGTGGCGGCGCTGGCGTCGGTCGGGTGCGCCGCGGTGTTCTGCCCCGAGCGCCTGTACAGCTCGGGGGACGGGGACGGCGCCGCGGACGGCGCCGCGGACGACGCGGCGAACGTCGCGGGCGCCGACGGCGAGCACCGCACCCCACCAGGTGCGATGGCTGCCGTGCGCGGCAGGCGTGAGTGGGGCTGAGCGGCCGCGCGGGGATTATCGGCGTCACGAGGTTCATCCCGTCCCTTGCTTGCGCAGGCGGCCATGAGACGTGGGTGACGGTGACGCGGCTGGGGTCGGGACTGTGCGCGCGGTCGCGGCCGCAGTTCTTCCGGGGCGTCGCGACGGTCGTCCTCAAGCTCATCAACATCGTGCAGGTGCGTGCATGGGCCACCTGGCGTCGCGGCCTTGCGACGCGGCGCCGTTCTCTCTGCGACCCCGCGCGTGCTTGTTCCGTACCGTGCGCTGCAGCCCGACGTCATCGCCCTGGGCCAGAAGGACTTCCAGCAGCTCCGCGTGGTCCAGCGGATGGTCCGGGACCTCGACGTGCCCGTGGAAGTGTACCCGTGCCCGACGGTGCGGGAGGCGGACGGGCTCGCCATGTCGTCGCGCAACGCCAAGCTCACCCCGGACGTGCGGCAGCAGGTGAGGCCACGCGCTCACGAGCTGCCCAGCGAGCTGCCACCGACAAGCGCGCACGCCGCGGGGGCGGGACGACGGCGGTGCTGCGGCGCGCGCCGCTGCAACACAACACAACATTGCAAGCCTTCCCCGCGGGCCGTCTTCGCTGCGCAGGCCCTCACTATTTACAAGCAGCTGGCCTGGGCCATGGGCGCCGTGAACAGCGGGGAGGTGACGGACGCGGAGATGATCCGCACCACGATTCGGGAAGCCATCACGGGTGCGCGCCCAGCCACGCCGCCGCCCTGCCTCGTGCGTGCGCGCGCCGCTCGCCTGCGTCGCTGCGTGCTTCGCCCACCGCCCGGCCTCGCTCTCCTCCGCCCCCGCAGCTGCTGGGGGTGTCGTGGACTACGTCGAGGTGGTGTCCCCCGGGGACCTGGAGCCGGTGAGCGAGGTGGGCAAGGTGCTGACGGTGGTGCTGGTGGCGGCCACCTTCGGGGGCGTGCGCCTGATCGACAACCAGATGCTGCTACCGCGCGAGGAGGGTGCCGCGCCGGCCGTGGGCGAGGCCGAGGAGGGCCAGGACGCGTGGTGCTCGCTGATGTGAGAGGGCGGTCGGACAGACGCCGAGCGGGACGGGAGGCCGCGGCAGCGTGCGGTGCTGCGAGCGCGCGCCGCGGATGGCGACGGCGCGTGCCTGCGGCAGCGCTGTCGGTCGGTCGTTGCTGGTGTGTGAGTCAAGCTGCGGTCGAGGCGGAGCTGCGGCACGTGGGGGACCGGGTCGATCTGCACGACTCGTGGCACCCTTGGCCGACGAGACCACCACTGCGATCCGGCCCCGAACGACGTGCGCTCGCTGAATGTTATCCGTCGTACTGTTGGCGGGGCCGCGCGATGAGAGGTGTCCGATCCGCCGTGCCGCTGCGCACGGCGAGGGAGGTTGCGCGCCTGGCAGGACGTTGACGCGCGGGTCTTCCCGGAGTCCCGCCCGTGATCGCCGTGCTGTCGCTACGGATGACGGTCGGTTGGAGTCCCCACGCCCCGCATCGAACAAGCGAGTCAGGCCAGCGCGCCCGTGCCAGAACAACGCCGAGCGGAGCAACGCCCGCGGAACACTTGCAGCAGTGTAGCACAGTCGCGCTTGGGACACTGCGGGCCACGCAATCTATCCAACAGCGACGAGGTGCGCTCTCGCCAGCTCCCCGACCCCCCTGCGGCGCCGCTTCGGCGATCAACTGCTCTGAGATGTCAGCGCGCGCTTTGTGCGGTAGTGTTGCAGCTCGTGGCGACGCGGCAGCGTCCGCGGTGCCCTGAGCGGGCTGTGCGTGACCCTCCCCGACTGCAACGAATCTTCTCGATGGGCTCGTGCGCGTACGCAGGCAGTGGGCGTCTCCAAGTCCAGGGGCGCCGGGAGCGGAACTCGCGTAGACTGAGGGTCGCACTCGCGCGCTTGGTCTGGCCGGGACGCAGCGGGGGCTGACTGGGACGCCCACGAGGGCTGTAGTAGTGGAGGGCTTGCGGGCAGCGAGGCAGTCTGGCCACGAAAGCGATTCGGTGTCGCCTCGAACTCAGAGATCACGATGGTGAGATGACATCCCCTCAAAGTCTGCCGCGCAACATGATAGGATCGGGGCGCACTGATGGCGTGTTGTTGTTGGTGCCCCTGTCGCTCCCCGTTCGCGTTTGCACGTGCGCTTCAGGGTTTCGACCCACAGGCGCTGAGGTGATCATCTCATCCATCAACACGCACGTCTGTTTCCCGCAGGGATCCGATCAGGGGCACGTACGCCCGGCTCTCCTCGCACGCGTCTTGCGGGAAGCGCCGCATGTGCTCGAGGAGCTGTCGGCGGCGGACAAGAGGAACCTGGCAGCGGCAGGATGGAGCACGCTGGAGGCGGTGCTGCGGGGGAGCGACGCGACGCTGCAGGTCGACCCGGAGAGGCCTGTGGTGCACGTGCTGGCGCGGATGATGGAGGGGGGGGAGCGCCAGGGGTCCATCCAGCACAGGGGCGTGCGGGTGCCGGCCACGGACGCGGGGAAGCTGGTGGCGGCGCTGCGACGTGCGCCGGCGTGCGACGGGGGTGGCAAGGCGTCTGCGTGGGTCGAGTACGTGTGGCGGCTGCTGCAGGCGGCGGAGACGACGGAGGAGGGCCCGATGCGCGTGACGGGCCTGAGCGTGCCTACCAACGCCATGTGGGGGCACGGCCCCGAAGCCGCCTGCGCGACGCTGGCGCTGCGGTCGGTCCTGTCGATGCCAGCCGTGCGGGAGCACCTGCGGTGCCTCGAGCTGCGGGCGGAGCAGGCCGAACTGCTCCGTGGGTCCCTGCGCGGACTACCGCGACTGCGGACGCTCAAGATCTGCGAGTTGTATGACGATTCCCGGACGCCCGGAGCGAGCCGTGAACTGGCACGGGCCGTGGTGGGCCTCATCAGCGAGTGCACGTCGTCGCTGCAGCGGCTGGATCTGAGCTTGCCACGCACGATCGAGGGCGAGGCGGCCGACGAGCTGCTGCGCTGGGTGGCGGGAGCGAGGGGCCTGCGGGAGATCTCGCTGCACTGCGGCACCGATGGCATCGGGATCGAGCCGAGCGACGAGGCGCTGTGGTTCGACGGGGCGGCAGGGAGCGCGCTCCGGCGGATCGAGGTTCTCCAGAGTACCGGACTGGACGCAATGCCGGAGCGCGCCTGGGCGGGCCTGGTGAACCTTCGGAGGCTGGTGTATGCCACCACGAGCAGCAGCGACTTGACAGCGCTCGTGGACCTGATGCGGAGGAGCACAACCCTGCAAGAGGTCGACCTGAAAGTGACGAAAGTCCTGGGCGACGAAGACGACTCGACGAGCGCGGTGATCGCTGTGCTGCGCGGGGCAGCGCAGTGCGCGTCGCTGCAGCGGCTGCGTCTTGCACCGTTGTACACCAGCATGTCCTTCGCGGGTGACGAATTGGCCTTGGACGCCACGGAAGCGATAGCGGCGGTGATTCGGGGCAACAGGGCGCTGGAGGAGCTTGACGTGGAGCTGTCGAGCCAGTGCGTCTTGCCAGAGCTCGAGCTGATCGGGGCCGCCGTGGCCGGCAACTCGTCGCTGAGGGTGCTGCGCCTGCCGCGGGCGGACACCACGGACGGCGACATGGCGGCGTTCAGCGCAAGCATGGCCCGCAACCGCACGCTGCGGCACCTGTCTCTCCGGGGCACACAATGGTCCGGGTCGGCTGTGGCGCACTTGGCGCACGGGCTGGCGCACGTGCCGAGCCTGACGGCGCTCGACGTCGAGCTGGCGAACGACGCACACGGCGACCTGCCTGTCGTCACGGAAATCGACAGCCTGGTCAGTCGGCTGTTGGGCGAGGGGAGGTCCCGGCTGCAACGACTCGGGCTGACAGGCTCCAGTCTGTGCGACGCGGGCGCGTGGAAGCTCGCGGCGGTGCTGGAGTCGCGGGAGTGTTCGCTCCGCGAGCTCGACCTGTCCAGGAGCATCGTCGGTCCCGACGGTGCTGGGGCGCTGGCGCGAGCTCTGGGCGTCAACTCATCGCTGGTGTCGCTGAATCTCAAGGGCAATCCAATCGGCGAGGACGGTGCGCTGCAGCTGCTCGAGGCGCTACGGCGCAGCCGCACCATGCGCACACTTCGCCTCGACTGTCCGTACAGTTGCTCGAGATCGCCGGCGCTCAACGCGCTGCTGGATCAGCTGGGGGGTCGTGTGTGCGTGATGTTCGCCGCCTGAGCTGGTGGACGGCGGACAGCAGTCTTGGATGCACTACTGGCAGCACACGACAGAGGCTGCTGGGCCGAGTGCGTCATCTCTCGACATTGCGCGAGGCGTGACGCATGCCTCTCTAGGCGAAGCTCGACGACGTTGACCGGTCCCTGGCTGCGCGGGCCAGACGCAGCAACCCGATGCATGGCAGCGCTGACAGTGCATGCGGTGCCGGGCCCGGGGCGAGGAGCAGCGCAGCTCGCGGCATGGGGACCCTGGCGTCCGCGGAGCGGCCGGGCGCGCAGTGCGGGAGCGGTGACTGCGCCCGGGGCGCAGGACTGGAGACTCCCCGGTGCGCCTGCGTTGGCAACGGCATGCGGCCGCCCAAGGTTCGCGCGCGATCCCAGCAGCCGCGCGCTCTAGATGCGAACCGGTACGTCATCGGGGCGATCGCCGTTCGCGTGCGGCGGCGCGAGCGAGCACATGCTGGTGGCGGCCGACTGTGACACAACCATCATTGCTTGCCGCGGCGCAAGTGCGCCACTTGGACCCCCGTCGCGCCGAGGGAGTGGCGCAAGAGTGCGCGGGCGACTGCGGCGCGGCAGTCGGCCGCAGCGTGGGCGGGCGTTCGTCTCGGCGAGCTTGCGCGAGCGCAGTCACGGCAAGTCGCGCCGGGGGTCCAAGCCGTCTGTGACGCGGTTGTAGCGAGAAAGCGCGCCTTGCCGCCGCGTTCGGGACATGGAGGACACCGAAGTCGGCGGGTGCGGGTTCTCGCCGTCGCCAAAAGTCCTCTGTGACGGGCAGCGCAACTGAGCGCGCCTGCGTGTAGCTTCCCGCTCCTGCTGGAACGCGAGAGGCGCTCCGTGAAGCGAGTGTTGTGGAGCTTCTTCCAGGATGCGGATTGTACCGCCATGAAGGTGACTTGATCCTGAAATGGCGAAGATTCATTCCTGCCTGGTGCACCCAAAAGGCGCGCTTCCCCACGCACGTCGTGGAATGTTCAGCCCGCAACGGATAGACGATGACACATCAGTGTTCCGAAGATACAATCGTGCTTGTTTCGACCGCTTCTCAACCACCCACACGCGTGCCCGTGGCGCATGTGTCGGGGCCCTTTGCCACGTCCCCTCGCTCACAGCCGCCTCAAGGGTAAGTTCACGGCCCGTATCCAACCAAAACTGGCATCACGCGTGAGGTATCGCGTCACACGCGCACAGGCTCACAGAGAGAGACGGTCTTTGCGTCCCGTGGGTGCGACCGATGTTTCCAGCCGCGGTCGCAATTGCTGCGGGAGCTGTTGCCATGTCGCGTCGCCGGTCTCGTGGCGCCAAAGAGTTGAAGGTGCGATCCTTGATTTCGACCCACAGGATGCGCGCCCCATCTCGCGTTGCCGCTGGACGACCACCGCGGCTCCACACAGCGCTCAGCCCCGCGCAGGAGATCACCGCGCAGCTGGAGTGCCAGAGGGCGCGTCTGGACGGAATCCTCCGCGAAGTGGCGCGTGTTCAGGCCGGAGTGCGCGATCCCGAGGTCCTGCACGCGTGCGTCCGGGACCTCGAGGAGGCGCTGGTGGTGATCCCCGAGCTGGTCGGGCGGAGCAGGCGGAGCAGAGGTTTCCTGGGACTGTTCCGCCACCGAAGAGGCGAAGCGGATGTCAGTGAGCTCGTTCGGCGCACATCGGAGGCCCTCGGCCTGGTGGCGTTGACGGTGTTGCGCAGAGAGGTGGAGCGCACCGAGGCCGAGCTCGCGGGGCTCTGCTCCGTCGAGGGACTGCGGTCCGCGCTGAACGCCGGCGACAACACGGTAATTCGCTTCGGCGATGCAAGCGTCGCAACGAATCGTGCAAGTCTGCAGCAATTCTTCGCCGCGTCCTCACGTGAGTGCTCTCCCGGCGCGCAGGTGATCGACCTCCA